CCCTGGCGTATAACGTGATGGGAAATGTTCTGGCGAAAGTTACCCTATGCCACCACCAAGAACCTCGCCTTGGCAAGACTGAAACAAGGGTCCCTCGGAAGGAGTCGGTACATCCCTACGCACCTGCATTTGAGGTTGGCCTGCAGGAGGTAGAGGCTTATTCAAGGGCCACCCACCTGACAATGAAGAGGAAAAAGGGGTTGGCGGGGCCAACGGCGAGGGGAATCTCCATCATGCAGTTGACGGCCTTAATTGCGCGACAACGAGAAACCTGGCAATGTGGAGTGCGAGACGGCCCAAAGGGGTGCTGTAAGACAGTGCGGTAGACGGCGCTGTAGAGTCTCAACGGAATTGCTATGGGGAGTATGGTAAGACAAAGACGACATCTCGGAACCATGTGGGTGTCTCAAGGTGATTCGGGCAGTCCGGTGTTTGTAGAGCTATCTCGGAAACTCATGTGGATGTCTCGTGGTGGTTTCGGACAGTCCGAATGTTAGGACAGCTGGGTGTGAATGGCTTCAGGAGGTGTTGATCGGCGAGGTGCCACGAGTCACGGACCGTGAAGATGCCGGTGACAAGGCTACGACCATCCGGCCACGCTTCACGATCTCCAGTGACTATCAAACAGTGTCTCTCTTCGGGTGGTGTTTTCTCCGGCCGCTGAGTCACCGCGGACAAGCCATCAACCTTCTTTGCTTCGGCAAGGCTCCGTCTCAGTCGAGTCGCTTGCATGCAGCCTATAGGTTTTGTTTCACCGATACCCTTGGCTCTGGTCTCTCACCTCGTGCCGCCCTCGTGCCGTCCGCGTGGGCAGGCGCCATGTGAACTACCTGTCACTTAAGACAGGTCATTGGGCACATGGTTCCTTGGCTGAGACATGACGAATAGGCGGACGTTGAGGAGAATCAAAAGTAAGACTACGCAATGGAGAATGGTTGAGAGGGAGGAAAGCAGACCATGCCGAAAGCATGGAACAGAAAAAGAAAGAAAAAACAGGTGCCATTGGGAATGGGGAGAAAAAACAAACAACTGCCAATATCACCCTCGACGCAGGCAGGCATACGCGGAGAGGACAAGCCAATGAAACAAGAGGCAAGGGAACATTTGGAAGGGAAAAGCAAATATGTCAGATGTCTGTTTTGCTGTCCTGCTTCACTGGAGGGCAACTCCATCATTCGTGGCCATGGGATAGATCCCTTGCATGAGGCATGCGTAACCTACTCAGCGTAAGTGGTTTTGCATCTTTTTCCGGATGTCGGCAACTGGAGATTCATGTGCGTTATCAACTTGCATATGAACTCTGGGATGTCTTCGGATGTGGGCTTCGGGACGTGGGATGCAGACGGTCTCGGTCCTGCCACCACACCCAGCTGTATTGCTTATTTTCGCACTTGACCGTTTGGGTCCTTTGCGGCAGCTTTGCCCTGCAGCAATGATTATGTGGATACTAATTATGACGGTGATAGTTGACATGTCGAAAGTCGACGTTTTTTCGTATAATTACTTCTTTCCAACAGATTATCGGTGAGACAATACGCTAGACTGGATGCTCCAGTTTACTGTCCCAGACGATGGAACCCAAAGGCACGGACACGCCGACACAGTTGTCTTTCTTTGTGTTTCTCCATGTCGCGGCTATGATCCATGACCACGATGGATTTACATGGTTGTTTGGGTGAGTGTGGAAGGGATCGACACTGCAAGTACCATATCGGTATAGGGTAGGATATGGCAGTTGAGTCGAGGGACGACATGGATGGGGACGTGCCGGGAGTTACTGTACATGGGGTCCGGATGTGGTGCGGATCTTGGCTTCTCAACGATGATTGCTGGGTGACACGGCATCGCATCTTGTGCTCGCGGTGCCTCGTGGGATCCCGCCTCACCGATCGAGGTCCCTCCCAACTATCGAATGTCTCGAGTGACGGGTGGGTGTGCCATGAGAGACAGAGTGCGCTAATGTCTCTGATTGCGTTGTCCTTTTGTCCTCCGCATCCTCCGGCCGAGTTAAGTTGCCCCGTCAAAACATACGGATACGCTGACAACGGACACCCGGGCGACTACTTGGTGCCGGTATCTCACAAATGCCCTCCACACCGCTTTCACTCAATGTGATATCTGACAGCGGCGCCCTTCGCCGGCCCTCCAAGATTTTGTTGGATGTCCCCAACTTCAGCCTCTTTCTCAGCTGCAGCGAATCCCCCTCTGGTTGACTACTCCCCGGAACGTCACACATGCAGGGCCAGCCAAGAGGGAACAAGCGGCGCGCGCCAATCTACGCCAATCCACGCCCCCCTCCTCCTTGCGTGCAATACAGTGCAGTGCAGCACCCTCGCGCCGGAGAGAAGAAGAGAGAGAAGGCAGGAAAAAGCAAAAAAGGGGGCTTCTTTTGCCCGTCACCAATCTTGCTGGGGGGATGCGGACCCGCCACAAGAGACAACCTAACAACGCTTCCACGCTTCCACGCTTCCCCTCCCCAACCATGCAAGCAAGCAAGATATCCTGGCCGCGGATCTCTTTTACGTACTGTAGAGCTTCCGCTCTTCTGTTACACCGCAGCGGCTAGCGACAAGCGAGTAGCGTCTAGGCTCCCTCCCCGCCTCCCTTGCGAGCGCCGTGGCTGGCACTGCAGCAGCTCTCTACTGTGCTAGCTGCCCGCTGGTATTAGTCCCTGCAATTTAGCTCTCTCGCCGCCACCCAGCCGCTCGCGGTACACAGAGATTATGGTCGCGTCCTTCGCTTTAGGCCGCCAGACAGGGCTCGGCGTCTTGTCGCCCTTCAGTTGGTCTCAGTGGCCCTCTTGTCGTGGTTGCCCATCGCTTGCGGTGCCCCCTCAGCAGCCGCGGAACCGCAAGACTACATCCGCGACCGATCACCGCCCAAGTTGCAGCGCGCGTTGTACCACCATCAAACACTTACAACACCACACTAATAGCACGGCCGGCCATGGTGACGGCGACGGTGACGGCGACGGTGACGGCGACGGTGACGGCAATCGTGGCCGTACGGAGCAGTCCTCACCGCAGTCGAGACCGCGACTCGCTGCTAATATCACTTACTGTATGCTAAACCAGGCCGAGGTAGCAAGATAATCAACCCCGTTCTGGAATCCACTCCACGACACACGCCTTGCCCGCCGAGGCCATCGTCGCCTTCCTTTCCCAAACGGAGCAATCCACCCCGGTTTGTCGGTATCCTTCGGTAATGGTTCTTTTTGTTTCGCTGTGGGGAGAGTCGCCATGTGGACGGCGTCGCTACCCAGTATTCACTCCCCGATATCCACGCCAAGTCCACGCCCTGTCACGATATTACCAGGGCGCGAGACGGCTTTAATCCTCCTTCTCGCCTATCCCATCCCCATCCCTGTCATGGCCCGGCTTCAGGGTTTTGCGATACCACCCTCGCAGAACACAAGGCCCTTCGGGGCTCGTCCCCTTCCTCTTCCTGCGAATCCATCGCGGCACCGGTTCCCAGATGTGATGACGGCGACTTTTCCAGGGCATGGGCATGCCCCCCCTAGATGAAACATCTCCCGGGGTATGATCACGTTGCTGGCCCGCGTTCTGACAGACCAGGCTCCCCAGTATCGCACCGCCGGCCAGCATCGAGTCAGCATCCCTCAACTCTTAACAGCCAGGGTCGTCCTTTACAATACACAGTACGCAGCAGCAGTAGCAGCACGCAGGACAAAGTACATGAGCAAAGCGGCAGATCAAGGGAAGTAGTTCGTCCAGACCGGCCTAATCCAGTCCAGCGGCCAAGTCCAGCCCAGTCCAGCCCCCGTCATCTCTGTCCTTGGCTGCTGCTCGTCGCCTCTTTCGGATGCTCAGCCGACTTTGCTTTTTTGTGACGCTTCTAGTATTACGCCCTCTCCCGTTGAACCCGCCAACCAGCCTCCTCATCGGAACCCGCTCCCCGATAGCTATGCGTTCCGCTGTCCCTCTCCCGGGGTGGTCACAGAAAGAACCAAAGTAAAATCGCCGATGGCACTTCCTAGCCGTCTCATTGTACATGAAATAGCGTAGATTGCGACAAAGCATGGCGCCAACGAGTGGCACAGCACCACCGTCGCAGCCAAAGTTGACGCCCTGCAGGGGGGAGAGCTATGTATCATTTCTGACCGAAACGAGCCTTCTCGTGGAGCATTGCATCGCATCATGTCATTTGTCTTTTGCCGTCCATCACTCACTAGTCCTCTGCCCCAGAACAGATCGAGACTTTACCAGAAAGAGACACTCTCGCGCTATACGCAACCGGGTACTCGGCTGTTATCTCATACAATGACCAGGGCAAGACAAAACCCGGCACCAGAAGCCAGCCGCCAACAGAACGAAAAAGAAAGACATGACGCGAAAAGATGACAGGCCGAAAAAGGCACATGGACTAGAGACAGGCTTATGGCTAGCTCCTTTGGAGGGGCCGATATTTCACGGGGTCGTGTCTGAGGGGAGCCAGAACCGCGTCCTGTTTTCCCACCATGTTTGAGGCAGATGAGACACAAGGAGACAAGGACCCTCCAAAGCGGGAGAACCCCCAGCCGCAAGGAAGCAAAAGAGAGAAGAAGGAAAAAAAACAAAGGGGGAGAAAAGGTGTGGCAGCGACGCGATGTTCCCCTGGCTTCTCAGTCCCCGGTTTCCGATTGAACCTCACCTCTGGGCAATTGCAGAATCGTACGACTTTGTCCTGGTCTCTGCTGTGAGCCCTGCGAACCTTGTTCGGCTGGGTCGTGTCGTGTCGTGTGTGTGCGAGTGCGTGTGTGTGTGTGTGTGTGCGTGTGTGTGTGCAGGGCGAGGCACATCCGTCACAAGCGAGGCGCATCCGGATGAGCACTCTAGAATCTAGGAGCCATCCTTTTGCGCAGGGCGAGCAGCCGACAGGTGCGCGGCAATCGGAACAAACGTTCGTACGGATCCGCAGCGTCACATACAATGTTTCTCCGCGGCCGTGACGAACCGGCGCTGCTTTTCGCTGAGACAAGCAGCATGGCAAAGGTTATTATCCCTGCGTGCTTGCGGGGATTGAGATAATTTGCATTGATGGGTGGCGTTGAGCTGTCTGTTTCGATTCGAGCCCTCTGTACAACACACGCCCAAAACCGGCATTTCTGAAGTTACGTAGTATCCAGTATCCAGTATCCAAGCTTCTGACATGGTTGAACTAGTCTCGGTAGACAACTGTTGAACGAAAAATTCTACATAGTGCCGGCAGTCTTCATATCCGTCGCCAGGTATCCCCTGCTCACATTGTGGTTATAAATTTTCACTGCCGATCCCAATCCTCAAGAGCCGGGACCATCGGTACTGCTGACCTTCAATTCAGCTAGTTGATCACTCAACGTTCCGTTCAGCGGCTCAGCCGGCGGGTCCGCACTCGTAAGCCCCTTTCTGATGGCCAAGACGCTGTCAACGATGACAGCATCAATGCCCTGCTTTACTTGCCGCTGTTGGGTTTGTTAGTCTCTGTCGCTATTTTCAGACGCCGCGTGGACGCTTCTAGATTTGTTAAATGGGCAATAAAACTTACCTGGACCATAATTGGATCGTTGTTTTCTACGCCGTAACTGACACAGACCAATCCATTCTCCTTGACAACCCTTACAAGCCGTGGGCTGTTAATCATCGGTTCCGCAGCGGACACGATGCCCAACAAATTCCAGCGGCTGGCGAAGCGAATGGCCTCTTGGAGAGATGATGCTCGAATGTCACAGACATCGCAGCATCCAGCATCGGTGAGGAAGAGGATGGGGATCGACGGCTGTTTGAAACTCAAGCAGAGACAGATGTCAGGGTTGAATGAGCTGAAGATGATGTGACGTTCACCAGCGAGATCGTAGACTTTGGAGAGGACAGTGTCGCAGAACGAATTCAACTCCACAGCATATGTGTCCATCTCGTGCTCCTCGCTCTCCATGAGCATAGGGTACTTCATCTCGATGTTGAAGCCAATGTCCTCGGGGAGCCTGCGGAATAGGTCCTCTAGGGTAGCAAACGGCGCCTGGATAAAGTTGCCTCTTGAGTTGGCTTTGTAGCCCTTGGACTTGAAGTCCCTCGTATGCTTCATGCGCTCCTCCATGTCATCACGTCCACTGCCGGCGTAGCCCATTGATTGCGAGCGCTTTGGCGCGAAGCTGTTACTACGCGCTCGGCTGCCATTCTCGCCACGGGTCGTCGACTTTGGCGTGTCAGAGTGGTTTGGGGTACGGCGTGAGTCGGGGTTAATATGTAGGAACTGTTCCAGGGTCAAGGTGTGAACAGGTGCATCAATTCCAGTCTCGCTGACGAGGAAGTCGTGGTAGATGACTGGAACATGATCCTTTGTCAACTGGACGTCGAATTCCACATATTGGGCGCCCAAGTTGGCAGCCGCAATGAAGGAAGGCAGCGTGTTCTCACCCAACTGAAGAGACCTGTTGGAGGAAACATTCTTTCCAAGGCCACGATGCCCAATGACCATAGTCGACGCCAGCTTCTTCCAGTATGTCTGCCTCGAAGTGACTTCCATGTTGGGGTGAAAAAAGGGCGTGATGACAAGGAAGTTGAAGTTGACTGTTCCGATAACCTCCAGGTTGCTTGACATGATGGGGACAATGACATCAGCCTGGAGATTCATACGGCGAGAACCCAGCGTTGGCTTGACAGATGAGAGGAGGGCCACCCCGCGGCCGATCTTGTTCTTTTCGCTACCAGAGTAGGTCGGCACAATATCGAAAAGCAGCTTCACCTTGCTGACATCTTTTGTGGTAAATACGACAGGCTCTGTAGCAATGTTCTCGTGGACAGGGAGATCAATGATGGTAGGCTCGCCCTGAGCTCCCGATGCTGCGACAACAATGGAGAGCGCAGTATCAAGCTGAGTAGTATGTGCCTCGGCGAGTGGCACACGATCCAAGTTGACAGGTTCAATGTTCTTTCGCATATCCATGGATCCAAGACTGACGAGCACAAGACTTTCATCCGTCAGATATCGATGACCGAAGCTCTTGACGGGCTCGGCCGGTCGAGGAGTACCATTCGCTCCGTTAGAGCGACGTTCGTCAATGGAAGAAAGCGCAGGCTGCAGATTCTCAGGTCTCTTCGCCTCCTCTTCCCCCAGCGGGGTTGCAAGAAGGCGAGCAATCTCCATGTGGCCTCTCAGAGCCGCATGCTCTTTTGCCATCCAACCAGATGAGTCAGGACGAGACACATCCGCGCCTGCATCGACAAGAAGCTGGGCCACGGAGAACTTCCCGTCGACAGCAGCAACGTGTAGGGGTGTCCAGGCATAGGTGTTTTCCGCAACCTCGATGTCTGCCTTTTGGGACTCGGTGCCTTTCAAAATCACCCGAGCACACTCATCGTGACCGAACCGGGCAGCAATGTGAAGAGCAGTCTCGTTAGTTTTGTCCTTCCAGTTGATGTCAACCCCTGCGTCCACGAGCATCTGGACGATGGTACTGTAATTGGACTTGGTGGCAAGAGCAAGGACAGCGCCGGATTTAGAGACGGCCTTTCGAATCTCCGCCTTGGCCTCGCTGCTCCCTTCCCAGTTCTCACCCTTAAGGAGGGCCTGGGTTGTCAGAGGGTGGCCGCCAACAACGCTTAGGTGCAGAGGCGCAAAGCCATCGTTGTCTTGCCACTCAGGGGCGTCAATTCCATCCTTGACGTGGAATTGACCCCATTCCTGCATCTTGGACATGATGATCTGGCACACAATGACGAATCCAAACTGAGCCGCATAGTGGAGCGGCATCCGTCCAAATGAGTCTCGGCTCTGGAGGGAATTGCGTTGCTCCGGGCGGAATTGGTCAAGCAAATAGATGAAGAGTTGAACAACTTCGTCATCTCTGCCCAAGAGCTTGGTCTCATTGATGTTAAGTGCCTTGAGCGGAGTTGACGTTGAGACAGCAGGTTGTAGATGCTTGTTGCTGAACTCTGCACCGGCAGGCACCGGGTATTTCTGAGAGTTTTGGTCTTCCGGCGATGATTTGGTGCGGCCAATGTGAATAACGAGCCGGTGAATGCAGTTTCGGCCATTGATATCATCAGATTCGTCGAGGCTCTTGATGTTTTCGAGAAGGAACGCAATGCATGCCTTCGAACGAGCGGCGATGGAACGCTGAAGAAGGTTCAAGAAGAGAATCTGGGAACCTTCCTCGGCAGCAACGTTGTTTGCATCCAACCCACTCTTGAGCGAGGGAACATCGTCATTGCGTACAGCCTGGTCAAGCAGGTCAAGCAGAGCCTGTGGTAGGTTCAGCATAGCCTTGGTGGACGCCCGCCCCAGAGAGCGCGCCGAATGATCTGACATGGCGTCGTCAAAATTCTGAGCATCAGCGAGGACAGACAACCATTTGTTAATCTCGACAAGCAGTCTGGCGGTGTTAGCCTCTTTGGCAAACGGCTTGGGGTCAACCTTGGTGGAGATGTATCGATGCTGGGTGACTGTGTCAGGGACCTTTTTATCAAGCTTCTTCGTGATCTTGACAAAGCCTCTGCGGTTGATCTCGCCAAACCACTGCAAGTTGCGCAGCTGGCTCCTCAGCTCGAGGAGGGCACCCATGACCTCCTCAACCTCATCCTGATCGAGAGTGGCGACGACATCGGGAGTACGGCCATAGCGGTTGTACAGAAGATTGAGCCGGCGACAGGCGTCGGCGTGTTTCTTGTTGTAGAAGAAGTCGACATCTTCGAGGTTCCGGTCAAGTGCGAAGAAGAATTCTGGATGGGGAGTTAGGGGAGAGGCTCAGCCCCGACGAGAGTCGACAAAGCCGCCCACCTGCAGTATCCACCTTTTCACCATTCCTTGCCTTGAGAGCAGCCGCCTTGACAAGCTTCTTGAGGCCTTTGTAGTTGATGTACGAGGCCGCCCACTCGGGGACCTGATTACGCGGAAGGCTGGACGGTTCTCAGTACACCTAGCGGTCGCGAGACCTGTCCGGAAACCTACTTTCTGCCAAACTTCATGGCGACGACGGTGGCGGAATGCGAGTCGAATGCGAGTCGAATGTGAGTCGGAATAGTGGGGGATCGTGACCCTTGGCGGGGAGGAGAGACGCGATCCAAGCTCAGATGGGCCGCGGCCAATCAACAAGGGGATGATGAAACAAGGGAGAACGATTGCCAATGAGTCTGAGGCGTGAGGTCTCCGAGACTTCCAGAACAATGGTTGAGTAGCAACCGGTAGACTGGAGGTGGAAGAAGCGTTCAAGAGTAGGCGGTTGATTCGATGGGGGACAAGCACAGAGACAAGAGATCCATCGAAGAGCAGGATTCGGTTGATGCGACGGGAGAGAAAGATGTAGATGAGAGAGGCACGCAACGAGTCGGTAAGTGGCCAGCAGCAGACCCAAGTGCAGAATTTTGATGGAGATTATGCGAAATGCCCTGGAAAGTCCGGAAGTCTGGCACTGGGTTGTGAAGCGGCGATGATTTCAATGTGGGGGAGCCAGATCCACTGGCCAGCTGCCTCCACCTGTGAAGCCGCCGGGTCGCTTCCAGGCACTTCAGCGCTGTGGCTCCAGGGGGCGTCGGCTTAGTAGCGCACCAGCGGACCACTTCTCGACGGCCATTGGCGACCGTGGACCCTCCGGGCCTCGTGACTGGCCGGCCCAGGGTCTTGATTTGCATCTACACGACTCTGAGCACATCGTGACCTCCTTTCTACAAGCGCATACCGATATGTCATCCCGTCCGCCAGCCCAAACACAAGTACCTCGGTCGGTTTTTGTCGTCCTCGTGCTCTCTCCATCGAGTCCCACCGTTGTTTGCGGCTCTCGTGCTCCTCTCGCGCTCCTTTCTGCAGACCGCCCATTCGTCAATTGTCCCATGCCTCGTTTGCCGAGAGGTCCACTCGCCAAACCAACAGTTGTCGCCGCTGTCGCCGCTATCGCCATCACCCGGGCTCACCGTCATTGAGCCCCTGTCAGTCCCTGTCAGTCCCCGTCAAAAAGAAGCAGGTGGTGTGGGCGGTTGCAGGGGCGGACAAAGGACGCGGCACATGACATCAGTAGCTACCGGAGTTGGCTGCAATTGCAACCAAGCACTGGAAACACTGGAGCCAGGTACGCTAGAATCAGGGTCTTCTTCGCCCTGTCGATCCACCGGGCTATTTGTCAAGTTCGAATCCTAATGCATATTTTATACAACCAGTTACAACGCCCCTCTGGTATGTACTGGACGACAACCAAAGCTCAACTAACATACATGTGTCGTGTGAAACCTCGCTGTTCTAGTGGGATATCTCTGGTCTCTTACTTTGCGCCTCGCCACAATCCAATCAAGAAGTTCTGCACCAGCTGCAACGGCCGCTCATCTTGGGCCGGCAACCGTGTTGGCAGTCCTCTCGTCGTCGGATTGAACCACCCTGCCCAAATCCCCATCGGGTCGCGGAAGCGCTCACACTCCTTTACTTCTTCATCCTCAAGCTTTCTTCTTTTTCCCCTTTCCTCTTTCGGTTGCCTTGACTGCTTCATCTGCGAGAACGCATCCGCACACTCCTGTTCCAGCTCAATTGAGTGCTGTATCCTACACTCCCCAAGAAAGAAGGCCATCGAGGTACGGAACTCGAGAGAAAAGTACGGGTACAGAAGTTTGCTCTCAACGCCACACGTTTCCCTTTCCACATATCTCAGCTCCCTCAGCATGCTTTCAATTTGTAGCAACCTGCTCCTCGAAGAACTTGCAGCTTGGTCTAGTTCAGACTGGGCTAGTGTGCTGTTTGAGCGATCCGTGTTTAGTGCCGAGGTGCCATCGGCTTCAGCTAAAGCTTTCATGAACTGGCCAAACTTGGTGCTGGGGATGTCCAAGTTAGCTAGTGCTGATTTGGAAACGGTCTGGCCAGACCTGCTGAGGCCGCAAATGTCAACTAGGACGCGAAGTCGGCTGACGAGGTACGCCTTCTCATCTCCTCGACCAAGCATTGAAGGGACGATGTTTTGGCCATGCGTGAAGCCTCGAATGAGGTGTACCGCAGCCCTCCAGTCCAGAGCAAGAATACACTCGTCAAAGAGCCGCCTGATGACGCTTGTGTTTACTGAAACGCTCGCATTCATGCAACTCAAAAAGAATGTTACGGCTTGGTCAAACATCCTGAAATCAAGAAGCCCGTTGAGGATGGCCTCTATCAGGGGTTGGTCCAGAGGAACGTTCTTATTGACCCAATCACCGGCGGTTGTCATGCCCTCGCCGCGCGCCCACTCAGGTGATGCTTCCAGTTGCTCAATGTCTTTTCGGAGCCTCCGTGCAATTTTGGCACCAGTCTGTGTATCGATTCCGGTAATGCAGGCAATCATGCGTAGGAATTCCAAAGCATTACTTGAGTCCTTGTAATGGTTAACAAAGGCAACGAACGTAGATGGCGTCGGATATATGCGGCGTTTGTGAAAATATGAGTTAACCAGGGACTCAGCCAGGGACTTGTGTCCGAGCTTATCAAATCCAACGATTAGAGTGTTGTATGTGTGCATATCCGGTGGGTAGGCAGATACAAGAATGTTGTAACACACTCTGCCCACTATCTCCTTGAGCCCGAGGCTTGGAGAGTTGATAATCTCTCGAAGCTGCCGGTTCAACAAGTATGTGCTTTTTCGTGCTTGGGGCGGATCGATAGAGGCGAACGTAAATGAGTGAGTATGTCTATTAGCCAATGTGTAGGCTTCGGTGACGCTCGGGCAGGGGTGTGAGGATTCGTCCTTGACTTCGGCACGCTTGAGAAGTTGTCGAACTAAGTTCACGACCGTTCTCGAGTCGCGGTGCAATTGTTCCCGGGTTTGCGGTTCTCGTCGATGAATATTGGTATCCAGCTCCTCTTCCTGGATAGCGAGTTCAAGGCGTTCGTAGTCCGTCTGCCTCAGGGCTTGCATTGTCGCAGGATCGGGATTGTGATAGTGCTCGTCATGAAGTCGCGCGAGGAGCTCGGACACGCTCAGGGTAACCGGTTTGTTGATTTCCTTCATGAATGGACGACTTGCGCATACCTCCTTTAAGGAATCCCACAATGCATTCATCTGATCGAGAGTCAATTCGGGCTGGCTGGCGTCGACATTCGCTGCGATCCGTTTCGCCTCCATGGCCCGTACGATCTGCAGTTCGGCCAGCTCACGCCGGGCGTCCTCCAATTGGCTATCCAATTCCCGCCTCTGGTCTTCTTTTCGGATTGCATCGACGACGGCGGCGCTCGCAAACATGGTACTGTAGCATGCAGTGAAAATTTCGGTAAAGGTCGGCTTCCGTGGTCGAGTCGCAGCTGTTGTAACTCGGCGGCCCAGGGTGCTGACGGCGACATCACAAACTCGGCAGCCGCAGCGGTGAGCCTGGCCAGCTCTCGACCAAAGAGATTGCATGGCCGAGTCGCTTCGTTTCTAGGACATCGTTGGGGTGAATTGACGCTGGCGCTGGTGGCCTTCAATCGAGCTGTTTCGCGATATTGAGGCAAGAAATCGCCAGTCGTTGATGGTACGATTATTCTGTCACGTGGTTTTGCCGTTGCGCCACGCTATTCTCACACCCCACTACCCCACCATGCGTCACTTGCAGCACCGCAGCAGTTGGGCATCGGTTGCTTTTCACTCTTGAGATAGCCCTGTCGTGACAAACCTGCCTTGCTCAATCTCAAGTTCTCAACGCACAGTCGTCTTTGATTCAAATGTTCACTCTTGTGCTCAACGCCGAGCTGGCAGGGTACGTTCCAACACTTCACTAGTTGCTGAGGCCCAAATTATGAACTTCATTAACTGAGCATCATCGTAGCGTCACCAACCTGCGGCCAGATGATACCCAGGATGACCCGTTCTGGTACATGTTCAAGGTCCAGTGTACTTCGTGTCGAGAGACACACGCCAACTATGTCGGAGTAAACCGATTTGTACGTCAAGGCGTGATGGTGGTCGCTGGCCGAGCTGACGTTCTTAGGAAACCAACGAGATGAGCGGCAGCCGAGGCGAGGCAAACTTTGTGTGGAAGTGCAAGAATTGCAAGGTTGTTACCCTGGATTCAACAATAATTTTCGCTAATTGGGTGACTACAGAGAGAATCAACGGCCTCCATCAAGGCAGCACCTTTGGCCTATGAGCAGGGGGAGCCACCAAAGTCTCAGAAGATTCTTGAGTTCGATTGCCGAGGCTTGGAGTTTACCGAGTTTAAGGCGGAGGTGCGTGAATTGACTTGGTTCTGGTTTGTTTACTGACACGAGATAGGGTGAATGGCTGGCAGATGGCTTGGATTCTACCACCAAGTTTACTGGAATTGAGTTGGTGGATGGTGAATGGTATGACTATGACGAAAAGGCGGGTGATGAGGTGAGCATCAAGGAAATCAAATGGGAGATTCGCCGAGCGTAGTCAACTAGGATTATCCAATATATTTGACCAGAGATATCCTTTTGAATGTTTCCAGTTGATGTATAATGGTTACAGGGTAGATGTACTCACGATAGGGCTGGCGAGCCACAATCGCATCCAGCCACTCGTGTGGCTCAGGTCCGTGCTCTCAAGATCGAAGCGTCACATCACCAACATCTTTTCTCTCCAGACACAGACCAGGATTCAGAACTCAGACGGAAGAGTGTCACCCATTGAAAGATGGCCCTCGAAGACGTTCCCGGTACGATCGATTATCTCACCAACGCGGCCTACCTCCTCCGTATGACAGCCCCCGAGACTTCAGCCCATCTCCTGAGCCACCGGAACCAACTTCTCGAGGAACATGGAGTTCCCCAATCCGAAACTCAACTTCAGCGCGCATGCGGTGGCTGTGGCATTATCCCCATCACAAATTGGAGAAAGATGACGAAGCCCGAGACTCGCAAGGTTTTGCGAAGGAACACGAAGGGGTCGGCTTCAACCGCCGCCACAGGCTCAAGCTTGGGCTCGACCAAGTCTCCGAAGGCCACCAGCAAAATCAGAACCTTGCACTGCGTCAACTGTCGACGGGATACCAAGATTACGCTTCCGCCCCCAGGACCAGCTGTACGACTCAAGGCCAAAGCCCCGGCCAGGATCAAGAAGCTAGCAGCCCCGGATACGTCTAAGCCAACGGCGAACTCTAGCAGCAAGAAGCGAGCCAAGAACCGCAAAGCCGGATTGCAGGCTCTTCTGTCAGGCCAACAGGCGGCAAACCCGCTGAGCCTTTCCCACTTTATGAAATGAGTCAGAACGAACGATCGTCTACAAGCAGCATCCATTGGGTTGCCTCCGGCCAAGAGTCAATGGAACCATACTGTCATGTGCAGGCCCAGACGCACGAAACTTCTAGCGTCTGCTTCCAGCTGGGCCGCTGCTTCCACAGCCGCCCATGCACGCCCATGCGCCCAGGCCCAGCATGACATAACGCCGTTGCCCCTCCAAAAAATTCGCTGCCCCTCCATCGACTAACCACCAAACGACTCCTCCATTCCACCATCACGACCCGATTGCAAAAATGGCGACCGACGACCTGAGCAAGCAAACTCCGGAGGAATTCTTCCAGACCATCGGTGACAAGGTCAAGAACCTTGCGCCCGTTGTCGATGGCACTGAAGACGAAGATGACGACCACCGAGCCGTCGAAGAGATTGAGTCGCTCTGCATGAACTGCGGCAAGAATGTGAGTCTCTGTGACACCTTGTGTCCTACTGATGCTAATTATGCGCATAGGGCGTCACTCGTCTCCTCCTCACTGCCATCCCCTACTTCCGCGAAATCGTCATCATGTCATTTTCTTGCGAGCACTGCAACGTCCAGAACAACGAGATCCAGGCGGCCGGAACCGTCCAGCCTAAGGGAACCCACTACGAGTTGCGCTTGACTGCCCTCGACGATTTTGCGCGCCAAGTCGTCAAGTCAGATACCGCTACAGTCAAGTTTATCGAGATGGATCTCGAGATCCCAGCTGGTCGTGGCCAGCTGACAAATGTCGAGGGTCTCCTCAGCACCGTCATGGATGACCTTGAGATGGGACAGGAGGCACGCAAGGAGCAGCTTCCCGAGATGTACCCCAAGATTGCCGAGATTATTGCCAAGGGTCGCGCTATGTTGGCTGGTGACTCATTCCCTTTCCGCTTCTACGTCGATGACCCCGCCGGTAACTCGTTCATCGCCCCTGACCTGAAGGACGGCGTCGGCAAGTGGGAGAAGCACGAGTTTGCCCGAACTCGCGAGCAGAACGAGGCCCTTGGTCTCTCTGACTCCGACCCCAGCGCTGCCGCCGGTCTCAACAACCCTGGGTTAACCGCCGAGGGCGACATCATCCCGAACGAGGTTTACAGCTTCCCTGCGACATGCCCTGGCTGCATGCACCCGTGCACTACTCACATGAAGATGGTCGATATTCCCCACTTCAAGCAAGTCGTGCTCATGTCGACTGTTTGCGAGGACTGCGGATACCGCTCCAACGATGTCAAAACTGGTGGCGAGATTCCCGAGCTGGGTGAGAAGATCACCCTTGTCGTCAAGGATAGCACCGACCTCGCTCGAGACATTCTCAAGAGTGAGACCTGCGCTCTCGAGTGCCCCGAGCTCCAGCTTCAGGTCAACCCAGGTACCCTGGGTGGCCGCTTCACCACCGTTGAGGGTCTCCTCACACAGGTTCGCAACGACCTCCACAGCCAGATTTTCGAGTTCGACGGCTCCGGCCAGGGCGGCGACTCCCTCGCCTCCAAGGAGAAATCTCGGTGGGATGAGTTCTTTGCCGGTCTCGACGCCGCCATCGCTGGCGATAAGCCCTTCACGGTCATTCTTACCGACCCCTTCGCTAGCAGCTTCATCCAGCCCCTGGTTGACCCCCCGGCGCCGGACCCCAGCATCCACCGGGAGAGCTACACTCGAACGGATGAGGAGGAAGAGGAGCTGGGTCTCAAGGATATGAAGCTCGAGGGCTATGAGGAGGATCAGAAGAAGGAGGATGAGAAGAAAGCGGCAGAAGCGGCAGAGGCTGCTAAGGAGACTGAAGAGAGGTAGCGGAATGATGTCAGATGTTAGACGTGGCACTGGCTGCTAAGAAGGAGACCAAGACAGGAAGCGGATGATATCAACGTGAAAGAAGTTAGACGCGGCAATGAATAAAACCATGGCATGATATTAATAAAAGTTTATCCAAAGCCTAACTGCGTCTGTTCCTAACGTTCCTCACCCAAACCCAGCAGCACACGTTGTGGGGTAGGGCTTTACAACCTCGCGTTAGTTTTCTATGCTCTAGATACTGGACTACTTTCCTTTGGAGAGAATCACCGATCACGTCTAAGAAAGCATATGGACTCGGTCTTGTCTTTCCATCTTGGTAGCATACTCTATGTAGGTTGCACATCTGAGTTGGTTCCGACCTTAAGTCGGACGGACCATCAAAGATACAGAGTCCGGTACCATTGCCCGACCCCGGAAGGTCAAGGATTTACACTGGAGATGGGCCACCCATCGCATTCAAGTTTTAACCATTCAAATCCCCGTTTCTTCTCCCAAGGTCTACAATCTAAATCTGCACTAAATTTGGCCTGTTAAAAGTGCAAGCGGGCGTGGGGGGGGGGGGGGGGGAATCTCGCATGAGAGGGCAGCAGGCGTGGATTTGGATGCGAAACTAATAGTTGCAGCAGTAGAACTCACTTCGCTAGCTGAATGGAATGGATTTTCTTGGTGTAATCTGACAGTTATCCATCCATAGAACATCAAGTCGATCTTTGCACGCCATTAGCACATCTACAGACACTCTGGCCATTTCCTATAACTCGATTGGTGCTACGATTTCGACGTGCATGCCTGCAAATCTCCGGTTGGACCACGAATGCACCCAAACCACCATGGTCCACATGAGGGACTCATATTCCACCTCAGAAATCAGATTCATCTCGTGTAAGTAAACTGAGATATTAAAGCGTTTTCCTGAGACGGATGAAGCCATGTGATCACTACGGAACATTGACCTTCTCTATCTTAGACTGGTGCACCACTCTGCTCACCTCCCATTGATTCGAGCTGTTCGCACATTTCAGTCGCGTCCATCGTGCTCATCGCGTCCATCGTGCTCATCGCGTCCATCGTGCTCATCGCGTCCATCGCGTCCATCGCGTCCACCGTGTCAGCCCCGTGATTGCGATTTGGAAAGATGGCTTTTAGAACAGCTGCCAGCATCTGGGAGTGACAGTTGCCAACGGTCAGCCCGCCCCCATTACCGGTCATAAACAGGTGCCAGACTTGGCTAATCGAGGTTTCCTTTAATTGAATCGACCAGTTCCTGTGTCAAAATCGTTCACTGGTCATTCATCCGCCCTACCACTCCACTGCAGCAGCCCCGACATCGAAGTGACTTGACAGCAGTTACGATTACCCAGTGCATCTTTATATATTACAAACATGTCTCTGTTCAAGTACTTCAAAGTTGTCCCCAAGAATGAGCCTGCTGCACCCGCTGCACCCGCTACTGTGAAGAATGTCGCCACGCCCGTGGTGGTGAAAGATGAAAGTGACGATGACGAGTTCGACCTGGACGAATTCGACATGGCCGATATCATGCAACTGCCTGGCATGGGAGATGATACTGCACCGAATGGAGAAGGCAGTGACGACAATGATGATGATGATGATGATGAGATGAAAGGCGAGAATCAGGGGATGCTCTACCTTGATGGAGACGATGGCAACATGGATGCCATCGACAGGGGTGAGTACATTGCCCGAAAGGTCAAGCTAACAGCTGAGGCACTTGGAATTGAGACCAGTGCCATTACTTACAAGGACCTTCTGTTCTCCCTCATGGAGAACTCACCACTGAAGGTCAAAGTGGGAAATTTTCTGGACGCCGAGGTGCCAGAACCCGAACATTCCCTGGTTCCGATCGACGCTTTTGCACAGAAGAAGGACCGCACTGAGTGGGATACACACTCATTGGCCATCGACGAGATGTGGGAGAAGTTTCAGAAAAAGGTGGAACAAATTGGCGAAGGGTCCGTCAACATCCCTGCCATGGCCAAGCCCTCAGGGCCACTCAACGCCAGGATGACCTTTGTCTGGCACTACCCCACCCAGAACTCCACCAATACGGAGTACTCTTTCACAATGGACCCAGGAAGTTGTACTCTGGGGCTCCAAAGGGTTGTAGAGAATCTGTTCCTTTACTTTTTCGAGGCTAATGGTCCAATAGGTCAAGATAGGCCTCCCAGACGATGTCCGCACCCAGGACTTGATCCCATTCCGGGTCACATACAAGCACAGAGAAGGCCCACCCAATTGGGACCAACTATTCAAGAACTGGCCAAAACTTCGAGAGGCCCGTCTTGAATTCAATAGCGACCTGGCGCTACAGAACCGGATCGTCGTGACAGCAGGAAAGGAGGCATTCGAGTCTCTCCAGTACGCTGTTGGCACTCGGAACTTCAAGATGGAGAAAGTACCCATCAAGGTTGACTTCACCATGTACGGCAAAGAGCCTGGTCTGTACGTGGCCACATCACGTCAAACTGGTGCAGTGAAGCTTGTGATCTTCAGCGCCTACCACGGCGAGTACATGTTCCGCGCCAAGCAGATTCAACGCGGAGCCATGCAGGATCTTCTCTGGAACGTCGCTTGTGAAGTCGCTGGGGTCCATATTCGAAACCCAACGTACTTCTTGTTCCGCATACGCCGGAACCGAGGAAACTGCCCCGACGACGAAAGGTGCAGACGAGGCCAGATATCGAACCTCGAGATCTTGATCAACCTCAAAGCGGAGATCAAGAACGGGCTTCGGACATCCATCTCTCGCCTGGAGGTAGAGGATCTTTTTTTCGATTTGCTTGCAGTACAGCCCCAACTGGCCACCGAGATGGATGAGGCTGAGGCTAAGGGTTTCAGCGTCCTCTCTCCACTCACGAAGTTCTACTACGATAGCGGGGAAGCAGGAAGAGCCAAAAAGCGTGCCGAGAAACACAGGATTGCATTTCCAGATGAGGATCCTGATGCGTACCAGCCAAACGCCAAGCGGAGTAAGCGACCAGCTGTGCTAAAGAATTCTATCAACAATGGCGGATTCTACACAAAGAAGACGGAGAACTGGAAGCGAAGCGAGGCTGGGAATCGAGCTGCGGCCGGCCAGAAAAAGGGACAAGAGACAACCGGCGCCCGGATGAATCTCAAGTATGAGGCATTCATCAACTCAAACTAGGTTCGTCGTCTCGAGGCTGGACGCAAAATTCCTGGAGCCCTCACGGAGAAGGAGAAGTTGGCCCTCCCAAGGCTCAAGAAGGTCAAGGAGCATTTCGCGAACGAGGCTGGACACCAAAACCGCAGCCAACTAAGCAACTGGCTCGGCAACTATGCAGTGTGGTACGATAGCGTCAAGTATCCAGGAGGTGTTCGATACCTTCCTGAACACGGTCCGGACCCTTACCACACTGCGGGGATTGACCATCCCGCAATAACCATTCTTGATGTCTCAATAGCCAACAAAGAGGTCAAAACTCGGTTGGCTGGGCCACTAACAGTCCCGAACATCCCCAAACCGACCGACGAGCCTGCGACGAAAGAGCCACCTCGGCAGACCGGCACCATCATGAATTGGGCCAAAACGGCCACTAATAACCATTCTTAGGAGTTTTGATATAGGAGTTATGATATAGAAGTTATCGGTGTTATGCCTACATCTTCATCAACGGGGCTAAGGGAGTACTTACGATTTTTGGGGGGGTTTTCATACACTGGACTTGACATTTTGACTGCGCTGGATTGGGATGGCGCTTTCAGGCTTTTGCCTTGATCTTATACCACGCTACAATGGGATTTTAGGCGTCTTCAGGCTCTGTCCTGGCATTTGTTTTCTTTGCGGCCCGGTGCTGGGGCAAAGCAGACACCCGGTCCTGGGGTAAAGCAGACACCCGTCCTGGGGTACTAATACGGGGCCCCTTCGGGGTCAGGTAGCGATATATAGGACCCGTCCCGGGGTGAAACGGGGGCCCTTCGGGGTCGGGCGACGAAGTCGGACTCTGCACCTCCCCGTGGTGTTGCCTGGAAATCCGACCTAGGTCGGAGCCAACGCAGAGACGCAACCCAGATAGGAAGTCATTAGATATCGAGGGAAGGAAAGCCGGAGTTCTTGTGCGTATCTGAACGTCCTCGTTGTCCATTGATGTGTGGTGTTCTGTTGGGCTGTGATGGGATAAGAATTACAATCCAGGCGTGCAGTGGGAAACTGTGCTTAATGTATCCATTGAATTTTCTACCTAAGGTAGTGTTACAGATTCACTGACTTGATGATGTTTTTTTCGTTTAGTTAGTTTCTCACAAGTGTAGTTAAACACAAGATCATGCATCCATGCTATCAACCGTTCAAAATGCATGCCATGTCCGACCAGCTTTTTCGCACACGCTCGCCTAGCCTTGCCGCCAACACTTCGGCTCCGTGTGCACTGTAGATAACCAGTTTCATCCATTCGCGGCACTGATACGGACGGAGCCTTCCCGGCATCCGAGGCGTTAATGGAGTGCATTTGCTGGGTGGTTGCGACCAAGTTGGCAACGGCGGAGACGCCTTTCTCCTTTTGGAATAGCACAGGTATGTGTGTATTTTCATTGGATTGGCCAGAGTCATGAGCCTGTTGCACAGTCGCAGCCTCAATGCACAAGTTCGAAAAGAATCAGCCAGGAGTTCAGTAAACTCGTAAAACAATTGAAAAATAAATATACAAGCTTGGAATAGCAATTTGAAAGCAAAAATAAAAAAGAATCTGGCAGAACTGGGGTTCGAACCCAGGCGGTTTCCCACTGCGGGTTTGGTTTCGAATTGATAACCTAAACACAGCGCCTTAACCACTCGGCCATTCTACCTTATTGTGATAATTCGTTGGGTCATTTGCACTCAAGGAAGTAGTGTCAAAGCTGGATGCACTACGCAGCCCCATGGCGGGGCCTGACAAGGCTTCACAGCCTCGCATCAGTTTTCCATCTCACAACTTCAACACGGAACACCAGCATCACGGCATGGTTGCCTGATCTTCTCGCGGCTTGCGCACCGATCCGACACCATGGCCTTCGACGACGACGACACTCCTAATGCGCCGGCCTCCGCCACCAGCACTGCTGCGCCCGAGGATGCTGACGAAGATACCCCCGACTACAAGCTCTTCTTGTCCATGTTCGATAAATCCGGTGTTTCGAGCAAGGCAATTCGCAAGGGCGAGAAGGATTTCGAGTCGCACGGAACCCGGGCGCAGGACAATCTTCTGGAGGCGAGCCGTAATGTCATGGACAATGTGCTGAGCTACACAAGAATACACCGAGAGGATGCTTGGGTACGAGGCTGGTGCTTCCCCGACTGGTGGGCAGACCTTGAACAGGCTGGAGAAGAAGAAGGGCTGTGGCTACGAGACAGAGTTGTCGCGATGGAGCACGAGCGAGGAAACTGGCAAAAGGACATCGGGCGCGCGGTACCAGGCAAGCTCGAGCGAGCTGGTGCTGGGCGGCTTTGGCTACTGCCAGAGGAAGCCATCTACCTGGTCGAGCGCGGGACCCTCGACCTGTGGTGGCCCAACCGACAACTGGAAGAACTGCTTCCCAAGGCTGAGGCTGCGGACGAGGCTGGACTCGACCTAGGGCCGGACGACTACGATGCCGGACTACCGCTAAGTCTCGAGGCAGCCTATTCTCTCTTCGTCGGCTACGATGGCGAGAGGGGAAAGATCTCACTACCCAAGTATCATGTCTTCTCGCATCTGAAACGAGCAGGCTTCCACGTCCTACGTGCACCTCCACAACCCCAATCAACATCACCTCCGCCCCCCACCAAGACACTATGTGAGTGGCTGTTTTCCTTCGTCAGCCAGGACGCGCGTCCAAGGCAGCAACCATTTGGGCGCCTTGTCCAGCCAGGACTTTATCGTGCCTATCGGCCCATCTATCAAAAGTTGGCGATTCTCCCCCGCCACAAACCGCTGCCTACACCGGCAGAAGTGCATACTCCGGAAGAGCCTTTCCGCATATTCTTTCACGTGTGGAAGACGGGTGGTGCTCCATTCTCCAAGAAGAGCCCCCCACCACCCGATTTCCGCATTGCAGTTGTTGATGCGGGCGACTCATGCGTACCGTCGCTTGAGCAAATCGAGGCGCTCCTAGAGTCAACACCTTACGACCCCCCAATTAAACCGGCGTGGCAAGGGCCAGGCCGTATGTACCAACGCCTCAAGCATGGACATCGAAACGTGCTCGTGGCAATCGTGGACCGCGGTCTTGTCAACTTTATGAGGTTTGGAGAAGGCGCCTTCGGAGAAGAGAGACTGTTTGAACGGTTTGATAACCGGGGCGGTCCTAGGGGAGGCAAGAAAGGCGGCCGCGGAGGAGGAAGAGGACGAGGTCGGGGCCGAGGTGGTCGAGGCGGTCGAGGACGTGGTGGATAATGTATCAAATAAAGAAGACATGAGGAAAACACGACTTACGACAATTTACGAATGGGCGAGTCATACGATCTACCTAGACTGACGTGTTCGAGTTGATGTGATCGAGTTGATGTGATCGTTACAGTTGGCCTTCATCCTTCCTTCATCCTTCAACCGCAGCAGCCAATGCATGCATGCACTATTTGTTTCGCGTAATCCTTGACTCCTAAATTAGAAGCTGCGAGGACCAACACGGGTTTCGACGAAATGGGTAGCCACGGACTCGGAAGTTGTGATCCAGCCAAAAGGTTCTCGTCCTCCACTCCAGGAAAAGGACAACTGGCCTTGAGAAACAAATACATTAACCATTCAAGGTTACAGGGAACATGCAGGCCATTTCATTTGTGGTTCGCTTGCCTACCTAGATCCAAGACCTGCTTTTCACACGCATGTGCCGTGCATAGCCAACAAGTGAGGACCGCGTCCAACCACTTGCAACTAAGTGCGACCCTGCCGACGTTTCACGGGCCTATACTCTCTACGGCGGTTTGTTAATTAGTCATTTCTGAGGTGTCAGGTTTGGGGGTACAAAGCGCGGAATGGCGAGACATGGTGAAAACCGGGTGCGTTCCAGCGGCCCGAGGCCTTTTGGTAACACCTCGGGTTGCATTGTTGATAGACTTTTTTTGATGAGAAGCAACATGGGGTACCTTTCCCGATACATCAGCCAGAGGGCGGCGTGGGTTGAGGGAATTAATTTGACGCGCTCGGGGCGCCTGGCTGGGAAAAGCTAGAAAGTCGACGCAACAGAAAGGCTATGCACCTTGGCAGACGGCAGGTTGTCTCAACAAGACGGTCAGAACGGCGAACATCTGGTCAATACGACCACATTCGGCGAGTGGCGCGCTGACCCGGGGGGCTGTTGTTGAATTACCTTATCACAGTGCCAACAGAGCCGAGCTGAAAGTGGCTGTTGCCGTTTTGGTCGGTTCTGAACCAGACTTGCAGGGGGTGGGTTAAATGGTTCCTTTTAAGGGTTGGTCTGGAGGTATTCGACTTGGGCAGCTGAGACGAGCTACGTGGGCAACCAACCAACCAACAGAAGCACAACCCGCCAGCAAAGCAAGTGCGGACCGTGTATTCGCTACCTTTGTACCGGATACAAGTTTATTGAGCGGCGGGCGGGGTCCCAAGATCCAAGACCCAAGACCCAAGACACAAGTCCCAGAGGATGGGCCGATACGGGACCCGCTGAGTCGCGACCTGTGGTCGGAACTGGAAACTCGACATCTGATCCTGAGACCTAGCGCGATGGTGCTTGATTACAGCGCCGAGTCATGGCGCGTGTTTGCTCCTTGGCTCCCTGGGTTAATAAGGGCTTTTGTATTGTTTGCTTGTGTGAGATGTGATGTTGGCATGGGGCTTGGGGCATGGCGCAGACGCCGTCGAGAAGCGAGCAACACGGTGCGATTATGTGCAGCAGAGCCAAGTAACGGTATTTGAGTTTCGCAACCTGGGCAATGCTCGGCCACTGCAGTAAGACAGGATTGCACTGTGCGTAAGCACTTGCATGAGTCTCTCTCGTCAGGCTTCCAAGGATGGCCGGATACGGGATGGGACACCGTGGAGAGCAATTGGGCCTTTGTGGACGCGGCGCAGAAACGACGTGGAGCCATTTTCTCCAGGCGGTTGTACCCTTGCCACCAGTCATTAAAAAAAAATTAAAAAAACTCGCACCCCCAAACATATCCCTCCCGAGATGGCCCATTCTATCAAGTACCACATGTTTAAAGGTTTCCAACAGGAACGACGGGTAACGGCATCGGCAGTTCGCACATTGATTCTGTTTGAGAAGGGGTTTGGGTTGTTACGGGCCGTGTCAAGACAGGCATTGACGGACGGGTCCAGGATAACCCTCCATCTTGAACCAAAGATAGATCCGTGTTGCTACCCGGGCTCCGTGTAGTTTTCTTGCTTCTGATCATCGGGCAATCCAGGGGGTGCGCGTGCACGTACGGGACTACTGGCAGTGCATTCTTGGGGCCGGTTTTTTTTTCCTTTGCCGCGACGTGATGGGCACGTAAAAGGGTGTGTGCGTTGCCAGCGTGTGGTGGGCGTGGTTGTAAGGCCGGATGTTTGGGAAGTGTTGCGAGATTGCCATGACATTGGTCGCGCCTCTTTTCTGGGCTTACCAGAACATTGTTGTTGATTGGCGTCACGGAGGGCCGGCATGTCATCATCATGTATCCATCAGCACATGCGTCGTCTATTTTCTGGCGCGCAGTTGCTCTTGATCCGTGATCCTGATCCGGATCGTGACCTTTCCAGTTCAGGGTCTCACAAGGGTAGTGTAGCGGTACTGTGCGAGCGACTGTGCGCCGAGGTTGGACATTGGCATTGTCTGTGAAAAAGAGACGGAACCTGATGAGCGATACGATTTGCGGGGACACAGCCCAAAGGGGTACGGGCCCGTCCTATGGAAGGCAAGTCGTGTCATCATTGTCGCCGTCAACCCAGTCATCGCTTGGCGCACGCACGTAATTCGTAATGAGGTACGGATCTACTAGGGGGGTGTGTTGGCCAGTCGCTCAGTGCTCAGTTCAGGCGGGCACCTAGTACACGAGCTGAGAGTTGTTGGCCGTCAAGCCCGGAAATGGCGGTGTCAATCAACCGCCAGGTCAATTGCGACAAAGGCGTCTCATGTTTGAATCTGGCCTCGCGAGACTGTCCGGAAAGAGGGAGACAGAAGACAGAGTTCAGGGACAATAATGGATGGCTTTTAGAGTTGAGTCGACCCATCGCGTGTGTCGCCGACACCTTATCTCAAGCAACCATGACAGGGGGGGCGAAGGATGGGCGAGCGCCTCCAATGTCCCGTGCGCGCCGTGTTTGCTCGACGTGTTCTGATTGACCGGGTTGACTGGCTTCCGGTAATTAATTGACGACTGAGACCAGGTTGACTAACGGATTGCGAGAGAGAAAAAAACCTCTCGAGAGCCAAGTTGGGTTGCAGAAAACTCGAGCCGGGGAGGAAACCCCATGGATACAAGATGCTGGAAATACAAATTACCACCACAATGCGTGAATATGCCAGTGATGCAGGCGTGGGTGAATGCGTATCCTTGCGACCTTGTTGGTGTGTGCGTGTGTGAGTGGTGGACGTAATGATGAATCAGAAAAAAAAGCGGTCCTTCCCATTTCCTTCACCACTGTCGTCCTCTCACCTTGCGAGGTACCGGGGTACAAAAGGGTTCAGGCAAGGTTGACTTGCCAAACCAAACCAATTATTATTAATTATCTTACCTTAGCTGCGGTACATTATTATGTACGGACACCTAGCGTAGCGTACCTGGGAGGTTGAGGTAGCCAATCCAACAGTCGAGCCAGTCCAGCCAGCCAGCGCCGCAAGTCAACTGATCTCTCCCTTGGAAACTAAAACACGTCTCGCACTCTCATTCCCCTGCCCGTCCATCTCCCATCTCCCATCTCTCATCTCCCCATCCCACACACCACCAAAATTTTCCATCTCTTCTCGCTCTCTTCCTTCTGGGGCAAACTCTTCCCTTTCCATCTCTCTTGCTCCCCTTGCCACCCTCCCCCCACCCACCCCCTTTACGCTTCACAACCCTCTGCTCTTCAAACCTCTCTGTCTCTCTTGTTCAACTATCGTCCATATCATCCACAACACCACAATTCACGGTCGTAATTACACGCACACCCCCACTCCACCCCTTCCTTTCCCTTCCCCAACCTAATTCTGGCCACACACCCTGCAACCCAAGCCCCCGATAAACCTCTTTAGCCTCTTTCCACCCAGGGTTGCCAAGTTGGATTGGGATTGGGATTGCGCTTGTTGCTTTTAGCCCTGGCCCGGCCTACCAGATTCCAGATTCCAGATCCTCGGCCAACCAGGTCGTCCGTCTTGCGTCTCCATTCCTGCTTCCCGCCCCCGACGCGCGGGTCTCGTCGCTTCCTTCCTTCTTCTGCCAACTGCCCTACACAACCCCCCCCCCCCCCCAAAGCCGCGAGTCGCTTCTCTCTCTCTGTGGAAACCAACTCGTGAAGCCTCTTCAACAGCTGTTAACTCGCTCCCCGGCGCGTTTCGCATTGTTACTCCGGCTTCCCCTTCCACATCACACCATGAATAGCGTCGAGGCCGACAAGGCCAGGGCGCCGGTTGCGCCACCTGAGCCAATATCGCCAGCGCCTTCAGCATCCGCTGTTCCCACGTCAGCGCCAGGAAAACCGGCCTCTCCCACTCCGGCTCCAACCCCCGAGTCTGCGCGGGCTCCTCTTCCATCATCAGCATCAGACGCAACTGCGCCGCGAGAACCTGTGCAAAGTGGCCTTTCTGCTCCCGTCGGCGTGCCCTCTTCCGTCTCGGCCTCTATTACGGCCCCGGCTTCGACTTTGGGCGTCGCGGTCTCTTCCGCTGCGACTGCAACTGCAACTGCCTCTGCCCCGGCCACCAAAGATCGCGCTCCTTCACCAACGCAGGTTCCCATTCGGGAGCCATCAAAAGAGTCTGCTAACCCTGTCGGGGAATCGAAGTCGCCCAAGTAAGTCGTCGGTTTTCCCCTTCTGTCTCTCTGCTCGTCTTCATATCTGTTGCAATTGTGGCTGCTCTTTGTTGTCCGATGTCTGCGTCCCCGTCCCGTCCCCGTCCTCGTCCTCGTCAAGTGGCGTGGCTCCTCTTGCAGGGACTTTGCTAGTTGGCGTTTTCCTATTTGCTCATGCTTCTCACCGCACTTGACAACAACCACTTGCCGTCACACCCAAAGCCCAAAGACGCTGGCCCATCCAACCCCGAAGTTGCAGGGAACTGCTCTGATTCACTCTTGTGCAAAACAACTGGTCAAGCACTGGCCGTCTGGAAGACTCTTCGCTGCACAGCTGGCATTCTATTGACAACTGGCACCAATTGTCTCGCTCCATTTCGGCGATTCGGGCAATTCCAAATCCTTACCCTTGCCCTACTTCCTTCTCCCAGCGCCGGTTGTTCATCTCTCCCCAGCACATCACATCCCCCCGGCTCTGTTTGTCATCAACTCTTTTGACCTCGGCCTCAACCTACCGGCGAAAGAAAGTTCTGAGTCCCTTGAGAGCCATTTGGTCAGACTCACTGTGGCTGTGTCATATTGAACGTGTGCGCCAACAGTGGTGCAACACGTTGCAACGGCTTGCAGCCTTCGCCACCGCATCCTTGCCTCACCACCTTTGCCTCAGGTACCCTAATGGCCTCTTGATTCACTTCACGCTCGCATTCCAAAGCCTACCCCAGCCCCCTGTTCGCATTCATGACCACAACTTCCTTCTTTCAGCCATGTTTCAGCCCCCAATCTCCGACTTCGAGTTGCCCATTCATCCAGACACATCCTCGTAAGCTCGCATACTCAACTCCACCTACTTCTCCCCTTGAGATCAAGTGGTCTCAAATGATGCCAAGTGAGCTCTACGCATTTGGCACAAACGAGTCGAGGCCTTATCTCCGCGGGTTAGCCTAAGCAACAATTTGCCTTAGTGTTCCATTTTACTTGTTAGGCAGAGACTAACCGAATCAATCTTAGACATCCCAACGGCCACAAGACATTTGGAGACGATCCTGAAAGCGAACTCAGTGAACCTGCTAGCAGTGTTCATTCCCCATCTGGGGTTAGGTTCACCGAACTTGAGGACGAGATTGTTGTCGGTGAGCGTAACGGCCCCCGAAAGTTGTCTCCTCTCCGCGTTGTGTCGGATCGCGAAGACGAAGTCATGGCCGACGCAGATGATGAACCCATCATCTCCCACTATCCGAAGCGGAAGCGCACCTCTCTCTTTAATGATCTGAGTGAAAGCAAAATCGAGATTCCTAAGAGTGTTCCCGACGACAAGCCTACAATCCTAGAGGTTCTCAAGCCCAAACCTGCTCGACACAGCCTAAGCAGTGTCAAAGGTGCCATCCTCGGATATTGGAGAGACTCTCCCGCGCCTGATGAGAGATCCAAGCATGCAGTTATTGGCTTCATTGATGTTAGGGATCGACTGCGAACTCGTATCCAGGCCATCAACACCGTCGGCGAATCGGTGACAGAACAGTATCCCCTACCCCCAGGCCCTGGCGGAAGTTGGGTTACCTTTGAGCGCATCGTCTTCTCGGATCATCTCGTGAATCTAGATCACCACCATGTCAAAGAATACGTCAGAATTCGTTCCGACCCGCCCGAAGAAACCGATGAGGAGCGCAAGGCCGCAGAGAAGTCAGCTGTCAGGGAGGCAAAGCAACGCGTCAAGATGAACCCTCTGATCGAAAACAATCCGAACCCCCCTCTCATCGCCTATGGGCTGGAAATGCCCGAGCATCTTGCGACCCCAAACCGCGGTGATGCAAAGCGAAGAAGAGTTAGTGGTGGCTTCGCGACGATCAATCCTGCTCCAACTAATGGAGTTTCTCACGAGCAGTCTGGTGCCGCACCTCATCCGCTGGCGGCACAACCTATGCGACCTCCTGTCGATCCGCTTCCAGGAACGCGTCCAACACGCATTCTGTTGGGATACTGGAAGGGATCTAGTGAACCCAGCCTCAAAGATCGCCACGCAGTGTATGGCATCCTGGGCCAGAACGACATGTTCCGCGTTAAGCTCGTCCGAGAGACCCGCGATGGCCGCTTTGTTGACGGAAACTTCCCGATTGGCGCCGGTGCTTTGTGGATCCAATATGAGGAAGTTGAGTTTGAGGATCACCTAAAGCCTCTGGCACGACTAGAGATCAAGGAGTACTGCCGAGTCCGACAGTGGCAGCTTGACCATGGTGAAGCCCCAGAAGACCGAACTGCCAACGAGGCAAAGGCCGTTCACGAAGCTCAAGCCCGTGTTGGAAATGGGTTTAAAACTATGCCCATTATGAACCCGTCTTACCCCCCAATCGCTCCCGAGCCGCCCGCTGAAGTTGTCGATCAGAATGGAAAGGCCGGCTTCGGCGGCCATGAGTTGCGTCAAAGTCGCCGCGTCGAGGCAAAGACTGATGCCCGCCCAGCCCGACAGCCACTCCCCAATGGTGAGGTCCGACCAACAGTGAACCGAGCACAGAGTGGCGATGCTCTTGAGCGAACCAACTCACTGGCTCGTCGCGAGATCGCTCGAGCTGAGGCTGCCCAAGGTCGCGCCGACCGACACGCAGCTAACCGAGAACGTGCTGCTGCTGCTGCCGCCGATGCCACTGCTGCCGCCGCCGCCGCGATCCCCGCGATCACCACAAACGGCAGAATGCGATTCCACGAATCTGAAGAGATGCAGCGCCTGAACAAGGTCTGGGCCCGCCAGGAGAGCCTCCGAGTCAAGGCTGGCGCCGAGGATGCAAAGATTTATGGAGGCGTCAAGTATGAGCGAAAGGGCACTGGTCCTTTCATGGGCAAGCTGGTGTCGCAGGGTACCATAATCAGTATCGATGGCGAGGACTACGTCGAGTATCGTGTCCTCACCAAGCCATCGTTCTTCTAGGACTCAAATGGTCGTCCTCTGCCACACAGACGCCCTCTGCCACACAGACGCCCATCGTGCCCCGAATCAGCCATGCCACCACCGCCATCGAAGTTCCGACGACCCCAATAGTTACCTGCAAAACAGAATTTGGGGCATTATACACCTGAGACGTGCGTGTCGAAATTATGGGCCGTCGCCCAGGGTTACTCGATCAGATACAACGAATTCAACACGATTTCAACACCCTCCTTCCCCCCAATTTCCTACCTCTTCTCTTTTGTTGTCGACTTTCGCTATTCCCTTCTCTGTACAACCTGGGCAACGTAACGGGACGGGTTTTCTAAAATGGAGATGACAACCAACCCCGAGAACGCAATCATCTCAGGCACTTGGCAATGTTCTTGCCCCGCTGGTTAACACTAGAATGAACCTTTTCCTTCTTTCCTTTTCTCTCCTCTTCCTGGGAGGCCGGTTTGAGACGCACTTGCTATGCTTGGTTTGGGGGAAGATGCGTGGGCAGGTAGTCAGACTGGAACTCTATGGGACGGAGTGGTCGGTGTTCGGAATTGGGGGCTGCTTGATATACCCGGTGTAGGGAATTCATAATCCTGTATTAGTGCACTTGCTAAACAAAATTGTTTTGAGTAACCTATTTTCCCAAATGTCATGCTTATGTGCTAGTCTGCGATGCTTGGGTAACTGCTGAAAGTTTTGGTCGTGAATGAAGTCAAGTATTTGGCAGCCTTCAATCCACAAACGGAAACGCGCCAAGCTCGAAGACTATGAGCATGATACCACGACTAGCTAGATGTAACTCTTTCAAGCAAAACGAAAAAGAAGAATCGGCTTCAAGAAGACGTAAAACCTGCACTATTGCGTGTTTAATAGTTGCCTACTGGTTGTTGTTCCTGTTAAATCGCGGTTCGGAGCCTGTAAGCTGAGGAAAGGCCTCCGCTTGTTAGGTTAGTATGGCCGTGTTCAACAGCGGCTCTTGTTCGTATCAAACACTCTCTCGTTTCGACCTTCGATTCCTTCAAATTACTTATTCCGTTAAATTTGGGGGAAATGGATGGACGTTTGTTATATTCCATCCGGTTGCCCCTCTACAAAGGCATCGTAGCAATACCGGGCTGATCCTTGGTATTAGACGCATAGAGCAAACGTTCTCACATCTCCAACACCATGTTCTTGACACCCACAGATGGATTGGTCGAGACATCAGGGTCCGGCTGCGCGAAACTTGATAGGGACATGAGCAGAGGCCATGGCAGGACCCTCGACATCTAGAATCTCATCGACATCAACCTGCGTCTCGTCTAAAATGAGTATCTAACGTTTCGTAATTGCCATGACTTCTCATTACACAAGTGAGAACCATTCTTACCAGTTCGGCGATGCATCGGGGTCATTGATACTCTAGCCTATAACAAAGCCACACAACCTCCCGAATGCTCATACCCAGGAGCTTTGCTACTGGGCTAGTTGTCTGCTCGATTTCCGCAAGGATATTTGTCCTTCCTTCTGGATGAGAAAATAGGTTGTGCCATTCGCATCAGATTGAGCGTGCAGTGGGTTACGGATCCACTACCTCCGGTGATGTCCAGCTCTTTATCCAACTAGAATGAGCACAATATGACGTCTTGGCAATCTACCGAAAACCCACATCAACAGACTCATAGAATAGAACGTTGATCATATTCTTGCCAGTTAGATATACGCTTGCGAGTCTCGTTTGAATTGACTGTAGGAAATTCGCGCACCAAAGTACGATACGTGCTTACTAGAAGGAATTGTCCCAAGGAGGATTAATCGAGCATTTAGTCTGGATATTTGGCCTATGTGTTTAGGAGGAAAAGAGCATGAGCCAAATGTCTTGCGTCTCAACATTTCGTTATTGAACTGGCTTACTTGTCTTCGCACCTCTCTAGACATTTCTATACACGGTGATTTCTGAAACCGTGGTCTGGAACCTTCTAAGATGTGTACATGAGATCCAGAAACGAAATTAACCTTCGCAAGCCGGCATTGCCTCTTAGTGGCTCGGCGGGTGACAGGCAGAGGTCATGCAAAAGGTTTTTAACTACAGACAAATCTGTCCTTGATGGCACGCGTTAGAGTTACTGGTTGGCCAAAACTCAGCAGCCACTACATATAAGGACACAAGTTACCAGGGTCGGAGATACCTGTACCAAGGTGGCTCATATCGTAATAGCGCATTGGCTCAGAATAGGATTATGTCTAGTTAACACTATATACTTTGAAGTATCCTCAGGTTATACTCTGCAAACATGGACGATTCCAGCTTCACAACTTCGACCGAGTAGGATTCAACAATACGCACTCAATGACCCTTTAATTCTAATATGTACTGGAACACCGGTGTGCCATTGGACCTATCTGACTGTCTACTCCAATCCCTGTCCCCATACTCGTCTTTGTATACCTTCACGTCACCCTACATATTCCCAGGGCTCTATCTCCGTGGCCGCGCCACATATGTGTAGATCCCCAAGATTCCATCTCAACCTCGATCAACCTTTCTTTCTTCGCCATTGATTTGGGGTAATTAGCTGGGTTCCATCATTCCTCCAATGCCCAGAAGACCAGGGATACAGTCCAGGATGGGGCCCGAGGTCAAAACATGGTGGTGCTGTGTTGTTTAAAACTGTAAATAGAGGGTGCCGTCCGCTGTTTCTTGTTTTCTGGGTACTGCCAGAGTATAACATATATCTCCAAAGCCAAAATTGACCAGGCGACCGTGTATTTATCAAAGTTCCTAACTTGCCGGTTGATCCAAAAAAAAAAAAAAACAAGATCAAGGATGATGCGGGAGGAAATACGAGTTTACAGTAATTATTATCATGGTGAGGAAGTCGGGTGTGGGATCCGGAGTGGATATGGACGGGGCCGGTAACGGGGATGGTGGGGCCGCGCCGGACTCGGCGGAACCGGGTCATCTACGAAGCTGTGGCTACGAGAAGCATGGGCTGTAACTGCTAGAGCCTGTGGACACCAGGCTCTTGACTTCTGCACTTCGAAGGCCAACCGCATGCCAAAGCTCCCGGCATGGGTCGCATTGACACCAGGACCAAGATTCCCGCCGGCTTTACGTTTACCTAGTTATGTCACCTATGTTGACATCAGGGTCTGTTAACATCTGGCTTGCAGGTGCTGAAGTTTATACAAAACCCTTATTTTCACGCCCAAGCAATATCTCTCAAGGTAAACAGTTCTACATCCGTTTCTTCATCAATAAGCAGCTGGCTAGTAATACCAGAACAGCAGACATAAACAAAATGCCTTGCAACCTCATTTGCAACACACTTACGACCATCAAGGGAGCCTTTGGCCCTCAGGTAGTCAACATGATCTCAATCTCATTCACCTCGTGGTTGCAACACGAGGTGGTCGGATCCAGTCGCACAAATTGTATATCCCCGATCGGTTCGGCTTCTTCTCGCCTGGCCCTCCCCGCCTCCAGGTTTACCGAGGTGGGACATTTATCGTTCTAGCTTCCCTCTCAAACTTTTTATCGCCATGACCGGGTTCGTTATCCTCTCAGCGGGGCTCATTCTCTCGGGGTGGCCGTATTCTGTATTTGCGGCAGCATTTAGCGCATACGTGGCGGCCTGGCTGGGGGTTATATGGGGTTTGGCCTGTGTTGGCCGTCCCCCCTCGGCATTGGGAAGACTGGAAGCTGCGGAGGGTATGATGGCTATCTGGTCATTTGGTTCGCTCCAATAATCGCCCCCCTCATCTTAGAGAGCCATCAAGGGACGCAGTTCTTGTTTCCTTCAGATACGCGAACAACCCCGTGGGATAGATGAGAGAAGCGTTGGAATACAAGACGAACCTATGTTATTTGTCGTATAGAATGGTAGAGATCAAAGGGTTGGGGACGTGAGTGTGTTGATGAAGTTTGACCGGGGGTTGGCAGTCCGAGATAGAAGTTTCTAACCATGAAGCTTCCTCATTCCTCTGCCCTTTCGGATTCTCTCGAGGTTTCGCCAGTGACCTCCTCGAGAAGTAACCCAGCTTGTCTCCCATCATCATCCAACTGCGTCAAACAAAATCGTTACCTGTCTCCAACGCTATATGTAAGATATTCAATGTTTAGCCTTCATTTATTTCCGTTCTTGTAAGATATTTTATCCTACATTGGTGGATTTGTATGTAAATGCGGTTGTGTTCAGACTCTTATGGCCTGGGCCGCTGTTAGGCAGGTGGGGTCTATGCGTGAGCGAGACGAACAAAAACAGTTCAAGTGCCCATCTTAGGATCGCGTGCCGTATAACCAACCCTAGTCTACTACATTAACCTATAGTGTTCCTCCCATCTCTTCTGCGCCTTCGTCACGATGCTGCACCAAAGTCAGAACAACTGACATCAAAATATCGGGCGCCGAGTACGGCTCCGAGTCCGGGGGTGTGGATCAAACTTCCCCACACTCCTCCGGTGGCAGAATTGGAAACAAGCTACGCATCTCGGGCTGCTTGGCCAACCAAACGTCACAAACCTTCCTAGGTAACTTACCTTGTGTTTGTTTACATTTCCAAGGCCGCGTATCCATCTCCCATGAATCGCGTCCCGTTGTTGGCAGTAGTCCTACAGTATTGCAATCCTTGTCTACACTTCACGAGCCACATCCAATCGTCTTGGGTCCAACCAACCATGCAAGTTGACTGATAACTGAGAGAAGAGGGTGTATTTATTAGAGATCATAGTCCCTGTGACTCAGTTTCATAACTAAGAAGAGGTTGATTTTAGGCCGTCCATGTGAGGAGTTGCTTATACGCGGGAAGCAAGCGAAGACACTCGGTGACTTTAACACTTTGTCTATTTATCCTGATGTCCTCCAGACCAGCTTGTCCTATCGATCCTACAGACCATAACCTCATCCGCGAGTAAGAGGGGTTATTCATCCATAACTCCATCGCCAGGCCACGCATATTGTATTCCCCGTTTACCCAAGTCTGCAACGTAAATCATCTTCATCATGTTGTTTCTGCCTAGTCTCGGCTCATTCATCTCAAGACATAATTCAACCCATTCGAGCATATTTCCAATTCATATGCTGGACGCTTCCTTGAAGCATTTGCCAAGTATCCGCTCTTCCCCGTGTGCACTTGCCCACTGCCTGTGCTGTGCCATGCTCTCTCCCCCCTTGCCCCCTGAACGCCATGAACCATGCCAGTGGGACAAGTCCATCCCGGCTTCGCCATATCCCCAAAATTCACCAAACGCCCTGTGTTGGGTATACCTGTTCCAGCGGGCGAACCCGGCCAGCCTCTTCTCTGGAATCCGCGTTTACGCCACCCTCATCCTGACCCGCGTAATGTGTCCGCGTACAGACACAGCATGCAGCCATGGTGTGGGAGCATCCCTCCCGAAGCGGTGCGCCAAGGTGTGCTAGACATCCTCGTGGGCGTCTTTTCGTCCATCGTGGGGGGAATTGCGTGTGGTATCGGAAGCTGGTCTCGTAACTATCCTCGGATTTCGTTGCTCGTCATTCGATAAATGGCTTTTTCTGACCGCCCACCATGCAAAGGCCGAGGGCGCGTAATGAGTCTCGATCGTTGGCGAGTATGATAGTGCGTGCTGGCAACATGGGGTTGTTAGGATCCACATGTGAGGCGTCCTTGGCGGATTGTTCAATGGCGTCCATTTCCTCCTTGCAGCCTTGTTGGTCGAGTGGGCAGATAACGATGGGTTGGCGGAGATTGACGTCTCGAGCACCGCTGAGTTGAACCTAGAAATGTTAGCGAGGAGTAAAGCAACGAAGGGAGAGGACACCATACCTTGATGTTGAGGTAGAACTCGATCTTGTAGAGGGTAGAGGTAGTTGTGAATGACGTGACTTCGTAGAGGGGGAACTGAGGCTTTCCTCGCTTGATGATGCCATCCGGATCTCGGAGGTCCTTAGAGGGGAAGCAAAGGCCGACGTTTGTGGCGTAGCCAGCCTCGGGCATTTTAGTTTTGACGACTTGCACTTGTTTGGAGATTTTATTCGTCTTTTTCGTTGGCTCGTCGCCCTCGGGGTTAAAGGTTATTTCCTCTTCGATGGTAAGTGTGATTTTGTCAATGGTGACACGCTTGGCTTTGCTCATCCAGTCGGCGTTGGGAGATAGTTTAATATAGACGGTGATAGGATCGCTCGGGCCGTAACTCCAGCGGGGGAGGTTGATTCCGAGGTGGACAATGTTGTCGTTGGTGACGAGCTTGGATTCGGGCTTGTTGTACATGCCAAAGGTGGAGAGTGTGTCGTAACGTTGTAGGGGCATGGGGAAGCTGTACTTGTATTGGCTGCTATGGCCTTGTTGGATGGTGACGACGAGCTCGTAATAGGTTTCGGCGGTTCGGCTGGGAAGTTGGAGTGAGGCTGGGGGGATTCGTCGGTTTGTTTCCTCTCCACCGCGGCCGAAGGGGATAAACAGGACAAAGGGCAGGTCCATGGCGATGACCTTTTCTGCCTCCTTGCCTGATGCGCAGCGGAAGAGCAGAAGCTCCTTGCCAACGACATCGGTCGTCTCTCGGCGGGGAGTGCCCAGGTGTCGCTTGGTGAGGCTGTCGGCGTCGGGGTGGATGGTCTCGCGGCGCTGCAGGCATATTCGGACGAGGGATATTGGAACGGGCATGGAGAAGCCCTGGCCGGGGCGGATCTCGACCTTGCCTTCGATGCGCGGCTGGAAGAGTCGGTGATGTCAGCATGAGGTCCGTCGAGGCACGAGCGCCACAAGGCTTTGATTCACAACGACGGCAGAGATTCAACGTACCAGGGTCGCCGAGATACCGGGATAGCCGACGAGGAAACTACTATTCGGAGGGCCCGAGACCCTCACGCTGGCGGGCGAGGCCATGACGGAGTGGTGGAGATGTCGGGGTTGGCGGAGGGGAGGCGGCTAGGCGGGCGTGATGGGGCCGCGGCGTTGGTGGTGAGAGCGGTCTCGCCGGGAGCGGAGACAGGACGGTGTCTCGCCGGGGGAGAGCTGAGGTGGGAGCCGGAGCCTGTGGCAGAGCCGGAGCCAGAGCCAGAGCCGTGAAGCAGGCGATGCGACGCTCATGAATTCAAGGCGGAAGTCGAGGCTGGATCGGCGGCGGCGGGAGTGAGGGTCTGGGCGTGGGCCAGTTGCAGGTGAGCGGACGGCGTCGCCAAGGCGGAGGTGGGGTATTGAGGGAGTCGCACGCGAGACAGGACGTCGACGGGCCGGGGCAGCATCACAGAGCGCGTGGGCGGGCCGGACGGAGGAGGAGGAGGAGGAGGAGGAGAGATGAGAGATGCGACAGGGAGGAGAGCGGCGACTGCGACTGCGACTGCGACTGCGACTGCGACACACGGGAGGACGCAGAAAAAGCAGAGCCCGGGTGGAGAGAGGTAAGGAAGAGTGTGGGATGGATCACAGGATGGCCCAGGGTGGAAGGGCTGAGTGAGAGAGAGAGAGAGAGGTGCTGGGGTTACTGGGTTACTGGGTTACTAGTGAGCTATGCAGATAGTATGCCTACCTTACCTATCGACCTAATTGCTTAGGTACCTACCTACCAACTAGCACCTGCGGGGACCTTGCGCGTATGGAGATCAACCCAGCTCGGGCGAGTGACAGCGTCCCAGCCGCATTCAAGACAGCCTGGTCCTGGGTGTTTTTAGGGCGGGCAGCCGTACCGAGGGGGCGATTTGTGGGTGTTGGCCCGCTACGACACCCCCGTCGCAGGGCGTTCTGGGGTTTGTGGCTTCTGGCGCGCGGGGGGTCAGTAAGTAAGCACGGGCGAGCACAGCAACCAACAGCAGACAGAGTACCCGCGTGCGCGGCAGCTGAGGGGCAATTACTGGCGCCTGGACAGCTACCTATCTAGGTACCTACCTGTAGGCGTCACTGGTGCACCCTCGAATGTAACCTGGAACCCTCTTCCGCGTCTTGGCCCTGTGCGCCGTCTTCGCCCTCCCGCGCGATACCATTCAACCAGACGGCTGTCAGCCCAGCCTATGACGCTCTCGGACAAGTGCCGCAGCTCTGGTGCCAGCTGTCGCAGTGGTGCCTCTCTCGGGTCTGCTCCAGCATCCACAAGGCGATGGAGTCAGGCCCCAACAGTGCTGTAATATACATGGTCTGTACATGGTCTTTGTACAACCAGGCCGCCTTCCTGCAGCCCCCAGCTGATGTGACCTGAAGAGCGCCGTCATCCCTCTCCTCTTCCGCCGCCTTCTCCGGTCGCCTTCTCCCGCCGCAGTTACTCTTGCAGAGCTGGTTTCACCAGAGCTATCAACCCGTGCCCTTAGGTTGAATCAATCGACGGCAGCGGCGCTCGCTAAGTCGCGCTGGATTGAGACAATGATCGATCCTTGGACTCGGAGAGTTGGCAGTTGGCTGTTGGCAGGGTAAGCATAATTACTGCATCCGTCCACAGACGCCTTGCGTCGTTCGGAAGATCCGCTGCTGACAGGGGTTCTCTCCACTGGAACCCAGTTGGCTCAGCACGGGCCTCACTTCCCATTTGCCCATTTGCAGTCGGTTGTGGCTGGTGCGTGCGGGTATGCTGCAAGTGAGACACATCTGGCTGGGCCGGATGCAACGAGGCACAGCCCCCACGATGCTCGGAGAGTGAGGCTGAGGCATGGTGATTTGGATTCTCGTCGTCTGCGCATTGGTTCGTCATCTGTGGAGTATGGGGCCAGACCGGTGACAGCCAGAGCTGAAACAATCGGGACTTTGGCTTTGGTTCCTTGTGTTGGAGGGCCGTCAACTCGGCTGAACCATGCCGCCTCAGGCATCAGCAAAAGGCCAGATGCACTAGCCACACTCGTTCCTGGCCCTGACTAAGCCACTCGGGAATCGGAAAGAGAGGTTCGAACCCTGCATCCAAGAAATCGTCTCTCCAAACTCGACCCCATCAACAAAAGTCTGCATTCACATTATTCAAAGCCACTCTGTATTCGCAAGGTCACATAATCCGGAATCTTCGGTCTCATATCATACGCAATTCGAGGGGCTGAGCCAGAATCCTCTCCCGTGCAGCAATTGCAACCTAGCCACGTACATCGACTGTTAGCTGCGACAACGATCGACATGGCATTACTCTGAGTTGGTTGTTTCATCATACATGTCCAGGGATCATCCTCGCCCGCACTGTCGTCCAACCAACCCCAATCTACAACCAAGCTTTCTCCAAACTCTGAAAGCACCCGTGTCCAGCTGAATTACCGCCCACTCTCTATGGCAGCCGCCGTGGCTCCACCAAGAACGACTTGATATCCGATCCATCAATCAGCGTCGTGATACTGGCCCCCGGCCGACCCAAGACGTCAACGTCGCGCAGCCTCCTCGCGTGTCCTAGCTCGTGCTCAAACACGATGAGCCGGGGCCGCTCCGTGATCTCCACCTCCACCGGCGCTTCCTGGCTCAAAATACCTTTGTGCCATTCGTTCCGGCGCTGCCCCGGCATCCGGTCCGCGCCGAGAACGTCCCTCCGGTCCTCGCCAAACCACGGCGTCAACCCCGGTGCACACGCCGAGTAACACACCTGGAACGGCAGCATCCCGGACAACCGCATCTCGGCGTATGCCTTGCCTCTCCCCGCAAGCGCCTTTTGGCTCACATCTTCGCCCTGCTGCCGCCGCTTCTCAAGCACCTTGGCCGTCAGTCCCCCGCTGTCGCCCTCGATTAGCACGTCGGAGCCGGGCATCACAGTTACGGGGACGATCCCCCCCAGCTCGTGTCGCTCACGGGGCCACACCGGGTTGTCTCCAACCAGCGGCGTGCCGTCGTGCTGACACACGTCGACGCGCATCTCGAGCATGGGCATCTCAATAATTCCGTTGGCCGTGGCCATCGACATTTCAGTCTGGGGCGGGTACGCGCACAGGTCAATCCCAAGCATGGTCAGATCGGTCTCGTGGAGTGACGGGACGCTAGCGCCACTATCGAGGTGCATCAAGAAAAAGCATCGTGGCCCGTCGGGGTCGTCGTGTCCTCTGCGTTGCAGACCCTCCATCTGCTTCTTGGAGAAGCCGGCATGCGTAGGCGTAACCGGAAGAACCTTGCCCTGGGATGTTTTGTTCTTGGCCAAGCTCCCTCCAAATTGGCCCAGATCTGGCTGAGCGCTTTCTGGTTCAATTAGACGGCTGTGAAAGGCCCTGACGCGGCGGAAGCCCATGGTTATGTTCCATCCGTCGGAAGCGCCGTTCCAGCACTTGGCTTTCTTACTCGAAGGCTGTGCCCACGTTGCTGCAAGCAAGTGCCCCGGCTGAGTGTTGCCCGCGGGTGCCAGGGGCGCCTCGAACCAGAGCCAACCAAGGCCATGGTCTAGAAAGTAGCGGTCGAGCCTCTTGTCCCTATCTACGGTGAATGATTCGTAGGTGGGACAATAGTCTACAACGGAGCCGGCGTAGACCAGCGTCCACTTGTCCCAACATAGAATGCGCCCATCTTCGTAAGCGTCGATGGCTGCTTGGATGTTGACTTTGCCGGCTTGGCTGGCGCATCGCTCCAATGCCCCCTTCAGGACTTTGATGCGACCTTCGATTCGATCTCTCTTCGTCGATTCGAGCTCCTCACTATGCGTCGTATGCGGTGAGCCGGAGACACGCGGAGTGGGAGTGGGGTTGTACAACTTACACAGGCACCAGGTTCTCTTCGCTCTCGTCCAGCTCATCGCGTTCCCGCGTGACCTTTTCGAGCTGTCGTTCAAATGATGACAAGTCTGCAAATGTTTGCGTCTCGCGGGCGTTCCTGAGAATTGCTTCCCATTGGGCCACGAGTCTGTCTGCCTGTTCCAAGCGGCTCAGCCCTTCTCCGAGAGATGCACCAACCGCCAGGGGTGGTTTCCAATCAGAAGGAATCGGTCGCCGGGTGCGTCTCAACGGCTCGCCTTCGTCAGGGATGGTAGGTCTCGTCCAAGGGGGACTCAGATGCTCCGGGCTATGAGGGCCAACTGGCTCAGGCCTTGGAGCACTTGCGTCTTGCCCTGCACTCCGAAGTGCTCGCTGCCGTTGATGCATTTGCAGACCTAGATTTAATTCCACATTTGCCGGGCTTCTGCCTGGACGCCAACTCTCGCCGGCAGCAGGCTGCTGTGCCGGCGTTTGCGAGAGTTTGTCCTTTGGGACGCCATACTCGTGAGAGTCAGATTCCGCGTCGCTGGCCATCCTGCACAATTCCGTCAGCCGCCAAACAAGTGACTTGACCAATGTGTTTTGGTCGTCTCTATGGCAGCTGTGCGGCAATTGTAGCTGCACCATGACCCCTTTTTCCTGAGTTCCCCGTGCTTCTTTACACACCGTGGCGTTCCATTTGTGACAAAGAACTCCCCCGCATGCCAAATGTAGTCGCGCTCAATTGAAGCACGCGCCCCCAAGTTGACATCATTGAATAGGTTCTCCCCATTCTCTCGCCAGTGGCTGTTCCCTTTCTTTGTTCCTACTATTGGTGGTTGTCACGCGGTGGTGACATTGGTACGCCTAGATGACCATCTACTGTGCCGTGCTTCCTGCAGGGAGAGTTTCTTTGATGCTCGAATTTTGAAAGAATGCTCTGCCTAGATATGATTGTTAATGAGCATGTTTCCTCATCTACTCGCCTCCCGTGCCTTTGTTTGCTTCCAACCAGCTCTGGAATTGTTGTATAGATTGCTCGCATTTGTTGACCGCAATTCTCAGCAAACTTGGCCTTGCGGTTGATACGCTGAGCCGTTGTCATGGCGGACCCAATGGAAGAAGATCTTCTAGTCGTGAGCCTAGAAGAACAGGCGGCAGAAATACAATTGCTCCGTAAGTTGAACACCCGACTAAGCTCTGGTTGAAATACTCATGAATCAACTAGGCGATGCTTCCGACTCTTTTCAGGTTGGCTTTGAAAGTCTCCCTCCACAAGTCCAGATATCGCATACCCGCTTCCAACAAGATGAGAACTTCGACAGATTCTACGACGAACTGGATAGATTCCTCCGGAACCACGACTTGGATGTGTTTCTTGTTCAGTATCCCGATTTCCGCCACACAGCAAACAAGCTGTTTGGCAAGAAATATTCCTATCTTGCCGGCCCACCTTTAAGTAAGTTCCCATAGGGTCCCCACCGCAATGCTGCCGTTAACAATCGCAAACCCAAAGGTGGCCCATCTCCTCGCGTTCCGGCTGTGCAACGTGCCGGGTTGTTTAGCCCGGAGTCAGATGAGGAAGCAAACTCGGGATCAGAACAGGCGGGTACAAAAGAACCGTCACGTAAGGCTCCCATCAATTTCAACGTGCAATCTAAAAGCTGATCCTGTTAACAGCAATTGGAAACCTGAGAATCTTCAGGACCGTAAGTTCTGCCACTTTACATCTACCGCCTCGACGGACACGATCACGAGATTCAGCACGCATTCCGACTCTTAGGCTCACGGGAAGCGCCAGCTCTGAGGGCGCGCCGGTCTCTCCTCCTCCCGGGTCCAGTGAAGACATCATAATGCAAGGAATGGATGCCCAGGGGGACTCTGACATCACCAGGTCCTCTGGATCACAACACTCGGAAGACATGCCCGATTATGAGATCTTAGGAGATCTGTCCGATATGGAACTTGACAGCTCTCCAGAGTCAGATTCCCAGGGGTCAGGCAGTTCAGACTTGCTCCGAAACTGGTTGCAGCCAAAGGGCATCGACACGTCTGGAGATGTGAATCTGCATGACTACAAGGGCTGGAAGATCGAGGCTCCCAAGATCATGCTCACCCGCGCCAAGCACTTCCTCGCCGACGAAGATGTGGACCGCACCGTTGACTGGCCGCAGAAATTCGCCGAGCTGGACGAATACTTCTCCTACCTGGACCAAAACTTCCAGGGTGAGGACTGGGGCGATGACCTCAAGGAGGCTATGAACATGCTCCGCACTCACTGGATTTTTGAGCAGTACCACTACGGTCGCCCGGAGCTCACTCTCGATTTCCCAAATGTGTGGCCCGACCAGAGCAAGCGGTTGCCGCAGATCCCTGGCCCGAACTTCACTATGGAGGCTGAGGACCTTAGTGATGCTCCCATGGGAGAGCGGAAGCTGATCCTCACCAAGATCAAAAGCGCACACGACTTCCAGTACCAACTTCCTCGCGATATCTTACAGATCTACATCGACGCTTATGTGTCTGACGCCCGGAAGTTCTGGAGCCCTCAATCTAGAAACCCGCCTGCTGCGGGAAGCGAGGGCGCCGAGGAACGACCAGAACCCCCACCACTCAACATGGTCAAGTGTGATAATGAGTACTACGACCGATGTATTCAAGGCGGCATGAAGACAACGTCTAAGCTCATGAAGAAAGAGTGCAAGTTCAAGTTCTCCAGGGACGACATCATCCAATCACCGACCGGTCCTAGCCAGCTCAGCGTTCAATCCCTTGAGTCGTTCGCCAAGTTTCGCGGTGCTCGGCGAGCAGCTCTTGAGCAATGTCTGAACATATTCAACAACGCCGAGAACCGCCTGGTCAGCAGCTCTTGGGACACCCTCATGCTCCCGCCGCCCAAGGTGCCAGAGAAAGCGCCAGGCATCCTCTTCACCGGACTTGAAGTCACAGACATTCCCAAGGATGAGGCCCGAGACCCCCTCAGCTATACCCTAGCGCGCAATTGGTATGTCAAGGAAGACAACAAGTGGGCTCAGTGGGTGCGACCACACTCGATCAAAGAAGTCTATGGGGAAAGGCTGTGGAGGCACCGCGATGATCCCATCGTGATCCTTCCAGTGAACTACAAGGGCCCATATGTGGAACACTTCATGGATATAGAGATGAAGAGGGTCTTTGATCTTCTGCGGGCGTGTGAAATTCTGCATCAAGGGCTGCAGAGAGCTCAGCGGCGGGCGCCGCGAGATTTCCTCGCAGACATCCTCAAACTGGTCGAAAGTGGCATCAACAACGAGGATGCAGCAAAGTTGAACTTGAATTTCCGAGACAACGAGTATCGACGAGAAAATGAAATTGACAAAGGCCCGCCCAAAAAGAAAGAGCCTATCCCAGAATGGCCTGAACCTGATGAGCCGGCGGACGACTCATCCGAAGTTATTGAAGAAACTGACTTCTCATACCCATCCGATAGTTCTGAAGAGATGTCTGAACACAATTCCGAGTCGGATGAAGAATTGCCCAGGCCCAAGGAGTCTGGCGGCAACTTGATGCATCTCCGCCCAAAGGAGGAAGAGTGGTTGCATTTTCTCGGGGGACCGTCCATCAACAAGAAACTCATCCACGAAGAACAAGCTTCTGGTCGCCTTGAGCTACTGTTCGAGGCTCGTGTAGATGAGATGTTCGATGACATTGACCCCACAGCGCTTTTCCGCGACACGAAGCTCGTCACACTGGATGAGTTTCTCGCTGAGTTAAACCGAGGGGCTCAGGGGCCGGTACGACGGCACCAGTTCTCGGCCCAGGACGCGATCAAGCATGCAAAGCGGCTATCCAAAAAGGGGAAATTACAGTATGTCAAATATTCAGAATGGTGAATTATGCTAACATGGTTAGTTTCGGTCATGATAAGAGCAATGAGGCTGTGGTTTCGCGTCCTGAAGCAACCTTCCATCCCGAGGACAGGGTTCGATGGCTCCCCTCAGACAAGAATCATGAAGAAAGGAGCCCGGAAATGGATGAAATCCCATATGAACGCCCAAAAAAGCGTCCGCGTGGCAGTGACAGCGACGCAGCTTCCCAACCTTCCACTGATTTCACCATATCTACAAAAGTCTCCATTGACAAGCCTGTGGACTATGGAGAATACACTGTCGGGATGCCTAGGCTCAGGAACATCTACACATGGGAACAATGCTTGGCTAAGAAATCCAAACACGTGGATACCCTGGCAAAGACTCAAAACTTCTTGCGATGCCTGGCTTACCGCCTCGGAGCTACCTTGCGCCAGATGCGGAAGAAGCACAGAGCGAATCGACGCCACCTCACCAAAAGCAAGAAGCTGGAAAACAGAGACTTCGTCAAGTCTGTCACCGGGTACTGGCTCTGGGATGCGGCGCATTTGCCAAACGACCCGCACCATAACGTGAACAGCAATAACGTGAACTACGTCAATCAAGCCATCACGCCCAAGTTCGAAGACGTGATGAAAATGGCCGATCCCGAGGCAGACCGCACGAGCCCGTGGGAATCGATACGCACGAACATCATTCGTGAAGCGTACGAGAACAAAGACATGCTCCATCCAACACGTGTGGTGTCCTCCAAGGGCGCGGATGGGAAAACTCGCGACGTGACTACCCGGCCAGCCGTATGGACGTTTGCGCATCCAGATCACAGACCCAAGGCGCGGCAGTTCTGGGATATCAACCGTTGGCCTCTGCACTTACAGAGCAACGAAACACAAGAGGCCATTTGGTCTTCTGGTCCACGACCTCCCTCAGTGGGGAGAAGAACTCCCTCTGGATCGTCGAGTCCTCCTGACTCGCCTCCATCTCGCCCAGGGAAGGTTGTGCAGTCTTCCGGACCACAGCCTCCCTCGACGGTCTCAGGAGCTCAGCGCTCACCACGCCAGGAGATTCGCCCTGGAGTGTGGTCGTCTCATTATCCTAAATCCAAAACTGCTCCTGAGAGGCATACGGCTCAGTCCCGCACCCTCCTGGGCGAGCTTCCCAGGGAGATAACCACCCGACACCCGAACCCAGAGAAGTCCACTCAGCCTTCCGGTCTACAGCCTCCCTCAGTAGGGTCAATGGCTCAGGTGCAGAGAACTCAGCGCTCACCACGCCCGGAGATCCGCCCTGGAGCGTCGCCTCGGCGGTCCAATGTCAAGGCTCCTCCCGAGATACCTACAGTTCAAACCCGCACCCTCCCGGCCGAGTTTTCCAGGGAGATTGACATCCCATACTCGGACCCAGACGTCGGGCGCCGGGGCTTCAGGGTTGGAGTTCCGCAGTTCTGGGCCGGGGACACGCCCTTGCAAAGAAAGGTGATGGAGGACACCGCCAGGGAAGGTAAGTTGAATGACGACGAAAATGCAAGGTACGTTGCTAACAGGAATGATTCAGCCCTTGAACCGCCAGAAACTCGACAATCACTCTTCTCAATACTCCGCCGCCGTCTGGAGCCGGACGACCCCACCGCCTTGCCGGAGGTCGATCCAAGGATCATCCCGAAGAGCAAGCCACGAGACCCAGCTCCGGAGTCCGAATCTCCAGGAGAATCTTCAGGGGAAAGTTCCCATGACGTTGGAGAGGGACCCCTAGATGGCGCTGAAGAGGAATCTCGAGGATTTGATGAGCCTCAGAGGATGAGTCACGATGAGGAGGAGGAGGACTTGTACGATGTCACTCCTCCGGTATCACGCCCTCCTTCGGCCGCACCTACGTCTGCGCCTGCTGTGAATCCTCCCTTCTGGCAACAAGTTGGACAACCTATGCTCTCGCAGTCGCTGAATCTACGGATTGTCAACTCGGATTCAGGGCAGTCTTCGGGACAATCTGCTGATGGTGACATTGATCTCTGACAACGTCAATAACTCACTGCTCTTTGTTATCAGACTCCCTTCGTAGCTGTGGAGAATAACTTTCACTGTCTTTGTACGGATCAGTTTTGTGCGTTAGTTAGTTTGGCTCTTAATACACTATTGGCTGGATCACAATGGCTCAATTCCGTAAAGGACGCAACTTGAAGGATTTAATTTTCATTCAGAACAAAGCCATTATTTTCATAGCCTCAATCCGATGTCCTAACCAGCCAACCATGCAATGAAACACAATGGATCGTGACTCCGCGCACCGTTTCCAGTCCTCTAGTAACGCTTGCCCTCTCGCAGGGTATCCGCAAACTCGTCCAGGGGACTTCGGATAAGCTTGGTCTCCTTCCACAAGTTGGGGGTCAGGAAGCCGTAGGTGTTGGACACGGCCACGAAGGTAGCCTTGAGGGTGTTCTCGAGGGTCTTGGTGGAACCGGCGGAAGAGGTGTAGGCATCCTCGACACCGGCGAGCTGGAGGAATCGCTTGACGGCGGGAGAGGCAACGAGGCCAGTACCACGGGGAGCAGGGATAAGCTATTGTCCAAAATTAGTTTTTAAATTCCTCCTCGATTTTTGTGGTTTTTGGATTCGGGATTTACGTACACGGACGGTGACGGAACCGCACTTGCCGCTCTCCTTGCAGGGCAGGGAGTGAGGAGCACCAAGGTTGGATCCCCAGTAACCTCTTCGGACGGGGATGACGCTCAGCTTGGCGATGATGATGGCGGCGCGGATAGCAGTGGCAACCTCCTTGGAGGTCTTGATGCCGAGACCGACGTGGCCCTCGGAGTCACCAATGATGACAATGGCCTTGAATCGGGTTCGCTGACCGGCACGGGTCTGCTTCTGGACGGGCTTGATCTGTAGTTTACGACACTCGTTAGTCTCCATGCCTCCCAAACTCCGTCGCCCGGACTCGGGACTCTCGTGTAGTCGTTCGCACCTTCATGACCTCATCCTTGAGCTTGGGCAGGAAGTTGTCAACAATCTGGAACTCCTTGATGGGCAGAGAGTGCAGGTAGATCTCCTCCATGCTGTTGATCTTGCCGGCCTTGACCAATCGACCGAGCTTGGTAACGGGCTGCCACTCCTTCTCCTCGTTGCGGGGACCACGACGTCCACGGCCACGGCCACGTCCACGTCCACGGTCGCCACCACGGTCGCCGCCTCGGGATGCGAAACCACCGCCGCGAGAAGTTCCTCGGTCAGCCATTTTGATTGTTGCGCTGAAGTGCCGTCGAAAGGGTCTGCGCGAAGGGTATGTGAATGTGCTGTTCGGCGTTGGGCGATGCTGGGAACTTTTTCGCTGGCGGGGTCTGCAAGCTGGGGATTTTTGGCGTGTGCTTGGGTTAGCCGAGCCCTAATGCCTTTGTGCACTCCTGCCTGGTGCGTTAGGCAAAAATAAAGTGTGGGACTCCAGCCACAGATCAAACGCTCACCTTGGTGGGGGGAGGGGCGTCGGTGAGGATCAGCCACAGATGAGCCACTTATCTTTTCATTGATTGTAGACTTCCCGATGCCGCGCTTGTGCAAATACATAAAGTCAAGAAGCCTTGCTTAAATTGACTCCATCGTGGATTGATTCGCAGCTATACCTTGTACTATACAGAAGTGTGGGGATGGGTAATACCGAAAACAAATGCGCGTCTGATGCAAACGTCCAAGGAGGATATGCTGGACTTAAATCACGAGCGGATGGGTGTTCAACTGTTCGTACACGCCTGGCAATTCCAGGCATTCATTAACGAGGGTATCGCAACTCAACAACTTTGACTGCTCGCCCTTTCTCCAAACTCAAAGCCATAAAACCTTACTCCTTTGTCGACTTCAAAATCAGGTTGTCCGAAGGACTTACCCTTTGCGCCCATTCCCTGCATCTCGTTAGTCACTCTGGCATAGCAATCAGGGGGCGTTGCGCTTACGTCCAACTTCCATCGTAAACCCTTCGCGACTCGGGAGTGCCAAGGCCTGCTTCCTCCAGAGCAGTCTCAATGACGCAGGCAGTCACACCGGTGCCACAGCTTGAGATGATGGGCTTGGTCGGGTCTACTCCCTTGCCCTCAAGTACCTTCTTCAGCTGGTCGCGGGGAAGGAAGGCCTTGGTCTCGGGGTCCAGCACAGCATTGAAAGGAATGCTGATGGAACCGGGCATGTGTCCGGATGACAAACCCTCACGAGGCTCAGGAGCCTCGCCAGTAAACCGGGCATTGGGTCTGGCATCGAGGATCTGAACTTCCTCGGCTCCCTCCTTGTTATAGTCCTTGGCAAGCTGCTTGACCTCTTCAAAACTGGCAACCCGGTTGTTTTCCACACTAGGGATGGGGTAGGGACAGCACTCGACGCTATATAGCTCTCCAGACTCAGTGGGGAGTCCCTGTTCCACCCACAGCTTGAAGTTGTTCAGAATATGCACGTTATCGTGACCAAACACCTTCAAGGTCCAGCCCACGCGGGGAGCGCTGAAGATGCCGAGCTCTTTGGTATCATACACAACGACCGTGTCCTCCTTTCTGATTCCCAATTCGCTCATGGCAGCCGCGAATCCCTTAGCGTCTGGCAACATGTGAGGGTAGGGACTGCGCTTGTCAATGACCTTGTCCAGGTCGAAGAATCGAGCTTTGGGAATCCGCTGCTCCCGGAATGTTTGGATTCCTGTCCGCTCATCGTTGGGGAGGAACCACGAGGCGCAGAGAGGGATTACTCGAGGGTCGGTGCTGATTGGCGAGGGGGGGTTCTTGTTGAGGGCTTCGTGGAGTTCTTTGGGGGAGACGATGTATGAAGAGAGGTTTCGTCGGGTGAACAGCATAGGTCGGAAGGCTTTGACGCCGAATTGGAGCAGGCCGCCCCTCGTTGAGCGGAAGGCGACGGTGGCAGCCATGTTGTAGGGGATGTTGGAGGGGAAGTCGTGGGTGACACGAGGAGCGAAAGGGCTCGTTGACTCCTCGTACGAGGCGTCGATAAGTGGCCGGCGAGGCGATACGGCAGAGAGCGAAAAGAAAGGCGGGCCAGGCGTGAGGGAAGGGCGGGTACTTGAGGTCTAACCTCTACGTCTGTATACGCATCACTCGGTGGGGGAGAGAACCGGTGTTGAAAAAGTTGGCTTGTCACGGACTGGGCGGCCCTCGTGGGAATTGATGATAACAGAGCGGGCGAGGTTGGCGTCAAAACTGGAAGCTGCCGGGGCCGAAGCTTGGACCAGTCGGAGCGGGCAGGCACCTAACTTAATATTATTGCATTGAATCGCCGTTGTGACGGTTGGCGGCCGGGCGGTTAATCAGCGGTCTGGCGGGGACTCCATGCCCGCCGCAGCACGCTCTCAGTGAACGGTTCCAGTGGATGAGGTCACTGAAGACGCCCCGCTCCCACACACCCGCCCGCCCGGAGAGCCCTGGAACCTTGTGAACCCGGTTCCCACAAGCGCTGCTCGGGTGACGCGACGGGATGGATCGCAACTCGGCCACCAGTCAACCACCATCTCCCCGTTAAGCCTCCGTCATCCTGACACTTCGCTCTCCCACCAAAGTTCGGCGTCCTGGCCTCGTGACTCACCACTCAGGCCGCCACTCGCCATGAAGGTCACTATCAAGAAGTGGAACACGGTCGCGACCTGGCGATGGGATATCCCAGAGGACGACGTCTGTGGCATCTGCCAGGTCCACTTCGACGGCACGTGTCCGACGTGCAAATACCCTGGCGACGATTGCAGCCTGTGTAAGTGCCCGCCCATCACAACCATCAGGCCATATTCTCACTCCCATACTAATATATCCACCAAAAGTATCGGGGAAATGCGGCCACAGCTTCCATATGGTCTGTGCCTGGTCCTCAACCTTTCCGCATTACCCCTCCAAATTGCTGACCTTATGCCACTGATTAGCATTGCATTCTCGAATGGATTAAGCAGGACTCATCCAAAGGCCAATGTCCAATGTGCCGTCAAAGTGCGTCGTTCCCTAATCAGCCCAACTCAACTGCCCAATTAACGCTATCCCAGAGTTTGAATGGAACGAGCAAGCAAATGAAGCGGCATCACAAGTCGAGTAAACAGTGGGACCATGGCGTTTTGGTGTTGAAGGCGCAAATAGAACAGAGGTCGTTACTATTGTCAACTTTCATTACATCTCTCGCTCGCCGCTTATTTCGCCTGCATATTCCTCCTTGCTTATCATTGGCGAATATTGATCTGAAGTGGTGACCAATTACTGGACAGTGTCAACGGTGCCGCAGCCTCGTTCGCCGACTGGATCTGCGCAACCGCGCAAATGTGCCTAACCATAAAACCCAACAGAATTCTCCACAGGTTTCAACGTCTAGCCGGGTTCAACCCTCATTTGCCCCAAGTTTGTCAACTCGCCAAAATGCCATATGATGACGGCGTAGACAGTGGCTTGGGTTCCACTCCAGTTGACTATCTCAAAGCACCCGACGAGCTTCCCGACAGGTGGTTAGCCGCAGATAGGGGTGAGGATGACTCCAATCAGGGTTATCAACATGCAAAACTTAGTCATACTATCGATGGCGACCTTCCATTTCAGACAAATCCGTCTTGCGACGAGTCTTCGCGACCTAATACGCCAATATGGAAAGAAACCAGCAAAGCACATGACACTCCCCCCACCCCTTCCAAGCCAGAAGCGCCGTTCAGTACACATTTCTGATACATCCTTAACCAGTGCTTTGGGAAGCTTATCGTTAGACAATGGTGCCAAACGCGAAGGAATGGGCGGGCAGATGTCCGCAGACGGCATCGCCATCACAAAGAGGGAGGTCGCGATTACTCACTTGATGACATGGTCGACGAATTGGCTAAACCACAAGTTTGAGGGGTGGGCTCACCAAAAGGCTCACGACTCTTCGAAGCATCAAACCTCAGTCAAGCCAGGAGCTCTGCAGTCTCAGATTACAGCCGAGGCCCGCAGGGGTCAGAAGCATCCAAGAAACCAGTCGGATAATGAGATGAGCGACGAGGATGGCGATGACCCACCACAGAAGGGCCGGAAACTCAGTAAAGTTGGACAGGGCCCAGCCCCGAGATACGCATGCCCGTTCTCTAAATACAACCCGACGAAATACCAGACCGCCGAATGGAGCCTTTGTTGTTGGCCAGGGTGGACTTCTGTCCACCGAGTGAAGTAGGTCACAAGTCTCCTTGAAAGCCAAGTTCCTGTCAGTCTCTAATCACTTACTACAGAGAGCATCTCTATCGAAATCACTTATTGCCCAAGTTTCAGTGCTCTCGTTGCAGACGGGTCCTGGAGTCTGCAGGTGATCTTACCGCTCATTTAAGAGAAACCGTCATCTGCGACATCGTGCTCCAAGAGCCCCAGGATGGCATCAGTGAAGAACAAGAAAAGTCTCTACGCGCAAGGGAGAAGAATAGGGGTCGAGCTTCAGCAAGGTGGAGAAAGGTCTATGAGATCTTGTTCCCTGGAGAATGCCCAATCCCCTCGCCGTGTATGAAGTAGAACTCACGCATGCGTAGTTCCAAACTAACAACATGTCTAGTCGTGGACTTTGGCCCGATCAATCCCGAAATTAAAGCGCAAACAGACGATTTCTTCAGACAATTTGAGGCGTGTGCGAGGGAACAGTTCCCCAGGGTTCTTCACCCTGTGCTCGACAACATGATTGGTCGCATTCATCAATCGAGCATTAGTCGCGAAGAAATCCTGGAGGCGGTCGAAGGTTCCATTATGCTCATAATGGAGAACTTTCGGCTCCTCGATAGATCACGATTCCACCAGGATCAACCCTTGATTGTTCCTCCGGTCGAGGATGGAGTCGCTCTCAGTATTGACGAATATGCGTTGTTTTCAGATTTACTCACCGAACAGCCCGGCAGTCCGTATTTAGATGTTGGTCAATTGATGGAAAATTTAGGCAATGGTAATGAGCCAGACTCTGGGTATGTATCGAGGGAAACAGAGGTTGGGTCGGCATCACAGGATCCTGAGAGTTCCTAAGAAGGAACATTTTACGGTCATCATGGAAGATTGCAAAAGCCGGAGGACTATTGCGCTATAAGTTGATAGCATTGTGCGTCCATGTCATATCCTAGTGGTACAATATAAATCTAAGTCTCAAACTTTCAGGCTTTTGGCGACGCTGCTTTTTACACGAATAAACAGTCCCCTCCCCTTCTAGGCATCTGGGACATACACTCCATCCTTGCACAAGACTACCACCTTCTTGAAGAAGCGGCGCCACTCTAGCGGGTCACCCTTGATCTTGACGAAACGCACATCAAGCACCTCGGTACCGTCTGGCAGCGGCTGCTTGTCGACTTGAATCTCGCCGTGCAGGCTCTGCTGGCGGCCGTCAAGGGCTTTGACCTTGATGGTGGCGATTGGGTTACTGTAGAGGTTAGGAGAAACAGGAGCGAGAGGGACGTTGAGCTGGTGGAGGGCGTCGCTAAGCATCTGGATGATGTGTGCGGGCGGTACAGCGGAGAAGAAGCGAGTCAGGGCCTCCGGCGGACAAATGTCGCGGAAGCGTCGTGCTTGCTGGGTGAGGGACATGGAGGGACCAGGGGTGTGAGAGAACTGGGACATGGACGGTTCGTCGGCAAGGGAATCCAGCATCATGCGGCGTGCATCCTGAGCGCGAGATGGTAGAGAAGACGCCGGGGCGGCCATGGAACGGAGCGCCGGACGTTCCCAGTCCCAGTCATGGTCGGCGATGGGAACCTCGGGTTGGGTGGAGGAGAAGCGGCCTGCGTTGAGGCCGGTATCGACGTCCATGCTGTCGCTTGAGGTCGGTTGGGAGGCCCTGGGCTTTTGGCTGAAGTCGATGCGAAGATTCTCGAGCATCTGGGTGGCAAGGTTGATTGGATCGGTGACTCGGCCATCGGCGGAGAGGAGGGCGTTGTGACGAGTGTACCAGGGATGCTGGCGGATCTGGGCGAAGTTGAAGCGCTTTTGGGGATCGATGGACATCATGCCGCGGAGTAAAGAAAGAGCCTCTGCCGGTATTCTTTGCCATAACGCATCAGAACTGCGACCAGAGTTGCGTACATACTCCTGGAACTCCCAGCTGCTCTTGGATGGCTCGTCCCAGGGCGTGTTGCCGACTAGCAGGACGAAGAGGATAACACCGCAAGACCAGACATCGACCAGGTCAGGGGAGTACTTTGAGGTGCTGGGAGACTTCCTATCGGCGCGGCCGCAGGCGAGAATCTCAGGGGCGATATAAGGGGGACTACCGCAGAGTGTCGAGCTCAACTTGCGCTGGCCCTTGTACTCGAACATGGTGGCCATCCCAAAGTCAGCAAGCTTGAGGGAGCCATCCTGGGAGAGGAGGATATTCTCTGGCTTGAGATCACGGTGGGCAACTCCCTTGGAGTGCATAAAGCTGACACCACTGACGAGCTGGACGAAGTAGACCTGGGCAATGTCCTGACGAACACCAACATCGGCCTCGATCTTGTCGAAGAGATCACCACCTTCAGCGAACTCCATAGCGATCCAACGCCAGATAGTGTCCTCACCGGAGGCAAACCACTCGATGATGTTTGGGTGCTGGCCGATGTGCGAGTGAAGCGAAACCTCCATGGCCAGCTGCTTGGCGGAGATGCGACCATGTTTCACGGCGTAGCCCTTGTGGATAAGCTTAACGGCGAAGATAGGCGACTGTGAGTCAAGAGGGATGGCCTTCTTGATGCTGAATAGAATGTGTTAGCACGTGCAGCTTTGTATCTCTAGTACATCTCGAGTTGTTGAGGCAGATGAAAGAACGGTGTGACTGACGAGGCATAGGCACCCCGGCCAACGGTTTTTGAGATGATACGAAAGGGAAGATCCCTCGGTAGGGGATCTAGCTGAGACTGCGACATATGGAAGGATGGTTAGTAAAATTGAAGCTCACATGTAGAAGAACGACACATGGTGCGGATGAGAGGCCAGCGATGTTCTCATGGCGGTGATGTTCACGGCTATAGTTGAGCGTGCATGACAGCAGCCAACCAACATTCACATGGCCTCCCCTGCCGCCTCGTGCATGATGGAAGAAAAACAAGACTTACCATGACGGCGGCTGTGTCGAATAGCAATGCGTGCCTGAGCCTGTCGAACTATGCAGGCGAGTCGCGACAGTTTGGTTGGTTGGTCGTCGACGACTGTTCACGGCTTTGTTAGTTAAACTCGGGTGGACGCGTCGATCGCGTCCCACCGCGTAAAGCCGTTGTTGCTCGCAGGTGCCTCTCCAGGCGGTGACCCCCCTACACGACCGGAAACAGCCAGCCAAGTGCCCTAAAAAGCCGCCGCCGTCCAGTGGTGTTGTGGTGGTTGCGGTGGTGGCGGCCCCACGTTTCAGCGCCCCTGGCTGCTGGCGAGATCCATTGGCCGGGGCGCCTGTCCGTTGCCCGTAGCTGCGTTGCTGCGGTAAACACTCCAGCCTTTGTCTCCCATCACAACGCCATTCATCCCACTTCGGCCTCCTGTCGCATCCCGAAACCCACCAAGAAAGGGCGTCGCGTCGAATGCATTGATTGAAAGACCCCTAACTTCCTTCTCATTCTCCCGCCTCCGCCTCCCGTTGCCATCCCTTCTCTCCCGTCGTCCCTGCATATACAATCCATACCCGCCTCACTTCTTTCCGGTTGCGGCTTGCCCTGTGTACATACAGATTGCCCTCGAGCCCACCTAGCCTGTCCCCCTCTCCATCACCGCCATTCTTGACCAGTTTGCCTTTCGCATCCCGCCACAACTTGCACATTCATTCCCACGCAAACTCTGCATCCGCATCATCCATTCGCAATGGTTTACACTATGGAAGACAACCAGAACTCTGCCCCCGGCGGTGTCCAGGAAGCTAAGCTCAATGCTGGTCGCAAAGCCCCCGACTCTCAGAGCACCACCAAGAGGTTCGTCGGCGCAACACGTCTCGCAGTCCCCCAACGTCCAATGCTAACCTACAATAGACTGCAAACCGAGCTGATGCAGCTGATGACCTCTCCCGCTCCAGGAGTCTCGGCCTTCCCCTCGGCTGATGGCAACCTCCTCTCGTGGACTGCCACCATCGAGGGTCCTGACGACACCCCCTACGCCGGCCTCACATTCAAGCTCAGCTTCGCCTTTCCCTCAAACTACCCCTACGCGGCGCCTACTGTCCTTTTCAAGACGCCCATCTACCACCCCAACGTCGACTTCTCTGGCCGCATCTGCTTGGACATCCTCAAGGACAAGTGGACTGCCGCCTACAACATCCAGACCGTCCTTCTAAGTCTGCAGAGCTTGCTCGGCGAGCCCAACAAGTAAGCATAGTCCCAAACAGCCACTTGACTTGGTTGCGACATGACACTGACACTTGTACAGCGCCTCTCCTCTGAACGGCGAAGCCGCAGAGCTGTGGGACAAGGATGCCGAAGAGTTCAAGAAGAAGGTTCTCGGACGACACCGTGATGTCGAGGACGAGTAATGGATAGGATACTTTGGTTTACGTGCATTTGATTGAATAGGAGAATTGGAGTCCTTGGTGCATGGCTTGCTTTGATGGATTGTTAGGAATACGGGACTGTATGGCATTTCTGAGATGGGTAGCAAGGATATCCTTAGGGTCAAAATCAACAGACCGTAGTCGATGGCATACCCTATCGACAGTTTGATAAATCCACTGCCACTACTTCCAAAGAGAGGATTCGCCCCGGGCCATACCCAGGCCACTTCACGCCGAGGCACCATTCATTGTCGTTGGCTTGTCAAGCTTGTATCACATTTCCCTCTGTATTTTCAGCGTGAAAGAGCTAGAATGCCGAATGCAACTCCGAAATCCATGCCACCTAGAACCTGTCCCAAGAGAAACTTTTTTATTTATTCCTCAACAACAACCGTGGGGAGGCCCTTGGGGTCCTTGACGTTCACAGCCTGAACGTAGCTGTAGAGCTTCTCCTTGGCACCCTCCTCGTCGTTTCGTCGTCGGGAAATTCGCACGCGCAGTCGGTAGGGGACACCCTTAACACCGCACTCCCACACCTTCTTGTTGAGCTGGGGGTCGACACGGACATCAGTGGTACCCTGAGAGGTGTTAGCAAATGTCGTCCACTTGAGAATTCCATCTGTCCCAATCGCATCGCAACCGGTGGCAGATCGTTCGGGGGTTCGTACCATGGCCTGGAAGGCAAAGGCCTTGATCTCCTTGATAGCACGGGGAGCGCGCTTCTTGAAGGTGACACCGTGCATCTTCACGTCTGTTAGCACTTCCATCTCCAGCGAGAAGCTCCATTGCGAGCTCCTCTATTCGGAGCAACGTACTCTCTTGTGCATGTGGATGGTGTACTCGCGGGCGACGACATCCGCAATAGCGGAGCGCTGAGTCTTGCCAGAGGGCTTCTTGGAGGACATGGCTGGGTTTGCTGTCAGTGTCTCGTTTGCGGGAGAGCGGTAGTGATTGCGCGAGGATCAAGGGATCGTAATCTCTTGATAGAGGCTGTCAAAGGAGAGGAAAATTGTCGGGGTTCGTACCTGCGGATCGTCTTCTCGGTCGGGCGATGAGGAGGGTGTTGATGTCGAATACCAAAATCCCACAAAATCTTTGTGCGTAGGGCAGGCACGAAATTCGTGGGTGGGGGGGTAGCGAGCCAATAGGGCACGGTCATGCAGTCTCTCCAATTTTGTCACGTGAGTAGGCATGTCAGCTCCACTTGAGGACTTGCATTAACGTAACTGGGCTTAGGATGCGTTAGATTAGATCCACGTCGCTCTGGCTGTTTACCGTGAAGCACCTCATCGTCACCTACATTCCGAAGTCAACATTCCAACAGCCACTACGGCAAGGCACTTCGAACACCTGCGCTATTGCGCCCCTCTTCTCTCTTCACTTCTACTACATTCCCGCGACAGACACGTTCGCTAGCCACACGCAAGGGGCTCAGTCCGGGTATCAAGCAGCCAGGGGCACTTCGCGTAAACAGCACTTCGTCGGTGGCGCAACTATCGGCAGTTGGTGTTTCTCGAGCATCGAAACAGGTCCATCTTTCCTTCTTCAACATTCGTTCACCCCTGGTCCCGGCACCTGCAGCGCAAGATGGCCGACCACCAACCCATCACCACGAGGACGACGCCGTCGCCTCAGCCCGACATGTCGCGAAACCGACTTCCGACTCTGTTCGAGGTGCTAAGCCGGCGCACACTGCCGCCAGTCGACCTTTTCTCGTTCTACATCTATATGCGGGACCAGCAGAGATCTGTAGACTACCTCGACTTCTGGTGAGTTCTAGAAAGCGCACAATGGTAGTGGTCCTATGGCTGACTGTGGACAGGCTGGATGTGGCACAGCATATGTCCCTGTGCCGTCACTATGTCCGGGAGCTTCGACGGTCTGTACTCATTGGGACGCCTGATATGGATAAGTCAGCCTCTAAGAGATCATCGGCAATTCTGGAGAATATCGGCGACCTAGAACCTCGATTGGCCGGTCCCTCGATGTACGCGACCGAGAAGGAGAAGAACCAAGATGGTCAACTGTCTGCCTTCCTTCGTGAGGACGTGGGTCATGACTCGCCCCAGAGCGCTTCCGGTCATGTTCGACCGAGCCCCCAGTTTAGCAACTCTCACGATATTACCACCGATTCCAATTCCCCGGCTCACACTGTCGCGCGACAAGATATCCGTGCGTCGGCAGAGAAGATCCTCTTCACCTTCCTAATGCCTGGTGCTGAGCGAGAAATCACTCTCCCTGGATCCATCACGCAGGACGTTACCACCGCCATCGAAGAGCTTGGTCGCGATGACCCAGAGGTGTTTGACGTCGCCAAGGACTATGTGTTTCAGGCTATGGAGCGAGATGCGTTTCCGGGGTTTCTAAGAATGAAGGCACTCGGTAACCTGATCCCTCCCACGCTTATCATGAGACTCATCGTGGGTCTTATTGCCATGTTTGGAGCTTTCTGGACCGCCTTTGTCTTGATTTTCCTCAACAAGTCTCGTCTTACGAAGTGCTGGGTAAGCAATCCCTGTATGTTATCACAAATCACAAGGCTAACAAACTACAGCTCATCCTGCCATTCACTATCGGTGTCTACTTCCTCTCGTCTTACCAATACTCCCTTGATCCCATCATGGCCCTGGTCGGCTACAGCGAATACACTCCGTTCAACTTCTCCAAAATCCGGGAGCCTTACGTCCGCAAACTCCTCGCCAAACGAGCTCTCATGGTCCTGGCGATAACCTTCCTTGTCGATGCTGCTCTCTGCGTCATGTTCATACTCGTTCCTGGAAAGCGCCTGTGAGCGAGCACCCAGGCTCCTCGCAGCGGCCAATGATGCGGGCCATTATTGGCCTCTTGGTTTCTTGCTTGCTTGCTCTCCGTCACCATCTCTGTGAGATATTCGTGGGAAAGCAAGATTTACGACCGTCATGATTTTGAGAGTTTGGTTAGTCAACCAGACCAGGTAATCTGGTGAGGAGGAAATGGAATTATTTTCGGGCTATGGCGTCGGATTACCACCTTTTGTTGTACCATTTAGGGCTTGTATGTAGACTATTCACTCAACCCAGAGCTTCAGATCCGCATCTCGGAGTTTCTGGCTACGATTTTTTTTATAATCAATCATTGCGGAGTTAGGAGGAAGCAATGGAAAGGGCACTTTGTACTAGATAAGGTTAACAAGCAGGCGTTTTGTCGTCTAATTAGTTCATCATTCATCGTGATAATTTTCTTGGTATCTATCTTATCCGCAGGTAGCAGGTTGGTCCCTCTACATCTTGCGCTTGTTTGCCCGCTCCTCGGGCTCGTCCACATCCATGCTCTCGTTGTCGACCAGGTTGGCTACCTCCATGACGGACCGCTTGTTAAACCCCCTCCTAGCGAGCAGCTCCCGTGACAAGCCGGTGGCCTCGTACTTCCTACCGTCCGGGGTTTCGGCCATCAGCCGCTGAAGCTTGTCGTCCGCGGCTCCCTGATTACGCTGCCGCACTGCTGCCGCGGTTCGGATATCCTTCATCTGGGTCTCAAGGTCACCAAGAGTACTGGTACACCGGCCAGCCCATGTGTTGAGGGCGGAGATCATGTCGGGGATGGCCCCAGGGGGGAGATCCCGTAGGGGCGCAACGCTGGAGACTTGGACTGCGGCGCGCGCGGGGTCAAGCGTGGCGTGGAGCAGGCCAGCATATACAGCGGAGATTACGAGGGCCTCGAGGTCGCGAGTGTCGGGCAGATCGAGAGCAGTCTGGAGGGCATCGTAGGAGAGGTTTTGACGATCGCGTGCGAGTGTGAGGAGCGAAAGCTGGCGGAGCTTGCGAGCCTGGGTGTCGGCGAGCGGTGGCAGGCCCGGGGTGCTACGGTAGGTGGCGTATGTGCCGTGGGAGAATATTTGAAGTAGTTTGAGATGCGGGGCAGATTCGGGAGAGGAGGCCAGGGACTGGATGGCGGGCGTGTCGAGGAGCTCGGCGAAGAGGAAGGTGTTTGGTGCTGATGTGGCGCGGGTGACGAGGTCAACGGCGGCACGGGGGGAGCTGGCTGTCTTGGAGAGCGCGAGGAAGGGCTAGACAAAGTCAGAGAGGGTTTGTTCAGGCAGATATATGTGGTCGTACCTCGAGAGCGTTGAGAGCCTTGGTCTGCTCCATGGTGGGCGAACGTGAAGGCGTGCCGCCTCGCGGGGTGGAGGACACGGAGCTGACGTTAAAGTGGTGTCAAGTCGATAATGATCTTGGAAGACCTGTGTGGGAGTTTTGGGTGGAGAGACCGAGGTCGAAGAGAGCACCCTGTAGCAGCAGCACAGCTGACGGAGAGGGTCTGCTAGTGACAATGGTTGTTGCTGGATGTTGAACCCAGGTCGAGGTGAGGCTCGGTTGAAGGTGAGGCTGGAGCAGGCAAGCAAGCTGTGGCGGCGCGGGGCTTTGGCGGGTGGTCTGCCGGGTGGGGACTGTATCGTGGGGTACCTGTATTGCGAGGCATCGAAAATTTGCTACCCTAGAGTAATCGGCCACTGACTTTGGGGTAAATCTGGGCCTCGGTCGAGAGAATGTGTTCCTAGTACATGTTGTAAATGTACCCTCTACATTTTTCTATTTGTTTACATGTATTTAGGTTGGGGGTATGCATAACAGGGCTGCAGAAGGGCGCTACGGCCAAAATTCGTTGCCAAAAGGCCGGACTTGAAGAATATCGCTTGGTATTTTGGGAACGGAGCTGAAACCTCTACTCGTCCCCAAGAGATGACACGTTCTAAAAGGTCAGAGAGCCCCGCGAGTGCAACTGGAAACTGGGGAAACCATCTGGGACAGGAGCCATGGCAGTGGTAATGACAAAGGTGTCTATCAACGGTTCGAAGCCGGAACCATTTGTTGCCGCTGTGCTCGCAAGAAGTCCCGAAAATAGTTAGGGTCTCAAAACTGCATCGCGGTCTGCCTGGGAGATGGAAACAAAAACGGAAGTGGAACAAGCCAAGACAGACCATTCCACGGCCCCAATGAATACTCCCAAAAGAGACGCCGTTAAAGAAAAGCCTGCACAGTGGGTAGGGGTCCAAGACACTACCCCAAACATAACATGGCCAAGAGAAACGTGAGTTGGGAGAGGATGTTGCCCTGCAAAGTGTCTCGGGCGTTCAAATATAGAACATACGAACACACGGGTACGATGACAAGTGGCTTAGACAAAGGATCCGGCTCTGACCCAGCTCCCGCCTCGTCTTACGTCTCCCAACGAAGCTCCGAGGACCAATTAAGGTTCGCAATACGACCCAGCCCCGGCCAAGATGACTTGGACGGTATTACCAACATTCCGAGGTGCCGGAAACGGTGAGATCCGGGTAGCAGGAGGTACCTCATCTCACGCAGCGGCATGTCAGCACAGCGCAGGCGATAGTAAGACGCACCGCATGCAGACCAGGTATGGCGAAAGGCGGCAGTTCACAGTCTAGAAAGGCCGCGGGGGATGGTCCAGCAAGATCGGCAATTGATGGTCTGAGACACAAAATTGCAGTCCGCGTATCAACTATGCCCGAAGGCGAAAAGCCAGGCCCTCAACGGCTGGTCATAGTGCCTTAGTGCCTGTAGCCTCGCAAGACACCACGACGAGTTTGGTGACGAAGAGGTTGCGCAAGCAAGAGATCGGCAGTTGCGTCTTGCGGACCTGGGCATGGCGTAATTGTTGGGCCGTGCCTGGACAGCGGTGCGGGTGTTGTTTGGTGCTCGCTGTCCTCTTTGGATGGGAGCTGAATTGGAAGGTCGATAAACACCTATATAGATCGATGTATGTCGGCAGATGGGGTCTGCGCGGAGAGGTTACAATCTGACCGATTCGCGTCTCATAGATTCGTCAGGATCCACCCTTGCAGTTGCAACAACACCCACATCCACCGTTTCCACCACCGGCCACGACAGCCAAACACGGCACGGCCACAGCCGATAGTGAGGCGGCGAGCCAATCGCGCTCCGAGCAAGAAGCGTCTGACGCATTTCGTGGGGAGTTCCGCTCTCACTGGTCGCCTGCAGCTGCGGGCTTCAGCTGCGGGCTTCATCAGCGTCGCAGGGCTCGTCGGTTGGTGTATCAGCGCCGGGGAGAGGGCCAAAGCTGAAATAAAGAGCCTGGGCCCAGACACTCGTCACACGGCGCAAGCCTCTCTCTCAACCTCAACCTCAACCAGCGCGCGTCTACCGTCAGAGAGTGACCGCATTTATTACTAGCATCCGTCACTCTGACTCTTCTCCCCTGGGCACTGGACCACTGGATCCCCGACGTACCACCACCACCACTCCGACCTGTAACTCCCTGGTTTCTTCTCTTGCCCCGAAACGAGAATCCACCAACGGGAGCTACGGGAAGCCCCTGTGACATCCTCTAACAGGCCCCTTGTTGGCCCTCCGGCCTGCGAATAGAGGCTAGATTTTTCTGCCCCGGAGACAGTCCCAATCCAGCAGATCCCAGAAGCGAAGGCCGGAATCTTGGCCAAGTCCCCGAATCTGTTACAGTTGGTGAGCCTCCCCAAAAGACCCCTAGATCCCGTCTCGTCTCATCTCATCTCACCCGTGACCCCGGACCTTTGTCTCTTTTTTCCTTCTCCTCTTCTTCTTCCCTTCTCCTCCGTTGCTGACCGGAATTCCCGCCTCCCAGCCCAGCCTCAATTATTAATAACTACTCGCATCATCCCACCGACCCGCCACGCACAGAAGCCGGTCTTCGGGGCCCGCGGCGTGCCATTCGATCGCTATCGTCAGCATTCACTAATTATCTGATCCCCCATTTTTCCTTCTTTCGCTAGTCGACCAAGCTGCGCAGCGCCAGACGCCCGCGTACATACATTACGCTACCGGACCCCTAAGGAATGCCCACGGCTGAACGATAGCGAGAGATCGACGAAAACCACCCGCTTTCCCCACGATAAGGCCTCCAGCATTCGTCTGCGCGAGACGCACACCACCGCGGGCAATGGCGCCCTCGTACATCCAAGTCCCCTCGAGGGACGACGAGCAAAGAGTCGCTCTGGCGGCTCCGAAAAGTGCCCACATGGCCACTACGACGCTCCGCGTTGAAGGCATGACGTGAGTTCCGCCCTAGCTTAACTCCGACTATCCCGAGCTGCCGCCCGCGCCGGTTGCAGTCGACGAGCATAGTTTGGACATTATTAACAGGCATTCCGACAGCTGCGGCGCATGCACTTCCGCTGTTGAAGCTGGCTTCAAGGGCGTCAAAGGTGTCGGCAACGTCTCAGTAAGCCTCGTCATGGAGCGTGCCGTCGTCCACCACGATCCGCAGATCATCACCGCCGCCGAGGTCCAAGAGATCATCGAGGATCGCGGCTTCGACGCCGAAGTCCTCGCTACCGACCTTCCGAGCCCTGCCGTTACCCGATTCGCCGAGAGCCAGATCCAGGACGACGACGACGGCCTTGCGACGACCACCGTGGCCGTCGAGGGCATGACCTGCGGTGCCTGCACTTCGGCGGTCGAAGGCGGCTTCAAGGACGTCCCGGGAATCAAGCACTTTAGCATTTCGCTGCTCTCCGAACGAGCTGTTATTGAGCACGACCCGACCCTTATATCCGCCGAGCAGATTGCCGAAATCATCGAGGACCGTGGCTTTGGAGCCGAGATTGTCGACACGGTCAAGGCGGAAAAGTCGTCCAAGGCTCCCGAGCGCATGAGCAATACTGCCACCACTACAGTGGCCATCGAAGGCATGACTTGTGGCGCCTGCACCTCGGCCGTGGAAGGAGGGTTCAAGGGCGTTGACGGCGTCTTCAAATTCAACATCAGCTTGCTCGCTGAGCGGGCCGTCATCACCCACGACGTCACAAAACTCTCCCCGGAACAGATTATCGAAACGATTGACGACCGGGGATTCGATGGGAAAATCTTATCCACTCAATTCACCGACGACCTCCAGGGTGGATCTTCAAAATCATTCTTCAAATTATTTGGCGCCTCAGATGTAGCTACGGCACAAGCTTTGGAGACTGCATTGCTGGGGCTGCCTGGTATTGACTCTGCGTCAGTCAACTTGGCCTCGTCCCGTCTTACCGTTGGCCACCAGCCTGATGTCATCGGTCTGCGAGGGATCGTCGAGGCTGTAGAAGCCCATGGTCTCAATGCCCTCGTCGCCGACAACCATGACAACAATGCCCAGCTCGAGTCTTTGGCCAAGACGAGAGAGATTAATGAGTGGCGGACCGCCTTTCGTACGTCACTGGCCTTTGCGATCCCCGTCTTCATCATTGGCATGATTCTGCCCATGTGTACCACCAAACTCGATTTTGGTGCCATTAAACTGTTCCCTGGTCTGTATCTTGGCGATGTTATTTGCCTGGTTCTTACGATACCCGTCCAATTTGGTATTGGAAAACGATTTTACATTTCGGCCTACAAGTCGGTCAAGCACGGTTCTCCCACCATGGATGTACTAGTCATCCTTGGTACGTCGTGTGCCTTTTGCTTTAGCATTCTGACCATGGTTGTATCATTGGTTGTGCCTCCCCACACGAGGCCGAGTACCATCTTCGATACGAGCACCATGTTGATCACCTTTGTCACTCTTGGCCGTTACCTTGAGAACAGTGCCAAGGGCCAGACTTCGAGAGCTCTCTCTCGCCTCATGTCGCTGGCCCCCTCGATGGCAACCATTTACGCGGACCCCATTGCGGTCGAAAAGGATACTGAACGATGGGCCGCCTCCAGGGTCCCGGAGACTCCTAAAGCATCTGAAGCAACAGCGGGAACACGCGCCTCGGCGTATGAAGAGAAGGTCATTCCCACGGAGCTGCTACAGCTGGGTGACATCGTTGTCATTCGACCTGGTGACAAGCTTCCTGCCGACGGAGTTCTCATACGCGGCGAGACTTACGTCGATGAGAGCATGGTGACTGGTGAGGCTATGCCTGTGCAGAAACGAGCAGGAGACAACATCATTGGCGGCACCGTCAATGGTGATGGTCGGATCGACTTCCGAGTCACCCGTGCCGGCCGCGATACGCAGCTCAGTCAGATCGTCAAGTTGGTTCAGGATGCCCAGACCACTCGTGCGCCGATCCAACAGCTCGCCGATACCCTTGCTGGTTACTTCGTCCCTACAATTCTCATCCTTGGTCTCGGAACCTTTCTTATCTGGATGGTGCTCAGCCATGTGCTGCCGAACCCTCCCAAGATCTTCCTCCAGGATGCCAGCGGCGGCAAGATCATGGTCTGTGTGAAGCTCTGCATCTCTGTCATTGTCTTTGCTTGCCCCTGTGCGCTTGGTCTGGCCACCCCAACCGCCGTCATGGTTGGTACGGGTGTAGGTGCCGAGAATGGCATTCTGATCAAGGGCGGCGCGGCGCTGGAGAGGACCACCAAGGTGACGCAGATCGTTCTGGACAAGACCGGTACCATTACCTATGGAAAGATGAGCGTTGCCGAGGTGAACCTGGATGCTGATTGGGAGGACAATGAGCGCCGACGGCGGCTCTGGTGGACCATCGTCGGGCTTGCGGAACTGGGCAGCGAGCACCCCGTGGGCAAGGCCATCTTGGCTGCTGCTCGACGCGAGCTCGACCTGGACGTCGGCGGCACCATCGAGGGCAGCGCTGGCGAGTTCAAGGCCGCTGTTGGCAAGGGCATCAATGCCCTGGTTGAGCCGGCCACAGCGGAGCGCACTCGTTACCGTGTTCTCCTCGGAAACGTAGCGTATCTGCGAGACAACCGTGTCGAGATCCCTGAGGACGCCATCGAGGCCTCTGAGCACATCAACTCGGCCGCCAGCAAGGCTCCCTCTACGACTCCCTCTGCCGGAACCACCAACATCTTCGTCGCCATTGACGGTCAGTACACCGGTCACCTCTGCCTGGCCGACTCCATCAAGGACGGCGCCAAGGCGGCCATCGCGGTCCTCCACCGCATGGGCATCAAGACGGCCATCGTGACTGGCGACCAGAAGTCGACGGCACTGGCTGTCGCTGCGGCTGTGGGCATCTCACCTGAGGACGTCTACGCCGGTGCTAGCCCCGACCAGAAACAGGCGATCCTCAAGCAGATCCAGGCCCAGGGAGAGGTTGTCGGCATGGTCGGTGACGGCATCAACGACTCGCCGGCCCTCGCCACAGCAGACGTCGGCATCGCCATGGCTAGCGGTACGGACGTTGCCATGGAGGCCGCCGACGTGGTGCTGATGCGGCCGACCGACCTCATGGACATCCCCGCGGCCCTGCACCTCTCGCGCAGCATCTTCCGGCGCATCAAGCTCAACCTCGCGTGGGCGTGCATGTACAATATCATCGGCCTACCCATCGCCATGGGCTTCTTCCTCCCCCTCGGCTTCCACATGCACCCCATGATGGCCGGCTTCGCCATGGCCAGCAGCAGCGTCAGCGTCGTCGTCAGCAGCCTGCTCCTCAAGACCTGGAAGCGCCCCAGCTGGATGGACGAGGCCGCCGCCGAGACCAAGGGCGGCCTGCGCTGGATGGGCGGCCGCGGCGTCGTCGGGTGGTTCCGCGAGACGTTCGGGAGGTCGAGAGGCGTCGGCAAAGAGGAGGGATACGTGCCGCTGGCCGATCTGGAGGCGGCCGAGGCGCGCGCTTGACAAATGTAGCATCCATGTGCGTGCGAGTTCTTGTCATGTAAAGATACAGTAGATACCTCTCGGCGTTGTAGAATTTATTATACGCCCATTCAAGTTTGAGTCAAAAGATATTCCAGATATTCCCAAGTCTACGTCGAGGGTGCAGCGCACCCTTTTCTACTCTCCCTCTCCGCCAACCCCTTATCTCGGTTCTGAGCCCACGTTGCGCAATTCGCATCACGGCGTGGAGTGGTTGTCGGGTGTTGCTCGGGTGGTGCTCGTATGTTGGGGTGGTGCGTGCTCGATTTGCGGTTTCGCATGTGGGAAGACAGCTACCCTATACATCTGTGTTTTGGTGGACATATGGGGTGAGAGTTGAGCCATCTATTTCTGGACCTTGTAATTTGTTGGCCGGTAGCATTTATCGATGCTCTTTAACGTGGCGCTACCTATGGTCATGAGCTTGAGAAATAATATCGCGAACTGAGGTGTAAGCACGAAGACTATCATTACGTTGCGTTCGTGTCCCTGACAACTAACCCCGATTTAGTTTCTAGTGTATAGAATTCCCCAATACTATTTTTATTCGAAGGATTCATCTGGACTACTATTATTAGCACTGCATATGTCCCAGATCCGCGTACCAATTCCTCGTATCGGACAACTACCGCGTAAACAAATGGGACACTAGACGCCAAGCTGCTGCAGTGTGAGTGGGCCGGAACCGTTGGAGTTCTGGAGCTTTTGAGCAACATCTATGCTTGGCTGAATGGTAACGCACTCCAAGGGCACTGAGTTTGAACAGACGAGATTATAACATAGAGGAAAACATTTCATTTTCAGCTTGTAACTCTAATCCGATAGTGCCCATTTTCTCGAGGCCTATACCATGTGTACTGTACACCCAACCGTTCTAAATCACGCAACTCCAGATCGTCCTTCAAGGAGCGAACATCAAAATCTCCTCATACACCACCAAGGGTACCCGTGAAGCCACATGGAAAGAAAAAAAAGGAAACACAGAGGGCTAGAAAATGCCACATCGCACAGGCCGTCCGTAATGATATCCAAAAAACCAAAATCCCCAGAGGAGAAAGGTTGAAGCGTGTCGATAGGTTAGACGCTTTAGCGTGCCGTGGATCTCCCCTGTGCTACCCTTCCTCGTGGGTGGTTGCGAGGGGAGTCCTGGTTTTCCTCACATGTCGTATTGTTTCGTTGCTCAAGTTGTCACGGCAATTTCTTCCGTGACTAATTAGCTCCCACTTTTCAGGAATGAGCATATGTGACTGGTAGTCTCTGAACTTCATTCTTGAAATCAAGCAGAAGCTGGCTGGTTGCCATCAACCTTCTCCTCAACTTTCTCCTCGGCTTTCACCTCGACTTTCTCCTCGACCTTTACCTCGCCATTCTGCTCGATTTTCTCCTCGATTTTCTCCTCGATTTTCTCCTCGATTTTCTCCTCAACTTGCCCCTCGACGTGCCCCTCGACGTGCCCCTCGACGTGCTCCTCGACTTGCTCAGTCGGGGCCGGGATCTCCTTCTCTCCGCCTAGGACATCGGCTTCGAAATCCTGGCACATCTCCTCAAAGTTCACCCACGTGCCACCGTGTTCGTCCGACCAAGCACCGCCCATTGGGTCGGTGAGGGTTTGCGCGTCTGGGTAGGTTGTCTTGTGCACCCAGTAGCGGCCGCCGATTAGCTTATCGGATATACGGTTGTCAAGCTGTAGCTTTTTGACCGAGGCCTTGACGAGGGATCGAGCAAAGGGATAGAACCAAAACTTGGTGTACTGGTCCTCGATGACAGCCTTATCTCCCGTGACGTGCCAGAGGGCCCAAATATGCTTTGTGACGAAGTTGGTTCCCAGGAAGATGTTGCGGATCCAATCCTTGGATGTGGAGCCGGGATGCGCCTCGGGGATGCTGTCGTAGATTTGGCTCAGGGACTCCTCAATCCGCTTGGGCATCTCGATCGGGTAGGGCTTGAACTGCTCTCCCTCTGAGAATAAGTCCTTCGACATTGTGGCGGTGGGGGTCTCCGTGCCAGTATAGTGGATCCAGTCGACGAATCTCTCATATCCGGCCTTAGTCTGGAACATGGTAGACTCGTACTCAATTCCCACGTGGAATTCGACCTCCTCTTTCTTGTTGTAGACAGTGGGGAGCATCCGGTCACTGGGACCGCCGGGAACATTGCCATCTTTAGCCAGCTTCAAGGATCGGAAGTACTCCTGTCGCCCCCAGACGTTGGCAAGGTAGAACTGATCCGAGTCTTTGTACATGTTATCGGGGTTCCAGCTGTTCATGATCTCGTACATGGTGGCGGAGATGTAGGCACGCATGTGGCCAGCAGGTCCGATAAGAGTACCCGAGTTCAACCACTTAGGAAGCATGAGAGTCATCTCGCCGTTGTTCGTCTTGGGGCCAAACGCCTTAGCGGGCAGGGTGGAGTCGGGGACGGCCCAGCAGCGCGGAGCCTTCCAGTTGATGGGCCAGCAGATCTTGTCGGGACCAAAGAAGAGAGTGGTCTGGAGGTTCCCCTCATAAACCTGATCGACAGTGATACCGAAGCGTTCTGCGGTTCTCTTATTCTCGCTTTCAACGACCTCGAAATAGCGCTCGAGCATGATGTCCGGGGGCAACTGGAGGATGATATCGTAGCCGTCAACAATGAGGACAATATCCTCATCTTCCTCGGGACCCAGGGAGTTCAGGTATCGCTCGATAGCGCGAAGCTTGGCAAGATGGGTGGCATGAGCATCGAGGAGACCCTGGCCGTTCCAGCCCATCAAGGCCGGGACGGGGTATTGGTTGGCGGCGCTGGAGACGAGATTGAAGCAGAGACGGCGGTTTTTGCCACTGGCGGGGATTAGATAGTGGAACTTGGAGGTCTTGACGGCATCCTCTTCGTCGGAGGCGGCATCTGGCACGGCAGAGGCGGTTTCCTTTGTCACGGCAGAGGCTGTTTCCTCTATCACGGCGGAGGCGGTGTCCTCTATCACGGCGGAGGCGGTTTCCTCTATCACGGCCGAGGAGGTTTCCGCTGGGGTGCTATCATCGGGGATGGCAGGGGCGTTGGAATTAGTTTCGTCGGTATTATCATCTTGTTTACCGTTGTCAGATGCGGAGGTCGGGTTGGGCTTGGCAGCCGCTGTCGTGGCTGGTGAGTCCTTGGCGTTGTCTCCGTATGTCGGAATGATATTTTTGAAGCGCTCCTAATGCAGAGGAAGCATTATAGTTAGCAGGCTGATGAAGTCATCGTGCGACATGCCCACAGAGACTTGGGTTTGTTGGCGCAGGGGACTCGAGGAGGTGTCGGAACTCACAGTATCAACCGCGGGGGCCGAGTAAAAGATGACGGAGATGACGAAGAGCAAACCAAAGGCGATGAACAGGTTTCGCCGTTGGGGCGATTGGCTCATCATGATGGCGGCCTATTGGCCCGGGGGGCTTATAATGGACGTCGGAAGAAGCGAATAAAGGAGTGAATAGGCACAAGGCAGACGCAAGAAAGGAATGGACAGGAGGAAAGAATTGGTAGCGAGCCAAAAACGGTTCAGGTCGTGGTCGCGATCGGAGGAGGGGTGAAGGAGAGGACGGGTATTTAGGTCCCGAAAACGCGGAAGAGCGAGACGAGCGACAGGGGAGTGGAGACGAAGAACGAAAAGCTAGGCAGGGGAAAGGAGAGGGAAGGAGGAGGGAGGAAGGACAGAGGAGGCAAGGGCTGGCTCGAGCGACAGGGAAGGAGAAGATCAAACTCCAGAGGCGGAGTAGCGCAGCGCAGCGGAAGCAGGAAGGATGGGAAACTGACAAACGCTAACTAACCACTCCGCGCATGTGGGTTGAAGCTGATAAGTCGTGGCGTTGGCGGTAGTGTCAGCAACGGACAAGGGCTAAGGACATAAGGATGCGCAGGGTCACCACAGGGCTACTATGGGACATAGCATGCATTAGAGCCAGGGGTACAGGGCTGGGGGCGAAGGAGCATACGGTGGGAGAGGGTTCGACCAGGAAGATGTTGGTGAAAGGGCCCGCAGCCAAGATTTCAACGACGGCGAGAGACACTACAAGCGAAGGAAACGTGCTCCGAGGCAGCCTTTCGCCCGTCTCGCCCGCCTTTTCCCACCTTTGATGCGACGGTGCAGTACAGCACAGGCACAGAACCCCATGGGAGACAAATGCCGCCATGGATGGAGCGGCACGCGGGATAGGGGGGGGGGGGGGGCGCCAAACGACAGACGGCAGATTGGGAGGCGTGATAGGGAACCACTACGCGGAAGCTGAGCGACACAGTTATTAGCATATTGGCGCTACCCCGTCAGCCCGCGGAGGAGAAAGGACCAATTCACTGCTTGCCCATCCCACCTAAACTTCTGGGCGGCATCGGCCACATTGGCTGGCGCACCCCCTGGAAATGGCGGATGCAACCCACGATGTGTGTCGAGTGTCCCCAACTGTTAGTTGTTAGTGAGGTACACGGCGCGGGCAGCATCTAATTCAGGAGCCATGCCAAGACCCAACTTGCCCTGTTTCTGGCGTACGATCGCCGTCATGCCAAGCACTGCCGGCGCTTGTCATACCGGTAATACAACAGAGTTTCTGCCGCCGTTGGGATGGTTGATGTCAGGGTTTCGGCAACTGACCCCGCGTTGTCTCTCCCGCGTCTTTTTTGTCTCTCTTTTTATTTTATTTCCCTTTTCTCTTTAATAACGACTATCGACGTTCCGCGGGCCCCAAGTTTTCTAGCAGCCGCCTAGTAGCGAATAGTCCCGACGCTGCCCCAGTCATTTCCGCCCCTGTCCGCTGGCTACCCCTGACGCTTTGCCCTCCAGTCCCTAGTCAGCCCGCCCGCTGAGCGTCGGCTTCGATCCTCCGAGTGCTCCGAATGCTCCACTGGAGGGGCCAACTTTTATCTTCAGGTCCCCCGGTATCTGTCGCACCGAGAGCACCAACACCACCACGCGCAGGGGGCGTCCTGGTTGGATGGCAGGATGCTTTTAGCACGTCAGCGCTAGCCTCTCTCCAACGGCCGCGTATGTACTCAATAGAGTAGTGTATGGCCTAAACGCGTAGCGGAATCCCCGTCATCATGTTAAGTTTGACCAACTTCAGCCCACCCACTTGGGCTGCGAAGCACTTTCAGCCCTCAGCCCGCCTGCTGCAGGCCCGTTGCAAGCTCACTCCAGCCGTCACCCACTAACACTCAAGTTCCATTTGATTTCACGCCTTGGCCCAATCAATAGTCCGCTGTGCCAAGGCCCGCCGGCGCCTCCATGCATTCAGCCCACTAATTATCACAGCACCCACTGTTACAATATTATTCCTTCAGAATCCTCCCAATCCTCCAATCCTCCATCCTGCCGATAGCCGCTGGTGCCTTTCTCTGCGATTACTCCGTACACTTGGCATTGTTGCCATGCTGACACGCAATACGCACCATATCCGGCGTAGTTGCCGACTAAGTACCCCTTTCTTGGCACGCTTGCTTGGCCGATACGCTACGCGCGCCATCATATTCCATGAAACATATCCTCCCGAAAGTATGTGCTGTTTCCAGTCCAAATGGGGGTTTAATTATCGACTCTGCAATATTGTAGTTAGCGCATGGCACTAACCTTTCGCCGCAGAAAGAAAACCCCCTGGCTGAAAAGGAAAAGGAGCATCTAAGTTACCGCACTCGCTAAACTCTGCACTGGACTCGCAACGCATGGTGGTGATTCTTGTTTCAGGTTCCCACCACATGTACTACGATGTCTAGACGACTTGAGCATTGAGCACCTTGTCCGACAAACCCGCCCAGCCCTGCTGCCCCAGTTTAAGTACAAATTGCATTCTCTGGGTGGTATCGTCATGACATACCCCCCCCAGTCAGCAGCCGTATCCAATTAGCGTCGCTGGTGCCGTCACGGGTCACTAGCGAGCTTGTACCAGATTGATGGGTTTGTCAAGATGCTGTGGAGACGGTTTCACATGACACCAGGCCATCCATCCACCAAATGCTTCAAGACACAGCACGTCTATCTCACGCGACCCATTATTAACGCTCTAGTTCTCACGCGGTCACATATAAATATGTTGCTTCATGACTTGCTTGGTGGTTGGCTATCTAAGGTCGAAGTTAATCTGTCCCCTCCCTTCCCAACATTCTCCATCCTGCTAACGAACGGCAACTGCCTAGAAATGGTATCTGAAATCTAACCGCGTAAAAGGAGCGTTGTAAAGGGCTGCAAATACCCCAAAGCCCAAAAATGTCCAACGTCTATAAAAGTGTCCATCTGTGGAAACTGTCAGTAACGTATCATACGACATGATAAGGGAGCTTTCTCTTACACTAGAACTAAACCCATATCACTAAATGAGATGATCGTCGGTCCAAGTGGACCCTGTGTATCGTGAACGAGGCCAACAAAGACGGGGGTGCCCGGTTATCGTACTCATCAAAGGAAACGAAATAAGCCGCATGAAGCGATGACGTTGAAGCGATGAACGTGAAAGAAAGAATATCCCAACGATCATAGAATAATGCGATGTCTCCTCAGAATTTCCTCGTACACCGTAACCTTCTCGGTCTTGGTATCGAGGATGCTGCATAGGCCGTTGTACCGTTCTTGCAATTCCTCGTACTTGGCCTTCCAGAACCGGCGCTGGTTGGTCCAGTATTCGATTTCCCTGGTAAGCTCCGAGACTCGTCGGCTCACCCCTTCGTCGATTTGTTTCGACAGCTCGTGCAGTCTGACCCGGAGGTCCGAGTTCTCGTCCTTGACATGCTGGTTCTCCTTCTCGAGCTTGGAGACCTTGTGTCGTAGCTTCGTAATTTCGCGATGGGTGCGGGCCGACGAGCCACTGGTGTTGTCGATAGAGCGACGGAGGGCATCGTTATCGGCGGCGAGAATCGCAACTTGCTCCTGAAGTTGAGGCACAACGGTGTGGTTTAGATGATGAGCCTCAGCTTGGGCTACCGAGAGGTTTGCCCTGAGGGTATCATTCTGAGCGCCAAAGGCCTGGTTTGCCTCCTCCAAGGCACGATTACGCTCCGCAAGCGCCTTCCATTCCTCCCGACTGACTGTGTAGTAATCGCAGCTGTGTCGGTGGTTGTGGTGGCTGTAAGATCGGGAGCGTTTGATGGACACAAACTGCGGTCGACCTTCGGCGTCCGTGTCGACGTAGCACCGCCTGGACATTTGGAAGACTTTGGAGGGTTCGATGTGGAAACTGATTGGATCGGCGGCGTGATGCCGCGGTTGTAGAAGTTACCCTGGGTGGCGAAGAGAGTTGAAAGGGCGATGGCTAGCTAGAACTCAAAGGTGTGTAGTTCCGAGAGAGTTGACAAGAAGACAAAGAGGACGGAATGAAGAGAGATGGTGAGGGCAGATGGTGAGGACAAGGGAGAAACCGCAAGAACGGGTATTTGAGAAGTGGGACTCGAGACAATCAAGTAGTGAGTGGCCTCGAGAGCACCCTGTTACGTTTGTATACCGCTGACGTGAACGATTGTCTTGGGACGGATCCGTCAGAGAAAGAAGGCTGGATGAAGAGGCACTAGACTAATGCAGGTGATCAAAGAAGGTGAGCAGCAGTGTCCTCGCGAATGGAAGCGCGGCTGTGGCTCGAGCGGGAGCCTCATTCTTAAATGGCACTCGCCAGGGCCCTCATGGCCCTCATCTAGGCACTCGCCTGGACGAGGCAGCCAAGTTGTCCAGTTGCCACCGGAGTGGGAAGCAAAATGGACGAGGAACAAGCACGAGGCTGGGGCAGATGGCAGCCAAAACTGGAACCAGGTGCAAGACAGGACTATGTTGGTTGTGGCTTGGTAGTCCTGGTGGCTCGATGGACAAGAGAAGAGTCATTTCGGAGAGAAGACAGGGCCAACGGGGCCGAGATGGGGGCCAAAGTAGGGGGAAAAGTGTACCAGTGCGAGTCTCCAGGCGCGGGTCCAGGAGGGTGGGATACGGAGAGTTTGGGTGATGGTGGTCAACCATCTCAATCCCGACGTGGTATTCGCACGTCTGGGCTGAGTGGGCTCCACGAGGTGAAGTGGCTGCGAGGCGCGCGTGGCCCTCCATGTCTCATCAGAACGAGGTCATTCTGGGAGAGGGAGAGGGAAGCAGACAAAGAGCAGAGAGACAAAGAGACGAGGTGGATGGAGCATGACATTTTTAGATGGACAAAGAGGTGGTTCGCCTGTTGCCATGGTGCTCGATTTTAATGCCACTTGGCTGGGAGGCGATCTGCATGGGCGGTAGTTGCGCGAACGGGACGATGCGCGTCAACGAAGCCCTACGCGGCTAATGCGAGTCCATGACCGACAGCTCTCCTCGTCTTGGGGATGAGATTGGTGCGGCGGGAATGCAGTCCTTCGGCAGAGCCCGGGGCACCACTGCGGCATGGGCGAACCAGTCGGCCGTGCGTGATGGCGTATGCGCGTGTGCCTGTCGCGGCGTGGGCGATGAGGCATGTGTATGGTGGATGGAGATGCAAGCCGTGGTGGTTGTGGAGGTTGTGTAGGTTCGTTCCTGGGGCGTCAGCCGGCGCGCGCGTGGGGTGGTGGTGGTGTGGTGCAAGTCAAGCGACCTGCAGCAGGTCCCCACCGTGCGCGCGGGACTGTCATGCGGACGGCTTACGGGCAGTGAGACCAAACGGCGCCATGTGAGCAAGGTAGAGCACAGTGCTAACACGGTGCCAATCCAGCCGTTGCATCACCCGCCCCGATCTGCTCCAGCGGCCTCCAGCAATTCGCCGGGCTGAGCCACTCGCTCTCGAGCTTCAACCTCAACTCATCGCCTGTTGGTTGCAAACTCCAGACGCAGCCCTCTTCACCACGGGACCCTTGCAGCCTGCAGCATAGCCCGCCGGCCTGGATCGGTGACCTAATGCAAGGCAGCCGGGTTTCCCTGCGAGTCATCTACGTACTGTCTACTGTGCTAATGTCGACAAATAGGACGGGTAGGACTGCAACGCGGGAGAACTTTGGCCAGCTTCTTTCAGGCTTGGTTCCAGGAGTCTCTCCCAACTCTAATATCGCTGACATCTTTGTTCCAGACAAATTCACCATTTGTACCGGTGCACGGTTGGTTCTCCCATCTGTGCTCGTGCCGTTTCAGCATGCACCTCTCTTACACATCTGTCCCAGCTTCAGCTTCAGCCTCAGCCTCGCTCTCTCTCACCCTCTTCCGGGATATCCCACCCTTACAGCTCAGCCCCGACTTACAGGCTGCAGCAGCGGCCGCGGGACGGCGCGATATGGTCTACGGCGTTCCCGAGGGTGCCGCATCAGCCTCCTTTCTGTAGACTTATACTGAGAAGGTGGCGACCAGCTTCCACATCTTTCTACGAGGACATCGTCATTGCCATCACATTCTTGTTGACCTGAACCACCATCACTACGAGAAACGGCCCCCAATCTTTCCAAGACTCAGTGGTAACTTCTACGACCTTCTTCTCTACGGCTGCCTCTCTGGAGGCATCCAAATCTGCAAAAACTCCCCCTCCACTTACATGGTAATTCCCCATGCTTCCCACGGACTCCGACCCTCTCTGTTCTCGCCCCATCCGACTCGCCTTTCACCGTCCCCGTCTCCCCCCCTCTGATGACCTCCCCATCCCGTCCCCCTCCGCCGATATCCTCGACATCCAGCCTCATCCTCTCCAGCATCCGGTCCGAGTCTATATCCGCTCGCCCGGCATCTACCATGTTCAAAGCACCATCCTGTGTCCTCGATGACCCGGTTACAGCATCCAACTTGGCTACATGCGTGTCCATCGCAGAACTGCCCTTCGATGCCGTGGTCCATATTTCGTCGACAGCTAGGAATTGATGACTTCCTCGTTCTGTGGCATCCCGAGACAACGCACCTGTGGTTACCGCAGTACTCGAACGAGGGTGCCCGAGGATCCCGGCATTCTCTGATTTCACAGACATGGTATTCGCAGTATCGTGTACCTCGCTCGACAATGCGGCCGCACCTCGTTCTGTCGTCGAAGCCCAGGCACAGCCCGTAGTAGTCGCCTAACCGGTCAACAAAACGCTTTAGACTTGATTTCGTAATTGAACTTACCATCCTCGCGCGTAGCAAAAGTCGTCCCTCCTGGCGTCTGTCTTCGCCTCTCATATCCACCTTCGCGTCGCTGGTGATCCTCGCAATGTCGATTTGTTTTCGCCTCCGCCTCACACCTATCAACGACACACTCATGATACGGACAATACTCTCTCCCAATCCTCTTCATGTGGCATCCTTTGGTCTTGCACCCATGCTCCTTGCAGTACAGCCCTGTCGTCGACTCCCTGCCCTTCATACAGCCCGCCTCGCTGCACGTATGCTCCCGGCAATGCGCCGCGGCCTCCCGCTCATTGCCGCAGTCTGAAAACTCGCAGTAGTGCGCGCCGCAAAATGGCGATGGCAGGCCGTTCTCGCGGACGTGGCAGAAACGGTCGCAGTAGAGCTTTAGGCACCGCCGGTGTCGCTCGCAGAAGCGTACCGGATCGCCGAAGTCGCCGCCTGACACGAAAGAGGCACAGTGAGTATCATCGCAGGTGTGTGTCCTGCAGAATGGCCCTGTTCCTTTAGGGTTGCGGCAGTTGTCGTGATCGCAGCGGTGGTCGTTGCAGAACTGGAAGTCCTCGCCGTTTTGTCGCACTCGTGAGTTCTCGCAACCGGGAGAGGCACAAAGATCTGGTTCCTGAGTCTTAGTTTAATATCATACGGCCATGCTTCTAGACGTACGGAATTCTGTGCAAAAGCTGTAGATCCCTGGGTTCCCATCCTTGACGTTCATGCTGCATCTGATCCCGCTCTCAACCGCGGTACATCTCATATCTACACCCCATTAGCAAACTGCCGGCTCGGGCTATTCTTCGACTTACGCTCGCGGCAAAACGCCTCTCGAGGAAACTTTGCTATCGGACAAGCCCTACGGCCATCCGCTTTCCAACATGCATGGTACCGACAAAACTGCGAGACGACAGTCTGACCGTCGATCCTAAGTCTTGCCGGCGTGTTACGGCAGATGGTCCCAGGAGCTGCACAAACAGGTTCCAAATTCCGACGAGGATTGCAACGCTGATAACCGCAAGGGTTGGGCCGCATTGGTAGCATGTTGGCGGCTTACGATTGTCAAGAAGTTTCGATATCCTGATGTCCTAGGAAATATACTGGGAGTGTAGCTTGAGGACTTATAGTCAGGGCAGCATGTCTAGCTTGGCGGCTCAAAGTGTCGGTTGACCGCCAATGGTACGTCACGCAAGCGAATGAAACGTAACACTACATCTAGTTGCTAGCAATGTGATGAGACATCAAGGGGTTAGTATTCATAGGATGTTATCACGCGAGGCAATTACGGGAGCCAGCATAAACGAAGCTGCAAGGAGCCATTTCTCAAGTAACGCAGTTCTCGAGATGGTCATCATGTTGCCATAATTGATTGTCTAACTGCAGTTATGCGCCTTGGTGAGCTTTGGCCCATCATACTCCTAAATCGTGGTATCATTCCATGCAAACACTTTTTCCGCCGCCGAGGCTTTAATCCATGTAGCCCCCTCCCCATAGTTGTGGCCGCTGAACCTCGGGTACAAAAGTCTATATTTGGCTGCCCAGAGCCATAAGCCGGTATAGAAGGCACTATCCATAGTGCCACCCTGGTATCAATTCAAATCGAAGAGAACAAGTCTATAAATGACTCAAGGGAAGTAGAAACACGCCCCCGGAGAAAATCGCGTTGTGTGACGAAAAAGCGTCGGGCTACATCACAGAGACTCAGCCACGGCAGCCTGGAGGCCTTGCAACAAGGCTGCCTCGGCGGCATTGTCGTGTACGTCGACCAGGGATTCTAACCCAGAGGCGTGTGACACCATATGCCCAGGTTGGGCTTGCATAGGGGCAGAGGGCGCCTGATAGGTAGGCTGTGAACTCTGGGAGTGAGAGTAATGTGTATGTTGAGGTTGTGTATGTTGGGATGCCATGTTTGGAGTAGAATGTGGTGTTGGGGTGTGATGCGGTGATGAGTGATGAGTTTGCCCCACTGGTGTAGAAGCTTGAGATCGGGCTGGTGTCCCGGCCTGTGGTTGCACGGGAGTTGGCATAGCCAAGTGAGTCTGCTGCTGCGATTGAGGTCGTGGTGTTTGGGGGGGTAATTGCGACTGCGGACGAGGAGGAGGCTGTGCCACTGATTGAAGGGCTTGTTGCGTCGTGGCCAGCATCCCCGTTCGGGCTTGCGGTAAGGAGGATGCCGGGTATCCCGATGTAACGGGAGAAGCGACGGCGTGTTGCGACGCTCCGTGGTGAGCTGAGTGCTGCGTCGAAGCGGCTTGCGCAGCACTTGCAGCTTGGGCCGGTGTGACGACGCCTGGTCCGACTGCACTGGCAGCATTTCCCGTGGCTCTACCTTGAGGGTTTTGCAGACCGCCAGCCAAGGTCATGATGCCTTGTATCCTGGCCTGCTCCTCCTCCGAATTCATCCTTGCCCGCTCTTCCGCTTCCTTTCGAGCAGCCTGGGTAGGAGCTCGCGTCTTGAGCTCGCCAGTGACGGCTTGTAGATAGTAAGGCATTTCGGAGTTCGTCTTGAGGAAGAACAGCTTGAGGTTTCGAGCCTTGTCCTTCAATTGGACCTGGGTTCGATCTTTGAGTATATCGGATATGGTGCCGTTTTGGCCAAAGAGGGTAAGTATTTGGCTCCAATGTGGGCCCTTGACCATATCAAGACCAGCCATGAGTGCCTTTTCTTCCTCCTGCGTCCATGGCCGGCGAGTAGAGTGAAGGCCTTCTCTTCGAGTGTGCGCTGATGACTTCGAGAGGGCTGCTTGGCGGGCTTTGTCATATAGTATGGCGCTGGGGAATGTCTGGTTGGGAGGTAAGTTTTCGCCAGGACCTGGAGGTGGAGGTTGAGGCTCAGGCACTTGTTGTGTGTATGAGTAGTATGGGTGCTGAGACTGGACCTGTTGTAGCTGGCTTAAATATGACTGGGCTGCCATGTTCTCGGCTGTGGAGAGCGTTAGTTGTGCTTTTGGGCACATCTCGGGGTAACTCACTGGTACTCGTGGGTACAGTCGGCTGATAGGGCACAGGCGATAGCCCGTGCAATGTCGTCTTTACGTAGTTTGAAGTGCTCTCCGCAACCAGAGCCTCCAACTCCTTGTAATCGGTCATCAAGTCCACCTTGCCATTTGTTTGTGGGGTTGCGGCTTCGACCTTCGGGGGGCTCTTGGGAACTTCTGGAGGTTCGTCGACGGTCTCAATAACGGGAGTAGGTGCAGGTTCCTCTTCCGTCAAGCCAGCCAGAGCGTTCTGGACGAGCCCGGATGTCGTCTTTTCAAAGAACGAAGATAGATCATCCAAGTCGAGATCGCCATCGTCGGGGCCATCGGGGAGAATGTCGAGAGCGGCTTCGACGCCGGATGGCATGGAAAGACCTAGTCTGCTCCCAAGATCTGATATTGAGGCTACACGGCCCCTGGCGTACATGCTGAAGGTGCGGAGCAAGTCATCGGCGGGGTACCTTTCCTTCAGTGTAGCTACTATAACGTTAGACAAGGTCGCATGCAACGAGAGTGGTCCGAATCTTACCAGTCTCCAATTGGGCATCGATTAAGAGGGCGTCTCTTCGTGATCGAGCAGAGGAGACAAACTCCTGATCCGAAGGTGTTAGCTCGAAGCCGCCATGCAGGCCACGCATCTCCTCCTCCAGCCCATCGACGAAAACCCCGTTCAACAATTGCTCGATCTGTTGATTCGGAGCTCTGGCTAGGATTGATTCAATGGCTAATTGAGTCTTGAGCGAAAGGTACAGCTCGATAATTTCAGTACCTAGGTGAGATATTTGGTCTGGGAATATAGCATGGAAGTGTTGATGAGCTTCCCTGTACAACTTGAAACTGCCGTCGAGCAACCAGAGGCCAAACTGAGCTAGGTTCGCCAGACCTAATATCGTACGCGATTCATCGTCTTGGAGATCGACTTCAATGGAGGATAGGATGGAGCTGGTCGAGTAAATTTGCTTGATCTGCTCGAAAGAGGTCTGCAGCTGTCGGAAAGATTGGGAGTGTTGGGAATCGGTTTCCCGGATGGGTTTGATCGAGTCGTCAAAGGATTGGGAGAAGACGAGGATAATCGAGATGGCCTGTTCGGCGAGGTGAGCGCCCGCTCGGAGTCGTTGCGAGGTGGTTCCAACCTACCAAATTCCCCAGCGCATTCCGGCTGGCATTGCGCAAATACTTTTGAGGGTCGGATAGAAACGTGACGGAGATTTGGGGGAGGGAGTCATCTGGGACAGGTACGCTGTCGACGTCCATGGGGTCAGGGGTGGTGTGAGCCATGTCGGCGTCCTGGGTGAACTGATTCACCAGATCGCCGACGTTGGAGAGCGCATTCTGAACAAGCAAGGCAAGGCCGTCTTCTAGCGACTCCTCGGCGCCGTGATCGTCCTCGAACTCGTTATCGTGGGTGGTTTCGTCCTCGGTCTTGACCCTCTTTGAGGGGTCATCGCCGTTGGTCATGTCCTCGAAAGGTCGTTTCGTCGCGGCCTGGAGGGCCAACTCCAAGTCGAGCCCATCGAGGATGTTGGGCTCTTGCTTGATGCCTAGATGCGAACCTGTCAGCGGGGTTGCGCCGAGGCAATCTCGAGCGAGGCCGTCGCAAGTTGCGCTGGGCATTCCGGGGGTGGCGGGAGACGGGAGACGGGGAGACAGGTGATTGCTACGCACCTGGTGGCGACATGGCCGCGCCCAGGTCGGGCTGCGGAGGCTCAGCCATCATGACGGCGTCGTTAGGACATAAGCCAGACACAGCGCGAGGATCGTGGAACGGGAAGGGCAATTCGGCGCAGCAGCAGCAGCGGCGGCGGCGGGCGTCGTCTTCGTGAGGCGGGATGATGAGGTCCGGGAGAAAATTTGCTGAGTCAGTCCGACGGCTGCCCTTATTTCTTGCCCCAAAACTCAGATGGCTGAGATACACAATCGGCACGGCGAAATCGGTCAAAATTTATTGGCGCCGGGAAAAGGCAGAAGCGGCAGCGCTGAGGACGTCTATGGCTTCTGCGAGGCGGTCGGATATCAATTCTTTGGTCCAATTGTCTTTTTTTGCTTGTTTGAAGCCGTTGTCGTTATCTCGAACCAGAGCAATCGTTGCAAGCTTGCACGTGGTTTGAAGCCATGGCGGTGGTCGGCGGGTATCAGTGCCGACAAGGTCCCAAAACGGCAATCACTCCCAAGTGCGCCAGACACGCGGGCGGCCGTTGGTTGGCTGAGACAACTCAATCCAGCTCGAATGTTTAATTGATCCCTAAGACAATACCATCAAATCAGTCTAGAATTCGATGTCGATGACGTAGCATGAGCCTGAGCCTCAAATCCACTATTGATCTGGACCATGTGGCTTTCCACTTCTGTATCAAAAGCGTATTGTTGGAGCTGATTGTTCGTCACGGTGGCCATAGCTCCAGAATGCTGGCTGGAAGACGGCACATCTTGATCTGGCCAGCAAGTGAATCACAGCCACTTGAGCTATTGAAGCGGGTTAGAGAAACAATAGAACAAAGTAGTCTCCCTCTTCCCGCTTCCTGGAGACAGGCATTCACTTCAACTAGCACTCCACCTGCGTCAAGCCGTACAGAAATGCAGTCAGATTTTGACCACAGCATGGCATGACCTGGGCTTCCCTATTAACATCCAACCATGCACCATTGCAGGAACAGATCTCTAGGAACAGGGAAGTGTTGTCCAATGGCCAGACCAAGTGCGTGGAGACTCCGTGGGGAAGATTGCCTGCCGAGCTTGATGACCACATTAGAGGCCCACTTATTATACATAGATACGTCTGAGTATACGAAGACTGGCGCAAGTGTGACAACCTCTCAAGGTTTAGGTACATACGTACTGACGGTACAGCATAGCGCAGTACATGGTAGTGTCTTTCAGTACCTAATGGACCCCTTAGACCTCTATAACTCAGTACCTACGTAATGTATCAAGTTTAGTTCTTATTCTCCTAAAATTGAGGGTTTAGTTAGGTGCTGTTGACCAGGCAGACTACAGAATACTGGTTTGTCTATTTCTAATTCCTAGAAGAGAGCTTCTGTCAGGCCTTATTGCTCCGCTGACCGGCCGCATGTAGTACTGTGTGGGGACTGCCTAGAACGAAGTTGTCAAACTTCCTGCGCCAGCCTTCGTAGAGTGAAGATGCTTGTTCTAGCCTTCCACGCCCTTACGAAGCCATGCTGACTCTCGCATGGGGGTCTCGGATAGACTGTTGATTGGATCGGTCGGTTTCAGGATAGAGTTGTAGCATAACTTGACTGCGAACAGCCACTTTGGAATAAGCTCTCGAATTTGAGTTCATTCCGTCAGGAAGATGATTGGTTTCTGCTTTCATCATTGGTCCTCATCACTCAGGCGGAATACGAGGCCTCCCACTGCTCCTCTGATGGTTTTGGATGACGACTTCCTGACATGGGTCGACTTTGATCATCTCACAGACAACAGGTTTCAGATGGAGGCTAATGGTGATTTTTCTCTTCACCTGGTTTGAGCAAACGTCCATAGACACCTAGAGTTAGCATAATCGCGCTATCACAGAAGGCAGTCGGTTGCGACTCATGCGAACGCTCCTTCCCACCCAGAAATACATCTCCACTGCATCCATGCGACATGGGTGTTCCGTTGTTCGCCTCCACAAGGCGGCTCGAAATCCCTAGAACCCATGATACTGAACATGCCCCTATCTACAACCTATCGCCCTATAAACATGGTTAACAAGTCACAATGCCAGACACATACCAGAACACCCTGGGGCAAGAGTGACCACCGCTACGATCATCGAATCCGCTACATCACCATGGGCACGCTCTGCATCGCCATCCTCACCGTCATCGTTGTGGCCGTTGTGTACATCGCTGGAGGTACAAGCCTCGACTGGGAAAACGCAGGGAATGCGAAGCAGAACATGACCGGTTCGGCGAAGCTCAAGGCACTCGGAGACGAGGTCAGGATGACAAGATCGTACCGCCCGCCATTTCACGCCTGCGGAGACCAGCTGCATGACTGCCAGGCCCACTCGAAGCCGGTAATACCTCAAACTGACGCTCGAGGGCGTTTTGCTGATGGTCATAGGGCTTTTGTTGCCCGCCCATGAAAGTTTGCTATGAGACGGAATGGTCACCTTCGGGAATATACTGCTGCGCCGACTCGGACGATTGTACCGCCTCGGAAGATCAGGTTCCGCAATGTGTCGCAAACACAACGCAGTGCGACAGAAAACTTGGCGGCGGATGCTGCGCCGAGGGCACGACGTGTTCTCCGGAGGGGTGCCTCATCAAGGTGGACTGGTCAACAAGTTTTGCGGGACAAATAGTTGGCCAAGGGGAGTCGAGCCTCGACGGGTCAGACGCGACGGCTGCTAGCGTGAATGCGAACTTGCGGGTGCAGGAGAGAGTTTCTACGACGAGTGGTAAGACTACCTACACGGGTGTCAAGTTTGGGGAAGTCGGTGTTGTCGAGTCGAACGGGTGCCATGAGGTTTCCATGTTGCGTGGCTCGACCATGGCTTTGGTATTTGCAATAACCGTCCCCTTGTTCACTCTCAACTCATGAGATGCGTTAGTACGACATTACTCAGACATGCTTTTTGTAGGGCAGGAGATAGATCAGAGAATGAATATTCAATGCGAGCCGCAGTGCGACCCTATATTGACAATTCTAGTCCGTCTTTGACTGGACTCTATCTATTGTGATCATTGTAGTGATCAGTCATGCAATCCATTGTGAGGGGATGCACCCCTCGTTCCAAATTCAATCATCCAACAATGTTGTCATCATTCACATGCCCATCCATTATCGTCATTACACCCGCCATCAAGAAGGGTATGTCCGTATTCTGTATGTGTGATGCACCCGTTCACCCAGGACCCAACAGTCCCGGTCCCATCAATGAGCAAGATGAAGAGGGTTGCTTCAGGAGCGTATATCCAAGACGTCTGTGTCGTCGGTGCCGTAAAGTGTATATCCAGAGGGAATATACATGAGGTCTAAATGCGTATATGTCAAGTTGAAGCCGTCGCCAGCGTTCCAGCCCGTATGAACCGCGGGACGGTGGGTATCTTTAGAAGAAAAGGAGCAAAAAATTGAAAAGAAAAAGAGATCTGAAGGGATTTACATCCAGACAGCGAAGAAGATCATGACAATGACGAGGGCGACGCTCATGCCAGTGATCTGTCGTCGACCTGATGCGGCGCTGCCATCCTTGACGACGTCGTCAGTGGATTCGGACTTGGTGAAGGTGGTCGTCTCATTGCCGATTAGGTAGCCGACAAGACTATTAGAGGAGGCTAAGTCGAGGAGGATGTTGATGCCGACATGAGCAACGGCCTTGACATTGAACGACGCAGCCTCGATGGGGGAGACGCCGAAGGTGCTGGGAGACAGCTTCTCCACTAAGCGAGGTGGTGAGTCGCGATCGTCTGACGTGACCAGACGGCGGTCCTGTGGGGGTAGTTGGGATGCGATTCCTGGTCATGTCGTCAGTGCCAAGAACGCGGGCAGCTGGATCAGGTGAGACAAGGTGTCTTGAACATACCGTTGGAGACGAACGCTGAGGCATCGGCTACGAGCGCCTTGTTGCTAGAGACGTGGACTGGGTTCGGTGCGAGGGCGAGAGCGACTGAGGCGAAGATGCAGAGCAGCACGGCGAAGCGCAATGCCGATGTGGAAGCCGGTCGCATTGTTGTTGTTGTTGTCGTGGTTGCTGCGAGGGGGATGCGACGAGATGAGGCCAGGTGAAGATTTGCGCGGGCGGAGGCGTGTAAGTGCAAGTGAGCTCGCTGGCGAGTCAGGTAGCTTCGGGGGCGGCCAGCAAGAAAAGCTTCGCAATGGCTGGAGTGTCTAAAAATTGCGCAAGCTGCGACGATCCAGTATTTGGCGGAGAGGCGAGAGGGCGAGAGGGGTTCGCGACTGAGGCCCTGCTCAGCTCGGACAGAAGCTGGTCCAGATCGGAAACGACAGTGAGAGGGATGGTGGTGGCAGTGGAGGCAGTGGAGGGCTTGTTGTAGTAGTGGGTTGTAGTGGTGGTGGTCCTTGTAGTGGTGGTGCTTGATGACGAGTCCAGGGGAATATGCGACCAATGCGGCCAGGCGCGCGCGCGGGAAAGAAAAATCGAAACGAAAGAGACAGCTTCGGCCGCGCAAGCAACTTGGGAAGCAAAAAAGCTAGTTACTGCAGACTGACGACGAACGGGGGGTGGCTGAGAGATGGGATCCTGCTTCCTTCCCCGGTCCCTTGTTTTTCCCCTTTTTCCCTTTCTTTTTCTTCTTCGTCCTGGGAGGATTCGCGCGCCGCTGGTGGAAGAGTGAGTGAAACGAGGCAGAGGGAAAACCAGAGTCAGAAGGGGAAAGACGGGAAAGACTGACAGGAACAGGAACCCGGGCAGATAATAAACGGGTCTGCTGGTTGGTTGGTCCACCATCTAAATCAGAAAAAACATGCCCCCAATCTCTCGCTCCCCTCCCTCTCCGCCCATCCATGGATCCATGGATGCGATGCAGCGCGGATGGATCCATTCTCCAGGGAATAGGAGGTACCTTGGTGCGGGAGGAGGGTACATTGACGGCCTTATTGCGTAGTACGTAGGTACCCTAGCCTTACTGGGAGCAGCGTGCTCTCTCGCCTCTCTCGCCTCTCGTGGCCTTGGCCCGGGTGCCTTGATTGCAGGCTGCAAAGGTGGGCCGAACTCCCCGTGCGCGCACCCGCTGATTGGCTGCGCCGCGTGTCAGTCGGCCGGTTTTCCCTGCTTTTGCGTGCGGCGCTCGGCAAACGCTTGCAGGCACCCAAAAACCACACCCTAAAATAAAAAAGTACCGTGCCGTGGGCGGGCAATTTGACAGTTTGGCAGCTGCGCGGCTGGCCCTGCATCACGAGAAATTCGTATCGGCCGGCAGACTGCTGCACCTTTGTGAATGGCGGGTTCGTAATACCTCTCTGGAGCCCCAGCCCCAGGAGGCTCGGGCTATGTGGGGCGGTGCAAAGTGCACAGTACGCACTGTTGATGCATTGGAACAAAGTACACCATGTACATTTTGTATCTACTTTGAGAGTACACAAGTCCTGCGGCTGGACAGGGCTGGGCTGGGCTGGACTGGGCTGACGAAACGGCCGCCTTGTGGGATCAAGGCCGATCCTGATCCTGCTGCTGCTGCATGCGTGCAGATTGATGACGGCTGCACTGGTCAGCAAGTAGCAGCATTATCACGACTGCCAGGACCACTACCATGGAACGAAAAGGCCCCAGAAATCCCAGAAGCCACCGAAGTCCCAGGGAAATGAAGCCTCCCCGGTCCGTCTACTCTGCATACTACACCCCAATCTGCGCATCTGGCCTGGGGTGACGCATCTCCAATCCCCTCGCCGCGCTCAGACTTCGCCGACCTTCATCTCATTCTCTCTCCGTCCGCCGGGTACATGGCATGCTCTCGACTCTTTCGGCCGGTCCACCTCTATCCACCACCCACTCACTTGCACTGACTCGCCCACGCCCGACCCCCGTGGCTGTTGTCTGCGCGATTACCGCTACAGTGGGTGGATATGCTCCGTACTATGTACAACCTACAGCGGCCCGGGGCAACCAAGACAGAAGTCTCCACCACTCACCACTCGCTCACCTGGGTGGGCTCCCCCACAGCATTCCCACCCATATCGGTCCGCCTCAATGGAGATGACGTACGCGTTCTAGCAATGCAATGCGGCCCAGTCAACCAGTCAACCAGTTCAGCCAGTCAGTCGAGGCCATCCAGACTCCCGCCACAGCATCCGTCGCCACACCAGAGCTCCAGCTCCAGCTCTAGCTCAGCTACGTAGCCACTCTAACTTTAGCAGCCTGTACCTACTTCGTACAGTAGGTTGCCTCCTCGCTTCGCCCATCCTGTCACCTCTCGCCAAGCTAAGCTACGCGCCTTACCCTGACCGTCCTCTTCACACATCGGTAGATAAGAACTACCGCTTTGGGAAACTCTCCACTCCTCCTCATGCCTGGGATTCGCTCGCGCCTTCAAGGGTAGCACATCACGCGGCAAGTAATTACTGATGGTGGTGTTCACCTTGAAGATAAACTCGTCCGGATTCACTCACTATCTCTGTGAGACTAGACCTCGTAGATATGGCGAAAATCGGTCAATGCGTATGCGAGGTCTGGCATCCCCCACGACATTTGCTCCAATCCATCCATGATCCATCGAGCAAGCTCATCCTTCCTATCCAGCCCACCCACAACCACAGGCGGTCACGGGGTCACGGGGATCCTAGTCGTTTCACGATTCGGGGTTTTTAGCACAGACTCAACTGCCAAATAAAGCTCAACACACTCGTAAGTTATCATAAAACTTTGCATGTTTCCAATTTCACGGCAAATAAGACGTCAGCGTTTCAAAAATGTGTCAATGCCTTTCTGTCTAGTCCGTACGTCAATTCCCACTTATGACGGCATCATGGCTTGGTATCCCAATGAGTCAGTCTAATAATAACCAGATCGCCAACATCCCATGCCTAGATGCGACGCGCGCCCGCAAGACCAAAACCTCTAGAGTAGATTGGAAATCGGATTCCACCAAGGGGATTCTCTGTTCTCGTCTTCAACGGTCGTCGTCAGTCCAGTGATTAACTCATGCACCTGTCGTTTCATGGCTCAGTCAGACTGCGAATGCTAAACACTCGAACTAGTATGCTTGTATGTGATGTCAATGGGAGCCAACACATCTCCAGCGTCTGCGCGGTTCGCGAGGGCGCAGCGCACAATACTCTGCTCTTCGTCGTTGACATTAGGCACAGTACTCGAGGGGTCATCGTTCCTGGTTATAGTGAGGGCCCAGTCGTCAACTAAAGTCAGATTTCTCTTCTTCCTCAGTGCTCTTCTTCTGGGGGGAATTAGAATATAATAATAACTAACTTTTGTACGAAAGAAACAGGAAGAATTAAACTTCTAAAAAGGTTAAATATGAGGCACTCAAAGAGTCATTATAGAACCTCTGTCTTATATTCGCCATTCGAGATATCAACGCAAAATCCTTTACAAGACATTCGGGAGAGGCCTCCGTACAATCTGCCTCGATATCCTCGAGGTCCTGATAGATGACTTCGTCGGTGTGATGTGCTTGGTGACTTCTTGTAGTGTCTTGCCATTCGTGATGAGTTCTGTTGACTGACAGATCGATGCCATACTTAACGAAAGTCAACCATGGCATCAAATCCGAAACTTCTGAAGAGACGCCATATGAGGGTATGTGATGGGCGGCGAGCATGGCACAAGAGGTCCTCTTGACACCAGCCTCTTACGCCACGCGCAGTCCTTGCTTACCGTGGACGATTGAGATAACATGAGATAGATGAGACAGACAACCCTTCCAGCAAACTCGACTTTATTGTCCTGAAATTATGACAAATCTTCTTCACCCGTGCCTGTATCGAGGCAGATTGAACGCACAGTAAACGTGCCGCTTTTGATAAATCCATGGAGGAGGTTTGCCCTGTCTCTCAGACACGACGACGACGGCAGTGTTTGAGGTTTCTAAGACTGATGTCGATTTCTACGACGACATCTTCTCCAAGAATCTCCTTCATGTTTTCGGCCAGTTTGGTTCTCTGCTTTTTCAGCTTTGGTGGACCAAGATGTCGTCCATCACAGTGTCGGGTTGGACAAAATAAACATACTCGAGACCGGGAGCGTAGGTTAGCTTCTCAGACACCTGATGGAGCAGGCGCTTGACAACTTATGCACGCAAACGACTTGGCGAGATGCCCTGAATGTCCTTGAAGCCGAGCTAGTGGATGGTGATGCTCTCTGGTACAAGCATGCAACCGGCAATCCTCCCCAAGAGTTCAAGACGGCCGCTCTCTTAGGACAAGCGGAGAATTGGTTATCTAGTGTTGATGACCAAATAGTCCGCGACAATAGCAAAAGTGACAGAGTTTCCCTTAAATCTTTGGTATGTCTTCGATAGAGTGGTTGAGATATCATCGACGGTGACACGGGCCTCGTCAGGGCATGGGCGAGGACACTCAGCATCATTTCACTTCCGAGCTCGTGTTTATATATCAAGAGGTTAGGGGGCCCTAGTACACACATACCAAGAGGGGGGACCAGAAGCTCGACAATAAAAAAACACCAACAATAGGATCAACAATACAGACTACATACCCAGTCGATCCAAAAGTCAACAGTTTACTCAGACAGACTAGGGTTTCCAGCCCAACTGGTTACCTTTCGCAATACCTTGATGAGCTACAGTAACAGGTATCTTGGAAAAGCTAGATCTGCAGGAGAGTGTTTCCATACAGTTGCGCCTCCCGATCGAGGACGTTTCGCAACCCGGGAGCATTGATCAGGTTGTCGTTGTGCAGATACTACCGGGACAGTTGTAAACGGCTGGCTCTCTGCCAACCATACGGTGGTACATGTTCGCAATCTGCCTAATCATGCCCTTCTAGTATCTGTAAAAATTTCCAGCTATTATCCAATCCCAAGGAAAGCGTATGGCAATGCAATTGATGCATGAAACACGACGTAGAACCCATCAACAGTCATTTCGAGCGCATCTGCCACCGGCAAGGTGGGGCCGTGAAGGGGGAGAAATCGGCTCTCCCCTCCACTACCGCGGTGCGGGGTGATGTTCTGCAAGGCGCTAGAGACAGGGTTTAGAAGGGCCTGGGCGTGTTTAGCGCCAACTTAGCCATTGGCGTGTGCGTTGGTGGGCAGGAGGACCCTTGCGTTGGGATCGTGAGAGGCGCTACGCAATTTTCCATAAACATCTGCCTTTCTTATTAAATTAGGCATAATAAATAAAATAAAATATTATTACTCTGAAAATAAACACTAAAGATTAGTCTTTAGAAAAATTGTCTTCTAGCCTGCTCTAGGAGGATATTATATAATTATTAGTAGGATTAATAATATAGTTATACATACAAATAGCAACCAGTATAATGCGAATAGCAATACTCTCGGAATATCACGTCACGTTACTAACCAACATGCCTCTCTCCTCATTGGGCAACTAAACCAGGCAACTTCTTACAACACATTTTACCTCTATTATGCTTAAAATAGTCTTGGTTCATTACTTGTCGTTATCCTACAAAAGCACTTATGCCGTATGGCCAATTTCGTCTCGTCATCAGAGTGCCTGTAGGCTGATCGTTACTAATGATATATCCCATACCTGCCATGCCTTAGCAGTAGAAAGCAGATGCCTCATCCCCAGTCCGTGAATAACCATGCGTTAAACTGTTAATGAACAAGCCCAGTTAAAGTTCCTGCCTTGAAGTGCAAAAAGCCCGCACCACCAAAGCCCAATCAGAACCAAAGTAAAATCCCAACACCTGACCCGCGCTCCTCCAGCACATTCATCATAAGCTCATATGACAAAACATAATAATCGTTGACTCGAGGGTAACCCAAAACAATATAGCCAATCATGGGCCTGTTGCATATAGTGAACCCTGGTTCAAGGCCGGATTGACCATGTAGCCCGGGTTTCGGGGCCACGACGGTTGTGGCCTGATCCGTTGTGGACTCGATGGGCCTGGGTTATATGTGCCATCAATTTCTGCCTCGCTGCTAGCCGTCGTGCGACTCGTTTGGGAGTAACCGCCGCTGCTACTGTTACGACTGTGCTGGAATGTCCGTGGGGTCCCGTATCCAAGACTGGCTCGGTTCAGCCTGGCCATCATGACATCTCCGGGAGCTTGAATGTGCATCCGTCCAAGTGCGTAGTCGAGCTCGTGTGAGTATTGGTGCACACAATGCGGCTCTGCAGTGCCACACACCTCTGTCAAAATCTGATAGATGCGTTGTTGTACCTCAATGGCTGGTGGTCTGTCGTATGGGTTGGCTGAGAGCATTCCCGTGACGACGTGCAGTATCGGAGTTACACCTCGAAAGACTTGAGCGCCGTCCCTGTCCGCCACTTTTCTTGAAGCTTCCTTGGCCAAGTTGGACATCCAAGCCTCAACCTGACCTAGGTTCTTGTGAAACGAGGTATCGAGGACGGCGCCACCTCGCCCTGCAGTCTTGTGCTTAGCAGATCGGAAGGCGGCAAATTTGCTTGTTGATCGCTTCACTAGGAAGGACAGGAGCTCTAGGATAATGCATCCGAGGGAGAAAATATCGGCCTGTTGTAGGCTTTGCTGTGGGTTTGGCGCAAGGATCATGCCATTTGGAGAAGTAGACAGGTCGTGACTTCGGATGATGTTGAAGCCGCCGTCATCCGGGGGAGTGGAAGGGGATCCTAGGTTCATGAACCTCCCCGGTGGGCTCGAGGGCCCGGTAGGTCGGAACCATTGCTCAGGGGCAGCGTAATCATATCGTTCACGGTCGAATGATGCCTTGTCGGTGTGATGGAGCATGCCGTCGGGTGTCAGCCGTGTGGAGTCAGAGAAGAAAATGTGATTTTGGTTGGTGAAGAGGATGGTAGAGGGCTTGATGCAAGAGTGGGCACGGCTCTTGCTGTGGAGGTAGCATAAGGTATCGACCAGACACAGGATCCAGTTTACGACGAGTTCTCTCCGATCCTTTTTGGCGAGGTTTTTGAACGAAGACGGCGTCGTCGCGAGGAATGACTTGAGGGTAAAGTCATTTGGCGGGGTGAAGAGCACATAGCCAAATCCGTGCTGGGTATACGATGCCCAGTACGAGACCATGTGCTCGTTTTGGAGACCCTTGATGCCCTGGATGGCTTCGAGAAAGTCCGAGTTGGACATGGCTCCGGGTCCTGTGCCGAGGGGGTATTTCCGCCGACAAAAGACAGATCCTGTGGCATTTGGAAGCCTCACCTTTTCGATCACATGAGACTTGTGGGCCGTCAGGGGAGGGCGTTCGATAACATCGAGGGGAACAACTTCGTGCTCCGTGTAGACCTGGTGGCTGCCGCGCTGCAGGGGCTTTAGAAGATAGTGAAATTGACGTTGGTAGAATTTGCGATCCATGCGGTCGTCTCGCGCCGGCGCCAGCTGTAGGCGATCGATGTCCTCGAGGGCAATTGGCAGCTCGGCATCGTCCCACCCGTCATCGATGACTCCGAAGATTTGGTCCGGCACGCCGAGGTCGACGAGGATGAGAAAGAGGCGAGGGGCATCATGGTGGATGCTGTCCCAGTAGGTTCGCTCGGTCAAGTCCTCGCTGCCAAAGCCCACGGGCCGGTCTAGCTGCTCGATCTCATCGGGGAGAAGCTGGCTTAGGACGTAGGGCCGGGTGACGGTGGATTCGATCCGGGAGTCAACCCACCACTGACCCATTTTCGGTGCGGCTCCTCCTCCGTAGTAACCCCGTTGCTGTTAAAGGTGCGCAACCGCTTAGGACTGCATCTGTGGTTGTTGGCGAGGCGAGATACGGCGCGAGAGTGGCAAGGCTAGGCTGGTGATGGATGGATGAATGGTTTGTCTGGTCTGGTCTGGTCTGTCCAGATCGGCCACGTAAGGTGGAGACACGGCGAGGAAGCAGAAGGATGTGAGGGAGAGGAGAGGCCGGAGCAAGGTGAGACGGCGGAAGAGAGGTGGTGTATGTAGTTGGAGGTTGCAGCGGTCGGGTCCAGGGGAGCAGGGAGTCGGGAGATGGGAGTTGGGAGGCTTTCATAGGGTTCATGGGTGTTTGCTGGAAGCGGCTACCGAGCGAGGAAGATGGTGGAGGCGACCGGGATTCGGGGGGGAGGGTGGCCCTGGGGCCTCATGGCATGGCTTGCCTCTTGGCTTGGCCGGGATCCGTCAAGATGGAGACGACTGGAGACGGCGGGAGACAGAACTGGAGACGACTGGAGGCTGCAGAGTGGACGGCGGGCGGATGATGGAGACGGTTGGCCTGTGTGAGGCTAGCATGTCGCTCCGGTGCTTTGAGGGAGGCTTATCTGGGGGCGCGGCGGGCGAGGACTAGGGCGTGTTGAGTGCGTGCCAGGGCGTGCCAGGGCTTCAGGGAGCCACCGAGGTGCCGGGGAGGCCTGTGACGCCCGCGTGGCGGCCTGGTTGGCGGCGGCGTGATTGGTGGGCAGGCGAGGCGGCGGGCGCTGATAAGGGACCCGGCGGCGAGTTGAGGGACGACCGGCGGGGATGCGATTTGGGGGGGTGCCTTGTACAAGGCTTGTTTGTACAAGGCTAGTTAGGTCGTGGCCGCGACTCGGGGGTATTCAAAGGCATCGTTCTGACGAGGATGAGGACAAGGACAAAGAGACAATTTCCATGCTGCCTTGACATGCTGTTGCTGCTGATGCTGCATTGGTTATCCACAATCCCCAGAACTCGGCGCTGTGCTCCGCGTATAGCCGCGGCCTTGGGCATTCCCATAGTCCATTAAGGGATGGGATGCACCTCGCAGAAACGGAATAACCACCAGTTCAGCCAGTCCGCTGGACGTCGGAGGAATGGTTAGCGTTCCGAGTGACAGCAACGCCCTGCCCTCCCACCAAGCATCATCTCTGCCGTGTCGCGTGCGCGCTCTCAGCCCTTTTTTCGCAAACTCAGACCGCACTCGAACAAGTTTGAAGACTGGCAAACCATCCTTCGTAAAAGTCCCGCTGCCAAGCGTCACATCGCGCTCTCTCGGAGGTTACTCAAACAAAAGCCACAAGCACCCCAGGCAAAAACCCTGCGGCACCCAAAGTGGTATCCCCGTCAATGTCGACGGATTCGAGGTGCAGCTCTGCGGGCGTTGCCAGCGCCGACTGCGCCGACTCGAGCCCTGGGGACGGCCTGAGAGCGCCTGGCAACGCCCTGAGATGCCGCGACTGTTCTCTGTAGGGTCCATCGACTCCCCCACCATGGCCGCCCAGCATCCCCACCATGCGCACACGCATCATGAGTCCACCAATTCTGCGCCTCGAGCAACCCAATTGACGTCTCGACCCTGCCGCCACCGCACCATCGTCGTCGTCACAACACCCTCCCGCGACGGGCGCACCGCAATCCTGGAGATCCGGAATCCTCAAGTCCTGGCGCCCAGGCCATTCATCTGCATTCGTTTCACCACCCACCCACATCGTCGTTCGTCCAAGTGACCCATGTCTCGAGGCTAATTAGGCTCCTCGCGTCCTCCTCCCCGCCCCAATGCCAGCCCCTCCTCCAGCCCGCTCCCGCACCGAACCGCACGTCTCCTACAGAACATCCCCAGTCGCCCACGCCGCCAGAGATGCTGTATCTAATCAACCTCCTAATCACCTCGGTTCCCGGCGACCTGTGTATCTCTCTGTGTGGGGAATCCAGAGAACCGATAGTCCGGTATCTTGCCCGGGGACTGTCCAGCGCGGACCACATTCAATGGGGCTCTGCAGCCATGATCCGCGCCATCCCTTCCCCGGGACTCCTATCACATCAGATGAGAACCCCGGCTCGCACTCGTCTGTACGATGTATGTAGACCTGTCGCGTCGTCGTCCTTTCTCCGGTGCCGGGCACAGCAAATTCAACCTTTTCCGGCCCCCCTCGTCCTCCCCTCGTCCTCCTCTCGTGTCGGGTCGCGACCCGTTGAAAGCCGGAGCTCAGCGGCCGTCCCAGGATGCTGAGCGCCCGCAACGCTGCACGCACCACGGCACACGTCGTCTTTCTCCTCCCTCATCCGACGAGACGTGACTTTTGAGCCGCCCGCTGCAAAAGACCTGTCGACAATGATGCAAGGGGGGTGCGGAAGGGAACCGCCACCGACACTGCACTCGCATCTGCAGTCCTGTACTCCATCCAGCCGCGCTGTGTGTCATTGTGTCACCCCACGCGCCTCACCACCACTACAACCACGGTGATGTGGAGTGGCGTGGACCTGAGCACAGAAGAGTCGACGTCTCAGCCGTTGGTTATCGCATGGCCTGGTGTCTCGTATGGAAATGCCCAATTGGTATCGTTGGTTTCACGTGTCGGAACACCGCCGTCGGGCGAGTTCCGAAGCAAGCCAACTCACCATAAGTTAGAGCCAGTTACTACGTAGTATACGCCTTGATATTGAAGTACCGCACCAAGAACCGAAAAGCACGACCCTCCTTTACAACTCCTTGCCCCAGCATCCTACCCCAGCTTCTTCGAAGCTTGGTTGCTTGGCTACCTAAACCGGGCAGCTAAGCGACGATGCCAGCATGCCACACACATTCCAGGCGATAAAGTATCCTTCTGGACTTGACAACTAACATACATCTATGCTTCATCATCGCAGCACCAAGTCGCTGCCGATCTACAGATAGTGTGGCGACGAGACGCCATAATTGGCTGATCCGCTGCTCCGGGATCGTTGCTTGTCTTTTTACTGATACACAGAACCCAAGTCGAGATTGGGTTGCGTGGGGGTTCCCCAATCTCAACGGGACATGACGAAAACTCCACAGCGAGGCTGCAAATGCAATATCTTTCATCAAACTCAGCCACGAGGATAACCAGAGGGTTGGATTAAGTCAAGTGCGATACTCTTCTGACGTAACAGCTTTGGTCACCAACCAGACCCCCAGGTCGCTATGCTATGATCCCGTCGTATCGTCACTATCACTATCAATCAACATTATCGTGTCCATGTACCATTTCCATCACATCGCTCCCGAGTCACATGCATTTATCGGTCGCTCGTCCAATACCGTAATAGCGCCAGCGCCAATCTATTCCAAACTCTTCTCGATACTGTCGTTGCCTCTCCCAACAAACGACTTCATCCCCCTATCCACCCCCGCAATTGCACGCACAATGACCTGAACACCCACCGGGAGCACGTTGAACCAGTCGATCCATCGCGCATATAGTGGCATGCCGACTGTCGCGCCCCTCCCGCTGTCAATGGCCGCCACGATCTCCTTGGTCACGTCGACTGGCTCCACCACGGGAGCGACAAAGCTGTTGGGCGTCTGCACCCCATAGAACAGGGGCGTGCTCAGCTGGCCTGGGGTAACGAGCACGGTCCGGATCTCTGGGTGGCTCTCGCGCAGCTCGGCGGTTAGCGAGCGGTGCATGGCGGTGATACCAGCCTTGGCCGCGGCGTAATCGGTCAACTGCGCGGCGCCGACGGTGCCAATCACAGACGAGATATTGACGATGGTGCCGCCGTTGCCGCTGCGGATGATGGCGGGTAGGAACGCCTTCAGACAGTAGAATGGGCCCAAGAGGTTGGTGCTAAAGCTTTTGTCGATCTCATCCAGGGAAAGGTCCAACAGGGTCTTGCCGATGACAATGGCGGCATTGTTGATGAGGACAGTTGGTGTACCAAGCTGAGGTGTTCAATTAGCAAATAGAAGCCAAGTGTCACATATGGACGACATACCTCTTTTTCAATCTCACCCGCGACCTTGGCGACCTGCGCCTTGTCACTGACATCACACTTGTAATATGTGACGCCCCTGGCCTCCGTATTTTCCATCTCATTCACATCGAGCACAGCCACGGAAGCGCCGCGCATGCCGTACACCTCGGCGATGAGCAGGCCCAAGCCACTGGACCCGCCGGTGATGACGATGACCTCCTCGCCGAGGTCAACCTCACGGGGGATACCGTGGGCGATGCGCTGGTTGATGATGCTGGCCATCCAGCACAGCGTGATGAAGATGGCCCAGGCAATGGAGATGACCATGGGCGGCGCCTCCCACTTGACCGTCTGCGCGCGGAAGCACAGCGGGATGAGCCAGGCGATGAAGGGGTGCAGCAGCGTCGTGTTGAGGACCTTGAGAAAGAGGTCGATGGACAGTGGCGCGAACCAGGAGTCGCGCTGCGGCGGGCGCGAGTATCGCATGGTGCTAGACATGGTGAGAAGGTGAGTGAGCAGATGAGGCGAAGCGCCAGATGGTGAGAGAGCGGTCAACACTGAGCGGTGCGCTGGCACAGGACACTGGATATGTACAGACGACGTGTTCCTAGGATGCGCAATGAAGAAAGAGAAAAGTTGACAGAGCACGGAGTAGCTCCTGAAGGTTGGAGACGGGATGAACACAAAGTGAAACGAGGTTGGAGTTAGTGGTGTAGCATGTGGCACTGAAACCGTACCTGAAGTTTCTAAGCGCGGAGCCCCTGTCCCCTTTTTGGATTTTGGGTGGACCTGCACCAACCAGAGGCTCGAAGCTGCCTCCTTGTTTCGACGTCACACCTTCAGGCTTGCAGGGCCAAGAAGGGACTGGATCAATCGCGTGATATGATGCTCCGATAATTGGAATTGGAATTTATTGACTGCGAACGAGTGGCATGGCTTCCTTTGCTTACTCGGAGAAGTTGGGCGATGTGGAGACGCTGTGATTCCTAGAGAAAATCACATCAACCGTCCATTTTCTCTCAATTGCTGCTGCTGCTGCATTAGTTATCCACAATCCCCAGAACTCGGCGCTGGGAGCTCCGCGCATAGCCGCTGCCAGACAATTCAACGTGGCTGTTTTGCTTTCCTCTCAGTTGCCAGAGACTTGGCCGACTTCAATTATTCTCCAAGACCCTGTACATATGGCTGTGCCGCTATTCATCTTTGCATCCACAGCCTGTCGATTCATTGGCGATACAATTGCCAGCGACCCTGAGGAGCAAGTATTCAAGATCATCAAATACAAGGGACGAGGGAAAGACTCGAAACTGTCTGCAACATACCTCCCGATTCTGAACCAAATGCTCCTTAAGCGCACCGTTTTGGCGTATGAGGCCGTGACAGAGATGGGAAACCCGCGGTAATCAGCAGCTTTTGAGAGACTGAAGAGCTGTCGACTCGAAGCTACTAATGCTGCACTCTGTGTTGGACATTCCATCCGACGAGAAGAGTGTGATGAAGCCACTACACCTATCATTCCGCGATTACCTTATTGACCCCGGCAATCGCGACGAGAACCCCTTCTGGGTTGATTAAACTGCTACCCACAAGCAACTCGCAAATAAATGTCTCTGCCTACTATCAACAGAAGGTGTCCTGAAGAAGATATGTGCAATATCCATCCGGGGATGCTACTCTCAGAGATAGACCCCGAGCCCATCAATGCTTTCTTACCCTTTGAGGTCCAGTACAATTGTCGGTTTTGGGCACATCACTTACAAAGGAGTGGAGAAAGTATACGCAATGACGACTCAGTGCATTGCTTCCTTAACCCCCTATTTCTTACATTAGGTTGAAGCACTCAACATTCTAGAGCATACTTCTCAAGTCTTTTCAATTCTAGAGGCTCTGTCTGAGCTCTTGCAGGTATGTAAAACCTGGCTCCCCTACCTCGACAAATAATAATGCAGCTTGCCAGCCAGCAGAAATTATCGAAGCAGCTGTGTTTCTTCGTCATGCTAGACGCTTTATGAACAATGCCCACTGGCTTTGTTGGACACCGATGCGGATTTATACGTCAGCCATGACTTTTGCACCGAAAGAAAATATTGTCCGCAAGATATTCTGGAGTGAGCTTCCCAAAGAGTCATGTCAGTCGCGGTATCCTCCCAAGGCAATTGGCTAGCATCGTCATCTTTAGAGAGCGATCAAGCTCTGGGCATACCTTCGGATAACTGCATCGCGACGGATGAGGACTCGGAATGCTGGGATTCTTCAATTGCGTTCTCGGCCAATTGGTTACACCTCTTGACAATTCAGACTCTCTTATACGCATCGGGAAACATGCGAGCCTGAATTCTTCACAAGCGTCACAGTATCGCCTATTATCATCGCGAACCGCCCAACAAGGGTTGGGAATTAGCTCGATCATTTTCTTAGCAAGGCGATAAATTTCTTCTAAAATTAGACGCTTCGTTAATGTGCATTTAGTAGTAGAGTAGATAATACAGATATGTGGTACATGACGGCATAGCCAATTCTATATGTGGCAGTTGGAGATTTTCTAGTAATACACTCATCATTTTCGGGGTGTCTTGCGTGTAGCCGGTCTCCCCAGCTTAGCCCTGATCTCTCGATCATCTTGCTCCTCCAATTGGCGATTCCGCCTGATAGCTCCCTGGCGCTTGACGTGGTAGCTCGGGTCACGGTTGATGCCCTCCAGACGCCACTTGCGAGGCGGCTTCATGCCCAGCGCGGCCTGATGATCCCAGACCTTCATACCACGACGGAACCATCGGTCCTGGCGATCCTTCTCCTCATCAGTTGAGGGTTGCCAACTGCTTTTGAGAATGCGGCGGATGTTCTCGGGCGACACCTCAAACCTGCTAGCCAAGGTTGAGGTAGTGTATGTGTCGGGGAACTGCGCATTTAGAGCGCGGATTCCGGCCAGCGCGTCAGGAGAGAGGCGCTTGCGAGGCTGCCAGCCGTCTGGGAATTTTTCCTTTAGAGCCGCCTTCTGGGTCTTCCAAGTGGGGACATCTGGTGCTGGGTCGGAAGGTGAGGGGCCGACGATGGGCTCAGACGAGGCAGAGTTGGACTTGAATTCCCTGGGGGGTCTTGAGCCTCGCGGGCCATCTTCTCTATTTCTCCATGGCTTGTCGTCGATCTTGTTGTCTCGGTAGATGTTCGATTTCCAAGGTTTGTCCTTAAACCTGCCTTCGAAATTGTTCTCGCCTCCGGATTTGTGTCGATCTCTGAACTTATTCCCGCCTCTGAATTTGTTCTCGCTCTCAAACTTATTCTCTCCTCTGAATTTGCTTTCGCCTCTAAATTGGCCGTCGCCTCTAGACCTTTCGTTCTCCTTGGCCTTGAATTTGAGAGACTTTGGTTTTTGCCTGGACGTCTCAATGGTCTCATTGAGTTGGCTGGGCTCAGCTGCTTGGTCGGGATCGGCTGGTTGATTGGCCTCGATTGGTTCGCTGGTCTTAAGCGATTCAGTTCCCGTCGTAGGTTCAGCGGTTGTGGCAGGGGTATCGGCCGTTGGAGGCCCAACTGTCGTCGCAGGTGCAGGAGTTGTCGCGGGGTCTGCGGTTGTGGAGGGTTCAACAAGAGTCGCACGTTCGGTAACTGCTGCAGGCTCTACAGCCCCGCTGCGGTTCTCGTTCGCTGAGGAGGATTCGTCGGTCGAAGCTTGAGCACCTTCAGGTTCTGCCCCAGCTGGCGGCGACGGGACAACGCCGGCACCCTGCTCTTGGTTCAAGTGTCGTGAGCCATGGAGTGGTCGCGCGACCAAAAGCTGGTTGCGGTAAAGCGCAGCAGACGTAGGAGGCGCACGAAGACGGAGGAAGGAGGAAGGAGTCTCAATCTTGTGGACTTGAGAAAGCCCTTGGATAAATATCCGCAAGGGCGTGACCCGGCATGCGCAGCCCATGATGGGCAGGTGATGCAGCTGGTCTTTTGTGTAAAGTTGCGATGGCAAGCGAGAAAAGTTGGACTAAATTGGCATCATTCTCCAACGAGATCCATCATCGGAGACCGGGGGTCGGAAGTGGGTCCCGTTGTCACACTGGACTTGCTCCGAGATCAGCGGTACGTACCGTGAGTTAAGGACTAATGTGGCGCCGGGCTCCGGCCGACAACCAACAACCCACCACCCAAAACAAGGGTTCCTGCAGTTGCGGGACGGCCCTGTCGCAGGTCCACCAAGCATCCACAGACTCCCGCCTCCCGCACCACGGGCGAACCAACCACTGCATGCGCTGCATGGCACCTACAGTGATACTATCCCAGCTTCCCCTCGCAGAAGCGGGCTCTTGTACGCAGTCGATATGCACTGAAACATGCAGTTGGCTCGGCCGGCCCGGCGACTAGGTTTTGCACTCGTCAACTCGTAGTGTGATATGCCGCTATCATGCAACTCGTCTGGGGCCTGCGCTAGCATGTCTCGGTGCGTATTCGTACGCTCTACTACTCTGCTATCATTTCTGGCTTCTCAGAATGTCTGTGTCTTCGTGGGCCCGGCTTGAAGCATCACCATCTTCCGTCGCCCAGTGGCAGATATATGGGTGGAACTATAGGGTCGACAATTGCGCACACACCAAGAACCATGGCGCAGTCTTCACCAAATTCAACCACCCGCCGAAGCGACCCCCTCCCAACCCAGGTTGCTACCTATTATCCGTGGACCGCGGTTCACCAGACGCCCAGTCGACCAAGGTTGACCTGGTTCCCGGGCCCACTCGAGTGCCTCCGGCCTGCATCTCGACTCCATGAAGGGAACTGAACAGTTCACCATGCAGCGAATTGATAGAGGAGGCGGTCCAGATAACCCATTTCTCACTGGCTACCCTTCCCCCGGATCCCTCATAATTGGCACCACTCCAGTCTTCCTTGCAGGCGGAACGGCTAGCCCGCTATCCTAGTGCACCCAAACATGGCGAATTGCCCTCTATAGCAGGTGGCGGAAGTTCTCCCATGTCTCCCGGCCATGATCTGATGGCCTGGTAGACGGGAATGCCTCCATCTCTGGCCTCTTCAACGCCGACAGAGCACCCACGATCCCAGGCTTGCTCCGCATCATGTCTTCCCACCCGCCTCCAAGTGGAGATAATGCACTGCTCGCCTCCTGGGAGGTCACTTTGGCGACGACATGAGGTCTTTCTTGTCCAGAACCCTGGACCATCTCAAGGGCCGGCCAACAAGCCACGAGTGTCCGCTGCCATGTGCCGAGAGTTGTTGGTTCCTTCACCGAGAAGGCCGAGTTTGAAGCTGGTATGGAAGTCCTTATAAAGAGCCTTCGGCTGGATCCTCTGGACCTCCCAGAGACTTAAACCGCACTCTCAATGAACAATGAATTCCCCCCGTGCTACAGTTTTCAATGACGCCAGGCTCGTCTGGGGCCACAAGTTCAATTGGACTTCCGACCACAAGACCGAGTCGGAGATCGCAAATCTTCGGTACAGCTATGACAAGCTTGCGACTGATGCCTTGGACCGGCTCGACGACATTTCACCACCAAAGTCGAAATCATGGAAATGCCCCCATGGCTCTGGAGAGGGTCAAAGAGACCTGTATGCCTTGGTACAGGAACACGCCACCTCGGACGAATTGCTAGGCAAGCTCTGGGACGAAATCTCGACAGTCCCCGAGTGGGTTGACTGGGAGCAGATCGAACGAGGCCAGCGTGTGGTGGACCAATTCAATGGACAGATCCTACTCGGGGTAAGTCGGAACTCTTGAGACTCTGCACTGTCTCCGCTGACTCGAGAAGCTCCTTTACAAATCATTGCTAGGGGGAATGGGCGCCTGGCGAGTGGTTGAAACGCTCTCAAGAACCGGCGGCTTCGGTGTCCATGTGACAAAGCGCCGCCTCCTGGAAACACTCCAACACTTTATGGAAGTAACTGATAACATCGATGCCATCAAGCCCGGAGGCAAGGGGTTTACATCTTCGGTGCGTGTACGACTGCTCCACGGAGCTGTCCGGCGTCGCCTGATGCAACTGGAGCGCGAGAAACCGGGATACTTTGATGTCGACAAGTGGGGAGTTCCTATAAATGACCTCCACTGCATGGGCACCATATCGGTATACTCGGTCGCAATTATCTACATGGCTCTTCCCCGGCAAGGTGTTTCCCTGACAGAGCAGCAGACAGCTGACTACCTTGCTCTTTGGCGATGGGTTGGCTACCTCTTGGGCACCCCTGTGGATTGGATGGCGACACCCGCGCAGGCCAAAGTGATGATGGAATCGATCATGACTTCGGAGATGAACCCTTCGCACAACTCGCGGATATTAGCCAACAACATCCTCACCGCCGAAGCTAATGTTCCGCCTTTCTATGCGCCCCGCGAGCTCCTCGTCGCTCAGGCCTACCAGCTCAATGGCGACGATCTAGCAAGTGCCCTCGGCATTGAGAAGCCCCGCTGGTACTATCGCATCTTCGTCTCTGTTCAATGTGTCGTTCTCATGTTGTTGAGCTACAGCTACCCCTGGATGCCAGCATTCGCGCAAAGAGAAGGGGATCGGGTATGTGCATCCAACAAATACACCACACCACTCATAATCGTTACCCACTACTACCCCGTAAACCTTCTGCTTTTAGCGCATATATTCGGCGTGCAGAATTTGACTGTGGCTGACGCTGTGTAACAGAGATTCAGGAACATTGCCAATCACATGATCCTCAGCAAAAGCCTCGGAGGCATCGGCGAGCCCACCAAGTTCCAGTTCCAGTACCTCCCACGCATCGGGATGCTGACAGAACTGGGCACGCCCCAGGATCTCGCCACCGAAAAGTTGGCTCCGATGACGTTGAAACCGCCTCGGGCTGTGCTTGTCGTGATGGCACTGCTGGGAGCAGCAGCGGTGACGTGCCTCGTGTTCGTGACCGGGTGGTTCTCGGCTGTGCCGCACGCGTTTTTGTCATCCGTCATGACCAAGCCGCAAGTACTGCAAAGCCTCAGTTGAAGCTGGCCCGGTGACAAGACTAGTCGAAGCAATAGTAGTCACGAGGAAATGATTAGGCAATGGTTTATTGGTATGATGAAGCTTTTTTATTTCTGATTAACGGATGTTTATATTTCCAACGACTGAGTCGTAGTACTATCGCTGCCAAGTAATGGCAAGCCACCTATAGTGTACAGAAGGTTACCCGAGCGAGCTATGCTGATGCATATGTTGCTGCTTCGTTATGAGACCTATGGTATAAACCCACAAGTGTGGGCTATGAAATGAATCTTTTTCCAACTCCAGCGCAAAAAACCGATGAATGACCTTTGATGCAAAAGAAACCCCGTTCACACCTTTGAGACCTTGATATGAAACACCGCCTGTTCTGGACAACCATCCGATCCCTCCATGTTGAATAAAACGCCAAGATGCCAGACCAAAGTGCCTATGCTCCCATGCCTTATACCCCGATGACGGCAGTGCTTGCTTAGGCGTCGCTCATGAGCTCGACGGGTGGCCGAGAGGTGTGAGCCATGATGGGCTTGGAGCTATCGACGGGGCTGAGCTCCTCCACCTCGGGCTCGTCGGTCATATCCTCGACGAAGACAGCGGGCATTGTGCTCTGCTCGTTGGGCTTGTAGATGAGCGTTGACGAGCGCGAGCGGGTACGGCCGGGAAGAGCAGAGTCCGGGGGAGTGACGGGTGAAGTGGAGTCGAAGGGCCCGGGGCGGTGGTGCAGCTTGGCGAGGGCCTCGGCGAGATCCTCAGCGTGCACCAGCTTGTTGGGAGCATCCTCGAGGCGCATCTCCCAGTCGTGGGGAGGGCTGGGAGGAGGCGAGATGAAGAAAAGCTTGCCGGCGTCGGGTAGGGCGAGGTGCTCGTCGCGGGCGGTGACGGATGTGTGCTGGCCGAAGTAGACCTTGAGCTGCTGTCCTAGAATGTGCTCGGCGTCCCAGATCTGGCGCACGGCGATGGCGGCCTGCTCGTCGAAGAAGGAGATGACGATGCGGCGGAACGACTTGAGCGGGGCAAAGGCGTGAATGGGCGCCGTCTGGGTGATGAGGTCGCGGATGGTCTGCAGGTTCTCGGGGAGGAAGACGGCGACGTCGTTGAGGTTGGTGAAGAGGAGCGTGTTGGTGGGGGCCGTGGGCAGCACCGGCGGCGGGAGGTTGGAGAGGTCGAGGGAGAGGTTTGAGCGGCGCGAGGCGCTGGAGGAGGAGCGCGAGGGGCGTGGTGAGGGCTCCATTGCTGCGGATGTGGATGTGTTGGTGATGGTGTTGGGGTGGTGTTGCGAGGAGGCGGCGATCACAGGCGGATCTGGAGGGGGTTGGTGGTTGGTCGAGCTGGGTACCTGGGGGGATCTAGGCGAGTAGCGGAGCAGATGGATGATGGTAGAGGTGCTGGGAGAGTGTTGGAATGGTGCTCGTGTAATTGTCAAGTTGGTATTGTTGGTGTTGATGAATCGAAAAAGAGCTGTGAGTGTGGGTGGCCAGCCAGGTTATTATGTATGCAATCCCAGTTCCTGTTCCGATGTGCCTCTCTTGCTTCGCCCCAGCCCGCAGAACAGGTACCCTGGAACTTTGTCGCCAGCCCGAAGCCGCAGGTACCCTGTAGCGGAGGGCTTTGGGGAGGGGGGGGGGGGGGGCATTGGAAAGCCACTGCGGTCAGTTGGCCGCGCAAATACAGCGGGGGGGTCTCCAGTGGGCGATACCAGCAAGGCCCAGCGGAGACGGCGGCGGCGGCGGCGAAATCAAGGAGCAGGGGGGCGTGTTGTGTGCTGTAGGGGTCTGCCCCGCACGGGCCAAGGAAGGCTGTGCAAATGCACAAAGGCGGTTTTTTCAGTGGCCGACGCCAGCGGTTGCGGTGGGGAGGGCGCCTGTGGGTGACTCGCGGGGGGCTCGTCACTGGTCAACTGGTCGCTGTCACCGACGACGACCTTGGGCTGTTCGAACTCGTGTGGCCAGGTGTCGGAGCGAGATAGGTACCGACCGATACTTGTCGCAGCGCTATAGATCCAATAGCCGGGCTGCTCATACAAAAGTACTCCGCAGTCACAGGCGCCTACGTATTTTTCTTTCTTTCTTTCTGTCTTGTCCTTGCAGTCTTTTCCTTGGCACATGGACGATCCTCGGGTTGTGGGCTCGCTCACGGAGTTGGCGACGATAGTCCAAGGTGAAGGCTCCCTCGGGCACGCCCCGTAATGGCCAAGCCGCCAACCCAACCTTACTTCGCCTGCTGGTCTGTTCCGCTCCAGCCCGTTCGTTTGCTGCGTATCGTTGAGACGATGAGGTAAGTCAAGGCGCTCGTGTCGACACTCTAAACTAGCGGATCGACTCGCTTCGTGCCTCCGCCCAGATCCAGACCGGGAACAAGGGCGAGTGTCCTCAGCTTGGCAACAACAGTTCATGAATTAGCTACCTAGGCAAGTAAACAAGACGCCCGGAGTGCCTCGAGTTGGCGGGCTGTGTTCTGTCAAAGGGAAGGAGGAGCAGCATCTCAACAGTCTCGGGCTCATTTCCAAGGTCCGAAACTCGAAGACTTTGATTGCATACCGGGCGTGGCAACGTAATAACGGGCATCGCCTCGGTCATGAGACTCATTACACATCACGCATTACACATCATCCTACGTAGTACATCACAGCCGGGACACCAGACGCCATCACGTCCACGGACCACTGCCCCGGATCCCGTTTCATCTCGTCCGGCGAGAGTTGCTGGCGGCCAGAGACCGGATCGGCCTGGATCAAGACTGCGACGACGGCAACGTTGGCCGCGGCCGTAGTTGCGACGATTGCCGTCTCCATTCCATCATAACTCCATCTACCCCCCATGTCAAACATTTCCCATGCCTCGCCTGGCAAGGAACGGCCTGCAGACTCCCCCAAAAACAACCGTCCACCCCCTGGAGACTTGCATCAAGCTACTGCGCTGCACCCGTCTGTCGCACCCCAAACCGCCATCATCCTCCTCCCGTCAAACCCAAAGGCCTTCGTCCCGCCAAGCCAACGCCCCGGGGGGCGCCACCGCGAGCCGCAGCCAGTAGGAGCCCCACGATGCCCCGATGACCTGTTCCGTCGGCGGTCTTTGCTGTCACGGCATCGCGGGGGCTGTGCAGCGTGCTGAAGGTGCGGAAGTCGCTTTCGGGTTTCCGGGGGGCCCAGAGGGAAAAAGCTTGTCCGAGAAGGCCTATCAGCTTGGCCGATCACTTCTGCTCCAGGTGTGTGTGGGATATGGTGTGGTGCGTGCGGAATCCAGATGGCTGGTTTTTTTTTCTTTCTCGCGGCTTGCTCGGCGGCGTCCTTCCCTTCTAGGCAGGCGGGGCGTCGAGGAACTAGATGTGCATATGCCATGATTCCCATGATCCCGCCTCTGGCTGCCGGATTGCAGTGTAGGTGAGTTTTTTATTGTCTTGGGACAAAAATCGGAGAGATTTCCTCATCTCTGTGGTAAAAGACAGATAAAAGTATCGTCATGTTTTCTCCATCGTCCGATCCGGTAACCGCAGCGCCCTGCTCCCCTCCGCTTCATCCGCATCATCCAACTCATCATCTCAGAGTCATCCTCTCCTCATAAATTTCAATCTGCGGAAGGACGACCAGTGGGATACCTTCCTCACCCGGTATCCCCCCCATCCGAGCGGGGTTGGTTTGCTTCGCCTCAATATCGGTCTTCCGTCTCCGCATGGCTTTTACGATGTGCATGCCGCCAAGACCATTCTCGATGTCTAATACATTACCTTCCTGATCAAAACATTGCTCTCGTGTAACAAAAAGACGCTCAGGAAAGCGGGGTTGACACTTGGCAAGTTGCTCCGTTCACATCTTTGCAGCCTTCATCCATCTCGCTGTCTCTAGGAGGCTCAGCACGGACGAGCTGACCATCAGTCAGCAGTTTCAACAGGCAGCCAAAGCAGAAGATTCCAGTGACCTCGCTAAATTCAAAACTAGAGATGAGCCTGGGGGCGCGGGACAATCCTGGGGTCCTTGTCGGGGCTGACGGTTAAATCTTCAGCCTAGCTGTAGGGCAGGACATGGGCATGTCTGCCTGAGTGCCTCGCTTCGGGCGTTTAGCTTATATGTCTGTGCCCGGATGTGGAATTGTTTTATTACAGTCAGCGGTTCTCAGCTGCAGTAGGGTAAGATGGTGTCTATGAGTCCCCTTTAAGATCTCGCTGCTGTAAGGAATCAAATTGTCCAAGTCCCATGTTAGTTACAGTTCATCGAGGCTCGGCAGTTCAGATGATGCAGGCACACTGGCCATTATGCCTTGGGTTGTTACGGTAATATTCAAACCTGCCAAGGTATGATGAGCCGATACATGAGTCGTTGGTATTGAGGAAAGCCTTGAATGTGCTGATCTTCGACAGCATTCGTACTTATCCACACTCGTCGGCCAATATGGAGTGACAAATACCGACACGACCTAACAGAGTCAACGAGTGACATTCAGCCAAAATGATGTCTCAACTTGCATGATGACTGTGCATAGACCGCGATCCAAAGTTCGAACATGCACATAGCCAGCTTGCGCACAAACCTCTTTCACCCCGCAACAACGCCAAGCTGAACAGGGTCTCAGCTGGGGTTAGACGTCTCGCCACCCTCACATGCCGTGCGGATGTTAATTTGAAGCTAAAGTTTGCGGGGGTCGGGGATCATAGTCTACAGGGGGGATATGAAAGCTGGTGCAGGAGGGTTGACAACTTGCCAAGGTGTATGTAGGGTGCCTACGTACCTGCTGTACAGTGTAGCACAGTGGGTTGGTTATGTGCCTCTCAAACCCTTAATATCCAGTACCTAGAGGTAGGTAATGCACTAAAGTTAAGTCATTATTTTCTTAAAAGTGAGGTACTGAATACCTAGGTACTGTCAACCTGAAGTACACCTAGTACCGTATAACAACGAATTACTTGTCCGACTGCCATAACAGCCATCGCAACCCTGGACACAGCTTCAATTTTCTGTTACCCTTGCCAAACATCCCCAAGCATGCATAATAGCTTGACTGTATAAGCCACCTTCAATAGTAGTCCCACCGCAATTCGCCATCTCTCATGCCCAATAGTCCGGAGTACGTGAACCGTTGAGCCCAGCACAGCGCCACAGTCGTCCGCCACACGCCTCTGCATTTCACTCCCTCAGCCCCACCAACGGGAGGCCCTCTGGAGGGAGCTCCTCCTCCTCGCCCTGCCAGGAACCCGCAATCTAAACCAACTGACGTCCTGGCCCTGGGCCTGTGGCTGTGCTCCACGCCGCCTTCGACGTCACCCGCCCACGTCCCGACACCTGCGCCTCGACAACGCCCAGCCCAGCCAACTCCGTCCCAAGCTACTGGAATTCCATCCCAGGACCGGTCAACCTGTTTCATGACAATCTCATCTCGGGATCCACATGGAGCGGCCTCATGCCGGGGCTCGGGGCATGCAATGCGCGGCACTGAGCTGCTCCGGCGGGAGGGAGGCGACTGCCGTGGCTCGGCGTGTCTCGTCAGGATAATCTCCGAGTCTTGCGGCCTCTGGCATGGCGCAGCAGTTTCGGTTGAGTTGTCAAGACGAGTACGAATGCGCCGAGTCATTGAGGAACGTTGCGTCACGCGACGAAAGCTTCATGTGGGAGGACTTGAGTTGGATCTTTCACTCGTTCAACTGGATACAGTACAGGTGGTGGTACAGTCAGCCGCGTGCCTCTCGAACTAGCCTCATCTCGACTCATCCATGCAGAAGCCTTACGCTACCACGATATCTACAGGTCGTGGCCACCCCCGGTTGGGAGCCAGTCAGCCTGGGGTCTGCCATGTCGAGCTGGAGATTAAATCTCATGTCTCCGCCCATCAGCTACTCCGCACTACGGCTCAGCTAGTCTCTATGAGCCTCCGCAAGACGCAGTTACTCAAGCGGCTCCACGCCTTCACAGCTCAGCCCTGAGGACCGATAGCGCACCTTGGGAGGCGTCTCACCGGAGCTCAACGCCCATCTCGTCAACGAGCGCCTCGCGGACTCCTTCGTGGAAAGCGTTAGCTTCTTCATTGGTGAGTGTGCGCTCTAGGCTGCGGTAGACGATGCGGTATGCCATGCTCTTGCGCCCAGTCTTGGGGTGAGTAAACTCGTCAATCAACCGCACATCCTCGACCACGTCGCCTGCCACGTTGCGCACCAGCTCCATAACGTCGTTTTCGTGGAAGGCTCCAGGAGTGTTGCCACCAGCAGTCGAGCCCGGGCTAAGCCAGAACGACACGTCCTTGGGGCACGGCGGGTATTTGGAGAAGACTTGGAAGCGCTTTAGCGTGTCGAGGTTGTTCGAGACGCCCTGGAACTGCGACAGAAACCGGTTGTCCTGGGACCAGAACAGTCGGATATCTGGGATCTTGAACAGGAGCATGGCGATGCGGTCGATGCCGATGCCAAAGGCCCAGCCCAATTTCGAGGGCACGCCTGCGTTGATGAAGAGATCCTGCTGGACCACGCCGCAGCCCAGAACCTCGAGCCAGTCACCCGCGTAGTAGACTTCGAGTTCCCACGAGGGGCTGGTGAAGGGAAAGTAGGCCTCGACCCACCTCATCTGAAGCGGCTCATCTACAAAGTTGGGGTCCTCCTTGAGTGCCGCTGCCTTGGCTCGTGAGAAGACATCCACGACCATGGACTCGAGTGATTTCTTCAAGTGTACGCCGATGGCCTCGACTTCGGCGGCCGAGTGGTGTGCCTCCTGGAGTGGGTTTCGCTCTGGGTGCATCGCCGGGTTCGGATCGTCGACCTGGATGTCGTGCTTGGGAAGGTTCTCGATATCCTTCCAGACGGCAGCGGCGATGTCACCATCGGGCACTTGGTCGCGATCCCACGACATGGCACCCTCCATCTGGTGGAATACAGGGTAGTGGCTGCGATCAATGGCATCACGGCGGTAGACGTCGGCAGCAATGAGGTATCCATCGCTCTCATTTGCGCGGAACGTGTCGGCCTGGTGTGCACTCGTATGCGTCCGCAACAGAGTGTCCTTATTGAGGTAATATGTGTCCGAAAGAGCTCGTCCTGGATGGTTTACGGGGAACCCCAAAGAATCGAAGTTTTGGGCGGTCGATACGACTGGGCTAAAGTCGTTATAGCACTTGAAGGTCGGCGCGGGGAAGTTGGACTGGATAATCTGGCGAGTAATGGAGATGGGGTGGTCCTCTTGCAGGTGCAATCTTCGTGACGTCGCATCCAAGACGTTGGCTGGGGCGTTGAACCACGCGGGGTCGGTCGAGATGGTCTGGCCGCGCACCGTCACGGAGCCACCTTTAGAGTGAGAGGCGCTCTTAGAAGGCACTGCAATAGCGGGAAACCGCCGTCAGCAAGACGGCTCCGATTCTTGAAGCTTCGAGTTGACGGACCTGAGGAGTATGCCCGCACGGCGCAAGCTTGCCGCAGCAATACGGAGCTCCGGGCAAGGTGGGACACTTGGAGAAGCCGGGACGAATTGCCCCAGAGGCAGCGCATGCCCGAGGCTTGGAGTCTCATGTTGACGAAGCCCTCGAGCTGCACAATTGCATTACAGACCCGCGAGACGCCGCGGCAGTTGCCAATGGCTGATGGTGGGTTACTGGTTGGTGAAGCTGGGGATCGGTATGTTGCCTTTGACGAAAAGTTGTCTGAGCCGATTATGGTCATATGGTCTCCCAGCTCTGAGTGGGCATGATTCTGGCCGGATTAACTTAGCGCCTCCAGTGAACCGACGCCGCTAAAAAGACCAGCACAGCAGTGACAGCACCCTTTGGGTACCGAGCAGGGATATGGACGAATAGAAGAGATGCATGAATGCGACATCACCCGTCGGCCATTTTGCATTTTGGCCGAATGTATCGATACGTATTGTCGACCTGTTGATGGACAAAAGTTTGAATGATTTCCCAAGGTGACATCATCTGTACACACGCTAGGCCAATGCAGAGACGCTGCACTCACTGCCTATAAGAGACAGTGGCCTTTGCCCTGAACTTCGGTACCGGTGGCCCGGCGCTGGCCCGCTCGGAGCCGTGCTTTATAAAGCTCACTTGCTTCGGAGCCGTTATCGTGGGATAAAATAAAAATCGTCGACCCCTGCGTCGGCTTGTGCTCCGCGGCCGGACCGGGAAAATCAAATCACGGTCCATCTCATCACAGCAAAATATCGTCAGTTCGAGCAACCACTCGCTTCTCACCCCCGTCCCCCCATCCTTCAGCGTCTTCCTCCCTCCCGTTCGCCCCTCGTTCGCCCCTCGCATTCCTCAGCGGAATGTCGAACGCACCTGTCGCTCCTTAGACGCTTTTAGCTGCGCCGTTATCGCAGGCTCCGTTGTTGCAACCATCACAAGCCATGAGTTCCTCACATTCACAGGCCTCGCCGCCCCCCAAGGCGCGGGAGCCGCAGGGCAAAAAGACGGCCATGAGGTATCCCTTCTGGTTTGGAGGAAGCGCCAGCAGCATGGCGGCTTGCGTGACCCATCCCCTGGATCTCGGTATGTGCCCTGACGTTGAGCTTCGTCTTATCCATGACCGCTTTACTGTACCGCTTTACTATACCGCTTTACTATACCGCTTTACTATATAGAGTACACCGCTGACCATTGGACTCTGCAACAGTCAAGGTGCGCCGCTCCTCTGCCCTTTCAACATGCACCGCCGACCAGTGAATGCTCACATGCCGTCTTCCGTATAGGTCCGTCTCCAGACTCGCACCGGCAATGCGCCCAAGAACATGAGCGGCACCTTCATGCACATCCTCCGCACGTCCGGGCCGCTGGGCCTCTACAACGGCATCTCGGCGTCGCTGCTGCGCCAGATGACGTACTCGACGGTCCGCTTCGGCCTCTACGAGGAGATCAAGGCGCGCATGGTGGCCAAGTCCGGCTCCGAGCCGTCCTTCCCGCTGCTCGTCGCCATGGCCGCCGGCTCGGGCTTCGTCGGAGGCATCGCCGGCAACTTCGCCGACGTGCTCAACGTGCGCATGCAGCACGACGCCGCGCTGCCGGCCGCTGACCGCCGCAACTACAAGCACGCCGTCGACGGCATGGCGCGCATGGCCCGCGAGGAGGGCTTCCGCAGCTGGTTCCGCGGTTGGCTGCCCAACAGCACTCGCGCCGCCTTCATGACGGCCGGGCAGCTGGCCAGCTATGATGTTGCCAAGCGCCTGCTGCTCAAGTACACGCCGCTCCAGGACAACCTGACGACGCATTTTACCGCCTCGTTTCTGGCTGGTCTGGTTGCCGCCACCATCACGAGTCCCATTGACGTCATCAAGACCCGGGTCATGTCCTCCTCCCATAGCCACGGCATCATGCACCTGATCGGCGACATCTACAAGACCGACGGTGTCGGCTGGGTGTTTAAGGGATGGGTCCCTAGTTTCCTCAGACTTGGACCGTACGTTCTTTCATCCCGTCCCCCATTGCCCCCTTGGCACTAACACGCCCAATAGTCAAACCATCTGTACATTTGTCTTCCTAGAGATGCACCGCAAGGCATACCGCAAGGTGCAAGGTGTAGACGAGAACAAACTTTAGACCGGGCATATAGACCGGGGCGACGGGCATTATTTGGCGTTTGCATTTTCAAAAGTTAGAAAGAATGGCTGCATTCTTGATGGCGTTACGGAACTTGAGACCTCAAAGGGGCAAATTTCCCGGGACTCTTCTGTGGATTTATGTCCGGGCACGTTTAGGACGAAGACGAAGATGAGTGCTTGGCTTGTATGCTGGAATGAATATTACCAGGGCTTGGATGCACCAGAGCTCCTTTTGTTGTTCGTTTTTTTGCATTTTCTTCTATCTGCTTCTCCCCTCTCCCCAGTTCCGTATCCGAAACGAATCCATTCTACCGTGCAATGCTTTATGATACTGTTACAGAATCCAGTTCATCAACCCACAAACGAACCTTTCTTTGATTAGGAAACGCACTTGACCCATCCATCCCATGAAACGCCCATCAATCACTGCCACGTCGGCTGTCCATACGGCGTCGTCCCGTAGGCTGTCATGCCTCCTGCTCCTCCTCCCCCTCCATACGCGGTTGTGTTGCCGCCATATGGCGTTGTGTATCCACCATCCTGCCAAGGAGTCGTGCCGCCGTCCATATTCATGTCGGGACTCCTGGGTCCGTCGAACTCAGGCGCCTCATCGCCGCCATACTTCCTGGGGTCGAGGCCCTTCAACAAGCCGCCAATCTTCTGCTGCAGCACACGGATGCCGCTCTGGACAATCTGGTCGGGCTCCATGGTCCCTGATGACTCCACCTCAAAATAGAACCTGTTGGGAACCGCGTCGTAGTCGAACGGCTCACCTTCCTGGGCGGGTTCCTCCCACTGGGCGTACTTGCTCTTCGGCCTACCAATCGTCAGTCCTGTCTTACCCAAGTTCACATGGCACAGCGCGGTTGATAACTCACCATTCCACTTCTGGGTCTGTATCGTTCTCGAACCACATGTCAATGTGGTGCAACTTGTTGTGAGGGTCATATTCGAATCCCACAGCAGACGTCGGCATCCATTTGGCGTGCTCCTTTGCGATTCCCTTCTTGGCAATGCACGTAATCTTCAACTCCTGGTCCTTTCGCAGCTTCGCAATCAAGCAGCCGTAGCCCTCTGGGTCTCTTATGACGGGGCCACCAACCGCGTTTGCGTGTCGGCCGTCGACGACAAGGTCACGCGCATAGACCTTCATAATATCGTCGGATGTGCACTTGGCGTGTAGGGAGAGTGTCACGCTGCAGTGTTCGCAGTATTGCTCGCAGTCGCAGTCACGGGAGTAGTTGAGCTCGCCAACTTCTTTCGAATCGAGAGGGATGAGGCCCAGGCGGTGGGCAATGAACTCGTCAGCCAGCACTGAGCTGTTGACTTCGATTTCTACCAGGTCGATGGCGATCGTCGGCACCTCGGCTTGGATGATTCGGCGCAGGGCGTTGGCAAAGGCGAGGTTCGTCTTGGAGAGCTCAAAGTCGACCTTTGTGATATCGGCCTGGATCGCATCACGTCAGATTCAGCTCAACCTCACTGTAAGGAGGCGCCAGGGGCCTCCCATACCGCTGAGATCTTGACTTGGGGCTGCTCGGGCTCCCCGTCCATGACCATGGGGTCGTAGTTCATTCCGTCCATCTTGGTGTGTTCGCGCGCGGCGGAGAGGGAGGTGTAGGGTGTAGCAAGTAAAGACGCGGTTTCTGCGCAAGCGATGGTTAGCACTCCGGTGCGACGCGCTCAGGGCAACTCGGATCTCTCGAGTTGGGTCGGGGATGGCGCACAAAGAAATGATGCAGAGGGTGATTTTTTGCGACTACACGAGTGAAGCTGCTGCATTGAACATTGCACATGCGACCATCGATACAAAGCAGCGGAATATTACTAATCCGGAGGCTTATCGCCTTGCATGCTAGGTCGCCCGGGACGATAAGAAAAAAAAATTCCCCGCCATTTGTCGAGCAGCGAGAACTGACTGTAGAGACGACGTCGAATGCCTCTAAGCTCTGCTCTTATTCAACAAGCGAGCGTCAACAGACACCAGCAACCATGAAGATCAAGGCCCTCAGCCGCTCGGTGTCGGCCCACCAAGCGCCCGGGTCCAATGTGTCCAAGCAGCCGCGCAACCTCGACTCGGCGCTGCACCCGTTCGAGCGCGCCCGAGAGTACAAGCGAGCCCTCAACGCCGTCAAGCTCGAGCGAATGCACGCCCAGCCCTTCATCGGCCAGCTGGGCCGTGGCCATGTCGACGGCGTCTACTCCATCGCCAAGGACCCCAACTCTCTCGAGCACTTTGCCAGCGGTAGCGGCGACGGCGTCGTCAAGGTCTGGGACCTGGCGGACCGCGACGAGATCTGGCACACGACGGCCCATGAGAACATCGTCAAGGGCCTCGAGTGGACGCGGGACAAGAAGCTCTTGACCTGCGGTGCCGACCGCTCTATCAAGCTCTTCGATCCCTACCACACCCCCAGCGAGGCAGCTCCCATCTCGTCGTGGCTCGGCACCGGCGCCTTCACCAGCCTGTCGCACCACCGCTCCCGTAACGCTTTTGCCGCTGCCTCGAGTGTGATATCTATCTACGACCTGGAGCGACAAACCGCGGCGCCTGAGGTGTTGCATTGGCCCACGTCAGTCGACACCATCACAGACGTCTCCTTCAATTACGTCGAAACTTCAGTTCTGGCATCGTGTTCCAACGACCGTTCCGTCGTCATCTACGATCTCCGTACCTCGACCCCCGTGACCAAGACGGTGCTCAAGTTCGCCAGCAACCGCATCGCCTGGTCGCCTATGGAGGCCTTCAACTTTGCAGCCGCCTCCGAGGACCACAATATCTACCTCTTCGACATGCGCAAGTTCGACCGCGCCCTCAACGTTCTCAAGGACCACGTCGCCGCCGTCATGGACGTCGAGTTCTCCCCCACTGGCGAGGAGCTTGTCTCGGCCTCGTGGGACCGTACCGTCCGCCTCTGGAACCGCGACCGTGGCCACTCGCGCGACGTCTACCACACCAAGCGCATGCAGCGTGTCATGTCTGCCCGTTGGACTCCCGACGCCCGTTATGTCCTCTCGGGCTCCGACGACGGCAACATCCGCCTGTGGCGTGCCAACGCCTCCCAGCGTGAGGGCATCAAGTCCACCCGACAGCGTCAGGCCCTCGAGTACAACGAGGCCCTTGTCGAGCGCTTCGAGCACATGCCCGAGATCCGCCGCATCAAGCGTCACCGCCACGTTCCCCAGGTCCTCAAGAAGGCCAACGAGATCAAGACCGAGGAGCTCAAGAGCATCAAGCGCCGCGAGGAAAACGAGCGCCGTCACTCCAAGAAGCAGTTTGAGCGCAGGAAGAGCGAGAGAGAGAAGATGATTATGGCCAAGGAGAAGTAAAGGAATTTATGTATATGAGCTTGAATTGTCAGATCCGAACCAAAAAGAATTGGGTTTTGTTGGGCGTGTTGCAACGGGCATGGCAGGCATCGCATGGCGTTCAGGTTTTGCAGGGCTAGTTAAAATCTTTGGTACAGATATACCACGGGAGTTTCTAATCAGAAATTCTAATCTCTTTCCCACAATCCAGTTGACATCTTTCCGTGACTTGGAAATCGTACTATGATTATATTGTGACTTGATATCTTGAGTATTTCTCTTCGCTCACACATTGCTATTCGCACGCGGGTTACCTTGGAGATTAAACCTAGCCTACCTAATACATGGAATAAAACCATTATTGGGAGTGGCAAATGCAAAGAATCGGGCGTGTTCACACATATTTCTCAACTAGTCTTTAGGTGCATCAATGATCATTATTTAGAATAAGTACTTGTGCAAAGAGCAATACTTCATGTCTGATGGGCTCCTGTGTCAATCACGTGTGAAAATCAAGTTAAAGATGTATATATTTGCTGTTCAAAACACTAGCGATGATTCCCATGTTCCGCAAGCGATCCTTTGAGCGGCTCATCTGTCTGTTCGCGCGTTGCCTGACGCTGCAGTGTTGTGTTGCGTCCACCATCTATCCCATCCAGGACGTATCCTCTTTGTTCGCCCAGCCGAGGAAGTCAAAGGACGGAGAAAAAACAACGCCAGAGTACTCTTTGTAAGTGAAATGTAGTGTACTCCCAGACCAGACCGCAGCCCGAGCTGACTCAATCTTAGAAATCCCTTTCCATTCCAAAGAAATCCCATCCAAACTCCTGTAAAGCAAAAGCCGATCCGCAAGGTTTGTCACGCGATCGGAGGTATCTCTTTATCAATCGAACGGAAAACGCCCATGCCGCCGTCTTTTTTTGTTATGTCGCCGTCCCGTTCCATTGATATACGATAGTCCCCCTGTTGCGTAGCATCGTAAGACCCATGTCTGTCCAAACTCCGTTTAAAAAAATAATTGAAAGCTGTCCGGTTATCCGTGATTCGAAGTATTATGATGTTTGATGTTGTTTTTGTTGATGTTGAAGTGGTTGTTATTGTTGTACACGCCGGATGAAATCCGGGAGAAAATCGTTGGCGGCGAGGTGATGACCTAGATGCTGTGACGAGCAGCCTTCTGTGGTCGGTAGTTGGGCATCTCATTGAACCATCCTTGTGCCTCGTCGTACTTGTAGGCGTGGAAGGCGATGCCGTATGGCTTGGGCTCAATCGCATAAAGCATACCCAGGGGGACATCCATGTCAGTAATATCCGCGAGCGAGAGATCCATAAAGTAAGCCATCAAGACTCTGCAGACGGAGCGATGTCCAATGATCATAACATGATCCTCGATTCGCTCAACCTCTCGAACCATATCGCGCAGGCGGCTGATAACCTGAAGGTAGCCCTCGCCACCTACCCCCGGATAGATGTAGTTGAGCTTGTCCTTCGCTCGCTTCTGGTATTCATCAGGGTGGCTCTTGGCAATCTCGGCATAAGTCATGCCTTCGAATTGGCCCGCATTCAGTTCGTTGAGCATCTCCCAGTTCTTGACGTCGTAATCATCATCGGCCTCGAAGTATTCGGCCGTGTCCACGCTTCGCGAAAGCATCGATGTCCAAATGCAAAAGTTTTTGTTATCCCAATCCCGGTTCAACTCGGGATAAGGGGGCGTATTGTCGCCCGGTAGAGGTGGGAAGGAAGCCTGGGCCATCTTACTGGTCTGTTCCATAAGCCATTGCTTACGCTTGTGCGTGATGAATCTGTGAAGGGCGAGGCCGTAGTAGTGGCCGACCTCAGTTAGAGGTGAGTCGCCACCCAGCTTTCCCAGTTCGTTGTCGACGCTCTGGCCGTGCCGGGTGATCCAAATCTGACGGGGTGCAAGGTTGAAGCTTGCAAGGTAGTGGCTGATACCGTTGCTCAAGAAGCCCTTGAGCCGGTACTGTACCAACTTTCTACCAACATCAATCATCTAAAGATAGTTAGCGAGGTAGTCAATGAATCGCTGGATAGCAGAAACAAACCTGGATGTACTGCATATCATGCTGCTCCTCATAGTCTCCGAGAGTAACGTAGGCGCTTTCGTAGGCAGCGACTCGCTTCTTGAAGTCCTCAAGAGACTGCTGAGGATCCTTGTCCCTGTAGTCGGGACCCGATAGCTTTAGTCGCATATTGGCCTCGAGAACCTGAGGGTCGCGACAAATACTCTCGATGAAGAGAATTCCTAGCTTAGGTTCTCGCTGCCGGATGCGGTTGACGATGTTTTGGCGTCGCTCCACGGTGCTGTTGGTGGCGTCAAGAATACCGACGGCACCACCACTAACCAAAAGGTAATCCAGTAGCTCGTCCAATGTCTCCATGGCAACTTGCTCTCGCATCGCGGCAGCTGTTGTATTCTTGGGATCGAAAAATTGAGCAGACTGATCAATTTCATCCTTCTCCTTGCCTTCGCCATCATTGAGGTCAAGAACGTCAGGCTCACTATCCTCTAGGGGCATCGCAAGCTGAGGCGCGGGCACGCCATTCAAGAGAATAGCAGCAGCCTGAACTGGAGGGTCGAGATGGCCGGGCTCTGGCAACAGATTAGGATGGACAGGGACCTTGCGGCCAGCAGCAACACGCCTTCTGTTGCCGACGTTGAAGATGCGCGAGTCATGTTGTTGCCATGACAGGTACCGTTGGAGCTTCTTCGTGATGTACGACTTTCCTCGCGCAGGCAAACCAACCATGACAATGACCAGCTTGGCAGCGACATCGCGGCGGGGGATTCTTCCGTCGGGGGAGACCCTCGAACGGGTCATTCCCGGGATGTTGAGCGTTGTGGCATGGGGGCGCACTCGAGGGGTCTGGCTGCCGGAATTCTGTCGTACAGGGGGACTGGGTCATGAGTCAGCGCGACGCTTGCAGAATGGGGATCGCCGGGGCATCAACCACCGAAACCGGTGGTTGTGTGGCTTTGCGACAGTGATGCAGCTGACGGGGCACACTTACATGCGTGGCGAGTTGGGCGCCGTAGAGGTGACGCTGCGCGCATAGGGAGGTGTATCTGTGAGATCACTCAGGCCGCGCAGAGCAGCGGCCATCGAAGGGAATGCTGGAGGAGGGAGGTGGTCATCGTCGGCGGGGGGAGGCAGGACGGCGAAATTGGTATCGGATTCGACAGCCGTGGACGACGATGACGGCACCGGAGAGGATGGCGAGAAAGAGGGCGAGAGACCGAGGAGGCTATGCATGACAAGCTTGGCCAGTGCCGACTGCTTTGATTGTTTGCGACCAGCGTCTGTGAGGAGAGAAAAGGCGGGTAAGCTTGCGTCGACGTCTTTGTGGTGGTGGTCGAGAGAGGAGGCTGGATGTAGGACAGGAGGAGGAAGGAGGCGGGTTGGCAGAATGCGACCAGCGAGGTTTCGAAGTACAGGATCGTGGAAGGACAAACAGGTTGATGCGGGGGGCAAAGTCTATGAGCAAGAGGCAAGAGGCAAAAAAAGCATTTATGAAAGCGATGACGCCGATCAGGAGGGTAGAGGGTTAAGAACAGAGAAATAAGGATGAGACACACCTGCTGGGGACACGGGAACAGCTGAAGGCATCTGGGCAACAAGGGAGTCTCGGCTCCGAATCGAGAGAGACCTGAAAGACTTGGAGGGCTCCAGGCGATGAGTCGCAGCCTGCTGCTGGTGTTGGGGGCGCTCGTGCAGGCCGTGGAGGCCGTGAGGGCCCTGGAAGCCCTGTCGGGGTGAGCCCTGAGAGCCCGCGCTGGTGCAGCTGCAGCAGCGGCTACCGACTGTGGCTGGCCGTCCAATCCAGCGACAAGGATTACAGCCCCAGCGAAGCCGGCTTGCTGGGTGGGCGCAGTGGGCCGCAGGGGGCGACTGCAGGTGGGTTCCAGTGGACTCCAGTGGTAGCTCCAGTTGACCACCAGCACACGACCGGTGGTGAGTGATGGTGAGTGGTGGGGAGCGTGCAGGTTTGTTTTTCGTTGGCGCGCTGACCCTCTTCGCTGCGCGCTGCAGGCTCGAGGACGTCAGTGGGCGGCCGTGGTGGGGTGGCCCAGCTTGCGTGGCGCTTTCGGGGCGTTCGGGGCTCTTCTCGGTGTTGTCTTCTGGTGCCCGGCTGCGCTACAGGCCGCTTGCAGCAGGTTCGAGGTGAGCTGGAGGTGGGAGAGTCGTAGCGCTTGTCGGGGATGCCGCGCTTGTGCTTGTGGGGAGGGGAGAAGCGAGGAGAATAACCCTGAATGGTGTTGGTGCTATCTGTAGGTAGGGCTTGGCTGGAGACGGGCTTGTAAGTTGTTGAATGTGAGGAGTAACAGCGAGGACGTGTTGAGGCGCGAAGGGTAAATGAGTTAGATGGTCGCTGTTGGGCGTTGAGTTCAGACCCTCGTATATTGGTGCTTCTTTTTTAGGAGTCGCTCGACGTAATACGTGCGTGCGTCCAGCGTCAGGGAATGCGTTGCGTTGTTCGTTTCGTGTCGGTGAGGCTGCCCGGCTGTGCAGTCTTGCCTTCTGCTCTCTGACCGTAATACTTGGCGTACGTATATTGCCCCGTGGGATGCTGTGATGATCGTTCTTGTCGTGTCGATGTTGGATACGTCACCGGGTTTTCAGGCTATGCCCATCAGGACGGGCCCTGTATGCAGGTCGAGCCAGAGGCAGCCTGTATTATAGTGGTCGCATCGAAACGCTCATCAAGACGGTTGCTTGGGTGTTTGGTTGCCCTGACGGGGGTGCTCGTCCTGGTCAGGAGAGCAGCGAGGCAGAGTGAGGTGATGTTGGGTGGTCCGTGGCCCCGGGTCGCGCGGTGGGCTTGGATGATGAATGATGAGTGACGATCCCAGGGAAAATGTACCAAAGCTGTTTCCAGGTTTGTCGCTGTGCTTCAGCTGTCCATCCCGGCGATCGAGGTAGGGGATGTGGTCGACTTGTACTCAAGGTTTCACACGAAGGGCCTGACCGAGAACCTGCGGCCCAATACGTACCGAGCATCCATCCACCATCCACCCTCCACCATTCATACCCTCCACCGTCCTCGTACGCATCCTCCTCCCTCGCTATCTTTTAGTCCCATGGCGCTTCGCCCGTATTAGTTGGGCGGCCTGTGGTGAAAGTGTGTGTGTGGGCGGGCGATGGAGAAAATGTGATACCTGTGCGATACCACTCTGCCAGGACCCAGCTCGGCCTGCTCTCCGTCCAGACCGACTTACATCATTGTACATGCCTGGCACCTCCAGCGCCAGCGGCGTTGCATGTGGAAAATACCCTTCCTCTTACCTGCCCCCCTCTCCGGGGACATGCTGGAGGTGCCGGCGATACGTATTGGCCGAGATCGAGGGGTGCGAAGGACCCAGATAACTGCTCCCCCAAGATCCTCCGTCCGAGTCCCAAGATCCACGGTCGTCTGCCCGCCTGGCCCTAGTCCCTCCCACCTCCCATCGCATGTACCGTATATTCAGGTCATCATGGCATGTCATGTCATGGCATGTCTCGCACGGCATCAGGAATCCTGGGAAATAGAAGCCTTCCTCCGCCGCCCATCGGATTCGCCCCGAGTGAGCCGCTGCTCAGAACCCAGGTCGACAGCGTCTTGGATTCGCCGGGGTGTCCTCTCCAGCTCGCTGGGCCCCCATGAGGGCAAATTCCCAACGACCCCCAAAGATGTCCCAGAGTCCCAAGCCGCCAAGCGCACCCCGGCGGAGCTTCCGCTACCTTTCCCGGCTGGGTCACCGCGGTGGCGCGGGGCCATGAGCCCATCCACCATAGCTAGCTCCCACACGCTGAGCATTAACTGGGTGCTGGCCCCCGTCTGCCACCAAACTCACCGAGGCGCTCGCCGTGGCACGCTCGCCAGTGACTCGCCAGTCTCCGTCTCCTTTCGCTTCGGGGGGGAGCACCGGACTCTCGGGAACAGGCCTCGAGACTGGTCATGATTGCCATTGTTGTCCTTTGTTACAGCCCCATTTGACATACGATGCACCTCCATACACGCTGTCAAAGCCTCGAGGCAAAACGAGGCAAGGCGAGGCGAAGTGATGCTGGAGACACCACAGGTCCACCACACGCAGTCTAGTGACGCCGCAATCTGTTCGCAGAATGCAAATGCAGCCAGGGCACCGTGGACCCATCGCCAGCGGAGACCCATCCCCATTTCTCCCTTTAGGCTAGGAGGTCACTGAGCGTACCTAGGCCGCATCGAGTCAAGCTGCTGTGGCACTCCCCAAAAGTCTGCACGCTACTGCGGACCAGGACCTTCTTTTTTGGCAATGGAAGGAGCTCAAACCTCTCCACGAAACATCAACCCTAAAAGAGTCATCGCCCAGCCCGCTCGCGGCTACAAACTAGCGAGGTCCGATTTCGCCGCTGCGGGGGGGAAGAGGGAAAAAAAATTGTCAAAAGGGGGGAAATGTCGAGTCCCCCACCTTGCCAGCATGTGTTGTGCAGTTAAAATTACCTCTGAGTATTCGTAAGACGGCTGCCACAGAGCCACGGCAGCCCATGGCGCATGGCAAGCTGTGGCCGTCTCTCTGAGTCACCCTCGATGGGCTCAGGCAAGCTGAGGCGGGCGGATGTATGATTCCCGAGCCTCTCATTGCTCGCCTGCTTCTGATGGCCAAGCAACCGCGGCAAGCATATGGCCAGCATACGCCCACCATACACCCAACATCTGGTCAGCATCTGGCATTGCCTGTCCAAGTCCCCCGTTTGTAATGAGCTGGCCCGCCGCGCTGGACCTGCCTCCCTGTCTTCCAGCTCTCCCCGGCGCGCTGGCCCTGGCCTGTCGTTCGAGAAAGGCATTCAGACATGCTCCAACCTTTCGAGTCTGATGAGTCCCGGAAGCCTTGACATTATCGTCTCAGCCTAAAATAACACAAAAAGGGAAAATACGAGCCGAACCACTGTCTCGGTCTTCCTTTTGCCGTCTCCCTTTCGTTTCTTTTTGGGGACGTGCTCTGACATGTTTGGATGCTCCCAGCATCAGGCTGTCAATTTCGACACTCAGAGGCACAGGCCCTACCTTGAGGCGGGAGTAGTCCCGATAGGCCATGCAGTCGCCTTGACTCAATCCCAACTTTCCCCCTGGATTCGAGGAGTTGCCATCATGTGAAAAATCCACAGGCATTGATTGTCTCTCATCAGCTAGTCTTACTATATTGGCACTTGTGGCCCGTTGCCAGTAATGACCTGCAGCAGCCTCTCTGCACCTCGGGCGAATTCTCCGACGACTGACCTTGCCGCCCCAATCTCTGACAGTCTCTGATACCTATTGCTTCATGTCTCATCTCATATTCCACGAAGCCTGGGGCAGGAAGTTTGACAGCGTCCCCAACAAGTATACTCCGTAGGTGCGCACCAGCTAGGAATGTGGTACAGTGTGTGGATAGGTTTATTTCAGTCCCAACGAGCCCCTTATTAGACCCTTATCGTTTGGTCTCTTCGTAATGCACTAAGTTTAGCTCTTTGTTCTCCTACAAGTGAGACGGTCGGTCTCATGGTAAACGCCGATACATCACATTTCCGAGAGCTCCTAGTGGGCCTCCGCTCTCCGGAGGGATGCTCGAGCCGCTGGCGAACAGCCAGGACAAACTAGCGCTAAGGAGCTGGCCAAAGTTCTGGCTGGTGTTGTGCGTGCAGGCTAGGGGTGGGTAATATCGACCGACATGCAGAAGTGCGCGTCAATTAATATTGGTGACTGGTCCCATCAATGCTTCCATGCTATGGGTATCTCAAAACAATAGTCCAGTTGCATCGGCCATCGAATTCCGCCGTCCAGTCTGGCAGGCTCGCTTGGGCTTCAATGCCCGGAACCCCCATTCGACACACGCAGCTTCCCCATTCTTTTCACATGTATCACCCACATTCTTCCAACGGTTGGAGGGGTCGCCGGCGCGACGGCACCAGATGCGGTGCGGGGAATGAAGGTTGCTGCAGGTAGCGACGGAGATTCCCAAATCAAGGCAATGCAATCACCCCAACCTTCCAACGCCCAGGGCTCGACATCGGGTGGGGAGAGCGGGGTTTGGCGATGACCTGTTTGTGTTGGAGGCCGAGTTGGAGGCCGAGATGGAGGGTGAGCTTGACCACCTCGGAGCCCAGCTTGTGAATCCCACGTGGGAACAATCATACGTACCAAGTTGCCAAACCGAGCTTCATACATGAGCTAGAGTCCGATCATATCACCTTCGTCACTCATCGCCTGTGCGGTTCCGTGTTGCTGAAGTGAGAGACAGTGGCCATCGCCATGGTGGGCATGGTGGGGGATACTATCAGAGCATGATGGCAAGAGTGAGATGCTCAAAGGCGGGGTTGAGTCTGGAGATCGGTTCTCACGTCAGGCCAAGAAGCCATCTGGGGCAACTTTTAGTAGATGCTCCATCGCGGGGAGGGAAAGATTACTGTGCATGTCGATTGTTGTGACAAGATTATGTGACTCGGACTGTCGAGTCCCGTGTGGCTTACGAGACCCACAGTCCCTGGGCGTATAGGTGGCTGTGCATTGTCAGCCACACGCTGTCTGCTCTGACGCCACAGATCCACTGGAGAGAAACCATTGTCAACTTCAGATATCCATCAACCAGCGGAAGAGAATGTACAGTGCGGGTACAGAGCTCCAGTTTCCCTGTTTGATTCCCCAGGTTTGCTTTACGTGATTCCACCACAAAACAAAGACCCTGTAGGCTACTGGCAATTACCAAGACCCGAATTGTGAGTGCTGGTTCTTTGTTTGAACAACGCTCCTGGCTCCTGCTCATGCCAGGTGAGGTTGCATTTCAGTTCGCATTCAGGACTCTCAGTCAAACGCAGCCTCAGACTGTGTTCTAGCCTCGAGACCTGTATTAAATTGCTTACATTATCGGCTTTCTGCCTTGTCAGCTGCCGCCCACCCAACCGTTTTATGTTGCCAGCTGCCAGCACTGTCAGGCACAAACTTTAAGGTCTAAGGTAGGTAGATTGACTCGAGAGTTCACTACGCTTTCTTCAACCTTTCACCAGCACCACAACCTCAACGCTCTACGTCCTACTAGGGCACCCCGGCATCACCCCAAAAGGGCTCTTTGGAAAACTTGTCTTACGATAAGGAAAACGAGAGCCACGGCACCTGCCTCTAGGGTGGCAGAACCTCACGATAACAGTCACACGTCTGCGTTTCGCCCAAACCCACCTGAGCCGTTCTCGGAAGACTCGACACGGGAAAGAGCAACCTGGCTGATACTTTGTATCTCCCAGTTGCACTCGCTTTCATCGCAACACGACTTGAGTAATCAGGTTCTCAATTTCCCCTCTCCTTTCAGCTTTCCTCAACTCGACTCTGCCAACTTGCTCCCTTCACAACGCCCTTCCTCAACGCCCTTTCATAACTCTGATCACCCGGCTGCATATGATCACAGATTCGGGGGATTTCCTTGAGCACTTCGCACCCTAGAACCGGGTGTAATCTTAACTCAGTTGTGAGTGTCGGACGTTGCACAAGCCACTCCCGGATGTATAACTTACCGTGGCATAGAGCTTGATTGACCCGGTGTTAGACCACCACCCAATCACGCAGACATGGCGACAATTGAAGCTGTTGACGGGCTTGCGCCCTTACGGGAGACGGCGACGACGAACAAGCCCGAGGTCAACGGACCTTGTGAGGTCGCTCCAAACCCTCTAATCGACGACCTAAAACCAAACAACCTTCGACGTGGCGTCTTGATTCCCCTCAAAACGACCCAAGAGGTCCGGCAAGACCACGTTATTGTGCAGGCTTGGATTACCAGAGCTCCCACCAAGCTGGCCAACGATGTCATCTCGTTCGTCTGCCCCCACCCTCCTCAACTGCATCTGCATCTGCCATAGATGTTGACAACTAACATATTCTTAGAGCCTTGCGTAACATGCGACCCGATGCTAGTGCTAATCCCCTACCTCATCTTCGCAGATGCGCCAAACCCGCTGATCTTCCTGCCCACTTGAAGACTCAGTTCATGAATGACACCCCAGCAGGTCGCCAGATCCATACCGCAAAATCAACCTGGATCTATATTATTGTTGGAGAGGTCAAAGACTTCACTCGGGAGGATCTGACCAATGCCATGACCAGCGTTGAAGGGCTCGACAAGGATCTGTTCACTTCAGTCATTTCCATCCCTTTGCTGGCACCAACGTCCCAAGTCCAAGCTGCCATGTGGTCGTCACAATTTTGGCCGACGGTGTATCGAAAGAATAACCCTCTCGGTCCTCACCCCAGCATAGTGGCTCGTGGGACTGACGAGGTCAAGGAAGATGCCTCACTATGGATGGCGCTGGCACACCGTGTGGCCCTCCAGGCCAAGGAATCCGGAATCGGCGAGGCTATAGGAGCCGTCATCGTCCAGAGAGATGGAGCCAAGGCAGAACTCGTCGGTCTTGCCGGGGACGCTCGCTGGCATCAAGAGTACAGCGACGATCCGTTTGGCTCGAGCAATCCGATGACTCACTGTGTGCTCCGAGCTATTAGCATGGTTGCCCAGAAGTTAGTTCGACACGAACGACGGGTCGCTGGTCGTCCAGTGAACGTCCCGAATCTCGACTACGACGCATTCCAAGATGCCCCCCTGATTGAGTTGGAGAGGCGGTGCTTTGAGCAAGATCACCCGAATAAGGACGGCTACTTGTGCCATGGTCTAGAGCTTTACGTCACCCACGAGCCATGTGTCGCTTGCTCGATGGGTATTCTCCATTCGCGCATGGGGAGGGCCGTATTTTGCAATCACATGCCTCGCAGCGGAGGAATGAGCTCAGATGATCGTCCTGATGGAGGTGGACGAGGACTGGGACTCTTCTGGAGACGCGAGCTCAACTGGAGCTTGATGGCATGGGAATGGGAACGTGAGGCCGTTCCCGACCTGCCTTCTCTTGACCCCACCACTCATGTTTAGGATTACCACCTCCGAGGTCCATACGAGACTCATTCGCTCCCGAGCACCAGGCAAGGAGCCGGGAGCAACAATACGGCAACGCAAGAGCGGCCGCATAATATCAATACATCACTAGACGCAGCCCGTCACTGGCCGAGAGAGATGGGCGTGAAACGCGGCAAGACGGATGCCCTCCAATGTTTGACGAGGGTTACTATTCTGGTCTACTACCAACTGGGGCATTGGTTCAAGGAGAGGCGGAGGGTTTAGATAGGCCTCTGTGCTCCGGGAGTAGGGATGGAATGGGGACGCTGCGGGTCGTGTAACAATAGCTTGAGCAGAGACGAGCAGAGCATGCATATAAACAACTGGTGCCTGATGCCAGACACGATGTATCAAACATGTTCCTTTGCGCAGGATAAGTGGATGATCGGATTCGTATTGCGGAATTTCTCCGTTGAAGAAAACAGCAAACAAAGGAAGACGGCTTTCGTTTAGTCCCGGTTCTAGAGTGGGCAAGGACCACATGTGTGTATTTATGACATGGCCACGGGAAGGTAGGGGCGTTGAGTTCTTAGCAAGAGATGTAAGGAAATAAAGACTGATAAGGCTCTGATCCTGATAACGCTCTGTTACGATACGAACATGGATCTACATCTATGATGCTTGCCGTGTGCATCAAACATGACTCTTTAAGCGGGAGAAACGGATGACCGGACGAAGGGGTGATCGGATTCTCAGTGGCAAATTTCTCCGTCGAAGAAACAATGTGCAAACAAAGAAACCCAAAAAATAAAGAAATGGAGGTTTTCGTTGAGTCTTTGATCTATAACCGCGGCAGAGCAGTGCGGCAGAGTGGGCATGGGACCCTGGCTGGGTTGGCTCCAGTGCCCCTCCTTGTTGGCTCGGATCACCAGTGGAGGAGGTGGTGAAGTTTGGTCTCCCCTCCCCTAGTACGCGACGTCTCCAGCACCTCCCTGCTCGCTCTGGCTTTTGTCTTTGCACGCCCACGACGTCGCCCACGCCCTGACCGGAAAACAAATCTCCCAGAGCCGACGCAGGGCTTCGAGAGACGCAGTGAAAGGCCCTTGATTTTGCACTCGCCATGCGGTTGCTTTGACTCTTTGGCCGCCATTTCCAGCCTCGTCCATCCGTCGCCCACGACCTCTCCGACTGCCCCAGCAGCGTCGTCATCAAAGGACTCCCGCAGCGTCTCGCCAGTCGCCCTGCTCAGACCGTCCGCCTTCTATCCTCCGCGGCGCCGACCTGGGCGCTGGAGCATGCGCCGAGCTCGTCCGACTTGTCGATATTCAACTTCCTCCGTCACGCTAAAGCTTTCCACCCCGCCGGCCTCCATCACAGACCCGAGCACCAATACGATAACGCCGAGATGAACAAGAGGCGTGCGGCTGCGGGGGCAACTCCGGCGTCGACCGGCTCCTCCAAGAAGCGCAAGATGGACAATGTGCAAAAATTCTACGCCGTCAAGGCTGGCTTTCACCCGGGCGTCTACCTGACCTACGCCGAGTGCCAACTGCAGACGGCGGGGTTCAAGGGAGCTGTTTGTGAGTAGAACCTCGGACCTGACAGGAAACAAAAGTTATCGTACAGCAAGAAGCTAACGTTTTGTGTGCTTACAGTCAAGTCATTTACGTCCCAGGAGGATGCCGACAATTTCGTGGCTGGCAAGAAAGTCAAGTCATCGTCCAACGAACCGGACAAGTTCTACGCCGTGGCCGTGGGCAGCCCGACCGGTATCTACACAGACTGGACGGAAGCTTCGGAAGCTATCAAGGGAGTCAAGGGGCCCAAATATAAGCGCTTTGCGACACGAGTAGAAGCGGTGGCATACATCAGGCAGTTTGGCAACCGTGATGCCATCGAGGCCCTCGGAGAAGAGGCTGTGGAACCCGAGCAGCCCCCCGCGAAAAAAACCAAGCCAACATCGAAGGAAGACCCCGTGCCGACAGGACCCCAGGAGGATATACTCAAGGTCTACACAGACGGCAGCAGCCTGGCCAACGGTAAAAAGGGATCTCGGGCAGGCCTGGGCGTCTTTTTCGGCAACGGCGACCCGCGCAACCTGTCGGAAAAACTACCAGGCGAGCTGCAGACGAACCAACGGGCTGAGCTGATGGCGATGCTACGGGCGTTGGAGATTGCGCCCCTGGATCAAGCGGTGCAGATCTTCAGCGACAGCCAGTACTCTATCAACTGCGTGACGCAGTGGGCGCTGAGCTGGGAGCGCAAGGGCTGGAAGACAGCCACGGGCGAGGACGTCAAGAACCAGGACATCATCCGCGACGTGCTGGCCAAGATGGCCCAACGCACAAAGGCCGGCTCCAACACCTATTTCCAGTGGGTTAAGGGGCATGCTTCGGATCGCGGCAACATTGCCGCGGATAGACTGGCGGTCCTTGGAGCCAGAATGTAGGACATCTCCTGGCTGGATGACTAGAAGCGGCGGAGAAGATACATAGGGTCGGAAACAATGGCTATGTCTTCGGGAAGGACGAGGCTGTGTATATCGCGGACAACAACATCGCAGGAAAGCGGGAGAGCTCTCTTGAGACCAATCTTGTTTTTTGTTTGAGTTGCTAGGGCGTGGAGTCTTTTGGTACATGTGTGGATATGGAGATTTCTCTGTCCTCATCTCTTGTGTTTGGTCTCATTTTCCTTTTCTGTCTTCTTGTCGTGATACCTACTCTCTGGTGTTTTAGCTCCGAAATGAACCGAGATCGGCTGACATTTTTGCCACAATGTGCAACCAAAAACGGTAACAGAGTCGTATCCCCCGGTCTACGGGAGATGAGAGACCTATCTACTTATTCTCCGTACCGGATACTTAAGTGGGTTCCTGTAGTATATGTGGCTTGGGCTTGTGTAACTTGACTTTCTGATGCAGTTTCCTATTGCGGCAACACGGAATGTCCTCGTGTGAGATGCATGAGCAGATATTAAAAGCATGCGTATACGTGTCTTAGGCAGGAACCCCTGAGTTCTCACCAGTCTACGTCGGGAGTTCATCTTGTTCGAGGTGCCTGGCTTGGTGATACGGCGCCGCTGGGTTGGTTGTGCTACTGGGAAAGGGGAATTAGGGACATGTAGAGGTTTTTCCGTCATGTGAATATTCCGAGAATAGCATATAATGCGACCTGTCGAAGGCCGCCGCCTTTCGGACCCATGTCGGGCTTGCGTTGATTTCCTGATCGGCATTTCGAGTCATGTATTTCACTGGTGTCAGCATGGCTGATGACAGAGGTATGAGACGATTGGGAGGTAGCAGCGTAGCTTCAATGGCAGATATCGCCGACCCGACTCAAGCCATATTGCAACTCAAGCAAATGCATGATTGGCAACTTGGACATGTCGCTTCTTAGAACGGCTGTTGTCCCGTTGCCTTAGTGTTGTTGTCGAGCCGGAAGGGGCTGAGTGCTTGCCACTCCTGAATCGAGCATTAAGGGCATTAAGGGAGCACATAAGCTGTTATAGTTTACTACTTGCAATATACTTTGGGCTAGATATGCAGGCCTTCATTGCGATTCCTCCCGACAGATCAGACTAACACCCACGGGGTTGCACCTCGATGTCGGACCGGCACCCTCAGCGGCCCTGTTGGCGTCCAGCCCCCCTGGGACCGGTGAACTGGGCCAAGAACGGCCCGCATCTAGATCGGCTGTGGGATCGGAGGGAAAGACGACGCATACGCTGATAGCCCCGAGACTCGGCGACGGCGCGGCGGAGGTGTTGGAGGGGCTGGCTCATAGCAACTACCGACTTAGCCGTATGAGCAGGGGTGGGCCGACCGGACCATGGCCAGGACGTCAAGATGACGAAGTCATGGCGAATTGAGGGTTTTTCTTCGCTATCCAGCGCTGCAACGGGAGATTGAGGCCTCAAGTTTGGGCGCTGTGCGTCTGGCTCGTCGTAAGAGTGAGTGAGGGGGCGGGAACTAGACGAGATGGTGAACCGACTGGTAGCCGACGTCGCATCCTCGTGTCCGTGTCGAGGCTGCCATGCAGCATCGGCGGTTTTGGGCTGCCAGGTGGCAACACCACCACAGTTCGGAGTTGATTTCTTTTAGTGATACAGTGCTATGCCTTTTTTCATTCCATGCCGAATTGGAAAGTAGGGCGCGTGTCTTGTGTGTTGCCTACGCATGCAGGTAAATCTGTACCTTGTCACCAGAGGGCGTCTAGAGAAGGGTGGGAATGAGACAAGGGCCTGGGATCTGGGTTGACATCTTGCATCAGCCAGGCGGCAGTGGTCTATGTGGGTGGTCTATGAGGCGATTGCAGAAACTGAGATGTACCTCTACAATGGAGGATGGAGTTGGCGGTGGAGGGGGACTATTCCAGAGAAGCACCTTGTGATTAAGACGAGGACATGTATTGGCTTGTTAGGCCGGCTTGTCTCACTCAGTGCTGAGCTGTCATCTACTAATGTATGCGCAGTGGAGGTTCGTGACGTGAATCAAAGACACTGGGCCTCGATCCATGGCCAAGTTGTCAAGGCGTCAAGACATCCAACGAGACAGTGCCCTTGGCATTGTGTAACCGATTGTTTACGCCCACAAGATCTCGCGCCTTATCAGAGTTCATGTAACTCGAGCCTGTAGAAGAGGCGCTCGCATGGTTGCGCCACAGATCAACGGCCGTGCGTGATAACTGATAACTCGTCTATCTGTCGCTTTTGTTGAGATGTCAGAAAGCTAGGCAGAGACATGCAGGAGGCGCGCGATTTCGCAACGCCCGCACGTTGCGGCATTACAGGATGGAAACGGGGACATTGGACGAACTTGGCTGGACGTGCAGGCGATTGGTCACTGTGGCGTATTTTGGTGCATTTTTTGTACTTTTTCCTCCTCACCGTTGATCCTTTGGTTCCATCCTAGAAGGGCTCGATAACGATGACAACGACGGCGAGAGGGTACACAGATGCTTGTGGCGTTGATGGACATGGGGGTTTACGCGCTGTAAGTTTTGTGTGCTGCAGAAGGGGAGGTAAGGGAGGGTTGGGTCTGTTCGTGTGGTGGCGGTGGCGGTTACGCCGCATAATTATGTCTCTTGCAGATGCAGTTGCAGATGGAGACTCACCACAACGTCAGGATGAGCTGAGATGAGGAATGTTTCCACAATATTGAATCCTTTTGATGGAATTGAGGCGCCCACGAGGAAAGGCAGCTAACCCGCCTGGTCCGTCAAACTCCTACCTGCTGAGCCGGGTCCCTACATTGAATGCAATGCAACCGTGACTCTTGTCACCACGCACGCCATGGAGCAATTGATTGATTGGGTTGAGGTGACCGACGTCTCCTCACGGTTCTCCAAAGCATTATCTAGACCAAGGCGGGGAAGATTAGCCTCGCACATTAGGTCAACAACAAACGGCCAGACCAGGCCAGATCTGCCAGATCACCCAGCAAGCGCGTTTCGGGTGGAACGGGAGCAACGGGGGTCCATCGTCGTCATCGGGGCACCATGTACTATGTAAGAGGCAGTGCCAAGTTTGTTGGGCGTGGAGCTTGGAGCAGGGAGAAGAGGACAAGACCGGGGCAAACGGCGCCATGTTTGCAGCCACTGGGGAAGCTGTAAGTGTCATCATCAGTCCAGAGGGGCTGGGGTGTGTCTGGGCGTAGGCAGCGCCCCGAGAGAGAGCCTGGAATCGGGGGCTGTTGCAATTGAGGCTGGTGTTTTGACATGGCGTTGACGCCGGCAGTCGAGCCATGTCAGGCTTGTAAGGCGAGTCGATCCCTTAGGCCCTAGGGTGTCTGCATTGCTGTCGATAGCGAATGTATGTACGAGGCGTGCTGCATTTGACTGAACCTTGACCCTGCTGCTTGCTTACTTTACTGGGAAGGGGGAGTAGCTTTGCAGTGGGAGGACAAGGTGCGGATAATGTATGAGCGCACTCCAACACAACACAACACCTCCATTGCGGTTACAGCTGCATGCCCATTTTTTGGAGTGCAGCAGGGCTCCAGGACTGACTGCACGTCCGGGATGTGCAGCCTAGATGCACGGGCTTGAGTGCGTGCGCGGATGTACTGACAGAGCTTCGTAACCCGGTACTTTTGATTTGGGCAGTTGTGAGGATTGGCCCTGTGTCTGTCTTGTTGATGCCGGGGCTGCCGTCCCCGACTCCGATCAGGACGGCGTTTTCTCAACCTGGTCCGCGGGGGGCCGAAGTCCGAAGCCGTTGGGGAAATATGACATCCGCCGCCGAGCTATGACTGCTGACAGTTGCCCACCGAGCCGCACGGCAATGCCATTTAAGGCCAGTTGAGGCCAGGCTGGCTCGGAGTGATTACAAGAACGATATTGAAATCGCCTTTCTGCTCCAGGTGGGAGTCACAGCGTGCGTAATAAACTCCGATTAGTGCTGCCTCGCATCCCAACTTTGTTACCCCCCGCCCGGCCCCCCATCAATCCCAGCAAGTTGTCTCCTCTCAAGCCCCCCAGTGTCGACGCCAATTTCCTTGGGTGGCCGCCTGGCTTGGCTCGAGATGATGAGAGTCACTGGTCGCCGGCGCATCACCAGGGCACACCACGGGGCCACGACGGGCGGAATTGGCCACCACACGGAACGGGTAGAAGCACTCCTACCTGGATTGACCTAGATAGAACCACTTCGCACCAAGTCTCCTTTGTTCACAATTGATTTTATGTTAGTAGCGAATGCCATTGGCCATCGCCTTAGCAGTTGCGGTGCCTCCGCGGCTGTCAGTCGGTCTGGCACCCGGAGGCTTGAGCAGGTACCGCCAGGCCAGCTAACAGGTAAATTCCGGGCTAAGGTACCCCAAACAAGCCCTTAGGTGGCCGACGGGACCCGGGGCGAATTGGAACAGATGGAAGGTGGCCCCCGGTCGACTCAGGCGGCCAAAGAGGGATCCAAAGAGGCCGGGGAGCCAGGTTCTGGGACGTGCGGGGGCACACCACCGCACCGTGTGGCGTACGGTTCTGAATGCAGAGAAGACCGTGCCGAATAGCCCTCAACCGCACTGTCCCGGGGCCAGAAGCGGGCCTGCCCTATTACCTTGAAGGCAGCGCAGCGCAGAGCAGGTACGTACTGGGTACGGGGCCCTGTTGATCAAGTACCAATCCCCGCCACGCACCACTTGCAACCGGCCAATGGGAGACTAGCCTGTGTATCCATGCTCGTGGTCCACGCACATCCCATGCCCACACAACGCATGCACACTCACACACACACGCTCACACATGTACTTCGTACTAATTACTCCCAGTCTCCCACACTCTCTCCCACGCCAACGCCAACGCCTACGCCTCCCCGCCCAGTTAGTCCCAGCGGCCCACGTCCACTGGCGAACAGACAAGAGAGAGACACGGAAAGACGCTCCAAGAAGCCGGCCAAAAACCTCCACTCTTCCAGCCCAGACCCATCGCATCCACGCCGTCCTTCGTCTCGCCTCTTGCTGTCGACTCTAAGCTGCCTCCCTACCTCCTCGCCGAATCTAACATTTCAACCTCTCGCCGTCTAAATCCCTTCTCTCCCCCGACCACCGACCGTCGCCTACCGCCTAATTACCGTCTGCTCGGCTCGACCACTCGGGCCCCGATTTCTTCCAGGCACGCCGACATCTTGCAGGCGACCCTGACCGTCCTTTTTTCGACTCTCTGACCGACCTGCCCACCGCACCTGGTCCCCACTGTGTTCGCGTGCGTTTTGCCTGCGTCTAGGGGCACTTGTTCCCTCTTTTACACCTCGTCTGCCCCAACCGCCACGCCACACGTCTTCCCACTTGGAACATCCATTACCGCCTGCCTTGCCCGACGCTCGCTCTTCGGTCGAGCATGGCCGTCTAGGGCTCGCTGCGAATATCCTCGATTCCGATTCTCATCGCAACCCCCCCGCCGAACTTTCTCGTGTCGATGCGTCCCGCGGCGCTCTCCGAACCCCCCCGCGCCGACACCGACCTGTGAACTGTGATCTGCGACACCGACTCCAATTGCCTTGATTCACCACCCACTTCCTATTTTCACCACCGTGCCCCCGGGTCATCCCAGCTCTCGCTCCGCTGGTCATGACACCCGCTGCCACCGGCCCCGGCAGCCCTCTCATTGCTGGCGTTGCCATGTCGGGCGGCGAATTCAACGACTTTTCCGATGACGACCTCGGTGCCAACAACCTTTTCGACTTCTCTAACAGCCCAGATACCCTCCAGAGCCTAGAGTCGCTCGGCGCCGGCGACCCCAAGGCCTTTCTATCTCCTCAGGAACTCTCCGCAGGTCCTTTCCCCGATTCTCCCAACGGCTCTTATCACGACTCGTCCTCCGAGTCGGCCTCCTCAAAACGCACCGGCAGCTCCACCTCCTCCAAGACGCCCGCTACTACCACCGATGTAATGATGGATGACGGCGATATCAAGATGGAATGGGGCAACCCAGGGTTTGGCACATTTACCGACGACGACGCCACATTTGGCTTTGGCCGCGATGCCGACCCCTCTACCCTCGATGGCATTTACGGCTTCGGCCAGGACGACAGCTTCCTCGACCGATCTTTCGACTTCGAGAGCGCTTCAAGTAGCCCCGAGATGGCGAATGGCGCCCAACCTAGCATGGCGTCCCCCAAGATGCCTACCATCAAGACAAACAGCCCCATGAAGTCAGAGGCACCCCCCAAAAGGGTCAAGACGAATGCTCAAGGTCACCACAAGGCCCCTTCGGTAAGTCAAACGCACACTTTTCGGGTAATCTATAACTTGATATTGACAAAATTAAGCAATACTCTGTATCATCCTCTATGAACGGACGGAAGACGGCCGGATCGCGCGAGGTATCGCCCATGTCCAATATTGTAATGAGCCACGGTGGCTCGCCGGCAGCCCTCTTTAACTCCCCCTCGCCCAACGCCGGGCCCGATTTCGCCAGAGTTATGAATGGGAACTTGGGTAACGCTATCTGGCCAACCGGGTTGGATGGCGCCGCACCCACTCTGGACGGCCTGCCCAATCCCCTCCATTTTGGCGTTCAAATGAACCAACCAATGTCGATGCCACAACAGATGCCGATGCTCACCCCGCCTGCGTACAACTTCGCCGGCCTATACGAGCTCAAGATTCTGCCCACTCCTCTCAAGTCCCGTGTTGAGACTCAGATTCCAATCAAGATGACTCTGACTCCTCTCCCCCCCGGTGTCACCAAGCTTCACCTCCCCGCTCATACCATTTCGAAGCCTAAACTCCTCGCTAAGCCGACTCCTGAGAGAACCCCGGATACGCTTGAGCTCTTTGTCACATTGGTGTGCACCAGCGCCATGGAGGGACCCGACAGGAAGAAGCACGCCTTGGAACGAGCTGCGTCTCATCCCCAGGGTTATCTGCCTAGTATGGACGATGAGGAGAACTCCCCTCAGAATGGTGGCGATGTACGAATATGCCCAGGATGTATCACTCGAGAACGGAAGCGGGCCGCAAGGAAAAAGATCAAGAAGCCTGACGAGGAGAAGCTTTGGAGCCAGGACGAGGAGCGCCGCGTTATCGTCTTTAACACACAAGAAGTGAAGGAGTGGCAGCCTGTCAGCCCTGTCACAGACTCGAATGGAAACCCGGAGCCCGTCGTGGCTGATGGTGGCATGCAGATTGATGCCCCGATGCGCATTGCCTGCTACTGTCGGCACCATGGTGAGAAGATGGGATTTAACGTCGTCTTCACGATCAAGGACTTCCAGGACCGAGTCATTGCGCAAGCCATGTCGAATCCTATCATGATCACCGACGATCACAAGACGCACCCTATGGCCCAAAATGCGACACAACCCTCGATACCGGAAGCCCCAGTTGCCGCTTCAGCTCCGGTAAACCCTCAACCCATCGACACTAGTAACCTAGTCCCCCCTACACCTACCGGCAATTTCCGTATGTCGACGTCCAGCAGCGACCTCTCGAATATGCAACATCGGAACAGCCTGTCATCTTACCCGACCTCTTCATCAGGCAAGACGACACCCACAGGGGCCACATCCCGAACATTGTCTCGTCCTGCTTCACCGACCTCAGGAGGACCTATGTCGAAGAAAAGGAAGGCGAGCGGGTCGAGGGTGCCCAATGGTCTCACCATGACTCGTCTTGACACTTCTCCCTCGCCTGGTGCTCAGGCGACCAGCAACCAGATGAATACCACTACCTCCCCCTTCACCCCGAACCTCAACGCCTTCTCGCAAGCGGATAGCTTGTTTGGACAACAAAATGGCATGGCTCCATTCGCTACTGGCCCCCCTACTCCTAGCAGCAATGACCAGCCCGCCTTCTTTACTAATAACCGATCTGCGAGCATGGACAACCTGGCGATGGCCCAGCTGTATTCGGCACCTGCTTCAAACCACGCAAGCCGAGCCCCTAGTCCGAACGGCCTGAGGAACAGCGTGAGCGCAGCGACTCAGAATCAGTTCAACCAACTCAATGGCGCCATGTACTCACTGCCCCTGGGCTTGAACCAGACTCGCGTGCCCCCGATAATCCACAAGATCATCCCCAACGAAGGTCCCAAGATTGGAGGAATCGAAGTGACTGTCCTAGGTGCGGCCTTCTTCCAAGGACTGGAAGTCTGGTTTGGTGAGCAGAAGGCGACTACTACCACTTTCTGGGGCGAGTCGTCTCTCGTCTGTCTGTTGCCTCCTTCGCCTGTCGCAGGAGCTGTTGCTGTCACCTTCAAGCATCAGGCTGCACAAGCCGCCCAAGCTTTCCCCATGGGCAAGCAACCGCCCATCTTCAAGTACATTGACGACAACGAGGACAAGCTCATCAGGACTGCCCTGTCCGTCCTCGGCCACAAAATGTCTGGCCAGATGGTCGATGTTAGTGATCTGGCCCGAAGGATCTTGAACGACGGTAGCTCTGGTTGGTCGGGCGGTGGTGGCTCTGCTGGTGGTTCATCTGGTGGCCAGCCACCAGGCGGTCAGATGTTTAACCATGCGCCATACGCCCATCTGGAGTCCCAACTCCTGAAGTGCCTCGACCTGATCGATCTCGACGACAGCACTCACAGGACTCGCCTGGATCTCAAGAGAACAACCGGCCATACCATGCTCCACTTGTCCTGCTCGCTTGGCTACCATCGATTTGTTGCTGCTCTTTTGGCTCGCGGAGCAAACCCTGACGCTCGTGACAAGGGTGGGTTCACACCTTTGCACTTGGCTGCCATTCACAACCACCCCGAGATTGTGCGTAGGTTGATGCTCCACGGTGCCGATCCTACCATCCGAAGCTTGTCTGGACTCGCTGCCGCCGATGTGGCCCAGTCCCGAGCTGTCCTTCGCGCCATTCGCCGTTCCGAACGCCATGTCCGATCCCGCAGCAGTGGTGCCTCGCTTCATAGCAGAGCCAGCAGCGCCACATCGCTTCGATCGTTGTGGGAGCCTATGAGCAAGATCCACAGTCACGAGGAGCACATGTCAGCCGACTCCAGCGAGGAGAGCCCAGAGTATACCTCAGGGGACTTTGAGGACGAGGACCCTGATGAAGACTCTTACTTGAGAATGAGAAGACCTAGCGGACTACGACAAGACCGACCCACCCTCCAACGCCAGAAGACAGCCGAGCTGGAGCTCGACGATGAGGACTTGGTTCCTCCGGCAATGGCGCCGGCCGCCGCGTTCAGAGATCAACTGCAACAGCCACTGCAACAGGTCCAACAGCAGTTGCAACAATTCCAGCAATCCATGGCTTTGCACTTCCAGAACCTGCCTCACTTCCCCCAGATGCCTGACTACCAGGCAATACAGCTGGCTCCGTTCATGCGAGCGATGCAGCAGCTGATGCCGGGCATGTCCGGAGCCCGTCCTGACGCGGATGGCGAACAACCTCGCTGGTGGGACATGACTCCCAAAACTAACCCCGCAGCTCCGCCTGCATACGAAGAGTTGTACCCCCAACAAGAGCTCGACCGCAAGCAAGCGTCTGCCATCCAGGCTGCCTGTGACGCCGAGGCCGACATAAAGTGCGCTAGCCTGTACGATCAGCCGTCCACATCCGAGGTTGTTGAGGGCAAGACTCAGGTGCCGAGTGTTCTCATGATTGGCCGAAAGAATGCCATCACAAAGGAACAGCAGGAGCAGTTCCTGGCGGCACGTGAGGAGAAGTTGAAGAAAATTGGGAGTGACCGCAACCTGTTCTTGCTCTGGGTTAGTATCTCTCACCCGCCCATCCTTGACCCTAAGCTAACCGCACTGCAGATCCCTCTTCTTATAATCATGGTTTGCACCATGCTTTACAGCTACTTCCCCTCGCTGGTTCCCTTCGCTTGGGCATTCGCCCGTTCCCTTTGGGAGGGCGGCATCGACAAGACTCATCAACTCATTCAACAGAACATCCCCGAGCGAGTTGTCGAGCTTTGAAAACATTACGATAATGGTGTTTTTTTCTTTTCTTTCTAGATATAGGACTTTTTTATGTTCGTAACGAAGGGATCTAAGGTCTGTTGTTTGCCAGCTACTTGACGGCATATGAACTATTCTCTATGTCGCATTCTTGTTTCAGTTTTCATTTTATTATAACGGCCATTCGTTTTACCTGCGAGAAGCAACGGGGTCTTCGTCGGAGGGATATCTGCTTCTTAACCCCCATGAGAAGGCGAAAGACGGAAAACACGCAAGCAAGAGTGGGGGATTCAGTGATGGTGGACACAGTGGTTAAGTCGTGCCTAGGTTACAGGCGCTGACCCTAATACTTGTTGTTCTGGAGGCCGCTTTGGCGCCTGTTTATTGGGAGTGCGGACAAGTGTTGATTGTTTAGTACTATACATGGGTGACGGCAAAGCAGGTGGTCGTTTAGCTTGGAAGGTGACAGAGGTACGTTAACTTTATTGTTCAGAGGTGGATCTGATGTTTTCTTGGTTTGGAAATGGTGGCAAGTGATGGGAATCGATTGGGACGGAACAGGACGGGAAATGGAATGGGGCTCACAATCGTACGGATTTGTATATATAGCATTACTACAAAAGGCTAGAAGTCATGTCATGCTGTCGTCCTGCAGATGAGAGAGCTCCTATGATTGTTTTACCGTTGCCATTCGCATACGAGTACAACCACTTAATGTAGGACTTTAGTAGGGAAACCAGAAGAATGAAACCAAGGATATACCATTGGTTGTTGCCTTGAGATAAGCGTAGGCCTTCAACTTACACGGTTACCTTTAAGGGTTGCTATTCGGACACAAGAGCCGATTCGCCTAAGCCTCTTATAAACCAGTGTACCTAGCACGCATAGTCGAACGATATATTCTTAGGCTAAAGGTCTATCATGATAATGAAATCTAACCTAATACCCAAAACAAAATAAGGTAAGGAGGACTACGGGCGCTGTGTGTGTCTGCCTCTTGTTTGCAACCACTCTATGTATGGTTTCGATCCATCTGATTATGCTGGGTATGGATTTAAAAAAAAGGGCAGAAAACATCGCTTCAACTAAAGTCTTATAAACCGACATTCCCTAAATCGCTGTATCAGTTGCATTGCTGATGATACTCAAGGATCGGAGCATCTGCTTATGGTGTAAATAACAGTGTCTACGTGTGCGAATAGCAAAATTTCAGCCTCCACTTCGTATGTGGCCGTACATTGATTCAGCTGGGTCCTAGGTGCAAATTTGTAGTGTCTGCGAACAGCAATACTCTGCCGAGTATATTACATGATGATTGATCAATCTAACGCCTACTCACTCTCGACATCCTCGCGAATGTTACGAACCAGTGCATGGATAACTAACAGTATCTATTCCTGTCCACCATAAAATGCAAACCAAGGACGAGTACGAGTCAGGCCCAGGAATATTACTTCCCTCCATTCCTCGCCTCCTCCATTCCAAACGAGAAATGCAAATCAAACCGAACAACCGATAGATCAAATTCCACAAACTGTAGCCAGAGCCCCCAAGATCCCAGATCCAGTATCCCAAACGTCCCAGTTCCCAAAGAGAAAAGAGCAAGGAAACCAAAAAGCCCCCCAAACCAGAATCCAAGTTCCCCCTAAACAGGGAGGAAGGAGACGCCAAAAAGGTCATCATGCATCGTGGGTCATGCCGCATTGCCATCGTGGATATTCTCCACATGTAAACACACAACATTCCAATACCAAAAATCACAATTTTGAAGTCATAAAAAACAAGAGTCGTGAACCGCGTGAGGAGTCATCCATCGTCATCAAAGCAAGGAAAACTGGCCAAGTCCCAATTGCGCCCCTGTTGCTTACCATTGCCATGTCTCACCACTGTCCGCTGCCATGAGGATTGAGTCCTGTCACTCGAGCTAGTTCCCACAAAGACATTTCTATGCCTATGACATAGAGGGTGGCTATAGGTGGAGAGTGAGATACGGAGCGCCGTTCTCACGATCCTCGCAAGTAACAAACTTTTTGGGGATGTTAGGGACCCTTGGAATGCCGCGGTTTGCATTTGGAGTAACACTCAGGCCCTCCGCAGCACTCCTACGGCCACGAAGGACTCGAGGAAAGTAGGATTCTTGCAGAGGCGGCTTCGATTCGCCTGATGCGATGCGCCTAGCTGCAGGCCTTCCCTGGCGGTTGGGCATCTCGGCGGAACTTCTTGTGTTTGCACCCGGGAGACGACCCAGGACACGCTGGGCGAGCGTGTTATACTCGCGGCTGGAGCTATGGGGGCCTGAGACACTCCGACGGGGCGCGAGGACGCGGCGGGAGGCAACATTTCGAAGCTTGGGGGCAGGGATATCGCGGGAGGCCGACTTCCGAAGTTTCTTCTTCGGCGTCGGAGGGTCATGTGCAGAATCCTCGCCTTCTTCGTCATCCGAGGCAACAATCGCAGCCCGCTTAGTTCCTCGGGAGGAGGCGGGAGAAGGCATCGGCGACGGTGTGCGAGAACGATTCGGGGAGCCTGCGCGAGAGGCCCATCGTGGTGCTGGAGGTTGGAGAAAGTCGCGAGATGAGCGAGTAGAGTGAACAACGGGAGCGGGGGCAGCAGGTGAGGGCGACGGCCCACGGGCGAATCGGGGTGTTGGGGGAGAGAAAAACCCCGAGGCTACCAACTCGTCGTATGTTGCAGCTTCCGGTTGCTCGTGAGAAGAGCGTTGTTTGGGCGCCGATTGAGGTTTGGAAGATGATGATTTGGGGCGTGTTGCTGGCATGGGAGCTCGGTGAGCAGGCGGTTGAGGGGTGACAGATCGAGGCGGAAAGCGAGCACCCGAGGCACCAGCTTGAGCAGGGCCTGGAATAGTACCAGGAGGGGGTTGGCGAGTCGATTGGATGGCATGGGAGGTGAAGAAACCCGAGGCAACGAGTTGGTGATAGTTGGCCAGGATTTCTTCTCGGGTAGGCATCTCACCCTTCTGAACATCCTCCTTCAGCTTCTCCTCTCTCGCCTTGTCTTCCATTTCGGTTTTCGCCTTTTCGTCACTCTCCCTCTCTCTCGCCGTAGACCTCTCCCTTGGCCTTGATCTAGATCTCACTCTGGACCTCTCCCGGCGATTCTCGTCCCTCTCTCCCTTGCGGCTCCTGTCCCTCTTCCTCGAGCCCTTGTCCTCGTCGGGCTCCCTCTTCAATCCAAGGCGACCGCGGACACCATCCCAAACTTGTCCCAGTAGTCGTCCCTTCTTGACTTGCTTGTCGGCCCAGTCGTCACTGACCGGCCGGGGCTGCGACCTCGTAGCGGGGCGCTCTAGCGCTTCACGCTGTTCGCGGTCGAGGAAGTGGACTGGAGGTGCGGCCGATGTGCGGTCGTTCATGGAGCCCTCCTGGAAGCGGCTCGGGTTCACGCTGATAGCGCGGCGAGTGCGCGGCGGACCCATCTGGTCGTGCGTGGTTGAGGAATTGTGTGTATGTGTGTGCGGCGTGTAAGTGTTGTCGAGGTGTATGTCCTCGCTTTGTTTGTAGGTTCAACTCGGCGCTGGTGCGAGTCGTAGGGTCTTGTCGATAACTCGAGAGTGGAATTGGACTGCTTCCAATGTGTTTGTGGCCGTATTCACGGGTGATGCATGTTTGGGTATATTCAATTGCAATGCGTCGTCAGCCGGAGGGAGGGACTGGCCAAGGTGGGTGCTTTGTTGATGTGGTGATAGCCACGTGACTTCACCACGGCAACGGAAGGAATCGCACTAACAATGGGGAAGTCAGTGCGGGAGCGGGACGTGCGACGGGCAACGGCGACGGGCTAACAACCGCTTCGCTCCTTCTCCCGACAGTACCTGCAGCGGCGCCGACCAGGGTTGGACCGGGGAGGCGGTACGTACCGGGGCAGCTGCAACCCGAGCAGGGGGAAACCGGCATCGCAAATGCACGACAATGGATCTCATTAATTTATTTGAAGTCAAGGACCTCGATGCCCCTGCCTCTTGTGGCCTGTATGCCTCCTTTTGGCTACTGGGTTTGTCTCTCCAGGTCACAATGCTGCTCAATTCGCTTGTAGCCTCGGGATTGCATATGTCTTGCATCAATACTTTGTTTCATGCCTCACCATCTGCCTTTGTACAAGAGTATTGCCCGTCGCCACACACATATTACTATTTGCACACATCAATACATACATACCTAACTCAATCCTAAATAATTATCCATCATCCTAATAAAGAAGTCTAAGAAATGACATTTTGAGGTTCTCAGGCTTGCACACAACAATGAGTGCGAATGTGACAACAACAATATGAATCTCATGGTACACCGTCTCCGCCCTGAAGACAGCGTCATGTCTTCCTCCTCACTACATGTCTCTGAATGGCCTGCATCACATTTCGGCCCGCAGCTCGATTCTCCAGGCAGAGCCACAGCGAATCCAATTCCTCATTCACAAGATTGTGTAGCTCTCGCATCTCAAGAGACACCACAGAATATGCATGGCAGGGATTTTCACTTTCATCACGATATCAAACACGTATTTTAAACCTTGTCAATTACTATCGCCGCGAAACACACAGCAACCCAGCAAAACTCCGGGCCTTCTCGGCCATCAAACCCATTCCGGGTGGCATTGGCCTAGTAGCACGCCTCTCCTGTCCCTATCAACTGTCAACGTCGCCAGCAGGGTCATCCGACGACATTCAACCGGTCTTGAGAGTATTGTAAATCCCCAACGGATGAACGTATTTTGCGTGTTTGCTCGCAATCCAACAAAAGTGTAGGTAGATAGTCATGAACCAAGAATTGAAGATCGCAACTGCTATGAAAGTTCCAAAAAGGAGAGTAGGTCAGACACTAGGAAATAAGACACAACAGGCCATGTCGTAAGTTGGTGTTGATGGTCATGGTAATCCGTCGTCGTTTTCCAAGTAACCATGCAGCCAAAATCGTCGAAAAGACACTTCAGTTGAAGTGACCCGATCATCGGGTTCCATAAATCGTCCCGAGCTTCGTAGCTTGGGTACCCCAAAGGCAGGCTGAAAGACCATTACACCTGAACTCCTCAACCAAGACCGCCTATGCCGTCCACCCCCATCCGGATTTTGTAGGAGGTTAGAAATACACAGCGCCGGAACGCCTCATCGGACCGACCCAACAAAGTCATTCAACCCTGGGTATGCAAGTCGCACTCTCCCATCACGAGTGATATTGGTTGAACGTCACCACGCCAATCTTGCCGTCTGCTCGTGAGTACAGGCCTTGGTCAGGCTCAGGAGTTACTCCGCGACGATAATTGCCGTAATGCGGGTCAAGCTGGCGTTGTCCGTTGTGGAGTGACATGGTGTTCTGAGTGAAGACAGACTCGTGTTTGCGCTTGCCACCAACGGAAATGAGAGGAGGCTCGGGGAAAGGATCCGTCTGTGCCTCAATTGGCGGGAGTGGTGAGATGAGCGACGAGATCTTCAGGGGCGGGAGCTTGTGGCCCAGAGACCGGGTCGGGTGTGCTGTCACGGGAGTAGGCGGGTACGAGGGTTGAGAATCACGTCGAGAGTGACCGTCAGTTGAGTAGACCGAGGGTGATGGCGGAACGTAGGCGTTGGATGGTCGTCGATCGTAGACGTCTTGCTTCATGGACGCAGCGGGTGATGGGCATGCGGGAGGAAGGCTGCGGCTGGGGTATCCGTAGGTTGATGGCGGCTCCGGCTTGGGGTAGGGCGACTGGCTCGTTGGGGTGTAATGGCCGGAGGCGGACACGGGTGGCAATGGCGTGCTGGGTTGAGGCGCATACTGACGAGGAGCAGGATATTGGGGGCCAGCGGAGTCGCCGAATGACAGGTGACGGGATCCAGCTGAACTCGGTTCGTAAGATGGAGGCGGGGGCGGAGGCGGGTACGGCTCGACAACCGATGGCCTGCGCTGAGGCTCTGGGTATGTGACACGCTGCTCGCTGGAGTTGCTTAGAGATCGGGCACGGAGACTGTGAGGATCCTCTGCGACCGGAGTCGAGGTTCTTCGGCGAGAAAACTCTTCCTCACGGCGATCATATCCTCCTCCAGACTTGCCATCCCGCTTCCTCATGCGGACATCACGTCGAATTCGGACACGGCAGCCCTGGTCGGCCACCGTCTTGCTCAGCTGGGTGCTCTCCATGAGACCGGGGAACTTCTTGGCGCTGAAGACGCTGAAGGGCAGCGTCTTGATTTCCATCCTCCAATCCACGCCAGGGGGCAGGTCACCATCGGTAGGCTCCAAATCGAAATCCTTCTCCTCCTTGGTCGTCTCAAACAGACTGAATGTTAGGCGGTATCGGCCCTCGTGGCGAACAGAGAGATCGGGGAAGATGAAGTAGCCAGCCTCGGTTGGGCGGTCGAGATAGGCCATGCCGGAGGCGGGAACTCCAGTTAGAATGGGCGGGTTGTTCGTGGCAGGTGTCTGAACACGACCGTGGGCAAGTGGGCGGGCATGTTCCAAGCTGGCGTAGAGGAAGAAGTTGGCGTTGTAGTCGAAAGTAATATCCTTACCCTCTTCCACACTGGGGCCTTCAATAATGCGCAATTCGACAACGGGAGGGGGATCGACGGGTCGGCGGTCGCTGTTAGCTATTGCGAGTTAGCACCGGGGAGACTGCCAATGAGACGAGGCCGGGCGTGGTGAATGCGTCCTTTGCCGCTCAATGATGGCTTACCCTTCATTCCGGATCCACAGGCTCGAGCTCGCTCAGGCTGTTGCAAGACGGTCATCTGGTACCAGAGGCTGCGGTTTCCACGAGTGACGCGGTGGACGCGGGCAACGGTGTCCCGCAGGGCGTTCGTCGGAATAGCGGAAGGAGTCGCCATGGTGTCGGTTTAGGTGGAAGATGAGGATGGAAGAGTAAGTCCGGGAGATGAGCGCTCGGCTAGGCTTGAAGGAGTGGTGATAGATCGGGGGATCAAGCCTGCAAGAAGCGCGAAGTCAGCAATCTGCGACGAGAAACGGTCGTTGAAAGTGCATGCGAAGGCAAGTGCGGCAAGTTCACTGGGGAAGTCTAATTTGACGGAACCGAGGGAACGGGCTCGGCCGTTGATATCTAGCTGACTTACCCTTGGAAGCGTCACACCCAAGCCAGACAGTTCAATCAATCAAGTCACTAAAGTCGAAAAATCGAGAAGGCGAATGGAGGAGGGAGCGTGTTTCTCGACGCGACCCGAAGTCGTAATATGGAAGAGGAGGAGCGGGTGGGAAGGACGAGAGCGAGTGGCCGGGGGCGGAGGTGATGAAGAGGAGGACGAGGAGCCACGAGGTACCAACAAGCCCGGACACAGTGGGCGCACTGGCTGGACTGGGCGCTGGGAGCTGGGGGAGGCCACTGGGGTTCAGGTCAGGAGCAGGGCTCAGGCATCGGGGGGGAGCGAACGAGGGCCGGGGTGTAGCCAGCCAGAGGACTCAGAGACCAGAGAGAACGGGGCGTGGCGTGGCCTGGGGACTGGAAACCGGACAGTGGATGAGTGGATGAGTGGATGAGTGGATGAGTGGGCGAGTGGGTGGATGGACGGGAGAACGGGAGACGGGATTGGCAGCGAGGTTTGGGATTTCGGGGGTGGAAAGGCAAAATGGCTGAAAGGCCCGAGTGCCTGGATTCGGTACAGCTGACTCGAACGCCTGGGTACGTTTGGTACGTCTGGTTGGTACATACCTACGTCTGGTACGTTTGGGTACGCCTGGGCTGGGACGAGCCACAGTGGGCGAGTGTGGGTGACGCTGGCCGCCAAGCACGAATAGGGATGGCCGTTCGCAGGCACGCCGAGAGTTCGGGAGACTGCGAGACCGCCGCCAGGGAGACGGATCGATCGCTGGGCTGCTGGGCTCACTGGGCTCGCTGGGCAGAATTAGAGTTGGCTCTATCTCGCCGACCCTGAGTTTGGGATCTGCCTTTGTTGGCTGCTTGTTTCCCCAATCGAGTCGTGGTACACAGTAGAGGCGTTTGCCGCTGATGGCGAGAGTTTCAATCCGGCGTCTTTGCGACCGAGAGCCCTCTCCCGGGGTCGTGGACAGTGCCCCGAGGAGCCGCGAATGTCTTGCTCGCGGCGGGTCTGCCACGGGCCTGGGTTCTCGACAATCTTCTTCGGGCCACAGGCAGGCAAAGGAGAGACACCAGACGACTGGGGGTGTGTGTGCATGGGCAGCGTGGGCGCTGGGAGATGGAGGCAACAGGAGAGAAGAGATGAGACAAGAAGCCACCAGCTTCAGTGGCAGCCAGCCTGCGAACCGGACCGGAGAAGGGCTGGGAGAGGCAAGAATCAGCGCCCAGTGGCCTGTGCCTCAGCGGAGTGGCAGCACTTTCGGTGGGGGGAGGAGATGGCTACGGGGTAGTCGTGTGCGGCCCTGTGCGGCCTGCGTGTCTCTGTACCGCGTACCTCACAGGGCACTGACAGCGCCTGACAGCACCCAGCACCCAGGAATCGGTACCAAGCGGAGGGGGGGGCAAAAACGTTCCCGGGAAACGACACGCAGGCGGCGGGCGCAGGGGTGGCCGAGCAGTGGGGAGCGTGGATGGACGGGCTGGGAACGCGCACAGCCCGTCCATCCATTGATTGATTGATTGATTGATTGCTGGCTCGACGGGCGCTGGATGCACGTTGCAGGCACTGTGAGGACGAAGGAAAAGACATCGATGGACCGGGGTGTCGGAGGTTGCAAGACCTGTTGGTTGCTAGCGCCTCCCAAGTCCCAGAGACTCCATCGGCTCCAGCAGCTGGGGTTTGGTGGAAGCCTATCATGTCTCTCTGCCACCCTCCAAGATGCGCCGGGGATCCATCCTAGACCCTCCTTAGCCCTCCCTAGCCGTCCATTCACGCCTTCGCACTTGAGAGTCGCCTCCTCTAGCGCCGCCACGGCGTCGTGGTGCGTCGCTGGTGCGTCGCTTCCAGCGATCCATCGACGCATCTCCCGGGGCCGGGCACGCGACGGGTCTGCCAAGGAACCAGGCGACTGGCCGCCAGCACCCCTTGGACACCCTCACTGCCCATCGCCGGCCTGCCCACTGCCCATTGCCAGACCACCAGGCCACTCTCTTTCTCTCCCCGGCTCCGCGCTAGCTGGGGTCCAGGCTCGGTGGTTGCAGAGCGGGTGACCAGGGTGCATCGGTGATACCAGCCAACACCCGCCCGCACAACGCAATCACGACGGGAGCACAACGGAACACGAAAAAGCCAGCAGCCGCTGCCGTCGGTTCAGCATCGAAAGGAGCCCGATGGAAAGAAAATCTAGAAATAATGTCATGTCGTCCATACCAAAGGGTCCTGGTGCAGCACACCCACTTCCGCTTCGTCCCCTGCCATTTTGCCTTTGCTCCCCTTCCCCTCCCCTTCGCTTCCCCACAGAAAAAAGAAAGCATCACGCTGACGGAACATGTACTCATATGTAGCTAGTGGAATGGGCTTGTCAGCGGCGCTGACGTAGTGGCTAAGAAGGTTGCGTTGGTATTGTGGCCAGCACTTTGGCACTGGTGGCCGACGCGGAAGAGGACCAAGCCCCGACCACGTTCGCCCCAAGATTCCGCTATCTCTGCCGCAGGAAGTCTTGCTGCTTCTGTCTCCCTCGGACTCGCTTGTTGTCTCTTCCCGCAAACTGTCCCCCGTCTCCCGCCTCCCCATCCCCGTCCCGCGGACCGTATCTGAGCTGCCCCATTTCACTGATCGGGCTCTCTACCCGGGAGGGAATGGTTGGCCATGGGGCACTTCCGACTGTGGCCTAGCGCTGCGCTAGCAACGCGGGATGCAGGACCCGGCTGGCGGGATCCTCGAGGCTAGCATGAAGCTAATCCTAATCCGTCTCCCACTCATGTCTTCTCTTCTCTCACCTCTGCCATCTTCACAATCGCCCTTGTTCCTTCCATCGATCCCTTCCCGTACCGTTTTTACAGATACTTCTTAGCACTGTCCTCCACAGGGCTTTTGGGACAGTGCGCGCCACTCATCTCTCTCAACCATGGGCCCGTATCTAGCATGGCACAATGATGGGAAAATGGCTATGCTTGTCACAAAGACTTTGCTCCGTATACTACGTAGTACCGAGTGCTACCACGGAAATGCGCCTTCTCTGGGAAGACGAGCTGGTTCGATTCTGCTCCCCAGAAGCTAGACAATGTACTACGGTATGTGGTATGTACTCTGTATGCTGGATGATATGTTCAGGCATGCCTGCAGCTGGTGCTGCTCCTGCAATGCACATGCGGTGATGCAAGAAAAGGACCATGGAGGGGGCAGCCGGGTCCTAATTGTTCACCACGCTTGCATCGGTCGCCACCCATTGTTCAGGCCCTGCCACGCACCCAGCGTCTCTCAACCTGCACAGCAAAGTCGACGATCCACCCTCCCGATCGCTTTGTCCAATGTATCGACCCTGCTGTCGAGTCCCTGGTTGAGTCCCTGGTTGAGTCCCTGGTTCCCACGCTCGCAGCTCTTGGCCTGCTTCCAAATAGATAACTGGATCGGTTCGCCAGCGAGGGAGCCCAAACCGACGCAAAACAGCAGCAGTAGCAAGGAAAACCGCCAGACCGGACGGGCCGAACCAAGCCTATCGCCCCTGCCACTGCAATTTGTGCAGCTGTACCTGCGGAGCGATGGCTCCCCGTCCACCAGTCCCACGCCGCCAGGTCCTCAACCTCGATGCATCAAATGCAACCTCTCATTCGTCGCCCACTTGGCAGTCTGTCCTCATTGAGCGACTGGCAGATTGGGAGTGAATAATTCGAGACACCTCATCCAGTCTTTCTACTCCTCCATCATGCTCGTACCGACCTACCGGGACGGAGGATTATGGTCAGCTTACGTCAGACTTATTGTGCTATACCGTGCGCGTGTCTGGCGTCATCACACTGTGGAATACAGATCGGTGGCTTTGTACAATGTCCACGGGCACTGTGCGGTCCATCTCATCATCTTGAGCTAGGGCTCCCGTACAGAATACGCTATTTGTCGGCAGTCTCACCTTGCACTCTCGCGACGGCATCTGGGGCCATTACCTGCTCTGAACAAGCCACTCATCTCCATCTACAGCTGTTTCCTCAGGTGAGGCGTCGTCCCAGCCCGTAGCGCGCACTGCCAAGAACTACCCTCGTTCCGCCCCGACCTCGTACGGACAATTCCCTTCAGGAGGTAACGTGATTGCGTTGCCTGCGGTCCAGCAATTACAGTACCCTGTTTCTGGCGCCCGCTACGGGGCATAGGCGAGTCCAGGGGAGAGTTGCATCCCGGCTGGAAAAAGAACCACCGGGATCGGGCTTAAAGAGTAATAGCGGAAGGATTGGCACGGAAGTCACTCCCACGTCCGTCCGGAGCCCTTTATCAGGAAATATCCAGAGTCAACTCCTTTCCGCCCGCATGAACATGGCCAACATGAGGCCGACCAAGTGTCTCCAGGCGCCGACGTGGTGAACCAACCAACCTCATCCACCTGCTGATCCAATGCTGATCTAACACCCCAACAGCCTATCCCAGGAGGATCCAGTACCTTGGATGCGGCATCTGCGCGGGCCTCTCAGCGCTCCAGCAGCAAACTTACAGTGGTCCGCAACCTTGGTTCCCACCCGTGTGCGTGTTGGTTGCCTCTGTGAATGGGATTTGGGCAAGCCACGGCATAAGGGCTTCGTATTATACCCATACTAATCATGTACAGTGCCAGGATCGTTTCATTCCTCGGTCCCTGTACGAATATGTCGCTTCAGGCCTCCCTGCCGAGCCTGTCTGTCTCGCCGGCTCCCCTAATCCCCCGAGTCGGCTCCCTGTTCCATGGCCTGTCTTGAATCTCGTTACCGATCCCGATTGACGGAGCACCACTTCACTTACAACGTGCCGGTCTTTATCCAGATCCCCATGCAGATGGATGGTCTCCGCTCACCAACAGCAGCGGCACAGCGCAGCACGGCATAACGCAGGAGGCAATTCTACAAGCAGTTACCCGGATAGACAACGCAACACACAGCATGAAACAGGGTCGCTTCCACTTCTGGCTCATTGATTGACCCATTTGTCCGCCTCGATCATCCACCTTGGTCCCCATTCTCCAGCGAGGTGGCCTCCGTCCTCGCCCTTCGCCTGCACCGCATGCGTGTACGCCACCCAAACATGCCCCTCATCCGACAGGTCAATCCTAAGCTCCGGAGTACCTGATGAGGCATTCCCTCTTCCCGCGGGCAAACAAGTCTCTCAACCGTCCAACTGTCGTCCCCCAAACCAAGGGACTAGAGGAAACCGACGAAAAATAACTTTGCAAGCTCTCCGAACCATGCCGCCCTGCATACCAGCTGTCCCGACAGCCAGACACGTGGGCTGGCCCAGAGCTTGAATCATGCCTTGACATAACACACCCCGGTGTCCGTTCAGCGTACCGGTGAGTCCCGGACTTCGCAATGTTCTTAATGTCCATACATAGTAAATTGGCCCTGAATCCTTCCCCCACTTATTGCCTTCCGGCTTTTTTATACCTAATGATTTAGGACATCTAAGCCTTATACCTTAGCTTTAGTCCATACAAACAGTGCCAATTTATCGAGTCGATAGGTACCAGCATGTCAATTCCCCACTCTTCACCCCGAGACAACACAATGTCTCTGTGAAGATGAGGTATTCGTAACGATCCCGCTCACCATTCGCCAGCTTTAGCCACCTGGCAAACGTCAAACCAGCTAGGAATCTGACAGCAAGCCAAAGCACGGCGTGGCGGCCCATCCGCTCGGATAGAGCCTCTGCTTCCGCTGTCACCACCACACATACAACCTGTCAAGTCAAAAGGCCCCGGTTTCAAGTACAGGACTGTGGTATATATCTGCCCTGTGTTATGACATAGCATGCTGTGGCATAATACCTTCGCCTCAAGCATCCTAGCAATTCCCCGTATTGCCAGGGAGCACCGGGCGCGTAATGTGAGTCCCCAGCCGCGAGCCCATCCGTGTTCCATCCCCTCATCCAACGCCGGCATTTGTCTCACTTGCCTCATCGGAACTGACCCAGCCTAACCCAGACGGTCGGGGACTCAGTCCTGGTTCTGGAGTCCCAGTCTCCTGGACAGAGTCGCGATGAGGACAGTGGCTTCAGCCGTACGCCCGCACGATGCGCCATACCATCCCTTGGCCAGTCTATGGGCAGATCCAGATGCTTGGCGCATTGATGGTCAACTCAAACCCAGCACGGATCTCTTTCGGGCTGGGCTGATGCCACATAATCGCTCTGCATCCGCGAGTTGAGAGCTGGGCCCAATTGTTTGCTACACATTCGAAAATGCCAAGTGCTGTATACGACATAGGAACCACAACATTGGCCATCAATGTGGTTAGCTGTGCTCTAGGGTTGACGAGGCGTCCAGTTGCACACGACAACACCAGCCGACAATCCACCAAGCAAAAGAAGCTTTGCGCGATTCTCGCCTCCGCCGCCGGCCGTCACTGGTCACCTGTCACCTATCACCGCAGGACCGGAGCTGCCAAGCGGAGCCCTCAGTTGCAGGTGTTTTATACTTCACTTCAGTCTGGCGTTTGCCACGTTGGTCCTACAGCGTAGTGCGACTCTGTTGCTCCTCAGGTTCAGCAAAGGCTACCAGTCCTGTCCCTTGAGTTTGTGGAAAACGGGACCGGAACTCCTTTTCCTGTGACTCCCTCTGTACATCCAACTAAGAAGCGTATGTTTGAGTGGTACCCGCCTGCGAGGAGGCTGGTAGACGCAATTGTAGAAGAAGCAAACATGCAGCATGCCCAGTGCCGCCTTAGACTGGTCTCGGCCTTTGTGTCTACATGCACTGCACAGTCCGTGTCTTACAACTGCATGCACCCTTCCTCGTCTCTGGACTCGCTGGGAGTCGCAGGTCTGTGACACTTATCCCACTGGCGATTTGGCTCCCAGGCCACCGCCAGGTAGTGCCACTTAGCCTCTACCGCTCTGCCGACGGCATTCCCGTTTCTCGCTTGGATCCAGGGCGCCTCTAACGCGATCTGCTCATCAGGACGGCAGCCTCTTATTGTCGTCTGCCACCTCGTCACATCCCCTAGCGATCCGTAAATGGCGGCTATCTTGGACGGAAGACCCGCCCGGGTGGACACCCGTTGTCCCCCGTGGCGATCACTTCTCCACCGCCGAAGCTCGGTGTCGGCCAGCCTCCGCGGGCCTCCGGGGGATTTCGGCCGTGTTGGGTGGGCTGATACTGCAACTGTCACAGTCGCGGCCGCAAGTAAATAAAAAAACAGGGCTCTGCATCGTTCCGCCGCAGCTTGACCCTCTCCGCCCACGTGGGAGAGCGTGTTGCCTCCCGCGAGACCCTCTCCCTCGCCCCGGGTGAGGCCATATGCATGTCTTAGTTGGGATTGGGAGGGGCCTTCTCTCCATCCTAACCTCGTCACTGCAGTGGCTTGCGCCACTGGATATCCATCTCGTTTGTACGGCCAAGCTTGGATGTCGGTTGGGTTGGCGGCGTATGGAGTAGCAGCGCCGAGGTGACGATGCTGCAGCGTGGCTGGCGCAGGTGAGCCAGATGGGTGTCTAGTACATGCGGTGACCGCCTTGGAATGATTCCATCCGCAAGCTTCCATCGAAGGCACTAGTGAGAGCACGGCATCCGTAGCACTCGGTCAGAGACTGTGTGGAGTCCCCACGCGTCGGCCGACTCTTCGTCCCATTCGAAGGGATCGAGACTGGCGTAGAAGCCTCTAGCCCGCCCCAGTTACCACGAGCCCAAGGCCCGTTCTCGTGTTTGTCTCATGTGTTGGCCCGCAATTCAGCAGAGTTCAGCTTCTCGTGCCTTAAGCCATGGATCCAGACCTAGCTCAACATATGCGAGCAGCTGGAATTCGGCATCGTCTCTCGGCACCGCGCGGCTGTTGCTTCTGACTCGAGTCAATTGGCCTCTATTGTCTTTCTGGCGGTGTCGTTGGGTCTGCTTGCAGTTGGGCATTTGAACAAGTGGTGTTATTCACACGCACCCGTATTGCTTTTGGACGCATCGGAATTGCCGTTTGTATAAGCGCCACTTGATACTGTATCCCGCTCGATTCAGCATCACTAGATGCAGTCGCATATTAAGGGTATTTATATCAACTGTCTTGGGGTTAAGGTCTGAGGGCTTCTTTGACTTTATGTAGAGAAAATAAGGAATATGTTATTGTACAGCATCTTTGCGTTATTACGTGCCGAGTAAAGTAATTGGATTTTCTTACATCACCCTGCGTGCAAAGGCCTGCGCTCGGGTTGCAATACCTTTCGTAACGAGTCACTTACATGAGGAACAGTGCTAACAAGGCCAAATACTCCAATCAATATTTTCAAGGATAGTAAATAAGCAGATTTTATTAGTTATTATTGTTGCAGTAATTTCCAAGGGTATTCTGTGTGCAGAACTGGCGGGTATCCTGCTCCCGTTCAAACGAGGGTATCTCAAATCCATCTTCAACATTGCGCAATTAGAATCCAACGAGCGAGCCATTTCCATCATTCCAGCATTTCAGCATCCGACGGTATCATCATTCTCCTCTCACTCTCCTCCAGCTTGTCTGACATATTGTCCGTCATCCTGGACTGGGTTCATTCGTCCTTGGGTGCAACACCGGGCTGTGTCGTCGCTGGCGCACTCGTGCCCGGCGCACTTGTAGCCGGTGCACTCGTAGCCGGTGCGGGTGCCTTCTCGGGGAACACGCCGTCCCGACCAGCGACACGGCCGTACTGCGTAAAGTGCAGGTTCAAATTGCCATAGTCCCACTTGCGGGAGAGGAACAGGAACACAAACGCGAGGCCGGGAATCATGAGGACATCAAGGATACCAAAGTAGACGAGACTCTTGGTGACGCTAATAGTGTTGCCGCCGTCCGAGACGGCAAAGGCGATGGGGTACAGCAACCACAGCAGGTTGAGCCAGCCGGCCATCAAGACGTAGTCGCGGCGGACATTCACGCGGGTCGCGGACGTGAGGCCGATCCAGAGGGTTTGCATGGCGAGGAGCAGCCAGGCGACGGTGCCAAAGGCGTAGAAACCCCATTTGTACGAGGTAGCGACGTATGCGGAACAGAGATAGGTGATGATCCTTTCACGAAATGTCAGCAATTCCACTCTGCACTCTTCACCTGCTCACGATGCTCCAGACGGGATACACATACCAAGTCCAAGCAAGGGCAACATTGAAGAAAATGGTCGCCCAGCTTACACCACTGAGCAATCCAAGCGCAATGATGACAACGGGAAACGAGACAACCCAGTTGATGTACTTGACAAAGAAGACCTGGTACGTGGCGGCATCGTCTCTGTTTAGGGACGTCACGACAACAGAAAAACCGAGGTCCGATGCCATGGCGAAGTAGGCGACAGCACCGACCAGCAGCGCAATGGTGAAGAGGTAATGGAAGATCTTCTCGCCATGACGCGGCTTGAGGCTGAGGGCGAAGTAGCCAAGCTAGTTCCGTGTAAGTCAACTTGGACATGAGAGCTGATGGGGTTGCACGTACGAAGCAGACGGTGTAGATGGCCGTCACGGCCCAAAGCCAGTCGGAACCTCCCGTGGACAGGTGGCTGTCGCCTGCCGGCGGGTTGACGTCGAGAACGTCGTTGCGTATGTAGATGACTGGCATGGCGACGGCGGATATGTCTTCAGTTTGCAGTGTGATGGCGGGCTAGATCGAGTACAACTCGAGATTATATCGGCCACTGAGGGTTTACAGTTGATGGTGCATATAACAAGCCACCACGGTGATTGAGGGGGCGAGAAACATGAGAATACCGCACCACGGTCGTCTCTTACATAGTCTTATATAGAAGCCCTTGCTCATACCTTCGTCATTCGCATGCTCCGATCACACTCCCCTGCCAGGAGCTTTCACTCCTCTGGCCTCACAAGTGCATAAGCTGTTGACTTCCACCAACGCCGATTGGGCAAAACCCTGGAGGGGAGAAGTAGGATGGGCAACATCTCGTGACAGCCGTGCGAGAAAGTGTTGATGCGGCTTGGTGGTTGGACAGCCGGCGTCGATGACGTGAAAGACATCACAACGACGCGCGAGTACCGATACAAGGGCTTTGTCTCATCCCGGTCGATGCTATAACACCTTGACGCAGACCATTTGTCAGCCCAATGTCCCGCGGAACCATCACACCGCCAGCAGTGACGAACAATCCTTTAGGGTAGGTAGGCATACAGTGAAGCTTAACCTGCGCACTGAGACAAGTACCGCGACATATCACAACACCATGACCACAACCATCGATTATCGCAAAGACCCGGCAAGCTCGGGATTTGGCAGCCCCCCACCAGCCCTGCCGGCAGATGCAGGATCTTTTTTTCTGTCCAATGCGACGTCAAGTCCCAGCACCGACCAAAGCCGTCCGTCGACTCACCATGTTGTCATGCCACTTGAGCTCCGTAAGTTCCGGCCCGGGCGTCATGGGGTTGCGCTCAAGGGGACGAAATCGTCTGCGATGGGCTGTAAAATGAATCGGATGCGAATATAGCCAGGATCATGGCGGGAGATCCCTGACGTCGGTGTGATTTCATAAAGACCTTGCATATTGCAAAGTGATGATGAGATGTGGTTACCGATATCGGTTTACTGTAGGGTAGCATCAACATCACCACCTCTCAGTCCCCTACCGTCTTGCTCCTCTGCTCGAAGTTGAAGGGGGGGATATCTTAGGCCTGAAGCCTACACTCCTTCCTAAATCCAAGATACTAAGCACATAGGGGAAAAAAAACCTAACCGTGAGGAATTAGTACTAAGAATTAGTATCAAGGGTCCTTTCCACACTTGTGTGTGTGAACAGTCCTACTATTCCCCACGTTGCATGCAGAAACGACCATACATCGTCAAGTACTGGTTCACGTTGTACGAATACGCCCTCCACATCAACTAGATCGATCGCCAACCAGCTACCTTAGTCCCACTCAAGGCAGTCACGAGTTCCACCAAACTCAGCACTACCCATGTTCCGAAATCGCGAGCCTCCCTGTCCGGTAGTAGAGTTAACATCCAGGATGACATCATGAGATTAATGCTAGTGCCGTAGCATGCTTGATGATTCCATGTCATGAGAAATTACAACGTAAAAGTATGGATACACGTCCTGCTCCTGTTCAGACCCGGACTGTAACGCTTTTGTGGCCTCTTTTCCTTGTATAAAATACACAACCTTCGCGTAGACGGTGATATCCCCATCGCTCAGCTAGTAAGTGGCCTGTTGTATCTGCCACACTGCCGTCTTTGCCCGTTCACGCACATCTAGGTCCCCATCCTGGTGCTTCAGCGTCTCCATCTTGGTGTGGAACCCCAATTTTCTCAGCTCCTGTGCCCTCTGCGCGCAAGACTGGGCCTCGCCATCGTCCTCCTGCCATGTCAAGTTGATAATCAGGTGGCAGAGCGCCACCCGCACTTCCCGATCCTTGCTGCTAGCCTGCTGCGCCAAGAGCTTCAGCAGTTCCGTCTGTGCAATAACCAATTGCCGATGTCGCGGGATGCTCGCCGCCATGTGGACCAGGATGTAGATGACCGCCATGATGATCTTAGCCTGTGGGTGGAGCACCCGGGTTTCTCGGCCGGCCACCGGAGTTCGGCGGGAGAATGGGTGGAGCACCTTGGCCCGGAGTTTGGATGCCAGAATCTCAAACATGCGATCCTGTCCGAGCTCATTAAACAGATGGTCAACCATCTCGGCAGTTTCGCTAGTCGTCTCCGACGCTAATCCGGCCTCTGGTCTCCCAATCAGGTTTTGGATGAAATTGAGACCCTGTTCTTGGATCGCCAAATCATCGTTTCGTGCCCTTCGCACGGGGTTCAGTTCTGACTCTCGAACCGCAGCAAGCTTGTCCTCTGCCTGGCGTAGCTTGGTTGACCGCGAAGAGTCCAATTCCCGCACGAGTCCATTCGACGCATAGAGCCATCGATGCGGTACGTCGGATGGCTCCATCTCGATATCGTCATCCATGTCTATGCCAGAGGTTTCCCTCTCCTGGCCCATGTGTAGCGTCGAGTCCTCTGTGTCATCGCAAATGAGCTGTACCAAGTACTCGGTTCCCAGCTTTTCCAGACAAGCCTTCTTGAGCTCAGGGCCTACGGCATCAACGAAATGCTTCAGGGCCCAGAGTGCATTGAGACGAAGTGCTGGGTTGTCGGAATGAGCATGCTCGCATAGGACTTTCATGACGCCGTTTTCAGTTAGGAGCTAAGATAGTTAGTAACGCTGCAACGCACTTAGAAGGCCGTATTTAACTCACCTCCCGGACAGGGCTCACCTCGACGACGAGGTTGATGATGGTCGCCGTGGCAGCAATCTGGATATTGACGTCGGGATGTTTCATGAACCGGAAAACAGGCAAAGCAACACCATGATCAACCAGGGCAGTCCGCAGGGTGCTGACTGAACGCGACAGCATTCTGACAACATGGCACCCGGCGATTATTACACCTGCAGGGTTGGCGCCATATCCTGCCGTGGCGGTCTGCCTGGGGGCATGGTCGGTTGTCTTGTCGGTCCGCTCTTTGATAGACTTGGGTTTCCTTGGGAATTCTGACAGAGACTCCACGACGTATGAAACAATTTCTTCCGCCAGGAATGCCTTCCTGTAGTCCTCACTCCCTCCTGCAAGCGCCGCAATTGCCTTGAGGGTGCCCTCGCGCACCTTGAGCCGATGAATGAGCAGGCTGTTCTGGCCATCCTCGCCGAGTTGTGTAAGAGGGGTGGAGTCCTCAACGTCCATCTCGGTGTCGGGAAGTGGCGACCAGTACCGCGGTTGGGTTGTGTTCTGAACCGGGGTATATGCGTGTTTCAAGAGCTTGCTCAGGACCTTGACGGCGTCGCAGTCATACGCTGACTTTTGAAGATAGTCGCTATCCACAACCATGCGGGCCAAAACTACGGGTGCTTGCTCGAGAATTGTGCGCTTGGTGCTATCGAGCTCGTCCACATCTGAGGCGTCCTTGTCGTTCTTGGCAACCATGTCAACGAGCAACGGCACCACAAGGAGCCCAAGTGTTGTCTCTCTGAGAGACTTGCTTCCTACCCCACACTTGATCAATGCAGCAAGGATAGAAGAGGCGAGTAGTCGTTCGTACTCATCCGAAGACCTCACAAGATACACAAGCCAGGGGACGAAGGGACTTTCGACCTCTGCTGAGTCCCCGTCAAGGTTAGCGCCAGCTGGCTGAGGGCGTGGGGAATCCCATATTGCTGAAGAGCTAAACTTGCTGAGAGATGACCGGCTTGAAGACTGGGAATCTGATACCACACCAGAGGCGTATGGAGACGTGGACAATGGCCTCGATATATTGATTGGTAGGATGTACTCCATCGCAGTCAATGGTTGCTGGCGCGGGTTCCCAAACCCAGGGTATTCTTGATCCTGCTTGGACTCTGCGGTCTCGCCCGTTCGCTCGAACTTGATGGGAGGGAAGACGGCGAGGATCGAAGGAGAATTTGCGAGTCGATGAGTGCGGTATTTGGAGTCTCCGATAATCGCTGCGATGGCCTCGAGTATTGGCCTGAGCCTTAGGCTTTTGGGTGCGGGCTCCGGGAAGGCTTCGAAGAGGCCCTCGAAGTTTGCTACCACATCGGCACCAGGAACTACATGACCTCGGGCAACAGCAACGCTGGCTAACCGTGTTGCAAGAGCATCCAGAATGCCCGCCGTTGCCAAAGCATGCTGGTGTCGGTCCTCTCGGCACAGGCGAGATATCAGGCCGGCTGCAAGTGGTACCTGAGACTGAAGGAGGTGGTTTGTGGAGGAAATTGATAGCATAGCACCGAATGATTCGAGGTATTGTGTCGAGAAAATGGCATCTGCAAGCGACTCGAGGTCAAATGGCGATGACGCAGGGGCCAAGGCAGAGGCATCTGCGATGTCCGTCAACGCCCTGAGTGCCGCGACAACCAGGTGGGGAGCATTCGTGAAGGGAGAGATGTTGGCCAGAAGCGCAGGGAGCGCCCTCGCTGCGTGGAGGGGAGCGAGGAAAGCAGGTCCTCCTGTTATATTGTGTTAGTCCATGTGATAAAAGGCTATTGGAGATGCATCGCGACGGATGAAGCTGTACCATGTGCAAAGCAAGCAACCAGCTGAAGGGCTTGTAGCCTTACGCTCTCCTCCTCCGACAGATGTCGTTGCACCTGAGGGAAACGTGCATCCTTGCCGTTTGGCTTCGCTGGTGACCTAGCCGTGGCGAGTGTCCTGACGATGGGATCAAGGACGCCCAAGCTGATCCATAGCTCCTTCTTCTGAATATGACCAACTATTTCATTCTTGAGAGCTCGCAGGGCGGCGGCTTGCTCGGGCAACGTTCGGGCGCTTCGGAGCTGGGAAAGTATCGGAGGGCTTTGCGGGCGAGCCATGAAGACTGGAGGTGTGGTGGAGGCGATATAGAGCCGGGTTGTGGATGGGTGAGGGTAGCTGTGATGGTGGTTCGACGTAGTCAGGGTAGATAGATGGATGGAAGCCTGGTGGTGTTCGTATCAGCGCCAAGTCCAATGCGCCAGCCAGTCGAGCTTAGGCAAACACCAGAAGAAGCAGAACACACCCAAATACAATAGGGCGAGCGAAAGAAGCGATGGCGGGAGCCGTGATGGAGTTCAAACAATTAACGATGCAGTGTAATGGGGTCATCTGGAGACGCGGCGTTACAGGGCGATCACGTCAAGATTTGGCGGCTCCGAGGAGCGGCATGGCACGTGTCTGGCTTATCGGCCTCGCACCACCCGATAAGCCGATGAGCTGCTGGAAGTGGGAGCATTGGAGCATGACACCTGTGAACACCCGACGGCAGGGCTTGCGATTGCAGGGCTTGAGCAGGGCTGTCATGAGCCGCCACGGTGGACTCACATTGGTCTGACGACAACTAGAGGGTTGTCATGATCATTTTTGTGCTTTGTATAGTTGGCAGGTCGTCTCATGACTTTTTTCCCTCCCTGGGTTCTATTGACCCACGGTCATGGCCATGGATGGGCTTCGCAGCGCGGTGAGACGTGTAAGGGTTTAGCCGCGTCCAGGGTCTACAGTTAAGTTTTCTCACTGCGCAAGGGCGACCAGTCGTTCCACTTTTTGACATCCATGACCATGTACGAAGGCCGGCGCAGGAAGTTTTGACAACTTTACACAATACAGTATGCGATGGATCAAGGGAGACAAAAGAGCATTGGCGAAGCTCTCCCCTAAAGAAAACGAAATGGACAAATACCTCACTGTTATATACTGTACTCCGCAAGATACTTTAGGCCAGTACCTATCTAAAACCTCATTTCAGGAGAATAAGAACTAAACTTCAGTACATGACTGAGGTACTAAATAAGAAGGGTCCAAGGGGCTTATTCTTACTACGCCAGCCCTCGTATCGGCTTTCGGGACAGAAGACGAAGCTGGGCGGTCTGTGTGTCTATGCGGCAACTCAGCAGCTAGCAGGGCGACAGACTTCTGGAAGCAATGCAGGCTTCCTTGACCCAGTCTTTCCGGAACAGGGCTGTCATCCAGGCACGTCGTACTCCGTATTACCGTTCTTACAAAACAATGATCGGCTCTTGTCATGGATGCTCGAGTATCAAGCAAGCTCTATCCCTGAATGCTCCATTAACGGATGGGTAATGAGTCTCCATTGACCACCAGCAAAATGAGCCAAGAATTCAGGGTCCCGTGACCCCAGTGCCTGGCCCTGCTAGCTGGCCCCTCATGTACGCCGACGATGCCGCCTCTGACAGCCCGCCTGCCATCCACGTTGCGCATCGACTGGCCCTCGACGATCCAACAGAGCCAGAACCAGAACCAGACCAGGCTGGGCGAACTTGGAGCCGTTGCGCCTCGTTGGTTCTCTCCGGGGACGATTGTCTGGGGTAAGGAGATACGAGATAGAGGATTGAGAATTGGCCGCCCGGAGCGCCGTTCGCTGTTCGCTGTTCTCTCTTGTCAGTCGCCCTCGGTTCGTCGTTTCGCAGCGCCAGCAAGGGGGAAAAACTAGACATCGCAGGATGTACCACGCAACGCTTACACCACCAAACCCGCTTCTCTCCCCCTCCGATTGCGCGCAACGGCCCCGGAGCCCCCTGAAAGCCCCAACGAAGGGCCTCTAGCTCTGGCTCTTCTTCTTACTGACCACAAGACTGCCGCGCCTGGCCTGCCAAGAACCCCAGGTCGTGTTAGGCAACTAACGCCTAAACGCTGTTTGGTCATCGCGCCGTCTTGCCGGAAAAGGGCGGTCCGGCATGCCCGCCCATTCCCACCACATCCAAACTCTACGAGCCTTTTGCGCGCGTCTGACTACAGCCACGCACCAGAGCACCACACCACCACGAGGCACGGCCGCACCGCACGGCGCTTGATCTGTTAGCCTGGTCTTGCTCGGTGAACGTTCTCGTCCATAGCGCTTCTCTTCCCAATGTCGTACTCCGAATCGCGCCCGCATGAAACCGACCAAGTCATGATCTAGTAGTTCAAGTCTCCATCCATCGATCAGCCAGTTGTCAGTCAGTCGAGTCCCAACTCCGTCGCAATCACCACCGCCGCCCGCAATCTCTCAACTGCAAAAACCCCGACTCAACTCCATCCTGCTCACATCACTCGCACGCACCCAACTCCCCGACCTGACGATGCGCCGCAGACCATGCTGAAGACGTCACCGATCCTCTCAACCTCCGCCAATGCCTCGCCGACCACATTCCGCTATGCGCATCACTCTCCTCAACACTCCCCCAAACCTGCCGCGATCGGGCGACGACATTCATCACGGTCAGACCCGTGTGTCGCCGACCCTATGAACTCGTCACCACACCAGCGCCCGCGGCAGTACGTCGCCAATGACACTGGCGCCCAAGGGCCGGCCATGGATTTACACAGACGTTCGTCCTCGTCGCTCTCACAAAAACCTCTCGCGCAAACCACAAAATCCCCTCGTCGTCCGTCTACGGCGAACACCCCTGCCGCTGCCCCTCAACCACCCCAACCCCAGGCCCTGAGCGAGAGTCAGGTACCACAAAGCGGGGTGTCGCCTGTCAAACGACGAAGCTCGCCGCCGCAACCTTCCGCCCAAGCTCCGAATGCTTCGGGATCGCCATCACAGCAGACATCGAAGCGACCAAAACCCGATTCGCCACCTCCAAAAATTCTGCCACAGCAATATGAGTTCTGTCCTGTAGAGGACATGGTTGAATTGATTGCGCACATGCTGGGCGAGTTGATAGCGACTAATGATGCGATACGGAGTTCAAATGGCGGCTTGACACGCTTTCACTCAAGGTACGGCTTGACCGACGCCTGCTTTTGTCGCTGGACCGAACTGACAATGACCCCAGAACTGCCCCAGGCATATCCGTACGCGATTATTTACACCGCCTGGCCAGGCATGCTACCCTGATCCCACCGCTCCTGCTTGCAATGGTCTACTACATTGACCGACTGTGCGCACTTTACCCGGAATTCACTATAAACACCCTGACAGTTCACCGATTCCTCATCACCGCTGCCACTGTCGCCGCCAAGGGATTATCTGATTCCTTCTGGAACAACACCACATACGCGCGAGTAGGCGGAGTACGATTGGCCGAGCTTAAATTATTAGAACTCGAGTTTCTCTACCGAGTTGACTGGAAGATTGTCCCAAACCCAGAGGTCCTGGTGGCCTATTACAAGGGCTTGGTCGAACGTACCCCAGGGTATGCACTAGACGCCGAAGAATCAGACGGCGACGAGGACGGGGAGGAGACTCGAGAGGCACATAATCAAGACGGAGAACACCAAGAAACATGATACCCCTTGGACCTAACGATGATGGTACATTAGATGTGGCCTGATGGGCCCAAGGTACGGTCTGCTAGTAGACTACTACTGGCTATCCCGGCAAGACTCGAAGAGAGCGGATACTACCATGAGGGACCGCGGTGGATCTTGCATGACAGCACATAACCGGCGTCTGGAACTGGGATGATTTTGATTTGATTTGGACAGCATCATAGGGTAGAGCGAGGGAGCATCTGTACACACAAACACGGGAGGCAGAACTACTTAGACTCACGCATCGGATAAGATTTGACGTCTATTTGAAATTGAGAACAATTTATCCCCGTCAGAGCGCATGTTCCATCGTTCTGTAGAACTGGCTGTAGAACTGGCTGGAGTCGAGGTGTTGAGGTCCTGAAGTTTAGCCGAAATATTACCGCAGTAGAGCTCCATGCCCAGGTGTCGTCTTCCATTATCGACGTTGCGACCTGTCCAACCTCATAACACCCACGAGTAAAAACCACGGAGGTCAATCCGGCAGCGTTTCACAATGAGGTTCACGACCCTCATATCCAGCCTTTGCGCAGCGGCGCTTGTCGCTGCCGACCAGCGCACCGCCCAAATTTACATCCAGCCCATCCACGCCTCAACACCCGACCCCCAGCCGCTCGCTGAAGTCGCCTACGACCCGGCGGCCGCCTCCTCATCGCAAGTCATATCCTACGAAGCCCCCGAGCTACCCGAGGGCGCGTCCCTCGTGCGCATCGGCCTGTACGACACCAAGTCGGGGCGGTGGATCTCCGGCACGACGGCGGCGAGCGTGGACAACTTCGACAAGGGCTACGCACCCAACATCCTACTGTCGGTGGATGAGGAGGGCGAGGTGCGCAGCGCAGCGTACAAGGGCGTGCAGATTGACGCGGGCCAGACGCGCGACTTTGGGCCCAAGGTGGTGGTGTTGACGGCGACTAAGGGGAAGCAGCCGGAGCTGAACAAGCCGGTGGTGCTGTCGCCCGAGGGGAAGAAGGTGGGAGAGGAGCCGGAGAAGACACTCCTGCAGAAGTAAGTACAGAAACGTTCATTCTAGAGATCCATGCTAACGACGATACAGGTACTGGTGGGTTCTTGGTCTTGTCGTGGTTATGACGATGGCCGGAGGCGGCGACAAATAGACATGCATTTCCAAACTGCTTTAATCAAATAACGCCGAGATTACAATTCTCTCATTGCCAAACTGGGAGGCGGCAGCTCTCTGCATTCTTCATTGCCCATGCAGCGGTGAACGAGCGGTCGTAGGTCCGCGGCCCGGGCCCCAGAGGGTGAATGGAGTTGAGCTTCAGATGCTGAGCCACCCAGCCTGATGCATCTCGCAAGCCCTAATCAAACGATGTCTAATTTGACCTTGAGACACACATCCTTGCCTCCAATAACAGTGCCCTCCAGCTCGTTCCCGGATACTCCTATTGTAACCGATTCTGCTCACGTGCTTGTGCATGTGATTAAGAAAAGCAAGTGCTCACATAGCGCTAGCTCAAATCGGGACTAGAGCGGTTGCTATGAGAAGATCGGCTGGGCGTCGCATGCGCCTTCTTTAAAAGCTGGTCGCAAGCGCCAGTCCCCGAGTCCACCTGGAGCTCACCCCCATTTCAAGTGCATCTTCACTCTCACTCTTGCATAAACCATCTCCCAATTCTTCTCTCCGCAAAACCCCACAACTTCGTTCCTCGAATACTTCCCCACCGCAAGTCTTCTACACACCGTTAAGATGGCTGACAACGGCACCACCATCCCTCAGTCCAACGAGGACGCCTTTGCTGAGAGCAAGGGCAAGGGCAAGGCTGTTGCCGACTTCCCTGCCGAGGACGCTGCCATGGACGAGGATGACGACGATGAGGATGACGATGATGAGGATGAGGAGGTTAGTTGAACCCCCGCTATGGCGTTTGCGCAGTTGCTAATATAAGACCTTTAGGTTCCTGAGCCCGGTATGCGCCTCTCGGCATCTCTTAGACTTGGACCTATGCTAACCACGTATGCGCAGAGGAGGACGGCATGGAGGAGATTGACCTGAACAATATTGTTGATGGCGGACGCCGCACCCGTGGTCAGACCATCGACTTCGCCAAGGCCGCTGAGGAGCACCCCGAGGACGACTACGACGAGGAGGAGGACGAGGACTTCCAGCCCCCGGATGAGGATGTCAAGATGTCCGACTAAACAGGGTCAGATGGAATTGACGATAGCAGGCATGCGTATGCAGTTTGATGGATGAAGGAATGGCATTATGAACCGGTAACAAAAGCATGGGGATGCAATGGATATGCTGGTTTGCTTGGATCCAGGATTAGGATCTAGGCGGATACCCCAGACACGTGGATATCATCAACCACCTCTAGGACTATCTGCTTTGCATGGTACTTTAGCTTGGTATCTATAATATGCAACGAGCAATTGAAAGGCATACACAACAGATGCAAGCCCCTCGGTTCTATTACAAGTAGCCTGACGAATGACCATGAACGTAGTGGCGTGCAAGCAGTGTGAGTGCCGTGCACGACTGTGAATGGATGCAACCCCGCGACAGCTTAGTGCTGCCGTTTCGAGCATCATGCTCCCTGCAGCACATCTCAGCGGTCTCATGCTCGCACAACGGAGTCGCTCAGGCCAACGCACGTCTCCCACCCCGACGCTGCGGACTCGGCACATTGAAAAATGCGCAGAGTTCTAGTCAGTGCCATGTCGATTTCGTCCATCAAAACCGGGTGGCGTTGGCCTCGATGCCATTGGACCGGCGAAGGCACGGCCAGTATGAACACTGCACGACTGCAAGGTACCTCTGGACACGAGGCGGTAAGGCGGTAAGACAGGTACCTCGGCTGCTGTGGCCACCGGGACACCCCTCCCGGAGCGCACCTCCCCCCTAATAAAATGGATAATGGCGGCCCATCAGAACGCTGAGCGAACACCTAGCCTGTTCGGAAAACGACAGGGTTTCGTGTCTATTCCTATCTTGCCTATCCCAACCCAAACCTCCAGATTCGCGAGCCCCCTCGAAATTTTGCTCATCTTCTTCCGTTCCTATTCTCTTGCTCTTCCCTGGTCCGGTCCAGCCATCTCCCATCGTCTCACTCTGACCAACACGTTTCCCGCCCGGCCATGGCGCAAAGGTACGTCCTCTAGCGCATCCGTCTCCCCTCCTGTACGTCACCGACCAGCGACTAACCACCACGGCGATCAACAGGTTCGGCGCGTCGTCTCTGCACCAGCGCGACTCGCGCAGTGCGCTCTTCGACGGCTACACGGGGGACGGGGCCCGGCGACCCGTCAGCGCGAGCCCGAGTCGCGGGTATGGATACGGGGGTTACGGGGCGCCGGCGAGCAATGGCGGCCTCGACGCCAACGGTGGCAAGGGCTTTCGGCCGGCGACGCCAAACCGCAGGGGCCAGTATAGCGATGCGGTTCTGAACGAGCTGGAGAGCCAGAACGATGCGCAGGTGGAGGGCATCCTCGGCAAAGTCAAGATCTTGAAGACTGTGAGTTTGCCCCTTGTCGTCACCTACCACACAACACAACCGGCCACTACCAGAAGAACCACTTGCGACGACATGGGGTTCTGGTACCGCTGGACATGCGAAAGAGGATAAGGACTGACCATATGCAATACAGATGACGGTTGCTATCGGCGACGAAATTCGCGACTCCTCCGCCCTTGCCGAGAAGATGAACGACTCCTTCGACTCGACCCGTCTACGCCTCCGTGGCACCATGAACCGCATGTTGCTGATGGCTGAGCGCACTGGTGTGAGCTGGAAAGTCTGGATTGCTTTCTTTTCCGCTGTCATCATGCTCTTCATGTACGTCTGGCTATTTTAAACTGCACAACCATCATGACACGCAACACACACGCTTCGACGCACTCGAGACGACCGCGGGAGATCTAGCATCACCTCGGCGAATTACCGAAACGAGACAAAAGAGGAACGCGGCCTAGATGAATGGACAGGACCATCCTAAAGTGGAGCGGACGCCTCGGCAGAGACGGAAAGACGACAGCTGGCATTTATGGATGCATTCTCGGACGGCGTTGTTGGTACGGGAGTTTTGACGATTTTTCAACCGCCTTTTGCATCATGGTAATACGGGATCAAGGGCTGCGCCCTTGGAGGAAAAGCACGACAACGACGTTCTGTCACCGTACAAAGATTGTAATATTAGGATTACCCGCCACAGCGCATGTTATGTTTGGCATTTGTTTCTTCGATATAAAGGACAGACAAGGGTTTGAAGACTTTATTTATATTAATAACTGGGAAAGACATGTGGACCTCTTTCTAAGTTTGATCTTTGATATGTGCAACCTGCGCTTCAGGCCATCCGTTACGGACGAGGCGTAAAGAACTAGATGCTAACTTGATATGAAGGGCCCTTGACGGAATCTATAGAGATGTAGCTGTTGGGGGGATTCTCTCTTAGTTTCAGAGGCTTGCCTTTTTGGTTGACTACTTTCGCATCTTTTCTTGGATGTTACTTGCACGTACAAGTATTATATAGCTTGAAGGAGTGCATCACCTTGAATAATATACCCACACCGGGTTCATGTGTATGTATGAGTCTTGGATGTCAATAAGGGGAAGGGATTATCGAGAAAATAAGAGAAGAAATGAAAAATAAACACTGTGGGGCTTATTACTGTATAAGAATTATAGATATTATTGTCTAAGGGTTATGGCTTTTGCGGTCTAAGGATCATGGTTATTACGGCCTAAGGATTATATATATTTATTTATTTATTTAGTATACGCTATTTTACCTATATCTAGGCCTATAGAACTCCTTCACCTAATTCAGAGAGGAAAAACCTTCTAGCTATCTAGCTATAGGATAAAAACCTCGCTGCGATTTCGCTCTGCTACCTCAGAGGGCTCGTTGTTGTCATCAGGTCTGTACTGGTAATCTCGTCACCAGCCTTGTCCAGGTTGCATGATATGCATTTGCCCGTCTTCCGGTCTCGGCTGCCTCTGGGTCGTAGAGGAGCCGTCGGGGGTTTACACGCGGGTTCGCAGCGACCGGTGCTGCGATCCGCCTTCGGATTATATATATTACTGTCTAAGGGTTATGATTATTGCCGTCTAAGCATCATGGTTATTACTGTCTAAGGATTATGAGTGTTTTTTTAGGAGTGATTCTGACTACCTTGGTAGCTGATATTTGCAAACTTAATTTTGAATTAGGTAGCTGGGGAATTGACCTTGCTGCTGCCCTAAAATTCTACGCTGCCTAAATGTGCTGCTACATAGCAATAAGATGGTTTCGAAAGTTGGAGTCGAAGGCCAGGATAAAATTGCTGAGCGGGTTGAGACGGTTGGCTATCGGGCCTGGTGACCAACCACGTAGAACTTGGCCTGAGTAGTCGGCGATGCGAAGGAACACTTCTACTGCACTCCTGTTGCAGCGCAAGATACGTCTCCTCTTTGCGCCTCATCCCGTACTATATCACTTCGGGCCATCTCCCATGACTAAACCCACCTCGAGATATGGCCTGGTAGTGATGGGTGGGATGAGCTCCTCTCTGATAAGGAGGAAGAGGAAAGCGCGGATGATAAACAGGGAGCCAAAACTGCTGGCGATAGTGAACCACTGCTACTTGCTTGGGAGAAAGCGACAAACGGAAATCACCGAGGCCTGTAAAACCAGTACCACTATCAACAAGACTGTAGCTGAGCGCGTTACTGCTACAGTCGTTCCTAATGATCCGGCTGGGCAGCTGGCTTCGAACCCCTTGTCTGTACCCCGGTAAAGAGCCTTGTTAATGTGGTTACTGTCCAGCATTACTTGATAGAAAAGTCGCAGAATGTCGACTGCATCGGCCATGATCTACACTCTGGATGGACGGTACAGCATTACCGGAGGTGAATCCTCTTTTCTTCCATTCGACACCCACTCACGGATGAACTCTCTGTCAAAATTGCAGAGGAGCTGGAGGTAAGTTGGGCATTCGCGATCTCATCTTGGTATTCATCTCCTGGTAATTATCATAATGTTCGTTTCGATTTCAACAGCCTCCAGTCCCAAGGATGCGCTGTTTGGAGCCCGACACCATCCAGGCTACACGCTGCGTCTTGTGTTCCAGCGACAACGTTCGAAATAAGCGTGAGTTGAGGAAACTTAGGGTCGAGATTTCATTGTCAACTTCCCTAATTTAGTCGGTGCTGCATATTTGGACGTCTCAAAATGGGGATAAATTGGCATGTCTTTGTAAAACAAAAGAATATAAGAACAACGATATTCTTTAACCAACACTGTATTAATAATTATAGAAAACTGTTTATACAATATTTGGGCCATTTATATTTATTCTCTTAGCATATATGAGTACCTCCCTAGAATCTCTCGGTTTCTTCATACACACAACCTAGGCGAAGTCTTTGTTTCACCCATCTTGTTTGTACAACGAGAGCGAATAACAGCACTCCCGTATGAAAGACATGTGGATTGAATCCTTTAGTTTGTATTAATAACGAGGAAAACGTGGTATGGGTATATTGAACACTTTATGGGTGTCCTCCGGTCTATGTCGTACAGGTCATTACTAGCGGCCGCGGCGACCGGCAGGGCTACTTTCCATGAAGCTGCTGCCATCCTGGGAGAGGAGATTGCTTAGGTCCATGCTGGGACGGCCGATGCTCGAGCGGCCTTGGAGGGTTGGAGACTGCGGCGGTGCGAGGGCGGCAGAGCGAGGCGCGAAGCTAATGTCGGCATCATCCTCATCGTCGTCGTCCTGCTCTTCACTGCTACTCGTAAACTCGGCCTCGGAGTCGGTGTGCTCGTAGCCGCCGCTCTCAGCCTCGGGAATGTCGTCGTCAAGATCTGCGTCCATGTCTACGCCTAGACCGTCGTCGGTTCCCTCTTGGGCGAAGTCGTCCTCATCTAACATATGGCCCTGCTCTTCCTCTTCAATCTCCTCATCCCCACCGTACATCCCTTCCCCGTCGGGGTCTCCGCGAGCGAGAGCTTCTCGGAAGGCATCGTCGTTCATCCTCATGCGTGCAGCCATGAGGTCGTTTTGCCGCTCCTCTCTCAAAACCGACTCGTCTGCATCTTCCTCGGCCTCACCGCCCTCGTCCTCATCTAGATCCTCCTCATCCTCTTCTTCGTCATCGTCATCATCATCGTCGTGCAATCCAAACTCATCATCGGCATCTGGAATCTCATCGTCTAGGTCCTGGGCCCCATCCAATTGGACGTCATCCATCATTCCATTCTCCGGGTTGGCCTCTGCCTCCGCCTCCGCAAGTTCTTGGGCTAGCTGTTCCCGACGCATCGCTTCCTGGTGCTCTTCTTGTTCTCGTTTCTCCTCGCGCAGCTGATGTAGTGTCTTAGGAACACCAGGGGGCCTCAGCCAGCCGCTGCCGTAATTCTGGACATTCAGTCGTCTGCGTTGCATATACTGCTCGTCTGCAGCAAGGCGAGCGAGGGCTGAGCGCTCGAGAGCGTGGCCACGTTGGCGCGAGTGGTTGCTGCCATGATGGTGGCTGTGGGGGTCTCCGTGGTGATGGTTGTCGACAGGCCCTTGTGGAGTCAATGGGCTGCGAGAAGACCTATACCACAAGGAATGCGACTATATGAGTGTCAGATGACGCAACGGTGTGATGCGATACCCAAGGAACCATACATCTCGCGGGGTAAAATCTGGGAGTGTGGTGAACATTTGGCCAGCTCCAGCACGCGTTCAGCGGCAGACGCGTGGGTGCAGGTTGGTGGTTTCGAAATAGAGCACCAGGGTGCCATGAGGACAACAAGGTGCGGGGCAGGTCACGCGGTAGGCGCGGGGTCGCGCGTAATAGCCGCCAGCCAAGATGCGCCCCCTGTCAAAATGGCGACACTGAAAGCCCGTCATGATTTTGTCCAGAAACCTGTAATTCGAATGCCCGAGTCTCGCATTGGTCGAGGGGCGGAATGACTACGATGATGGGTCAGGACAGAGTTCTGGGTCTAGACCTTGGCTCCGAATGGGGGCAACCCCGTTGCAGCGGCTGGAGCGGCTCGGCGATCATATTCGTTTGCCGAACGGTGCTGGGCTGAGTCCTGAGTGCTACGTGCTGGGTGACGGGATGGTCTGCTGTTTCGCGGAAATGAAGCGAGGCAACGATCCGGCTTGTTGTCTCTGAAGTTGCACGTCTCCTCACCGCTTTGGGCCAAGCCCACGGAATTGTCGCCACCGCCGCGCAGGCCGTTTCCAAACGGCGGAAGAGTTATTCATTTCGTGAGGTAAGTGAAGGCGCTCAGTGGTGCTGCCTTGTCGCTCCTCTCCTGCCTCCTGCAGCCACGCTTCCGCTCATGCGCTAGGTCCTTCTGCAAACGGCCAGGGCCAGTTCTGTAGGTCGGGGTTAAGAGTAACGTTGAACGGTGGAGGATGTCGGGAGAATTCGGGATCGGCGGTCTCGGAGAATGCAGGCAACGACGCAGGCGGGCAGTCGGCCAGTGGGTGCCGCCGATGTCCGCGTAACGAGGGAACGGCGTTTCTTGCCGGAATTCAGATAGCGGCCGAGCTGCGGTCCTCAGTCGACTGAGTCTGCTCCGCACCTCCGTAACGTCCATGCAAATGCGATTTGATGTTAGCACCGCCGACCTCGGCCGCTCACAATTGCCCGAACTCAACCTCCTCCACTCTGGAAGGGCTCCGCTTGAGCAGCCGCTCCTTTCATATTTATAATGCCTCGACTTGATTTGCGCCTATCTAAACATTGAGCGGGCGCCGTTTCTGCAGAACGGAGGCGAGAGATAAGACCCTGGCAAGGCGCTAGGGAGAACGGGCAAGCAACTCACGGACAGCGGGAAAGAATGGACATGCTGTGGAGGATATGGGGCTCGGGAAGTTGTCATGATCCTCATCGTCATCCCCATGACATCCTATGGCGTCCCATGGCCAGCGGAGGGCGAACGCCGCCTGGGTCGAGTGATCGAGAGCTCGGTAGAACCATATATACGAACCTCGGGGCGGTAGGAACGAGATCCGGTTTAACGAGCCAGATGCCTGCCCAGAGGACAACATATATGCTAGGAGAGGTTTGGATTTATGACATGCCACACGTGGGTGTGTTTGGTAAGTAATTATCCGTCGGCTGGTGCACAACATACCTCCAAGCGGCCTGGGGCGTAGCAGGCATAGCCTGGTCAAGGGGACGCAACCCTCATCTCAACCCCATCTTTGATGGACGAATCGCCTTGTCGGTTCAAATTTCCCAAAGAAGTGACGTCTTCCTGCACAAGAACCTCGCAGGAGGTTGCAGGGCAGGGCAGCACCACGCCTGCGCAGGACTCCCGAGCCCGTGGTGAGACAGTGCGTGCATCTGTGCGATGGCGCAGACTAAATCCCACTAAATCCCACTAGACGATCTGCACCCTGGTTGCCGATGAGTCTCCGGCACGAGCTTCTTCCGTTTTAGTGTAGAAAGTCGCGAAGAGGCGGGCTAGGGCGGGACGGGCAGCGCTGGTTGGAGCGAGATAAGAGAAGCATCTTAACGCCAGGCCCGTGATTGGCCGTGCCCCCCAATTTTTTGATGTCCATGTTTTGACTGTGCGATAATGGTGTGAGATGGCAGACTTGTCCGACGTCAGTTTGGCCAACCTTCAAGGCCAAGCTGACAAGGAAAAACGCATTCTTGGTGAACCCTGGCTGGCCCGTCCAAGCTCTGCCTCTGGTTGGATCCCAAATCACACCAGTACGAGTGGCCTGCTCCTCACGCCAGCAACCTGAGGTGGATGCTCGGCTTGTTTGGCCTTTTTGGCCGAAGATCCGCCAGGTGAGGCGACGGCGAGGGATCCATTATGAGCTGCGGCACCGTGTCATCTGTTAATGGCGCTGTCCGCCGTCTCGATACCGTCAGAAACGCGGACGATGTGAGGGGAGAGTAAATCCAAGGACCAACACTGCGTCTGTAGCCCCGAACCCTGTTCCACGAGCAAAACCTAACCCGGCTGCGCTGTGCTTTCTTGATACCCTGGTGAAATGGAAGCTTTTTCGCAACGAAAGGGTGTGCAAGCGAGCAAGTCCCGTAGCACATGTCTGGTGCATGTCTGTAGGGGTGTGTTGAGGCGTAGGGCACACGTCTTGGTCCTGACTCGCTGGAATCTCACCACCGGCGCCGATGGGCATCCAGCTTTTCGGGCACGTCGTTTTCAGTTGCAGGCCGATGGACCATGGAGATTGAGTTGCGGACGAATCATAGGCACATCTAGCTCCCCCGCGCAGCACCTGTACGTCAATGGCTCCCCGGGCCAGCGCAGCACATGGCTCATCCTTCGGGATTGGGCGTGGGCGCGACATCGGCGGCGCTGGCTTTGAAAATGCCGGGCCATGATTGGTGTCGCAAGTTGGACGTCAACTTCACCCTTGTCCATTAGGTTTAACGTTCCAGGCGGCGTCGCACGGATGTCCAAACCACCCTGGCCGTGGCTGCAGCTCCATGTGGGGTGCTGGCGTGGAGGCTGGCTCCTGGATCGCGGCGAAGCCTCCGTTCCCTCGGCCGGATTTCTCTTACACGAACTGTGTTGCAAACCCTTTCAAGCCAACGACGGATAGGAGATAGATGCCACGACGAGGCCGAAATAAGCGGCAGGTGATTGGGCGAGAAGGGGGGATCTGTTTTCTCGTTTGTCGCTCCAGCCGATCTGGGCGCGGGGAGAAACGAGCATGGAGTGCGAACACGGGGCCCCGAGGAGAAACGACCAGGCAGGGGACGGCTGAAAGACACATCACAGCAGGCTGCTTGTTGTGTATCCACCAGGCGAAATTGATTGACTCTGACCGGTCGGTGAAGCCCTGCCGCTCAGCGGTATTGTCACGCCAGGCCATGGTAAAAGGATCAGAATCAGGCAATGACGTGAGAGGGTTTGATTACCTACTCCGGGGACATATTGAGATGCCCTGATTTAGCGAGTCGGTGAAGAGAAGTGGGTGGCATTGACATGTTGTTTCGGTCAGCAATGGATAGACGATCCCGAGGTGGAAGGCAGCACCAGGATATGGAAACTTTCCTTCCGTGCCTTCCAATCACTTCTGCACTAATGTAGCGTGTCACAGTGTCACAACCTGGCGGACGAGTTGCAAGCTGTCTTGTTACCTACTCCGTACGTAAATTATGCAGTGGGATATTAGAAGCTGCGACATGGTACGTAAACCATCTACGCGACGTGTTGCAAGTTGTCGTGTTAGCTGCATCGTACGTAAATTACGCCGTGGCGGATCGTATGCTGTCGTTTACCGACTTCGTACGTAACTTACGTCGTAGGCAGATGGCGCCTGCGGAGAGTAGATCGGAATGAGGGGTTGCCCATCATCTCCGGAGACTACCTCCATCTCGTCCCCCATTCACAACGCCAGCCCACCTTAACCAACTAGGCATTTCGGTTTAACCTGCTGCACAGAATTTGCCGGAAAGCAAGATCCTCTAGTCCGACATGCCGACCTAGATGGAGGGTGGATGGATGGATGGATGGATGAATGGATGAATGGGAGGATGGAGGGGCACAAGCCGTAGCTTGGAGGGCTAGACGGGATGGCCTATGGAGGAAACGAGGCATTCGGCGTGGAGGGTTGGAGGGGTGGCGGGATGGCGGGATGGAGACACCCAACCCAGCCCTTGTTTGTCCATGGTGTAACTTAGTGCCCATGCCGCTATCCCCAAGCCTTAGACCCTAGGCCACGCCGACGTCAGCGCAGGCTACCACGTCTCGGAGACGGGCGATTTTGGAAGAAAAAAAAGTGATTGCCACACAATGGACATGGTGAAATCCACAATCCACAGCTAGAAACAAGCACATCGAACCAGGGCGTGGACAAGGACAAGGACAAGGACGAACCCCAATAAGGGGGCGGCAGAGGCATCATGTTGTTTGGATGCTGGATTCGGACGTCGTTCCGGACTCCGCGCATCGGCAGCAGGCAGGTGGAAGAAAAGCCCGATGCAATGGGCGGCACCTGGGGCCCCGGAGGGTTGCCGAAGGAGAGGACGGGGAGACGAGGGATGTGGCCCTGGTTGTCATGGCTGTCCTGGCTTATGGTTGTCTCGTCGGTGGGTGGCCCCGGAGACGGCATGGCATGTCAATGACGGGAGCGTCGTGCAAATGCCCTCGACCTCATTTGCCTGCGTGTTTTTCTGGCATGTGCTCTTGGGGCTTTTACGGGATCATCGAGGGCCACCAACGGGGGCCACCAAGGTAAATCGGGCCACGGCAGGGTGGGTGTGCGCCCACTTGGGCCTGGCGGCACGCCGGAGACGTAGGAGGAGTTCGTCTGGGCGTCCCCCAGCAGAAGGCGTGGCGTGGGCTTTGGGGGGTCTCCCCATGCGCTAACGCAGCCCTGGAGCTCTGAGCCCTGGAGCCCTGGATGGATGGGAACAGGGGCCCGAGGCGGCGCTTGAAGCACAGCAGGATGGACGGGACGGCTCTGGTGGTGGTTTTGCTGGTGGTGCCTCGTTGCTATTGCTTGAAAGCTCTCTGCGCTTCCCCATCCTGGCCCAGCATTCGCCTCCAGAGCCTGGGCCCCTCGTCGGCCCCTCGACTCCCCACTCGAGCGCCCCATCATCATCGCCCCCCACTTGACTGCACCTTGACGCTTGCTTCCCTGCGCCAGTCTCGCCGTGGCCGTCTTCACTTTCACCACCATCGCTCCCTCGTCCTCGTCCCTCGTCACTGAGGAGCCCTTAGCCGGAAGCCCTCTTTGCCCCCCCCCCTCCTTCTCCCTCGTACCCTGCCCCCTGGTAATTTTTTCAAACCCCCGTAGCCCGTAGCCGCTCCATTGGTTTTTTTTTTCTCGGTCGCCCATTTTCGTCGTTGGGCTTGGCTCCGAATCGTCGCTCCGCCGTCCGGACCTAGACCTAGTTCCGTTGACTCGACCCAGCCCACCCAAGAGCAAGTGAATCACACTGAGTTGGCGCTGCCGCAGCCGTGCTCCAGCCGTAACCGTGAGGCGACTCGAGTAAAGTAGGTTGGGTACCTTTTAGCTGCTGCCGACGGACGGAGTTGGCTACGCCAGCTGGCAACGCCTGGAGATCCCTCCATTCCATAAAAGCATGAGAGTTGCCCTCCCCCTCCTCCTTCTTCCTCTCTCGCCCTCTTCTTCTTCCCGCCTTGTCCTCTCCCGCGCTCTCTTCTCCCATCTAAAAAACTGCCTGCCACGCCACTGCGAGACAGTGGCCGTTGATACCCATTGCTCTCGACAGAGGACCAAGTTTCTTCCTGGTAAGTCGAAAGACGTGCGCGCTTGATGCTTTGTTCCCCATCCTCGCTACTATCCGTCCCACGCTCCCCTGCCTCTCCCGCTTCCCGCCCATGGACCGCCTCGATTCGATCAGCCGAGACTCGCATTATCAACAGCCGGCAAAGGCAGACCACAGACATCCGTCGCTGCCGCTGACGAGCTTTGCTGGCGTCGGAACCACAACATCACATGTTTCCGCGGACAGCTAACCCAGCACGTTCCAAACATCCAAATACAGCAACCGCCCGTCCAGCCTGCAGCTCCCAGGCGCGCGTGGCGCTCTTCTCCATGTGTGGTATCCCCGAGGTGACGTCCCCCCCCGGCGTCTTTGGGTGGTCCATGTCTTAGCCGCATGTCTGGTTGCCATTGTGCGGGCCATTATTGGCTGTCGCCCCAGTGTCCCACGCTGTGCGCCGGAGAGAAGGGCTACCCAGACTCAAGGGACCACACAGTGGGCCATAGGCCCAAAGGAGAAAGCTGTGGAAGCTTGGCCATCGCGGCTGCGCGAACCTTTCCTGCATTTGGCGCGTTCCGGACGAGAGGCTGCGAAATCAGGGACACGGAACTCGTTGGACTCCCGAGGCCTGCGCCGCCAGGATTGGCTTGCCCTTGATTCAGAAACGCACAAACTCATTCGGAGGGGCGAGCCGCGGCCTGGCGGGGGGCCTTGCCCATCGTGGGGATGGTCACTATCGCCGGATTTTCTCTTATCTGGAGCGCGCCACTCCATGGGCCCGATGCCGGCAGACATTGATCAATGACACGACCCCCTCGCTGCACCTGGGTCCCTTCTGGCGCGGCTATAATTTCCCCTACGGTCTCCGGTTCCGATTGATGCGCTGTCGTCTCTTTCTACTGCCTTGGCCGTGTTTATGCATTTTGAGGCTCCGTCCATGCTAATCCGCTCCTCCGCCCAGATCTCCGCTAAAGAGTGGCCCTCGCTGCTCTCACGAGGTGCCCCGCGATCCTCCGACCCCCACCAACCCCCACCAACCCCACCTCAACCCGGTCGCCTAGCATGGGCCTAACCGAGGAATTCGACGACCGACAGATCCATATCGACGCTGAGCAACAGACCTACAGCCCATTCGAGTATCAGACTGAGAACAATGACTCTTGGGCTGGCGCGCTGCCGGTGAAGCAGGGTCTGTATGACCCTTCCCTCGAGAAGGATGCCTGTGGTGTCGGTTTTGCCTGGTAAGTGAATCTCGGATAGACGGCAAGTTGCATTGGATTGACACAACGACAGCCACATCAAGGGCAAGGCTAGCCACAAGATTGTCAGCGATGGTAAGTCTCATTCGTCCGCTTGCCTATGCACGAGCAAAAGTTGACCAATTGCAGCTCGAAACCTTCTGTGCAACATGACCCATCGCGGTGCCGTGGGTTCGGATGCTCGAGATGGTGACGGTGCCGGTGTCATGACATCTATCCCCCACCGGTTCTTTATCAAGAACTTTGAAAAGGAGGAGGACATTAAGTTGCCCCCTCTAGGCCAGTACGCTGTTGGAAACTTGTTCTTCAAGCCCGACGAGGAGACTCTTGACGAGTCCAAGAGGCAGCTGGAAGATGTTGCCGACTCATTGGGCCTCCGAGTTTTGGGATGGCGGCGGCCCCCCGTCGACTCGACCCTTCTTGGACCCGCCGCAAAGTCGCGCGAGCCCATCATCCTCCAGCCCTTCGTTGTCCTCGTCTCTGCCTATGGCACTGGCGTTGCTCCTGAAGAGACCGACCCGGAGAAATTTGACGACCGCCAATTCGAGCGACAGTTGTACATTCTGCGGAAGCGTGCTACCCAGAGCATCGGTCTGCACAACTGGTTCTACATCTGCTCCCTGTCTAACAAGAACATTGTTTACAAGGGTCAGCTAGCCCCCGTTCAGGTTTACTCATACTACCACGATCTGGTCAACGCCGACTACGAGGCTCACTTTGCCCTCGTCCACTCTCGGTTTTCGACCAACACCTTTCCCTCCTGGGACCGTGCTCAGCCCCTGCGATGGGCTGCCCACAACGGTGAAATCAATACCCTGCGTGGAAACAAGAACTGGATGCGCGCTCGCGAGGGTGTCATGCAGTCTGACATCTTCAAGGATGAGCTGGAGCTCATGTACCCCATTGTTGAGGAAGGCGGTTCTGATTCCGCTGCCTTTGACAACGTCCTTGAGCTTCTGACCATCAACGGTGTCCTTTCCCTCCCCGAGGCCGTCATGCTGATGGTCCCCGAGGCGTGGCAGGGTAACCAGGACATGGACCCTAAGAAGGCTGCATTCTACGAATGGGCCGCTTGCCAGATGGAGCCCTGGGACGGTCCCGCGCTCTTCACCTTTGCCGACGGTCGTTACTGCGGTGCCAACCTGGACCGAAACGGTCTCCGACCTTGCCGATTCTACGTCATGGACGATGACCGCATCATCTGTGCCTCTGAAGTCGGAACCATCCCCGTTGAGCCCGAGTCCGTTATCCAAAAGGGCCGTCTGCAGCCCGGCCGAATGCTCTTGGTCGATACTCAGGCCGGTCGCATCATCGACGACAAGGAGCTGAAGGAAGCCGTCGCGAGTCGACAAGACTTCCGTGCTTGGCTTGATAGTGAATTGATTACCCTGCCAAAGGTCCTCGAGACTGCCGAGCAGTCCAAGGACCTGGCGCCCAAGTTGGATGACAAGACCCTCCAGTCTGATCCCCTCCTGCTCTCCTTTGGCTACACCCATGAGCAGGTTAGTTTGCTGCTTGCTCCCATGGCTGCTGACGAGAAGGAGGCTCTGGGTTCCATGGGTAACGATGGCCCTCTGGCCTGCTTGACCCAAGCCCCTCGCCTCCTCTATGATTACTTCCGACAGCTCTTCGCCCAGGTTACTAACCCCCCCATCGACCCCATCCGAGAGTCCATCGTCATGTCGCTGGAGTGTTATGTTGGCCCCCAGGGCAACTTGCTTGAGATGCATCCCTCCCAGTGCGGCCGTCTCTTGCTGCCCAGCCCCATCCTGTCCATCCAAGAGTTCAATGCTATCAAGACCTTGCCCGAGACGTACTCCAAGTGGACTGTCAAGACTATTGACTTGACCTTCCCCAAGTCCGAGGGTGTCCAGGGTTATCTGAAGCACCTCGACTACATCTGCAATGAGGCTACTGCTGCCATCGAGGCTCATGATCGTATCATTGTGCTCTCCGACAGAAACACCAGCGCCGACCGCATCCCCGTTTCAGCCGTCCTGGCTTCCGGTATGGTCCACCACCATCTCGTCAGCAACAAGTGGCGATCTATGGCTGCTCTTGTCGTCGAGACTGCCGAGGCCCGTGAAGTGCACCACATGTGTGTGCTCCTCGGATATGGTGCTGATGCTGTCAACCCCTACCTCGCTATGGAGTGTATCCTCAAGTTGAACCGTGAAGGTCTCATCAAGAAGAAGCTCACCGACGATGCCCTCATCCGCAACTACAAGCACTCTTGCGACGGCGGTATTCTGAAGGTCATGAGCAAGATGGGTATCTCTACCCTCGCCTCTTACAAGGGTGCTCAGATCTTTGAGGCTCTTGGTCTCGACGAGACCGTTGTTGAGCGATGCTTCAGGGGCACTGCCTCGCGTATCCAGGGTATTACCTTTGAGCTCATTGCCGAGGAGGGTTTCCGATTCCACGAGCGTGGTTTCCCCTCGCGATACACTGTTGGCGTCTCTGGTCTTCCCGAGTCTGGCGAGTACCACTGGCGTGACGGCGGCGAGCCTCACGTCAACGACCCCACCTCCATTGCCAACATCCAGGATGCCGTTCGCACCAAGAACGACAAGTCCTATGAGGCTTACTCACGATCTGAGTACGAGCAGATCAAGTCCTGCACCCTCCGTGGTCTCCTAGACTTTAAGTTTGACGACTGCACCCCTGTGCCCATTGACCAGGTCGAGCCCTGGACTGACATTGTTCGCCGATTCTGTACTGGTGCCATGTCCTACGGTTCCATCTCCATGGAATCTCACTCTACCCTGGCTGTTGCCATGAACCGACTTGGCGGCAAGTCCAACACTGGTGAGGGTGGTGAGGATCCTGAGCGATCTGAGCGCCTGCCCAACGGCGACACCATGCGTTCGGCCATCAAGCAGGTTGCCTCTGGCCGATTCGGTGTCACCTCTGCCTACCTGGCCGATTCCGACGAGCTTCAGATCAAGATGGCCCAGGGTGCCAAGCCCGGTGAGGGTGGTGAGCTTCCCGGCCACAAGGTGTCCAAGTCCATTGCCCGAACCCGTCACTCCACTCCCGGTGTCGGCTTGATCTCGCCTCCTCCCCACCACGACATTTACTCCATTGAGGATCTCAAGCAGCTGATCTACGATCTGAAGTGCTCCAGCCCTCGATCCCGAGTCTCCGTCAAGCTCGTGTCTGAGGTCGGTGTCGGTATCGTCGCCTCTGGTGTCGCCAAGGCCAAGGCCGACCACATCCTGATCTCTGGTCACGATGGTGGTACCGGTGCCTCGCGATGGACTGGTATCAAGTACGCCGGTCTCCCTTGGGAGTTGGGTCTGGCCGAGACTCACCAGACTCTGGTTCTCAACGACCTCCGTGGTCGTGTTGTTGTGCAGACTGACGGTCAGCTCAAGACTGGTCGTGATGTTGCCATTGCCTGTCTGCTTGGTGCCGAGGAATGGGGCTTTGCTACCGCTCCTCTCATCGCCATGGGCTGCGTCTTTATGCGCAAGTGCCACTTGAACACTTGCCCTGTTGGTATTGCTACCCAGGACCCTGAGCTGCGCAAGAAGTTTACCGGTACCCCCGAGCATGTCATCAACTTCTTCTACTACGTGGCCAACGAGCTCCGAGCCATCATGGCCCAGCTTGGCTTCCGCACCATCAACGAAATGGTCGGTCACGTCGAGGTCCTCCGTATGCGCGACGACCTGCGAACCAACAAGACTGCCAACATTGACCTGTCTCTCCTCCTGACCCCGGCTCACAAGCTCCGACCCGGTGTCGCCACCTTCAATGTCCGCAAGCAGGACCACAAGCTCTACGTCCGACTCGACAACAAGTTGATCTCCGAGGCGGAGTTGACTCTCGATAAGGGTCTCCCCTCGAGAATCGAGTGTGACATTGTCAACACTGACCGAGCTATGGGTACTTCCCTCTCGTACCACATCTCCAAGCGATATGGCGAGGCTGGTCTCCCCTTGGACACCGTCCACGTCAACATCAAGGGTTCCGCTGGTCAGTCATTCGGTGCTTTCCTGGCCCCTGGTGTTACCCTGGAGCTCGAGGGTGATGCCAACGATTACGTCGGCAAGGGTCTGTCTGGTGGTCGTTTGATCATCTACCCTCCCCGCAATGCCGTTTTCAAGGCTGAGGAGAACGTCCTGATCGGAAACGTCTGCTTGTACGGTGCTACTACCGGTAGCTGCTTCTTCCGCGGTGTTGCTGCCGAGCGTTTCGCTGTCCGAAACTCCGGAGCCATCGCTGTTGTTGAGGGTGTCGGTGACCACTGCTGCGAGTACATGACTGGTGGCCGAGTTCTTATTCTCGGCAACACTGGCCGCAACTTTGCGGCTGGTATGTCTGGTGGTATCGCCTATGTCCTGGATGTCAACCATGACTTCCACAACAAGCTCAACACCGAGATGGTTGAGGCCAGTGCCGTCGAGGATCCCACCGAGATCGCCTTCCTCCGCGGTCTCATCGAGGACCATCACCACTACACTGGATCTGAGCGTGCGGCTCGCATCCTGGTTGACTTCAACAGAGCTCTGCCTCGCTTTGTCAAGGTGCTGCCTGTCGACTACAAGCGCGTCCTGGAGGAAGAGGCGGCCAAGGCTGCCGAGGCCAAGCGAGCCGAGTACAACCTTCCTGCCGTGTCTGGTGTCCACACCAAGAAGCCCGAGAAGGCCACTAAGCTCCTGGACCTGGAGGAGGCTGTTGGCGACAACGCTGCCGAGAAGAAACGCGCTCTGGTGCTTGACAAGACCAAGGGTTTTATGAAGTACAAGCGCCGTGCTGAAAAGTACCGACCTGTTACTACCCGTCTCAAGGACTGGGCAGAGCTTAGCTCTCGCCTTGAAGAGGACGAGCTCAAGTACCAGTCTGCTCGCTGCATGGACTGTGGTGTTCCTTTCTGCCAGTCCGAGACTGGATGCCCTATCTCCAATATCATTCCCAAATGGAACGAATTGGTGTTTCAAAACCAGTGGAAGGATGCCCTTAACCGTTTGCTCATGACCAACAACTTCCCCGAGTTCACTGGCCGTGTGTGCCCCGCCCCTTGCGAGGGCGCTTGCGTCCTGGGCATCAACGAGGACCCCGTCGGTATCAAATCGATCGAGTGTGCCATTATCGACCGTGGCTTCGAGATGGGATGGATGGTTCCTCAACCTCCCAAGGTCCGCACTGGCAAGACCGTCGCCATCATTGGTTCCGGTCCCGCAGGTCTGGCTTGCGCTGACCAGCTCAACCGTGCCGGACACAACGTAACTCTCTACGAGCGTGCCGACCGTCTTGGTGGTCTTCTGATGTACGGTATCCCCAACATGAAACTTGACAAGCGCATTGTCAAGCGCCGTACCGACTTTATGGCCGCCGAGGGCATCAACTTCAAGACCGGTGTTGCTGTCGGCGAGGAGGGCAACCCCTCGCTCAACGACCTCCGGGCCGAGTACAATGCCGTCGTTATCGCCACTGGTGCCACCGTTGCCCGTGACCTTCCCATCAAGGGCCGTGAGCTCGAAGGTATCCACTACGCCATGGAGTTCCTGCACAAGAACACCAAGTCTCTGCTAGACTCTGAGCTTGCCGACAACACTTACCTCTCTGCCAAGGACAAGCACGTCGTTGTCATTGGTGGTGGTGATACCGGTAATGACTGCATCGGAACCTCGCTCCGTCACGGTGCCAAGTCCGTCACCAACTTCGAGTTGCTTCCTCAACCCCCGCCTGAGCGTGGCCGTGACAACCCCTGGCCTCAGTGGCCTCGCATCTACCGCGTGGACTACGGACACACCGAGGTCCGTCAGCACACCGGCAAGGACCCCCGTGAGTACTGCATCATGTCCGAGGAGTTCACCGACGACGGCACGGGCAAGGTCAAGGGCATCAACACCATTCGCGTGGAGTGGACCAAGTCTCCTAGCGGTGGCTGGGACATGAAGAAGGTGGAGGGCTCGCAGCAGTTCTTCCCTGCCGATCTTGTTCTACTTGCCATGGGTTTCCTCGGCCCCGAGGCTCGGGTTCTCGGAGACGACATTGAGAAGGATGCTCGCAAGAACGTCAAGACTCCTCCTGGCAAGTACAGCACCAACATCGATGGTGTGTTTGCTGCTGGTGATGCCCGCCGTGGTCAATCCCTTATTGTCTGGTAAGTTTATCGAGTTTCCGTTACAAGACCAACAGCTAACATTACTTCAGGGGTATCAACGAGGGTCGCCAGTCTGCCCGCGAGATCGATCTGTACCTGGAGCAGTGCACCAGCCTGCCCGTTACTGGTGGTATCATCAAGCGCACTGCGCAGGAGATTTTCAGCCAGGTCAAGGCCTAAAATAGATTACGAGGTGTTTTGATAGTGATGATTTCTCTTCTCTCTCTTCGCAGGCAGGTAAATGGGAGCAATGGGGCCTATGACGATACCCTAATTATGGGGGATTCCGGGTTTGCGCAAAAGGGAGGTGCGGATTGTTTCTGGTTTGTTTGCTATACCAATTTGTAGATGTTTGGGCTTCGATAGGTTAGGCATTGATTTTATTAAACATTGAGTGTCTATAATGAGTGACTGATACAAGTTAAGATCTAAAGTCAATGGGTTCTGTTAGATTATAGACCTAATTAACCCTAGGGACAGTAATATTTAGGGCGCCCTAAATCTTTAGCTAAGCTCGTAAATCTAACAAGTTCTAATTGATCATTTCCTTCGTACACGATTTCATGTCTCCCCACCTTTTCACATATTTGGAGGCTTGAGTCAATCTAACTTACCGGTTATATCTTGAGTCTGAGGGGTTTTAAAATCTTGATTGGCCCAGAATCTTGTGGTCGACGAGCTTTGTCCACTGGATATACTCATTACCTCCCGTCGCTGGTATGGGTTTCGCCCCAGCACCGGGCCGCAAAGGATACAAATACCAAGACAGAGAAGACGTTGACAATCCTGCTGAAGCGTACCTAGTATAAGATTAAGGTAAAGCCTAAAAATATAAATACTCTCTTAGCCCTATTAATAAGGATATAAAGATAACGCCAATAAGTCCTAAAGTTAGAACTTCTAAATCTGCAAGGTCGTTGACTGCAGACAACAGGGTCGTTGACTGACCCTATTGTCTACATACAGCAGGGTTGAAGTCAGAGGGATTGAATTGAAGCTTCAGGCAGAGACCAGTGTGTAACAACCTTATTGTTCAGCTACTGTTTCTTTTGGTGCTGGGTGTAGCACTTATTGTTTATCTCTACTGTTTGAGAATACTGTATGGCTTTAATCTATCTGATGATTTTGAGTAGAGCTAAAAAAAAACCAAATAACTTCTAAATCAATCCGTCCTCATTCCGAGACATGCATGCGTGTCTCACTGTCTCAGTTTGTCAGCTGGACGGGGGAGTGAGACATGTCGTGTGCCCTCTTGACAGGTAAGGATCGAGATGGAAATCCAGGCATATGATTGAACCACTAAGCTGTAGAGATAAAGTAGGAGCGCCATACAGATGGCTTGCATGGATGTAGTTCATGCCTAGTCCCTTCAACACATATCAATTGAGATCGGAGATATGAGACAGCTCGGGTGCCTTTGACCTAGGTCACTCCTCGCGTCTGAATGGAGGGAGAGGAGTGGGCTAGTGCAGGGAAGCTGGGATGAATTGGGACTAGATTCGGGTGATTATACGGCGGTGGATTGGGTTGTCTAGGTCAAGAGAGCTGACCGAGATCAAACTGCTCCATTCTCTCGGTTAGTTGAAGCGGGTCGAGTGCATACGTAGTCTGGATGGCCGACAGTGAACCGAGTACTGTGTTCGTCTTTGCCTCAGTAGCGCTTGAGGGCCTTGCGACCTGCGAGAAGGTGCAGTGGCCTCACGTGCGTCAGGTCATTCGCAAGGATGCAATCTTGGGGTGCGCACAGTACTACGTAGTAGCTCACAGTAGCTCACAGCAATGCACAGCAACGCACAGCAACGTACAGCAACGCACACTAACACAACTGGGATCTTCCAGGATCTCGAGGAATCGGGTTGCATGCCTACCCGCTGCGTCAGTAGCCCACTCGGCCGCGGCCTAGAACGCACGTGCGGCAAGCTTGTCCCTGATAGGACAATGGCTCGGTCACGGCTGGGGAATCCGGACCCTCGCTTGGGCAATCCCTCGTTCCCACTGGTAGACGCAGGTACTGCTGATACGTACTGTCGCAGGGACTGCAGCTGTCGGGAGAGCTGCGCAACATGGTGATACGACGCGAGAATACTGTGCGACGGGAGTTGGGAGCGAAGGTCGCACTGCCTGAGCTCGCCTAATTATACGTATCACGAAGGGCGAAGCTCGAGCTTCAGCGCAGCCAAGCGGGGCCGATGGCGCTGCTGCAGGTCACTGGCGTTCGGTGACAGGGAGCTCTGGCTGCGAAAGTCAGTGGCTGGCTCGAGGGCGAGTCCTCTGAAAAACTGTGCTTCAGGTGGGCGACACCCACCCGTGCTCCGTTGCTCTCCACTGTCACCGACCCACAGTCCACTACCAACTCCACTCCACTGTCCTCGGCCACCCGCTCGGTTTCCTACCCTTTGTCTCTCAGCTCGACGAGAATCCAGCGACCCGTCAAACTGCACCTGCGACTGCGGGACCAAGGTTTAAGCAAATACTTTTTGCATCGTGGGCTAATTCTTCTCCCTTTGAAGTCTCTCTCAATTCTTCTTTTCTCCCTCTCCCTGTCGTCGCTTTTGCTCCGCGTCGTCGGCATCATCATTGTGTCACTCAATCCGACCTCGTGATTCTGCGCCTCAACGATAACAACAACACCACCTCAACCACCCACACCCTTCGTCACCTTGCATCTCGCCCCAATTGCCGACTGCCAATTCCCAACAATAACGAGACGCATCCTTATCGACCATGCGCTTCGGTAGGACTCTGCGCGAGTCCGTCTATCCGGAATGGAAGGATAAGTACATCGACTACACCAAGCTCAAGAGCTTGCTCCGCGAGGACCGCTCGGCCGATGACGATGCCCAGCAGCCTTGGACTGCCGATGACGAGGAGCGCTTCTGCGACGAAATCTTCAATGTCCAGCTCGACAAGGTCGCCAAGTTCCAAGAGCAGCGAGTAGATGCCCTGAAGCACCGCGTCGACTCTGCCTTCGAGAAGCTCAAGGAGCTCGCCCCCGAACCCGTCCCCGAGTCCGCCACCGACGATGCTGAGGCCAGTGCCCAAGCCGAACCTCCCCGCCCGAAGGGTGATATCTCCGCCTCTCGCCTCCGCGCCCTCGAGACCGAGCTCGACGCCATTACGAACGAGGTTCGCGAGCTGAAGAAGTACAGCAACATCAACTATACTGGCTTTCTCAAGATTGTCAAGAAGCACGACCGCAAGCGAGGAGACCGATACAAAGTCCGTCCTATAATGCAGCTGAGCTTGGCCCAGCGCCCCTTCAACTCGGAGCAGGGCTACTCGCCTCTCCTCAATAAGCTCTCCATCATGTACTTTGCCATCCGCCAGCAGCTCGAGGATGGTACCGACCAGCTTCCCCCTCTGGATCTCGAGACCCAGGGCGAGACTCACAACGGCGAGCGCTACACCTCCCACAAGTGTACGTCTCTCACCCTTGAGTCCCTAACAATCCATCGAGTCCAATCTACTAACACGCTTTGCAGTCTGGGTTCATCCCGATAACCTCCTCGAGGTCAAGACTGTCATTCTACGACACTTGCCCTCCCTCGTCTACAGCGAGCAATCCGCCAAAGAGCTTGACGGCAACGACTCTCCTACCATCACCTCGCTCTACTTTGATAGCCCCAAATTCGATCTATACGGTGAAAAGGTCAACCGCCAGACCGAGGCCTCATCCTTGCGTATGCGCTGGTACGGACAGCTGGGCTCTCGCCCCGAGATTTTTATTGAGCAGAAGACGATTGATGCCAAGGGCGAGAGCCAGGAGCTCAAGTTCTCCATCAAGGAAAAGTACGTTAAGACTTTCATCGACGGCAACTACGACTTGGACAAGGCCGTCCAGAAGATGAAGAGAAAGAGCTACACGGTGGAGCAGCAAGATCTTTTCAAGAAGGCGGTCTCGACGATCCAAAATTTCGTGCAACAAAAGGGCCTCAGCCCCGTCCTCCGAGCCAACTACCTCCGAACCGCGTTCCAGAGGCCTGCCGACGACCGCATCCGTATTGCCATCGATACCAATGTTGCCTTCATCCGTGAGGACACCCTGGACCAGGACCGCCCCTGCCGTGACCCCAACGAGTGGCACCGCCTCGACATTGACGACAGCGAGATGACGTTCCCATTCAAGAAGATGAACCAGAGCGAGGTCAACCGGTTCCCCTACGCTCTACTCGAGATTAAACTCAAGGAGGACGGCCAGCGAAAGCGCCCCCATTGGGTTGAGGACCTCATGGCGTCCCACCTGGTCCACTCCACCCCACGATTCTCCAAGTTTGTCCACGGTGTGGCATCTCTGTTTGAGGACTACGTCAACAACCTACCCTTTTGGCTTAGCGACTTGGAGACGGACATCCGCAAGGATCCCCAGGCGGTATTCGAGGAGGAGGAGCAGCGTCGTGCTCAACACGCCGAGGATGTTATGGCGGTGGGCAGCCTAATTGGTGGCAAGTCAGCCTCGTATAGACCTGCCCAGAGCTCACCCGTGAGCAAGTCGTACCTGGCGGACCGCATGTCAAAGGATTCCATGTCCCACTCCCTGAACAACCGGGTATCGAGACTGAACAACGGAGAAGAGGAGGGAGAGACCAGTTCCAGGCAGACGGAGGAGCCGGAGAGGGGTTACGGAACTCTCTCGTCGGTGATTCCGGGTTTCTCGCTGTCCAAGTACTCCAAGGCTAAGCGGGCCTCGGCTGCGCTCCCCGAGGGTGTTGTGAAGCCAACGGAGTGGATCAAGAACTCAGGCGAGCTCAAGGTGGAACCCAAGGTATGGTTGGCCAACGAGCGAACTTTCCTCAAGTGGCAGCACATCTGCATCCTTCAGGGCGGCCTGGCGATGGGTCTGTACACGGCAGCTGGCCAGGACACGGTTGCTGAGATTATGGGCATCACTTACGTCTTGATTGCCATCTTTGCAGGACTCTGGGGCTATGGAATGCTGCAGACGCGACGAACCATGATTCTTGAGCGGAGCGGCAAGGACTTTGATAACATGATTGGACCTATCATCATCAGCTTTTCCTTGATAGTGGCCCTGCTCCTCAACTTTTTCTTCGCAGTAAGTTTATGTCAAAAGTGTGGAAGACGAGTGCTAACTTGTAATGCAGTATCGGGAAGCCTTTGGGCGGATGCATGACGGTGTGCCGGATGAGCCTGTCAGCGAAGATCTACGAATGGTTTAAGATGTGCGGCGTATGCATGGACAGGTTGCATGGGATGGAAATTGATAAGAGGTGGGAGAAGGAAATCAGAGACTGTATAGTATTGTGAGTTGAAGTGATACAGAGGCGTTGAATGCCGGTTCGAGTTTTGCATTTGCTCAGGGTGAGAGGCGAATGGCTGGAGGACTGGACAAAGTCGCTATGGATAGGATATAAGTCAATTCAAGCAATGGCTCCATGGTATGGAGGAGAAGATTGATTTCAATCATCTCAACGATGTAGATGTGTGCATTTGACTCGTCTAGGTTCTGTTCGGCTTCATGAGGGAGTATCTCCCTTGATTTAGGATTTAGGGGGTATGCTAAGGGTGGCATTGATCTAGCCCAACTGCATCATGCGTCAGAACACACCCACAACTGCGCGAAGAAAGATGCTCTCGAAAGAGCAACGGATCTTCGGGACCAAGTCTTCCCCCTCAGCAATCCTTGTGAGTATCAGTGCTGTGGACATGGCGACCAGCTCGGAGAGTTCGTTCCATGCGGCAAAACATTCACCACCGTCAAGGCTCAAGGACAGCATATGAGAGCACACATTCGAAGTATGGAAAAGAAGAACTCGGACGGGGGCGTAGTTCCAAGCTGCTTCCTTGGATCTTGCGCCAAAAACCCTGGACCTGGTAGAAGATACCGTGATGGGCCTGAGTTTAGCTCTTCTGACGAGCAACTGTCATATATCTGGTCAGAGCACCAGGTTTATACTCTATCGGCTCCAGAAGTCTACTTCTGTAAATACTTTTAAAAATAGCTTATCGAACACTTTAAGTAGAAGCGCTATACGGAGGGCCCTTTCAAAAGTCTTATCCATAAGAAGTAAGTCCTAATTATTAGGTTAGATAATAAGTACACTAAGTACTTCCTGATTTCTATAGGCCCTAAAGGATAGCAGGCTACGGTATATAGCAACCGCTATACCCTAATCAGCAGCGTATTACTCCTGAAGTTACAGCGGCCGTTTAACGCGACTGTAACAGCTTCATGTATCTCAGGTAACCGACAGGGATAAATGGATATAATATTACAAGCGCTTAGACAAGACTTTTGAAAGAGCCCTCCGTACAGACGACTATATTAATAAAGCTATAAAGATTATATCAGATATAGGCTATATTGGGTTATCTACTGGCCGGATAATTATCCCACGACTCTGCCTATTCTGCATCTACGATAAGGAACTGCCGATATACCAGCAGATCTTTACTTATTCAACGTTCTGGGGCTTGTCGAAACATATCAAGCAGCATTTGAGCATGCTAGATGATGGCGCACTGAGATCTTGCCCATGCTTCCCAAGCATGTGCACTGAAGAAGCTTAAGTATCTGCTAAGGCCGCTGTAACTTCAGGGGTAGTAGGCGCTGCTAATCAGGATCTAGCGGTTGCTGTGTGCTGTAACCTGCTATCCTTTAGGGCCTATAGAAATCACGAAGTATTTATCTACCTAATGATTAGTTGACTTAGGTTAGGTATTGGTGTTATTTTTCTTCTGGATAAGACTTTTGAAAGGGCACCCCAGGAGGAATGGACAACTCCAGCCATCCAATCGCCTGTGATATCAGTAGCAAGTCAAATCTGATGAAACCCCCAAGCCTGATGACGAATGAATGCCCATGCCACGAAACCCAAGCCTAGTTTAGATCTGTAGGTACGAAAGCAACGTGAGGCAATGGGCCAGTCAGGTCTAGACTCATGCACGAGGGGTGCGGGTTGACGTTGTGGGTGCGCTGGCAAACTGCTGCAGCTTCTGCAGTTCGTTCTCCACTTGGGGCCATCTCATTTACCTATGCATGCGTACATATCCGTGTCAGGGAAGGGGCGCAATGGATTGATCAATCAAGGTGCTCTGCGACATGCAAATTTCCTGGTGATTTTCTCTTTTTTTTTTCTGCGTTCCCTCGTCTACCGGAAACCTGCTGATTATGACTGGGTCGAGACACGATATGATGTGACGGGGCTGGCGCGGCGGGACACACGGACGCAAGGGACAAGGAGTGAGTGGTCTAATAAGGCCTTAGGGAGGTGCAGTCCTAAGGAGGTGCATACTTTATGGTGCATCCTTTATAGTGCATTAGGCACTTTATGGTGCATATCCCTGCCTTCTCGCTTCGTCCCCCGAGTAATTAATTTTCTGCTGCACGAGATTCCCCTCTTCGTCGTCGTCAGGGGTGATTCGTTGGATTTATTCATTTGCTGAATAGTCGCGGGCTGATGTGACGAGTTTGGTGGGTGAGTCAACTTTGCGAAAGCGACACCGTACGTACTGCGGACTGACGTTGATTGACTGGGTCCATCCCTCTTGGATCCATCCATCCCTCTTGGGTCCATCCCTCTAACGTTAGGCTTTTAGTTGCCGAGTACACTTCACTACAGCAACGTCTTCAATAACACCAACAACGCATCCATCCCCATCCCTGCCCACAGTTGCGTGGGCGATTGCGCCTCGCCGTCGACCAATTTACGCAGCGCAACGCACGCGTGCAGGTGGTCGGGGAACGAATCCAGCCATATTTTCCCCCTTCCCTTTTTTTCCCTCCCCCCCTCCAACAAAAAATCCCTTATCGTGCGCTGCGCTGCGCTGCGCTGCCCAACCACAGAGTAAGGTACCTGCCCAGTGTGCCCTTCGCGATACGACGCGTATGCGCCTGCCCGATTTCTTCTCTCACGTGGGCGGGCGACTCGGAGGACTCGACTCGACGTACCGGGGCTGCTGGATCATGTGCCACGGCGGCCTCTATCAGCCATCGCACCGGGCCGCACTCAGCTACAGCTACAGCTACAGCTAACAACATCGCATTCTCAGCCCGGCCTGGGCCTGACGCTCATGGGCGGCCTCACCATCGTTGGGCTGACACTAGGCACATTTACGATTCTGCCCGCGCTCATCCTCTGGCTCACTCTCATCCTCAGGCTCACTCTCCGGCTCTCGTCCGCCCTCTCACTCACACTCCCACCACCCTTCCGCCGCTGTCGCTGCGCCGGCCACTGCGGATGACATCATGGCTGATCAAGGCGACGACAAAAAGGGTTTCTGGGGTGGCCTGCTGCGTCGGGCTAGTGTCGCCAGGAAGCCCTCGACCAAACAGCCTCCGGTGCGTACTCGGCCTTTGTTCTTTGTCATTTGTCCCTTGTTCTTTGTTCTCCTCTCATTTGTCACTTCTCACTTCTTGAGCCGCTGTCTGCTGTCTGCTGTCCGCTGTCCGCTGACCTCCCTCCCCCCAGCCAAGAGAGCACTCTCGCCGTCTCAGCGATGCTGAACCCGGCCCCGTCTCCAACCCCGTGGCCGACTTCGTCCCGGACCTCCAGAGACGTCGCTCCGGACCGGTAGACGGCCCTCTGGCTCCCGCCGGTCGTCGCCGGCCCCGACGGCCCCAGTCGGAGATTGACCCGGACAAGCCATCCGGCTTACCTGCTAGGAAGGCCGGTCCACCCAGCCGCCGCGTCTTCCGTTCCCCCGGGCCCCCGTCGTCATGGCCTCCCAGCGGCGTGTCCAGTCATGAGGAGCTCCCCCCTCAGCATGCCCTCGAGCTCGTCGCCCGCGGTGCTCCCTCTCACAAGGGTCACAAGCGGTCTATCCCCCATGCCGCTGACAGCTACTATGCCCTTTACACCACCTCTACCGGCAATCGTCATGACGGCACCGACGCTGCCAACTTGCACGATGGCATGACTCAGTTCATGACCTTGCGGACACTCAGCTCTGGTCGTGCTGCCCACCCTTGGGAGACTCTGGAGCAGCCCAGCTTTGCCTTCTACTTTGGCCATCTGCCCGGCACCATCACCCTCAACCAATGGGCTTCCATGTCCAGTCTCCTGCCCCCGGCAATCGGACTCCGCGACTCGGGCGTTATGCCCCGGCCCATGGACCTTGAACGCATCTTTGAACGCTTACAGGAGCTACGCTACGGGCTCGAGGATGACGATGAAGCCCTGCTCTACCGCATCCTCTATAAGCGCATCCTACGTGACCCGGATAAGATCCTGAATCCTCATCGCACTCTCGACAAGCAAATAACTGACCTGATCCTCGTCCTATCCCGGCCCGACTGGATCGACTTTACCAACGCGCGCAACCAGGTTGCAACTCGGTTCGTATTCGATGCCACCAAGGCCAACGGTGACCAGTATCGCAAGTTTTACCATCAGCTACTCCTAAGCATCGAGCTTGACCTGCGCATCCAGTCCCACCAACATGGAGACTGGGCCAAAGAGAAGCTTCTTCAGCAGATCCCGCCGACCATTCAGTGGAACCTGGCTCTGGCTCGTCGATGGCGTGAATATGTCCGCGTTGACGACTTTGGCAAGACGCCCGAGGATAGTAAGTCCCGTCCAGTTCCTTGCGTGTGAGGAGACGAGGAGCTCTACGGATGAGTACAATGCATCTCTAACCATGAATACAGTCCTCCTTCGATACAAGCTTAAAAAGCGTCAGATCAAAATGCTCAAGCGCTTCGCCCAGATGATGAAATGGCCCAACCTGGCAGCCACTCTGGAGAATATGAAGCGGAAGGATTCGGAGATGGCTCTGGACGACATCAGTTCCGATGCCTTTTCTTTTTTCAGCGGTGTGATACTTCCAGGGGTAAGTTTAACCACTTCACGAACAGTGGTTCGAGGACTCGGTTGTCAATAAGCGAGATTTCCCATTGAAGAAGGCTAACAATTGACAGCCAACCTTTCCATTCCTCATTATGAACACCCTCTTGGATCTCGATCCCGACACCGCCACCGACGACCTAGCACTCCTCTCTCACAATCACCCCCACTGTGGATTCCAGTATCGGAATAGCTACACCTATTGGTCCTCCACCTGCATTGTAGGCAAGGTGCTGGCACCAACCTGCCACTCGGTGGCCGGGTGGGTGGGTCCGGCACGACCCACGACGGATCTTGGTCGGTCCCAAATCGCCCGGATCCGGAGTCGACGGCCGAAGCAGCGCATGGGACCTGAGGATGTTGAGTCCATGGGAGAGCGATCGGACCCGCTTGGGCCCCCGGCTGAAGTGTACCCCGTAGACGAGTACCAGCTCGTGGCTCCGCGGGGCGTTGATGAAGCCATCGATACAGTACGGATTGAGCTGCTGACCCTCAAGGCGGCAGACCGGCCCGATGACACGACACTAACCGTCGGGGGCCCAAGGTTGTTTGACGCAACTGTGCAGTTTGCCATCGATGGCGTATCGTGGCCACTTAGACTCATGTACGACGTGTCTTTTGTGGCTGCGTGGCCATGCTCTGACGGACCGCACCCACTCTTCTTCGACTACGTTTACACGTCGATCCGCGTTGACTCCATCGTTGGTGTCCGTGACTGGGGGGGTCTCTACGGAGGACCGCCAATACACAGCGTGCGATCTAGCCCTGGGCCTGGCATGATGAGAGGGCCCTACCGAGACCTCTTCAGCCACAGCTTTGGCCATGGACCTAGCAACGGGAATGGGTTTCACAATGGGCATGGAATGTATGATGGTGCACTGGACGAGGAGGGGGATGATGATGACGAGAAGGTACTGGTAGTCGAGGCTTTTGGTGTCCGGGACAATGAGGTTCTGGCGCGAGCATGGTGTTCTCACTGGGGACTCAGCGCTGTGGTGGCCGACATTCGCAAGACATGGTAAGTGGCAATTGATACTGCCGTCATCCGTAAGCGCTAACAAATGGCAATAGCATGTCCTGCGCCATCCGAGAGGCGTATGCGGCGACGCTGACAGTGGTGATCCTGGTAGAAGGACAGGAATATGTCAGTGATGAATAACGAGGTCTATGAAGTTATGGCGATATTTTCGGTTGAATTGTCTCACACTATGCGAAGGATTGGTTACGGCATAAGGCACGCATATTAAAGGTGTACAGGTTATCTCTTGAGGGAGATTGATAATGTAGCTAAGGGGTTTGGATTGATCCCACTGTAACCTCACGCTTACCGTGCTACCTCCATCTGACCCATGTTAATTCGCGGCAATGTGACTGTAGGTTGTTTCCTTTCTCGAAATCACGCAGTTTGATGTTTGCTTCTGTTTGAAGGTGTCGTTGAAGCGACACGTGAATCACCGGTTAATCGAAAACGAGCAAACCGGAAAGAGTCATGTTCAGTCATTGAATGATGAGTATTGCTATTTACACATACAACTGTACTCTTAATCCTACGAACAATTATGCAGAATCCCCCCAGAGAGAGTAATTTAGAAGATATTTTTTCTCAAGACTAATATTTAGTATTTATTTTTTATTTTATTAATTAGGTTTAATTTGACAAGACAACGGATATTTAGGGCTGCTACCTTCAACTACCTTATGCATAAGGCAGATAGGTACCTTAGTTAAGCTGATGCTTTCGTACCTCAGTTAAGCTGATGCTTTGGTACCTAAAGAAGCTTGCACCTGTGTGCGAGTAGCAATCATCTCGTTGCGAATAGCAAACTCTAAATGATTGCAAGGCAAGAGAAACAACAAACTCAAGCTGCCCATTTAATTTGCCAAGAGTGGTTGAAACTATATATATGCCCTACTGCTCCTCCTCCAACTTTCCTCTCTTTCTGTTCATACAACCCTATCAATGTCTCCTTTTATATATAAGGAGAGGGGATATCGTCTGCCAGACGAATGCCCTGTCGACCCAGGTGCAAGCCTCGATCCAATCCACTCTGCGGTGCTAGCCACGGCTCCGTCCCAAGATTCAGCAACACGAAGGACAACGAAAACACACCCAAGAATCAATCTGCGTGCCTGTGGGACGCTGGTCTCTGGACAGCTTGCACAGAATCAAGAGAAGTCATCACCAATCACTTTGATTGCCAGCAATGGAACGCTGCAAAGAAGTCATTTTTCGACCGCGCCAATCCCAATCGCCCAGCGAGGAGGATATCGTCGTTATTAGCTGAGACGATGTTGGCGGCGGTACAGTGCTGAAGAGAGGGTGGCCTGAGGCAAGCCAGTGAGCCTAAACCCTAAACATCAAGAATGAGTATTTAAAACTCCAGAAGATGAAGCACCTCTTCTTCTCCGCTCACTTCCCTTCACCCACACTCTTATTTTCGCCTCCGTCCACCACAACCTGAGGTAACCTCTTTTGAATGCCTTCATCGTGCTCAGGCAATGCTCTTACACATTCAGACATCGGTACATCTTCGTGACACGATTACAACGCTGTTGAAACATGGACACCACTGATGCGGTAAGTACGTCTCTGGAGTCGCACTTGTGCATGCGCTTATTTCTAGACAGCCTCCACCCCGGAAAAGATCAAGTGCTCTCACGAAGGTGTCGGACAAACGGCTAAGGTGAACCCGCAACTGCCTTTCGAGATTCGTGAACAAATATGGAAAGAACTCGCCTTGGCCACTCTCTGGCCACTCTCGTCAACGTGCAGGGTCCAAATACGGATGGTCCCTGCCGCGTGCAGGTTGAAAGCTTAGGATACAACGAAATCCTTCACTCGGATTTGACCACCATCCCGCCGCTTTTCCGAGAATTCCTGTACGCAACTCGCCGCGTGGTCATCTTCGCTATGCCCTCCAGAGAGGCTCTCCGCAACTTCTCCGAGCTCGTTGGAGCCCATTACGGATCCGACCCGTCACTTGTACCAAGACTTCAAGTTGAGATCAAACTATTCTCGACAAAGGACATGGAAAGCGCACTGAGTTTAGGCGCATGGAAGGATATTGATACACCACATGGATATTGCCAAGGGGCATACGAACACGTCGAAGAATGGATGGACGCATCCAAAAGCTGTCGGCGGCACTGCATATCCACATCATCATGCTTCAACCTTGGAGAGACTTTCGCAAGCTCCGTGGCCTTACCAGGCCTTTGAGGGAATTTAACCATCGAGTGGAGGTGAACGTTAGGAAAGAAAGTTGGGACGGGTTCCCAAACACTCAATTTTTAATGAGAATTTTTATTCGCACACAGATACAGTTCCCCTTGACTAAACCACAAGACAAACCAATATACCTAGTAAACATATTGAAATTCTTAGGCCTACTTAAACTCACATTTATTGATAAACTAAACCTAAAAAAATGAACATGATGAAAAAATTAATTAGGGAATAAACATAAAAAACTAGTCTTAGGATGATATAGCAGCAGGAATGAGATGTGCAGTCATATATGCAAGTAGCAATAGGTGTGTGTGCGAATGGCCATACTCTTTTTAATTCATGTGGCCATCGCATCCTTCGCAGGCATCAAGCTGGACCGACCATCGGATTTTACGGGAGTTTCAAGTCAAGAGACTGATCAAACTCGGATGCAGATGGTTTCAGTGGTAAAATAGTTGGAGACGTTGACATATTGTATAAAGAAAGCCCCCAAAATTGTTCCAGCTGGGCGGTGCTTTGATGATTTCTTTTCCCTCTCTTTGCAGGCAGCCATGCAGGCGCAAAGGCATTGATTGTGCATCAACTTTCCAGGTGATTAGATGGTGTGGCACGAAACGATAGCGGGAGCCCACTTAGCCAATCCAGGGTAGGGTCTGATGCCTGAAAGGCGCTGGAGATGAGCGCCTGGGTGGTTCGCCCGCAGGGAGCAGCTGCCTTGGGAATAGGAGCGTCGGTAAGAGTCACACGGCCAACACCAAACGGCGATGTCAACAAGAAAATCGTAAAGACGAGATATAGTATATAATACATTTGGATCATTTAAATCCGCCATGCGTAAATCGCTGCAAGTCGTTGCCCGCCCAAATCTATCCGTAAAAACTAAAGCCAACCCAGCGCCATAATACAGTGGTGCAGTCTGCACTAGCCACACCAGTGGCTTCTAATCCTCGCCATATTCATACACAACACTGGAGAAGGCCAAGCACTTAACCACGGTTACGTGCTTGGTTGAACTGGATTTCCCAGTCTGCCATTTTGCCAGCCTGGTGAAAATATCCTCGTCCAGTATTGGTACCGTTGACATAGAAGCGCTCGGTCGTGTCGGTCGAGCCAGCCCAGGTGCTGAGCGTGCTGCTAGTGCTCGGGCTTTGCCGGTGTCCACCCGTGGAAGAGGTGTTGTGAGTGCTGGCCGTCCTAGATTTACAGTTAATAATGAGATTTTATACCATGAGAGGGCTTGCCTTACTGGTTGCGAGATGGAGAGTTCATTTTTGAAGGATAATTTGGAATGTTGGTTATGAGTTGGCTAGGACAACAAGTGTTGGTAGCGTATTTGGTGATGGTGTGGTTGGTTGTTGGTGGTGGGTGAGTGGGTGAGTGGGTGAGTGGATGGGTTGGTTTGGGTTGGTAGGCTGTTCTCAACGTCGTGGACAAGCAGTTGTTGGTGAGATGGATTGATCTGAATAATTTCAATAAAACACTTCAGGGAGGTATAGCTTTTATAATAACCAAAGTTCCAAAGACCACCTCAACCGTCACAGACGTGAAGTGGAAAAAAAGAACAACGGGGCTTTGCAACAGCCCCATTGAGCAAATGGGCCATTTCGCAGAGGAAACTGGAACTAGGCACGCCGCCTCGCACAAGCTACTTTCGACGGCAACTCCATCGCGACCACCGTCATCAGAGTTTCGCCGTTACGAACACCACTTGGCTGGGGTCTAGGACGTGTGGGCCGAGGAGGGATGGGGCGGGGAGGGTGGTGTCGCATTGGAAATTTCGCCCGTGTGAATATCCCACGTCCAACTGCAAGACAGAGCGCAGTGCGTGCCTGGAAACCAGAGGGGCAATGAACCGCTCTGCGGACTGCGCAGGGGGTTTCTCAGTTGCAAAGCCGAAAAACTCGCGCGCAAAGTGCTGCTCGTGGGAACTACGCAACTGCGCACCGCGGGGGTGAGATTGGAATGGCCATGAGCATGGTAACGAGGGGCAATCATTGGGCCAGCATCGCGTCGCCTCGTAGGGCGGCGCTATGGACTGCATTCGCCACATCACCCACATCAACAGGCTGTGCCGGCCGAGACCCAAGAGCTACGAGTGGCTGACGTGGGAAAGGTGAAGAGTGCAGGTTTCAGGTGATGCTCGGTATTGGTATTGGGGCACAGCAATTGGAAAAGCCGAACGGTGGCCATTCAGGTTCAAAACACTATCGTCGTCGATGTGTAGTAACTGCGGGTTGAGAGAAACTGGGGCTTCACCTCGCCTTGTTCTTGTGTGGCGGAGCTGGGCGTCGGCCTAGCATCGGTCTTTGACATGTAACATCCCAGAAGATACCATTGTCTTTTTCTCTACTCGTGGTGATCCCAATTGATCTCGTTCCCAGTCTTGGACTGCAATCTCGACGAGGGCTGAATTCGCATTGGACAATTGGGAATCTGCATGGATGCCTGGAACAGGCGTCACGCGGAGCCAGGTAATCCTCCGTATGAGATTTCCAAAAACCCCTCACCAGCTGGAAAAAGGGACGATATTCAGAGTCATCCTGAGCAGCTGGAACACGGTGGTTAGCGGTGTCTCAGGCCAAAAGCCGCTGCACGTTCATGACGACCACCGTAAGGCCAGGACTCGCCCAAGGACTCGAAGGACTTGACCAGGGTGGCGTTTTCGGCGTGCCCTGGCTATCGGCTGAGCGGGTGGGGGCTGTACAGCATCCAAACTGGACAAATTCATTTCCCGCGCTTCACTTTCGGAGATTTATCAGCGCAAATATGGGCGATTGTTCCGGCTGCGCCCAGATCGTGGGTTGTATCCATTCGCGATTGAGTCATAACGGTACGAAGTACACCGTCTCAACTACGCAGCGGCGGGCATCGGTGGAACGGTGTTGTGCGCAAGAAACGAGGCAACTCCCACCTGATTGTTTCTCAAACAAAACAAGTGCGTGGCTGTAAGACACAAAGACGGAGTCATCTTGGAACTGAAACGTATTTGTCTCAGGTCGTTGTCTGTCGTCATCGTCAAGTCTCTCGGAGATGTGGTTGAATGGAGAACTGCCTGATCAGCATGTCACGTGGGCCCCAGGCAGCTAACTTGGTGGTTCTTTGTTGTCCGCGGCACATCTGGTGCAGAATCGACAGCAATGAAGCGCTTGCTAAGTGATCCTAATTTTTAATGCCGAAATCATGATTTATTTCATTACTAGATCTCCTCAATTAGATTACGGGAGTCAGATGTGACCAATTGTAAACAAACACTGGCCTTCCTACAGGATAAGGCCTGGGAAAGTTAGTGCTAAAAATTAGGGCCTTTAGGGGCTTGAGGGCGGCTTAGTGCTAAATTCTAGAGGGGTTAGGCACTAAGAGCGCTGAAGATTAGGGGCGCTAAGTGCTAGTGAATTAAGGCCTCGGGGGTAATCCAAATTCACAGTCAGGTTTGTATTGACATGCTCGTACAGCAAATCAATGAAGCCAAGCGCTCTAGAGACTAAGATTCGGCTAAGTGGCTTGTAGGTATGGACATAGCTCTTGACATCAAGGTGACTAGCAGACAGTTTGTTGAGGCTGTCCAATGTGTACGTATACTTCACCAAGAACCGGCCATGGGTATTGTGCAGTTTAACTTATTGGGTATATATTCTAAGATCAATGCCTAAGCCCTTCCCTTCGTCGAGGACCGCCTTGCAGTCAATTCAAGGAGAAGCAGTTTCCCATGCTTGACAAAGTTGTGAGGTGCTATAGCAATGTTTTGGCGCTAAGAAAAAGACAGAAGCCCGATGGCATTTACCAGTGGGGAGCATAGGTGACGAAGCCCATGAGGCAACCGGCAAGGAGACCAGCAACGGGAACGGTGATGAACCAACCCATGTAGATCCAGCCGACCATGCGCCAGTTGATAGAGCGCCAGTCACCGTTGCAGAGACCAACACCGACAATGGCACCAGTGATACACTGAGTAGTGGAGACGGGAAGCTCTGTTAATGGTTAGTATATGCAATCAGGGGAAGTGAAACCCAAGACTTACTTAGGCGGGTAGCGAGAATGATGGTGATGACGGAGCCCAACTCCATACAGAAACCACGAGCGGGAGACATGAGAGTGACACGGTTACCCAGGTTAGCCATGATGTTGTATCCATAAGTCCAGAGACCAATGACGATGGCAATGCCACCAAAAGCGAGAATCCAAATAGGGACCTCAGCCGTGGCGCCGGAAATCTTGCCGGTGTTCCAAATCTGGTATATGGAAGCGTAGGGGCCGATAGCGTTGGCGACATCGTTGGCACCGTGGACGAAAGAGGCGGCGGCGGAGGTCATGATCTGGAGGAAGGTGTAGAGGAACTCGGTGCGGTTGTCAAAGTGCTCAGCACGGGCGTGGATTTCCTCAACATCTCCAGCAACGACAGACTTCTGGCTCTGGGAGCTGACAATGTCCTTGTCAACACCATGAAGGATAGCGAACTTGATAGCCCACCAGATGAACTGCTTGCTGTACCAGGGGCCTGAGGGCTTGGGGCCGATCATGGACTTGTGTGTGGAGGCGGTCTGCACAGGAACCTCCTCGGAGGTGTTGTCACTGACGTTCTTCTCGTGTTGACCCTCAATATCCTCAGTGACAGTGGCAGCACGCTGAGCTTGGCGGGCGTCGAGCTCCTCACGGGTAAGGTGGCCCTCGTAGAAATCGCGGACGATACCCTGGAAGTTGGCAGGGGGAGGGGGGACGGGACCGCGGCGGAGCAGGAGGGGGCCCTGGAGGATGTGGTACCACTTGATCTGCCAGTCCTCCTTGATGACGACACGGTACAACCATGGGACAAGAGTGACAGCCATGAGAAGACCCCAAGCAGCACCGGCAGCGACGATAACACCAGGGATCTGGGCCTCGGTGAGGTTGACCTTGTATGAACCACCCTTCCAGATGAGAAGCATGGTAATGAGAGATCCAGTGACCCAGAAGTAGACGGGGACAAGGAAGAGACCAATCATGGTAGGCTTCTTGCGAAGGAGGACACCATACTTGGTCAAGAGGAAGAGGGCAGCTCCGAAGAAGCCAGACAGCATAGGAGCGATGATCCATGCGAGGAAGACCTAGCGACGGTGTTAGCAGACAGATGCGATGGGCTTGAATGATTTTACTAACCTGGACGACACCCTTCTGGATATCAACAGAGCCATTGTCCTTGTAGCCAACCCAAGTAATACCACCGCTACCAAGGGCACCGAAACCCATACCGAGGACACCGCCAAGAATAGAGTGGGTAGTGGAGACAGGGAAACCGAAGCGAGTAGCGAAAGTAAGATAGACAGAAGAGGCAATGACGGCGCAGACCATACCGAGCATAAGAACCTCGGGCTTATCCTCGAAAGAGTCGATGTCGACAATCTGGGTTCGGATAGTGTCGGCAACCCGCCCACCGACACCGAGGGCACCAGTGAACTCCATGGCGGAGGCACCGATCATGGCTTGGAGGTAGGTGATGGACCGCGACGAGACGGAACTGGCCCAAGAGTTGGCGACATCGTTAGCACCGATGTTCCAAGCATCAAGGAAGGCAAAGATTGTGCCAATGGCAAGGAGGTAGTCGTATTGGGAGAGGACAGCCATTGTATCGACTTGTGTCCGGAGACGATGCCGGACTAAAACAATGCTGTGGAGGAGTCCAAAGAGAGCAGGAATTTGATAGGTACCTATGAGGCAAGAGCGAAGAAGGAAGAGTTTTGAGTGCTGGTTGTTGAGTGACCTGGAGAGTAAGAGGAAGGACAGAAGGGGAGCGAAAATAGGAAGTTATATATCTGGAAGCGAGCACCTCTAGATGAAGAGAAATCTCACAGCCATTGCACTTTGCCCAGAAAAACGATAGCCACACGCCCACCTACACAACTTCAGCTTTGACCATCGATGCATGGCCACTGGTGTTGTGTGTGGAGTCATCCGAGTGCCAAGAGTGGAACTTCTGGATGCTCAGAGTGGGAACACAACTCGTGCCTAGTTCCCTAAAACGGCGTCTCGGTCGGCAAGGGAGCAAGCCAAGGATGAGCCCCGGCCAGCGTCTTGGAAGAATCCAACAGTCGATCCAGGCTGGGAAGCGTCCCTCTCTCTGCTGGCACTTGCTGTTCGCCGCCGACGAGGTGGAGCCTCCTCCATAAAACGAGAAAAAAGAGAGGAGTTTCACGGAGCTGTACCTAAAGAATAAGCTTAATGATTGAGTATGGGTGCAAAGGATTCAAGCTCACGGATGTGGGCTTGTGCATTAACTTTGACGTCGTGTCTCGTCTATTCTTATCCCGACGACAAATGTTTCTCCTCGACCAGGAAACAACTCAGCCGCGTGTAACCTCAATGCGAGCACGCGACACAATTCCCAATGCGTCACCGGCGCTGCAAATATGCGGTGGCTGCAGACCAGGGTTGGCTGCCACTAAAGCCGCGACGGCTTCTGGATCATCGGGTGGCATCGCATCCATCCGCGGTAGAGTTTGACGGGCGACGCTGCATACTCGATCCCAGATCCACCGGCCCGAGCGACTTGTGGCCCGCGTCTTGGTCACATTTCCGGTATTTTCGTCGTCAAAGGTCCCGCAGGTACTCGCAGGTTGCTCGGGGACTCCTTAGTCGGGTATCATATGGTGGTATTCGCCCTCGTGGGAGGTTTGAGCTTTCTGATCGGTCAACTTGGATAGCAAGCCCCCGCTTTGGACGGAGGCCAATCCTTGGGGGAGAGATTTACTTGCATCCGAGTGGATTCCAGGCTGAAGACAGAATGGGGTCCTGAAAGAGAGCCACGACACGCGACTCCTCTCCTCATACGGCGTGGTGTTCCCGGATGGCGAAGATAGGCCAATTAGATCTGCGCCACACGCCCAGCTTCCATCTCGCTCGGTGCCCTAATCAAGGCAAAATCCAACAGCCAGGAGGGTCTTTACAACCCTGACAACCGACGACGTGAGGTAAGGGTGGATGGGTAGAGCGGTGGAATGGTGGAAGATGGAAGAGGGTGGTATCAAACATGCAGGGCATCGATTGTGGGTGAGCGGATGGTCCCGCCAAGACCCCAAGACCGCACTAATTCCTCCACTAAACCCCCATGGCTTCAGAGCCAAAACGCAACTTTATCCCGCGTAGAGCCAGTGGAGGCTTCTAAACGGCTTAGCGGGGAATGAACGTGCTGGGCGCACGAGCCACCATCGGGGATAAGAGCAGGAATGAATGGAGCCTTCCACACACGGTCCAACGTTGATGGATCCTTAAAACATCCCGGTATCTTGGCAACAACACTATTCTTGCAGTATTTGCAACTTCAATTCTCATATTGCTAACGCGTCTCCATAGGACCGAGCGCCATTCGCTGACGCTCTGCATCCCTTACCCACATCTAGTAACCTAAACCGCCAAGTCCTGGACTGCCAAGAAACCTCCCAGATCTCCTCGACCAGCCAGATTGCGTGTCTCACCCACGTTGCCAATCGATCATTCTCTGCTCGTCGCCTCCGTGTATTTTTCCCGCATGTCCTCGCCCACATTTCGATCAAGTTGTCTCCATGTTGCAAACATGCACTCGAATTCTCGGCTGACTTCTCCACATCGACGCGGCCTCCCTCTGCTCACATATCCCGCTGAGCGCGGCTCGGTCGACTCGTCGGTATTCAAACAGGGATAGCGCCCGCCGTGCTGCTCTGTCTATCAGCAGACCCATGCGCCATGACACGCCTCAACCTTGTCTTGACGCCGAGCAAACGTCATGCTTTGTTTTCTTCATATGAATTCGGTATGTCGATCTCCCTGGCCAAGAGACAAGCTGAAACGAGAAGCCGACCAAAATGTCCATTCCCATGCAATAGGAGTCTGCTATGCCTCAAGGTGCTACGCGTATAGCCATGTAGCAATCGCCAAGAAAGTCTTCCATCGTGGATCCATGAAAGGCTTGGGCGAATGACCCTTCTGAAGCCAAGACGGAACTTCCGTGTCCGATACTTGGACTTTGGTCCGCAAGATCGTAAACCAAGCTCCGTCCAATTCCCAAACTGCCTGCCACGGGTGGCTACCACTCTGACAATATCCGTGTCGACTCATTGACTATTTTGGGCCTGATCAATCCACTATCGGTTAGCTGTTCGCGTTGCCTTCCGTGCGGGTCTCGTCAAGCATCTCCATCCGCAAATGCTCCTTTGAGACGATCTCGGTCAGCGTATAGTGCCACGGGCAGCTTTGCCCCAGCTCCATGTCCGCTCCCGAAATGTCTTGCAGCCGTTCCGGTTGGCCTAGCTCGCATGATCCCCATTACTTCCCAAGGCGTGGTTCTTGGATCCGGCCAGGATGGAGTACCCTAGCCCAGTCTTGTTTAACCCCAGTGTGGACTGTTGAAGCTTTGGGTCCACGTGGATCTTCCATTAGCTGATACTTGACACACGACTTTAATTATTAAGACGGTAAAGCAGAATACCATGTTGGTGACTGGACAAACATGTGTTTCTTGTTCGCCCCAGTCATCGGGGACACCACCACCCGTGTTTCCAACTTAAAATTTCTGCCTCAGTCCGCGTTTCAACCCATGATTATGTTACGAGAAACATATCCGGGCCATCGTCAAGATACATTCCACAACGGGAACGTGAAAGGCTGAAGGATTTGTTCAGGGGCCCGTCCTTGTCTTTTTGAGGCCGTTGGACTTGGTCTCCTGCGAGTCAATCACCTCCAACGTCGACAGATCGGCGCATCTAGCCTGACCAAGCAACGGCATTGAGCTTATCACAGCTTTCGAGTTTTATCCATTGACGTCAATGGGCTTCAACGACGCGGTTTGTTCAAGACAATACCAGGACAGTGTACTGAATGACATCAAGAGCAGCACAGCATGCTTGAGCCAGATGAACCGAACCGAACCGAGACGCAAATTCACTTGAATGCATTGTCAGCGAACGAGCACAAATCAGACCGTTGACAGAAAGAGATCTCTCTATATACGTGACTCTCCTCCCACGACACTTGACAGGCACTCCCACAAGTGTCATGGACCCGGTTTGGTTGGCCTTCTTTGTGGCAAAGCAAGGCTCTGCGAAAATGTGGCGGACATGTCCGATATCGTGTCTTGAATTTCGGTCGAATTGTATAACTGAGTCTCGTAGTAAACCCACAGGAGGAATTATTGTTGGTCGTCGTCCAGAAAACTGCTCGTCTCAGTGACAACCGCATCATACTCACCTCCTCACTTGACAACACATGTCCACGTGCCATCTTGGCCAACTTTACGGCAGAGCTAAAGCCCCTGCCCTGTAGATAGAGAGCCAGCCCAAGGAACAACACAAAGCCTTGGCGATTGTGCAAAATCTTAGCGTGCGGCGAAGCCCGAGGCTTTTGTACTCCCCTGGCGGATACGCCGGACACCGAGCCTGTACAAGCGCAGCCCGGGGGCTCTGGTGGAGCATCTTCAGGCAAATTGTTCCCGAACCACTTGCCAGTAATAATAAGCTCCGGGTGAGCGTGGGCGCTTTAGAGAATTCTGGCAAGGTTGCTGTGAAGGGTGAGAAGGAACTCGGTGAGGAAGTTGAGATGAATGAGGATTGCAGTCTGGAGATCACGGAACATCGGCACCGGATCTCGTTATCTCGCTAGGGACAAAGGACAGCTATTGTTTGTGAGATTAGTGGTTTCATTTAGAAATGATAATGGCTACGTGCGTTTAGTCCCGTCGTTGTTAGTAATTGAGTTGAATGGTGGAGTGGTTGTGAAGGTGTGTAGGGTAAATGGATCATCCAGGATCTTTTTATTCCAGCCGATGAAGAGATATAGGGAACTGGAGGACTTCATGTGAAATGACAATGGAGTATAATTACTTTAATAAAATGCACTTGCGAGGTCTGACGTGTAAAGCTGAGAAATAAGTGGTGGCTGCCGTCATCCGAATGGTACACGACGAAGCCGGGCACGACGGGACACCGGGAGGGACATTTCTAATAGTCCACGACGTACTTGATCAAAGATCCTGCGGAGGGGCTGGCCGGAACCTCATTCGCAAGCACTTCGTACTGCAAGAGACTAGTGACCACGTACCCGGGATCTTCGAAGAGCATGCTGCAAAAACTAATTCGGCATAAAATTCTTGACTAAGGACACAAACCAAGAACACTCAAGGCCAAAATATTTCGCCATTCACGTATTCCGAAGTTTCTGAGATGTTTGTCTGAGCCCGAACAAAACTTCGCCCGATAATGCCTGGATCTACCATATTTCCTTGCTCAGCTCCCTCCCCATCCGCATCATCGATTCGGATGTGTCTTGCTTTCGCGGAGTGGATTTCTATCATGCATAGCGCACGTCACACTGTTCCGACAAGCTAGGATTCTACCCGAATAACCCAAATCCTAGATGCATCACCCTGCGTCACCGTCCCAATGCAATGCCTGCCCAGTTACTATCCATCTCAACGAGGATCTCTATCTATGCGCAACCATGAGCCTGAGAAGTCTTGCGACACATATACAATATACCAACGCAGTCCACACTGCCCTCAGCTGGGCTATAATAAGATTGCGAAAATAACGGAGAAGTGGATGGTGGAGTTTTAGTCGGTAGATATAAGTCATATCTACAAGGCTGATTATCCGTATATATCTCCCAACTATTATTAGTTCACCACATATTAGTACTATACTGCGATACAATCTCGAGACTGCAAAAGTGCCTAAGAATAATATTATACCTAAACTTACAGTTTGAAATAATATATTTATTTTATGGAGTAAGATACTTTATTTTAACCTAAATACCACGAACCTAATATTATTACAATCTAAATCTATACTATTTCTTATTTGTTTTTAAAGCTATTTAGAGTAGCATCATATTGTTCTTCTGGTGTACCAAGGAAACTAACTATCTTCCACTTGCAAGCATCTACTGTTATATTAGTCTGAGCAATTTATCGGGTATTACACACAACTGGCCAGACCACTTAAGATGCAGTGGAAAACCCTCAAGTCTATGATTGATGTTTGAGCGCATAAGAATGTACTATTTTCGTACCACATCATCCAATCACCTAGAAAGTTGATGCGCGATCAATGCCAGTGTGACCCCGCTTTTATGTTGCATGGCTGTCTGCAACGGTGCTAGAGTGAGGCTGAGGCGGATTCACAAGCATCGTCAGCATCTGTACAAAACAACGTTGATTCCCAGATTCACCGGCTGGCGCACTTCCCCAGTATCATCGAATTGGTAATCCTGACTTTGTCTCATCGACTTGGCCAGCGCTACGGTACTAGCCATGTCTCCGCGCCCGTCCCAATCGCTCAGCGAGGACATCGTCGTAATCGGCCCAGACGATGTCAGCAACTACAACGACGACAGTATCCTCCCCGAGTCACCAGAAACCACTGCCCGGATTCGAGACTGGTTGAGACCCACGGAATACACACTTGACAGCAGCGAGTATCACAAGCACCTCGCATCGCACCTCGCCGGGACAGGAACATGGCTACCATCTCTCCAGAAATACCAGCAGTGGCATAACAGCCCTGACCACGGTATTCTGTGGATCAAAGGGATACCAGGCTCTGGAAAGTCTGTATTTGCTGCCAGGCTGGCTCAGATGCTTGCTGAAGAAGGTGTCCCTGTTCTCTTCTTCTTCTTCCGCCAGATCATCGACGCAAATCATCAACCCATCAATCTCATTCGTGACTGGCTGGACCAGATTCTCGTCTACAGCCCCCCTTTGCAGGTCATTCTCAAGGAATATGTAGAGACCCACCGCTCTCTCGACAGCGTGTCCATGGAGGATCTTTGGAAGCACCTTCGCACAGCGTTAGCTCAGCTTCCGTTGACCTACTGTGTGGTCGATGCCTTGGATGAAATGGACCAGGGAAATGACGAGTTTATTCGCATGCTAGCGGAACTTGGTCACTGGCGACCATCTCACACCAAAGTCCTCATGACCAGCCGACCAGTTGCCGCTGTGGAAACCCCAATGAGACGCATTGATTCCATTGACATTCGCATGGACGAGTCTCTGGTGGATGTCGATATTGCCACCTACGTCCAACACACTTTGGAGCAGTATTCCCTGAAAGAGAGCGACAAAGAAGCTATTCGAAGGGCAGTCCCAGGGCGAGCCAACGGTCTGTTTCTCTACGCCAAGCTGGCCATGAACTCGTTTCTTGAACCAAATGTCAATGTCACAAGCATTCTTCAGAAACTACCTCTCAACTTGGACGACATGTATTCTGACATCCTGAGGGAACATGCTCGGAGATCTGGAATCCCCGAAACAACTCAATTGCAGATTTTGCAATGGGTTACCCATGCCATCCGACCCCTTCGACTATTGGAGCTGGCGGATTTGATCAAGTCAACGTCAGATAAAAGCGAACTTAGCTTGAAGGACAACAAAACCCTGGTCCGCGCTGCGTGTGGACCATTGCTGGAGATTCTTCCCGATGAGACTATCAGTGTCGTTCACCATTCTCTAACTGAATTCCTGACTGGGGACACCAGGCTACCAAACTCGACGGGGTTTCCAGTTCTGGACTTTGAATCAACCCACGCTCAGCTTGCAGTCGCTTGCTTGCTCTACATGCACTGTGGCTGTCTGAATGAGCTGGACGGCCGATACATGCATGTTGCAAAGAATATGGCGCTTAAATTTCCATTCTCCACATACGCTGTTGAGAACTGGCATGAACATGCCGCAAAGTGTAATTGGTCTGGAATCTCTGGAGATCAATTGTGTCGACAGTTTGACATATTCCTTTCAGACACTCTTGTCCGGATCAACTGGCTGAGCCTATGTTGGAGCGGTGGTAAAGTTGGTACCGGCTACGGCCCCGAATACAATCGGAAACTCTCGAGCCTTCATATCGCGGCATTCTGTGGACTTGATGGCTACCTTTCGAAATTCTTTGATCATCATGGGAGTTCCGACATAGATGTACGGGATTATGATGAAAGGACGCCGTTGTGGTGGGCCGTACAACGACGTTTTACTCGAACAGTCAACGTCCTTCTTCAGGCTGGTGCCGGACCCGATATCGAAGATTTTGAAGGCATGAAGCCTCTGCATCAAGCTGCGGCAAACGGCAGTAGTAATATCACGAGGCTGCTCCTAGAAGCTGGTGTTGATCCGTTGACCCCTCGGACAGGCGATGCGTACCTGAGTGGTAGTAGACAGCGACAGTTCGAGCAGGGCGGATACACACCACTTCAGTACGCCTGTGATAATGGCCACTTTGACGTTTTGGAGGCATTTATACCGCACCTCACGCTGGATGCCAAGCAGCTCGCACTTCACTGGGCTGTGGATGCAGGTCGCGCTCGAATTGTGAGGCGACTGCTTCAAGAGCCTGATGTCAATCCCAACGCAAGGATCGGACGGCCACCCCCGCTCTTTGTTTCCGCCTTGGCGGGAGATGTTGATTGTATGGAGGCTTTGGTCGATGCCGGTGCTGATGCTTCCATCCAGTGCACAGACTCCCTTGGATACCTCCTCGACGTTGGGCCACTCAAGCGTACATCTTCATCGACGGCTCTGGAGGCATTCTGCACTAGGGAGTCACTCTGCATTAATGAACACGGAGATGATGAGTCAGATCCTGCTCAGTTCCAGCGTGGCTTCTCTCTCCTACTTCGGGCTGGGGCGGATGTGAATGCAAAAGCAGGCAACGGCATTGCCCCGCTACACCTTACACGCAGCTTGGAAGTTTTCAAGTTGCTTCTTCAGGCGGGAGCGGATCCCAATGCAGAGACAGAAAGCGGAGAGACGGTACTTCATTGTTTCCCCGAAGGAGAAGATGAGGACGGCTCGTGTCTCAAGCTTCTCATGGAGAGAGGGGCCGATCTAAACAGAAGGGAACATTCCACAGGGAAAACACCCCTGCTAACCGCCATCAAGAAAAACTTCCATCTCGCACTGAATATGCTCGAATACAGGCCAGATTGCACTGCTACAGACTACGATGGGAACGGACCATTGCATCAAGCCTTGATGGCCAACAACAAAGACCAACTACACACCTTGCTCTCAGCTCTCATCTCGAACGGCGCTGACCCAAATTTAAGAAACGGCAACGGCGAGACACCGCTGCATGTCCTAGCTTGTCACCTATCTTCTTTTCACTTTGGCGATTCCGCTGAAGTCAATTCTTATGAAGAACCTCTTCGTCTTCTTATCAGTCACGGTGCCATAATTGATGCCCGCGATTCGCATGGCCGTACCCCTTTGTTCAGAATCATTGGCCGCGCCTCCGGTCAAGACCTCTGCCGACAAATGCAAGTTTTCCATTCAGCATCTGCCAGTTTGGATGTCGTTGATAATTTGGGTCGGACTCTTCTCCACGAGCTCTTTGGATCACTTCTGCAGTCTATCGGAAGCGAGCCGAATCTGGTGGCGTATCGGTATCTTGTTCACCGTGGAGTCTCGCCAATTGCGGTGGACTTTGCAGGAAACACCTTGTACCATGAAATTGCAAGGCTACGTTATTGGGACTCGTTGTCGGATCCGACTGAGATACTCGAAGAGATCGCTCGAGCTGGCGTGGACATGGATCAACCAAATCTTGCCGGACAGACTCCCGTACAGCTCGCATGTCAGCTACGAACTGTAAAGTATGGAGCGGGGTCAACCTCATGCATCAAGTGGCTGCTGGCGAGGTCCAAAGCCATTGATACGGCGGACTCTCGAGGTCTTAGTCCCATCCACTACGCTGCTTCCCTCTCCGAATATTCCGTGGATATTCTGCTGCAGGCGGGGGCAGACCCATTTGTTTCGACAAAAGATGGCATGAATGCACTTCATATCGCGTCAAGGTGTAGAAGAAGTAATATTCTTGGGCGCATTCTCTTTTGGATGAAGGATTTAAACCCATCAAGGGCAATTGAATCGGCCAACCAAAAAGACCTTGCCGAACACACTCCGCTACACTACGCCAGTCGCTCGGGTAGGCCAGAGTCAGTTGCGTTGTTGCTCGAGGCTGGTGCAGAGGTTGAGCCTAGCTTCAACAAATCTCGTCGGATCCGGATGGGAGAACCGTGGTTCCCTCCCATTCTCCAGTGCACTTTCTTCCAGCTAGAGCAAAGTCTGTGGGGTGTTGACCCAGATGAACAGAGTCTAGGCGCCCATGGGCTGACTATCAAGGACAAGAGTCGACCGTTGGACGAGTACAACGATGACGAAATCATCCCATCAGTAATGATATTCCACCGACTACACCACACTGCACGATGTGAGGAAATCATTCGAATGCTTCTCAAGGCTGGGGGAAGCTTGTACACAGACTCCCAATGGGGTGATCCGGTTATTTTTGACGCAATGGCACACGCGGCACGGCATCGAGATGACTATGTCACCGAACTTCTTTGCAGGCTCCACGATGAGATCCAGGGAGCGGAAACCCCAGACCCCTTGTACAATGCCATCTTGATGAGCAAGGCTCGCCGGCAGTCCGACACAAGGATTCTTCGCGAAACGAAGCCGGTGAAAGTTGGAGAAGCCAACTGGGACACAGTTCAGCGGTTTCTCGTTGACCGCCAATACTCTTTGATCCAGGATCTTTACAAGTCAGGGGCCAATTTCACGATGCATGGCGAAGACGACCAACCCATCCTGCAAGGATTTGTTGAATGTGGCCTGACCGACTTGTTGGATGGATGCTGTTCTCCAGAGGATGTTGCAATGTTTGACGACCCGGAGCAGAACACTGAGCGTGGGCTTAGGCCCCTGGTGTTAGTGGCGTGCGAGCGCATGCTCCCAAACATGGATATGCTTCGTTTACTAGTCGAGAAGAAAGGAGCGAGTGTTAATGCCCGTGATAGTGACCACGGGGGTAACACTCCACTCCACGTTCTTGCAGGGGCGACTAATTGGTGGCAAGCAGCCGAGGCAATTCCGTATCTAGTGTCTCAGGGCGCGGATATAGAGGCTCGCAACTTCGCGGGCGAGACACCGCTCCACGTAGTTTGGGGGAATCCGCGGCTCGCTAGGAAGATAATGGTCCGAGATGCAGCAAGGGCATTGCTGGAGCTTGGTGGCGATCCCAATGCCACCGATGACTTTGGAATCAACCTCCTCGCGAAATCTCGAGGTGACGAAGTCCTCACCAAACTCTTGATCAGTTATGGGGCAAGGGTCGGTACCGCAGCCATAGCGAACGCCCTCAGTCCACCGGACCTGGGTGTTTTGAAAGCACTCTTGTCAGCAGAAGGGGTCTCAGCCTTGGTCAAATCCTGGACTTGGGATTTGAGGGTTCCACCAAGATCCAGAAAGAAGCAGGGTCCGGGCTTCTACCGCAGACATCCCCTGCTCTTGGCGGCTTTCCATGGCATTTGCATGTTCGGTGCAAATACCTTGGGAGATCGAACGGTTGCACTACAAGCTATGGAGGCTCTCTTGGAGGCAGGCGCGAGCCCATATGACACATATCTCGAGCCGATGGACGATCGATATCAGCCTCCGATGTTGAGTCATCTGCCCAACACGCCCAATCTTGTTGCCAGTGGCGTGTGGCACAACGGCCGTATCAACCCTCAGCAATCAGAACCGTCAAGCCAACACATGGTCGAAAAAACAATCGCTCACGAGGTGTTGAGCAACAATGGATTCTGTGAACCAATCCTAGATATGCCCGGTCTTCAGTTAGAGCACCGGGACGCTTCTGGGGCGACCCTGTTGCTAGCATCCTGCAGATCAACGTCGTTTTCTGGATTGGTTGAAGCGACCAAGGCTCTCTCGCTACTTCTCGAGCGAGGGGCAGAGCAAGCCGCCGCGGACAACTCTGGAAGAAACGCGCTGCACCACTTATTAGGAAGTGCAGTGGGTTTTGAAGACAAATTGACCTCACTGAAACATCTCGAAAGCGTGATTTTGACCCTCGTCAACCAGCCTGATAACTTTGGATATTACCCTCTGCATTACGGATTATCATCTTTCGGTGTTACCGTATCCGACGCAACCCGTGTTCAGCCTGGGGCTCCTATTTGGATAGATCATCTTCTCTCTCGCAGTGCGGACGTGGCTGTTTTGGATGGCCTGGGGAACAATGCGCTTCACTACCTTGCCTCCGGGCTTGCACAACCCCGAGTAGGCCTGTCGGTTGAGCATGCACAAAGTCTTTTTAAACGCATCGCGGGTTTGGGTGTTGATGTGAATGGGCAGAACCAAGCGGGGCAGACACCTATACACTTCCTCTGCTCCGACAGTGAAGCCAGAATGCGCAGTATGGGCTTCTGGAGATCCGAATTTGAAGAGAGTGAGTTTGACACGTCGATGACAATGCTGGACGATCTAGGGACGGACTGGTATGCACGTGATAGCATGGGGAGGACAGCTTTGCATTTCATGGCGAGCAGCAACGCGTACATCTTCAAGCAGATTGTGGCCCGGGGAGTTGATCCACTCCTCGAGGATATGGAAGGACGGACCAGTTTGGACATGGCGGCGATGCACAACAACACCGAGGTGCTGGCCATGTTTGAGCTGGACACCTCAAATGCGATGCAGGGTAGCGATGATGGGGTCTGCAGGTGAGATATGAAGTGGCATGATATGAGGGGTGGACAGCAAAGAGTCGAGCTTCTGTTTGGTCAATTGCAGGGAGGCGACCGAGTTGGTATAGAGCGAATCTGCATCATCTGAGATTGGCGGGGTGCATCTTCGCGGGCCAGGAGGAGGCCTATGCTTGCCGGCAATCGGAAAGGCGGGATAAGACATTTGCTGATTTTATGTAACGGATGCGAAGAATGAGGCAAAATGGCTGAGAATATGTCATCGTCGGACACAAGTCACATTGATACGGTGGAGGCGATTTTGTACCGGGAAGAGGCCCGAAAAATGCATCCCGTTACCATGGAAGATAACTACCGGAGTGCCAACCAGCCAATCCTTATCGGCAACCCCGAACTGACCAACCAGACACGCACGTTGGGAAGCGATTGGTGAATGGTGGGCCCTTGCCGAGGAAGTAGCCGGCTCGCAGATCAGGACGTTTTTTTTCATCGGGCTGCAAATAAATTCAGGCTAGTTGGTTAATTTACGCCAACGGAGGGATGAAATTCGTCGATTGAGATGTGAATGATGGCGGAGGAAGGGGAATGAAAAGACTTAAGGGATGGAGGAGATGTGGATGGGTATGTACTGGATAGCCATTGTGGGGAGGATAGAGGCGGGAAAGAATGGAAGATGCATATCTGGACCGAACAGCGAGGAAGGGAGCCATCAAGCTGAGGCGAGACTAGTTTCACCGTCTCAAAGCAATCAACGGCAAAGGCACAAGTACGATCAACTGGATACATCCTGGGAGTAATCCAGATGCCGCCATGCACCCAGCCAGTGAGACGCCGCGCAAAAGGAAGAACAAAGAAAGGCGGTATCGATCGCGCTTCGGCGCCCCGGATCTTTCCCCGTTGTGCGTTGCTAGTGCAGTCACTACAGTGTCAAATGGCCGTTGTTACTTGTTATTTGTTCCTGGAGGTGTGTAGGCGCGCTCCCACTCCTCTCAGGTTTGCCCCCTTGGCCCGGTCCGTGCGGCCACCGGCGCCGATTATCCGAGTATTTCCGACTGCCCAGGAGCCATTATTTTTCCCTGCCTCTCCAAACCGCCCGGCCCGAGTAGGAAAAGGACTCACCTCCAGAACCCAAAACACTTTTTTTTTTCTTCCTCAACCACCCCTCCGACAGTCGTCACCACTCTGTCCGAATCGCCTCAATTCGGACTCTCTCCACTCAGTCCTTTCGTCTGATTCTCGTCCCTCACAATGGCTGCCGTTCAGGTTTCCAAGGTCGACGCGGCCCCCGCGCCGCTGTCTGGCGTCGCTCTCTACTCGCGATTCGCCCTCGCCGGTGCCGTCTGCTGCTCCCTCACCCACGGTGGTCTCACCCCCGTCGATGTGTACGTTTCCCCTACTATGGGCCCTTTCTCGCCTTCAATTGTTGTGGTGGCGGCCTGGATACCGCCGGGTCTGAATACCGTCAGGCCTGGATACTCTCCGCCCCGGATACTGTCTGGCCACCGTTGCGCAATCTGGGCCATGCGAAAGGAAGCTCCTTAAACTTGACTGAGCAATGCTAACGCCTCTCTATAGCGTCAAGACCCGTATCCAGCTCGACCCCGCCACCTACAACCGTGGCATGATCTCCGCCTTCCGACAGGTTGTCCAGAACGAGGGTGCTGGTGCTCTCCTCACCGGTGCCGGCCCTACCTTTGCCGGTTACTTCCTCCAGGGCGCTTTCAAGTTCGGTGGATACGAGTTCTTCAAGAAGCAGTGGATTGACCAGCTTGGTCTCGAGACTGCCTCGCAGAACCGAACTGCCATTTACCTGGCCTCTTCCGCCACTGCCGAGTTCTTCGCCGATATTGCCCTCTGCCCCCTTGAGGCTACCCGTATCCGTCTCGTCTCTGAGCCCACCTACGCCAACGGCCTTATCGGTGGCTTCAGCAAGATGCTGAAGAACGAGGGTGTTGGTGCCTTCTACGCCGGTTTCGGACCCATCCTGTTCAAGCAGTAAGTTACTTGCACTTGTCTTCAAGACTTTCCTAACCATGATTACAGGATCCCCTACACCATGGCCAAGTTCGTCGTCTTCGAGAAGGTCTCCGAGGCTCTCTTCCGCCAGTTCCCCAAGAAGGACCTCTCCAACGGCATGCAGACCACTGTCAACCTGGGCTCCGGTCTGATTGCCGGTTTCGCCGCCGCCTTCGTCTCCCAGCCCGCCGACACCATGCTCTCCAAGATCAACAAGACCAAGGGTCTTCCCGGTGAGGGCACCACCACCCGCCTGATCAAGATCGCCAAGGAGCTCGGCATCAAGGGATCTTACACCGGTATCGGTGCTCGTCTCTTCATGGTCGGAACTCTTACTGCCGGTCAGTTCGCCATCTACGGAGATCTGAAAAAAGCCATGGGTGCCACTGGAGGGGTGGAGATCTCTGCTTAAATCTGCTTAATGATTCAGGGAGAAACGGGTTGTGGTGTAAGAGTACCGGATTCAAATAGACGATAGATTGAGGCCAGGGGGTGGCATAAATCTTAAACATTAGACTTGTCACGTGAGACTCGTATACAGCAGTGAAAACCCGACTGTTCGGTCGGGCAATCTAATGACAATTCTATTTACGTACATTGCAATCAACAGCTTTTAGATAGCGTGCATCAATCCTTTGACGTGTTCATTGTCATCTGGCGATGCGGGTGCGGTGTCGCGATCCCCCCCACCAACCCAAATCTTCGTACAAGTGGTCGATTGCAATGAGCCTCAACGGCTGCGAGATACTATGCATCATGAAATAAAAATTAAGACTAATCCTAAAAACCAGTCAGTTAACACTAAAGTTTAGACCCGAAATATACTGAAAAATTTAAGGGCGTTGTCGCAACTACATCTGTCCCGAAGGTTGGGAACAAAATATACCCGACTAGAAACTCGGGGGTGAGCGCTAATATTTTAGGGCTCTGCGCTAAAGCTGAGGGGTGACATGCGCTGAAATTAGGGGCTGAGCGCTAATATTTAGGGGCTGACTAAACTGAGTGCGCGTCGCGGACACGGTTTTGGGATTTCAACCATTGCGACCGTCTGAGTTGTTCACCCCATTTACTTATATCATAAAACCCCCTTATTAATAAGGCAATGGCTTTAGATCTAATTGATTGAGATGATGTTAAGAGAGTCAAAGGAGCGGGGCTGGGTTGCCGTAGACGATGGCCTTTTGGAGAGAAGGAGAAGGTGAGGTTGCTTGGGGGCTACCTGAGGTCCTGTTCAATAATTAGTTCAGTTAGCCCCTAAATATTAGCGATTAACCCCTAAACAGTCATAAAACTGCTTTTTCCTACCCACCTCCTACTACCGTCACTATTACTATTACTGCTAATAGACCTTCTAGCTCTTCAGATATAGACATCTTCGCCGCTTTATTTATATAATTCTTAAACCTTCTGGAACGGCTTTTCGATACTCTAACGGACAAGATTAATAATACTCTTCAAAAAACCTACCTTAAGAAAGAGATGCTTTGGCTTGCTCTTATCACTGCATGTATGGTATTCACAAGACGCACGACAAAACAGTTAGCAGTCCTTGAACAAAAAGTCGAGACATTACAGCGCATACCTGGCCCTATAGGACCCGCTGGAGCAATTGGCCCTGGTGTTGAGGCTCCACGCTGTGCCAGAAGGTTTTCGGTCTCGAGCCTGAGGTTGGACCTGACTTTGCCTCTTCTGGAGAACAACTGGAGTATGTCTGGTCAGAGCACCAGGTTTACACACTGTCAGCTCCAGAAGTCCAATTCTGCGAATACTGCCAGATATGGCTCATCGAGTCATACGAGCGGAGGCGCCATGCAGACCAGTATATTGACGAAGCCATCAAGATTGTATCAGACGTTGGGTATACTGGAGTGTCAACTGGCCGGACGATCCTCCCAGGTTTCTGTCCATTTTACTTCCACGTCGAAGCACTCCCCGTGCACCAACGTATCGTTACGTATAATCGGTTCTGAGTACTGCATCGCATGTATGTTCATCTAAGGTAACAGGAGAACAATTGGATCTTGCCCATGTTTTCCAAATATGTGGATTGAAAGATACGAGCAGGGTAAGAAATAAGAAGCCCGAACCGGCCAAGTCTTTATTTTATTAATAATGTATTTACACAGTGGGCACAGCGACCACTGGAACCTGGACGAGAGTTAACACCAAAAGAGGGAAGACTGCAGGGATAATGCAGAGATAACGTACTGTAGGCAAAGCAAAAACGGCCAGGAGCATAGGCCGAAATCATCGACCGAGCATAGCTGGTATAGGGGATAGGACGGTAACCACCGACCTTCTACATAACTGATTAGCAGGTATACTGCAGAGATACCGCAGAGAACTCACGGAGGCAGAGAAAACTTTCTCCACGTCAGTCAAGAGGGACTCCGGCTTATCGGGAACCTCCAGAATAACAAGGGCCGAAGGGGCAGCGGGCTTGAGCCCCTTCGGACCCTTAGGCGCACCCGCAGCGGCATCGTCAGAAGGACGCTTAGCGGGCGGGGCAGCAGCCTCCTCCTCCTCGTCGTCGGGAGGAGCTGCGGCAGCCGCAGCGGCGTTGGCAAGGGCCTTCTTCTCGGCGGCCTTCTCACGGCGCCTAGCAGCAGCCTGCGCCTTCCTCGCCTCGGGAGACAGGCGGGGAGGTATTGCGGCGAATTCGAGGCGGGATTGAAGCGGATACCAGGTAGGAATCTGGGAGGAAAAAGATAACTTCCTATAAGTCAGCGAGGACTCAGCAACAGCATAGAAACTACAGAGGGGGAAAACAGGAGACTTACAAGGGACGGCTGCGGCGGGGGCGGCGGGGGAATGATAAGGAAGAAAGGAAAAAGAAAGAGAAGGAAGAAACGGAGGGGAAGGGGCTTTTTATAGGGCCGGGGAAAAGCCTCAGGCAGGCCTTGAATCCCTAAGCCCTAAGGGCGCGGGGACAGATACGCGTTCGAAGCCATCGAGAGCCTGAATCGAAAGTGAGGAAAAGGTGAGATTAGAGACCGTTGAGGCAACGCGGGGCCCGCCCCGCGATGCAGCAGGGCTAACCAGCCCCGGGAATTGTGGGGCCGGGATTTCGAGCAAACGTCGGCGCGGGCCCGGCACCCACACACGCGCCGACATATAAGGGTCACATAACCGGAAGAAGAAAAGGCCGGGTTCCGGGATTCCGACGGCGGCCCGGGGGGGCACCGCAAAGGTATCCAGAGGACCGCGCCAGGAAGGGCAGCCGCAGCATTACCGAGGCGACTACGAAGAAGGCGGATTGCAGTACTGGTCGCTGCGAACCTGCGCGTAAACCCCTAACAGCTCCTCTATAACTCAGAGGCAGCTGGGACTGGAAGATGGGTAAATATATATTATATAACCTGGATAAGGCTAGTAATAAGATTACTAGTATAGATTTAATAATAATAATAAGCTTCTTAAAGTAGTAGAGTAAAATTGTAGTAAGGTTTTTATTTTATAGCTAGATAGCTAAAAGATTTTTCCTTTTTAAATTAGTTAAAGGAGTTTTATAGGCCTAGATATAGGTAAAATAGTATATACTAAATAAATAAATAAATAATATATTTATATAATATAAGTAAATAGGGTGAATTTAAACTGATAGCAGACTGTAATAGATAGAATGGGATGTACTTTAGAATAAATAAATACTAAAGAATAGTCTTATTAAATATCCTTTCTGTAATCTTAGGTTCTCTTTAATAATTATCTCAACTCTTTGGGTATGTGTGTACAAATAGTAATATAGAGTCCAAACACATACCTGCTCTTGGTAAAATATCCATCCAGCCAACGTCAATACCAAACTTAACGACAATCTTGTCCACTCACAGACTGTCCTCATCCTCTCGCCAACCTACTTTTATCGCATCTGCCCAACGACCAGCGTCGATCCCACTTTTTGCCTTGTACCACTTCACTGTCCCATCCCCTGTCTCCAATCTCTCGTTGCGCCCGCCCAGTCACCTTGTCAAAATGTCGTCCAATATCCTCCTGGAGCAGAAAGCGCTAGTATCCAAGGGAGGAGACCTATTTCCCAGATGGCGCGGGAGATACACCACCGCGGACATAGAGTCAGACCCTGACCAACGATCGCTCCGAATTATACCATCGGCCTCGAACCATCGTCCCAAATCTCTATCGATTCAGGGATGATACGCCATTGGTCGTCGTCATCATCGGTTCTTCAGTGCAACATGACCCCTTCAAGAAAGGCGACCAACCCCACAGTACCAGTGGCCTTGTCCTTGTCCTTACCCTTGCCCTGGGTAGGGGCAGGTCCTGCCAGGCCGGTGGAAAGCCTGCCCCAGGCTCACCCCGAGTTGCTGGGCCTTGCCTCGAAGGGGGCGGCAACCACGCGCGGGAGGGATGGTTGCCTTGGGGCCGCTGTTGGAGACGGACGAGGACTCAGCAGCAAGCGTCTGGGCTGGAGGGTTGGACTTGGTGTTGGTGTCTAGTTGGGCGCGAGAGACAGAGATAGCACCAGAGCCGGAGGCGAAACGGGATCTCGCAGGGGAGTCGAGAGGTGCTATTGCTGATGTAGGACTCCGACGAACAACTATGTGTTTGTACTAGCCTCACACCTCAGCAACTAGCAGGTTCCATACCAACACTACGCTGTATGGGAATCGTACGGGTCAGGAAATAAATGGATAATGTGTTAATTCTATAATTTTCATGTCATTCTGTAATATGAAATGGTATCTCAGTGCAGACTATTGTACAAAAGAAAGATGGCAGCGAATGCATAATCAGTAAACCTCCCACCGTCAATCATTACTTGGATCCGTTAACCTTGCTCTCCTGGTTCACAGCCTGCACTCCAGCGTTGAGCCGACCAAACTGCCACTCAGGCAGGGCGATGCCAGTCTGCTCGTTGATAGTCGTCATCAGAGGGGGAAGCATCTGATAGACATTGCGCATGGTATCGGCCGCATCGCTGCCCTGACCCTGCTGGTTACCCGTGTTCCAGACGCTGATCTTGGGCTCCATGCCCTTGATGGCCGTAGCATTGGCCTTGGCCAGCTCGACGTAGGTACCCTTCTCGATCATCATGTACTGCAGCAGACCAGCGGGGCCGCCAAAGGCCTGGGACAGCTTGCCGTAGGCATCAGCCATGGCGGAGATACCCTCGGCCTCCTTGAGCTTCTGGACAAGCTCGGCGTCGGCGCGCTTCTGGGCGGCAAAGCTCCAGGCCTCGGCATCGTTGCGCGTCTTGTAAGTGGCGGCATCGGTGTTCTTGGTTGTCTGCTGGAAATGAGCCTCAGCCTGGGCCTCGGCGGAGATCTTGGTCTGATACGCGGCGGCATCGGCCTTGCGCTGGCTGGCCTCCTGGTTGGCGCGAGCGTCGGCCTCGACCGCGTATGCAGCGGCGTCAGCAGCTTGTTGCTTGCTCTCGCGAGCGATGGTGGCTTTGACGACATCGGTAGCACGCAGACGCTCAATCTCGGCTCCAGCACGCTTCAATTCGACTTCCTTCTTGAGATCCTCGTCCTTGGACTCGAGAGTACGCTTGGCGGTGATCTTGGCGATGTCGACATCTCGTGTAAGCGCAGTGCGCTTGGTGTCGAGTTGAGCCTCAGCCGTGGCCCTTTCAATATCTCGCTCCGTCTTTGCCACGGCCGTCTCGGCATTGATCTTGGCAATCTCTCGCTCTTGCTCACCCTTGCGCTGGGACTCTCCGACGTTACCGCGGAGCTGAGCCTCGGCCACATCGATACGGGCCTGGTTGGTGGCACCCTCGTGGGCCTTGCGAGACAACGACTCAAAATAATTCGAGTTGGGCGCGTCCTTGAGTTCCTTGACATTGCTGTTCCAGATCTTCAAGCCAAACTGGTCCAATTCGCCTTGAATGTTGCGGAAGATGCGCTTCTTGAAGACCTCGCGCTCGGTGAAGATTTCCTCCATGGTCATGCTGGAGACGATGACACGCGTTTCACCCTCAATGATACCCTTGACAATGTTTGCCACGTGAATCCGTTGATCTGAGCGCTCATTGTTATCAGAGTTGGCCAGAAGCATGGCATACTTCAGGAGAGCGTCGCCGCGGTCCTCGCGGTGCCCGGCGTTCTCAACATCTTCATCATCTCCGGGATCACGGGTATTGGCGCCGCGTTGGTTAACATCAGGGCCGACGGTAAAAACCACAGGCAAGCTAAACTGGAGCTTTTCCTTGGTCATGGCCTGCAAATCCATGGCATAATCCTGAGGTTGGACGCTGTTGGGGGTTAGTGGAGCACTTAAAATCCGGGGCCGGAGCCGGACCGGATCCGAAAGGTGGGGCTTACCTAAAGCGGGTGCATCGCTGGAGTGGCCATACCCAAGTCGCCTTTGTGATTTTGACGGTCGGGATGCCCATACCAGTAATGGCAAGGTACTCATCGGGGGCAGAGATTCTGTACGTCATGATGGCGGTGGTGAGTGGTAGTCGTGGGAGATTGGAGGCGGTCGATGATCAGTGACCAGATCAGTGACTATCGATGATGGAGTTGAGAGTAGGAAGTCAGGAATTGCTCTTATAACAGAATCGTCGAGCTCAAGAACCAATGACTTGAGATGAAGATGTATCCGGGGTGAAACGGAGGAGGGCAGCGCCTCTTTATGTGCGCCATCAGCCACCACCCGGTTGTACCCAACCAGCACCGGGTCTGCGGCCGTGCTAGGCATTCATTTGCAAGGTATTCATTCCACACCTTGTCAGTCATTCAGCTATTGACAGTCATTGGTCCTCGGGCGTGGTTGGGTCACAGTTGTGCCTCGCCAAGGTCGGGCGGCGGTGGCAGTGTTGGAGCTCAGATGCTAGTTGCGGCACTGTTTGTTCCAGTTCTTCCAGAAGGGTTCCTGAATGGGCGTCATACTCTGGCCTACTCTCGCCCCAGAAGCATGTCCAGATCTCGTGATGCTCCCGCAAGGCTGTGAGCGAACTCGTGACTTGCCACCAACCTTGAGGATCATCAACCTTGATGCTGCAACCAACATGCGATGAGGCAGAGTGTCGGCAATATCCACATGCAGAAGCCGGCGATTAGCGGCCTGACGCCCAGACGCTGTTGAGCGGTATACTGCCTGGGATATTAGCGAGGAGGGAGGTTACAGCCGCTGCTGGTTAGCGGTTCTTCAGCGGAATTAGTGGCTTCTGCTCCTCCACACAGCCCTGTGACGGGCGTCCCCACAGTCGCTACGGCAGGGCTACGGCCAATCGCCCGCCTGCCCACGTCGCAATGCTTCCCTCCAACGGATATTGTCGCAACCACTTGGCTAACTGAGCAATTGCGTGCCGGGATCCGAATGGAGACAGCGTTGCAGTGGATGCATTGTGTGTTTGAGTATGGGGGATCGTCGCTCCGGAATGCAAGGATAACAGCGCCCTGCTACAGTGTGTCGTGTTGGCTGGCGCTCGTCATACTCGGGCTATCCTCTCTGCTTGACCGAACCATCACATCATTGAGCTTCACAGCAATCATAAATCATGAACGACCACGTGCATGGCTGAATTTCCCATCTGCCTACTCAAACAATATTTAGCGGGTTACATCTTTGTCAGTGCCTCGCTGAGAGCCCACGCCAATCCCAGCCAAGCCATTCGGGTGGAAATTGTCCTTTGGTCCAGCCAGCCGCTGCGCCTCATCAGCCTCACACCATCACCCTGCCCGCCAAAGGAACACACAGGCCAAACCCGTACTCACACACGGCTGTGAAATGGTGCGTGGCTTTGGCTTCGGTACCGAATGAGTGTTCGCGACGTGAGTCTACCAAGGATCAAGGGCTAAGTGGACTAGAAAGCAGGGACTAAGCACTAATATTCAGGGTTAAGTGTACTAATTGTATGGTCCTAATCATCATATGGACATTACGGCTCCATTCCGAATTTTGGGGTTTGCCGCCTTATTAGGTACCTGACGTGTGACTGCTGTTTTGGTTTTTGGTAAAGGTGTCCGTGAAGTCAAGCATATGCTTCCGCCAGGCATCGGAGCATGCAAGACGAAGGCCAACGTCGGTTCCAATGTCACCAACGTGTTCATTCGTGACACCGGCATTCGTGAATTTGCGACCGTGTCCCAATATCCCGTATTGACGAGTAAGTTTGCGGTTGCCCCCTCGGATAGGATCCTCCAAATGTGCGATCTCTCGTGTAGCGCGTCTGCGAATAATAAGGGGACGGGGCGCCCTAGAAGCCCATACGCAAAGACCATATAGGAGAAGGAGAAGTTTGATCGGACAACGGACGTTGAATTCTGGCATCAACTCAGCTAGTGACTCATCCACTGTATCAAAACCAAGAATGGAAGCTGTTCCTCTACCGAAAAAGTTACCGTCTTCAATGCCATTGCCTCACTGAATGCCTCATGCTAATCGCGCTAAGCCATTCGGGTGGAATTGCCACATCCCTTGGTTCAGCTGCTGCGCCACCAAAACCCTCACACCATCACCCCACCCAACCTAGAAGGCTGCAGCATTTTACACTTAATCATTGGTCTGCCCTGCCGCCAAGCGCCGACAAAACTACTGACAGACAATCACGAGGCTGATCCGAATGCCTTGGCAGGGCGTGACTCTGCATCTGACATATGGTTCGGTGCTTTCAGCGTCTCAGTCTTCAGTGTCGATCTTAGTAACTCTGCAGGCTCATCCACCATGTCCAAACAAAGCCAAGATGCCCTCGACGAGGACTTGCCGCCACCATATTCTCCCACAAGCCCCTCATCACAGACAATCCCCTCATCACAAGCCATCCCCTCACTTTTCTCCTCCCACCTTAGCACCCTTCCTTCTCGTATCTTGTCAGCTCGAGCCGCCCGGACATCGGAACGCGATGAGCGGGACAGCGAGACGTTGGCCATTCTGGTCCCTCATGTCGAGGAGCTTCTCCAGTCAATCACTGCCATGGATCCTCCTCCGAGGTTAGTGGAGATGACCATGGTCCCGGAAGGCTCAGTGGGAACGGAATGGATATTCAGTGATGAGGATCAGACCCGCAAGGTTGTTCGGGTTCATGAGAATACCAAGACAAAGGGAGACCGCAAAGAGGAGAAATACACGGCGCCGCCCCAACAGAGGGCGTTCGATGACTGGGGAAGATGGGATGAACCGTCTTCCAGTACCTCCCGGGAATCTCTTTGGTGGAGTGACGACGAGATGGCTTCTCGTCTGGCCAAGTATCTACAACCAGATCGGCCGAGGAGAGCTGCACCTCCACCCGCCGCTCCGCCGGTTCAACCCAAGAAAGCGAGTGGTTGGGGCATGTTCAGAAAGGCCGAGTCAACACCTCCACCACCGCCAGCACCTCGGGCACCTCGGGCACCTCGAAACGAGGACGACGAGGCTTTGATGACGGTCAAGGCGGAGGAAGTGACGTTTCGGCGGGAGAATGAATTCGGCATCTGGGAGAGCAAGACGGGATGGGGATTGGTGGTCCGCGTAAGGATCAGACAGTAGTTCCTTATCAACATGCAGTATATACAGATTTATGCCGCGAGAGCTTGGCTCTAAGGAGGAGCAATGATAATATTTCCACGGCGTTTATAAAATGACTCTCAGCTTTGGCTGTTTCCTTGCTGGTTGAATACCACAGATTACCATCGACTCTAAGAGCTTGTTCAAGCAGCCCCTTGACTCCAAACACCTCCCTGAAATAACCAAACCCTATATGAACAAGAGGATGACTTTGGCAAGATGATTTCGATTTTTCTGGGATTTACTTGTACTTGTTTTAATTCTGCCGAGGGGATTATTCAGGCATAGCTATTTGCCTTGTTGTTCATCTACCCCTTTGGTAAGATTATCTAAATCCCATCTCAGTAATATGCCAACTTCCCAGAAGACCATAAACAGTTCAGGTATTTATTTCTATTTATTCCAAGTATTATTAGGTTTGTTCGGTCTATCCATTTCACCGTCTGGATCAGCAGGTGGAGATATGAGTCGGTGAGCGTAGCTATTGGCCAATCGCAAGTGATACCGTTATGGGTCCTCAAGGAAATAACTTGAGTCATCTTAGTTGATTGGCGCTGATAAAAATATCTATCCTGCCGCGTGAAATTTCATCAGAGCTTCACCATCATTCACGCCGCGACTAGCTCAATCCACACCATGACCTTGGAGGCTAGACTCAACCAACGGGATGATTCCCCCGGCGATTCCCCAGATTGTTCCCCAGACGAGTCATCACCACTTCTTCGACAGGCATGTGATGAGCAACAAATCGCCAGCCATACCAGCGTATGGTCGGAAGTATGGCTCATCTTTCAATACTCGGTGCCTCTAATCATCACATATCTCCTCCAATACTCGTCGACTGTCATCACGACCATTGTGGCGGGACACCTCAGTCCCGATGACCTCGGTGCTGCAAGCATTGGCCTCACGACGATGAACATTATCGGCTACGCCATGATTGAAGGTATGGCCACCGCTCTCGACACCTTGTGTGCCCAGGCGTATGGTTCGGGTCGCCTGACCAATGTGGGACTGTACGTTCAGCGTATGCTCGTATTGATGGCCGTCACCATGGTTCCGATTGGGATTTTTTGGATGTGTTCCCCTTGGATCTTGCCCCTCATTGTCAACCAGCCTCAATTGGCTGTCAACGCCGGCGTGTTTCTTCAAGTCAGCCTCATTGGCCTTCCTGGATATGCCTTTTTCGAAGCAGGCAAACGTTTTCTCCAAGCCCAGGGAGATTTCAAAGCTGGCACTGTAGTGCTCCTCATATGCACTCCGCTCAATGTTGTGCTTAGCTGGCTTTTTACCATCAAGTTGGATATGGGTCTCCCTGGCGCGGCGCTGGCTCAAGCTCTGTGTAACGACCTCCGGCCATTGCTTTTGCTTCTTTACATCCTCTTCTTTGCTCCAGAGTCTTTCAAGTGCTGGGGTGGCTGGTCACGAGAAGCCTTTAACTCATGGGGCATCTTGATAAGCCTCTCAGCCGCTGGAACCGCTCTGAATATGGCAGAGTGGGGGGCATTTGAAATTCTCATGGTTAGCACGTCGTATATCGACACGAACCATCTCGCTGCACAGACGATTCTCAGCACCATTTCAATCATCACATGGCACATTCCATTTTCAGTCAGCGTGGCTGTAAGCACACGTTTAGGGACTTTCATCGGCGCAGGACTTCTCCGTCTGGCCCGCCGAGAAGCGGCACTATATTCCGTCGTCTTTCTCGTTGTTGGCATCTTTGATGGACTAGTCATCTTCCTCTTCCGTCATCAACTAACATCTCTCTTCTCGAGTGATCCCGAAGTGGTTGAGATAGCGACAACCGCCATGTTCACTGTGGCTGCGTTCCAGGTTATCGATTCCCTCATCGCCGGGTGCAATGCTATGCTACGGGGGCTCGGCCGACAGTCAGTAGCTGCATGGGTGGTTCTAGCTGTGAATTATCTTGGTGCTGTTCCTTTGGCTATCTGGTTGGAACTTGGAAGCCCACACCTAAAGGTTAAGGGTATCTGGATTGGACTTGGATGCGGCATGGTGCTGATTGCAGTTATTGAATGTTTGTATATGAAATGGATAAACTGGCAGGATTGTGCAGACGAGGCCAAAGAGAGAGAATCTGAGGGGACTGAGTAGGATAGACAACAGTGTATGAGATAAAGCATGGCTACGTAATCGAGCGTATTCGCCACGTACAAGGAGATGCACTGATGACCGATCATCGATCACCTTGAATTTCAATGATGCATCAACAACAACGTAGATCGACGTCAACACTTCACTGTATTCAAATGATCCACGAGCCCAGGAATCTAACATGACGTGAGGCTATTCACTACTTTGACATGATGCCTTTCGAGGGACTGCCGCGCGTCGAGATTCAGCTAAGAGTTGACTTTCGGAAGACGCTCTCGTTGTAGTTAATGCAATACTTAGTACGCTTCAAGGTTTATTTACCATTCCTCCTCGCCTATATTTTCCATACTCAGACTAATAATCGACGGTGAAGCCTAAATCTACGTGACAACGTCCGTCCGGATTGGCGATAGCCAAGACCACTGGCCAAAGCAGCCAGGTATCCTTTCATCGACGCCGTTGTGAGATACCAGATTGGCGGTCAAACTCCACCTTTCTTCAGCTTGGCTTTTAGATCGTCAACGTTCCCGGCACATGGTCAATTGACGGCTACTAATATGTCACTGGGTGGGGAGGCTGAATCGGTAGTGTGGCGCGTTGGAATTCACCCGTCTCAAAACGGTTAACTTGTCTCAAGATGAGGTCAAGACAACCCTGGATTACCGGGTATGGGTTAGGTATGATTTCATCACTGTGGTAATACATTATGGTAATGGTTAGGCAGGGATATAGAAATGTGATATTGCATTTTCGTCATTGTGGCAAGGGAGAGACAACATTGGATCGGAAACATGGCATTCCGACACGAATGGCAGCTGCATGGATGTCTCACCCTTGGCATTCTCACCAATCACCGGGCAGCAACTGAGTCATTCTTGGCTGAACACAGAATGAATTCAACAATCAATAAACCGCATTGAATTCTACCAGTGCCCTTCAGGAATTATCAGCTATACAGACTAGGACCGAACTAACTGTGGCAGGTGGCGATGGTGTATTCACTGGAACGCTGGCTCAATGTAGCTAACCTAAAACAGACCCTGAGCTTCTTCAAGAGCCTGACACGTACACCAAGTTCATCTGGACCACCACCAAACGACGTAGAAACTAAGATAAGGTTATGGGAATTGACGTCTCGTCGCGGAGGTCTCCATCCCGTGATTAGCCACACGACTACTAATGTGACACACCTCGGCTACGGGCTACAATGCGTCTCAACCGCATCCGATACATAAAGTCTGAGATTCTTGTGGATAATGTTCCTGTCTCACAATCATTTAACAATATCTTTATAAGTTCCCTCATACTCTACAAACCCATTGTCTTACAAACCTACTTCTCCATCAAAATGTTGTTTTCCACAGTCTCCGCGAACTTGCTCTTCTTGAGCGTCCCGTCTATTGTCATGGCGGGTCTAATCCCCATGGACAGTAGGGATGTCCAAGCTGATGCTGCCTGTTCCGACTTGGTGGTCATCGTGGGAGGCCCAGAGCTCGTACCCGACTCGAAAAGATCTCTGATAGGCCCCGAACTCCCAGAGCGGAGGGACATATTCCCTAGGGCCATTAATGCAGATCAGAAAGAATCCCTCCGTTTGCACAACGTCGAACGCAAGAAGAAGAAAGTCGGGGCAATGGTTTGGTCCCCCACGCTCGCAGGGTATGCCCTCACCTATGCCAAGAAGCTCGCCAAGAATGGCAAACTGGCGCACTCTGCGTATGAGGACCGAATCAACCAGGGCGAGAATTTAGCATTTTCATCGTAGGTTTTGTGTGAAACGTATAAAACCACATACTTATTTATCTAGATCGTCGGTGCCTATCAAACAACCCGGGGTTGTCGGTACTAAAGGATGGTGAGCAGCTCGGCAATCTCACAATTGATATACTCACCATTTCTAGGATCGCCGAACGACCGAAATATCACAACGAAGTCATTCCAAAGGGAGATTTTTCCGGATACGGCCATTATAGTAAGATATAACTTCAAGTAAGGTGACTATTGCTAACTCTCATCTAGCTCAGGTCATGTGGAATACGAGCACCAGGCTTGGTATCGCAAGTGCCTCCGACGGAAAGGGGGGATACTACACAGTCGCTCGATACTCGAAGCCCGGAAACATCGTTGGTTTGAGGCCTTACTGAGTTATGACTTTGGTCAAAACAACGCGACGCGACGGAAAATTGTATGATTAATGGATGGCTCTCTGTGTGATGGTTCAACACCATTATGGAGAAGAGAATCAATGCTGGCTGGTATTGTGCTTGGCGATGGCTTTACGGATGCTGGCGTATTTATTATTCAGTTGAACTGTGGGAGGTAGTAGACAAAACAAAAAAATTGGTACCATGCATCTTGAAGCCTCAGGTGACGCGTTCTATTGCTCTTCTTATTCTTAGTCACGACCGCTTTGGAGACATTCATCTCGCGAATCGGAGTCATTACATGTACATTCTGCAGTCCAATTCAGAAATCTCATTATGGTCATCGGAATGAGAGGCACACTGTATAAACAGGCAGAGAGCTTCTTCACAGCTTGGCCTTGACCGCGCTGCCTGTGCCAACATCGAGCGACATCCTCAGTGCCTTGATCCTCTCTTCTGTTATCAGCATCGACCTAGGGTAATCATCACTCAATTTCTCCCCAAGGATCATCAGAGCAGCCATCTGACCTGTCTTGAAGGCTTTGACCATTCCAATTCCATGATAGCCACCACACACCCACTGGTGACTCCGACCTGGAAAAGGAAGCCGGCCTACAAAAGGCATGGCGTCCTGGGTAAATCCTAGGATGCCAGACCAGGCGTGTGTAATGTGCGCAGACGAGCCTCGATCGGGTGAGCGAAAGGCTTCGTCGGGGAAGCCACGCAGGTGCGCATGAGGCTGCAAGTCAGTCTCGCTATCATCACCAGTTGCTTTACGGCCTGTGTTGGCTCGCCCAACCACAACATCGCCTGGGGCGCGCTGGATCAGGTAGTCGTAGTCGTGCTCGGAATAGCGCAACCAGAATGAGAATCTCTTGTCAATGCCCATTGGCGATGTTCCTGTTCCGGCCTCCATATCGTTGTCGCTCCCCACAGATCCGTAGCGCACCACATTACCACGGACGGGTGACAGGAATGGCCGCATCTCTGGTAGTAGGTGACCCATCCAGCCGTTGGTAGCATGCACAACATGTGTGGCCTTGATATCCCCGCGGTCGGTATGGACAAGGGCAAAATCACCTTCAGAGTCGTCGATTTTCTGTACTTTCGTGTTTGTTTGAACGTTGAGCTTTCCAGACTCAATCATGCCGCCTAGCAAGCCCGTGACCATTTTGTATGGCCAGACCGAAGCGGCGGGGACAATAATCGCTCCCACACATCGCGGAGACAGCTTCATAATGTTTTGCAAGGTATTGTGGTCCGTATGCACCTTGTATTTGTCGGCCAGATGTGGAATGTGTGCTCGCATATCGCTGAGAGCAGCGACAGCATTGTCGAATGTCTTCTGGTCATAGTAGGCGTCGACACCTTCAGTGGGGAGAAGGTTGCAGTCGAGAGAATTATCGTGGATCGCATCCGTCATCGCATCAAGGTGGCTATGCTCAAAGGCGGTGATTTTGATGGCTTCATCAATACCAAAAGCCCGTTTACGGTCCTCCCAGACGGCAAATGCCATGGTCTTGATGTGCCCGCCATTTCGGCCTGTCGCGCCGGAGCACAGGGACCGCGCATCAATGAGGGCGACTTTGAGATCTGGACGTTTGGATGTAATGGTTTGTGCGATGCTTGTACCGGAAATGCCTGAGCCGATGATGACAATGTCCACAGTTGTCGGCCATGGAGATTGATGGTTGGCGAGTGGGTGCGGGGATGATAGCCAGAATGAGTTTGTAGAGTTCTCAACAGGGACACCGGGATCGACGATTCCCGGCTCATAAACGCCCTCTGGTGAGCCAGACATTGTAATAAGATAAATTGAAGAAAGGAAGTGGTGTAGTCAATAGATTGGGTGCGGACATGAAAGAGGAACATGCTCAATATCTCCAACGTGGAGATCATGGTAAATATATCGTCAAGTAAACCTGTGTCTGCGGGTTGGTCTCATTATTCAAGCCTAATTGGGAAAGTTGTCGAGAGCGTTCACATGAGTGTGGTCTCATTATAGAAGCCTAGTTTGGGCAAGTGGCTGCGTCCAAGATCATCTCCACATCTCCAACATGCACCTAGTCCGTTTATAGGTCTAGATTGCGACACTGGGTCTCTTCGAGTTTCCATTTCCTCTCATGGCGAAAACTCACAGACCACCACATCCCAATTTACACTGAGACCCGTGTCGCTATTGACTGCTCAGTGAGTCGCGAGACAAACATACAATGGGGCTATCGCCCAAACCCTGAAGCCAGTGGACCTAAGCAATTATGCCGCGCAAGCATCGAGCTTACAGGCCCAAGATCAAAGGCTGCTATGAGTGCTCACAGCGTCGCATAAGCTGCGACCGTGCCACTCCGCAGTGCCAGAAATGTGCCTCCAGGGGTATAGAATGCAGTGGCCTCGGCATTCGCCATCGTTTCAATAATGGAATCGCTGCTAGGGGCAAGTGGGCGGGCAAGACAGCCCCTTGTGTTGAGTATGAGGCCGGTCGCATTCAGCATCCAGGACTGACATGTCCAGAAGAGAACAGGTGCCTCGAATTGGTAACTTGAACTCGCAAGATTCAACACCTGGGAAGCTACTGGAGACGGCGAATTTGCCAATAGCCTTCCAACACTACTCATCAGCCGCGGACGTCGTTGAACCCACGAGAAGCGTCCAACTTGAGTCGTGTGAAGACGTCCTGGCAGAGAACATCAACACAGAAGTATACCCAAACTTGGACGACCTCCTAATATATTCCCTTAATGAATGCGACGAATTATCTGTCGCGGTCAACCCGATACATCTTGATACCCACTCGCTCACCTACCCCGCTCATATCATCTCCCAGCCGTCACCAAGTAGTGGTTCTCCACGGGAGAGACTTCTCCTTTTACATTGTTTGTCGCCTCCCGACTCTAAAGATCTTCGCTAATCGCCTCAAGTCTCGGATCATATCGCAAAAGAGATGGTCGCCATAGATGGCCTTCACAATGGCTGGCGCCACCTAGTGCTTCCGATCGCCCATGAGGACACATTGGTCATGAACGCGGTTCTATCCGTCTCTGCATTCCACCTGTCAGTCACAAAGTCCAAGAAGCAGAATATGCAAGCTCTTCTAGCTGGATCTGCGGTCGAATCACTGCTCCAGCCACAACAGGAAACCGATGCCGACCGTCTCTATACTCGCACCATCATGGGTCTGCGGCAGCGACAAGAACTACGAGGCTGCGATCCTTACACTAGGCACTCGGTACTGCTAGCAATACTTGTCCTCCTGACTGCTGCAATGGTGACAGCCTCTGAAGATTTCCCAGTATTATTCAACATGTTGCAAGCTGCGCTTGAGGCGATTGGCGGAGAGGATGGACTGGGCGGTGGCGAGTTGGCCGATTTCATGATACGGCAAATCCGCAAGTAAGTTGCTAATCAGATCGTCTTCCCTCAAGTGAGGGCAAGATTAACCAACACCTGCATCGTAAAATCTTCAGACAGTACTGACGAACCAGGATGCGAGTCTATGCGGCACCACTACTCAGTGAACAGAGTGGTCTCAAGACGCTTTCTTCTCAAGCTCAAATGGCGCAGCTTTTCGATTGTCTCAACTATTGCTCCCAGCAACGACCCGGGCACGCCGCAGCTGTCTCACACATCACGACCTTGATAGGGCAGGCGCACGAAATATACCTTCGACAAGCAATCTGGGACCCGTCGTATGGCCCTCCAATACCGCCAGACAGCTTCTCCGATTCCATCAACCGTGTGGAGCGTTTCAAGGAGACGCTAGAAACGTTCCCCCCTGGGTCACCCGGAGAGCAAGTTCTAATCTGGGCCAGCTTCATGGCAGCGTCCGATTGTGTTCTAGAGGAGCACAAATCATTTTTTGAACATCTATTATTACGCTATTACATGAGAAGTGGCTTCGTAAATGTGTTGAGAGGACTTCAGCATCTCCGGGTGATCTGGACTAGGAGGAGCCTAGGAGACAGATGGACGAGTCTACTACCGCAGGCGAGGATATTTCTGATGTAATTCACGATCTGGACGTCAATTTATTCGTGGAAAGATTTGTATTCGCACAATATACATTAATTTACATACATGACTGCATCTCCAATGCCGAAGTAAGCATTTAGCCTCATGATGTACACCCTTCACCATGGCAGGTGACCGCTTAGCTGAGATACATGCCATCTTGTCTGGGTTTTCGCACATTCCAATGCACATGCCACCACATTATTTCCATCTACCACCAACTTCCCAACTCCTCTCTTTTCCCAGAAGACATGTGGTTTCCGATCACAGAGCTGCCACGTAAAGCAGACGAGGTGTTGACAATGCGGTTGTTTGTCTGGAACCACTTGAACATTTTTCGCATCGCTTCATCCAGGCCACCATCTCCACTAGAAGCGGGCGCTGTACCCCGATCTCCCACGATGAACATATAATCTTGTTGTCGGCTCGTGGCGACATTCAGTCGTTGGCGATGCGAAGTGAACCCAGGCCCGGTTTGGCCGGTGACAACAAGAACCAGAATGATGATCTGGGCTTCGCGACCTTGGAAAGAGTCCACCGTGCTACATTCAATTCCTTTAAGCTTGGGATCTGCTTCCATCATTTCTTCTAGCGCCCGTTTGTTCCGGCTGTACATGGTGATGATGCCGAAACTGCTGGCGTCCAGCGAAAGATCGGTCATCAACTCACGAACCAGGTTGAGGGCACACAGGTTTTGCTCAGGGTTGTATCGCGAACTGCCATCCTGGAAGCAATATGATGGTGATACAGAGACGAACAGAGGATATATCTGTTCCCTCGGAGAAGAGACAGAGAACTTCCCCTTGACCCACTGCTCGATCTGGCCTGCGACGGGGTGGTTTTCGATCGCTGAGGTTGGTCCATAGGAGAAGCGATCGTTTAGGTCAGAATAAAAGATGCTCTGCGACATGTCAAAAAGACCATTGACCATGCGATACTGAATGCTGAGAGGAAAGATGGGCCATCCACTGCGACCGAGATACTCCAGAGTCGACACTTCACCATATTGCGCAAAGCGATTGCGATGTTTGCCGCGATATCGCCTCTCCTTGGCTGCATCCACGGCTGTTAATCTGCTCTGGGAAGCCGTGGGTGGTGCAAGCTCCACGTCCCTGGCTGACATGATGACGGGCGGGAGTTGTCTGTAATCTCCCCCAAGAATGCAAGGCTTCATCGTGTTTCCTCTGACAAGTTCAGCATCGCCCATGCACATTGCTCCAGCCTCGTCGAGAATTACCGCGTCGCAAGCAAGATTTTTGGGTCTGTAGAAGTCGTCTGCCGCCATTATTGGTGTAGTACAGACAAGGTCCGCAGCGGAAAGGATGTCTCGAATGACGTGCACCAGAAGCTTCTTGTCAAATTCGGCGGCGTTGGTTTGCGTTGTGCCTCTCGCGTAGTCGAAAAGACCAGCATATTCCACCTTGTCTTTGTACTTGCTCTGGAGGGTAGTGAAAGCCTCGCTGCAGGTGGTAGAAGGAGCCGGCACGTTCGCATCGACGTACCCAAACAGTTGAAGGGCGTGGAAGGCAAGAGAGTGTGGTAGGTCCCACGCACCACCTTGCCATGGATTGTTGATGCCCCTGTCGAAGTTGGTGGTGTTGCGTCGCTGCAGAATGCTCCAAAAAGCCTTCATCTCAGACTCGTCGGAGTACCCGCGAAGGATGAGTCTTTGCCGTATTTTGCGAGTGTGGAGCTTGTTGAAGTCCTCCACTATTTCACCATGGATCTTGGCGATGCGGTCACAAATATTGCTGGTGGCAACATTGGTTGGTGCTGAGATGTAGATGGATTTTATGTCGGGGTTTTCTAGCAGGATGCAGCCTGAGGTGCCGAGCAACTCCGTCTTGCCTGCACCTGCGAAACCGACGAATGCCAACTGAGCCATGGTGGCAGATTCCAAGTACCCTACAATCTCGTCTCGCACTTCGGGGTTGAGCCGCGAAAGAATCGTTCCTCGAATATCATCCGGGACGGAGAAGATGTTGCGGATGGGGAGAAGGCCAAAGGAATCCTTGCCATCAGGGACCAAAGACTGTGCCCAAGACGGAAGCATGTCCATGGGGGGAGGAGCTGGGATGCTGTTGAGCGCGAACCAAAAGCCTCTTCCTCGCTTGAAGTCTCGGTCAAGAGCCCTGAGAACATTAAAAGTCCAAACTTTGACTCTGGCATGCTCGTCTTCCTGGGTTCCATTCTCTTCAGCCAGGGTGGGATCTGGTTTAAAGTCGAGTGCGTTGAGAGCCTCCACGCGCTTTCTTTCGTTCTTCTCCAGGTTGGAGACCCTCAGCTTCTCGCGTTTGTCCGGTTTGATCAACGAGTTGTGGAACGAGAGCTTGACAGATTCCTACATCTGTGTGTTGCACTCCGCTTGCTTGTAACTGTCAAAGGATGCGGGCGCAAACTTGTCGCTTTGAGATGCCGGTCGGACTCGCAGAACATAAATGTCATTTCGGACGAACCATGGAGGTGCATCTTGGTCGATGACGGCGTTCCAAACGAATTCAGAATTCGGCCTCATGATGTGAACCCCAATCGTCTGGGTAGTGTGGAACATTCGAGGCCAGGTTTCGTTGAATTCGTATTTCTACACACGGTTAGTTGATACACCATGGATGAGGCAGCTGGGGATGCAACAAGTCACTTACCAATCTCTCAGGAATCGCCACATAGCAGTAGAATTCGCTATTGTTGCGCCCGGCATCTTTCTGGTTGAGAGGCACGAAAGCTGCTCTGAACCGCATCTTTCCCAGTGCCTCGGCGTCCGAGATCAACCAAAACGCATCAGCAGCGTAGGGCATGGAAAGGGTTTTGATCATGTTGGTGATGGAGTCCCAGGTATAGACAGGTCGGTATTGCATGCCGAGGTTGATGGGAATCTCTTTTCTGTATCTCTCCATGTCCCAGTGATTCCTGTGTCGGGTTAGAAACCACCGGAGCGGAGAATCCTTCTATACTCACTGAGGGCTGAACGGGTATCCAGCCCATTGAATAGGATTGGTAGCCGCGGGTAGCAAGTCGCGGATACCCACCGCCTCTTTGCAGATCAAGACGAAACGTCGACCACGAAGGAGCTGGGAGAGAGAACAAACTCCCAGGATCGGTGTGTCCTCAGTCATCCAAGAATGGACTTGGGCATCAGTGCTGGCAAATGGCTTTCGAAATCCGTCAACGCGAGGAAGAGGAGCATCCTTGTGGAGGGTGATAGTGATGACACCGAGAGGGACTGGGGTTTGCATGGCCATTTGAGGCAAGAGTTCTTCAGCAGACTCCACCCTCATGGGTTTGATCTTGGCATCGAACTTCCCCAGCGGCATCTTGATGAGGATTTCTTGACGGTCTGCCTTGTCGTTGTTCGACAAGTAACTGTAGCCCGTTCCTTTTGGCCGATCCATAGGAACAGAAAGTGCAATGGCAAAAAACGCATCGTTTTGAGAAGGGGAGTCGGATCTGATCGTGACTCGGATCTTAGTACCGGGAAACAGGTCGTCCCCGAGGAAGACGAGGTCACCTTGGTCAAGGCACAGGGCGACCGGGTGGTCCATTCTCGTGGGCCGCCGAAGGAATGACATTGTCTGTCAAATTGTTAGAAGCGACCAGCAGCACTGGTCCACTGGAAGGAGGGCCGTACCAAAGAGGAGGCGGGAATCAGGGCCACGGAGTCGAACTAGCCGACACGAAGGTCGAAACGGTGTTAGAAATGGTGTGAATCGTGAAGTGAGCAGGACCAGACGATTAGGGGTAAATGGTGATGGGGAAGGTTTGAAGAGGGGGTGTTGGGTGTTGGGGTGGAGGGTGAATCAGGGCAGGCTTGTTGGGGGGCAGCGTCCAACCACATCCTCCATACAGCCGTCAGATGCCGGCGGCTGCCAGCAACGCACTTCTTAGGGTCACTAAGAAGGCGTTTGCAATGAGAGTAGAACCAGAGTGGAGAGGAAGAATACATCATGATAAATCGGTGAGTCCAGTAATAGGGGATGTCGTTTTACTCGAGCAGAAGAAGTAACGAAACGACGAGTTGACCCGGCTCCGACATGAGAGCAACCACGCTTGCTGAAGCTGTAGAACAAGTTATGCACGTGCACATGCAAAGCGTTGAATGTGTCAAACATCCATGCCGGATGTGAATCCTCGGTTCTTCTGTTGCCCGGCATGCTTCGTGTTCGCCATGGTAGCACAAACCGGCGGTGGCAAGTAGAGTGCGACCGAAAGAAAGGGATGAGATTGTTCTAGAACTGCCTGCGCTACAAGCCTGTCTAAGAGGTATTGAAGTGGCCCTCCTGATTGGAGACATGCAATGCAACTCTCCATCTCAATGGGACATTGTTGTGGTAGTATTTAGCTGAGGCGACTTGAGAGAACCACTTAGCGTACAAGCGGTCTCCAGCTGGCAGCAGCTATTATTTTAAGAATAGACGGATCCGAATTTTGACTGACCTTGAGCTACGGGGGTCTCAAATGGTGGCTGTTGGATTTGTCGAGTCTTGGGGTCCCGAATGTCACGTTTGAAGTTGAGGACATCCCTTGTGGTATTGCGTCAGGCAACTTATAACCATGGTCAATAATGTACAATAATGGATGCTCGGTATGCCGTATGACAAGGTTCAAAGAAATTCCCATCTGGTTTATTTGCCCAACCATCACTCCCAGAACGCACCAAATAATTACTTCACGGCTAATAATGCCTCTACCTTCCAACAGACACACCATGACTTCGTCGTGTCCGCTTTCAACAACATGCCACAAGACTGCAGCGCCAACCAAATAAAGCCACACTATCCAATACCATGATGAACTGGTACGGAATAGCTCATGCCGTTGATGCATTCTGGCAAGGGTAGGAGCGTTATTGGAACATTCGATTGACATTTCTGCGGCGTTGACCTAGCCAGAGTTCATCATATGTCCGAACACACACACAGCTGTGCAAAGAAATATGCTTTTGAGAAAAATAATTCCGACGGCTTTCAAGTTCACACTTGCTTCATCTGATCTCGCGCCAGAACCCGAAGGTGGTAGGCTTATTTATTCGACTTTTCATCTTTAGGTAGCATTCATTTAAGATGTACCCTAAAAGATTATCATTATGTTCAGATATACCCATAAAACTCTGCTCCTCAGTGGCTTTTCAGTAGACGTCTACTTGGTTGCCGACAGTGGTCTGATAAACGGCTCTCATTTGCGTTGTCTCAACAAGGCCATCAAGCCTTCTCATCGTGGCTCGACCGCACTCCCTCCTCGCTCTCGTTCTGCGAATATTGGCGAAGAGTGATGTCTTGGACGAGCCCATCATTTTCAAGAAAGATCCCGTCACTCCCAGGGCCCGTTTCGTTTCCGACATCCCTTCCGCGACAAAGACCAACCTCCTTCCTCCCGTTCTACCCCGGGCATGGCCTGCATCACCGAATCGCACACAATATTGCTCGAGTCACACGCAACGCAAGGTGCACGAAAAGAACACATATTACAGATATCAATTGAAGCCGATGGACAGACTCCGGGGCAATCGTCGCTTAGGTCGGTTCTTGAATCAACTCGGGCACTGCTCCGACAATTAGACGATGTGGCCCGGCGCATGCATGCAACCGTTCGTCTGTGAATCACAGTTGGTGTCTGTGGCCGTGTCACTTCGGAATACTCGCCCACGAGACTTCGTTTCGACTTTCAATCTTTGCTTCCGCGTTTGCCCTTGGAACGCAACTCGTTGCGGCTTGGCAAGCCGGCGCTGTAGGGTTGAGTCATTCGCCGGTTGAGCCGCCCACCCCGCCTACATATTCAAGCTCCTCATTCATCTCATCTCTCTCCTCCAACGCAACTCTCCAAAATGGCTTCCTACAATGTTCTCGTGACTGGCTCGTCCGGCCACCTCGGTACTGCTCTCATGCTTGCGCTGCCGGCGTTGGGCTTCACACCTCTTGGCATCGACATCTTAGCTTCCGATAACACTCACCACATCGGGTCGATCTCGGATCGGGAATTTGTGGCCTCGATCCTGGAAAAGAACCCCATTCGACACGTCCTTCACGCTGCGACTCTCCACAAACCTCATGTTGAAAGCCACTCCAAGCAGGACTTTATCGACACCAACATCTCGGGGACCTTGGTTCTGCTGGAGGAGGCTGCCAAGAAGCAAGTCGACAGCTTCGTTTTCTTCAGCACAACAAGCAGCTTTGGCGCCGCACTGAGCCCCAAACCAGGATCGCCTGCCGCTTGGATCGAAGAGTCAGTCGTTCCCATCCCTAAAAACATCTATGGCGCCACCAAGGTTGCCGCCGAGGACATGTGCTTTCTTGTGCACAAGCAGACCAACATGCCGGTCTTGGTCCTCCGCACGAGCCGCTTCTTCCCTGAGCAGGACGACGACGAAGACCGGAGAACTGCCCTCGCGGATGACAACTTGAAGGTTCTCGAGCTAGCCTACCGCAGATGCGACATTGAGGATATGGTCCGCGCGTCCGTCTGCGCCATGGCCAAGGCCAAGGACATTGGATGGGGCAAGTACGTTATCAGCGCACCGCCTCCCTTTGCCAACGACCCCGAGACACTGCGCAAGCTCGACAGCAACCCGAAGGAAGTCTTTGAGGCCGTCGTTCCCGCTTGCGAAAAGGTTTTCCGCGACCTCAACTGGGGATACCTGGCCAGAATCGACCGGGTCTACGACTCCAGCAAGGCTGTTCGAGATCTTGAATGGAAGCCAGAGTACACATTCGAAAAGGCTGTCGGTTTGATCGAACAGGGGAAGCCATGGAAGAGCGAGTTGACTGGAAAGGTCGGCAAGAGAGGATATCACGCAGTCAGCACGGGGGTGTATACTGTGCGGTGATTAGCAGTAGTCACCGTAAAGACGCACGACGCACAATTCAGGAGACAGATTATCTTAAATATAGAGGATTCTTGTAGAACTCACCCAGTCAATTGTTCGTGCATCAAGATCGCATGTCTAAGTGACGCCGTGATCTCATCCAACAAGATTCACGGAGTCAAGAATTAATGTATCAACAAATACTAGGAATAAGTCTTTTCATAAATATTAAGAATTATCTTTATTAGCATAGCATTCCCAAACAACTATCCTAGTCAAATTGTTAATGCTATCTTAAATCAGGGAATGTATTTATATGCCCAATAACAATGCCTAGGCGCAAATGGAACTACTCTTGTGATTAATAGCTCAAGTGGTGAGATTCACCGATCAGAGGCCAGTCAATCTCAGTGGCAAGTCCGAGTAACAGATTCACCAGCATCCCACCCGTGCTCAGGTATATAATTCGCCATTCAAGACCTTTCCAACTTGAAGCAGCAAACCATCCCGCAGTACATCTACCGCCTATCGCCACACAATATCTTTACCAGACTTCAGTCAAAGGACACCAAGGTATGGCTTTAAGAGAATGGATACTGATATGACACTGACTATTTTAGACTAGTACCATGGAACGTCGTCAACCAAACCCTTTTACAGAGCGTCTTGCGTATACGCATCTGATCCACGCCGAGAAAGACGGGCGACCAAAAGCAGAGCTGGAAGCAAAAGAAGCAGAATTCAACAAAGCGTTCAGTGACTGGATAGCCTCAGAACTGTCGCCGAACGCTCTTCTTGTAGAGGCTCCCGAGAATTTCCGTCGTGCTTTTGTGGACTATTTTGACAGCAGGAGTCAAGGGCGGGAAGACGAGGTAGAAAAGAGGCATAAGCTTCTTGCTTTATTTGGTGATTGGTACATCGATATAGCCACGCAACGGCAGGGGTAACTTGGTGAATACGCCTTCATATATTACTCAAAAAAATCCTGCCTGTCTTGCTCACGAAGAACGTCGTGCACTGTCTGTAGTACCCGACCATGGATGTCGGCTGGCGCAGCGATGAACCCAAAGTTGGCGCTCATCGTTCTTCCAGCCGACAAATCAATCACGTTACCACGTACGTCTGTAATCTTGCCGCCGGACTCTTCGAATAACAACATGGCTCCCGCATGATCCCAAGCCTTTCCATATCGGTCCTTGCGCTTGTACACCCAGACCGTCGTATTGCCGAGGCCCATTGCCAGCACTGCCCACCGAAGAACCCAGGGCACAAGATCGCATCCGGGATACGTAGCGTTGAGTCGGTCGGCAACCACCTCGTGGACGCCATCAAGGGCCGAGTCGACAATGTTGGCGCAGGTGACGAAGCGAACGTCTTGCCCCTCGGCGTGGCGAGCCAACTTTTTCGGTTGGATGTCCGCGATGCTTCCACTCAATGGTCGGACATAGGCACCATGGTCCTTGACAGCAAAGACGATGCAGCCTTGGCCGGTAGGATCGATGTTTTCGTTTCGCAGCGGTGCCTTTGCGTCCATGGACATGTTGGGGCACGCCACGATGCCAGCCACCTGCTTTCCATCGAGCAAAAGTGCCATGTTGATCGCATACAGTTCGCCTCTGACGTATGTCTTGGTGCCGTCGATGGGGTCGAAAACCCAGGTCCGTCCAGATCCTTGGCCTCCTGGAACAACAGAGCCACACTCATCAATCAGATCGCACATTTGATCCCGAGTCGCGGGCAATTTGTACTGGGTCCCGGCGTTCCGGTTCAAAAGTTCCCATACTCGCTCCATCAGCACTGGACTCTTCCTCAAGTCGGACGCATCCTCCTCGCCAACGACACGGTCTCCTGGGAATGCATTCTTGATGGTTGCGGTAAGTAGGGCCTGGACTGCGAAGTCGGCCACCGTCACCGGGCTCAAATCCTCCTTCTCGATGACGCCTTTGTCTTTTGCCGATACGATGGACTGGCTTAGCTGTGCCGCTCCTTGCAGAGCGCCAAAGGCGACTGTCAATTCTCGTGAATACGGACTGTCCATCTTGAGGTGCGTGAGGGGAAACATGCGACCCGCCGAGACGGTGGAGGCGTTAGTTCATCATAGTACAAGGCCTGATGTAATATTTACGAATCTTATTTTCCAATTTATCGTCTATTATTGTCATTCCCCTCGTCTAATCTTCCATTGGACGTTACTCTATTTATTTATTGAACTGGCGATGTGCCGCATGCCTCTAGTGCAGTCAATTAAGTTCCACACTGATTGGATACGCACTGGGCAACTTGACTCTGTCAACATCACACATGCCTGATTCGGTACTCGACCCTACCGCCGTGACGCTCCTAGGCGATCCGTTTGAATTCGTTCCCGTCATTCGAGATATCTTAAGGACTCGATTCTGCGTGGCTGGGTCTGTTTTTCTCGTCGAAGGCCTCGATTGCGTCGCGGTGTCACGCTCTGGAAGATGGCAGGCGGTGCGGTTGTTACTGGGTGATGGAGTGTTGTGCATCCAAGCCCTTCTCCCGGGAAACATGCACCGATTTGTTGAAATGGGTGACCTTTTCGTGGGGTCCTACATACGATGCGACAGCCTGTACGCCAAGTGGGAGGAGTCCGATGGTGGCGTCATGGTGTATCTGGTCATTGAGGACATCGTCCCCGTCGGTTGGAACGATTCGTACCGTTCTATCCAACGGCCGACCGTTCACCCAGTGATTCAGCCATTCCCCGGGTTTTTCGATGCAACCCAGGGCTCGGACGCAGCCGAAGAAGCTTTTGAAGAGTTCGAAACGTTGGCATATCCGAAAAAGACAAAACCAAACATCCCAAAAGCTCAACCTATCGCTCTCGCCCGCGACTGGCACGACCCCCAGACGCCTCTAAAACTCACCACGCTACGATCAATCCCTCATCTGCCCTACGCCCAGAACTGGTCTTGCAATATTCTCGCTATTGTGGCGTCGCTATCTCCGGTGGAGGCGTCCAACCTCCCCCCGCATCGACAACGCACGGCACGACTCACCGACCCGTCAACGTCCAAGCAGGTGCATCTGACCGTCTTTCTCGATCCCGAAGGGTTCTCGCCCGAAGTTGGAAGCGCCGTATTGCTTGTGGGCGTAAAAAATCATCGCTTCGACGGTGGGAGTCTGAAAAAGTACGCAAGCGACCGTGGGCCATGGTGGTTTCAAAACCCGACAGAGCTGGGTTGGTGTGATGTCGCCGGCATCAAGACATGGTGGACAGATATGGCAGGGACGGCACCAAATAATTAATTGCTTGTCTGGTGTGAACTCGAGTATTTGTTGCATGCGGGTCACATGATTGGCTACTTCTTGTGTGCTGCACATACCAATCTGAACTCTTTCATCCTCCAACCTACACCTAAGCCATGGGACACCTCGACCCATCCGGAATCCCGCCGGCGAGGAAAGCCGAGCTGGATCGATTTGTTTCTGGCCTTTCGCCCTGGGAAATTCTGCACCTCCGAAACTTGGTACAAGGCAGGCAAATCCAACTTGCCGGTTTGGAAGACGTACCCCCAGAAATCGTCTGCTACCTGATCGCTCACCTGGACTTGGAGGACATCATCGCCTGTCGGTCGGTGTCCAAAGGATGGGCAAGGGCTTGGTCGCATGATGCGGTTCTTACGTCACTCTGCAGGCGCTTCGCACCCGGCGTCTGTGAAACGTTTCCAAGTGCAACATCACGGCAATTATTTGTCGAAGCGATGAGGAGAAAGAAAAAGCGCCAGATGGCCCGCTTCTTCGACAAGAAGATGATTCTATGGGATTCTGCTTGGGACACTGACGTGTTCAAGAATGTAGTTCGACCTCACTCAATCAACCGCCGAGGTCCTGAATTCGTGAGAGGCAACTTCACTCTGTGTTACGCTGATAGCAAGATGACGTGGCAACATGGCCGAGACATCATCATAGTTGACGACCTTTTCGAAAAGACGCGGTTTCGTTTTGCTTGGAGGAATCCGAAGAATCCATTGGCAACACGTCAATCCATACTGCTAGCAGCCAGCAACAAGCTCATCGTCTTCCAAGATCCAGTCTCACAAGATCATCGCCACGTAATGTGAGTGTAACATACGTGGATGTTTCCTAGCTAATCAGTCAGATATATCACGCACATGGAGAAGCAGGGAGAAGTCAAAGCCCTTTACCTACCCGGGGTCGCGAATCATTGCTATGTCGAAGGCGAATTCCTAGGTGTTGTGACTGCCGCTGGCGTGATCATTGTTTGGACCTGGGAGGGCAAAGCAACCGAGCTGGATCTTGGTGGTGTAGAAACTCCAACCAGCCTGCAGAGTTGGTCTTTACCAGTCCTTCTCCCTCACCCGACCCAGCACAACATCGTGTTTGCCGTTTGGCCGTACGAGCATAACCAACCAGGTGAGTTTCTCTCCATAGATCGAACAAGGCTGATTCTGTAGACAAACGACTTTTTACATTTGTGGTTGCCAAGTTTGAGGACGCGCGCCTAGTCTGGCAATCCAGTACTTCCATCGCAAACCCCCTCACGAATCCGGACGATGCCTGTGGGAAGAATACTAGCTGGATCCGGATGGAATTCAATCCTCAAAAGGCGGATAATTTTGGATCCTATTCGTTGGGCATCTACCGCCTCCAAGGGAAGTTCCATGGAGTTGCCGAGTTCTGCACCTGTCACGCAGATCCGTGGAGACCTGGAGACTGGGGGGCCATCGCCTTCAACGTCCTGAGTCAGACGTTTTCTCGACACTACTACGAATGTCCCAGGAAAAAGATTGTCTGGGACACAGAAAACCAATACGGAAGCCGCGCTCGCCCGACGGTCGAGTCATTCTTGGAGAATGCACACCTATGGAACCAGGACCTTCTACTGACGTGGCGCAGTGACTATGAAATGGGTATGCAGATCCTCCATCCAGTAGGGAGCGTCCTGTCAAGAAGACACCAGCATCCACTATTCCAGTCGATGCAGACCGCCAGCCCAGCAGGATCCGAGGTGGCAGACATTACATACGACGAATATCCGGCGCGACAGTTGTTCCAAAGCGACGGTTGGGTTTTCGTGCCGACATCCACGGGGTTATGGGCCTGCGAACTCTCCGAGATCCCGGTTGCCCACACAGAAACACCGAGGCCGAGGTCGGATCGAGTAGCGCCTCGCCCCTCACGGGATGGTGACTCCCAACGTCTAGTACGGTTGACACATGGCATGGGAGGCACGTGATGGTCCGCTTCGGCTTAGCGCGACTGCCGTCATGACGTGGGTCCATGGCGCTCAAGTGACTGCATGAGGTGCAGTAGGGGCCGTTATCCTGCGGCGAGAGTCATTCTCCCATCTTCAACAGCCTCCGCAACACGATGCCGACGTCTGCCAACGAGCGCGAGCCTCTTGCTCGGCGCGACCCTGATCAGACGTCCATATTCAGCTCCAGCTATGCGTCGTCAGTTTCCGAAACCGACGGCCGGCGATGGCGGAAGACGAAACGCACTGTCCGACTCATCTCCTTCATCACGGCTAACCTTGGCGCCCTCGGTGGCGGCTCGATTGTCGTCTTTTCGCTGTACGCGCCTCTCTTCCAGTCACGCCTCCATTACACGCAGTTCCAAGTAAACGCCGTCGCAATCGCCGGTTCTATCGCCCTCTACCTCCCGATCTCGATCCTCGGCTACATTTGCGACCGAGTTGGAATAAGACCCTTGGCTCTGTTGTCGGCTGTGTTCTTTGGTAGTGGCTATGGCCTGGCAGCGTGGGTCTATCGCAAATTGGATCTCCAATATCATGGCGACGTTCTTGATGCCGACGGAGCCTGGTCGCTTCCATTGATGATGATTGCTTTCGTCTGCATCGGCGTCGCTAGCTGCTCCATCTACATGGCGGCCGTATCATCATGCGCAAAGAACTTTGGCAAGGGGAAATACAGAGGCCTTGCGCTTGCCATGCCCATTACATGCTTTGGGTTAAGTCCCATGTGGCTGAGCCAGGTCGGCAATAGTCCATTGTTCACAGAGAGGCGTGATGACGGCTCAATCGGCGACTTGGACGTCTTTCGCTTCTTTGTGTTTCTCGGAGTCTTGAATTGTTCTCTGGGAATCATTGGCACAATGACTTTGAGGATCGTGGATGAGCAGGATCTCATCGACGAAGCCATCGAAGAGCTAGAGCACAGCGGCCTCCTGGACGGCAGCTCTCTGCTTGGCCGGTCTGTAAGCTACGGGACTGTTGAACAAAGCGCCGAAGATGCGGCCCTGTTGGAACCTTCAAAGGATGAAGACGCCAAATGGAAGAAGAATTGGGTTCTCAATGCCGAGACAAGGCAGTTCCTCACCGATCGGACCATGTGGCCGTTTGCACTGGCCTTTCTCTTCATGGTCGGTCCCGGTGAGGCCTTTATCAACAATCTCGGCACCGTCATTGGCACTCTCTCACCGCCGACGTCTGAGGGTTTCGGGCATCGCACCTCGGCTGCTACGCACGTGTCAATCTTTGGCGTCACTAGCACACTTTCCCGGATCCTCATCGGCACTCTGACCGATCTGTTAGCCCCTTCCCCGCAGACGCAGCATGTACAGGTTACGCCTCATCGAGATGCAACTCCTAGGCGGTTTTCCATTTCCCGAGTTGCTTTTCTGCTCTCCTTTGCCTTGATGCTGTCTCTGGGATTGGTGATTTTGGCCTCCGGAGTCGTCCAGAACCACCCAGAGCGCTTCTGGATGGTGTCCGGATTGGTTGGAGCAGGCTACGGTGCCATCTTTAGCCTGACGCCTTTGATCGTCACCATCATCTGGGGAGTGGAGAACTTTTCCACCAACTTTGGCATCATTGCCATGTTGCCTGCTCTGGGCTCAACGTTTTGGGGACTCATCTATTCCGCCGTTTACCAAGCGGGTGCCAATCAGTCAAGTTCAGGGGAGGACAGGGATCTCTTTTGCCACGGAAAACGCTGCTATTCGTCGACATTCTGGGCAGAGAGTGTCACTGTATGGGCTGGTTGCGTCTTGTTGCTGTGGGCTTGGAAGGGACCAGGAGGGTGGAAGCAACGAGGAATCGTTATTTAGTTGTTCAATTGCATGGCGGGACTGGCATTGAAGGAGTCTTGTTTGTGGGAGTTAGTCTTTTGCTAGTTTAGTTTGCATTGATAGCCTCGTTCTGCATTGCCGATACAGATTGGCTGATCTTGTGGGATAGTTGTATAGCAGGAATTATTAGAATACGCATATTGAACAGACCATCGAGCGCTCGAACCACGCAACCAAGGCCAACCAACTCGACCAAGACTATCAACACCCCGGCTCTGATCGGCCCTGTTAGTTTCCCGCGGAAAACTGATGGCGATAATCGGCTCTTCTTCAGCACCCGTCCAGATCGGCGTCTCCGCTTCGGCACCAATTCAAGCGCCGTAGCCCAAACCCTCCCTGCACGCGCGGAAACGATCCACTTCCCATCCATGAATCATACGAAGAAGACGCGGGGCAGATAGGCGCCGTCGGCATGTCATGACCGGGCTCACAATGACTCCACCGTCGATCCATGAGCCAAGCATTGCCCGCGGACAAGGAACCTCTTATCTATTGACGATTCGCGATGACCGGGACTGACCAGCAGCTTGATCAGTGCGTCCATCATGGCTGAAAAAAGCAAAGGCGTGTCGTTGTCATGGCTCGCCGCCATTCCAATTGTTCTGGGTGCCATCTTTGCAGGCTATCCCAACTTGCAGGGCTCCAAGTCTAATGTCTTGCCCTCTGTTACGATCCGTCAGGGAACCATTGTTGGTCGCATGATCGATGATGACTTTCCACAGCCTCTCGAGGGCTTCATGGGCATCCCATATGCCATTCCTCCTGTTGGCGAGCGCCGTTTTCTTCCCGCCGAGCCTGTTCCTTCAAGCAATGACACCATTCGAGCCTTTTACCTAGGCCCCAGGTATGCATCTGGCCACAACGCACGACCCAGCTAATTGTTCAGATGCCCTGGAGTTCAGCTCGTCCCGTTCCTCGAAGACCCCATTCTCGGCCCCGACTACGAATCTGAGGATTGCCTCACCATCAACATATGGCGCCGCCCCGGCCAATCTCCTGCCAAGGGCAAGCTCCCGGTCGCTGTTCTCATCCCCGGTGGCGCCTTTAATCGTGGCGCCGCGCGCATGCACAACACACACTCGATGCTTGCCTTCTCCGAGGAACCCTTTATCGCCGTCAGCATGCAATACCGAATTGGCGTCTTTGGGGGCCTAAATACCCAATTGACGGCCAAGGAGGACCTTCTGAACCTCGGTCTCAAGGACATGTATGTTGCGCTGGAATGGGTCCAGGAGAACATTGAGGCGTTTGGCGGCAACCCAGACGATGTGACCATCATGGGATTGAGCGCTGCAGCCCACGGTGTAGGTCCCCTCGTCCAAATACCATACCAAGCTAACAGTTCAGATTGGCCATCTCATCATGGACATAAACCAACCGAAGCGACTCTTCCACAAAGCCATCATGGACTCTGGCGCCCACACTGCGCGCGCGGTGCATCCCCCCTCGGCCGATCTTAATACCCAGCATTTCCGCGAACTGCTGGACCTTACACCCTGCGCCCACTTCAAGAACCTGCTGGATCCCAAGGTCCTCGCCTGTCTTCGTGGCTTGCCGTCCGAGACTGTCGACAAGGCGGGCAAGGCAGTGTTTGCTCGATCCGAGCCTTCTAACCGCTGGGCTTGGCAGCCTGTCATGGACAGCAATATTATTTCCCGGAGACCACTGGACGCTTGGAAGTCGGGCAAATTCAACCGGCTCCCGATTTTGACCGGCTCAGCTCACAATGAAGGCGCCTACTATGCTCCAAAGGCTGCGGACAAGCCCGAGGACTTTGGCAAGTTCTTCCGCACGCTACTCCCGCATCTCACCGATGTCGAGTTTGCCCAGCTAGAAGCTTTGTATCCCGACCCTGCTTCCGATCCCAATTCTCCGTACGTCGAGTCGAGAGGAATCGAGGGTGTCGGCTCCCAATATCGCCGTCTTGAGGCTGCCTATGGCCACTACGCATACACGTGCCCTGTACGACAGACTGCCATCTGGGCCACGTCTCACTCTGAAGAAGACCAGCCCGTGTTCCTGTACCACTGGGCGCTGAACAAGACGGTGCTCCTCGGCGCCAACCACGGCGACCAGATGCGGTACCAGACATACAACAAGGAAGTCCGCGAGATCTCGCAAGCGCAAGATGAGGTGGCTGGCAACTTGCACGCCTACTGCACCAGCTTCATCACCAAGGGAGACCCCAACGTCATCAAAGGCAAGTTTTCCAACCGGCCGGAGTGGAAGGGCTGGAAGGGCGGAAAGGGATTGACGATGATACTGGGAGATGGTAATGACGAGAGGGCTGGTGGCACCGGTGTTGGCATTGCGTCGCAATTACAAGACTACAAATGGGGAGATGAACAGTGTGAGTTTTGGTGGAGGGTTTCATCAAAGTGGGAGGATTAAACGAATTATGAATTATGGTTTGCTGAGGCTAAGGCTGAAAATGTTACTTTATTTAATAGCATAATCAAAACTAAGATCTTGTGAAGATGGAACTAAGATTAGTGTCTTCAGGGTTTACTCAAACGCATGTTGGATGTGATACTCGTTAATTGGCATTTGCGCGAATACAAAGATACATGTGTACAACAGTAATACTCTACAGTCCGGCGCTATTTGACGCTATGTAATGTTCATGAATCAGTCTCCGTGAAGTGTACGAGTCAAGTCAAATGACGTCACAGACACTAGAATTGAGCTAGACTTCAGGCTAGGCCCGCTACCGCATGCACTGCAACACAGCGCCACCCGAAGCTAGTTGTCAGGATAAGAGTCGGTGGCTTGAGGCTTGAGGCTTGATGGCTTGAAACATGGCAGTGAAACAATTAGGTTATCTTGTCATCATCATTGATTAAGCGTCTAAAGCACCTGGAGTCATGCAACCCCTCAGTATGCGTATCTAAAGTTGGGGTTCTCGAAATCAGTGAGATCCTGTAGCACATCGTCCGTCCCCTCAACCACGGGTCCCAAAGCATCACGCATCTTGTTGCGGCGGATGAGCACGTAGCGCAGAATCATGGCGATGGCGGCCTGGCCCGCGGTGCAGCCGATGATGAGCTTGCAGCCGGTCTGGTAGATGGGCGCCTCAGAGCCTAGGAACGCGTGAGGGCCGATGATGTTGCCGATGCAGTAGGCCAGGAAGACAAAGGCAGTGGCCGTGGTACGCTTGGTGTATCCGCCGACGTTGGAGGCAGGCATCTGAAGGGCCACAATGAGAGAGCCGATGAAGGAAGCACACTATTTGGTCAGCTAGATTCAATGTGGGATAAACTGATAAACTCACCATGTAATATCCGGCAAGGAGACCACCCTTGTTGGTTCGGTCAAGCTTCCAGAAAAGGCAGACGGCAACAAGAGTAGGCAGAAGCCAGACGGCCATGACAATGGTGCGGATGTTCTTGAAGCGACTGGCAAGGTAAGGTCCGGTGAACATGAACATGGCAGTGCAGGCGCCGTAGGGGATGCCGTAAGCAGTAGTCAGAAGGGCATCCTTGGTGAAGCCCTTGACGATGAGCTTGGAAAAGTTGGCAATTCCGCCGTTGACGGTTTCGTTGAGCAGGGTGAAGAAGAACAGCAGCCAGATCTGAGAGTCGCAAAACACCTCTTTGATCTGGGCAGTCTTGATCTTGCGGTTGAAGACACCAGTACGGTTGGCGGCGCTCTGAGCAATCAGCATGGCGCGCTCCTCGACGGTGTAGCGCTTGGCATCGAGGATGTTGTTGGGCAGGAAGAAAAACAGAAGGACGCCCCAGCAGATGGTCAAGCCTCCGCACAGGACGTAGATGATGCGCCAGACGTCCCAGCCCTTGGCCTGACCGACACCGTAGAACAGGATGCCGCCAAACATGCTACCGAAACCGTTGAAGCAGTAGAAGAGACCGGCGCGAGCGGGCTGCTTCTCACGCTGGAACCATTGCGAGACGATGAGCATAAAGGCCGGGGTGATGACGGCCTCAAAGGTGCCCAGGAGGAAACGGCACACGGCCAGACCAGCAAAGTCTTTGGCGGCAGCGGTGCAGACCAGGATGGTGCCCCAGCTGAGGACGAAGCAGCTGACGACGCGGCCGGTGGGCAAGGTCTGGGCGAGATACGAAGCCGGCCACTCGGCGACGAGGTAGGCAAAGTAGAAGATGGAGGCCATCCAGCTGTACTGGTCGCTGGTCATGCCGGTCGAGTCGAAGAGGTCGAAGACGGCCGAGTATCCGAGAGCTTGCTTGTCGACGTACTGGAGGAGGTAGGTGCCGCACAGCAGAGGCATCAAGGACCAGTCGACTTTGCGGCGGAGTTTCTTGAGGGCTGTCTCGTCGGCCATGAGTTCCTCGAGTCGCGAATGGGCAATGCCGTGTTGCTGGAGGAAGATCTCGGCCTCGTCCAGATCGGTGATGCTGCCATTCTTGAGGTCGGCCTCGACATCGTCGACGTCGATGGGCCGCTTTTCGATTTCTGGGGATTTGACGTCGGCCATTGTGAAGGAATCAAGTCAAAGACGATGACACCAGGAGGAGGTCAATTGAGTCGAGAGATGATCCGGCGGAGTCCAGGTCAGGTCAAGATGCTCCAGATGAGTCGATGATGCTCCTGCCATCTCGACAACGGCCAGCGAGACGCCGCCTTTTGTGTTCGTGGCAACGGACCCTTGCTCGAGGGGTTCGACTCATGGCGACCCCAGAAACAGGCTGATCTGGGGTAACGTTCGTTGGGCTGGCACTGGCAGTGGAGCACTGATAGAGGCCAGTGGGGCTCAGTTGATAATGATGCACTAGCTCGGATAACAGAGATAGCTGGCTTCGTTCTTTGCCAGTGTATTGCCGGTGTTTCCCGCGGGAAAATGACTCGGTCGCGTGCTACATCTATGCACCTATCAGTCCACCCGCGAACTCCAGGATCAGGCTCCGAGATAGGATCTCAACTCTAGGGCCTATCAGACAGCCTATCTGGGCGCATCGCTCTCGGATATTATTTTGGTGTGGTTTTCAACTCAACTTTGCGCTCCTTGGCTTCATTGACCAAGTGGCGAGGATGGCACTAAACGAGACTCTAGACGAGAATCAATTGATAGCAGATCAGAAGAATCACCGGGATGAAGGCTCGTGATGTGCCAGTTTCTGCAATCTATCGATACTCCTAACGATGCCTGCGATGCTGCGATACCCGCGATGTCTGCAATGCCTGCGATGCTTTTCGGTACTCTCCAATGCTCTCGACTCTCCCAAGACTCCCACCAAGACTCCCAACTCCTCCACTACTCCAAACTCCCACTAATCCTTCAACACTCCTATCGTAGTAACCTAACTACTCCAAACTCTCTTCCCGCCAAACCACGTCTCCTTCATCTGCGACTTGAGCAGAGTACGCGCATCCCACTCCATGTCGACTACGACGAAATCTGCAAGCTTGCCTACCTCTAGGCTTCCTACTCGATCATCGGCAAACACGCTCTGGGCCGCTCCCGCCGTGCCAGCGACGACTGATTCGCAGATGCCGAGGCGGAAATGCTCGTTGACCACCTCGTCGCACTCGGGCTCTCGGGCTGATCGTCGTGTCGTGGCAACGTAGATGTTGTGCAGAGGGTTCCACGGAGCAGTCGGGGCGTCGCTTCCTAGGGCCATCAGCGCACCGGCGTCGGCAAACTCGCGATACGCAAAGGCACGGCCGCATCGATGCTCGCCGATGAGACGAGGCCAAGCTCGCAGAATCGCCGGGTCAGCGTGTACGGGCTGGATCGACGCCGTGAGGCCAAGCTTTCCCAGTCGCTTAGCATCTTCAGGCGATGCCAGCTCCAGATGTTCGATGCGGTGACGACCACCGGGCTGGGTGTGCTTCTCGAGCATGTCCACCGCCATGCGAATAGCGGCGTCTCCAATAGCATGGAGGGCAATCTGGATGCCTGCGTCGGCGGCCTGCTTCACGATGGGATCGAGGTCCTCCGGGGTCCACACCGGGGGAGGCGACGGCGCTACGGCATACGGCTCCGACAGGTACGATGTGCAGGCGTCGATGATGCCGTCGCAGATGATTTTAATGCCGGCGATGCGCAGATCCGGCGACGTCTCCTTGTTGAACTGCTTGCGCAGCTCGATGGCCTTGGTCACCTGTCGAGATCGCTCCTCTTCGGTGTTGGAGGGCTTGATGAGCCAATATGCTACGATTCGCATGTTAAAGTCAGGGTGCTGTTCTCGCAGCGCAAGGAGGGCATCCCACGCAGGCTCATCCATGGCCATCTCGACGATTCCAGTGTATCCAGAAGCGTGGTACGACGCAAAGGCCGCCATCATGCAGTCGATGCGTTCTTGGATAGTGGCCACCTGCGCGAGATGCGGCCATGCGATGCTCAGTACAGCACCCTCGTTCAAAACACCATTCGGCTTGCCATGCTCGTCTCGCTGGATGGTTCCGCCTGCAGGGTCGGGCATATCGCCGAGGTTCATCTCTGCGAGACCGGCCGAGTTGCACCATGTCGAGTGGAGGTCCTTGGTGTCGACGAAGATGGGCCGCGGGTCAATATCATCCAGCATCGACGCATCAACGCCGTCTGGGGTCATGGAGTGCATCCATCCCTTGGCTAGGATTCGCGGCACATCGGGGTTTGCCTTGGCGTACTCGCGCAACGTCGCCAGGATATCATCCCGCGTCTTGCAGTGCTCGACACCGACCTTGCGCAGCGCCTGGCCAAGCAGGAGCAGATGCATGTGGCCGTCGACGAAGCCTGGCAAGACGGTCTGTCCTTTCAAGTCCTGCGTGACGACGCCATCGCCCTGGAACTCGGCAAGCTCAGCCTGCGAGCCGATGGCCTTGATGACGCCGTCCTTGACAAACATGCCCTCGGCAAATGTGGCTTTGCCCTCGAGGCCGACTTCGGCCTTGGACAGAATCCGGCCATTGATAAAGAGGGAAGCTCCAGCGGTCGCGGCCATGATGCAAGGTGCGGCAAGTGATTTGTAGAAGACACAGATTGCGGATGAGGACCAGCTTCTTATATCGCAAGTTAACCGGGGCTAACCGCGCATGCATGAAGCCGAGATAGCTGGTAGCGGGGAACGGAGATATACACGTGCCATCACCAGTTCTACCTCCGTGGTGGAGTGGAGGCCGCGCCAAGACGATCGTTCCGTCCATTGTCCGTCTCATCTCCACCCGATCCGGAGTTGCGGACAGTGTGCGTCGGCGCCTGACACGACATCACGGCGTCCAGTTACATCCGTTTTGAAACGCCATTTTCTAGCAATTGGGCCTGACCGCCATACATCGTCTTGTGATTCGATGCACAGCTTACTTCGGTCAGCGACCAGTAGTCGGTGGTCAGTGTCAGTCAGTCGTCAGTCGTAGTGGTAGTGAAGTCGGCGTAGATGGGCGATGCGGCGATGCGACTAAGTTTGTCAGCAACATATTACGGAAAATCGCTCATGATCTGCGATGGCTCTACGTGACAATACCCCAAGATGAAAGCAATCCGCATCCACCCAGCTGATTCCAACATTCCGTGGTCTGCAAGCAACCCAGCGCCTCCGTCTGCGTTGGTTCTTGATGACATCCAGACCCCACAGCCAAAGCCGGGCCAGGTCCTGGTGCGGGTTCACGCAGCCACTGTAACCCGAGACGAATTGACCTGGCCAGAATCCTACCGTGAGGAACACCACATTCTCGGCTATGACTTTTCTGGCGTTGTGGAAAGTGTAGGAGGCGAGGCAGACTTTAAGCCGGGCGACGAAGTGTTTGCAATGGTCAACATCCACGAAGGATCAACATGGGCTGAATATGTTGTTGCCGACACTCGCCACTTGGCCAAGAAGCCCAAGAGCCTGACCTGGGCTGAAACGGTCACTGTCCCGCTCAGTGGTCTCACAGCATGGCAGGCGTTGTTTGTCAAGGCGGGTATCCGGGAGCCCGACTTTGCGTCACCATCCAAGACGAAGCAGGCAGTGCTTATAACCGGTGCATCAGGTGCCGTGGGTTCTTACATGGTTCAACTGGCTTCTCTGGCCGGTTTACATGTGGTAGCCGCGTCGAGTTCAACAGAACGAAACGGGGAGTTCTTGCGGTCGCTAGGTGCAGCAGAGACGATTGAGTACTCCGACATGAAGCATCATTCCTTCAATCTCATCATCGACACGGTCGGTGGTGAGCCTTTGGCGCAGGCTTGGTCCATCATCACAGACAACGGCACTCTCATCTCGGTGGACTCGAGCAGCTACGCCTTTACCAGCAGTCCCCCGGCAGGCAAGGAGAAAGTCAACGCTCAGTTCTTCATCGTGGAGCCTTCCGGGAAACAGCTTGGCAAGCTCTCACAGGCGTTGGAGCTTGGTCTTGTGCGACCGTTTCTCGCACACACGTTTCCTCTTGCGGAGGCAAGGGCAGCTTATGAGAAGGCTAGCGGAAGGATGGACCGTAGGGGAAAGGTTGTGCTAGAGATTTAATATGTATGTATAGGGTATGAGCAGTTTGTCACCATACCAGAGTTTTAGGCTTTCGTGTAGGATCAGGATTAGGAGTTAGGAATTAGGAACTAGGAATCGGGGCTAAGGATTAGGAATTAGGGATAAGATCAGAATGCCACATCTACCAGTTCCAACGCTCCTGTTCAACGCTCAAGACCGAGTAGCCTGGATGGTAAGCACATGGTCAAACGAGTCCGACTCCGTTCCGACATCGCTCTGATGGGTGTGACAGGCATTCAGTCTAGCCGCTATCGCCAGATATGAACAAAAAAAATGCTATATATGCTCCGCTGGGGTAATATTCCCCCGACATCTGACACAGGCTAATGAGCACTCAAAGGTGTCAGATCGATCAAGGCGGTGCAAAAGGCGAATGCTTTTAAAATAATACTCAAAATTCCCCAAGGACTCTTATCTAAAGGTACTTATCCCTAATTAGGATTATCCACCTTGCCAACACTGAGATTCGTAAAGTAACGACGGGTATATGCACAATCATGGGATAACACGCTAAATCCAATCCACCCCAATTGCAGCATCACATGAGGGCCACTAAATAGTCAGCTTAGTTCATTCATTCAAGAGACGGAGCACCCACTGGCCCGGGCTTCCCATGACTTTGTTGGATCCCGCTTATGCATTTGGGCAGGATCTTGAGATCCACTAAGCTTGTTCTTGAGCTTAGTCTTGAGGCTCAACTTGGGAGCAGTAAGATCTAGACGGATTAGACGTGGTTCATCCAACGGAGTAAATAAAATACCTTGCTTTCCGGTCGTGGGATTTGAAGTACCGACAAGCGTTGTGTCAGAGGCATTGGATGCCGCGTAGGCGTCTGAGCCGAGATGTGATTGGGACATGGTGTAAGATGTGAGTCTGAAGTCGACGTAGTGGAGATGCAGTGTAATACAGTGGAATGCAGAAATGTCTTGAATTGATGACTTGTGTGACGGACGGGACAGCCTTCTTTATACTTGAACTTTGTGACGAATTTATCTGCCTTTGCATTCGTAATCACGGCCGGCTGAAGAGTCACCCGCGCCCTTAAGTCGATGGGTGCAGTAAGCTCTGCATCAAACTGGCTTGGACGGTATGACACACGCCGCTGAGTGGGTGTTGGTGGATGTTAGTGGGCGAGGAGCTAGTGGTGGGAAGCTCACCGAAGCCGAGCCCCACCAGCCGAGATTCAAGCAGCCGAGATTTCAAGCCGAGCTCTGACTTTCCCGTCACTCGGCTTCAACATCACACCATCAACCCTGAATAATCATGGAAACACCGCTGCTTCGTCGCTCAAATGGACGCCCGCAGGCATGCGACCCTTGCAGAGTCCGCAAGGTTGCCTGCGATCATGGTCAGCCGACCTGCAGCCGATGCAAAAAGCGTCGACAGGCGTGCGTGTACACGGTCGCACCGACTCCGAAGCCGAGGCGGAATCCGCAGCCTTGCTCGACGACTCCGACTTCCACGCCGACGCCGCCCTGTGCAGGCTATCTCGGCTTCACTAGTCACAGCACCGTGTTCGAGGAGACACGGAATAGCCTCACGCTAGTCCATGGATCCCGCCCTGTCGACTCCGGCCCTAGACGCGGCCATAGGGTCCGCTCCGAGATGCCACCACCGCTCCGAGAGATGTACTTGTATGTTCTGCGCAACCTCCCAAAGCTAGAGGATCTCCTTTCCATCCAACGCGATCTGGCTCAACATGATGGATGGATCTTCGAGTTGTGTCAACCGGACGGATGGATCATCGAGTCCACCAGGCGCATCGTCCAGACAATCCAAGACAACTTTCCTCTAAATCTCGACGACGATGCAGTGCTGGAAGACTGTGCTCGCACCATCAGCGCCAACACGTCTCGTCCGTTTCGCGATACCGATGTTGGCACTGAAGAATGGATTGATCAGTTTACACGAGTCCTGAGGTGGGAGTCGATCGGGGTGCTTTGGACCTTCTGGGACGTCGGCACCTGGGGTGGTATTCGCGAGGAGATGGTTAGTTCATGTCTCAAATACTGCATCGAGCTCGCCCTGCACTTTACCCCGGGCAACGAAATAATCCTGCATTTATGCTATCGAAGGTCTACCATGGAATCTATGGTTTCAGGAGATGCTAGTAAGTTGTCCCTAAAGTCGTGACTTGGCTAACAGAGTAGGTCTTGCGTGTTGGAGCTACCACAGCGAGACGGTAGCGTTGATGACGTTTCTCGGCCTCCACGCTGAGCCAGAGACGTTGCAATATCGCCCGTCACTCATCTCGGAGAATAGACGACGTCTGTTTGCTCGCGTCTTCAACATAGACAAGGTCATGGTATCGTTTTCTGGACGCCCACCACTCATCGGTCGCCGTTACTCCTCGACACCCCTGCCGTTGGATCTTTCAGATGGGGTCCTATTTTCCGACGACGAGACAATAGCCCAGGCTGTTCAGGCGTTGGATGCGCGGGGATGGAACACGGAAGGGAGATTGTACCCAGCCACGCTCCTACGCGCACGCGCCATGATTGCATTCATCAGGGACGAACTCCTTGAGGTTGCACTGAGTCTCGGCTCTCACACGACTCTCGCCCAGCTACAGTATGTCTTCGTCCTCTCTAGACCAAGCTAACCCGCGCAGAGACATCAAAGACCGCCAGATAAGCACCATGGCCGAGTTTCCCATTGGCCTCGTCTACCGCCACGAAGATGTCGACGACCCTGACGTTCACGTCCAGCCTCTCTTCTCGAGGATGTTGGTCAGACTAGAGCACCTCCAGAATCTCTTCTTTGTTGAGAGGCTTATGCTTCGACTTGGAAAACCTGACCAGGGGGATCTTTTAGTCACCAGCTTCGAGATGTTGTCTCTCACGCTTGTCCTGTGGAAACGACAGGATAGGTTTGTGAGTATCCGACGTGATTTTGAGTGGCTGGTAAGTAATTTACCCAACTGGTGATTTAACTGACGTTTTAGTTAATGGCATATGGCGCCCCTGGTGGAGGCATTCTTTGTTTGGAATTGCTTCGGCCGACCTTTCGCGGCAGCCATCCCAAAAGCCCAAAACTGAGTCGATCCAGCATTATACAACAACTCAGCCTTCTCATTGGGTTCCTCGACTGGGTGCGACCCTCAGCTCCTAATGCAGATCTCTGTGCCGATTGCAAGGCCGTAGTCCAAGGCGTGTTGGATCACAATCTCAACGTCGCAGGGGGCGAGGGGGCGCTCGAAACCCTCGACTGGGAAGGATTGCAACTTGACTTTAACTTTGATCTGCTTGATACATTTGACTGGCTACGTGAGTAAGAGACTACAAGCTAACCAGGAAGTCTTGGATGGCCACGTTAGTCTCATCCGGCCGCTCCAAATGCACCCAGTGGCCCGAGTCTGTCTTTACGGTCTGTAAGTTTGGTGTCCAAGCTGCCAACATCTGTTGTTGTTGAGCCGCAGATGACTCCGGCTCTCTCGGGACAACAAACAGTGCAGGCTGTGATGTTTGGAATCCATCAAATCCAACTTCGTCCTGTGCAAATAGATTCTCCAACCACATGCGATACCATCTTGTCACACCTTTGTACCCGTCCTTTGCCCCAAATGCTTCCAGGTGTTTTTTCTGCAGCGCTTCAGAGTACCAAGATCCAACTGGAACACGACGGTTCTCGGTTACAAACAGTTCCATCTTCCCCAAAGGATGAAACCATTCATCCCATTCCTTGTGGTCGTGGCAGAACATCAGGCTCATGGCGGATTCGGCGTGTTGCTCCAGGGTAGCTTGGGCGTCGCCAGCTAGCCAAGGAATGTATCCGAGCAGCTCGAACCCCATCATCTGCTTGGTCATCTGATTGATCATTTTGACATTAAATGGAGTGCCTAGTCTAGGAGGCCCGACTGCAAGGAATACCAACGCCGTCCATCGGGAGGGGTGGTATGCTGCTAGCCGTGAGAGCAGCGTTGATCCAAAGTCGTGACCTATCCCGACCACTTGCGATAAGCCCAAGTTGTCCAGCAGTTCAACCAACTCGTCACCCATGGGCTTCAGGCGATATTTCGAAACATCTGTCGGCTTGCTACTCTGACCATAGCCAAGCAGGTCAGGGGCAACTATTCCGTATCCTTTTGCTGAAAAGTACTGAATCTGATGTACCCAATCGGACGCGGTGGACGGGAAGCCATGGAGGAGCAGTAAAGTTGTTTTTTGAGTCGCTGGGATATGAATGTATGAGTATTCGTTACCAGTCTGGGCAACAAACGTTTGTCTGGGAGAAAATGCCATTTTGCTGACGATCAAGGTAGAGAGAGTCGCATTATTTAACTTGTTGCGGACACTTTTCGGACACATTCTCTATGACGCAATGGCCAGACCAACTCTTGACGTTATTCCACTATTGCTATTTGCACATATAACAACAACCTCGTCCTAATGTGAGAAACATCTCTCCTGATTCTGATTAAAATATAGCACGCTCTCAACACCGTGGGAATATGCCCGACCGAGGGCCGAATCGGGTTCCTCCAAGTACCGACCCGTATCCCTCGCGCGATAAGAGCTTTCGACAAGACTTTGCCGCTTGCGGCCAAGAACAACTCACACCTCAACTACGCCGGGTACCGCCGTGCCTCGAGCTGTATAGCAACGAATCTGCAATCCTAGCCGTGTCCAAAGCCCATCATTTCCGACGGTGGCAATGCAACAACCGCAAGACCCATTTGTCTACCGCGCGCGAGCCGAAGACGAAGGACTCAACCCGGATCAAAGATTCGTCGAGCTCCTAGGTGACAAGCCGTTTGCCATTACCATCAGTTTGGAAGTAAGAGTTCTTCATACTAAGTGCAACTTAATACAGACAGCCATTCCTATAATTTACCCTCCTATAACTCCCCGCCACGACCTCGCCAGTATGTGGCGACAGTAGCCGAAAGTTGGTCTCCCGTGGCACAAGCAACCTTGGTCATCCTCGGTGATTGCATGTGGAGTTCAATGCAATCCACATGGTAAATCAATCGAGCCATTGTTGGCCTAGTATGGATCTTATTCCGCCGCTAAGGATAGCTTGGCTCATTTCGCAGCCTTGACATTGGAAGTGCCAAGCGAAGTGCCGATTCACGCCAACCGATCGCTCTAGATCAAGTGGAATCGTTCTCGTATCTCTCGTACAGGTCGGGATAGAACCGACGACCATTCTCTCGGTGGCTTCGGATCTTGGTCCTGAGCTGCGCCTCGCCCCAAGTTTCATACTTTCCCGTGAGAAACGGCGAATCAATGGACTCGCCCTCGTCAGATTCAATGCCGGCACGAAAGGCGGCAAAATGATTCGCCAGGGGATTCAAGGCTTCGGCATTCGTCAAACTCCGCCGGACACCCTGGAAGAAGGGAACACTGAAGCGCTCGGTTTCGGTAGATAGCACGCGATGCGTGGTGGCTTTGCAAACTCCGTGCGTCACCACCTCAAAGGCCTGGCCAATGTTGACGACAAATGTCCCCGGGACTTCCGGTACATCAACCCAAGCGCCCGCTTTGTTGAGGACTTGTAAGCCCTTGACTTCCGGCGATGCCTGGAGGAGAAATGTCCACCAGCCGGACGAGTCTTTGTGTGGGCCGACACCGAGGGTGTTGGAGGATGCTGGATAGCGGACTAGTTTAAGGCGATGCTGGTCTGAGAGGTACGAGAAGAAGGTTTCGTCGGGAAGAGACAGGGCTTTTGCGACGAGCCGTAAAAACCTCTCACCCAGGTGGGTCAGTTCTTCAATGTACCGCTCGACAATAGGTCTCAGTTCTGGGAGTTGGCATGGCCACTGTCGATTAGTCGATTAGTATCGACTAGCACGTTGGCAGATGTCGTACCTGATTCGGACCACGCAGGCGCTCATAAGGAGCGCCCGAGCCAGCATCCAGTTCGGTGGCAAGCTCCACCTGCTCTCGCTGATCCGCAGAGCCCGCAGTTGTTTCGCTCCCGGTTCCACTGTATCCGAGGAAATGCGGCGAATTCTCAAGGGCGATGGAAGCTTTGGCGTCGGGCGGGAGGTCAAAGAGGGGACGGAGGACCCGCACGAGTTCGGCAATGAGGGAAGCCGAGACGCCGTGGTTCGAGACATACAAGAAACCGACGTCGGTCAATGCGGTTCTGAGACAGCTCAACAACTCTGGGAGAGTTGCGGGATCGTCGCCCAACGATAGGTCGAGAATTGGGATCTGAGTAAAGTCGCGGACAGTCATGTTGAGGGCAAGTGGCGGGGTATGATCTGAGTGCATCATCGTGGCGTGTTATTAGCGCATACGGGATACAGTCAGGCATAGTTGTACAGTCAGTCATAGCCGTCAGTCAGTCACAGTCGTACAGTCAGTGTCATTCATAGCCGTACAGTCAGTGCCATTCATAGTCATTCAGTCATTCACAGTCAGTTATTCTTTCGCACAGTCATCAACATAGCCCCAACGGCAAACAACGCGCGTCTTCAATTGATAAATCGTTTTGCCAAACATAGGGGTTGCTAGCGCTGACCGCATTGCCGTCATCAATGTGCGGTTGGACCGCAGAACGATGCGCAGAACGCAACAAACTAAATAAAGACAACATCGCTATTGGCTGAATTGCACAGGATGCGGCAGTTGACTTTGAGATTGCCATTTTTGGGCGCGAAAGGGGTTAATCGATCTTGAAATGTCTCTCGACGGTATTTGATGGTTCATTTTTATTTGGGTGGTAAAACTGGGTACTCCCCTCTTGTTTAAAGTTAATCGGGGAATTTGGAAGGATTGGAATCACCGCCCCTGCTTGTTTGATATAGACAGGCAGATGAATAATTTGGTACAGTTACATGGCACAGTTACAACCGGTACCTGCACATGCGAGGAAATCCTGGCCGCAGATGGTCAAGTGGTAGATGAGTTCAATTGGCTGGAATGGTACGTGTCCCAACAAAGGAAAGCTGTGCGACGGGATTGGAACTAGTGACACTGCGGCTGGAACATTGTGATGAGGCGGAGGAGATGAATGAGGCAAATGATGGCAATGGACGAATGGATGAGGGCGAATGGCTGAACCAGGAATACGATGCGGTCAAACATTAAAACAACCCATGAAATGATGGACATGTGATTCTGGAAGAGAATGGTCCCAGGAAATCCTAGATCCTAGCTCAGGTAGTCAGGAACCAGAGGAACCAGTCGCAAACTATCCGTACACAGGGCGTCATCAGGTACGATAGCGATTGCGACTGGCCCACCCACATGGTCGCTTACGCTGAATGCTTGATCCAATTACAATTACGGGGTACGCGTGGCTCGTCACCGACTTGTCGGGATCGGAGACACGGTTCGACCCGATAACGGGCGATTCATCGGCCATTGACGGCGCGGAAGGGCTGGGTCATACGAGAATGAGGCTGAAGGGAATGGGAAAGTGACATGCTCAGGGCGGTATGAATGGACAGCGCAGCAATTGAACCGACAGGCAGGACAAGGCGACGAAAAAAGATGGTTTCGCTTTCGGATCTGGGAGCGAGAGATGCGAGGCCAAAGAACGGCCTGAACAGGGGGCCAGGCCATTGCGACGCTACACCCATTGAGGCGCAGTTGACGGGCCACGAAACTTGATTTCGTACTCTGTACGGCAGCACTTGGGAAACCGCGTGTAGAAATACGGCCATGTGCGTACGGGATCCGCGTATTCGATACTCCACCCGCCGGGCGCTTCATCTTACGTGAGGCAGATTCGCGCACACAATGCAGGAGGAGCAGGACGCGATACGATGCTGCGGAGACGGAAACGGAGACGGGATGCGGAAGACGGGCTGAAGACGGGCTGAAGACGCCGCGATACGATACGGCGAACGGGCGGTACGAAAGCCGACCGACGGAGTTTGAGAGGACGCCGACGCAAGCCCACAACGTACGAGCAATTAAGGTTAAGCCCAGTATCTTCAAATCTTGCGGGAATGCCCCCCGTTCTCCTGGAGGCGTGCAGCAGCTCCGGGCGCTCTTCCAGGCTCATCTGGGCCCTCCTCTAGCGGTGCCCTCACAGGGCCGAACAATCAAACAGCCCTCCATAGCGTGGGGCTAATTAGGGCAAGCCTGGCTGGCCTGGGCCGCTGGCTCAGCGGGCAGATGCCCCGAGCCCGAGTCAGCTGTGCCGCAAGTGAGGGCGGTCTAGAACGGGGCAATGGATGGCGACGCGTGTTGTTCCCTGTTTCAGGGTCCTGTCAACCGCGAACGCTCTGTGGTGTGTGTGTGTGTGTGTGTGTGTGCCGTCCACTGTCATCCAGTGTCATCCAGTGTGCTGCAATTGACGTGGTCAAAGCATGCACCTAGGTACCTGGGAACGCCCTGGGGCCTATCCGGGATGGCTGCCCCGGTGCCCTACGGGACCCTTAGCCCTCCCACGCGTCAGGGTCAGGCACACTGAAGAGGATTCCTCTGGGGGAGGGGCGGGGCGTGGGCTTCGCCACAACGCTAGCCCGACGCCATCCAGGGGTCTCGTCGAGCTCCTCCTGCTCCATTGGGGAAGGGGGAGATTTGATGGACCGCGCGATGCTCATCCCTTTGAAGAGATTTCCCGGCCAGCAACCAGCAGCCCAGCAGCATGCCGCTTGGCCTGTCGGCGTCTGCGCTGCGTCGTCGGCGTCGAGGCGCAACAACGTCGCGCCATGCCTATTGGCCTGTTCCCTGCTCCTTGCTCCTTGTGGCCCCAGGTCTCGTTCCGGGGGGCACTCCGCAGTACGTACTATGTAGCCGGCTCTCTCTGGGCTGTGTTGCTCGTCACCAAGGCCTAGCCCCTGAGCCGATAATGGCTCAGGAAACGATATTATCTGGGCAGCCTCCCGCGCGGAGTTGCTGAGGGTTCGTCTCTGGTCTTGTTCATTATTCTTCAGTGCATTTGTTTGGTGCTACTGTTTGACGCTCGTTGAATCCGCTTTCCTTGTTGAATTCGTTTGACTTGTTGAATCCGTTTGACTTGTTGTATTCGTTTGACCCCATTGACAATCCAAGTTTGATTGCTGCTTCTCGAATTGGACACCTCTCGCCAGTCCTCCACGAATCTACACCGCGATCGACTCCATTGCGCCTACCCATTCCACCGCGACCACGACCAAATTGTTGAGCATATTCGATACTCCCTAAAGCCCTAAATCACACACCCCGGCGAACCATCACCGACCCTCCTACCGATTCTCAGCCTCGGCGCTCCGCGAACCAACATGGATCGCGACCAGATCCTCAACCCCTGCGACGTCGACAGCCTCATCGCCGACGGCCAGGTCATTGTCATCTACGAAGATGCCGTCCTCCGACTCGACGGATGGATGGACAGACACCCCGGCGGCCGTCTCGCCGTCCTCCACATGGTCGGCCGAGACGCGACGGACGAGATGAAGTCGTACGTACACCCAACATGACGTCCATTTATGCGTATCCAGAACCGGCATCCAGCAACCACCACCAATTGGTCAACTGCCGCCCAAGGATCTGGTTTGCCGTGTGGGGAGCTCAGTTGCAGATTTCTAACGTTTTCCGGAATAGGTACCACTCCAAGCAGACGTTGAAAACCATGAAGGCCTATCGGATCGGCCGGAAGCAGGGGACTTGGGTCAACCGCACACCACCAATTAGAGGAGGCGTCTTCGTCAAGGCGAATCCCATTGTCGACAGCTCGTCCAGTTCAGAAACCGAGGAAGACAGTGCCGACGATGGCGTCTCGCAGATCTCGTCACTCTGCAGCTGCGGCATCTCCCACAAGGATGCCAAAGAGGGCCTCCGTCACCGCGGCCCCTGTCCCACACAGTCTCAAGGCCCCAACCAGAAGCCTTCCGCCCACACTCAAGTTGCCAATGCGGCCCTCGAACGAGAGATCCAGAATGACCTGACCATCTACCCCTCCCTGGATCCCCTGGTCCAGAAGGAGATCGCCCGCAAGTACCAGATCTTGCATCAGCAGATTACCGATGCTGGTCTGTACGACTGCCCCTACCTCGACTACGGCAAGGAAATGATCCGATACACCCTGCTCTTCACCACCTTTATCGTCCTCCTCAGCTACGGCTGGTATTTGACCTCTGCCATCTTCCTGGGATTGTTCTGGGTATGTCCCCACCCCCACTCTCTTAAATCACACTAACATGGTCAGCATCAACTCATGTTTACCGCCCACGATGGTGGACATCTCGCCATCACCGCCAACTTTGTTGTCGACACTCTCATTGCCATGTTCGTCGCCGACTTTTGCTGCGGTCTCTCCATCGGATGGTGGAAGAGCAGTCACAACGTCCACCACCTTGTCACCAACTATCCCGTAAGTTTTAGTTTCCTGCCGTCTCTTCCTCTCTAACACCCTCAGGAACACGACCCCGATATTCAGAACGTCCCCATCTTCGCCACTTCCCCCGCCTTCTTCAAGTCGATCCATTCCAGCTACTACGACTTCACCTTCATTTGGGACGCCGCCGCCGACTTCCTCGTCCCCTACCAAAAGTATACCTACTACCCCATCATGGGAGTCGCTCGCTTCAACCTCTATCTCCTTTCTTGGCTTCACGTCATCTCCAACCGGTCGTCCGGTCTCAGCTTCTCCAAGGCCTGGTGGATCCGTCCCACTGAGATTGTCTTTATGTGTTGCTACTGGTTCCTCTTCGGCTACTGCCTTCTCTGGAAGACCCTCCCCGACTGGCCCACCCGCATCGGCTTTGTGCTGGTTTCGCACGTTGTCACCATGCCTCTTCACGTTCAAATCACCCTCTCCCACTGGGGAACCTCCCACGCCGACCTGGGCGAGACCGAGTCCTTCCCTCAGCGCCAGCTCCGTACCACCATGGACGTCGACTGCCCCGCCTGGCTCGACTTTATCCACGGTGGTCTCCAGTTCCAGGCCGTCCACCACCTGTTCCCTCGACTTCCCCGCCACAACCTCCGTAAGGCCCAGGTCTTCACCAAGGAGTTTTGCCGCGAAACCGGAGTTCCCTACTCGATCCTCACCTTTGTCAAGGGCAACCAAAAGGTCCTGGGCCGGCTCCACGACATTGGTGAACAAGTCCAGGTTTTGGTCGACTGCCAAAAGCACATGGCCAAGACTGGAGAGAGCGGCTTGGCATAGAAATAGACTAACGCCACCTTTAATGATCAGTTTTTGTTTGAATCTGGGCCTGGTGTCTGAGTGATGTATTCGATAGAGTTTATAATGAGATAATCCGTTACAATATTTACAATATTAGACCATGACTTGACTTTGTCGGTTAGTGCATAACCCCTCTGTGAAGCAGGAATCCTTTTCGACCGGTTAGCTGAAGCACACTTGTAACATGGATGGAAATGGAAGCTTGCCGGTATGCTTATATATAAAGATGGAGAATTTTCGTTGGAGGAAAGTCTGATACTGACAATGACACCAGGCAGGGAGAAGTAGCGATTGACCTCTTTATTATGACAAGTACAGATTCAATTATACTGACATTAACAGCCTTTATTTTACAGAGCTGGTTTCGGCTGTGACATTAGGATACTGAACATGTGGAAGTTATGTAGTTGGGCTGTTGCCTGAGGCGGTGGGACTGGAATATGGCAGCGACAACTCGACTTGACCAAAGGTGTATTACAACTTTCAACTCATAATTATAAGTCCGTATGTTGTTCGCCTGGCCCACTGGTATTGCCTCTAGTGTCCTGCTCTCTGGCATTACCTCCGGTGTCCTGCCCGCTGGCATTGCCTCCAGTATCCTGCTGGCCATCTCGCCCGACAGGGTCCAAGTCCCCGAATTCCCTCTTGTAGATGTCGTTGATTTTAGAAAGCACTTCAAGACCCCATGCCTTTTTGCAAGCGTCCGAGTATCGCTGCTCCATTTCGGCCTCGATCTGGTCTATCAACTCGTCCAGACGCCCCCAGCGCATGTCCGAGGTTTGATCGGCGAGTTCATCAGTCATGGAGACAATCTCGGCTTCCAGATTTGGGGCCATGTCCATGGATCTTTCCAGTACTTTGATGATTTCGAGGCGCTTCTCCATATCGGCAATAGTCTTTTCGATGTTCTCGCTCATGGTCTCGTTGTGACACAGGATGAGCTCACGAGCGGCCTGGAGAGAACTTGCAGTTACCGTCGACCCTGCGGTGCCACCGGCTTCCGTGTCGTTGAACCCATGTTGGTACACGAGCGAGGAGGCAAGCGTTGCGACCAGCTGTTCCGCAACGGGGAGTTGGTCCGATTCCCAGATCCGTAGCGCAACCTGAACTGTCAAGTTGACGGGGAGATCAAGAGCTGAGAGGATGTTGACTGTCAGGGCGAGGGGTTTGTTCAGTCCACTCAGGTCCTTGAGCGAGTCGTCGCTCGTGCGCTCTCTTAGGTCGGACGAACATCCAACGTAGATTGGGCTTTGCCTCTGTCGGATCTCCTTGGAGGGATCCAGCGTAACGTCGCATCGTCGTTGGAATGATTTCATGAGCGCCTCAATGTTCGTCACGTCGTCGTCTGATTCGACGAATTTGGCCTCGGGAATAGATCCATGGAGCGAAACATCTCCGGGGAAGCCATCAACCTTGAACACCCAGGAGATCCGCTCCTTGTCTTGGGCGGTGAGGTTGCCTTGTGTCGCCACCTGGAGTTGAACGCGACAGCGATGTCTGTCAAGGGCTCGGTACCCATCGATGTAGTTCTGAAGCCCACGGATGAGCTTTTCAGTTTCCAAAATGTTGAGAAACTGACCATGGTGGTCGCGCCGGCTGAGTCCAATCACGTAGACCCCTGGGACCTTGCCCTCGGCTTCACCTGGAATCTCCAGCCACTTGACTTCCTCGTTGAACGTATCAAAGGAGAGACTTGGCTAATTTGGGCATCTCTAGACTCAGTTGGTAGAGAGAGTCATGCTTCTCTAAGACATCTAGCAGGTCTTGTTGCTCCTGGTCGCCTGGCATTGGCATCTCGGCTGTTGGGTTTGCCATCTCGTGTTGTTCATTGAGTTTGTTGATGTACTGTGTAGGTAGCTCAGACACTTACTTGACTTAGTTGAGTGTAGAAATTCTCTGCACGAACTGGCTGCCAAGTGGTCGCGATTCGTGGCATCTGTCTCCCAACCATCGTGAGGCGCGTTGCCAGTGAATCACATTGTGACAAGTCCACCTCAGTATACTTTTTCTTCCAACAACGACAAAGATTTCATCCACCAGCTCAAGCACGCTTCATTTCAAAATCGGGTTGACACCACCATTTCTCAAGGCCCTATCTTGTCAGATCGTTGCTAATACAAATTGTATAGTATACAGAAATAAACAACACTGCAACACATGAACCGTATTTACTCATCCTTGAAGTGACTGCTTTGGCCACTGTCGAAATAGGACAGTGCAATAGACGGTCAGTTGCCAGCGAACATTTGTATCAATTAGAATGATGCGTTACAATTAAAATTACAATTGCCTGTCTATGCTTCGATCCACTCGTGCGTGTCCTGTTGACAGGGCCCATGATAGATTCACGCCTGGGGCGTTCACCCGCTTCCACTCCTTAACGACGTGAGTTGGGATCCAGGTCCAGTCATGAGGCCAGGACTCGGCCGTCCAGCGTTGTCTCGAGGTCCTGGCAGATGCCATAAATTCCAATGGACCCATTCTCCTTCAGTATTCCTTCGGTATCAGCGACACCCATGTCGTGAAGGCTCAAGTCGGTGACTGTCGAGATGATATGATGTCGCACCGCACCACCACTTGACTGACCGCTGGCTGGATACGACAACGTCAGCTGGTGGATAAAAGCTTCCAGGAGGTGTCGCTGGAGCTCCACGATCTCCTGTGCAGTCAAGTCATCATCCTCTTGGGAAATTTGCCGCATGCCAACCTGGATCTTTAGTGCGTCGAGCGTGTTGATGATGGCGTCGGCGACAGTATAGACGCGGAAAGCCTGAACGACATTGACCGCTGCCTCGCATCCCGGAACCCGGAATACTTTGGGTCTTCTCTCAATGTGAAATTCCCGGAAAAACGTCGCGATGTGCTTCCATAGGCCCATGGCTATCCAAATGGTTCCAGTTGAGGCCAGCTGCTGCCCCCAGCCCCGACACGCGTCTATAAGGAGCTTCCGGGGGGGCAGTTCAGTCGATTCCGGGACGGGGAACCTTACAATCTGGTCGATACCGATGCTAATGAGTGCGGCCAGTTGGATCTTGACTCGCAGCACCCGAACGCTGCACGATGGAAGGGCGACTAGATGGGCGAGGCGATGGTCATAGCCGACATGCGGCAACGCTGCCATAAAGAATGGCCTCCTGTCCCGGTGGCATGTTAAGGCTTGATCCAGTCTTGCCGATGATCCTTTGGATACGTAGGCGCTCCGTCATCGTGTCCCTGACTTGCGGGCATTCGAGGAGAGACCTGATCGTCCGAGGGACATCGACTCCCCATGCGCCAAGCCTAAATATGGCCGCGATAAACCCCCCGGCGGAGACGCCTTCAATTTCCACTCGAGGTGCAGAAAAGTCCATCTGATTTTGAAAGGCCTCGATATCAGGGTGTGAAGTGTAGCAGCGGGTGCGAGGAACGTCATGAAATCCCCACGGCATTTGATCAAGTCTTTCACTCATCGAAGATCGAAAGTCGAGTTTCGTGACTTGAGCATTCGGCACATCAAATGCCAGCCTGGACTCCCAATCCCCGAAAAGAAAGTAAGCATGGCTAAAGCCCTTCAAGTAGACGGGAAGACGTTGCGAGTTCTCCACGTATATGAGGCGGCCGCGCGGTGGGACATCGTCTGCGTCATCCATGTTGTCCTCAATGTGCAGAACTTGGCGAGCACTGTGGAGGTCTGTCCATCGATCTATGTGGTGAGGTGTCAGAATTGCCGTTCCATCGGTGTTGACCATTTCCTCGAGTGATTCGATGGGTTCCCAACCAGGGAAACACACCACCGCATGTGTCGTCCCAGGTCGTGCCGAAGTTGTTCGATCTTGCAGGTCGATTATCGTGTCTTCCATGGATGACGAGAATTCTCCTTGTCAAGGTGAGAGGAGACTGAAATTGTCACAACAACAACAACATCAACAACAACTCGGTTTCTCACCTTCACACATACACTCACACACACCACATACGACGAGATAGTATGGACTCTAGTATACAGCCAACCACACACCTATACACGCTAACTGATTTTCATCCCAGATACATTCAAGATGCCTCGTGCCAAGAGCTCCAGAAAGAAAGACGACATCCTCAATCGCTTCTTCAGGGCACACAATCCCCATGACGCTACGGGCCAAGACAGCTCCTCCGAGCGAGGAACCCGCGGCCACCGTAGAAGCGCTCGCTCCGGTGACGGTCTAAACATCGCGCAGAATGCCGAACCGCGGGTTACGGAAACCCCTAACGGCACCATCAAGGCGTGTCCCGTGTGTCCTAACAACGGAACCCATCTCGCCGATACGTGCGCTGCCTTCGACCAGCTCTCGATCAAGGAAAAGGTGCGACTTCTCGTCGTCAGTCGCGGCAATATGCCCGCGTACAACACGCGGACTTCTTGGTACTCCTACCTTGAGGAGTACATGAAGACGCCAGGGGCTGAGATGCCCGGTAGCTTTCCCTGGACCCAAGCGTTCAGTGGCGACGTCGGACAGCTCCAAAAGGAGCTTGACAGGACCGGGGACTGTTCCCAACTGCCTGTCGACCCGGCCACCAAGGACTAGGTGATGGTTCGCGGCGTCCACGCAGTCGTCTCACACATCCAGCAGGATGTCCCTGCGGCCCCGGTGCAGGGTACTCCAGCCAAGTTTGAGGGGCCACCCAAGAGGCAGCTACGCGATAACGAGCCTGGAGCTCGTGGTGACCCGATCCCTGCCCCAGAGATGTTCGACGACGAAATGACGGAGGTTGGGGCTATTTTGGAGAACATCCTACGCAGGTTCGATCAACTGGATGTCGAAAGCCACGACAACTAATATATCAGAGATTTCGAGGTGGATCGTTGGCCTGTTCAATATATTGTATGACAACAGCAACCTTCCCGTGACCATGCTCCTCAAATCGTTGCTACTGTGATTGAACATTACTCCCCGGTACCCAGTGACAGACTGTCGGAACTGATAATCCAAGAGATCACACCCTTATGTATTCGTCTACTCAGTTAGCCCGTTGTAGCTCTGATGACTGTAGTGCAACGCAGGATATTTTTAGGCAAGAAGCGAACTCTCCATTTAAACATTGATTACAACTCGTCCATATCTCGGAACTCAAGCCGGTCCATCCCCAAGTAGTGCTGAACTCTAACAAAGTAACAACGCTGGTGGTAATTTAAACGACACTACCTCCGAGGGCTGGGTTCAGCTGAGACGCCTCTGATGCATACGTCTTCCACACAGTGCCACTGTTCCTTCTTGGCGTCCAGGAATCTCATCAGCCCACGCTTCATATCGGGCTCAAGGATCATGGGAGCGACCTTGAGAGCAATGTCGTGCATCTCAACCGTCCCGACGTGTTCCGGCAGCAGGGGAATATCGCGGCTTAATTCTGATAGCTCCAGAAACATCTTGGAGAGTCTAGTGGCTTCACCTTGTAAGCCCGGCGACCGGGGTCGCTTTCGGGGATCTGGGGTCTCCAGCTGCGTCTTGGCCGGGGTAGGACCAGGCGCTCTGAGGGCTGCCTCGTCACGCTGGCTCTTCAAGGCTCGAATCTCGTCATCAGCCCGCTTTGCGCGGGCTTCGTTGGACTGAAGACGCTGCTCTAGGTCTCGAATGGAGCCATCCTTGTCAGCCAATTCACTATCCCTCGAATGAATCAACACCCCCATCTTCTGGACGGTAGTGTGGGCATCCTGGATCTGCTGATCCTTTTGGGAGCACTCCTGTCGATGGCTCTCAAGGGTCTCGTTGACCTTCCGGGCTAGCTCACTCCCCTTTTCCCTCTCAGCATCAAGCCCAGCCCGGTATGTAGTCCAGTTCTCGATCGCCGCGGCGTCTTGATTGGCGATGGTTTGCTGATACTCGGCGATGGCTCGCTGGTGCTCACGGTCGCTGTGGCTGGCCAAGGCTTGGCTGATAGCTGCAGATAACGACGAAGAGAGGGACTCTTGCCACTTGACAGTGTGCGCGTCGAGGATGCCCTGGAGGGTCGCGTGATTCTGCAGCCTCGCAGTTTGATCGTCCAACACTTGTTGAAGGCCGTCTTTGGTGATGAAAGCGCCAAGTGATTCTCGCAACTGCTTCGATTGGGAACCCAACGCTTGTTGGATGCTGTCCTCGGTTGCCAAGGCACCAAACTGAGCCTGCCAAGGCGCGACTTGGTCCTTCAACGCTTGTTGCAGGCTGTCCTTGGTAGCGCCAAGTTGATTCCTAAACTGGGCCGTTTGGCGAAGACCTTCGCTGGTCAGCAAGACGGCCAGGTGGTCCTTCAAGTCAGCAGTCTGAGTGGCTAGTGCTGTCTGGAGGCTGACATCGAGTCTGCGGTCCGCAGCCTTAATCACATCCTGGCCAGTTGAGGTGAGCTGCAAGTTCCGCCTGGAAAGGTCTCGGCACTCGGAGAAGCCTAGCCAGAGGTTTTCCTTGATTTCCGAGGACATAGTCCCTACTTGCTCTCTGACGGCGTCCTTGACTTGCTCCAGGGACAGAATCTCGCCTAGTCGTTGGAACAAGAAGCTGTCGAGCGCGCCGATTTGACTATTGAGGCTTTCGAGGCGCGGGACTACCGCGTCCTTGAAATTCGACAAATCCGTCGAGACGGACTCTTTAGGCGCGCCGAGTATTTTTTCCAGACCTTCCCACGCGGTCGTGATTTTCCGGGAACACTCGCCAATGGCCACCCTGAGGACGTTAGAGAGATCGCACCGAGACAGAAGGCGGGCAACGTACCGAGTGGATTCGTGGTCGGTGACTCTGGACAAATCTAGATCCTTGACCCGGCAAGTGAGATTCTCAGTATTAAGAACCTTGATGGCGGCATCGAACGCTTCGATTCTCTGTGCCAGGGAGGCTTGCCGTTCCTCGGCCTCCGTGGTGACTCGTTTTGCCTCATCCCGCTGGCGGTCCAGGTCTTGGGCAAACAGAAGCACATGCTGTCGAATCCGGTCGATGACCCTTGCTGGTTGAGGTCCCGTTGTCAACAAGTTCAGTACTGCTTCGAGAGATTCCATCGTGATGATTTGAGGATGGAGTGTTTGTGTCATGTAAAGAGTTGGCAGGCGGGTTGCGGGGCTTGTCTTGTTGGGTTGTTGTTTAAGGCAGTATGAACTAATAGTAATGGCCGCCGACGAGACCGCAGCAGGGCAACTGCCAGCTGAGAACACTTAAGAGTTCCCGTATGATTGATTTGGCTCTGCACTGGGACACTCGCTCCCTTTTGGTTAGCCAGCGTCTTCTTAAATATTTGCTCAAATAGTAATACGCGAAAAGGAGTATTCCTGTGTTGTCCTTACTGCTTTAACTGTCCTAAGTGTAACCGGCTACAATCCACTAATGATGGCCCTTGAAAGGCTCTGGAGTTTAAAATTAGTGGTTGGTCGATATTCGTGGTTGAGTTGTCCGATACCCGTCGCCGTCGCCCAGGGCAGAGAACAGGTTGAAATGGAGCCTCCACGTGAAGTCGCCGTAAGGTAGAACTTTATTATAAAAGATCCGCAGTTTTAGTAGGCTCGATTAAGTAGGAGGTTGTATGACAATGGATGCAAATTTTTAAATGAGATTGTTAATGTCAAATGTTGTTTTGGCCCAATAGAGGAAAGTGATTGAGGGCAGCACTTGAAGGAATACAGTAGGTACTTGTACTTTCACTCATTCAATAGACAGAGACACATATGCATTTTCATGATATCAATTCAACTCTCGTACTCAATCGCAAAAGCCCATACGGATCCTTTCTGCTTACTGGTCCTTGACCACGTACTCCAAGTCACCGGCCATCTGGTCGACCCACGCGCAGACATCGCTGACTTCCGAGGCAAGCAAGTGAGCTCGCAACGTGTTGATGCGAACCGAGGCATTGCCATGGCCCTCGGCCAGCACCCAGTCCAGAGCAGAATCTTGGTCCCTGTTCTCATACATTTGGAGGAGTTTGGGGCCGGCTTCGCGCATCTCTGCGACTAATCCATCAGCCCCGGCCTTGACGTCGGAGGGGTTCTCCTGGATCCGGCCCCAGGGTTTGTGGACGGGGGCTTCGACACCGATGGGCCTGTTCTTCGACTCGAGGCTCAACGCCTCCTTGGACATCTCGAGGGCCTTGGATCCTTCGACGGGAGTGGCCTCTTTGTCGGTTGCGGCAGTGGCAGCGGCAGTGGCCTTTGTAGCCTTGGCCTCTTCCGCCTTCAGATAGGCGGCGTACACCTGGGACTCACCCCCGGCCATGTCCTTGAGCGAGGGTGTGATAGAGCGCCATGGCCAAATGGGTTCTGGTTCCCCAGCCTCGCGAAAGTCCTTGACTGGGCATTGTTAGCGTAAAGAAAATCAGCAATCAACCTAAACTCACAGTTGTTGTACCAAATAGTGAAGTATACTGCGAGCTCGAAGTAGACAACACCAATCTTGGGCAGCCGCTTCTTGGCGTGCAGGAACCAGCACATGTACAACACAGCCACTTCCCTCCCCTTGTCGAGCTGTTCCTTGGAACCTCGCCCCATGTGCTTAAAAAAAGCCTCCATATGGGCTCGGCGTGAGCCAAGGTTCTCTGGGTTGACCTCTCGGTCGGGTTCGAACCGAACACCTGGTCGACCAGGTGGGCTAAAGTTGAGATAACTCTTGGGAGCTCCTTGCGATGCCATTTCGTGTGGTGGTGATGGTGGTGATGGTGGTAGTGGTTGCGTGTTGTCAATGTCGAAATAATGTGACGGTGACGGGTGAAGACGTGAAGAAGTGAAGTTGGTCAGGGTGTTGAAATTATTGTCTACCAAACACTGCATTCTCAGTTCAGTGCAGGTCCAATAGGCAGATGGTAGTTGAGCATCTCACTTTCTCCTCACTTTACTGCTCGAACTAGAATTCTGAAGTTCCTGATTGGCCACCGGTATGTTTGACTATTGATGCCTACTAACCTGCGTCCTGCATGCAATCTTGACAGTTGGCTACCAGCTGTCAAGAAAATCTGAACTGATAAGGTGAAATAATTAGAGTATTGCTATTCGCACACATTCAAAATACTAATCACACATAAGTATAACCTTTTACACCTAAACTGTACGCCCGCCTTAAGATATCTTATTCTGAAGAGTTTCCAGTTTCTACCCTAAAATAAATTAAGAAATAAAATTTAAATAGCAGAACTAAGAAGATAAATACTTAAAATACAACTTATTTAATTTTCTTAGGTTTAATATACTAATAGGTATATTATTAAGACTTCTTGGTGAAATTGGCCTATATACTTAAGTGTGCGAGTAGGATTTTGAGTATGTGCGAATAGCAATATCCAACAATTAATGTGCCATTATTCTCACAGACATAAGCACAACTCTCACACTCACATACTCAGACTCACACACCGCAAACAGACACTCACACACTATCGTACCTACAAGCTCACCTTATAGTTTACCCGCTCAGTTTACTCACTCATTAACTAGCATTGATATTAGACAAATTCAAGATGCCTCGTTGCGACCGCGAGAAGAAGAACAACGACCGCGCTGGTCCATACCAGCTACCCAGCGACAATGCCCGTGACGCTACGGGAAACGACAACAGAGCCTCGCGCCCAGGCAACGACAGCAACTGTGGAAGCTCGGGCTCCGGCGGCCAGATGACTTTCCTGTCGACTGCAGATCGGGTTGTCGTGGAAAACTCCCAGGGCACATTCTTTGGTCATACCCTGGTGAACCAAAGTTGAGGGGGCGGACCCCAGAACCGCATCGCTCCCCGAGTCCCCGACACCCGAACTTCCATGCAGATCCATACGAAAAAAATGGAAGACCTGGCCGATGCCGGCGAGTTCGTCCGCAGGGCTGCCGGCGTGAGAAGCGTTGTTGCGGAGATCTACACACCGATCACTGGAATACGAGTCAACCATGCGCGGGGGAACCTCCAGACGCGGCGTCTGTCGAGTGCACCATGCATACCACTTGCGGAGCGCCTTGCCGAACCAGTAGTTCCGAAGTGCGCTCACTGTTCTGGTCTTGGCCACATTGTGGCCGACTGTCCCCGGGCTCCTGAGGGCACCATCAAGGCGTGTCCCATGTGCCCCAACAACAAGAGCCATGTCGCCGACAAGTACGCCACTTTCTTCCAGGCCTCCATTGAGGAAAAGGTCCGAGTGCTCGTCTTTGAGCGTGGCAGCATGCCCGCGTATGAGACTCAGAAGTCATGGTATTCCTACCTTCTGGAGTACATGGAGCTTTCGGACTCCCAGCCGATCCCCGAGAGGTTTCCCTGGACGCGGGCATTCGCCAAAGTCCGCTCGAGAACCATCGTCCCGTTGCAAAGGGCGTTCAACAGGAACCGCGATCGGTCCCAGTTGCCCTCGGACGATGCCACTCGGGATTGGGCTGCAGTGGTCGCCCTCCATGCTTGGGCAGGTACGCACATCCACCGCGATGATCCGACCACCCTGCGCCGCGGCAGGGCCGAGAAGTCGGAAGAAGCCAATGCCACAAGCGAAACTTTGGCAATAGAGAGCCCAGAGGATACGAAGGAGGAAGTTCGGCGTCTCCGCCAACGGCTCAGTGTAGTGGAGGATCAGCTCGCTGCGCTGCAGACCCAAGTCCGGGACCTCCAGGGGCCGGAGCCGTCGCAGGCTCCCGGGTTGTGGCAGAATCCACGAAAGCGATTCGCAAAGGGTCCCACATTGTGGGAGAAACCTGAGAAGCAGGCCCGTCGTGAATGAGCTTGTGAAGTTGGGGGGCCGTATGTGGCAACGAGATTAGGTGCGGTGGATAATAGTGGTTAATTCTTGAGTTAAATGGAGGGTTAAATGATTACACCTGGGTGTGTCTGTACCTCCACCGGTGACCACAATACCCAACTATTACAAAATAAGCTAACTGTATTAATAGACTATTTACAACTTATTTATAGATTTTACAGCCCTATCTGGTAACTGTACAGACGCTAACATAATAATACTACTGCCTTTATCATATGTCGGGTGCCTCAACCCGCATCCTATTGCAGTGATAAACAAAGATAGAACACCGACTAGAACCGAATACAAGAGCCCTAGCTCACATACCATCGAATGTAGGAGCTCTTCCCATACAAACCACGAGTAGCCTTCCCAGCATCAAGGGAACCAAGCATCGCTGCAAGATGGAGCACTCTCACTTTGGATCATTATGCTTGTACATTGTGCCAGTTCAGTTCTTTCCACCCACCAACTTCCAACCCCAGCCCTCGACCGTCGTGTACGCCTGGGGCCAGAACGCGATGTCAAGCTCCTGAGGTTCCTCTGAACCTGCTGTCCTCCTTTCTATCCTCAGCTCCATCTTAACCTCGAGGTGGTCCTTGCACTGGTTCAGATCTGTCCAAGAGGTGATGAGGTCGCCGTCCAGAACGCCAGCTTTAGCAGCCCTCGAGTCTGATCGCAGACCTCTCACAATTCTAGGTCCCCGTAACACACTTTCCTCGTCAAAGCCAAGGTCAAACGGCTCCATGTCAATACGGACGGCAACAGTTCCGGGTATCAGACTGTGCTCAGGGGGAATGATCAGCTTGCCAGAGTTATGGTGCTCATATTCCTGGCGAGCTATAGGACCGAGATCCTGGCCTAGCCGCTCAAGGAATTCGGCGAGGGTCGGGCCCTTTCCACGATTTCTGGAAAGTTGCACCATCGCCACAATCAACTCGTCAATGCCGCGACCCCCACCAGACGCTTCGCGGATAAGCGCCTCGAGGCGGACCCAGAAGACGAGACCTCGCGAGTACGGCAAGCGCTGGGCGTTTTGCGTCTTCCACGTGAGCTTATTCACCTCTTCGTTTGACAATGCTGCCAAGGGGCTAGTGTAGTACGCCTGGGCTCGGTAGTTCATCTCGTCGACGACGCCATGCTCGTCGAGCAAGCCTAGTCGGTAGCGTGCGAAGATGGAGTAATACTCCGCCAGACCCTCAGCATGCCACTGCGCAGCGTTAGAAATGTCGTCGCCCTCGGCAAGCTGCGCAAAGTTATGCGTCATCTCGTGGGCGAAGAGTGTGGTGAAGGAGTCGAGGGCCCAATGAGCTTTTTTAAGCATGAGGCCAAAGGAGCTAAGAAAGGCTCCGGGTTGGGCGAGGCCGCTGCGGACAACGTAGTAGGGGTCTTCTCGAAAGAAGATGCGATATGACTCCTCAGAAGACTGGAAAAAGTCGCACATGTATTCGAAATTTGTTTCGTCTCTCTCGCTACCTTGAGGATGTCGAATGGCAGCTCGCTTTGCCAGTATATGTTGAACAGGTTTCCCGATCTTGGAGAAGCTGCCGTGCCATGACTGGTTTCGTAGTCTTTCAAGCACTTAATGTGCCCTATCATGTAGAACGATTGGTGGAGGATCGATGGCTTTGCAGTTAGCCGTGCTGTGGATCGATCTGATGGGGAGTGCGTGAAGACGCCGCGAAATCCTTCCGGAGAGTAACGCAAGTCAAAGTCAACAGAGATAATGAGCTTACTCTCTCCGTCTTCAGGCAGCGGAAGGAAGGCGTAGCCAGTGCCAACGATGCCGCCGTTGTCAGCGCGCAGGTCAAAGGCCGGGCCAGTCTTCGTGTCGAGCCCGACAGCTCTGGGCAGAGCTGTCGCCAAAATGATGGCGTCGCCATGTGTCGGCCTCGTAGTTTTCCATTTCCGCAAGATGATCGGCGGTCCTTCCGGGTCGTCGGACTTTTCCAACTCAAGCGGGCCAGCCTGGTCAAAGGCTTTGAGGGCGTCGCCGTCATATCTAGCAGTAGGAATCTTGGCTAGCTCAAGGGGCAGCTGCACCAAGACATCACCAGGGCCCTGGGCAGGCTGTTTAAACACGACCTGGGCGATCAGATGCGTGACTGTCTCGTGTAGGAGGCCGGGCGTGATGGTGACGGCGAGGTCTGCCTACGAACTTGAGCAGGCCCATCTTTTGGCTTCCGCAGGCTTCAATCTAGCTTCTCTCGTCAACAATCACATATGGGACCACGAGGCGTTGGGAATGGTTACAACGCGCAACAATCTTCGTCACGCCGGTATACACTCCGCTGGTTGCGGCCTGTCGCTTGCCGAAGCCCAGCAGGCAACGTACGCCGACAGAAACGGCGTTTGTCTAGCACTTGTGTGCGCGGCTAGGTCGCACACACCACAGTCGGTCGCTGGGCCTGGTGATGAAGCAGCCTTCCTCCGACCTCGACCCGGTGTGAACGTTGTGCGAGCCAGGCACGTCACAGTGTTGAACGACAGTGACTTTTCTGTCATTCGCAACATTGCAGTCGCTCAGGGCCAGGATCTCGCAAGACTCGATACCGATGTGACGCTTCACGCGGGACAGCACCCAGTCTTCTCGTCACTATGGCGTCGCGGTCAGACCATGGGTCCTCCGAGGATTGTGTGGGATATTAACCAATCTGACCTTGACGGTGTGAAAGCTTCCATACGAGAGGCCATAACGAAGTCCAATGGCGTCATCTTCTCCTTTCATGCCCATGAATCTGAGTCCGGGACAGCTGATGCGACCAACCATCACCGTCGCCGTATACCTTGCCCAGCTGTTTGGCTTCGTAATGGGAAAGGCGGCGGCGACGTTTCTACCCTCGAAGGTCTTCTTCCAGGCCTCGCGCTTTGCCTTCACCCTGAATCCTGGACCCTGGAGCATGAAAGAGCAAACCCTCGTCACTATTATGTCAAATGTCAGCTATAGTGAGTATTTCGCTGAAGACGACTGGATGGTCCTTTCTAATTGTCTTCTCAGTGGCCCCTGTCATGACTGAGCTGTTCTTTATCCAACGTCTTGACATGTACCTTGGTCTGGAATGGGCAGCGGACTTCGTACGTAGACCCACACGTCTGGGAAACATCAAAGTCAAACAGATCTAACCTCTCGTGGCAGGGATATGGCTTGTGTATGCTGCTTTCGTCCCAACTCCTAGGATTCGGACTTGCCGGCTTATGTAGAAGATTCTTGGTTCACCCTCCTCACACACTCTGGTATTTTGTCCTGGGACAGACTGCCATGAACAGGGCTTTCATCCAAGGCGAAAATCCACTCACCAACGGCTGGAGAATATCCAGGATGAAGTACTTCTTCGTCGTCTTCGCATGCGCCTGGTGGTATGTGACACATATCCGACACGAAAAACCAGGCCAATACTGACCAAACCACTCAGCTATTATTGGATTCCGAATACGATGTTTCCTACGCTGACCTTCTTCAACTGGATCACTTGGATCAAGCCTACGAGCGCCGTGGTAGCCCTAGTGACCGGCTCATACTACTTCAACTTAGGCTTCAACCCTCTGAGCAGTTTTGACTACCAGTGGTTCTCGACAGTTGATCCATTCGTTACCCCGTACTTCATTGTGGTGCAGATGGTTGGCTCGACCGCCTTTTAGGGTCTCTGTGTCATCATTCCCGTCTTCTTCTCGAACACCTGGGATACCGGCTATCTACCCATCAATTCTTGGCTGCCTTACGACAACACGGGGGCTCCATACCAGGCTCAGCTCATCCTGGGCCAGGACCATAAATTCAACCAGACTGCTTACGAACAGTATTCGCCGCTTCTTTTGCCCGCAGCTTTCGTTTTGAGATGGGCCGGCATGATGGCACTGCTTCCGGCCATGCCTGTCTTTGTGTATCTTTGGCATAGGAAGCTATTCGCACCAATCTTCCAGAGCTGGTTCAAGAGCGATGCGCATACGATGTGGGAGAATGACGTACACTACCGCCTGATGAGCCGCTACAATAAAGCTCGGCATGTGAGTCGCGTGCATCTACCCTGATGACTAGCTGCACATCTTAATTGGCAACGAAAGTCTGACGCGTGAGGATAGTATGTATACGGCGGCATTGCAATCATTGCAATGGCTCTTGGTATAGCTGGCGTATACGCTTGGCCTGTTGGCGTGCCATGTGTAAGTCGTCTCTCTTCCATGCGGATTCAATATCTTAGAATTCTAATATGATACTGTAGGGATTTTCCCAGTGGTGTTTATCCTCAGTGGTTTCTTCGTGATCCCCGTTGGCCTCCTCACTGGTGTAGCAGGCTATGCCACCGACCTAGATTTCATCTTCAGCATCGTACGTCACTACTTACCGCCTGCTAGCTCAGGAGATTAATCGTGTATTGTCACTACAGATAGGCGGATACGCGGTCCCTGGTGACCCTGTCAGCATCTTCGTCTTCAAATCCTTGGGAAAGTGTGTTCTGCGACAAGCCACATACTTCTTGTCCGACATGAAGCTTGGTCACTACAATAAGATTCCACCACGGCTTATGCTAGCTTCTCAAGTGATTGCCACTATTGTTTCGGTGATCACATCGCTTGGGATCATCAAGTTCCAACTAACTGGCATTCCTGGGATCTGTAACCCGGTGCTGCAACCAAGGTGGATCTGCGGCAACGTGGCTCAAAGCTGGACCACCTCCATTGTGTGGGGAGCTCTTGGTCCCTCGAGGCTCTTTGGGAGTGATACCCCCTACAAAAAGCTCCCCTGGTCCGTCTTGGCTGGCGTTCTGTGGCCTATTGTCTGGTATCTGGCTCGACAACGCTGGCCCAACAACGTTTTCCGACTTTGCCATTCTCTCGTTCTTTGTGAGTAACTCTTCCTAGACCCTTTGCCTGACTTGGACTGACAAACGTGTACAATTAAATAGTGGTAGGACCAATCTTGTGGGCACCCCTCAACTTTTCCATGGTATGGCAAGGTTTACCAGTGTCTTTCGTATTTGGATACTGGATCAAGTACCGGTATGTGGAATGGTGGAACAAGTACAACTACATCACTCCCACGGCTCTTCTGTCGGGTATCGCCTTTTCGACCATTATTCAATTTCTGGGTCTTGCTAATCGGGGGATAACTGTAAGTCGTGTCCTTCAGCGCACTGTAATTGTGCTTCTGCCAACAACCTATCACAGTTTCCCCAATGGTGGGGCACAACGCAGTATATACACGTGTGACTTTAAGGACTGTAGATGGTTGACGGTCACTCCTGGTGAGCCTATTGGGCCCGCAGAGTAGCACTAATTCGCTGGATAGGAGACTGCCCTGGGGAAGGACTGGCTAGGGAAATGGGCGTCTTGACCTCCCATAAGGTAGTAATGAACTGCTTTTTGTCGACTGAAATAAGAAACGACGTCCAAGCGGGCGATGTCATGCGTAACTTAGACATGAACTTGTCCGATCATTGGCTCGAGTTGTTGACGCATGACATTGTTTACAACACTGAATTGTCTCACAGCATTCACGACGCCATCATGGATAGGATACAAATGTGGCCATATAGAATATTACCTAATTAAATTGAATTCATTTGCATACAATAAAGGCTCCGGCATCGGCTTATTAATGGATAGCCGGCAGAGTTGCAATGCTCACAATAGACTCACATGACGCCATGTGCCTGCGTATGACGCGACCGGATCTGGGGTTCATCTAGCACAAACCCCGAAAATCACGACATTTACCTATAATGCTATTAAGCATTCTCCCACTTAATCCGACATGAAATCTCCATCCATGTACGTCAAGTGCACAGCTAGGAGGTAATGCAATCTTCCCGACCCCACAAGCGGCAGTGAGATGAATGCTCGCGATCACGTAATTGCAATGGATTATTAAGAATTGATACCCTTCTCATGGTATATAAGGACTAAATTCGTTTGCAATACTTGTCAATACAAATCACTCTATTCTTACGCCCTTCTACGTATCCACTCCAACATGACAGGCCTCCCTCTTTACGACACCGTCATCCCCACCTTGACAAAGGGATTGACCTCTTTCGACCACGTCCTGACCAAGGCCGAAGAGTACGCCAAAGAGAAAAATCAGGATGTGAATGAGTTTACTGAGGCCCGCCTCGTTCAAGATCAACTTCCGTTGGCCTTCCAAGTTCAGAATGCCTCAAAAGCAGTTCAAGTCGCTGTTGGCCGATTGACCGGCATTGAGCCTGTCTTTTTCGAGAACGACGAGAAGACATTTGACGATCTTCACAAGCGGATTCAAAAGACTCTGGAGGAGTTGAGGAATGTTGATCAAGTGGCGGTGAACTCTCGAGCGGGCGAGCTCGTTGACTTGTGAGTCCCTCGCCTGAGTCCGTGTCCAATCTAACAACATCAGGTTTATTCCATGGGCGGGAACGACTCAACAAGTTTCAGTCGAGCAAGCTGTATTGACTCACAACTTCCCCAACTTTTACTTCCACCTGACTACTGGGTATTCCATCTTGCGGGCCAAGGGCGTGCCTTTGGGGAAGAAGGACTTTCTTGCTAGCTTCCTTGGCTTCTAGTCATGTATTAGCAGTGAATTAAATAGAATACGCTTACAAGGTCCAACTCTTACAACCTTGTTAATTCCTCTTATAGTCTCGGTTGCGTATTCGTGAGTCCCATGGACTAGGCGTAAGAGATGGAAGTTGGAGCCACATGACCACCTGAAAGCTACAAAAACCGATATGAGGAGAACATGACGTTGTAGCTTCAGCAGATGGAAACGGTTCAGGCGTGAAGAAACCGACAGGCGGCATAGGTATCGCTCGGGAGCTGACCATCTGTGCTCCTGTTCACCGGTGGAAGATTTGGCGGCTCTTACGTTTACGAAGATCGCGAGGTACAGACACACTCAGGAATAATCATGCAACTATTGTCGATGCTATTGTTGGTGTCTTTTTTTTTAATGTTGAGCTTCTAGTCTCCCCCCTGGATAGTGTGTACTAGGGCATTCTAACTTCCTGATAATGGAACATTATTCTCCCACTCTTGGATGACGGCCATTTCGTGCTCGGCCGTCCAAACTTGGTCGGTAGGAGGTAGTCCGAGGATGGTATCCGGTTCATCCATTTCGACTGGGAGGCTGTTGTCGGATTCTTCATCGCCAGAGCTGTGACTGTGGTGGGAGCTCGACTCCTCGGATGGAGAGCAGCGCCTCTTGCTTCGCGGTTACGTCCCTTCGTTATCGCCGAGGCGGGAACGTTTGTATTTGCGATCGGACGGCATGCTTCATCCCATAAAATATTAGTTTGTAGCGCTGAAGGAAACATACATACATACATACATACTGCGCTATATAGATCTGCAGTGGTGCGACTGTGGAGGATATTTGGGGTGTCTTGCAGTTGAGTGAAGTTGCGAAAGTTCTGAACTTCTCGGCCGCGAACATCTCTGTATCTTTGGTGGGCGCGGTATCCACGCCAGTTCGGCTTGCGGCAGTCGCAGCACGCTGGAAATGTAGTCGCATAGTTGGTGTTTTCGGGGGAACTTGACTTGGGATCCCTCGCCGACCATACTCACTGGAAAACAAGGGCTAGTACTTCTCAAGTGAAGGAGGTAAGGTCGTATAAAGGCAGAGGGTATATATAGTGTGAGAAGTGTGGGTTTTAGGATGTTGGTGATGGGAATGGCAGTGTGCGTTGACTGGGTTATATAAGTTAGTTGGCGTAGAGGCGAGGAGGTCAATAGTGGTTAACGTAGGCAAGCAGGTAGGAAACAAACGCAGAGCGTGACTGATGTTTTGTTTGCATATTGAAGTAGGCAAGCAGGTAGAAAACAGACACAGAGCGTGTCCAACATTATGTTTGTCCATTGCCGAGATCACTGTCAGGTTGGTCGCGCGACCGGTTTGAAGTGGGAGAGGAGGTATGGATGATGCGGTTTTGGAGTGGAAATGACAATCTCATACGGACTTCCCGAGCCCCGACCTTACGTGAGCAGTTCCGTCTCCCGGGTTGATCATGTTCACGGGTGTACCGACCAGAACTTGTCGAGAACCACTCGTTTGTTTTCTAGAACCTGTCCACACCGAACGTCACCATCACTGGCATGCCCATCGAGAGAGATGCGAGCTCGTGGACTAGATTGCCGAGAAGAAGAGTGATGGATCATGCATGACAGCGGGAGGTTTGGCAGACTGGACGAGTGGTGGTAGACGATTTGGGAGTTGAACAATGACAACGTTTCGTTTGTGAAGTGTGCGACTAAGCTGGATCACCTCGTGCCATCAAATACTATTATGTCTTCTCTTCGACCTTTCCTTTTTCAGCTTTGTTCTTGTTCACTTTCTCCTCTTTGACCACCTCCTTGAGCTTCTTCTCCTTGGGCTTCTCCTCCTTGGGCTTCTCCTCCGTCTTGGGCTTCTCTTCCTCAAGCTTCTCCTCGTCCACTGTCTGCTCCTTGGGCTCCTCGTTCTCCTTCACCTTCTCTTTCTCCTCCACTTTCTCCTCCTTGGGCTCCTTCTTGGGCCTATCCTCCTTAAGCTTCTCCTTCTCACCAATTTCCTCCTCCTTAGGCTTCTCCTCGGGCTTCTTATTCTCCTCCACCTTCTCCTTCTCCTCCACCTTCTCTCCCTCCACCGTCTCCTCTTTTACCCCCTCCTCCTTGGCCTTCTCCTTAGCCTTCTTCCTCGCAGCTTCCCACTTCGCAGACTGCTCCCGCTGCGCCTTCTCCCGCATCAGCCGATCCTCCTCCTCCTTGTTCAACGCATCAGCCCGCGTCTGATCCTCCTGTTCCTTGGTAGCCTTGACGCCCTTTAGCCGCTTAATCTCGGCCTCGACCTTGGCCGCCAGCTCAATCCTGGCCTTTTCGTTCCGCTGGGCCGTCTCGGCCTCGATGAGGTCCTTGGGCGAGGTCGGCACGTAGGGGCCGCGCTGCTTGCCTTCGACCTTCTCGACAATCGGCACTTCCTTGTCCGGTCCGCCGTCCGGTCCGGGAAACTCCCACTCGGCCCGGAAGTGGCCGACTTGGTCGGTGTGGCCATTGGCCTCGGGCATCCAGTTGATGTGGTTGTCGACCTTCATGTGGAAAGGCGGCTTGTTCTTGTAGCTCCCCCAGTCCGGCGGCCGTCCCGCCCACACGACCTTCTTCACGGGCGGGTTGAAGATGCCAGCCTTCATCTCGCACAGCTCCTGGCCGACCCAGCCCCGGCCGTAGGTCATGTGGTCCACCTCGCTGTACACCCACCCGGGCGTGGTCTCGCCGCAGAAGTGGTCCAGGAAGTGCTCGGTGAGCCAAAGGAGCTGGCGGCGCGAGCACGGCTGTCTGAAGCGCTTGTAGTTGCAGAAGTACACGACCACCTCGCCACGCCGCGCCGCCGAGATGTGCGCGCTCCGCCCGTTGACGTTCCACCGCGTGCAGTAGCTGCCGAGGTTGTCGAACGCAATCTGGTAGTCGGCCGGCTCGTACGGCGGCGTGCTGTAGTTGCAGTCCCAGTCCTTGACGTGCACCGGGAGATCTCCGTAGTCGCCAGGGATGTCGTGCGCGTGGAGTAACGGAGGAATACCTTCTGGCGGGTACCCCGGGGGGCCCTTGTGGAAGAGGATCTGGTCATCCTTGAACTCGTACGGGCGTTTGGGATAGTTCTTTTCCTCGTGCTTGGCTTCGGTGTTCTTGATACTCTCATCCCCATACCAATCGTGTCGTTTTCCAAGTTTGGCCGGGCTGTCTCCATGCTCGGCCAGGCCATCGACCTCGTGGAAGAGCTCATCATCTACAATCTCGTGGGAGCGTCTGACCAGGGGTTTGCCTTCCTTGTCGTCCTCGTGGGGGAGCGTGATGTGGTAGACGCCGTCGGGGAGATGTCGGGGAAAGACCCAAGCGGCGGAGAGGGTCGCCGAGAGGGCAATGAGTACGATGTGCGACTTCATGGTGGTTGATTGTGTATTCGATCATTGTGATGCAAAATTTCTTCGGAGGCTGTATTTACATCCCTGACCTTGATGGTAGGTTTGCAGATTTACCCCAGCGGACACCATGATGGACCATGATAGACAGTGTCATTTGATCCACAACTTAGATGCTCGTCTCGACCGGTAGAATGAGATCCCAAGATACATTAATAGAGGACAGACGACAGACACTCACTTAAACATCGTACAGTTCAGAAACATTGCTCAGCTTAGTTCAAACTCGACACACGTCGCTTGTATTCTAATGCAAAATCCTCCTCAGAGAAACATCGCTAAAACCATAAACCCATGCAATACCATCTACCATGATGTCTTGCCCCATGAGCCAGGCATGGGACCAGTCCCGGCCAGCAATGCCCAATAGCAGACGTCTCGTCGCGTCTTGTCAATCCCAAGAAAACCCCGGGCCAAGTTGCCCCCCAGAACCAGTACGCCATGCAAACTAGGAAAGCCTCGAACGCTTCCAGGAAATCGAGCCAATCCTTAAATCAAAGCAGACCTCCTCTCATATCCCATTATCCTCATCACATAACCTCTTCGTGTACGTCTGTCGATTGTGTCTATGTCGACATTTCGTCCTGCTCCACTTTAGTGGACACTGCATCCCACCAGGGGCCGTGTGCTGCTCGGTCGACAGAGCCAACCCTGTCGAGCAGATCGGAAATCTGGCGGACCTTGTCCACAAACTCAGACAATCCGAGACTGGCGAGCTTCTCGCCGGCAGTGTTGGCCGCCTTGACCTTTTCGCTGGCCGACCCAGGGGCCAGGCGAGCAAGAATATTGCCTCGAAGACGAGTGAGCAAAAGTCGCAGAACCGGCTCTCGGGGCTCAGTTCCCTCGAGGGCCATCTCCTGGCTGGCAGTCAAGACCTTGGTCACGAGGGCCCGAAGATGAGACTTGGTCGCCGTAGGCATCGATCTACCCGACTCTAGGGCAGCCATAGTGCCATCAACCGAGGTCTTGAGTGGATGTTCGGCTTCCAGAACCGTCATGATGCGGGACGCCTCGGTCTTCCAAGAGGAGCGGACATCACGCTTCAGCAGGTTCTTGCACTGAAGCAGAACCGCACCAACAGTGATGATGCGCTGAATCATGGTCGATACATTGTTGATGCGAGTTTGATCCAGGCGCAGCATTTCAGGAATCTCCTCCTCGGGAGCAGGTGACAGTCTGGTAAAGACATCGACGAGCATCTGCGCGTAGAATCGCCCAGCAGTGGGTCGAGACCTGGGATGGCTGATGCCTTCAGGGTCCCGCCTCTGCACTTCTGCCATGACCTTGGAGCGGGCCGATCGCCAAGCCGACTCTGCAGCCGCCAAGCCGATGTTGGTCTTTTCAACATCCTGGGCAAATCTCTTGGCCTCGTATTGGGCCGCGGACTCAATCAGCTGCGGAGCCGCAATCCTCATCAGGTAGTTGATGTAGTCGCAGAGCATGACATCGATGAAGCCATTCAGTGCTTCGACCCGGTCAATGAGGTTGCCATCTGCCAGCTTGTTCTGCACCAGGTCCTTGACTTCGTCGTCCCGGAACGGAGCACACAGCTTGGGCAGCAACGATGCCATGGCCGAGAAAAACCTTTCATAGGAAAAGTTGCCAACTGTGAACTGTCGCTCGGCCATCTCGGGATCCAGAATCTCCCCAATGAGGTTGTACATCGAGTTGCCGGGTTTCAGGAGGCGCTGCAGCTTGTCCTTGATGTTGCCTGCCATCAGAATGAAGAAGCGGAAGTTGGTCTCGTTGTCGCCATCGTTGACATTGGCCATGCTAGCCCTCATTTGCATGTAGATGGGCTGGGAGAGCGCTGCCTGCTGCTCCTGGTATTCTTCAGAAGTTATCTGGTATTCCTTGTTGATGGCCAACTCGTGCACCACCACCCGATTGTCCGGCAGCAACCCATTGAGACCCGCCTTGATAGGGGGCTTGGACTGGCTCTTGCTGGCTGGGGTGGGAGGCGGAGTCAACGTCTGCGAGTCGGGCGAGACGAGGCTCTTTGCCGTCTCTGATGCCTCGCCGGGTGCGCTCTCGGCCACGCGAGGCTTCGTATCGCCAGTGCGCTTCTTGGTGGAGCGGGACTTTCTGGCTTCGGCGACGGCTTCGAAGATCAGCTTCTTTCCCTTGTCAGGGCCCGCCAGCTTCTTGATGCGCACGATAAGCATCAGCTGGTTGTCCTGGATGCTCTGCTTGTAGAGCGCAGCCGCAGCGTCGTCGGTGGTGTCCTTGACGGTGTGGAAAATGGCGTCCAACTCGACAAACTGCATCAGCATGACCTCAATCAGGGCGTTTGAGTCTCGAGACTTCCACGCAATAAAGGCGTTGTAGAAGGTGGCGTATGCCTCGGGGAGTGTCTTTTTGAGTGCTGGCGGCATGGTGTATCGGTTTGCAGACGTCAGACGGGCGAGGATGTTCTCAAACGAGATGAGGACATCCCGCGCTTTGCCAACGAGGTCCTGTAGCTGAGGATTGGCAAGATCCGTCGAGGGTAGTCGGTGAACGGAAAGTGCGTCGACAACCTCCTCGTCGCCGTCATTCTTGTTGATGAGGACTTGGTTCGGGTGGCCCAAGATGAGAAAGGCACTGAGAAAGGTCCGGACAGCGGCCATTTCGCCAACCGAGCCGGGGTCACCTTCATGTAGGCCGCATGTGCGGAGGAGCCTTGCAGTAATGAGCAGGACCTTTTCCTGAGCCAGGAGCTCGACAACGGTGTCAAAGTGGGTGTCTCTGATGCCGTCGACAGTCAAGCCCAGGTTGGTAAACTCTTGGATGGTCTTCTTCCGAAGACACCCGTGCCACCATCCTTGGATACGTGTGGCAGCCTCGTCCTCGGTCAGCTTGCGCGTCTCCCGCTCAGTGACCTGGGGCATGACCTCCATGGGCTTCCTCGCCATGACGCTCTGGCCGCGGCGCCTGGTGGCATTCTTGGCTCTAAGTTCCTCCCTCCTCTTCTCAGCTTCGGCCATTCTCTCCTCAATCTGGGCCCGCATCTTGATGAGCTCCTGCTCACGCTTCTCCTTCATGAACTCGGCGACCTGCTTGGCCTTCTTGACCTCTTCGGCACAGCTGGCCACAATCTCGGCCAGGTTGCGCTCTCTGGCCTGCTGTGCGGCCAGGGCCCTCTCTTCGGACAGAGAGGTGTCGCGGTGAGTCGCCTTGGCAAGGGCAGCACGGAGGCGGACCTTTTCGGCATGGGCGGCTCGATCGGCGAGCCTTGCCTTGCGGTCCTCGAGGAACGAGGTGCGTCGAAGATGCTGGGCGACATGCTTGCTCTGCTCGCCGTCGCGGTGGATGGGGGGCTGGATGGAAGAGCAGCGGGACTGCGCAGAGGAAATAGAGTTGCGGCGCGACGAGGCAGCCGAGTCCCTGCGGCGGGCGGCCGAGGGACGGTAGAAGCGAGCGGCTATGCGGGGAGGAGGCGTGTAGATTCTCGGGTCCTGGTCGAGGTCGAGGTCGTCGTCGTCTTCGTGATCGTGTGGCGGCATGGCGAGATCGACGTCGGTGTCCATGGAGTCGTCTGAGGGCGCGCCATTGGACTCTTCCAAGTTGCGCGAGGGCTCTGCGAGATCGAGGGAGGGGCGGCGCATGGTGTCGGTGGCTGGCGTCAGCTGGGACATGATACAGCGAGCGACGATGCAGATGCGGATGCAGATGCAGATGCAGAGATGTTGGATGTAAAACGAGGGAATGAGCAGCCGGGAAGAATAGTGAGGGCTTCTCGTGATCGGCACGAGATCGACGCCCGGCTGGCTTCGTGGTATGCGCGCTGCTGGTGGAAGATGCAGTGGGACGCAGTGGATGCAGGACAGAGGAGACGGTCAGCGTCGCAGGAGCGCTGGAAGAATCCCCCGAGTCCGCGGTGGCGCAGTGGGCTGCGATGCCAGGGGGATGAATCAGCACAAGACAGAGTCCAAACACCCGCTAAGCTGGTGGCCCCTCGCCGGCGGCAACAGGAAGAAATGAAGGACTGCGGGCGGTGGTTATGTATCTCCACAAGAGAGAATGGGGGGGAGAAGATGCAAATATGTATGGTTTGAAGCTGGAGGGTGAAAAGTAATAGAAAGACGATATTCGACGTGGGGAGGGAGGAGGGAGGAGGGGAGAGAGAAATAAAGATAGAAGATCAAGGTCAATGATGCAGGAGCCAAGACCAGACGAAGAACCAAATAACAGGGAAAGCCTGACTATTCAAGCGGCGGGAGGGCTTATCGTAGTGCACCAACCCAGATGCAGATGCAGGTGCAGCTACTTCTATGCAACTTAGCTGCAGATTTCCAATGTGGCTGGGAGTAATGTCCTGTCTGACAGATGTGCAACTGGCATTCATTCATCACAGAATAATACACATAGAAGAAGCCCTTGGCAGCCAGCAGAAGCATGAGGATCCATCCCAAAGCGGTCCTCTGGGGAGGAGTGGAGATGGAAAAAAAGCTGGGGCGGATGTCACAGAAGGTTCCAGCTTCGCCGGCCACCCAGCCAGCGCAAAATCAAGCACTGCAAAATAGCTGAGCAAGGCTGCGAAACAACCGAGTCCCTGCCTGCCTCAATCAATCAATCCATCACGTCTAGCCAAGCCGCCCCCCCGACCTACCGAATCCAGACGCCGTGCTCCCGTATGCGACAGCGCTAGGTCGGCAGGCCACTAACAACCAGCAGCCAGCCACTGAACAAGGCCCCTCCAGCACCCATCGTATCTGCTAGCAGCCGCTGGCTGGCCTCGAAACGGCCTGGGGATTGATTACGAATCCCAGCAAGACGAAGCTGACGGAACCAGGCAGCATCTTCCACATCGTCCACCTCAGCATCTCTCTAAACATGAGACCAACCACAAACATAATTGGCTCCCGGACATTAATGCCACAGAGCTGGGACACGAGCCACGTCCAAGCCCATGCAGCTCACTCACGGCCCGCCGGTCCACACACAGAAGCACACGCCTCGACGCAGCTAAGACCAAGTACAACCTCTCACGACACCGCGACGTCATCCCTCCCGTGCCCATACGCAGTCATCCCAAGTCATGACAACAACAACGCCCACACACCAAATGCAGCCACGCGCGCACACCCGCGAATCCCGGCCTTCCGTCCCGCCCATCTTCAGTGGCTTTTCATGCCTGCCGTAACATATCCTGCCTCGCTTTGGCGCTGGCCACTGAGGAACCAGCCGAAACTCATCACATGAGGGGGTGACCGACCCCCCGCTGCTCCCGCTCATGACGCCCTTGCCAGCTGAGATGGCGCATGAACATTCCATATCACCCCCCATGCCTACTGGCCAATAGTGCACTTATCGCGGCTAGCTCGGTGTCTATGTTTAGTGGCATTGCTCGATACGATCATGTCTTGCCTCGTAGAGACGACACAGCATAATGCGAGTGGCTGGGAATGTCGTTGGAAGTCATCAACACCAGCACATCATCACACTCGCAATGTATTCATCACCTCATATCCTATCAGAAATGTATTGCTTCATATATGCGTCCTTGTTGCTAATAACAAATGTGTAGTATATACGCCACGCTAGATCTGCGCTTCCTGCTTCTCCTCTCGCCGTTTATTCTACTATACAAGACGACGCAACCATTCCATAGATTGCAAACATCAAATCAAACCCTCTTGTTTTTGTCTCCCTCTCATGATATCGCATGGTCCTTGTTTCAACCGCAATCGCGATAGAAAGCAGAGAGCATTCCAAAAGCAAAAACATCCTGTAAAACGCCAGTTATCCATATCCTGCCCAAGCCATGGCGTTGCCTGCCAGTCCCGATGCAAGTATGCTTCATATGCTTTGCTGTTTCGCTTCGTCGAGATGCATTGTCCAAAAATCATGCATCGTCATCATTGATGCTGTCTCAGCAACGAGGCTGCTGGAGGCTCCCACTTCTCATCCTGCCGCTCGGGGCACTGGGTCCTCGGTCGTTCATTCTCGTCACCCACTCCAGTATCGTCTCATAGCAGAGCACAAACTGTCGGAGGCTTTGCACCATGCTCAGTCGCTGCTCTCTGAAATCCTCCACCGTCCTCTCGATGAGGTCCACGTTTTCATCGTGCACCCAGCTAGTGTCCAGTGGCATTGCGCCCCGTGACATTCGCTTCTCGTTGCTCAGTCTCTGTCCTGCCGTGTCAAAGTGCATCCTCTTATGCATTCTCGGTGACACATCGCCTCCATTACCTCCCATGGACACGTCTGCTTCAACCTCCCGACCCCTAGAAGCAGCAGCCTTGGCCTGGCGCTGGCGTTTCATCATGTCAATCACACTGTCAACGGTGCAGAATGCTCCTGTGCGGCCGCAACCCGCAGAGCAATGAACCAGCATCGGCCGAGCACGAGCATCCAGCTCGGGTTCGTCGTACCAAGTGATTGGGGCATGCTCCACAGATGACATCTTGGATCCCACTGACGTCTCGATCGGGAGAGCAGATCGCTGCATCACGTTGGCCAGTTCCACCAGTGCCAAAAGATGTGATGGCTGGGCCGGGGTTCCAAAGTCGGGCCACGACGGGAAGTGCAGGTGTGTAATCTCTCGGATAGGGTCAAAGGGGTGTGAGGCGTGTGACAGGGCAAACTTTCGCACAATCACGTATGGAATGTCGGCCTGGTTCTGCATCGGCTTCGGGGTCGGGACTGATTCCAGCGTAGTTGTCGTGTTTGCACGTCTCCGGCCATATTCTCCGCCTGTGGCTGGCGAGGGTGCATGCGAATCAGATCTGTGCTTGTCGATGTCCAGCGATACCTTCTTCTCGGAGAGCGGCTTCAATCTGATGGCGCCAAAATCCCTTGCCTTCCAGTAAGGGTGGCACTTGAGCTGCCCGCCTTCGGATTCAGCAGTCAACATGACAATAACGCGGACGTCCTGCTCCCAGATGACAGACCAAAAGTCCTACAAAAGTCAGTTTCATCCTCATAGGTCACGTAATCTCAACTCACCTCGAACGTCGCTGGGAGAGGACCCTGGGTAGCAATGTACCGCTTGTTGCTCCTCGAGGCCTTGAGATGGCTGGCATTGACGTAGTCGCACGACCCGGTTGGCTTCTCCTGTAACTTGACTCGTGCATGCTCAAAAGGAAGGATATCCTTGTATCGGTTCTTGACACCCTTCTCAACACCACAGAGTTGAATTTGGTTTTGCTTGCCACTGTTGCAGGGATTAAAGGCAGAATAGGCCGCCTTCATTCGAGACTGTTCATCCACTTCGATATGCAGGAACTTGTCCGAAACCTTCTTTCCATGGTCAGGCTCGGCCGCCGCTTCGCGAAGCCATCTAGGCAGCGATGGGGACTCGAGGGCTGAAGGTCTCGACACATCCAACTGGCCAACACCATCCGCCAAGTCCATGTTCTGTCGGATGTTGGAAAAGAAGGGGTTCGGGTCTTTGTTAGCTGTGGGGAGCATTACACCTCCAATGACTGGGGCAAATCCTCCGCCTCCGCATGGTCGTCCCGAGCTGTCGACTGTCGACTGGCTATCAACAAGGTCCGAAAACTCCTGCTGAAAGGAATTGAAACCTCCTCGAAGAATGCAGGTGGTCCCGGCGTAACCTTCGTTGGTAAACTTCTTGATCATGTTCTGAGCGGTCACTGCGTCACGCTTGTCCGAAGAGTGTGCGTCATAGACAACAATCGAGTCCATTTCTCGCCACCTGGCGAACCTTTCCGAATCGGGTCCTTTTTGGAAGGTCTGCTGGAGCTTTTGGATGTTAAAGGTAGCCCGCTTGAGGAGGGTTGTGGGGATGCACAGGTTAAGCGCCCCTTCGATCCTCGCGTTTGCAAAGTTTTGCGATGATCGGATGTCAAGGATGAGTAGTCGATCCTTGGCGCCATTCCGAATCATGTCTCGCAGTTGCAGGCCTGTAATCATAGCTGGCTGGTCAATCTCGAGTGACGTAGGCACTGTCTCGGCGCGTTTCAAACCTCCGAAACTGGGCGAGGGAGGATCAATCTTGTGCTCCATGACGGACAATCGAGGATCTCGATCCTCAGAACGTGTCAAACTCGTTCGCTGGGGAGGGAGATCTATAAAAGACGGGGGCTCGAATCGCAACGAATTGGTGGTTGGTGGAGGCTGAATGGACGATTCGGAATTGCGTTTCGAATCCGAAGACACATAGGCCGAATCGTGCGTGCCTTCCATGTCAATATCCATTTTGCTCATAGGTCGTTCTTTGGCAGAGTTCAGGGCGCGGCTGAAGGGGGACTCGGTGGTTGTCTCGCTCGAGAGGGTATGCCATCTGGGCGGTGGTCGTGGTCGAAGAGGACTCATGGCAGCTGTGGGTGCGTAGTGGCCAGTCGAGAGCGCAAACGACTTGCCCCTGTTCAAATCGGCCTGTCTCTTGAAAGCCTCGAACTCGGGGTTCGCATCGAGTGGAACCTGCTTGGGGATGGCGGTGCCAAACGACTTGACTGAAGAAGACGGACTCCAGTTGTCTCTAGGCAGGCCAGAGGAGACGTCGCGGGGATCATTATTGTTCGTTTCAACGATGAGGCCAAAGTAGTTCGGGCTCGGAGCTCTAGCATCAGGGACGACGCGCGGAGAGAGCTTCGGGGGAAGCGACTGGCCTACGGAGTAGGGCATGCGAGGCGAGGCGACAGGTGTCGATGTTTTGGGTTGTTTGGAGGCTCGCAAAGACTGAGAATGGGAGTGCGAGTGCGAATGGGTATGATGAGGATGGGATTGAGCAGCTGGAGTAGTAGAAAGCCTCGCGGGCGTTTTCATGGTATAATGGATAGGCGTCCTGTCGCCAGTTCTCGAGTCATGCATGGCGGTGATGGCGGAGTCGAAATCGACGTCATCTGAATCGGCCAAGTACGGGTATGGGAGACTGGCTCATAGGGCCATGGCGACGAGACAAGGGCGGCTTACGAAGGAATGGGGGAAATATTAGATCCAAAGGTCCGGTGAGGTCAGTGGGAGAAGTCTGAGGCAAGGAGCCGTCAACCAAGGGTTGAGGAGAAGATGGAGACGAGAGATGGGAGATGGGGAGTAATGGGATGTGGGTGAAGAAAGTAGCCGGTGGTGGGGTCTTGAGTGCCTGGAAGAGCCTTGGAACAGGCGAGCGAAGGGGGGTTTCCAGTGGGAGGGGGGGTATTAATGGGGGGCGTTAGGGAGTTGAGTAAAGGGGCTGTGTACCAGGGGAGCCGGGGAGTGAGCGACGGTGCCGAATTAGAGCAGTGACGTGACAGACGGTGATGGTGACGGGGTGTTGGAGGTGGTGGACGGGGCGGGCGGGACGGGCGAGTGAGTTGCTAGACGGGTCTAGAAGCCGCCCAGGTAAAGATGATGGTGGTGGCCAAGGCGAATTGCGATTATTAAGGCGATACGATGAACGATGACTGATGCGCGCAGGCACCGGAGCCGTAGGAGGCACCGGAGCCGTGAGGCAGGGTGTCAGATGCCCCGTTGGAAGATGCCGATGGCGGGTCGACGTGAGGGCGAGGCGATGCCGCGATGGTAATAGCGAAGTGCCGCGATGGCAATAGCGAGACCGCGATGGTGGCGTCTGACGGCCGATGACGCGGGTGGAGACTCGGTGACGAGAGCGCGCTCGTGAAAAAAGAAAAAAAAGCCAACTATTTCTTTCCAATGCGCGCAGCACGATTCTGTTGGTAACCAGAGCGAGCGAGGACCTAGAAAAGAATAATAGAGTGCCAGAATACGTCGTCGACAGAAGATGTTCAACCTTCAACCCAGTTCAGGCAGGAGGACCGGGGAGGCCAACGTAAAGTTAAATTGGGCCAGCGTCTTGCTTGCTCATCAATGAAGACAATGACACCAGGACAAAAGGGGACGAACGGAAGAACGAGGGTGCGAAGACGGTGAGGGCGTGCAACGGGTATGACGAGAAAGGGGGCGTGCCGAGTGTCTCGTCGTGTGTGTGTGGAGGCTGCGCCGAAAAGAAACAGCAGCGTGGGAGAGAAAATGGGCATGCGTGAGTGCGTGCGTGGGCGACGGGTCCAAGGGCCTGGTGGGCACGTTGGGTCCAAAACGAGTCGCTCCGAGACCGTTCCTGGGGCACTCACTGGTCTGCTGAACCTTGCTCCCAGGGATGCGATTTGAGTTGCTTCCGTCGCAATCCATACGACACGTCTTCCGTCCTCCCGTTCTGCCTTCGAGATTGGCAGCTAGATACGGAGCGAGCCTAAGTGCAAGTCAAAGCCCAGGGCTTCTTCATCCAGGTCGGGAATTAGCGGGGCGCGGGGGTGGAAGGATGATGGATCAAACAACGTCCATGTCGAGAGCCATGCCGAGAACGCCTCGCCATCAGGATCTGGCGTGGGATTGATTGTTTCTCGTCTGATGACGCAGCAAATTCCGGGAGGCTCTGTTACTTGTGTTACGCATCATCCATCCCCCTTCTCCTTCTCCCCTCTGCGGACATGATTACAATCCAGCACGGGCCGTTGTTTTACGAAAATTCAGGACACCTGCATATCCGTTCTCGTCAGCGAGCCGCTTGTCTCAAGCCACCCGGAGATTCTGCCCGCCGGGTGATGGGCGGTGGCGTGCTGTCGGATCTTTTTCTCTGGGCTCTTCTGCCCGGGTGTCTGGGTCTGGGGGGCCATCATGCCGCCGTAACCAACGGTTCCCCGGTGAGGACGGTAGCCTGTAGGACGGTCGCCTGGCACCCGGGCCTTGGAAGCTGGCAGCGTGGAATGGGGTGATGAGGCTGCTTGTGTTTGGTCGTGCTTGGTCGTGTGCAGTAATGATCGTCATCGACATGGTCACTCACGCACAGTCGGGACCGGGCCGGGGGGTGGCAGCAAGCAACCAAGCTGGGGGTGTCGAGGGGGAAGCCCGAAAAAGAAAAAACGTGAGACAGCTGAAGGTGTGTGAGGTTTGTAAAGGGACCGCGCAACCGTCGGGGCCTCAAAAGGGACCAGTTCGCGCTCATAGCACCTCGCGCTGTTCCCCTGGTTCCCTCGCTTGGCTATCGTTGGAGGAGATGCGGTGTAACGCGCACGAGGTAGGTGTCCGGATAACTAGGTAGCAAAACGAGCGTCACGTTGTGGGCGAGAACGTGATGGATGGCAGCTGGAGGGTGGTTCAGAGTTGTTCCCCCCTCACTTATCCCCCGCTTCGTTCTCTTTGCATGTCCCCTCGCCTTTTTATTTCCGTTTCCGTTCGGGAGCGCATGTCACAGAGCATGCAAGTCTATAGTTATCATCTCTCACAAAGAACCGTGGTGGTTTGTGGTTTGTGGTTTGCTGTCTCATCGTCGTCCCCACGCCGCGCACCCAGTCATGCTACGGGGTACGTACTGCTATGGCACGAACCGGCATCCCTCTGGAGCGCCCCCTCGTGGGACCGCCAATCTTCCAGCAACGCGACCCCCCGGCTCCCTGCAGCAAGACACACAAGACATGCCTAGATCCCTGCAACCGCGGACTGCTTTGAGGGCTGGGCTGGGCTGGGCTGGGTTTGGGGCCATCCACCATCGTCATTGAGGCGTCAAGGGTCCACCGTCGAGGGAACAGAAACCCCGTGGCCCTGGTCCGGTCTTCGCTTTCTCGCTGGGCTGGGCCCTGTAGCTGCGAGGCACCTCGCTCTGAAGCCTCTCCGCGGCCAACCAGAGACACGGGTGGCGCCCTCACCAACGTCACCGGCCCGCAGCTTGCCATCTCCACCACCCACCCACACAGTTGCAGTGAGTGAGTATTCATCGAGTGGTACGGCTTTGGACTTTGACCTTTGACCCCCAAATGACGCCGTGGTCCTCCGTCTTGTCCTCTGTCCGTCCTCCCTCCGTCGTGAGCCTCTCTCCGTTGTCTCCCAATCTCCGCAGTCTCCGTTGCATCTGCGTCAATACGGATGGGAGGGAGACTCCCCATCTGCGCATTCTTCCCTCCTTCCCCTCTTCACCCCACCCCCACCACCATTCATGGAATCATCACTCATCCATCACGCCTCCGTCACTCATCCCCCGACAATCCCCCGACCACATCTCTCCTATCTGCATCCTGCACCGCCCGGGATTCCGGAGTACAGCGTATCCCCGGACCCGACATCCCGGACAGTCTAGAACGGAGAAGCTTTTTCCCCCATGGCCCATAATCCAAGCCCATGACGGACGGACAGGAGCTTCGTCTGGCGCTTCCTCTGACGCTTCGTCTGGCCGCCAAAATTGAGGCTGTGGAGGCAATATGTAACGGATGACACTACGCCAGAGGTTTGGTGCAACTCAGCCCGGGCCATGGGGGCGCGCGGCATGACGTAGCAGCTGAGACTTTGGTAATCTTGCAACCGACTTTGGCTCGGGAGGCGTTCCCCACTGTAACCCTGCAAAACCACAGACCACTCGCCGACTCAAACAGTCTGCAATTCCTCCTGCTTCGATAGTCGCAGTCTGTTAAGGAATGGAGTAATCGAGGGACTCCAGCAATGTCTCTGGCGTGATGTTGGGGTGGCTATCTTCTGATCCTTGCCAATCCTGTGAGGCGCTTCCAGGCTCTGCCAGGCACTGCATCATTAAACTGCTGAGCTCCATCGTTAAACCCCAGGAGAACCCACCGTGCTACATAGTAGCCCTGCGAGTCCTTCTGAAGCACAACAAGTTACGGCCCCGGGTCCCCCATGTCCAGTGTTCAATGCCGAGTGAAACTCAATCGCCAGAATGCCAGGGAAGAGTGGAGTGGATTTGCCAAGAATCCAATAGCCCGGGCATGTCGATTCACGCAACGTTCTGCAGAGTCTCGGCTACCAAATTGGCAATTATTAATCTACAGTGTACAAAGTACGTACTGTACATAGTAGATGCCAGTAAACTTTCGGCCTTGACCAGGATTATCTGCTGACAGTCGCCGGCTTCGCGAATGGCAGAAGAGAGGGAGGGAGACATATTCCGAAGGCAAACCAACCCGAGGTTTTCTGGGGACAATGAGAATCAGACAATCATAATCAGACAATCGTACGGGTAGGCGGGCAGATAGAACAGCCACCTGGTCGCATTCTTATTGCTTACTACATCATGTACTCCCGCATCTTATGGTCGCAAATTGTCCTTCCAAACTCGGACGCCCCGTGACACGCACGCATCCCTCCCAACCTCGCACTCGCAGCTTTATTAAGCACCTCTCGGGATTTCCACGCCACATCCAGAACTTCCAAATGCTTTGCCGTTTTATGATTTGGCCTTCTGCCACCATCGCTCCGTTCTTCCGCCATTCCGTCCCACCGTCCCACCGTCCCAGCAACGGTCCCGAATCAAGTTCCCGATCGGTGTATGCGTATCCATACAACATCAAGCGCTCTTCCCTGGGCTACCCACACACCCTCTCACCATCACCATCCGTCAACCCATCGAACGGCCTGGACCCTGAGATCGTCCCCGTTGACCTGATCATGACATAGCTCACCGTTCTGGGGTTGCACGCGCGTAACCGTTTCCCCGAACCAGCAGGGTGAGGAGCCTAGTTACTACGCAGTAAGACCTAGGATGCTGTGTGGATCAACGAATGAGCCCTCTCGGCCATCCCTGGCCTTCAACCAGTGTTCAGCTCCGGCTTCGCTTGAAACTTAATCGATCAAGGACTACCAACCGCCTTGCCGGCAATGAAAACAGCGCTACACACACGTCAAGAGTCGAGACATTAATAATTGTCGTGGAACCTTGGTGGGGACTGGCACAAGATGGCTGGCCACCAACCAACCTAGGCACCCCAAAGCTGCCGCTAAACTTTGCGCTCGCATCAGTCCCCTTGACTCCTTACCGCCAGTTCGATTGTGTCGAATCCAACTAACAATTATTTACGGTTAGCCTTTGGAGGACCCGTTGCCACAAGAAGGTGCCGCGCACCCCCTTTGCTCTGAAGTATGTATGTCTTGAACTCCAACCCTAGCCTCCAAAGTCCCAGCAGGGCGGTCCGTTGAGGATCGGGGGGGGCATGAGGCACGAGGCACGAGACACGAGGCGACAGGGAAAGCAGGTCGAGCCCAGGTCAAGGCATCCTTACCGTGCGCGTGAATGATTGTCGCCATCCTTTTGGCCATCGTCTTGTCGCCATCGCTATGTGCAACGCAACCGGCCGGATCGTCTTGTTCATCTCCGAAATCCCCGCGACGAAGGATTTAGACCCATGACATACCTCTACGTACTAACTTACGTATAGTACGTACCGAACTCAGGGATCGAGACCACCTCCGGGTGCATCTCTGTGTCGCCTCCAGCCTCAATGACGTGTGTTGGACCGTTCTAGACGCTGACGATCGCCATCTCATCGAGCCAGCACACTATCAAGCGCGATCCGAAGGCATCGCCTCATCTGCTCTCTGAGCCATGCTGCCTGCGCCCCTCTGAACGTCAACGTCAACCATGGTCGCCAAAGCATCATAGCTCAGACATCAAAGCTTAGACGCAAGGCTCAAGGCTGTCGCCCGCGCCCGAACTGCCTAGCCATGCATACATTTTGCTAGCTGACGCCTAGCCACGTCGTCGGCCTCATGACGAGGGTGTGGCCTCCCGTCCAAAGGCGCGCACCCCTAACCATAGAAATATCCCCTATTCAGTAAGATGGCAGAAGAAGGCGTGGAAGTCGGAAATGTCCTCGGGATTCCTGTGGACCCTTGTGTCCACTGCGGCGTCGGGCTGAGGCCCACCTCCGGAAACCCGAGGGCTTCCCCGTCCTTTGCAGCCCCTGTTCGGCATGAGATTGTCTCGACGACCATTCTCGGCGGTGAACAAGCCTTGATTTCGTGTGGGGAATGACAAACTGTCGGGTCTGATGCCTGTTGCCGGGCACAGACGTTCAGCACCTTGCTCGAGATAGGAAATCATACGACCAGCCTCACCGATACAATGAGACCATCCCAGCTCTGTTCGGCGCCAACTTCGGCGTGTGGTGTCCCTGTTTGCCGACCTAGAGACATTTGGCCGAGACTGGTCGACAACTCACCTTTCGAGACAGGACAAGCCGATCACAGGCAACTTGAGATCCGTTTGTGTCCACCGCCAATTCACCCACAGGGAGCTCTTCGAGGTGCGGGTTGCGCGGGCTGGGCCGAGAAGCTGCCAAAGTATGTTTCACACGTCCCGCTATCCAAAGGCTTTCTCAAAGTTTTTGATCCACGCCAGCCCGCTGTGAACGAACCATATAATGTAGTTGGTCACAAGGCAGTTCTCCCTCAGTCGAGAGTTGCCTCAGTCGTCAAAACTTAAGGCGCCATCGTTTGAACCGCGATCAACCCAGCAAATGATGACATTAACAGTAGATGCCAGTCTCGGCCAATACATCTGCCCATAACTGGGCGTACTCCGGAGAGATGATAACACTCCGGTGCACCTCCAGTAAACTATCATGACAATGGAAGTCTCCTGTAACGGTCTAGAACAGCTTGTTCCTGGCAATGCCCCATAGTCTCCATTTCAAACACCATTCTGCCAGCCCGTCCGGCAAAACTTGCCGGTGCACGCCCACGTCCTGGGTGCTCAGCGTCCCAGGAGTTCGGTGCGCAAGACGAGTCCGGAGCCGTCTGGCGGGAGGAATGCGGGACGGCCTAGCGCGCCGGCAATAACACATATGACTCGTCGGTTTACGGCTTCGCGAACGGCAAGATCCAGGATGGGGCCGACGGGATGACCGGTGCTTCTCAGGAGCGCGCGCAGACTATGGAATGGGAAAACCTCTTCATCTGGGGATTTCCACTCACTGTTGCTACGGCGCTGGGACCGTCAGGGCCGCCATGCCAAGAGTCGAAGTAGAGCCCGTTTCAAGGTATGCCGCCGCGTCTGAACTAGTCTGGTCTGGCCAGCGGTGGAAATCAACGATTTTGAGTCATGGAACTGGCTGGATGGATCTTGGTATGTCACTCTTCTGCTAGTTCGCCACAGATCCAACGCTCTGAGTAATGCGACGGGACTCTGTGTCATGTTGTGTAGTTGTAGACAACTTCTTCATCTTCTGGCTGATGGTGATGGCCACAATGAGAACTGAAAGTCGTATGTCAGCTTCTCTGATCAACATTCCAACATGACATTACAGCCCACAAGGGTCAAATATACGCATATATGACATTAGACCCTGCCTACCTTGAGTCCAGGCAAGCAATATTTGTGTTTATAGACTTATTCAATACCATCAGATAGACCAAAACGATACGATAGTTGTAAACAATAGGCACACTTGCCCACGTCCAGTGCCGGGAGATACAGTAACTCGCCAATATGCCTTGCGGCGAGCCCTCGATTCAACCCTTCCGTCTTCAATCATTTAGTAAATGATACATAAAAGAAAACAAGTGCAAACCCCGGATTGGTAGGCAGTATGAACGAACTGTCCACTGTCGAGCCATCTGACCAGTTTGGGAGGAAGATGTAGGTTAAAATAAGAAACAATATCCAAGTCCATTTTGTACTTGGCAAACACTTCATCGGGGAATGGTGTCATATCTTCTCGTACACCCTTACGCCTGGCTTCCGTACACTGTAATTAACAATCACCTTAAATCGGGAACACAGCTACTTGTGCATGTCAGACATGACACAAGGTTTGGATGCTGGATCTTTCGCCCAGGAATCAGGAAGGTTGGAAACATATTCTAGTCAGTAGGGATCGAAGCACCAAGTGAGGTTGGCCGGTTTCAATAGACATGGTTGGTTTCAAGACAGTGTTGAAGGGGCTGTGTTAGTTGCAAGTCGAGAAGCTACCCGGCAGCAACTCTCAGATTGCAGAGTGAACAAGAACAGAAACTCAAGAGGAATCACCTAACAAACACACAACCGATGGAACCAAAAAGTACCCCAATACGAGGAACTTTGCCCGAATATTGGTACAATTTACTATCCTTACAACTCCTCTTCCGCTATCCCAGCCCTTCTATGAAAACCCGAGCCCTCCGCTCGTGAGCACCGGGGGCCGCAGCAACAAGAAAGACAAAGTCGTGTTTCGCATCGTGTCTACCCATTTACTTCCACAGCTTGCCGAGCGCCACCTCCTTGTCGTCGTGCTTGTTGAGAATCTTGGCCGTGGCGAGCTCAAAGTCCTCTTGGGTGACGTGGACTCTCCGCTCACGCAGAGCGTACATACCAGCCTCTGTACACACACCCTTGAGCTCGGCACCGGAGCATCCGTTCATCTTCTCGGCAATCTTGGTCAGGTTGATGCCACGGGTGAGGTTCATTTTGCGGCTGTGGATGCGGAGAATGTCGGCTCGGGCCTCGACGCTGGGCGGGGGAAACTCGATCTTGCGGTCGATACGGCCAGGTCGCAACAAGGCGGGGTCGAGGATGTCGAGACGATTCGTGGCCATGATGACCTTGATGTTCTTGGTGGGCTCGAAGCCGTCGAGCTGGTTCAGCAACTCGAGCATGGTTCGTTGCACTTCTGAGTCGCCACCAGAAGAGCCCTCGACTCGTGAGGAACCAATACTGTCGATCTCATCCATGAAGATGATGGAGGGCGCGTGCTCTCGGGCCATGACGAAAAGCTCTCGCACCATTCGGCTACCCTCACCAATGTACTTCTGCACCAACTCGGATCCCGACACTCGGATGAATTTACAGGCAGTGTGGTGGGCAACAGCTCGCGCCAGGAGGGTCTTTCCGGTACCGGGGGGGCCATACAGCAGGACACCCTTAGGTTGTGCGATACCAAGCGACTCGAAAAGCTCGGGGTGCTTGAGACCAAGCTCGATGACTTCCTTGATTTCCTTGATCTGCTGATCCAGACCACCAATCATGTCGTATGTGCTGTCGGGGACCTTCTCCACCATCATGAGGGAGACGAGGGGGTCGACGGATGAGGGGAGCATCTTCTCGAGCTTGTAGCTGTCGGACAGGAGGGTAACTCGCTTTCCGGGGGTGAGCTTAGCAATGTCGACGCTGTCGGACACATCGACGACTTGGGGGTATTAGAATGAAGCAATGGGATGGATTGCAGGGGTGTAGTCGACGCACCATATTTGCCTTCTGGGTGCACCTTGACGAGGATCTTCTTGGTGCTCATGACCTTGACGACCTCACCGACATAGGAGCCAGGCTGTTGCAGCAGGCCGAGCTCTTCTCGCAAGAGTCGCACGCGGGAGTTGTAGTCGTTGCGCTGGGCTTCGAGTCGGCGGAGAGCGGCTTGACCCTTGAGGATCTCGAGTTTCATCGCCTCGATCTTGTTGTGGTAGTACTCGTCGAGCGCCATCTTGGGCGGAGCTCCCGTCGGGGGTCGAAGGGAGAGGGAGATGTGATGTTGGGGATTCGACAGAAGAGGATCGGGATCGTGTGCGACTGGGCGCGGGGCGAGAGGCGGGAGACGGGAGACGGAGTGAGGAATTGGTGATGGTGGAGGGTCGATTTGTTTGGTGGATGGGGTTGCGATGAGGTTGGAGCTTGATGACAAGGCTACAGCTTGTATCGTCAGCCGCAGGCAAAGCGCACAGACCAATCTATGGGCAACGGATTTGGGAGGGATGTCGGAGAGTTGTTTCGCCGGGCTCCGACGAGGGCTCGAGGAATTGTGCATGCTGGGTCTAGGGTAGGTGACGATGCAGTGTCACATCATGGCCCTGCACCGCTCCACACTGCACTACCACTGCACCCACCACTGCATGGCAGAACCGCGTCACTGAACATGTCCGGGTCTGGAGAAGTGGGCCGCCACCGCCGAAGGAAGCGAGACATTCATAATGGATCATACTTTGAGCAGTCACTGCTATGCTGGCTGGGGATGATACACAAGCCAACACAATCCACAACGTCGTTCTTGACACCAAATGACGTTATCTGATCCAAGCGTCAGAGCACGCGCAAAAAGCGGCACAGGGCACTAAGCGAGCAGGGTAGTGATGCATTTGCACAGAGGTACAGGTACAAACTCTTTACCAAAAGCTCAGTTGAACTAATGTACAGAGCATGCGTACTACTAAAAGCGTTTATTAAGTAAGACGTCATCGAAGTCAATAAAGGAAATAAATAATGATCGTCACAAGGGATGAATATGAATTGCTCTTCAAAGTTTTGTTCCCTAAACTACTTTGTTTGATTAGGTGTTATCATGGACAATAATCAATGCTACAGAGGACAGGAGCGAGTAACTCAGGTGTGTGCAAATAACCTTGCTCGCAGGGGTCACGAGCTGCTGGAGCTTGCGCAAGGGTGGATCCTAGAGATAGCATCCCCCAGTCAAGCATGGCCGGTTACTACGTGCCGTGGCTTGCGTGCTACCACCAAACGGCTGCCACTTCGCCACTGTGCATGTGAGATTGTGCAGTAAACATCGGCGGAGAGTTTGGCAGGAGCCGCATCCCCTCTCGGTCTCGACCTCCTGTACCCCGTACCTGCTGTGGACCAGCCGCATCTTATTTTCTCACGCGCCGCCGCCTTCTCTTGTTGGTTTTCAATACCTTCATCAGCTTCGGCCTAGTCGGCGAAAGCAAGCCTTGACGCCCAAGACCAGGACCAAGCCCAAGACCAAGACAGACCAAGCCCACTTCAAATCTCAATCAAAAACAACGGCCCGTTTCCCCAGCTCGGCTCCAGCTCCTCCAGCTCCTCCAACGCCTCCAACGCCAATTCTTCACAGCTTGCATCGTGACGCTGGCATGCTCGACATTCCCTCTCCCATTCGTCGTCATTCACCAAGGTCTAACGGCATCAGCAACGTCTGGGCCTCTTCGTCTACCTCCTCCCCATTTAACCACTCTGCCGTCAATTCTCGTCACTGATTGATTGACTGCTATCGCTCTTCGCCCTTGCACTTCAACCGAGCTCCCTCGGCCATCCGCCATGGATTCATCAAGGCGAGAAAGCTCGGCGACGGCGCGCAATACCAGTGATCCCTCCAGCGCGACTTCGCCCACAGATACCAGGAATCCTGTCAACCGACCCGAGTCCGCTGCGCAAACCGATGACGACGGCCTCTCCGAAAGCTTCCAGTCCACTGATACCGTGCGACGAAGGCCCGAAGGAAACTACGGTAGGTGTAGCCATAAGATTGTACGCGCATCCAGGCTGACATTTTCTACTTGACAGGCTCCATTGGAGGCCCCGCGACCTCTGGCCAGCCCTCCTCCGATTCTCCCCACGAACGCTCCCAAGGTCGAACTTCACAATCTTCTCGCGCCCCAAAAGGCCCTGAACGAGTTCGATCGGTGACCCGACTGCGAAAACCTGGTCTGCCCCGCCGTCCCTCGTCCACAACGCCTCACCGTGGCAGTGTGTTCTCCGCAGACGACGAGCCCCACGAGGTAGAACAAGATGCTTCCGAGCGCCATCAATACGGGACCCGCCGCCGCCCTCCGCTCACTACCCAGCTATCCCGCGTGCATTCGCGTCACGAAGAAGAAGACGATATCGAAGAGGACACCGAAGACACCGAAGAGGCTAGCATTGACGAAACCGACCATGTCGAAGACGAAGAGCTTCCCCTTGAAGATCATGTCGACTGCGACTCCGATGGCGAGGTCAGCGATGCCGAAAGCTTCACGCTTAAAGATCGACAACAGGCCATCAACCAAACGCATCCCTTTGGTATTCGTGTTTGGAAGCCCGCATTGTACAAGAAGGACCGTTCTATCCAAAAGTTTGCCCAAGCAGATATCCACTCGGCCCCCGGTGGGAGAGTGAGCAACTGGTTGCTTGTCTTCAACCTAGTCTGGACCATCCTCTTCGGTTGGTGGATGGCGTCGCTCGCCGCACTCGGCGCAATCACTTGTCTGCTCTTCTCTGCTGCTCCCAGTGGAAAAGAGTACGGAACTGTCCTCTGGGGTCTGGCCAGTTACCTGTTTTACCCCTTTGGCAAGTTTGTGCGCCTCGAGAAGGACGAGGCCTACCTGGATGAGGACCAAGATGAAGGCAGAAGCATCTCCGAATACGAGCAATGGCAGAGCGGAGACCTCGAGTACGGCAGGCTCTTCTTTGGCCCCGACCGCAACCGCTCCATCGTTGGTCGGTCAAGGAGGAGCCTTGATTCAGAGCCCAGCGAGACGGAGAGCCTCCTTGGCCGCGGCAGACGTGGGGAAACTGGCGAACTTCCTCCCAGACTCAAGCGACGTTTATTTGGACGCGGACAGTGGAACATTGGCCGAATTATCTTCTTCGTCTTCTTCTACTTCCTGATCTCGCCCTCCCTCATCCTCGTCTCTGGTATCTGCTGGTTCCTCGTCTTCTGGATCCCCATGGGCAAGACCACCTTCCTCCTCTTTGAGCACCTTAGACGGCACCCTCTGGCCTTGTCATTCGAGTCCGACATTAGGTACGCTCGCATGGAAGATGCTCCAAGCTCATCCATTCTCCTGTGCACCTACCGTGCCGTGGGCTCCAAGTACTGGAAGTACACTGTCGATGGAACCAACATTTTCCTCATCAACCTCATGACTGTGGTCGTCTTTGTCATCTTCGACTGGATTGTTCTTGATGGCATGCTGCACATGGAAAACTACATCACCTCTCCATCCTTCCTTTTCATGGCTGGCCTGCTGTCCATCATTCCTCTGGCCTACTTCATCGGACAGGCTGTTGCGTCCATCTCTGCCCAGTCATCCATGGGCGTTGGTGCTGCGATCAATGCCTTTTTCGCCACGGTTGTAGAAGTCTTCCTCTACTGCGTTGCCTTGACACAGGGCAAGGGACGGCTCGTTGAAGGAAGTATTGTCGGCAGCATCTTTGCGGGTATTCTGTTCTTGCCGGGCATCTCCATGTGCTTCGGTGCTCTCAAGCGAAAGACGCAACGCTTCAACGCCAGATCCGCCGGCGTCACGTCTACCATGCTGCTCTTTGCCGTCGTCGGTGCTTTCGGCCCAACCCTGTTTTACCAGATCTATGGCACTCACGAACTCAACTGCCTGGATTGCGAAGATTTTGGACTTGATCAGAGTGGCCGCGATTGCCGTCGTTGCTACTTCTCCCAGTCTCCTAACCTTGCGGATCGGTTCTACCTGGAAGCCGTACGCCCATACTGTTATATGGCCGCGACTCTGCTGTTCGTGTCCTATATGATCGGTCTCTGGTTCACCCTTCGAACTCATGCTGCTGTGATTTGGAACGCGGAGATTGACGAGAAGCGACACGAAGATCACATGCATGCCTCTAGTATTCGTCCTGTGCAGGCCCACGGCGCTCCTACAGCAGAGACATCCGGATCCGATGTTCGCGATTCTCACCTCTACAAGCGCATTCTGAAGCAAGTCGGTCAAAACGAAGAGTCCCGCCAGAGTGCAACCGTTACGCATGCCACGGCGCCTCACAACGGGGGTCCGACTACCCCCCATGTTGTCCCTCCCAGGTCGAGCGGTGGCGAGTCTGCCCGCTCAGGTCTTCATCTTGGCGGACTGAGTGATGCTGACAACAAGCTCTTGGCTCGAGAGGTGGCTGAGATTACTGCAACTGCCGTTGCCATTGCTTCTCGGGACCGTCATTCCCGTCGCCCGTCCGCCATCCCTGCCACCCCTCGACCTCAGCATCCCACGCGCCAACCTGCCTATGAAGCTGAACCGACAGATGCCCCGGCGACTGAGGCACATGCTCATGGTGGTCATGATGCGCCCAACTGGAGCCGAGCCAAGAGTTCCGTCATCCTGCTCGGCGCGACCCTCCTGTATGCCATTATTGCTGAGATCCTAGTCGACACCGTGGACGTTGTCTTGGAGAATTTCGCTATTGATCAAAAGTTCCTGGGTGTTACTCTGTTCGCCCTGGTCCCCAACACTACCGAGTTTTTGGTAAGATACCTGCCGAACATTTGTGAATCTAAGCTAACTAGTGTAGAACGCCATCTCTTTCGCCATGAACGGAAACATTGCGCTGTCCATGGAAATTGGTTCAGCCTACGCTCTGCAGGTGTGCCTCCTTCAAATCCCCGCGCTGGTCTTTTACTCAGCGTTCTGGCCTGGTGTTCCCACTGGAGCTGAACCCACAAACTACACGTTCTCGCTTCTCTTCCCTCAATGGGATATGGTTACTGTCATCCTGTGCGTCTTCTTGCTTAGCTACATGTACGGCGAAGGAAAGAGCAACTACTTCAAGGGCAGCATTTTGATGTTGACTTACCTGGTGGTTGTCATTGGTTACTACTACAGCGGATACACCACGGACGCGATGGGAATCGAGCGATTTGACATCATGGGCGATGACGGCAAGTACCAGAGCTTCAAGACGATCGGCAGATCGACCAGGGGACCGGCGTTTCAATCGTGATTCGATGATTCAGTTGAGCGGAGGAACTTGAGATTGAAGGAGTGCGTTGTCTGGTTTTTAATATTGCATCACCATACATACTGTCTGTTACAATCGCGCTTGATGAAGGATTGCATGATATTTATCAAGGTTGATATTTCCGATAATTGCTCAGGTGGAGCGAGCACAAAGGGTGGACTGTTTATTACATGTTGATTCACGTATCATTGGCGATGGACGCCATGGGGTTCGGTCGTTTATTAGGTCTGTTTTTAGAGTTGTAATTTCAACTAGCATGTCTAACAATAAAGGCAATTACAATACATGGCGTCGACAATTTCAGCACTTGCAATTACGACAATCAAGTTAAGGCATACTTTAATATTGACAAATAGGCCTACATCTCGGCCGTGCGAGTAATAAATACATGGAATGAATACTGGTCCCGACCAGTGGCTGTCCCCCACTCAATTACGCTCCTTCATAGCGCTTAGATGTTTCCAAAGCCAGCAGTATCCTTGACAGTCTTGGCGACAGTGTAGGTGGTGGCGGCGGCAACGTTCTTGCCGGAGAAGTTGGAGATGAAGGAGGTGTCGCTGCCGGTCAGAGTGCCAGAGCTGCCGAAGCCGTTGACCTCGCAGTTGTGGCCGAGGTAGGACTTGCAGACAGTGTTGGCGCTGGTGGTAGGGCTGCTGAAGAGCTTGCCAGCGGCGCCGGCCTCAACAATGGTGTTGACGTTCTGGAAGATGTTGCCCTCGGCGAGGACCATGGCACCGGAGTCGATCTCGAACGCGTGGCCGTTGTTGTCATACCAGTAGTTGTTAACAGCGTGGAGGAGGGTGTTGCCAGCCAACTTGGGGCTGCGGCCCGAGGTGTGGTGGATGTAGTTGTTCTTGAAGGTGACGAGATCGCTGGATCCAGCAAAGTAGACGCCCCAGTAGTGGTAGGTGTCGCAGTTGGGCGACCACGAGGTGGTGCCGTCAATGTCGCAGTTGGAGATGGTGATACGGTTGCTGGCCGAGGTGCCGAGCACGATATGCTGGCGGCCCATCAGCGAGGTGGTGACGTGGTCGATCCAGACCATGTCGGAGTTGTTGATGGTGATGCCATCGCCACCCCATACCAGGCTGGGGTTGAGGTCGGTGATGTGGATGTTCTGGATGATGATGTTGCTGGCACCGCTGACGATGCGGAGACCCTTGCCCTTGATGATGCCCTTGGAGCCGACACCAACAATGGACTTGTTGCTCTTGACAACTATGCCGAGCGTGGCGGCGTTGTTGTACTTGACGGTGACCTTCTTGGCCGTCGCCTGGTAGTTGTCACACCAGCCGTTCTGGTTGATGGCCAACTGGCAGGCAGAGGCGGTGCCCCAGGGAGCGCAACCAGTCTCGGTGGTGGTGCCCTCAGAGGTGCTGAAGTCGAACGTCTTCTGCAGGATGATGACGCGCGCCGAGCTGTCGCCCAGGTACGAGACGAGCTCGGCCGTGGTGGACGGGTACACGGGGGTGGCGCTGCCGCCGCCCGTGACGCCCTTGGCGAAGCCCTCGGCGGACCCAGTCACTCCGACCGCGGCGGCGGTGCGGAGGAAGGCCGTCAAGAGCGAGCTGATGAGGACCGTCTTCATGGTGGTGGTGGTGGGGGGATCAACCCGGTGTGGTGTTTTCAGTACTGCGTGCCAAAGCTGGCGGAAAGAAGTCTATAGGACCAGACAGAGCCTATGCTGTCGGTCAGAAGTGGAAACAAGAAGTAAAGACCAAGAGGGATGGTTCAGCATGGAAAACTTCTCTTGTGAGGCCGCCCCGAAGCCCATCTATATACCATCCGAACCGCCTCCCCACGCAAGTCCAGACCCAGGTCCCGGTGTTAGCAACAAGACTATCACCCTTCAGCCAGCCGTCATTTCGGTAGGGCAACCATTCTTGGCACGGCATTGGCGGCACCTCGCTGGAGACGGCGCCACGAGTGAGGCTACAGACAATAGTTCAGGGGACTGCGGCCGTAGTGGGTTGTTGAGCCGGTACGCGGAGGGCCGGCCCATGTTTCCCCTTTGGGGGCGGCGGCCGGTTGCGATTCGTGGGAAAACGACCCGGCGAACGGGGGGCCCGCTCTCGGCGACGGCCGTTTTCTCACAGGAGGAAATCTAGGGCAGAGCGGAGGGAATGGCGTTTCATAATGATTCGACCCTATCATTTAAGGTGGACGAATAAGGTGGAATAAGGTCAACCCCTGCTCGTGGGCCATGGGTGCTGAAACCGAAGCCTTGGGTTTGTGGTTAGATCTCCACGACAGCTCATGGCGAACATGGGCTGTTTCCACTTTAGGGGAGTTCCAAGCCTCATGGGCCGCGGTGATGGGCCCGGCTGCTTGCGGTGGCGTTCTGCGGTGCAGCTTGGCAGATGCTAAAGAACCATCGTGCTGTGCTGTGCTACGCAGCGTGTATGCAGTTTCAGCCTCAAGCGACGTTTCGTCCCTGTCCGTGTTTACCCCCAGATTTGACCAAGCACGTTTCTGGCGTAGCAGTGATCTCCAACCTTGGCAGATCGGATGCGAGGCCACCGCATGTTCTCCCACGCACATGGGCGGCTCACTCAGAGTTCGGATTCACCGCTCTCTACCTTTTTGCATGTCGTCCGTGTAAGCAACAAATACACGGATGAGATTGACGGATTAGATGGAAGGAGTATTGCCGTCACGCACCCCATCACTTATCCACCCGTCAACCATCCAAAGATCAATCATCCACCTATCAACTGATCAAGAGGGACGCTCACTTGCATTGAAAGTCTATTGAGGAGAGGCTAGTAGGGGAAGCACAAAACACAAATCCCCGAGCCTCATTGACCAGGACCGGCCAATTTCGGGTCCACGCGTCAAAGAACCCCGTGGCCGAATCAGCGGCTGTTCCACTTTGGACAAGGCGATAGAGGATGAGCCAAGCCGGAGTCGGCTGGATGATAACCAGGTCCCGCTTTTTGGGCAACATGTGGCGGTTATTTGAACCTCAACAGCGGTATTTGGCTCTTGGCGGAAGTGAAAGTCGTGGTTTACTGTTGATTTTACTTTGGTGCAAGTGTCCAGCAATCTTAGAACGAAGAAACTAATCAACACTACGTTTTCTCCAGCGAATTAAGCAGCCGTAGCACTAGTTTCACGTTGTCAGAATGTCACTTTAGCCCCTCTTCAATCTTTACCATCCCACTTTACTCCATGAACTCTACGTAGTAGCGATGCCGACACCGACATTCATCAACATGGATAACTCCACCCGAGGCGGTCACGATCCGTTCGGATCCCGCAAGTTGACCTCGAGGCCGCATCGTCGACGAACCCAAAAACTGCCCACTCGCCAACATCCCCACGAAATTATCCTCTTGAGTGGATAACGGGTCTCTCGACCGCCGTTCCTTACGGAATTTTACTCTGGCCTCGTTCCGTCTCTTCCATGTCAATCGGCCCCGTTTCTACCAGGGATATGGCGACGACACCTTCCACCGAGCCGTCGGCTCTGCCGGCCGCGCCGGCCGATTCGACTGGAGACGGTCTGCGAGTGCAGGACCGAATGTAGACCGGATGGGACCGTGGACACACACCGCTGGCTGTTTTCATGGACAATTTCTCGCCGGATTGGAATGGCGGTGTTGTGGAAGACGTGGTAGTCAACAACAGTTACGATGCAGTTCAATGGTTTCTGGACCATACGGCGAGCCCAAACTAGCTTTCGGCTGCACTACCCGGCTCCTCCAGACATTATGACGACATCATAGTTGTCTCGTACTCGGTGTTACCGGCCATGTTCCACCTACCGCTCAAACTGCTGCTATGAGGGATGGACAGGAAGAAGGTCGATGCGGTGTGTCGCCTCGTTCCCCTCTGTGCACGAGGGGCCACAATACCGCTGGAATTCGATGATACTTTAGTTGTGTGGTAACACCAGGTCCAACCGCATTGAGTCCAAAGAATCGGTGTTCCAACGGTACTAAAAATTGTGTTGCTTTGCACTGCCCCCCTTCAGTCTTGGAACACCTCCCACCGATATTGACCACCGTGGTGCCAGTCTAACTACCCTAGGTCCCCAGAAACTACCAAGCAGGAAGCTTTCGAGACGCTGGAGAAGGTTGATAGTCGACACAGTGGCGGTTTTTCAGGTGCCTTGGTGTGAATTACGAAGCAGAAGCCATCGGGAAAGGCCATTAGAAACATATTCAAGAGTTATTGGGGAGTTAATGGAGAGTTTAGGGTAGGCTAATTGCCTTGCATGAGTGGTTGTCTTGTATATCCATCACTACGCCACGGGAGAAAGAGATGACGGAAATTACAGGGAATGGCGTAATGTCAGAAACAAGCGCGGACGGCGCCGGGAGCACCCACGACGCCAGGACCAAGGGCAAGACTAGTCCCGATTCCGGACCGATCGACAACGGCCGTTTTAAGATCCCGGGCAATACGGAGCAACTACTCCGTACGGGCAAGGCGGACGCAATTCTCACGAATTTCCGCGAAAGCCTACCTTACAGGAAGTTGACAATGGGGAGTTGCTGCATGATATTCTAAGTTTGATTAGGCCTGAGCCTAGTAGTAACATGGTAAGGCTGTGTGGCATATGATTCGTACGGAGCGTAGCAGCTCAGCTCACAGGGAATAACAAAGAAGGGAACAAAGGTACAGTGAACTCATACAATCGCCAAGTCAGGCTTTCAAATGTGAGTGCTAGCAAAGAGCGTAAGGCTATCCTTCTCGCAGTGGCGAAGCTTCAGCGAGGTGAGTTTATAGTTACGTGGCCAGTGCAGTAACTTTAACAACCCGCGACCCCCTGTTAACGCTACTGTCGGGATGAGCCCAATGTTATGCGCACTGTTTATCTTGCGAAGGCTTCAGCTAAAGTGTATCAGCAATTATTATGTTTCCTTTTCAAAGTCTTGGTATTAACAGGGCCTACATGTTGCTTTATTTCTGTCATGATATTGCTTTCTCTTCATCTTGCAGTTACTTGTAGACCTGCGCGCTAGAAAGATCCCTGAGACAATCGCTGCTAACTTAACTCTAACTCTATTAACACTGCAAAACTCCCTACACTGTGTAAAACACTATTCTAAGTATCCCAAAATACCAACTCCGTATCGCTATCCTCGATAACTGAAATGTTATAGCCTGTCAACTGTAGCGCTTGAGTAAAGTATCGATATGCAGCCTGACCCTTAGTTCTAGCAAATTCAGTTGCAGTTAGTTCCTCCATGACACAGCTATCCTCAGACTCAACCATTATTGTCCGGTGTGGATCAACCCCTAACTCCAGGACGAGGCGCATCGTCTCGAGGCCTCCGGCTTCGATTGCCACATGCAAAATGCTCCAGCCCCTAAAATCAACATGATCAATGAAGTTCGAAGGAGCACCCTCTGTAAGTCTTTTCAAAGTGGCGACGTTGTTGGCGCTGGCGGCCCAAAACGCTGCCGTCCATCTTTGCTCATTGTCAGTCAGAGTCGGCGATGCGCCCAGTTGAAGCAGGGCATGTACATCTCCGACCGATCCCCACCGTGCAGCTCGGTGCAGGGCTGTTATGCCGAAACGATCCTGTACGTCAAAGTCACTGAAGGAGTGACCGGAAAGAAGTTCGAAGAATTCCAGTGGGACTGTTGGGCTAGACTCCAGAAACAGGAGCACGACCGGCGTCCAGCCTCGGAAACAGAGGTAGTCGAGCCTTGCTCCTTGCCTTAGGAAAAATCGTGCAATTTCAATTTGTCGGGTTTTCTATGCCCACTCTAATGGACTCCTGTCCGGATGGAATTGTCAGTGGAGTCTTGACGCAAGGTTGGCATTGTCGCTGCCTGAAGGGAAAGCTTACATCTCAAACGTCCCAAACGTGGTGTTGACATCAGCTCCATTGTGGCACAAAAATTGTACCAACTCCAAGGAACCGCTCTCGATAGCAAACTGTCATCATGTAAGTCTGTGTCCGTCGATGGCCGATGGGCCATTCCTGGACACCTTCGTTACTCACACGCAATGGACCGCAATTTGATGGCGTTACGTCGTACGGGCTAGCTCTTTGAGAGACAAACAGCGCTCTCACAGCCGAGACATCGCCTCGTTGACTTGCCATCATGAGTTCCGAGGTCTCGGGCACAATAGTTTTCACTGAGAAGCCCCCTCCCAATATTGAAAATCCCATATGAGTGAGAGGAAACACTCGCACTCCTAAGTTGAAGTGCAAGGCCTTAGCCCCAAACCACTCCCACAATCTGAAATTGCCAGCCAAAAAGTACGTCGTATGCAAAGAGTTGCCGTATCGAGTCAGCAAGACATGAAGGCCGAGCTAAGCCAGGAGAGCATTATCTAACGACCGCCATGAGTTGTAATGTTTATTCCAAGCCTGCGGATTCCTGTCAAAAAGTGACGCGTTTTCGGAGGCAAGGAAAATTCAACACCGCCCGTCTTGTTCGAATTTAATGATTCTTCAATGTGCGGCAGAGAGTTGAGCTTTTGGGCGTCTCGGAGTGCAGCTGCGATCTTCCAAGAATAAAAGCTTAAGCGACTGTTCAAATATGAGACGACATCAATCAGTCTCTGAATAACACCAGGTATACCTCAAGTATGGGTCCACAACGGTCAAAAGTTCGTCCGCGTGCGCCTTGCCTTTGAGTGCCCACTGAAGTCGAGCCTTGGTCCCCGGTTTCGAGAATTGACAGTTGCCAAACTGGTCCCAGACACTAGACATGAGGTCATTTGCGGTAGTCAGGGCTCGTTCTAGCAGAGGGGCTTCTTTTGAGAGCAGAGGAAGCTCATCGCTGGTCGTTGCCTGCTTTTCAATCTCGGACAAAAATTCAAGCTCACATTGCAGGATGTCCAACTGATCCACTACGCGAGAGAACTCTTTGGGCGCATTGGAACTTTTGACCGTTGAGCGTGTGATGAAAAATAAGCGCAGGAAGTGAGGCGAAGAAGTAAGGCAGAAATAAGGCAGAATGAGTCAATGAGACAGAATGAGGCATAAAAAAGGCAAAGGAATGGGGCGAAGCGTACATGCATATCAATGTATGCAATGTAGGCCACATGTGTTGTTATCTCCCAAGGCAGCCAATATTTCCATTGGTGATTGGACAGCGTTGGAGCTCAAGATACAAATTTACAATTCATCAGCCACGATTGAAGCCACCTATAGTTGTGTGACACCTTTGTGTGGTGAGCGGATAGTATAATTGGTAGAGCTTGCATATTGCAAGGCGAACACAGACTAACGTAGCAAAGCGCAGTTGCGCAGGAGAACTAGAGAAGTGAGGGGTAATGCATCGAAGCAATACGCTGGCGCAGGCTTGGAAGTTACAAAATAGATAAATATTCTCTCAACCCCGCGTTCGACACTGCTATGGAACCTGTTCCTTTCCTAAACTTCCACTTGAATATCAAAAAACCTTTATATTTCACTAAACCTACCGCGAAAATGCCATGCGAGAAATGTGGTTGCGTTATGTGCAAATGTCCATGTCCGGCTTCTCTACTAAGGCTAGATGAATTGCGGGACCGCCTGAAGCCACTGTTTGGTGCGAGTATTATCAATATGCAATTAGAAATTTCAACCCTGATTGTCCTTGGTAATGTGGTTTACTCTTACTTCTTTTTTTTTTCTTTTTTAACTGATTATAGGGGCGGAACCGCTACGTAGCTGTTGGGCTGGGGTCGGGTTGGGGTCGGGTTATAGAATGGATTTGTCAGTTGATTGAATCGGACCGGATCAATGTCCCAGTGTCAGATCAAATCAGTATGTGCGGACAGAAAGGCATACAGGGAGACGGATCAGAAAGGTATTCGAGTAGGCACTCAAGAATGGCAAGATGCATTGCTATGTTGGGCAGGAAGACGGTGAAGTGACGTCGTCGTGGAATATCAGTGATTGATTAGCCCGTGGTCCTGGCCAGTTGGGTGAAATGTGAAAAGTCGTGGACCATGTTAAATCCGTAGAATTGGTTAGGACACAGTCTGCAGCTACACACATCTAACGAACACTATAACACACGAGGCATATAGGGCCAGACCTCGGAGTGACGACGGTTAATTAAAGAAGCAGTGCCGGGGATTGGCATTCTCAACTTGCCAACATGCCCGTTGACTTGGTAATCCATTGTGCCCTAGGTTTGTATAGACCTTCACCGGCCACCCAGACTGTCTAGCATATCACACTTACTCTAGCCGTTAGCTTCCTTCTGGGATCTGATAGCTAACTAGGGAGGAGCAACTATCAACCATGATATATACTGAGTGCTCAATGATAGGGCGGGGTTTGATTGGTTCATGATAGTAGTGTAATTGTTGGACTTTTCTTTGACTACCTACGTAGAGAATTAACGTTAAGCGCTAGATGCACTCAAAGCTATGGAGTTGCTAGATGCGCTGGAAATTAGGGTTCAAGCGCTAACACTTAGGGGCTGGCTGGATTAATTGCGCCTTTTCGATTTTTGGGGTTTCGGCCATACGCAGCGTTTGCGGACCTTGGCTAATGTGTGACCGTATGCTTGTGGTGTTCGGTTGGGGTTTGTCCGGAAGAGGAGAATCGGGCTGGACGACATGTCCTGCGTAAATCGCAGGTGGTGCGTATCTATTCGCTGTACCTGCAAAAACGGCCACCTCCACGCGAATGCAACATACAGAGGAGAGGACAACCCCGGCGGTTGCATTGAACCCGCCCGTCTGCATCGGCGTCCACTGCGGCACACGCGGGGCATATTCAATAAACGTAATAAAGAGCAGTTTACAGTCAGAGACATGCAGGTGCGGCGGGGGAAACAACCAGGAGCGAGTTTGGTCGGTTGGTTCTGTCAATATTCTCGTTGTATCTCCTCATCCCCGAGCATCCTCCCCTCCACACCACCAGCATCACCACCAAGGCCGAGTCATCTACACCAAGACACCACACATACACGCATATTGCATATTTCGCATTGCGCACACCATGGCCGAACAACAACAGCCTCCTGCCGTCGCGGCATCTACCGAGCCGGAAACGACGACAACCACCACCGCACCGGCTGTCGCAACTCCCGCGCCCCCGCCTCAAGTCGACCTTGTGCCTGGCGAGGATCCCGAGGTATGTCAATGAACACACAACACTCAACACACGATGCGCACGCCCGCTGTAGACCTCCAACTAACTCGACTCAGGACGACGACGACGACGATGCCGATGCCGACGCCGACTCAGCCCTTGGCTCCAACGCGTAAGCCATCGCCAACTCCTGCTCCATCAACCCGCCCACTGACACTCCTCCAGCCTCAGCTCAACCGCCTCGGTAACCGCCAGCATCCTCGAGTACCGCACCATCCACGGCCGCACGTTCCACAGCGACCGCCATCCGACCGAGTACTTTACTCCCAACGACGAGCAGCAAATGGAGTCGGTCGACATTACGTGCGTTGATCTTCTCCACGCCAGACCACAGCTAACTGGATGCCCGCGCTAGCCACCACTACCTGACCGTCCTCCTCGACAACAAGCTCTTCCTCGCGCCCATCAAGCCCGATGTTCAGGTCCGTTGGCATTGGCCCAAATACGAATCCGCTTGCTTCGAATTGTATCGCTGACCGTTGCGCAACAGAGAGTCGTCGACATTGGTACAGGATCTGGCATGTTCCCACCTCTAGTCCAAATACCAAGCGCTTGGCTAACACCATTCACAGGTATATGGGCAATGTAGAAACTCCTCACACCTACCCGTCATCAACTACACTCAACTCACGCATCTCCTAGTGACTTTGCCGACCAGTTCCCCGCCGCCGATATTGTCGGCTCCGACCTCTCTCCCTGCCAGCCCAAATGGGTCCCGCCCAACGTCCGATTCCAGGTCGACGATGCCACGCTGTCGTGGACCTGGAAGGACAACTCCTTCGACTTCGTCCACATCCGCTACCTCTTCGGCGCCATCCAGGACTGGAACGGCCTCTTCAAGGAGGCTTTCCGCTGCTGCGCCCCCGGCGGCTGGGTCCAGTCTTGCGAGGCCGACGTGCACTTCTTCAGCGACGACGGCACCACTGACGCCGAGCCCGTCCTCAAGACCTGGGACAAGCTGTATACGGACGGTGGTAAGGCCACGGGCCGCAATTTCTTTATCCTTGATGACCAGCGTAGCGCCTTCAAGGCTGCCGGTTTCGAGGATGTCAACGTTGTTAATTACAAGGCACGTCATCCCACTTTGGTGAAGAGTTTGCGCTAACATGACACCCGCATAGCTCCCCGTCGGTGGATGGCCTAAGGACTCCAAGCTCGCCGAGGTTGGCAACTTTGTCAAGTTGACCATGGAGAACGATATTGAAGGTAAGGCTCCTCTTTCTTTCTCACTTCTCACGGCGCTGACTACATGCAGGCTACACCCTGCTCCTCTGGCACAATGTGCTCAACTGGCCCAAGGACGAGTACCAAATCTTCCTCATGGGTATGCGCCAGGCCCTCCGCAACCGCAAGATGCACGCCTACATGAAGGTGCGCTACGTCTACGGTCGCAAGCCCGAGACGGCGTAAGCGAGTGGTATTGCATGGCAGCCTGGGTAAGAGATGGAGAACCAGGCACGAGGCGTTGGTGTTAGGAAGACGGCATGTTATTGCCCCCATCCGACGATTCGATACGATATTTATGATGTGACGATGTGTTTCTGTCAGGGCGGCTTGCGTCGTTCTTGGGCAGTGGCTGAAGGGACCTGGTGCAACAAAATGTGTGGTCGGAGGAGATTGTCGAGTGACGATTCTTTCGAGGCAAGGACTCGGTGCTCGTCTAGTCGTTCGTTATTACAAGCCAAGATACACCTCAGCATGGAATGCCCTTCATCATCATCCTGATAGTCATGCACTTGATACGAACCTGACGGTTACTCGGTCTGTGCCTTTCACGAGCAATTCGACATCGCGTGTTGGACAAACCAGTGATCTCACAACCCCTCGCCGAAACTCTAACCACTCCATGTACCTCTTCCTCACGCCCGAGGCAAGCCCCAGGCAGCAATGAAAAGAAAAAAGAAACACGCCTGTCAGACGTCCATCGACACCCACCCCGAGCGCGCGCCCGAAGGCAGACCGCAAACGGGGTCGAGATCATCAAGAGGTGAACATCTCTCTATACAGCAGCCGCAATGAAGCAGCGCCGCCATCCTTGCGGACAGAGCGAGAGGACCAGGGTATTCACTCTAGGGTGTCGAGGATATGCACTCATCAACCAGGGTGGGATCTGTGGCTCTTTTAGGGAACCAAGAGGAGGTCGAATACTATAGAAATGATTCTCCTGCGGATGTGGGTTAGCGGACTGTGTGGGAGAGGGTGGTAGCAAGAGATCGCCAGAGAAGCTGGCGCAGGCAAGCTCAAGATGGTGAGATGCGAGCGCGGGCTGCTCTGGAGAGTGCTCTAGTAGGGGTAGGCTTACTGAAGTATTGTCGACGTGAAGAAGAAAGAAGAAAAGTCCAAACCGAGAAGGGCCTGCGAAGACTTTATACGGAAACGGGTGGGGCCGAAATCACCTCGCTCACCGCCTAAAAGTTTTGAGCGGCAGAATTTTCTTGCCCGCTGCAGGGTCGCACCCACAAGGCGCGCACGCTAAGTGACAGCGGGCCCCGCAGCTGTGGATGCGCCAGCCTCTCGTCGGTAGAGGTGCAACCACTCGCAGGCAGCGACAGCGAGAATCTTGCAACGGTGCCCTTGAGAGTGAGGCCGAGGAGTGGGTTCTTGCCTTTGAGATTGGAGCGACTGGACAGAGGTTTGATGAGGGATCCATTTGCATGTGAATTTGCAAGAGGTTGGACGAATCGCTCGGGTCTTGGTGGACGTGTTGCGGCTCTGGGAGACGGAGTTTTGCACTTGTGAGCCTCATGGGACCCTGGGCCGTGGCGGCTCTCGGGGGCCAGGGGAGGCAGCTTGGATAATGCTGTACAAGCTGTGAAACTGCACCGTCTGTGGGTGTGCTTTATGCGTATGGGTGCTGCACTCTTCAGTTGTGAATTAGGATGCTGTCGTGTTCACTGTCTTGTGCAGATATGCAGAGCCGCAATGTAAGGTAATATCTGGACTACATGAACCAGGTACTTCTCGATGTGCATACAGGTACTTTGGTGTATCGTGCAGCACTACTTGGCAGTGTCATGGTAGCAAAGGGTTATCCAGCTGAGTTCACGTGGTTTCATCCGTACACTGTCGTCATGTTTTGCAATGACCACCGCGTGAGACTTGTTCTGGTCAGATATAACAATTTCCAAGACATATATCTGGCGGAGGAACAAAGAACTCACGATGGACGTTCTCTCCTTGATAAGATCCGCATCAGCCATGTCTTGACTGACTATCGAATGTGGGTTCTGCGCACTCAGTTCGATCGAGCCTACCCTGTAGCCATCTTCAACTTCAACATGGGATAGATTCTAGCTTTGTGACAAATCGAGAGCCGACTTTGAATTGCAGGTCGAATCGAGAACATGTGTCAGGCTTTTTGTTGTGTTTTTGCTCGTTGGCAGTGTTGACTTGGGCTTTGGGCAGAAGCTGGCAGTTGTCAGACAAGAGAACCAACTATTTCGAGTCGCAACTTGATCAACACTAACATCATGTCTACGCTCAAAGCATCATCACAAACACATCCCACTCGTCACAAACGTGAATACTCTTCACAATCCACTCCTCTCCCCACGATACAGCTTCTCCCCCTCAATCCACGCCTTCACCTCCCCTCCCACCAACCCATCAACATCCCCACCACCCTGCACAACCTCCCTCACCCGCGAACTACTCACATCCTCCTCCGCCGCATCACCCTCCACGACATCCACCCTCGCCGCCCACGCCCCGTCGCCACCGACGTCCTCCAGGGCGCCGTGCGCCAGCCGCTCCACGTACGCCCGCTGCGCATCCGCGCCGCCCCACTGCTCGTCGGGCCGCGTCGTCACGCGGAGCCGCGCGCCGGCGAAGAACGGGCCCAGCGCGCGCTGCATCGGCGAGGTTGTTGCGCCCGGCGGCGACGGGCCGTAGTACTTGGGGTTGAAGATGCGCACCAGCGTGTCGAAGCCGGCTAGGAAGGTCTGTGTAGGCGGCGGTGTCGCCGGGGGATTCGTGTAGAAACCTGACTGCGTGATGGTCTGCGCCTTGTCGTGGAAGAAAGGCATCGTCGTAACAGCTACGTCAATCTCCAACTCATGACCCTCACTGCCACTCCTTGCCCTCATCTCCTCAAGCAACTCCCTCCCCATCGCATCCATCATCCCCAACCGGACGGGAAAACTCGCCGGCTTGGGCGCCTTGTCGGCATTGTTCACGCTGAGCAGCAGCACCAAACGCCCGCCCTCGCCCCCACCGCCCTCCAGCGCCGCCCGCGCCATGCTCGCGTGCGCCCTCGTCGGCGGGTTGAAGCTCGAGTCCAGCACGACGAGGCGGTCCACGGGCTTCACGGGGCGACGCGGCGCGGGGTCGCTGGCGTGGGGCAGCGTGCACAGGACGCGGAATGCATCGGGGGAGGACTGGAAGGAGGAGAGGGCGCGGGAGAAGAAGGAGACGAGGGATTTGGGATCTGGGCGACGCATTGCGGCTGGTGGTGATGTGACCATGGCGTTGATGCTGTGAGAATGAGGTGAATGTACAGGTGAGGTGAGGGACGACGTGGGGCTGATGAAAAACGTCGCGGAAGCCAAAGACTCGACTCGATGATATGCTCGCTCTCGCATTGACAAGATCCCAACACCTATATATATTTACCTAATACCCGAGAGAAAATAAGACAAGTCCAACAATGCAACCCGCAACTCCTTCATCTGCACCCATCGCTACTCCGCACTTTGTCCAGCATCCATCACACCTCTCGAGAACCAGTCGGCCACCGTCCCGAACCGATCCTCGCTGTTATCCAGGTCCGCCTTGAACAGCTCGTGCTTCCCGGCGCGCTCGCGCTGGCCCTCGCGCATCTTGCGGATCACGTCGTTCTCGCCGGCGCACTTGGGACACTCGGCCTCGCCCTCCTTGTCGCCGTTGCGCACGCACCGCTGGTGGAAGCTGTGCTTGCACAGGAAGTGCACCGCCGGGAGATCCAGTCGCTGGCTGCAGTCGGAGCACCACGTCGCCTGGAACACGACCGGCTTGGTCCCGAGGTCCGCCAACTCCTCGCGCCGCTTCTCTGTGTCGGTTCGGAGTGTGTTGATGCGGTGACGGTTGGATGCGATTTCCTTGCGCTCCCGCGTAATCGTTTCATGGAGATACGGCTTAATCATTCCCATGGTCGCCACACCTCCTCCAGCTGATCGTCCAACGAGCGTCTGGATCACCTGCAACGGGGCCATGAGCCCGTCCTTGTCAATCTTGTTTAAAACATTGGCAAGCTCATCTGGCCCCGCCTCCTCCAGGACTTTAGGGTCTGAAGTCAGATACGCTAGTGCCGCCGGGTAGAGTTGAGGCTCTTCGGGCCCGTACTTCCTCAACGCCTTCATCGCGCCTCGCGTGTCTTTGGCCGACGTGTAGGATCTAAAAATGTCCGACAAAAGACCCGCCTGCTCCTTAACCAACACCGTGCCGTCTTGGAAGTCGGACAGATGCGACAGAAGCAGCACGTTTGAGCTCTCCATGGGAATATGCTCTCCCTCGATGAGCTTTTTCGCCTTGGCCTCCCACTCTTCCTTGTGATGCTGTCCTTTCTTCTCACCAGCCTTGTACAAGTACATTTCAAACAGAGTCGTGTACAGGTCCGTGCGGTCACTCGATTTGACGTCCTTTTCTTCCAGACACGCCTCCAGGAAGACGATGAACTCATCGGGGTGATCGATGAATGATGAAAATGCCGTTCGGGGAGTTGGAGGGGTATACTTTGGCGCTGGAACATCGTCGGCGTTTAGGGCCAGTGCCGAGTCGCTCACCGTAGCCTTTCCATTAGTTGGGGTTCCTGGAGACGCAACAGCCGCAGTGTTCATATATGGCAAGGGGAGGAGGTTAGAGAGGTTCTGGACTGCGCCGCCAAACGCGAATCCACCCCCTGAAGGCGTCTCGACTTCATCAATAGCCACAACAACTGTCTGCTTGGGCCTATATTTCCCAGTGTAGTAGTCCACGAACAATCTCGTCGCGTCCTGGGGGCAGTTCTCAATGAGAACTCTGGCGTATTTTTGCATGCATGGATAAGCCTAGATACGTTAGCTGGTTTCCGTGTATGCTAGTCGAAAAACGAACGATTTCTGGGTCCTGCCCCCAAATAAAGTCTAGGGCTTCGCTGTAGTTCTTCGAGTCTTCTATCAAGATGTCGACAACCAAGTCGGTCTCGCCGTGCTTCTTGGCAAGATACGCCGCCTGCTCGTAGTATCCACCCTGGCGGCACATTGTAATGGCCGTGTCCAGATCAAACTTGAGGTCGCCTGGAGATTTGATAAACTTTTCAAGTTTGTTTATGTCCTTGAGTTTGGCGTAGCAGTTGAGGAGGAGCGTGGTGTGATCAGCCGTCGCCTTCCTGTGCTCGTGGAGTTGTTCGAGGTACTGAATTAGGTTGTGGATGCGTTGCGTGTCGAGGAACTACTACTGTTAGATACCTTCGCGTCTCAAACCAGCACACGTACCTTGCGAATGACCTGTGATGGCTCAGTTGTGTCGATGGCTCGGATGTACTGGACCATTGCCCCGTCGTAGTCTGCTTTCTGGTACAAGTGGTCACCGAATCGGCGGTAAATCAAGCTTTGCTGTTCACCATCCAGACCAGACTTTTGAGCTAGCTCGATGGCCAAGGGGAACATGTTGCGCTGATACATCATCTCTAGCCGTTGCTGGAGAGTCTTTTCATGATATCGGTGAATCTATCAATGTTAGAATAGTAAGCAACTCGGGACAAAGCACCTACCTTTCCGTCCTGGGCAATGGTAAAAAAATCGCCCCAGATTTCAGCAAAGAACTTGACCGGGGACATTAGCGTCTCGGTATGGCTGATGACGCGGAGATCGGTGTCTAGAAGCACAAACGTAGAGGCATTGAACAGCGGATTCGTAGTGCTGCCGCCATACCGGCGCCTCATAGCTTCGGAATCCTTGCCGCTCGAGGTTGAAGGTGGACACGCAAGAGCCACATAGTCCTGGTAGATGGTGATTAAGCTCTTGGGCGACTCGTAGGCCCGGGGTGGGCCACGCCCCTCGAGCGTGTAGGTATAGATGGCGTCTTCTCGCGCAACCACGACATCGCCTGTCCTAGGGTCAAGAGTCATACAGCCCAGTCCACACCCGACATCCTCCACAGTCTTGGGCGGCAGTCCATGGCCCTTCTTCGAGAGCCCCAGCTTCAATATTCTCGATGTGGTTGAAACAAACAGCGTCGTTAGCTGGGCTTCCATCGCGAGCTGAACGCCGGTAACGGGCTCTTCGGATTCGAACACGATTCGTTGCGCTGTTCCGAGGTCGTGGATGAGGTCGCCTCGGATTACGGTGACGGAACCGTTGGCGAATCCGACTGCAATCTGTTTGAGGTCGTCCACTGCCGCAAAGGCAGATATCTTTGCTCAAGTCAGCTCAACCATTGCATTCGAGCCGTAGGGACAACTTACGGGGAATTGCCGCCTTCCATTGTTTATGCTCAGCGTGCTCAAGCATGTCGGCAAGTTCGTCTTCTTGACTAGCTTGTCGAGAGCCCAGACCTTCAGTACGGGCTCGCTGCTCATGTCCTCCTGCGATCCACATCAGCAACTATTCACACTCCACGCCGCGGTGCAAGGCAGCACTCACCGCAACCGTAACCAGCACGCTTGTTCCTTCGAGTTGGCGCATGTGGGTGATGCTGCCGGTCTCATGCGCCTGGAAGCGCCGGATGACGTTCCAGGTCTTGCCAATGATGCTGACCCATCCATCGTGCGAGCCGAGGAAGAAGCTGTCGGAGCCTGTGCAGATGCTGGAGATCTCGTTGCCTTCGAAGAGCTGTTGGGTTTCCTCGGTCGGGAGGGGGATCTTGGCGACGTCGAAGAAGTCAAACGACTTCCACTGTCAGGACGGATTAGCGAACTGCCCAGAATGCAAGCGCCCGATTTAAAAGGGGCGTCTGGGCGCCTGACAGAGGCGCACGTACCGAGAGGGCCATCTTGACGCATCTGGAGTGTTGATGTGGTTGGGAGATGCACCGAGGCCGCGCGATGACGATGGTGGGACACTTACGCGCTGTGAGCTTGGGAGCTCTAGCGGAGCTTGCCTGGCGCCACAGTGGCTGTACAGAGGCCCACCGCGAATCCCCTGAGGCGACTCTGGGTCACATCACATGCAATCACAGATCCAGGACGACTGAGAACTATTGCAATAACGCTTCAAGGGTATCATGTATTGTTATTACGGGAATGTAGTGTCCCTCTTGACTATCAGTGCTGAACCAAACTCTAAGGACCCAAATAACCGTCAAGTGCCGCCAAACCCGACCAAATTCACCTGCCAATCCCAATAAGTACATCCATCATTCATAACCACACAAACAATAATTCCTCCTTTGATGGCATGGTTCTTCTCTCAGCTCTCAACTCTAAGCTCTAGCTCTAGCTCTAGCTCTCAGCTCTAGTTCTCAGCTCTCATCCTTGCCTTTCCCTTTTCCCTTCTCCATGGTCTCGCCTGGCATTTCTCGTGGGCTGACCAGAGGACTGCTCAAGCCACCAATGCTGCCGTTTACGCTGTTGGCTCTGCCATGTCCCAGGTGACCGCTCCTGACACTGGCACCGTCGCCCTGCTTGGCATAGAAGCTGCTGCGGTCGCCTGGAATCGCCGGCATAACACCTGTAGCTGAGTATATACTGGTGCGCTCAGCCCCGATGCGCGAGCCGTGAAGCCCTGGCGTGGGTGGCATGTTGGACATGTCGATGTTGGCACTGAGAACACTGAGTGGCAGACTCTCTCGACTACCACCCCAAAGGGAGGATGGTGCCAGTGCTCTAACGGAGGCGTCCGTGTCGAGAGACCGTCGGCGTCGGCGCTTGCTGGAAGATGCCAAGGTCAGGATGGACGCATTGTCGGTCAGGAGATTGTTGGCCGTGGCAGCATTGTACGTTGTTGGGTTGCCGGTCGGTGCAAGGTGTGCAGGGATTGCAGACGCTGGGAATGTTGTCGGGAAGGGCTGGCTGAACTGGACGTTGGTCTGATTTTGGTTCTGGTTCGAAGTGCTACCATGTCCCTGGCCGGTGTGGTTGGGTGCCATGGATTGAATCGTGGTCAAAGTGGTCGTCAACGACCGAACTGATGGCGCTGGGCTCGAAAAGGTGCTGTCTTCCCCACGCCTTGAATCGACGCCCCCTCCAGCTGTGCGGCTCGTCCCTGCTAGCGAGCTGGCCCCGTGGCTGGGAGCGCTGATGGAGCGCGACCCTTCGCGATCTGTCGACACGGTCCCTACCAGGCTCCTCCGTCCGATGGTAGGAGTTGCCTGGCCATCCCTGGATATGCGGGATGACTGGGCTACGCTTGTGTTACTGCCGGAGGGCACGGTAGAGAAGGTACAGGCACTGGTGTCATTTGTGGCACCATTCCCGACCTGCCCCGACTCGGGGTATGGGTTGTTCTTCTTCGGGCTGCGTTTGATCTTGTGTCGTTTGGGACGGTCGGCGTCGGAGGAGGATTTGAAGTTGGTCAGCTTCTTGACCCATGTTGAGAAGGGCCGTCGGCGCGGGCCTTGACGGTCTGGCGATGGGTTAGCTTCAGGCGATTGTAACATGGTCTGGAAGTTGGGCGTATGCGGGGGGTTCGGTTGAGAGTGGTGAACCAAGTGGGCAAGACAAGAGGGAACGGCGGGTTTACCATGAGTCTGGGGGAGGGTGTCGGTCGTAGCCATGAGAGTTCGTGAGTTGGAGTCGGAGCTCGGCGATGGAGGAGTGGGATGATGAAGGGCCGTCAAGGCGACGCTGTGATGCTGGGCACCAGTGTTGGGCAGCGGGATGACGGAGGCGGGGGCTCAATGGCAGGAATAGAGGAGGAGCCGGTGAGGCAACGTCAGGTTGGCGATGTCGATCGGTATATAGAGAGACGCGAGTGAGTGAGGGGCACGAGCCAACGAGGAGTCCAAGGAGAGCGGCGTCACCAGCGTTGCATGGATGGCATGGTTGAAGATGGCGGCTGAATGCGGCGATGGACGGGAGGTGAAGGATCACGTGAGGGCGATCTGGAGGGAAGGCAAATGAACCCAGGAGAACGGGCTGACAATGACAAGCCCAAGCCCAAGCCCAAGCTTTGAGGCGGAGCAGCTTAGGGGAAGCCAGCCTAACTGCTAGCTAACTGCTTTGTACGACGGTGAGCTGGGATAAGTATACGGTGACACAGGGAGCAATGGAATCGCTAGGCGGCCACCAGGTCGAGTGGCCACCAAGTCAGCGGCCAAACACCAGAGATACTAGGCCATTGTGCATTGCCGATGCAGCTTTGGCCATTCAGGTGCAGCTTTGGCCATTCAGATGCAGCCTTCATCATTGGCGCCACGCCTTGTGCGCTTTCAGCAAAGCCAAGACACGCTGACCCCTGACATGGCGACGTCACACTGCTAAATAAATCCCCGCCAAGACGGGTCAGCGCAGCGGCTGCTCAGTGCTGCTAGCTCTCCGTCTTGAGCTCTCTCACCATTCCATTGGCTTCACAGCCTGACCATATCAACCACGGCCTGACCACTGCCTGATCACCACCGGCTGCACCAAGCCATGCTGGACTGAAGCCCACAGGCCATGTCCATTCGCCAGCTGCCCAGCGATGTCGTCGACAAGATCAAGTCCTCCGTGGTCATCACCTCGCTCAAGGCCGTAGCCTGCGGCCTCCTCGTCAATGCCTTGGATGCCGGCGCCTCCAAAGTAAACATCTCGGTCGACTACGCCCGCGGCAACTGCACAGTTGAGGACAACGGAGCCGGCATTACCCCCGACGAGTTCAGGGACACTGGCGGCATTGGGAAGCTCCACCGTACGCAACCCTAGATCCATCCCAGACGGGCCAGACCCATCCGCCATGCAGCTGTATATACCCCGGCGCTTACTGACATCTGCTTTGTATAGACACGTCGCGATTCCCATCAAAAGCAACAGTGCATGGGAAGCACGGCGACTTCCTGGCATCCTTAGCAACACTCTCCTTGCTGTCAATCACGTCTCGTCACCAGAGCCATCTTTCGCACAACTCCATCTCCATCCACAACTCCAACGTCCTCGCCAGGAACCTCCCAGCGCCTCCCGAGCAAAGCCTCGTCAATTTTGACCATGGAACCCGCGTCATTGTTCGGGACCTGTTTGGCTCCATGCCTGTCAGAGTCAAGCAGCGCGCTGCCATGGTTGAGCGTGCGACCCTCGACAAAGATTGGTCGGCATTGATTCGAGACGTCGTGGCGCTGCTGCTTGCTTGGCCATCGGGCATTACCGTCTCGTTGAACAACCCTGTTACACAACGCGAGCTCCGGTTTCGCCCTAGTGACAAATCAGACGCCGTATCCCGAACATCGAGGCTCCTCACCCAAGCCTTGCTTGCAGACTCCAGTGATGCCGACTCGTGGATTCCCATCTCGGCATCGTCAGGCTCCGTCATCGTCAAAGGTTGCATCTGCGAGAATCCAGTCGCAACACGCCGGTCCCAGTTTATTAGTCTGGGAATCCACCCCGTTGTCAATGAGTTTGGCACTGACGTGCTCTACGAAGAGATCAACAGAGTCTTCCAGAACTCGAGTTTCGGCGTTATTGAAGGAGACGATAGCCAGACGCGAAATTCTCCCAAGCTAGACGGCTTCACGGGTAAAGAACTTCGGAGTCGCAAGGGAATCGAGAAGTGGCCGATGTTTTACTTGAAGATTGTGACGACGGATTCCAGTGCTGTAAACAAACTGGACGCCCAAGGACAGACCCTCACAGCTATCCTCGATTTGTTGAAGGCAACATGCTATGGCTTCCTCAAGAAGCATCACCATCGTCCTCGAAAGGTTCATTTGGGGAAGGATGAGTCGGTGTTTTCTACATCGAAAACGATCAGCCGATCTAGGAAATCGTCTAAAAGACAGCCTACCTCGTCTAGTAGCTCGAGGGCCAACTCTGTTCCGCGAAGCTTGGGGCCAGATGCTACACAAAGGAGAGCTGACAGTCCTTTTGATGACTGGAATCGGGTCAAGATTGGGAAAGCGACGCCACTGAACATCTCTACGAAGACGGTTGACATCAGGAGAAAGGAACCAGAAAATGCTCCCCCAGCTCCGTTGGTTGGCGAAGGGGGTAAGCTCTTGCGCAAGCCGTTTGATGAGCCCTCGCCCGAACCTGAAGTTATGTCTAGGTCCCCCTCTGGTTCCGAAGTCGTTATTACCGACAGCGGTCTACCTCCAGCGAACCCCAAACGATCTGACAACCCGGGAATGGAGCAACCTCGACAACCTAGCAAGTGGCTTCAAAATGTGATTCAGTCCTGGGAAAACCCCGTCTTCAAGACCGTTCATTCTTCGATCCCCAAAATAGACGACACCGATGCGCCGTCGCACCACTGCTGCAAACACGGCGTTAACTTTGATGCCGCGACCATGAGCCTGAGCGGCAGGATATCGCGGCATGCCCTGGCTCAAGCCACGGTGATATCGCAAGTCGACCGCAAGTTCATCCTGGTCAAGCTGCCGCTGGAAGACGTGGCAGCCGGAGATTCGAAGACTGGGAAGCGCAGCTGTGCCTTGGTCATGCTTGACCAGCACGCAGTGGACGAGCGCTGTCGACTTGAGGACCTAATGGCTGGCTATTTCACCAATAAAACCAGCGGCGACACCAACCCTAAAGTTGAGGTGCTGGCACGGCCGTTGGTATTTGAGGTCTCATCAAAAGAGCACGACCTCTTGGAACATCACCGCCAACACTTCGCTGCTTGGGGCATCATCTACAACACCCCCTCGATACCCGAGCCAGATTCAGAGCGAAGTAGGGTCATCGTTACCGGCCTACCGCCGAGCATTCTAGAGCGGTGCCGCCAGGAACCTCGCCTTCTGATTGACGTCCTCCGCAAAGAGATCTGGCACATCGTCGACGACGGCGCTCCCCCACGCTCGCGCATTTTGAGTCCAGGTACCGACACGCCCTGGATCTCGCGCTTCCACGGCTGTCCCCAAGGGATTCTGGAGATGCTCCATTCTCGAGCGTGTCGAAGTACGTCTCCCGCGTCATAGAATAAACCATTACTGACATTTCCCAGGCGCCATCATGTTTAACGATCCACTCAGTAACGACGAGTGTGTCAAGCTCATCTCCCGACTATCGCAGTGCGCATTTCCATTCCAGTGCGCTCACGGGCGGCCTAGCATGGCGCCACTCGTCGATCTCGGGGCCGGAGGGTTTGGGCAGTGGCAGGAGAGCAGGAGCGTCAGATGGAGAACGTGGATAAAGGAGTCTCTGATTTCAGATGGAGAAAACGATACCCAGCGAGAGACTTCTTAAATGGAGTGTTGGTGGTACAAGACCACGTATTCGGCATTGGTTTATTTTATTGACAGGTCATTATTAAACAACCAGTGCTTCATGGAATACTCCAAGGTATGCATAGTAAGCTACTCAAGCCCACAGCAGAATATAGACATGATTTCCCCATCGGATTATCCTATCCGGGTATCCAACAGCCTCAAAGGTGCTCGAGTCCATCAAAAGCACCGTGACAACCGCTGCATCCAAGTGTACCGGCCGCCAGGCTCAACGCCAAAGACCAAAGATGCGATATGTCCAGCTCGGGCACGCGATAGGGGGGGATGTGCGACCCATTCGCAGAGCGCCCGCAAAACGCCAATTCTTCCTATCCAACTCCGAGTAAACAAAAAAGCAGACGCTCATTCCTGAAACCGTGAGGGAATAGGCGACAGTGAGGGAGTCATTAGATGTACAAAGGCTCTCGTCTCGAGGGTGTCGCAAGGCGGTCAGAGGTGACGCCAGCGATGAAGGAGACACGCGTGATGCGTGAGAGCAATGTCGAATTTGTAACGGGTGGGGGTTTGTTGTTTAGCTGGTTTCCACTGAGGGGCGTGCTCGGAGTTCTTGCTTCTTCAGTTCGACGGCTTCGAGGTGTCGCTGCTTCTCCTCCTCGGGGTCCATCTTGACCCACTGCTTGATATCGCGATCCCAGCGGTGTCTGGAATTGAGTTAGTCTTTCCGCAATGCATGAAAAGCTTGTCGTTGCAGGGCAACGTCAAATAAATGGAATAAACTTACGCTGACCACTCCTCGGCGACGAGACTCTTGGTCTTGTACTCGTCGATGAGAATCATTTCAAAGTTGTAGGGGACTCTGGCCTTGACGCCTTCGAACTCAGTAATGCGCATAGGCCACAGGTCTTGGCTGTGATAGCGGTGCTTGTTCTTGCAGCTCCAGACACCTGGGCGCTCCTCCTCACGTTCGCGCAGAACGGTGATGTCAATGTACATGCCGTTTTGCTTGTCGATCCAGCGGGCGTCGATGATGTTCATGCCGTCACCCCTGTCGAGATCGACATGGTGGGGGTTGATGTCGAGCAGGTATTGCTTGGAGACGAGTTCGCCGGTCGCAGGCGTGGTGTAGTTGTACTCGTGCTCGGTGCGGTTGAGATTGTCGCCGAGCCACAGCATGGAGGTGTTGGTGAGCTGGACGTCGAGATCGTAGTCCCAGGGCATGATCTGGCCGTTCCACCACCAGCCGAGGAGGGTACCGTGGGCCAACCACGTCTCGACGCCGTAGCTGTTCATTGTGCTGATGTAGCTGCGGGCGAGATCGCGCAAGACGAAGCGGTGCTGGGCGTAGGGGACCTTGTCGTGGAAGAATCGCTTGTCGTAGTGGCCGAGTTCGAGAGTGCCGCCAGCTTCGTTAAAGTATTTCGGCGTCTTATCGGCACGGCGAGACAGCGAGTGGGTGTCGTCGACAGCATCGCGAGGTTGAGAGCGGGAGGCGAGAGCGGGCGAGAGGGAGGTGAGGCCCCAGACAAGGAGCGACTTGAGGGAGGGCATCTTGGGTGTGGGTGCCGCGATAGGGCGGAGAGGAATCGAGGAATAGGTTGAAGCAGTGGTGAATGAGGTGAGTTGAAGCTGGGTCGTAGGGGCAGGTGTGGGCGCTGTGATGTGTTGGGCGAGGTGGTGAGATTGAGGGTCGAGGGGTGAATCAGATCCCAAAGCGATACGCGGAAGGGTACAGAAAGATGCAGAGCAGCGGAGGAGCAGAATAAGGTCGCCAACCAAGCAAATAAAAGTACAATTAACGTAGCGGATACCCGTAGCGCAAAGGAGAGGGGAGATGGCACGAATGAGGTAGAAGTGAGGTGGGCGATCGGGAGAGGAATGGAAGATGAATGATGAGTGATGGGAGGATCGCCGCGTGGACGCCGGAGTCAAGGAGGTTTACTTAGTGGGTAAAGCCTGGGGGAAACGCGGAAAGCGGCCAAGCAGCGCAGCGGGAAGGGAACCCGGCACGCGCCTCTTTGCCCGAAGGAGTCTAGGCGACTGGCCACAAGGCTGGACCGCTGGAACGGGGCCAGTGAATACGTACTGGGCGTACGCTGGTGGTACGTAATCTGCAGGGAGGCATGGCCGACTGCAGTCGATACGCGCATAACTCGGCACACAGCCTCAGCCACGGCCAACTTTGTGTGCCGGATCCGTGCAATTTGGAGTAGTAGTGAGTAGGACTACTAAGTAGCACTAACTCTCTTTGCTTCGTTCATTTCACGCCGCTCTGCCTGCCTCATTCTCGACCGACTGACTGACTTAACTGAGTCCACTGTCTTAGTCCACTGTCCTTCAGCGCTCTCTCCCCCAGGGCGGGCCTCCTCACCCCTACCAAAACTCCCCAAGTCCCCGGGTCAGGCAGGGCAACGTAATCCTGCCCCGCATTAATGCGAACCAACAATGTCCCTTTCTCAGCTCATATTACCGGATTTCGCCACACCCGCTCACCCCCTTCGACAGAGTGTGTGACCGTTTCAACTCGTCGCAATCATGCTAATTAATCCTCCCGCATGCCCTAAATTAAATAGTAAGGGGAGTCCCCCAGCATTCTCCGTCCTGTCCGTCACACTCGGACCCCTTCATCTGCGCTACGCCCCGTTGTGGAAGTGAGTCGTGTGCTGTCTCGCACTGAAGCCTTTTACAGGACGCGACGTTGCATGGTGAAATGAGCCAAGCCTCGGGTGACGTACCCCCTCCCTCCTAGCAAATTTTGAGGACACCACAAGACCAATTAGCCTCTTGGTACCTTGCTGTGACACTGCCAGACAGAGGATTCCCCCTTTGTTGGATAAGTATGCTCTGTGGTGAGATCCATCGGTGATACCATCGACTTTGCTGGACGCCTCTCACCGACCCTTACAGGCGCGCGTCTTCCAAAGCGCAGCGCCTCTCTATCCACCGTGGACCATTTCGCATGCGCCACATAAATGATTGTACCACCTTCAAGAGCTTCCAGAAACCACCGTTAATAAATCGCTGTTTTAAACACAACTCTTTATCCTACCTAGCATTGGACTCTTGGGCACGTTATGAGTTGTGCCGATGATTCTGTGACATCGGAGAGGGTAGCCCTAATTGGCATTGGTCAAGTCTACAGTGTTCTCATACAGTCACGATCAATATAAATCCCGCTCCGTGGCTCTACAGATTGAAGCCTGGTTGCCATTACAAAGTGCGCCACAAGGAAAGCCATTCTGGTCTGTTCTGACATGGAATTACCCCTCCAAGTGTTGCTTAACTGACTGACTTCATTTCGGCCGTTATCCTTTGGTAGCCACCTAACTCTCTGGGTAAAGCCCCAAGAAGATCCTGCTCTTAGAGTTCACTATATCTCCCATAATGGCTTTTTGGACAGATGCACTCTCGATAGCATCGTTCACCATTGGGAGCTTTCAGTGCATGGCTAGTAGTTAGCGAGTGCTACGAAGAACACAGATGAAACCCATGGTCCTGGAGGGATGACACAGTCCCACCATTACCAGGCACGATGTTGCATGGCGAGTAGTTTGAGGATCCTCAACTGAAGTGGCAACTGTCGGCTGTGGCATATCTGATGCGCCTCCCTGCAGTGTGTGTTGCAATGAATTCTCCAGGCGCTCCAGTCTTGGGACGCTGCCAGTATAACGGTGCCGAGTTCCGTAGACGCCGTCTCCCGTGCCAACCAACCCTGTCAACCAACCCATGCATGACCTTCGCCTTCGAACTTCATACAATACTAGCCGGCCAATTTGAAACATAAGAACCGTGAGCCAATGATTTACAAAAACCAGGATGTATGTCCTTCGTTTTTGCCTATTGGCGCCGGTCCGGGCCCTGATTGATAAAGCCCCTCAACCGCCGCCCCACATCACCAGATCTGGAAACCACCAAAAAATGAAGACCATGTGTTATTCCACATGAGGCGACTCTCCCGCCGGGAATTGAACCCGGGTCTCAAGCGTGACAAGCTTGCATACTGACCACTATACTACGGAAGATGGATGATTGTGAGCAATCATTGTAGCGAGTTCGATGGCAGGGGTCCAGAGACTGAAGCATATAACCCCCGCGTGCCCTAGCGCCAGAAAAAAATCGGTGGTGTTTTAGCGCAAAAAGAACCAAAAAATTAATCTCATGTGTTTACACATGTGGCGAACTCTCCCGCCGGGAATTGAACCCGGGTCTCAAGCGTGACAAGCTTGCATACTGACCACTATACTACGGAAGATGGATGGTTGTGGACAACCATTGTAGCGAGTTCATTGGTCAGTTCGTTCCAGAAGAGGTATATAAGCCCGCGATGTTGTGCTGCCCCGAGTCGGCCGTCACAGAATGCCCGTGCGAACTTGCCGTCGCTGCACATGGGTCCTAGTACCCTTGCCCTATCGAAGATGAACGACTTAAAATGAAATTACATTATTGGGGAGATACTCATGAGCATCGCCTCAGCTAGGATAGGAAAACATGAACTGTAAAGGGGTTGGGGGTGGGGAGAGTGTGAGTGGGGTTGCAGCCATACAATCGACGACTTCTGAAACTGGTTGCAAGCAGTTCAAAAGATCCGAACGAATATTAGATCTATCAAAGTAGTTGAAACCCCTTGTTATTTGGTCTGCGATTTTTTCCACCGCTTGGTCGTGCTGGATGGTGTGGTTTCTGAGGCAAATGATTAGTGAAGGTTGGCCTTGCTTAGTATATTAATTGACTGAACTCGCTCATAAGCTCTCTCATCCTGACCTTCAAGACAAGCAAGAAATGGCAAAAAATATATTGGGACCCCAGACGGTGGATCTCACTCCCAAAGTAGCTTGAAGATAACCCCATCGTGATTCTGAGATGTCTAATCTCTCAAGAATGTACAAAAGGTTCCACGTCGCTCAAGATGCCCCATGGACCGAGCATGGCCCCGTACAAGTGTGTGTCATATCGTGGCGCCTTTCAAAAACAAAACTTTCTAGAGAAATCGGTCTCGGAGTTTTCTTTTCTATTCTTGCGGGTTGTGTGTCTGGAGTCTTGTCTAGTGACTATAACAAGGGACTGGATACTATGCAGGCACTGATAGATGTCTTGGCCGTTCTATTGAGTCTTGCTTTATTGTTTATGAAATACCAGCTTTGACCTAGCGAGAATATGGATGATGAGGATGAAAAGAAGAGGATGGTTAGCTTATGATAATATCATTGAGAGGTGCGCATGGTAGAGGTTCTTCTGTCTATGTACAATGGGCTATTGTTGAACTTATACTTGAATTATGAGATCTCTATCAACTACTGACCACATCTCCGGGCTTTAGTGACAGTGAAGGTGTCTCATTACTGTCATTAAGTGAGTACTCATACTATAGCCCGAGTACACAAGAGTCTCGAAGATAAACCACCGGTTTCAATGATAAGAATCATGAAATGAATTTCGCTGAAATTATACACCAATTCTCCGGAGTGCGCTGAGACGACTCTCATGCGCCCTCTTGTACCAACTCGTGGCGGGGACACCCTCAAATCCGTGAGGGAGACCTGGCCACAGGTGGAACTCGACCTCTACATCATCCTTGGCCAAGCGGGCTGCGTATACAATGTCCTCATCTCTGAATAGATCCAAGGTTCCGACGTCAATGTATGTTGCCGGCAGACCACGTAAGCTAGTGGCTCGCGCGGGTGCGGCATATGGCGAGATATCGGCGTCATGCTTCCCACGCTTATCCTCACCGACGTACGCGTTCCACGCGACCACGTTATCGTTCGACTGCCAGGATAAAAGCTTAAGGATAGGGTCATCCGGAGGAAGCTCAGTGCGATCATCAATCATGGGATAGATTAGGATCTGCTTAGCCACGGGCGGACTCAACTGGCGGTCTCGAGCAATGAGAGCAGCGCCAGCAGCAATACCACCGCCTGCGCTATCACCCTGGAGGGCTATCTTGGTAGGGTCGACGTTGAATTCATCGGCATGCTCCGAGACATACTTGAGTGCGGCAAAGCAGTCTTCCGCGGCGCAGGGGGCAGGATTCTCTGGAGCTAAGCGATAGCCTACAGCAAAGTAGGGAAGATCGCTATCATGAGCTTGTCGGGCAATCTGAGGAGCAAAGATCTTGACGCTGCAGGCGACGAGTCCACCGCCATGTGTATAGACAACAGCCGGAGTTGGAACAACTGAGGCAAGGGCCTTGTCGGAGGCGAAGCGCGTGACTTGGATCTCAGCACCGTCGTAGCTTGTGATGGTGAAGACGGTTTCTGTGACATTGGATGGGTAGGGAGACGCGGCCAAGACTTGAGTCAAGAGTGGGTTCGTAAACTCGCGGATTTCAAACGCAGTTTTGAAAAGAGGCGGTTTGTCGCCTGTCTGGCTTGACGCAATGGCCTCGAAGTACTCAGGGTCAAGTCTGAGTCCGGTCATGTTGAGTGTGGTGATGTGAGACTCCAAGTGATTGAGAGAAGAGATGGTTCGATGGGCTGGAATAAGATGATTGAGATGCACTCTGCTAAATGCCGATTTATACGTTTCTCTACCTTCTATGTAAGTCGTGTGAGGAATCGCGATTCATAATCACTAGCCTACTCGGACAATGATGGTTTGCCGAAAGCGGATCCAACGGGACAATGCTTGGTCACCACCCCAATGGATACTGGTCTCCTCGGAAGCGAGAGGAAGCGCGAAGCCGCGAGGCGATGACTGAAGGCCGTCGAGATGAAGGCGTGTAAATAATTGAGCTTGGAGGGAGGACGCATGCGAAGGACAAGACCCGACACTTTTAATCACTGGCCCCGGAATTACAGGGCCGACCTCACCGTTCAGTCTCATGTTCAACATGAGAGGCTAAATGGAAACTCTTCTAGTATTCATAGAAACATGCAGCTTGACCCCGTCTGGGTGTCTAGCAGTAGAAATTAATGGGTGGAATTGACAGTACTCGGCGTAGCGAAGGATACAGGGCAGGGATTGCCCAGTAATAACGAGGCAAGAGTTCAACTCAGCGGATAGACAAGCCCTAAATTCCGGGACGTGGGCTAATGATTGGGTGCTAAATGGTGTGGCTGCAATGGCATGGGGATGAGTGGATGTGCTAACGGCGTTGCGGCCCGTGGCATAACGAAGATACCATTTCTGCTCGCAATGTTGGGCGCTCATCTTCTGCCCCCCGCATTCGAACATGACCGATAACTTACAAGAGAAACCGACTGATGGTTCCTTCGTATGTCCATCCCACCGGAGAAGCCCACCGGACACGCCCACCGGAGTGGTAGGCTCCCCTCTTTTCCATTCTGCTGATCTTCTTCGGTTTCCACTGATGGTGCTAGGGTCCCCGGCAAGACTGCAAAGGGATCACCTGCAGTTTTTATCCCCCTCCATGCAATAAACTGTGCATCCTGTAAATATTATATAAGGTGCTGTATCCCCTCGGGCTTGATCCGAATGTGCTACAAAGTAGGTACTGAGATTTCTCTTGAGAGAGGCATTACGGCTTCAGACTTCTGGTTAAGCGTCTCGGATGTTGTAGATGAGGCGAACTTGCATGGTTGTCGCGATTATGAACCTTCACATGCCTATCCGACTTGGATCTGCAGATTTGAATGGGAAAGTGAGATTCTATCGCCTACAACAGCGCATCGGTGTTGCAGTACATATACCGACAGTGTGGAATCTGCTACTCTGCCACGTTTCTATGTGCATGTGTAGAAGAAACCTTGCACTAGAAATATGGAACATAGAAATGGCTGCGTAAACGGCGATTGATTTAGACAACCGATCGGCTCTATCAAGAAGGATCTTCTGTTCAGAATAAAGTGCGGCAAGGGATGATTCTTCCGGACTAGGATACTGATCTGGTTCCCGTACAGCCCCTCCATGCGAAATACAAACTTCGGCTGTAATTGAGGAATAGGCAGAATAAACTGGGACCGAATCAACCGGGAAAGGCACATGCGTCTGGCCAAGGTGAGGATAAGTCAAAACAGGTCACCTTTGGCGCCTATAAGCAGTTCCGAAAGAGCGGTATCTTCATATTGGTGCGGTAGTTGCAATACGACCCTACTCGGGGAAATTCACTCAACACGCCATCTAAACTTTACGACCCATAGTGATCACCCAACTTGCCCAGTAGAGTTGAGGTTGTAGATCACTTTGAGCGTATTCCCAGTTAAGGAAAAACTAGTTCCGTCCAACGCCAATGGAACCTTCTTGACCTTTTCGAAGGTTCCCCGGCCGCCAAGGGTCCGAATTGTAACATCCCCGGTTGCGCACCAATCGAGGTGGCGCCCGCCTCGTCCGCGATCTTGCGGGGCCGTCCCGCCCCTCATGCGATCCCCACACGGATCGTAAAGCGGAGGATGTGACCTTGACGCTCTCCCGGACATGCGCACCAGTAAGTTGCATAGAAGCCTGTGGATCTGCTCACGCTATGATGATTTGTATCGATAGAGCCGAGAAGGTTAAATTACCCCATGGGAAAGGAAAACGGCAGCGTACCTTTAACTATAAGTAGACTACAACCCTCCGAATTATTCGAGATGGTGGCTTGTTAGTTCTGTGCAGACATTGGTTTTGAAGCTGCAAACTCCCTTCTCTTGACACAACTCCCCGAGGAGTCGCGATGCTTCTCAAACTTGGCTACAATGGCTTGCAGGACTTGGCGTCCTTGCTAGCTCTCGTCGCTGCCGTTATGCCTCTGTCTGCCGTCGCGCAGGCAGTTCCGCCTGTCAACGAGGAAACCGGAGTATCCGCCTATGCCTTTGACATGAGCCAAGTCTCTCTCAGCACCAGCCGCTGGCATGACAACCAAGACAGGACCTTGACTTATATCAAGTGGGTTGATGTGGACCGCCTGCTCTACAACTTCAGGATTACCCACGGCCTGTCAACCGGCGATGCGGAACCAAACGGCGGATGGGACGCACCGGATTTCCCATTCCGGACCCATTTCCAGGGACATTTTCTTAATGCCTGGGCATACTGCTATGCCGCGCTTCAAGACACCGATTGCCGAGACAGGGCCATCTACTTTGTCGAGGAACTCGCCAAGTGCCAGGCAAACAATGAAGCCGTTGGTTTCAACACCGGATACCTTTCTGGGTTCCCGGAATCCGAGATCGATCGTCTCGAGAAACGTACTCTAAGCAACGGCAACGTTCCATACTACGCCATCCACAAGACCATGGCTGGGCTTCTTGATGTATGGCGCCACATCGGCGACACAACCGCTCGAGACGTGCTCTTGGACATGGCCGCTTGGGTCGACGGACGCACTAGCAAGTTGACCTATGCTCAAATGCAGAACATGATGAGCACTGAGTTTGGTGGCATGAATGAAGTTCTGGCCGACGTCTTCCACCAGACGGGCGACGAGCGCTGGTTGACGGTGGCCCAGCGGTTCGACCATGCAAGCGTGTTCGATCCCCTTGCATCCAACATCGACAGCCTCAATGGACTCCACGCCAACACTCAAGTACCCAAGTGGATCGGTGCTGCACGAGAGTTCAAGGCCACGGGGACCAGCCGATACAAGGCCATCGCCAGCAACGCGTGGAACCTCACCGTCAACGCGCACTCGTACGCCATTGGTGGCAACAGCCAGTCCGAACACTTCCGCGCTCCCAACGCCATCGCGTCATTCCTCAAGGAGGACACGTGTGAAGCTTGCAACACCTACAACATGCTCAAGTTGACCCGAGAACTGTGGCTTACCAACCCGACCGAGACGAGCTACTTTGACTTTTATGAGAGAGCGCTGCTCAACCATCTCCTTGGACAGCAGCACCCAACCAGCGATCACGGCCACATCACCTACTTCACTCCTCTAAACCCTGGCGGCCGAAGGGGTGTTGGCCCAGCTTGGGGAGGCGGTACCTGGAGCACTGACTACGATTCGTTCTGGTGCTGCCAAGGAACCGCATTGGAGACAAACACTAAGCTGGCGGACTCAATCTACTTTTACGACAGCTCGTCGCTCTATGTCAACTTGTTCACGCCCTCGGTTTTGAAGTGGACAAGCCGCGGAATTACCGTCACCCAGAGCACCGAATTTCCCGTCGGGAACACCACAACGCTCAAAATCGCCGGCGGAAACGGAGGCAGGTGGACGTTGCGGGTGAGAATTCCCGGTTGGACGTCAGGCGCGACGATCAAGGTCAATGGCAAGGCGGTGAACGTTGATGTCACCCCGGGAACCTATGCCTCGGTAACCCGGTCGTGGCGATCGAACGACACTGTGACGGTGACGCTTCCAATGAAGCTGCACACTGTCGTAGCAAATGATGATGCCGGCGTTGCGGCACTCGCATATGGTCCTGTGATCCTGTCAGGAGACTACGGAGACAAGACGCTGGATGCAACACCTACGCTGGACCTGGGTACAGTGAAGCAGGTAGATGGTCTTGAGTTTGAAGGAACGGCTGGTGGAGAGACAGTGAGCTTGGTCCCATTTTATGACGCGCATGATATCAACTACAATGTGTACTGGAAGACAAGCGGAACGCTGTAAAGAGAACTAAATATTGGACTGGAGGTCAGGGGTTGAATTGACAATAAAGGTGTAACTTAGTATTTGTTGTGTTAAATATTTTCCGTCCAAGATATTCCGATGGGTATATATGTCTTTGCTAGTGGCCGTCCTAAACGATCTCAATGCGCCTCTTCTTATCTTTCGTATGTTGCTCATCAAATGTGTTGCTTGAGGTTGTACGTCCTCGTAAGAACTACTGCACAAGTGGTACTGACACGGCTCTCCATCTGGTGGAATATTATCTGGTGACTTGAGATCCCACTCCTTCGAGAGCGTTTGACTTCGACTTTGAGGAATCTCCCTGTTGATTTATAAAATAAGAGTTATTTTGATTCGTCGTACTATCATTTACTACCGAGCTGAGGCTGGTGATATTGCAATAAGTCTAACAGCTAGCCGTGTTCATCCATTAACAAAATTGTCGGCTTTTATAATTCAGCTATCAATAGAATTTGTGTTTGACTCTCTAAGTTAACTCTTAATGAATAAGCATACCAACTGATTCCCTCTCACTTGGTACAAACCTCGCCCTACTATGTCAGAATTCTTCCCAGTTTTATGAGTTTGCAATAGCAGAGTGGCACTCAGTCCCAATAGTGACCTTGCTCAGATTCGCAAAAGAAAAAGGTTCGGGTTTCAGCCAGCAGTCCCCAGTCCAACCACCGTCAGCTGCTTTTGCGATATTGGCCCAGTAGGGAACAAATGAGACAGTTTGGCATCTGGGATATGAGTAGTCTTTGTTTTGGCGCCACAGGTTCCACACCGTGGATGATTCCATACAGCTGTTAAAGCTACCGGCAAAGAGCGAGAATATTGCAGGAGGGGCTGTATCTTTGTTGCAATACATAGTATATATTGCACCATTGCCGTCTTGATGGTATGGAAGTTAGAAATACTACTCCTCAATCATATTGTGACGTTGGTAAAGAATAAACTTACAGGAGCTGATAAATGTGCTACCTGTTGTACCACCAGGGTTATCTGTGCAACTATTGGTAAGGTTGGAATAGCTCACGACGAATGCAGCTTCTTCAAACTTGGCGTTCGCGTCCTTGTATTTCACGGAGAAGACGGCAACCACGGGAATTAGAACGGCAGTGCATGTAGCTAAGCATATCACGACAAATAATATAGCCCTGGGATGGAGACGGATCCATCGCCATAATTTGGGTTCATCTATAGCCGCAGTATCCTTGCTCGTAATGTGCAAGGGATGGATTTGAGGCTCGGGCGCTAATGGAATGTTGAATGGCGATGGTAGATTAAGTTGCTAGGGCAGAAACGAAGAGGTTTTGCCGGTGTGATGGGTTTCGGGAAGTGCGCTCATTGCCACTTCCAGTCCATCGTTAGTCTTGAGGATTGACCTGTATTAGCAGAGCTCACTTAAAAGGTTGATGAATCTTCGTACATTAGTCATGTCTTAATAGATCTTTGGGTTGCGTGACCCGTAATATGCTGAGGGAACTTAAGGGTCTTTAAGACTTGAGAGGCAGCCCTATTTATGGGCACCTTGTGCCATCAGCCGCACCTCGTACAGGTAGCTCGCTGACACCAAATTCAGCCAGGGCAGTCCAAAAATAAATGCAAATGCAGAACCGAGACTTGGGGGCTATGATAATGCAAGGTTAGCCAACCAAGTGCTCAGGCTCCAAACATACATGCAGCTAACCCTTACAGTGCAACCTCCTCAGGATGGGTTGCGTCAGCCCCAGTCTCAAAACGGGAGTCGGCCCTTTGCCTTTAATTCACTTTCAAGCCTAGCTTCACTTATTGACAATCCTGTGGCAAAGTGCTCGTTGCGAAACGAGGCATAGAGTATGGAAGAGAATGTGAAGGAATGGAGAAGCTGGCCCTTACCGGATGCAAAAGAATGAAGTTGAGCGTTCTTCACCATATTTTTCTGGGACCAAGGTAGGACGTATTACTTGCAAAAAGGCTCATATCTGGCATGGGTGTTAATTTGCAAGAGATAGAAAATGGTGGCGCCTGCAAAGTGACAGCAAATTACGGGGAACTAACTGCCCTAGACGGATATGTCGGCAAATTGATAACTCTTATCATGTATGGCTCCTTCATGGCCACGCCATTATTGAGGCACTCCATTTGGATTCCCGCCCATGTGTTGCCTTTTGAAGGCACCAAGCCACTCGGTGTTGTCCGCAATGGTTTGGTCAAAAGCGTCTTCCGTCCTATATAACAATCGTCTCGACTCATTCTGAAACATCTCGTCGGTGGGAATGATGCCGAGTTTCATCTGTTGCCGAGCATAGCGGCCTAGCCCTAACGTGAGCACGTTGACAAACGTCGACGTGGGATCGTTGTCCATGAGCGCTGGCAGCGACGTTGATGGCTCGTCATCTATTTCAGCCTCTCCCTGACCGGCAATCCAATCATCGTGGGATTTTCGGATCTGTGACAAGTGATCTTTCGTGCCCGAATCCGTCGCAGAGAAGGGCACAATGCTCTTTGACTCCGGGCCAATAAGATACGGAGGGAGCGCGTTGGTGACACGAGCTGCGATGGACGGCTCAAAGCAATGGTCTCCTCGCCAGTCATCCATGGTTTTCCCTTCCCTATAATGCTGCGCTAGGTGGTCTACACGACCTTTCAAGGTATCCAACATGGTGTTGCAGATGCCACAGCGTGATACCATTGGCGGCGCCTCAACCTTCCAGTTATCGATGGCCGGCGTGCTTTTCAGCTGGTGAGCAAGCTTGAGATGTTGAACAAGGTGGTCTTTTCGGTTGAAGATGTGTGGTGGGCCGTTCGTTTGGCACAGGCTGTGATTGTGGGTTTCGAGATGTTCAGGAGTGGGTTCTGGTGAGTTGCAGTACACACAATGGCTTATCCCCGTGTCTGGAGACACCACTGACCCCCCATGAGGTGTACAAACCCACCCGTCAAGGCTAAGATGGAGTGACTTCTCATGACGCGACCAATCGTATTTGCTCTTGAACGAGTCGCAGCAGAATGTGCATTGAAAGGCTCGACGCGGTTGGGCGGTGTTCTTGCCGCGTTTCTTTTTCGTAATCCCCACTCGCGAGCTCATTGGGCGAGCCAGAAGGTCCTTGGACGTAGATGAATGGACCGAAGTTGCGGATCTCGACGATCGACTTGTGTTCTCGCTGTTAAAGCTTGTCGTCGAGGCTGCTCGAGAGCCTCGGCTCCCTGGTCCCCGACTTCGCGGGCTCTCGGAGGAGCTGGGGCGCGGGAAAGCATGTTTCAATGCGCCAGCAATAGCACTCAACGATGCTGCTTCAGTCTCTGGAGGGGAGTCTTGCCATCTTTGCATAGGATCCATGCCATTTCCCGTACTCGAGTGGGGAATAGAAATGGGCCGGGGGGTTTGACCAGGGGACCGAAGATACCGACTCCTCCGTCGCGGAAGACCTGGATGCGAGTTGTCCATGAGGGGTGGTGTGTAGGAAGAGGGATGAGAACCAGCTCGTTGAGTTTGTTGAGCTTGATTTGTTTGACTCTGGATACCCGGCGAGAAGTTGGACGAGAAGTTATTTAGCCACAGGTCATCATAATTGCCTGTAGGCAGTTCATCGGATGGCCTCTGTTGAGAGTTGTCTGGACTTTGACTTGGGTAGTCAACCATCAAAGTGGGGTCGAAGAACATGAGTTCTTGGCCTGAGAATGATGAATTATATTCAAGGGGCGAGCCCCGACTTGGAGATGTCCAATCATCTTGTGGATATGTGGGAAATAGTCCAGGAGTCTGTTGGCTGGCTGGATAGCCTGATCCTAGGGTCATATCTAGCTGGGTAAAATCTAGTTCTGCGACGTTTGAGACTGGATAGTGCAAATTAGAGCCGGTTAATGGGGAGACGATACAGGTTGAGGTTTGACTCACTACCCTGGTCTTGCTCCAAGTCTCCTCTCAGTGTCTCATGCGTCTCTGCGCCCTGCAGGCGTTGAGATAAACCTTGCGCAGTTGGCGCTGCTGAAGTCTTTGCTTGCCAGGGAGGCATGGCCGATATCGGATGGGAAGGCGGTCAGTTCCTGGGATGGTCCTCTGTGAGACTCTTCTGAACAGATAACTTTGAGAGTTGTCGCAAATTGGAACGTAGAGTCGCAGACAGCTGAGAATCACGGCGCAGCGGGCAGTTGGTAGGAGTGAAAGGGTCGGAAGAATCGGATGACCGGTCCCGGTGTCGGCTGGGGCAATCCAGACTTGGAAAAGCGGAGATTTGAGACGCTGATGACGAGTCAGTCGCTAGCAAGGTATTTGGGTTTGCATCGTGGCGGACTATAATTAACCCTAACCCTTTTTATTAACAAGCGCCATTAGCTACTCTCTTGCTTGTAATTAAAATGCTGACGATTCTCGTTCTCAGAGGCGGCACCTTGCGTCTCTCAAGTGTGCCCAAGGAGTTTTGATCTGGGAGACAGCTGTCCGATTGACCAAACCTGAGCTACACATCTAAAAGAAGGGTAGATTGCAAAGGAGCCAAACCTTGACCCCCGCCTTAAAAAGAGAAAGAAAAAAGAAATCCCTGATTGATAAGAGAGATTGACTTGGAGGGGGTCAGGATAGATAGAAGTAGGACGAAAGTTCCTAGTTTCAACTCTGGGGCTCAAGGCTTTCGACGCCAAATGCTGGAGCTGAGGCGCAAGGTTTCCGGCTGTCCCAACCCTCACGACGGCGCAAAAAAAGTACAAGAAGAGAGATCAGATGCTCAGAAAGTTGTCATTGATTTCTTGTGTATAGTGCAATCTGACCTTGGAGCTGTTGAAAATGCTAGAGACGGCCTGTCTTAGGCTTGAACCTGCACTTCTGAACTACACAATCCCTAGGTAGTAGGGAATGATACGCCGGGGTACCTAATTTACAGCGGGTGACCACGTGAGACGTAGCCTACATAGCCTCAAGGCTGCCCAACACAGCCTCGTTTCGTACCTCGCTTTTTAACCGCCCAATCTTTAAATTTCTCCTTCCTTTCACCTATCATCGTCATCGAGCCGCGAAATGAGTACCGTCACAAGAACTCGCCCCCCCAGGTAAGCCCATCATCGCGCCTCAAATTGAATCCGCTTCACACCAGCTGACCAATTGCTGCCCAAAGCGACGATCTCTGGCGGGCTGCAGTCGAACAACTCACCAATGAACAACGGGCCAGTATCGACTTTGACAAGTCTCAGAAGACAGATATCCTGTCCGACTTGCTCGACCTGACCAAAGATGCAAAGAAGCGCTCTATTGAAAAGGCCTGGAAGTTCACGCGGCGAAACGGCGAAATTGTTGTCATCCGTGACATTCTGAGCAAAGTAGCAGGATGGATTGATCGATTCCGGACGATTGGCGACATTGTCGTTGCATTTGATCCAGCCCATGCTGCACTGCCTTGGGCAGGTGTACGGTTTTTGCTACAGGTGAGCGTGGCACTGCAGTGAGGTCCGGCATAAGCTGACCAAGAACTAGATTGCAACCGACGATATCAACACGTTCAACTTTGCCTTTGAGAATATCCTGTCTCTAGCTGAACTCATCAGTCGCCATGCAGTAGTTGAGGGCCTTCTTTTGCAGACCGCATCATCCACCGCCAGAGACGAACTTCGTAATGCACTTATCCGGCTATACACCGACGTACTTACATATCTCGCCAAGGCCAGAGCGTACTTTCTTCAACCCACTCGGAGTAGGTAATATAGCTGCCCAGGTGATGATACCATATTGACTTTCTTCAGAGCGAGCCCTGAAGAGTATGGTCATATCATCTGATCTTCAGTCGTGTTTTGATGCTATCACAACCACACAAGTCGACGTTGACCGCTGTTTCCACATGGCTTCCTTGCAAGGTCTCACTGTCCCGTCTTGCGGATACGACTTTTATTAACGATATGGCTAGACCAACTGGACAAACACAGCGAAATGAAACAAATCATGGCCCGATTTGAGACCCCGATCAGTCGCTGGGACTCTGAACTAACAAAAATCACCGACCAATTTGGCAGTGAGTCGCATCCTGTTGGTCAAAACGCCATGCTGATATCTTATAGGGGCCAAACGGACCAAGATCTTGAAGTGGCTTTCGGTCGAGCCATACAGTAGACATCACAAGCAAACTAGGAAAAACGTCCTAGAAGGAACCGGCCAGTGGCTTCTTCACGACCCTGTCTACTTGAAATGGAAGGAGGAGAGTGCATCATCGGTCCTCTGGTTGCATGGAATCCCAGGTTCTGGCAAGAGCAAACTCGTGTGAGTACCTAGTATCCTATTGTTACGTCCATCCTAACTAATCTAGCTCGTTGGTTGTTGAAGAGGCGTTACACGCCTTTGAGAACCAGAACATGCCGCCACCGGCATATTTCTATTGTTCTCGAAGCCCTACAGAGCTTGGGCGTTCTGACCCCGATAAGGTCATGGCGAGTATCGCTCGTCAGCTCTCCACCCTTGGACCTGACTGTCCGCTACTCCACCCAACAGTGGCCGCTTATAAGCAGTGGGAGAGTGATGCATTTTCCGACGGATCAATATCACTGGATGATAGCCTTGCTCTTATCATGGACTTAGCTGCATTATATCCCATGGTAACTATCATCATAGATGCGCTGGATGAGTGCAACCCCGATGTCCGGAGGAATCTTCTTGAAGGTTTGCAGAGTATTCTCCAAAAGTCACCAACTTTGGTCAAGATATTTGTCTCGAGCCGCGACGATCAAGATATTGTGTACCGGCTGGAAAGATACCCAAATCTCGAAATATCGTCGAAAAAGAATACCGGAGACATTAACAAATTCGTCGCGGCCGAGACGGTAGAATTGATCACCAGCGGAGATTTACTGCGATACAGCAAAAGAAAGGATGAACTATCACGGAGAATCATTAACCAAGTCGCTCTGAAAGCAGATGGCATGTGAGTCAATTTAAGCCATGGAATGGTTGGATCATGGATGACTCTAATAAAACCGATACAGGTTCCGTTGGGCGAGTCTGCAGTTACAAGCACTGTGCCAGCTTCACTCTGATGCTGCAATTCTGGAAAGAATTGATCGACCGCCGCCAAAGCTGGAAGAGCTGTATCAAGAGATTCTCGATAGGATTGACGGCTCCGCCAGCGATGCCGATCGCCTGTATGCAAGAAACACCCTAAGTTGGCTCCTCTGTGCTCGCTGGAAGCAGGACGTGGATGAATTTCTCATGGCTGTCTCTGCTCCGGTTTCGTCCGACTACCCAGTGACGAAGGAACAAATTCTGGGGGTATGTTGCAACTTGGTCTTGTTCGACACCACCCTGGATATTTTTCGCTTTGCTCATCTCTCTGTGAGAGAATTTCTTGAGAAAAAGAGCCAATATTCCAGCACGAAGACGAATGCCCTTGTGGCAGAAACATGTCTCGGAACATTGATTAGAGATTTCGGGTTTGAAGCGCAGTGCCTGTCGAATTTTGGGCAGAGAAGCCTATATTACTATTCAAGCATCTGGTGGGGATTTCACTGTCAGGTGGCAGAAGACGAACGACAAGAAGGCACTCTCAGACAACACCTGGAGCTATTTTTAGCAGAGACCGCGATTGAAGGCTCGCCCTATTCTAGATGGATGGAAGAAGTAAGAATCAAGCATAGAGACATCGTCTTTGCCAGGTTGCCCCTACAAGAGGGTTACGATGTCAACAGAAGACTGCAATGGTGTTCCTCAAGACGCAACTCGGTTATAGTGACGGCTTGCGTTTTTGATCTTTACGAAGTCGTAAAGAGAAACCAGGCGAAGCTAGAGAACCGAGTTTGGCAAAACCTCGAGGGCAGTCGTTGTTTAGATGCGGTCGCAAGGTTTGGCAACCTCAGGGCGCTAGATCTGCTTTTAGCGGTCAAAACGCTCCGTGTCACCGAGAGTACTCCCGTAATGGCGATGGGAAACATGAAAAATGGAAATGAAGTTATGGATTTACTTCTTAGAAGACGGGAAAAGAAGGACATTATCACAACGGAGGTCGCTAAAGCAGCAGTGGCGGCATATGGGATCATGGCACTGACTCTACTACCTGTGGGAGATTTCGCAATGCCAGAGAAGCTCATTGTAGCAGCAGCAGGGGATTGGGCCGTCGGGGCAAAAGTAATAGCCTTTCTACTTGCGGAGCGGGGAAATCAGGTCACAATCACAGAGGAGGTTGTCGTGAAGGCAGTACAGAAGCAGAGGTCAGCAGAATTATTGACCATATTACTCAGGGAGCGAGGACATGAGGTTTCAATCACAGAACGGGTCGTCATGGAGGCAGTAGGGAATCAGTTATCAGGGTGGGAAATACTGACTGCATTACTCAGGGAACGAGGAAATGAGGTCACAATCACAAAAGGGGTCGTCATGGCTGCGGCACAGAATCGGCTATCAGGGTGGGAAATATTGGCCTTGCTATTTACTGAGCGTGGACATGAGCTTCCTACTACAGGAGAGGCCTTTATAGAGGCATTTGGGAGTTATTCTATAGGATGGGATGCACTAACGTTTCTCCTTGAGGAACTAGGTTATGAGGTTACGATGACAAGACAGGTCGTGATGAGGGGAGTTAGGAGTCATCAGCCAGGAGAGAAAGTGCTCACCTTTCTACTCGAGAAACTAGTCCATGAGATTGAGGTCACAGAGGAGCTCATTCGGCGGGTATCACATTTGGATCTGCCTTGCAGGGCGATGGTGGTATCCTTGTTGCTCCAGAAGGGACAAAAGCAGGTCAAGGTCACAACTGGGTTGGTTGATAAACTTTACGACTCGACTGATGAAGAAGTTGTGACCTTGCTGAACGAGAATTTGGTGTAATCTGGAATTAAAGTTATCAAGATCATTCCGTTATGAGGGCATGTGACGACGGGAAAAATGGATATTACGGGCACCGATGGGTGGAGGAGTCGGAGGATGACCATCGTTTAAGCGGCGAACTCGGCTGGAGATACGTGAGGCAAAGAGGGGTAGGCTGGCAATAAGAGACAATAAGCCGATGAAAGAGCCGGCGGTGACTGATTTAATCAACATCTTGCGATTCACCATTTCATCCATATCGTGCCATCAAATACAGACCAGTCTTCAGTTTTTGGTACATCATCAAAATACTCCATTGATTGCAGCTCCACCACAAACGGGATTTAGTGACTTTACGGGATATAAGGCTATGTAATAGTTCTGATAAGGAAAGCGAAAGATGAAGATATGATAGGTTTAATTCGGCCCCATATGTCCATTCTGTAGTATGAATCACACCGAAGCAGTTTTCTCTCCTGTATACCTACTGATGTATGTTATTGCTCCGGTTTCTTTTCGCCAAATACGAGCCGTCTTCCTTTTTCGCTAAGTCTCAAAGACTAGTCAAGGGTCTGTGCCAACGGAGGCTGGTCAGGCTAGCCCTACAAGGTCAGGGGTCAGGGTTGTTACACCGACAGATTGATCGTTGGACTCCATGGCTTTCACTGCATTTAAAGTACCTTACCCCGTATTTTCTGGATGAGATAATGTATGGTTCGACCTTTATGAACGCTATGGTACATTTCTCACGTTTGCATACCCCATATGAAACTCGGACAGAACCGTGGGCCGACAAGATGTGAAGTCAGAAACACCAACAATCACGGTCTGCCTCCTGACACACCCAGACGTTGACCGCATCCACCACACCAATGAATTTGATGCATGTAACCTTAAAGAGCGACCATTATTGGAAGGGCGAGACGTTCATGGCGCTCAATTTACTCTTGTAGGTGTTCGTGCCTGAGCTTTCGCCTAAGATTGGTCGGATCCAGACCATGTGAGTGGGACCACGTGCGGTCGAGCCCTGCTATAATACGACCGAGGGTACTAGTTGAATGAATCAAGATAGCGCGCATGATCAAGATAACCACTTCAAGGAAGTGTCGCTATTACTTCGTCTCTTCTCTTTTTCTTTACAGCTTCCTGTTCATCTGTTCGAACTTGCGAGCATTTCCTTTGCTGCTGTCAACACCTCAGCAAGCATGGAAATGGCCTTTTGGGGTCAAACCCGCAAGAATGCGGCAGAATACGAACCGCTTCCTTCCTCGGATTCCGCTGATTCGGGGGAGATAGAGACCCTCCTGCCACAGCACAAATCACGAGCCCTTGGAGTTCGCAAAGTGGTGACCAACTTGGGGTGGATAGCCGTCTTTGGTACTGCGTTGATGGTGTAAGTTCTACCCCAAAGCTTATATGCACATGTGCAGCCACTGATGTTTTTATAGGACAACTTTTCTTGTGCTCTATGTCTACGAGTCGACAGGCTTAGCATTCATCGATCCCTTCAAGGGCAATGGAAACTCAACGGAGAGTGCCACAAAATGGGTTGAAGAGTTATCACCCCTTGTCACTCCGGTCATGTGTCACTCCCACAACGACTACGTACGACGCCATCCGTTGTTTTCGGCGCTTTCAGTGGGCTGCGCGAGTGTCGAGGCAGATGTATGGCTCAGCAAAGATGGGAAAGACCTCCTGGTCGCTCATCATCGGTGGGGACTTTCGTCGAAAAAGACCCTCCGCTCTCTTTACATCGATCCTCTTTTACAGATTTTGGACTCCATAAATACGCCAACGTCGCAGAACAACCCCGTCTTCGATGGTCATCCTTCAGGTGTCTTCTCAACTCACCCAAATACGACACTGATATTATTCATTGATGTCAAGGACGATCCGGCGAAAACATGGCCGGTGGTTCTCGAGCAGCTGACACCTCTACGGGATCATGAATACCTGTCTCGGCACGAGAAAATACCCTCAGCGACGACAAACCAATCTTTTTGGCCTGGCCCTATAACTGTTGTGGGAACGGGAAACATCGTCAATCGCCGCGACGTAAATATCGGCGCAGACCCAGAGCGATGGCACCAATATCACGACGTTTTTCTCGACGCCTTTCTCGACTTGCTAGACAAGCCTGGTTTCTGTCAGACAAACGATAGCTTATGTCTGGACGTACAAGAAAACGAGTTCTACACGGCCTCGGTGTCTTTCTGGAGGGCCATCGGTACTGTGATAACCGGGTTTAGCGCGTTACAGCTCAAGACACTGCGACACCAAATCCACACCGCTAAGAAACTGGGTCTGAAGTCAAGGTATTGGGAGTTGCCCAGTTGGCCGATATCTTACAGAGACTACGTGTGGGGTGTGATTGATCGAGAGGGTATCGATCTCTTGAATGCCGACGATGTTTATAGCGCAGCAACGAGACATTGGGAGACAGGCCATCCAAGGGACATGGTATGGATGTGCGGTACGGCATCTTTTCTCTTGAGCTTTTCGCTCACTATATTCTGGTTTGGGGGGAGGTTGTTACGTCGAGCACTAGCTATGAGATAGATGAGAAATATACCCCTAGGTGACTCACCATACATTCTACATGTAGCTAGGCGTCGAGTATGTTTATGAAAAGTATTCGTAGAGGTAACAGGATGATGCCCAGGCAAGCTACTTCAGAGCGTTATAAGCCACCTTATTCAGGGTAAAATTAAAGCATCCGCATTTGCAACCGAAAGAGTGAATGTGTACCAATTACTATATGCTAACCAATACTGAGTATGATAAAATGAAATGCATTTGACACCATTCTATACAATGTTTTACCTACATAATTTAGGGTTTATACATATGTTTTGTTAAACTAGTAATTTACAAGCGTACACAGCGTTGTTGACTTCGCTCTCACCGATGAGAACGGTGAGAGCGAGAGGAGTGACTTGGGGCTGGATGATACGGCAAACGCGCGGTACCGTAAGTCTCGATCCGGTTGACACCCCGACTGCGAAAAGTACCTCTATGCAATGGCATTGGTGTGATATAACAAATAGTTACACCAGCGTAGTTTGGCCGATCGGCAGTGGTGTAGTTATTTCCGATGATGTGATGAAAGTTGTTCGTGGGGACAAAGTGGGCAAAATCTTGGAATTCGATGTTGCCGACGCCCTGGCCAATTGCGGCTCAGCCGACGACATTCAAAGCGTGAAGTCTGATCATCCACTGGCTAACAGCGTCGCGACATCCGTCCAATTCTCCACGAACGTTTGCCTCGACAAAGTCGAATCGTGTCAGATCAGACTGATGCTCACTTGGGAAACCCCGGCCTTGGCCCCGGAGGATTGCGATCAGGTCAAATACCCTCAGCTGAGTATTTCTCATGGGGAATTGGAAAGCTGCACGAGCCGAAGTTGAGGAGGTTTGGAAGTCGATGAGTTTGACAGTGAAAGTTCCTTTTAGGCCGGGTCCCGTGTAATCAACACCAATCAAGCATCCTTTCACTTCGACAATGTCGCCGTCGTCAGTCCGTGTTCTGATTGGCTGGCTGCTGTTGATATGGAAGACCACATGTGGTTTCCCTCCGCCTTGTTGAAGAAATTCGACATAAAACTGCGCCACCAGTGTATTCATAAACGCATCGAGGTGAGGAAACTCGCCACTCTCTATGTCGGCCAGGTCATACCTCATAGTTTGCGACATGGTGGGTAAGATTGAAGATGTTGAGGATCGTTGGTATTGAAACAATGAGCAAATTTGAAAGGTGTAAACTTGGTTGTTATTCCGAGAGAGGAGCCTCTTGACCAAGGAGCGCAGTGGGCTCCTTATATGTTGCCCGTTAATCTCGTTTCACTTGTCGGAGCTGCTGAACACCTTCTGAGAACGACCGTTGGCTTCCGACCTCGTAATCAGGCATTCCCTGTCGTTTCTGTAGCCGTCAACCAACACCATATTCCTTCCCTCTCAAAATAGAAACCTTCCTACTCAAAGTAGAATATATTTGGCCTTGATATCTGTCGGCCTCGCACAGTAATACACATCGCGACCTTTTGGCGCCAAAGCAGGAGGCCGTGTATTTTAGACGGCCCCGTTGGTGGCCTGCGTCACGGCTTCGCTTTTCAATTGGCTACTAAGAGTTCAAGGCCGGCGCGAATGATCCATAATCATCGTTTGACTCAGGAAGACATTGAAGCCATGGTTAACCAACTCCCAGTTGTGGCTGCGGCCATGTTTCATCCGAACCAACAACTGCCAACTCGGCGTGAAATCACGTCCCTTGATTGGTATTACCTATCAGGGCGCCTGGCCGACCGAATTATGACCTAGCTTCATGCGCATGGGCGAATCGTGGTTAATTGGCGGGTGGCCTAGCCGCGCGTTACGAGTTGTTGGCTGCAGTGTTTGACAAAACTGTCATGGGTGATCTATATCAAGGGGCCCTGACAGCGGTTCCCAGCTTGAGCGGCGTCGGCGGTATAGCAGGTGCAAACCGATGATAGAGGCGAGGTTGAGGTTGTTGGTGCGAAGCACTGTTTGAACCAGCTGTGGCGACTATTTTTAGCTGATGGTGGAAAGCCTTTACGTAGCCGGCTGACCTAATCACTACCCCCCGCCAAGCAGTCTCAAATCATCTCGCCATCGCACACCTGCTTCTCTCTTTTCCATCCCAGCACTAATATCTTGCCGCTCCCCTGTCTTCTAACATTAAGTGACACGATGGCTCAACTACACGAAAACATCTACCAATCCCCTTACGATGTTGCCAAAAACCTGACAGAAGCTGAGGTCACTGCCATGGTCGAGCAGCAGCCGATGGGCGACGACCGGGGCTGGCGTGTCACCGGGTTTGCGTATCCTACCGATAACCCGATTGTCTACATCAAATATGGACATAATAGAAGTTCTTTGAGAGACTCGGAGGCACGAACTCATCAATTTGCGTACGATTCCCTGCAAAGGCTGCCACAGCAAGAACGACAAGGGGTCTGCATCCCAGAGATCTATCGCATCATGCAGGCAGGCAATTGGACTTACATCGTCATGGAATATATCCGCGGTAGGACCCTGGCCAAACTTATGGAGGATCGGGAAACCTTCAAAGAGACGTATCAGTACTATTACGATAGCATTGAACGAGCCCTGAAACTGCTCCTATCCTTCCCTGTTCCAAAGGACGCCGCACCGGGACCTTACGGAGGTGGCATTATCCAGCACCCGCTATTCAAGGATTATCGAGCCGCGATCCAGTACGACTCAGTCGATATGCTAGAACAGCATTTGAACAAGGTATGGAGCAGTCCAAACGATGACAGCCTTCTTCGCATACTCACATGCACCACAGGTTTCAACCGTTGTTAGCAAGGATGCGCTTACCGTGTCGCTCGAGAGAGACCTCCACTTTGTCTTTGCGGACCTTTATGAGGGTAATTTCATGTTCACTGATAACGGGGACGTATACGTTATCGATTTCGAACAAGCTGGCTTCTTACCTCTAAGTTTTATGACATATGCAATGGTTCAAATGCGTGCAGTCGCCGGCATGCTTCACGACAAGCTTGACTTGCCTCAAGAGAATATCCCAGCCATGAGGCACATATGCTCTTTGTTTGTGATGAGTTGGACTAAAATTGGTATGCATCATCATCCCTTACTTCATGGTCTTCAAGTACCTAACCGAATTTGTCAGGTTTGCCAGTGTGACAAGTTCTACGACCGTTAGGATGAGACTTCTGCCATAACACATACGACTCGCTTACTCTGTTTAAGCTTTTTAATTTTCTGTATTATAAATAATGCAAACTCCATTTTGAAGGAGAATACCATACCCTGACTAAAGGCGAAAGGGCATCATCAAATGAAACTGCTCCGAATATAATTCCAGGCGGATCTTGCGGCAAGACCTAAACAACCTTTGAAAACTCATGTTTCTATTCTTCAAGACAGCCCGAACCGGTCAATTGTCCATCCATGGTGCATGTTCTGAATGTCAAGCCAAGCATCCGTACTGCAATTTCGTTAGCTTACGTCCATTTTCAACCCAAGGGAACGTCATGCGCTTAGCCTAGTAATCATGGAGACGTACTGGATAATCTCGGAATCATCATCTGGAATCAGAGTGGAAAATGGCGCCCATAGGTCCGAAATAATTCCCGGTGTTGAAATAGCATAGCCTTCAGTATAACTCACCCAATTTCCATCATCGGGCACAGCCTCCGCAGGACGCACTTCCGCAGGTGTACGCGGTGGCTCCTCCCGTACCATGGTTCTCTCGATTTTATTTTTCGCCCTCTCGAACAACTTGAAAGCTGCCTCTGCAGAGAAGTACGACTTGCGGAGTTCGCCCATCGCAAGCATGCAAAGTGCGAGATTGTGTTTTCCCATTTGGCACGTCATAGGCTTCAGCGAGGTTGACTCCAAGAGATGGATTTGCATTGGTGGCACGAGGGCGAGGACTCTGTTTGACGGTCAGTGGAAAGGTCACACTAGATTACACATGATTCCTACGTGATGGTGTGGCAAAGCCCAATGAGGTCCTCGGCCATCATCGAGTTGACTGCGCTAATGGCTTCGGAGGCGGCAGTCCGAGTCTTTTGGCTCGCAAAGATCCTCCATGTGCCATGCTGAGTTGCGGGACAATCGCGTGGAGTATCGAAAATGAATGGCCGGTACAGCACAATGATAGTTGCTCTGGGCCCTGTTAGTTTGGGAACCTCTCATCTCGGAGCAAAGCTTACTGAAAAAACAGCTTGAACTGGTAAACATGAGAAGCGACAACCCGACTTTGACTAAAGCCCTCTTGGGGGAGGTAATAGCATTCTCGGATTTCATTTTCACTTTGTTCAAGTTCTTCCTTTGACGGTTTAGTTCCCTTTGCATTGTAGTTGGTCGACAGGATAGTCCCAAGCACTCTCGTTACGCCCACGAGAGAAAGCCACACCTTTGATAGCGTGTCCAGGTCACCAGGTAAATATTTCTGGCTGCCTTCAAACCTTGCTTCGGCTGACAGAAGCGCAGTGTCCTCTTGTCCTGGTAGGGGAACATCGGAATCGTCCAAGGAAACCCTCATAGGCCGACCGTGGCCCAGGGACAACCACACTTCACGGCAATATATGGACCACCAGAGACGGCGCCAGAAAACGGGAATGCCCCGAGAAGCTTGCCCTGTGAGCATAGGTTGACGATGGAGCCCTATGGTATGCGATAGGCTGATGGCGATGCCGCTCCAGTGCCATGGTCCGGTGCGGTCTTCAGTGCTAGTGTACCAGTGACTCATCAAAAATACCGACTGAATGAGAGTAATCTTGTCTTTCTCGTAGTCTGCATCATACAGGGCCTGGATGGCGTTAGAGTCTGGTTCAGTGAACCACGATACGTCTTACCTTTGCCCTCTGATAGGCCGCACGCTTCAATGTCAACCGATTGACATAGAAGTCACCCGATAGCATAGAATCATCAACAAACTATATTAATTATCAGTATAGGATATTTGTGTATGGGTTCTGACCTACACTCGCTGCCGCTAAGAACATGCTCCACAGAAGTAGGAGGCTCACGCGACCTTTTTCGTATTTGGGGACGAAGTCAGTAGCATCTAAAACCGGCGCGAATGGATGAATGTGATGGAAGTAAGAATGTATGAGGGCTTCTCTTATGTGTTGCGGAGGCAGAGAAAAGACACCCTTGGACCGGAGATAGTCGACATCTTCTGTCTCCATGGACTCAATTGAGGGCATTGGGACAAAAAAGTGGCGGTTCTTTAGAGGTTTGTTAGGCTCACAGATGTCAATCACAAACGCGGGGCCCCGCTTATCACCTGCAGGTAGTGTAAGTGGCATACATTCTGTGTAAGGGAATCATTCGAATTGATGGAGCGCACAAATGTGAACGCACAGGGTGTCTTACCAGGATAGAAAGGAACGCCATTGACATGATTGTCGCTCCCTTCCAAGGCCTCTGCATATGCTGAGCTCTCCTGTGCCATATCTGAAAAGTCAGAGAGCCGCCGCCTGGGGAACGGAATGGCTGGAAGGTGAGGTGGTGTTGGCTCCGACAAACAGGTTGTCGGCCCATTCTCCGTCACGGTAGGAGGGCGATGAACCTCTTGGGGAGATAAGTCGCTAGCGTTATCCCCCGAAGGAACTGTACAGACAGGTTCGTTTCCAGCACGAGGGGATATGTGCTCAACCTGAGAATCATTGTGAGAGGATGCAGCCACAGGCGGCCCTGGTTGTAGCGCTCGGTCCGACGCAGCAACTACGTGATCGTCGCTAGTTTTTGAATCACAGGGCGAGGCCGAAAGCAATAACTCGGAGTTTCTCCACAAAGTCAGCATATATAAAATACGGGGCCTTGGGTATTCTTACCGCCGTCTCTTGCGGCTCTGTACTACACAGGGTATGCCGTCGACTGAGCAGTTGGCGCAGGGCGGGCCAGATAGCGTAACAGTGCATCGGACTTTGCGGGAATTGCACGCCTTACATGCGACGGAAGCGCGTTTGGCGACTCGGTTCGGAGGCATTTCGGATTAAATCATTCCCTAAAGAATTGTGTTCTTGTCAACAATAAATATGCAAAAGCTCTGCAGCATGGTGGTGTCATGCTAGAGCTTTCTGTAGCCCTACTGCTAGACAAGTGGGGGAGAAGGCCGAGGCTATACACCAATCTCAAGCCCAATCAGCATGTGAGTTTCGTAGCGACTGAGGGGCCAGCCGAGGTACGAATACGAACCAATACTCCTCGACTCATCACTTGCTCTGCGCCAAGGCGGTAAATACATCATCTCTTACGTCTAAATTAAAGGCCAGCATTTTGGCCAGCATCTTCAGTGCTTTAGCACGAGAACCTAGCTTATTTTCTTGCAGCAAAAAGTTCCGATCAATAAGACCTGGAATCAGGCCATTTAATGTCCAAGATAAAAGGCAAGACAAATGTGTACTTCAATTAAAGAGGAGGTGTGTGCCTGTTCCAAGTCTTGGGCATTTACCAGCTCAAAATAGCACTCCAGCTAGCTCAACGCCCAATTTCATACTCCAATTCGGCAAGGAAGTCGTCAGATAGCGTCCACTCAGAGTTGATGCTCCGTGTCTCGGATGTCCTTGACTTTTCGCTCAAAACCGACGCAGGTCGGATAGACTCCTCATCATCTAACAGGAGCCTGTTGACATCAATGAAGCCTACCATTTGTCTCTTTTGCTTCCTCTCTTCTTTTCTTCTTCGCTCTGCTTCCTTAGCTTGTCTTTTCTTCTGTTTCTTTGATAGAACCACAGTATATGAGCTGTCACTGATTCGAGCCGGCTCGTTTTCACATATGGCTTGATGATCGGTGGTGGCATCGGGGATCGGCGTGGGCACTTAACGTTTCGTTAGAGTTATGAACAGATCATCAGAATGATAAGAGACTCGCAAGAACAACTCGAGATCAAAGTAACATACCATCTATCCTTGGCAGAATGAGTAATGTATCGGGTGAAACCCGTTTTCCGTCGATTGTAGAAGAATGGGTTAACTGCGAAGAAGATTCTGCATCGTCCTTGGTTGGTATGGCATGGACGGCCTCCGACTGGTCTCCCATAAGACCTTCTCCTCCCTTTTTCTCTTCTTCGTGCAACAATTCTCTACTCCGGAGCGTGACCATACTCCGGAGAATGAGCTTACTGCTCGTGGTAGGGGTCCCCAGCTCAGAGAGCAGGTGTCTCGCATATTGGCGCGTCGGAATAGTTAAGAAGGATTGCACTCTGGATTCGACGTAGAGCGCAATCCATGGAGTTTGAAAGGGGTTTTCTTTTTCCCCTTCCATGATGTCGATGATGTGGGGCACGCTCAGTTCTTCACCTAGTCTGCGTATTTCTGCTTCTGCGAGGTCGCCAAGTAAGGGCAGGTTGAATTCTTGAGCCGCAGAATACACCCGAAGCGCAGTTGTGAACTTGGACGCATTCATCTCACAAGTTGTCGCTTGTTTTGGTTCGAGGCACTGGTAGCGCCCAGTGATCAGGAAGTGAACAAGGATATGGCCGATGTCAAGCGCCACATCCAAAAAAACAGATTCACAGTATTCGAAGTCTCGGAGCTTGGGTCGTACTTTGCAGCGAGAGGCGATTTTAGGGCACTTTTTAAGTAGCTCTCCGGGGATGTATAGGGTATCTTTGTTGTGCAAGAAGAGAGCGACGAAAGGGCTGGTGTATGGTCTAGCAGCATCGTTAGTGTGGCAATAGAAGGTAAGAGATGAGGAGCCTGACGAAGATTCTAGCCTTGCGTCAACTTCCCGAGAGCCACTCGTGCTGGGCTGGTGGTGGTCCGACATAGTCACTGATCTGAGCGATGGTGATGATGGATCTGAGTGGGTTGTCGAAAAGTCAAGCGCTTCGGGGAGGGTAAAGGCCCAGCTTTATACTTCAGGCTGGCGAATCCAGTCGAAACGCGGGGAAGATAACGAAGGCAGACGCGCTCAACTCTTTATCTGCGCAAGTTGGTGTCACCATTGCCTTGTGATTGGATGCCTGATTTATCGTGCTGTTGGTGGTAGGCCTCCTGCGTCAAACCACACAACGCATGGTAGGCGGCCTCCTGCATCAAGTTGCAGCATATGGTTGGTCTCTCATTCAAACGAAACTGCCTCGCTTTATTTCGCCACTCTGACACAATCGTGATGTCATTCTACAAAAATCAGGAGCAAGATTGTGAAGTTTGCTTAAACAAGTGATGTCAGTTGATTTGGCACGTATGAGTTGTGACTAACGAGCCCTCACCCTTGTTTGACACTTCTAGGCAACTGAAACATGCGAGACCGCGAAGCACCTTTGAGCAATCCTAGAGAACAAACAATTCATTGGGATATGTCGCAATACCACTAAATTGAATAGATAACCAGTTCCACCCATCGGCCAAAAGGCCATGCATCAATCTATGTATCAATCGACTATCCAAAACCAACGAACCACGACAACAATAACGTTACAAATGCATCCACTTATCTCTATTATATCAATACTGTATTTAATAACCAAGAAAGTTCATATCCATATCCGCGTAACTATCCAAGTCCAAATTAACCACCTGCCTTTTTATCACTCCACCCTCAGTTTCTGAATTGTCATCTGTGCAGCCATGGATACCCACATCATTCAGGAATATCTCCATAATAATCGTGCAGATGCATCGATAGTCAATCAAAATAAATGGAATACTAAATTATACTTTCCTACTACTCCAAGCTGTATCAATGAATTCCCTCCCTTCAGGGAACGGGCTTTGAGCCGATTCAGTGGTGGGGTTATTGTGTGCTCAAGCCTCTAATTACAGTCAAGCCCGCGTTTCACCTTTATTCCCGATTAAAACTCATCGACATTCTACGCAGTCAATGAACAGATAAAATCCCGAATGATATGATGATGGTAAATATGGTTATTCAGCGGAACAATAATGCCCTTGGAAAGGTGGAAGAACTTTGCCCGTATTTAGCGCACTCACGTACCGCGGCTCGGGCCGGGAGTCAGTCCCAAGTTCGGGCCCTCCGGCGTCACACATTAACGAACTTTTCCAGAAGCCAAGAGCCCCGGATCCAATCTCAAAACAGGGATGCGTCCGTGGCCGAGCCAATTCATTTCGCTCCAGGGATTTAAGGAACGAGTTAAAGTTCAATGCCCAGGGTTCTTGTGGGGGCATCATAATAGTCATCTCGTATTGCAACAACACGAGCCCGAAGTTGAGGCGCTAATAATAGAACTTGCCAGGGCGCACCCCATGATCGACCGTCACTACAAAAGTAATCGCATAGCCAAGTAAATAGAATGAACCTGTGAACACGGTCTGTCTGGTTTAGTGGTTGCCCTCTCTTGTGATTGCTGCCATGTATCCCTCCTTCACCAGCCTCCTGACATGTTGTCTGTCAATATGTTCAGTCGCCCAGGCCGCTGTCATTGACGATCGCGCTTACGCCAGTGCATCGAATATCCAGAGCTACTACAATGTGAAGGGCTCGGATCACGCCAAAAAGGCCAAGGCGCTATCGGCGGATGGCTACCAAATCATTTCGCTGAGCACGTACGGCAGCCCTCCCAACGTCAAGTACGCAGCAGTGTGGTCTCAGCAAGCAGGAAACCCCTTTGAAATCATCCACAGCGCCAACAAGACCGCCTACGACTCTTGGTTCGACTCGTGGAAGGCCAAGGGATATGTTTCGACGCAGATTTCCGCGACCGGACCTGCCAGCAAGGCTGTCTTCGCCGGTGTCATGGAAAAGGCAAATGTGACGAACTGGGTCCAAGTGTGCGACATGCCGAACCCGTGGGGTTACGAAAACTCGACTGGCGGAATTGACATGACAGTCAAGGGCTTCCGGATGTATGGTACGCCTTCGGATCGACGATACTGTGTCTTGGGTCATGAGAATGTTGGCAACCAGCTGTCGACCATTTTCTACACCGCCAACTTCGGCATCGACTACCCTGAGATCTTCCGATCCGAGACCGAAAAACGGTTCTGGCGCCCCTCTCGGTTGTTTCTCTCAGAAGACCACATCATCACGCCGCAGTTTGTCGACACCGACGTTGGCAGCTGGGTCGCCAAGGAGGATCTCACCGCTACCGAACTAGCCAAGGAGATCAAGAACCAGAAGCAAAAGGGCCTCAGCCCCATCGATCTGCAAGGCGGAGGCGATGGAAATGATGCGCGTTTCGCCGTCATCTTTGCGGAGCGCGCAGTTCCCTCCTCGCGCAAGTGGACGGCCAAGGGCACCGTCAAGGGCTTCAAGGACAACACCGCTGCTCGGGGTGGCATGGACTCGGTTATGAAGACGTGGATGCAGAAGAACGGCGTCCGACAGGCCCAGGTGGCCATGGCAATCAACGGCTCTGTCATTGCCGAGAGAAGCTACACCTGGGCGGAGAGCAACCGCGCGGTTGTGAAGCCCGACGACAGATTCTTGCTGGCCAGTGTGAGCAAGATGTTTGTCTACGCCGCCATTTACAACCTGGTCGAGGCTGGCCGTCTCAACTATTCCACCCCGGTGTATTCTATGCTAGGCTACACTCCGACCGACCCCCGGGCTGAAAACATCACCATTCAGCACCTGCTCGACCACGCCGGTGGCTACGACAGAGACCAATCTGGCGACCCCTCCTTCATGTTCCGAGACATTGCCCTTGCGCAGTCGAACGGCACTCGTCCAGCCGACACTCGCGACTTCATCGAATACATGCTCAAGAAAACGCTCGACTTTGCCCCCGGAGAAGGCTATTCCTACTCCAACTACGGCAACACGCTGTTGGGCTACGTCGTGTCCAACATCACCAACACTCCATACATGGACTTTTTGAAGAAGAACATATTGAACGGGCTGGACGTGCAGCTTTACAAAACTGCGGCCTCGGCACACTCCAACGATCGAATTATACAGGAGAGCAAGTTCACTGGCTTTGACCCGGTTCACCCTCTGTCCGAGAAGAAGGTCCCGGGACCCTTTGGAGGAGATGGCGCCATCAAGGAAGCGAACATTGCCGCGTTCTCACTCGCCGCAAGCGCAAGCACGATTGCGAGATTCATTGGAACCCATGGTAAGTCTCCGTCTTTTCTGCAATGGACAGTATGAGTACAAAAGCTAACCTCGCTTCTCACAGCCGTTTGGGGTGTTGGCGGTCGCGCACTGTATAACTCGCGAGATGGCTCGTTGGTTGGTGCTCGTACATTTGCTGAGAGTCGGAGCGATGTGGACTGGGCATTGACTCTCAACACGCGGGAGTACGCATCGGAGGATGAATTCAATGACTTGAGATATTACAAGATTCCGTTCTTGTTTGACGATTTCCCTCTCGCTTGAAAGCTGGATATATTTAGACGGAGATGACGATTAGACTATAGACTAGGGCTCGTGCCTGGGAATAATACTTGATAGAATAAATCACATTTACCACCTCTACAACCTCTACAACCTCTAATACAACCCAAAATATTTCCACAATATCGTACTAATGCCATCTCGGTGTAGGGTAACCGTGGCTCATTCTAAAACCGGGGTCTCCTTGCCACCCTTGATGTCGCATCAGTGCGTTCGTTAGTAGCTAACTCGGAAATCTCCGCCCAACTGAAACACTGCAGTTCCCCCACCCAGTTTATCTGGGCCACTGGCCTTTTGGCCCCTTTCTTCACCTCCAGTTCATCTCGTCGAAGCCGCTGCACGTCCAGCGCTCCAAGCCCAACCGGCCATGTCGAATCTCTTCTCTGGCATGTGAGTAACCGAAGAGGCGTTTTCGCCCTTCGCCAAAAAATAAATGGTGCAAATCACCTGACTCGCTCGCAGCAACGCCCGGATGCGGGGAAGCTCCTCCAAGGTTGCAGCGCCGAACAAAAGCTCGACTCCAACCGCGGATGGGCCTCGTAAATCGCATGATACCCAGTCCTCGACCAGCTCCGCGCCCAAGGTCTCCCTGTCGAAGTCGTCGTCGTTCAGCGAGTCGGTCGGCGTCATGGCGCCTCAATCTCTGGACTTGCCGAGGCCCATCCCGCTGTGGCTCAACCCCGCCCACACCAAGCACATCGTCAAGGGCAACTTCATGACGCTCAGCGCCCGCCCGAAGACGGTTGAGCAGGGCGAATGGGTGGCTCACCAAGGTAACAGTTGTCGAGTCTAGCCAAGGTGCACTCTCTAACCCGTATTCAGTCGTCGAGCACTACCGGAATTTATTGAACTTTGTTCGCATCGTCCTCGAGAAGGAGGAAGACGGGACCAGCATATGCACCTCGCGAAGTTGTCCCAAGATGTCAGCTGGACAGTAAGTGGCCGACCCATTCCTTCTAGAACTTGGGATTAATGAGGATAGAAACCACTCGTTCACTTGGCTCAACAAGAACCATGAACCCGTCGAGCTTCCAGCAGCCGAGTACATGGGTCTCGTGCAACGTTGGATCTCTGGAAAGGTCGACGACGTTGCAATGTTTCCCACGGATCCGTCTGGCATTTCCTTCGCCTTCCACCCCGAGTACTCCAACAGCTCGCAGCTCCCCCAGCACGGCAACGGGGATTGGCTGGGCATGAGCAGCGGGTTCCCGAAGCAGTTTGCAGGCACCTGCCAGCTCATGTTCCGTCAGATCTTCCGCGTCTACGCCCATCTCTACTGGAGCCACTTCACGCAGCCCTACTACCACCTTAACCTGGAGAAGCAGCTGAACAGCTGTTTCAGCCACTTCATTCTGACGGCGACGACTCTCGACATGCTGCAGCCTAATGACCTTGAGCCGATGCAACTGCTCATTGACTTGTGGGCAGCTGACGGCACGTTTCCCCCGGAGTCGAGGCCCTATTCATATGCAAATGTGGAGCGAGGCAAATACATTTTGAGTCTGAGCACTGCCATCTGAAAGGTCAGGCTTCAATGGTTATCACACATCTAGACTGGGATGAACTTTATAATGAAATACAATTTGAATTCAGCATCAATCGGTCTAATTTCTAAGTTGTCTAAATCTATCTGCTAGTGAGCTAATCGGTCTAATTCCCAAACTTCCTAATTACTGCCTGAAGCCGCCTGCTTAGGCTAATCGCCCATTTTAGTTGGAGTAAAGGCCAGGGTAGGCAGCCTTGATGATGTCGGCACCCTATTCTTGTTAGACTCGTTGTGCTGAGATAGTTCTTGGAGGTGCTCACCTTCTCGGCAATCATGTAGACCGAGTTCTGAATGCGGCAATCAGGAATGACTGGGATGATGGATGCGTCAATGATTCGGAGGTTGTCGATTCCGAAGAGCTTGAGCTTGGAGTCAACGGCACCCTGCTCAATGTCCTTGCCGAGGCGGGCAGTGCCACAAGGGTCTAGAGTTATGGTCAGTACAAGTAAGTGTTGCATAGAATAGATTGACTCACGGAAGCCGGTCTGAGATCGCTCCTTGATCATGGTATCCATGGCCTCATCCGAAGTTCGAGGCATGGCCCAGGGGTAGTCCTCCTCGATGATGTCCTTCATGCCCTCTCCGTTTAGCAGAATGTCGTCAACAAAGCGGACACCCTGGCGCATAGCGACCAAGTCAAGGTCGTTAGAGAAGAAGTTGATGTTGATGTTGGCCTGCTCGAGGGGGTTGGTCGAGTTGAGAGTGACGGTACCGTTCTTGGAGAGGGGTCGCAGAAGGTCGACGATGACAGTCATGTAGTCGCCCTTGGGAGGGGTGGGAATGTGCCACTGGAAGGCATCGCAGAACATGGGGACGAAGTCGATCTCGAAGTGAGGCTGACCAGCAGGGCCGAAGGGATCGACGTTGCCGTTGGCCTTCTTGAACTCGACATACTCGGGCACCTTCTCGAGGTACTTGTCGATCCGGGGAAGGCCGACAAGCTCAAGCAGGCCACTGGTGTAGGGGCCCTTGTTCTTCCAGCGGTAGGCAGAGGCGGCGGCATCCTTCTCCAGACCGGGGCGGAGGAGGTGGCCGTCGAGGCCGAACCCGTCCTTGAGCTTGAAGACGTGGGGCAGGATGGGGTGGTCGAGGAGGTTCTGGCCGATGTGCTCAGACTTGACGACAGTCTCGATTCCGAACTTGGCGAGCTCGGCCTCGGGGCCAATTCCGGAGAGGAGCAGAAGCTTGGGGGTCTCGTAGACGCCGAGAGAAACGATGACCTCGTACTTGGCGTGCAGGGCGAGGGTCGAGCCGTCATTGGCGATGACCTCGACGCCAACAGCCTTGCCGTTCTCGAAGATGAGCTTCTTGGCATTGGTCTCCCCGAGGACGGTGACGTTGGGCTTGCCCTCGAGGAAGCGCCAGCTGGAGGATCGCTTTCCGTTGTAGATGGTGTTGATGCACTTCCAGAGACCGTTCATGGTGCCGTTGTGGACGTCGTCGGTGAGCTTCTCGCCCTTGCTGACCCAGGCCTTGGTCAGGGCGTTGCGCCAGCCCTCGGTCTCGGGGAGCATGTCGGAGTGGGACACGGGGAGGGGACCGCCCTGGCCAATGTACTTGAGCTCAGGACGGTGCTCACCACGGTCGTCGTGGTAGGTGGCGGGCTAAGTCATGATTAGAATCCGGGGTTGAAGAGAAGAGTTGGCCTATTGGCTGGGCACACTAACCTTGTACAGGTACTCCTTGCAGGTGTCCCAGGTCCACTCCTCTCCACCAAACTCAGCCCAGTCGTCAAAGGTAGCAGCGCTGCCAGGGATCCAGGTGTAGTAGTTGAGGCACGAGCTGCCACCGAGGACCTTGCCGCGAGTGTTGGGCTTCTCAATGCGCGTGTACTCGGGGCGGTCGATCATGCCAGTCTTGAAAGACCAGTCATACTTGGAACCTCGAAGGGTAAAGGCAGTGGCGGGAGTGGTGATGGCGTCGACGGAGGCAGGGTTGTCGATTCCGGCCTCGACGACGAGGACGGAAACATTGGGGTTTTCGGCAAGGCGGCCGGCGACGACGCATCCTGCGGTGCCACCTGGGAAGTTGTTAGAAGCTGTTGCGGGTATTGGTGTGTGATTGGTGCTTACCGCCGACGACGATGAAGTCGAAAGTCTTGGGGGTTTCGTTGATGACAGCCATTGCGAAGTTGGTGAGATTAAGTTATTAGGTGGTGGTAGGTTGGAGATGTGTTTTTTGTTGGTTTGTGGATTAGTGAAGTTGAAGGCTTGAAGCAATTGAGGCTCGAGGTGATTGATGCTGAAGGCGATTGAGATTGGAGGTGATTGAGATTAAAGGCGATTGAAGTTGGTTGTGTGAGTGAGTTGATGCGAGTGATGTTGTGAATTGAACCCGAATATTGCGTGAATGCTCCCATCTTATTATACCACGCAAGTTTACGATGCTATCCAAAGTGAAGCCTGGTCAATTGGCCTCGAAGCCAACATCCACACTGCAAACGACCTGCCATGATATCATCCGGGGAAAAGATGCCGATGGTTGTGAGGTGCGCATCTCGCTCGGAGACGTCGGAGGGCTCGGCGAGGCTGGCGAAGCTGGCTCTGGGCTGCTGCTCGAAGCGTACGGCAATGCCATCCCGGCCGCTGCTGCGATGAAGCGTACGGGAATAACACTCCATCCGGGATTCTCGCAGCTGCCACGACGCCTACGGCACCAACATCCCGGTCGGGGATTCGGCGTGTGAGCTGTGGGCGTGGTGTTGTCGCCAAGCACGGCGGATTGGGTGCCGGATCGTCAGTGGCGCGTCGCTTGCGGGTGCCTTGGTTAGCCTGCCTGCATGCCGAATGCCGTCCCGGCGTCGCCGCGAATGACGTCGCAATGGCATTTTCCCATGTGCGCGCATTTTCTCCGTATACAACTACACGACGCCTGCATCTTTTTTCGCCTCAACCTTGACTCTGGGGTCCAGCCCTTAGGCGGGCGACGGGTACTCGGCGCGCTGTGGGGAACTTTACTTTGTGTCTTTCTTTAGACGTCAGTCGTCTGGATGCCGGTGCCCGTGCCGGCGCTTCCTCTCTGCCGTGTTGTTACTCGCCAAGCCTCAAGTAGACAGTTACAGTCTGCGATTTATTGCACCAAGTATGACGACAGATCTCGGTCGAGTTCCAGGTGTTCGGCAATTACAGCACCGATGTGGTATTCCCGGACTGCGCTAGCCGGCCGTGAACAACAACGGCATCTTCGCCAACCATGACCACTCTTCTCATCAAATAAACTCGTCGACCAAAAGCCGGTAGGTAAAATTCCACAAAGTTCAATCTTCATTTTATTTTACTCCAGATTTCCCCTCAAAACATATGCCCGGCCAAGCTCATGGTATGTGACTATCACGGACTCAGCCAACTACCAAGTGCCTTGTTGGACACCCCCGAGCTTAACCGCGATCCCCCCAAACACCATCGGGATTCACAAATGCAACCTACTGCAAGGCCTTTCTGGCGTGCATATCCTACTAGCAGTCAGTTTACGTCTCACGAGACTAGCTTGGACTGCCTGACAGTGCTGATCGGAGACCTGGATCGCCTCTCCTTGCCAAACTTCCTTCTTGTCATTGACGCCCTACTTCTACATTTAATCCTTTGCAGACCCCATTAAACAAATACCTGTCATTTCCAAGTGAGTCCTGTATCTCATTTTGCAAAATTCATACATGTGGCACCCCCTTGATAGGTCAAAAGAAACGAGCAAAGTAGCAGAGTTCATCAAGTCGAAACACGTCCTAGACACTGTTCTTCGCAAGTCGAGATGCAATGCAACGCGTTGTACAACTGCGGCCGTACTAGTGTAAGGGTAGGTCACTTCACGCACGAGATTCAAAGCAAATAGGATCAACCTGTCATTGCCGTGGTACCCTCGGACCGGGGAAGGTTGGTTGTTGCTAATGCAGTTACACAATCAAACCCCGCCTCCTAGTGATTGGCCATGACTTCTCACGGTTTCTATCATGAGTTCAATATAATGAACATTTTGCCGTATAGTAAAACCCACTATGAGGTCAATTATAAAGACATCAACACCTTCGTGAATCCTCATGAGGGTTAGATTCTGCCAATACATTCACCGGGCACTACGGATGTCTTCCCCCAACCCCGCCTCCACTCATATTTCCCCCCAGCTCTAATGCTGTGCCACCACCAAGCGAATGCTCCCTGTAACTAAACAGTTACGGCTGTTTCTGAGGAACAGTCCATGTGGAACGAATCACCTTTTTCGCCACTCTGCCATCCGTCATCTCGTGGGCAGAGATCTTAATTTCCTTGGTTGTCTAAGACAACACCGCTTCTAAGTTGTGCTTGTATCACGTCGGATGCGGGAGCAAGGGGTTAAGTCTGCATTGTGCAAGCCGGAAGTCGGCCTCGGACGGTCGGGCCGACTTCCTCCTCACTCTGTTCGTAGAGGAGTGCACGAGCTGTAGCATTCCGCGTGTTGTTTCGGGTGAATCTACTAGGAACCACCCGTATGGACGGCTTTGCGAGCAGGCGAGGCTTGAATCTCTCCATAGTTCTCTAGGGATCTATAAAATCCTCGTCGTCCCTTCGAATGGACGGTGGTTTTCTCATCAGCATCGATTCACTCAAGATCCAAATCAGATCCATCCCACAATCAACTTTGCATACTTCAACTTCTCTCAACCCCATCATTCAACGAAAATGAAGTTCTCCGCCGCTACCATGTTCGTCCTTGCCAACGGCATCGCCGCTCTGCCCTGGTCTCTTGGAGGAACCTCGAAGCACTCTAGTGCACTCGCCGCCGACGAAGACATCACGTTAGTTCTTGACACCCTTTCTTTCTGTTGTGCTTTTTCCCCCCTGTCCTCCAAGTTTGATCTCCATCCACCACCCTCGAGCCTTTGTTCGAGAATCTTTATCGTCCCGTGATGGACAACCACGGACCAAGTCATGCTAAACGTTCTCTAGTCTCCACATCAAGGTTTCTCAAAACCAGATGCACAAGACTCCTCCCCAATCCTCCGAGTTCGACATCTGTCTGAAGATCTGCTGGCCGGAGACGCCAACTTGCCCCACCGGCTGGGTAAGTTTTGGTCCATTCACTCATCAATATTAGATGCTAATAGAATCTCTAGTACTCCAACAACATGGTACGGTAGCCTCACATACACTGACCTCGATACTAATGAAATTTGTGCAGGGCACAGCTGATTATCCTTGCTGGACTTGCTGCAAGGCCCCTTCGAGCGACCTGTAGTTCGAGATGCTATGAGGTAATGGATTTAGTGCGCTGAGCAATAGTAGGCAGGATTTTAGTGGTCTACGCGCCGATTGGTCTTCCCTTGAAGACATGGTCCAGGCCCAAGAGTGATTCCAACAATCACTTCTCTACGACAAGGGCATGCCTTGTCTCGAATCCATTCTGTCCCTCTTTTACATCTCATCTCTAGGAGCCTTTTAGGTAGTCGCATGGTTATCAATCGGACGCTCGTTTCTCTTCTAATTCTGCCAACATATAACGTCGTGGCCCATGAAAGTCATTCTCATCCGACCTTGCCCCACTGTTCGTTACCGAAATTTAATGTAGGAATTATACTTTTATATTTCCGTGATAGATGGCTAGATTTTGCGGTGCGGTGTCAGTTACATCCATATCTTGAGCGGAGTTTCTCTCTTGGCATATGTCGTGGCTTCAGGCCTCCTCTTTACTCGCTATGGCAGTCACGGGGTTCCAACTTCTCCTAGCCTAGGCGATGCTTTAAGACGTCTTGGACTTAATGGACGAGTATTACGCTGAGTTCTAAGAATTGAGGGAAGTGATTATGGAGTAGGATGGGATCATTCGCAGCTAGTAAGAGGTAATCCGAGGTTTAAAGAAAGTAACAGAGAAGTAGCAATATCAACCTGACAATTAATTAACAATTGAAGATACTGAGACGCAGATGGGCGATGAGTTGAAACGAGTCTTAGGCTAATACCACAAGCGCAGCAACTACCCTGCACACCTTTCACCTGAAAAACTTCCTCCCCTTATCTTTAGCAAAGTCTGCTGATACCCCATTCCGCACGCAACATCGCCATCGCTATACGCAGCGTGGCAGGTGGACAGGGACTTTTGGGCTAATTGGTCGCTAGCAGGGACTTGACAGGCAAACAGAGCAAGGGATCATTACATCTTTCCTTGACCTTTCTTCTTCAGTCAGAGAGACAGAAGTCTTGAAAGCCTTATTGCCAGAATTAATCCAGATATTTTACTGCTTTCTTAAGAGACTTTTACGAGTCTTTTCCACAGCCTCCACGATCCTTGCTCAACCCCAGTCTTCTTCATTGCCAATTGACCGGCTGCTGCGGGAGCTTTCGAAGCCTTGCCACTATCGTCTCCCGCAGCAGACTCGATATAGCATCCATTTAGATGCTTCTCTATTGAGAGATCTAAGTCATAGATCTGTCAGACCACAAATGCGTAGTCTAGTGCGGCCTCGGTTCGACCTAACAAGACGCCTGTGCGATGCTTTTCTGTGCATCCCTCTCAGAGAGGCTTTTGCGTTGGTTGTTGGTTATCATCCCATTCTACCGCCAAAGTAGCCTAATAGGGAAGGTCAGGCACCTCTAAAACCACCAAATGTGCCGCTCAAGCCGACAGCTTGCATCGATCTACGAGTGACACTCCCTGCTTTCTCGTATTCGGCCATTATCCCGAGCTGATGGAACAGACTAGTTGTTGGTTGCATCTTCAGTGGTATCGACGCGATAGCGCACCTTCCCTCCCAAGCACAAAATACGAGGCAGCTGAGGACCAACGATCAAATCACACCAGGAAGCTCGATTCTAACTGGAAATCGCCTTTCTTTTCCAGCAATCCGTGGTGGGTTGCCTCGTGAGAATGCTGCTGCACTGCCTTCTCCACCATTCCTTACCAAGGTTAAACCAATACAGCAGCACCATAGGAAAGAAAGGCTGTTACTGCCTCATCACGTCATCTCCCGGTCCGAGAACTGTCCCTAGCGTATCGTCTTAGGCAGAATGCTGAGGTGAAGGTGTCATAAATATTGCGGGCATGTGCCAACACCTTCCCGCCCAACTCGTGCCCCTTGTTGCCTGTGCCCTCTACCTGCATTAGGGTAGAGTCAATCGCCCAGGCTGGGTCATGCGTTCCAAGGCAATTCTCTTGCGGATTGGTCGGACCCAACCACGTCCCTGGAGTCTCTTGAGATATAAAGGAGCCCTAATCTCTCATCGACAAGAAGGGAGGAGAGATGTGCTGCTCAACTGTTTTTCTATTGATTAACCGCTTATTGGTTCATAAATTTCTTGCAGACGCCTGAGTCTTGTGCTTCCCTCGTCCTTGAGAATTCATAAGCAGCTCGTCCCTGTACCGAAATGCTCTCTTTACTATTGATCACTCTACTTCTGAATCCATTCCGACTATGCGACGGTTCTCCAACCTTCCCAGACGCATGCCAAAGGTGCAACGGTCCGCCAACCTTCCAAGAGGAATACCGGGGCGGCTACGTGCCAAAGGTTATCGAAACAAGGCATGGGCTCCAGATTGTAGCACCAGATACTCCATACGTGGCACTGGCAGGCCGAGACCAACTATACTTCCTCGATACCCGTTTAGATCTTGAGACTGCAAAGCACGTGAAGGAGCAAATCCAGAGGGCAAGCGTGGCGGGTGAGGACGAGTACATCTTTATAGATGAGATTTTGGCTACGGCCGAAGTAAAAAACTATAAAACCGGCGAAACGACATTCGTGTTCGATCCTCTCTATGCCAGGGTGCTATTCGCAAGGGGAATGAACAGGGGCAACCCGGAGCTGAAACTGCCCGAACCTGAGCCCGCCGGTGATTGGTTGGTTACTTACGACCTCGACACGATATCGACGAAGAGGCCGTTATCATGATCCGATTATGGCTGTCACAGAAATGGAGATACAGCAGACAAATGGCAACTGTCGGCTCTGTCACTATTATAGGGTTGACAACGAGTGTGACCAACTGCTGATCAATGTCATTGACTTGCGCGCGCGCGAGTCAACGGGAGGATTCATCTATATCCGCTATTAAATAGCAGAGTTGCATATTTTAGGAGGGAGTAATCGTTTTAGTACGTTTGTTTTGACCTGAATGATATACAATATGCCTTAGTTATTGTTCTGTGTCAGTGAAACTATTTTTGCCGCTTTTTCTTTTTAGCTTTACTCAATATTGTCAGGGAGATCAAAGCCATGCAGTATAAATACAGACAAACATTCAGTTGTACACCTAGCAATAGACGGGACAGTAGTGAACAATAAGGTTGTTGCATACTGAATTTTGCCTTAAGCTTCAATATTAACTTGAAACCTAAACGTGGGCCTTACTTGGCAACTGTGACGTGCACAAGGAAAATGGGGTAGATTCAAAATTAAGCTCCTCACGGAGGGACACGCCTAAAGTATAGGACGATGGAATATTCGAGGTTGTTGTCAGCCTACTTGAGCCACGTGTTACCCAATAATGCCAAGATAGCCTCTTGCGGAACCCAAAGCGCATCCCTCCACTGAAACCAACCAGAGTATCAAGGCCAGGTCACACAACACGGAGCCACCTGTTGCTAAAGCTGTCAACTCCCAAAATTAGAAGTACTGCCATTGCTGTTCCTACTTCTAAGACTACTCGACCACCGAACATGTCTAGAATCCGGAGGGGATCCCGTTTCAATATTCGATGGATGGTTCTGACCAGAACTTAGTTGGGGAACTTCGGAGGACACTTTAGAGAACGATTACTCGGTAGTTTTGGTGGACGCAAGAGAGTAGATGGAAGGGCTTGAGTTTCTTTTCACATTTTACTCTCTACACTTAGATATCAAAATTCTCGCAATGAACCTCGATGCTAGGCCCATCGGAACGAATACAAGCACCGGCTGCTGTATTTACATCGTTCATCAGTGAGAAGGGGCCACATGCAGCAATCAGTACCTGCTGATTGATTCCGACTGATTTCACGGTCTCGAATATCACTTCGCTCGCCCGTAATTTCTCATATCTGATGTCGAATCGGCTGTCAAGATCTGCTGGATCAGATAGCCTGTGCTTATTGCGCGTCTCGTCTCTTGCGGTAGCAAGTCTCGAATTTAATGTGAGACGGTGTAGCGATTCGACTGGACCGTCCCGACTGATCTGAGGGACAAAGTCCCCGGAAGCTATTAGAGCTGGCGTACTGCTACCGGGAGTAGCGACTTGTTCTGGGGTGGTCGTATTTGACTCTCCAGTGACGTGCAATGTCACTGTGATTTGGGATGGGTGGTCGTTTAGTCTATTCAAATGTTCGGAGAACCACGACAGGCTTTCTGCTGAGAGTTAGTGTGAGCTTTTTAAAGGTCTGTCCGAAAATAATACCTTTGTCTCTCACCGTCCAGATAAAGTCCACAAGTTGTGGTGATTCAGGCTCGAGTTTTGAGAGAAAATTATTGATCAGACCGAATGTAAAGGCGGCTCCACTTCCGCCAGCAATGAAGATGATTCTATCGTAGTGGTGTAGGTTTGGCAATGAGCCGTATGGCCCCTCAACGGAAGCCCGAACAGTGGTGTTTGGATTTGAAACCGCATAGTCATGCGTGTCCTTTGTGAAGCCTTCATACGGCTTTATGACCAACTCGAGACCCATGGCATTGTTAGATACGATGGTAAATGGGTGCACTTGAAAGGTCCGGATTCCCGGGATCCAGACAAAACAATGCAACCCCGGTTTAGCTCCAGCGAGGCGCTTTTTCAAGACCAATCTCACTCCGTTGTTAGGCAGTGAATAAATAGCAGCCTTGTTGTTGTAAAGATTGTATAGCAGAGTGGCTGCCCTGATGAGGCGGTCGAGAACCCAGATTCCACCAGCAAACACCATGATGACGGGTACCTTTTTGTACCAAAATGGTCGATGGAGTGCTGCAAAGACAATCGTCACAATGGCGCCGAAGACGTGGCTGATGTAGAAGACTTCATATCCAAGATGCCTCATCAGGCCGAGAAGCAGAACCAGCATTCCAACAGACGCGATAACTCCAAACAGGTTGGTAGGCTTTGTGAAGAGGTCGCTCAATCGGTTCTGGAGGCCAAATCGGATCGCATAAAGGAGCCCGTGAATAAGCACCTGCGCGACGGCTGTGTAGCCAACCACGCGATGAAAGAAATTGAGGCGGTTGTAGGTTTCTGCAGTGGAGGCACCCAAGGGGGTGTTCCTCAAACCTAAGAAGACTGACAATGCGATGTTGGCAGCAGTCATCCTAGGTGATATGGTTAGTACAGTGCAGCAGCAAGTGAACGTATAGCATACCATCCTAGCCGAGCACCGGGGTTGTTCAACCTCGTTCTGTCCCACTCGACGTAAATGAGACATAGTGTGATGTTGAGAATCAGATAGGCCGCAACCAGAATAGCGTGCCCCAAGGAGGGAAAGCCAGGTACTTTGCAGACTGCATAGCCTCGTAAACTCCTGGAAAACGATTAATTGTTGTCCAATGTCTCCTTTTGTATATGCCTCACCGAGAGGCCCTCAAGAGTATCCTAAACCCTGGCAGACGTCGCAAGGTTCGTGACGAAGAAAACCGGTACCGGGCTGCGAGATGACGACCCCAGTGGACAAGTGTGAAGAAAAGGATGAGGCCAAGCAGGACCCCAGCGTAGAGCGTCAGGTTCCATTCGTCAATCCGCTGCCTGGGCTTGACTGGCTTCTGGCCTACTGGAACGGGAAACCAGTCCATGGTTGGGATCGATGAGAAGCACGGCGATTCTCATGGACGCAGGTGAAAGGAAAGTTGTTGAGGAATGAGTGAATGCATGAGCGAGCGGGCAGCACCGTCATCAACGTACGATGGATACCAAGTCCAAATGACTTGCATGCGGGTTGACAAAGTCACAAGGGGCTGGCCTTGAAAGCCGGGAAAATTAAAGACGTGTACCCTCCTTTTGCACTTGCGGGGCGCATTGCCCAACTGACCGGGAGGGTGGCCAAAAGAGGTCTAGATGGTTAGGGCAGTGCAGATTGATAAGACTGCTAGCTCCGAGAATCCGAGCGGGCCCGACATCACGAGACGCCAATTCTCTCACTGTGAGGCTATGCTTGGACGATTTGGGTTAGGTGCGAGTGGTTTTAGTGGAGATTTTATGCCCATGACTGCATCTGCTGCTGTTTGTCTTGCCAATAGATACTACGTACTGTACCATTCCGTCTCCAGCGCGTAGGATTCCCGGGGTTGTCTCGCTGGCAAAGGGGAGAACGAATCACGGGACTTTCATATTGAGTTAATCCCCTCATGGACCTCATGAACCGTCAAAGGGGCACTCCACACCGGCAGTGTAATTACTCCATCCATGTTGCATGGTGAGTTGGCTTGGATACTGCCCCTGTGCCAAGCCCTAATTAGTGGTGGCCCCGCTGTATTCGGATCTGATAAAACTCGGCAGTACAGCCGTTGCCGTGCGCTACTTACTCTCCGATGACGGCCCAGCCGCCCTTACCGAAGATGACAAAGCATTTCCCGCTGCTAGCCTATTTCAGCGACTGAGGCCTGCACCTCCAATTTCCATCATTGAAGTCATCGCTAAGTTAAGTGCTCTACAGATACCTCGTCACTTCTTTGGACAGTGAGAAAGTACTAATAATTCAACCTGGTCAATGGTCAATGCGTAGCCCATGGGGAAAAGTTAATCATTCACATCTAGCCGAAGCACACTAGGCGGTCGAAAATATTTGCAAACTTCTCACGACGCTAACTAAATATCGATGCGATCTTGCATTACAAATTAAGCCCTCCCTATCAATCTAATCATATCAATCTAATCGCATTCACATCGATCTAACTAATCACAGAACCTCAACTTTTACATCTAGGGTCCTTGGCTAGTAAGCACTGCAGCTTACTCCGCCGACGCGTAAGTCGCAATCTGGAGTAGGATGGACAACGGGAAGGCTGATGTATCCGCCACGCGAAGTCCGCTTCTCCCTTAACGCAAAGCCTTTTACTTTTCCATATTTCTGCTCCTTGCAAGTCAGAGATTATGCTAGCAGATTGTACTATAGGCAGTGATGGCTTTATATTAATTTGGGTCAACCCAAATTGAATCCTGAGAAAGCCCATCCCCCCCCTCGCATACTACTCATTGCCCATCTTCCGGATTATCTCGATATCTTTCAAATCCCTCATCAGCCTCATCAAAGGCAGCTACAACGTCAACTGCAGGCGTCGGCCTACCATTGACATTGACCCAGCCCAGCTTGTACATGTGGCCCCAGCTATCGAACTCGTCGTAGAGCTGGCGCAACGAGAGCAACTCGGGGTGTTCAACCTCATTCTCGAGTGTCGTCACAATGCTACTGCAGCACAGTAGCTGGAGACTGCCGCCCAGCTGTTCAGGAGACGTGGGAAGGCTGTAGAAATCACAGCGCCACATTCCTGCTGCTACCACCCCTGCACAGAACAGAAGGAAGCATATCAGAAATATCTTCGAAAACGTGTTCGTCTGAAGAACTTCCTTCAACCGGAGTGGGTGCAGGTCGACTGGCTGATATGGGTCGCTAACCCTCCACACGTTGGATCGTCCCGCAAGAACAGACACATAAGTTGCGAAAATTTGAGAGATATCCTGTGAGAACTCCTTGCGGGTGGCACAACGTGGTCTCCCTTGACAAGCGAAACGGTAGACCAAATATCCCATCATGTCTCCAACAAAGAATTCGGTATGTATGAGTTCTTCATCTGCGATGATGCCGTCTTCATGTCCATCCAGGACTATGTTGGATAGATTCAAACCTCGGCAGATTGTCGTTACAATATCTTGCTTCAGCTGGACGGTTGGGGTGTTCGACGCTTCATACTTCACAATATCAGCTTCGTTATCTCGGAGCTGCATTGTAGCTTGACCCTGTTCGATCTCTATGCGCGGTGTACAGTATAGAGCCGAGACCGAGACGGGCTCTGCGAGTAGAAGATCCCGGTGTTGCGACGACCAGTGTCCAACTCCATAGCTGGACACAATCAGCCAGCGAGGAACGGCATGACCACGATTGTCTGTCGCTGAATCATCAAGCCACCACCGAGTGCACTCGATCATGTTGGTAGCCCGGTCGCCCATTGCGGAAGGGTCCTCTGTGCTAAAGCGCGATGCGCTGGAGCAAGGCCTTTCGTAATGTGTGTGGCGACCACCGTGCTCATGAACGTAGCGTTGGATGCTGACAAGCGGCACTTCCGTTTCGTTTCGTTTCTGCAACACGCCCTCAACAGTCGTAGGCTCACACTTCAGACTGGCGCGAAGAGCCGAGGTCTCGAACAAGGCGAACGGACGACTTATATCGTTTGCGGCTTTGCGGGTGTCAAGGCCGACCATGCCCACCTCGGGTGACGAGAATTGTGGCAACATGCGGCCTGTGAGTAGACCGCCGGCCAAAACGGCGAGCGCATCCCCGGAAAGAGAGTCTATTTCCGCTTGAGGACTCGTGATCTTCTCGGTCCAATCCCAATGTCTCACACCTTTGACAGTCTTCGCTTGCCGGACATCCGCTTTCCATCTATAGAGTGTTGCTTGACTCACTGGGGCCATCAGGCCGAAGAAACAGCCCAGAGTTACCACCACAATGAACCAGTGCCGATTCTTGATTGCTTGGAGAATGGGGAAGTTGACGTTCTGGTAGTCCAATGTAAGGCTCTTGTTAGATGGCTGTGGCACTTTCAGAGCAATCCATGGCTGTCTCCGACGGAGGAAGTTGGCCAGCCCGGGAAGCCATATGAAGCAGCTTAAAAGTATCACTAAGCTGGGTAACAGCCTTTCAGCGAAAATGGACCAGTCAGACGGCGTTGATCGAATGTCAGCAACGTCCATGAGTCTGGAGAGTTGACTCCGAATATCCATGGGTTCGTTCCTTCTGCAAAAAAGAGCAACGAGGTAAACGACCAGTGCAGCGGTCATATAGACACTAGGGCTGATCATGTGGAGGCAAACTTCGAAGTCATCGCTCCCCTCAATCCCTCCCGGAGGTCGGGCTGGAGGCCGGGCTGGAGACCGAGCTGGAGGCCGGGCTGGAGGCCGGGGCGCTATCGAAGTCTCATTAGCAGTATATCGAGATCGGCACAAAGAGGTGTATTACCTGGAATATTGGCCTGCGGGTAGTCTACACGCCAGCCGCTTTTGCCTTGAAGTTCGTGTATGTGCCAGTTACCAATTCTCATGGATTTAAGGATTTTGGGAGGTAAGGGAGCGGTGCCATAATAAGACAGCCACCCCTTGACGGGGCTATGGCACAACAATGCGGCATTGGCGGCGATTGATGTCACGTCCCAAGGCAGCATGGAGCGGCCATCAGCCGTCGTGCGTGATTCCGGTTTTAAATATACAACCAAGAATACCGTGGCAATCAAGCTATATGCATACAAGAAGATCCTGAAAGACCATCGAGCTTGGAAAAGGTCTCTCGAGATCCCCTCTTCTTGGATGGCGAAGGCGTGTGTCAGAGCGAGCTCAGATGTCCAATTTCCCCCTGGCTCGGCCCCTTCAAGTCTCTCCTGCAGAGCAAGGCCAGCGGCGGTTGACAGTTTCGTCAGGAATGACAGGCGTAGGAGTCGCCCGCCCATCAGCAACGTGCCCAGTGGTTGCGGCCGGTTCCAAACGAACGTGCCAATTTCTTCGCGCAGTTGAGAAAGGGGCCAGAGGGTCCCGGGAATGGCACTCTTCGAAACATGTTGCAAGAACAGCTCGCTCATCCGTCCGCGGCTATGGGGTTCTAGCTTCCCCCAATGGGGTACGAAGGGCAACGCAAACCCGGGAATGCCCAACTTTGGCAAGCCTTTGAAGAAAGGATCGGAGTAAGGGGCTACCACGTTAAAGCGTGGTCGTCGAGCCCTAGACGCAAAGGGCACCTCCTCGTGGTAGAGGCTTGTTCTGTTCAGGCCCAAGAGCAATCTTACACTCGCAGTAAAGAACTCGGGCTTGCAAACAGCGGCCTGGACGATTGATGCCTTTGGCTCGGCTCGTGACGAAATCGCCGCTGACGTTAGGCCGACAATGGCAAGCTTCTGGCTGCAGTCGGCATTATCAGGTCTCATCCGGGTCCAAGACGGAGTGTAGGCCACCACCTCTTCCTTGCTCAGAAGTAGACGCCGATAGTCATTGAGATACTTCCATACTCCCGAGCTCTTCCCTGCACCGTTCTCAAGCTGGCCAAGGCCTTCTCGCAGCTTCTCGCGTAGTCTGGAGTTGTAGACGAGGCCCGGGAGGGTCACAGTGGTGGAGCAGCCGGCAAAGTCCTTGACATCCACAGAAAGGAACGGCTTTCCCTCCGCATGGTCGAGTTTCGGATCGTCTTTGACTTGGATCAGCTCGCACCGCAAGGCCATTGCCAAGACTTGCGAATCAACTTTCCACTGGCTCCCGAGCACGGCTGAGAGGGGGACCGAATCCGCGAGGGGCACGACGGGAATGTAGACGCCATCCTCGTACCGGCACGGCTCGCCATTCCAACACTCTTCACCAGCCCCTTTCCCCCGACCGACAACGTCAAAGTTCATGGCATTCAGATTGTCTAAAGTGCCGTTGGACTTATCCGAGACCATCCAATGGTCAGTCGAGTCCCACTCGATGTCGTTAAGAACGTCCTCTGTTTCTCGTATCCTGGACGGCAAAGAGCCGTCGAGGTTGGCAAAGGCCTGGTCCCACGAAGCCAGCGTGGCGCAGGAAAGTTGCGGGTATGGGCTCTTCCCATCATAGGTCGTCTCCTTTGTCTCGATGGTTTGGAACTGCATGACAGGCAGACTCACGAGTACACACACTACGCCTATCATTGCGAAACCAATGGACATATGGTAGTTACAGCGAACTAGCAGCTGCCTGGTTTCTCGTCTTTTCCGGCCATGTACGTACGCCAGTCCGCACGACATCAAAGTGGCGAGGAGCCCGTGCCATCCGGCATCAGTATCAGATGCCGACAGCTGCCTCGAAGCCCTAACGACGGAGGATTCGTGAAGAAGCAGGCCGGTCCAGAGAATGAGCAGGGCAACCAGTCGCAAGTCCATAACGCTCCAGAGTCTCGACTGTTTGGGCAGGGCCCAGGATGGCGGTGCGTAGACCGGGGGAGTGATGATCGTGGTTGTCACTTCGCGGAACGTAGCTGGGATCTCCGAGTACTCCTTCTCGTCTCCTTCAGCTAGCAAGTCGCCATCGGCCGACGTGCAGGACTGCAAATCGACCTCGACATGTTCGAAATTGGGCGCGGGATCGGAGTCGCCATCGATGGTGTGTAAAGAGATGGCATCGGCGAGACTGGATGGCTCTCCCATGCTGGCAGGTTCGTTTATACTCGCGTTCGTCAATGGACAATGGTAGATCTTTCATGGTCCGGCCAGCAGCAGTCTGTTTGGGAGTGCGAAGGACTATCTCCTTGAATGCGCATGATAAGGCTGCAATCAAATCCCTCTAACCAGGAGGAGTCGGGTTCTATTTCAAGGCACTTTTGCTTCCACATCGATTGGCTGGAGATGGCCGAAGCTGACAGGTGTGGCCGGGTGCATGCAACCTGATATCATCTACGTAGTAGCTGGTGAAGACGATAGCTCATGGTGGAGATGACCTGCACGACGGTTCCAAGTGATAGGGCGGCCTCGAGGCCATGAAACGCCTTGGGGGCGAGCTGAACTTGACCACGTCCAAGGTCGTCCTTCATTGGCCTAAACCCGAATATATTAAACCGGCTACAGTCCATCAAGTGACCGGGCTGGGTTTGGGGGCGGGTGGCTGTGCTGTGAGGTGACAGACCAACAACAATAAGGCGACCAATAATAATAAGGCTGAGGGATAAAGATAGGCGTTTATGGATGGTGGTGGTGAATTTCCCCTCGGATACAGAACACGGCGAACTCCAGCTAGTCTTATGGCTCTCCCTGCCATTTCATAGCCATCCAACATATTGAAACTGTGTGTTTCTTTGCTGCCATGTCGGGCGATATGCAAGAAGGTGAGTGATGGCGACGCTTCTCGCTATATCGATGGATGCATGTCAGTACTGATGACGGCTGAGTAGCCAGCTCTTCCCTGCCGGACTCCTGGTATGCGGCAACCGACACCTACTCTCGGCCGCCTGGCGCCGCTGTTGCGTCGGAACCGCGATGGGACTTCGTCGCTCTTGTCAGTGCCGTTTCCCAGGTCTACAGAAACGGCGAATATTTGGCCATGATGAAGCTCAACGGCGAGTCATGGCTGCCACTGGGCCACGGCACTACGTTCCGCGTGAGCAGATCTAACATGAAGGTCACGACCGTCTCGGCCGGGGGCGTGGGCAAGGAAATCGTTGCGACGCGGCTTGTTCTCAAACGCAACGATGAGGAGGGCAAGCTCTCACACGGGCAGATTCGCAGCTTCGTCAAGGAGATCCGCGTGCTGGACCACATGCGGCACCATCCTTTCATCGTCAGTCTTCGTGCAATCGGCTGGTTTGACGAGTACTCCCCGGAACTCGACCGCTACTCCAAACCGGGAATCATTCTCGAAGAGGCATCCGACACGCTGGACCGCATCGTCGCCAACGATATCTCCCTCCCTTATCCCGACCTGCTGCGAATTTTTGGGCAGATTACCGCCGGGCTCTGCGCACTGCATCGAGCTGGTGTGGCCCATGGCGATCTAAAGCCCGGAAACATTCTCCTCTTTACCGACTACGTTAACCGTGATAATACGCAATTTGAAACGTATTCTGTCAAGATTTCCGACTTTGGATCTGCCGTATTCAGAGACGAGGGCAGTCTGAGGTATTCGCCTGGAACGAACAGATACACTGCTCCAGAAGTAGAGACGTACTGCGGGGAACCGTTGCAGTTTGATCAGATCCTACATGCCGACACCTGGTCTTTGGGGATACTCTTCGCCGTCGTCCTGTGTCGCTCTCGAAGGATTTTGAAGGACGCTTCCGAGTGCCAAAATGTGGCATCACGCATCCGTCTCTTCATATCCAGTGTTCAGCGTCATCTCGAAAGCTCGGCGGCGGATGGTTCTGAAACCGACGTGCTCTTGAAAGTGATACGAAGCACGCTGAAGAAGCAGCCATCTGCCCGTGAGCTGTCAACTGTGGAGGAGAATCTTCGCCCATTTGTCGACGTGGCCATGTGAGTTAGGTGTGCCATCTTGATTCAGCCAACGTGGATACTGATGCTTTCACGCTATAGCACTGAAGCCCCTAATCCCCTCCGAATGCTTCCCGACAAGGAGCTTTATCTGGGCTATGAGAGCCTGAAGAGTCTATCGGGGCCATTCAAAGATGACTTGGTGCGTGCTCTGCTCAATGTCACACGGGATGGCGATCATCGCGCACCCAAGGCACTATGGGAACTAGGCATCATCTTCCTCACTCATTTTGCAGATCCCCATCACACAGTTGACGACGGCCTTTGTTATATCCGCAAGTCTGCTGAGGCGGGAGACGTCCGCGCAATGGCATTGTGCTACCGTTTACACGATGCGTTTGGCAGCCATGCTCTGAGCAAATCTCCGGAAACCCAGAGGATGCAGTGGCTCCAAGAAGCAGCAGCCTGCAGACATCAAAGCGCTGTTGAGGAGCTACGAGACTTGGATTCCTCAGCTGCAATCCGGGCTCAAGCAGCCTTCGCAGCTCGCTTCTACCAACCTACAGACGACAATAGCGCGCCGGACCCAAGCCTGGGCACTGAAGCATCAGGTGTTTCCGTCGACGGAAGCTTTCCCCTTCACAAAGCTGCCGCAATGGGACTAGCAGAAGACCTCAAATCACTTGTGATAGCATCAGGTGGCAACATAGACCAGAAAGACAACGACGGAAATACCCCTCTGATAGCAGCGTGCCGTTTTGGTCAGCCTGAAATAGCACTCATTCTCTTGGACAATGGCGCTGATGCTGCTTTGCGCAATGCATTTGGAGAAAACGCCCTGCATTATGTTTGGTGCTTCAATGCCGAAGACGGTGGCCGTCTAGCAAGACGACTGCTGGCAGAGGGAGCCAAAGCGGATGACATCTCGGAAAGGACAGCCTGGGCCAGCGAGCTGGATATCAGACCCGTCGTTCGAGGCACGCCACTGGAAAGGGCTGCCGCTCGAGGCCGTGACGACCTCGTCCTCATCTTCCTAGAGTCCGGTCAAACTCTACGGCCGTCTAACGGGAGGCTCGCGAGGCAACTCTTGTTCTGGTCTCTGGCGTTACCAAACCCCACCTTGTTGGAGTTGATCATCACCGCCATCGATGCTAATCGCGAGTATTCCGACGAGAGCCTCTCATCAGTGACAGAAGGGCGCTGGACGTTTAACGGCGAGCGCCGGAACCTCCTCGATGCTGTGTGCAGCGGTTGGCTGTCTTACCGTCGCCAATCTTACGATATTCCAATGCGGCTCTGGCTCGCTGCGTGTCACGGCGCTCAATGGAAGAGTGTTCAGTATGATGTGATGCGTCGTTGGATGCAATTTGTGGCCAAGGAAGGCGGCTTGATAGAGCTTATGATCGACCAATCAGTCCAATGGGCATTTGACGAGTCTTTTCACGATGCGTTCATGGCGCTTCTGTGGCTGAAGGTTGAGTTGGGAGGGCCGTTGGAATTCGACACCTGGGACCGTCACCGCCTCATGTGGAAACCTCAACGAAACTTGAGAGTGATGTAAGTATCTTCTTGTCTTGAGTGCGAACCCGGAGACGGCCTGGCTGACTTGAACAATCTGTCTTAGTCGACCACAAGAGGCTCGACTAATCGACTGCATCTTTTACAACGCGAACCAAGGAGGCACTTTGGCCCACCAAGCTCTCATGAAAGGCGATAGATACATGTTTTGGATCCTCGTCCACCGTTACTACGCCAATCCTGCCCACCCAATACCTCTCTTTGAACCAGACCCTCAGTATCATATGCCACGGGTGCCAAGAAATCTCCTCTATCAGATGAACGCCTATGCCGCGCTTGTGTATACCAATCACCACGACCTTTGGTTTGGGTAAGTGAGCACAAACGGGGACTCGACCATGAGAAATATCTAATGTCGTTTTAGCCGAAAGTTGACCAGCCTCAAAGTGCCACTCAATTGTCCATGGGATGAAAATCCGTACAACAATCCAACACTGCCAATTAACGACAAGCCGCCAACGTATCTACCACCCTTATTACACGCCATTGGCAATTCTTGGCAGGCTTATGCGTTGTGGCTCTTACACAATGGAGCTTCCTTCGAGGATCAAATTGAATCAGGCATTGACGTCCTTGGGGGAGTCATGGCTTCTCGATCGCGAGACCAAATTCGATTTGTGTTCCAGGGCTGCAATGCCACAGGAGGAGCGGCTCAGTTCCTACCGAGCCTATATGTCGAAGATGGCGGCTATCATGTACTCTGTCTCTATTTTCGAGCAACCCATTTCGCACACCGTCTGAAATGGAGTGGCCCTAAATCTTCAGAGGGTGCTTCAAAGGAGTCGGAAGAGAGCGCTTATGAGTATCTTCTCGAGGTGTATCCCGAAGCGGAGGGAAGAGTCACATCTACACGCCTCGGTACAATTACAAGATATAGCGAGAGCACGTTTGGCCTAACAGTCCAGCAGGACGTCAGTGTTGTGTCGAAGGTGATCCTGACACTTCGAAGCTCAACAACAGAATACCGCAACCAGAAGCTGATAGAGTACTGTTACGGATCTCCAGCAGACGTACTCAGCCCAGCCGACCTGACCGAAGTCATGGCTAACTGTCCCGGCCTGACCTTGAGGCATTTTGCGCCGAGCATGATGTGGAATTCTACCTTGCAGCTGTGGGTGTTTCCTCCTGTTGCTATCTTGGAACTGGGACTGCTGTATTGGTTCATCGGCTCTGACCTGAGCTATTGGCACGGCGAAGACTGGTTGTGGTCAACCTTTCCAAAGATTGTAATGGTTGTTACATTGGCCCTTACAGGTTTCGTGACATATGTCGTGGCAATGTTTGGGCGGATCCTTTCCATCCCTACAATCGACCACTTGTGGCCGTATTTACGCCCACTGAGTTGGGCATCCGCCCTTGTCTTTCTCAACTGGCTCACCCCTATCCTTCTGTCAATTGTCATTTTGATATTGGCCGTGGGTTGGTCGATTGCAGCGACGGTCGCGTCATTTTGATTATATAGAAAGGTGTTGGTGCGCATTTGGGTTTCAAGGCTGTGTTAGTGAGTTGGGTAAAGAGTTAAAAGGACGTTATGAGTAATGTAGAAAGTAGCCCTCTAAGCCAAATTGACTTTGTAAACGCAGGGAGTATCATAAATGCGGTGATCCAAATCATTGCTAAACGTGTTCTCCGGTTCATCGGTCGAGGACAGCATACTCATCTCTTCTTCGCTCGCCACATCTACGCATGGCAACTCTTCAGGTCCGCGAGAAGATCGGCCAGATTCTCCTTCAGCTTATCAGTGCCCCAGTGACGTCCGTCCAAACACCTCCTGATCACGTCACAGTATACGTCACCGCACCGAGGCGACAGCTGCTCGAAAAACTCCTTCATGCGGCTGGTCCGGAACTGATTGGCGTCCTTGGCTAAGGATCTTGCGGTCCTCCATAAGCCGATCTCGATCAGCACGACTCCGAGGCCGTACATGTCTGCGGCAGCGGTTCCGAAAGTTGATGTCTCTGTCTTCGAGTCAGGCCCGTCACCTTGGTTGTCTTCATCGTCAGAGCTATTGCCGTCCTCTGAGCGGCGCGGGCTAGCCTTCATGGGGCGATAACGCTCCCAATCCGGCTGCTGAGGCAAGTTGGAGAACTCTTGGGAAGGGCCATCGGGGCGGGAGTAAGTGAATCCAATGAGGAAGACGCGTGAGCTCTGACCGTCAAGGCTCAGCATGTTCTCACTTCGGACTGCGCGGTGCAACCAGCCGACGGCAACGATATTGGCCATGGCGCTGGCGACGCCGAATGCCATGTCAAAACGTTTACCAAGTGGCGGCGCCTGCTTTTTCTGTTGACGTGAGATCTCGATGACAGAATTCAGGGACTTGGGCCGTGGCAAGTGCTGAGTAGGTAGCTTAAAGACGAGACCGAGTCTATCGTAGCTGACTGAGGTCCGAGTCCATCCGAGGCACTCAAGAACGCCGAAGTCCACCTGCCGCTTGGATTCAGACCGTGATGCGAGTTCCGTGCTATCAGCTTCCGCGGTGTACATGGCATGCAGAAGGTCATGAAGGCCGTCCAGTCGTGCCTCAGTCGACTGCTGGCGGCCATCCATAAAAGCATCCCTCCACTCGACTAGGATTGGAATGTCCGATTTACCTCTCGAGCTCAGCCGACACTTCCCCATAGACCATAGCCCCTCCAGGCTGCTGTTCTGGCCGTCAGCTTGCAGCCATTGTATAGACTCGAACGGCACAAGGTGCGCGGGTTTTGTTGCTCCCTCCTGAGCCGGTTGTGCAGAACATTAGCAGGTGCTAGAAAGAACGTTTAGGTGGCAATATGGCTCTCACTTTTATCGTGGAATTTTCTGCAGAGCGCAGGAGCAAGCGTTTCACTCGTGCAGCTTTGGAAATGTCTGCATACAAATCTGTATTCAGGCTTTCCAGTCGTTCGAGGTTCTCATCGTCACAAGTCGAAACGGCTTCCGCCCTCACTAAATAGTCGCGGGCCAGTCGCTCCGACTCGCTCGCAGCCAAGCTGCAAAGGGAATCTACCCATGAATGCAGCTTTGACAACCGCCCGGCCACTTCGGTCTTGTCTTTCGTAATCCATGCGATCGGTCTGATAACCTTCGATTTTGTCCATTCTCCTGAAGAAGTTTGGCTCTCGTACTTGTCAATGACAGCAGTAATGATGTTGAGCTCCTTGACGATGAGGTTCAGCATCACTGCAAGCATCGGCTCAGCTTCCTCCAGCTGGTCTGTCTTGTACTTGTCACGAATCCATAGCAGTCTCTTCTGCTCAACATCCAGGGCCTCAGTAGCCTCCTTCACGTCGCCACTGGAGCCCCTCAACTGCCTAATCCGCTGGACAGTATCGAAAAAGGCAGAGAAAAGGGTGGCGACAGACACAACACTTAGTGACAAGCCTGCAGCTTCGGCCATGCCGCCAGAAACAGCACTAGTGCGAGCGGCCAATACAGAAAACGACTGCAGTTAGAACTCGAAGCAAGACAGAGCACACTAAGTCCCGTTGGTGTTGTTCTGGGGGCCTGGGAGGTGAGTGATCTATTCACGAGGAGATCAGGCTGCCAAAAGGCCAAATCATTCAACCTCTTGTTGGATCCGTTACAGTCAATTCGATCAAATGGATAGGGATTAATGCAGTGATGATGATGTTGATGCTTGCTTGTTCCGGTCATCCGGATCGGCTGGAAGAGGGGTTATCAGAGCCCCCTTCTGACTAAGGTCAGGATATCAATCTATCAGAGGTTTCGTAATACAGGGTCACAATCCAACACCTATCTCAACGCCAAACGAATGTACGACCAAAAGGCGAGAGACCTGTGCTGCCTAAGAGCCCCTCACTTGATAATTCAGCTCCTGATTGGATGGAGCTCTCCGGTACCAATGACCAGAAGTCCCATGCATAAAATGGCAGAAGTACAAAAAAGAAGGCATCCAATAGCAGGCTTTCCAAAAGGACCAAAAACAGCTAGAGAGTGCCAAATAACCTGACCATTGATCGTATAAAGCCAAGCCATGGCCCATGTGGATGTTCAGTACCAATCTGTGAAGCGCAATGCGATTTAATGTTTCCATCCGTCGCAGCGGCTTCCCATCCCTCTAGTCGGCCTTTTTGCCTTATATTCCTATTTCTAAAACTAGAGCCTCTTTCCACATTTTGCCATGCCGCTCAACTGGAAATTGTATGAGCAGGACATCGTCCGCTGGTACTTGGATGATGACAAAACTGCCAATGAGACTGTCAAATGGCTCAACGACACACACAACCTTTCGGTCACGTAAGTTCATGCCACAATATGAAGGCCCTTTCATACCGAGGTTGACACCAGGCCAGTCTCAGACAATTCAAGTCCAAATTTGGTGGTTTGAAGAACCTCCGCTCCGATGAATGGATAGCGGTGATCAACGAGATTCGGAAACGAGAGGCACGAGGCATAAAATCGATGGTCTATCTTTGCGATAAACGCCTCAGAATGGACAGCACCACCAGGGCTATCCGGCGGTACTCCAAGAAATGCCAGGTAGAACCCTCTAATATAGGTTTGCTATAATCGGATCCAAACTTGACAAGAATAAAATTAATAAATTCTCTAGACTTGGGCATTGATACAGTCCGTGAGCATCGAATAGAAATCCGTACCCCAGCCGAATCCAATGCTGAATCGGCCTCGCTCCACCATATCGACGCTTCCGCTGCATCCGAGGGAATTGAAGAGGTTCAGGAAAGCAACGATGAGATGATTCTCACCACTTCTACTGACGAGTTCACTGTTGACCAGGCCAATGACTTGGACAACCAGGTAATTGACCCAGTCCAAATTGAGATCGATTTTAGCTCTCAACTAGCTGGCTTCTACCTATCTGGTTCAGTCGAAGAATCGCTTCAGCTCTCTAACGCATTGCTCTCTATGCAGCCAGATCTAGACACAACAGTGGCTGATGGGGATGATTCAATTTTTCCGCGTCAAGAACACCGTCTCCAGCATTACCCTGCGTGCTTGCAGAACGGGCCTAAACGTCCATTTAAGTCATTTTGGGACTTGCCAGGTATTGCCTTTACGCAGCACAGACGTGTCACTTCATCTCGCTAAGAATAGAGCAGAACTGTCTTCGCTCATCCTAGAGACGTCCGGTCCCCAGGCTGCCGATGAAAATCAGCACGATATTCCCAGTCCTATTTCAGTGTGTGCATACACACTGCCGACCCAGAGTCGTTGGGTCTTATCCAAGCTTATCGATGCGGATTGGAAGCTATCGGTCTTGGAACCGGTGGCTGAACTCGTCGAAGATATATTCGGTCGTACAGATAGCCGCCAGTCACTTGATTCCCGTCGAAGTAATTCCGTCAGGATTACCGGGGGTCGGACACTCTTTCAAGTGTTTTCAATCGTTGCATACCTCATTTCCAACAATTTTCCGGGCTCTGCCAAAACCACATCCTTCATTGAATGGGTTGTTGGGAATGGATACCTGTTTCAGCTGTCAAAATTTCTACAAACGGCACCTGCTGATACCCTTGCGTTCGGATCGACATTGCTTAGAGATATTTGCAAATTCCCAGCAGTCCCGGGCCTAGAAAGGTTTGTGGGTTCTGGCGAATTTCTAAGTCTCGTCGCAAACCATCGCCTTGATTTATCAGGACTCATGGGAACAAAACTCCTTCATCGGGCCATTGAATGGGATTGCCTGGAACTGGCGAGACAACTGGTGTCCTATGGTGTCGATGTCAACGCAGGCGAGTGTTCTTCCATGGGGATGGCCGAAACACCGCTAGCCCGTGCTGCCCTGTACCGTAAAGGCACCATGGTGAAATTCCTGATCAGAGCAGGAGCTGATGTCAACAAGAGCTTCTCTCATGGCGGCAGTGAAGCGACAGCCCTCGCCCTGGCAATACAGCGATGCGACCATGACATTGTGAAGATTCTGCTTGACGAAGGTGCTCATTTCAATGCCGACCAGGTAATTTCCGGTTTCAGCCCCCTGGGATTGGCATGGGGCAAGTCGTCGCCGATATATTCGATGCTCTGTGAAAAGTTACTGTTGAGTGACGAAGGAGACGCGTCTGAGTTGATCGATGCTGCAACGAAAGGTAATCGCGAACTTGGACACATTCTTCTACAACGCGGCACCGTCCAAGTAGTGGATTTGGAGCGTGCACTTTGCGAGGCCGTTAAGTTGGGAAAGGTCGGGGCTGTCGGAACATTTCTACGTCGAGGAGTAGACCCTGATGCTCGACTTGCTCGTCTTCTTCAGAATTCCGACAAAGCATCCGATGGAGTTGAAGGAAAGCGTCCAATCATCCTAGCGGCTAACTGCGTCAACTACGAAGATGCTCCAGACCTGATCTATCTTCTCATCAAAGCTGGGGCGAAGGTGGATGATGAGACAGCTCGGGAAATTTATCTTGAAGCTAACAAACCGAAAAGTGTGCGTATGCAGCGTGATTTGCAACGCAGATCAACGCACTGCATCTCTTATCGAATCTTGGCTCTCTTACACGACTCAGGATATAACGCAGCCTGGGTCGGCCCAAGCCTCTTAGTTTCAGCTGCAGCTTCAGGGCGAATCTCTGATTGTGGCAAACTTCTTGAAATGGGGACTCCAATCAATGAGTACGGGCTAAATGGCAAAAGCTCTTTGCAAGTGGCGGCAAGTGGCGGCTACTTGCCGGTCGTACAGTTTCTTCTCGGTCGAGGAGCAGATGTTAATCTAGCACCGAGCAGCAAGCCGAATGGGGGAACAGCTCTCTTCGCCGCGCTCAAAGCAGGCCGTTATGAGGTGGCAAACTGTTTGATCGATTCCGGAGCCGACGTCACAGCTAGAATGAGTACAGAGAGTGGGATGACTGCACTAGAAGGTCTGGTTCACAATGTTTCGCCAAATTGGGAGGGGGAGGGTGGTTTCGTGGCCACTTTCCACAAGCTCCTTGCACTCGGGGCTCCGGTTAACCGCATAGGCAGCACGGAAAACACGATACTCAGTAAATTGTTACTTGCGAGGCAATTCGAGTGCTTCAAACTGGCACTCCGCGCTGGAGTCCGGACGGAAGACAAATTCGAGGGGAGAACGCCGCTGCATATCGCGGCATCACTGGGCGATATGGAATCTATTCGGCTTCTACTCCGCCACGGCGCAAACATCAATGCCACTACAGATAATCAACCCAGTCGTACTGTTTCTCAATCATCTAGGCAGCTTTACAATCCTTTTGTCGGCCACCAACTAGACCCATGTTCCACTCCGCTTCAAGCTGCAATAGCTTCCGCCAATACCAGCCCCCAGCTCATCGAATTCCTCGTCACACACGGCGCAAATATCAACGCCCCGCCAGTCGCAGCCTTTGGCCGCACTGCACTTCAGGCCGCCGTCTCATCTGAGATGCCTGACTTGGAAACCATTAACCTACTCCTCCTTCATCATGCGGATGTCAATGCCCCGCCAGCAGAACAGGGCGGAGTCACGGCTTTGCAGGGAGCTGCAATCCAAGGACACATGGAGATCGTACGCATCCTACTCGCGCAGGGAGCTCTCATCAACGCACTTGCAGCCCCTGAAGAAGGCCGCACAGCTTTGGAGGGTGCAGCAGAGCATGGCAGGCTCGAGATGGTACGGTTTCTTCTCAGCGAGGGTGCAATGCCAGATCCCATTATGGGGTTTTCCAGAGCAATCAAGCTGGCTGAGCAAGAGTTGCATCTTGGCATCGCGAAACTTTTAAGAGCACAAGATCCATGCAACCGCCTTCTAACGGAATTCTCGATCCTTTAGCCAGCCATGCGCTGGGCCATTGCTGAACTCGGATTGCGTCATTAGTGACGAGATGGGAAATCCTGGATATTAGAGAAAGAGGAGTCCACGGATGCTCACCACATACTACTTGAATAAAGATAGAAGTCAGCTGCGTTAAGACATCTCTACTGTTTCCGCTAGAGTTCTTTCCTGACTCAATCTATGGGCATATAAGGAGGATCCAGTCCCCCTTACCCTGTCTTGACATTCTGACAGTCGGAGATTGTCCTGCCTGGAATTCACGACATCCCCATTCATTCAGTTCCTCACACGAGCCAGGAGATTACCACCTCAAGTCATGCACAGTTCACTAACTAGTATTCTGTGAGGTCCGAAAGTTGCAATGCCATATCCTATATATCCTTGTTTTTTATGAACAAGACGTTATTACACTGCTCTGACTTTTTGCAGGTGGTACCGAGTCATGATGTTGGATCTGTCTCGGGTGAATGAAGCATTCCGAGGATGACAAAATTTCCTCTCTAGTCTTAGACTCCTAGCCCGTTTATGTCAGACCTCCGGCGTGGCATATGAGACCGTATGATGAGCCGAAATTTTGTTCACGGACTTTACATTTGCGTCCTTCGTGACGTAAGCATGCAAAGGAAATCGTTATTTTTATGATCCAGACGCTTGATTACACCGCTTCGACCTTTCGCAGGCCGTACCGAGTCATGATGTAGGATCTTTCTCGGGGGAATAGAGTAATCTGAGGGTGACAAAATTTCCTCTTTAGTCTTAGCTGGTTATGTCATACCTCCGGCGTGGCATATGAGACTGTATGATGAGCCGAAATGTTGTCTATGGACTCTATATGAGTGCGGAGTTGCGGAGCTGCCCTCCAAAGCATGTTAAAGGGTAAAACGGATGGCCCGGCATCGCTTGTAAGTATATAAATACATGGAATGGCCTCACAATTGAACTCGAAGAATTACTCCCCACTGCCAACACAGATTTCACACCTTGTGGACAGAGGTGCCAAATACATTACCTATCTCTTCATTCCATTATCCTACTTCACTCCTCAAGCATGGCTCACGAAGAAACCAACAGGCCAGATTCATCATTCCCGCTGGCCAGTCTGGCGCAAGATGGCTGGTCAACGAAGGATGAAGCAACAGCGACATGCTATTGCGGCGCTGTACAACTAGCGTTTGTGAGTTTTCCCAGGTCCCTCAACAAGACACTCATCTCATTATTTTCAGCCTCTGTCTAAACCAGGATATCTTTTCAGCTTTGTCTGCCACTGCAGTGACTGTCGGAAAATCACGGCTTCAATGTTTTCCTCTGGCTTCCTTATTCTCGACACACACTTAAGACACGTTCGTGGGGAAGAAAATCTTGCGGAATTCAGCCAATCCGGAACAATTGAGCGCAAAGGGAATGTCATGGCCAATTTCTTTTGTAAAACGTGTGGGTCACTGATGTACCGAAGGGCTGGGAGTTATCCAGGGGTTAGTCTACTGAGGATTGGCACTGTGGATGATTTCAAGCTTGCGGAGACTTCATTGAGGCCAACAATCGAGCAGTACATCAAACACAGAGTGGGTTGGTTACATGATATCGAGAACATGGTGCACACTGAAGGGCAGGCTGACCCTGGGGAAGCTCTCTTGTAGATCGAACTGACTTATGTCTGTGCTATTCACAGAGTGCTTGCTCTTATTTACTATTACCATTTCGAGGACGCTGTTAACCTAGTAACTGGAGTTTAAATAGGGCAAGGCCTTTACAATCAGGCGTCCTCATGTTCTGCATCAGGGCTTTGTTCAGGATACATGATACCGACGAATAAACTAGGTTGAGCGTACGGATATCTACGTCAGAACTGACCACCACGAACTGCATAGATACCTGGCTCATCCAGCGGGGAGATCCAACGCCGGCGAGCGTCACCCAGCTCCGCCAGGTCGCGCGATTAGCCGGAGTGCTATAGCAAACTACACATCTCCACGGTAATCCCCGCTCGGGGCATTCGGGACTTCGGAGAGGGACTTTATTACTGTCACACGATGAACCACATTTTTTATTCCAGAGGCGAAGTAAAAAGGGGCTCATGAGGTCTGAAAAATGCACCGCCTTTGTCTATGTACTAAATGCAGATTGTCCTTCATATGTGAGGTATCATCTGCAGCCACGATGGTGTCCAATATGTCCCTATCGGCACTGCGCGTAGACTAATGAATGATTCAACGACAAGATACGATCTTGCGAGAATATATCCAAAAATCATCAAATGCCCCGGAAACTTATAAAATATAGCCCATGAGCTCTCGCCAAGAGACTCGTACTCGAAGAGTAGCTTCGAGATGGAGGAACCAATGTAAGTCACTGTAAAAAATACAGGCATCGTGAGCATAATGTCGAAGGAAGAGATTCTCCATAGAAGCAACTCTATTGCAGTAGGGAATCGCTGGCTTGATGCCAGGAAATGAATTCCGCCGTACACAGCCGGGAGAACCAGCAGCAGGATGAGCAGGATGGGACTGCTAAAGATGAAGCTTAGGATCTGATCTGGGTCTACCTGGCTGTCTCCGGTGTACTGAAAATTTCCTGCTGACCGAGTGAAGGCATCGTGGAAGTGCTGGTCTGGGTAGCGGATTTGTTGGTAGTCGTGATGAAAAAGATCCGGTTTCTGGAGCCTGCCCTCGATCGATTCTATCGCGTCAATGACACGCTCCCACCGCACGATGTCTTGAGGTCGCAGATCGACACTTGGTGGAACAGGCTCAGCCTCCACCCATTCGGTTACCAAGACGCTCCTGGGAACATTCGACAGATCGTCATAAGCACGGGCGTACCAATCCGGCACAACAAGCCGTTGGAACCTCTCAACCTGCCAAGCAGCGCTCCTTCCAACGATTCCCAAGCCCGAAGGAAGGACTTCCCCTGCATTTAGAGTCCAGGTATTCCCTTTAGGCCGGACCCATTCGATGTGCAAGACCCGGTGTTCGTCGTCAGTGAGACGTTTGCGGCGTGTGGGGTCAGTTTGATGCGCCCAGACGAATGCTTGTTGTTCGAATCGGACTTCTCCGATATGGGATCTGGGATAGAATATAAACTCTTCACTTCTCCGGAAGTGGAACTGCTCTTGAACCATGAGCGCGATGATATTCTGGAATCGGGTCGGTTCGAACACCATAGGATCAGTCACATCCTTCGGTTTCTAGTGTATTGTCAGCTTCGGCCTGAAAGTTCAAGATCATAAATCTCATACCTTGATCCAGAACACAAACATGACGAGAGCGCAGACGACGTGTACCATGGTATGAACTTCCAGGAGGCAGATGGGTAACCCGTAAGATTTCCGGACAATGCACTGAGTCGCCATCCAGAGAACTTGCGTCATGATGAGAAACTTCTCGAACGTGTCTGCTTTGCTTTTATCGTCAATCCCGGAACTGGGGATAGGGAGAAAGTGCCCCAGCCTCGCAAGTTGTAAAACACCGTTGACAGAAAGTCGCAAGCTCCCGGATTCCAAGGTGCCGCGCGTCGCCTGCCGATCTGTCCAGTGTTGGATGTCCTTGATGGGAATTTCTAGCCCACCCATGGCAACGAAAAATCCATACTTGATATCAAAGACCGGATCTTCCTAGCAGATGTCAGATTGGTCTTCAAGGCAACTCTCCGTGACTCACATCTGCTTCTTTCGAGTCGTCCGTCCCTTGAATCTCCATTTCGATCCCCTCCACGAGCTTCTTTTGTTGCCACAAGCTCGTTAACTCTTTCGATAACCTCCGAGCGTCCAGAAACTGGGAGGAAGCAAGATACAAGACCACCTCCGGCGCGATAAGACCAATCAGAACCCATTTCAGTTTCTCGCCAAGCATCGACATCTTCTGGGTGTTGGCGGGAACGTTCAAGTGGAGGGCTGTGTAGATACACGCAACCAGGGTGATGATACAGCTCCATAGGATCGTCGTAGTCCCTCGGATTTCCGGGCTGCCAACCCAAATTGGCGCCCGGATGGTTTGTAGGGCGGTGAGGTTGCCTGTGTTGTTGAGCAGAACCTTTTCTAGCTCAACAAGTGCCTTATCTCTGTGAAACGTACCCATCTTGAGCCATCAGAAGACGACTTTGAACAGGTGGAAGAGTGATGTGAGGCTGAAAGGAAGTTAAAGCCTTGCCTCGCGGGGAAGGCATAATCACATATCACGCTAGCTGGTTCTGGCCCCAGGTCGATGTCTCTGCTTGTTCAGCCGAGCCCACTCGGCGTCAATAGTCGTTAAGCCACCTGCAAGGCTCATTCACGCCTGGGCTCGCTTAGTTGTTCAGCTTGTTGTTCAGCGGCTGGCCGACTCTACCGGGCGGTTGCATCGTGGATGGGCTGTACCACGGAGGAAATATCATCTCACCCAATTAAATAAAGGATGTCGCTTTTAAATAAGAGTGCATCCATGGGCGTAATTGAGTTGGGGCGGAAATTTACCTCGTTTTGTCCGCAGATAGCGTCTTTATTAGTACACGCTAATCACAGCCATCGACAATAAATAGCACACTACACGACCTACTTAATACCCTAGCATTCCAGTTCAGTGGCTGAACTTTCCAGCTAAAGAGGGGAAAATTGGTCAGAGGCGCAAAAAAAGAAGATCCATGTATCGTACATGAGGCGAATCTCTCCCGCCGGGAATTGAACCCGGGTCTCAAGCGTGACAAGCTTGCATACTGACCACTATACTACGGAAGATTGTAGCTGTGAGCAGCTATTGTAGTGAGTTCGATGATCACGTGATTGCTATTTCTTGTTATAAGCCCATGGCCAGGTGTTGTTCGTCGAATGTAGGCACTTAGAGTCGGCATATGGTGGGCGTGTGTACCAGGCATTGAAGCACTACAGTTTGCATCAGGGTAGTTTTATTCTATTCAGCGGTTAAATACTGATATAAGTATAAAAAACTGTATTGTTTATCAGACTTTATTCAAGTAATGGTGGTTGTAGTGGTGTATTGCCGGAGCAAGATACTCATACCGCATCGAATACCCACGTGCTGAACTGAAGCTCAAAGCGGCCCATATTTAGTCCTTCCGCTGGTATCCGCCTCCCTTTGTCATAGCTCTCAAGTTCATTCGGCAACGTGAACTCTCCTTTACACTGGAATTGACATGACGGTTTTACTTCGCCGGTTCTCTGTTCCTCTCAATATCAGCCTTAATTCGTCACAAACTTCTTACGAGTGGAAGGTTACATACTTGGCCGCTAGTATTGTATGTCTCACGTTCTCGTAGTCATCGGTGAACAGAATCCCATTAGCAGCAAGGCTTCTCAGGAAGTCTCGTCGGCCAGGCAGACGCATATCAAGGTCAACATTTTTTCCAGATAGGCTTTGAGCCCACAGTGCCACCTTTGTGTTTTCAAAGATGATATCTGGGTTTGGTCCGACGGTGGCGAATCTTTCGTCGCCGGTAGCGGGGAATTTGGCTTCGAGAGTCTTCTCGACGAGTTCTTGACAGTCTTGGACAGACATCTTCAAGTTCAGGTCACTGGAATGAAGTTGTAGACTGGAAATTAGGTTGCTAAGTAGAAGGTGATCCTACCTGTACCCGGGTGGGGTTCCCGCCTTATTTATAGAAAAAGTTTAATAATTGAGAGAGCATACTTGTCTATGTTCACTGTCAATTATGTGAAGGAGTTTAAGTACGAATCACAACATAGTATCATTAACGCCGCATCACACTCGATGGAGTGTAGGATGAACTGGAAGCCGATTCACAGATAGGGAATAAAGCAGCCATGTGTTGCAAGGTAATGCGTCTCTATTTGTGCAAAATGGTGGTCTGGTCGTCAGACTTGCTGCGCGGAACTTGGCCGATGCCCACGGCCAGTCAGTCATCGACCGATTGGATAATGGTTCTTTTTGGTTGGTGATTCAGGTGGCTGCCTGGAGAATATCTTCAAATTAGCAGGAGTCTCCGCAACATGACAAATTGAGTGATGGGTCTCTCGTTGTGAACCGGGACAAACATATTCACGCATGCTTTCTTGGACTGTGGCATGATAATCCGCTTGACAGCCTATGGGATTACCAAAATCAGCTCTTCTTCGATCGTTTGGCTAATAGCGATTCAAGTGCCCCACGAGTAGGTACGGTTGTTTTGTTCGATGGGTCACGAGGTTGATATAAGTTGTTGTCAACACGGCCAGTGAGAAATTAGAGGGCACTCCACGGTCGCCATCCAAATAAATTCCAAGATTCGGGATGAGGCCCTCGGCACTATGCAGGATCATAACAGAATTCATTATTATCGTCTTACATTCGGCAACAGCCACGACCTTCCAGTAGTGTACCATAATACAAGGAGTTTCCCTATTGTCAACATCTACACAACTCAAAGACTCGTCATCACAGTAGGCTCGTTACCCGTCAGTCCTTTGGTCGCAAGCCTAGCCGCTCGCCTGTTTAGGTAGGCTCGATAAGGCTCCTTCGGAATATTTCGTATCGGATCTTTCCACACCTGGTACTCCACAACCTCCCAAACCTTCAGCTGCTCCAGGAAGTTATAATTTGGTTTGATATTTCGCTTCCCCTTGACTTCGTTGAGAACTGAGTCAAGGTCATCGTGACGCTTTCTCATCAAGTAGGCCAGGACAAAAGTCCCTGAACGAGAAACGCCAACTTTACAGTGGACCAGTACGTTGCCTGTGGAGGGAGTTTCTTCACCGATACCGTTATGGCTGTCATTTTGCGCGCCCTCTTCCGGCAATAGAGGAAAGATAGGAGTGTGCAGGTGTTTGTCAATGAAGTCGCAGACATCTGACATGAGGGCGAGGACATCCATGGTCGAACTATCCAAGCAGGGGACGAATAGGTGCCTCTCTTTGGGCACCAGTTTCCTGTTTTCTGGCTCGTTCCATTTTGCATAAGGGCCGTCAAGAAGCGACACGATCGCGTTAATATTGTTCTCGCGTAGGGTGTCTAGATTCATCGAGCTGGATAGATTCCCGATGAAGAGATGTGGGACAATTTCGGATATTGATGGAGGCAGCCACGGCATGGCGACAGGCGGAGATACTGCTAGGTTAGAGGAGGCGCGTGAAGCAGAGTGCTTTGTTATTGGAGTTTTGTTGTCAAATGAGGAATGCTGTGCACGTTAGAAGCTCGAGCTTGGTTCCGGTTAGGCCGTCTTTTTGCCGGATGAGGCGGGAGGATAGTGTGAGGAGTCATGAGAATCCCCAAGTGCCTTCACTTATCATTCCGTCTTATCACATGGCCTCTCATCAGGTTGCTAAAACGCAGACGCTGTATGAGCAGGGTCATAATCTAACAAATAGGCCGGGGGCAAAAAAAAACACTGCCACTAATGAAGTTGCAACACCAAAAAAAGAACTCAGGTGTATCACCTGTGGCTGGATCTCTCCCGCCGGGAATTGAACCCGGGTCTCAAGCGTGACAAGCTTGCATACTGACCACTATACTACGGAAGATTACGGACGCTGAGGCGCCTGTGTAGTGAGGGGGTTGTTGAGGGCCGATCTCTAATTGGGACCTAAGAAGCCTTCACTCGATGTGAGTGGGGAATGAGGTGTTTTTTAACATCACGACTACCCTACACCAACTTCAATCCTGAGATTGATTTTGTCTTTAACATGGAGATCGGGACATAAGTCTGGTACACAATAAGAACATCGGTGAATGTTACCGTATGACATCTAGGTTATCGCATTAACCTCACTCCCTATCATTTATTGCACAGAATTCTTATTTTATTCAACCGAAAATTCCATTACTCTCATACATGTCCATGCCTTCCATCACAAAAACACCCAGGTATCCAGCAAGCACTGAGCCGCAACCAAGACACACGGAGAAAAAGCCCACCCTCAGACAGACAAAAACCACCAAGTGCCGGGTATCGACGAGTAGTATAAAGATCTCCTCAAACACGTACTATAACACAGTGGTTGCTGGCCGCCCGCCCAAACTCTCGCCTCCAACACCAGCACCAGCAACGCGCTCCCCAAAAGAAACAACATCGGCTCGAGCCTGGGATAAAACATGGCCCGGCTACCGCGCAAAGACCTTGACGACCCCGTCGCCTCCTGCGCTTACCACCCACTTCCCGTCCTGGCTCCATACGCAAGCGCAGATGCCCTCGCCTCGCATCACCCGGTGGCTCGTCACCTCCTGTGTGCACGTGCGCTTCTCCAAGCTCCAGAATCGAAGGGATGCGTCGTGGCCGGCGCTGACCAGCTCGCGGCCGTCGGGGCTGAGAGACAGACTCGAGATGGCGTCTGGATGGGCGATCATGTTATATGTACATTGGCCTGCTTGAATTAGCGGGGACTTACAACACTTCCACAGGAAACTTACCGCTGTTGGCGTCAAAGAACCGGACGAAGCGGTCTTCGTGTCCAGAGATGATCGTCCCTTCGACTCCCGAGCCAGCCATCGATCGTCCACCACCGGTAGCTCCGGTGCTGGTTTCCTCCTCGCCCATACCGCCGCCGTGCTGGCTTGCCTGATCCAGACCAAGCGTCGTTGCCACAACAGCGTTTACGCTCGTCTTGATCGACCCGTCATATGTCTCTGTGCTTTCCATGTGGCCGATGCGGTCACCGGTCCTCGTGTCATAGACAATGATGGCCGCATCTGAATAAGAAACAACAAACGAAGTTCCCGAGGTGCCAAGCGGCGTAATGCACGTCGGAGTCGCCTCGGGGTTATCTGGTCGACTAATGTTGTGCACCAATGTGTGGCTAAAGGGCGAGTTCGATGCCATGGTGGGTTGTGGTGTGCTGGCGAACCCGCTACCGGAGCTCATCGAGTTACCACGCACCCGTCCTCCACGGCCAGTCATCGCTCGGTTCGTTCCAGGTTGCGGCGAGCTCAGTTGAGGAGGCGCGCTCACAGACCACAGACGGACTGAGCCGTCAGCTCCACCCGACACGACAAGGATTCGATCCGTGCTTCCGTAGGGACTCGAGCTGCCAAAGACGGAGCCCAATGTCGCAGGAAGGACGCAGATGGCCCAGACGGCATCCGTGTGCCCTTCCAGTGTGGCCTTGGGATCGACTCTGCCGCGTTCCCACACTCGGATGGTCGCATCCTGGCCACCGGAAAATATCCAGCCATCGCCTATCGCGCGGCCGCCGGTAGAGAAGTTGGGTGCGGGAGACCACGAGGTCAGACAGAGGACTGCCCCTGAATGGCCGCGGTGTGTAAAGTTGGCGGTAACGTCTAGATCGGAGGCGGCATTGGCAAGCGATCCAGCGTGGCCATCTAACCGGGGAATGTGGAATCGCTTGATCATGCCGTCGTCACCTGCCGTGCAGATCTCGGGTTCGCCTGGGCTACCGCCGCCAGAGAAGATGACGGTTCGCACAGTATCCAAATGTCCCCTTAGACCAAATCTCAGCTTAAAGTTGCCGCTCTCAGCGGCTTTTGCCGCGTTCAACGCTAGTTCGTGCTCGGCACTACGCCGTCTCGACATGGACCCCTTTCTTCGGTGAGAGCCACCTCGGCTGGGCGACTTGGGGGGATTTTCTGCTGTAGGAAAGACATCCGTGTCTGGTCGGTTTGGTGTTTGGTTAGGGTGCGATGATCCAGGTTCGGGGAATGTGCCTTCGGGGAATTCCCAGCCGTCTGAGTCGGGAGCAGTACTATGTTTCTCTCGGAGCTCGACAGGATCCTCCATGCCACCGAGGACCTCGGCCGCATGGTTCGCTTGGGGAATATTATCTTCAATAGGGCGAGAGGTGACGTTGACGGGCGTGGGCCAATCGTTTGAGTTCTGGTACGAGACAGGCTGATGGTCGGCCGAGGACCGCACTATGGCGGGAGGTTGCAGCTCCTGGGTCTTCTGCGGGAAGTGAGAGGAACCGGGCTGCATCGGCGGGGCGTGGTTTGGCGGAGCTCTAGAGTTCATTTCCTGAACGTGGTTCTGTGCCGGCCTCGAAGGGAGCTGAAACTCCCTCTCCATAGGTTGAGGAGCCGGCACGCCATATGCTTCCACTTCCCGCAGATCCTCAATCATAGGGAGTTGAGGGGAGTCGCGTGGTGGTTGGGGGTTCGCCGGGGCGATCATCAGATACATAAATTCGGATTGGCACTGGTCGAGGAAGGTCTTGAGATCCTGTCGCTGGCCTTCTTCGTCGCCGCCTCGGTCGATCTTTTCGCCATCGATGCCGTCTACGCCGGGTATCGGGTGGCTCTCCAGGGAAGCTGAAGCGCGAGGCCGGTCAGTATGTGGGGCGTGCTGACGGGACTGGACAAGAGATTTGGACGTCGACTCACATCGTAGCTTCTCCTGAATCTTCGCAGCGCGGTCGTTCTTCGCAGCTTCGGCGGAATCGGTGGCGGCCGTGCCCTTGAGCTGCGCGGCCTGGTCCTTGACCTTGCGCTCGAGAATCGAGACGTACTTCTTGAGGGCGCGCTGGGTGGCATCGGCCCTCCGCGCCTGGCCCTCGAGGTTGGCGATGCGGCCCTTCATCTCCTGCTTCTCAATCTCCCAGGCGTTCCTGTCGCGCTCGTGGCGGTGCCATTCGGTCTGCAGGAAGCGCATGACGCCCTGCAGGGTGTACTCGGTGGCCTGGGGCAGGTTGGAGCCGTTGCCCTGCATCATGGGCCCCAGGTCCATGCCTCCCACTCCGTTGCCAGCATTCGGGCCCATCGCGGCGCGCCTGTTCAATTGGGCGGGTGCATCGAGAGCGAGCGGCGTTGGGGTGGGAAGCGTGTCGGACAAGCTCCGGGATGGATGGCGGGCTGCAGGAACTGGCTGCGGGGCACGATCCGACCCGTCGCGAGAGGAGGAGGTAGTCGTTGAGTGAGGCGTCGTTGGCGGGTGTTGTCGCGTCGTTTCGTGTCGTGTCGTGGTTCGGCAGGTCGAGGTCGAAGTCGTGAGGGCGATGATGGAGATAGATGGGGATTCCTTTTTCCTGCCAAAGCTCCCGCCAGGTGTCTCTCTTTCTGCTGCGTGGTGCGTGCAGTGCTGCTGGGTGCTCTTGATTGCCGCTGCCGAAATTTCAGCCAATCACCGCGACGCTTAGCGCGAGTGAGGCTGTCAGGCATCAACTCTGCCCAGGCCCACGCCGCAAGCGAAGCCCCTGGAGGTCCCTGAAGCTCCCTGAGAGTCCCTGAAGAGTTAGCCCACGCCTTGTTAGCCCCTGGAAAGACGTGCGAAGATGGAGCCAACGGCCAACAAACCAACGAGGATGGGGCGAGTACGCAAGGGTCTATTCGAGCCTGACGGAAACCGTTGGAATGGGTTGCAGTGCAGATTTCTATGGTTTTAATCGGGTTATCATGCTGGTTCAAGATCAACGGGTATCTGCCTCGTTGTTTGTCGTCTTTGCCGTTAGCTCTGTCTTACTTGAGACCCAGTAGCTATCCGCCCTAAATGAGTCCAATGCAAGGAACCCGCGAAACACCAAACACCCTACCAAGAAGCAATTATGCCAATGAAAATGCCATCCAGTACCAGCCCAATGCAAACATCCCCTTACACACCACCACCGGATTTCCATCCTAAACCCCACTACAATACATCCAAAACGTTTAAAACTCCAGCTCCTCAACCTCCATCCCGCATTCTACGCAAGTCTTGACCGTCATCCCATCCGCATTCTCCACCGTGCGTCCCCACTCGTGTACATGCTTGCCGCCCCCTATCGCATCGCCAAACTTGCTCGCCCCGGATTTGCTCAGCGTTCCCGCCTGCCGCCGGAACGCATCCGTCCGCGTCTTGCGTTTCAAGTCCATGAGCTTCTCCTTGAACTTGGCTTCCTTGCGGGCTTTCTTCTGGGTTTCTCGTCGTTCGTACTCGGCGTCTAGTGCTTCCGCCGAACCCCATTTCGTCTTGATGGCGTATTCTTCCACTTGGCACCGCAGGAAGAGCATCATGTCGTGCCAGTGGGATTTGTGCGGATTGGGCTTGGAGAGATGGGGAAGGAGTTCAGGATCTCGTAGTTCAGCTGGCCCCTGTTAGTAGAGTAACCATTCATCAAGAAGATGAACTCACGATCCGTAAGCAGGTAGTCATCCTTGCACTCCGTTTTGGTTAGGAGTGAATACTTTTCTGGGAACTTCTCCTTGCACTTGTTGCACACACAGAGATGGAACACCTCTTCCCAGACAAAGTCAATCTCCAGGCTCTTGCACTCCTGACATTTCTTCCTCTTCTCCTCGTCTTCCAGTACACTCAGTCCTGGTTCGAAAGGTCCAGCTTTTAGCCTCTTGAGGTTGCGTATCAGTTGCATCCGTTCCCACTCCTGGACGCTCATGTGCTTTGGTCTCTGGTCATCATCCGACTGACCGGGCTTCTTGCCGCCGAGCGCGTAGTTGTGAGGATCGTCCTCCGTGGTCAGGAAACCACCCTTCGTATCCGTCATGGCACTCATGTCGTAATCGACAAACTTTGTAAACTTCTTCGCCGGCCGGAGCGCCTCCTCAGCGCCTTTGTTTCGCCCATCGCGATTCGTCCCCGTTGAGGCCTCGCCGGTCGAGATTGAGTTGTACGGTCGTTTCCCGTTTGCCGTTTTGCTAATGTGCACGTTCTCCGTCGGCACGAAGCCCGCGGCCGTCTTGGGGATTTCGGGCGCATTGCCGGATGCGCGCTGCTCGGCTTCTCGTTGGTCTCGAATCGCTTTCGCCCGGAGCCGGTTCTCCTCCTGCATTTTGCTTCAGCCCCGAGCACCACTGTCAGACGGATTCAGCTCAAGACTCACTATTCGCCTTGTGACCTCCGGGGTGGGTGGCGATACGATCCGTGAAGGCCGGGACGCAGACGGTGGTGTAGAGGGACGTTCCATTATGGACGCAGCTGATATCGCAAATGCATGCAGAGTAAAATCACGAGTTTTCTGATTGCTGGGCACCGGGGGTGGGCGTTGAGCGCCGGTCAGAAAACCCGACAATGACAAGGCAGACGTCAAGATCGAGATGTGGCGGAGGGGCAGATCGCGAGGAGCTGGCCCGTGGTTATGTCACCAATTAACGCGAGAAAACGTGACCACATTCGCCAACTCCGGCACCATCGGAACATGTGCAAATGGTGTTCAAGCTTACGATGACTCTTCAGCTGCATTGGAATGGGGCGAGTTCTATTAAAAGTCACGGACCGAATACTGAGCATCGTCCTGTTGCGCTGGTGTTATGATCTCGTCATAGGTTGGCGCAAATAATTTGCCGTCATGGTTGGGTTCAGCTATCAATGAATTCATCTCTTTGGGTCATTGGTGTATAGTACAATTAAGGTCTACATAAGAGCCCCTCATACAACTCGCCACACAAAAGGGACCGTCGAAAACCGCAGGTACCTTCCTCATTCGGCATGTCCACTTTACTCCTCCTTGGCACCACCACGGCCAGAGCGCTCAGCAGCCTCGACGGCCTTCTTGTCGCTCTGGACGGCGCCACCCTGCATGGCGCTCATGAAGCCCTGGGCAGCCTTGAAGGGGCGCTTGAGATCACCGGAGGCGGGCTGGCCCCAGACGTGGATCTTGACAATGTTGTTCTCAAAGGCGCTCTTCAGGGGGATGATGCTCTGGATGAGGAGGGGGTTGGTGTACTTGAGGTAGATGTGCATGAAGGCCATCATGCCGACTCCCATCAACTGGCTGCGGAAGGCGGTGCGGACCTGCTGTTGATCGTAGGCGTGGATGGTGGTGGTGACGAGCTTGCCCTCCTCGGTGGAGCCCATAGGGGCGGGCTCGACATACTTGAGGGTGGTCAGGTCTGAAGAAAGCCAGTTAGCAAGGTCATGATCTGTATAGTTTGCTCGGCTGGGCCGAGGTGTCACAGGGTTATCAGGGTGGATGCTGGGGAGGCATCGTGGACACGTGCGTACCCTTCTTCTTGTTGACGACAAGCTGGACGTAAAAGTAGAGAGCAGCAATGATAACATTGCTACCGAGGTAGAGGGCGCGGATGAGGTTGAGGGTATTGGGATCATCGAAGGGGATTCGCTTGGAGACCTGGGTCATACCAAGGATGATGGCGAGGTTGATGCTGTCGCACAACCTGTTAGCATCGCGAACTCGAGTCTGGCCGGGAGGGGGTTGCGCCGTGGGCAATCTTGCGCCGCTGGCTACCGCCGCCGCTGTCGCGCGGGAGAGGATCGCTTACATCTGGGGGCTGATGCCTGCCATTGTGCCGATTGCCGAAGAGGGATCAACGGGCGTAGAGTGAAGACAAAGGGGGAGGGAGAGAGAAAAGAGAAGCGAGAGTTGTCGTGTCGGGGGTGGGAGAAAAGGACAAAGGACGGAAATGGGCAGTCTTCCAGATGGGGAATTTCCATAGGGCCCGGATGTCTTGCTGGCCTTTGCCTCACGGGCGGGCGCTGAGTGGCTCTGCCACCTGTGGCTGTGGGGAGTCGTCGGGGGTGGCGGGAGCGCTGCAAGCCCGGTGCGAGTGGTTTTTCCGCGCTTGTCTCCGCTGAGGCCAAGGTGTCAGCCACTGAAGCCACTGTAACGCGGCAATGACTAGCCAAGCAGCCGCTTGTGGTGCCTGGTCGTCGCTTGATGGCGCCATTTCTCTCGCCTTCTCATGGCTTCCATCTCTTCATCTCCACTTGCGCTTCAACTCTGTCGTTGGAAAAGGTAAGCGGGACATAGCCTTGGTCCCTGTCGTATAAATTACTGGATTGGGTAATTGAGAAGACGTCAAATCCCTGTGTTTAGCAGGAGCCATAGGCGCAGGCGGCTGAATCAATTGACCAGGGATTAACAACTCCTGCCTGCCACGGCCCACAATGGATATGCATTAGTTCAACACCACAACACGATCCTTTCAGTACAACCTTTGTTGCCTGAACCCCATTGTTTCATGCGTCTAGTTTAGAGTTCTTTCAGCCAATTTTAGACGAGCACAAAGAGGTATGATCGTCATTGATCCCCAGTCGGACCCGAGTTGTGGCCGAGTCTGAGCCGACTATTCCAGTCTCTTAGACTGAATCGTTTCCCAAAGAGCATCTCGCCCTTGCCTCAAGACTCTTTGATGAATTCGAAATTATTTTCGGTTTGCATGAGTTTGTTGCTTATCCAGTAATACCTCGAGTATCTTGTACAATCAGTATGGCGTACTTAAGATGGCCGAGACGCGAGGAAGACAACTCGTTAACCCCCAAGTCAACTATCTCCAGCTCCGTGATTCGACAGGACACCTAGAAAAGCATTAGTCCAGTTCATTCCGATATAGGAAAAATGCGATACGCGCATCAATATGATGAGCTCCCAAGGGGATACTCAAAGTCGCATGCCAAAGACAGAGACCATCGCGACAGCCGTCTCTTCGACAGTTACTCACATATATCAAAGGATCATCGCCCTTCCCATGAGGGACGTAAATCTCACACCTCGCGCCGGGATACTCAGAGTCATAGCAGCCGGTCGTCTCAGAGTCACTCGACCCCCTCCACCTATGGCACGTACATCTGGCCACTAGAGAGTCGAGGGCAGTACAAGACCATGGACCCGACCAAGTGTCGATGCACTTGCTGCCCGCATCCTTCGAGTATATCGAAGAGTCAATATGACCGCCACTATCACGACGACCCCCGTCACCCCAATCCTTCAAGCACCTTGAAAAGCCAACACGAGCTTCACCATCGCAATGCCCCGGCCCCTCACCCCCCCTATAAACCCCATGACTCGACTCGCCAAGCAGAGCAACCGCGCCGCCGGTCAGGGCACTCCCAAGACAGGCGACCTCCCCGAGAAGAGTTCGTAATCAAGGTTGTAGACAACTCGCGCGGGCCGCTCCGGCGTGAGCACGGCGACAGGTACCCATTGACGCTGTCATCAACCTCCTCCGCCTCAAGCGTCCTGTCTGTCCTTGCGCCCGACGGGCGGCGGGCCGAGGTCGTGGTTCACTGGAACGACGGAGAGCAAGAGCGGCTAGACGAAAAGGTCCCGATGGACGACGTAAGACGCTTTGGGAAATACCTCGAGGTGAATGAGAAGAAGAAGCGGGTTCATTGGTACTAGAGAGGGGAAAGGAAGACGCACTGCGCCTCGGTCCAAGAAAGCTGGGGCTGTGTCGAGTGTCACGATTAAGTTTGAAGGAGCGCGACGGACCAGAGCTCGGCTAGATTAGATGCCAGTGAGACATATACGAAGAAATGGCAGGCAAACACACACATCTCGCATGACAGTGCATGCGCAGTGTTCCAGTTGAGAGATGTTGAAGCGTCAAAATAGCATCCGGTGTGCCTAATCCTGCGCTTGGCTCCTCAGGCTGCCAGGTTTCGCACCGCTAAGCTTACTAGGCACCACACGAGGCTGAACAAGGCCACCGCTGCTTCTTCGAAAACGATGCCCATCTAGACCAGAATCGACTCACCCCGGGGCAAAATACCCTGGTAAAACCGTGCATGCTTTCCCCATGGCACGTGTTCCACCCTTTGCGGAAACGCCAGGGGGACAGATTTCCCGTCCGTCCGCCCTATCCCGGCCTGACGGGGGGGTCGGCTGGTTGAATTGGGGATGTTGGCTGTGCCGCCGAGGAACCGGAAAACGCAAAACCCATGTTGGTCGAGCACCGAGGACCAGCGAGTGGGGAGCGGGAAGGCAGGATGAGGGGCCCTGTATGCGGAGTGAGTCAAGACTTCAATATCCAGCGGATATTGTAATTTGTGATATCGTCATGGCGCCATGGTGGTTGGACCGAGATCGGGTGCGGCACCAGTGTGGATGAGTGTGGATGCGCGTGCCTAAAACCGACGGCGCTTGGAATAGTCGCGCGTACCACAGACACTCTATTCTGGGCTCAGAGGACAAGTCATCGCCGTGTTACCACCGAAGCTGGACGGTGGGTTTTGGACAATGGCATGTAACATGTAACCATGGGTCACATGCTCTATTCTCGATGCCAATATCCTGCTTTGCATGCTGCAGCGCTCTAGCAGATTGGGGGCGCTCTTGAGTGACATTCGTCCGTAGCCGGGCAAAATATACCATCACCGTGGCCTCATCACCGTAACCAAGCCTCCGCCAAACCGCCCAAACTGCGCTGGACGACGCCAGATGCGGACTGGAACTGGAGCATAGCCCCCAGGTTCCCTCCCTCGAAGCTCAAATTCCATATGCATCTCATCACCACTCTATCACATCACCGTCGAACTTTTGGATTGACACCTAATCCCAGCCTCGCTCCAGGCACGCAAGTGGGGCGCCCCGTCAACCATGATCCGTCCAACGGCCCCGGAGCCCGGATCCAGCGCCCGCCCACCGGCCGCACGACCCCACGTCACAGAGCTAAGACGACCCGAAGGGAATTAACTTGGCTGGCATGGCCTGGCATGGCCTGGCATGCGCAAGTGACTCCGGGTGAGTCTTGGGTTTGGTCTCGGGATCTGGCTGCCAGTTGCTTGTTTCCAGTCACCGTCGCTCCCGTGCCCGTGGGTTGGCAGCCCGCACACCCTCTCCTCCTTAGCCTTCCGTCACCCCCCTACGTAACGTCTGGCTCCCAGCCTGTGTCGTTGCGACGCTTTTTCGCATGTCTGACAGGCGAGTCCGACGTAGAGAGCTGCGAGCGACGCGCCGCTTTTCTTACCCGCTCCCACGGGCTTGGGTCATGCAGTCAGAAGTAATCGTAATCACACGTCCATAACGGGTATGCGAATACCGAGCGCTGTCGTCACCCGCTTCGGCCTTTGGCCACCTCCGCGCCCTCGGTATTTCGCGGGCACGGCCTTTGACACTCGGATTTCATTGCAAACACGGATTTCCTTGGCTTGGCTCTAGCGAGGGGAGAGGGGTGTCGCGATCCATCGCAACGGGCCGGGGTGGGTGCGGTGGGCTCCAACTCGCCGGGGACAACACCATCAAAGTCGAGGACATCCATGGATGGGAGCCTGGCAGTGCGGCTCGGCGCGCACATTGCGCAGACCCGGTGTGGACTTGCCGACTAGACTGCGTGAATCGATGTGAAGACAATGGAGGCTATGGTCGCCTGTCCCCATGTCCCCATCGTTGATGCCTATCTTATAAGAACTACGGCAATGACTCCATTTATTTCGAGGCAACCAGCCAAAAAAAACAAAACAGACTCGACATTGAGCCTTATGGTCGCCTTGTGGATTACCAAAGTCCCTTTACACAGAACCTCTATACACAGAAGCCAAGCATCAGCCTAGAAGCCATGTTCGGAACCTGGAAGTACGATCCGGAAACGGACGAAGTCCAAAGCGTCCGCAACGCCTTTGACCCCGTAACGGCCCGCTCCAGCTCGCACCAGGCGTGTGATCGTTGCCACGAGAAGAAGGTATGTCATTCGGCTGTCTAGCGGCCACGCCATCTCGCGCCCAGGCCGCGCTGTGGCTTGCACTTGGGGATATAGGCTAACATGGCAAACAGCTGAAGTGCAGTGGGGACAAGAACGGCTGCGAGCGATGCATTGGGAACAACCTACGCTGCGAATATACGCGCTCAGGGTCCAAGTCGTCTCGCAAGGGAAAGAAGAGCAGCCGCAAGTCCGAAGAAGACAGCGCGGCAAGCGGATCGGGCTCGAGCTCGCGCCGCGGCGGCTCGTCGTCCAAGAAGTCCTCGTCCAAGCATCACCACCACTCGTCCCGAACGGCGACTTCGAGCCACGAAGAGCCCGAAGGTCTTCTGGGCCAGTTTGACTTTTCGTCGCTGAGCCCAGAAGACGGATTCGATCTGGGGTTGCTCTCGCCTGGCGCAGACCAGACGTCGGGCGGTGGCTATGCGGTTCCTGTGTCGTCGGCGGCAGCCTTGCAGGGCACCTACCCGCAGTTGCAGATGCAGCCTGGCACATCCGACGTCAACTATCAGTCCTGGGACGGCTACTCGGCGTACCCAGCGGCGTATGATCAGCAACAGGGCTACGCGCCGCAGGATTGGCCGGGCTATGGCGACTATGCGGGTCAACAGCAGCAGGACCCCCGATACTACGGCGGCCGGTAGCGGACAAGTCGGAGCCGGAGCAACACGAGAGAGCCGGACAGTCAGGGAACGCCACTCAACGTCCGATGATGATGAGACGAGCTGAGATGAATACACGACTCCGACGGAACATGTACAACTATATCAAGCGATGCTTATACCCCCTTCATCCTATTCCCACAGTTAGACGATAATTTTTCCACTTGGGGGTTTCTTACTTTTTGCTTTCATGTACTTAGACACATATAGAGAGGGGTGATTGGTGGATGGACGGGATCTGTCACATTTCTTTTCTTTCCTTTTGTCTTTTGTTTCTCTGCTTTCTGGGTTCTCCCCAACACCGACACGGAAGGTGTCGATAATTGAATGTTGATTTGCTGTTCTCATTTCAGCTCCTGTGCACGAGATTCCCCTTTCGAGCCATCTTGGCCGTGGCAGTGTTCGCAAATCACCCACGCGTCCCCACCGCGCCCCCCGCAAAAGCGATCATCAGCCCTGTTTTGTGTTTATCCATTTTGACCCAACGCCCAGGGAGCGCAGCCACGTTCCGCAGCCCGACGGTCGCCCACAAACCCGAGTGAGGGAATGCGATGCGACGTATGAGATGACGGGTCTCTCGGCGTGAGAACTTGGGGGACGTCGTGAAAGTGCGAAACACACTCGGCGGAGCAGAGCCGGTTGAGACGCTGGCGGGGCGGTCGTGTTCGCCGCTGGTTCCGATGCCACGGAGAGGTCACGAGATGGGTGCTGCCTGGTGTAAGTCCTGGTGGTTGTCTCCCAACCATCTTCATTGGCGAGCCCCATCTACCCAGCCGCGCATCGCAGGGCAGGGCTGCTTAGTCAGGGCGTCCGCGGAAGTCAGCGACGTCACACTTGACCGGGGTCATTTGCGACTCCAACGAGCAAATCTTGCCCGCCGCAAGAAGCCTTCCATCGAGCAACCGTCTGCAATTGCGCCGGCCCCGATTGACTCACACAACCCACGCCATGGCCACCGACGAGTCAGATCTCCCCTCCAAGTCCGTGCTGGACCGTCTTAATGACTGGGGCAGTAAGTCATCCCTCTGAGCCTCGTCATCCTTGCTGCCCAGCCCTGCGCGCTGCAACACCACACCACACCACTTCCGCCCTTCCACAAGTCTAATCTCAAAGCCTCACAAGCCTCGCAACTAGACCACACACATCCGCTAGACGAGTGTGGATTTCCCATCAAACTTGTGCTAACCGTGCCTCCCAGCCGCATCACTCCCGCCCTCCCTCCTCGCCACCCTCATCCTCGCCCTGCATGGCCGTCCCATGCAGGCCCTCCCGCTCTTCACCTTCACGCCCGCGCTGCTGTTCTCCTCCTATCTTAATCTCTCGGGCTATCCCACCGGTAGCGCCGGGATGACGGCCGCGTGGTCCGGCCTTTACGCCCTGCTGGCCCTCCGTCGCCGCCAGCCTATGCGTGCCAAGTTGTCCATCCGCGGAGTTGTCCGCGGAACGGCAATCGGCCTCGGAACGGCCAACTGCATCGCCGGAGGCTGGGTGTACTTTAACGGTGATTTCAACAAGGACGCCGAGGAGCGTGTTGACCGTAACCGCTGGGGAAACTATGATTGAGACAAAATTATCGCTAGTAGTTAACTTGCCACTGGAGAGGGACAGACATCGAATTGTACGATACAGAGAAATGTACCAAAGAAATGTCACGAGAAATGAGGTCGGGATTCGGCGCATCTTTGGGCCTAAGAGTCTAACTGTGTTAGAACCTTAAACAGAGCTACAACATGTGAGTGCTTACCATATATTGGGTGCTTTCATAAGCGGTGAGACATCTGATGGGTGTAGAGCTACCTGGCTTTACTCATGTGAGATGAAGGCATGAGAAAATATTACCAACAAACACACACACAAAGGAATATAAAATAATTGGTCTCATGTTGACATTTTGTTACACACGTATAGCCAAATCTGTCGTCTTTGGCGACGCTGCCCAATGTCTGGTTATTCCAGGTATCTTCGATATCTATAATCTTGTAGTACAACGCTGTATTCAATGCCTCAGTTCCTCCCCAAACACCCAACATAGAAAATCGGAAGACCTAGTAACTTCCGTGTCTGTGATTCATCCCCTGAAAGTTAAAAAAAAAACGCCAAAACTTGGAGACGGTATCAGCCCTTGATGCGTCTCCAGCCCATGAGATCCGTGCCTTCAAATGCAGGATACAAGCCGTCATCTCGAAGCCTCAAGCCAGTGAGGAATTCTTGTCCTCATGTGAAGCCCCATAGCATCCACATGTTCGAGCCCACCATGCACCTGCCCAGGTCCCTTCTTCATACTCTTGAAGTTCGAGGTTGTCGTAAAATGTGCAGATTGAGGATGGTGGTGATGGTCGAGAGATGAAGATGGAACATTATCGTGGATATCGCGAGAAAGAGGTTCGATGGTGCACCCTTACTTGAGTGCATCATCGTCCTTTATCCTAGGACGCATCTGGGCGCCTGACACAAGCCAAAGGACTAGGACGACAAATGAGAACAAGAGGGCCCGAAAAAAAGTTCGCACATGAACCGGGCTGTGCACCATGTGGTCTTCTGTGGAGAGTCGAAGCGTTGAAATCTGGAAGGCGCTGATGTAGTCAAGGTCACACTCGCGGGCCTTGGGTTCGGCGTAAGTCTTGTACTCATCCAGAACGTTGGATGTCTCCCAGCCAGAGACCTTCCGAATGACACCAACAACACACCCAGTTCGGTGCTTGCCATGGTTGCAGTGCAGCATGAGAGGGTGGTTTTCCTTGTTGAGCACGACGCTGAGGATGGACTTCATCGTCTTCAGGGGGATGGCCTCCTTCTTGGTGCCCTTCATGTGGATGACAACCTGGAGGATGCCTTGGGCGTTGAGGAATGACTCCAATTCATGGTCACGGTCATCCTTCTTCACAAGGGTCCTAATGCAGGTTAGTAGGAGTCATGCAAGAGAGAGGTGGAGACATACACTACCGTCTTCAACTTCAGGCTCTTGATGTACTCGAAGTCGGAGGGCTTGGGGTAACTGCTTCGGTAGAGACCAGGAACAACGATGCCAAAGTTGAGGGGTCGGCCGTTCAGCGGTGCGGGAGGATGCTCCGAGCCCTGCGACGAAAAGGAGGAGGTGGAAGACGAAGCGGACATGGCTGAGGTAGCGTTAGTAGGCAGTCGGTTGGTCCGCATCAGGGAAGCTTACCAGTCGACTCGAATGCTTTTGTTGAAACCTCATTGCTGCTGCCCATGGTGGAGGTGCTCTGAGACCGGGCGATGGATGTGGCCTCTCGGATGGAGACGCCGTTTCGCTGGCCCTCCTCTGTGTCCTTGGCCACCTGCATCATTTCCTCCTTGCCGGAGCTTCTGGAGCTGCGTCTCGATCGGAACGGGGTGTTTGTGGGTTTCGGTTGAGGCTCCTGGCGGTGTGTCGCTTCGTCCACGTAGGCACGTGAGCTGCGTTTCGAAGTCATGTCCAATGTAGATGGTGTTGAATCCATATGGTTGAGAAGCGGGAGTGCCGAGAGGAGAGGTCGGATGGGCGGAAGCCGAGACGAGTTCGAACCAAGAGGTGGACCGAAGAGGTAGAGCGGAAAAGTAGAGTCTTTAAGGGTTCTCAGGAAGCAAAGCGAAAGGTCGAGGGCGATTGGCGTATATGGAGGAAGAAGTCGAGCGGTAGAGGTCGTGGTGGTTGGCTTTTAGTCGAAGAAGCACCCTTGGAGGAAGGTGCTCGCGCGACAAGGCAGAGCCTACAACGTCTTGAGATTCATGTTGGCGTCGATGAGCTGGGGTAGAAACTCCATCTTGTTCGGGGGGAAACAGGAGAGGAAGTAGTCGGGCGTGGGGGTGTTGTCTTGTCTCGGTGAGGGAGAATGGACAAGGTAGAAAGGATGCGTATTGGAGTGGGAAGACGGGTGAGATGATGATTGAACCAGGTCGGCTCAGGGCTGGGGAGCCAGGGAAGAAGAGCAATGGATGGAAATGGCCTGAATCCAGCCACAGCAGGGGGAGGGGCGGGAAGACAGGGAGAGCCAGGGCGCGCCAGGCCAACAAGGGTGCTGAGTGTGGGCGAGCCGCGAGCGAGCAGGGAACCCACGACGGACAATGGGACGGGCCTGGTGCCGAGCAGCGAGCGGCGACAGGACGGAGAGACGATGGCCGACGGATCCTGGCGGAGTGGACAAAAAGGAAAAGCAAGTTGTAGGAGGAGGGGTCTGTGGAGGGAGTAGCGCGTGGACTGTGGCCCGTAGCCGGATGAAGATGATGGAGATGGCCGAGTGGGTTGGGAGGAAGATGGCCGAGTGGACGTGGGATGGGCCGAACTGGGCCAAAAGGGGCCAAGCTGGATTTGGCGGGCGGGGCAGACCCAGGCTTTGGGGGGCCTTGTAGGAGCCTCAGCAACCGTGCCAGCGCTGGACGGGCACTTTACAGAGGACCACAGCGGATTACAGCGGACCACGGACGCGCCACAGCGGTTTGGCCACTGACGTACCCTCGACCCTGGCGCAGGGACACCCTGTTAGCGGCAGTGGTATGTCTGGCAGAGCCGTGGCATCTGGCACGGTGCACAGTGATGCCAGGTCCCTGCACGTCCCAATCCTGCACGCAGGTTGCACGCAGGCTGCACGCAGGGCTTTCTCGGGTGACTTTGCCACTTGGGCTGGACGACAACCGTTGATCGTTAGGGTTGATCATTTTGTGTGCCCTGAGCTGCCTTGGGATCTCGAAGGACGAGGGCAATGGGGTCCTTGAGTGTCCCTGAGTGACTGAGTGACCGAGTGACCCTGAGTCGAAGAGGGAAGCACGGACAGAGACATCCATCGTGGACCAGACCCAAAACTCATAAGCGTATACCAAAATACCACCAAAGTCTACCTAGGCGCACCGAGGAAAAGAAAAAAGTCAAAATCCAACAAAAAATGTCGTAGCTTTGACTTTCTACGTAGTAGGCATTCGCCCACCTCCGATGGTTTGGGTAGGCGTTGGCCGTCGGCCAGCCTACTAGAAACCCAATCACGCCTACCGGACTCGTCCTAAGCGCTCAATATCAGGCGGTACCTCAGTCTCTACAACGAGACGCACCACACACCCGCGGACGGCCTTTGTACTCAGCGTGTCTTGGGAAGCTTACATCGCCGGCGTGGGATGCAAGACTCTCCATGAAGAGGGGTAAAGGCAAAGGTAAGCCACCACGAGGATTACGTAGCAGTTGATGTCCCCGAGGGGGTGGAAGCCGGCGTCTACGACAATTGCGTCGCCCCGGATTCGACAATGATGGTCCAAAGACCCAAGACAACACGGCGTGAGTGTCTCGTCTTCACAGCCAGCGCAGCCCACAAAGCCATGTGTCACTCCCACTCCCACGCCTCTGTCTCTGGGGCGAGCTGTAATCACCCTCATCTTGTTGGCCCGCTGGGGGTCGTCACCCGGGGACCTCCCGGCAGCTGGGGCTTCTGGGGAGATTCTTCCATAATTATAATGTCTCCGTACAAAGCAAGCCCCCATCGGAATCCACCAGACGAGGGATCCCTTCTTCTCCAGACAAGGAGCAGGCCAGGAGCTGGAGGTCCAGTTGGGGAAATTCCCGTCTACGGCGGCGAATGGACGAGCAAGGAATTCGCGGAATGACAGCATGTGCATGCTTGCTCATGCTCGTGCTTTCGATGCGGGATACATTTACGCACTCGCACAGTATCACGTAGCTCCTAGATTCGTTAGTTAGTCGCATGGCAAGCAGGAGAACAGAGTTCGATGTTTCGGCGACAATGAACTGCCACAAATAGTTTATGCTGCAGGACTAATCACTACGCGGTATTGCTCAGTGACCACGCAAAGGAGCTTGGGCTCCCGAGCCCCCCGTAAAAGGAGCCATCAACGCAACCCTCGACAGCCTAGATGAAGCACGAGTAAGCAAAGTACGCACCAAGGTTTGCAGCTCATTCCCTAGAAAGCAAGGCACACGCATCATGGCCCAGCCGATCGTCTGGCCGATTGCCTGGGAGTGGTGTGGTGTCGCTGCTGGCGACTGGCCGGACTGGAGAACCAAGCAATTGGCGGGCCCAGAGGCGCTGGAGCTACCCACCAACTAGCGTACAGAGCGATGGGCCTGTCCAGACCTCCCTGGAACCACTTCGTCGAGGACCCCCAATTTTCTCACTGCTTTCGTCGTCATACAGCCGTGGTGTCTCGGCCTTTTGTTGGTCGTTCGTCGCTGGACGTCGTTGTGTGGCCGTCGAGTCTCGCAGCTCACTGATGTCAGCTGGCTGAGGCGACTAAACTTCAACACGTGCTGTGGCGGGTTTAAGGAGCCACAATGATGAAGAGGGCTAACCTCAGTGGCCTGCCGTCTATTGATTGACGAAACTCCTAGCTTATCGCTCATCCAGATCACGACGTTGTGCTGGGGAAGAAAAACATCACTTGACTTGGTCATCTGGCTTGGTTGAGATCCTATGCGATGCAACGCGCATTCACCCAACGGTCGTGGGTGAAACACGCTGCCACTTGCAACGCTCTTCTCGAAATACCTACACGTGTAGGTGTCACACTGGGCCCCCACGGAACCCCGGCTGGCGTACATCCTTCTCGAGTCCAGCTGCGAAAGTTGTGAGTGTGGGATGCTCTTGATGACTTTATTTTGTCCACCTCCCCTTTGTCCCACTGCCTCCACTGCTCGTCGGTGCGACAGACTGAGGCCCCGTCTTGCCCCAGTGCGGACCATACCGGGCGTGTGCTGCGCGTCAGAGCATTTACGATTACACTGAGAGTACTAAGAGAATTTCTCGGAGGAAACCTACATCGCATTGATGCGAGACAAGTGGTTTTTTTCGTCGTTGTTGCTGTCAAAACGAGACAAGAATTCACCTTTGGCCTCGCCTCACTATGCATGTCGACTCACTCTAACAATAACTAATCAGTACGTACCCTTCCATGACGGCTGCTCCCAGCGGGGAGTCACTCGTAATGGTGAGCCAGTGGCGGCCGCCTCCACCGACACCGACGCCAACACCGACACCGAAATCCGTAATTACGGCTGCGTCGGACTTTTCACTTCCCCAGCAGGCGTTTTGTATTATGCGATCCCCCGACTCTTCAATGTAACGCGTCGCTGCTTGCAAGAAGGAACTAGAACTACATGCGGAATTTGTGGACGCGCAGGTTTCTGGTGCATTACCAATCCAGCCATGGCCGACATGTCCGTCGGCCAAACGACGCAGCTCCTTACCGTTCACTTACGTCTAGACACGCCAACTACAACGTCACCGCAGTTGAGGCTGACGGCTGACGCGCTGACGAGACACTGTCTCGCCTCAGCCTCAGCCGCAGTGTGGTTGTTGGCTGGAGGCTTGCGTGCAGGGGATTCGGGGGAGCCACAGTTTGCCTCTGAGGCTGCGTCGTCTCTCCGCAGTCACGCTGTTCAGGCTCCATATGTGAGTGGCGTTGCCCGGGCGCGCATCGGTTCCATTTAGTCCAATCGTTCCAGAAGATCCCGGCAGCCCTCTTTTGCATCGTCAGCCTGCAGAGATGCTCGCGTGTCGATCGTACCAGGCGAGATCACGGCCAGCATGGATATTGCTCGCGGGTTGGGCCTCCAGGAACAACGTCGTGGATGATGCATCACAGGCAATGTTGATCTGTGCCAATGTGCATTCCCATCTTGAAACGCATCTGTACCCCGGGCTCGTTGTAACCCCCAGTTCCCCTTTCTTGGAGGCTGACATGGATCTCTCGACGCGAACCAAACTCTCACCGGACGACCGTCGCTCGCTGTCGCGTGCCCAACAACCCTTCTTCGGTCAAATTCGCAGTGGGATGCCTGCACCTAGTCCAATGCACACCGAGCATTGACCTTAATGCCTGCACCACGACCAATTCGTAGCCATCCCACGTGAAGCAATACCGCTTTGCGACACCGAGGCGAGCGGGCGAGCCACGCCCGTATCCTAGAGCCCAAACTTGCCCCTTTTGGATACCGAGATAACCTCCATCTCCACGGGCCGCCCGCTGTTTTGGGATCCCCAACCGGCACACATCCAAGGTCCCCCGGGCCAATGAACTCGCCAGTGGCCGTAGATCAGGTCCTGGGGCAGGCAAATTTTGAGGTCCCCGGCATGGTAATGTGGAATAGGATGCCCTGGCCGTGTTCCTGACAGGTTTGTTCTTGTCGTTGGAGGTCATTAACCCTGTAATCCTGGTTTCCTGTTCGGAGCCGAGTCATCCGTGGGGCCAGCGGGTTTCAAACCTTGACTGAGCAATGAGACTCGTGTTCCAGGATATTTTAGGTAATACTTGGGGGTCCGCGTTTGGTTGTTGGGGGCATTTACTCTTCCGGGTTAAACACATCCATACATCAAGAGGGGGGTATCACGAGTGAAAGGAGCCGTATGGTAAGATGAGCGTTGGCTAGGGGCTATTCGATGCAGCTGTGCGAAGTTGGCAATCTTAGCGGGCAGACTGTTGCATATTGGGGTCGACATTTGAATATATCTCCGAATAATGCGGGGGAGCTATTCCTTGCACCCTATAGTGCATGAGAATCACCTGGTATGCTTAAACTGCTTCGTTTCATATCTAAGAATAAGTAGAAACACCAAACTATTTCCATACGCAACAGCGACTTGCGGTGTCATCCTTGTCATTCAAACCATTCGCTCACTACAGGGGCTATTGTAAGAGGGAAAGAGAGCGAGGTAGAGTGTATCTCTAAACCGGTCATCAATCTAATGGAGCATGCGCGCCGTGTGTCGTAAGGAAAACCACGGTTTCAAATACAGGGTACTATTCTGACTCTGGCAAAGATTTCCATGGGATTTTATTCAGCGAGACTGATGTTGGTAGTCGCTTTAATTCTTGTATTAAGATGATTATATTGCTCCGTCAGTATTCGCGTTGTTCGTCATGCTCATCAACGGAGCCAATGGCTTTCTAGAATCTCTTCATTTGTGTTGGCCCAGTATCGCAGTCCTTCCAGGACACCAGTCGGCTTTAATCTATAGGGTTAAGTAAGTGTCTAGTGACCGCGGTGGGGTCCTTTCTCATACATTTTGAATCACGGGATGGGCTTATTTCCCTCTTAATTTAAGAAGGTCTTTAGGTTGGTAATGACAGCCTGCTTGTACGTTCAACAATTTGATCTCGTTATCCTGTCCTTCATCAAGGGTGGATAGTCTACGAGGCAAGACAAAGTGTTCTTATCCTAGGGCGTGTCTGTGGACGTGTCTTTCACGAAGTCGAAAAGGTAACCACTAAGAGATGAAAAATAAATGTGGCTTGCGACATGTCTGAGATGGCAGTGTTTGAATGGTAGGCCTCATTCCAAATGCGTTCTTTTAAGAGGCGTAAGTAGTCCGCATGATCCTGTAAAAAGGAAGTGCTCCAGCCAGGTGGACAGCCGCTGACGATGCCAAGCAAATTACAGTTCCCAATCTTACGGGTTGGATGCCATGGCGAGGGCAGTGGTCTTACTGTGGAATTCTCCGATTAAGGCTCCATGAAAAATACAACAAAGAATTCACACGAAGCAATCCTCATACCTATAGGCCAGAATTCTAGGCCGAGTCGAATAACATAGACAGTGTTGGACTCATCGAACGACACCATTTTTACACGTTCTTATGGACAAACACCCACACTGCGGTTTGCCAAGCTGGGGCTTTCAGCTGCTCCAAGCCGCTGTTTATGAATGTTGTCAAGCCTGTGAAACTATGAGCAGGCTATTACTTCTAGAGTCTAGTTCGATGCTGCACAATGACCTGATCAGCTTAGCTGAACTATTTGTCCCAGGTATTTAACTGGCCGCTCTGCACCCAATGTCACTCTCGCCTCCCTGGTCTTAGTTGTCTTACTAAATGTTCTGTCCATAATTTCGGCCGTGGCCCTCACAATCACCAGATTACCGTCGTACTAGTAATCTGCTTGTACCAACTGGAAAACCAAGCACCATGTCCCCACCGAGGACCACATCACCTAATGAAATCGAAGACGATAGACAAATGATAGAGTCTAGGTGGCCAGACAAAGTTCTTGCTCGGATTTACACCGAGCTACCGACGCCTCTGACTATCACCGTGGCACCAGATAATACCTGTGGATTTATCACAGGGGGATATTGGCCAATGACCTGTATAAATGGAAAAACCTGCTCGTGGGAATCGGGTAAGCTCAACGCCATTTTGTGTGGGTTGGAGGGATTCTTTACCACATGCCTCGGCCGAGATGACGCTCTGGACCCAGATATATGCGGTGACTCTTGCAAAAGCGACTGGCATATTCGGCTGTGGTGAGTTTTTCGCCCAATAAAAAAGCTGTCATCGAAGGTCCATAAGTTGGGCTAACTGTTCTTCACATAGTACCGTGTCGTCTTTGGCATGGTGTAAAACCAAAAAATACCAGTATGGTGTTATGGATTACGGATGCGCTTCAGAAGAATCAACTGTGACCATTTCGTTCAACCGCGGGAACCGGGACCTCGAGTTTAGAACGACTGTTCTGGGAGATACGTCGGGATCGACTACATTGCCTGAATCGAAGACATTGTTTAAGTCCACGACAGGACCTAAATCCACAACATGGACGGAGTCGACGACATTGACTGAAACATCGACGTCAACTGGGCCATTAACATCAACTACAGGGATTGACACGACTTCTACTTCGGGGCCCAGAGGCAATAACAACACTGGCTCAATTGTGGGAGGTGTACTTGGAGGCTTGGCCCTCGTTTGTTTTATGATTCTGGGAGTTATGTTTCTGCGTCACCGAGGAAGACACGCCCCATCGGTAACCAATCCCAACCCAGACCGTGGCCACATTAAAGCCGAGTTGGATGTTACGCCATCCCCCAATGCGTATCCAGCAACAAGTACTCTACAAGGCAGTGGTCAACGAGTCGAAGGTGACTCCGTCGAATGATGATATGCAAATGCGACATTCGCATTTCAACAACGTCCAGGAGATGATGCACTTGGACTCTCATGTAGCTGCGCAAAACATGTCAGCGCACGAACTTGGCGGAAAGGTTCCCGATAACCATCGATGAACAATGGAGGCTGGGGGTATGTAGTCTATTTTCTCAAATTCAGAGTTTGACACCACAATTAAATTACTAGGTGGTTTTTTTTATCAATTTTGCAGTAATTATAACAACAGTAGTTTGAATGAATCATTCCTATATTCACCACTGACAGGCTTAGTGCACTTTATAACTAACATAGCCTAACAAACCAGGACTATCCCGACAAGTCTTTCAGGAGCCGTGAACGGAACGAGTAGGCCACCAAACCCTACCGAATAACTAACCGAAAATCATGCGATGGTCTGTAGTCCCTCATTAAGAAACGTCAGTCCAAGCTCCTTTACTGAAAACACCAACTACTTCAACGCATCAACTGCTTTCTAACCCGTTCTGATCCTCTGGTGATACAGAGGCCCCATTTGTATCACCATTCTCGTTACCAACAGATACTGACAAAGCTCGATTCCTGCGGATATTCTGTCTCGTTCGATGCGTCCCGTTAGACTGTGAAATAGCAACCTCATCCTTGGCTGCCTGCATCTGTGTCTCATCCAAGACAAACCCTTGCATCAGAAGCTCCACATCCTGGCCTTTCGAGATGTCGAAAGCTGGCCAAACAATTGCCTTGATATGTTCGATGCTTGTAATTGATTGAGTTTGGGTTTCTGTTTGCCCTTTAAAGTTAGGAATGGCTGGAGAACCCATAGTAGGGCTAGGCTTAGTATTTTCTCACCTTGCCCAGGAGGCGGGAGTAATGACCAATCATCTTCATCGTCCGCTTCAAATGTCGACTCAACTTGTGCCTCTAGTTTCTGAAAATCCATCCATTTCTCGCAAATGGTCTTGCAGACATTTGTAAAGCTCGACCGGAATTCTTCCTCGCTCTCCTCTGAGAGCATTGGACCAGCGTATTGTACCACATTAGCAACAACATGGCCAATACGGGCTTTTGCATTCTTCTCCTGCTTATTCGGATGTATTGGCAAGAGCACTGATCGTAGATACAACTCTGTGTCTGGATCAACTTCGCTTATTTCGACAATCAAGTTAGAGAGGCTGTTATCGTTGAGGAGATATGTTGGTTGGAAGATATATTTTGACAATAACTGAGCACATATGCCTAGAACGGCTGCCACTCGCATTTGCTTCGCCGCGGGCGAGTTGGAAAGGGGCATGGGAATGGGTTGCTTCTTGCGCATCACCGCCCAGCGACCATGATCGGCAAACACAGTTTCGTCGAGATCGTTACCGAAAAAGCGTTCGGTTACGCTGTAAACCGATTGAAAAATAGATTGCAGCTCTTGGTGACTGTACTCGCGTGAGTAGAATTTCGAAACTATAGGGAGAACGACGCACAGAGTCTCTTGGGGTGTTTGTGTCATCTTGAAAGTGAAACGGTCGAACCGATTAATCGACTCGGCTTGAGCGTCAACAATAGCCTGTAGTGAGCTCAATTCTTTCTCAGCCAGGTTCTTGGCCTCTATTGCAACTATCAACCGAGCTCCTTCATCTTTGCTCTGTTCTTTGAAACTGTTGATGTCGTTGTCCCTCGATTTAAGTTTCTGTTGTAATTCCGTGATCGATTTCGCAGAGCCGTCGAGTTGCTTCTCCATTTCCTTCATTTCATTCTCAAAGTTGACTCGGGAGCGTTGTAGATCTTTCGATTCATTAGTTACACTCCATAATTGGTCAATTGCCGTTGGTGCTGTCCCAACCTTGGTCCTCTAGCCGTTGCTGGAGCTTCGCAAGCGTTTTGAGATTTTGCTCATTGGTGGTTTGCAGTGCTTCATTTTCGCTTCTCAATTTCGAATTCTCCTTGACGATGTGCAAAACGTCTTGTGAGTTGCTGCTCGCCACAAAATCTTGGAGTTGTTTGAGAAATGTTTCCACAGGGTGGTTGTGATCTGATGTTGTGGTCATGTTCAGAAAGGGGGCCACGCCGGAGTCGGTCTGCAGGATAATTTACAGCAGGGATACCGCCCTATAAGTAACCATGCCGCTCTCCGAATGTACTGCCACATTACTACCCCTCATACTCATCCGTTGTCAAGATATTGAGGTGCGAATGCTGACGTCTAGACGAGGCTCGCACTGTGGAGTGGTGCTGCACATGATCACCAGCAGCCAATCTCGTCGATGTCAATCTGTGATTTCGGCTCGAGCGACTCTCCGCGACTTTCCGAGCTGCGCTGGCATCCGGAGCTGGCTTGCCTTGTTTAAAACGATAGGCGGGGACTGATCCACGTGCTGCATATGAACGGATAGTGGTGGGTAGATTGCCCAGAGCATCCGTCAGGTTATGGACATAGCGTCATTGATACTGTAGAATGACAACATTTCCCTAATAAGAATCTTACTGATAAAGGTCACCGTCCAATTATATTAAGTTACGTGTTATTGTAGCCCTATTATATGCCAGCACTTGGGTTGCAATAAGCACATTGAGATGGACATACTGTACAATCCATAACGGGGCGAACGACATGCAGCCAGACACACAGTATGCAGACAACTACATGGCCCCACTCATCAACGGCGGGCCTCGCCTTCGCCAATGTAGGTATTCCCCATTCGGCATATAGTAACTTCAGGAGTAGTATACTGCTAATCAGGATATAGCAGTTGCTGTGTGCTGTAACCTGCTATTCTTTAGGGCCTATAGAAATCAGAAAGTACTTAGTGTACTTATTATCTAATCTAATAATTAGTGCTTACTTCTTATGGATAAGACTTTTAAAAGGGCCCTCCGTAGCACATTCTGCGATCGTCAAGGATAAGAAGAGTAATGCAGGGTTAATAGCATTCCTGAATATGCTACGAGATGGCCGGCACAAATGAAGCTGCATCATCGCAGTGAATAATTTCTGATAAACAGGTAGTGAGATTTGATGTGGAACATCTTGTCTTTTGGGAATGGTTGAGTTATTCAGATTTGGGTGAGTGCCTCCCATACTTTCAAGTCCCACAAGCTCGGATCCAATGTGCTCACTCTAAAACAGCCACCTCTTCATCTAATTGCCGCTGAGTTGTGTCACGACGCTGAGGCGAGCCCCATCTGAAAGCCACGTTAAAACCGACCTCACCAGGGCCAAACCCAGGGTTAATCTTGACGGTCCGAACGAAATGTGTCGCAATGCGGATCGCGTCATAAAGAATAATGACGAAGAGGACAGCTAGGATAACACTGTGATAGAATCAGTCTCATGGTACTTTGGACGTCCAACACCACGTAGAATAAACGAAACGTAGGGTTGGGTAGGTGGTGGTGATAAGAAACATGGAGGCACATGAAGGTACTGACCCGTAAAAGACTGTAGCGTAGACTGTAATCTCTCTCACAATGTGCATCTTTAGAGCCCATTCCTGACACTGCTCCCGTAACCCGGTAGCCCGAGCAAACGGCTCTTCAGGGTCATCTGGCAGGGTATCAGGCGGGTCCAGTTCACGACACCTTGTAGGCGCTGTTTCGTCAAGGACTTCTCCAACACACCCAAAAATCGCATACGTGAACAGTCCGAGCACAATGACATTGACCACAGCGGGGAAAGGCTTGCGGGTTCGTCCGAGACAGATGATGTTGGCTATGCCAAACACCATAGACAGGATGCACTGCCAGGCAAAAATCAGCATTTGTACCATAAACTCATGAGAGGAAAGGCTTACTGTCCAGAAGACAACAACTCTGAAATTATCCATTCTCCAATCCCAATAGTGGAATAGTAACTGTCCATGCCGGTCGAGTATTGTTTCATAGAACAAGAAGGCCAAGGTGATGATGGCGGCGACAAGTGAAATGGCGAACCCAGAGATGAGGAGTCTGTGATTTAATAAACGGCTTGGCCCCTCAACGGCATCGGTTTCCTCGGCATCGTGATTGATTGTTGGAGATGACGTTTCCTCAGCCACATCCCGGTCATTTGTCGCAGGTGTCAAGAGAGGCGTGGTCTCATCAGCACGAGGCTCGGGCTGCGGCAAATCCATTTCTAACGACTCGCTTTAATTTTTCAAGGCGAAGGGTTGTTTTTGGAGAGATTTGGAAATGAAGATGGGAGGAAGTGAGGTTGGAGGGATCTTAGGAAGAGGACATGTTATCATCTTCTTCGCTAGGCAGACACGTCGCACCATGGCGCTTGTTGGCCGCGTCTTTGGCCAATTCGGCTGGGGCGCAGTCCAGGCATTCCCTGTCATAATTCTGCCTCGACTGAGGTTTTAAATAGATTGAGTTCAATTCAATTCCCCATGTATTGTCAAGTATCCCGATGACTTCAAATCGCCCATGAGGCTGGTGGGTTTCTTCTATCGGCCAGCGCAGCTTGCCATGGACGTGATTGAGCAATCAGAAGGAAGTAAATTGCGTCCGCCATTGAAAGGACTTCAAACTCCGGGCCGGCCATGATTCTACGAACTAGTAGAATTACTCTGAGTTTGTTGGTCCTTCATTGCTCCACCTCGCCGCAGTCCTCCGACCCGGGAATAATGAGCGTCGATAAAGCGCCGGGATCTGGCCTCACCCCAGCGCCAATCAGCGCTGCTCTTGGTGTTTCCGCGTTTACTCTTTACTCCTTCTGCGTGATTTCTCGTCTTGAAGTCGGCCCTGATGTCCCATTAATCCCGTAGCCGGTCTCGCTTCGCCGGCTCGAGTGCCGCTAGTTCACCACCTGCATGTTAAAACGCGCTCAAAAACATCACCATCAGCAAATCTTCCCCTCGTCTGGCACCTGGATGACCAATGAGGGGAACAAGCTATTCTTGGAATATCCACCTGATATGACACCGAGCATCCGATCAGTTCCCGATAACTTACCCCTCAGCAAGTTGACTACGTAATTGGCCTCGAGAAAGAGTATTTGAATGGAATCTCCCAGCTCGCTTCTACTCTTCCGACTTTCACTCCTCACTCACCTCACACACGAAGCTACCCACCTGCAATTCGCAACCCCGGCAAACCATCAACTTTCGGTACGATGTGACCAACGAAAGAACCATGGCACCTTCGCAATGATCCTACGTATCAAGGTAACGTTTAAAAGAACGCATCCGGGTGTTCGGCTCTTGCTTTGCCTGCTCCTGCCTCGTGGACGGACATGTCTCTCGTAGACATGATCCTGATATGTTGGACGACGGGTGAAGCGGAGTTGATCTGAGAAATACCGGCGAACTTGATCTGGATAATACCAGCGAAAGGACATGCTTCTTGAACCCCCCCCTTTTGCCTTGTGTGGTTGGCAGACTGACCCTAGTAGCATTACGCTTGATCCGTCAACATGTCGACTGACAAGATCACCTTCCTCACCAACTGGTATGAGGAATAACAATTATAGCTAGTGTGAACAAAGGTTGACACCATATAGGCACGCGACGCCTTACCACGCCCCGGTGTACCTGGCCCAGGCCAAAGGATACTTCAAGGATGAGGGAATCAAGGTTGCTCTTCTCGAGCCCAACGACCCCAGTGTAGGCACTCTCAAAGTCGAGGATACCATCTGGGATACTAATTGGCGCAGGATGTCACTGAGATCATTGGAACTGGCAAAGTCGACCTTGGTTTCAAGGCTATGATTCACACGCTTGCCGTAAGATCTCCCAGCCCACTTCTAGTCATCCACAACTAACAGAGCCATCATCAGGCCAAGGCCCGCGACTTCCCCGTCCTCTCCATCGGAAGCCTGCTCGACGAGCCGTTCACCGGTGTCGTCTACCTCAAGTCGTCCGGAATCACCACCGACTTCCGCACCCTCAAGGGCAAGCGCATCGGCTACGTCGGCGAGTTCGGCAAGATCCAGATCGACGAGCTGACGTCGCACTACGGCATGACGCCCGAGGACTACACGGCCGTGCGATGCGGCATGAACGTGTCGCGCGCCATCATCAACGGCGACATCGACGCCGGCATCGGCCTGGAGAACGTCCAGATGGTCGAGCTCGAGGAGTGGCTCGCCGCGCAGGGCCGCCCCAAGTCCGACGTGCAGATGCTGCGTATTGACGAGCTCGCCGAGTTGGGCTGCTGCTGCTTCTGCACCATCCTGTACATCGGCAACGAGACGTTCCTTCGCGAGCACCCGGCCGAGACCCGCGCGTTCATGCGTGCCGTCAAGCGCGCGACCGACTTTGTCCTCGCGGAGCCCGAGGCGGCGTGGGCTGAGTACGTCGCCTTCAAGCCCGTCATGGGCACCGACCTGAACCGCAAGATCTTCGAGCGCAGCTTCGCGTACTTCTCCAAGGACCTGAAGAACGTGCAGCGCGACTGGGAAAAGGTCACCAAGTACGGCAAGCGCCTTGGCGTCCTGGATGCCAGCTTCAAGCCCAACTACTCCAACGAGTACCTGGAGTGGGTGCTGGAGCCCGAGTCCAACGACCCCGTCGGTGACCAGAAGCGGATTGCCCAGCTGCAGAAGGAGGTTGCTGCTACGGGCGGCTTCCAGAGGCTGCAGGCTGGAGCAGAAGTTCAAGCCTAGAGTCGGCGAGGAGTGAAGATGGCATGCAAGTCTCGGGTTGGAATACCTCGAACATGCCATCCGTCTTTCGAGACGCCAAGTTGACTTGCAAACCTTTCCTTAGGCCGAGCTCGGCGGTGCTTTCAACAAGACCACGTCGTCAAATACAATTGTTTCTGCATTATAAATGAAGTTCCGAACTATGTGTGATATTAAACAATTTAACCAGAAGTTGCGTGTTGCGCCGACAAATTGCCACCGTCCCTACCCGTTTTCCTCAGCCGTAACATGGTGCCCAAATTTTGCCCTGCCAACAATTCTATATCGCTATACATGGTTCATCTGGCCCGAAGACCTTGGAGTCATTATACATTAGCCATCAACCATCACCTCTCCCTCCGCATAACGATAGTCAATTGCCCTTGAAGAGGCTCAAGCGGAGCCTGGACCGGCCCTTCATCTTCTGAGAGCTCTGGTTGCTGACTGGTCGGTCGTCGTAGCTGTGGTCCAGTATCTCGACTCGATGCAGCGGCTCCGGCGACATCAGCCTCTCCGGCTCGCCACGTAGTGCCCTGCCCACGCCCTCGTGCTGGCGTTCATACTCGTCGTGCTTCGACTTTGCTTCGAGATATCGCTCCTCGGCCTGCATTCTCCGGTCCTGCATTATGCGGAGCTCCTCGTCTAGCTGCAGCATCTGTTGCTGGGCCTCTTGCATGAGGTTGTCGTACTCGTGCATCTTCTGCTCGAGCGGCTGGAGCACACTCTTCATAACGCTCGGGCTGTTGAGGCGGTTGATGGAGTTGCCCGACGCGGACAGGCCGCCGGGCGACGGAGGCCCTCTCTGCTGTGACTCGGCCATCAACTGGGCCCGTCGATCATTCGGAGCTGCCCCTGAGCGCTGAGGGGATACAGCAGTGTTCGATGGGCCTTCGGATCCCGAGGGACGGCGCACCGGTTGGCCTGTGTTTCGTCTGTAATGGCCTTGCCTTGGCTGGCCGTTGTTCTGGCCGTTGTTCTGGGGGCCGTCGTCGAGTGGTGGTCCTGGGTACGACGGGGGCTGCTTGTTCAAAGGAGGTCCTTGGCCGTTGCCGTTGGGAGGGCCTCCTGGTGGTTTGCGCTGGGGCGGACCGCCGCGACCTCCCTGCTGACCGACGGGAACGACTCGTTGCTAAACACGACAGAGTTAGACAGAGCTACGTATACGCAGAAGCCAAAACATACCTGATGCGCCTGTGCTTGTGCTAGAATGGCATCCTGCAGGGCAACGTCGGACGCGGGGCTGCGAGGCTCCTCGCCGCCGCTGAAGGCAAAGTCGTCCTGGTCAGGCGAGTGCGCGCGCCTGTAGTGCGAGTTGCCATTCTTGGCCGCCCGGGCAGCCTGGCGAGCTTCGCGAGAGCTGCGCGGGCCTCTCTCGTCGTGGTTCATGAATTGCCCTTGCTGCTGAGGGGGCATCGTATGCGTCGAAGGATAGTGGGGGAGGATAACTGTAGTGGAGTGCACAATCAGGGGAATTTCCTGCGGAAGCGGTGAACCAATGCCAACAAGGAATGGGGAACCGCGATGGAAAAAGATTGAATTGAGAATGGAAAAAATTAGTCGTAGAGACTGGGAAGGGCGCGACGTAGTAACGCGGGCACTTTGTAAAAAAAAGTCGTAGGCTGGAAAAGGGAGCTGGAGAGGTTGGTGCTGGTTTACGTGGTTGGGCCCACTACCCCAGCCGCCGAATTAATCTCCACGTCACCCTGCCGAGAAATCGTCCGCTATAATTGGAACATATTACGAGGTTGGAGGCTACACGCATGTCTGTGAGGTCGATGCAACGTCGAAATCAGGCGTGTTGATTGGGCTTTTGCCTCTCCAACAGCCAAAGAAAAAGTGGTCGTCTGCCGGCATCGCGCGGTTTCCACCCCCCCGAACTTCCGGTGGCTGGCCTCCGGGATGATGCCTCGCCATGGTGGGGAGAGGGCGATTAAAGGGACCACCCCAGATGTCGTGTACCAAATGCCTGGGTTTATTTTCCGCGGCCGGTCTCGATCTCCCATTGATCGGCATTGACGATCCCATGGCGCTCGCTCGACCTTTAAGTTAGCGAGTTTCAGGCCGTCGATTAATGCGAAGGCTGGTTGGTGACGCCGATCGGGCTGGATGGGAATGGCGCCGCGACAGGGTTCTCCAGTGCATGCTGCAAGACACCGCTGGCGTTTCTCACATCGCCGATTCCAATGGCCCGTCAAGTTTGCACCTGGAAAATGCAGGAGAGTCGAGAAGGTGGGCTGCCGCTATGCGATAGGGCTCGTCCAGCTATATAACCGCCGAGGCCTCTGCACAAGCGCGTTAACTTGGTGAAGAGACAGTCGTCTGCCCAATATTACCTCCTCGACATGCGGTGCCATTTTTAGAGCCGGCCGGTCTTGACCTAAATATATATCGGAAACCCGAGCGGCCCGGAGCGCAGTGCCCGGGCCGTGTACCGTACAACTCTGTCGCATGCCTTAGCTTCCGAGGTGAGGAAGACAATTACATCGTACTGCTCAGTTGCATAGCCAGTCCATGGGAATATAATTATTTCGCATTTATTAATTATGCCAATGGGATCTTGAGCAGAGACACGTCAAACAAGAAAATCGGCTTGCCTCCTTACCTACATGCTGCTATTTACAACAAATGCGGCCCTCTCCGGCCAACTCCAGCCCCCATATTAAATATCGCTGTCTCGTCTACGATAGTGGACGATGCGCATTCTCCATCTAAATACCATATCGCAATCATGGGATTTTCGGAAGAATCTGTTCAGCGGTCGGGATGAGCAAGAAATCCGGGGGAAGCTCGTCATTGGGAGGGGCCTGAAGTGAGGATTAGCATCGATTTGTCCACTGCATACCTCAGGATCTTCACCTGAAGTTTCTCTGCCCATTCCCTCACGGCCTCGTAGTTCTTGCACATGTGCCTCGTGTTGAAGTCGGGAAAGGCGATGGGATCATCCTTGCTGGCCCACACTTGGCCAAGGACCGCCGTATCGACGTTACACATGAGTACTTGGCGGATGGTATCGAGGCAATGAGCTGTCTCCATTAGCAATGCCCTTTCAGCGATGGCTCGAATAACTTACTGACGTGCCGCTGGAATACATCGCCCTTATTCTCAAAGGCGTGTTTCCCTATGGCCTTGTAGTGATCGTAATTGAAGTACAATGACTTTCTGACGAGGTTCTGCGTTGCGTTAGCCCCCTGGCTGTCTCGGACCAGGTTGAGGTCATACCAAGCAATGCAGATGGTGCATTCCCTCGACATTTACGAGGAAGCCACCGCCGTACTTTTCGCTTCGCTGCACGAAAGACGCGTCCAGTCCACTGGCCAGTCCGTCCTCATACGAAATGACGCCCGCCCGGTCTAAGTGAGGTAAGCAATTGATCAGCACATCCACACAAGAAACGTACAGTCGACTCCCAAAGCCTCCCAGGCAGCGTCGACTTCCGACGATCCATTTTGCCGGTATATATTCTCGTCCATAAAGTTGCCGTCAAATTCCTTGAACGCGTACTTTATTTCCACGTCGTCGAGTAGAGGAGCTGCCCATGTCAGAATACTCTCCTCGTCTGGGTCATGCCGACTTACACCATTGTGTCGTGTGCGCTGCACAGTTTTGGTCAATATTCAGAAAATAGAAAGAAATCCACGCTCCGCAAAGACCGGAGATGATGATTATCGCGAGCAAAGACACCGTCACCCCCAGGCAATTGCACCATCCGCGTCTTGGTCGCCTGGTGTGGACATAGTTGTAGGACCTGGTAAACTCGCCAGAGTCGCTGCCACGAGAGACATCGTCGTTCAAGGGAGCTTCTTCTTCCTCTTTGTGATGCATGGTGATACGTGTAGACAATACGCAGTGGTGGTGAGATGTAAGATGGCAATTCCGATGTGGTACAACTACGCGCACAAGGAACGGATGAGTGCGACGTGTGAAGGTTCGCACCAAGGACAAGCCTTACACACAGAGCTCAATTGACCGACGCTTCAGGGATGGGATCTCTACGAGTCCCCAATTTGCCACCGCTTTTAGTCACCCGGATGCTCTCGGCACGATTCGGCCGAGAACTCTGAGGCGAGAGTTGGAGAGGCTATCGCGATCGGGTGGATGGAATGAGGTCGAGGCTTTCGATAGCTCGCTCCAAAGCAAGGAAAGTCATCGTGAGCTGAGCAACAAAGTTACTGCCAAGCAGCCGGTCGCCGATACGAAGTCAGAGCGGGCACCAATCGCGTGCATCTTGACAAAGTGAGATGCCCGTCGTGGCAGACATCACGACAATTGCGGCGTCTGCAGCTCGGCGACCAGGATGGATGCTAGGTCAATCGCTTGCTCAGGATGGACAAATAGCGGCCGATCCGAAGGCGCACTCTTCAGCGGACTTCTCAGCTGCTGGCGCTTGTCACAGTTGGGAGGATAGCTTGCTGTTAGATTGATGCTAGACCGAGCCCAGAAGCCACCAGGTCCACCACGAGACCTCTACAACGTGGGGAGTCGCCAACCACTTTGTAAGTCCCGCCACGTCCAAGTTGAGCTTTTGCGAGTCAATAGCCGACGAGCTGAAGCAATTGAGACCGTGCCAAGATGCAATTGCATCATCACCAAGCTTCATTGGCGCCAGCGAAGCAGATCTTCATGCACAGCTTATCTGTGGCTTCAATCCATGAACAAACTCGTCTTCGTAAAGTTATCGCCGGATTAGATCTCAGCATTCCAGATGCCACCATGCTCCCGAGCAAAACATTGCTGACCCCCTATTAGAGTAGATTGACTACCAGATGAAGGTTGGACAAGAAAATTCATCTAGAATTAACTCTACGCCGGCTGGCTCGGCTGCCGGCTGCGGGGATGACAGATCAGAGACTACCTACGGGTGCGTCTCAGCCCAAGTGGGAGCGTAAGCGACTAAGGTGATATGCCACAGGTATCTCGGATGACGTTTATGCAGCTCTTGTCAGAAACAACACGTTATTCACGGCCTAGAACCCCCCCTTTTGAGGCAATTTAGCCTTTGCAGGGCTGGTATAGCTTCACCAGTTGTGTCCTCGGGGCTGTTCGGCAGCAGGATTTGGTCTTGAAAGGTTAGCTCGGTAAAGGGAAGAATTGCCGAAGCCCAAAGAGTACACACCATGTTACGATGAGCATTGATATGATGAAGATGGCAACATGTACTGGCTGGAGCTTGCTCGGCATGATGGTAGTGCTTTCAAGTTAAAACTGGAGCACTCCCCCCAGTTTTCGAGTGCCTCATCTCCATCTTCAGATCAACTACTTCATCCAATCTTCCTCATCCTCAGAACCATTTCAACTTTCTCAATTGAACCTCATCAAATTCAGGACAGCTCTTTGTCAAAATGAAGCTGTCTCTCCTCGCTCTCGCCGCCGCCGCTCCGGCCGTCATTGCCGCCCCTGCCCCCAAGGCCGAGGCTGCCCCAGCCCCAGTCCCAGGCTATGGCAACTATGGGAAATACCCACCACCGGCAGGCGGCTATGGAAGCTACCCACCTCCCAAGGGCGGATACGGAAAATACGGCAAATATGGCAGCTACGGTGCCTACAAGCGCGCTTCCGATTGGGTCAAGTCGTGGTTCTAAACCAGTCACTTGGAGGAACGCTCTGGAAGAGGGACTATAAACCAAGTGATGGCCCTTCAGATTAGGCCTAAGATGGAGGAGTAATAGGGGGAATATTCAAGATTGGCGTTGGGCTGGGATGCACATACACGCTCATTTACGCCATGAAGACAGCGATGGAATCGATATATAATCAAACATAAGCCAACTGGCTAGGAAACAAATAATCACTATCCTTAATTTTATTGATAACACTTGTTTTCAATTTGAACTTGATTGACACTGCATCGCTTCACTGTCAGTACTCAAACCAAACATGGCTTCACTGGCATAGATATCCAAAGACTCACGAGTCGAAAGAATCGAAGTGTGAAATAGTTGGCACTTAAACTGCACTCCGTGCTGGAATTCTGTACCCACAGCTTCGGGGACTTGGCAGTAACCTTAGTCACTTTAGTTGATTTATGTCTAATGTAGCCTTACAACCTTTCTCGTATAGAGCTCTCTTGGCTTACGCCATCCATCATTTATCAAGCCTCAAACCTTGTGGTCCTGATGGCTGCATATTCGAACCAACTAAGTTCACTAGCGGGTTCGTGCGAGTACCGCCTACTTAGCCGACAGCGTTGTGGGTGGCCTTGGATATCCGCTTGTGGCTTCCATTCAAATGTTGGTCCAACGGTTGGGCTGATTATGAAGGGTATGTTGCTACAGGCTGCATACTGGCTAGGAACACAATCAAGTCTGCGGCTTAAATTGCAATGCGAAGTTCGAATCTCTTCCTCTCAATGACATCATCGCATTGTTTATCATCTAGCTTTTACAGTAATGCTACAGTAACAATATACAAAGTGCATAAAGCCACAATATTCGGCACAAGTCGAGACCACCATCAGCGTTATCAACCCCTCACCCTGCATCATCTTTGCCTCACTGCTAGTTACGGCTTCGACATGCAGCTGTGCTAGCACCGTGTCTCGGAATTGACGGCATTTCACAGCCGACCAACTCGCCACGATGCCAGCCATACTTCCCAGGTTGCCCCAGCATGTTTAGCCAACCCTCGCAGTTGGCATCGCACCGAACGACGGGGACCAACACTCGATCCCCGCCGCTTACTTCTCAGCTCTCGACTAGCGTCCGCTCCAACGGATCGGTATATGCCCGCTTGGGTGGGATGTATTCCGCACTCATCGCTCGGCATCTTCCGTCTCGCCTAAATGCAGCCCTACGAGGATTGCGATCCGGGCGGTAGGGAGGGTCCGTGAAGACTGTCTCAAAGTGGAGCTTGTATGGCCACCAAAATGAGGCGATTGCGTTATCAAGAACTAATTGTCTTTAACGCCACGAATCGCGTTCTAGAGACCCAGCACAAAGAAATCAGCCGGCCACCATTCCATCGATCTTTTTTTTACCACGTACATGAATTAGGTTAGTTTCTATGCAGGTACAGCTAGAGGACAATTGGTGTGATGCTTATATGAGTTGATCTTTTAAGGCTATCAACCTGAGGGGTCTCACCAGTACGGAGGGCCCTTTTAAAAGTCTTATCCAAGCGCTAGTAATATTATATCTACTTATTCCTGTCGGTTACCTGAGATATATAAAGCTATTACAGTCTTATTAAATAGCTGCTATAATTTCAGGAGTAATATGCTGCTAATCAGGATATAGCAGTTGCTATATACTATAGCCTGCTATTTTTTAGGGCCTATAGAAATCAGAAAGTATTTAGTATACTTATTATCTAATCTAATAATTAGGACTTACTTCTTATAGATAAGACTTTTAAAAGGGCCCTCCGTAAGTAGGTCGAGAGATGGATTTTCCTTCGTTCGATGACATCGCGAATCGTGCAAAGGAGACAAATAGGTCCTTCAGCTGTGGCTTTAATATGTGTCTACGGTCTGGTGGACCGTTGGCACTCCGACGCAATGTCACGCACCCGGAGATGTAATAGAACGGGATGGCCTTCTACGAATGTCGATCATAAAACAATTGCCATACACTACATCTGTTAAAGTTTCAAGCACCGAAGTCAAGAGGCATTCAAAGATTTTATTTCGGAAAGCCTAAGTAGTCTCAAAGCATTCCTGGCCTTCCCTTATTCATGCAGCGCATAGAACCCAACACCGTAGTGGTCCCGGAACGTCTTACAGTCGAGTCAATCGTCCAACCCCCAGCGAGACACTTCCCATAGTGTACCGTTAGATATCTTCCGTTCCAGCCCACGAAGAATGCGGACATTATCGCTTTCATATGGTCGATTGGGATCGGCAAATACAGCCGCGTCAATATTCCAAATGCGAGTTCGACGGTTGGGCTCCTCAGTCCCGGCGTAGCTCAACTCACAACCACCACCGAAAAGTCCTACGTTGAGTAATTTCCTCTCCTCGATCCCTGGAACCACGGGATAGGTGTTAAGTGCCCTAAGAAGGACGTCTCGGAATTTGGCAGCTTGAGGCACGGGATACTCCATGAACGAGAATACGACCGTCTCTAGCTTCGGCAGACGAGTCAAGCCTTTAAAAACATTCTTATTGAGCGAGATATCAAGTGCCAACCGCCGCAGCTTCGGCCAGCATGTAACCCAGACATCCCGGTCTGGGGCGCTCCGTGGGAACCCCGCAAAGGAAAATCGGTCTCCAATGCTGACGAATTCCTCCAGGTTGACGAGGGCCTCGTATCCTACGCGCAAAAGCTCGAATGTGCGATCATGATCCTGCGCCAGTCGCGGCATGTGTATCACCAAACGCCGCAGAGTTGGCGCGACGCGGAGGAGAAGGCCCTGGACGGCAGTGGCAAATTGAATGTCGTCAAACTGCGGGGACGGCACTGGCAAGTTGTGCGGGGTCCAAGCCACGTCCGGGACATCTGAATCATCCTCATACACGGCCAGGAAGAGACTGGTCGGGCGGCGAGTATCGTCTTGAGGCAGATAGTCCAAAGCGGTTCTGAAGTCGACAAGCCTCTTCAGGGAGTCGATGTGCGAGCAGAATTGCCAGAGGAGCTTCGAAGCAGCGGCGGCCGCGGCGCGACAGACCCGCGTCAAGGCGACAAGGGTCTTGGTTATCTCATGGCTGGGCGGTAGAGTTATGTTTGTGCGCGCCGGGGCCAAGCTCTCAACTATGAGAAGTATTATTTCGGACGGTAGCGAGACCCTAGACGGGTTGGCTGTGTATTCCTGCTCCATTTCGGTGGTTGGTGAAGGAAGTGGAGATTTTATTGAATCGGCGAGCGCCCGCAAACACACCAAATTACCTAAGATTTAAGCTCGTTCGCGAGTTGCACCATTGCCGTATCCTACCAGTTTCTATTGAGGCGAACTCGCTTTGGATCGAAATTGAAAATCGAGAGTATAAGGTAAGGAGTTCAAAGATAATTCGGCCATCTTTTCCATCGCCAACAAACTAATGGTCCGGTGACAACTGAATATACACCGTAGATATTGAAATACAAGTGGTTACTAAGTGTGGGGTTATCCACTCCGGAGTATTAAGAGGATCGAGGGAATCAATTTGATATGCTTAATACCTTTTCCTTATTTCACCCTAATAAAGTGTTTGCATTCAAGACTTCTTAGGCTAGCTATTGTTCCTTATTTTGTCTTTAGGGACTATGGCTAAGTTCTGGTATGTCTCAATGTACTTCTTTTTAGCCAAACTTTTGCAGATTCTAAATACTCACCAGTTATCAGATGCTATATTCTTACCTGGAGTTGACAGCTTTGTTAGATAGGAGTTGAGACGGAATTGAAACCTAATTACGCCAAGGGGTAGACACCAATCCTTTGACAAGCAAAAAGTGCTGCGAGGAGTGCCTTAGGAAGGGCTAAAGGTATGCGATAGTTCCAGTTGAATTAATTAACCTCCTCTACCATATGATACATATGGATAAATTTAGTATCGAATTCTGCATCTTTATTTGCTGAAAGCCATACCCCCATGTTCAAAAAATCCGGGTGTTGCCTGTAGCTTCCAATCAACTCGTCCGTATCTTATCCATTGTATGCGGCACTGCCTGCAACGTAATGCCTATGCAACGCACATTCACCCGAGCCGCAAGTGGTTTTAAATGCGGCTAAAATCCCAAAGTCGCCTCGTTCAAGAAGCAGAATTCGGACTGTACATGAGCCCACTTTGACTCCATTTTCGCCATTTGCCTCCAATATGGGATGCAATCAGGACTAAGATTAGCAACTAAACATTTGAAGCGAGCATCCCATCCCTGGTTATTTCCTTCCCAATTTGTTCCTGGTGTCTCTTGGAGGATCTTTATTGCGAACGCGTACCCCGCAGGCACCAAACCATACTCCATCCTCCATCCTCCATCGTGCAGATTTCCTTCCTTGGGGTTTAGACCTTGGAGTGAATTATAGAATCTAATTGAGTCATCCAACTGGCAATGACAGAGTCAGAACGATTTCGCTGAACACAGTAGGAGCTGACCTAGACTCTTAGGTCAAGCTAGAGGTGTAGCTAGACTACGTAGTGCTCATTTCTATTAGAGAAAGGACCTGACTGAGTCGAGGGGTTCACACAACCTGGGTTTTACTTCTTGGTTAACCGTCAAAAAGCGAGAAGATCAAAAGTTTCTCATGATAGCAATTGTCATAAAAAAAAAAAACCACGAGACAAAATTTGGGGAGCTATGGTATCTAGTACAACATTTTGGGCACCTATCCTCCTCAACCAAATCACACAAACGCTCGAAGAGCCGTAGTCAAAGTCCCCAGACTCGCCTCTAAGCTAGACCATGGATCTACCAGGACCCTTTTCTGCCTTCGACTAGCAACCGTCAGACCGTTATGCGAACTGGCCTCCATATCGTGAATCGTAAACTCGTCCAAGACCCAAAACCTTGTTTTGGCGTCGTCCAACAGACGTTGAGATAAGACTGGGCTGGTGATCTTGGCCAGTCCCCAAGAGCCACCATTGATGCGAACAACACCACTGGATGTTCCTTAATTGTTTAAGGGCAACCGCTTGGTGTGAGTTTGCTCAGCAAACTACTTTACTTCACCTCGGGCTCCGTCGCCTTGGGCTCAACCTCAGCAGGCTTCTCAACTTCGATAGGGGCCTCAGTGTTTTCACTCTCGGTCGGCTTCTCAACCTTCACAAATTCCTCAGGTGCAACTTCAGCGGCCTCGACAGTCTCCGCGGCCAGAGGTTCAACGCCGGCAGCTTTCTCAATCTCCTTGGCCGCCTCGGGCTCAGTCTCCTTAGGAGCCGCCGGCTCAATAATCTTCTCAGGAGCGTCGGGCTCACTCTCCTTAGCCGCCTCGGGTTCGACAACTTCAACGGTTTTGTTACTTTCCTTAGTCACCTCCGGTTCGACGACGGCAGCTTTGTCACTCTCCTTCGGAGCCTCGGGTTCGACTTCGGCAGCCTCCTCACTATCCTTCGGAGCCTCGGGTTCGACTTCGGCAGCCTCCTCACTATCCTTCGGGGCTTCGGGCTTGATTTCGGCAACCTCAACGGTCGCCTCCGCTGGGGGTTTAATTTCGACGGCCTTGTCACTCTCCTCGTCACTCTCCTTCGGAGCCTCGGGTTCGACTTCGGCGGCCTCGACAACAGCTTCAGTTGGCGTATCAACAATAGCCTCTACCGGTGCCTTATCCTCCTCTGCAGGAGGTGCGGCTTCCGCAGACTTGTCGTCCTCTGAGGCGGATGTTGCGTCGGTGGACTTGTCCTCTTCTGCAGATGGTGCGGCTTCGGCAGGCTTATCCTCCTCCTCTGCAGGGGGTGTTGCCTCAACAGGCTTATCCTCCTCTTCTGCAGGAGGTGCGGCTTCAGCGGGCTCCTCAACAGGCGTATCGACGACAGCTTCAGCCGGTGTCTCGGCCTCGGCCTCCTCGGGGGCCTCCTTCAGTTGGCTGATGGTCTCATTGGCAGCGGCAAGTTGCTTCTCCAAAGTCTCAATCTCGCCGGCCGCTTCTGAGAGGTGTTTCAAGAGATCGTGAACAGTCTTGGCTTCAGACTTGAACTTGGCCAAGAGAGCGATTGCTTCTTTGACGGCATCTCCGTATTTCTCGACTGAACCGACGTCTGCGAAGCTTTATTAGCAGGTGAAGGGCATGGGAAGAGGAAGCAGGCTTACCGGACTCTTGGACATCCCATGAATCATCGAACCACGCCATGTTGAAAGTGGAAGTGGGGAGGGAAAGAATGTAGCGGCAGGGGGGAGGATGGACGAGAGTTGATTCAAGTGTTGTTGTTGTTGTGGAGGCTGGAGTTGGAGTGATGGATAGTTCTCATGCTCAAGACGGAGGATATAGCAGGTCTTATATATGCAAGTACATGATGGATCAACGACATTCTTGACCGAGTGACCCCCACCGACTCACAACTGCCTGCTTCCGAGCACGCCACACTGGCGTCCCGGGGAGCAAGCTTCCCCTCTCGCGGTCCCTCGGCCTGGCCGCCACAACTGGAAATTCGGTGTTGAACCTATAAGCGGCTGCTGCGTGGACTCTGCGCGCGCAAGCGCAACCAATCGAGCTCTTCCACGAGCTCTAGGGAAAGCACACCACGGATGACGGTTGACACATATGCCACTCAGCAGGGAAGCCAAGCGTTGGGGTCGTTGAGCGCCAATGCAGTGCGTGACAGGTCATTCGACAGCCTGAGGAGCGACCGCTTTCTTGCAGCGAACAGGCGACCCCTGCAGCATGCACTCTCGCGCCCGGTTGAATTCTTGGCTAGGGATCGTCCGAGCTCAGACGTCACAGGACCCTGGCTTGAGGAGTTGGCTTCATATAGCGAATGGAAACTTCAGGGATAAAGACGTAGAGCTCTCATAGGATGATTGTCCAGCGGCTCGCTTCGATTGTTTGTTTGTTTGTTTATTTACTTGTCTTCAGTGGCTACGGAGTATTTGCTGCTCCGTTCATCTCATCAACAAACAGAGAAATGCGAGAATAAGACGTCGGATCATAACCCTCCGCTCTCCGCTTCAGACATAGCCACTAACTCAAGGTTTTGGTACACATGAGCAGATCAGCCCAGTCTTTTCCTGGGGTCGGCATGCACTAAGTTACAGTGGCTGGGGTACTACGCTACAGCGACTAGGGTGCTACTCTACAGTGGCTGGGGTTCTAAGCGGAACTATCGATGCACTGGGACTGTTGGCACCACCCGCTAGGATTGATCCGGAATCATCCGCTGCTACTCGACTCTAGCCCCTGCCACTGTCACTGTCACGCGTACGAGCGCTGCAGACACTATTCTTGCAGAAATTGTCTCATCCGCTACAGCCCACAGTCGAGTGAGGCTGTAACAACAGCCAACAACAGCCCATGGTGGGGGATTCACATAGCGGGGAATTTGTTGTACTTACACTCCCCGTCTCAAGCCAATACTGTGCAACTTACCCACAACCTCACCAATATCTTGCAAGAGAGCTCACGTAGCAAAGCCCAGAACTCTTGCAAACGATCAGCAAATATCCCCTCAACCATGCTCCTGCCTAGTTTGACGAGCCGCGTCCCCCAGCGTGATTCACAACCTAGTTAGCCCCGGATAAATACCCCAGGTTCGTGACCGTTCATCACTATTCGAGCGCGCGCTTGCCGTGAGTGGCACACCGCCTTTCGTTTCCCCAAAAACCAACAAAAAGTAGTATCCCGACTTTGGGCCAATCTGACCCACCAGCTCAGTCGAGTCCTCGGACATCCGGGTTCGAACCACGCGATCCATTGCTAGGCGGCCGGCCGCGTCATAGATGTTCGCAGAAAGTTCCGTATACTTTTGCCGGCCTGAGTTGCTGTACCAACCCTGAGCGGCCCAGTAAACAATTTACATCGGTTGTTTAACAAAGGCGAGGGTACGGACTCTCAACTTTCTATTAGCACCGCGCCGGGAAAATGAAGGAACGAAACCGGATTTAGAATGAACTTGATTGTTGATATGAATAATAATCATAGACGCTGGCTACTATTTTAACATGCCCAATCTATTAATATAAATTGATTTCAATCCCATTTACCGTGTGAGGTGGTGTGTGTCGTTCCAAATAAGTCAAAGTTGGGAAGAAGGCATCCTCATCGTTTAGATCCTAATTTCTGGTCCATATTTTGTATCAGAAATAGAGCCGAGACACGTACATTAAAGATATATGTTATTCACAAAAGCTAGTTTTCTACTCTAAGTTTGTTCATATACACCCTTAATTAAAGTGGTATTAATTAGAACCACGGGTGAGAATAGAAATTGAGAATAGAAATCGCCCAAGTCGAGGCTTGGATTTATATTTCAGCAATATTATCACCACTTAATTCATGGCTGGGTAGCCCTGTATGATCTGGCTCCTGTTCTGCAAATTGAACCCTTCGACCAACAGGCCGGTATCTTCTACCACAGCATCTCTAAAGCCGGCCGCTGTGGATCTAAAGGACGGCGTTGGGTTACCATCTTTGCATACCTGCTTTATGCCAGGCCTTTTCAAAACTGCTATTCTTGACAAAGGCGACTGTATCCAAGTGCGTCTACCGTCCATATTTGGGGTTGCCTTTTTCATCTGAAATTACGTCGTTGAAGGTCACCGCTCTAACCGAGGGTTGCTGTAGCCGTTCATTTGATCGTTGTATCAAATATTTGAAGGTTATGGTTAAGGCCATCCTAGGAGAGCTGATTGGCAGCGGAACCAGTTAGGTTCGGCAAGCCCCTTCGTTTAGTAAGATGAGAACGCTTATTGAATCTTCCAACTATCGTGGTTTGCTGTTACCAAGAAAACTTTTGTCTATCCCGGCATAACAGTTTTGGAATAATCCTCGCCCGTGGTTATAATGAACGTGTTTTCCGTCACCCCGTCGACAAGTGGTCTAGACCTCAGCTGTTACCCAAGGGGGACCTGGAGTTACAACTGGCCCCTGCGTGCTAGCCCGTCAATGGTAGATAGCTCAAATGTAGCTGTAGTATAAATGATTGATGACTTTAACGAAGAATTTGATAAGACGCAGTGAGGCAGGCCTTGTGCCGTAGCCATTAGGAAGTGCCGCAGTGCTTTTGGAAAGAGGATGGGATAAACTATCATGTTCAAGGGGGGAACGCTTGCCCGTTACTCAGGTACATCTTATTATCAGGTTTGTCCCCTGCACTTCGATCAACACGTCTGCTAACTAACAATCAACGTGATGCATAGAAAATTCCACGAAGAAGAACAAGTCCGCTGATGCCTTGAGCACAGCGCGGAACTTATGTTTCACTCAATTAGAGGCAATCACGACATCCCAAGTTTTGCGGGAAGGATAGCCTCGGTTAGGTCTCTGAAATTGTTAACAGAGTTTAGAGCTGACTAAAATAAAATAAATAAGTAAAAATAAAATAAAATATATAAGTAAAAATAAAAATAAAATAAAATTTATAAATAAATAAATAAATTGGACCACCGCATCGGAAGCCGGAGGACACCGGAGCGGCGAGAAACCGCACCGACATCGAAACGGTAACAAGAAGATAGGGGCCGCAGCCCCGGCCGCTGCGGCCCCGCGAGAAAGCCCCCACCGGCACCCCTACGACCCGGGGGTCCGGAGCCGAAAGATGGGCAATTGCAAGACTTGCAACCTGGACAAGGCTGGCGACGCAGTCACCAGTACAGACCAGAAGACAACACGCAGCCCCTTGGGATAGCTGAGCGAAATCGCAGAGAGGTTTTTATCCTGTAGTTTACTGGCTAGAAGGTTTTTCCTTGTTGATTAAATTAGCAGGAGTTTTATAAGCCTAGATATAGGTAAAATAGCGTATACGAAATAAATAAATATATAAATAAATACACAAATAAATTTAATTATTAATAAGTAATATTATATTTATATTTTATATTTTAAAAAAATATTAAGCTGGGATACAATTGGAATTCCTTTTAAGGAGAAAGAATTTATATTAATTATATCAGTAGTAAAAGACTACTATATGAACAGCAATACTCTAAAATCCTAGAATAATACCTACATAGAGGTATACATCTACCACTCCTCACCATCAACCTGTTTCTCTACGCGCAATTTCTGACCAAGAAGAAGAAGGCACATGATATTAGATTTCTCTTGAAGCTATCAAGTGAACAAACTTAAGTCCTGGTCTGCAGCAAGTATATATCAAGGGCTGTGCGACGCGGCAATCCACTGACCTTACTGGCTTAAAGGGAACAACGATTATATATGATGTCTTCGAGCAATGCGAAACCATTTCCTCCTCAGCTCCTTAGTGGAAGATATAGTCCTCGGATCCCTCGTTGAAATTATGACATCTCTCCACTTGCACCGATTGCTTGGTGCCTGGGATGTCGATCTCACGCTATCCCCCGGTGGATTTAGAGCTGACCGTTTTAGCTGCCTGAAATTAATTTCGGTCGCCGTGATCATTCAACGCACCAAAATGCAACGTCCGTCTGCGCATTATCATTGATTCTGATAACGAGACGGATACTGGTTATGCGTTTCTTCGAATGGGTCGTTGGCCTCACCGTCGGCATCGCCAATGTGTCTCTCACCAGCGCCGACTACGTGCCCATCAATGCGAGCGCCGTGCTCGACGTGCCGCACACAGTCACGGCCGGCGAGGACACTCTCGTGCACTTGAACTTCTCCAACAGCGCCAAGGCAGGGTATGAGCACCAATATATGGAGATTTATGCTTGGGCGTGGACGCAAAAGGAGGTGAAGGATGACTGGTCGTCTACGCAGCCTGTACTGTACTGTGAGTGATCTCCGTGTTACTTCATCCGTGAATCAATCCCGAGCCTCTCAATATAGCGCCAGGCTTCACACAAACGTCAAACTAATCCTTCATAGGCCTTCTCGACCCATGTGTTGCAACAAACCTAACCACCATCTCCCTCAACGTCCCTGCCGACGCTCTCCCAGACGCGCGCATGGCAGTCTCGTACGCTCTGTTCCACTCAGACAAGGTCGGCTTCAGCACTTGGGGCGACCAGTCTACCGACTTTAACCTGACCGGCGGCAAGGCCACACTTTCTGACTGGGAGGTTAAGAACGGTTGGGGAGCCGTGAGCCATTGGACGACTCGCCTCCCCTGCACATCCGTCGACTGCGCAAGGGCATGCATCGAGGAGCACCTGGATCTGAACGAGTATTACTACAACCAGGGCAGCCGAAAGACGGCATTTGAGGCCTGTGTGGAGGGTTGCCCCGGTTTGCTAGCCATGGGCGACTATTCGAGTAGAACGTGTACCGTGGAGAACGCGACCAAGACATCATCTGAGGAAAATGAGTCTGCCACCGCCAGTTCATCGTCGGACGCGGCGTCGTCATCAGTTGACTCCTCTGGACCGCGGGCAGCGGGCTCTGATCTGGTTTCAATTGTGTGGGTAGCAATGGCAATAGCACTGTGTACACTTTTGTAATAGGTGTATTTATTTAATGTTTCCATGTGTACATACTCGCCCGATTATTAAAGACGACTCTGTGGCTTTTCCTCACGGTCTAGGAAATCATTTATCATCTTGGAAAACTCCTGGGCGTACTGAAACAGAAACCCATGCCCGCAGTTTGGAAACAGATGCAGCTGGGCATTAGCCTTGTTCAGTTTCTTCCACATGAGATAGCTGTTCTCAGACGGTAACAGCAGATCTTCGGCTCCTGAGAGGTGTCAGCTTCTCGATTCACACTCTGTCATGAATACATACCATTAGCAATCAGGACAGGCATACGAAGCTGGTCGAGTCGGTCGTAAGACGCTTCTTTGGCTTGTTTCGCACCCATAAACTTGGCAAACGCAACAGCTTGGCGGTGGGCATTGGCTGCGTCGACATTCCCAATTCGATTGGGACGCGCGGCCATCATTCTCTTCCACGATGCCTCACCCGCTTCCCAGTTACCGTCTGAAGTGTTGAAGAGCCCATGAATCCATGCATCCTTGTGTTCTTGTTCCGTTGCAGCGGCCTTGAGGGCATTGAACGGCCCAATCGGCGCCGAAACTACACCCTCTCCGTTGCTTGGGGTCGTCCCGCAGAGAATCAGACGTCGGGTCAGATCCGGTGCATTGAGTGCTACGAGCTGGGCGACACACCCTCCCATGGAGAAGCCCATGATATCAGCTTTCTTGACGCCTAGCGCCTGCAGGACATTGACGTAGTACTGCGCCCAGGCCGTCAAGCTCTTGGGAACCTCGCCTTCAGATCGTCCGACGCCCGCATTGTCAATTAGTATCACCGGACGCTTTGCGGCGAGCGGATTGATCAACGCCGGATCCCAATGGTCCATTGTCCCCCTGCAAAGGTTAGCATTGGTGATATCTCTAGCGCAGTGGTGCCGACCTGAACCCCACGAGAAGCACCAGAGGTACACCATGGCTCGGGCCGAGGTGTCGGTATGCAAACTTGATGCCGTCTACCGTGACGAATTGGTCTTTCGCAGTCTCATATGTTGCCATGGCTGAATATCTTTTACTGTTGTAAGTTGGAGATTCCGTGATGTGCCTGAGCGGCGAACTCTACAATGCCAGGAACTATGCCGAGGTTCGCGGCTGTAAGAGGGGAACGGGAACGTCAGGTGATTGGCGACCCTGCCACCATGTTTTACTTTCATTTGGTGTCACAATTGCACGACTGAAGTAAATGTTGAAGAGAAGAATGCTGACTTAAACTCCATTATTTAATTATACCAACCGCTGTTTAATTACCAGTCCTAGGATATAGCCAGTGGATGTTAGCCTCTCAGCGCGCACGACAAGCCACAGGTGTAACGTTGACGCAGTGAGAGATCAACATATCTGCTGAGCATTTCCACAGGCTATCTGAACTTGTCCTCTATACTATCCGCTTCCCTCAGTGAACAAACCGGAAATCCAGCCGTTGCTGACCCTCATCAGTGGTATGCACAGAATAGTCGATCTGCTCCTGCTTGGTCATGGCATTCCACTTGCGATCGCGCGACTTGTTTCGCCAGATGTAAAACGCCTTGACGAGGTAGAATAGCACAATATTGAAGGACGCGATGGCGAGCAGGATCTTGTTGCCTCGGCGATACAGTGGCGCATCATCCTGGCGGTAAATATTGGACGCGACAATGTTACCCGACTGCACAAACATGTTGTAGAGTGCAGCGCTGATGGCTCTGGTTCGCACACTATTGCTGTTCTTGGCGTTCCAGCCGACCAGGATGGCGTGGCAGTACGGGTAACTGAGGAGGCCGGTGATGAGGGCGTAGCGCACCCAGGGCGAGATGGAAGCAGGGAGAACCACGAGTGCGACAAGCCAGGGGAAGATCCAGATGTTAGACATGGACGCCAAAATGGAGCGTTCCTTGAACTTCTCCGACAACCAGGTGATGATGAGCAGGTTGACGGCGTAGAGGAACTGCGAGGGAATGGCAAGCAAATTGGCGTGGAAGACGGAAAAGCCAATCTGCCTCAAGATGTAGGAGAGATACGTGCTCAACGGGGACGGGGGGATATAAGCCAGAAGACCGATGAGGTACAGCGGCCACTGCTCCCAATCCTTGACGGCCTTCCACAGCTTCGGGAGGTTCACAGCTTCCCTTGGAGGAGTTAGTCATGTCATGCAATGGCAGGGCGGATATTTTACCTGTTGTTCATGTCGCCCTTGCTGGGGTCGTCACGAAGGAGTCTGTTGACCATGATGAGCTCCTCGCGCTCGTTGAACCATCCATCTTTGCCGCGGAGCAGCCCCTTGGTCTGGCAGGGACCTGGGGGCATGAGGAACCACGAAAAGACACCGACAATGAAGGTGACGATGGCCTCAAGGAGGAACAGCCATCGCCAGCCACCCCAGCCGAGAATGCCTCGCATCTGCAGTATACCCGCCGCAAGCAGAGATCCGACAATGTTGCAGGTGCTCAGAGCAGTCCAGAAGAAGGCGAGTCTGACGGGCAGCTCGTTCGACTTGTAGAAGTAGGTGAGCCAGAGGACAATATCACTAGTTCGTTGTTAGCATGTCGCCGTATTGCCAAAGCAGTGCACATACGGAATGAATCCTCCCATGAGAAGCCCCAGCAGGGCCTTGACTGCATAGAACCCAGCCCTGCTCTGGAGCGCGGCCTGGGAGCCGGCAACAATAGACCAACAGCAGATGAGGAACGGAATCCATCTATCGGCGCCAAGCTTCTTGCTAATCAAGCCACTGGGAAGCTCTGCGGAGAGAAACGTAACGAGGAAGATCTAGCCGGTGTTAGTCAGAGACTTGGGCACAGCAACAAACTGGGCCACTAACCGTCTGGCCGTAGTTGAAGTCGTTGGTGTCCATGCCAAGCTCGGGCAGCTATCCACGTGTTAGTCAGTGGAGTATTATTTGACGTAATGAGACTTGCCATGTTGTCGGAAATGGCGCGGTTGATGTTTCGACGGTGGAAATCGAGAGCGAGGAACATGACCCACGCCCAGAGCGTGATGCGCCAGTCGATCTGTGGCGGCGGGACGCCGTTCCGTTAGCAATAGCGCCATGTTTAATTGACGGGTATGCACACCTTCTTCACCAGGCGGGCCTCCTCTTCGGGGCTCCATGTAAAGGAAGGGTCGAAGCGATGGCGGTTCTCGTACTGAGCCTTCTCGTAGACCTGGCGCCAGTGGTCGGCAACCTTGGCATCGGAGAAGACATGGTCGCCAGCAGAGGAGGCCGTGTCGTTGCCGCTGTCATAGTTGGTAGCTGAGGACTGTTCCTGGACGAAGACCTCCTTGGTGTCCGGGTTGGGACTGTCTTTGGTCGCCATAGTCGGGTCCGCGGAGATGGAGCAATGAGACGACGATGCCGCGGAGATGGAACTGCAGGCTATGAGAACTAGAGTGCATGGGACATACAAACAGGATGTATGGCCTGCATTATAAATACCCAAAGCATAGACTTTTCGTCCACGGCCTCGAAGATTTCTACGCCAGCCCAGGGGCGAACGACTTCCTTGGCTGCTCAGTGGGGGACATAATGTCGCGATGCGCTCTCGATATCACCTCAAGCTCGGCAACTCCAGACTCGACGCTCTATCATGGTGCCATAGAGCCCAGACTCTCCAAGATCCCAGCCCCAAGTCGATCCCAGAGGGAAAATGCCCAGCGAGCACGGAACTCGATCGAGCCCGTTCACACCGGGCCCTCGCCGACAGGCCAATGGCGGAGAGGGGATAGTGTTGCATCAGCCCCGAACGAGCGGTTTCCACATAGGCGAACAATGGATCGGCCTCTATTGGTGAAACCCGCCGCGTGGAGGGCCCCAGCTAACATGACCGAACATGACGGGTGTTTGCCCGGAAGAGGAGGATGGCGTGCCAGCTAGTAGAAGGGCCAAGTCCAATCGCCGGGAGCTCCGACCGATATCCCGCGGGATGCATTATGCTTGTTCTAGGGCGGTGTATTATGCCCTATTCGGGTAATCTGCTTGGGTGTTGTGGCCGAGATATCAAGTGTGGTCGAGACTGAGGGAGTCGCAACGATATAAGTATCTCGGACCGACCGTGTAAGTCATATCAAACGCTTTCCGCTCTGTAAACTTCCAGAAACTCGTCAGGAAGCCCAGCCACGTCTCGATATCGGCTTATCTCAAATCAAGAGGGTTCTCGTATTCCCCGACTGCCGACATACCCAGCGTCGCATAGTCGCATTGCGTGACTCGGCCCTTGATATTGCGACACCAACGCTGTGCGGGCGTCTTCAACTCGAGCACGTCGCGATGGCGCAATCCGCACAGGTCCACTTTACTGCACCGTCCTATCCTTTCAGGGCACCGATGGGCAATCCTTGGAAACCAGAAATGCGATGCCGCTGCGACAGTCGCATTCGCTGCAATTGCGTCATTTGGCCGGCGATGTCGACTGCCTCCCGGGCCTCGATGATCAGCGGTCACGGCCAACGCAATGGATGCGACATTTGCGCAATCCCTGCGTGTGCTGCGCCCTCCAGCTGCCGAGAGGGCGTTTCGTTTCATTATATTGCTTTTGAAGCATTCACGACGAATAAGCGCCAAGATTTGCGAGTATCCCGCCGGTATCTGACTTCCCCGCGCCGAATGTTGACTGGACACCCATTTGTATCATGACGATGCCGACGCCCGAGATGAGCAATGCGTATATAAAGGCTCTCTGGTGCTCGGGAGGGAGGGTTAGTGAGACATCTGCGTCTTATCAGCTCAAGCCCAACTGCAAGCCTCGGAACATCCAGACTCTTCACCATGGCGCCTTCAGCAACCGAGACCGTGACCAACCTGGCCGTAGACGCCTCCAAGTTGAAGCTCTACGCCGGCGGCGTCGAGAGCGCCTACAAGGAACTGGCGCCCGTCGCCTACTCCAAGGATCTGGAGGAGGTGGGCACTGACGAGTACGCCGCGGCCAAGGTTAGTTGCATATCGACAACACCACACACTCTGGCCGCCACTAACAACCCTAGTATCCCAACTACCTCCCTACCTGGAACAAGGACCAGACCTACCCTCCGCTGCAGCCCTTTGAGCACCACGACCGCGGCAAGAATGCCGACCCAGCTTTCCCCAACATCCTCACCAAGGACGCCAAGGTCTCGCACCTAACACCCACTATCGGCACCGAGATCGAGGGCGTGCAGCTCAGCCAGCTCAGCGACGCCGGCAAGGACGAGCTCGCGCTGTACGTGGCCCAGCGCAAGGTCGTGGCCTTCCGCAACCAGGACTTTGCCGACCTGCCCATCTCCGAGGCCCTCGCGTTCGGCGGCTACTTCGGCCGCCACCACATCCACCCGACCTCCGGCTCGCCGGCCGGCCACCCGGAGATCCACCTGGTGCACCGCGGCGCCGGCGACAAGTCCCACGAGACCTTCTTCCAGAACCGCGTGAGCTCCGTGGCCTGGCACTCCGACGTCACCTACGAGCAGCAGCCGCCCGGCACCACCTTCTTGTATATCCTCGACAACCCCGAGACGGGCGGCGACACGCTCTTCGCCAACACCGCAGAAGCCTACAACCGTCTATCTCCCTCGTTCCAGAGGATCCTGCATGGTCTCAAGGCCACCCACTCGGGCATTGAGCAGATCAACGCCAGCGTCAAGAAGGGCAGTGTCAAGCGTCGAGAGCCCACCGTCACCGAGCATCCCATCGTGCGAACACACCCCGTCACCGGCGAGAAGTCTCTCTTCATCAACCCTCAATGTAAGTCGATACCGTCATAGATCCGGTGCAGGTCTAACCTTCACAGTCACCCGCAGCATTGTCGGTCTCAAAAAGGAAGAGTCTGACACCATCCTCAACTTTCTCTACGAGCACATCGCTTGGGGCGCAGACTTCCACGCTCGCGTCAAGTGGCAGGAGGGAACTGTCGTTGTCTGGGATAACCGAGTTGTCCAGCACACTGCCATTGTGGACTGGAAGTCGGGCCAGCGAAGGCATCTTGCCCGCATTACGCCGCAAGCAGAGCGCCCTTATGAGACTCCTTTTGAGGGTTAGGGGTTGAAGAAGTGAAATGAATACTTGTACATGATGACGTCCACGGGCAATAAATGGCCCAGCCAGTAATAAAAACAAAACTCGAGCAAAGATCATACCTGTCAAGTGCCTATCAGTGCCTGTATACAAAGTTAAGGAGTTGGCTTAAGCATAACCCACAACTCCACTTGGTCATTGAGGGGCAACGGGAGGTCGTGGACCAGGAGTTCTGGGACATCGGCGAGTTAAAACTCGCTCGACGAAACGTGTTTAGGTTATTCTGTTCAATGCTTCATCCTAGAAGTCCAATACCCATCTAGTACTGACCCGCCAATAAGGCCAAGAGCTAGGACAACCACTCTAACGCCATCTATGCTTCCCAAACGCCAATCTTCTACATCCAAAGTATATACCGCCTTCTAATATTCCAACTCTTATAAACAGCCTACTGGCCTCCGGCCCCTTCGCAAAGTCATATGATGTTGTTCCAAAATTGGTGCCCCAACATGCTAACCAACACTCCCGTGCCATATCGGCTGGTGTCCATCTCGCTCTTCCAAACCTCCCAGCCGAGCCAGCAAACAGCCGCAAGTTCGATGACGCTAAGAACAGAACCCACGTATGTTGCGGTGCTAGGGGCTTCTTCCTCTTTCGTCTCTTGGCTCGTCTCGCCTGTGACGCGGAGAGCGATTGTCCCGGCGGCAGAGAGAACCGCTAGTTGCAGTTCCCTGCCGAAAGGAACAGACACGACGACAGTCAGCAGCCACAGGGCTAGGAGGCAGGCAAGAATGATTAATTCAACCCCGAGAGGACTTTGGATTTGAAAGTCGGAATGTTGACGTGCGGGTGTCCATCTTGGGGCTCTGGTTGTTGAGGCAGGCTGGGGATTCTCTTGGCTCAAGCTGAAGCTCTGGTTCAATAAATCGGCCAGTGAATTGGCCTCGTCATTCTCTGTGGCCGGTGCAAAGAAGCTAGGTTGCTTGAAAGCGACATTAGCTGCATCCTCCTTCTTCGCCTCTGTCTGTGTCCTGTCACTAGCTCGGAAGAAAACGCTCTCTTCTTCAACCGGCTTACTCCTCAATATGGGCGCATTTGGGTTCCGCAGGCGCTGGGCTGGGTTTGTCGGTGCAGGGGGGACTTTGTACCAAAACGGGCTGCCTTCAGGTTTCAGCGGCGCCGCTCCAAAAGCTCTCGTCGGTCCGGGCATGTCGCGAAAGGCACGATGAGGGGACTCATGTGATTGGGTGGGAGTCCAGTCCATTTCGTCAGAGTATTGGGGTTCCTGGGTTCTTCGAGGGGTTTGCGAGATGCCTAAGGAGCCCAGTCCAGTAAGCGGGCTTTCCCGTGTCTGAATAGGATTGTTGCGCGGATACGGCTGTGGTAGGGAATTCATCAGAGGGCGGTTGAACGTGTCTTGTTGTGGTGGCGCGGCTGGCTCATCGAGGGCCTCATTCAGGAGATCCGAAAACGTCTTCGGTTCCTCCCTCCTCCGCTCCGGCTTTGCCTTTGTCTTGAACTGCTTCGGCGACACAGTGGTGCTATGGGTTCCAAACAACGGCGTGGTGTCGATACGGATAGATCTCTGGGCCAAGATGTGAATCTAAAATGTCAGTACCTCTCCAGCAACACTCTGTAGTGAACTTACCAAATTCATGACAATGGCCATGACCATGTGCGCGCTCAACTGAGCACCCCTTGACTGGGCCTTGCCACCATCCATCTCGAGGACACGACGAAACAGGAACCGGAAGAAGACTATGAGACCTTGGAACGAATACCACTGCGTAAAGCCCAGAAGATGCCTGGTGAAGCCGCGGCTGACTTGCACAAACTTGGGGTTCCACCATGCGGACAGGATGCTTGCCATGAGCGCTCCGTTGATCAGGGTATCGGCCGGTGGGAGGAATGCAACAACCCAAACCAGACAGATTGTCGCCAATGTAGGCCAGCTCATGTCATCCGGATCGTACATCCCTTCGTCTCGGCGCTCCAGCACGTTAGAGATGACTCTCAAATGCCACAGCATCTGGAAGACAAGCCCTCCCCACCACAGTCCTCGTCCCAGGCTGTTTGCCCAGTCCAGGGTCGTTGTTTTTCCAGAGCCATCTCTCCTTCCGCGACTCCTTTCCATCATCCGTCGTAGGTGGTCCGTCTTGGCCGTGTACCCCGCCTGGACGATCCGGCCTTCAACCCGCTCGGCGCACTCATCGCACACCTGTGGGTAGCGCTCCTCGACGCCCTTGCGGAAGCGGTAGTAGTTGCGTTCGAGTTCGGGATAGTCTGGGTGAGACGGGTCGTCTGGGAGATACTGAGCGAGGGATAATGTAAAGAGGCGCTGGTTCTTGAGGCATGTTGCACAGAAGATGCTGTCTTGGGATGCCGCCGGAGAGGATGCTCGAGGGGCCGCATAGAGCGTCGCTGGGGCTTCGCGTTCGGTCGCTACAGGAGGATCGGTGATGTCGCCATTCTATCATTGAGTCAGTTGTGTGTAGTATTGTGTCAAGGGGTTGTGTCCTGACCTCGTCCAGGTAGTTTCTTGCATCGCAATACAAACAGAGAAAGTCATGAGTGACGCCATCAAACTTAGTGTTGGACCGCTTGCCGCAGTAGAAGCAGGTCAGATATCTCGTCCCTCGGAGGCGCGGCATGATGCCTTCATCATCAGAAGGTGAGGAAGAGTGGGAAATAAAGAAAAGACGCGTCAACGCCAGTCAAGAGCCGTGGAATGGAAATGGTTGTGGTGATGATGCCTGTGCGAGATTCTGGGGATTCTGCCGGGCGGTCGCAGCCTGCAACTGCCACTGATCGTGTGCCGGGGCGATCCCCACACGGGCCACTTGGCGGGGTCTGCAGCTGCTGAACGAGCTGCCATCCCCTGAAAGCCTCGGAAGTCCCCTGGAGCCTGGATGCCGTGGTCACGTCACCACGAACTGTTGAGCCTCACAGCCCGTCCTTATGATAGCTGCATTCCTTAACCTCAGCCTCGTCTCTTCACACATCACCGTGAGAGAGCTTGTACAACAACAATAACCTCCGCAAAATGCCCCTGCCATGACGTCCAGATCCTCGCCGTCGCGCCCCTCCGTCCGCCCCCTCCACCTCACCATCCGCTTCTCTACATCGCAGCCAGATCTCGACCTCGAAATCCCCTCCCCCCCGACCACTACCGTCCTCGCTCTCAAGCACCTCCTACGCTCGCGCCTCAGCTCACGTTCCCGCCTGCGCCTGATTTACCAGGGCCGCCTTCTCCCCGACGCTTCAGCCCTCAGTTCCGTCCTCAGGCCGCCGCCGCCGCCGCCACCATCAGATGATCCGAAGGGCAAGGGGAAGGCTGTCGATGGCCCGCCAGTTGCGCGCGTCTATGTGAACTGCTCTATTGGCGATGAGCTATCCAGCGAGGAACTTGCGTTGGAGGAGGCTTCCGCGGCCAAACCTCCCGAGGATTCTCAAGCCGACAGCTCTAAGCCAACGACGTCAACCAGGCCGCGCCCGAGAGGCTTCGATCGGCTGCTCCAGTCGGGATTCACGGCCTCTGAGATCTCGACTCTGCGCACCCAGTTCGCATCTATCCACACCGCACGCTACACTCCAGACTCGATGCCCTCCCCTGATACCCTGCGTAACCTCGAAGACTCGTGGATCGACAACAACGCCAGCGGCATTCCTTCAGAATCCAACCCTCTCGAAGATGAATACACCGGCCTAGCGTCCGTATTGGAGATTCTGTTCCGTGCCATGCTAGTCGGCTTCTTCTTCCCGCTCGGCAGTTTGACTTGGCTATTACGTGAAGAGGGCATCTGGAGTAAGCGGTGGCAGATATTCGTGGGTTTTGGCGTCGTCTTTAGCTTGAGTATTGGTTTCATCATGGGAATATCGGGTGATCGGACGTGACTGCCATGATTCTAGGCTTTGTAACATGTAACATTGACGGGTAGAAAGGTGTCTGGCGTTTACATGGGGACTCTACAAGGGATATCGCGGGCTTTCATAGATTCCATTTCGGGAACTCCCGACTACCGTCTCAAGCCTCGGGATGCAACTCAAACATCGTCTCCCACGCGCCAGAACTCCCTAGTCTGTGATGGTATAAAAAGCAACAACCAGCCATGCCAATTTTTTTAATTACCGCCATCCTCCTACATTCCAGCAACTTACAAGTACAAGCTCTGGGCGGCGACAATGTCCCTGCGGATCTTGGAAAGACTATCCTCGAACTTCTTGGTCAAGTCGTCGTTGCCCATGACCTTGGCGGCCTGAGCCATCTGTCGCAGCAGCTCCTCCAGTCGGCGGAAGAGACGGATCAACGAGCCTTCATAGGTGTTTGTCATTTTGCTATGCAAGTTAGCGGTCACTCTGTACACTCTGTCATGGCTTAAACTTACCAAATCTCGGCAAAAGGTCGTCCTTGGGCCCATGTGTAAACCGTCTCCATCAGCTGCCACTTGAGCTTCTGTACATACTCCTCCTCGTTGACGTCGAGCTTGCACTCCTGGCTGACCTTGGCAATGATTCTCGCCTTGGCTTGGATCTCGCGGAACGGCTTCTGGAGGTCCTCCTTGAGCGCCGCCGTCTCAACCTTTTCATCAAAGATGAAGATGCTGAGTACTGCAGCACACGTCTCGGGAGTCAGCTCGTTGAAGAAGCGGTCAAAGAGCAACTCGGAGAGAAGAAGTTCGTGGCCTTCTGTCGAAGAAATCTCGCAGGCGACACGAGCCTTGAGCTGAACGACTTCGCCATCGTTGATGAATCCGAGTCGGCGCAGGACTCGCTTGCGGGACTTGAGCTCGTCCATTTGAGCAATGCTGTGGGCCTTGCTGATAGCCTTTTTCTTTTCCTTGACTGTCTCCGCAAGCTGGACCTTGGAGTGGTATTGGTCCCAGAGTGAAGGTAGAAGGGGAGACAGATGCAGGGGGTTGGCCAGTAGTCTTGACTCGAGGACCTCAATCTTTCGAAGGAGTTTCTTGAACGAGTCGTCGGTAATCTCCATGTTCTCGAGGGGATCCAGAATGGGCAAGCCATCGGGGAAGCGGCGCTTGACCTCGGACAAAGACTTTCTAAGTTGTTCCCGGTCCTGCTCCGACTTCAGACCCTCTTTGGGCAAAAACAAGCGGATCTGGCTGATAGCCTTGACGCAGGTCAGCAGGCAGGGGACCACAACATGAATGATGTCGCCCTCGTCGGCGGACGGCTTCAGACCAGGAGGCATCTCGGCAGCAGGCTGTCCAGGAGCGAATTCGGCACTTGACTTGGAGATTGGGAGCAAGACATCGACAATGTGCGACTCCTGAGGGATGTGCTCAGGCTCTCCAAGCTTGGGGGACCGACGTGCCTTGTGGTCAACAATGACACCCCAGCCAAAGTCGACACCACCGCCAACTGTCTCGACCGACTCCTTGGGGTTGAAGATTTGGACTAATCGACCAGGTTGGAGGAATGACAGGCAGTAATTGGGGTGCTGGATGACAGCTCGCATGTCCTTAGTGTAAGTGTTGAGCTGCTGGCGGATCTGGTAGTAGTCCTTGACGGTCGACTCGTCGGGAATTGTCATGGAATCTCGCTGCAGTTGCAGAGACATCAAGTCCTTTTCCAGAGACGGAACACTAGACGCATTCTGGAACTGGTGGAAACATCTCTCCAGCATGTACTCGGGCGAGATAGCCTCGATTCTCAGCAAGTTCAGAATCATGTTGTATCCCAGGTAGAAAGCAGAGTTGAGACGATCTTGTTGACCAGTGACGATTTCCTTAGCGGTATCGGGCTCGAGCTTGTCGTCAATCATCATGATGACGATACCTCGAGCATCCAGACCACGACGACCAGCTCGACCAGCCATCTGAATGTACTCGGAAGAGGTGAGGGGTCGCCTCTTGATGCCATCCCACTTGGTCACCTGCGTAAAGACGACAGTCTTGGCAGGCATGTTCAGGCCGATGGAGAAAGTCTCAGTCGCGAAGAGGACCTTGATGAGGGACTCTTGGAACAGAATCTCAATGGTCTCCTTGAGAATGGGCAACAGACCCGAATGATGCACACCAATGCCTCTCTCCAACAGGGGAAGGAGGTGCACAATCTGGGGAAGGTCGCGGTCCTGCTCCGACAAGCTCTCAATGGCGCTGCTAAAGACCTTGCGCACCATGGCCTTTTCCGAGTCGTCGTTGAAGCTAAGGCTAGAAATATTCATAGCCATGTTTTCGCATTCTCGCTTGCTGAAGTTGAAGACAATGACGGGGTTAAACTTCTTCTTGATGGTCATTCGAATGATCTTGTGAATGTCGGAGCCGCTGTCCGCACCGCCCTTGTTGGTCTTCTTGTTCTTGCCCTTTCCTTTCATTCGTGCGTTGGCATCCGCAGGATCAGCACCCTTCTTATCCTCCACCTCCTGCATAACCAGGTTGAAGTTTTGCTCGTTAAAGTTGCTCTTCTCGTCCACGACGAGTCTGGCTCCGGTGCCGCCTGAGGGGAAGAAGTAGTTTTGAAGCGGCGTGGGTCGGAAATCAGTGTACACGACGTGACAGGCCTGGTGGTGGATCTTGGCAATCCACTCAGCGAACTGGAAGGCGTTGGGGATAGTGGCCGACAGGAAGACATATCGGACCTTGTCGGGAAGCATGATGATGGTCTCCTCCCAGACGACACCTCGCGTCTTGTCGCGCATGTAGTGAATCTCGTCAAAGATAACCCACGCAACTTCTCGCATAATCTCAGAACCGCGGTACAACATGGATCGCAAAATTTCAGTCGTCATTACCAAGCAACTAGCCGTCGGGTTGATGGTGACATCACCCGTCATCAAACCGACATCGCCAAAGATGGCCTCGAAATCTCGGTACTTTTGGTTGCTCAGAGCCTTGATCGGACTCGTGTAGATGACTCTCTGGTTGCGCTTCAGACACTGTGCAACAGCATACTCGGCAACGACAGTCTTTCCAGCAGAAGTATGCGCTGATACAAGTACACTCTCGTCGCGCTCGATGGACGCCACCGACAGGCTCTGGAAGGGATCGAGCTTGAAGCTGTACGTCCTCGCAGGTTCCTTGGGCGCCTTGTGCTCGGACAAGGGAACGTATTCGTAATCCAGGTCCGGGGGCAGGGCGACCTGATGCTGAATGTTATGCGACAACACCAAAGACGAGTCCTGGGGCACAAAGGTGGCTGCGCCGGCAACCTCTCTCGACTCGGCCGTCTGGAAAGTATCGGTCATGACGGGACCCGCATCGTCCTCCTTTTTCCTCCGCTTCTTGTCTTGCTGGGTAGGGTCATCGGACTCTTCGTCGTCGGAAGCGTCGTATTTGGATGTCTCGGCAGCGTCCTCCATCTCAACATCCTCCTGCTTTTTGCCGTTGCTGTGGACGGCCTCGTCGGCCTTTCTCTTCTTCGTCTTGTCGCGGTTCCGGCTCTTCTGAGGCACTCGCTCGTCTTCGCTAGTGCTGGGGGCATCCGCTCCGCCCTCAAACACGTCGAACATTTCATCCATGGCGGCGGTGGTGGTCCCAGGGACCTAGGATTGATGGCGAGTAGATGTTTTGAAGGTCCAAACAAAGGGAGTAGCCGCTCGCGGCGGAGGAATCGTGATACAACGACGAGCAGCTATCTCTTAGCTGCGGTCGCACACACAGACTCAGCCACTGAGCAGTGTGTTGTGTACAAAAGACAAAGATCCAAAAGATCTCAATCGCAACTCCCGATTGCGTGGGACATGGGCATGCGGCCTGGCTTGGCTAAAAAGTTGGATAGAAGTGGGCTAGGCGGCAGAAAAAAAAGCCAGCGACGGAGCTGCGGGCGGTGAGCCAGGTACCTACAGCACTGCAAAGAGCAAGCGGTTCCTGCCGACGTCACGTACGACCCAACCAAATCGGGCGCAATCAAATTAGTCACTTTGGCCATCACGTGACCCTCCAGGCGTTTTCCTTTCGACCTCAGACCACCCATCTCAACCTCGGGTCTGACCACGAAGTTGACTCTGCAAGCTCACCTCTGTCGCATCCCAATCGCCACTCCACGCGCTCAAGGTGCGTTCTACACCCGCTGCAGCTCCATTGAGCCTCCTCCCCGTCGAGCAGACCTAATTGACCCTCTAGATGCTGTCCCGCGCCGCTACCCGCACCACCACTTCGCTGGTCGCCCGCCGAGGCTTCCACTCCACCCGCGCTCGTCTGTCCTCGCCTTACCACTACCCCGAGGGCGCCTACAGCAACATCCCCTTCAACCCCCGCAGCAAGTGGTTCGGCGTTGGTTTCTGGACCTTTATGGGTGCCGGTTTCTTCGCTCCCTTCGGTATCTCCGGTGCGTGGTTTCCGTCCAGCAGAGCTGCTCCCCGACTCGAGGCAAAAACTGACGTGCTATGCAGTCTGGCAGACCTACAAGCCCACCTAAATTCGCGGTTCGCGGTTTGGGCCTGGCGCTTGTCAATTGGCAGATCCCGGAGCTCGGTTGGTGGATTGTTGTGTACATACCCGAATAGACATCACTCGGTCACCTTCGATCCTTGTCCTCAATCTCATTTGTTGATGAACGTTTCGCCATGATTAATATCCTCCAGTGACTTACATTGAGACGCTAATTAGCAATGCTATCGTTGTACAGTAATGTAGTGGTGTCGGATGCTCAGATTCATCGGGCCCCAGGGTATTGTTCTCTATATTGCGTAATGTACAGTGGTACAGATTTTGATACATCATAATCGACTCCCGTCCTTTTTATATCTCTGATGTGCCGGCCCCTCCCAATTACCTATGGATGACATCATGTCTCTCCCATTGGTAATGTTTTCCAGCAGAGAATGCATAAAAACATCCCGGTCAGGCGGAATATCCCATCGCGCAGCCATGGCATCAAACGTGCGAACGACAGCCTCATTAGAAGAGCACTTCTTCACTGCTCGCAAGGCCCAAATGACAAGCCACCGTTCGATCCGGAAACCCCTGGCGCCCTCGTCCTTGGCCTGGTAAAGCGCCATCAAAACTCCCTCGAGTCGTTGCTCGCTCCACTCCGAGCTCGAGAACCCTCCGTGAGAGTAAAACCCTTTGAAGAGCGCCAGGAAGATGGTGGGGTGGATCGTAATCTTGAGAAACTTCATCTCGTCCAGGTACTGAGCCACCTTGGCCAGATCACCCATTCGGATGGCATAGTGCTCGACAAACAGCTTGTATGTGTGGATATTCGGCGCTAGTTGGACGTTCTTCTGCAGGTTCCTTTGCAGCTCCGGGTGAATCTTGCCGATCCTCGTAAACATCATCAACACCTTGGTGATAACTCGACCCATCATATAGTTCCTCTCGGGCATGGACGCGGCCATTGCGTGAGCGTTCTTCATCCGTTCGTAAGTCTCTTCGGCTGCTGACTCTTCGCCGCACCTGAGAAGCCCTGAAATCACACAGTTGAGAACAACCGTGTCAACCATCTCGCCCGCGAAAACCAGGTCCCTGTATGCAGCCCGGATCCCTGAGGAATCCAACTTCAATCCAAAATAGTGTATGAGACTGACATGGTGGTATCGGTTGTACAGAATCCCACGGTTCTCCATCTCTTTATAAATCATGTCGGCGAGCGTAAAGTTTCCAGCTTTGGACGCAACGTCAAACAGCACGTTAAACGTCACGTCGTTGCCTTTGATATTGGCCCCTCGCTCCATCTCTCTCCAAATCCGCAGCGCCGACTCCATCTCGGCCGATGTAACGCGGGCTGCGTACTTTGTGGCAAAGGCCAAGGCAAAGTTCCAGTGCGTCCGTCGGAGGGTCAATCCCGCATTCTTGACGTCGGCAATCAGTGCAAAGTACCGCAGCATTGATTCGGAATCTCGTTTTGGCGGCATCCCCATGACCTTGAGTAACCTGTCTCGCCATTGCCATGTGAGATATAGCATCCTCGGCTCGGGCAATTGCATGTAGAGTTTGTATATCAGTTCCAGGTTCGCTCGGTTCGGATGTCGCAGCCTGTATGAAATGGCCGAACACAACTTGGCGATCAATTGTTTCGTGTCTTCGTTAACCTTAATAGTCTCTTCCTTGGATGGATATTGGATATCCCGCTTCTTGTCAGACACTTGGAGCTTTGGGCCGTCGGACTGGGCATAACCCGAACGATACGGATCCCGGTAGAACTCGAGGTGTTCCTCTGCTGAAGTCGCATCCTCCTGACGGACAAATGACATGAGGTGTTGGGGAGTCTGCATCGGCGGAAGGCTCGGGGTCTGGAACGGAGGCTTGGTCGCAGCGGCTGCGGTGCTGTAGGTGCTCGAGGCATGTCGACGTCGTTGAAGAGGAATTGCCCGGCGGGGGTCGTGGGTCGGAATAAAGGTCGAGAGTAGCCATTGTGAGCTCCTTGCGCAGAAAGAACTGCTCGAAGGCTTGGTTCTTTGCGTATCCTTGGCGACATTCCTTGCGGTGCAGAGGCTCCTCCTCACAGTCGTGACTGCGAAGCCCGCCGACGGTCGATTCGCGAGCACCGCACAGACGGAGCCGTCCACTCGACTGGAGATTTTCATGGGCTCGTCCTCATGGTGCAGGGCCCCGTCACAACGCTGTGCCGTGGCTGTTGCACAAGTGCACCGGAAAAGAGAGGGAGGAGAAGTTGGAGCTGGGCTTGCGCGAGTGAGGCTTGACGCTTGACGCTTGACGCAGTGGGACTCTTCCAAGATGGATTTTTACCAACAAACCGGGGAGCATTCGCGCCAAGCTCCGTGCTCCCGCTCCCGCTTCCCGGCCGGCCTTACGATTCGCCGACCTCCAAAATTTCCGCTACAGCGACACCAAGTGATCGCAACAACAGAGCCACCAACCTCACAGCGCCAATTGACAAGCAGTACGTCGGCAGACAATTTTGAGGCTCAATTCGCTGACCGAATAACTAGCATATTGGCCATGGGCGGGCGACAAATCAGACCCGCAAAGGTCTACCAGACCGTCAAAGAGGAGCTCAGCCACCGAGTCCTCGGAAGCTCAGCATCAAACCCACCACCATGGTTTAATATTATGACCTCCGTGCCTCCCGCCGAGTCCCTCGTCCGAACCCTCTCTCCGCACCGATGGGCAACCAACCCCAAAGCCAAGAAGCCCAAGAACCTCTTCCGCCCGCAACGCATAGCCTACCTCGAGGACTCGCTACGGAACACATTCTACAAAGATCACCCTTGGGAGCTCGCCAGGCCTCGTATCATTCTTGAGTTGGACGGAAAGGATTACCAGCGATGCGATTGGAGCAAGGGTCTGCAACAGCAGGGCATCCCTCTGACGGGAGAATGGCAAGTCGCTTGGGACAGGAATCACGCCAGCCGCTAACCTTGACGTAGTGTCGTACAACGCCAGATGTGGCTCATGAACAACGAGAAGATGACCAAGCGCAAGGCCTACGACGTGACCCGCCGCGAGTTCTACCGCATCCGACAAGAGGAGGAGATCGAGAAGCGTGTAGCCGTCGAGGAGGCTCGCCACGTGGGTGCCTACTTTGGCAAGACCCGTATCGACGTCGCCCACCACCTGGAGGACCGCGAGTTTGAGAACTGGAAGGTCTGGGCCGGCAAGGAGACGGAGAAGCAAGAGGCGCTACGCAATTCTGAAGTTGAGAGCTTTGGAGAGGAAGAAGACGTCGAGGTGGAGGTAGAAGCTGCGCCAGAGGCCGCTGTCGCGGAGGCGAAAGCATGAGCTTGCATTTTAGAGGGAAGAGGCCCTCATGTACACACTCTGTAAAAACTACCTATGTAACAGAACCCCCATGTTCCATTTCCATCGTCCCTTGTCGTTATTCTGGTCGTCGGGAGTTGAAGACCATCTCGCCAGCGTTGTCGACGTTGTACTTGGCCGCCACCTCTTCGTGCTGCACGAGGAAGATGTCGGCCAGGCCTGTGTAGTGAAAGAGCTTTCCCGTCAGGCTGAGGGTCGAAATGCGTGCCCAAGACTCAATGTAGACGAATTGCATGTAATCCTCGGGCACGTAGTAGAACATTTTGAGAAGGTGGACAGCCAGGCCAACGAAGAAGCCCGTCGCAGGGCCGTTGGAGAAGATGTGCGTGGGGTAACAGAGTCTATTTCCGACCTTGCTGACCGGCGGTGTCCAGAGCACGGGGAAGATGTCGAGGATGCTAAGCAGGGCCGTCGAAGGTGTGGACCAGAGCGGTTGATGGACGCCGCGCGCGCGAGTAACGATGCAGCTGTCCCAGGTACCCGGGTCCTCCCCCTTTGCTTCGCAGAGCGCCTTGAGCTCGGCTTCGTAGTCTTCGCAGTGGTTCTTCGACATGCGGTCGTTGCTGGAGATGAGGTAGCGGCGGTGGAAGTTTTCAAACTTGCAGAAGCCGTCGTCCATCATCATGAGCATTTCCTTGGTGTGGCCGCCGGAACCGAGGACGAAGAGGTAGTAGTCCAAGGACGGGTCGCGTGCGACCTTACGCCCATGCTTTGCGACCTTTTCAATGCGACGTCTGACCATCTGGATGTGGCGAGTCTACACAAGTTAGAAGGTTTTTCGTCCTTTGACTGAGGGTCCTTACCGTCATGAAGATGCCGAGGCCGATGAGCAGCAAGAGATAGGCCAAAATGAGGGAAGTCCAGGATGGGAATACCCGCAGAGAGATGATGCCGATGACGATGCTGTTAACCAGAGGCTTGGCCAAAATAGCCAAGCCAGTGCCAGGTTGGTTCAGCGGCATTCTGTGTAGGTGTCAAAATGCTGTGAAGGTTGTAGGTGTGTCGATTGCTGAAAATGGAGGACGGCTTATATCCTCCAGGACAGGTGTTCGTTACACAGGTTGCTACGAGGGCACCAAAGATTTGAGGCCGGAAGAATAACACATGGCATGGTATTGTCTTTATACGAGCCGCATATTGAATAGCGCTAGGCGCACAGCGAATGGGTATTGGGCTCTTGTCCAAGTTGGGAATCTCAAAAAGAATCCGTCGTGATTGAATGAACCACCAGGTCGGTGGTGAGTTGAGTCTGAGCACGGACCACGTCATGCAGCCGAATCTGATGGGTAATGCGGCTTAAGCTTACCCTGGAGATTGCTTCGACAATACCGCGTTTATCCTCAGCCACATACCGTACTTATCGGTTCGATAAATTGGTCCTGTTTTTGTGGACTAAAGACAAACCAAATAATGCTTAGATTTCCTAAATCATTAGGTATAAAGAAACCTGAAAGAAATAATCGGGGGACGAATTCAGGGCCAATTTACTGAGTCGATACGGAAATGATGTGTCTTTAGCTTTAAATCAGTAATCCTCACTTGGCCTAAGTTTCAAGACGTGTAACTAAGAGGTTGAGATTAGCTTAATTAGGGCACCCGGATTGTTATACAATAATCTCTAACCAGACTTGAGACTCTCACACCTGTCCTTTACAAGTTACGATTGGCAACAACATCTCCCCCTCGATCAAACAGTGTCATGTCAGAAGAATCGTCTCTTCTTTGGTACCACATCCTCAACCTCTTCGTCTCCTCCCATCTGTCCTGTCGCCTCTCTCGCAGCCTCATCAAACACCGCCTCCATGCCCTCTCCCGTGGCAGCAGAGCACTCAAGATAGCAAGCACCAATTCGTGACGCATGAAAGTTCCCCTACCATCGTCAGCTAGCTCGATGTGAATAAGTAAGTAGGTTAGTCATACCTCTGAGGGACACACGCAGCAGGATGGAAACTCGAAAAAGCCGGGAGACTCGTTGCCACGAACCTCTCGGTGGTCCATTAAGAAGCACTGGTCACGAAGATCTTTCTTCATGCCTAGGAGGTATAGAGGCTGGGAAATCCCTGGTTGAGCAAATCCGTTGTTGGATGCATGTTTCCACTAATACAGTCAGTATGAATCTTCAGAGGCTTCGGACGAAAACAAATTACCCATTGGATCATGATGTACATGGAAACCCGGTCAGAAATGTCAAAGCATAGAAAAACAGCGTCCCAACTCATGTATGCCAAGCGCTCGACGGTGGTGAGGTCTGGAGCGCCCGAGGTGTCCTACATCTCGATGCGAAATGGCTGGCCGTCACAAACGCGGTCGGTAACGTACGTCTCATACAGCGGTCGAGTGAAAGCGCGAGTCTGGTCTATGAGCGTGTGCAGTCAAGTGATGCCCTGAAAACTTACATCTGGAAAGTATCCATATCGAGCACGACTATCGCATGTTAGCTGAGATATCCAACTGGAATTCCCATACTCACAAAAGCAAAGAAGTCTGCCCGGAACAGCTGCCCCCGACAAAGAGATAGTTCAGCCGGACCGGTTCCTTGGGAATAGGCTCTGGGGTCAAGCATTGTTTCCGTTTACGACTGAACAGCGCTAACAGACCCCTTCGTCTACCATCGACCTTTCGCCCAAAGGTTGAGGCAGAATCCCTACTAGAAGACGTAGATGATCGCCCAAAGAGTGGCGTAGCGGAGCGGAGGAAGCTGAGGCGTGTGGACGGACGACGGACTGGCTGGTCTGGCTCGCGGAACGTCTGTGGTAACTCGTCAGCGTGATTCAGTCAAGCCAAACACAGAGGGGACTCACCAGGCGCGTCGCAGGGCGTGATTCAAAGCCATCGCCCTCAAAAGGGTCCTCGCGGTCAAGACGGCTGGGCACGCGGGTGCGCCACATGTCGATGCGGCCTTCGAGAGCCATGGTGCAGTGGGGGCCGGTGTGGTTGAGGGCGAAGAACAATGCTATTCAAGGTGCAGAACAATAGGCGAGGTGGTTTGTAAAGAGAAAAATGGGGAGGTCGGTTTGTTTATTCAAGGCGAGTAGAGACCGCGTCAACAGACTGGCTGCCAGCTGACGGGGATGAATCACCACGGCTGTAAGTGGCTGACAGCTGCCCACCAACGAGTTTCTGTCCTGGTGCAAAAGGCCATCTATCACCAGACTCAACCGCTAAATCAGAATCGTAATCAAATGCCATCAGCCAGGTGCTGCAAAGCCGCTCTCTTCAACCTCTCCCGATCAACCTTCAACTCCTCCTGTGGAAACCACTCAGTCAACTTCCCACCCGGCCGTCCAGCCCCCTTATCGAGCTCTTCATCCTCCTTTCCCAGCACCATGACCGCCAAAGCCGTCCCGGAAAGCCACGCCCATACCATTCCCTCGCCGTTGAAGCCCGCTGCGATCCATTCTCCAGAGCCCTCCTGTGTAACGGACCCCGGGACTCGGCCGACAAAGGGCATCAGATCCCCCGTGAAGCCCAATATCCCCGTCCAAGCCTTCTTCACCACACTGCCCTCCCCCCACCGCGGCTCAAACGTCGTCGGCATCACGCCCCGGATGTGCATCCCCGGCAGTGCATCCATCCGCGAGTCGTCCCACACGCCTATCTGGTCCAGCGCCTGCTCGCAGCTTCGGAAGAAACCTCCGCCTATCATCAGGTCTCCCGGGGTGCCGTCTTCGCCATCTGGGCGCTGAGTGACGTAGTCGAACCCTGGGCTGTAGACGATGGACCACGAGAGCTGGCCGTGTGATGCTGGGAATGCCGCCCCCGGGCGCTGCGCCGACATATGTGCGAGGGCACCAGTGAGAGTGCCTCGTAAGGAGGGAATGAGCTGGGGCGCAAAAGCATTGGTACTATGAATGACATGCCGAGCTTTGATGGTGCCACGAGACGTCTTGACAGAGTAGGGATAAGAGGAGGACGGAGCGTGGTCAACAGCTTCAACTGCGGTGTGCGTGCTGATAGTCAGGCTTGGAAACCGTTGGAGCAAGTCGTTCCACACCCCAGTAACAAGTCGATATGGCCAGAGAGCCCCAGCCTGATACGATACCGCCCCGGCGATGGACTTGTTGACACCAAACTAGAGCAATTAGCATCACGTTGGAACCTCGCCTCGTAGACTCTTACCTCCTCTCTCGCGCCCTCAGCATCCCAGACCTGACACTCGACCTCCGGAACCCACTCCTTCAACTTTTCAACATCGCACCTCGCCTTATCAAGGTCCTTTTGCTCGATGAACAAATCCACCGTCCGCACCTCTCGCACCTCACCCACCGGCACCGCCGCCCCGACCTCCAACAGCGTCGGCAAGTGTCTCATCTGAAACCTAACCAATTCCCTCGCCCGCCGAGGACCAAACTTGGACTTGAACGCTGAGAACACCTCGTAGGGCGTGCTCTTGATATGCCCGCCATTGCGCCCCGTCGCGCCGCTGCACAGCTGCCTCGCCTCGCAGACGACTACATTTAACGGGGCCTTATCCTGGCCAGAAAGCTCAAGAAGGGTCTTGGCCACAGAGGCACCAGCGATTCCACTCCCGATAATGACGACATCTGCCTCTTCTGGCAGCTCACCCTGGATGTGGCACAGCGCGGGGAACGGTGGGTCGTCGAGCCAATATGAAGACGTTGGATTTGGCACCGGGAGACCAGGCGGAGAAGTGGCCCTGCTGAGGAGCGACGAGAACTGCGTATTGAGGCTCGAGAGGGTCCTGATGATGGACGACACGGTGAAGATGGTGCCTTGGATGGTGGATAGGACGGAACCCATGGTGATTGGAGTGATCGAATTGACTGGCTGTTACCGATGGATAATGGACCATGTGTCGAGTATCGTGAGGTACGAATCGGGGTAGTTATTTACTGATCCAAGTTATGAGGGGTGTTGATTACATGCACAGATGGCTACAAGATAATGCATGAGCCGACATATGTACCGTAGCGCTAACACCGGATTATCATGTCAACCCCTCATCTCGTATTCCACGGATAACATCACACAATGAGACACGAATCTAGGATCAAAAACCCTTCTAGTCGCATTTTTTCTAACACTCTAGATTCCTTCCGGTCCCCCCAACCGATAACCATCCCACCTCCGTAGCCATAAATAAACATCATTCTGATTCCGTACCACCGGCCGCCTGCTATTAGACAAACACCAGCAAGCAACAAAGTCAACACTTCCCGTCAAACTTGGCCAGCCCTCAAAGGGCAAAGAATCAACGCGAAAGAAAGGTTTTGAAAAGACAAAAACTCCATCCAGCCCATCCGAACACATCTCCTTCCGTTGCTTACGCCTAAATCGATGCAGGGTATGTTTTTGGAAACAAAATGTCATAAGACGCGCATATCCGAATACGTTTGGCCCTTTTTGGCTCGCTCCTGCAAGGAGGAGCTCCTTTGAACTCCGGATAGACAGCCCGTAAAGTGTAGAAAAGAGACATAAAGAAAGAAGAACAAAAACAATCCGTAGCAGTAAAACAAACAGTGTAAAGTATCTTCGTAGAAAAGAAGGGTGGTAACAGACCGTACACCTCCGATTGAGTTAGATCATACGCTGATCATGCCCTCGTCATCGTCAATATCCTCAGGGTAGTCGACAGCTGTGGAAAATCGCCTGCGAGGGTCGAGTCCCAGCTCTTCCCTCACGTCTCGCTGAATCTGGAGAAAGTACCTCTTCAGGCTGCGCAGGCCTTTGAGGAACCCGCCATCCGGCTGATTCGGGTGTTGCGGCGGACACGGTTTGTCTTCGACCCTGTCCAGGGGCGTCACGCTGTTCGCAAAGTCGGCAATCTTGAAATCAATCTCTCGCTTGTTCTTCTTCTTTTTCCGTGACGTTTCTTCTGTATCCGTCGCAAAGTCCGTTGTCGAATCGTACATTGTTTCGTAGTCTGTCGCGTCCTCCGATGTATCGCCATCGTAGAACATGAGTAGGCTCGCCGCGTAAAAGCGGTAGCCACGTAGGCCGCGCACAATCTCCTCCAGCTGGCCGAGTTTCTTGAGCACCACAGGGATGTGTCGGAGTACGCTGTGCAAGTCAACACCGTCATAAAGAAACTTTTGCAGTGCCCCCTGGAATTCATTGCCGGCCTTCAGCTTCCGGCCATAGTACTTGTCCTGAAAGTCGTACGTCTCCTTCTTGGCGTTCCAAACTTGAAGGCCGCAGATTCGCACTCCCAGCTCGGCCGAAGTCGTTGTTCGGCACTTTTCACGCTGCGACTTTTGCTTCTTCGGGGCGGCCTCCACTCCATACTGTCGGGTGCCCATCTTCAAATCCATCATGCATGGCCTCTTCATTCCCGACGTTAGGTCCTCTAAGAGTAGGAAATATTCAATGCGGTCTCGTTGCATCTTGGCTTCCTTCGGGTTGATCGGACGAGGGATCTTTTTGAATTCGGAAGAGGGGCTTGGCATGGCAGACGTAACGGCGGAACTATAGGCAGAGTCCGCAGGCTCTAGTTCGGTGCCATTCTCAGCGCCATTCTCACCATTAGTGCTCGGGGTATCGTGGCCGTTTGTGTCGGCATAGTCATTCGATTCAACCTGGAGGTCCTCGTCGTCGCCTTTGTAACCGGCGCCATCGGCTTCCTCAAAATACTTTAGGTCGCCCCTCGATTCTCGCACATCCTGAGGCTTCCGTCGGAGTCCACCAGCTGAGTACCTTCGCTTCTTCTTTGCCGACAAGGGGTTGACAGCGAAGGTTTCGGGTTCAGGGGCACTCGTTCCGGTTACATCCTTGACTTCGTCGGGTTCGGGCCTCTCAGGCTCAGACTGCACACAGTCCAGGTCGGATTCAAGCTCACTAGGTGTGTATTCGTGAGCGGGCTTCCTCGGTCGGCTGTCATTTATCTCATCTCCATCACCAAAGGTCGAGTCACGTCCACTGAGCAGACTAGGGTCAGAGTTGGTGGATCGGAGGAGCCGCTGCAGCGTGGGCCGTGGAATCGATCTCTGGTGCGGTCGACGATGTCGATGAATCTCAACAGGTTCCTTGAGAAAGGCATCGTTAAACACCTCGTTGCGCAGCCGCTTGTTGACCGTGGTTGCACCCCAGCTGTTGGGCCGGTCTTCCATTGGGGGCCGGATCTGGACCCCCGATTTGGGAGGGCTTGAGACCTTGATCGCGGAGATGCTTCGGCGTCGGAACGATTCTGGAAGCGGGGTTGGCTGGAGCAAATTTCGAGGAAGGATATGCTTGTTGTCGTCAAAAGTCACCGTCGGGATGGGGATGTTGGTGTTGGCCAGGGATTGGCTGATGACCCTGCCGTGAGACATCTTGCGCCCGCTCTTTTCCGCCTCCAGACGGTTCGTCGCTGCTTGCTCCTGCAACTTCTTCCGCTCTGCTGCTGCGGAATCATCCTTTCTGGAAGTGCTCTTCCGGCGAGCCTGTTTCTGAAAGGTAACGTTCAGGACTCCAATGTATCTGAATGCATGTTAGTCCTGTACGCTACTAGCACCAATTTTTGTCCAAGCCAGAAAAGCCTGAAACGGAGCAACGTACCGAGGGAGAAAGGGGAGCAAATCACGATGGTAACTTTCGATTGTCTCGTAAAATTCATTTTCCCTATTGTTGAGCTGCTTACAGACGGCCCTGCGGGAGAAGCGCCAGAGAGTGGTGTGACCTCCGACTTGGTGCTTGTATGGAATGAGCTCAATGGCCTCTAGGGGCTCCGGGGGATGATGCTGGTGGTCATGGACATGGTCTTCGTACTGGTTCACAGCCTGGGGCGGCTTGGGCGCGACAACGGTCCTCAGTTCACAGTTATCCTCGATGGGGGCACACTCTTCCAATTGGTCGGCCACAAGGTCACGCCTTGAGGCGAGGCTCTCTCGAGATGAGAGGCGATGAAGGCCATATGGAGCTTCATCCTTTTCCTGAATCTCAGGCTCAGGCTCGTCGGCCTTGACAAGCCACGGATGCTGCTTACTCTGGGAAGGGGACCGCGCCTGGGATGACCGCACCGTGACCCTCTCCTGATGATTTTCAACAGTGACGCAAGATTCTCGCAATTCCTGGTGGGGCAGGAAAACGGCAGATGAGATCTTCTCCTCGCCCGATTCGTCCGCATCCGCTTCATCATGAGATCCTGCGATCTCGGTACTGGAGCTGTCAGCTGACTTTCGTCGAGCCTCTCCTTCGGCCTGGCCATCGGCATTGGTATCGACAACCGGGGTCGGCCCCACTTGTCCTGGAATTCCCACGGCCTTGACCTCCTGATCATCAGCGGGTTTGGACATGGGCACCTGCGTCCACGGCGACGGCTCCTTGTCGCCTGCGGATCCACTGGCGGACAACGTGAAGTAATCTTCACTGGGGGATGCGCAGAGCATGGAGGGCTCCTCGACGACGGAAAGAGCCGATAATTGCACCTTGGGGGGCTGCGAAATAGTTCCGTCTTCAGATTGGAGTCGGGTTGGGTTAGGTTGCTTGGCGATGGATGGTTCTTTTCGGTCTCGAGGCTTGGGTTCACCGACTTCTTCCGCAAAAGTTGAGAGCTTATCCTTGCTCACATGTCTCGAATCCTTGCGACGAATCTTTTCCTCTGGCGGGAGTCCTTCCTTGAAGAATCGGAGGCTGTAACTTGACTTTCGACTCCTCGCGCTGGGCTCGACACCTGCCATTGCCTCGGCGACTGACTTTTCAACCAAACCGTCTTCCTCGTCGCCTTCGCCGGAGCCGATGGACCATATCTTTTCCTTCTTCTCAGGTGCCTTGTTCGTCCAGTGGGGAGGACCCTTTGCCCAATGAGGCTGCCGATGACCGTTGACTCCATCATCCTGTCGCGCAGAAGTCGAGGGGGTCTTGAAGTCATGGTCGGCTTTGTTGGGGGTCAGGTTGTCGAGGTGTGTCATGTGGGTGAGAGATCGGGGGCTGTAGGGGTTATCAAGGTCAATGTCGAGAGAAGTAGAGGGTCGTCGTCCTCGGGGAACGTCCAAGTCGTGGCGGTTGTCGAGAACCATGTCCCGAAAGTTGGCGAGGGTCGAATGAGTGAAAGATGAGGGTACGCTGGCGGCCTCGCGCGAGGCGAGGGTGCCCATTGTGGTCATGGTGGTTGTGAGAGCGGTGGAGGCGGCCATGTCGATGGGTTGGGATGAGGCTCTTGTCAGCGGCCGAGGGTCGCCGCATTGGGCGGGAACATCATGAGGGAGTGAATGGGTGGAAGGGACTGTGATGTCTCGGTCAGATGGCGAAGGGAGGGCGGGAGCGATGGACACGGCGGTTGTAGTCGTTGCAGGAGATATCGGGGAGGTGGGGTCGGTGGGCGCCGAGGGATTCTGTCTCGATCGGCCGTTGGGCAGGTGAGCGGGAGTGGTAGAGGGAGTGGCAGTGGTAGTGGTAGGAGAAGCGTTGGTTATGGACGGAATGCCTCGAGCTGAAGCCAAGGCCTGGGATAGCAACGAAGGTCCAGCCTGCCGCGGCAGTGGACCGGCACCTCGGGGCTTTTTATTGTTGGCGTCGCCGGGATTGGCATCACCACGGGGGACATGCGTGGGCGATGGGACCGGCGTGGGAACCGGCATGGGTATGGGCACGTTGTCGGTGGAGGAAGGGGTCGGGAGACAGCCAGCAAACGAAGCGGATGTGGGAGAGAAGGGTTGGGACAGCACGTTGGTGGGAGGATTGGCTGAATGAGATGTGGTGGTGGGAGTGGTGGGAGTGGTGACGGAGGTGGGAGTGTGATGAGTATGAGTGGGAGTGGGATTTGGAGTGGGATTTGGATTGGCAGCAGCCGGGGTGTCTTGGGCGTCTTGGGTGTCTTGGGACGCCTCGCCCCGGGGTGCTGCCAGTGGCACTTCCAGTACTTCCAGTACCTCCAGTACTTCCAGTGGTGGTTCTGCCTCTGCGTCTGGGGTTGTACCAGCCGCAGCCGCTGCCACCGCTGTCCGGCCGCTGTAAGGCGAGCTCACTGGGACAGCGGGTGCGGCATTTTCGTACTCGTGATGCACGCTGGACATGAGGCGGACATTGGGCGTTGCAACGAGGGCGAGAGAGCGAGAGAGCGAGAGAGGCAAGATGCGGGTGAGGGCGAGAAGAGAGTTGCGAGAGAGAGAGAGAGAGAGGCGGCGAGGGTTGTGGGCGTGGGAGGAATGATTCGTAGATGCGGTGGGCACTGGGCGCTGGGCGCTGGGCACTACTGGCCTATCTCACTGGGTCCCTTGGTCCTGAAAGGTTCCAGTAGAAATAACGAAAAATGGCCCGGGCGGTCTTTTGCCCCTCCACTTTTGTATTTTGTATTTTTCGGAGGGTACTGTTGCAGGACGCCCACAGACGCCCAGCACTGCACAACCTGGTGCAGCCGCGGGGAGAGCGAGGGGGTCGCCTGGAGAACAGGGGGAGTGTACCCAGAGCCGCGGACCGCAGATGGCAATCCTGACTACATGCTTCATCCTTACAGCACATCACGGCCTTTGTCGTTGTTCGAGCCACCGAGGAGCCACCACCCGCAGATCCAAATTCGGATCCCCGGAAGGCCTATCTGTCCTGGGGCTACGAAGCAAGCACTGGGCTGGACTGGGCTGGGTTGGGCTGGAACCACTGCCGTCCGGGGAGCAGGGTGCTTGAGCTACTACTGCCCGTGTTGCTGGGAGCAGACCGCCTGGAACCTCGAGGAATGGATGATCTGGGACATGGGAGTCTGGGAGGCCGTCAGTGGGAGCGGAGCACTAGACCACAGGGGCGTTTCGCGGGGTGTTAGTGGCTCCCCGTGGCCATGAGCGAACGCGAGCCGGAGCCCTGTGCTGCGCAAGGGTGCGGATTCCAGGCCGCTGGATGGAGGCTGTCAATCGAAGCTGGCCCGGTTCTCTCCAGTTGATTAATTAATCGGTGGGGCCCACTAACATCTCCGGCTGCCACTGTCGGCGCTCGACGTCGGGTCGCTTCAGCCAGCTGGGCGAGAGCGCAATTGCAGGAAGCACGGTTCTCCACCACGTGTCGGCGTTTTTGGACGTCCGTCCTGTTGTCTCGTTTTTGAGTTGAGGCGAGGAAACATGGCATGTTCTAAAACCTCCGCCGGGACCTGCCGGTGTGAGAATTGGGGATAGTAGATTCCCAGTAGATTCATTCATGGTAGATTCGATTACCAGATAATATCTAAGTACGAGAGGCGTGCGACGCCGAATTCGGGAGCGCAAAGGGTGTGCCGTCATCACCAGTGCCGAAACGCACATCATCCAGCATGATACTCGCCTCACCAGTCGTCTACTTCGCACAACAGCTTGAGTTAAGCAGGGCTGTCTGATTTAGGTTGGTTTGTCTTAAATTGCACAACAAATGCATCTACACTAATTTACTACCCCGATTTTCCATGCCATCCGTCATCGTCAGTCGGTTTGTCCATCTGCCACCAACAGTCCCGCCCCGGACAAGACCATCTCATCTTGCATGGCATCAGTTCATCCCGTCAGTCTTAGATGGTCATTCGCCTGACCATCAGTGAGTAAATGCCAACGCACGCACGCATCAGTCCATTACCGCGGCCTCTGTTAGTTATCAGAAGCTTGTGATACTGTCGATTGCCAGCCACAGCGCAGCAATGCTGTGTTGTCTTGTCTTGTGTGTTGTGCGCGTCAAAGTGCGTGCTCGCCATAGAGCCTACCATCCAAAGTCCCGTCCAGCCCCGTTCAGCCCCGTCCACAGAGTGCAGTCCCGCCCTCGGACACTCCGCCCACATCCACATGGGCAACAAGCGTCAGATCCGCCATGCATGACCTTATCAGAGAGTCCCCTGGCCATCCTCTCACAGTCGTGCACTCGCTCAACTCTGGGTCCGGCCCGCTCTCTGCTACGCTGCGCCGCCGTCCGTCCCCTTGTTGTCAACGAGCGGCAGCTATCGTGAGCGGAGCTCTGCCCAGTCTTCGAACTAGGCTCTGGGCACCAGGTCGCACCGAGTACGGGCCTCCGCTGCCTAACAACAGGGAGATCTCGGTCCCATTTCCTTTCAATGCCCATACCTTACCTTACCCTTCCCCTGTCTCTGGGTCATCGTGATTCGCACTTGTGCTCTTGTCATGGGGGCAAAGTCCGGGTGGCAAAGGGTGGTGATTTTCCTTAGCAATTGACCGCCGTGATTGGTTAAAGACTTTTTGCTTTGCTGATCCCGTCAGTGCTCACGGCGACAAGACATACAGTTTCAGTTACAACTACATTGCAGCGCCTCACAGGCTCCCATGGATGCAAGAACAGCTAGTCCAGTTCGGGCTGTGCCGTTTGCGCCATTCAACAGAGACGCATTTGACGACTGCTTCTCGGCCCATCCATCCATGAGATTCCCGTTATCGCACCGTCCCCACTGCACTTGACAGCTTCTTTGTTGGCTTAATGCACGATCCCAAACGGTGCCTTAGTTCGGTCTAGCGCAGAACTAGTAGACCAACCGTTTGGGATCGGGGCTCAAAATGAACTGTCATGTGACGGTCCAAGTGTGGCTTCATGACATCGTGATAAGGCGGCGAGTCACAGGTTCAGTACCGCTTTTCCTGCGGAGCGCATGTCGAGTTGCCTCTTGTTACACGCCAGGGATCGAATCGCCGCCCACTCTCTACTACGTAGTGCTCCCGGAGCTGCCTCTTACATCCTTGGGAAGGCACATGACCCGGATTGGCTCCAGCTTTCGACCGTCTCCAGTCCCGGCACAGACACACAGCGGCTGAGCGGCGCACAGAATGAGGCCATTGACCGACCATTGGACCGGCTTGGATATTCATCGACACATCCTTCATCATTGACCGAGTGCCCGGCTTGGTCACTGTCCCAGGCCATGTCATCGTCATTGCCAGCGCACCATACCGTCATGAAACAACATCCATCGACACAGTCAGGATACCAATCACGTTTTTGCTCTCTCGTTGTTGAATGGCTCCCATTCTTTGACTCTGGATGCGACCCCTCTGGCCTCGAATGGAGCATTTCGCCTCACCTAGGTTGGATCGCCCCATGCCAGCATCCGACCACAGTTCATCACCCATCCATCCATCATCTCGCTACACGGACGCATCCCTCTCTCAACACTACCAATGTAAGGGTCGTGATGCGATGCTTTCTTTTTCCTCCTGCATGTTCACGGACCGCTCAAGGGGGGGTGGTTTTAATCGGATCCCGTCAACGACGCCATCGATACCATCCCATCCGCGCCACGCCATGCGAAGCCATGCGAAGCCATGCCAATTCTATGCATGTGCTGAGCGAGGCCGCAAGGCAGGGTTGCAACAAGCAGCGCAAGTGCAGCACGCATCATGTCTAGACCGGGTTCAGACCATTATAGTGTCGACCGGCCCTGCAAGATTGACCCGATAGACGCAACCCTACGCTGCCCTTATTAACGGCTGCACTTGTGCTTGCAGTAGCAGGCGCTGGAAAGCAGTCAGTGCTGCTCATCATCCTGCAGCCTCGAAGCGGTTGAATTGGAACCTTGCTATCTGCAACACTTCGCCTCGAGTGAGGCGCAAGCCCCTACCCTACACCCACCCCGGGGACAAGAGTTATCATTGTCTCCGGCTCCCCCGGCGGCCCGGCCAAATCTATTGCTATACAACCTTGCCAGTCATGCCGTCGCGGCTATCCGGATGAAGCGGGTGGGCGTTTCGGTTTAATAGAGCCTGGCCATCAAGAAGCAGAAGCGGCACAGCCCGCAGTCTACGTCCAAGCTAAAACCAACATCAACGCCCAGGCTAAAACCTGACGTCCATGGAGCCAACAGAACCAAGGAATTAAGACTCGTTTACGCCCTGAGCCGTCGGACCCATGGTCATGTCGTCCAATTGACGCAGCCACTCCATTACCCCGACTTTTAGCGAGACACAGTCTCTGTCCTCAGGCATGCTGTGGCGGCCTCCGCTTGGAGATGTGCATATCACCACTGAGCCGCAACGGCCAATGACGATCCGCCCATGAGCAACGTGCCTCTTATACAGGACCTAAAGTTCCAGCCAGCAACGCCAACCCCTGCCGAGTCTAATGTCCTCAGACGGGAATCAAATTCGCATCTGAGTCGAGGGCAACGTCACAAGTGAGACATCAAGATGGTTGAGCAGGGTCGCCGGCCGGATCCAGGTACAAGCCAAACCCGCCCCAACGGTAGGAGTCGGTCGTGTGCTGAATGCACTGGATCCAGAACTACGACCCCGCCGCTGTGGATAGTGTCGGATTAGCATGAGACAGCTGTGTCAAAGAGATCTTCGATCTAGAACTTAGATTCCTCTTCTCTCACCTGTGGCTAAGAACCTTAGCCCCGAGCTGACGAGCGGACCGTCTGACCATGGTCCATCTCCCCGTCTATCTGGCCGGACATCGGCCATTGTATCCCCGGATGAGGGGGAAACACATGTCCCACGGTCCCTCCTCAACGGGCCTCAATGTCGTCCGACTCTACGGATACAGATACGGTCAATGGGGTGACGCGGTGACGGGTTCGTTCGTGGCTGCCACCCTGGTCCGCCAGCACCGGCATCAGACCGCGACCAAGACGACATTCGAGACGGAGCTCGCAGCACGCAGCAGCAACAGGATTGCAATCAGATACTACGTGGGCCCTTCTCCTCGATTGACTAATCAGCTGTCCGCTCCAGCGCAGGTATGCCGTCCCGGGCCCGGACTGGACAAAGACGGTTCCACCCTGGCTCTGCCGGTGTCCCTCCGAGATATCCAGATACTCGTGGTCAGATCGTCCCAGGCATCTCCAGAACCTTGCCCATTCCCTCGCATTCGTCATGGCCACTGGGATTCCGGAAGCTTCTCGTCCGCGGGAATGTGTTGATCGCCCGGACCCTCCGTCGAGTCGTTACGGGGCGTAATCATGCCTCCCTGGCCACCCAGCCTCACCGCACCCGCCATCGAAAGCCTGGGGATCCCGTCGTCCACAGACATCCGCCCTCGAGGCCATGTGCTCCCAGGGCCCAGGACGCGGGCCCCAAAGCCCTGACTTTAGTGCCACCACACCGCAACCCAAGGGGCGTGCGTCTATGTCAATACATGGAACAGGGCGAGTAGCTTAAGGGGAAGTGATCCAGCAAAGTGCAGTGCGGAATTCTTCCAGACACCGACAATTGCCGCTGGCGAATCAGCTCCGGCCTCGCACACTCATGGGCGGCTCATCGCGGGCTGGCGAAGGCGGCGAAGGGGGTGATGAGCATTACGCCGTCAGGGTGGTTGGCCCCTGAACACCGGCTAACGAAGCGGATACGCCCTGACCTGCTTCCTGTCCTAGACATCGTAGACGCGTTGATAGTTTATGACGATTCGCATTTATAACCGGAATACGACCCGGAAGAACGGCTCTCAATTCGACTCCGAAGAAATAATACGAGGTATCTTGCTACAAACGCCGAGCCACCCCATTGGCTACTGTGTTTCGTCCAGTCGTGTCCTGCCAGTCCTTTAACCCTAACTCCTGGCACGTTCGAGCCGCGTAGCCCAATATTTCGTGTAACTCAAAATCACAAGCTAGCTCCTTACTCGTTCTGTACGGGTATGATTACAAGGTAGTAAAGAAAATCAAATCCTGAGCGACTCAAAAGTCTCAGCTTCACCACGGGCTCTGTGTAAGCTGAGGCATCTGCATGTTGCTTGCCTTCCGAGCCTGGTCCAACTCCATATCCACATTCCATGTATCCAGATAGCCTCCCAACTCGCGGATGACGTCTTCCACAATATCTAGGGGCTCCTGTGACTCTTGGATGCGCTCAGACTGACGCTGACTGCCGGCATAATCCGGGCTTTGCCCCTCGATGCCTGGGTTCCGGAGTTGGTCAACAGCGAGGAACGTCTCAGCCATGGCATGCACCTCTGGACTGTTGAGAGTGCGTTGAGATGCTGAGGGCAGTAGACGTTTTTGCCCCCCTTTGGTTCTGCACACAACAGCTGCGAAATGCTTGCCAAATCTGTCATCTTCGTGGGCAGGTAGCTCCGCGATGGGTGTTGGCGGTGGTGGAGATGCTTGTCTCACCTTTGCCTCCTCCAAAGACGACGACGGCATCGCTTCACCCGTGGTTGGGCTCGACGTCTCATGGGGTAGAGGCGCCCAAGATATGCGAGAGGTGCGGCGTTGAGACATGTCGACGTCCCAAGGGTTCTTGGTAGCAGATGCGAGGATGCCTTGCGTGCTGGGTAGGCGGGACCCCGAGTCTCGCCAGGAGGCGCGCTTTGAGTTACGAGGTCGACGTTTCGGAGATGGTGACATAAATGAAGCGAATGATATGACTGAAAACTGGGGTTCTGGTGTAGTTGCACGTATGCCTATCGACGGTGTAATGGCTGGTGTGACGGAGGTGGAGTGATTCTGCATCTGGCTGGAAGCAGATGTTGTGGCGAGCCTATGCAACGCTGACAGTCGGTCTGCATTATCAATGTTCGGCGTGTGGTCTTGAGGCATACCCGGCAGTTTTTCAGAGATTGCCCAAGGAGTTTGGACAGGAGTTGATGCCGTGGGAGAGGCGTCGTCAATCTTGTGAGGGGTATCGAGGTCTTGAACGACGTGGTTCGCAGGGAGCAATGCCATTTGCGACAGTTTCGCTTCAGTCCAAGGGCTTTGTTGTGAGACAGGAAGTGGCCTAGCTTCTTGACTCGCGTTGTCTACTACCATCTGGTCGTTTTGTACAAAGGTTGTTTGACGTTCTGATGGTTGAGACATAGGCGAAGAAGCTTGACTTCTAGGTGTGGAGGTAATAGACTCTTCCATATGTGTATCGTCGCAAGCCCGCTGAATTAGTTCAGAGGTATTTGCCTCTTGAATGGAGTTGGGCAGATTTTCCCCCGAGGTAGGGATCTCCTGCGAGGCCATACTTGAAACGATACTATGAGAGGACTTAGTAGGTTCGGTTTCAGTTGTCGGCGCAGGCGATAAAACAGGTCCGGTGAAGGAAGACAACATTGCCCAAGAAGTCTTTGGAACAAATCGCTTCACCGAGTTCTTCAGGAGACGCAGAGGCCCAGACTGTAAAGGCTCAACCTGGCGTTCTGGGACAGTGCCCAGTATCTCTTGCTCCAATGCTTCATGCTCCGAAACCTGCGAAGACGAAGCCTGTGAAGGGACGTCATCGTTTGTCCCATCACCCGATTCTTCCTCCTGTTCTTCAGAGCCGTCATCCGATATGTCATCTTGAGACATTGATTGATCCTGAATCTCTGTGGCTTGGATCTCACATGGTTGCTCGCTCGATACATCTTGCAACAGGTGCTGTTCATTCGCGACATCCTTGGCAATGGCATCCCGAGCTTCCGAGGATGGCTCACTTGCTGTGTCTGAAGCACTCGCCGTGTCTGAAGCTCTTGATGCATCTGAATCGCTTGCTATCTCGACATCAGCACCACGAGCATCGACGCCGAAGCCTGCAAAGTCCTCGCTGCCCAATGATGACAACTCGCTAGACACCTCATCTTTGCTGATTTCCATGGCCCCACTGTCTGGGAGGACAGACGGACTGTTGATCTTTGGACTTTGGACTTTGGTTTCGAGACAGTCATCTGCCACAGACAATGGCTCCACTTTTGTATCATCTGAAGATGACAACCCAGACCATGACTCTGTCTCCATAACATCATTCTGATCGATTTCGTCGGCATTTGTAGTCTTTGCCGGCATACGGAAGCAGAAACTCTCGTCTCTCTGAGTTTCGAATTGTACAGATTCTTCATCGAAGTCTTCAGACATCATTGACGTGAGCGAGGATGTTGGTGGATTTGGAGACTGCTTCGCAAGCACCTGCTGAGACAAAGTGTGACGAGGAGATTTTTGAGGCAAAACCTGAGAAAACCGTTGCTGTGATACAGGTGACGACAGAGTTGCAGCAGCCTTCATGGCGGCCTTGTCCAGGGAAAGTTCGTCCTCCGATTCCTTTGTTTCGTAGGCGGCACGCTTCCGATTCCGGCTGGGTGAGAAGCGCTTGCCTGGTGATTGTAATCGACTTGGTGCACTGCTGAAAGAGACGTTGACTGTGTCGAGAAGCTCATCGTCACTGCCAGTGTTTGTGCCCTCAAAGTTGGCACTATCATGCCTTCGTAGGAACCGCGTTGAAGCAGTAGCCGATGAGGGCAGTCGGTCGGGGACACTGCTGAAAGAGGTGTTGAGTCCAAGGTGAATGCCCGAATCCTCTTGGTGGAAGCCTGCTCGTCGTGGAATTGGGGTGTCGATAGATCCCGACTCCATGAGTTCTGTCCGCCGCCGTTTGCTTACTAACTTCCGTAGCCATTCAGATCCTCTTGCTTTTCTCTTCCTCTCAGACCTGTTCCCCGTTGGTGTCGCAGCCCAAAAACCATCTTTTGCAACTGGCGGCACAGCTGTTCTCCAATTCTGGACCATTGCTAGCTCCTCCTCCTCCAAGTATGGGTGAATATCGGCAACTGGAGCCTGCTTAAGGCTTTCAGGGCTGGGGAGATGGCACTCCATGGAGTCTTGCGGCCCAACCTGGATCGTCTCAGGGATGGACGCATTCCGTTGATGCTTCGATTGCCTTGAAGGCTTTTGAGGGGACGTCCTCGTGCCTAGCGTTGTTCCAGCTGTGCGGTGCTTCGATCGCCAGGGGTTGTTCCATCCTGAACTTCTGTCGAACGGGCCCTTTAATGTTGCTGTAAGTAAAAGGGGCGTGCTTCCGTCGAGGAACCGTTGGCCCGCAGCCTCGTATCGAAGTCGTCGAGAAGTCGGATCGTCGTAGTCTTCATCGTCGGATCCTTCGTAAAATACATCTTCGGGTGCACAGGTTGCTTCGCAGTAGATCGTATCCTCCTCCCAGGACGGCCTAAACACGTCCGCCTTCTGATCGGCGTCCCGCATGGTGGCACGTCTTTGGGCATGAATCTTTGCATGCAATGTTGAACCGCGATCGAGATCCTCCAAATTCTGGCCGGAAGGAGAGTCGCAGGCTGGTGAGTGTTTCTCAGGCCCGCATGGATGTCGTCACTTTGTCTCTGGACAAGGGGCTCTTGTGGCGTCTAGTTGAAATTCACGCCGTCGCTATGGGTGACGCGCCCCGCGTTCCTCACGTGAGACCGCGTATAGTGATTTTCGTATTTGGCGTCCAAACGACGTGAGGTTGATATCTTGGGTTTAAAAAAAAGAGAGAATGGCGCCTTGGGTGATTTGCAAGTAGCCTTGATCTTTCCTTTGACGTATGTCACCACTGTTTGCTCAATAGAGCGGCTGACAGAAAGACAAACAGGGAGCAACGTGACCTCGCACGTGACCTGTAATCAATCCGACACAGTTGACACGGCAACGACGCTTTCCCCAATCCTTATCCCCGGCATTGTTTATTCCAGGGTGCCCAAACTCAAGGATACGCGCAACAAAGGCTCGCGCCTCACACCCTCCAGATGCTTTTCGAATGTAATTTTGCGCCAACCCTTCATGCCTACTCTTTGAATTCCTACAATTCTCCAGTGTTTTAGTACGTCCTCCTTCACCATCAGTCGCCCGTGCGCCCGCCCAACAACCGCCCGCCCACCTCAACGATCAACACCATCACCACCATCGCGACCCCGCACAGACGACAGCATCTGGACCATTTGCATGGAGTGATCGTCTCTCCTGTACCAAGTTCCATTCCGAAAGCGTCGCCATGGAGCACGCTTGGTTGGATTCCCTGTCGGAGGATTGGGTCTCCCAGCCTGGGTCTGCAGACACCTCCGCCGCGCAGCTACCGCCTCTCAAGGACGACGACGCGATCATCAAACACAAAGAAACCCCGAGCCGAATACCACGTAGGACGTTTGGTCCACGGTCTCAATTATCGAACTCGAACTCCTCCAGCATTAGCGTCCTCAATGAGCGTACCGCAAACGACATCAACATTTCGAGCAAGCGACTGTCGTCTAAGCTTTTTCAAGAATCAAAACATGCACGTGGGGCAACCGGAAGTAGATCTGTCTCGGCCTCCACGAGCGCATCCGTCGTCCACAACACAATTCAACACAGATCCTCTCCAGATAAGAGCAAGGTCGAAACCCCAGAATGGAAGCGACGTCTAGTGTACGGAGACGTCCAGTACGGAGAACAGCGCGACCTATTTTGCTCTGCTGCTGCTGGCCTCCAAGACATGTTCAAGCCTCCTTCTGTGACCGATGAAGAAGAGCAGCACGGGTCGTCGATGCCCTCCAGCCCGCCGTCCTACCCTCAGCGCATGGCCACTGGCGACTTCCATGGCCTTGAGGGGCTTGATCTGGACGAGCTTGAAGACGACGAACCACTCTATCCCAACGATGTTACACCTAGCCCCAGCCCAAGGAGAACAAAGAGGGAGATTCAATACAAGCTGAACGAGGAGGATTCTTATCTTTCGAGCCAGCTCAGTGGACCAGAGGATGCGACTCCTTCCCGACAACCCGAGATCTATCGAGATGAGAGTTGCCTAACTGAGCCAGTTGATGAGGATGCCAACGTCCGGAAAACTAGTGGCCAGAGTGTCATCCGCAACGAGGATTTCAGCCCGATTCTTATTGGGAAACACAGCGACGAAAATGGAAAGGTGGATTTCGCGCCCCTCGAGCTGCCTGCGGATCAGCTGAAGTTGAAGCTCGAAGCGCTGCGAATCAATCAAGTTCTTCTTGACCCCCGAATAGACCCCCAGACTGCATTTGATAGATCCAGTCAGAACGAGCCTGTCGACCTGGAGAACAGTGACGACTATGCCAGGGTAGGAGGATACATTAATCTGCAGAGAGGAGGGCGATCAGCTGAGGGCTCGTTTCGCCATCGCCCGCTGAGCCCAGGGTTCAATGTCGATACGTCTGACATGCTACCTGAAGAGTCCTTGCAGGCCAGCACACCCAAACAATTTCCTTCGATGCGGACAGATGCGACCAACCCATACCAAAACGACCAATTCTCCCTCAGCCCTTCGATGCCTCGAGCTCCTTTCCCTAGCCCAGACAAGAGGGAAATCACCGCTGGACGAAGTGCGCCATCGGGTGGAAGCCCCCTAAAACTTTTTGGACCATACGATACTTTTACCAACCAGACACTCCTCAGACGGATTAGTCAATTCGAGGAGACATTGTCTGGTACGACTTCGCGACAATCCTTTGGCTCAGTCATCCAACACGACCGCTCGCCGTCCCCCGAGAACCAATCACGTATACCTGCATCTAGCCCCGGCGGCCTCGATCAATCCCCTGGGCTGAGATCAGTCAGTCAATTTGGCGCTGGTCACCTGGAAGGATATGAATTCAGTGGCGATGCTTCCTACGTGTCGCAGAACGACTTCGAGGCCTCCGATAAAGAAAATACTTCCCCCCAGCCACTGGGTTCTCACCCCGTCGAGCCCATGTTCCACCGCCCACTACGAGAAGCATCTCCTGATGAAGAGTCAGAGTTACGCGTCCGCAGAAGGCGGAACAAGTCACTATCGTCATCTGCAAGCAAACACATGAGAACGTTCTCGAGTTCCAGCCAAATCCGCAAGATTCTTAGCCCAGCGAAAGGAGCACCGGGCGCTGACATAACACTGTTGCGCGATGGTTCCGAAGGCAAAAGACCCAGGACTTCCCCGTCCAAAGATCCCACTCCTAAGCGTCGGCGCACGCTCCACCGCTCCGATATTGCCTTTGGTCACGAGGACCGTTTAGCCAACGTGGACTCTGCATCTCGTGAGATGCAGTCAGTGATGGGAAAGAAGCGCAAGGATGCTCGACCAGGTACCTTCCAGCTTGCGGACCCAAGTATTCTGGCGATGAGGTCAATTCTGCATCCTATGAGCCCGTCCCTTAGTAGAGGCTCATCACGGAACCACTCGCGGCAGTCTTCCATGGACCCAGAGAGTAAAGGGATTAGCGACCTGCCGTGGAAGTCACCACTCCGGGCGCTACAGGACGAGAGCATCGCGCGGTTTAGCGATGCCCCAGGCGAGGCAGATCGAAAGCCGTCTATTAGGACACAAGACTTTGTTGATCAAGCCGCACAAATTATGGCCATGATCCGAAATCAAGTGAGGGCACCTGGCTTGTCGAGCGTGGAAGAGTCCGAGGCCGAACACGGCGCAGCCAGCCCGGATTACGACGACGACTCATACCAAGAATCGACCAAGGAACCGCTGTCTCGACCACCCAGCCGTGAAGGGCGACCTATGTCAAGGATTCCCGTTCGCCAAGAAGATCCAGAGCTCATTAACCGATTGAAAAAGTACCAGGAGCTGAGCGACATGGGCGATATCATCTCCTCATCCATGCGGTCCATGGGCCTCGCAAAGGATGCGATCCGTGTAGCCCAGGAAGTCGAGCGACATATCGAGGAGCACTCTCGCAACCGATCGGATCTTCCTTATACGACAGACGACGAAGTGATCAGCGACCCGCCCAATATCCGCCTATCGACAAACCCGGCTCGCGAAGTACCTGGTAGCCCTACTCGCGATTTCCATTCACATTCATCAGCAGCTTCCTCGTATCCTACCGGATCTTCTCGGGGCTCCGACTCAAGAAAGATTATTATGCCAGAAAGCGTGTCACATCTCATCCCGGACCGAGTTGGTGGCATGTACCTCGACAAACAAAACAACATCTGGATCAAGAAGAAGGAAACGCCTCCCCGCCGAGACGTCAGCATCCTTCCCTCAGAGGACAGCGAGGACGATCCGTTTGCCAGCATTCCCGACCTCTCTGTTGATATGACTAGGGAGATGCAGAATCTATTGCTGACAGGCAAGAAGCCCACTCCAGACGTCGACCTGAGTGAGCTGGCTAGTCCTTCTCCGTCGCCTCAGCCCCAATCCAGAGGCTTCGTCACACTATCTCCAAATGCGCAACTGAGTCCAAATGTGGCGTCTCTGGCTCGAGAGGAGTTTGAGAAGCTTGACGCTCGGGCAATGGAGGACTCAGAGGTGGATGCAGATGAATCAGTGCAGCGAGACGAGAGTATCCCGGGTATGGACAGCAGCCCGCCTTCGACGACCAAGCGTCGCAACCTCACCATTTCATTTTCGTCACCAGTGGCATCGATCATCCAAGATGTTCTTGCAGAAGACTTGGACAATCTCGAGGATGACCCAGCCATTGAGGAGGACAGTTCGATGAACCCAACGCCAAAGAAAGCCGGGCACTCCGTGGGCAAGTCCGCATTGAAGCACGCCGGCCAGGGATCAGTTCGCGGCACTCGGGTCCCCTCCCGACACATTGCTCATAATGGACCGGCTTTTATCCCCAGGCCTGTGTCACGGATCGACGAGCAAGATGAGGAGAGCACCATCGAGGTTCCGATGGAGGACCAGCGCCAGGTTAGCATTATTGGGGACACGAGCGTCGTCAGCCATAAGACGCCAGATGGCCGTCGCGGCAGCCTGAGCTTCATCATTGGGCACACGCCTTGCAGCAACTTCCTGTCTGTTCCAGCAGATGACAGCGCGGTGATCGGCCAAAATGTTGGGAAGCTCTCGCTGAGCCCATTGTCCGAGTTTACACTCAATAATTCTGACCAGTCGTTTGGATTCGAGGTCAGCTACGTCATGGGGCGCCGCCACATGGCAACAGGCGAAGCCTCTAAGAAGGTCATGTCCATGACGATACGAGACCTCGTGGACAAACTTAGCGAGGTTGAACCATTCGAGCCTTACTGGGAGGACATTACAGAATTGGATCTGCACGAGAAGCGACTGAGCAGCCTGCACATGCTTGATGAGTTTTGTGGCAAATTGGTCACTCTGGACGCATCTCAGAATGCCCTAGGCCATCTCGATGGTGTGCCGCCTAGCGTGCGACAGCTGAAGGCGTCAAACAACATGTTGACAGAGTTGACATCGTGGGACCACTTGATGAACCTGCAGTATGTAGACATTTCCGGTAACGAGGTCAAGAGCCTGTCGGCGCTGAAGGGTCTTGTGCATCTCCGAAGTGTCAAGGCGGATAACAATCAACTGACGAGCCTGGATGGGCTGGATGCACACGATGGACTGCTGTCCCTGCGCGCGAGGGATAACCTCATTGAGGAACTGGACTTTGCAACCATCAAGATGGAGCGCTTGACAGAATTGGATGTGGCTGGTAACCAAATCACATCGGTTCGCAATCTGGAGCTCGTGCCAGCGCTGGCGCGGTTGAAGCTTGGGAAAAACCGCCTCGACAGCTTCACGGTCGAGTCAAGTGTCAAGGGACTACGTGAGTTGGATCTTAATGACAACAGCCTCACCTACTTGGACGTTAGCAACCTGCCAAACCTCCATTTGCTGCACGCCGACCGTAACCGCATCGTCGAGTTGACTGGCTTCAGCCACACTCGCCATTTGGACAGTTTGTCGCTCCGGGAGCAGCGCGGCGAGCAAGCGCTTGACCTTGCTTTCCTTTCAACAGCCTACGAGATCCGCAAGCTATTCCTTTCCGGCAACTACCTTGGCGCATTTGAGCCGACGGTCGACTTTCTCAACCTGCAGCTCCTCGAGCTGGCAAATTGTGGCATCCAGTCGCTGCCCGGCAACCTGGGCCAGCTAATGCCCAATCTACGGACGTTGAATCTCAACTTCAACGCCGTCTCAGATCTAACGCCACTCCGATTCATCCCACGTATGAAGAAGTTGCTGGTTGCGGGCAACCGACTTGCGGATTCGACAACGGTAACGGAACTACTGATTGAGTTCCCACACTTGACTCAACTGGATCTGAGAGACAACCCGGTGACGATTGGGTTCTATCCACCCGTGCAGGTACTAGTTTCTAGGGACCGCACGGATTTCGTCGACCCGTTCATGCTCCCTGACGGGGATGTGGGTCGGGACGACTTGTATGCAAGCCGCCTAGACGAGACTACTAGGCTACGACGACGATTGCACCAGATCGTGTTCGCCGGAAGCTGCAAGCGCCTACGCAAGCTGGACGGACTACCCATTCAGCGAAAGGTGGTGCTATTTAAAGACGACCTTTACCAGACGCTAGTAGCGGAAGGTCTCTTGCCAGACGATACCTTGGTGGGCGAAGGGTCGTCGCCACAGAAGGAGGTGGAAGTGGAGCGTGATGTCGCGTATCCAATCGAGTCTCTGAGGAGCAGCCGATGGAACGCCGAGGACAGTTTTGCTTGATGCAGAGCTTAATGTACAATGCCAAAATCACACGAAGGGGTAATAATGACTTGTCTTGAGTAATGCATGATTTGGCGTTTTGGAATGTTTAATAGGTTGATGGGCCGATGGGGCTGGCGGAAGGACACACTACAGGAACGGAGTTTGGATTGTTTAATTATGCATGCCTGAAGTGTATAAGTACAGGATATGAGAATTGAAGCAAGACAATCTGGTTGGATGAAGATGAGTCTAATGATGGTGATTTGAATTGGCGATTTCTCGTTTCTAGGTTGACTTACGGGTAGTGATTTGAATTAGTGCTTTGAAATGATGATGCTGACTACGAGGTGGATGACGGTGGATGACGGTGGACGGGAGATGAGCATTGGGCGATCAAGGGTACATGGACCAAGCGCCGGCTGTAGCTGCAGAGTGAAGTCACTTGGATGCAATCAATGCAACAGCCCCCGCTCGTGTCTCGCATCTACATCAGATATATCACAATTTCGGTTCAGAGCCCAGACCAAGGGACGTGTCGCATGACCTGGCAGAACCGTCTAGCATGTCTAGCATGCTCCCGATGATTCATCTGGAGAATGAAGAAAAATTTGCGGTCTCCGGCCGGTTCCAGGCGAAACAAAGCGATGGAAAAAGAAAGCAAGCTGATCCTTGTTGCATCTTTGTCAACGTCAATGGCTCCGACGTGCTGGAATTCCCGGGCGGCGCCTGGTGAACTGGGGGGCGAGCGGCCACTGGAGGACCCTGAATGGCCATGACGCGGAGGTGGCGGACGGCACTACAGGGGACGCGCTGGGAGAAGGCGGCAGGGGTCGACGGGTGCATTTATCGGCGGGGCTAGGCCTCGATTGCAGGGGTTACAGGGCCTCCCACCGTTGGGCAGCACCCTTCTGTGGCTACCGGGGCTGCGGGCGGCGGGCGCTGGGCACCTACCGGGTCATTTTACTGCTCGGAAATGGAGCTACAGTGGGCTACAGGTGAACGGCCAACGACAGCTAGCCCAGGGCAAGCAGGGCAACGCATACCAACCAAGGGACGGCCACACAACGTCCATGACTCTTGACTCTTGACTCTTGACTCTTGACTCTTGACTTTGAAACGAAATTCACGCTTGCACACGACGACAACAAAGGACAACAAAACAACCGTCGCAAGATACGCCGGAGCGAAGCCATCGCCAGCCGCTTGCTTTCTTTGTTGACGCGACCATTTGAGCTACGGTGTTAGTGCCCATCCCGTCAACCGCCGGTTCCCGATTCCACGCGCTATGCCCCTCGGGTGAAGCTCTCGCTCTCGCCCTCGCCCTCACCCTCACTCTGGAACCATATCCCTCTACTTCGACTTCGGCTCCCTTTCGAAAACTCTCCTTACTCACCATCGCAACACCCTCACCACCGTCTCCGGCTCGTCCCCATCCATTCATCACGGCCTCGACTCCCTATCCGGGCCATGGCAACGGCGACGGCCCTGGACGTGGCCGACCCGTCCTTGCCCCTCCAGCGCTCCGTCTCCCAACACAGCACCACCTCTCTGCGTTCGTATCGCAGCGCCCACAGCGCAAGAAGCTCCGCCGTCCGAGGCCCTCGCGGCCGCAAGCGCCTCAGCCAACCCAGCAGCTCCTCCAGCAGCGTCGCAGCCAGCGACAAGTCACTAACCAGCTTCCCCAGCTTCTCCCCCGAGAACGCTGGCGGCGACCGCTTCGAGGAACCCGCCTGGTCCAAACCGACAACTCGCCCGCCGACCGACAAGCCGGTTGATCGCGCCATCTCCAGGGTCGGCCGCGGTTCTATCGTGGACAGCTTGACTGGACAATCTAGTGCGCGCAGCGCCCTGTTCGAAGATGCCCCGTTAATGCACAAGGTTCCGGGCGCGCTCCACCAAGCCGATGACGAACACATCCAGCGCTTGATCTCGAGGCATGGCGCGATTGGCCTCGTAAGACAGATTTCCGAGGACCTGGCTCAGCGAGACGCCCAGATTTCCACCTTGCGACGACGTGCGGATGAGCGCGAGAGGGCCCTGCGCAGGATAATACGAGAATGCGGCCTGTCCAATCTCGACCTCGAGACGCGATTGCGCGCCGTCGAGGCTGAGCTGCGCACCAACGGAAAGACCCTGCCGAGGGATGAATCCGGTCTTAGTGATCTCATGAGCGATGCGATGCAGGATACAGTCGTCGCCAATGCCTTGGGCGAGAACAACCGCTCCACCATTCGCGCCAGCAGCCAATCCGTCACCACCAACACATCCAGCAACACCGACACCAGCAGAGGCACTCTGAGGGGATGGAAGGACTATTTCTGGGGCACGGGAACCGCCAAGCGGGGGAGCAGGCCCGACAGCATCAACAGCGAGAGCATCAACTCGTCCACCATCATTCGATCACACTCCAGCATGGATCGCAGGCCAACCCTGCAAGATGACCTCTTCAATCCGCCCGACACCGTCTCGGTGAGGAGCTCTAGTCGAGCTTCTAGCATCCAGCCTGGGCCCGCCGCTGAGCGCAAGTCGTCCGCGTCGCTGGCCCACATGGCTTTGCGGTTGGTGGCCGGCGGTGCCATGACCACTCGCGACGCCGAGTCCAGGGGCCGCGCCGTGAGCACTTCCACCAAGGCTGAGTCTTTGAGGGCCTCGTCGACAACAGGTCGCAGGTCTCAGCCCCGGGCGGTTTCCGTGGCTGGCGGTCCTAAGGCGCTGATGGCGATGCGACGATCGACCCCGGCACCCCCTGACCGAGCAGCATCAAGAGCGCAAGCACTGGAAGCCTGGGACACGATGAGAGGAAGCCCGCCGACTAACGGCTCGCGCCACGAGAGCTATGGTCCCGTCGAGATGGACGCCATCATGCCGCCAGAGACGCAGCCGCCCACTCTGACGCATATTTACAACAACTTCCCCAACAGCGAGTATCTGACGGATCGCTTCGGCTTCATCTACGACCAGCGACGCAAGAGGCGACAGCGCGAGGCGGCCCAGATGGCTCGGCACATTCGCAAAGGCAGCCGCACCGAGATGCTGCTCAACGGCCGCTCCGGCATCTCGCCCAACTCGATCGAGGACTCCCCCAGCCCCAAGTGGAGTGTGTCGAGCGATGGGCGCCCGGAGAGTCCGAGCAGCCTCGAGGAACGGGGAGCAGAGGAGGGCAAGACCAAGAGGTGGCAGGATTATTTGAAGATTGCAACGTTTCCGACGGAGCTCTTGAGCCACACCCCCAGCATTGCCGCTCCGTCTCTCCAGGTGATGGAGGGAGTTGAGGCAGAACCGGCCGTTGAGTCGCCAAAGCCTGCCATTATGTCAACACACTCCGGCCTGATCCCATCGGCGAGCACGACAACGGCTGTCGACAGCGAGACAACGCTCCCCTCTCCGGAGGGACCCATAGTCCTGGCCAAGGAGGATGCTGAGCCGGTCAAGCTCCTGCTCCAGCAGCTCAGCGAAGTGCATGATGCGCTGCAGCGCGAAAAGACGGTTCGATGGAACGACTTCCTTCGCAAAGTTCGAGCTGAGCGTCGACGAGAGGGTGAGGCTGCGGTTGCCGCCGCCGCCGCCGCTGCCGAGGCCCGATATGAGCGTCCGGCCGTTATCCTCCCTGAGACGCGCGTGGCCGATGGCGAGATGATTGGCGTCTCTGGACTGGGCAACAAGGGCAAGGTTGGACGGGCCAAGTGGAACGAGTTCAAGAATCTAGTGCTGGGCGGCATCCCCGTTGCCTACCGCGCCAAGGTCTGGTCGGAGTGCTCTGGAGCAGCAGCACAGCGCGTACCGGGATACTACGATGACTTGGTGGCGCAGAGCGGCAAGGACGACGACCCCATCGTTGTGAGCCAGATCCAGATGGACATTCACCGCACGCTGACGGACAACATCTTCTTCCGCAGAGGCCCTGGTGTGCAGAAGCTCAACGAGGTGCTCCTGGCGTACTCCCGACGCAACAAGGATGTCGGGTACTGCCAGGGCATGAACCTGATAACAGCAAACCTGCTGCTTATTATGCCCTCGGCCGAGGATGCCTTTTGGATCCTCACGTCGATCGTTGAGAACATCCTACCCCACGGGTACTACGACCACTCACTGCTCGCCTCGCGTGCGGACCAGCAGGTGCTCCGCCAGTACGTGTCGTCAATTCTCCCGAAGCTGTCGGCGCACCTGGACTCGCTGTCGATTGAGCTCGAGGCGTTGACCTTTCAGTGGTTCCTGTCCGTCTTTACCGACTGCTTGAGCGCCGAGGCCCTGTTCCGCGTGTGGGATGTTGTCCTCTGCACCAACGACGGCAGCACGTTCTTGTTCCAGGTTGCCCTGGCCCTGCTGAAGCTCAACGAGGGAAACCTGCTGCAGTGCAACACCCCGGCCGGAGTATACACGTACATCAGTCACCAAATGACAGAGCACGCCATCAGCATCGACGGTTTGATGCAGGCTAGTGAAGGACTGCGAAGGGTAGTCCGTCGGGAGGATGTGGAACAACTACGGGAGAAGGCGATTCAGGCTGAAAAGGATATGGTGGCTGCGCGAGATGGCGATTCGACTAGAAGCAAGAAGGACGAGAGCACGGCTGTGCCACAGCCGGAGGAATGACATTGAGAAGAGTAACAGAGATGGGTTGGACACTTCATTTGGACAGCAGGAGTTTGCATCACAGGCCATGATACCCCCCCATTGGAGACGCTGAAACAGCCGCCAGGGGAGTCAGCATTGCGGCGTTCATTTACCAAATGATTTTTTTCTATAGCGGTTCGGTGTGGTATGGCATGGATTGGTTGGCACGGATTGGTTGATTTGACAAAGCACTGCGATATCCCCGTCAGACAGACACGCAAAGACTATCTTTAGATCAGGATTATAGAAGCACGGTATACAATGACATGGCAAATATTATACATTTACGGCACTTGTTACAGCTTGGCTTTGGTGTCCTTGAGCCACTGCTCGTACCACACCTTTCCGAACTCCTGTCGCTCTTGTTCGAGCGCCTGGGCCTCCTCGAACCTCGCTTCGTGCGCATCGAGGCCGGGAGTCTTAAGGTAGTTGATCAGGTCGTGGTACATCTCCGCCTTGAGCACGCCGTAGACACCCGACTTGGGCTTGGTGACGAGGTCCCGCTCCTTGACGAACGTCAGCAGGTCCTCGGGCTTCTCGTAGATGGCATCGGCGATGCCGGCGGCAACGGCCTCGGGGGCGGTGAAGCGACGGGCTTCGAGCACGAGGTGGCGGTACGTGAGGGCGGACATCTTCGTGCGGAAGAGGGCCGACATGGGGGGCTTCAGCGGCGCGCCGAAGAGCAGCTCGTTGACACAGAGGAAGCCGCGTGGAGAGGGCGCCAGGCGGTAATCTTGGGCCGTGGCGAGCATGAGGCCACCGGCAAAGGCGTGGCCGTTGATGAGAGCAACGGTGGGCATGGGGTAGCTGGCGATTGGTGTAAGTCGCGAGAAATCAAATCAAGCAAGGGCACGCAGACGTACCTTAGGAAGCGGCGCCAGACGCTATACAGCAGCGGCCAGTAGCCTTCAGTAGCGACGGCATGCTCGAGGTCGAGCCCGTTGCTGTAGAACTTGGGGATGCCGGACGTGGTGGCCACGACGCCATGCGGATACCCAAACTCGATGATGTCGAGAGCCTCGAGAAAGGCGCGCAACACCGGCGCCGTCAGACGGTTGTCCGGCGGCGAGTTGAGCGTGAGCAGGTAGACGGCCGGCGCGGGCTCGGTGCACGCGAGGGTGCCGCCCGGGTAGGCGGCGTGCGCGGGGATGGTGAGAGAGAAGAGCTGTGCCATTTTGGAGAAGCGCGCGATGAGATCTGGGGAGAAAATGTGGAGGGAGAGAGATTGGAAGATGGGGGTTGAAGATGCGATTATGGGTCCGAGGAGTGAGGGTGAGGTCTCAGTCTCACGCAGCGCCTCGGCTCATGGCTGCTACCGAAGACCCCCGGAATGACCACTGCCGCGCTTGTGAGAGGGTTCCTCGGCGGCAGGCCAGCAACGGGCGCGTGTGTATGTAGCCAGAGATTGGCGTGGTTGTCAACAGGAGAGTAACGGCTTTATTCTATACCGTCTTCTTATTTGTATTCGCTTCATTCGAGAGTAGAGCCATGGTGTTTCTTGCATGTGACGCCAACGACGTCAGACTCCGGGGAAAGGTACGTACCAACCCCCCACCAGTCAACGCGCTCCTTCCGCCTGCCCCACGCTGGGAGTTGCGCCTTCCTCACTGCTGCAAGCTCTCTAATAATATCTGGCAGCTTCAACCGCACCCCCACAATCTCCAACTCGGCCTCATCCCACCACCACCACCACCCCACCTGAGGCACACAACACGACTCCCTCACAATGCCTGACGGCAAGCAAGACAACGGCCAGGGCGCCATCGTCTTCTTCCACCCCGACCTCGGCATCGGCGGCGCTGAGCGGCTTGTCGTCGACGCCGCCGTCGGCCTGCAGAACCGCGGCCGTCGGGTCGTCATCTACACCAACCACTGCGATCCGAAGCACTGCTTTGACGAATGTCGCGATGGTACGGTCTGTTCCCCTTTACGCAGCTCCTTGGCTGATTTTGTTAGGCACCCTCGAAGTCCGAGTCCGCGGCCACTGGCTCATCCCCATGTCGATTCTCTCCCGCCTCACCATCCTCTGCGCCATCCTCCGCCACATCCACCTCATCGTCCACATCACCGTCTCCGGTGAATTGAGCGCGCTGCAACCCCGCGCCTTCGTCATCGACCAGCTCTCTGCCGGCCTGCCTCTGCTGCGCTACCTCTTTCCCGCGCAGCCCATCCTCTTCTACTGCCACTTCCCCGACCTGCTGCTCGCCCGCGGCCGCGAGTCGGCCCTCAAGCGCCTCTACCGCGTGCCCTTCGACTGGATCGAGCAGTGGAGCATGAGCTTCGCGCAAGCCGTCGCCGTCAACTCCGAATTTACAAAGGGTATCGTCGCTCGTGCTTTGCCGGGGCTGAAGAACAATGTCGAGACAAAGGTCGTCTATCCCTGCGTTGATATCGAGCCCAAGGAGGACGAAATCACACTGGATGAAAATGTATTCAAGGACGAGAAGCTCATCCTCAGCATCAACCGTTTCGAGAGAAAGAAGGATATTGCTCTGGCCATCAAAGCCTTTGCTGCTATTCCCCAGGACCAGCGCAAGGGAGTGCGACTCGTCCTCGCAGGTATGACTCTCTCCTCAACTCACGATACTAAGCTGACATCCCAGGTGGCTACGATCACCGCGTCTCCGAGAATGTCCAATACCACAACGAGCTCCAAGAACTCGCCTCCTCCCTCAACCTGGAGCACACCACCGCCAAAACGCTCATCACCGCCCTCTCCGCCCCGGTCTCCATCCCTGTCCTCTTCCTCCTCTCCATCCCCAACTCTCTCAAGGCCACACTCCTCCGCTCCGCCCGCGTGCTTGTATATACCCCCGCGAACGAGCACTTTGGCATCGTGCCCCTCGAGGCCATGCTCGCCCGCACCCCCGTTCTGGCCGCCAACTCAGGCGGTCCCGTCGAGACCATCCGCGACGGCGAAACTGGCTGGTTGCGCTCCCCCGATGACGTATCCGCCTGGTCGGACGTCATTCTGCGGGCCCTTGCCATGTCTGATGCTGAGCTGGCCCGCATGGGCGACAGCGGTGCGACGCGAGTACGGAGCCTTTTTGGCCGGGACCACATGGCTGCCCGGTTCGACACCATTATCAATGAGATTGTAGGACAGAAGCGTTCTCTATCAATCTTCAACACCATTGTCAATGCCGCCGCTCTTATCACCTTTTTTACTCTGGGTCTAGTCATCTCTAGCGTTTATGCGCGAGGGGGAACTTCGGTTTCTGAATAGTCGATTTGTTGTGTACGATAGATGTACGACTTGCTAGATAGGCACCTAGGTAGTAACCGCGTCGGAATAATAGCTACATGGCCACGGCCTGTAGAAGTACCAACACATACCCTAGTCTCATTGAACTCGGCGTCACCATTCACGGTCATACGTCACACCGATCCATTGATTCATCATCAACTAGCTCCTATCGTCCGCCTATCCTTGCTGTCATATTACACAAGAAGACAAAACAACGCTGCTCCTCCAGTTCCTATGCAAATGCTCCCATTGCCGCGCTCTCCCTGGCGCTGGCTGTCCCACAAGCAACAAATACAGCTGTCCGCTCTTGGCTTTGAAACGGTGAATAGTGACATTTTCGTGTGCACAGATGGCCTCCTATCCCAGTTAAACCCCATGGTGTCCCGGTGGTAATGCTGTCCATGCTCAAGCAGTCTTTGTAATCCTTTGTATGAAATCCGTCATGTACACGGGCTCCTGGCTTCCATTCCTAGCGATGTGATGCCCAAGGTCTGCTGTTCGACCCGTTCGCCAACCCAAACCAATCTCCATCATCGCAACCTAGCTCTCATAAACCCATCGTCATCTCATTCCCTCATCCCGTCATCGCTGTCATCTCCGTTGGAAGACATCCCGAATCCGTCCATGACATCCGCTAGCGATTAAACCACCCAAAGAAGAAAGAAATCAGAGGTAATTCCTCCAGAAACGATAGTCTAGTAATACCACGCACAGTTCTGATGCGATTGCAGACACAACCTCGTTGGTCTGATGCTCCCATGATGTTTCCAAAACAGTGGCACAAATGCAAATTGGCCCAATAAAAAGTCCTTCATCGCTGGTGTGATGTCTGACAGTAGTGTATGAATAAAAACGAGTAAAATCTCAAGAGTGGGGTAGGGTATCATTGTTCGTAGTGCGACGTCCCCTCGTCGTAGTGTACGGGAATCTTCTTGGCCGTCTCCGTGCTCGCAATGCTGATATTGGTATCACGCCGCCGCGCAGAAAAGGCTGGAGGCCGTGAGATGGAGGCCGGGGGTGGCATTGGCTTCTTCTTCGCCTTTGCCATTAGCAGAATTCCATCGTCACTGCCATCATCATCGTCGTCATCCTCGACAGGTCTAGCCACAGGGGTGCTTGTCACTGAGTCCCGAGAGCCGCTCCCTCCCAGGTGCAGAGCCAATGGGCCACTATCCATGGCAGGAGGGTTCACAAACACCTGGTCGATAGGGAAGCCAGAGGTTGGCTCCTTGTTCATGGCTGGAGGCGTAAGAGAGTCTGTGGTTTCGAGGAGCGATGGGTGGGCACTAACAACCCCTGGCTTGCAGAGCAGCTCGGCTTCCATGTCTGCAGACACGGAGCTGGCACCGCTGAGCAACGCTGGTAGGGATGGGTCTGACTGGAAAGCAAGCATCCGCTCCGACGTGCTCGCCGTCGAGGGCAACGCAGAGATTGGGCTTGTCAGCTCACTAGGGCTAGTCAGAGGCGTTCCAAAGCCCGCCATCGACTCGGTGCTTGACGACTTGGTCGTCGGCATGGTATCTCCCCGTGATGGGGTGCTTTGGTTTCGCTCCCATTCCTCTGTATCTGGTGAGGGCGGGCATGGGATGGCGATGGGATCGGTGGCCTTGTCCATGCAGTTCTCAAGTGATAAAGGGGTGATGTCGACACGGTGAGCGGTCGGTGGCCTACCGTCAATCACAGGAAGCGGTCGAATGAGGAAGTTGGGATCGGAGTGTGCTTGGCTATGCTGGTACCCAGCGGCCGACTTGAGAGACAAGGCGAGTGGAGATCCCAGTACTTGTTCCGGCACGCCCCGACCGAGATCGACGGATCGGATAGGCCGGTTGTAACGAGAAGGTTTGCCGGGGGCGACTGCAGTGCTCAGTGCCACCTGGGGCTCGGCTCGCTTGTCCGCGCTGGCAAAGAGCCCGCGGTCCACGGAGCGTGCTCGAGAGCTCTCGTCCATTCCTGATCCCATGTCGCGGGCCTTGCGGGCCGTCTCGCTTCTGATCTCCTCTAAGCCATCCATCTGCGGGGAAAAGCTAGGAGTTGTGGGGGTTGTCCGTGAGACAGGCAAGGCGGGTGCGAGATGCAGCCAGTTGTTGGTTGCCCTCCCAAGGCCGAGGTTGTGGCCATGGCTATGGGCGTGTCGATGAAACGGCCAGAGAGAAGCAGGAGAATTGGACCTTTCAGCGTCGTAAGGTGACTCAGTCGTCTCGCTTTGGGCATGAGAATGTCCTCGGGGTGTGTCGACGGACGGCAACACTGTCGCAAGTGGGTCGTAGACTACTGATCCCGGCTGCGTGCTGGCTGTCTGGCTGATGGAGAGGGGATGTTCCGGAGTCGAGCCAGCCTCGCGGATGGCGGTTGAAAAATAATCGTCGGGGCGGAGGCTTTTGCGGCGTTGGTCACGAAAATTCTGATGAGGCGTGGGCGGTACGTTGTTATACATACTATCACCGGCCTCGCTGGCGGCACTGCTTGTAGCTCGATGCCGTGTCCTGCTGTCGCTGCGCTCCACCAGGGGGTGCATGACCTTGCCCACGGCCTTCTTAACAACCGAACGGGCACGCTCAAGAAAGGTGAGCGGAACGACGGCAGAGGACATCTCTCTCTCGTCGACCTGGATCCTGCGACCGGATGAAGGTCTCGCGGGATCGGTGTCGTCGAGCCACCCAATTGGGTTTTCGAGGTTCTGGACGACCCAGGGGTGTCGCTTGATGTCTCGTAGTCGGATTCGCTTCTCGGGGTTCTTCGTGAGCATCTGGCGGAGCAAGTCAACCAACAGGTTATCAACCTCCTCGTAGTCAAGATCGTTGTCGTCTCGGTACGGTGCAATGTTCTGTCGCTTGTAGAGAGACGTGACCGTTGGCGAAGTTGAAGGGTGAACAGGCTTGAGACGACGGCGAGGAATGTACACGTCCTCGGTGGCAATCTTGCGGAACATCTGGAATTCATCCTCGGCAAGGAAAGGGATGCGGGCGTAGATCAGGCAGTACAGCGTTACTCCCAGAGACCAGACATCAATTTGCTCAGACACCCTGGGCTGCGCTTGGTCGATGTCGGTGTAACACAGTTCCGGGGCGAAGAACGCAGGGGTTCCAACCGTCTTGGCAAGCTCGAGGTCGTCATCGAAATCCCTGGCCTCCGACTCCGAGACAGTCTCGAAATCGTAATCGCGAATGGGTCGGCCAAAGTAGGAGACTCCGAAGTCGGATATCTTAACTCGGTGCTCCTTACTCCAGAGAAGGTTTGCAGGCTTAATATCTCGATGCACAACGCCCTGGTAGTGTAGGTACTCCAATCCCAAAACGGTGTCTTGGAACGTGGACCGTGCCTGCGTAAACGTGAAGCAGGGAACGTACGAGAAATCATCGGAGAATGGGTCGTGCTGTTGTTGCGGGTTGAAGTCGATGGAGGACATGTGGGAGATGATGGAGTCGGCCATACTGGGTGAGCGGCCTCGGAAGCCATCCTCGTAGTAGGCACCGTACATGGCTCCGTCCAGGGCGATGCTTGAGGACTGGTTTGAACGGAGACCAGGGGTCTCGAAATCGTCTTCCCAGTCGATAGCCTCGTCGTCATCGATTGCTCGGGTAGATGAGATGGCAGACCGAGACCGTGAGTGGCCCATCGACTCAGCGCGGGAGGTCTGACGCGAAACAGGGCGAGATGGTATTTCGTCGCTGAAGGCAAAATCTTCCCGAGAGGATATGCGAGAATGGCTGCCCAGGCTGCTGCTAGGCTCATCGGTACCATGCTCGGCGCTCCAATGATCTGTCTGGGGGTTGTAGTTCTGAGCCATCCTCGCCCGCTTCAGGTTCTTGAGTGCCTGTCGGTGGTTGAGAATCTCCTCGTATTTTTGCTCTTCGGGAGTCTGAGGCTCGCCTCGCATCTCGCGCTCGATGCGTCTCCGTTCGAATTGGCAGATATGTGGGAGACCCTTCTTGCGCCAGACCACTTCACCAAGTTCGACGTGCTCGAGAACCATGTAGATCTTCTTAAGTTCCGGATCGTCGATAACTTCGAGGAGGGCGACGACGTTTTCATGTCGGATCTTCTTGAGAATGGCGATTTCCTTCTTGGTCTTGTCCTGCGGGGACTTGGCGGTGACCCTACCGAGTCGTCGTTTCTTAGAAAATCGCGGAATGATCTTGATGGCCACATTCTCGCCGGTCTCCATGTTTCGAGCCAGCTTGACCTTTCCGTGCATGCCCCGGCCAATCTCCTCAATCACCTGATACTGGTTGATGGTTTTCCGGCCGGTAGTGGTGTCTGAGTCAATGAGAGCCTTGTGGGTTCTGAGGCTGGCGTTAGCGTTGTACAAGCAAGCCTCGTCGCCTCCCCCACGAGGGTAGATGAAAGGCACGAGAAAGTTTGAAGGGGATTATCATATAGGAAACTTACTCTCTGACTCTGTGCATCTGCAACGGGTGCAGAAGAGGGCTACCGCCCAGGTTGATTGGGGTGTTGCTCTCGGAAACCGAAGTGTACAGGTTTTGTCGAGAGCCCGAAGGGCTGAAGAGGCCTGGAGAAGACATGGGAGTACTGTTCGCGGTCCTCAAAGGCATGGAGGCGGAAGGGGGGAGGTGCGTGTACAGCGGAGGAGTTGGCCGAGCCGTCATCGAGAGGGACGACGACGACTGCTGCTGTGACAGCGACTTGTGGTGGGTTCGGGGGTGGTGATGTTGGTGATGCTGTGAGGGATCCATGATGAATGAATTCGTGATGGTGTCGTCGGTCGAATCGACATAGTGGACGGAAGAAGTCGGCGCAGAAGCGGCCTGAGGAAAGGAAGAGTCACGACAGAGGCGACGGAGAGTCTATAGTGCCATTGTTGCAAGCAGAACGAGTCGAGTGTTGAAGGAGGACACCAAACGGAAGAGAGGTGACAGTGGCAAGAGTAATCAAAGAAGTGAAGGAGGTTGAAGAAGAACGAGAAGATGAGATAGCGACTGGGTCGAGGGAGTGGAGAAAGGTAAAGAGCGAGGTCGTGTGTTTTTTGGGGGGGGGATTTAGCTGGTGGGCTGGGTTCCCGGTCGGTGATGTACGGAGGTGGAGACGGCGGCGGGCGTGGTGTGGGAGCGGAGCGAGTGAGCCAGAGAGCGTTCGTTCGTTCGTTCACGGCCGACAGCGCAGACAGAAGAGGGATCGAGCAACAGGGGGGCGTCCTGGGAGACTGGTGGTCTTGTCTCTGTAGGGCCTGTTTGGTGTGGTCTGGCTGCGGTGGGTACTCGGCGGTGGTACCTTACAGTGCTGGAGCGTCGAGCAGAGTACCAGGCGGCGAGCTGATTGACTGGAGCTTTTTTCTGCTGGGGATGGCCGGCGATGGGCGGGACGGATGGTGGGTGGTGGTGGTGTGGGTAAAAATGGGCGTGTACATCTTCTGTTGTGGTGTGTGGGAGCCAGAAATGTGTGTGTGTGGGCGAGAGGGTGAGCATCGGAATGGGAAAACATGGCGCCAGGAGGAGGGTGAAGTGGGGAAATGTGGCGCACGGACACTGTGTTAGATGCGGCCCCAACGCACTGTAAATACCTCCATCGATTGGACACGCCTGCACCTGTCTGGAATCCACTCGCCACCCAAAATGTTGACTGATTGTACAGTTGTCTCGAGATGATGGGAGACAACGAAAACCCAGATAAGAGGCAAATATGCAGGGAGATAATAGTAGCAGGCATTGCATTATAGCGACTACACTTTGTGCCTCCTGGTTTTGTGAGATGATAACGAGAACCAACACAAGGGTTGAGCCGGTCCCGAGTACAGGAACTAACCTAACCGGTCGGCAATGAACTGCAACCCTCGGCAGGACTCGCACCCTTGGCGATGTAGTTTGGGCTCCAGCTCTGATTGCGACAGCCTAGCGGGCGTAATACCAACCGTTTCTTGGTTCTGTACCTTGCGGGAAATCGATCATCGCGGCGACGTTGGCTGCCAGAGCTGACGCAATTGGGGGGCGGCCAGGAGTCAGGCTCAGAGTGTGATTCGTGAGAGTGGAAACGGGCGCTGACGGATCCCTGTCTCAGCGCCTGGTTCCCTTCCAGGTTAGTACGAAGTACCGTGTGTGAAACTGTGCCGTCCGGTCAAAGCTGCGACACTGGAGGTCGTCCAGTTTATACCGACACAGAGCAGTGCTTGTGCCTCTCGGATTTGTGCTCCATCTCGCTGCAGGAGATACCGTACATTGTACTCCCGCACAACCCTGCCCATGCCATGCCTTGGCCATGCCATCCATGCCCGATGGATGCCCCATGTTCCATGCTCCTCGCAGAATCACAAAGTAATCAATCAACACATGGTACATACATCGGAGGTCGTACTGTGCAGGGGCAGCACAACGCGCTCCCAAAGTCATAGGTGGATGGATAGACAGATGGATGGATGGATTGCCAGGATAGGACACCAAGGGATACCATGGGCGAATAGACAAAAAGGGATCCACCGTATTGCTTTTTCCACCTCGACTCACCATAATCGGTCCCGTTGGGTTCGGTGGCTTGGCTGGGCCCTGCGATGCCAGTCATTGCGATAAGATATGCGACGCTGGTAGGCAGGATTTTTGCTTTTTGGGCACTGGCCCTGAACGTGGGCTTGGCCTTGGGCTTGGCTAGGACCTGGGGCAGAGAGATGGTGAGATCTGGCTGTGGAGACTCCCTGGTACAGGACGAGGATTGGACGTGTTCCAGTGAGGAACCAACAAGTTGGGAACACGCCCGTCGGCGCCCGTTCCAACGTGTTTTCAAAGAGGAAATTGTTCGTGCTCATCACACGCGTGTCTTGTTGACTCCCAGCAATGCGTCTTTTACATTTCCACTCCACGCCGCCCTTCTCGTTCGGCATTGTGCGGCTCGCTTGGTGCCGTGTGTTGCTCGCGTGCCTGGATCGTGGGCCCTGAGACAATCGCTCAGCCCGACGTAAAGTTACAGTGCAATTCCTAGCACGGGCGGGATCCCGGTCGCCTCCTGATTGATAGATTGCCGTTCCTGGTCCAGGGGGCGTGCGTTGAGATGATTAAAGATATGATGTGACGGCGGCCGACAACAGATATGTACTGTAATCGTCGTAATCTTTGCCATGGACAATTGATTGACGGAGTGACGCCGTGGAAGAACACTTAAAGTTCGGCCCTGACTCTCTCCCGCTGGACACAGTTTAGCCTGGATGCATCTGCGGGTGACAAAGCGAGACCACCGGAAGCTACCTTAGATAGTTTCGCCTTGCCGATCAGAATCCGGCAATTTCGGTCCTCCTCTCGCGCATGCTGACACCCGTATCTCCGGTGTCTTTGTTTGCTTTTTTGTCGCGTTGCTCCTGTCGAGTGCTTTCGCGTTGGAAAGCGATAGCCTACCTACCTAGGTATTGTCCGTATTAGCAATGGTGTTTGGCGATAGTGCTACCGTGCGCCTTCTGGCCAATGGTAATGCGCCGTCCATGGTTCCCACTGGCTGCTCCTGCTGGGTGTTGGCGCTGGTGGCTCCTGCCTTCCCACGCGCATGCAGCTGCGCAAGCCCTGCCTCCGGTCCCCGCCGGTCTCGCCTCTGCGCCTTCCACGCCACATACAAGCCAAGCCAAGCCCAGCTACGCCCAGCTACGCCCAGTACGCCCAGTACGCCCAGCTTGGCCCATTCTAGCCCATTCTCAGCTGTCAAAGACACTACCAACACCGCCCAACAACAACACCAACGCACGCCTGAAGCCGCCAACCCATTGGGGACCGGTCGAAGTCCGTCCCGAGACGCACGGAGGCGACGAAAAACACAGCTAACTACCACGGGGGCCACCCTCATGCCAAGTCCCCAAAAGAAAGCAGCAAGGCGTTCGCCGACACAAGATGCCGAATTTGGCCCAACCAACGCCACCGTCTTTCCGTCACGGCTGTAACTCGCCCTATCCGTGTCTCTGCCGTGGTATTCTTTTGACTCTGCTTGTGCAGACCGGGCCAGGGTCATGGAGCCTGGAGCAGCCAGCCGACGGGAGACACAGCGGGCTGAACATCCAAGACCTACAGACAGGGTGCTACCAGCGATAAGGTAGTAAGTACCAATCTGCCTGACTTGACATGGCAACGCAGCACAGGAAAATGTTCCTTGCGGTGTTGCGAATCCCCGACTGGTCTGCGGGCAAAACAGGACGCCAATGTTTCAGCACGTTGAGAGTTCCACGACCACTCCGGCTTTCGAGTCATCGACTCCTGCTACGCTCCTTTATTGCCCTCGAGATGGGCATTCACACACACTTACCGACTACAAACACATGTTATTGTCCACGCCCAGATACATCCAGCTGCCCGGAGTACGTCACCGCCGGGACACTAGTCCTCGGCTACGACCTGCACGTCTTCTCTCCATCGCACCCGTTCGAGCCGCAGGTTCATCGTATGACCCCCCTTCCAAAAGCCTCAAAGGCAATAATTCGAAAGGCTAGCACATGTCTCAGATATCCATTGGGCAATCTCTCCCGTCTATCACTGAAAAGGATCTTTCTGACAAAGAGGGTGATTGCGGCAAAGTCCCCAACTGAGCTACGGCGGCGAGTGTGTGGCTCCAGCACTAACACCACCATCACCATGACCGGCCCGGCTCGGAGTCTAGGCGGAGCACCGAGCGGGCCTTATCCTTGCCAGCGAGCCCTGAATGGCTCACGCCATGGTGAGGTGGAGCCTCGCCGACGACGTTAGGCAGGGAGGCAGTGGGCGGCTGGCAGGACTAGCAGGTCTCCGTGTTCTTGGGGATCTGCAACCCCCGACGGTATCGATTCAAGTGGTCCTCTCCATCCCCTGGCGTCGTCTGGTGAGTTCTGGGGTTTCTTGGCCACCGCCGCTGCTGGGACCCATGATCCTATCGTGGATGCCACCTCGATCACCAAGCAGATGATGCCAGCTCCGTTGGTTTCCCAGCCAGTCTGAAAGCCTTGGGTTGCTGAAAATTTTGCTTAATGATACAGTAGGTGGGCAACCTCCAAGCTCTAATGCCAAATGGCATTCCATGCTGGGCTTTACTACCGGCGCTTGGTCGGTCTCCATGGTCTCTTATGTCCTCGGTCCGTTTTGACTCCATCGCATCGCATCGCATGACGTCGCAGCACAAGAGAGCATGAGTTTTTCACGATGTTGCAGGCTCGTACTACCACGTCAAACCAGCTCTCTGCTCTGGCCACCAGCTCTGGATCTCCGGAAATGTGACCCGTGCTCAGTGCAACATCACCACGGCCCTATTCATGAGGCCACCACCCATGATTGATTCCATAGTCATGCTATGTCTGCGCCAGAGGAGCCGGAAAGAAACATAGTCGGCATTCCTCGTTCCTCGGCTTCAAGACGTGCACAGCTCTCGGGCATCACAGGCAACCAGCTACAGAGTACCTTACCCTCGCTCCAGCACCTAGCGTTCGATGTACAGTAGTCAGTGGAGTGGTACTCGGATGGGTTCAAGTGGGCCATTAGCAGACCCTGGTCGTCTGCCCGCACCCGCCATCCTAGCACACACGCCAGTGTTTCCTCGCTCCGTCTCAATCACAGCCGAAGATCGAGGCCACGGACCAACTCTTGTTCGCCAAGTCGAGCGGGGACTGGCCTCGTCGACCCCCTGCCTCTCTTGGCTGGCCCTCGTCCCCCATGGTCGTCATCATGTCCGGCCGACACGGAGATGTGGCCTCGAGTGCCAGGTCCGACTAAATCGCCCGTAAATCGCCCGCCCCTTTGTGGAGAGACTGTGCAGTAGGGAAGCCGGCCGGCAACGCATCGCGCGCTGCCCCGTGGTCCCGCTCAACTCGACATGATTGTTGTTCAATGTCTACTGCTGCATCAGGGCCTGGCATGGCGACCCGAGTTCCTGCATCCAACGTGGCGGCTGCTCACTGATCTAAGGCGGTCGACGCCCAGCCGTCAAAGAACCAGCCCAGCGCCCACCAACGAGCTATCAGCGCCAGAGTCGAGACCAACCCTGCAGCTACTGCGGCGTTGCAGGGGTGAGGTGTTACGGTACCCAGACAGTACAAACAATACCCAGCAGCTCCCAGCATCCCCTTCCAAACCATGGTAGGAGCCCTGTACCCTGAATGTGCGCAATGCAGGTGATGCGTACGCAGGACTAGGGTCTAGTCCCTTGGACAACGCCCATTGAAACGTTGTCCCGCCGTAAGCGACGGTATGCCTCCCCCGTTGCAGCCGTTCCGTCATCGTGCCTGGTCTGAGGTCTGACACGACTCGCGAAGACGACGGACATGCAGCATAATCGCCAAGGGTGCTACGCTGTTGCCAGAATCGCGGGAATTTTCTCAAGGTGGTGTCGATGGCCTCCCTCTGCATGTCCATGAGCAAAGATCGACAGGCAAGTGTTACATCAAGCCAAATGTGAACATTTCGGCCGGCATCCCGTCCAAGAAGCGCGTTTCCTAATTTCTCATCACACTTTCCGGCAGGCACTTGCTTTGGCCACCAAGCTAGGGCCAATCTCACATCGAATCCTTCAAGCACGTCGCCCGATTCGGACATGTTTTCGGGTTACCAACGCTTGGATCCGAAGGCTTGGTAGAATTCTCTCATCTCATGCAGGTTCTATTGGACGCCAGCTCCAACATATCGCCTATTCTACTCTGGAAATGGCAATGCCTCATCGCACCACAGCTGCGTCTAGTTAATACTCCTAACCGCTACGACGGCAAAATGTGATTCATCACATCCCGTCACCCCATCGCGTCCCCCAGAGTCTAGGCCAGCCCAATACTCCCTCTCACCTTGCAAGTGAACCGCTGACGAGCGGCGACGACGCAACAGTGTGGGAGACGGGAAACGACCCTGAGTGCCAAAATACTTGATTTTCGCCATTTCATGGCCCTGCCACGTTACACACATCTCGGTTTACGGCTTCATGAGGTTGGGCCCAAGCACCTGGCGCCGGCGCAACATGCGTTCAACGGGCGGTTCCCATCCGAGTTCTACTGTCCGGGGTAACTCCACACGGAGCGCTGCGGAGCGACCTTGTTCACATGTACTGGCTGCCACGCCTAAACCTACATCCTGGGTACTATATTGGAACGCAGTGTTCGGGGATTCATGCATGAGCTGGGCCTGGCCTTTCCCCAGTAGATCCCCAGATCCAATACCACCGAGCCCACTCCGTAGATGCTCAGGCGGCGATTAAACTCGGCGTGACTACTCCACCGCGGCACGGGAACCATAAAGGCACTTGGGAGGCCTAAGAATCGGGAGTCTATGACGGAAGGCTCCGGCGCCACCACTGATAAGAACTGCAGATGCTGATGGTGATAGTGGTGCTGACACCCGGTGCGAAAGCTCCCCCGGATGGTGTTTCTCGATCGCAGACGGGCTGCATGGACACATTCCCCGGGCATCAGCAGCAGATTTCCGAAAGCAACCCCAGAACGGGAAGGGGGCGCCGCCGAAAAAGCAAAGAGATGTCTCACGGCTTGCCACGGAAATCCGGGGCATATGCGGAGCAGAACAGGGCTACGGATGTGTCACAGCACTATTTTCAGCGTCTCTACTTTGCACGCAAGTTCACAACGGGACTCGGACCCCTCCACCCAGAGGATGATTTCCCCGCCAAACTAGGATGTTCGCCTCGCCTCACCTCGTCAGGTCAGCCCTCCAATCACCAACCGCATCCGGAAGCCGCCGTACTCCCTAGAAGCCTTGTAGCGCTGAGGGAGGGTGGCACAAGAAAGAGGCTAGCTCAGTGAAATGATAACAGAGGTGAGCAAGAACGCCACTACGGTGAGAAGACGCCAGGATACCGTGCGAGGCTCTTCCAGCGCTGATCGTAAGGGGGCTGTGGCGAACCAGCTCTCAGTTGCGCCTTGGGAAAGCTGTGCTGCACGTCATCCTCGCGTTGGTTGAGGATCACTAATGTGATGGGTGCGTGTGTGGTGGAGCGTGTGGCTACTGGGATTGCACGGAGTACAGAACGTAAGTATGTTTCACTTTAGGACCACCCGTTTGTGGGACATGATACTGAAGGATTCCTCGTCAGATAAGAGGTCTGAGATAAGAGTTTTGAATGTGCGACAAAGTCGAAGCTGAGGAATGGAAGAAGGCCGAACGGATGGAGTTGCCGTCCTCGCCCAGACGAACGACGGCATTTGGCATTCAGTTTCGGGGGGGCATTCGGGACCCGGCTTAGCTGGTGAGACTGGCAGTTCGCATCCGCTTTCCAGCCAGCCCCTTTACTCGCCATCCATCTTCATTCATACCCTCCACCTCATCACCCTGGTCGACACCATCACGTCCATTCTCGTCCATCGGTACCATTCATTTTGCAACTCGCAAGAAAAGTGCGTGAGATCCTCGCGCACCGCTCGCATGTCTCGGGGATCACATTCCCGATTGCCCCATCTCCATGAACTGTCCATCTGATGCAACATGCACCCCTTACTCTCCAAACTACCGATCCTGATGATGCCTCACGGGCTTCTCGCTCAGTCTCGATGCCCTACCTTCAATGTCTCACAGCTTCACCACGAAATCCTTCCCTTGACGGGCTCTGGCTCTGCAGCCACACCTTGTTCACTTCCGGGCAATGGGACCAGTAGTGTCGCGCTGCTAGGACAGTGCGGCGAGAAATCCATCACGACGCGGCTGTGAAGGTGTGCACGAGGGGGTTGGTAGTTGTGGGAGTGGTTGAGACACGGGTCGGCTGACAAGCCATGTGATGTCTGAGTCCTCGCTCGCCCCCGTGGTTGGGTGTAAGGCTCATTCCTGGACCCGGGTGAGGCCGGGAGATGAGAGAGACATAACTATTTGTCGTAAGAAGACGGCACCACATCTTGTCTTGCGACGCGACGCGGGTGAGGCTCAGCTTAGAAGTGTGTGGGTATCCTGATTAACGCTCCGAGTGCGTAACCGGCATCCACCGGCCTGGACCATGGAACTCGGAATGCCTGCCTTGTGATTCAAATGGTGTGTAAGAATGAGGGCGGTTTTGTTCGTATCCGGCCGGATGTCTGGTCTTATGCCCACTGCTAGGCCCCAGGTTATTGCGTAGGCCTGGTAAACTGGTTTCCCAGGACATCGTTCATCCATGGCCCGACCTTGGCAGCGTTCTCGTTGGCCATGCCAGCTTGGGCGAGCTGCTTGGTCCAGTCGGTGACATCGTACAAGGATGTCGTCTTGAGAGCCGAGATGCCGGATGATTTGTCAACGGCGAAGTCCTCGATGACACCATGCCTAGCTTCGAAGCGGAGATTAAGCTGATGGTTTGTCAGTGAGTCCTGCCACTCTGGGGGGTTCAAACTCACATCGAAGGGCAACATGGGCCTCTCCCGGGGGTCATCGTCGTATGGGGACGTTGACAGAGTGAACCTGGGCGTCTGCCCGTAGATCCAGCTCCTGGACCGCAATTCGTCATAGCCCTTGCGGATGTTGACAATACTGAGGGCCTCTTCATCAACCTTGTCTCTAACTTGAAACTCGCCGTACATTTTACCAAACTCGCCCACCACGGCCGCCTCAAACGCGGCATTCTCAATGTCAACGTTCCTAACAGGGCTGCGCACACTGTCCACGCCGCGTGTCTTGATAAACGCTTCAGCAGGGGAACGCAGCATTCCCGAGATGTTGCTCAGGTTGGGACTCCGCAGGAGGCATGTGCCGTGGTGCAATGAACGGAGGCGCGTCAGCTTGTAGGCAGAACCCGAGATCTTGAATGTACCAATGGCATCTCCGGGGACATCCATGACAATGTCGTGTCGCTCGTTGACACGAGTATTGGGCCGTCCCAGGGTGGCGAGAGCGCGCACCACCATATCGGCATGTTTGTTTCGGTCAAAGGCAGCTGGAGGGCAGATGACACTAAAGTTGACATTGCCGCCATCGTGAAATACAGTACCGCCTCCGGAGCGTCGCCGGACGAGCTGCACGGGGCCAGCGGACCATCCGATACTAGAGGGCGAATCTCTAATCTGGGCCAGTCGCTGTAGGTTGACTTCCATCCAGGGGTTCTGGTTGCGGCCGAAGACGATGCAGGGAGCGTTGGTGTAGAGGATGAGGATGGTGGAGTCTTCCGGTGTGTTTTGCAGGAGGTGATGCTCGATAGAGAGGTTGAGAAATGGATCTTGAGAAGCAGACGTGTAGACCTGGACCTTGTTTGAGGGATGAGATGCAGCCTTGGTGAAGCATCGCCGGGGGACAAATGAAGCCAGGGAGGTGAGGCGTCTCGATGGGCGGACTAGGCGGTTAAGGAGAGTCATTGCGAGGTGTGTGGTTTGGGATTGACTCAATGGGACATGGAGTCGATTGTTCCACCGTTGGAGAGCGGCGTGAGTTCCCTGGTTGAGGCTAATTAGGTCGAAAAGTGTTGAGAGCTGTTAGTATGCATCGTGAGTTGGCAGTTGAAAAACATGTCAGCCTTGCAGCGAGGCGACGAACCGCAGGCGGGGTCCTCGACCGGCTGTGGCTTTAGCGGGCTTCAGAGGGTTCTCAGTGGTTCGAGGTGATGGATGCCCCTGCGGCTGGGGTCGTACGTGCCGGAGGTCCCTTGTAAGCCGACGGCAATCCGCTATTGGTTGCGGCGGAGGAAGATGAATTAACCAGAGTTTGAGTCACCACAACCGCACCAATTCCTCGATGAGAAGAAATCGTGGTCAGGTAGACGAGCCTGGGCGTTTATTTCCTTCAACGCAAATTCCCTGCGCAATTGAGTCGTTGCTCCTACGGCTGTTGAATTTTGACGTTTGCTACTAATTAATTGGGGAATTAAGTCAGTACCTAACCTAACCTGCCTGCAGCTAGCAGCCCAAAGCGGAACTTCCACTTGCTCATCAGTGCCCCTCCCCCGCGCTCGCGCTCACCGAGGCCGATATCCAGCCCCAGCTCAACCGCCGCCGCCCCGGCCAGTCCAGCATCACAACCCCCCGCAACGAAAAGGACCGTGTCACCATCCACTCCGGCACCGAAAACGGCGTCATATAGAGATATCCATCTGGGCACGCCCATCCTCCTCACTGTCCCCAACGAGGACCAGCACCCCAAGGACTACGGCAACCAGACCATCAACCTCTTTCCTCGCCCTAGCCATGCCGACTGGACCTACCTCGAGAAGTACGGCATCAAGGCCAGCTCCGGCCGCCGCCGCAGCAGTGCCCGCGAGACCACCGCCCGTGTTGCTGCCGGCGCTGTTGCTGAGAAGTGGCTCAAGGAGGCCTACGGCATTGACATTGTCGCCTTTGTCACCTCCGTCGGCAACATCAAGCTCTTTGAAGACGCTGACGGCATGAGCTCTGACCCTGCCTTCCTCAGTCTCGCCGAGACCATCACCAAGGCCAAGGTTGACGAATTCCTCCCGGTCCGCTGTCCTGACGAAGAAGCCGGCCGACGCATGGAGAACCGCATTGCCGAACTGCGCGACAAGAACGACAGCACTGGCGGCTCTGTCACCTATGTCACCCGCAACTCCCCCGTTGGCCTCGGCGAGCGTTGCTTCGACAAGCTCGAGGCCACCCTCGCTCACGCTATGCTGTCCATCCCCGCAGTCAAGGGCTTTGAGATTGGCTCCGGTTTCCACGGCGCCGAGATGCTCGGCAGCGTCCACAACGACCCCTTCGTCGCTACCCCGGCCCTCGATGCCGCCGCTGAGAAGACGGGCATCCCCCGCTCCCGCCTGCAGACCAAGACCAACCACTCCGGTGGCATTCAGGGCGGCATCTCCAACGGCATGCCCATCTTCTTCAGGGTCGCCTTCAAGCCCCCGGCCATCATCAGCCAGGACCAGACCACCGCTCGCTACGATGCTTCTGGCGAGGGTGTCTTGACCGCCAAGGGCCGCCACGATCCCTGTGTCGTGCCCCGTGCCGTGCCCATTGTTGAGGGCATGGCCGCGCTGGTCAGTGCCGATGCTATCATGTCCCAGCACGCCCGCCAGGTGGGTAAGGGTCTTTCTCTTAAGAAGTCGAAACGTAAAATAAAAAGGAGGATGTGTCATGAGGGTCGCCGACGTATAAATACCAATTAAATGTCCTGTTCATATAAGTTAGATGATTGGATATGTCCATGCACTATATTTCTCGTCGTCTCTTGCGTATCAAAGACTACAACCTTTCTGAATCATGTCGCAAACCATAACATCGGTCTGAATAGCGGTCGGTACCCGCTCCTAAGTGACCTAGCATTCAATCCACATCACATTGCGAACGCCCGAAATACATGAGCCAAACCCCCGTAGACCCTAGACCAAGCCAACCTTGGATATGTCTATATCATGCCCCTGTTTTCCATACCCATTGCAAACGCCGTCCTAGACCTGGTATTCCTCGAGCCCAACCCGCGCCGTAAAGCAGATACAGTAATCTTCCGTATGAACTTGGATAAAATCGTGAATGGTTATAGTAAATTTCAAGGGCCCTGTCCCATGTACGGGTTCTGAAACAGTCCCAACACTTCCCCGGGTATGTATTCAAGCCAAGGGCCGATCAACTCCGGCTGCTGGAGACCAAGGGCTTCAATGTCAATGTCGTGACTGTTGAAAGTGATGGAATTCATGTTTCCCATCGGCTGAGTCCATGGCATTTGGAATGGCACTCCGCCTGACCCATAGTACACTTCATTTGCCCCTACACAGTTGGTGGGGTGGGTAGCGGACATTGTTGACACCGGAATCGCACCGTTTTCTGCCATGGTGCTCGACGATGATGCGCTGTATGCATCGTATCCGTTGGATTGCTGGTTCGAGGGCGTGAATCTGGGCACCATGTACAGTTCTGTGCCATACCCGTCCTCGGGCAAGACGTCGAATTTGACCGTTGGCCGACTCGGGCCGCTGGTGGCAGACATATTGCTATGTCGACGCGGCATCGAGGGTCGCGGAGGCTGCCTCACCGCAGAGGTATTTAGTTGGGGATATGCTGGAGCCAGCAGAGTTGTTGACTCTGGCAGGCTCTGCCTAATAGGGTCGTAGACCATGTTCCCGGGAGGAGTACTTGTTTGCCTCAGTGGCTGTGTGGGGTGGGTGCCAGCCATTGTATCCGGATTCTGATACATGAGTGTCAAACTGGAGCTAGGTGAATTGGCTGTCCCTGCTAGACTCCAGGCGATGGGCGGCCCTGACACCTTCGGGGATGCGAATCTCGGGAACGTGTTTATGTTGCCTTTGCTGTCTCGATGGGACTTGGTGCTCTCATACTCCTCCGACGTGTATGTCTCGCAATCCCAGATGCCCTTGGACTTTTGGTCTAGAGCTGTCAATATGTACTTGACACCGCCCCAATACATCTCAACCTGTTGAAGCGAGTTGTAACAACGTTGGTAGTTCTGATTGGCCGCTGAGGCAAGAAGAGAGTGCCTCGACGACTTTGCCTGTGTGGGCTGCTCCGGCCGCTTAAGGCCTGGTGGTGAACTTGCCCTGGATGGGGTCTCCGAGGCATTCGCGCTCGATTCCATGAGGAATGCGCAGGCAGCAATGTAGATGGGCTGGCTTGTAAACGGGTTCCCGATGAAGCTCTTAGGGTCAATCAGGTCCGCAAAGGACAGGATATCACAGATCGTCTTGGCGCTGCTCATGCTGAGCTCTCGGCTGTCTGGCACCAGCTGCAGTTCGCTTCGGAGTTCAGCAAAGGGCGTAAGCAGCGTCGGCTGATGGAGTATGATGAATAGGGCATGGAACCAGAAATGCAGCAAGATGAAAGTGGTACCCTGACCGGCCCCAAGATACACCTTGAAGTTGCTCACGTTGAACTGCAGTCGCCAGTCCCAGCCCTTGTAGAGTCGGGTAAGTTCATGTTCCATTTCGCCAAGCTTGTCCCAAGTATCCTTGGTCAAGTCTTGGGCATCACGAATCTTGTTCAACACGTCACACACGCGGCCGTAGAGGTTGATGATTTGAAGGAAGATGGGGAAGGGCGCAGGCCACCCAGTGGCCGGGTCAATCGAAGGCTCGGGAAAGGTGAGCTCAAAATCGTCGTCGCGGAACGTCACCGGGCGGCCTGTTCCTGACGAGATGACGCGGTCTAGAATAAAGACTGCCCAGAACGTGTCCATACGCTCCTGGACGACCTCCTTTTGTTGCTCGGGGTTGGGTGGGCTCAATTCATCCTCCTTTTCCTCGGGGCTCTCCTCGTCGCCAGGCTTCCTGATCCAGCTTATGTAGAGGGGATCCTTTTCGCCCTGGTATTGGACTCCCACTTCCTTCTGCAGGCCCAAGTCCACGGCCATCCGGATAGCTAGGCCAAGGTACATCCACAATGCGCTGTCTTGACTTGCGCCAAACCCTTCGTAAGCCATCAGGAGGCACGCCTGGACGGCACCAACGGTTGGGCATGGGAACGTGTCAACAGTGGCCTGCCTGGCTCTCTGAGCAAAGGCAGTACCACGCTCAGTCCTACGCATCTTGTTATTTCCACCCGTAAGGGCGGGTAGGTCTGAAAACCTCGCTGCAAGAGAGCAAACGGAGTCCACAAGGATTGGTTCAACCCTTTTCTCCTTGACCATGCGCAAAAACCTCGGTTGCTTGAGGAACGGATAACTCGAGCCCATCTGAAGAAAAAATGTGTTGACAAGGTTGATTATGAGGGGGTGCACCGGAGCCGGATCGTTTGGATCGTAGACGGGTAGGTCCTCAATGACAACATCGCTCTCGGCGGCGGAGCTGCTACCCAGAGCTCCGCTATGAGTAGACACAGGTGAAGTTGGGGCGATGGAACCAGCGGTCGAGCGACGGCGATCACGCACCGAAACGACCATTTGTTTGAAGCCGGGGACAATGGCAGTTGGGCCAAAGTATCGGAAGTATGGAACGCGATTGTTTTCAGAGCGACGGACAGCTGTTGGAGAGCTCGATGGATCGTGGCCATGGCCATGGCTTGACTGGGAAATGCGTCCTGCCACACCCGGCGCATCACCTTCAGCTGGCTCAGTCGCTTTGGATAGCAAGGTCGCTTCGAGCGGCGGTCGTGGCGCAACCAGTACCTCGGGGGTTACCTTGGCGCGGATCATAGGTTTGTGGGGTTTTGTATCTTCGTCATCGTCGCGGCGATCGGGTAGGTCTCGTCGGTCGGCCTCAGGTCTCCATGCAAGTCCATGCTTTTCGCCCTCCTCCTTCTTGATTTCTTCCGGGTATCCCAAACACCGATGGCCATTCTTGGTACAGGTCGAGCAAAGAGGCCGTTCGCCAGCGCATCTCGTTTTTCGTTTACGGCATGTTAAGCAGCTGCAAGTCGAGTTAGCAAGCTCTCCCGCCAGCTTTCCCCGCTATGTTTCGGCGCGACAAGAGGACATACGCAGCATTGATTCTCCGCCGCTTGGATGGTGGTTGTCCTTGGTTGTGTACGAAGCGGATCGGGCGCGGTGGTGGAACCGAATCCGACGTGTTAATCAAGGTTGCCATGGCTAGGACATGGTGGTCCAGCGCAGATGTAGGATCGTGTTGCTGGGGTTTTATGGAGGTCAAGATGGATCACCGATGGATGGATGACAAGTGACAAGACTTCGGCGGGGTCGCGGGAGCAACTTGCAAGGTTGCCGGCTGGTTCGGCCAAGGAGGCGAGGACGGCCTTGGTAGATGGGCTTGGTTCGGAAGGTATAAGGTGAGGTTTAATATGCAGTGGAGATGTATTAGAGGTAGACGAGATCATGACAATCGCCCAGCAACATCGTCGAGGTCGGGACCGAAGCTTCGACCATGGGACGTAAGTAAGAGGAAGACGTGATGTGAGCCGATCACTTGAGAAGCTGGAGAAGCGATGGCGGGAGGGACGGGAGGCAAGCAACGGAAGCTTAACCAAACGGGGAAATGGACGGGACTGGATGGACGGTGGAGTAGTTACGTTGGAGAGATGGAGTATGGGAGAATGTAGGTTGTGATATTCGAGCAGGCTTGAGGACTAGAAGGCGGAAGGATGGTGGGCCACGCGGTTGAGGACTCAACTCGAACTGGGAAGGGACTGGGACGACAACAATGACAGGGGCGATCCACGCCGGACCAAAGCTTGTGGCAGGCGCGGCGCGGGCCACAGACCACAATGTGGAGTAGTTACTGTGGAAGGAAAGAGCCACATGCATGCACCCTTCTCTCGGTATACCTAACTTATGCTAGGTGCTCCCAATGGTGAGGTGCCTACCTAAAAGGCATATCAAGTGGAAATGGCACTTCTCCTCAGCCGGACCCCGATGTGGGACTTTGGGCAATAATACGTAGGTACCTAGGCAGGTAGCCTTAATTCCTCCATCCCACTCCCCTTCCTTCTCTCTTCCACCCCGCTTTACCTTAGACCCTTCCTCACCTTCTCCTTCTGCTTCCTTTTCCCCAGCCGCCTCGCTTTCCCAAGCTAGGTACCGCTTCTCCTGCCGCCTCTTTCCCCTTCTCCGCACTATCTGTCCATTCCGGGCCGCTGCTCCCCGCCCACCATATCAAGTGACCATCAAAGTGCTGCATTACCATCATCTCCCACGTAACTCCCATGTACCATGGACCATCTACCGGCTGTCCTCCGCAATCCTCCCACTCCTCGTCCACCAACAGAAAGTCATACAGCACACACCAAACAAACCCCCCTCTCTCCGGATGCAATTTGGGGGGGTGGCAGGATCCGTGTTATTAACGAATCACGTAACCACACTGTCAAGGATTCGTTTAGCCGGTTCGCTCCCTCACATCGTGGCGCTCTCCATCCAAATCTCGGCCGGTCGAGCGAAACGCATGTCGATGCAACAGGACAAAACTCGCTGTCGGCTTCTGGTCAGCCACCCCATTGATCACAGTCACGCGAGGTTGAAAAAAAATCCTAATCTCACGCGGCGCCACAACGATGTTCCCAAATAGCTGAGCCCCAGCAGGGATCGCTACAGTAGTCTGCGTCTAGTCACAACGGCATAGCCGTGAAAACATGGCTTGCCAGGTAGCTCATCCCCAGCCGTGTACCCAGAATGAGAGACCATCCGGCAGCCACCCGAAAGCCCCGAAGGTTCCAAAGCCGGGGGTCTCAAGTTCACTGTGGGGGCTTGGCCTTCGGTCTGAAAATCCCCGTGTGCCGCAAATCACAGTCCATGTGCGACTTTCCAAGGGCAAGCTGGGCAGGCTGGGCAGCATTTTGGACGTGTCACCGGTTCACCGGTCAGCTCAGGAAGCAGCAGCCTCTTTTCTGCAAACCCCTCGTCTGGGCATGCAGATCATCATGCACAGTCGAGGTATTGGTTGCTTGTCAATAGGCCACGAGACGTCGCCTACCCTGTAGACTCGACGCCCGAGAATGCCTCACATTCTCTCCATGTCCCCACGTTGTCGCCATTGAGTTTGGGCCAAGACACATGACAAATGATATTTAAGAGCTAAACCAGGGAATTCGGCAGTTGCTTTCCGTTTCCCTGCATGCAGCTCTTGTCCGGAAATGGGTATATCCACGTCGGTGTAGAGGTAGTTTGCAAAATAAAGTTTGGGACCAAATTTGAATCGATTCGCAACGTTAACGCTCACTTAGAACATCGGGAATTAAACCGCAATTCGCCCGTCCACTGAGTTCCTTGTTGTCTAAACATAGTAAATCAATTGATACGAGGCTACTAAATCCAGGATACGCCGTCGACACTTATCAGATGAGACAAGTACGATCCCCACAATATAAAACACATTGCAGACCGCCCATCCCCTTCAACACGTTGGACGCCGGTGTCCAACCCTGTTGCTCGTTTCAGTAAATAACTCCTAACCCCCCCAAGTTGTGTGGTATCGTGGTCCGCCGTAGTCTCAAAGCCCAGTTCCTCATCCAAAAACGATTGTCACTCCCATGTCAGCGCTTACTCTCCTCCAGAGGTCTCCCCCACTCCTCACACCCATCAACATGGCCTCCTCTTGTTGCTGCACCAGGTCTGCTTTGTCTGCACGGTTCCAGACCTCCTGCACGATGCACCATGCTCTTTGGATATTTGTCATGCCTTGTCGACGGTCAATCGCAACAAAAGCCTGACGTGCAAGGTCTCGATCGCCCAGGCTCGTGGCTTCACAGGCGGCGACAAACAAGGGCCACAAGAGAGCTCCCATGGGGCCTGCGTTGTTCACGGTTCCGACGCAATGCGTTAGGCTGACATGGGTGTGGCGCTGCACGAGCGGGTGAGTGCGGGGGTAGCTGTAGATGGTGCGATACAGGTAGACAAAGGCCGAGTGACGATATGCCAACGCGTTATTAAGGATGCTCTGTAGGCGGCCCCTCTCTGCGGACTGCTCGGTGGTAAGCTCCTCCGGATTCCGAGTAAGCACCGAGTCCGAAGGCAGGCCAGGAGTCCAATCCTTTAGAGCTGACTCGATAGACGAGGCCGTAACTTCAAACTCAGTTCGAAGAACGGCCACCTTGGAGAGCTCCCCATGGGTGACGGCAGAATCGAGTTGATCCTTGAGAGCGAGGAGATTAGAGAGGCGATGGATAATAGGCCAGAGTGACGTGGCCATGCCAAGGAGGGTATCGACGCTGCCAAAAGGCGACGATGCACCTCCCGAGTCGAGCGGAGGGAAGGGCGTCATGTAGCTAGCTCCCGGAGCACTGGAGAGGGGGGCTGTCCCAAAAGAGAGGGCCGCAATCACATCGTAGAAGCGGAATGCCTGTATTGGTCAATTCCTGTCACATGGAAAACCCCCCAAAAAAGGAAAAAGGGAATAACGTACTCGTTCGAGGAAAATGCCGGTTGGGTCGCTCGCGGTTTCATTGTTGCTCATAATGGTCAGGGCGCCTTTGAGATGGCCGTCGACAATATTTGACCGGCCTTGCTGAACGAGCTTCAAATTGTTAGTGTCCGGTGTTAAGCAATTCAAGACAAACTCACGACTTCGTAGTAGACGAGTAGCATAATGGCTGCCAAGAGTTCGTTCTGGTTCACCCCCGCTCCCTGCTTAATCAATTGCGCCAGTCCCTGGATGGCTTTGTTATGGAAGTAGACGCTCTTCTCGCCATTCTCAACACCGCGGAACTCGAGGTGCGCACTTGCCAGTGCATATACGGCGTTCGTGACCGACTGGCTATTTTGGCAGAGAGGCAGAACCAGCTGCTGGAACGGGTTGCCACGCTCCTCTCGGAAGACGATCAAGTGGGAGAGCACATTGCAGAAGTGGTCCAACAGGGCCCGGCGGTTCGTGCGGTCGGAGAATTCGGAGAAGTTGGGAGAGCAGAACTCGAAGAGGGGAGACGATACGGAGACGGGGGCAATGAGAGCCAGTGATGGGCTTCGCGTGGTGTGGGCGACCATTGTTGTCGGGGTATGTCGGACGACTTCCTCGACGTCGCCCTCTTCGTCATCCTCTTCGTCATGAGCCGTAACAATAGAGTCTTCGAGGCCTGGAAAATGGAAATCAATCGAGTCGATGGGAGACACGATCGGGAGGTCCCTCGGGCTCCAGGCGAAGAGGCTATCCAGGGGACTCGGAATGGCTGCTTTGGAGGTGATTGGATCTGCCTCAGTCGCGAGGGCCGTCATATCTAGGAGCGCCTCACTGCCGGGCGTTTCTTGCTTCCACTGATGCACAGGACCGGTGGCATCGGGCGACTGGAGAGCCCGCTCTGAACCCGAGGAGGATGAGTGGCCATCATTAGTGAAGCAGGCGATGGATTCACGCCGGCGACGCTGGCGAGGCCGGACGGGCTCGTAGTTGCAGTCCTGGCCGCGCTCCAGACAACGGGCGCATTGAGGCCGGATCTCGTCGCATTTCTTCTTCTATAGGCGCGTTAGGAGTGGCAATCCGGGGTTGGGGGTGGCATTTACTTTTTCTTTGCTGTCGAGGGTGTCATGTCAGCGTCAATTTGTCATGATAGGAACCAGAGGTACTCACCAATAACTACATCCTGAACGGCGCAATCCAAGTTCCAACGGTTAGCGGGGGCTCCTTGGAGGCTGGCAGAGGCGTCGGCGAGGTTTCAGTAGGGCGCACACGTACCTGCGCGGGAGCGCTTCTTGGGAACCTTGGGTGGCGCGAGTCTGGTATATAACAACATGATGAAGTCTTTGGTGTGGGGATGTACAGTCCAAAAGGCGAGGCGATCAAAAACAGTCAATTATTCGTCTTCCATCTGCCCGATCAGGCTATCATTCATGGCCTTCTCGCAGAAGAAAAGCCCAGACTCGGGATCTTATTAGGGTGTAGCTTGCTCAGTCGCGCATGCTCTGGGCGCAAATTGGGTTGTGGGAAAAATACGGCTGCAAGTCGGATGATGGCAGGGCGGGCGGGTGCGGTACGGTGTACGGATCCGTGTAGTGGCCGGGAGTAACCGCAGGGAAGTCGAGGGGAGATGGCGATGTCGGCTGGGTTCGAGGATCTCGATGTTTTGGAGGATGTTGAGGGCAACAAGGACGAACGCTTTCCAGGGGGACAGACGGAGACAGATATGACGGCAGCCGAGGCTCGAGGGAATGGGAAAGAAGAAGGGAAATCAAAAACGGATGCCTTGTGCTGGTTGGGGCGTCATGGTTCGGTCCATCTCTGCACAGCATCGTGACCTTGGAGCGCCGGGCCATCCCTGGCCTTGCTTGACCATCCGTCTAACCCCTGTCGGGTGAAGTGGATCACACCAAGTTGCGGGGTTACAGCAATGCCCAGTGGTACCGACTTGGAGAGGAGAGGCCTTTCTACGGGGGGTCTGGGGGACCTTCTGGGGAGCTTGGGGCTCGCGGGCGTGATTGAGGGGGTTGGAGGGGTGTCGGGGACTTGGGGGGGATGAATTACAGGGGCAGCGGCCTGCATAGGTGGCCAATCCTAAAGCTCACAGGCTCGCATTACAGGGGATAAATAGAGCTAATCACCGGGACGAGACCTATTTCAGCGTATTCACAGTGGCGAGGGTCGCGACAGACGGTACTGTGCCCGGTGCTTCAGTGCTTTCCAGCACCTACAGTGGAGCAGCCCCGCCCGCTTCGGACGCAGCAGGTGACTGTGAAGTGACTGACAATGACAGCTGCAGCCCTCGGACGTCAATGTTCCCACTGTGCTGCCGGGACCCGGGTTTGGGGGTTTGAATTGGGGGAGGAGTTGCAACACCGAGAATCCAGCATGCTTAAGCCAGGTGTGAAGATGGACAGTCGCAGTCACACCCGCAGCCGCAGCCGCACACCGACATCGATGAATCGTCAACGTGGCAATTTACCACATGGCAAACATCCCTCCCTGCATCTACCCAGATCACAGACACAACACCCGGTCCTTGGCCGGCGTCCAGCGCCCGGCGAGATGGAAAATCTGGGGTAAGTTGGCGACGCCGTCGCCCGTTCTGGTCCGGGGTGGTGATGGGCGAGTCGTTGTGACAGGTGCGGCAGAGGTGAACCCCAACGCCAGCGACCAGGGCGCTATCCGTCGCGGCCCCGCGTGGCCTTCAGCCGGTAGAGATCTCCAGGGCTAGATCATGGGAATTGTTCTATTACCCAAGCGGTCAGCGCCGCGGTATTTTCTAGCCTATTCTACGGCTCTTGTGCAGGTCCAGGTCCAGGCAGGAACAAAACAAAAACGTGTTCTCGGGCGGGGGGTAAGTTGGGACGACATCTGCCGGCACCGACACGAGCCGCTGGGTGATGCATACGAGGGAATCCATTATGATGAGAGTTGCGCCGTCGAATCTCTCGTGTCGAGTCCCCCGCATAGTTTGGATGCGGAGGTTGAGTTTGAGGAATATTCTGACGGGGTCACCCGCCCTTCGGGTCGGCCTCGAGATTGCAGGGACAAGGCGACGCTGATCTTTCGAGCGATGATCCTGGGGAAATACGAGAAGTCTAATAAGGCCTGAAAAAGTACCGTCTGGGTCGCTAACTAGCCTCTGCTGGAGTCAGTCTCCGCTGGAGTCAGTCCCTTGCGGATGATCCGGCTGTTTAGCCATAGCCGGGCAAAGTTGCCAAACCGAAGACGGCAGAGAGCAAAGACACGATGCTGGCCAAAGCGGAGTTTCCATGTTCGGAGACCATTGTCCCCACTCCTGTGATGTGTGGCCGACTTCACGCGGATGGAAAGCTCCAGAGCGGTAATGATCGGGGCCTGTTTGAGATCATCAGCCCAGGACCCAACCTATTTCCCTTTATGCGGTGTCGGCTGGGGCTGAAATTTATGGGTGTTCAGTGGCCTTATTATCCATCACCCACCCGTCTTCCAGCTGCCTGCTTAGCATGGCAGGCTCTTTGTCCGATGGGCGGCATTGGCTTCAGATGCCAAAAGACACGGTGGGTCATTGTTACGCGCCGAGGTCGAACACCGCACAAAATGCAACAATTCAGGTGAATGCCTGCTCAAGTCCGGTGGGATGAGTCTAGAATCTGCAGAGGAGACAAGCATACAGTAGGGCTTGCGACTATTCGACGTCTCCTGCTAGATGGGCGTGAGCCGGCCGCTGGTTGGCTGCTTGCCCATTTGTCTCACCCGAGACAGTGGATCGGGCTTGATCAAGCGTGTCGCACCAACTGCTGTGTGCATTTGGAGATAATGGCTTTGGCTTCAGCTCGCCACAATGACTTGGCGGTCAAAGTGCATCCAAGAGAAACGATTGCCAAGGCGAAGCTGGAGGATGGGCTTGCTTGAGCGCAGCGGGTCTATGCCGGGACGCCAACATCGAAGAGGGCATGAATGATGGAAATAATGAGCAAGGATTTATGAAAGCGGCCAACAGAGACATCCATTAAAGGCTTCACTCAGGTGAATGCCGTCATCAATTCGTATCCGCCCGCTCGGATCGGATCTTCATGTTGTACCTGCCTGGACATCGACACGACCTCAGTCACCTGACGTACACCTCTCATCACTTAAACTCCAGTTCATCCCAGCACGAACTCGCACATCATCGATCGCCATTCGCCCCCATCCGCGCCGCTCCGTCGGGGTGAGGCCCTCCTTGACTGCCGTCCTCGTGTCTGCCCTACCGCCATTCCCATTCGTGGCCTTGTCGGTCCAACTCGGCGAATGAGGCCCCATCTTCCGCAAATGCCCCTCTTTTCAGGTATCGCAGCACACCATCTCGCCCAAGCCATGGTCCTTCCGGTGCCCAATGTTGCATCCTACGGGCTTGCCAGCCAATTGCGGCCAGATGCACGCCATGTATGTCTGGGAAGATGGCTGAGGTGGATGCCGTGGCTCAGCGAAACGAGCAGCTGGAGCTCGCAGTGTGCTGCAGCTGCGACAGCGACCAGCAAATGGCAATGCCCCGGCGTCTGAGCCGCTGCGCGTCTTATCCTTCGAGTCTGAGCCTCTGGTGCTGGCTCTATTCTGGGCTGCGCTGGCCCCCGGTGGATTTGAGCCGCGACGTGTCGCTCGCCCAGCTGCCTGCTCCTCTACGTAAAAGTCTCCGGTTGCCATCTACACCCGTGGCGGTGTCGCTCCGACCAAACCTCGCTTGTCCTTACGGCTCACTCACTCCTCGCAAGCGGCGCAGTCGTCCCAGTCTGCCCAACCAAAGGCCCGCGCTGTCGGTTTTGACCCAGTTGTTCAGCCCTATAACTGCTGCGAGCTCTGGGATAGGCCTGGGCCTGGATCCTTGACACCACTGCTGCCCACTCGTGGCGTAGCATCCGCGACCCCGGCCATGGGCGGAATCTCTCAAAGGCCTCCGTTGCTGACAGACTGATTCTCTCACCTCATTCTCATCCTGCCTCCCGATCGTGGTTCTGCCAAATACATCCCAAGTTGACATCGACGACGTGAACCCGTTGACAACACCGACGACGACTGCTAGCGACCACTAAGAAGCGACCGTCTACCACTTTTTGAGCCAGCTCGGCGCCTGCGCCCCACGATCAAGCGACGATCCCAAACACCCTAACGGTACTTCCGTCGCACGCCGGCGCGTCTGACCTCGCATCGGATTTGGGACGCCTGCGTCGACGAACAGACGATGAGGAACTGGGGGGGTCATTCATGCCTCGCCTCGTTGATGGCGGCTCTCTGGGCCACCACCATTGAGGCGGCCGATTACAAAAGATTTGATGGAGTTCACCGGATTGAAAAAGCGCACGTTACAGAAGCCGCGGTGCTGGGACCGAGAGACGATGGCGTGTGCGGGATCAGCATGAAGCTCTGCCCTTCCAGCCTCAGTGGAGGATGCTGTCCGGATAATTACGACTGCGCTAAGGAAAGCTGCTATGCGACCACCAAAGGACCCTCGACATGTGGCACCTTGGTAGGCTGGTATGGTTGCGAAGCCGTCTATGGAGGTTTGTCTCTCTCTTCGATATGGTAAACTTTGCTCACATGCGTAGGTGGATGTTGCCCCGACGGCTACTTGTGTCAGACGGCGGATGCGTGTTTGCCTCCATCAGGCTCAGCTTATACGTATGGATGCGCAGCAAGCGAGTATTTGTGTCCGTCATCGCTCAGCTACGGCTGCTGTCCCAACGGCATGGGTTGCGCTATAAACCAGTGCTACTCTACGGATCCCGTAACCATCACGGCTACGATGGTCATCACTACAACTGAAGCCGGCAGCCGGACGACATACAGAACGACTGCGGTCACTATATCGACGCCAGACGAACCCACAATTCTACCGACGGCTGACAACGGCGACGACAGCCAGCAGTTCATTCTAAAAAAATATCCTTCGGCCATTGCCAAAGTCTCGCCGACCTCTTCATCATCATCCGATTCAAGTGGTGGAAGCGGAGGACTCTCCACCGGTGCCTTGGCCGGTATCATCGCCGGCTCCGTCGCATTTCTCATCATTGTCCTAGTGGCCGCATTTATCATTATTCGTCATCTTAACAAGGTGGTCGCCGCTGTTAGCACACCCAGACGCTCTGACGCCTCCAAGTCCCGCCCCTCAATAAAGGAGTTTAAGCCGACCGACTCTGAAGGTGATACCTTGAGTATCAACCCCTTAATGCTGCCCCCGAGACCGCCTGCGCCTGGTCCAGAATCGGGACCCTCACCGTATAATTTGGGGAGCCCAGACTATAGCTCCAACGACCATACACCTAGTGGTGGAGGCGCTGGTTACCAGCCAGTCTCGGGCAGTGCAGGCAATAGCAGGCACACCAGTTTTGATGCAACTGCACCCAATGATGACTACTTTAATGCCACGACAGGTGGCCCCAGGTTCAGTCAATCCACCGCCGTCTCAGCACCACGCACGAGCAATGACTCCCACGGAACGTATAGGCACGTTCGAAATTGGAGCAACGCATCGGATGGTTCAGATGGCGTGCCAGGATGGACCCCAGCAGCTGCAATGGAGTTGGAGGCCAATCCATATGTCCCGGAGCTACCGAATTCTCCCTCATCTGTGGTATTCCCGCGAGACGACCGACGACGATCCAGTGGTGGAAGCACAGTCAGCAACGCAGTACGCCCACCAATCGCCCACCAGCGCCAGAGGAATCGGAGCGAGTCTTTGGGACAATCCGCGCTCGGAGTTGTTGATGAGGAGATGCACGGCTTTTATGGATCGGCCAATCATCTTGTTGGCCAGACAGATTCACACCGGCCTGGAACTGGGAAATCGAAACATGGACCCAAGCCGAATGAGGGGGAGGGCCATGCTGAGAGTCAAGATGAGAGCCAAGAAGAGGGCCGAGGTGAGGACAGAAGCGAGGGCTATGAGGGAACTCGAAGTTGATTTGTTTTCGATGCTATTTATAAAGCGGACGGAGTTGAAGGACATGGAATGGTGGCACGGCGTTATCTGGCGTATGGTCCAGGGAATCAGGACACCCTTGTTAGCGAACTTGATCATTTACGAATGATAGTTGGAGCAGCCAATTGCGTTTTTGATTTAGTCACTTCTATTCTGTATGATAATTATTAAAATTAGTCCAAGAATCAGCGAACCAGAATAGAACGCCGATCCAGTTGAGGTCATGGCCGTGTGCGCCGTAGAGTAGTTTATGCTTTTATCTTGATCACCATTTCGCCTATGAGATGGCTCTTCCAATTCTTATCTGATAAGTCGATGGAACCTAAACCGAGCCTCAGATCTGAGAGATCGATCGACATCAAGAATTCCGCTTATGGCGGATATGATGTCGTCTGCAGAGCGACTCCACCATGTGTCAAGCATGACGCCTGCAAGGGGACGGGGATTGGCAAGGGGCATGCCGCTAAATATGCCTCTACGAACATGAACTGAGGCTGAAGAAGAAGCCAACAGTCGGTTCTCAGCTCAGCCTGATCGTTCTTGTCCAAACTGCCGCACGAAGTACACGAAGAAGAATACGCCAGTGGAGCTACATGCGAAGCGTCGGGTCAAGCGGCAGGACCCTGGGAGATTGCGTCGGAGCCTCAAAACAGGATCGAGAACTAGGTACTCCTACTGGTAGAAGTAGTCTGCATCAACTCCATGCACAATGTCTATACCAGGCCAGATTCGATCACCCAACTAAACTAGCGTTGAGGTTGTGGATGTCACTAGGAACGCCCTTCGTAAGCCGTGGCTGCGCTCCCGTTCCGCCCCTGTCGTTGCGTGGGTTGAATCATGAACCTGTCTGGTTGCTAGTGTAGAATTCACGAAGTGCTCTGAGTGATTATTTTACGATGTGCGGAACGGCTCTGCTGATCCGGGAGGGGGTAGTTATAAACTGGTGCACTGCCATATCTACTGGTGTGCAGACTTCCCCATAAACTCCAGTCCAGATGAAGTTTTCTATCAACCTGTCGTATGCCGCCCTTGCTCTGGCCAATGCGGACACTGAAAAGCGTGCCTTTCTGGTAACAACTGCAAGCGTCAGGTCGCCGACACTGGAGCTAGGCCTCCGGACATACGTCTCGCCACCTAAACTACTCGAGCTCCATGGAGGCCACTGTCGTCCTCGATCCCACGTGAGTTCTACAAGGCAGAAGTGTTAATCGAAAACAACATTCTAGGATTATCTTGGTTCTTGTAACTATATATACCGGTGATGGTGACCACGAACCGGAGAACCGTGACGTCGGGCCTGAGCTGTTACCGAGGTTCCGACTTCATGAACAGAGTGAGCGGTGCAATGTGAGTAAACTTAGAAACGCACCATCACTGCACCTCAGCGAGAATCTAACCGTTCAATTATGTTTAATTGGGACTCAACACTACGGATAAATCCAAATACAGCGACAGTCACTGATTGGTCCTAGCACTCGGCGTCATGTTGAACCGCTTACCATCACTCCTCAGGTTACAACTAAAACTACCCTAGATATGAGTTAAAGCCGCATCTCCCGACCACCACATACCACATTGAAAAGCATTAAAATGTCTTTCATATTTGAGACTTTGCACTCCTGGTTTCGGCCCACGCTTGTGGCTCTATTTAAGCGCAATATTCCTTGGAACCTGCGTTGGCGGCTCTTCTTTCTACAGCAAATGACCCTCATCTCCTACTCTATCGCAGCCATCCCGTATATATTCTCCCGCCCATTCACCGTTGAGCGTCTGCCAATCGCACCTGGACTGTCTATTCGTGCTCTGATTCACAAAGCAGCTGGTGTAGGCCGAGGTCGTAAGCTTAGGCCATTGCATGTGGAGATTCATGCCGGCGCGTTTGTTGGAGGTATCCCCGATGGTCTATCCGTGTTTGACAACCGCATCGCCAAAGAGACGGGCGCAGTCGTTGTGAGCATCACGCATCGGTTCGCGCCCGAACATGTCTTTCCGACGGCTATTGATGATGTGGATACCGCAATTAGATGGCTTCACGGGAATGCTGAAGCTCGATGGGGTGCGGACCCTACGTTGATGACTATCAGCGGGTTCTCGGCTGGTGGAAATCTTGCCCTCGCGGCGACTCAACAGGAGAGCTGCCACTCTCCCTCCCCCACAGCGATCAAAGCCAGCGTCATCTTTTATGCCCCCATCGATCTACGGCTCAGGCCGCAAGAAAAGCCAAGGCCCGCCGACTTTCCCAAACGGGACCCCGCGGAAGTGCTGCTTCCCTTGTTTGATGCGTACGCAAGCCCGGCGCGAGCAACCCATCTCAACAATCCGAGATTGAATCCCGTGCTCGCAAAGAGGGAGACACTCCCGGAGCGGATGCTGTTTGTGATTCCGGCAATCGATATCGTAGTGGCGGAGCAGATGGCGTTTGCGGAGCGGATCAACGGCGAAGACCAACAGAATGGGGAAACCCCGAGAGTCGAAGTCCTATACGAGGAGAAGGGGTTCCATGGGTACCTAGAACGTGAGTTGTCCATGTAATTGTAAGTCGTTGCTAACCGGAGTAGTCCCTGATTTAATTATCAAGAAGGAAGTCAAGGACAAGGCGTTTGGTAGGGCTGTGAAGTTGCTGAGAGAGACGTATGAGAAGCACGGATGGACCTGGGAGGGCTAATATGTGCTGGCCGCTGTTTATCTTTTTCGCTGATAATCCGGGCCTGGTTGCACCTCCATTCTTGTACGAGTATAGCGTTGTATTTGATAGTGAATGCCAACAATTCCACTCTAAATCCAGTGTAACCGGAACAGTCCTCTATTAATAGAGGTTCCACGTTGCGCTTTGGAATGCGGATGCGATGTCTTTCTGACTGGTCGGTCTACCTCAACTCGACTTGATGGTGTGGGACATGAACTTGGTCATTTATTCAAATTCGATGCATTCAAACACCCATTCTCAATGCCACTATCACCCTGGTCGGGCGCATAGACTCCATATTTGTCCGGGGCAACGGCCTCCGGAATGACATCACAAGGTCAGAGTAAATACCAGTGGAAACCTCAAGAACATAGTCCCTGGGACGGTGAAGAGAGGATAAATCAACGACTGACACGACAGACGAATTGACGCATTTAACCAAGCTTGTTCCACCCCGGTTGTCATGCTGTGTGGTGATAAGCTGTGACAGTGACGAGCCCGCAGGCCCGCCAACAGGTCATCTGCGGCCGGTCGACCCAGCAACGGGGGTAAACAAACGCCTGGGCCGATCCCGACCACCTCGACCAACCATTACAGGCCACACCCGCCAGCGCCTGCCAAAACACCAAATAACACCTGCACGCTCCCAGGAAGATCTTTCCTTACTCATTGTACATTTCTTTTGCGGCCGCCCTTTGTTACCACGAACCTGCGGCGTACATACACAATACCCACCTCGATGCCCCGAAGGAACAAGGCTCAGGACCTCGACTTTGAGATTCACGTCGACCAGTCTTGCATCAGCGAACCTATGGACCACGACGAGCCCACCGAGATGGAGAAGGTGAAGGATCTCGGTGTCGAACAGACACAGACCGAGTCAAGCACCCAACCAAAGGCTGAGCCAGAGGTCAAGCCAGAGGCCGATATCGAGCTCGACAACACCAAAGACGAGCCAGAAGACAATCAAGATACCCCCATCCCCAAAGACCTCGAGGACGATACACAAGACAAGGCGGCGGCCAATGATGCCGATGCAACTCCGCTGGCGGACGAAAACACACAAGACGCACATCACTCAGAGAGCGAGTCAGAGGCTTCGGACTCTCGTCGAGAATCTACTGGGTCTGGATCATCAGGCTCATACGTCTCGCATCGCCGGACGTCTCATCGGACAGAGGCATTGATCCACGCTGCGGCGAGGGACATTGTCGACCAGATTGAGATGAACCGGGGGCGAGAATCGATGAACAGTCTCTCTGGGTCCGAGGACAGCTTTATCTCCCACTCCCAGGGCGGTAGTGCTCGTCCTTCAGATGCCCACTCTGTTGCCCAGAGTCACGGACGAGAGTCTCTTCAGAGCCAAGCCGATGGACGAGAGTCCCTTCACAGCCATGCGGAGTCTTTTGGCGGTGAACGAGATTCTCTCGATAGCCGTGCGGAGTCTTTTGGCGGTGAACGAGATTCTCTCGATAGCCATGCAGCAGAATCCGTTCGTGGACGTGAATCTACCCACAGCGGTTCTGGTGCAGAAGATAGCTACGTCTCCCACTCTCGGCCTGGCAGTGCTCGCCATTCAGACGCCCACTCGGTTGCTGCAAGCCATCGCGAGTCTATCTACAGCGGGCGACAGTCAACCAACAGTCACCGAGAGTCACTCAACAGTCATCGAGAGTCTATCCACAGCCGCGCAGAGTCCACTCGCAGCCACCAACGAGAGTCAATGCACGGCGCCGAAGATAGCTACATGTCTCACCCGGTAAGTGCCCGCCAGTCAAATGGCCACAGATCAGTAGCTGCCGAAAGCCACCACTCAACAGAAGACGAGCGCAGCAGCTCTCGCAATGACATCGACGACGACGTGTTTAGCGACCACAGCCCACGGAGCTCCATGGGCTCTCTCTCCGAATCGGATCACAGAAAGATGGGCAAGCTTGCGCAAATGGACGCATCCCCTCGCATCTCAGACATCAGCCAGTATGACCACGAACAAGAATTTGTGCCCACCATGAGGGAAACCCCACGGCCTGCGTTCAGGTCGCCCTCCTCTGTCAAGGCCATGCAGATGTCCTCACCGCCAGCGTCGGTGATGGGATCTCCTCGAGGCAGGCGGGGCATGTCGACGATATCTCGCCTGGGATCTCCCAGTGTCTCTGCTCAGTACTCTCCCAAGAAGACACCCCCTCGCTTCAAGAGAAACACCCCACCGCTTGTCCTCCTCCACGTCACTCTCCTGCCACTGCGATGGGGCTGGGGAGACGTGTTGGATCGTGCCACGACGGATGAGTTGGGCCAGGATGGCAAGACCCTGCGTGATGCCTGGCGACAGCTCCAGGACCGCATGGGCGACACAACTGTTGAGCGCGGAATCCTGCTGCCTCACCCTCAGAACGACTATGAGATTCTCGAGGAGCGGTTGCTTGAGGCCCTGGAGTTGCCAATGCGACGCCGCGCCCGTATCCTCGAGTGTGGTCACTACCTCGGCCCGTCCAACGAAATGACCTTGACGGACGAGACGGATAGTGAAGATGAGGACTACGATGACGACGACCGAAGGACCTCAAAGCGCAGTTTGGATCAGATCCACTGGTGCAAGACGTGTCGCAGCGATATCCGCTACGACTCGCTCGGCCCAGGCAAGATCTTCCGCGTCAAGGTGTATGCATCAAACGGTCTGATGAAGGCTGGCGCTTGGGAGGCTTGCTGGAAGGAGATGGAACGAGTGGACGTCGAACTCGAGCCTCTTGTCAACCCAAAAGCTCAAGAGGAGCTAAATCGGCTGGAGATTGAACAAGAGAGAGAGATGGAACTTCGGGAGCAGCAGTACGAGGATGAGCTGAATGATCTTCATGAAGACGAATACTCGGATCATGAAGATATGGAGGATGAGCTGGAGGATGAAGACTTGGAGCGTGAGCTCGACCACGACGACAACTTGGAACATCATAATGAACCTCTCGAGAGCCACGAAGAGCATGACGAGCGTCATGAAGAGCATGGCGAGCGTCATGAAGAGCACGATGAGCATCATGAAGACCTCGGTGCGCAACTTCATGAAGACCTCGATGAGGAACTTGAAGATCTCGATAAGGAACTTCATGAAGACCTTCATAACGACCATCTCTCAGAGCATTCTGATGCTCACGAAGATCATGTTGAGCATCTCGATGAGGTCCACGACAGAGAAATTTCTTTTACTGAGCCTACCGCTGAAACCTCTGCGACCGCTGAAATCCCCGACTCTACTCCGGAGTTTGAAGAGCAACTAAGACGAGAGGAGGAGAGAATTCGGGAAATTTACGGCCACGCTCCTACGCAAGATGACGAACACCAATACCAGGCTCATGCACAGTATGAGGAACGATATCAACCCTCAACCGAACCCATGCCCAACTATACCTCTCGCGAGGCTCACTCTCCCTCCGCCGAGGCCTACACTTCCCACGAGGCTCCTAAGTCGAATAAGAATGACAGCCTCCCGGAGCTGCTCCTTGAGTCAGCTCGTGTCTTGATGCAGGACAAGAGGAATCTCATGATTGGCGTGATGAGCTTGCTGATCCTGGTGCTTGCCATGCGAGGTGGTCAGACGCAGTCGGATCCCCGAACGTTCCAGACACTGGTGGTGAGCCCAACAATCACTGTTACTCAGTTGCCGGCTGCGACAGGCGTGCAGATTGTGGCGACGGCTGAGAGCCAGGCTGATATTCAGGTTGAGGAGACTCAAGTTGAAGAGAGCCGAGTTCTTGAGATTGAGGCTGAAGAGAGCTGGGCTCAGGTTGAAATGGAAGAGAGCCAGGTTCTGGAGATTGGGGCTGTAGAGTCCCAGGTTGAGGAGACCCAGATCGAAGACAGCCAAATTGCAGAAAATCAGGTTGCGGAGAGCCAGATTCTGGAGATAGGGGCTGTGGAGTCTCACGTTGAGGAAAGCCAGGTCGAAGAGAGTCAGGTTGCGGAGACTGAGATCGTTGAGCGTGAGGTTATCCCCGACGCCAGCGTTGTCGAGGAGAGCCCCATCCAGGAGAGCGTTACCCCTTCCGAATGCCTTTCAGCTACGGAGAGCAGCTCGACCCCTCATGACAGCCACACCACTGTCCCGGCTTCATCTGGATCCAAGGACCCCTGTGCCTCATATTCACCGACTCATGATGGTGAGCCCTCATCGAGCCAGGAAACTGAGGCGCCAGTCCAAGAGCCACTTCGCGAGACGAAGACGGTCATTTCCGAGAGAATCGTGCGGATCGTTGAGACTGTGACTTCGGTCGAGACGGCAACTATCAGGATTACGGAGACGCAGCTTGTGTCACAGGCCACACAGCCTAGTGATCTTTTTGAGGCTATACCGTCTAGCCAACTTCAAGCACCTGATGCCTTTGTCGAGGGGTCTGCCCTAGAAGAGTCTATCCTTGAAGAGCCTGCCGCCGACGAAGCTATTGCCGAGGGGCCCTTCCCCGAAGAGTCCGTCCTGCCCACCGACGTCTCGGTTGAAGAGTCTGAGACCCTCGTGGCCGACGATGAATCCCTCGAGTCTACGGATGAAGCTGTCACAGAGCCTACAGTTGAGGCTGAGGAACTGATGGAGGAAAACCTGGAGGTCAAGGACGCTGAGCCTATTGAAGAGCCGTCAGCGGGGTCAAATTTAGATATCTGATGCAAGTGCCATGAAGGATATACCTGGGACGTCTTTGATGATTGGGTTCCTGTAGCGAGATTGAATAGTGCGTATCACGAATGTTTATAATTATGATGTGAATAGGGTCAATATGAATATTTAGACGGAATTCGGACAGAAAACATGTGCCATTCTAACGCCTTGCTATGCCTTTCCTCGTGGTATATAGCCGATGTCCTTGGTAGATTCCATCCATTACCTCTCCATCGGAGTCCGTCCTACCCGCCCAGAGCCTTCTCCTAATATCGAGACTCACAAACGAATGTAAATGTCCATGCAGTCGATCCTCCACTCTCGCTTCCCTAGAAGACTGCGCAACCATTCGATTCCTAGCCCGGTCCACTCGGCCTTGCGCGCAGCGGCTGCGTCTAATGCGGCGTTGGTCACGGCAGTGGCAGTCGAGTTGATCATTTCGACGACGCTCGCGTTGAACAAATCGGCCGAGTCGGGTAGGACATCCGTCGGGAGTGCAAGACTCGGGGAGCCGGGTCTGGGGAGGAACCAGTTGCTGCCAAAGTCGAAGAAGCAACGGTCGGACCAGTTGCACGAGGTCAGGAAGAGGATGAGCAGGAGGATGGAGCAATAGACGCAGGGGCGGTTGAGAAAGTATGTGCAGACGAAGAAGAGGAAGATGAAGGCCGGCGAGGCGTTGGTGGGGATGAAGAGGAGGGGAAGCCAGCTAGACCCGTTAGCGGCGACGACATTAATGAGGGAAGAGAAAACATACCTGCGGAGGCAAAACATGATGGCGGCGGAGGTGACTGGAGCCAGATGTCGCGATGCGCTTGGTGGTGTTGAGGTTGGGAGCGTCACGCCACTAGTGCAGCGGCAACATGTGACGGGCAGCGGCAGAAGGGCGGGATGCGGCAGCGAAAAGCGAGTGGGAGCCGAGGGAAGGGCCGAGGCGGGCGACCAAGTCTCTTGGGTCCCAAGGGCGGGAGAGCCTGCGTGCGGTCGAGGGATAAGAATGCTAGTTGGCAGTTGGTGATGCCAAGATGGATTAGTGACGACGAGAGAATGGATCGTTATCGGCCAAAAGTTCGAGGTGCAGACCTGCAGGCGGCTGGCCACCTGGCGAACACCTGCGCCACAGCCCAAGTCCGGTGCCGAGGAAGAGTGGTTAGAGTGGGGGATTAGCGGCAGTGGCCAGCTGCCCGCTAAAGGGCGCTGCAGTGGCCGGTTCAGGCACTGAAACAGCAGAACGGGCCGCTGAGTGCAGCCTGCGGCACAGCGCTTTCAGGACCACGAGGTCGGATTTAGGCCCTAAACAGAGTGCAAAGCGCCCCCACTTGGGTAACAGAGAGAACAAGGCCGGCAGGGGAAGGGAAGGAAGGGAAGGGAACAAAGCAGGGGGCGGATAATTGATTCAGCCGCAACCGCTCGACCCCGGCCCAAGAACACAAGAAAAAAAGATGGGCCTTGCATCCACAGCTTTACCACGTCACTCATCACTGGGCGCGCTGTAGGACTGCACCGACGGGCTGTGACTGGCTGTGACTGGTTCCGACGTGCTCTGACGGGCACTGACACTGGCGTAGCGTCGCGTTGGGCTCCCATCCGCCAGCAGCGAGCGGCCGTGCCAGCTAAGCCAGCAAGCCAGCGAGCCAAGCCAGCCATCGCCAAAATCCGCAGGCGCCGCCCGTCCACCCGCCTTCCCGGCCACTTTCCAAATTTATTTCTCCTGCTTTCTGGGCGACGTGACTAACCACCACTACCACCACCACCTTCCTGCCGCCTCCCGCCTTGACCCAAAACCCTTCCCCAAACATCTCTCCATCACCGCCTCGCCTCCTTAAAAGGCAGGCTTTCTCTGTTCCTCGACCTATCGTTTTGTTTCACTTTCGGACTTGGATTCGGACTGGCTTCTCTTGCTTCCGTCCGATATCCCCCATTGACCCGGACCGAGACGAAGGCGCAGTCGCGAAGAGAGTCTCGTCACTCTCTCGTCACCGCTCCCCGGCTGCCAACATGGACATGGACATGCCCCCGGCGCCGACGCCGCCTGTCAACAGCATGAACATGGGAGCTTCCAACTCGGATCGCACTGCCAATTTGCTGAACCTGCTCAAGTTCAGTGGTGCCTCGCAAATGCAGAACCAGGCTGCGCGCGAACAGGCCCAGCAGCATCAGCAGCAGCAGGCCCAGCAGCAGTACCAGCTCCAACCCCAGGAGCCCCAGCCCCAGCCTCAGGCCCAGCAACAGCAGTATCACCCACAGAACCAGTATGAGTTCCAGCAGCATCAGATGCAGCATCAGCAGCCGCATCCCCAGCAGCAGCAGCCTCAACCCCTGCCGTCCACGGGCATACCCCAGGCTTTTCCCGCTGCGATTCACCAGCCAGCTCCCGCCGCGCCCGACCCGACCGGTATTTTGGCTGCTCTGATGCGAGGTGCACACGAGGCCGACGAGCCCAAGCCGGCCCCGCCACCTCCCCAGCAAGCCTCGAGCTCGTTTGGCAACGGCTCGCCTCCTCCCGATACGCGATCCTACTTGCTCAACCTCCTCAATCGCCCCAAGCCTAGCCAGGGCGACCAGACGATGATGACCGAGTCATCTCGATCCGACAACTTGACTCCCCAGTCTCCGGAGAACACTGCGGCTCAGCCTGCTCCCTACCATGGGCAATACCAGCAGCAGCAGATACACCCTCCCCAGGCCATCCCCTATGCTGTTATGCAGTACCAGGCCGAGCAGTATGCTAAGGCAAACCCTCATGGTTATGAGTACTCGTCTCCCCCTCGGGAGGTTCAGGAACCTCAGCCTCCTGCTGAAGTTTCGGCTCTGTACCAGCAACTCATGGGTACCCTCTCTCAGTCGTCGATGAACCACCAGCTCCATGGCCAACTCAGTCAGAGTCACCACTCCCAGAGTCACCATTCTCAGAGCCACCACTCCCAGTCTCCCAATACGGCTGCCTCTTTCCAAATCCTTAAGAAGGATTCGCCAGCTGGCTCGCAGCACTATGACCAGACTGGAAGTCACCCGACATCGCCCAACCAAATCCGCCGCAAGGCCACCCGCACCTCGTCGCTTCACTCGCACCCCTCGGTCAAACAGACCCCTCCCACTTCCGAATTCGACAGCTACGTGTCTGTTGAGAAGAACAAGGAGTCGGTCTCCGAGGCCCTTAGCGATGTTGCCGACAAGGACGACCACGATGCCCGTGAGGCCCTGGAGCGAGCGGAGCATGAGCAGGTCCAGGCTGAGATTGCCGAGGACCTCGATGCAATGGAAAACGCCAAGTCGGAAAAGGAATTTGAGGAAAGCGCCCATGCTGCTGCCCTGGCTATCCAGGCGGAGCTCGACCTTACGGAGAACGAAGGTGTCCTGGAAGAGGCACTCCCCTCTGATGTCGCAGAGACCGTTCGAGAGATCGTCGATGAGGCTGCGCAGGGTGTGGCCGACAGCTGGGAGAGTGCCGATCAAGATGAGATTGTTGTCATCGAAGAAAAGGAACCTCCTCCTGTCAAGGTGTTCAACTTCCCCATGAAGCCATGGATCTCCATCACGCTTCAAGAGGAGGGCACTGAGCCACGCCCGCAGTTCCGCGACGAGACCATTATGGATATCGCTAGACTCAAGAAGGAATTCGACCAGATCGACCGGAATCTGTACACGGCTACGGAGAACTACATGACCTACGGCATGTCCAAGCAGGGGGGTCTGCGTGTCATTCGCCAGGAGGATGGCAAAGACGCAAAGATCTTTACCGACACAAAGGACCGCATTTTCAACGTGGCCATGTCTGTTACACCCTCGGACCACGACGGCTCCCACCGCGAGGCCATTATCGGTACCGGTATCAGCGGCACCGTCTACTGGGTCCAGATCAGGGATGGCGAAAAGGACCACATCGAGGATGCTCATCTCGAGCAGTACGGTTTTGCCCTGCCTCCCATGAGTTCCCAGGAGGGCGATGCCCCCGGCGGTGTTCTCAAGACGCGCGCCCGCACCTCCACCAACCACCCCGAGTACTTTGCCGTTGGTCGCGGCAAGTCCATCAACCTCATCTGGCCCTCGTACATCTTGCAGAACAACCTGCTTAAGCCCGGCCACGACCGCGTTGTCGACACCGAGACGCTATCCAAGCAGTGCTCTCTCAAGATCAACACGGGCAAGGCTGGCAAGGATTTCACCTTTAGCCAGGACGACTCCGTCATTGTCTCCCTTGACAAGTCGGGTCGGGTCAAGTTCTGGGATGTTCGTGACCTGACCGCTGTCAAGGAGGGCTCCGACCCGCGCGCGCCCATGCCCGCGCAGACTTCTCTGGAGGTCAAGGAGCCCCTGATGACTTTGGCCAGCACCCCTGAGGGCGAGAAGGCCTGGCCCACGTCGGTCATCCTCCTCGATAAGCAGCGCCCTTACCAGAAGCGATGCGCCCTCCGCTACATGATTGTCGGCATGAAGCAGAACCACACCCTCCAACTGTGGGATCTGGCACTGGGCAAGCCTGTCCAGGAGTTCAACCTTCCTCACAGCAAGGAGTCGGATGCCGTCTGCAGCGTCATGTATCACTCGGCCACTGGCATGCTCGTCATTGGTCACCCCACGCGCAACTCGGTGTACTTTGCGCACCTGTCGGCTCCCAAGTACAATCTCAAGAGCGTCACCCAGGCCGAATACATCCAGCGCCTTGTTGCACAGGACGCCTCCATCCCTCAGCCGGATAGTACCGCTGTCATTAGCGGAGTGCGAGAGTACTCCTTTGCTAACCGCGGTATCCTACGCAGCCTTGACATCCTGTGCAACCCTGCCATGGTTCAGGATGCTGACGAGCCTACTCTGTTTGAGCTCTATGCCATGCACTCCAAGGGTGTTGCGTGCCTGCTCATCAAGCAGAACGAGCTCGGATGGTCCAAGGACAACAAGGTCCTCGACGCTGTCGATGCTGTCGCCCAAGGCGTCGTCACAGTCTCCAAGCTCAAGTCGCCTCAGCCGGCAGAGGCAAACGCCGAGGCTATCCCTGTCCGCGTCGTCAACCGTGGAGTTTCTAAGGAATCTCTCCAGGCGACTCCCGCGCCAGTTGATACGCCTCAGCGTGGACCCGAGTCTGTCACTCCCGTCAAGGTCAAGAATGAGCCGAAGGAGGCTGAGACGCCTGCTCAACCCGCCAAGGAGTCGCAATCTCAATCGCAATCGGAGAAGCCTGAGCGCAAATCGCGCAAGAAGAAGAACGCCGCCAAGGAGGAAACCACCACCAACGGGGCCACCCCTCGTGCTGGCAAGGAGCCCAAGCCTGCTCCTGTCGCTGCCGCCACCGTGTCTCAGGAGGCCTTTGACCTGGCCATCTCTGGACTTGAGTCTCGCCTAAGCTCTAGCATGTCAGAGACTCTCAAGACCAACCTCAAGAACCTCAACACCAAGATTGACGACGGTGTTCGTGTTCGCGATGAGAACTTCAACCAGCACCAGCTCAAGCTGCTCGACATGGTTTCAGAGGTTCTCAACGAGAACACTCAAAAGGTACTAGAGGCTCTCATCCACCACGAGTTCACCGATTTGGTGATCCCCGCCATCGGCGACAAGGCTGGCAAAGCTGTTACCGACTTGCTTAACAACAAGCTGCAACCGCATCTGTCTTCGTCTGTCCAGAAGGAGATTCAGAGCGCGCTCCCCCATGCCCTCAGCCGATCTCTGCGTTCGGGTGACTTTGTCAGCGCCATCTCGGACCGTGTCAGTTCTTCTGTCGCTTCCAGCGTGCAGCAGGAGGTTCTGGCCACTCTGACCCAGCGACTCACCCCGACCTTTACGACTATTGCTACCCAGGCTTCCCAGCGGGTTGCCGGCGAGCTTCACCAACAGTACCATGATCAGTTTGAACATATGAAGGCCCAACATGTGGCCGATGCTACCAAGATCGACCAGCTACTGTCTTACGTCACCCGTCTGACCGAAATGGTGTCGAGCATGGCGCAGTCGCAGTCTTCGTTGCAGGCCGAGTTCCTCAAGTTCAAGCAACAGCCCCCTGTTCACGAGCTCCCTGGCGTTCCTGGACCCCAGCACACCGGCCACGGCCATATGGGCCACTATGGCAGCAACATGTCCCAGAACATGTCCCAGAACGCGCCCAGCCATGCGAGCTTCCCTCAGAGCCAGGCCCCGAGCAACCAGCAGTACATGGGCAGCCCCCAGTACGTGCGAGGCCCTCAGCAGCAACAGCAAATGAGCAGTCCTCAGGGCTCCGCCCAGGCCTCCGAATACGTCGCTCCCTCCAACAATGTCAATGCACTTGCTGGTGCCTACGCGAATCAGATGAACAAGTCAGAGCCGGAGGCAGACCACGACCTACTTCAGCGAATTCGAATTGTTGAGCAGGCTATCCAGGAGGGTCGCTACCAGGAGGCCATGATTCAGTGGATTCAGAGCGGTCGTGAGGAGGAAATTTTCCACCGAAGTCTCAGTCGCTTTCCGCCATCCAAGTTTGAGAGCCTCCCACCTCTCATGTTGCTTGTCGTCATTGCAACCATCTCCAAGGACCTCCGGCCCAACCCGCGTCTCAAGGAGGAAATTGAGTGGATCGAAATGGCTCTACGAGCCTTTGCCGAGAACCTTCCCGCTTTCGTAAGTTTTTCCTCGCCAACAGTTGAACACAGCTAACAATCTACAGGAATGGGAGCAGCAGGGTGCTCGTGATGTGATGAAGAGCACTTCCCAGACGATGCAACTGCTCATTGGTCGTGTCCAGCCTCTCATTGGTGGCATTCAAGACGGTTTCCCGACCGACCCCTTCTTGGTCAACGTCGAGAAGGCCAAGCTGGAGTGGGTTGTGCGAACCTCGGAGCATATCCTCGAGACATTCAGCCCGAGACGCTACGAGTAATCGGCCGATCTCGATGACGGCTCAAGGTCTTTCCTCGGCTTGACTCACGTTCTGGTCAACGCCGACTTTGCACTTTATGACTGAACGATGTACATCAGGTTGGAACATCACATAGGAGCATTTGGTGACGTGGCGAAGTGCAATCATTGCATTAATAGTTGATCTTTCATTTGCGCGCCTTGTTTCTTCGTCGTTGGTTTCGTCTTGGGTGATGTTCTGGACGGTTTGCGACGCGATGCAATGATACCCCAAAGGGGGCGAGGAGTGTTTTGGAGGCGGAAGGAAATGATAGGTGTTTTTTTAGTGTATGTTGATAAGAGGGCGTTTAGAAAAGAATGAGTTGTGGCGTTGACTGTTTGCTCTGCGATGAGTGTGATGTCTGAACACGTACCTAGAGTTGACAGTCTAAACTGTGCCTTGCTCTGTTAGCTCGGCTTGTAGGAACGGACCTACTAGTATTGAGTTGGTCAGTGATGAGGACTTGCTGATTGCGTACTTGTAACAGGACAGGTCAAGTTGCCGTTCGGCGCATGTATCCAGTTATGGCTTAGACTGTGGTCGAATCGATACTGCAGGAACTGAAGTGTTGGCGAAGGCAATTGTTCGTCTTCATCCCGTCTTAATCTGTTGGGGGTGGTAGTAATGTGGCAGGTATCCCTGCAACTGCACATCATGAGCGACCTCCGAAATGGGCTGATCGATAATACCCGGCGTCATGTTCATGACAACGACCGACCTAGAGTCTCAGTGGGAGCCGCCTACCTGTGTAAGTTAGGGATGAGATACAAAACGGCAAAGTAGTGGTTCCTGTCGCGTCCAACGCCAAGTAGCCCAGTATTTTAAAATTTAAAGCCACTTATCCTCTCAAGCTCTTGACCTTAAATGCTCACGATCTAAGCTTATCCCTATTTTTACTAGTACTCTTCTTGCTAATTTAATCTAGTCCTTATTATAGATATATCTATTAGTATATCTTCTAGCTATTTTTATATTTCTATATACTTCTTAGAAGTTACTTTCTTAAAGCTATTTATAATTAAATAATAATTATTTATAAGAATTATATAAACTAAAATCTCTACACTCTAAAAGTATACTATTATTAAATAATAAATCAGCTATTATTATACCTTCCCATCCTAGAATTAACTGCCTTCTACTTACAGTATATACACGCACCACCACAGCCGGCCCAACATCCTCACGCACAAGTTGAACATTCCATGCCCATCCTACCTTATCCACAGTTAGAGATTCCGCTCGAAATCCGTCACATAAAGTTGCCATTCTTTCCGTTGTCTTCCTCACCAATCATCATGGATTCACCATTGTGCCCGGTTATTGGACCCATGCCTGTGAACACATAGAATACCACCCATGACATGGTACCGGCACGGAACTGGCTCGTACCGTCGATTCGTTGATTCGCCGATGCTCGATGTTGCGGGTTCCAGGTTTTCGAAGCATGTGTGGAAGTTTAGACAAGTTGTGTTCTTCCTCTGAGGCGGGATCCTCTCTGTCCGGCCACACGTGATGGCTGGCTCTCGATGCCCTAAACCCAGGTAAACCTTGATACTACGGCATCTCCAATGATTCAAAGTTCTATACGACGTCTCGATCGGTGGCTCTCGGCTAAGCCTCCCAACCGTGGATCCACCATCCGCGCCAAGGCGTCAGGTTTGGATCATGCCAAATCGGGCGATGCGGCACAGCTAGTTTGCTATTCCTCGGCGACAGTGACGTCGAGGACTAGCGCCGAAGCAACGTCTTTATTCAATCTGTTGAAGGGACAAGGGTCTGTCTTACATTCATAGAGCCCCTCTTTTGCCTCGCTAGCTTAGTGGTTGAACACGATCAAAATAGGGTTGCAGAACAGTAGTGGAGAATAAGCACTGAAGAAAACCTTCGGGAAGAATTTGTAAACGGATACGGTCTATCTACCCAAGTCTATTACAACCCATGGGGTCCTGATAATGCACGCCGGCATGTTGCCTATCCCAATAACACAAACGTTGATATCATTACAGAGTCTTTGGCACACTCCTCATCGTGGGGTTCACCAGGTCCAGCCGGTTGTGAAGAGGGGCAAAGACCCAGTCCTGGACGGGCTTCAGAATGAGCACAATGTGGTTGATCCTCCACCCCAGGAAGGGGACCATGGCGCCAATGGCAGCGTCAGTTAGGAAATGGTTGGCAGTCGCGACAATGGTGATGAGCATAGCCGTAGGCCATAGAGGGGCAATGATTCGCAGGGGTCGGTGGGGAGAGAAGCGGCACATGCAGACGGCGAAGAACAGAGCCGTGCCAAAGTGCAGACTGGGCATGGCAGCAATGGTGAGCTGGAAGCGGTTGTTGTTCCAGGCGTTGCCTCCGCCGGCCTTACTGTGGAGGATATCGATGAAGCCGTACTCCTGTGGTAGCAAACGGGGAGGCGAGCAACGCCATAGAGTCACAATAAAAAACGCGATGACATTGTCGGTAGCAATGGTACGGCGAATTCGCTGGAAGGTTAAAGTCGGAAGGAATGTGTAAATGTAGACGAGGAAGCAGACGCCAAGGCTGATGTGCGAGTAGTAGACCTTGGCCAAGATTGGCATGAGCCAAGCCTGGTCCTTCATGATGTACTGCTGGAATCGCTGTTCGATGTCGACACCAATAAATCTTTCAAAGGAAAGAATCTGGATAGCGTGGTCGCGAGCGCGGTTAAAAATGGCTTCGTTGCCTGCAATCATCCTCGCAGAGAAGGCTCGGAGCCCCTGGTAGATCCTACACCATGTCAGTCCTGCTCAAGTTACAGCCACAGCAATCATACCAGTACGTCATATTCCAGTACCAGATTTCAACCAGGAAAGGATATGCATTGAAGAATCGGGAGAGCAGGCGGAAGAACAAGTTGGGGGCCTTGCGCACGGGGTTCTCGGTGTGGATGACGGTGGGCTTGAGGGGAGGAGAGCCGTCGGTGTAGAGTTCGCCAGACTCGAGGTCATCGCTGAGCGTCTCCTGGGGGAGGCATTGGCCGCCGCGGCGTCGATTGAGGAGACATCCGGCAGTAAAAGCCAAGACAATGACTAGAGGGTCAGCTTAAGACGACCGAGGTGGGGGGCGAACGATACTCACAGGCTGGCTCGACTACGTTCTTTGCGAGGTTCGTCATGGTTTCGGTTGCTGTCAGACAAGTGGTAACCAGGCGAGAAATCAGGGCTCAGGTATGACGACCTGAGAAGTCGATGCAGCTGGACGGAAAGGATGGAAGGAGAGTGGGCAGCAAGCGACGAGAAACAAAGGAAGGAATGGCGAGGCGAGGCGCGGCGCGAGGTCAAGGATAGCGGCGGATTATGTAGGAGGAGAAGAGAAGGTAAAGAGAGAAGGCCAAGACGAGAACAACCGCAGCCAGGCACGAGACAGTGAAGCAGGGACAGCAAAGCTTGTAATGCTACATTCTCACCTCGACGAAACCCACCATAGACGAAGTACCCAATGCAGAGGGAAATGGGCACATGGAGCCTTACCAGGGTTGGAGTAGGAAGCCAAGAATAAAGGATCATCCTCAATCCTCATCATCCTCATCTGCCTCGTGGGGATCTAATTGTTTCGCCCTTGGCACCTGTAAAAGTACAGATGCGCATGGTGGTGGCATGGACGATATCGAGGCCCCGGGGTGGGCTGCGTCTCCCAGCTGTCTGACCCGGCCGAGGCTGATTATCACTAGGGAAAGGAGACGCCGGCGCAACTAGGCGGAGGAATTCAAAGTGACAAGGGGGAGTGCGAGCAATTGCGAGGGAGTGAATACGTAGGGAATAAGGAGCTGACGGGAAGGTTAGGAAAGCTTGATTCGCAACTTGCACGTGCCGTATTGCCCAACTAGGCAACAGCCGGTATCATATTTCGCACCTGGTGGGCCGCGTAAACCCTCCGTAGCGCTGCCCACGCACCGTCGATACGTCACGTCGGATCACTAAAGCGAGCGGCACAGCGCTGCTGCAACGGCGATTACAGGCCCTTCCGCCCCCAGTAAAGCCACCGGCGGGACGGCCCCAGCGGGCTTTATTCGGCTGTCCGCGGGCGACCATTGGGAGGCGAGGCTGCATCCCCTAGCCCACGGCAATCCAGCCCCCCGGCGCGGCACTGGCTTTACTGATGATGGAAGGGGGGCTGCCACCTACGTTTTTTTTGGTCTTTTAGTGCCTGCCTGCAGTTGGGCGGCCGTTGCGGATGGCTGTGGTGGTGTGGTGCTATAGCGAAGGGAGGGGAGGGTTGGGTTGAGCTGAGGATCTGCCACGCTACATACGTGGATGATACGTAGCTCGGGACTCGACGAGTCGCCTAAGACTCCGTCGGCCTTGTTCGAGGAGTAAGAGGCGTCAATAGCGCCCGGCGAACGCGGCTCCAGAACGCCGTCCCGGAGGCGGAGTTGCGGGAAGCCGGGCGGGTGCCAATTACGGGTTTTTTTCTCTTTGGCACCGGGGCATGTAGTGGCACGGGATTGCCTTGATACCATGGCCAGGATGGATCCAACTCCCTGGCTAAGCTTAGACGGTCATGACATGTCTTTCCGGGGTAAATCAGCAAACCGCTCAATGAATACGGCAGGGAGACAGGGCGACAGAAAGTCAACGGCCCCCTTTTCGTCAATGTCACTCTCGGGGTCCAACGGGAGCGGCGCAGTGACAAATGTTGACGTACCGCTGCGACGCAGGCTTCGCTTTGAACCGTCATGGATGCGAGTGATGCGAGGGGATACGAGGATGGGATTCGATGGATGGCAAGCCACTCTCCACCTTGGGAATACGGTTATCAATGCTGAATGCTGCTTGATGCTTGCTTGATGCCTACTGCCTGCTTCAATGAAACAACTCACAGCCCTACTTGGACCATCATCTGAGGCTGAGATGACTGTACCGACTCCATCTCACCCGGCGTCATGACAATCATTTCCGCCGGAATCCTCACTACGGACTCTTCCCATCGCCCGTCTGCCGATTCGTACGTCTCCGTTGCCCAACGGCATCCGCGGAACCACCATGCACCCCTGTTCCAGGACGGCGGGCCACTTCATTAAACACCGGACCCCTGCAAGCTGTGGCCCGTCACGCAGTCCAGGCCGATGCTGTCTTCACAGAGCAGAGCATGTTAAAACCAAGGCCACGGCCGGATCTCGCGGATCGTTACCAAGATGATGTGGCACCAGTTCACGTCGATTGAGGCCGGCCAAATCTCCAAGCACCAGCCCATCCCCCTGACCCATCCGCCCCGGCCTCGAGCTGTCGTTCCGAGGGATTTTGACCCAAGTCGCATCGCATGCGCCTCGCTCTAGGGCTGACAACACCACCAACGAGGAGCAGAACTCGCCCACCCACGCTGGCAAAAGAAGCTCATGCCGTCGGATGCTGGTCCTGGAGCAACCCAGACTCCCACCGGTCATGCCAGGCTGAGTACGTGGACCGCCCGCGCCGTTACGCAACGCATGCGTACGCAGCGGCGCGCCATCGACCCCCAGCTCTCACGACATGGCCAACGTCAGCTATGCAGATCAGTCTTTGTTGGCGAACTCCTTATTCAAGGGACTCGGTGCAAGTCACGGAGCGAAAATGCGAGTGCCACGAACACAGCGTTATTATAGGCTCTGCAAATGCCGACAACGCACGCTTACATGGTGGTACAATGCAACCATACCATTGTAGGATACAATATCACATCCTTCTATGCGCAGTATGCTTGGATGCGCCGTCTGTGCCAATCCTGCGGGCCACATTCTCACCGGCTAATAAGCGTAAGCCAGCCACAATCTCACCGTCCACAGCTACGATACATGCAGACGCGCGTCCTAGACTTGGAGGCTTGGGCGGCACGTTTGAATCTCATCTGTCACATCACAGCTACATTGGGAATTCAGTAAACATGGTAAATTTTGATTCATCTTCTACAAAAGAGAATAGCAGCAATAGCTGCCTTATGCAATAAGAGTTATAGCGCTCAGCTGAGCTTTTAGGCTTCTATAAGGATTTGTAGGCTTAGCTGAGGACATCTTAGGTTACCTTATTATCCTAAAGCTCGGGACCGAAAACCTGCCCTTTATCTCTATTAGTGCTAGTCTCGGGATTTTACATCCTTACTATCATTCTCACCACGTAACCATTGACTGTGACATCATCCAACTCGTTATACATCTGATCTAATCTGATACCCAGCCGCCATTAGAGGCGTCGTCTATTTGTCGGCCACCTTGATCACAACCTTGCCAAAGTGCGCGCCGCTGTACAAAAACGCAAATGCGTCTGCCGCCTTGTCCATGTCGAAGACGCGGCTCACGACCGGCCGGATCTTGTGCTGCTCGTAGAAGCGCACCATCTCCTCGAAGCGGTCCTTGGGCCCGTTCAGGATGCCCTTGAGCGTCACGTTGCGCCGAAGCGCCAGCACGTTGATGTTGAGCTGCTTGGCCCCGGGCGCGTCCTCGTCCTCCTTGCCCGAGAGGTAGCCCACGCAGTTGATGAGCCCGCCAAACGAGATGCACTCGAAGCTCTTGCGCAGCGTGCGCGCGCCGCCCGTTTCGAAAATGATGTCGACGCCTCTGCCCTTGGTTTCGTTGAGGACCGGTTCTTGCCACTCCCAGTGCGTCTGGTAGTTGATGCCGAAGTCGGCGCCCAACTCCTTCTTGGCCCGCTCCAGCTTGTCGTCGGTGGATGACGTGATGATGGTCTTCAGCCCAGCCGCATGCGCAATCTGCAATCCCGCCACCGACACGCCGCCCGTTCCCTGCAGCAGAACCGTCTCCTTCTTCTTGGCCCCGTCTGCGGGCTGGCCTAACGGTCGCATGCCATTTAAACACGTCCATGCGGTGACCGAGGCCACCGGCAAGCACGCAGCCTCCTCGTCCGTCATGTAATCCGGCACCAAGACGAGAGTCTCAGCGGGGAAGCAGCGGTACTCGGTCAAAACACCAGGGAGCGGAAACCCGAGCCCTGTGGCCATGTCGGCCTCGGTGACCTGGCCCGTCAAGTGGCTCTGGTTGAAGATGGACATGACGCGGGTGCCTGTCTTGATCTTGGACGACTTGCTGTCAACCACGACGCCGCACATGTCTGAGCACGGCACTAGGCCCTCGGTGTCTTGGAGCGTCTGGTGATGATTGTAGAGACCCATGACGACTAAAGAATTAGCACAGCCCATTGATGGCATCGTATCAAGTCACCTTCGGTATCGCGATAGTTGAGGCTCACGGCGAGCACCTTGACCAGCACCTCTCCATCTTTGGGCTTCGGCACCTTGGCCTCTGTGAACTGGAGCTTATCCAACCCATCCTGGGCGGTAGTCCACTGTTTGTTGACGTCGGGCAGGGGCATTGCGATTGCGTTATTTCCCAATGGTAGAAGCGACTTGAGGAATCCTGCCATAGTGAGTTGCGCGTAGTGACAGTGAATGTCTCATATGCAAGATTCAATGACGTCCGCAACGGCTGGAATCTGCAAGGAACGACTGTTATCGGACAGACGCAATCCTAGTCTTATCAAGGTTAGAAATGAATGGCCCCTCTGCCCGAAACTTTTATGCATCAAGGTGCAGATTAATAAGCAATCTCCAACATGTTTCGGCTCCTTCAGCAATTGACTTTCGAAACAGTTGGCAATGACTTCGCTCGGCTTCTTAGTTTGTCAGGTACATAGCTTGGACATTTGATACAAAATGACAAACTCGAGATGTATTCCTTCACAAGGCGCGCTTCGTATCCGGATACATGGTCCTCCTCCACGCAATCTCCTCCCAAGATATCTTAATGCACGCAACAGCCTCTCCATCAAACAAACGACCGGGTTAATTCCCATTCAACAATGCAACCATCAAAAACACCAGCGTCATAAAGCCCCCCCCTTCACCTCTTATATATCGCATCGCGACCAGGCGGATCCAGAATTAGTCGAGGGGAGAGAGCCGGACACCAACCACAAACAAAAACCAAAACAAATGCAGCAATAACTTGACAGTAAAACTTTTTTTCTTTTTCCTCCCAGCAGCTCCTCGTTTCCACATGCTCGCCACATCGCCATCACGTCCGTGTACCACCCTTCAGCGAGCCCAGGCAGGACTCGCGCGTCGCCGTCACGGTCATCTCGGGTGGCCTGACAAGATATTATGGTGGGTATAGTAGTAGTCGTTGTCGTCGCCGAAGCAACTCCCCCAGCGCTGACGCAGAGCAACAGCCTGAGGAGAAGCCCGTGTAGCTGTCTAGACGTAACGTCGTAAAAGCGTCATAATCGTCAAAGTGATGGTCGTAGGTCTTGTCGGGGTACATTTGAGGGTATTCCATGCTTGCTTTGGCAAGCGTCTCGTGACCTTCCGTATGGTTGCCCATTTGTTGAATAATTTCTGTATCCTGATCTCCTATCCCATACTCATCGGGTTGCATCATCATCAAATCGCAAGACAAGGGTTTGCCTCTGCAAATTTCGGGTTGTCGTAAAAAAATCCCACGTAAAACTATATGCGAGGAGCTCCAGCGAGCTCGACTGGCGATTGACCCAGTCAGTATTACAAGTCGTAAAATCAAAATGCCGTGCATAATGTCGATACTGCGTCGCATTCATTAACGTCAACCATAGCAGGCAGGAAGTGTCTAATGGCGGCGTCAGAACTGGATTAGCCTCGGCAACTTCTAGTGGTATCGCGAGGCATTGGTAGAGCTGGAGCCGACACGCGCACCATTGTCGGACGAATCTAGGCATGTTAGTTGTGAATGTGCAGACAAATTGAGTCACATACCGCTGCCACGCGGAACATGGCCGTTAGCACGGCGTCCTCCAAATCCACCGGTGCTCTCCCACTCGGGTCCGCGGGGCTGTCGCTCAGGGGCGCCCTTGGAGCTGCCGTTTGCACCAGGTCGCTGGCTGCCAATGGCGCCAGGGGTGCTTCGGGCTTGGCTCTGGAGAGCGCCGGGCTCAAAGGATCCGAGGCTTAAGCCACTGAGGCTGTTGAGAAGAGCGGCATCGTTCTTGGGGCCAGGGGTGCCGGTGCTACCAGGGTGGACGGGCTGAGATACATAATCACCAAAGCGGGCGGTTGACCCCTGGGTCATGTTGTTGATTCCAGACGGGGCCAGGTAGCTGGAGGAAGCCTGCGAGGGGCTGGGAGTGAAAGAACGGAGATCGGCAAAACTCTTCGCAGCTCGAAGGTTGTTGGGAATGCCGTTACCGTCAGGGCTTCCGGGAAGCTCCAGAGTCGGGCCCTGTCGTCCCATCACGTGGTTGTAGGCACTGCTGGCAGTTCGAGAATCGCGATCAGCGGCAAAGTCAAACGTTGCCGCTCGACTGAGTCCGCGCTTGTGCATGTCCAAGCTGTTAGCAGGCTGGTTGTGCACGTTGGCGGTGGGCGAAGGCTGTTGTCGCTTGAGGACTGTGAGCTGTCTAGAATCAGCCTCACCGATCGACTGGTGCTCCAGGCCCATGTGATGCGCAAGGATGTGGATAGATCGACGGTGCTCAGGGGCGATGCCAGGAGGGAACACGAGAATTTCACGGGAGTCGTCCCGTCTGAACATGACCAGCTCCGTGTAAAACTCGAGCGTCTGAGGGTCATTCAAGTCGACGTCACCTGACCAGTTAGTTTAATTCGTGTGCAAGGCAAAGTGATACATACCTAGGTGAGCAGTAGTTCCTCCCCTCTGCTGACTCTGAGACAAAGCTCCAAGAGACTGGATTGAGCTCTGCTGGTGCAGCATCGGAGCTCGGTGCTGCTCCTCTAGCTGGCCGCGCCTTTCTCGCTTCTCACGCTCGATACGCTCACGCTCGGCCTCAGGCAGCATCTTCTTGTACTCCACGCGCAGCTTGCGCCCATGAACATCCATTCCATTCATCGCCTCAATTACCATGCGAGTATCCTCGGCAGACTGAAAGTTGGCAAAAGCCAGGCCTCGGAAGACACCGTTGTCAAAATGATAGTTGAACGCATACGGCTGGGGAAGATGCATCTCCAACATGATGGACGCCAGCGTCTCTTTCCGAACCGCAAAGGGGATGTTCTTGATCACAATGGCGGTCGGAATGAGCTGGTCGCTGTCGGAAGCGGTCGATCGAAGATCGGTCGGGGAGCCGTGTGAGCCGGGGTGGTCAACTCGGAGGCCACCGTTGGACATGTTGTTTCCCATTCCACCGTTATAGGGCTGGAGACCACCGTGGATGCCAAGAGCGCTGTGGTCAGTCCAGTTCTACGTCTGTCAGCGAAGTCACTTCAATCTAGGAAAATCACGTACCTGAGGAAGAGCAGCGCGTCGGTTAACATTCCTCTGTCGGCCCGGGCCGTTGACAGCACCGTTGACGGTGGCAGCGCCCGAAGTGTTGTAGTTCCAAGCTTGGCCATTATCCAGCATGTACCCGGGCATACCTCCTTGCATGTTGTCCATAGCCCGTGGGTTGTAACCGCCGCCGCCGCCGAGTCTATCAGCGGGATACAAGGCGGCTGAGCCTAGCTGGTTGTTGTCGAAAGGACGCTGCGACTGGCGAGGCAGCGACATGCCAGCGTTGAATCCAGCAGCGCCTCCGTAGTTGGGTCTCGAAGAGCTGGGAGAGCGGCTAGTCGACGTGCCATAGTCCATGTAACCGAGGTCGTGTGGTTGTTGGGTCATTGTCGCGAGGGAATCCAGTGTGGCAAGTGACTGCTGACGTTACCCAGCAGCCTGTACCGGATATCTAAAAGGCCGTGATGGTTGTAACTCGTTGTGATGCACGATGTTCAGTGTCGCAGCATCAATCGACCGACAGGAGATCACAGCTGTGCGGTAAACAACAACGCAGCCGGATGACGGGGCAGTGTTGCCTAATATAAATGAATCCTTCGTGAATTCAGGGGGTCCTAGGATCCAAACGAGGGTCGATCGTGACTAGCGGACGATTGGCACAGGCAAAGCAGAGCTTTAGCCAACGAAAGCAGAGAAGTCGATTCCGACAACAAGCCGAGTGGCGACGGGTGCAAACGACCGACACAATGAAGGAGGCCGACTTTGCAAGCGTAGCGGAGCAGGCGTCAGAGCGTCAGGTTAAGTGGCCGAGTTGGTCGCCTTGTACCTGGGTGTGTAGATCCGGAGTCGAAGCCGCGACGGACCACTACGGAAGGGAGAGAGGTGCAAAAGGGGCGGTGGCTTCTTCCTCGAAGGAATCGTCTCGTTTCGTGCCGTGTCGTGCGGTGGCGGGCGTCGTAGGAGCGGCGACGACGAAGGGAGAGGAGAGAAGGTGAGGCGAGAGGCGAGAGGCGAGAGGCAAGAAGGAGAAGAAGGAAGAGGGAGTAGAAAAGGAGAAGAGAGGTCCGCTGCAAAAGTCGGCGATGATCTGGAACGGGCAACGGGGAGGAAGGGGATACGGGGGGGGAGCCGTGTGGTGTGTGGTTGGGGAGGTGACGGTAACAAGACTGGACGGCAAGACAGTGGGAAGAGTGGTTCCCGTGGTGGGAAATAATAAAATCAACCGCCCTTTGGGGACTGGGACGGGGAGGTTTTTTTCCTTGGGACGGGGCGACGGGGGGGCTGTACAGTGTGTAGAACACTAAAGACTGTAACCCCTGCTCCCTACAGCGTGCGCCGGCTCCCAGCTCTGAGCCCTGGCCTGGCGGGCTGGCAGTGGGTCTCCGGGCCACCAGGGCAGCCGCAAGCACGCTACCCGCCCCTGTGGAGATGGATTGCTCCCCGTCCGCCATGACAGTGGGAGATGCGCGGATGCGGGCAGATGCAGTTCATTCCAGCCCGTGGGATGCGTCGACGCCATGCCCGCGCGCGCCGCCATTTGCTGGACAGGCGCAGTCACAGACGCAGGCCGTCACAGATGCCGTCACAGAGGCGACCGGACGACAGGCCCGCGTGATGTCGACTGCTGAGTAGACAGCTAGCTCCTGGGGTGACAAACTTCCAGGCTCCCCCGGAGACGGCCTCAGTGGCAGCGCCCCACAGTGTGAGCCCTGGTCCGAACGCACTGGTTGGCTGCTGGCTAGCTGCTGGTGGGCCGGACGGGTGGAGTGGATGAGATGGGCGGTGGGTTGGTTTGCGAGTGAGTGAGTGAATGAATGCAGAGTAGCAGACCGAGTGACAGTCTGTGTGTTATGTTGTGCTTATTGTTGTGCAGTGTCTGGGGCCAGTCTTGAATGCTGTGTCCAATCCGGCGCAAAAGAGCCCAAGAAAGGAACTGCATGCATGCATCTGTCACCAACGACGTAGATGTCGGCTGTCACTAAGATTCTGCTGTACTTGCTGCGCTGGTCCTGGACGAACTGCTTCTCATACATGTTGCCACGGTAGTCTGCAGTCCGGCTAGATGCGTTCCGCATGTCTTTGCCAGGTCATCCCATCTCCAGTGCAATGCTCCGTCTCTGAAACACCATTTCAGAGAGTCATGACAGCTCAAGTCTGAGGCCGTTACTAATTCATTAACCGTTTGAATTAATAACTCCGGACCCAAGTGTCCAAGAGAGACCCAAATTAAGGCGCTGTCTCTTGGCCTCATCCCCCTCTCATCCCATCTTTGGCGAAATGCCTCCTCTGGGCCCCGGATGCTAACCAGCGCAAGGGTGACCCAGTGGTGACCGGTGGCTGCGGCGGAGGCCGGTGGTAATCCAGTGGTGACCAGCTCTATTATCCCAGGCCCCTCGCGAGGCAATCTACCGTGGTGCGCAAGCTCCATGTTGTCTTTGCTTTGTCTTGGAGAAGCTCATCCGTCGTGTCGATGGCGTCGCTACTACGTCGTAGAATCTCCTCGGCTCGTTGTCTCCCTGCCAAGTCGAGCCGCGGCCGGCAAGTCGAATGGAATCAATCGACAGTGCATAATAGGTTGTTATGGGAGCCACGTGTAGACGAAGCACAGATCTGGCCACGGCACTTTCTCCAGGCCCCATCCGCATTCCGATACAATACCTGTAGCATTCCCGACGATTACATATAGACTCAACGGCGTGCCTGCATACTGGTCAGTAAGCTTCTGTCAGTCAGAGCGGCCCGTCGGACACCAGTCGATTACCATCACCGTGGAGACGCGACACGCCGTCGTATGCCATGCTCGTCATCGCCACCAAAGGTCTCTCCCGAGTGGCCCCTATTTCCAAACGTCTCATCCAGATTTGACCCTCTTCTACGAACCAAAATCTCGCCGCCGCGACAACAGCCAGGGTCATCCCAACCCACCCGCTCTCAGGGGTCTTGGCTTCAGGGCCTGCTGAGAGCCTGAGAGTGAGAGGCCACCCTGGACCATCTAAAATTGTCCGTCCGCTGAGTCTCGGGTCCGTCGTGGCTGGATCCGTTCGGCCCATCTAGGGCCATACACGGGACAAGGACGAGATTCTGCCATAGAAGCTATCAATAGCCAGCAGCCATTCAACTGGGATATCCGGCCCTTGACATCCTGCGCCTCTTGATCGGCTCTGGGAACTCTCCCGGCTTCCGCCTCCAATCTCGTGGCATCCCAGCCGAGCGGATCGCACTGTGCCCCAGGTCCAAAGCCACCAGTCACCCACCACCATCACCACTCTGGCGGCCTTGCGCCCATACTGGGGGCCGTCAACTTGCAAGGCCCCCCCTTCTCCTTTCTCCTTTCCCTCGCCTCACCCGTCGTCCATCAAATTCGAGAAGGCCACTAGCGCCGCCTATTTCGACTCATGGGCCCAAGTTCAATCTCCAGGAGCCATCCCCCGGAGATGGCGGCTCAAGTCACGCGGCCTCTCCACAGTCAACAACGAGCCCCTGAACTACAAAGCCTAAGGCTTCATTCCCAGCTGCCCAGCGTCGTCCGGCTTGCCTCCGGCTTGCCTCCGCGCATAGGTAGCTATTACGCAGTAGGCGTGCAGACGCGACAGAAACTGTCCACGTCGCTGACAGGCTGCCTCCCCTGTGGCAATCGCGAGCGCACGTGTCTGCCAGCTTGGCTGCAAGAAGGGTCATGCGACTGCATACACCCACTCGAAATAAACAGCCCACACTCTACCTGCAGCTCAGGAACCACCAACATGGACTCGGTTCAGCTCCAGTTAGATCGAAATTGCCACGCCGATTTACGCCCATCGCCCCAGACTCCGCCACGACGAGCGGGTAGATGGACGGAACGCTCCCGTTGTCAGCTTGATTGTCATACCCGCTTACAGTGCCACTGCATCATGCAAGCCGGCTTGCTGCACTGAAGATCAGGGCGATGAGATTTCAGGGCTCGTCAAGCGACGTTGCCAGCTGACCTTGTCCTACCACACCATCACCACTACAAGCTGTCAGGCGCTGCTTTCTCGATGACGTCTATGACAGTGCGTGGGGTTATTATGAGGCCTCTACTTGTTGTCTCCACAGTTTGACGGTTATTGCGGCTAGTTTTACAAAGCTCTGGCATAGTGTAAGACTGTAGTGAGTGCAAGTCTTTGTTCGATGATCAGCGCAAAGGTAAGTCTTATTCAAGTTGATCCTTCATGCTGCATCAAATTCCTCTAAGAATATCCCGATGCGATAATACCTTGGATGACGGTGTCAATGTCTTCCTTTACAAGACCAAACCTGTCCAAATCGACTTTGTGGTTAAAGTCCCCACCGTAGCCCTCTCGGAAGTGGGCCGAGTAGAACTTGGGTATCATAGCCATCATGTTTCCCTTTTTCAGTTCCTCATCACTCTCCTTGGCCACCTCGGCAATCTCCTTGTCCTCGATGATCCAGTCTTTGTCCGTCGTGTCAGTCACTCTCTGCACACTTTCCAGCATCTCCCGCTGGGTGATGTAGAATGAGCTAACGTAAAACGCCTTGTTCTTGTATGCAGCCAGCTGCTCTTCAGGCAGACTAAGCAACTCGGCGACTGCCTCGCCTACTCGTTGCAAGGTCGATGTGTTGGCCTTGGTGCTGCCTCCACTGTATAGGGTCGCCTTACGAGCCTTGATGTCGATACCCCATAGTCCCTGACCCATGGACCAGTCGAACCATGGGTTGTTGACGACGGCGATCCAACTACCCCCAAGCTCCTCAACGAGCTTTCGACGCTCCGCCTTACCCCACAGAGGAGGCTGCTCTTTGACCATCTGAAGTGCCTCGATGTCACTACCAAACTCCGTGGGCAGGATGTACTTGACACTCGTCTTGACCGCGGCTCGGATGAGGACGTCTTGGGTATCCATGGCGAGGCGGCCCAATTGCATCAGCAGAATGTCCTGATCTTGAAGAGCGGACAGTAGAAAGTCCTCGTCATCGTAGGAGCCTTTCTTCACGATGCAGGCATCAGGAAACGTAGCTGTGGAGTCGCCACGGCTGATGGCAGTGATGGTGTGGATGTTCTTTGACAGGAGGGCTGGAAGGGTAACTGATCCCACTGTACCAGCACCGCCAGCTATGGCAATCTTTCGGCCTTGAGGAGCCATATTGAATGAAGACCGTGGATACTGATGGATGTACTTGAGTAAGTTGGGTAGCAAGTAGTAGTGATGAGTTGGGTGGTTCCATTCAATTAATTCATTGAGCAAATATCCACCTTATATACATTAGAGTTCGCTCCAATCCTCCGTGTCTTCATCCGTTTTATCCAAAGTCCGTGAAAAACTTACAAATGGTAGCAATTCATGTTGAAGCGCCAAATCGAATCCGTCCCAAATTCGTCCGTTCGGCGTCCGAGCCGTCGCACAGTGGGTCAATGACCGGGATCCGCAAACACACGACATCCAGCTGACAAAGACGAGGTCTCGGTCTTGGCCTCGCACTTGTGCGAGCGAGATTAGTGCATTCCTTGGTTCAACCTTGGTCTTTACCTACAATGATTCAAGTTGAAATCATGTACACCACTTCCGAATGCCGGCTAAGAATCACTGTCATGGCAACAAATACGAGCCTAAAGGAAATCAATTTGAGACAGTTATCCTTTCGATTTGCTTGGAACCAGATGTCCATTGGACATTAAACGAAGCAAGCAAGACAATGGTGGCACACGGCAAGGCACTAAGCCTCATGGCAAATGCTCGGCTAACTGCACCCGCACCCGCCACCACAGCCACAGCGGGACACCATCCATCTCCAGCCTGGGTTTCGACTGTCGCCGACAACGACACCTTGGCCAGCGTCGATATGGCGTCGATACCTCCCACAAGACGAGGAGCAGCCGCAGCAGCCTGAGGAAAGTATGCCTCTGCTGTGCTTGATTCCTGCAAGTATGCCTTTTCTAAGGAGAGGCACAACGTGGACGTGCGGCCAACAGTCGCACACTGCCAGCAAGCAGCAGCCAACGTCAGGTAAGCGCATCATGACATCTCTGCCATCACGGCGCCGGGGAACACGGAAGAAGTCTCTTTCGAATCGGCGACCCTTTTTTTACTCCATCTCTTATTTTCTGTCACTCCCAGACCCTCCGAGGCAAAGTTGCCGTGGTCGCGATATCGTCAGCCTTCAGCCTTGGTGGTGGCCACCAAAGTGCGTCTCGGGTTTACTTCGGCCGCCGCAGCCTAGCCAAGAGTTTGTCAACAGAAATCAGCAGGCGCCCGCGAGTTCACTGGGGGGTAGCTGCCTACCTCAGCGCCTGAGAACAACAACATGACTCTAGCCTTCCGCTAAATTTCTGCCACCAAATCGATCCCATCCCACGTCCCACTCCCACATCAACACCAACTTCAACAGCATCAAACATCGCCATCCGCCGACCGACACCGACGTTACCGCCGCGTTCGAATCCGCATTTTTTCATCGCCGTTATCCGCACTCAACTCTATCCTACCATTTTTTACCTCGCGACTCCGTAAACAATGGCTGGCGGAAAGGGCAAGTCCTCGGGCGGAAAGAGCTCTGGTGGGAAGACGAGCGTCGAGGGACCCAAGAAGCAACAGAGCCACTCTGCGAGAGCTGGGCTTCAGGTTAGTTAACTTCAAACGGGCCCGCAGAGCTTATTGCCTTTGCGCATCCCGAGTCCCGCATCCAAGCCCACATCCCTCGCATACCTCGACGATTGCTCGATGCCCGACGCGTCAAACCATCCCCGCACGACGAAAACCTCTTCTTTGACGACCGCGCGCCTTTTTCGAGGGGCTATCATCGTCTTTTCGACTCTGCGATTCGTTTCGACGACACGGATGCTTGGCGACATGCGCGTGCGGATGATGCGGGACGAGATGCGCGAAAGCCAATGCGGTGCATCGCAACTGGCTGCCGAATTTTCACTAATCCCTGCGTTATAGTTCCCGTGCGGTCGTGTCAAGCGTTTCCTCAAGCAAAACACCCAGAACAAGATGCGCGTGGGCGCCAAGGCCGCCGTGTACGTGACTGCGGTGCTCGAATATCTGACCGCCGAAGTTCTCGAGTTGGCAGGAGTAAGTCCTCCGTCAGGAATACGTCAAGTCCCGTGCTAACAAGCTCTAGAACGCCGCCAAGGACCTCAAGGTCAAGCGTATCACCCCTCGCCACCTTCAGCTGGCCATTCGTGGTGATGAAGAGCTCGATACCCTGATCCGCGCGACAATTGCACATGGTGGTGTGCTGCCACACATCAACCGTGCTCTGTTGCTCAAGGTCGAGCAGAAGAAGAAGGCCAAGGCTCTGGAGGGTTGATCGGACGAGTCAGGTTTATCTGCTTTCTGTTTCTGTCGGGTGCTGGTTTTGGGTCGGTAATGCAGGAATGCTTTGTTTCGTTATGAGGAGGCGTCTTCAGCTGGGCGGACGTCCACGAGGCTTGGATAGCCGAGGAGCTTTGGAGGCACGAACGGCGTCGAGATGTCGCAGTCAAGCCTCCTGCGGCGCCCGCTGCGAGCGGTGTACAACAATCGTGTTTGCTTTGGGTTCTGGGTGAACCGAACCGTTGCTGATGGACTTGGGTAGACGCGGAGAATACGAGTTCCTGGTTTGTCAGGTTGTCAGTCACATCGTCATCGTGCTTGATGTTGTTTATTCAGTCTAGATGTCGAGATGCACGCTATTGCATCAGTCCAGTAGTTGAGCTACGAATCTCCCAAGAAGCTATCCCCCCTCCGCACAAACTCAGCCAAGTCCTCCAGCTCCCCTCTCCGGTCGATCTCTTCATCTGAGCCGTCGTCACTATCGCTCGACTCGCAGTTCGTCTGAAACCACTCCTTCTCTTCGGTCGTCTCGTAGGGCACCGCCTCGTCGGTCAGGCCGTCTTCATCGTTGACTTCTTCTGTGGTTGGTGACTCGGCCGGCGATGCTTCAGCCTGGGACGTGGCGGGATATCGCACGTGGTAGCATTCGCTTGGGTAGTCGCAGTCTCTCGAGCAGTTATGCGTGTTGTCGATCAGGCGCTTCATCCGCGCTTCTTCAATCTCCAGTTTGGACTGTTTTTCTCCTCCCCTCCCTGCAGCAATGTTGGAGGAGCAACTCTCGCGATTGCGTCGCAACTCCCCGATGGAGGCCCAGGTGGCGTAGTCGAACTCGGCTTGGCAGACGCGATATTTGGTCGCCTTCGTGGGTGTCTTGCCGACGCAGCTGCGATGGGAGCAGTTCAGGCAGCGATGGGTGACGGCCATCTTATAAGTACGACCGCAGGAGTGGCATTTCCACTTCCAGGCCAAGGGTTTTGGTGGTGTGTGAGATGTCATTGCGTAGAACGGGTTGTAGAACTTGCAGATTTGAATCACTAAAAAGGAGTTGGTGATTAACGATATTGTTTCAAACTTCTAGGTGAATGTGACTGGATGAGTGAGTTGGACTGCATATGCTGTCGAAAGGAATCATAAATATACTGCAGCTTTGTGTGGCTTGAACTGACACATAGCCTTTGTTCAGATTAAAGCAAAGGTGGCTATTCTTAGGATGCAACAATGGATACATTGTTAATTGATCAACCATTCATTATGCACAGTCTAAGAGTCAGCTTGACATTCAACGAGCACAGGTTTCTATTTCTCCAAACAGACACTCACGGCTACATCAATCACTGCCAAACCATAGTACCCTATACGCCGTCCCAAATGCAGCCATGGAAAACAGAAATCGACAGCACGCACAAGACTGCTACAGCAAGCCGTCCTCAGCCATTTCTCACTCACTTCTCACTCGCACCTCACTCACGCGCCTGTTCTCGATCTTACCCACTAAACCACAAGCCATGTCACCAAAAGGCAGGAACTCGACACCCGTCCTCACACCCCCCATGAATCCTAAGGCAAAGATCAAGACATGTACCGAGATCAAGACCAAACCAGTGACAAACACAGTCAAGGTTGAACAATACAAGTTAAAACCTAGTCCGGACTTGGAGGATTTCCCACCCATCAACTCGAAGCAGCTCGGGCTGTGGCTGGAGTTGTCTAAATTGGTCAGAGAGCCTTTGATGGACATGAAGGAACTCAAGGAAGAACTTGAAGGGTCGGATAAACAGGACGGTCCAGGTTGACATCTGTAGTTAACTAGGACTAGACATAGACTCATCACGTCATAACTAAGGTCGCCACCTGAAGGCTGGGTGCTTCCAATCAAGCTCTCGCGCCTCCTCTGGGCTCATTCCCGCCAACTCTTCTTCCACATTCCGTCCATCTCGCTTCTTGTTGTCTGCGTTCATCCAGAAGTACCCGAAGGTGCTAACAACCAGAATCGCTGTCGCACACCCCAGGTTAAGACCGTTTCCGATGCGGTACTTAGGAGCATCGGTCACGGGGAAGGCCCAGGTAGAGATGAGACCACCGACGTTACCAAACATGACCTACGAGTGTGAGCTTGATTCAGTAGAGCGAGGTGGCAACTTACATTCAGACCAATGGCACTACTACGCGCAGTATCGCTAACAACGTTGGCGCTGATGTGGGCATTCGTCAACGTTCCCAGAACGGTACATGTGCTTGCAATAAGGAAGCACGCCGCATATCGGGCATTCGCGTCATCTGTCCCAAGGAACATGGAATAGCCCACCATGACCATCGGTGCGGTAAGGATAATGAGAATCTGGCGACGGTCCAAGTACCAACTGACGGCAGGGAACGCAACCGCGAAGAAGGCGCCGACTGCATAGGGGGGCACGCTGTGCAGCTGCTTCTGGACAACAGTGTACTCGGGGTAGATTGTGCCGACAATGGTGGGTAGGAAAAAGGCAAGGCCCTGGACGGTGATGTTGTTGAAGAGGAAGATGACGGCGATTTGGACGACAAGAGGGTTGGACATGCCACGGATCAGCTTGGTGCGGTCAATGCCGTCGACAACTTCAGTCTGACCCAGACGCTCCGACTTGACACGTGCAATGCAGAGCTCCTTTTCCTCCTGAGTCAACCACCATGCCGTTTCGGGACGGTCAGTCAGAGAGAAAAAGGCAACCAGGCTCAGTCCGACAGTGACGATTCCCTCAATGGCAAAGATCATGCGCCAGTTGTGGAGGCTACCAAAGTGATCAAGCTTGAGGATGGCACTGGCCAGGAGACCACCGAAGGCTCCAGCCAAGGGGGCCATGACCATGTACAGCGATAGGCGGAATGTTAATTCGGCACGCTTATACCATCGAGACAGGTAATAGGCAATGCCGGGAAGCATACCAGCCTCGAAGATGCCCAGCAAAAACCGGACACCGCAGATAGCGGCCTGGGTATGAACAAAGGCAGTGGCAATACTGGCGGCACCGAAGAGGAGCGAGGTGGCAGGTAGGAACCAGCCAGGGCCTATCCACTTGCACATGATGGTGGCGGGAATCTCGAAGAGGATGTATGAAATGTAGAAGACGGAGAGGACCTTGTTGTAGTCGTAGCCTTGCAAGTTGAGGTCCTCGTCGAGGCCAGCGATGCGTGCGTTACCTAGGTATGTTGTTAGTGTGGATCAGGGCGAAGGCTCGGGGAACTTACCGATGTTGGCACGATCGATGAAGCAAAACAGATAGAGGACGGCCACAGTTGGGACCGTGTACAGATCCAACTTCCACCTCAGCCTACTCTCAGCAGCGGGATCGAACTGGACAGTCGAGTTGCCATAACTGCAACAGGTCAGCATTGTTTTGGGATGAGTCGAGCAGTACTAACATGTCAGTGGCTGCATGGCCATGGCCAGCGGCATCATGGATGGTGCCTGGGCCAGCATCTTCGACCCTCTCAGAGGAGCGGTCATCAACCTGTTCCTTGTCGGAGATGGCCATGATCAGAAAGAGTTGAGCAGACAAGGGGAGTAGAGTGTGGAGGGTGAGCTTGTCGAGTTGCAAATCATCTTGGGGGGGACCGACTTGAAATAAATAAAAGCGCGGTCTGAGCAAAAATCGGCTTTCGGTCTTGCTCCGCATCGCTGGTCTTGGCCACGATCTGCCCCCCTCACGTTGCATTGGGGGATGCCACGACGGGGCATGATGGGGCTCGACAAGGGCTCCATAGAGCTAGACAGGGCTTCATACTGGGTCTTGTTGGCCTCGGCGAAAGAGCTGCTTCCCCGCAGGCACAGATTGTATCAGTACTACGTACGCGTGCCATGGGGGGCGGCGTACGAATACACCCAGGATTGCAGGATTGCCACGTCCCAGAGCGGTGGCTTCATTTCCCAGCTCGAGCCCTGAGTCGGATCAGCCTTTACGCGGGAGCTTAACCCGGGCCGTTAATTTGAGTTAAGAAACATTTAAAGGTGTGACTCGGCGAGTGGCGTGGCTCGGCGATTGGCTGACTCGGGCGTGTGGACGGGTGTGATGCGCCAGCGTCGGAGGAATGAGTCGATGGCTTGGCCGCGAGTGTGCCGCTTGTAGGGGTGCTTGCGTGCGGAGCAGGCGGAGCGAGTTGATGGCGATGGACTATTGCGAGATAGGGAGAGACGGACTAAACCTGAATCGCGATGCGGGGGAACAAGACAGGGAAAGACTAGGCGACGGAAGATGAGGCTGAGGATGGCGGGATGGATATGGTTGGTTCGAATAAGAACAAGCGGCAAGAAGATAAGCCACCTTCTCCACCACGTGCGTTCTCCTCGTTCTCCTCGTTCTCCTCCTCGGCAAGAACCCCAACGCTGTTTCACAGGCGCTTGGGTGCGCTTGCCTCTTTCCCCAAGTTTGCGGAAGTAGGCGCAAATCCGTCCCAAATGTGGCTGACGCTGGCCAACATCTCTGATATTGAGGCTCCCGCCATACCTGCGCCACAACCCCCGTGTCGGCTCCCGACATCTGCCCCGTATCTCCCGTATCTCCCCCCGGACATCCGGATCTCAGCATCACGCTGGAATCTGAATCTCATGACCAGGCTTCCCCAGAATGGAGTCCAGTCCGCTTGGCGCCCCTGTACCCCAGATTGCATCGAATCTGGGGTAACCGCCGTGCACCCTTTTTTCCCTGGTCCGGGGCGGCCCAATCATGCTGTTCGTATTTGGTGGTGGGCGCCTCAGGGTCTGTGCCAAGAACCGCGGCAGTTGGAGTCGGCAACAGGCCGAGTGCCCACAAACCGTCAGCATCAGTCAGACTGATCTACAGCTAAACCTCACTGTTGCCACATGGCCGGCGCTTGCAACTTGCCTTATTAGACCGTAGCTTGCTATAACATTGGGGACTCGACACAATGGCTGCCACACAAATCTACTCCGCACCGCATGCACGAACTAGCCCGAGGCAAACAACCATCTCCTTGTCGGATGCCAACGTCGGCTTGTCCCTCATTGTCCCTCACCGTCCCTCACGTCGTCCCCAGTGTCACTCAAATTTCCTCACCAAACTCCAGGCACGATCGCCCATTTCTTGCCCACCTTGTCCTCTCCAAAACGCTCCATGTACCACCACTTTCCCCTCACCGCGCGCGGAACCATGGTAAACACCTCGTTGATCAGAAACGTCCTCGCCGGCACGCTGCCCCAACCTGCCGCCATCCAGAATCCGGTCCACTCCACCCACTCGCACAGGTAGTGCGGAAAAAGCATGTAGCGGAAAAGCCCGGCCTGGGGGATTTGATAATGCTTGTCGACGCCTTTGGAAATATTTCCGGTCTCCAGACGGATCCGGTCTTGTCGGGCTTGCTCCCGGCGCCGGATATCCCGAAGCTCCTCGTCGTGGAAGAAGTTGGACGACAGGCCTAGATAGAAGATGATGATTCCCAGCGCAAATTGTAAGATTGAAGACTGTGAAGTCCACTCCTCTTCCGTGATGGGGCCATACGCCGCCAGCCACGCTCCCAGGCAAGTTGCATTGAAAAGCTGGAACCCGACAGCCATCAACCACACTCCGATGTGTAACGGTGACATGGTCGGCTGTAGGAAGGGGAACATGACGGCCCGATATGAATAGTGGATTACCTATTCTGTTAGCCGTGGTAGTCATTGCATCCGAAGTGGACTCACAAAAAGCCCAGCCAGCACCTTGTTCTGCCAGGGGAGGTCATCGATGCCGTGCAGCTCAGGCATCGTCTTCATCAGGTACAATAGCGTCATAAACCCAGGAACTTCCATGGTTAGCCAGCCAATGCGGCCCGGCAAGTTGAGCCGGCTATCGACTGAGGTTTTCCCCATGCCATACCATCCAATGAGCCATTGCGCCGAACCAATCTGATCCTTAGATTTGTTTCTCATACGATTCAGGAGTACTTACAATGGGGTAAGAGATTTGCCAGATTTTAAGGATGAGCTCATAGTTTTCCCGAGTAGGGGGCATCCAGCCCTCAATTATTGTCATTTTGAGGATTGATGGTGGTGTCGTGTTTGTTCTACTCTTGTCCATCATGTTGGCCGCTGCTCAGCGACGGATTCTGACACTCGCCACCGCCTGCCTATTTAACGTGAACGGACTTGAACACATCATAGCTTAAAAAAGCAAAGCATCACTACGCAAAATGAATATGTCTAGTAGTTGATTGCAAATATTAATACAAATAGTATGCAGTTGCGATTCGACACATTTCATCGTCGTGTGCTGAGTGCAGCAGAAGTCATTTTCATCCGATCCCATTGTAATACTCTACTATCCTACACTCGCCAGAATCATCCCAAGAACTGTACCTCAACTCCATCCATCATTCCATCATCTTTGTTCCATCATTTACTTCCACAATGCAATACGTCCTGTCATATCCATCACATCACAATACACTCTCGATCCCGTGACGATCCTCCATTACCCAAGACTGCTCCTGGACTCACCGGCGGCCGTCCCGAGGCAGTCCTCCCCATCGGTCGTTGCCCAGTTGGTGTGGCATTCATGTTTGTTCTCGTCGACTGTCTTGACACGGCTGGGCTACTGCCTGCATGGCTCGGATGTCCCATCGGCGGCTGATACGCTACGTCATGCGCCGCTTGTTCATACGACGGCGGGGCATCGTCTCCATCTTCAGCCGGTCGGTTTACGCCAGGTCTCGCGGGTCTCGCCGCAATCGGTCTTGCCCCGCCAGGTCCTGTCACGCCCTGTTGCTGCGGTGGGATCAGAGACCGCACTTGTTGGTTGGGTCGAGGCTGAGTAGCGACGTTGGAGCTGCTTCGCGCTGGAGCTAGTCCGACTCCCCCACCTCCACGACCTCGTCCTGGTTCCATTCCCGTGGTCATTCCCGGGTTAGGCCCCGGTTGGCGACCTTGTTGCTCGATATACTGCTCTGACAGGATGCTTTCCCTCCGACGCCTGGCCTCAGCTGCCCTGTGTCGCTCGTCCTCCTCTTCTTGTAGCTGCAGCGCAAGTGCCAAGTCTCTATCCTCTTGCTCGGTGCTTGGACTCATGGGTTCTTCCTCTTGCCGTGCCTTGCCTCGTCTCTGCACTGTCGTCCAATCGCCTTCGTTGTCATCGCTAGATGCGAGAACGACTCCAGTTCCTATCATCCGAAAGTCCCCTGACAAAAACTCGGTGCTCTCACCGTTGACATCGGATAGCGTCTCCCAAACAATTTCGTCATGAGTCTTGAATCCAGCGTCCGTCACCAGCGTCAGTAGCTGCATCGTGTCAGGGTGGCAGTACAGCGTGCTAAAATGGTCGTTTCGGAACAGAATCGCAAACGTGCCGGGGCGAATCGCTCTGCCAATGACTTCGATTCCCCAGTGCGTAAGCTGCGTGGCTGAGGCCATCAAAAATGACTTGATGACCAGGATATCCTGGTACAGTTGCTGTTCCGACTCATCCAGCCCATCCTCTGTTGAAAGCTTGCTCTCGAGTTCCTCTTCTCGGAACAGCAGGTTTTGCGCATCTTCGTAGGACGCAGCCTGCCGCTCCAAAGCCTCGTACGCTGGCTCCGACTTGGGAGGTAGCCACCCGTGGATCAGCGGAATTGAAAAGGTGGCGTATAGACTCATCTCAGCCGTGTTCTCGAAAGTCCCGGGGATGAGGTCACCTCGTTCAGTCGGGTGCAGGTGTGTCAGGGATGTGCGCTTGTAGGCATTGATCATTTGCGCAGTGGGAATGAATCGGGGATTGACGTTCATCCCAGTGTGCAAGCTCTGGAGGAACGCGTAGAGGTCCGAGACGTCGGGTAGCGCATCTTCGGAGCTCGTTCTCCGGGGAGACATGAGTTCGTCAAACACAGCATCCAGTAGCAGATTTAAGCTGACTTGTTCCCGAGATCGGAGAACCTGGACCAGCGCAGTATCGGCGTTCTCGGCTGGCGTTGTCAATGTCAAGGCGTTGACGAGAGCCACCAGGGGACATGGTCCGTTGGCGTTTTGGATTAAAATGGGAGAGGTGCGGGGGTTCGTCGGTGCGGTCGGGTCGTACCACTTGATATTCTTGACCTGGTAGGTCTCCGCGCCGTCAACTTGTTGTCGTGAGGGTTTCCAGCTTAGTTTATCGGTAGATCGTCTCGGCGGCAGAGGTGGTTTTGTGTCGGTTGGTTCCGACGGTTCTGCATCTATCAAGTTCCATTCCTCGGTAGCCTTGGCCTTGCCCTTTGATCCCAAGTCATCCCATACGTGCGTCTCTTCTGTGAATTCATCAGACACTGTAGCCATTGGCGGCGCAGGAGCCTTATTCTTCCCCAGAGGGTCTTCATCCCAAGCCGGAGACTCGCTTCCTGAAGGCAGGGAAACCAGCGCGGGCGATGAGGCGGGTGGTGGTGTAGGAGTCTCCCATATGTCCTTCGGCGGGAGCGACGGAACAATTGCGGGAGCATCTTCCCAGGTGTCCTTGAATTCCGGGACACTATGCGAAGGTCCAGCTGGCTCTCTCGACAGTTGCCATGGGTTGCTGGGCTCCAGGTTCAACTTGGACATAGACTCGGTGGAATCTGCGACCTTTTTGCGCAGAAACGGGTTCGTCTCGGCTCTGTTGCCCCCAGGCTTCATAAACCCGGGCACTCCGTCTAGGGGAGCGTCGCTCTTCTTTGCTTCACCCCAAACCATCTCCTCCTCATGTTCCATGGTCGCAAAGGCGCCGCCCGGTCGCAACGCTGCGGGGGGCGGAGAACCAGAACCCTCGGGCGCTTCGCGGCGCCCATCCTCCCATCTTTCACCTCCCTCCGCCCAGGGATTATTCGACATGGGTTTCGACTCCGACCCTTCGTTCGGAGGTTGAGAGTCGAGGGGCTTTCCAGAAGCCATGACGGTCTAGAACAGCGGTAAGGCGCAAGCTAGTGCCACAGCAGGAAGCGGGGTCGCAAGTGGAAGCGTCGAGCTCGATCGTGATCTGAAGATCAATAACCGCGAGTTCAATGATTGCGAAGGGTTGGTCTCGGTCTTGCGATCACAGACCCGTCGGTTGGAATGTGCTGCCTGGACGTCTCGTACCAGATCGTATTGAGCTCGGTGTCGTCACTGCGGATCTGTCCCGCTCGTGGCGGTGCAACGTAAGCCCCGGTATCAGCGGCAAGTGAATCGAAGCGAACGAATGCAACCTGATTGACGGTAATTGATTCCAGGCACCAGAATTCATGGGCATTAAGTGTAGATGCAGGATCAAGCTTGCGTGTCGGGCCAGATGGAAGGGGCCCCGCCACCTGCTTATCCAGCCACGCACCGCCACAAATGACGTGGGCGTCCATACGAGGCCAACTTGGCATTTGATATCAACCATGACGTTTGTATCGTCACGTATATTACTGCTGGACGATTCATGGCAATGTTCATCCTGTTCGCTGTCCCCAAAATGCCACAACGCCAACTCCCGGCCGTCATCCATACAACAACAAACTATCCGCGCCAACCTCATCGGCCAATTCCCAAGTTACGTAGTCTGTCGCACGCAGGCAAGGTGTATGTCTCTGCCACTGCCATCTTCTCAGGGTCCTGGTAGAACCATCCCTGGGCGGCATCCCTCAGCCTCTGTCGAATCGTCATCTCGTTGTCGCATTCGCTCTTCAGGTGCCTCACGAGATTCACCTCGGCTGTCCGGTCGAGTTTGGTGAGCTTTCCGTCGGTAAATTGCTGAACATCATCGGGATTAACAAAGTATTCAACGCCCAAGTTCGGCGTGGTACGGCCTTCGGTATACGGATGTAGCGGGTGGTCGTAAACCATGCGGGGAGTTGAGGCCGAGGTCGAGGATTCGCCGGAGAAGATCGAGGTAACTATCGGCAGGATAAAGAAGAGGATGACTGGGAGAAGTCCAAGGAACGTCTGTAGAGGGCTTGATTCCTGTCGCCCGCCCTGGTTGGCCTCGCGGGGCCTCGTTCGCGGTCTGGCACCTCCAAACTGGTGCACGCGGATTCCAGGGCCTCCACCAAAGTTGAATACAAACTGCGGGCCTGTATCGAAACCTACTTCGTTAGCGTTGGTCTTGTTTCTTCTTCGGGAATCTCACCTCCAAACGGTGCTCCTCCTCCAAATCCTTGTCCGCCAAAGAATCTAGCAAACATCTCCTCGGGAGTCAACTCGTCGTCCCACCCGCCTCGACCCATGCCTCCTCCTTGTTGTCGCTGCGCGAAGCCAGAGAAGGGGTTCTGCGCCTGGGCGCTCGCGAACCGACTATCGGGGTCTGTCCCAAGTCGGTCAAACTTCTCGCGCTTCTCCTTGTCGCCTAGAATGCCGAATGCTCGGCTAACCATCTTGAAAGCCTCATCCGCGTGCTGGTGTCCATTTTTGTCGGGATGGGTCAGAAGCGACTGCTTCCGGTATGCCTTTTTAATCTCGCTTTCTGTGCATGTCGTCTTGACGGTCTCCAGATTGAGGATGTCGTAAAAGGCCGTGGCGCTGCATTTCCGGATTCGAATAACCGCAGCCTCTTGGTCAGGTGTGAATCCTCGTCCTTGGTTGCCCTGGTTGTGCTCGCGAGAGCGGGCCGAACCGGTGTCGGCTCCAGAGGCCGTTGCGCTCGGCATCGGTGGTCACCGTTGGTTTATTCGTGAGATGGTATCGATCGTTGTTTGCCGTGGGCTTCCGCAAGGTGGCTTCTTCGGATCACGCGCGATTATGTCGTCGGGGAGGATAAGCAGTATCGACTCGGTCGTATATAGTCGAGTTGGGTCGACAGCAAAATTAATGCGACAACGAGTGTCGTCAAGTGATGGATGATGGAAAAGTGGCCTTGATTGGCAATCCCTGGTGGCCGTATGTTACCATCGCGAGTCTTAGCGCCACGTGATGCTCCACCCTACCCTAGACTACTTACAAGATGACAACAGACAACAAGTCGAAACAATAATGTTCCAGAGGACCTTTTAGCAAGGTGAATACTGGAATTAGTGGAATTCTCATTTGGATCTAGAATTTTCAGAAGATTGGGTGAATGTATCTTTTCCCACAACACGACTCAAGACATCATACTGAATCGTGACAAGCGGCTAAACTAAATATGTACAAGAATGAGGCTGCGACCTAAGCCTCAATAAACTCCTGGATCTCAGATAGGTAGTAGGTATAAGCAGTGCCGCTTGGGGGCTCCATGCTATACATGTAGTCTCCCCACCAAGGTCCAGCAGACCACCAAAGCCACCCAGTCCACACATCAGAGTTGTCAAGGAGATGTTGCAGTTCACCACGGATGGCAGTCTTGCACTGGTCATTGGCACCACCAGCAGTCTCGCCTAATATTCCAAGCTTACCATTTTCCTTGAGCCAAGCTGTTGCTGCCTTGACACGCTCCACACCGATTGTAGTGCTCACGCAAGTCTCCGATGTACCGGAGCCGTCCGAATCAAGGTACTGATGCATCTCATAGACAATCTTGTTCTGAGGATCAGTTAGGCCCTTGAGAGCGTCACCGTTGCCGCTGGAGACCCAAGTCCAGGCGCCGGTGTACGAGTTACCCTCGACAAAGATGTACTGTGACGTAGCGCCAGCAGCACGGATGGCATCGATGGCAGCTTGGTTCAGCTGGGCTACCAGGGAGTTTTCCATGTCGTGATACTCATTGTTGGTGTCAAAAATTACGAGCTCATTATCAGCGAATCGCGTGGCAATGGTCGTCCAAAAGCTGCCGAAACCATCCACATCGGTAATGATGTTATCGTAATATCGACCGAAGTTGTGGGGATCGAGGACAGCATAAGCGCCCCTGTTTGGTTAGATGAGACCGACTTGGGTGCCATTGTACTTACTGGCCAGTAATATGTTTGACGACCTCTTCGAGCCCGCTGGAGTAGGTCTCGTTGATAGAACCAGTCATTTCGTCTGGGACAGCACGCTCCATTCGGAAGCCCACGCGGAAGGTATTCATGCCGGTGTCGAGCAATGTCTACAAAGTCAGCTATGTCAAGTCAACCATATGAACAACGTACATCAATGGCGGCCGTGTCAGGCCAGATGTAGTCGGTGCCGAGCACACCAGGGAGATTGGCCTCTCCAAATTCACCACCGGCCTCATTGGCACCAGTAAACAAAAACTCGCCTGTGGTTGCAGCCTCGCAAGCGGCGGCATGTGCTAGTGATGCGCTGGCAGCGAAAAAGATTGAGAACAGCATGGTGAAAGTAAGTTCTCGATCAACGAGAGTGATGGATGCATCTGAGAATGATATGGACTTGACCTGACTTATATACGCGTTCACGAGTAGCAGATTTACAAGTACACCCCACAACCGCCCACATCTCGCCAACTCGGGCGATCACAACCCAAGGAAGGATCCTGGCTCGGGAAGGATGCATTTGTTTGAAACATGAGCTTAACCCTGGCGCAACAGTACTGACTGGTTGTCTAGGCTTCATACTGGACGTAGCAGTTGGACTAGAAACCTTAGTCTGTCTGAGTATATTGTTGACCTTTGAATGGACTGGGTATATAGTCTGCATTGTTGATACGATTGTTGGTGTTTTTTTATTTATTACTGTTGAGCTTCTAGTCCCCCCTCTGGGTATGTGTGTACTAGGGCACCGTACCTCTTGATACTGGACGTAGCATCAAGTTGGAACAAACGAGTCCCCGGAACTCAAAAGAGCAGGAGGTTGCATAATGCGGCGTAGCACGTGGATCTATGAGTCGCCGCTGTTGAAGCATATATCCAAGAAGTGACCCCTGGTGATCCCTGCATAATCCCATCGGTGTTTAAATCCTGAGACATTGGTCCCCGGATGGTTGGTGGAGACGATTCTCCGGTTACACCTCGCGATCCGAATTGATGAGGTCCACTTCAATCACGTGATCGGACAAATCACGGAAAAACCGTCTGCTGTCGCGAATTGAGGCTCACGATACGGACTGGAAAAATCATAGACGACGGTGCCAGTGATCATGCAGGCGACACGGGTTTTATTCAAGCGCTCCGTGTGGAAGGGTAAGTCAATTCGATACCTTGTTCCAGAACTTGCTAACAATCTCCAGGCCCACACCTTGTCCCGTAAGCTCCTCGAACCATTGCCTGAGCCCGTCTAACCTCGATAGCCTCCCCATCGTCTGGCCCAAGAATCCCGGCGACAAGGTCCCTCCCGTTCGAACCCAAGCCCGATCCGCGACGATCCTCCCCAACTTTGTGGGACTCAACTTCGAGGTGCATAATGGCCGCGACTACCACCATGTGACCATCACCGAAGACATGGTTGGGCATAAGCTTGGAGAGTTTTCACCGTAAGTGACCTTGTCACGTTGCAAGCATCTACTGACGTAGATAGAACCCGAAAGCCGAACATCTGGGACAAGAGGTAGAGATTGGGTATACCATGTATAAAGACTGTATCAATAAGCAACGTTGGACTTTTACAAGACGAGGCACCACGACTACGAACAATGTGAGCGATGCGATCGATACAAACTGTGCAAGGCGAAGAAATTGATTCAAGGCATCTATTGGCCGAGACTATAACTGTTGGCCGGATATCTGACCTTCCCACGCGCCAAACCTGAACGCCGAATGTACCCATCCATCATGACATTAGCGATAGAACTCGCTTCTCTTGACATTAACCCCGTACTCTCCAACTGCCATTCCGAGATCCTCCATTGTAAGAACCGTCCTGTTCTGGCTGCCACCCTGACCACCGCCGCCGTATCCTGGTCGCTGAATACCCAGTGGCGCGCCCTTGTCTTGGGTTTTGCTGCCTGGTGGACCAGTCGGCTGTCCGGGAATCGGGAACCCGGCTGCCGCGCCCAGAGAGCCCATGGGATTGTTGGTGTTGGTATTCGATGCGCGGATACGGCTGTATTGGTATGCATCGGCTGCAATGTCGGCGATGAACTTTTGGGTAGCGAGAGCCAGGAGGCGCGCCAGGCGGGGGTCGGTCTGAGGAGGTGGAGGGAGACCAGCCTTTGTCATGTAGTAGTTGGTGACAGCATCGGGAATCTGTACTGTTAGAAGAGTATGCAGAGGATGTTGACAAACTCACGATCGGGGCGCAGTCGTCCATCTTGTTAAGGAACTCTCGCAGAGAGGTATCCTTTCGTGAAGGCAGCCGCGACTCCAGGCCGGCAGGCATATGGAGAGGACCTTCAACGGGGCCATTTGGCTCCGCAGGGGGTTGCTCTGTCTTTTCGGGTGCCTCGCTCGCCATCTTGATGTTGATGATTGATGATGGTTGTGATGGAGTGAAGGTTACGGGGATGACGCGCTTGAAGATCACGTGATTATATCAGGTCAGCCAAGACCTCGACGTTCATGCTGGTCCGCGATATGCGATTACCTACCTATCTGATACATAAACTAAGGTACAGATATTGTTTATCGCGACACACTAAACTCCTTTTCTCACGGCAGTAAGACAACGCATCAGCTTTGTACCATTTCCAAGACCGGCCAGACCGCAGCGATGCTAGCCGACGTACTAAACATTAGCACCGCCAAGAACCTTGATGTGTGTGGTCCATGTTCATCGGCACAAGTTTAAAAGTTATTCAATTCATTGCAATCTATCCCTGTCTTGGTCAATAAACCATCGACGACGTTGCAGGCTATGAGCGCCATAACGGGACCTCCACTGAAAGCCTCTTGAATTGCAATCTATTTTCGCCATTAAATCAAGCCCTTGCCTCAAACCCTCAAGCCGGGGGCGCCATATAGTACACCCTGTCACCCTTCCAACCCAACGCCATCCATGCAGCTCCAGTTGGAGTGTCGGCCAATCAGCCTGTCGTGTTACATGTTGGTTTGTTTAAACCAGTTTGGTTCAAGCTCACACGGGCAGCTTGAACTTCTTGCCCTTGAGAACCTTGTTGTAGTAGATGTAGAAGAAGTCCGAGTACAGAACCGTCTGAACGAGACCAGCAATAATGGCAATCCAGTCGACCTTGTGCTTGTCGGCAGGCTCCATCAAGTATCGGTAGATCCAGTTGGGAATGTACAAGGCGCGGTAGCTACCGAGGGCAAAGAGGTAGTGGGTGGTGATGGTCTCGGCCTCGCCAGTTCGCTGCAGCATGAACAGCTGGGGAAGAATGGCCACCGACTCGAGCCAGATGGAGAACGCCCAGAGAACCTCCTTGATGGTGTACTTGTATGGGAAGACTATGGCGAGAAGGGCAGCACCCATGAGCAGGTATTGGACGCGGAAGGTATCGACGTTGGGATCGTTGGTAGGCTTGTACGCGTTGGTCATGAGATAGATGATGTATCCCTGGGCGCCGAGGAAGAGGATTTTGAAGACAAAATTGTACAAGCTATCGGTGGAGAAGATGTCTGCAAGAGTTAGAGATGGTTGCTGATGGAGGGTGAGTGCATACCGAGATATCGAGTGACGTAGACAAACATGTAGAGTGCCTGGGACTTGAAGGAGATGCCGGAGCAGCTCTGTTGCTGTTAGTGGTGTCCAGACCTACGACTTCAGGGACTAACGTTGATCTGGGTCATCTTGTGCAGCAGAATGAAGATGCTGCCCAGGTGGGAAAAATCCGCTGTGTCATCATTAGCGAATGCGAAGCGCAGCAGCTTGCTTGTACACACCAGCGACGCGGAAGACGTTCAACACCATGATGATGGATGGCGGGGCGCGAGCTATCAAAGGTCAAGCTGCTATGCGGGCAGCGGATTCGTGGTGACAATCGGGGTTGGGGTTGATGAAGCCGAGGCGATTGCAATTGGAGTTGAGTCGAGATTCGAGTGAGGCGAACGGTGCCTGGCTTAAGTTGACGCTGCGTTGTCAGGGAGCTCTAAGCCGGAAAAAGGACACGACGCGATTGCACGCTCATTGGACCGTGTCGTTACGTGCTGGCACGGCCGACGCGCACGGACCATATGTCTAATGCCTACGTCAGGAATGCGGCATTCGCTCAGGCAGGTACGAAGTAGAATGCAGGATAATATGGAGTAGGGATCGATACATATTTAGAATGAACCAGTGGCAAGGGTCGTCTTTGTAATTTAGTCAAAGGGCATCTGGACTACTCCGGATTTAATCGATGAGATCCGTCATGTCTGTCATCAAGTGTCACCTGGTTGTCACGGACGTGGCGCAGACAAACCGGATCCAGGCAGTGACGTATTACAAAGCACACCGAACATGCCCGAACGCGCATCTTGAGGAACTATATCTTGCATTGGAGCTACCGGATCTGCGGTCAGTATTTGCTATCAGAATCACATTACAACTTTAAGCTACAACAAAATGGAAGACTCAATGTCCGATACCTCTGAGCATACGGCAGCGTGGCTGACACTCTCCGTCGCCCACCGCAAAGTCAACTACGACTTTACCTTTCATGACGACGCCACCATCACCGACCTGTTCAACGAGATCGAAGCCAGTCTTGATATCCCCGTCGCCAACCAAAAGATTCTCGCTCCAAAATGTCCCCTACTCAAGGCTCCTTTCAAGAACCCAGACATGCCCCTCCAAGAGCTCAAGGGTAAGACCCTGACTCTGATGGGATCGCCAGCCGCCGAGATCCAAGCCGTCCAGAACATGGCCGAGAGAGTTGCCAAGAGAAACGCAGCACGCATGGCCCACCGACCCAAAGCTAGACCTGCATCAAGGCGGAAACCAGAAGATTCGCAGTACACGTTCCTCAAAGTCCGCCCACTGCAGGGTCTACCCAACCCAGAACGGAGCCAGTCGCTGCTCATGCGACTCAAGGAGGACCCAGGGATCCGCGCGTCCATGCGCAAGCACAAGTTTACGGTCGCGCTCTTGACCGAGATGGAGCCTCTTGCCCACACGCAAACTACACACGAAGGCACGTCGAGAATCCTAGGTCTGAACCGAAACCAGGGAGAAGTCATTGAGCTGCGGCTGCGGACGGATGCCCATGATGGATACCGTGACTACAAGACGATCCGCAAGACGCTATGTCACGAACTCGCCCACAACGTCCACGGCCCTCACGACCGTAACTTCTGGGATCTTTGTCACCAAATCGAGAAGGAGGTTGATGCAGCCGACTGGAAATCAGGAGGTCACACGGTTGGAGAGTCGTCCCACTACACCATTTCCGGAGAGGAGGAGGAACACGACCACGGAGGTTGGACTGGAGGAGAGTTTTTGCTTGGAGGTGCTCGGGACCCGACCGCAGGCATGACTCGACGGGAGATTTTGGCAGAAGCAGCACTTGAGAGGCAACGCAGGCAGGCTGAAGCAGAGCGCAAGGTGTTGGAGTCGGCAGACAAGTGGCGACGGACAGAGAGCCCGCCACATGATGAGACAAAGTGATTTAGATTGGCGTTAATACCCATAGACGGAGCAAGCGTATGAATTCTGGTATATTGATTGACTAGTATGGTAGCGGATCCAGATCCAATCCTTCGACACTCAACTTGAATGAATCGTTTCGTGAATAACTCCCTCCCGCATCTAGATCCAATCGACCACGAATGCAATCGCGGAAATCAACATCTGCAAAGATGAGACCATCGGGGTCTTCCCACTGAGGACCAGCTACAACATCACCAAACGGCGTCACAATGGAGGAGCCGCCCCTCGACACCCACTCGGTTTTCTCGGGGATGGTTGTGGTGAATGTTGGCGACAGTGACGGCGTCTCGCCATCGACCTCCTTGCACAGGACAATCTCGTTGCCATCCTCATCAAAGACCGACTTGCGACGGCGCGGCCGGTGCGGCGAACGAGGCAACGCAATCTCGAAACCCTCTTCTGTAATGGTCGAGTCCCGTCGTCCCCGAGCAAGCGGCTGGCGGGTGTTTTCGGTAGGGGCGTCCTTGGGGACCGCCATGTTGCTGCTCACGACGAAGCAGCGGCCTTCGACACCAACGGTGCGCATAAGACCCAGCCACGCATCGCGATTGTCGGCAGTGGGTGCCAGGTAGAGGTTGATGTTTTGGGAGTAGAGCGTTTGGCGAAGCAGCGGCATGTAGTTTTCCCAGCAGATGGCCGCAGCGAGGTTGATGCGGACGCCGCGGATCGTGGTGGACACTGCGCGGAGGGTACTGGGAGCTCCTTGAGCCCATATGAGGCGCTCCGAGCCGGTCTAACATGTTAGCATAATAGGAGATGCAGACAGGTAGACATACTGGTAGGACCTTGCGACGCTTGCCTAGCATGCCCTCCTTGGGACACACGTAGACGACAGAGCAGTAGAGACTTCCTCCAGTCTTTTCAATACAACCAGTCACAATAAACACGCCAGACTCACGGGCAATCCGTTCAAGCTCCTCACGTGAACCATCGCCACGAACAACATCATCATCGCTGAGCTGTCGCTTCACCCACTTGAGCCCAGCACCACCCCCGCCAGGGCCAACATTGTCGCCGAGATCAATGGCTTGGTCAAAGTACTTGGCAAACTCCTCGCGGCCATCATCTGAACGACCGCCGATGGCACACCCAAACGAGCTTCCGCGGGGATACCCGCCAATGAAGGCCTCGGGGAGAAGCAGGATGTCGATGTTGGACGAGGCCGCACGGCGGGCGATGGAGTCGATGAGTTCAATGGTAGCTGCGGTGGTGGGCTGCGTGCCCGGAGAGGCGGTTCCCAGGCGGATTGTCGACATTATCACGGTGGTTGACGGAGGAATTGAGAAAGGAAATGAGAATGGAAATGAGAAAACAAACGCATTTCAAAGTCAAACGATGACGCCCATAGCGTGTTGTGACTCTGGAGCCTTTGGCGCCATGCCGTCTTGAGTTGGAGATGCAACTGACCTACCCCAAGCAGTAAAGCTACCCCGCATCCAAGCCGCAGTGGCCGCACGCCGAACGCCGCAGTGCCGCTCAAGGCACTTGGCGTAGTATGAGGCAATCCAGTGAAGCGGAGAACTGCCACCATCACGATACCAACATGTCTGGCGTCATTGTCAAAGCTCTCGACCACCTGGTCCTTACCTGCGCCAGCGTTGAGGCTACTTCGAAATGGTACTCCAAGTATCTGGGAATGAAGCTGGAGACGTTTGCAGCAGCTTCCGACCCGGCAACCAAGAGATTTGCCTTGAGGTTTGGTGACTCCAAGATCAACCTTCACCAAAAGGGCAAGGAATTCGAACCAAAGGCCTTGACGGCTCTGCCCGGGACAGCCGACCTGTGCTTTCTTGTCCAGGATGGCACGTCACTTGATGATGCGATTGCGGGGTTTGGTAGAGATGGAATTGCCGTGTTGGAGGGCGGCAAGACTGTGGATAGAACGGGTGCTCGGGGACCGATTCGGAGCATCTACGTGCGCGATCCAGACGGGAATCTCATTGAGTAGGTCCTTGCCCGTTTAATTGAACACGGCTAACAATGTAGGCTCTCTCATTACTTGTAAATAGAACGCGGATGAGAAATAATGCTTCATTCCACAGCAGATCTGGGCCGACCCACTGCGTAAGCCTCTCAGTATCAAATTGGAGACTCGCATCCAACAACCCCCTCACTACACAGGCGCACAACGCCTGCAATCTTCCGTAGTATAGTGGTCAGTATGCAAGCTTGTCACGCTTGAGACCCGGGTTCAATTCCCGGCGGGAGAGATCCAGCCACAGGTTATACGCCTGTTTCTTTTTGCAGTATCCACAGGTAAATTACTTGGATACTTTTTTGTCACTCATTTGGATTCATACGCCTGTTTCTGTGGCCGATATTTTCAATAATGCGACAACCTTTCTTCTGTCATTGATTTACATTTTATTCCTATGGCCTGTTCTCGCTCATCTCCTCCTCGATCGAGTCGTTGGTGCCGGCTCAAATGCATCGTCTTCTGAAATCTCATCGTCACTAATTTCCACCGCGGCCTGACTTTGAGAGAAATCAAGCTTTGTCTGTCGTGTCCTTGTCGCTCTAGCGGCTGGCTTGGCGGGTGCTTTTGCAGTCTTTGCAGTCTTCTTGGGGGCCGCCTTGGGCTTGGCCGGTGCTCGTCGTGTCTTGGGTGGAGGTGCTGGTTCATCCGATTCCATCACAACGTCCTCTTCTTCGCTCTCAACAGCCTTTTTACCACGACGAGCAGGGGCCTTCTTCGGGGCTGCTTTGGCTCGGGGCGCTCGCTTGGGTTTGGCGGGCTCCTCATCTTCTTGCACAGCCATGCTTCCGTCCTCGTACGTCCACGCATCTGGTTCGTCCTCCCAGTTGCCATCAAAGTCGCTATCCCAGGCTGCTGGCTTGGGTTTGAGTATTCTCTTCCGCTCGTTTTGGGTTGTGCGCGGCTCGCTAGCCTGTTCCTGTTCAATCCTGTTCCTGTAAATCTCCATGGCGCTGTTCAAGTCCTCATCATCCGACTCCAGACCCAACATCTGGCGAACCTGGCCTGTGAGGTGCTCAGACACAAACAGTTCCATAGCGTGCTTGTCGTCTTTGGCTACAAATTGTGTCACTGCATCACCGAATGGTCCCTGGGGGAGTACTCGGAGTGACTGTGCCGACAGGAATTCCTGTACAAGAGACTCCACTTTCATCGAGTCGTCTCCTTCAGCCAACGCCTCTAAAGCCTCTGTCGGGTTGGTCGCCGTAGTCTTGCCTGGGTTGTGTTAGAGAGTAAATCAATGGAGGGAGTGACTTACGCTGGGATGTTTTTTTGCGGTAAAAGTAGACGACGTCGTTTGTGTTGGCTACCTTGCCGACGAACCGGTTGGAGAATCGCTGGGGATTTTCGCACTCAAACAAGCCTCCGTCTGTGGCTGTGTACTCGACCTTGAGTCGGATAAGAGGGAGTGGCCGCTCCTCCAAAGCCTCTTCGTCGGTTTGAATCGCTTCCCAATCGGCATTGGCCTCTTCAATCATTTCCTCAACCACCTCCATCAACCTCCGTGTCACCTCTTGTCGGTTGTCCTTTTTCTTGTCTAGTCCTTTGAATCTCTTGTCTATGGAGAGAACCAATTCCCGAGTGACAAATGGACGAACTGTTTTGAGAGGAATCTTGTCAACCTTGAAATCCTTGCCAGTAACGCTCATGATGGCCACGTGCTTCTGGACAGCCTCTCCTGGGATTAGAGAGGTTGCAACGGATGAACCTGGTTGCATGACGTGGAATCCTGTCTCTGGGTTTTGAGTCGGATCAATCAGACACTCGTGCTCGTGTCCCCAGATGACCACATCCAGCCAGTCGGGTAGCACATTCTCTGGAAGATATGACGTTGCTGTGTGGGCGTGGTGGTTTTGGTGAACAGCCAACAGGTTAAACCAGTCTCCCATTTGTGTGCCAGGTCGGAACCATTTGACCTTGTGGTCACGGAATGTTCTAAACATGCGCTCATCGCGGACGTTGCTTAGTCCAAATAAAGCCAGTTTTGTCAATCCTTTCTGGAGGAGAATCGGCTTCGCTTCGATGTTATCTGCCTCTGGGACTCGGCCGTAGTAGTTGAGCAGTCCGCTGGCTTGTAGGAGGTCGAGAGAACAAAAGTTGCCGTCGCCTGAGGGGTCGTCGTGGTTTCCGTGGATAGAGAAAACTGGGATAGAGACGTTGATATCGGGGTCTTCGTAATTGACATGAGGAAAGGCTCCATCAAAGACGGACGCAGCATCGGACAGAAACTCGAGTGGGCAAGGCTTCATGCCAAGGACATTTTGTCGGAGAGTTCGCATGACTTGGTACAGAGACTTGCGAGAGGGTTTGTTGTCGTGGAACAAATCGCCAGCGAGGAGAACCATGTCGACCTAATCCGTTAGTCAAGTTCAACTGCCACTGACAAACCACCTACATCTTCAGTTCTGGCGAGATTCATGATCTCATCAAAGGTTTGCCAACTGTCATCCTTTCGGATAGCATCTCGCTCCTCGAACCCGACATGGTTGTCAGTTGCGATGAGGATACGGATCGTGTCCGCCTCTAATTCGTTAGCTAAGAAAACAAGCCACAAGGAGACTTACCCGTGAATTCGGGCATCTTGTTCGATCCTGATGACGATGAGGTTGCTGATGCCTGTGCTTTACGCGACCGCGATTGACGCGGGGAGGTGCGAAGTCACGTGACCAGCCTCAACTGACAACCCCGTCAATAGATTTACACTTATGACCAGGATCTGGCTCACGACATAGCTCTGACAGCAGCCAATGCGACGGAACAGCGAACAGTCACTTCTGGACAAGCCAAGCCCGACGTATCCGATATTCAGCACACCGACCGACTAGGTGCATCCCTACTAGCCTTTGAACCGGACGAACACAGAGGGACTCAACGTGCAACAGTAACATTGGCGGGACGGATTAACTCCAACTCGGTAAGTGGAGACACGGCGCCGATCCCTACCCCGTGCCGCCGATTGCATCTCCGACAGCGACTAAACACCATCTTTTGGGCGTGTTCAGAGTGCTCATCGTGCATCGTGATTCATGTTCATGCTGCGTCGTCTTGAGATGTTGGTCAGCGCTGTCTGCCGTCGTCAACCGCCCGAGCCACCCCTGGCAGGATTACCTGATGCCCAACACGGATAAACGCGACTAGCCTTGGGAAATTCGACTTGGCAACTGACAACTCCAGGAAACAACTCACGACGCTCGACCAGGACTTTCGGCGGCACCCACCCGAGGCCACCCTTTGCACGCCTCCGGCCTCGGAGACCGTACTCGCCCGCCTCGCATGCGTTTTGTCAATTGACTTCAGCGTCTCCGCCCATGCATCTCGTCCGGGTCGACCAGGATCTGCTCCATGGAGCAAACCACTCGCCGAACCCCGCCATGACCTCCCCGGGGAAGCTTCGGCACCTCTCGCTCGCCGACTTGCCCATGGAGATTATTGCCGCCATCTGCCGGAACCTGTGCATGCACTGTCGCCTTGCCCACGTTGTCGACCTCCCAGCCGGCGCCGTGGCCACTTGCCTGGAGGAGCAGCAGGCCCTTTCACGGCTGAGCCGGACCTCACGGCGTTTTCGCCTCACTGCCCAGCCCATTCTCTTCCACTTCTACCACACGGGAATCCAACCGGACCCGAGCAGTCCAGAGTGGTGGGGTGACGCTGTTGCCCGGAACCGCGAGATTGAGACGCTGGAATCGTTTCTGCGCACTCTTCTAGAGCGACCCGACCTGGCCAAGCTCGTGCGCGCCCTTGCCTTTTTTGCTTTGAGAACTGTCCGCGCCCGCGATGTTCCTCCCGCGACTCAGGTCCTCTTCCGGCAGGCCGGTGAGCGGGCTGGGTTTCAGGCGTTGCCGACATATGATCATGTCGAGTCCAAGTGGCTCCAGGAAGCCACCATCATGGCTGCGCCGTTCCTCGAGCAGCTCCTCATCTACCGATCATCCCAAGAAGGACTCCACTACTTGAGAGATTCTCCGTTCTATCTACCTCACCTGAAATATCTGGTACTTCCCGGGCAAGACAAGAATCCCGACGAATGCTGTCACATCCAGGAGATGCAAGACGTCCTAGCCAAGGCCCAGAATCTAGAAGAGTTGGCAGCTAGCGATTGCGACTGCGGGACCGATATCCCCCTTCGTGAACGCTTCCGAACAGAGCCGTGGAATACTGCACTGTCCAGCCTCCGTCGGTTGTCGCTTCATGGCCTCGACCCGGACAATCTGGCCAAGATCCTTCGTCGCAGTCCCGTTCTGGAAGATCTAGAATATTTCTGTGACATGGACAAGTATACTATCCTACAGCACGATCACCTGGAACCTATCAGAGACACGTTGCGGCGGATTTGCTACACGACTACGACTTGGGAACACGCCCAGGGCACTTCAGAAGACGTGATTGAATTGGTGTCAGGTTTTCTGAGGTGGGACCAAACTCTACGGGGAGACATGAACTTTTCCGACTTTCCGGAGCTTGAAATTCTCGAAGTTGAACAGCTTTTACTCTATGGGCCTGTGTTTGACTACCAAGAGCGAGATCAACGGTTTGAATCTCTCAAAGACGTGTGTCCTGAGTTATTCATGGCCAGTCTTCCTTCATCGTTACGGATATTGCACATTGGCATGGTCCTAGCGTGGCAGGAACTACATCGGGATTTGATGGGAATGATACAGAAACTATTTCGGTTTCCAGAGTTGAGGTTAGTTGCAGTGGATCCTTACGAACCTCCGCCTCCCAAGCAAGTCAAGGAACTCAAGGATGCCTTTGCAGCCAAAGGTGTCACGTTTTGTCTGGGACAAACCACACAGACTCCATTTTCGAGGGGTATGCTCGGCGTAAGGCCAGGTCACTCCGAGCCATCCAACACAGATTTGTGTTTTCGCCTTCAACATGTACAATAGTATTACCAGCCTAGGTGATAGCGCAGGTTTTGTCTTCTAACTCTGCATGTATTGTAAGTGATTCAATTAGGATACCAGTACTTAATAAGACATTGGATATTGTGTTAAGTTCTTCCAACGCTTGGTAAAAGTGTATGTTTACGCATCTTCTAACACTTTGAATTGATGTCGGATGTATGCCAAGACGGCAACGTCCCAAGATGTCAGATGCCATTATCAAGATACCAAGACGCCAAGATACCAAGACCAATACCTATGCAAGAACTAGATCAGGTACCAAATGTCAAGATGTCAAATGCCAAGATACCAAGACCAAGATAACCCGACACACAAGATGCAATACCACACGCCAAGATGCCAATATCCCCAGATCTACGTCAAGTAGCTACGCCACTTCTGCTGCCAAGGACGCCTCACCCGACAACCATCAACGTCATGCAAACTCCCGAAATCCTCCCGACCCGGGGATACTGTATTCTCCGGTCGATCACCAGTTCTATTTCCCCGCAAGTTTCCCCGATGGCATGTTAACGGCGTTACAACGGCCGTACGTCATGATCAATGGTTGGTGCACGGGCTAAGGTTTCCCACCGATCTCCGCATCTCACACCACAGGCCCCGCAATCGCTGGGCATCTGGGGTAGTTCCCCGCAAATAACCCTCACGAATTCGCGGATTCATCCAAATTGAGCATCGGGTCGGGGGAATATCTAGCAATTCTCCTAAATACGTGATTATGTGCCAAACCTATTCAAGGTCACAAGATGGAATCGGTCCGATCAATTGAGGGGTTGATGGTGGGAGTTGGTGATAAATACTGAGTCTCAGGTGTTGATGCAATCACTCAGACACAGCTCAGATATCTCATCATGGCGATATTTGGACAATTATTTTTGGCTTCGCTGGCTGTGGCTCAGCAGGTCTACCTGCCTGCGGATGGCCCAACAACTCGGGACTGCAAGGTTACCAAGACAAGGGAACCCAAATACTCCTTTACTCCATTCAGTTATACTCTTACAGATACTGTGAGGTATGCAACGTCAGTCCCAGCTCCTACAACCACCACTACATATGCTGCACCTCCAGAATCACTGGCCACACTGGTGCCATCGCTGTCTTACACCACTTGGGGTAAATGGAACCCCAATGCAACGACAACAGCCTCAGACACCAATGACCCATATGGTCAAGCGGCATGGACGTCGCTCTGGGAACATGCCAACCCACCAAACTTTACGGAAACTGCAGTCTACAGCACCACCGTTTCACCCACACCAATCCCGAGCAGTGAGCTCGTGCTTCCGCCGCGAGACTACTTTGGACCAACCGACTGCTACAACTTTCCAGAAGGATTTGCGTTTGGCGTGTCTAGCTCTGCTAGTCAGGTCGAGGGAGCGACTGCCGAAGAGGGCAAGGCGCCTTCACTCATGGACATACTCATTCGGGATGAGCGGCCAAAATCTTACGTGACCAATGAGCACTACTATTACTACAAGCAAGACATTGAGCGGGTCGCAGCCATGGGGGCCAAGCACTTTTCATTTAGCATTGCATGGACTCGGATCCTGCCGTTTGCCCTCCCTGGGACGCCAGTGAACCAAGAAGGCATCGATCACTACAACGACGTTATCAATTTTATCCTTGATAAAGGCATGACGCCCGAGGTGACGCTCATTCACTTCGACACTCCTTTGCAGTTCTACGGGAGCAATCTCACCACCGCTACGGACAGGCCCGAAATCGGCTATGTCAACGGTGCGTACCAGAATGAGACATTTGAAGACGCCTTCGTCCACTACGCCAAAGTGGTCATGTCGCACTACGCTGACCGTGTTCCCACCTGGTTCACCTTTAACGAGCCGCTCCTCTACTCGCAAAACGCCAAGGCAATCAGCCATGTCATCAAGGCGCACGCTAGGGTCTTCCACTGGTACAAGGAGGAGCTGTGCGGGACTGGGAAAATTTCCCTCAAGTTCAACAACAACTTTGGCGTCCCTCGGGACCCCCTTAGCGAGGCGGATGTGTATGCAGCCGATCACTTCAACTCGATCCAGCTGGGGCCGTTCTGCAACCCAATTTTCCTAGGGCAAGACTATCCCGATTCGTTCAAACAGACGTTTGCAGATTACGTGCCTTTGAGCGCAGAGGATCTGGAGTACATTGGCGGCACCGCCGACTTTCTCGGGATCGACCCGTACACTGCCACTGTGATTGCGCCCCCGGTTGCGGACGACAAGGATAGCATCCTGGAATGTGCGAGCAACTCGTCGTCTGCCTTGCGCCCGTACTGCGTGAATCAGACGACTACCAACGTGTACGGCTGGGACATTGGGTACCGGTCGCAGTCGTACGTGTACCTGACCCCGACCTACCTGCGCAGCTATTTGAACTACCTGCACAACACCTGGAGGACCCCTGTCGCCATCACCGAGTTCGGATTTCCCGTGTTTGGCGAGGCGGACAAGGCCCTCGTGGACCAATTGTTTGACACGCCGCGCAGCCTGTACTACCTCAGTTTCATGAGCGAGGTGCTCAAGGCCATCTGGATTGACAAGGTGGAGGTGGTTGGGGCGTATGCGTGGTCGTACATGAATAACTGGGAATTTGGCGACTCGGCGGCGCTATTCGGGATCCAAACGGTCAACCAGACGACTCAGGAGCGCCGGTTCAAGAAGAGTTTTTTCGACCTGGTGGATTTCATGAAGGCGCGCGGCGTCTAGCTTGTACGTATGCATAAGTCAAAGTAGTGTGTCACCAAGTTTATCCCAAAGCCAAACCTAATCGAACGCGTATTCTGAAGCCGTCGCGTGTTGCGTCGCGCATGCCGATATCAGCATAAGACGGGCAGTTGGTGACAAGGTTGCTGATTAGCACATCCTATCAGACGGCGCAAAAAGCTGGGGCCTGGCCCGGGCGGGAGAGAAAAAGGTTATTCAATGAACGATTGTGTCCCGTAATGAAACCAAAACTCGAGGGATTTGGCCAAGTGTTGCTCCTGTTGGATGGCGGCTTATCCTGCGGAGCCTGCGGAGCCCAGGTGGTCATTCTTCCCCGCAGCGCCTGGACGGCAGATACGCACAGGCTGGGAAAGAGGAGATAGCGGACGGCTTGGACAAGGGCCAGGGTGGATGGGCACGACGACCTTCCACATGGGGCAACGTGAGGGCGGAGACGACGCGAGGCAATGCGACAGCAGGACCAGATAGGCGTGGCTTCGGAGGACCCCGGAAGGTCCACAGAAGCTCCGCTGGGGCACAGGCATAGCACACACCAAGGAACCTTATCTGGCTGGAGGAAGCATTTGGTGTTGTTCTAGAATTTGCTAACACCGTTGGGGCCTCGGGGGGCGGCACTGCGCGTCATGGCGCTGGCCTGTGGCGGACCGGCTATTTTTGATGCTTGGGAAATGGCTCGGAATCTGCCCTGTGCCCGGCTGAAGCGACCACTGCCGCGATGGCGCCAGGCAGTTGGCGGGAGGCTTTGTTGGTGGCTGGAGTGGCTGCATCTTGGCTGCAAGCGAGGGACATCCCGAGGTACTCTCACACTCTGTGTGTATAAGCGATCTGCCCATTGCTAGCCGGGAGAACTCTGCTGATCGGTGGCAACCCTGGGCAACCCTGGGCAACCCTGAGCAACCCTGAGCAACCGCCAGGGTGTTCACCCAACTCTTACGTGATGGATCTCCAAGCGGGCGTTGTGCTAGGCCAGTCCGCCCAGCGTCGCATCCAACTGAGGGTCTCGGAGAGGGTCTGGAGCGTTGGGAGGGTCGCTGATCCAAAGCTGCTGCCGTTTTCAGCTTGGGCGAGCAGGGAATCAGTGCAACACGGCGTCTTGGCAGCGCACACGGGCTTCCGACCGGCTTCCCCAGAGCGAGTGGAGCTTGAGGCCATCCAGAGACACCGAATCACAGTCGCCGATGCAGCGCCGGCCAACGCCCATTCGGCAGCTTTTACTCATGTGCTCCGTGGTGCTCGAGGCTGACCGTGCCATGAGGTTATCTGATGACGGCAGGTGCAAACTGTCAGCATGGGTTGGTGCCGCAGTCCCAAACATTAACCTCGTCGATCCTTCCTGTTGGGACTTCGGCTATATATCTACCTGGCCCGCCCGCAGAGTGTAACCTTGTCTCACCTGCTTCTACCCAACAGGCTTTTCTTCTGCTCTCCAGCTCGAGCTTGGATTTCACCTTCTACTGGTTCTCACAGTCGCCGTCATGAGTGGCCTCGTCAAACGCACGTCGTCGGACGTCGAGAAGACGGACATGGGCTACGATGCCAAAACCGGCGGAATCAACGATGCCGGCTCTGTCCACATCGCCGGTCTTGAGACCAGCCCCGAGACGTCGCTTCACCGCGGTCTCAAGGCCCGTCACATCACCATGATTGCCATCGGAGGTGCCATCGGTACAGGTCTGATCATCGGTACCGGCAAGGCTCTCGCCCAAGCTGGTCCTGGTTCCGTCTTCATCTGCTACACTCTCATCGGTTTCGTCGTCTTCCTCGTCATGGCTGCTCTCGGTGAGATGGCCGCTTGGTTGCCCATCTCTGCTGGTTTCACTGGTTATGCTTCGCGCTTCTGTGACCCGTCTCTTGGTTTTGCCCTTGGCTGGACGTAAGTACATTCTTAACCAAACTCCCTAACAAACCCAACTAACGCGACCAGATACTGGTTCAAATACATCATCGTCACTCCCAATCAATTGACGGCTGCTGCCCTCGTCATTCAGTATTGGGTCGATCGTGACACGGTCAACCCTGGTGTCTTTATTGCCATCTTCCTCGTCACCATCATCTGCATCAACTACTTCGGTATCCGGTTCTTCGGCGAGTTTGAATTCTGGCTGTCCTCATTCAAGGTCATTACCATTGTCGGCATAATCCTGTTCTCCTTCATCCTGGTCCTCGGCGGTGGTCCCGACCACGACCGCAAGGGATTCCGCTACTGGAAGGATCCTGGGTATGTTTCATTCCACTCACCTCTGACCTAGCTAACAATCCCAGCGCATTCAAGCCTTACATCAAGACCGGCGACGCTGGCAAGTTCCTTGGCTTCTGGTCATGCATGGTCAACGCCACCTTTGCCTACCTTGGTACTGAGCTTGTCGGTGTCACCGTCGCCGAGGCCCAGAACCCCCGCAAGACGATCCCCCGCGCCATCAAGCTCACCTTTTACCGAATCCTCTTCTTCTACTGCCTCTCCGTCCTCCTCGTCGGCATGCTCGTCCCCTACGACTCGGATGAGCTTTCCTTTGCCACCAAACAAACCACCGGTGCTTCCGCCTCGCCCTTTGTCGTCGCTGCCGATCTCGCCCACATCAAGGTCCTCCCCCACATCATCAACGCGTGTATCTGTGTCTTTGTCTTTTCCGCCTCCAACTCGGATCTGTACATTGCCAGCCGAACCCTCTATGGTCTTGCGTCCAACGGCCAGGCTCCCGCCATCTTCAAGCGCACCGACAAGCGTGGTGTCCCCATCTATGCCCTCGGTTTCTCTGCCATCTTCGCTTGTCTGGCTTTCATGAACGTCTCCAGTGACTCCCAAAAGGTCTTTGGCTACTTTGTCAACCTCACCACCATCTTTGGTCTCCTGACCTGGATCTCCATCCTCGTCACCCACATCTACTGGTGCAGGGCTCGCAAGGCTCAGAACATCGCTGATGAAGTCCTACCATATGTCGCTCCTCTCGGCATCTGGGGCTCATATGGTGCCCTTTTCATGTGCGTTCTTGTCGCCCTCACCAAGAACTACGACGTCTTTGTCGGTGGCGACTTTGGCAACGAAAAGTACAAGACCTTCATCACGGGATACCTTGGTATTCCCATCTACCTGGCCCTCATCTTTGGCCACAAGTTCATCCTGAAGACCCGCGGCCACAAGCCCCATGAAGTTGACTTTTACACTGGCAAGGATATCATTGACAACGAGGAGAACGAGTTCCTGGCTCGCAAGGCTGCCCTTAGAGAGGCCGAGGGCCCCAGCCGTGGTGGTTGGTTCTACAAGACCTTCCTCTCCTGGTTGTTTTAAATGGATTGGCCTGGATCTTAGCTCAAGGACTAGACGTCTTAGATTTAAGAGAATTATGCTCATTACTTGACCATATGGACATTTGGAAATATATGTAGTATTTTATGAGTGTATACCAAGCCTCCGTCTTAGTGATAATATTGATATACAATACGAACGCAAATGATTGCAGGTTGGTGAAGTTAGGGGCAGTGATTGCGATAAGATGTAGCGTGGTCATTTTGTCTCAAAGTAGAGGTCACTCGGATCGACACTTGGTGCAAGACAGGTCCCCTTTTGTTAGACATACAAAAGCAACATATCCTGTCGTCTCCCTTCTTACCTGGGGTCGTTACGAAAATCCAACAAGTCAAACTTGCCGATTTCGCCGAGACCTTTGAGTCCTGGGGAGAGGACTCTCCGCATAAAATGTGGATGATTGGTGTTCGCTCTGCTAATCACCGCCCAGTAGGTGGCGGGTAACTGCCACTGGAACGGTCACATAATCTCTCCCTGTTGGCTACCGCCACAAAATCTGGCACTGCCACTGCCGAGCCAGAGACCATTTTCTCCCAAAGTTTCCCCCGCTTGTGTGCCCACCTCTCCAACAACCTACAACTCTACAACTACATCTCAGGATGGGTTAACACCAGACCAGCCGAAAGATCGCCGTGGCCCTCCAGTGACCGGTCGAGTGGCTGGAGGGTTATCTTCTCTCGTAATTCATCCTGAAAACCTCTCCTACCATCCCTCATCGCCATCCCTAATCGCCATCCCTCATCTCCAACCTTTGTTGTCACCAGGCGTCAAGTCAGAGTCGAAGATAGCATAGACAATCCGGCGTTCGCGAAGCTCTCAGTCGTCGCCACAGCTATCGAATCCGCTCGGGCGGGCTAGTTGCTTCATGTGCTTCATTGCCTGACTTCTGCACGACGCTCATCGACATTCCCATTCACTGTACGAACGACCTCCTTTTCGCGAGCCCGAGCCATGCTGACCAAGAGATAGTAGGAACATTCGGCGCTGCCACGGACAACTGCCACAGTCAAACACAACACAACATGGAATGCCTGGGTTATCCAGAACCTGCATGGGAACCGACGGAAGATTTGAAGCGAGACGTGCCCCGTAATTGCGGCGATTTACGCGTTAAAATATAACAAACGGCGACAGTGTGCCTTTTTATCTGTCTGCTGTGCCTCTTTGAAGGCAAGGAGGCTCACGGTGGCACAACGTGAGGATACCCCCTCCGCCCATTATAGTTATAATCCATCTTTTGGACGAAATATTTTGGGATCCTTTTCACTTAAGAATCAGTCTCAACTCACCTCACCTCGGGCTCACCTGCAGCTCTGCCATCTGGCAACCAGCTGTCAAGACGTGCAGTCAACGCGCACCAGCCGCACCACTGGCACCTGGCAACACCGGCAAACACCTCGCGTGCACCAAACACGACCTTTGTTGACGCACCCTGCCTTTGTTTTCCTACTCACCTCAACCTCAACCTCACCTTTTGTCTGGGAATTCCCCCTTCTCACCACCCATACTACACATCGCCACTCTACACACATTGGACAGAGCCGAATGCAATCCACGGCAGCGGGGCGGCCAGAACCCGGAGCTGGCCGTCGTCGCGCACTCGTTCAGCTTCAGCCCAGGGGGCATGGTCGCATAATGCCGGACACGACTGTATTGTGAGTTCACTTTATCCTAGTTCCTCTTTTATTTGCTCCCTACGACCGAGTCGCTTCAGGTGGTCAACTCACAGACACACATCTTGTTGCCGGTTGCCTCACGGAGGAGCCAGCCCTTTGCGTAACATTTGTTCCCTCTTTCGGTTCCTTCATGACTGACAATGATACTCGTACGAAGGCCCTTCGCCAAAAACTGGTTGAGCCCCGCTCCCGTCAAGATTGATGCGGCCCCGTCACGCCCTCAGTCAAGCGTTCTAAGGACATGCCGTTACCGAAACGGAGAATACCGCAAGTTGGGCGGAGGCAGCTCCCAGAGACCCCATTGACACAAAACTCCTACCTTTCCGACAACCTCACGACTCTACACATCAGAATAAAGACTAGACCGGCGGTGACTCAGGTACTACGTGCGACCTGCAGTGCCGAACCCATGGATACGCAAGACTTATCCCGTGCTGGGCTCTGCCTGGTTCGATAAGCGGTGCGATCACCGTGGCCCCTTCAGTGACCGGTCGAGTAGCTGGAGGGTTAAATTTTTTTCCAATTCTGAACAACAGTCGTACTATCCCTCTCCTATCTCCGACTCATGTTGTCCAGGCGTCAGGCTAGGGCCGAAGACTGCAGCACAATCCGGCGTTACATCTTCTCTTTCGCACCGACGGCAGCTACTCTAATCGATGTTGATTATGAACATGGCTATGCTACTTTTTCCGTTTGCAGCGCAACCTTGAACATGCGAGCTAACCCTCGTTTACTTGGCTGCTAATCCTTTGACATCTACTTTTTACCTCTCTTTTGTCACACACTTTTCTGCTCCTATACTCTCGCAACACTACTCTCAGGTTTCCGCCTACTTCCCTTCGACATCTTATTCTACGCCGCACTCGGCCCTTGACAAAAGGGTCCCTCTGCTGACGCTTTGGGGCTCTGGCATGATCTTGAATCGTGTCCGCAACCAGGTTTCCCCGCCTGGTTGTGTCCAATTTTTACTCCCTTTCCCCTCCTACCTCTCCCCGTACTCGATCCTGTGGATATCTACCTACCTACCTACCTTACACGACGGCGACTTACTTGACTACTGGATTCGTGGAGCATCTTGGGCCTGCCCGGTAATGTCAGCCAGCGACCCGCGACCCACGCGACAATCTGAGTGCTGCCCTTGCCGATAATCGCCATCTGACCTTTGGTTTGGTGTGTAAGCTAACTCCTCACCTTAATCCCTCTCTACCTCAGAATGCTAACACCTGGTTGAACTAGCTCTCAGACTTTCGATAGCTGTAGTTGAGCTTAGCTCCTAGATCGACCCGACTATCACTCCAACCCCGACAAGACAGAACTCTACAATGGGCACATTTTTTCAGACCGGCAGAGGTTGAGGCACTACATTCGGCCGAAAACCCTGAACCCCTTGGAAGCGATCTAACCGTCGCATCCCGTGCTGGGTCTTTTTTTGAGACCTGGTTCGTGAAGCGGATAACTTACGAGAAAGTCCGTGACCCTCCAGTGACCGGTCGAGTAGCTGGAGGTAAACTCACCAAACATACCCAAAAACTTCTGATTATCTTTTCAAACACCAACTCCCGCTCAAACGACAAGTGGTACATCCACGGCCGATGCCGAGTTTTTGTCTGTCTCCGAGTGCTGCCCTTTTCGAGAACCGTCATCGCGACTTCCTTCCCTGAACAGGTCGTCTTCTTTGTTCCTGAGGCACGCCGTCATCCTCGCGGGGGCATGGCTCACGAAGGAAGGAGCGGGCCGGCTCCTGCCACGGCTGGACTCATAAAACACTTCCCACCGATGCCTGCCCGCCTTTCCGTCCAAGGCACCTTGAGAATTCCCACCCACCCTCAACTTCTCGAGTATTCCCATCTCCCATCATCAACTTCTCGAGTAAACCGAGAAGCATCCCCATCCTTGTCATCCATCCCACTGGGTGAAGACGCAGCACAAAGAAAGGTGAGTTGCCACACGGCTCAGGGCCTGCACTTCTTGGTGGCCAATTCTAATCTCGTTGCAGACGGATCAACTCAGCTGCTGTCCAAGGCACAATGGCCTCGGAACTCGAGAACTCAGACGACGTCCAGTCCCTGTCGCCGCACGCAAGGTGAGTCACTTCACGGTCTATGGCCTGCATTTGGTGGCCAGTCTCTAATTCCGCCACAGTCACAACGACTCAGGAACCTCGCAAAATCCCATTGCTATTTCTGATGATGATAACGATGTCGTCTTTGTGCGCCGGAAGCGGTCGCGGACCCAGCCTCGCAACCAGGATCCCATTGTCATTTCCGATGATGACGATGTCGTCTTTATGCGCCAGAAGCGGTTGAGGACTCCCCCCGTCATGCACGAGCCTATCAAGTACGAACCTGTCAAGCACGAACACGAACCCGTCAAGCATGAACCTGTCAAGTGCGAACCTATCAAGCACGAATCCATCAAAAAGGGAGACCTTTCCGACGAGGATTTGACCATAGTGGCCCCTCTGGCCCCTCTGGCCCATCGGATTCCACGGCGCACTACGAGGACCAAAAGAAAGTACTACGACGATGAACAACTAGGCTTGGTTCAACCCCGCTCTAACTCGGTCGCTCCGCCCTTCGCAGAGAGGAACTCTGATGGTGATGACGAGTTCAACATCACACCTTCCACCTTGCCTGTCCCTAGTTCAAGCCTTCCCCGTCGCTCTCTCCCTGGCTCGATTTCTGGACCAATCGCCCCGCCCAAGACGAAGTGGGAATACAACAGCAACAGCGAGGGGAACGCCGACAGCGATGGCGAGTTCAACATCACACCTTCCACCCTGCCTGTCCCCACTTGGCTGCCATGGATCTGGAGGTGATTGCAACTAAGAGGGATATGTTACTAATGATGGTTGTTCCTTACACTTGCTATTTGTTGTTTACACTTGGTGGAATCACATGATGGGTGATCTTTGTTAATGGCACATCGCCAAGTCGGATGTGGGCTTGCATTTCCTGTTTCTACTCTCGCCGTTAGTTTATTGTCCTCACCGGCAAATAATTATGTCGCTTGCTAAATTACATTTCTGTGCGAAGACTGATAAACTAAATATGCAGACTGATGTGAAAGTGTATGGAATGACTTATTTCCTCCCGATCAAGCCTTATGCCTCCCACTTTTGCATCCCTTCCTTAGGACGATCCCTCCATCAAAATGGGAGACCTTTCCGACGAGGATTTAACGGCGATGGCCCCTTTGATAGCGGATTCCACGTCGTAGTACGAGGAACCAGAGAAAGTACAGCCACGATGGACAACCGGAATTGATGATGGTTGATTTGCTTGCACTTGCTGGAATCGCATGACGGATGATCTTTCTTATGGCCTGGGCTCACCTTTTATGGTTTTACTCTTGCCGTTAGTTTACTGTCTTCAGCAAATAATTATGTTACACCTCCTATTTCTGTACTCTTCCCTCCGTTGGCGACAAATGAACCTGCTGTCAAGTCACTGCGCTGAGACCGAGAGTCGTGAACGGACGAGGCTGCCCTGGTCCGAGAGAGATCCTTTGAAGTCGGCGGCGATACGCCCGGCTGAAATGCAAATCACCCGACACCGCGGCATCCAAGAACGTCGCCATGTAGACGAGATACCACTTCGGGGTCGATAGGCCAGTGGACAAGATTCACACGGTAAAGAGTAAGGACTTCATGGAATTGCTGGGCGTGCTGGACGTCAAAGAGTACGGCAACATCACCTTTAAGATGGAAATGTGGACAATTCGCAAACACACAAAGACAAGTATTAATTAACATTGCAAATTATCTCTACAGAACCATCCTGCGCATCCTGTGCATCACTAGCTTCTTGCCTCCTAGGTCCTCCTCGCCTCCCTAGCTGCGTTTCGAGACTTCTGTCGCTTGCCGGTGAGAGAGCTCCCAGAGCCGAATGGGTTGCGGTCTACACCGTCGCCAGGCACAGGATCTAAAGTGAAGATGTCGGGGAATGGCTTCGTATGAGCGTGTGGGCAGAATCGCAGCGCGTGGTTGTATGGGCGACGGTTGGCAACGCAAATGGGACATGTGGGAGCAGCCTTGCACTCGATAGTGGTGTGACCATGCTGAGCACACTTGTCACAGAACTTGTGCCAAGATGCCTTGCGATCGGTACGCACCTTGCCATAGGCCTTGTTCTTTTCGACATACCTGAACAAATCACCGAGGGAACTCTTCGGGTGGGCTGTCTTTGGGCATCCCAAAATGACCATGGCAACGCGAGCGCGGGTCGACAAAACAGCGAGGCGTTCTCTTTCGTGGAGGAAACCAGCCTTGTCGGTGCGAGTCAAGTCACAGATGACCAAATCAGCTTCATGGCCTGGGGAGTCATCGATAGTGCGAACTTCCACTCGGTCCAAGGGGACCTCAGCAGGAGAAAGCTCACTCATCAGGCCTTCCCATTCATTCTTCTGTGCCGAATAGCCAACGATGACCAGTGTAGACCCAAAGCGAGGAGGGTTGACACGAGCCTTGACATCGCGAGCGTTGTAGAGGGGAGCCTCGCGATAGATCATGGCGATGAGCTCTCTCCCAAAGAGGGCGTTGATTGGGTTTGCAAAAGAAGTCCCAACTGGCACCTCTGCCGCATCTCCAACTTCACAGACAAAGGTCGAACCCTTCGCTTTTCGATCAAATTTGTCACAGAGCCACCTCCGCATCTCTAGCGACGCTTTACTGTCACTCTGGTTCGCGACCACCATCTCACCGCCGTAAATGTGGTCGGCCGCCCAGTTGACCACCGGCCCAAACGCTCTGTGATTGACACTCAAGGTGGCAGTCACCGATCCAACCGACTTCACGCGTTGGAAAAGGCTGAGGCCGCGTTGAGGACTGAAAAACGACTTGACATTTCGGTCTCCATGAAGCAGACTGATTGGAGCGAATTGTCTGTTGTCGCCGATGAACAAGTGTGGGGTGTCAGGACACTTCGAGATTGAAATCAGCGACGCATTCTCTGACATACGTCCAGCTTCGTCAACCACAACAAGCGAGAACTTGAAGCCGGGCATGAATCTTTTCATGTGGTCCATCAACTGGGCGAAGGCAATCGGTGTGGCACAAACAGCGTCACAGGACTTGATGGTCGTGCAGAGCAGTTCCAGAGCCGTAGCGCGACGCTGAACAATGTTTTCTGCATAGCATTTAGGGGAGTTCTTGAGCTCATCCATGCCTCGCAAGAAATTGGCACAGTTGAGCTCGTCTTCTTTCGCCATTTTGTGTGCCAGGTTGCTCATAGATGAAGGGATCATAGAGGGTTGGACAGAAGCGAAACGGGCAGCTGAGAGTTTGTTGACGTAGGTAGCGAGTTTGGTCTCAGACATTGAAAGACGTTTCTCAGTGACGATCTGGCGAGGCTTAGGCGGAGTAGTTGTCAAGTTGCCGAGCTCTGCTGCCCAAGGTAGCATCCGACGAACAGTCTTTTCAGGAGTCGCTTTCGCCAGTCGCTCGCAAGCATCCTGGACCGAGGCGTTTGAGGGCGCAATCCAGGCAATCTTGCCACTCTCCATGATGGCTTTGCAGACGGTAACACCCAAGGTTGACTTCCCGGCACCAGGGACACCATCGACAAAGATGTAGCCTCCCATGCCCCGAAAGTCTTTCACAACATCTGCGTGCTCGCCAAGGAATTCTCCGATGTCCAAAGCAGTCTGAAGAGTAGGGAAGGCAGACAGTAGATTGAGAGAAGGAGCGTCACCTTGGAAATCGAGTGAGTGATGCCAAAATCGTGCAGCCATACTGGTCTTTGGTAGTCGATTCATGTCAGTGATTGCGTTGCATTCAGCCTCCGCTCCCTCCTTGCTGGCTGAATACCACAGACCAACGTCAACCGTAGAGCATTTGTTCGCATCCAACTCGGAGGATAGCGATTCCAAGAACTTGTTCAGTCGACCCTTGACAGTGTGCGAGGGAAGGTTTGGGCGGATTGGGGGACTCTGCAGGTGGGTGGGCCAGTCGTTCTGATTGGGAGTGCTGACTGAGAACATGGCGATGTCCGCTCTGGTGCCAGCAGGCAGTCCGATACGCATGGCGTGCCACGGCTGCCCTCGTCCGTCAGGGTAAGCGACTCGCCGACGGGCATATTTCTCAACCCATGATTCCAAGAAGGTGCGGAAAGTGTGAGGATCAGCATAGGCTTGGACGATTGCGGGTGCCAACTCCATGGCTGTGATCGCTAGTTGCAGGGACTTGTCTCCATCAGGCAGCAACACAAGGCTCTCATCGCTAGGGTGTTTCACCACAGACATCAGAACACCTTCAACTTCCGAGAGAAACAGCTCTGCGATGGTCTCGTCTGACCCGTTGGAGTCGGCAATTTCGTAAGCCAAGTCCAACTTTGTAGCCAGCTCTCTCACCACGTCGTTGATATCGTCAGCCGTTAGCTTCACGTCGGGTGGCTCCCGATTGCCTGCAGCCGTGGGGATGTAGAACCGACACTGCTCACCAGTACGGGGCAGGAGATGCGAGACTTTATCGCCAGAGAGGACAAAATACTGGTGGAGGGGTGCACCATCTGCAATCATGCCAAACGTTGCCTTGTCTGTCGGCTGAGGGTCCCAAGTGGAAAAGGGGTCCCGAATAACAGCAACTTTGAGAGGAGTGTCAAAAAGTTCGGCCGTACGATCGCGGAGCACCTCCACTTCCTCTACCACACTTCCGATGAGAGATACAGTGCGTTGGACGTTGGACATGAAGATATTTCTTCGTGGAGCGGGGGCGTCGGGCCTCTCGACATCTTCCATTGCAAAATTGTCGAAAGTCAGGGCTGAAATCTTTTGCTGAATATTCGCGGTGAAAGGCTCGTAGGGCGAGGTGTACTCCCCGAGGTTGGCCAGCTTGGGTGCCCAGTGTAGGGGGAAGGTCCTCCCATCGCGAAAGAGGATATGAATGGGGACAACACCGTGTCGGGATTTGATGTGGGCTAGTAGGGCGGTGCGGATGTCCATGCAAGCGTCAGGTACTGTCAGACCAGGTCGTGCCAATTCAGCAGCAATGAGCTTGACTTTCCCAGACGCGAGGTGGAATTTGATGGTACTGAATTCGTCGACTCCTCGCTGAACGAATGTGGCTGGGAATGCGTCCAACACAGCGTCTTCAACCTCTTGATCTCACGGTTAAGTTAGCCACTTGTCCTTCATCGACTTCGTGCCACCCAGGTGGTCGCCAACTGGGATAGAGGGGATTTGGAACAGCAACTCACCAATACTCTCGACTGCGTCCGGCTTGATCGAATTGACCACAAGATCGCCATCAAGTGCATCAAGAGGACAGACCAGAGTAAGCACCGTATAGCGACGGTCGGCGTTGCGCACAGTGAAGCGGATGGTGAGGGTAGGGGTAGTGAATTTGCCGATACAGAGCTTGAACATCGTCTGGAGGCCCGCATGCTTGCCACTGCCGAGACTGTTGAGAGTCTCGTCGTGATATCCATGGGCGAGCACATCGTCAATAGCCGCCAAGCAGACAAACCAGTCAGACTCGACTGGTGTAGTCTCCCGAAAGGTCGCCATGATGGCCTAGACCCAGTAGTGTACTTGGTTGAGTTGTGGAGTTGGTGAAGTCAGAGGTGATGTGTGAAGGGGTAAAAAATTTGTGTGGGGGAAGTCGGCAGGGAGAAACCAAACACGGAGCGCGTCCAATGTGGTGTTTGTCTGTTGCCGAAAACACTGGGTTGGCAACTGGCAGCCAGGTGGCAGCTCTGCCGGTTTCGGAGTGCAAAAGAAGGCAAGAATGAAGTGGTTTTGGGATGAAAAAGAAGGATGAGAACGAAGGTGAAGTCGAGGTGAGAAAAGACTGATTTGTGGAGGGCGATCCCAGACCTGGGAGCCTCCCCTCTGGTGAAGTATGCGAAGACACATGTGGTGGGTGGAGTCCAGGTCGGCGTTCTGATGGCGTTCGATGTATGCGTCATGGTATGTCGCGTTTCTCCAGATTGGAAGACCTCGACGAGAGCACCGTGAGAGAAAATGACCATGTCAGGGTAGTGTACTTTGGGAAATACAACTTATTGGACTAATTCTTCATTTTGTTTAGCAGTCTAATTAATAAGAAAGATAAACATTTAGTCTAGTAATATATGTTATCCGTCTCTGGGTCTCGGAACTCTGACTTTGCCCGTTCGGCGATGACGGGGGCCAATCTGCGGTTAACCCAGTTGGCACTTGTGATGTCCTCTGTGAGGATCTTGGCATTCAAGGACGGTTGTAGCCGCGGTGAGATGCGAACCTGAGCGGATATATTGCCCAAGGCCCGGTACTCCTCGACAAGCCAGCCGGGGCCGCTTCGTAAACGCAAGAAGGGAGGCCTTTCAGTGACAACGATGAAGAAATCGGCGAGTTTGGGCACGCGACGAGTCGTCAATGTGTTGGCTGGAACCGTAACAAAGACAGAACCATGGGGAAGGCTTGAACCAGGGACAGGCAGGCTAGAAGGTGTGATGTTGAACTCGCCGTCGCCGTCGAATTCCCACTTTGTCTCGGGCGGGGCGACAGGTCCAGAACGGAATTAAACCAGGTCCAGTTGTTCATCGTTGCTGTGCTTTCTCTTGGTCCTCATACTGCGACGTGGAATCCGATCAACGGATGGATCATCACAGTCAAGCCCTTGTCGCTGACAAGGACTCCCATTTCTATGGGTGCCAGAGGTGTTCCTGGGTGCCAGAGGTGTTCCTGGGTGCCAGAGGTGTTCCTGGGTGCCAGAGGTGTTCCTGGGTGCCAGAGGTGTTCCTGGGTGGTCGTGTTGCTCTGAGGTGGAGCGTAACGGGACAAAGAGGGAGGAGTCACAATATGATTGTCTGGTCGCTCCAGGTCCTGACGATGGGTTCTCGACTGCTTCCGGCTCACAAGGACAACACATGGATCTTGTTTGATGATGGACGTATCATGTTTGATGGGATGAGTCCTCAACTGTTTCTCGCGCACAAAGACGATATCGTCCTCATTAGAAATAATAGTGGCATCTTGGGAGGTTCCGCTGCCCAGAGCTCACGACCACATGAACTGAACCTCGTCTGGGCCCTCAGAGCTCGAGGCTATTATATCTCGGGCATTGGCTGAGTTGTCGCATCTGTGACGAGATTAGAATCGGTCACCTAGAAATGCAGACCCTGAGCCGTGTGATAACTCACCTTTTTTGTCGTGTCGCTTCTCAATGCCAACGGGATGAATGACATGGATGGGTTTGCTCACGGTAAGGGCAGCATTCGGAGTTGTCACGTGCTTAGCGAGTGACCGCGTGAATGCCCCAAGAAACTGGTACTCAATTGAGCCACTGCTTTGCCGTGTATAAGTACCTCTAGGTAGGATCGAGTGCAGGAGTCGGGAAGGGCAGGTTTGGTTAAGCGCAGCCAGGCACGCGATGCTGGTCGCGGGTGCGATTCAAGATCGTGTCAGAATCCCAAAGCATTAGCAGAAGGACTCTTTATTCTAGCTATAATTATTTCTTATTTTATTTATGTCTTATTTTATTTATTTCTTATTTTATTTATTTCTTATTTTATTTATTTCTTATTTTATTTATTTCTTATTTTATTTATTTACTTCTCATTTTATAATCTGCCACCTAGTCGGCAGTCGTAATATCTTTTAGTGAGAATCTTAACGTGAATGAAGCAAACTGCGCCGGCTCTTGTTGACGTTGCCTGGTTTACTCACAATGTGCAGTGGATTGATGCATCGAGCAAAGTTGTACCGGTGAGTCAAAAGCCCGGACAAGGACGTGCAAAAAATGATCATCAATCAGGCCAAGCATTAGGCGAAAGTGCGTGTCCGAGGGCGAGTCATCACTGTGTCGAAATTTGATCTTCGTGTTAAAGCGTACTACGCCCAGGTGGAACTGAAAGATGCGCGGTTCGAGCAACTGTAAACACGGGGTCATGGTGGCGTAGGAACCCGTGGGACATGCCGGTATGGTCTTTTCCAACACCCATTGTCTCCTTGATGAAATCGCCGTGAGCCTCGCACCGAGTTCAGACAGCGCAGTATGTGCGGCACTGGATGGTTGCTTGTCGCATCTTGGCGAGCGGTTAGTGTCGGTGTTCTGATGGCAATCGGCAAAAAGTCAAAAAGGAAGGGTCTGGCCGGGGATTGAACCCGGGACCTCTCGCAAGCTAAGCTATAGGGTTTTCCCTAAGCGAGAATCATACCGCTAGACCACCAGACCGACCAAGCCATCACGTGATGGTTTGTTCTGTGGATGAAAATTCGTCCACAATTACATACTATCCCTTTGAGTGCGGTAAGGCAACACTTAGGTCACGGGACCCACCACACCCCTGCCACAGCCGAGGTACCTAGAGTGACCTAAAGCACCGCTAGAATCAACCCCGCCCAATTCACCGTACAACTCATTCTGTGTGCACTTATGGATTCCCAACAGCTCTCCAGCCAGGCAGTCAATGCGTATGATGACAATAGCTTCATTGGCACTGATAACAGCCGTCGCGAGCAGCCGACTGATAACACCTGCCGGCCGATATATGATCCGGTTCCGGATCGCGGTTACAACTTCGATCCGATGGTCATTCCAAGCCGGGTCCCTGAGATAACAACCCTACCCCCGGAGCCGCTGTCACTATTCCAGCAATTCCTGCCTGTTTCCCTAGTAGAAGGCTGGGCCCAATACACCAACAGCTGGGTCAGTCACCGGCTTGAGCAGCATGAAGATGGCAGCTGCAGATTGAAGCCGCGGTCTCGGCTGCTGGATTGGAAGCCGACCTCTGTTGCCGAAATCTACATATGGCTTGCGATCTTGATATATATGAGAATACATATCGAGCCGCAGATCAAGCTGTATTGGAAGACTTCTGGATCTAAGGATCTACGCCCTATTCATCCAGTAATTAAATGGATGCCTTATAACCGATTCTAGCTGCTATCTCGATATCTTCAGATCTTTAACTTTACAACCATCGATAAGGATCCTAACATAAGCTTCTACGGCCGCACCTTTATCCGGATTAAGGCTTGGTCTGACCATATACAACATACGTCTACGTTATTCTATATTCCGGGCACATCTATTGCTGTAGATGAGTGTATGGTCCGCTTTCTCGGACGATCTATTGAGACAACAACAGTCCCTAATAAACCTATCCCCACAGGCTTCAAAGTGTGGGCTGTAGCCCAACAAGGCTATTTCCTGCGGTGGATTTGGCACCGGCCCGGCCGGAAATACGGGCCTGTTGGTATCCGGCTGAGCTACCGGCGCCTGCCGTCACAGCTGCGGCGGACCCGGCAGCAGCGACAAGAGAGGAAGACAATCCATCTAAACCCGACCCAAGCTGTGGTTGTTGCCCTAGTAAATCTGCTGCCGGAAGCCAGATACCATGTATTTCTCGATAACCTATTCTCTTCCTGTGACCTCTTTCGCCGGCTCCGGCAATGCGGCCACGGCGCCACAGGCACAGCCCGCAGGAACTGTGGCATCTACAAGCCTCTTGTCAAGCTCAAAGCTGCAGATAACACAGCTGCCGGCAGCCTTCAATTCAATGATATCAAAGCTATCCCGACAGCAGATAACCAAGTCAGTCAGAGAGACAGGATTGTATTGATTTTCCCTACTAATTTGTCTTCAGCTAGGTCAATCAGATCGCATGGAAAGATAACGCCCTCGTGCTATTCCTGTCCACTGTGTTCAAGGGCACTGAGAGACTCGAACGCATAAGGAAGAGACCGACAACAGACCAAATGCAAGCACGGCCAATACAGCGATTTTTTGGTGACGAGGCTGTCAAGCTGATTTCTATCCCATCCATCGCTGCTGTTTACAATGACGAGATGGGTGCTGTAGATCGCGGTGACCAAATGCGGTCATATTGGAGCCCTACCCGGCGTGCCCGTAGGGGCGGCTGGAGGGCTCTAGCTTGGGACTTCCTGCTAGAAATAGCCCTTATTAACAGCTATATTTTACAGCAGCGAGGGCAGCCACAGTAGAAGCCGGAGATATCACAGGGCAATTAGCGCCAACGTATTGTTAATGACCTTATCGCAAAGTATCAGTCTGACAGTCAGGCCCGACAGAGATTTCGGACTGGAGACGAATTTACGCCTGTTATACAGCACAATTGGGTCCGGAATAAGAATCCCTCGGCATGTCAAGCTTGTAAAGGAATACGGCTTGGAGAGGGTCGGCCGCAGCCGTTACGGGCAGTCAACGGCAACAGAGGTCAGAGACTAAAGAAATCGCGATATCGCTGTCAGCAGTGTAATGTAGCGTTATGTAGAGGGGGGAATTGCTGGGACTTCTATCACCATATAAAATAGGTGGGGATCTATGTACCTTTAATTTGCTATACTCTGGTTGGCTGGACCCCCCTGCTAGTGACCTAAGTGTTGCCTTACCGCACTCAAAGGGATAATTGGCATGGAATTAGATTAGTAAATCGCCCTCGGATCAGGGCGTCCACGTCCCTACCTGATCCTCAAATCCTGTCTACTATAGCCATCATGCATCGTATTATACAGGGCGGTGTTGATGAGTTTGTGCCCCTTTATGTCCTCGGGGCGTCAATGGTCCGATGTCGTAGGATCTCAAAGGCTTAGCAAGCTAAATACGATCCATGGATTGGCTAGATGCGGAGTTTTGGTTCACATGGGCATCAAACCGTGAGATTGGTCATCCTAAATATTTGATAAATAAACTCTTCTAGTCCATTCAGTCTTTGCCATTTAGGCGATTTGGCGGGGAAATTGGAGGCTTTATCTAGTGTCGACACATAAAGGACCGTTATGAAGACTTTCCCAAATCAAACAGTCTGTCCAGTAGCCACAATATGCTCAGCAGAATATACCGCCTGTCTCATCATTTCCATCTCTTCCCGCCCACTCATATCTCCAAACACTTCGTCCATCTGCTCCAGCGTCCGCCCCATGGTCTCCGGCACAAGCAGGACAGCCCAAACTCCAGCAAGACCACAAAACACTGCAAAGAAGACGTACGTTCCAAAGCCAATAGACTCCAGCATAGGCGGCGTTGCAACGCCCACTGTAAAGTTGGCCAGCCAATTCACACAAGTTGCCAAAGCAACACCCTTGGCGCGGGAGGATGTGGAAAAGACTTCTGGAGGTAGAGCCCAACCCAAGGGAGAGTAGGAAACTCCATAGACGAGGATAAAGGCAAATGCCATTGCCACGCATGCCCATCCAGCAGCTGGGCTTGCACCCCAATCTTTAGAATAAAGACCGGCGAGAACGGCGATGACGGCGTAACAAGCAGCTGTGCCGAATCCTCCGATAATGGCCAGAGGACGGCGGCCGACTTTGTCGATGACCACAAAGCAGACAGCCACCGCAACAAGCTGTAAGATATTGAACACGCCTGATAGAATCAAGGACATTTCGTCGGACTGTCCAATGGACCGAAATAGAGTCGGCGCGTAGTAGATGAAGGCATTGATGCCGCTGAATTGCTGGAAGAAGCAAACGCCACATCCGACGGCGAGACGGCGCCATTTCTTGCGGTCAAAAAGATCCAACCAGAGCAAAGCCTCCAGCTTCAAGCCGCCCACCCCGGAGTACTTGGCTTCTTGCACCAGTTTCTGAAACTCGACCTCGGCGACAATGGATTTGTATTCAGCTTGGACTCGCTCATCGGTTGTGGGCAAGCTTCTCAGTCGGCTGAGACTGGACAAGGCTTCTGTAGGCCTGTTGACCAAGGCAAGCCAACGAGGGGAGTAAGGGAAGAAGTGAATGCCGAATCCCAGAAACGTGGCGCAGACCATTTGCAGCCCGAGGGGGAGTCTGAATGAGAGTTCACTGGGGATATTTCGTGTGGCAAAGGTGATCCAGAATGCAATCACGACGCCGGACACGATCGATATAGACTCGAGCACGAGGAGCGTTCCTCGGAGGTTCGGCGGGGAGATTTCGGAAATGTACAGCGGTGCACCCTGGAGGATTGTTGGTCAGTTGTTTGTACTAGTTTGTTTTAGCTGGATCCTCGACTCACCATGGCAAGTGTGCCAACTCCAATTCCTCCAATAGCTCTGCCGGCAACCAGCATACCATAGTTTGTAGCCGATGTCTGGATGATGGCACCAATGTCGAATATAACAACGACGACTGTCAAAGCCCACTTTCGAGAAATCTTATCAGCTAAGTATGGCATGAAGAGACATCCAAAGAAGGCACCGAGCAGGAGCATGCCCGTCATGAAGCCCGTGCCAAATGCCGTCTTTGTCTCTGGGTAAGCGTTGTGAAACAGCGGCATAACATTGATGATGGAGATGACGCCCTGGTCATAGCCGAAGGAAAAGCCTCCAAGCGAGGCAAGGAAAGCAGCTCCAGCCACGTATCCGGAGCCAATAATGCCGCTGATTCCATCCTTTCCGTAGGAGATGTCCTGGAGTATGACATCTCCTTCGTGAAGGCTTTGCGATTTGGTCGCAGCAGGGATCTCGAGATGCTCTGATTTCCCAGGAGCCGACGGCTCACAGAGCGAGGGATCAGACCCTCCCTTTGGCTTCTCCGACATGTTGGAATAGGGATCAAAGACGGGATGATTGCTGTGGATGCAGCGAGGTGTCGAGGAAGGTATGTGTTGTGTTTGATGCTGGGAATCCATTCTAGCGTCTGGACATGGCCAATTTATATCCATCTTTCCCCCAAGGCCGCCAACAACTCTCTCGAGACGCTATCGGGGGTAGCTGCCTCATCAGGACTTATCGACACGATCTCCCACCCCATGGGTCTACCCCACGGGGACGCTTCCCCAGATTTTCCTATTTGGGTAATCATGGGCGGTACCCCGCAGCAACCGCCGGTCCAGTTTCACGACGCCGGCCCTTTGCCCGGAACCCTGTTCTGCCGGTGTGGACCTAGTTTATTGAAGAGGAATTACTGTCGGCTGTTTATTGTCGGGGCTGTGGAAAAAAATATACAAGACTGTGGTGGATCGCTGAGATCCCTGGAAGAAGATGACCTTGACATATCATCTGAACGCGGCATAAAAGCAGAACCGGGGATTTTTAGACCGTCTAGAATAGGCTCTCCTATTGCCCGCGCAAAATGCCTCCTCATTCAGGCTGCTAAGCCGAGCTCCAACTGATTTGAGGCGAAGACGAAGTCTTCTGACCCACATGTTATTAGTGGCATGGGCCTTCATCTTTCAGTGCTTCAAAGTCTCCCAGTCAATGAAGAGCGCATCATTTTCGGCTTATCCCCGCAGGTCATGGCGTGGATGGAGCATTCCCCAAGAAGTTACCCCGTAGATTCAATCGGCCCACGGCAGGCTCCCCGCTGCGTACCCTGACTCGAAGCAACTAGACGGATTAGGCGCGGGTGCGAGGTTGGAGTGGTTTACATGTCAGGGGGAAATCGTTCTAGCGTTTGACTTTACATGGATCTCATTGGTTAACTGTGGACTAGTTGACGAGGTGCCAGATTCTCACCGAGGATATTATAACTGCCGACTGGATGCTAGATTATTATATTATTATAAAACTAAATATTTATTTTTTCCAATTAAATTAGACCTAGTAAATAAAACAATTTATTCCTACCCTGAGAAATAAACAGTAAGAATTAGTCTTGTATAAATTTTATTTCCTAAATTATCTGATGATAATTAACAGATAATTGTGAGTATGGTGGAGGCATATACCTACTTATGCAAATAGCAATGGGAGTTACAGACAGCACACGGGATCGTGCACATTTGGCAGTAAGATCAAGTACACGAACTAGCCCAAAATTCCTTAGGGAAACGGATATTTTATTAAGAAATGACCATCTGAATGATGAACTGGTAATTTTATCCCCTCATATCATCTTGCCACCCAAGCTCCCCGGCCCTACCCTATGGTACAAATTACTGTGACCACGCTATCGATCCAAAGTGATCTTAGTGATATTTACCCTGTGATAGTGCTAGCTGGCACATAGTAGTTTTAGTGCCTGTGTGGTTGCAAGCAATATCGTCCTGATCTTTGCCCTGATCGGAGATAATAATGGGATCTTGAGAGCTTCCGGCCCACAGAGCTCGCGACCACATGAACTGGACTTCATCTGGGCTCTCAGAACTCGGGGCCATTCCGCCTTGAGTGCTGGTCAAGCGAGTCGTTTCGCCTGTGACGAGATTAGAATTACCACCGAGAAATATTGGCCCTGAGCCGTGTGGTAACTCGCTATTCCTGTCCCCACAAGGACTGGACGCCATTGTGCCTTGAGTGTTGGTCGAGTTGTTGCGACTGTGGCGAGATGCTCACTCGAGAAGCTGATAATGGTAGAATCCCTGCCCAAAGCTTTGGAAGGGATGTTCGTGCGGTAAACCTGGCGGACGTCGTAACTTGCACCTCTACTAAGAGGGGTATTATCTCCAGAACCACTTGGGTCTGAGAGTTCCTTACAGTCATCCTACAAACTCGAGGAACCAACAGGCAATTTGAATGATGTATTGATACTAGGGAAAACACTACATACTCAGAGTAGCAGCGGAAAAACCCCAGTGAAGTTAGTTCCCTCCATATGAACTCGCCTAACCGGTCTTTTTTCCAGTTGTGTCCTCTGTTTTCTTTCCGGCAGTGGTGTCCTCTGTCTTCTTTCCGGCAGTGGTGTCTTCTGTCTTCTTTCCGGCAGTGGTGTCCTCTGTCTTCTTTCCAGCGGTGGTATCTTCCGTTTTCTTTCCAGCGGTGGTGGTATCGTCGGCTTTCTTTCCAGCGGTGGTGTCCTCTGTCTTCTTTCCGGCAGTGGTGTCCTCTGTCTTCTTTCCGGTGGTGGTGTCTTCTGTTTTCTTTCCGGCGGTGGTGTCTTCCGTCTTTTTTCCAGCGGTTGTGGTGTCGTCGGCCTTCTTCGAGCTTTCGTCGGCCTTCTTTGAACTTTCGTCGGCCTTCTTTGAACTGTCGTCTGCCTTCTTTGAGCTTTCGTCGGCCTTCTTTCCAGCGGTAGTGGTTTCATCGAATCGAGATCCCTTTTCGTTACCCTCGACGCGCGATCCCTCCTTTTGCTCGAAGCGCGATCCCTCCTTTTGCTCGACACGCGATCCCTCCTTTTGCTCGACACGCGATCCCTCAGTGTGTTCCTTGCCACCCTCGACATGTATCTTCTCGTCAATGCCGCCCTTTCCCTTCTTCTCGTTGTCGAACTCAGGTCCCTTTTTCTCCTCGACTCTCGATCCTCTTTCATCACCCTCGATTCTAGATCCCTTCTTCTCCTCGACTCTCGATCCTCTTTCATCACCCTCGATTCTGGATCCCTTCTTCTCCTCGACTCTCGATCCTCTTTCGCCACCCTCGACATGGGATCCCTTTTTCTCTTCGGAATAGGTTCCCTCGTACGGCTTGTGATGGTAGTGGCAGGGGTGGGGATATTTCCCATGCTCATACTCGCATTTCACTCTGCAGGCGCTGTCTCCGCAGTGGTGGCAATCGTGGTGTGGAATCCCATAGTGAAATTCATGTCCATATAAATGCTCGTGATAGTCATGGTGCTTGTGAAAACTATAAGGGTTCCGAGCCTTGAGAGCAGCAGGGTCTCGCACCTCGATAGCAGCGGGGTCTCGAACCTCGATTGCTGCAGGGTCAGCAAGCCTCTTGCGATGATGTCCGTGATGTCCGTGATGATCATAATGCTCGTAATGATCGTGATGTCCATAGTGGCACTCTTTGTGGCATCTAATTAAGTCAGTTGTTGTCGTTGTCTACCCGACGTACTGAAGGTCAACTTACGGCTTTTTCTCATGTTCGTGCTTATGGTGGCAATCCTTGTAGCACCATTTTTCGTGGCATCTAATTAGATTAGCTTTTATAATCCAAATAATATGTTATGGGTCAACTTTACGGCTTGTGCTCGTGCTCGTGCTTTTCGTAGCTGTAAGGATCTCGAACCTCGATAGCAGCGGGGTCTCGAACCTCAATTGCAAGCCTCTTGCTGTGATGCCCGTGATGACCGTGCCCGTGATGATCGTGATGACCGTGCCCGTGATGATCGTGATGATGGTGGTGGCAATCTTTTCCGTGGCACCTAATGAGGTCAGTTTTGGTACTCTACCTAATGTATAATGGGCTAGCTTACGGCTTGTACTCCAGCTCCTTGTGGCAAGGCTTGTGGCAAGGCTTGTGGCAACTAGGGATTGGTTAGAGCCGGGTATGAATGGAAACGGTAATGTGGTCAACATACTCAACCTTGCAGTCGGGGCACTCAGTGCAGCAGTAGCTGAGGGAGAACCAGCAGACGTCGGGCTTGACGCCACGGCTGTAGAGCTCGTACTTCTTGTGGCCGTGGGCGATGGTAGCCTTGATCTGGATGTAGAAGACCCAAGATCCCTTGTCGTCGATGGGGCACATCTCCTTGAAGGAGCCGCCGTCAGTCAATGAGAAGTAGGGGGCGTGGCATTTGACCTCCTTGCAATCCTTCTTGGGGATGCAATGGCCACCCTGGATGTTGTAGACGGGCGAGTGGTCGGTGGGGGGCTTGTCTCGCTGGATGTAGACGTTCACATCCTCATACTTGTAGCGATGGATAGGGTGGAAGTCGAAGACGAGGCCGTCATCCTTGAAGTCGAAGCACACCTTTCCCAAGGCATCCTTCGGCTTGCAATGAGCACTGCCCTCGCAGAGATCCCAGCATCTACCGTGATGGTAGCCATCGTGGGGGAAAACGATGGTGGATGGGTCAGGAACCCAGTTTCCCTTGCCAGCTTTGCCGCATCCGTCGAGCGTGCGACAATCGCCACGCTCGCCGTCGTAGGTGAAGTGAGCCAACGATTCGTAAGCCACGGCCCCGAGGGCGCCCTGAAGGGCACAAAAGAGAGTGCTTTTCATCTTCGTTCTTAGAACCAAGAAATAGTAAACGAATGAGGTGGATGTTGATTTGATCTGGATACCATTACGGCGGCGCGTCGCGGGTTTTTGTACTCGTGATTGTCAACACAGAACGAGTCTGAAGTTGTCCTAGAGTCATCCATCTCCGCAGTAAGGAGGCTGGAGAAAGACTATCGTGCATGGTGGGGATTCAGAGTTCCGGTGCGGGATGATTTGAGTATGATGCTTGTAACGAGAGGTTATGCGGTGGTGAAGTTGATTGAACATGATGACGAAACGAGCAACTTAATTGACGAGAAACGTGTCTTTTTTGTCGACGGGAAAGTGGTTGAAGAGATTCGACGGGGAATTTTGACAAAGTGACGAGAGATGGCATCTAGGATTGGGTTCATCCAGAATGTCAATTCGCGCAGACACAACATCGGATGGCAAAAGGAGTGAACGAATTGTGACGCCAAAATTCAGTACTACCATAATAGGTTCAAGTATCCTTCGAGGCCTTTCCATGGAGGCCTTGCGGTTATGCAAATTCGGGATCTGAAGCTTCCCGGGCGAAAGTAAAGCTGCCTTTGCAGATGAACCAAGGATATCTGATCCCCATTGTATTGTTTAGCCAACCACTTTCCAGAGCTATTGAGCGGGGTGTTTACTAGACTTCCACGTCGCATGATTGCGGTGATTGTCTCTGTTCGAGCGCCGCGTACACATCGCTTCGGGTGCGGGGAGATTTGCGTGTGAGTCTACAGTCGGATACGCAAGGTGAGAGTTACGATTGTTGCCGACCTGGGCGCGCGTCACGGTGAGGCGGCATCTCGATGAGGCGGGATCAACATCGGACAGAGGCTCAAAGCATCGACGACACAGGCTCTGGATCGGGCCGTCTTGGCGACATGCTTCCGGTGACGGGCTGCAAGGGGTTACGACGACAAACGTAATGGGCGACGTGCCGAAGGTTGAGGGTGATTGTGTCGTGCAGTGGCGAGTTCCGATGGATCGCATCCTCGTTGACGGCTCGGATGGCCAAAACAAACGCGTTGGACGGTGCAACCATGATCCGGGCCGATGGAACAAACGCTGAAGTCACGAAGGAAGTCACGAAGGAAGTCCCGGTGTGTGAGGTGTCTCGTGCGATGCATTGCTGGACTCGCTGGGTGATGAAGCTGGGCAGTGTTAATGCAAAGTTCAACACAAGATGTGACATGTTCCAGTGGTGTTCAGGTGTTTTTCCGGCACTTGCGGCGACCCTTGAATGTCAACCTGCGTTTAAACAACACCTCCCACAAACAGCCGACGGGGCGCGACTCGATCGGAAAAAATTACTATTCAGATGGGATAATGTTAATAAAATATTTATTAAATGTGCCATTTTTGGCCCGGCCGTCGGGAGGACGGAAGGGAAGCCCGTTCAACCGTTGGCTGTACTGTCTCGGGAAGCGATGCCACCTCGCAACCAAACCACACAGAAGCCTCAGAAACATCCAAACGCCCACGGGAATGAAGACAAACCCCAAAACGGCTGGCCTTGGGCACGATGAAACAGATGACAAAGTGGCAAAAGTGAGGAATAGAGGGCACACAGTGTGCGCGGAAGCTCGGTTACTAGTTGTGTCATGGCCATCCCGTGTTTGCAATCGAGACAACGGAACATGGACACAAGGGGCGGATCTTGGAAACGTCTTCTCGGTTTGATGGAATTAATTCCTAGCTGTCGTCTTTATTCTGTTTATTCCTTCACTCATACTGCCTAACAAGAAACGCGACTGGAGCTGTCACTGCCGCTCTCCGAACATGCTGTGATTCATTGTTTGTTGGCAATTTGCGCGTAGTTGCATTCGCGTACTCTCAAAAACAAGCTCATCTGCCTAACACTTCCTCACCTGTCATTTTTCATCCTTTTCTCTCTCTCTTTTGCCATCGCATACAACTCACGCCAAGGTCTCCCAATCACCCTTCACCATCTCATCGATAGCGAGACTCAGACATGAAGGTCGCGGTCGTTGGCGGAGGCCCGTCTGGACTGGCAACCTTGAAGTTCCTTGTCGAAGCCCACAAGTACTTCCCTATCCCACCAATCGAGGCTCGGTTGTTTGAGGCAGAGGCTGAAATTGGAGGTACCTTCTCCTATCGCGTCTACGAGGACGCTGAGGTCAGTACCCTCTAGGCTCGGGTGGTCATTATCTTCTAACACGCTTGGCCCTTTAGCTTGTATCCTCCAAGTACCTCACGGCCTTTTCAGACTTCAGGCTTCCAGACGATGCTGCCGACTTCGTGACGCCACAGGTATATGTTCAATATCTCAAGAACTACGCGACGACCTTCAATCTTTGGCCCTGCATCGAACTCCGGACCAAAGTCGAAAACATCCGTCGTGGACCAAATGGCCACGGCCATGTTGTGACGATCAAAAACCTGGACAAAGAATCTGAATGGAGATGCGATGCCGTGGCTGTCTGTTCTGGAATCAACGTCACTCCCGTCATCCCCGCTATTCCTGGCATGGAGCGAGTTCCAACAGTCCTCCACTCTTCACAATTTCGAGGTCGCGCTCAGTTTGGGAATGATACCAATGTTGTCATCATGGGGGCCGGAGAAACTGGCATGGATCTCGCCCACCTTGCCGTCACATCTCCTACCAGATCGGTTGCCCTTTGCCACCGAGATGGCTTCTTCTGTGCACCCAAGGTGCGTCCAAGCTACATAGCTGCTTGTTTTATATCCACCTAACTTTTACAGATCATCCCAATTCCTATAACGATGGGTTCCCTACGAAAGGATACACCTTCACGACCCAATAAGCCAGTTGACACATCAGTGGCTAGTTTGTTCGACACAGCCTATGTCCACCCATCCCTTCAGCGTAGTCAGCTGCTCTGGACTTACTACGACTTATGGATCAAAAAGATGCACTGGATGATCTCTGGCACTGAGGAGGGGCCTGATCAGTGGGTTGGTCAAATGAGCCAAGGCCGAAGATACATGGACGCTAGTGAGTTGACACCTTGAGCTGTATGGCATGATCCGCTAAGAGTTTAGTTCTTCTGTGCAAGTCAGACCGAGCGCTTCCATACATGAGCGCCGGCCATCGCTCTACATCTTGGCCAAACCGCTTTCGGCGCTGGTTCATGAATGTCCCCATCAAGGAGACAGGAGACAGGAAGATTGATGTCCGCACTTGGCCAGAGGGTATTGATGAGCATGGTTGCATGTGCTTCCCAAGAGAAGATCCTCCGAACAAACAAAGTCTGGAAAACGAAATCCAGCCCGATGTCGTGGTCTTCGCAACCGGCTACATACGCGCCTTTCCGTTCCTGGACATCGACTATCCAGATGTCGTTCACGCCAACGTCCGAGGTGTTTACAAGAAGGACGAAGTATCCCTGGGGTTTATTGGCTTCATCAGGCCATCAATCGGTAAGACCTTGACAAAGGCGAAGAGCTGGTTTATTAACAGGATTTAGGTGCCATCCCTCCCCTCGCCGAGCTCCAGGCCCAGTTTTGGGTCCTCCGTCTTCTCCAGGAACAATTCCCCAACGAGGTCCCCACCACTCTCGACCCCAACGCCATAGTCCCATATGATTTAGACTACGAGATTCACGCCCGTGAGGGCTATGACTTCTTCAACACCAAGCGAGCGGTAGACCATGAAAGCTATGCCTACCAGCTGGCGCTGGACATGGGCGCCGCGCCAGCCATCACGCATGTGATGAAGAAGGGGTGGAAGGTCTTCTATACCTGGGCAATGGGGTCCAATTTCAACACCAAATTTCGGATGGTTGGGCCGTGGAAGTGGGAATCGGGTGCTGAAAGAATTATGCGCAACGAGCTGTTTAACGTTGTCAAGCGATCGGGCGGCTACGTCTGTAAGTCTTGGAGTTTGAGCGCCACCAAGAGACCACATTCTAACATACTTCTTTTAGATCTTGCCACTTATTCTCTTGTCCCATTCTTTGTTTTTGGCACTCTCAGCATGATGTTGTATGCCTGGTTCGGATTCTGGGGGCTGTTCACGCGTCCAAAGAAACAACACCCACACTGACCCGTGTGCGATGTACTGTGCAATCCGTACGAGGCCTCTTAGAGTCATCAACCATTATTCCTTCGCTTCGGAAAGGAAAAGCAATAATAGACAAACTAGAAGCAAACACCAGAAGAACAAAGAACAACAAAACTGAGATTATTGTGCCGAATGACTATGAAAATGATTGTTGGTGAGCTTTGCCTTTTGTGTACCTTGATTGGTCACCTCGGTGAGCGTGGGGAACCATGGCGGGGCTCACCGAGGTGAAGCGCCTCTTTAGTTTTTTTATCGTGCTGAATCGCAAACAACCTCCATCAACAACTAGCTCAAGATGTCGTGTCGAGAAACAGTCCAGCCCGATCAATGGGTTGCCTTGCGGCTTCCCAATGAGACGATGCGCATTCTCCAAGTTGTGCCAAACACGTAAGTCGCCCACCTCCCATGCGCCAGCACCGTGACCAACTTCCATAGGACCATTTCGCTGGGCAAGTACGGCTCGTTCCCGACCAACCTCATACTCGAACGCCCATTCCACCTCACCTACGAGGTCCAAGAGAAACGCGAGGGAGAGACCTATGCCCGACTCCGCGTGGTCCCCGCCAAGGAGCTCAACGCCGACATCTTGGCCGATACCAGCGCAGACGCTACCGAGGAAGCGGCCGAGGGAGACGACGTGGTCGCCGCGGCCGACGGGGAGGAGCTCACGCTCGTCAACGACAGCGGCGAGGTTGTGATTCGGTCGAACCGGGAGATCATCGACGACACCGCGCGCCAGACCCTGGCGACGGAGGAGATTGAGGAGCTCAAGCGCAAGGGCGCCTCGGCCGGCAAGGAGCTGATCGCGAAGCTGCTCCTCTCGCACACGGCCCTGGACCAGAAGACCGAGTACTCGCTCGCCAAGTACAAGCTGCTCAAGACGAAAAAGTACATCCGCCGCTTCACCGTCGTGCCGCTCGACGTACCCCAGCTTGCGCAGTGGCTGCTCGAGGATCGCGACTCGTCCAAGATTCTGGAGATGAGGCAGGAACTGATGGCGCTGACGGGGTCCTGGGCAGATGTCCACTTTGGCGGCGTGCCCTGTGAGGGAAGTAATGGAGGTGGGAGGTGGTTGGTGGTGGACGACACCGGCGGCCTGTTGGTTGCTGCCATGGCGGAGCGAATGGATATCCTTCACCCAAAGTCGGAGGTAGAGGCCGAGGAACCGCCCCCCGCAGAGTCAACTGCCAAGGTGGAAACGCAAGAAGGACAACCACAAGATGCCTCGGAAGCACCAAACCCTCCCCTGGTACACGCACAGCAGAAAAGACGGCATCCCAAGAGGAGCGACTTTGACGTCCCCTACGTCTCCACCAACACCATCACCCTCGTCCACAGCAACACTCAGCCAAACCTCGTCCTCCTCAAATATTTCAACTACGACAACACCAACCCCAACCAGCCTTACCCGTACCACCCCCTCGCCACAAACCTCATGCCCATCTCGTGGCTACAGCTCCTCGCGCCCGAGGAGGACGATTCCTACGCCAACAGTCCCCCAGAGGCCACGCCCGAGGTGATTGCCTCCTGGAAGACGAACCGCCGTGGCAACTACCACCGCAAGCGACGGAGATGGGCGCGTGTCCGCCACGTTGTTGATACGACGCGAGCCGGTGGTTTCTCTGGTCTCGCCGTCGCTAGCACCATGGACCCCATTTCCATCATGCGAAACACCCTCCCCCTCCTTGCGGGCGGCGCCCCGGTTGCCATCTACTCTCCTACGGTCGAACCTCTAACAAAACTTGCCGACTGTTTCAGCGTGGCCCGACGCGCGGCATGGGTGACGACTTCCTCACCAGACATCGAAGGCAAGACGGTCGAAGAGCTCGAGCGTTGGGAGGGCACCGAAGAGTTCCCCTTGAACCCCACGCTGCTACTTGGTGTGGGCATCCAGAGCAGCCGTGCAAGGCGATGGCAGGTTCTTCCTGGACGGACGCACCCGTTCATGATGGGCCGGGGTGGAGCAGATGGCTTTCTGCTTACGGGATGGCGAGCGATTCCAGTGGAGGGCAAGATTGAGGCAAGGGGCAAGTTCAAAAAGAGAAAGACGGAGGCTTAAAGGATGGCGGCTGTTTTCAAACGCGATGGCTAGGAGCGTGCCTTGGACTCTTGGAGAGCGACTCTCTTGGACATGTGTACAGTTAGTCAGGACACCACACCATGATACCCCTGAATAGAACAGGACCTGCGCCGACTCCGTTCCTAGAAGCTTGGAAAGATGACCAAAAACCAAAGTGGACCTTGAATGAAAAAAATGTGTCTTTTATGCCAGCTCTTCAACATTGGCATCGTTGTAGCCTTCTAATTTCGCCTCCCTCCCGTCTACAGCGACTTGCCCATGAACTTTCTCTTGGTGAAGCTGAGCCACCACTTGCTGGGCTTGGCGTCACTCTCCTCGTACACCCTCGCCAGTAATCGGACAGCCAGTTCTTGTCGGACCTGCGACATGTACTGCTTGAGCTGCTCGGCGTCTTGCCTGTCCCGAGGGGGCTCGTACATCTATAGCAGCACGTGAGCAATCACCTTCTAGCTGACGAGTCCCATTGAAACGTACCTGGTTAAGGGGCCAGCCGGGGTCGCCGGGGATGGAAAAGTTGAGGTCCAGGGCGAGGTTCATGACATCCTTCTGAGCATCGCGGGCGGAAGCTTGGGGTCGGATCTTGGTCAGGCAGTCGCTGACGAACCAGATGCCGTAGACTAGGAGACGGTCGGCGGGACCCTGGATCTCAAAGTTGCGGAAAAAGGTGTTGGCGCGGAAGAGGGCGAGCACCTCGTCGAGGATGTCATAGCTCTCGCTGTCCGGGTCGGGCGACTCGTGGGCCGGGAGCGGCGGGGAGGAGGCCGGGAGGGCGTAGGCAGGGCCGCGGGTCTTGGTGCGGAGCGGGAGGAGGGGGAAGTTGCCGACCAGGCGGGGGACGTTGGGGTCGGAGTTGAAAACGGAGTTGTATGCCTAGAGGCGGCGAGTAGTTAGTTGGGGAGCTGTGTTGGCTGTGTTGGCTTGGGGAGTCGTGGCTTGATATCGGGAGTTGCGGAGCCAGAAGTAGCGGAGGCAACGGGGACGAGCAGCAGGGACAGCGGGTGCGGCAAACGGGTGGGTGGATGGAATTGGCAGACATACCGGCATCTTGAACAGCGTAGGGCGAGGCCGCACAGTGAAGCTGCTCGGTGGAGGGAATATTCGAGTTCGGCGCCGACAGTTGGGATGCGCTCGTCACTGGCGGGGCTGCAGCAGCTCACGAAGCTGTCGTCAATGGTGTGGGGCAGCGAGGCTGGCAGCGAGTTGATGCCTGACGACTCGGTGAGCAGCGGCGTCCAGCTGTCAGGCCACAACTTTTGACGGGAGTGGCGGGTGACGACAGCTGCGCCACGCCGCTGCCTGGGTCTTAGTCACGCTGTGGCCCACGCCGGCTGCCGATGGCCGATTTCTGACTTGGCCGACGGCTGCCTAGCCCGGTGCACGCTCACGTGAAGACGCTTCGGTGTCGCGCCGGTTCCACCCGCGGCGAAGCGTGGCAAGGCGCGCACCCGCGTTCTTTTTCTGCTTTGGGCCAGTGGAGACAGGGAGGGAGCTTCGAGTCACTGGAGCCCGCTGGAGTCACTAGAGACAGCCCGCTAAGGCCGCTGAGGGCCACTGAGAACCCGCTGGAGCACCCCCGAGTGGGTGATCTGTTGAGCAAACACAGAAATGCAGATGGGGCATGTGGCTGCAAACCCTGCACCTTGGGGACTGGCTCGATCCTTTTGCCGCCCGCCCACGAGAACGCGAGAAGTGGCCGCCTGGCTGCGACGGGTTTCAGCTGCACGGTCCCCATTAACCCGCCGTCACCTCCTCTTTTGCATTTTTCACCGGCTTCCCCCTTCACGCTTCAACCTCCAAAACTCCAGAGCCGCGTCCGTCCGCCTCGAATTCTTTCAGGTCTGCGTCTTGTGGCCCGGGTTGCGTCGTCCCGCAACAAAAGACTTTCGCCTGAACGCCCCCTTTTGCTTTTTCGCCTTGACAAGGGCCGGAGCCCGTGCCAGCCGCTAGTTCCAAAGCTTGTCGGCATCACTGGATATAAACAGGGATTGCTCGGGCGCGTCAAAGGGTCAAAGGCACAAAGGCGTCAAGAGTAATAAGGGAGCAGGTCGACAAGAGAAAGAGACTGGACGACACCCAGGCAGAGACAAGATTGAGGGAGGCACCATCAGTCAATCAATCCATGCTCAAATTTGAGTCAGTACCCACGCCCTTCACCCGACTTGCATTGCATCACAGAGCGCGTCCCCATCTCCTCCTTTAACAGCACCGCAACTCCACAACTCTACTCTCCAACTCCACCCTCGCCTTGCTAACATCATCCCCGCGACCAGATTCTTTGGCAACGGCAGCTTCGTCAGTCAGCTGCGCGGCCTGGTAGACATGGCGACTTCTCGCTCCTCCTTTGGCAGCGGCTCGCCCCCCAACTCATCCGACTCAACGCCGACCACCTCCCAAGCGCCTGTCGCGTCGTCCAAGCAGCGGCGCCGACGTCGCATCCACCGTCCGGCCAAGAACTCGCTCTACGACCTGTTCCATGACCACGCCGGCACCTCGCTCTTTGTGCGCCCCATCTGCTGGACTGATCTGCACGCCGAGCTCCTGGGTACCCGATGGGAAGAGCTGCCGCCATGCGATAGCCCGAAGCCCGTCACGATGCCTGGCTCGCCGCCTTCAAAGGGTCACTTGCGCCCGTCGCATACCATCATGACCCTCAGCGACTCCCTTACCCAGATCCTGCTCCCCGACGCGATGCACCCTATCCTCTGCTCCAACGCCGTCAAGACGGTCCTCATGACGCTGTGGCCCCAGCCATTTAGCAGGCCGTACTACCTGCCAGAGTTGCACCTGTACTTTGGTGGTCGCGTCTACCGAGATGCCGTGCGCGCACAAATCATGTGGAACTTTCCCTCCGACGAGACCAAGTCTTCATACTCGTCCTTTCGCTCAGTATCGACACGACCAGCCGATTCTTTCAACGCGCCCACGCACCCTTGCACCCCATCACAAACCCCAGCTAACCTGCCGATGGTGTGCTACATTGGAAAGAGCCAGCTTGCCAACATTCGAAGGAACCTCTTCCGCATCGCACCAGGCCCGGGCAGGAGTTGGAACGAGCCCGTGTATCGTCTGCAGCAACTCAGGGCAAGGTTGTTAGTGCCAGGCAACTCGGACCATGACGCGCACTTTGTGGGCATCTTTCTAGCCATGGCACAGAGGCACTTCTACCCATTGCCACCACCTTCATCGCGCAGAGAGTCACCTATGACACCTCAAAGGGACATTCCACCAAGTCCGAACTTCCAGGATGTCACACTGAGAATCTTGACACACGACACGGATACATCTGACTTTATTGTGTACACGGCATATGTGACAAAGGAGTTTCTGGAGAAGTTTCATAATCCATTCAAGGCACCGCGAAGTGAAGAAGATGCAGAGCTTTCTGGCATCAAGATCGAATTCGCACGAGTACCCATCTGGCCTATCCTAGGCCTGCGCGAACGACTCGGCAAGGCGTTGGGGCACGACGTGGTTGGGGATTTCGACCACGAGGAGATTGAGACATGGGAAAAGGACCCAGAGAAGCAAGAGGGCAGCAAGCGAAAACGCGAAGTCTTGACCGAAGTTCTCAACAACAGCTTTGATGAGGACTCGGGCGATGAGCCTTCGTTGGGCGCGAAGAAGCGTTGCTTAACTGAAGGTTCCCCGGTCGGAGTGGTCATGTAACGCTCACTTCCACTGGCGACGAAACAACTTGTTTGAGCACTTGCTCATCGGTTTGGGTGTTTTCTCATGAGACGGTACGACTTTATTTTTGAAACGATGGTTCGAATCAAGACTTGGGCCTCACAGGCATACATCTTGGACGGTACGGCGTGAAAGGGGCTTTTGGTAGACGTTACAAAGTCAGCAATACGGAATATGGCATACGGATACAACATATGGGATAGGCGCGGGATAGGCGTGGGATAGAGCGTGTACATAGCTGGTTTGCGGATTCAGTTCTTGGTGGATATTTTGCTCGACAACGAACACGATGGATGATGAATAGAAACGACATTGTTGAGCCTCGGTCATTCTGCACACCGGTCCGGTTTCGAATTTGTCAACTACGGCAATATGTCCGGATATGGCCATGGCCTTGCCCTGGGCGGCCAAGGTTGTGCGCTGGATCTGTCTTGACCCATGTCGACAGAAAGTGATCTCTCCCCGCTCTCGCGCTCGACCAGGGTCTCAACCTGACGTCGACTCCCCCTCTTCCAAGATGCATTATCGCCGACCTCAGCACCTCGACGGACGTCGTCTTACCCGCGTATACGGAACGATCGGTTTCCCACGTGTTTGTTCCTGAAAGCCAGAGCGGCGGCGACAGGCGAGCTGAGCCTCGGAAAGCCGCTTTTCCTTGTGAAGTGCGGAGGTGGAGCAGCGGGTTCGTACGATGAGGGGCCGATTGCGTCTCGTGAAGAGCCACGGCGTTGCCTTCTTCGGAGGGTGAGGGTGGGCGGTGGTCGGTGGTGAAAGGGCTCATCAGCGCAGTCGTCGACGAGTGGGTTGCATGGAGCGGCGGTGGAGGCGGTGGTGGTGATGGTGGGACGGGATGGAGGATGTGAGGACAAACCTGCAAGAGAATAAGGCGGCGTGTACGAATGGAAAACTTACGAATGGAAAACTGCCGAAAGAGTGTAGGCGGGAGCAAGGGATCCGGTAGTTAGCCTGACCAAAGTCGCGAGCATTGCCCAGTTGGTCCAAGTAGCGGCAGCGAGAATGGGCTGATTACGAAGCGGAGCCTTGAAATCTTTCCTCTGCGAGTCTGAAATGTTTCCCGCTCGGCGGCCTGTAAGAAACAAGCCATGCGGGTCGGGACAGGAGGGTTGCAGTCTATGCGAATGTACCCATGTCGGGCGCATGTCAGGCTGGCAGGCTGGCAGGTTGGCTTGATCTTGGTACGCGATTGTTTCCCTCGTGGGTGGGCGGGCGTATGCTGGGTGACATGCTGGTGAGCATGCCGGTAAGCACTCGCGGCTCAGAAGAGACGTCACCTCTTGTAAGATTATGCGGCCCAATGGCAATGGGTATATATATCTTACCTATTTTTTCATTAAACTGACAGTGGAGGACGGTATGAAAATAATAAATACACACAATGAATATTATGCCGTTGAGCCTTTTACATGTTGAGCACATTATGTACCTTTGCATAGCCCGGTTACCCCGGATTTCTTCAGTGGTCCGTGACGGTGGGTTGGGGAAGGAACACCCCCGTTGTGGCTGCCGAACATGGCAAGAGGCATGTCACCGCTCCCACGCGGCCACGAATGACAACCTGGGCGGTGCAAGGGCCAGGGTCCCTCTCCGGCGGCAGGCGCCATCCATACCTTAACGTTAACGCCTTGACACCTTACTTACTTGGTACTCAGCCCTTTAGATATTGGGCATGGATAAACTGCTCCAAGCCCACACACACACCAACACTAACATATCTCTCTCCGATGGATTCAAGCGCCAAGCGACCACCCCCGTCGTCCAGCTGATCGTCGCTCCTCCCCCGTGCTTCGACGAGTGACACCGCTCGCCCTCCCTCCACGAAAGCTCTCCGCCGTGCCCGAAGCGGCCATGATGTGCGCTCCGTCTCGCTTTCGCATCACATCCAGCCTCCCTCTCCAGCGCTGCCGAGGCCGAATCCCCTCCTCCAGCCCCTCCAGCGCGCCCGCAGCCACCGTGGTCGACGCCATGCTAACATGTGCTTCTTCCGGCCCGCCGATGAAGCCGATCGACCCCGTGGGGAAGGCTGAAGCCCCGCGGCGGGCCCGGGGTCGCTGTCGGCCCTGAGGCTTGTTTGGGGCTCGATGCCCCGAGTGAGGCGTCGCTTTTTGGCTCTGCTGGCTCCTCGTGCTTCCTCGTGGCCTCGCGCGGACGCGGTCTTGGTTTCCCGTTTCGACGGTCCGGTCCTGCGGGGACTGTCCGAGGAGCCTTGTCCGACGGGCCATGGCGGGGTGCATGTTGGGATTGCAACGGCGCGGGGCATGAGGTGGACTTTTTGTGATATTTGCTTGTGTTATACGACAATGCCATGATGGGCCGTTGGACACTGCAGTCGGGACATGAGAATGAGGGATTCAAATTGAGCACGATTCCCTCCCTCAGGAGTTTTCGTGATACCTCTCAGACAGCACTTCCTCCTCCTTTTTTGCAGTTCACTTGCATCTCACTTACACGGTGACCCGGTAGTAGTGTCACTTGCCTGTCAACTCATCACTTCCTTTTTTCCTGGATCCCAAGTCCAGGCTATACTTGGTTGCTACTTCACCGTCAAGATGAAGTTTCAAGGTTTGCTCTTCGGTCTGGGTCTCGTCACCCGGGCCCTCGCCGCTCCGGCTCCGGTTCCCGCTGCGGACCCCGAGGCCGACGGCACCATTCAGGAGCGTGCCGCCAAAGTCACCGTCGCCGTGCCGTCTGGCACCGTGATTGGCTTGAGTCTCTCTGGCGTTGAATCCTTCAAGGGAATCCCCTTTGCAGACCCACCCACCGGCTCTCTGCGACTCAGGCCACCGCAAAAGTTGTCAAAGTCCCTTGGCACCTTTGACGCCACAGATCTCCTTGGCCCATCATGTCCGCAGATGTTCATCACCACAGGAGGTAACAGCGTCATCACCGAGTTTCTATCTGCATTTTTGAGTATCCCGCTGCTCCAGGTAGTCACTGGGCAGGAGGATTGCTTGACCATCAGTGTACAGCGGCCCGCTGGCACCAAGGCCGGTGATAACTTGCCCGTGCTATTCTGGATCTTTGGCGGTGGCTTCGAACTGGGTAGTCCCGCCATGTACGACGGCAGCAGTTTGCTGGGCACAGGCATCGACCAAGACCAGCCCTTCATCTTTGTGGCTGTCAACTATCGTGTTGCCGGTTTCGGCTTCATGCCCGGCGCCGAGATCCTCGCAGATGGCAGCGCGAATCTCGGTCTGCTGGACCAGCGCATGGGACTCGAGTGGGTTGCGGACAACATTAAGTCTTTCGGTGGTGATCCCGACAAGGTCACCATCTGGGGCGAATCTGCAGGCGCCATCTCCGTGCTCGACCAGATGGTCCTTTACGGCGGCGATGCCAACTACAACGGCAAGCCACTGTTCCGGGGCGCCATCATGAACTCGGGAAGCGTCGTTCCTGCGGCCCCTGTGGATGGCATCAAGGGCCAGGCCATCTACGACGCCGTCGTCAAGAGCGCCGGCTGCACCAAGGCCGCCGACACGCTCGAGTGTCTCCGTGGTCTGGACTACGACGACTTCCTCGACGCTGCCAACTCTGTCCCCGGAATCCTGTCGTACAACGCCCTTGCTCTCTCCTACCTCCCCCGGCCGGATGGCAAGGTGCTTCCCGACAGCCCCGAGGTACTCATCCAAACGGGCCGCTACCACGCTGTTCCCATGATCAACGGCGACCAAGAGGACGAGGGCACTCTGTTCGCCCTCTTCCAGCCGAACCTGACCACGACCAGCCGTCTGGTCAGCTACCTCCAGGAGTTCTTCTTTGACGACGCCACCACGGCCGAGCTCACCACCTTCGTCAACACCTACTCCACCGCCCTCAGCGCCGGCAGCCCGTTCCGCACCAGCATCTTCAACGAGATCTTCCCCGGCTTCAAGCGCCGCGCCGCCATCCTCGGCGACCTCGTCTTCACCCTCACCCGGCGCCTCTTCCTCCAGAGCGCCATCAACGTCAACCCCACCGTGCCCGTCTGGTCCTACCTGGCCAGCTACGACTTCGGCACCCCGATCCTCGGCACGCTGCACGGCTCGGACATCCTGCAGGTCATTTTCGGCCTGGTGCCCAACCACGCCATGCGCAGCATCCGCACCTACTACTTCAACTTCCTGTACAACCTCGACCCCAACGAGGGCGTCTCCGGCTACGATACCTGGCCCGAGTGGAAGGACGCCAAGGAGCTCATGTGGTTCAAGTCTGCCGATTCGAATGATATCCTCGATGATGATTTTAGGAGCGACTCGTATAATTGGATTGCGAAGAATGTTGATGTTTTGCACATTTAGGCCAAGGGTTAAAAGCTGCGCGGTCATGTATATAGTTTGGGTCTAGGGAATCCACAAGAGTAGGGATTGGTATTGTACTTAGCTGGGATATCCAGACTCTGTATCAAATATCCACTCTTTGAATGTAAATATCAATTATGAGAGCACGTAGCATCATGACTGTCCTTAATTTCACTTGTTCTTCTCATTGTTGCTACACTCATCCAACTGTTTGGGTAGAATTACGCAATATCATATCTAACTACACTTTTCGCTAAATCCCCTCCACTTTATAATTTACAGAGTCACAAGTATTCGTTAGCTCCCAGCCACTCCTTAAGGGCTGCAGAGTCACGCTCGCGGTAGGCAGCCCGGCCGCGGATCTTATCCTTGACCGTGCCAAGGGTGCGGTCAAAGGCCTTGGTGTCCTTGTCCTTCATGAACTCCTCGATATCGGTAACAACAGCGACGTCGGCAAAGCGGCTGAGACTGATGTTGATGTAGCGGTCCACAACGACGGGGTTGCCGAGCTTGGCAATGACGGCATCCCAGTTGGCCTTCATGAACTCCCACTGGAGAGGGCGACCGATGACGTTGACGGACACGGAGCCACCGAGAACGTGCATATCGCCGCTGGGGACGGAGTTGGACGGGGGAGACTCGTTGAAGCAGAATGGGATGATCTCCTTCGTGAGGAGCTCAGCATCCTTAACCGTACCGAGGACGCTCAGGGAGAAGAGCTTGCCGTCGACGGACTTGGTGTTAAACCACTCCTTCTTGAGGATCTCTACCGTGCGCGCAGGTTCCTTGTTAATACCGGCGCGCCAGACAGCGACACGCAGGGAAGGGTTGATTGGGTTGGCCTCGGGATCCTCAACCCAAGCATTGAATCGTTTAAAGGCCTCCTCGACGACCCTGCTCAGGTTAGCTATTGGTGATAGAAAGGATAGGGAATGAATCTTACTCAGGGTGTCCGCAGGCCACAGCAGTGCCAATTAGCTCCTTTCGGAGGATGCCGGTAAGGTAGTCCTCATTCTCAGGGAACTCCCAGCCAACTTCCTTGACCTTCTCGTTGATGAGTTTGAGGGTGAACTGGTCCAGACCCTTCTTGATGGTCTCGTCCTCGCCGAAAACGGACTTGACCAGACCAATAGTGTCAAGAACCTGGCGCCAGATCAGGGTGTGAGTCTCCTTGCCGAAGCCCTGCAGGAAGGTGAGCAAAGCAGGGGTAGTACCGTTGCCGGCAAAGGCGAGGTCGGCAGTAGAACCAATGATGGCGATCTTGTCCTCGGTGGTAAGCTTGTCAAGCTGCTTGCTCAGCTTAGCAAGTCGCTCGGGAGGATAGTTGACACGGTAGAAGCCGGTGGCGCCGCTGTTGAGCTTGTAGAAATCGTCGTCGATGCCCTCAATGGTGTCCTCCTTGCTGGTTAGGGACACGGAGGAAATACCAGCCTCGCCCTTCTTGCCCTCCAGGCCGAGCGGCACCCACCAGGTGGTGGTGTCATCCTCAGGCTTAACATCACCTGTCGACAGGAATCGAGACTGCTTGATGGAGATCTGGCCGGGCTTCTCAGAAACGGTCACAACGGGGTGGCCGATCTTGGAGATCCAGGGGTGCATGAGCTCGTTAATGTCCTTGCCCGAAGCCTCGCTAAGAGCGTGCCACAGAGCAGTGGTCTTGGCGTTTCCATAGGCGTGAGCCTTGAGGTAGCTGGAGACACCCTTGAGGAAGGTCTCGACGCCAAGGTGGTTGGCAAGCATGCGGATGGCTGAGCAACCCTTGAGGTAGCTGATTGAGTCGAAGATCTGGTTGACATCGAGAGCATCACGGACGGGGACATGGATGGGGTGGCTGGCCCGAATGCCGTCAAGGCGGAAGGCGGCCTCCATACCCTCGTTGACGAACTGGGACCAGACCTGCCAGTCGGGGTGGAGGTGGTCAACAGCGTGCCAACCGACCCAGGTGGCGAAGCCCTCGTTGAGCCAGAGCTCATCCCACCAGTCCATGGTGACGAGGTTACCGAACCACTGGTGAGCAAGCTCGTGGGCGACGACATAGGCAACGGAGTTCTTGAATCGAGGGTCAGAGGTCTTGTCATCGTAAAGGACCTGGGTGGTGCGGTAGGTGACGAGACCCCAGTTCTCCATAGCTCCGTGGGTGAACTCGTGGACAGCAATAAGATCGGACTTGGGGAGAGGGTAGTCGATGTCGAAGATTTCGGAGAAGAAGTCAATGATCTTGGGGGCGTGCTGAAGAGCCCACTGTCCCTGCTCCTTGAGGCCACGAGTGGTGTAGACACGGACAGGGATCTGCTTTCCGTTGTACTTGCGGTCGGTGAAGGCCTCAATGTACTCAAAGTCACCAATGGCCCAGGCGAGCAAGTAAGTGCTCATGATGGGAGAGGTGTCGAAGGAGACGACTTGCCAGCCATCCTTGGAAGGACGAGACTCCTTGACGGGCATGTTGCTGAGGGCGACCTGATCGTTGGGAATCTCAACCTCAAGGTCGAAGGTGGCCTTCAGGTTGGGCTCATCGAAGCAGGGGAACGCACGGCGAGCATCGCACGCCTCGAACTGGGTGCTGAGCATGTAATGCCATTCGTCGTCGCGGGGAACGGAAGCGGCAGGGGTCTCGGTGGGCTTGTACTTGCTGCGGTAGAAACCGGCCATCTCGTTGTTCATGACACCCTCGAAGGTAATTATGACGGCAGCCTTGCTGGCAGCCGGCAATTCCTCGTCGAAGACGATGGTGGCACGCTGAGCCTTCTCATCGTAGCTGATGGCGGTGGATTCGAGGGTCTTGGAGTCGACGGTAACCTTGGCGTTGAAGAGCTTGAGTTCGAGGGCGTTGATGACAAGTTCCTTGGTGGGTGAGACGATTTCCGAGTTGATGCTGTACAAGAGGGGTCAGTTTCGGGAAGCGGGGTGGCTTTGGTTGCACCAGATTGAATCAAGATGACGCACGTGACGGTACCCTGATAGGTCCAGTTCTTGAACTCGAGATCCTTCAGGGACAGCAGGTAGTTGATTGGCTTGACATTGCCTGGGAGGACGTCGCGGTCATCCATGGTGAGGTTGCGGGCAAGTCTGGCCTGGTGGGAGCAGAAGCGGCGGGGAATGCGGGGGAGGAAGCTGTCGATGCTCCCGGAGTCAGTTAATGGTCAACGGCGGTTGGTATGATGAACTCGCAGCTCCAGGCAAGCGAGAAGGAGACGAAGATGATGCGTGATGGGGAAGGAGGGATGTTTATGGGAAATGGAGGAGTAGGATGTGACGTGATAAGAGGACGTGGAGCTGGGGACCTGGGGAGCTTAGGAACCTGGAAGGGCCCACCGCGGGGTCGATGGGCAAAAGTTCCCAATGGGAAGCTTCGACCAAGCTGCACGCCTCCACGGCCGTCCAGGAAAGAGCGCTAAAACATACCTCCGAGCACCGATCCTCCTGATCGGCTTCGTCACGTCAAGGCGCCGGGTCTCGGCCAATGATACCGAGACGCTTCGTGCGGTGGATGATGTCGCAAATCCTCTGTTGAAGCTGGTGTTGATGTTGTTGATGATACTCGCCCTCGACGATGCTGCAACCGCGGCTGCAGCCAAAACGCCGCTGGCCAGCCTCGCCTCACATCGCGGAATGGGCAAGCCGCTGAAGCTCCACTGGCGCTGTGCCAGCTGCCGCATCAGGCCCCTTGACCACGACGACGAGGAAGACATTTTGGAATTTGGCGGCACTGCCCCCCCTTCTCGGTCGCAATCAGGCAGGTCCTCGCCCGTTTGGCTTGGGGCAATGGGTCAATGGGAGGGGCAGGAGGTCTTTTTGTTCGGTGCTTAGCCCACTTGAATCTCCATCCAAGGCACCTTTGTAGTGTGTTGTCCTGGTCGACAGACAATACTTGAGAAAATTCTCTGGTTTGGCCGGGGTTGAGGCTCAATGCCGCCTCTCCCGTCTTTGGCCGGCGCCAAGCGAGATGACGCGGTCCGTGTTGCTTATACGAAATCACTGTATTCCGCACGGTACATCATACGAGCTCCCACGTCTAGTCTGTATTACCAACTACACGAGCAATATCTTAGGTAAAACTTTGATTGAGTCAACGACTTTTAATTTATTAGTAAATCCCTACCATTCTGGCCGAGCTCGAAACAGCATACTGGCGACCTAAAGACGTTCTTGCTGCGCGGCTCCTACTCACCCCTCCGTCCGCTTACCCTGGAGCCCTAACAGACGTGTCTCGTCAAAGACAGCGATTATCACTGAAGCTAGAGAATTTGTTCCTTTCTTACAACAACATCAAATGGCAGGATAATGCGTTATTGTTCAATTTCCTCAGCTGGGGATAGAAGAGCGTTGTCCATTCGCAATTGTGTGTAGCAAAGCGACTAGGATGAATGGCCAAGAACTGCGCCGTCATGCTCAGAATTTCCCTGTGAGTCTCTAGCGAGAGTTGGTCATTGGAGCGTCCATTGGGTATCAATGCCCTTTTGGTCATCAAGGTACCAATTTTTGGTTGCTCGTGTCCAAATGCGGTTGGGTTGCCGAATCCAGACTGAACAGATCTGAGGCCACTCATGAATCCTTTGTGTTGTTTCCAAACGAATTTCCATGTCTTCCCTCTCTTATTCCCCATCTTCCCTCTTTCTGGCGAGTTTAGGTGGACAAGGGTCTCTAGGGCTCGAATCAAGGATTTTTTACCCCAAATCAAATCAGCTTGTAACTTTACTCTGCCTTGCCCCATTTTTGACACTACTTATAATTCATTCAAGGGTAAAATATTCCCTTATTAATTATCCTCTCCAAACATTTAGAAACAAAATATGTACTATGGCCTCAATCTGGACACCACAAGGCCCTCTTTATACAAAACAACGTCGCTTTTGCTCAGGACAAACTCGGGGTTATCAGGACCGCCTCAGTCTGGCTCACCTCGGCTCACGTTGCTCAGCTGATACACACCTTTTGCATTCCGCGGCTTGCCCTATTCACTTTAAGCCCATGGCGTCTTGCCAGACTGCCGTGGCCCCAAAACTGGTCCACCAACGGAACAAGGGCACAGAAGTAGACTACCTGAAGTGATTAAAACTACTCTTAGTGAGCTTAGAAGAACCGCACGAAGCTCAATGAGTAGTGGTAAAGTATTAAGAAAAGAGATAGGTATTTTGGATCATTATTCTCACATGTTAACTGTCTTAAGCGATTTCAGGACGGTTAAATCCAAGGAAACCTTTTTGGAGGCGGGGAGACGTTATATTCCAGTGCATACTCGACCCTAGAACCTGCTATCTTGGGACACTCGATGACCTGGCAAATTCTATTCAAGTATATTTTATGTCCTTGTATATTTTGTATCCAATGACATTCGATAGCCTACGATATCAGGCATCCCGGGATATTTTATTCCTGCTAAACTACATCCCAGCGTGTTACATCCTGGGCATAGAGCATATCTCAAGTCAGTAGTGTAGAGGCGCCAGAGAACGTATCCTTGGACATTCAACACACAACCAACCAGTCGAGACAGCGGTACCAATCTTCTCGCCTACCAAGATAGTTAGTCACGGAGGCGGTAGTTTAGTATCAGGTCATCGCAAGGCTATTGCTTACTTGCTTCTTTTTCCTTCTTGGGAGTACTAGTTAGCTACTGACTACTCTGCGTTGACTCCACAGTGCCTGGCAATGGATCATCTGAGACCGTGTAGTCCTTGGTGTCTCTGTCTGGCCCATAGAGATACATTGTAACAGTCAACTTAGTACCACTGTACTCCAATTATTGTATCACGTGATACCCCTCTGGAGGGAATTCACTTGGTGCGCTCTAAGTTAAAGCATGCCGCACGCCAGCAATCACGTGCGCCACGAACCACACCTGGAAAATGGAGCAAGACTTTTACACCACACTTGAACTGATCGAAAGAGGTCGTCAGGCGTCCCCCACTCCGTACACAATACAGAACACAGCATATGGCACATTCTTACGTGCTGCTTGATTCCCATCTCATCTCATCATTATACTGCAAAAATGACTGACCAGCAAGAGTCTCCATGCCGCATCTTGGTCCTGGCTTCTGGCTTTGGTTCAAACTTCCAGGCGCTCATAGACGCTATTGCTATAGGCCGGATCCCAAACAGCCACATCATAGGTCTTGTTACGAATCGGAGAAATGTACACGCAACTGCCAGAGCAGAAGGCGCAGGTAAGATGTCCGTCAGAATTTGGTTTAATGCATTTCTGACTCAACACAAGGCATTCCTTGGGATTACTTTAATTTAATCAGCAACGGATTCCTATCCAAGGGCGAAAAGGACGAGCAGACAGTCGCTGAAGGTCGCCGGAGATATGATGCTGCGTTGGCCGAGATGGTGTTGGCAAAAAAGGAAAGGCCCGAGTTGATTGTCCTCGCTGGGTGGATGCATGTATTCTCAGGTGCTTTCTTGGAACCCATGGAAAGGGCAGGAGTAAAAATCATCAATCTCCATCCTGCGTTACCTGGTAAGTTTAAAAATCTAGTGATGAGACTTTTCCACTCACAGCTTGAATAGGGGAGTTTGATGGAGCCAACGCGATCGAGCGAGCCTTTGAAGAGCTTAAAGCTGGACGATTAACACGCACTGGTATTATGGCTCACTACGTAATCGAACAGGTAGATAGGGGTGCTCCTATTATGGTTGAAGAGATTGAGTGGAATGGGGAGGAGCTGGACGAGTTGAAGGAGAGGATCCATTCCCGTGAGCATGAACTAATTGTGAATGCAACGGCGAAGGTGGTTCAAGAGATACTGGAGGGAAGGGCGAAGTAAGCCTTAAACCATCTCTTCAAGTCTATCGAGTTATACAGGCAATCGACAGCGTTTGTTGCGCATGCGCGATCTACAAGCCAGGTGAGGTGTCGCCAACTAGACGTGCCAAGCAAACCATCAGCGCCCCCGATCTCCCACGGTTCTGAATGGCACGCCTAACAGGGCCCTTTTGAGCGTTATTGGGACACAAAAAGCAAGCATGAGAATTGCGGTGATTGCATACCGGTGATGAGTGGCAAAGAACCTTGTGAACTGTCGGATCCTATGCACGGAGAAAACGTCAAACTGTCTTTCTATTCACCATGAAATACCCTCCGGAATTCCGGTGGATGAAACAACACTTGAAAAGAGCAAGGAGAGGATGGCAAAGAAAATGATAGTGAAATTGATGAAGGCGAGGAAGATGAAGAGAACACCTACGACTGTAACGAAGGCACTTTGGACCCCGGATCTTGGCAGTTCGGCGGCCGCGGATTCCCGGTCCTTCCGTCGTGATAGAGTGACACCACGTGCTGGCCATGGGCCCATTTACCGAGGCCAATCGATGATTGGTTTCGCTGCAAGAGGGTTCTGTAGCATCACTTTGACATATTTTTCTTTGTACCCAACCATGCTTGGTAAATCTAATAATCTTCAGGATTGGCCATGTGGAGTTGAAACTGCCGAATATTCCTCGGATTGTTGCTCCTGGTGGCGATTTGGTTACGGGGCATTTATAGAAATGTCCAGGTTGTGTGTTTACTACGAGTCCTATCCCCGTCGGCCCCTATTATTTCAGACCCACAGTCCCCTTATTGGCCCCAACTGACGTTTTTAATTTAATTAACCCCGTGAACTATCAGATCATGCCACGTCTCTATGCCCAAGAACAGTTGCATTTGACATTCTTTCGCTCACTCAACGATATTCAAAGCCCAGAAGTGCCCCAGTCTGTTTGGTTCCCAGTGAAACACGGCCCGGGAACTACAAGTGTTTGTCCAACTGCAAAAAGAACCAATTGCAACGTTGCATTGCGGCGGAAGCCACGGAGGTTCTTGGTTGAGCCCTGCCCTTGATCATGCATCCTAACTACATTTTGTTACTTCTCACTCCTTTCGTAACCCTCGCTGAGTGTTATAGGGGCTACCAGAGCGCTTATAGCTTCGATGCGGACCTCGGCTATCATCCAAGATGGATGCAGGACATCCCCGATGAGGTGCTTCTCTCCAGCCTCAGTATCCCCGGCACCCACGACACCATGAGCTACTCCATTCCTTCCGACTTCTTACGGTGTCAGAACTTGGATTTGAGTACGCAGTTGAACTCTGGCATACGGTACTTCGATATTCGCGCGAGGCTGCGTGACAATGAGCTGCACATATACCATGCCCATATCCCGACCGGCTTTAGTTTTGCTAGTGTGCTCACCACCATGTTCGAGTTTCTTACTACGAACCCGTCCGAAACGATCATCATGCGCTTGAAGGAGGAAGGTGGTCCTATGGGTCGCTCTAATACCGTCAAATTTGTGGACGCCTTCAATCACCATCGACACGCTGATCCACGAACAGCTGCGGGTGCCGCCAAGCATTTCTTTAATTATGTTCAAGACGCGCCACTCCCTATGCTAGGGGACCTTCGATCTAAGATATTCATTATCCAACAGTTTCCCGATGAGCATGGACTACACGGGCTCAAATGGCGAAGTAAGCAGATGGTATTGCAAGACTACTGGATCACGCCGAGTTTGTTCCACCTTGCCGATAAGTGGTCTGTCATGCGGGACGCCATTGAACTCGCTGCCGCAGCTGAACATGACAACTCGGTCCTCTACCTCGCACATGCATCCACCGCTGTAGGTGTTCTGCCCATTGACGCAGCTGCGGGGACCGCCAATCGTACCATTACAGGCATGAACGACATGACAGGCCAGTGGATTGAGCATCTCGAGAATATCCCCGAGGCTACCCGTACGGGCATCGTCGTCTTCGACTTTCCCGGCCGCAGACTCGTCGAGTCAGTTTTGCGCTGGAACGAGCCTTTAAAGAGCGTGGCATCGAAAGGACAGTGGCTATCCGAAGTCTGGGCCAAATTGTACAACTGGCAGTCGCCTCTTTCCTACACCTCTACCATCTCCAACAAAAGTAGTTAGGGACAAAAGGCCGATTCACTTTGGAAAAACAAATAAACTTATTTTCTAGTCACACCCGAATGCTTATATACCTACTGTATATACTGTACACCTATCTATATAAACTTGTAAATAGAAATGATCAATAGTTATGATCTTCCAAAAGCTTGCCGACGTCGCTTTGGCTCGGGGTCAAGGCTGCAGATCTCCTGTCAACATGTTAGTATTCTGGATAGACTAATACGAACATACGTCAACGTCATACCTCCCGTCTCCTTCTGAAATACGCGTACACACTATTCCAAACATCTCTCGAGGCGCAATCCCTAGTACCAGACGTGGTGTTGCTGCATTTGGGCTGCAACTCATCTAGCAGTTCCTTGGGCGTATGCAACCAGGGCTTCGAAATCGGCCAGTCAGAAAAATGGATAAGCTTAACATCGTTATAGGCAGCCACAGGATCCCAGATCTCGCTGTCGGAGCCGAGATACATGGCGTGGTTATCTTGGCGGAACTCGGCCGTTAACATGTCGTAGCGGCGATGTGGAAGGATGAGGGCACTGTCGCGGTAGAGGTAGTTGACAATCTCCATATCGTAGTCATCTTGGCCAGCAACTTTCATCTTCTCTACAATACGAGAAAATTCGACCTCAGACGGCTGAATGAGCATGACTTGTGAGGATAAAATTTGCTTGTCTGGGTACAGCCAGTACGCTCGAGGCATCGCAACTGGGGACGGGGGAAGGAGGAACAGCTCGTCCATGTGTTGGAATATCACCGAGTCAGAGTCAATAGAAAGTACTCGACTGTACTGGGTTTGATTAAACGCCAGGAGCTTGGTGAACGAATCGGCCCAGGTTGCTATGATAACGGCATGTTAGGAGGCATTGTCGTCGAAGTAGATACGAAACAGGGCAAAACACGGGGACAACTTGCGATCTGTGCCATGACCAGACTGAATGGTAATGGGGACAAGTTTGGCATTGTACTCGTCCCGAGCCTTGAAAATGAGACGGGCGTCGCTGGAAGAATCGTCCCCAGACTGAAGCATCGTGGAAGGATACATCATTACGCGGTCGGCACGGCTTCCAATCCGATGCAGCGCCTCGAAGAACATGACCGAGTTACAAAGGTATGCGCTGTTAGTGACATATTGAGTATAGGCGAAGCGAGACCAGTCCACCTCGGTAACCGCAAGGGGAGTCGTTGCGGTTTGAACAGGGTCGCCATAGATGTAGAAATGGATAATGATGAACATGTTAGTGAGGATGCCCGCGGTAACGACCCAGCGGTAGCGCTTAGATGCCCTCCAGTATGGGAGGCTGCATCTGGCAATGGAGGAGAGTTCCGCGTCAGCCGAGATACCATCTGCTGGGACGCTGGAGTAGCGCGTCTGTGACAATGACCATTGCTTCCAGGCCATCAAGCGCCGGATTAATGATGTAATCAAAGGAAGAAAAAGGAAGGACAAAAGAAGAGGGGGTTGGTAACGAAGCGACAAGAGTGGGTTGTCAGGATTTGGGAGGCTGAGGAAAAGTCGTTCATCGTGTACCCAGGCTCTCTCCGGGGCTGTTTACCTTCTGTGTCCAGGTCACTGAAAGGGTTGACGGGAGAATAATAGGAAACTGGGAGATATCAACCTACTGAAATGCACACGATTTCCGAGCAAGGCTTGGAGGTGGAAGCCCCTTGGAGCTTTACCGCCGGAGCGGCTGATTCTGAAACGTAGATTGCAACCAAAAGAACGTGCCGACAGGTTGCCAACGGAAATTGTCTTGGAATTAGGCCACTTTCCAAATGAACCCTGCCATCGAGAACCAACATGCATATTTCGAACCGAGGGCGCGTGGATCACCAATAAGATACTTCAGCCGAGCCAATAACAATGAGACTGCGGGGATATGGCCTTTTTGGGCGGAATATTGCGACAGCTGCCAGTCTTGATTTAGCTCACTAACAACCAACAAAGTTCATAACCAACAACCAACAACCAACATGCATATTTCACCCTGACGAGCGCGTGGATTATCAATCACACCCCTCAGATGAGCCACTCTTATCAGAGTATTGACCCTCGCCAGTGCATTGTTTTCGCGCCTCATTTCACCAATGCTGGAGAGTTCCATCCCATCACTTGCCACTGTATCTCCAGGAAGACTGGGGTTCCGTACCTGTGCCTTCAGATTTTCAACATCCAGCGCAATTGTAAAGATTGGGTTATTAGTAAAAGAGAAGACTTCACACGCTTTACCGCCAACCCCCTATTATTTGTGGTGGATTGCTTTATCAGAAGCTTGACATGGCAGCTATTGTGCTATCGAAAGTGGCTAGTCCCGGCGATCTTGCACTCAACTTTTGGACCAGACGTCTCATGCCTTGATAAGACCCCCCGTTTTTACTGCGAGTGTTGTTGGCTCTAAGGATGCATGTCGGAGGGCTCGGAAGCCGGTTTCAACCAACGATCAAACGCTGAGGGACGGCATGTTGGCTGTTGGCTCTCACAAAATGCACCTGGGAGTGTTTTACGCTCAGACGTTCCCGTCCAGTTTACCAGACTCTGTCATTCCTCTCCTGGGTCTTGGTTTCCCTGCCTTGTTACATCTAATCTGACATATTTCCTAACATACTGGTTTGTCTCAACTGTTCTCAGCCTCTTGGGGCCGTCATTTGGGGCTCTATATCTCACATTTGTTAACCCAGAATTCCGATATTTTCTCTTCTCGGAGTCATCGAAAGGGACTTTCCGCCATGCTCGAATATCCGCTGTTGGCGGTAGTCACGTTCTCCTCCCTCGCCGTGGCCGCCACTCCGACCCCTTTCGAGGTTCCATGGTCTGACCAGACGATTGGGCCAGACGGCCCATGGCACGTAATCGTGGCGGAGGATGGAAAATACAAGCTCTTCCCAGGCTCAACCTGGGAAACGTGGTTGATCGAGGACAATTACTGCGACGTGGGGGGGACGGAGACTTGCTACGCTGCTCAATCTGGTGTCTACGACAAGGACAAACCACAAGGCTCCGATGGAGGCATTTCAATGTCGGCCAGCCTCGGCAACTACATGCTCGGTCTGAATCTCGAAGGCGACGACGCGACCCGATGGGTGGATAACTTGAGACTCGACAACTTCGAGGTGGAGAGCACCAGTCTGGCGCTATTAGACAATACACAAAGGATCATGTATCCCGGTGGGAAAGAACAACCGTTCTTTGCCGGGTGCTTGAGTTTGGGAGGTAGTGGTTCTGTCAACCAGTCCTTCACCAGAGACGGTGTCTCTTCGGCTTCGCTCACCAACGCCAGTCTTGTGCCTGGGTATATGTGGGAGCAGGGCAAGATACCTTCCAACTCGTTTGGCATGCACATCGGTTCTCTTCAGCCAAACCTCGCCGGGTCCCTCTGGTTCGGGGGCTACGATCAGAACCGCGTTGTCGGAGAAGTCATCACCTTGGACGGAGACTTTCGAGAGGGCATCACGCTTTGGGACATTGGCATTAATGTTATCGGCAGTAGCTCACCTTTCGGATTCGACAGCCAAGACGGTCTTCTCACAAGAGATAACTCGACCATGGGACGAAGTCTCAGAGTCTCCATAGATGGGTGTTCTCCGTACCTCAGTCTGCCGAGGTCGACTTGCGATAACATTGCTTCCTACCTCCCAGTTAAATTCAACAATAGCCTGGGGCTATATATCTGGGACACGACTTCGCCAGAGTTTACTCAAATCATCTCGTCTGCCTCAGCCCTCTACTTCTCATTCATTTCCAATTCAAACACCGACCCGGTTAAGATCCGGGTTCCATTCATGCACCTCAACTTGACACTCACGAGCCCACTGGTTGAAAGTCCAACGGCCTACTTCCCATGCCACGTGAATGGAAAAGATCAATATGTTCTTGGACGAGCATACCTCCAGGATGCTTTTATTGGCGCCAACTGGGACCCTAGAGCAGCAAAGTGGTGGATGGCCCAGGCCCCCGGTCGAAATATCCAGGCTGTGCCGAACATTGCGACTATCGAGCCAACGGACGAGAGTATTAACAAGGGTGGCAACGATTGGGAAGCGTCATGGGATGGGGTCTGGAATAAGGAGGTGGGGTCGGCTACAACACCTACGAGCAGCACTACTCCCACGAGTACACCGACCAGCGAGAAGACTGTCGAAGGAGGGATGGCGATAGGAACCAAGATTGGCGTTGGCGTTGGCGTTGGCGCCGGTGTCCTAATAATCATCCTGGGAGCATACTTCTTGTGGCGTCGGCGTCACAACCAAACCAGTTCTACACATGCTCAATCACCATCAACGAAAGCCAAGCATACGTATCCGCAGGAGCCTATTGAGATGATGGGAGAAAGTATTTCTACAGAGGCACAGGGAGTTTCCACACACAATCCGAACTATGCATGGCAAAGGCATGAGTTGCCGTAGTAATAATAGCAAGTTGGCGTATGATTGTACATAGAATTTAACAGTATTTAAGTAATGATTCCCACACCCAACTGGTTCACATGTCGCTTGGAAATGCGATGGATGAATGTTTTTTTATTTTTAAAAAATACATGTTATTCTTCAAGTGAAGCAGATATACATGTTGCATGACTTGCCTACGAACTTTGCTTCGCATGCTCCTCCTCCAATGTGCCTCCCTGAACCTTCTCATCGTCAACCGTGCGATCGTGGAGCCCAATGTCCGTCAGCTGAAACGAGTCGACAACCCTCTTGTAGCTTCCCACACAATTCACACAAATCGGATACGACCAAGCGGCTATGAAAAAGGCGAGAGGTACAACCATAGCCTTTCCCGTTCCCAGGTTGTCGGAGGCCACGCCTGTCAGGGGCGGGACACATGCGCCGCCGACGACTCCAGCAACGATAAAACCGCTCCCGCGCTTTGTGTGTCGTCCAAGACCTCTCATTCCCAAGGCGACAATGGTCGGGAAACAGATTGACTCGAAGAACAAGACGACGTATAGGAATGAAATACCCGCGTTTCCGCGCTGAGTGATGGACGGGCAGATGAAAATAATACACATAGTCAAGAAAACCAGGAAGACCATTCGTGGCTTGACATATTTCATGATAAGGACGCCTGTGAACCGACCGACAGCGAAGGCGGCTTGAGCGCCGGCAAATAGTTTGGAGCCCATGGCATCACTCGTATTGCGGCGGGTCTCGGTCGCGTAATTAATAAAAAAGCTCGCAATGGCTACTTGAGCACCAGTGTAGCAGAACTGTGCAAAGGAGGCATGGAAAAGCTTGTATTGTTTGACGAACGGTTTATCGTCAGCTTCTGAGTGCGTTTCTTGTGCTTGGAGCGCCATGTCTTTTGGGTGTTAGTCAGTCATCCGAAGCCAGTTTATAAGGATCTACATACCCGCGTCGGTGATCTCGGGGATATTGGAAAAGAAGAAGAGCGTCGCGAGGAGTAGGACAAAGACGGCGATGGATAGATAGACCCATTGCACGTTTGCCAATGCCTTGTCGTCGTCAAACGTGAAGAAGACGTACGAGCCGAGAACCGGGGCGATGACGGTGCCGACGCCATTGAAGGCCTGGGACATGTTGATTCGGATCTCTGCGTACCGTGGCGGGCCGCAAACTGCGACAGTCAGAAGCAATTCGAAGAATGGGTGAATGCGAACCTACCCGTGATGAAGGGGTTCGCCGCCGTCTCAAGCGAGCCTAGGCCATTCCCGATGATGAAGATGGAGGCGCAAAAGCCCCCGAACGACTTGGCTTTGATGCAGGGAATGGCAATCAGGGCGCCGATGGCATAGAGGGAGAGGCCCCAGATGAAGACGGCTTTGTACGAGTAGTGTCGCAGAATCCAGGCGGCGTGTCCGAGAGAGGCAAGCGGGTAGGCGCTGCAGCACGGTTAGTGATGGCGACAAATGGTGCAGATCGGAATATTTACCCAAAGTAAGCGGCCTGCAAACCTGCGGATCGAGCACGGGTAATGTCCAGCGTTACCTGGAAATGCTTGTTGAGGGTATCGAGGAGGCCATAACTGAAGCCCCAGAGAAAGAAGAGGGTGGTGACGAGAGCGATGGGCCAGATGGACTCGCGCAGGGTCAAGTCGGCAGCCTTGGTGACCTGGTGATCAGACACCTTCAGGGAGCGCTTCTTGAGGAATGCCTTGATGCCCATGATGACGGCTTGAGATGGGAAGCAGGAGGCGTCAAAGGGAGTCAAGAACCGGCGACACAACGAGGGAGTAACGGCGCAGTTATTTTATCGAGCCGGCAATCGTGTCGATCTTGGGTCACGTCTCGGTTGACACAACCCCGAGGCTCGGGCACACTCTCGGTGAATTTAACCATTGTATCGCTGCCATAGGACCAGCCCAACGTTGGAGGATGTCGCCCGGTGCTTGAGTCGCCGGCCTCGAGCGGATCCGCCGCCAGGATCGCCGTCGTGAGAAGCGACGGTAGCATCCAGAGCCTGCGGGGCGACCCCATGGGGAAAAGGAAGCGTCGCGGCGGAGCATCCCAGTGTTCTAGATGCCGAGCGAGCTGCGACTCGTTGGAGAAAGGCTGGGGGAAGCGGAGCTCGACGCGGGGGAGATGCTTCATGGGGGAATGATTGGCACGCGTGGGCATGGGTTCGAGGCAATGATGGCCCGAGATGGCTGCCGGCTTGTGGATTTGGCTTTGCTGGGATGTGGGATCATGGCGTGGTTGAAGCAGGTTATTTGGTTTAGACATGACTCGAGTTGTTTCTAGACATGGGTCTACGATGGTTATGTTGGTCGTATCGTCGTAAAGGTCGTAATAGGTATCAACAATTCGCTTCTATGTAGTTAATTCCCCGCATGTTCCATCGCCAGCCCCCCGCAAGCCTCAACGACGCCTCTCTCATCATCGCCAGGGGTCTTGTTCCGTTTCAACGCACGCGTGTCCCAGGATGGCGCCTTGCGTCGTAGCCAACCAATCTGCTTAATTGCCGAGACCTGGGGCTCTGTCGGGTTGTACAGGTTGCATCTGTTGTGCATTTAGCCGGTCAGCAAGTTGTTGCAATGCAAAGCAACGTTGCCGAGGCCGCCTGGATGGCTTCTCGGCCTCTACTCACCGGTTTTCTTGCGTTTGTCGTCTTATCCGTGACTTTGTGGGCCTGGGCCGGTCCAACAGATTTCGCACCAATGCGCGATGTCAATCTTTTCCCACTTTAGTGATGGAGGTTCTTTAGCGGACGGATGGTGTGAGTGGGAGCTGCTTTAGCCCATGTGTGACGATGGCTAGATTCTCTGCGTTACGTCACTCATAACTCAGAGGAGAGAATAAAGATCAACCCCTGAGACATACTTTAAACTCGTAAACTAAAATTAAGGTAACCATAACGTATCACCCACGTATCACTTCTCGGCGCAGATAAGCTGTGTCAGGTGGCACTGTTTCTAAGCAGCCATGTACTATGGAAGCAACCCCCACTCTTTGGTCACCATAACCAACGAGATGATGTACTTGATGTCCCACCAGTGAGGCAAATCAACGCCCGATACGAGTAGGTGCACAACTCTTCGTTAGTCAGAACAAATATCGGCGAAATAGCCCTTTGGGGTGCATGCGAAACATCAAACATCACGGCGCGTTTTAGAAACCCGCTGTTGTTGAACCATGAAATGATTGCTTCAGTGGATTCCCGAGCTCGGTCACAGAGTTGGTGAGGGGCTCGGGTTCACAAGTGGTACCCCTTGGAAACTGAAGCTGCCACACATCGGCAGTCTGGCGTTCTGAGGGTCGTCTTTCTGCCGGTGATCGGCAGTTGTGGGATCCTTGAGGTGTATACCACTCCGCGTCTCAAGTGGAGGCACCTTGATGAGCGACCCATCCAAGATGTCGTCAGTCAACTCGCGAGCTCGCTAGTTAAATTGTCCTCAACTTCGTTTTCGCATTGTGTTTGCAGACTCTTATTCCTGAACTCGCCTAGACTTGCCCAGTTCCTGTCTGTTTGTTTCCCGAGCGTCCCGACAAGTGTGTCAATCTTTGTTCCAGTTTGATAGCAATCTTCTTGATATTTGCTCTCATGACTCCTCTGCTAGAGTTGATTGCTTGCGCAGTGGAATCCCCCTTTGCACCAGGTTGCGCAAAGTCACGAAGCTCTGCAGTGCTACAAAAATGACTCATTGTATGTGACAAGCACAAGCATCCAGTTCCACAATGGTCCTTGTACACTATTCATTCTCACAATCTGCCTTCCTCTGACTCACAGAGTGATTGTCAAACAAAAACTGTCCCACCTGCAGCTTTCAACTCGTGGCTCACCATGTGCAATTCGCCGTCTGCAGTCCGGTGAGTCCGCCATTTGCACACATCAGTCTTCCATCCCTGATGACTCACTCATGATTGGGTTGAACAAGATGGAAACCAGGCACCACACGTCTACGTACTCTTCCTCCCATTTCTCAATACTTAAACCCCATCTTCCCCTGCTCCTTTCCCTTCCTTTCGTCTCCATCCTCATCACACTCTCCTTCTTGGTATATATATTACTGCCGCTCTTTTGCCAACTTCAAAGACTGTAAGGTACCGGACCTGGAGTAGAACTACCTAGATGAGCTGTTTCTGTTGCTGACTATCTTCTTTCCTAGTGTCTGTGCAATCCTGGCAGTTCCCCCAGGTGACAAGGAGGTGTGGACCACAACTGCACTTCTGGCGAAAGGAAGTGATCATTCCCTTTTGCCATAGCGGCATTGCGACACCTTATATACTTGGCGTGTTGGAGAAAGTCCTCTTGATTGACGGTCCAGCACCCGACATATCCTTCCCTAACGCTGTCCCAGTGGTGGGATCACGCCGTCGATTTTACCAACCCCGGCCACCTTCCTGTTGGAAACCTTCAGCCCTCCTGTTGGAGACTCTAAGCCACCCGGAGCTGGCCTCTCGACTAGCTAGTGGTAACGATGCCGGAGACCCTGATACCGAGGCCGCCATGAAGTCTTTGCGTCCACTCTTGCTGGCTTTGTATTGGCTACTGGGTGCCCGGGTGCAGGAAAGTCTACATTGGCGGCAGAGGTGCGTAAGTAGATCAAACTGGACTGGGTTCCAGCAGCCGACATCGTCGCCGCCGTCCTCTATCACGCAGACTACGACCCCTATAAGGCGGTCAACAAAATCGACAACCAGAAATGCCCCGGCACATTCTCCAAGGAGTATATGGAGGCCAACCCTACGGTACAGAGTATGAAAGATGCATACGACGACAAAGGGGCGTGCCTATAGATCCTATCGCCGGACTTGTATAAACTGGCCGCCCGCCAGATCGACTGGGGGTCCAACCTGGCCCATCGGGTGGTTCGACCCATCTTCAAACAGATACACATCCGGAGGACAATACGCTCCGAGGTGACGCTCCCCGACGGGACGAGGACCTACCCAGCCGAAGGGCTCCTACCCGCAACTATCTGCGTAGAGGAGCTGAGCTTCAACACCAGCAGTCCGGTCGCCAAGTCTGTATTCATCGACGGAAACAGGGCAGCAAAGAGGCTCTTCGCGAGGGAAACGGGCGAGGCAGCCCCGAGCGCCACACAAAACACAAGCTCCCAGGCCGTCGCGGGCACTGCCTCGGAGAACCAGCTCAACTTCGGCGTACACCGCAAGGGTGTGCTCGTCGCCTTTGACCATAGGAACAAGAAGATCTTGGAGGGAAAGGCTGTATTCACCGGCGCAAAGAACAAGGTCACCCGCAAACTCAAGCGACTCCTCGACGCGAGGAACGGCACGACGGCGGCGCAGGTCCGGCGCCGACGGAAGGCCAGCGGCAAGGCGAGCCAGCCTGTAGTGGGTATCGAGACTTGGTCCACAACGACACAAACGGAGGCCTTTCTTACTACTACGAGCAAGGCAAGCTCGACCCGGCCATTATCGCGCCGGCAGATCGCGCCTCCATGGTGCGATGGGTTGCCCACGAGAACCCTATACTGACCCGGGCACTGGCACTGGCGTATCAATACGTCAGGGTCTAAAACGAGAGGTTTCTCCTTTACGTCGATACGCCATGGATTCAATCGTAAGTAACCCCTTTCCTCAACCCCCCTACTCACGCAACAGCTCCGCCTCAAATGCCCGCGCTCCCACGTCCCATCACCTCTACCCATCACTCCGGCATAGCACCATTTCAACCGGGCGCAACCGAACCACATTCCAATCAAGCGTGTGTGGAACCGTGCTATTCCCTCAAGCCAAACTCAAGAGGATAGCACAATTTCAACCGCAACCGATCGGATCGATTTCGAGCAGCCCCATTTGAAATATTGCTGTATTGACATATGTCGCCGGCGAGGGTAGGAAGGACGAACACCTTGACGTTTACCAGATGGAGAGGCAGCCGACCGCGTTTGAGATGGAGCCGTCGCACTGAACGTCTACCTAGAATATTGGCTAACTGGTGATTTATAGCATCGTGTGTTCTGCCTTGACAGTTGCCGGCTTAATGTCGGAACAGTCCGATCGTCGGATAAGCAAGCCCACCGGACGAAGGTGATCGCGGAGTGGAACGATCCGGAGTATGATCTCGAAATCTTTGTCGCAAACGTCAATACCATGGCTACCGGTGTCAATATGCACCACTGCTGCTCGAAGGGGGCCTTTCTGAATTGGCATCTGAATGCCAAGACCATGTTGCAGATCGTCGGTCGGCTTGTTCGCATAGGCCAGAAGAATCAGGTGATATTCCACCTCTTGAAGGTGAAGAATTCATATCACGACAATATGGAAAGGCTATGCACGACCAAATGGGCAGCTCAACTGTCCGCCGAGATTGGCTTGGCAGATTGGCTTACGGACGACTTTCGCGAATGCTGCGTCTTCGAGACGATCAAGACAGCCTGGAACCAGTCATTCAACCGGTATGCGTGGGCCGTCATCCGGCAGTTGGAAGGGCATGACATGGAATACTATGACTAGCATACCATTAAGCTCGGTCATCTCATATCGACATTCAGCGAGTACCCCCAGTCACGCCCTTCGAGTTCTTGGACATATAAGCTACCACTTGTTTCTGTCGCCTCTCAATCACCGCATTGGGCAATAAGAACAAAAACAAAAACACACCATCCGAGCCCCAGATCCCTAGCGCATCAGGTCAGTACCATACAAGCACACGCCTTTGCTTTGACATCCAAGGCCAACCTCCTGACAGACAAGCCTATCACGGTCACTACGTATCCTCCGCTGTGCGGGAAAGAGCCGAACTGGGATTATCTCACCATGCCGCCGTAACTGCGGCACAATACGACTATATACAAAGACATGCATGCAACGCGTCACTTGATTGCGCCTGCCTCGCCTGGCGAATATATCGAGGGCAGCTCCGAAGTATTTGACATGGCGACTGTTGGTAATTTGGCTGTGTCTTGCAGAACTCATCAAGGGTCGGAAAATGTCTCCTTGTACTTGCGACGCTCCACGGGCCTTCGTTGGGATTGACTTCGGGCCCACGTACGGGTCCTGATTTCGGTTCCTTTGGTAACTTGGACTCAGCTCCCTGGAGCTCGCATGCGGGACCCTTGAATCCCTTGCCTCCCAGACAACAAGAAACCAAAAGGAGAGAGCCCGAGCCCAGCCTCAGCTGCGCATCAGGGACTTCGACAACATCTTGAACGCCCGCAGAACTCCCCCACTGCTTGAGGTCGTGTGATCTCCGAGAGTGCCAAACCCTCCGCCTCTCAACGCAGACACCTTGGACCTTTGTCCGGTCTGCTGGCCAGCTCAAGCCTGCTAACGGATCAAGAGCTTTTCAGATCCCGGTTCCAAGTTTGACACCCTTATCAGGGAGCCAGCCGGAGCTCCCGAAACCACCATGGCGTTGATTTTCGATTATTAAAACCTACGCAAGAAGCGTGTTCGCTTCGCCAATGGCAGCAAAATTCTGCACAGCATCTATAGAAACCGTGGATGAAATGGACGATTATGAAGGCTTCCTTCTCGGCCGTGGATCGCGACAGACACTCGCCCCTAAAACCGAAAGACCGGGCAACAGAAACGAAGATGAGATCAACGAAAAAGGCAAAAAATGCGGCAACCACAATATGAGCCAGTGGGACCGCATGGACAGCGCACTCGTGCACGCAGAAGGTTTATTCTACTCCGAACTAGGTCTGTTCTTCATACAGTCGCCCGGCCGTGCCTCGCATGTCGGCTGCGTTTTCCGACCAAGGGTTGAAGCAAAACCGCCAGTCCTAGGCCAGGAGCGCCCACTCGTGCTGGGCGACTTCTTGGCGCATGTCAAACTGGTCGACGAGCCCGATTCCATCATACCGGAGATTTCCACGCTCCCTCAGCTGCGGGCGCATATGGAGGTGAAGCCCATACTATATGCTGCTTTTTCCGCCACCCCTGGCCTAAAGCATAGCCAGGAGCGATTTATTATGATTGCAATTGTAACTCCACTCACCAGAGGTCGCCTGCTGGAGGACTTTTCCGACACGACTACTATATGTATTCCGGGCTAAGCTATCTGGCCCAGTCTCATAGTTGAGGGAAAGTTCCTCAATATGACGACTGTATATGCCGGGCAGTTTCCGCAAGCCAGTAAGGTGACGTACTCAAACAGCTGGTATATCATATGTCCTATAACGATCCTACAGGGCGTAGCAGTATTGTATCTGCAAATTTGGATGAGATTGAGGCAGCTGTATAAGACTATTGACAATTCTCGACCGTTGGGAGAGAGCCTGCTCACCTCAGACAGTGGAAGCAACTGCAATCCACCCGCATGCTCCGGATTTCCGGAGGAAACCCTACCAATTCAGAGCAGCAGCCTTCGCTCTCGCATTATATAACATGAGCAACACAAACACCAACAACCGAGAGATTTCCAACGACCCATTTCGTCGGGCAGCTGCACCATCCCCTCCATGGCAAAATCCCCTGCAGCTAGCTATACCTAGCCTTTAGGCACCAGCGCTGACCGAAACTCACCAACACATACCAACGCAACTATCCCATGGTGATGATGGACCAGGCCGGCATCACCAAGTTGAAGAGCCCTGACGGCTGCGACACGTGGATATCGATGTACGACAAAGAAAATTCAGCCAATTACCACACACACTTTATTTCAACGCCTTCTATTTCTGCAAGGTTGCAGGATATCCGTCTCTCAAATGGAGATGCTGAAGACCGCCTCTTATTTATATATACTATCCATGCACCGAAGGTGTATTTCGCGTGTTAAACAATCCCTAGGACGAGCGATCACTCAAATTATATTGATGGGTGCCCTAGCAGTTTTTTACTGTTGGGAGAGATCTTGCTCTCCTCGAGCGGTAGAAGCGGCGGCTTTCTATCCGCTCCGGGATTTTCAGAGGCAACCCGACTATACCAGACCTGCAGACATAGCTGTAGCAGGATTATACAACATGAACAACAAAGGCAAGAATGAATCAAGAGATTTCCAACGACCTCATTCAAATCGGCACCGAAGAGATGACCGCCGACGATCTCACAAAGGGTCTTTTATCCATCAAACACGCCAAATTCCTGTCACAATTGGGTGTGACCGCCCTCAAGGAATGGCCACAGTAGTGACTACAGCGGCGATGCCCGAGGCGACGATCCGGCCGATGAGGCACACGATAACTCACAAAGTCACAATCTTAAACGCACCAAAAGACCGACTTTTAAGCCCTTGCCAGAGCTGTTCCTTTGCGACCAAAAATGCGATAAAAAGGCCCGATCGTTGAAATTACGAATTGTCCGCAAAAATCTCGGCTAATTTGATTGGACCGGAATTGTCCGGCAGATCCTCGGAGGAGTCGAATTGTCCGGAAGATCTCCCGGAGATCGGGAATTGGGAGGAAAACACCACTCGAGCACAGATAGCCCGGAACGTCAGTAGATCATACTACAATATGATCAAGTTGCTGAACTGGGAGCGGCTGCTATGGGTTAGCGGGACCCCAGTGTCCAATTCACTTCGCGACCTCGTCGCGCCACTAGATCTCATGTGGATGACCATGGAGGTGGGCTGGGTTCCAACCCCTGATCTCAACGCCGCGCTCCTGTACGACGAGCGATACGACCCCTACAAGCCCGTGAACAAGATTGGAGAAGAGGAGTGCATCGGTATCTTCACCGAGCACTACGTGGAGCATAACCCGCACGTCCGGGGCCTGAAGAAGGCCTACGACAAACACAAGACCCCTCCGCAGAGCAAGCACGGCAATATTAGATCAAAGCAGAGAGAAGGCTAAGAAGGAGGGTATTCCGAAAGAAACGCTGCGTCTCGTGTCTGATATGAGGCAGTCATATCCGGCCAAGGTGCGACGGGACGGTGGCACCTTCAGAAGGGGGAAACTTGGAGGCCAGACGGTCACAGGGATGCCCAAGTGCTTTAATGTATACGGACGAATCCACCCGGGTTACGACTAGATATCGAACACGCAAGACGAATCCACTCCGAACCAAGATAATCCTCTTCAAGACGATTCTGCCGGCGGGCTAAGACGATTTTACCGTACAGCCAGTTAAGTATATATGGTGGTGCAAGCTGCACCATTCAGTAACGACAAGTTTCATCGCCTCGGTGGAGAATACCTTGGCGCTTTTACGGAGATCAAGGCAAACGTCTTCAACGTCGGCAATTTCCCCGGATGGGACTGCTCAGTCGACCCAAGCTTTATAGACCCGACCAGCACGCAGTGCCTGTGCGACTGTATCACTACGGACATCAGACCTGAAGCCCCCGATATCACACTAGTGTGACAGGCGGTTAGGGACGCTTGGGCTAGCTGGTCGCTAGCGGGGATGTCTCTAGGGTGACCCGGATGGGGTTAAAAGGGGAGGTCAGTGCCGTCACTGGGGGAAATTATTGTCTTTTCTTTTATCAGAGATTCTTCCTAGAAGTCAGAGAGGCCGGAAGGGCTCGAGGCTGCTAGGGAGTCTATTAATTGATTGCCTTTATTTTTGAGAGATTTATTTGAACCTTCTTGCCGTTACTACGTTCCCTGTCCAACCTCCGTCTTCAACCTCCCTCAGATATCGGGCTGCCGCAGGCCCCATTAATGCCTTGCTAGCGAACTTTCCTGCGACCGACCCGATATTCTATCTCATGAGATGCTTCCCTATCAGGAGACATAAGCCTCAGATTGATCCGACCTCAAACGCGTAATCTGGTGCAGCTTCGGGCTGACCGGCCAAGACGCCTGTGCGACGACTCTCTGTGCATTTCCCCTAGGGTAAGTTAATGAGTTGGGTGTTGTTTTCCGTCCCTTCCTGCTGCTAAACTAGCTGGCGACATAGGAGAGGGTGTTACATCCACGACGCTGTACAAGAAAGGAGACCTCATTGGGGAATTGCTGGGAGAGCTGGTTCCATCAGGCCAATTTCAAAACGGCTGGGCCTGTGAGATGTCGCGAGATGATCTAGAAGGCTCTGACGAGCCCGTTACAGTCTGTCAAGTGTACCCTAGATATATGGGGAACTGGACACGGAAAGTTAACCACGTGTGGATGGCAACTGGACTGGTCACCCTAGACCCCTGCCCACACACACACACATTACGCACTCCTTTAATGCGTTTCTAATTACTTAACAAAAACACTGCAAGATCGACGCTTCAAGCGATCTCAGTACAGTGAAAGTTATACCAATATTGATATATATTTCTAACTTGAATCTCTTTTAACAAACTAAGAAATTTACATTTCTTACTTTAACAGTCTGATCTGCTCCAAATATATGTTGAAACTAAACTACATCAGCTAAGATACCTATTTCTATTTCTTATTATCGTAATAAACCGGTTTCTAATAGTACTGTTAAACTTGGAATATTACAACCTTGAATAGAGAAGACTACAAAGGTAAGTAATACAGGCGGATAATACGGAATGTAGACCTATCTATTTTGCCACTCTTGCCTACTACAAATTTATGACTATGGAATCTATATACCTTGGCAACCGATTTTAACTCACCATGCACACCTCTCCCAACCTCACATACCCTCGTCGTCCGATATAGCCCGTCTAGGTACGATCCACATTCTAACAACCGGCAACATTCCATGGCCACACTAGCTTGTATCCTCACCGAGAAACGATTTGGAAGCCCTGATATTTCCCCCACTGCATCTACCGCATCATCCAAACTTAATCCCCGAGTTAGGATTCCACGTCCCGGGGGCCCGTCCCTGACCTCCGGAACTCGGCCCGGGTGGGCCCCCGAACTTGATGCCGATGTCCGGGTTCCACATACCGCCAACAGGGTTCTGCTGCGGCTGTACTGGCCGCGGCTGCTGCATCGTCTCGTCGGCCCACGACTGGATACTAGCCTCGGGACTGTGAACGGCCTGCTGGGGTTGAGGCATTGGTTGGTTTGCGTACCCGCTGCGTTCTTGAGGCGCTGGGCTCTGCGCCGGAGTGGCTTTGTGCGACAGGCTCAGGTTCGCCAGTGGTGGCATGCTAATTTCCCTGTACAACCAGTCAGTCATATCCTTGACACATGCAGAAAGGACTTACTCTTCCAAGGCCCTTGCTTCCATCCGACGCTGTGCAACCCAACCTCGCACCACGTCGCGGAATCCCTGGCCGACGATTTTGTTGAGGTCGTTGTAGAACTTACGGCCCACCTCGAGGTTATTCACAATCTCCTTGTACTTAAAGTAGGCATTGTCTAACCGCTGAAGGGCCAGCTCGCGCTCTCTGTTGCCGCGGTCGCCCATCTGGCGCTTTTGCGACTCGAATTCCCGGTTGATGCGCTGGACGTCGGCCAGGATACGCTCCTGGTCCTGAGCTTCCTTGTCAATGAGGTCAAGCTCGGGCTCGTACAGCTCGTCAAGGCGTTTCTCGAAGAAGTCTTCGAAATGCGCTGGAACCAGCGCTGTGGCCGGATACGTCCGCTCGAGCCGGGCTGCCTCCTTTAGAATATCGGGTTTGATGTCGTCGCGGCGAGCATTCTCTCGGAGGTTCTCTACCTTCTTCCGACGACGGCTCTCGAGACGCAGTACATCATTGTAGGCGCCTCGTAACCGACCGATAACAGGCTTGAGTGACTCAGGCATGTCAACCCGGCGGCTGGACGGCACATGATCCATCAGACCTCGATCGGTACCTGAGAGGATGCTGAGCAAATCCTGGATACCGCCAAACTTTTCTCTGACGACGGAATCGCTACTGATGCTGCTCGCAAAGTACCCGTCAATTTCAGAGGCGTGCTTCCACAGTTTGGAACCGTCGGCTTCTTGCCGACTCTCTGGTCGAGCCCACCGTTCTGTGCCGAATCTCATCCGTAGTCGCTGGTCTTCCTCCTCCTCCGACGCCAGGGTCGCCTTGCCTTCTTCAAAGACAGCCATGTCTGCTGATCGCAGCTTGTCGATATCCGCAAAGCTCCTCTGCACCCGGCCGATCGCATCTGCTTGGCGAATCTCCTCTGCGTGTTGTACTAGGCTTGGGGGTAGACCGAGAGGCTTTTCGAGTGCCTGTAGTGACCCCGGGAGGCCGAGGGATGTTAACAGCTCGTGAATCTTGTCCGTGAGATTCTCCAGCTCCTGGATAATGTTCTGGCTGACCATGCGATCTCTCCGCTCCTCGTAGATGGAGGTTGCGACATGCACTGAGAAGGGTACAAGGCGTGAAAAGATGGCTGGACCAAACTCTGCACGGTCGCCCAAGTATTCGTAGGGGTTGGCAACCTGGGGCGGGACTCTTGCCACGGCCAAGTTAGCTCGATCGAGGATCTTGAGCTCCGACTTGGGTGGGACGGGATCTATGTTGTCAGCAGCGTTCGAGTGAAGCCTAGCTAGGCACTTACTAAGATAGATCATATCATTGTCCTTTTCGGCCCTCTTGAGATCAGCCTCGACCTTGCGCTTGAGCCCATCGAGATCCTCAGCCACCGTCCTGTTCACGGATCCATTCCGTGCCTCCTTGATACCCTCAGACACACATGCAACAGCGTCCGCGAGTCGCGCAACCTCCTCGCCGTATTTTCGCTTCTCCAGACAGTCGCATGCCGCCCGATATTGAGCAGCAGCCGCAAAGTGGTGGTGCTTGGCGCTCATGTGGTGGATCCAGGCACTACTGATGGCTTCACTCTTGACAGCAGCCTCGCCAGCGAGGTTGTAGAGGTCGGACACGCGTGCCGCCAGCTTTGCGATGGATGCGTCTTTGTATCCGTCCATAACGGCCTTTTGCCAGAAGCACTCCTGACTCTGAGCGAGCAGCAGCTGGATGAGGGATTCGAGGGTGTCGTTATCCATGTCGTCGGGCGGGTCGGACATGCGTAGTTCGGGGAGCACGGCAGTCTTCATGTGCGACAGAACACCGGCAGCCATGGAAAAGTAGTTGGCGGAAGCCTTAAGGCCATCGGTGTTTCCGCGCGGCGTGTTGAGGGCGAGCTGGGAGTAGAGGGCGGCGAGGTTGTAGAGGATGTTCATGAGCTCGTACTTGAGGTTATTGCGTACCATCGGCCGTTCGGTATTGTATCCAAGCGCAGGATACCAGGAGAAGTCGGCTCCAATCTAGTCCTGTCAGCAAGCCAAGCGTGCTGTGTGGTAACAAAACTCACGTCGATGGGAAACTTGCCGCCGACCCAGACGAGTTGGGCGGCGTAGGTCTGGAGCTTCTTGATGCCGCTCGGATGCGGCTCTCGCACATTGACGGCGTCTCTGCGCAGGGCATCGATGACCTCGAGGTCCTGCTTGAACATGTCCGGGTGCTGGTCATATTTGGTGTTGATGTATTGGCGGATCGTGGAGGCGAGAGAGATCTGTGTGGACTTGCGGAAGGGCAGGGCGAGTATGTTGCTAGATTGGTTCGGTCAGCCATGTTCAAATTCCAGTTCCTTAGAATACTTACGTCGCCATGGCTGCGTTGCGCCAGCTCGTAAGCTTTCGACCTGTAGGAGCTTGAGAGCTGGTGGTGGGCTGGTGGAAGTTGGTTGCGATGACTTCATGTGGGGGCGCCACGTTGGCGGGGCAAGTGTGGCGGGTGATGAGTAAGCGAACCCGTGTGGCTCACAAGGTCCGGCATTCACCTGGTTCAGTTCAGGAAACACGTTGAAGTTTATAGAATCTTTAATTCAACTTTGACTCTGTAATGTACATTACTCTATCCAATTCATGCTTTATTCCAAGCGAATGTATTTGTTTAACCCCTGCCAACGTGGAAACGAGGCTCCCTTCTAAACATAACGCCAGCGATGAGATGTCATCAAAACAGTCACCCAACAACGCCTTACACCTGCTCAATATTCCCATTGTGCAAAAATACATCCGCCTAGGAAGGAATCCAAACCAGCTCGATGATGCCGTCGATGTTGCTCATGGGCTTCTCGTCCTTGCCGACCCAGCGCCAATCGGTCTTGTGTCGGATGTACGTCTGCAAGACTGAGCCGTCGGCGTTGACTTCGGACTCCTGAAGCTCCCAGCCAATCTTGCGGCCTGTGCGAAGGAGAGAGGGACGCTGCGGGCCCAGCATGTAATCCAGGTTCCATCCGCGGTTGGGTGCGGGTGCCCAGAGCGTGGACTCGACTTGGCGGTGGTCAAAGTTGATACCCTCGGGGTAGTGGGCGACCGAGTACCCGGAGACGATGAAGTTGTCGTCGGTCTGGAAGCGCAGCATGGTGCAGTCTTCACCGCAGGTGTGCGCAATCTTGGACATCTGGACGGGTCGGGACAGATGCCAGCCGCGGCCACGGTAGTGGTGCAGCGACAGGGGCTTGATGCCCCATTCGTAGAAGCCGCTGGGGTGGCCGAGGAAGTCGAGCTGCCACAGGTCCCAGAGGTTGGTCAGGCGGGTCTCACTGTTCTTGTAGATGCAGTTTCGCAGCAGGATGTCGCCCTGGGCACCCCAGCCCGAGTTGGCATCGCGGATGCTCTGCTCGCTCTTGCAGTCGTCGTAAGATTCGGTGATGAGGGCGGCCATGGGCATGCTGAGGAAGACACCCGCTCCGCCAAAGGCCTGCGATCCGTGGCGCTCGACGGCGCCGGCGTCTTCAGACAGGGTACCGATGTACATGGGCCTGTCGGCGTCGTACGTGGCGAGCTTCTCGACAAGGCCGTGCATGCTGGGAAAGAAGGTGTCGTCATCGCAAGTGACCAACCATTTCTTGTTGGTAGCTTCGCGGTGGGTGTAGAGCGTGGGCACCAGCGTCAGGTATCGAACAGCCATTTCGGTGGACGAGTCGGAGTGGTAGACGTCGACATTGATGCCGACATCACCCAGCATGTTGGCGACCTCCTGAAGCTCGTGATCGGTGGCGTCCAGCAGCATCAGCACCAAGTGTGCGCCATTGGTGTGGCCGTGGCTGTCGGTCATCCAGTATATCCACTCGCCGATAGGGGTCGTGTCGGGGTTCATGAAGCGCTCGTAGGTGGTAGATACGCCAAACAGGAATTCGGTGGCGTTGACGGTGGCCGGGAAGCCCGACTTGGGGACAGGCAGCTCGAGGGGCGCACCACAGGCCTCCTTTTCGTATTCGCGGCCGATCTGGACAGTCTTGAACTTGCCGGGCAGCATGGACTGGCCCAGCTTGGTGAGGCCCTTGCGCTCGAGGCCCTCGGTGCGGGTGAAGCGAACATATCGCTTCAGGTACTGCACGCGGTAGGAGAGGCTGTGACGCTTGCGGATGTCGGACAGGTGGGCAGTGTCGACGCTGCAGTCCATTACGTGGGTGCTGGTGGGATTGAACTCCCTGTCCATGAACGGGCTGTTGGACAAGGGGTCATCGTTGACGATCTCCTCGACCTCGGGTGCTGGCTGCTGGGTGCCCTTCATGAGGCGATCGCGGACCTGGGTGGTCTCGGGGCGGAGCATCAACGCCCAGAAAAAGAGAAGCGTCACGGCCGACAGCACGGCTCTGTTGAGAGGGTTCCGCATGTTGACCCGGAAGGGGACAATTCTGGCGCCCATGATGGCGACTCTGAGGGTGTTGCTGGAGGATGAGTGTTGGAGCCAGGTTGGTCTGGTGGTCGGTTCGTCTGCCAGCAGACAGGGAGGTCGGGGAGTTTGAGGGATGGGAGGATATGAAGGGAGAGGGTCTGCTGAACGATGCCAAGCCTTGGAGGGTCCGAAGGGGGGGCAAGTAATTGGAACGCCACAGTGAATTGGACGAGGAGACCAGCTTCCAGGCCGTGGCTAGCGTCTGCTACGCAGTAGGGCTTTGAAACAAAGGAAACAAAAGGCGAGGGCGCGGATTGGTGTTGTAGGGAGAGGAAACACGAAAGGCAGCGGCCGAGGGGGGAATGGAGGAGAAGAAGAAGACAGAGTATATCCCGTTGGCGAGCCCGGAGAAGCGGCCTGATACGTAGCACGCTCCAGGGAAGCGTCAAGGTTGAGTCAAGTCAAGGAACAGTCGAAGCAGCGCAAGGCGACGTCGAAGGCTCCTTTTTTCCCAGTACGAAGCCCATTCCGGCGAGAGTAGGTACCTACGCACGAATACATGGGCGGTGGGGGTGGGCGCGGCATGGAGAGTGGGCACGCGGAATGGCGCTAAATCGGGAGGGATGGGATGGAGGCAGTCAATTCACCGTGGTCCCTCCTAACACCACGGTCCATAACACCATAACTGAGCTGCATGCGGACATGCTGGGCCGACGCGATTGGACAGGGCTGGCCGGGTTTGCTGGAGCAGACCCGGCCGGGAGGAGCAGTCGACAGTTGACAAGTCGGCGGACGCGTGGAGATACACGACTCCCCCTGAGAGCCCGCGGCGGGCGGCGCAATCGCGACGGCGGCATAGGACCAACGCTGTTGGGACTCGTGTGCAGTGGTGGCTTTCGCCAGGGCTGACTGGTTATCGCGGAGGCCGAAATGCCGCCTTCTCCGCTGCGGCTAGGGGACGGGACAGCTCTGCAGCCTATCCGTACTTTCCAGCCTGCTTCCCAGCTGCTTTCCAGCGTGTCCTCCCTCTCTCCCGCGCAAGTGTACGACGCAAGACGCAAGCGTGCAAGGCAGGGAACGCCACGGCTGAAACGGGCGCATGCAAGAGGACCAGCATGGGGGCCGCACCAACAGGCATTCGCTCTCCAATGTGTCCAGATATTCGTCCGGCGGCGGCATGAGCAGCGTGCGTAGAGTAGACCCAGGGAGTGCTTCCAGAACAGCCCCCCCCCCCAAACGCCGTAGTGTAGCGGTACCTGCAGTGCCGTCCTCCAACGTCCAGCACCGTCCGTATCCAGGAATGTCCCGATTGGAGGCTTTTCCTGGTGACACGGTGACGGAGGGCCTTCTCAGGTGCGTCCCAGCCGCTGGGCCAACGCAATCTATTTCTGGCATACGGCGTCGGTTTCGAGACGGCCAGCGTGACGCATGTTTGGTTTCGCGGTACGAACTGCTCAGCGCTGCCGGTGCCGAACGGGCTGCTGGCCTCTGCTCGGCGAGCTGGCACCCCCAAGGCATGTTTTGGCGAGCTGCAAATCCTCGGCTACCAACAAACAAAGCTTGGCCAGATGCCTAGACAGACGACGGTTCGTGCCCTGCAGAAGCTGCAGCGCCCGAGAGCCTGTGGCGTACGAACCGCGCGTCTGCCGCGCTGGGGGCTACGACGGAAGGGTGCGTAGTGCAGGGCCATTTCAGGGGGGCCCCTGGACCCGACGACTGCAGGGAACGACGCAGATTCGCCGTGTTTGTCGTTGCTCCCTGCGAGGGCAGATGCGGCGCTCGATGGTGTCTCTTAGCCTACACTCGGTCCAATGCTTCTCCTGAGCTGCACATACAGAGGGTGCCGGCGGGCAGCCGTCGGAACATCCTGGAGAAGCCCTAAGGGTTGGATGTCGTAGAAGGCTTCGGGATGGGAATGTAGTGCAACAAGAGGAATGACGTCGCCGCCCCAGAAAGAATGCAACAGACAAGAAAACACACCCAACGGCGATCTGAAGATCCCCAGCGAGAATCCCAATTCAACGAGATAACCCACCCACCGACGGGCCGAAAGACGCACCTCAAAATCTTCTCCCAACGCTCTTTCAAGTCTTTATTGCCCCACGACTCTAACCTTTCCCCCGAGACCGTTCTAGCGACTTCGGTCTGCACCAAGCGAAAAACTATCGATTCGAAATTTGTGCCCCCTATTGCCCCGGCGCCACATCCTCAGCTGGCAGCCACAATTCCTCGTTCCCGGATCTAGTAAGCGGGCAGCGTGACGGCGCTATCGGGATCTAGCTTGACTCACTATTGGACGCTGCCAAGGCCAGATACTTAGTAGATAGTGACGGTTTTTCTTCTTCTTCTTAATTTTTTTCAACCCCTTGGTTAGCTCCCCTGCTCAGCGCACAACGTGGGGAGCTGACGGCATGCGCACTAAAGTTCCCCCTGCCCCTGGCCCAACCCCATTGCAGTAACAAGCGTCTCAGCCTCACGCTATCAGCCTCTCAAGAGTCGAGCCTCTATCGCGAGGGCGCCGACCTGCTCGGGGTCTGGGACGCCATGCGTCATTTTAGATTTAAAGATCTGGTCAGCTTTCATTTCCGCAAGGCCCTATTTGACTTTGACGGCTTTTTTAGAGAGGCTGTCTTACTGTCAGCCCTGTGTCCTGTCTTGCCGGAATCCCGCTTACCGTCAGGAACGTACCGAAGTCCCCACGCGAGGTCCACCCCCTGGATGCTGCAGTGGACTGCAGTGGACTGTGTCCTGACTCTGCCCTGATTTCTCGATTTCTGTAACAACTCGCTGGCAGAGTCCGCGTCAGCTCGGCGGAATCGTCGAGGATGTGGCCGATGTGCATTCAACCTGGATCTGAAACAGTACACGTCCAGAATTACTTAATTCACACATTCGCTGGTATCTCTGCAGTCTGGCCTAATCGAACCTTAGCCAACCAACCCTTGGTCGATCACTTCCCCATCATTCCTCTCGCTCCTCTCCCTGTCCACCATCCAATCCGCTAACGGTACTTGACGTCTCCTACCCCCGGCCGTTGCACTCCATCGTCGACATACGCTGGGAGCTGCTCCGTGCCGCTCCCCGGCGCCCCTGTGCTCGGGCCCGATGGTGCTGCCGGGGCCGCGGGCTCCTTTCCGTCCTTGTCGCGCAGCATCCCGGCCTCGGCTCCCTTGAGCGTGTCTAAGAGAACCCGCGACCCAGCTGGCCACATGCCCGACGGGCCCTGCGGTGGCACCTCGCCCTTGAGGATCTGGTTGACCGATACCCGGCTGCCGTAGAAGGCGGCGTTGGCCTCCTTGCGCTCGACCACCACCGTGCCGTCGATCTGGATGCCCGCGTAGAAGCCTCGGGACTTGACGTACGAGAAGACGGGCTTGAAGGAGCTGGCGCTGAGGCTGCGACGCTTGCTTTTGCTGTCCGACTCGGGCTTCAGCGTCTGCTTGTCCGACGCCTCTGCCGTTTCACCGTCCTTGTCCTTCTCCTTTCTCCCTTCGCGGTTCTCAACCGCCTTGCCAAACTCGACGGCGCCTCCAGCTCCATACGGTCCAGCGACCACGGCCAGGTCAGTGCCTAGGCCGACGCGGGTGTTGGTAAAGGCAGCGAGCGCTTCCTTGCTGTTGATGACACATACGCAGTCGTAAATGTCTAGGCCGATGGAGAAGCCGCCGCCTACGGAATGCACCTGGATGCCAGAGGGAGGACCCCATGATCCGTCGGGAAGACGTGCAATCAAGATGCCCGAACCCGTCGCACCAGACACATTGAAGCCTGCGCGGAGAGTAGTGAAAATGGCCAGACCTACTGCCTTGGAGATGACCTTGGGCGGGATAGTGACAAGTACCCGATTTTTAGGCTTGTTCTTGGTAGGATCGATAATGGCATCGTTCGTCTCAGTGGCCTTGGGATCGGTCGATGTCGGTGGCCCGCTCGAGGTGGGGTCGGCGTACACTCCCTTCTCTGTGTCGTGTGAGCGTCTGTTCAAACGAGTATGGAAAATGACTTACTGCAGAATGTCCTGAGAATAGACGCCGCCTTGTCACACTCTTTGTCAAGAGTCTCAGGTAGGAAACTCTGGCTGCCGAGCTTGTGTGCGAGGCTGTTGATTGGGCCAGCCGCCTTCATGCCGAGATTGCTGAAACGCTCGCCCCAGCCATGTTTCTTGGGATGATGTTCCTCGTTCGATGTGGCAGCCGAAACGGCGGGCGCCGGGGCTGGAACAGATTCCGGAACCGCCTCCTGCACGGGCGTCAACGGTGGCGCCGAATTGGACGGCTCGTTCGTCGGGGGAGGAGCAAACACCGGGGCGGCGGGATTGTACTGCGGGATGGTGTAGTTCTCGGCGGGCGGTGCGGGATGGATGGGGTAGGTCTGCTCGGTGCCTTGTACGGGATGCGCGTTGAGAGGGTTGGGATGAGCCTGAGACGGAGGCGGTCCGGGGGGCGGAGGAGGGAACGCCTTCTCAGACCCCGATGAAGCAAATTCTCCCTGTTGAGGCTGAGTTACCGGGGGAGGAGCCTGCTGTTTCTCGGAAGCCGGAGGAGTAAAGTTTCCCTGCTGATACGCCGGCGGAGCAGAGTCCTGGTGTTGCTGTTGCTGATACTGTTGCTGCGGGGGCGGGCCCGGAGGAGGGGGAGGGAAGTGCTGCTGCTCGCCAGACGCCGGCTGCTGCTGCGTCGGCGGCGGAGGGAATTCGCCTTCCATGGGAGCCAGCGGGAGTAGGCCTCCCTGTTGCTGCTGCTCGCCCTCGGACGGGTTGTACACAATCTTTTCGGAGTTGGACATCGGAGGGTCGGGGGGCGTATCTGGTGGTGACGTGATGTGATGGCGGGGTTTGGGGGGAGGTGAATTGGCCGTAGATGCGGCGGAGTGGCAGAAGCGCAAAAAGACTCGGATGCCAGTTCGTAGGGTATGGAGAAGACAGGTGAATTCTAGAACCAGCAGATGAGGCCTTTATGTCTTGCGACTCCTTTCATGCAGCAAGCAGGATTCATGCCATCACGGATGCGCTGCGGCTTGGCGGTTGATGTCATGGCGTGTGGCGGGCGGAGACCGATTGCGACGCGCGTGGCTGGAGCTCGCTGGGGTGTGCACAGCCACAGCGGCGATACGGAATACGGTCGATCCAATCCAGTGTGTGCATTGGTGACAATCGTTGGAGGCCGTGTAGACTCGCGGCCGAGGATGGCATCGTCAGATCGTAGAGACGCAAATGGGCGACGGTCTGAGCGGTGGACTCGGCGTGTTGCGGGCTGAGATGGCCGAACTTGTAATTCATGCCTATACCTAAAGCCCTGTACCAAGCCGTACTGAGTCACGAGAGCCTATGCCTCAGCTCGGGAGCCGAAATATCAGGTTAGCCAGCGAGCCGAGTCATGCCTTGTGACCTCTGTCTCTCTTCACAACGGGCCTCCGCAACGTCTCCAACACATCGTGCCCTCATCCACGCCCAGCCTCAACCCTCGCCATGACGCAAACAAACGGCGACGCGCCCGCGCCGGCCCTGCACCTCCCCCGCATCCTCTGCCTGCACGGCGGCGGCGTCAACGCGCAAATCTTCGAGGTGCAGTGCCGCGCCATCATCGCGAGCCTCAGTGCGGCCTTCCGGCTGGTGTTTGTCGAGGGGCCCTTCCTGTCCGCGCCGCACCCGTCCATCGTCGCCGTCTACGGCGACCACGGCCCGTTCCGGCGCTGGCTCCGCTGGCAGCCGGACCACCCGGAGATGGACGCCGAGTCGGCCGCCGCCGAGATCCGCTACCAGTGCCGCCGCGCCATGGAGGACGACCCGGGCACCGGCGAGTGGGCGGGCGTCCTGGGCTTTTCGCAGGGCGCCAAGATCGCCGCCAGTCTGCTGTGGACGCAGCAGCGGGTGGCCGAGGAGCTGGGGCCGGCCGAGGCGCCGACCAGCTTCAAGTTCGGCATCCTCATGGCTGGCCGAGGGCCGTTTGTCACCCTCGACTCACGCCTGGACATCCCGCGGCACATTGTCGACGCGGCGCGACTGAGCTCTGACTTTGAGGACTGGCCCGAGACCAACGTCGGCGCGCATGTGCTGCGCATCCCGACGCTGCATGTCCACGGCACGCGAGACCCAGGATTGGAGCTTCATCGGATGCTCAGGGACAAGTACTGCGAATCTGGCACCACGAGGCTCATTGAGTGGGACGGCGGACACCGGATACCGATCAAATCGCACGATGTCGAGACTGTTGTAAACGGAATTCTAGAATTGGCCCAAGACGCATCCGAATAGACGGGATAGATGTAGACAATAGACATGACGTCCAGTAGTCATTGTTCATTCAATGATAGATTTCTATTATTCTAAGGTAGTTTCCATTACTGCTCTCCATCCTCAGCCGGTCGAGATGCTCTGTCATGACCTTGGCCTTCGGAATGGGTGTGCTTCAGTGTTAAGTACAAACTCGTCCAGACTGATCAGGTCTGGCGGTGAGAAGATGAGGTAAAAATACTTGAGTGTCTCAGAAAGCCAGAAGCTCTGCAACTTGTCAGCACGGCACACCATTGAATCAGTGGCGTTACTCACCTCCATTGAGTCAGTCTTTGCTGAACCCTGTCTCGTCACGTCCTCGATGGCCGCATTGGCGTGTTCCGTCGTCGTCTCCCTGATGATTGCCTGGAACATATTCCACGCCATGTCCTGCCATTCTGGGTTGCCAGTGATGCGGTACATGATAAAAATGCTCTCGATGGCCTCTGGCCGGAGGAGGTATCGCGCGTCACGCGCGTGCCGGAAGCCCTTGGTCAGTCGTTGGTCGCCCTCGCGCTTCCAGCGCTCTTCGTCGAACTCGCACGCGTCGAGGGTCGGGCACGGAATCAGATTAAATATTTCTGGCATAATGCCTGACGCAAATGCACTGTAAGCCCAGCCGCACCCGCGAGCGAGTCTTTCTCCGAGGTTGACATGTTCGTTGTTGTCAGTTAGCCGGCCGCCAAGGGCAAACATGCCTCCGACGAAGCATGACAGGTGCTGGCTTTCAGTGACAAACTCAACATGCTCATTGAAGTGAATGTCACCAGCGAACAAGACGTCAGCCTTGTCAGCCAGCATAGGCCGGAACAGCAGATTCTTGGCCACGACGTCCATAGAAGTACGATACAACATCTCATAAGTCGGGTCTAAGCCGCCGAGCAACGCATGCATCTTAGGCAGGTACTCGTACAGCGAATCAGCCAGGGCGCCCAGCGAAAAGGTATTGTCGTTGGCCTGCTCATTCAGAAAGTCCAGAGCAACCGGCCACATGCCCGGGAGCATGGTCTTGTTCTGGATCCGCGCCAGGAACTGCGTGACGCGGTCCGTGGCGTCGTAGAACTTGGCATCCCCCGTCAGCTGCGACAGGTGGGTGAATTCCATGCACAGCGAGCCCGGCGACGCAGACGGGTCGTGGACGCCAGCGATCTGCTTGCCGTGCTGGGCGTCGGCAAAGTTGAGCCAGAAGCCGGGGAGGCGGTTGGGCGTGTCAAAGGCAACGTACAGCATGTTGCCCAGCTCCACGGCCTTCTGGAGCAGCGCTTGCTCGCCGCTGAGGTCGTAGGCTGACAGGATGCCGCCGAGATGGCGGATGGTTGTCTCGAACAGATTGACGGCGCCGACGTGGACGTCGCCCCAGTTCAGAGACGCAACGGCCTGGGCAGCCTCGTGGAATTCCTTCTTGAGGCCCATGATCCAGAGCGTGTCAAGGGAGTCGACCAGGGTGGCCGCCCAGCCGCCAAAGTTGTCCTTGCCCGTTGCTGCAAGGGGCTCCAATTCATCCCTCATCCACGCAAACTTTTGGTACGAGCGATAGCTGCGGAGGAATTCATCGCGCACCGCCTTCTGCCGAATCTCTGCCGTCTGTGAGTGTTTGAACTTGCTCGCGTCTGCTTGTACGCGGGGGAACTGCTTTGTCCGGCCAGCCGGCAGTGCCTTGATTGAGGGTGGAGGGAAGAATGGCCGGGGTGTCGACCAATCGAAAGAGCTGGGCACAAACTTGACCCTCGGCGCCGGCAGCACCAGCAGATGCCAGAATGTAAATCCCGCTATGAGGACGCTCGTCACCAGAATAAATCGCGACGGCCGAGCCATGATTGTGAAATTTGGACTTCGTGATGAAGCTGACCTGGCTGACGGGACGAGATCCAGGCGAGATATAGCCTATTAATAAGCTTGACCACAGGGCTGTCTCAGCCCCTGCGGCACGGCCCTGCGGTGTAAGTTAGCCGCTAGAAATGCACCCCTGGAGGCCTAAAACGGCAAAGTCCACTGAACACACAACCAACTGCATATCGTCCAGCGAATCATTGTTGCGGCAGTGTCGTCTCAGGCGTCTGGGATCCAGTTCGCTGCAGATCCTATTTAAGGCGGGCACCAACGTTCCGAGTACCCTGGAAATGAGCCCTTGGCAAGTGTTTCGGTGCCTAGTTCGACAGTGAAAATGGTCGGTGTTGGTTGACAGTTGTTGGTTGTTAGTTGTTAGTTGTGTCGTATGTTGCATAGGGAGCACCAGGACAGAGTCGACAAGTCCGCGGAACGTCGTGGGTTTTCCCTCATATTATCGGCCGGGCTCCTCTACGACTCTTGTTCCCGTTTCGCAATACGAAAAGGTAAAATGCTGTGGTTATTTCTCCTCATCCCCGTGCGAGCCGCCTCGATATGCGATGCCGAGCCCTTGGTTCTCACCATCCAAGACGTCCAGGTCCTCCCCGATGTGCAGGATTCTTACATGAAGGGCATTGCCGCGCAGATCGGGTCTCCGGTGCAAGACATTGTTCTGCTCCCTTGGGCGTAAGTTGAGTCGCAGTCCAAGACGGACCGGCGCTGACCGTGTTAGTGAGTTGAACAATACCTGGGTTTACGATGACCAGGCCTACTGCGACAAAACCATCATCTGGAACGACCAAATCTGCGAGGTTCGTAGGGGAAATTTGTTCCACGAGGACGAGTCTACGACTTTCGACAAGGCCAACGACATCATCGCAGCTGGCGGCGCCGGAGATGAAGTTGGCTTCGAGGGCTCAGAAACGGGTATAAAGAAGCTTATAGCGACGAGTCTCGGCGGCACCGACACCCTCACGCTGAACGGCTCCGTCACCCTGTACGACTTTCCCATCGGAATCCCTCGCATGAAGTGGGATGCTGGCTACACGATGCTGCACCCCCTCGGGCTGGGGTCAAACTCGACATACCTCAACGCCCTCCGCGCAGCCGGCAAGATTGGATCGCGCGTGTGGTCGTTGTTCTGGGGGCGCATGTGGGTAGAAAACACCATCAACGGGTCCCTCGTCCTGGGAGGCTATGACGAGGAAAAGGTCATTGGCGCGAATTACACCGCGCCGCTCGACTACGACGACTTTACAGGTACGCAGGGTTGTTGGACCGGGATGAAGGTCATCTTGTCCGACATCAAGCTCAACTTTCGTGATGGGTCTGACGAAAGCATCTTTCCGTCCAACGCTGCGCTGCCGTGTTGTCTGGTGCCGCACCGACAGCTTCTGCTGGAAGCTCCACTCGACTACGTGGACAAATTCGACGAGGTGACGGTAATAAACCACACTGATGTTTCTTACGGGTTGCATTGGTCTGCACGATTGTTTGACGCCGATAATGTGTAAGTCGTCGCCGCATTCCACATTCTACAAAACACACCTAACATTTTAGATTTGACGGCGACATCACCTTCTACCTCGACTCTGGACTCGAAATCCGCGTTCCCAACAACCAGTACATTGTGCCATTTGTCGACATCCATCGAAACGGGTCTCGCGTCTTCAAGAACAAGGTCCGCGAACTTCTCATAAATGGCGTCGCGAGTCAGCCCGCTACCCTAGGCCGATATTTCCTTACGTCGGCGTACCTCATGGTGAACCACGACGCACACACTTTTACGCTCTGGCAGGGCAATCCATCGAAAAAAAGCAGTCTTGTGCGTGTATTTGACGAGGAGACTGCTGAGAAGTGCTCTGATGCTACTGCGGTGGTGGAGCCGTCAGCTACCGAGACGACGGAGGAAGAAGAGTCGAAGTTTACGGTGTCTACCACAGAGACTGACAAGGCAGAGCCCTCTTCATCGCCTTCCGGTGCAGTCATCGGCGGCGCGGTAGTTGCAAGCATTGTCGGCGTGAGTCTCATCGGCCTAGGCGTCTTCTACTACATACGCCGAAGACGCCCCGCCGAGGTTTTGTCAACTCCGGTGCAGCCAGAGCACAAACCCCCGGCATACTATTTCCATTCACTCCAAGAGATGCCTGGGTCCATGCCTGGGTCATCGGGGATGCAAGGGCAGCCGCATTTTGTTTACGAGATGGATGCTAATATGCACAACTCTCACCAAGGACGGTGAGTGTCACGGGATACGGGACGATGTTGGTTAAGGAGTTTCACGGACTGGCGCAGCGAATTGAATGTAATTAATTATCTTTGTCCTTCGATTTATGAAGATGCTGAGCCGATTGACACTGTGTATGAGTCTCGTGAATGGCTGCGTCTGTCGATGATCAGCCGGCGATGTCATGTCCGCCCATAAATAGCATCGTGATAACCAACAGCAAACTGGTGTGAACTAATGACATGTTAAATCTGGATTCGCTCTTTGTGCTCGCAGATGAGTCCTTGTACAACACGGTCGTGGCGCTTCATATTGTCTCTGAAGAACAATATTAAGAAAAGACCCGTGCGTGTGGCCTTTTGTCCGCCGTGCACCACACAAAGATGGATGATCCACGATGCCCAGACAAATACCTGAGAGGCCTATATCTTTAGTATTTAAATAACAAGTCTGCATCTTGGATTAGAATGCACATATGTATTTTTTGTCTACCGGAAATCACCAGCGGCTAAAATGCAATTTATCTTTCTTTCCATTCTCACAGCCGCTCTCGGCGTCTGTGCAAACCCGTCCACGCCCAACGATGGGGCGCCAAACCACAGCCCGGACACAGATCTCGGGGTCAACATAACCAACATTGAGCTCGAGGAAAGGGGTAACAGCGGAACATGGGGAGGGTTTGCCGATTCGTGTACAGACATCCGATACTATCTCAGCAACAAAGACATGAAGAAGTACGAAATTGGCGAGTCAAACCCAAATTCCGCGGTCGGCGTCAAGCCATACCTCGATTCGCCGGTCATTGTGGCTCGGTGCCCGAATCTCTCTGGTCAGACGCGGTGCTCGGTGCTGCGGATTGGCGACTGCATGGCCAACCGGGAGGGCAAGCTTCAGATCGTTGACAAGTAAGTTGAGATGCTGCAACTCGAGGACACGTTCTAACGCGGACAGGGGAAAATGGCACACCACTTGCACTCAGTGTGCGTTCCAATCTGACGGCAGATACTTCGCCTGTCAATGCTATACCGGCAAGGGCAAGAACCTTCAGACCACCGTCGTCAACCTTAGTAAGTATCCCTAGCCGACAACAGACCTTGCTGACTGTTGTAGATGAACTCATCAATAACTTTGACGGCAATTTGATGTGCTTCTCAAACCGTGGAAGTCCGGAATATTGCCCACATGGGCCCTCCTTTGACATCACCAAGTATGGAAGCAATGGCTACTGGTATACGCCATGGGGAAAGCCGGGCAAGCGAAGGATAGAGCGAGAGGATGGTGAGGAGAGGTAGAGGGTATGTTTAATTGAGTGATGGCGCATTGAGTCGAGAGAGGGGGTCGAGAAGATACGGTCGACGTCGTCGGGATCAGGCGAGAGACTTCCGTTCCATAATTCCAGTTTAATTGTTTGACAATGCATCCTTTGCACGCTGTACTGAACAAGAGATCGTCCGAGGTCGGTCATATGACATGCATGATGACCGCTGACGTTCCGACAAACCGACAAGAGATGACCAGTCGGCAGACGTGAGTAAACCAGTGGGGTGAGGCGATGCCGGTAGATAAACGCGACTACGCTAGATTTCGGCATGTACTGATAGCAGCGGGTGGAACCATGGAAGCCGCCAGATATCCTAGTGCTGCCGCGCTTATCTCAGAACTTCGAACCCCTGTTCACCCCTCCATGTTGGACATGTACCATGTTGAACATGTACGACTTTGAGAATGCTTTTTCCAACCGCATCGGACAATTGTCGTATTCTCAAGCAAGGATGAGGCGGTGGACGGGCTACAATCGGATGTTGAGCTGGGTTTCCCCTCGCTTTTGGCGCCAGCGATTCGTCGACTCGACCAGCTCCGCGCACCCCCGGAGAAGCCATCCCCACTTCCTGAAAAACCCAACGTTGGCCTCCCAGCCGCGGGCATCCCACGGGTCGCCCCAGACGATCAGCACCGCCTCGTCGTGGGGTTTGCCCGTCACGTCCAGCAGGTCGTAGCACAGCACGTCCTCGTCCAGGGTCCCGTTGGCGACGGCCTGGATGATGTTGTCCCGGAAATGCGGAAATGGCAGCAGGTCCGACCAGGGGTGGTGCTCGACGGCCAGTTGCAGCGGCGTCGGACGGAGGCTTTCCGGGCATGACGTCCACTTGGAGGTGCCGTGGGGTTTGTTGAACGGGGAGATGAATTCGTCCCGACAAAGGCCGTCGATGGGAATGCCGAGTGAGAGGGCGTTGCGCGACAGGGCGTTGAGGGCATTGAGCCGGATGAGTCCCGGCAGCGACACGGGCTTCGGGGTTCGGAGGGTGTATTGAAGGTATACAAGCTCCATAAATGCATACGTGAGGGCTCGCCGCCACGGACATGTCGTAAACAGGTATCCATCAGACTCCCAGGGGGCACGATTGACGGACGGATCGGCGGGTTGAGCATGCCTCCTCCCTATGAGACGTCAGCCAGGCTCCAGGGTTTAGTCTACGGCTCTCTCCCGCTAGGCCCAAGTTACTGACGATACGCCCTCTGGTTAAGGCGATTCTGGCGGCGGCGTCGGTCGGATGCCTTGGTGATGCCGCTCCAGTCGTCGTCCGGGGCCCGCATCTCGACGAGCTGGGGCCTGCCGAGGCCCACGTGGGGGCGCGATGCAGCGGAATGGAGCTCGACTGGTCCGGCCATGATGTCGACAGGTGCGAGATCTGGAAGCAGAGAGCGCGGAAAGCCGGTGACGTGCGATATATGGTGTGCAACGGCTTATCAAGCAGGCGGGAGACGGGACCAGGGTCTCCCGGCGGTCCACGACTCCACGCCAAAAACCATCGCGCCTAGCGTCGTGGAACAAGTGGACCGACATCGTGCGTCATGGAGTCATGGCCACCATGTGGCGGGACAGGAACAGCCGCACTAATGCAAGCTGCGTATGTGGGTTTCGGCCGTGGCATCTTTGACCCGAGAAGACGACCCTGGCAACCTGGCGAGCGTGGTTCTGCTCGTGCAACCAGGCCGGCGAAACCTGGCCGCAGAACCATCATGAGATCCGCCGTCAAATGGGCCCGCAATGCGAGCTCAAGCAGTGGAGCACCCGCGCCATTGCCGGCGCTCCCGTGCTATATCGAGGCGAGAGACGGACGGCGGCCAGGCCATCCAAGTCTTTTTTCGCCGGCCGTGTTCCCACCGAGAGCGTCATGGCACCCACATCTGGCGATAGCTCCGAATCGGACTACCGCAGACCGCCAGAAACTAGAATCGGCGCTGAGAAATTGTGGGTGGATACGGATGGGATTTGTCGAATTCGCTCATCGAGCGAGAAGATATAAAGTCTCTGCGCAAGTCTCATCAGTCGTGGCGAAATATCCCATCGACGAGTTCTCTCAGACCCGCTCACCTCACTCACATTTCCCGCTAAAGAAAATCCTTTTACAATGGCAACCGACTATACTTTCCAGGGCTGGCTGGGCCTCTCGCCTGAAGCCGTCAAGGGCAAGATGGAATGGGGCAGCTTCGAGCCCAAGAAGTGGCAGGAGGACGATGTCGATATCCAAATCACCCACTGCGGCGTGTGCGGCTCCGACGCCCACACGCTGAGCTCGGGGTGGAAGGAGACTATCTACCGTAAGTGTTAATGATCTCGAGTCTATATTCTCCAACTATTGGACCCCAACTGACCCCTACAGCATGCTGCGTGGGCCATGAAATCGTCGGCAAGGCCGTCCGCGTCGGTAGCAACGTCAAGAACATCAGCGTCGGCGACCGCGTCGGAGTCGGCGCCCAGGCCCGGAGCTGTCTGCAGCCCGACTGCCCGGACTGCACGCGCGGCCGGGAGAACTACTGCGCGCGCCAGCACGTCGGCACGTACGCCGCCAAGTACCCCAACGACGAGGGCATCTCGTACGGCGGCTACGCCGACTACAACCGCACCAACTCGCGCTTCGTCATCAAGATCCCCGAGGGCCTGGCGTCGGAGGATGCCGCGCCCCTGCTGTGCGGCGGCGTCACCATGTACTCGCCGCTCCGCCAGAACGGCTGCGGGCCCGGCAAGCGGGTCGGCATCATCGGCGTCGGCGGCCTGGGCCACTTCGGCGTGCTCTTCGCCAAGGCTCTCGGCGCGGACAAGGTCGTGGGCATCTCTCGCCGGGCGTCCAAGAGGGATGAGGTGCTGGCGCTCGGCGCGGACCAGTATATTGCCACGGCCGACGATGAGAACTGGGCCAAGGAGAATGCGCGGTCGCTGGACATTATCATCTGCACCGCCTCCAGCGCCAACATGCCTCTCACCGACTATCTGGGCCTTCTCGACGTCGGCGGCCACTTCACTCAAGTCGGGTAAGTCAATCGACTCTCATTCCCTATTCTGCATCGCTAACAGCCACAGTCTTCCCGACGGCGGCAACCTGCCCCCAATCAACGTCTTCACTCTGATAAGGAGCAACATCAGCATCGGCAGCAGCCTCATTGGATCGCCCAGCGAGATTGAGGAGATGCTCCAGCTGGCCGTCGACAAGCAGATCAAGCCGTGGGTCGAGACGCGGCCGATGGAGGAGGCCAACCAGGCCATTGTGGACCTCGAGGCGGGTAAGCCCAGGTACCGATACGTGCTGGTCAACGGCAAGCATATCGAGTAGGCGCTGCGTGTGTCGGTTGGGATGGATGTATATTAGAGCTACGAATGACGGTCGTGTAAAGTAAAATTAAGAATAGAGATGATGATGATGAGAGATAAAAGGATGGTTGTCACGTCACAGTCAGCATAAATAGATGAGATCTAGGGTATGCGAATTTCCAATTAGTGGCCACTGAACAGTCACTGTACCCCGCAACAACCATCTCCCATTCACAACTCCAACATGCCCCGATCCGATGAAGCCGCGGCCTTCTTCCACGCCGTCTACTCGGCCGTGCAAGAAATCCCCTACGGCCGAGTCACGACATACGGCCATATTGCCGCCCTCGTGGGAACTCGTACGTAAGAGCCAGCCCAGTGTAAAAAACCCACGCCTGACAAGACAAACCAGCCCAGCGCCCGCGCCAAGTCGGCGTCTGTCTCAAGCATTTGCCCGCAGACGCCTCGCAGCGCTTCAACCACGACAACGTGCCGTGGCAGCGCGTCATCAACGCCAAAGGCATCATCTCGCCCAGGTTTGCCTTTTCTTTCCATCTCCCCGTGCCAGCTGGTTGACACGGACGTTCCAGGTCTCAACCCGAGGGCAGTCGGAACCAGGCCGCTGCGCTGCGGGCCGAGGGCGTTCAAGTCGCCACGAGCGCCATGGGAGAGCTCTCGGTGGACTTTGCCGAGTACGGGTGGTTCCCGGATGCGCTCCCGTCGGAAGAGAATGGCTCGGCGACTGATGGGGACGATCGGGACTGACTGGAACAGCAGACGACGGAGAAACGAACACGGAAGCGAGACTACAATGAAGATAACCTAAAAGCATACGAATAAAACAGTAAACGCCAGACCCATCTGAACTCCCAAGCCATTGAACCCATCAGCGAGAGGAGCCATCACCAGTGTGCTGTGTTGAACAGCACTGTCCTTGCAACTTCATCACCCGTGTGCTACGCTGAACACCGCCGTCCTTGAAAATCCATCATCCTTGTGCTACGTTGAACAGCACCCCCTTGAAACTTCATCACCCGCGTGGTGTGTTGAACAACACCGTCCTTGCAAATTTTCGCGACCCAGTCATTTGCTTGGCCTTTGCAGCAAATCCCACCGCACCCATGTCGCACTCACTCACTTCCGTGGTCGAAGTTCCCTCTTTGGGACGGGCGGCTGCCCCGTGGGCTTGCTCACCTGGGGCTTGCTTGCCTTAGGCTTGCTCATCTTGGACTGGCTTGCCTTTGGCTTGCTCACCTTGGACTGGCTTGCCTTAGGCTTGTTCACCTGGGGCTTTCTCGCCTTGGGCTTGTTCACCTGGGGCTTGCTCTTCGTCTGGGGCTTGCTCTTCGTCTGGGGCTTGCTCTTCGCCTTAGGCTCATTGGCCTCCTCCTCTTCATCTGCCTCGAGCTCGGCCGCCAGGGCTCTTTCAATCGCGGCCGCCTTGGCGGCTTGTTCCACAATGCGCTGGCTGCGTCGAAGATTGTGGGTATCTCGGCCCGCCGGCTTACGAGGACCTTGGGCTATGGTCTTGGAGACCTTTCCCTCCACCACCTTGCCTACAGGGCGACCGCCTCGGGGCTTGGCCTTGGCGGCCTCTCGATTTGCTGGGCTCGGTGCGGTCGCCGATCGTGGAGACTCGGGTTCGACTCCAGAGGCCGTCCGCTGCAGAACATGATCGTCGTGGTCATCGTTGTGGGCATCGTTGTGGGCATCGTCGTGATCATCCTCGTGATCATCGTCGCGGGCATCGTCGTGGGCATTGTCGCGATCATCGTCTTGCGGAGGCTCGGCTTCTTCCAGTGCGCTTGCCACGTTGCTTGACGTCGGGCTTGATCCAACATGATCAAGCGTCCGCCTTTTGCGACCTCCATCAGCCCCCTCGGCCTCCTCGTCTCCTTCGGCTGCGTCAGGTGTGAGCCGCTTCTTGGACGTGGTCGCTTGAGTGTTTGCTGCTGCGGTCTGCGCCATCTCGGTCTGCGCCATCTCCGCCTCAACCAAAGGAACTTGCTTCATAATCCATTGCAAGATCCCATTCGTGTAGACACTATTCTTCTCCTCCATTTCGAGATTAATCCTGAGGTCATGAAGCCTAGATCTGGCCCTATCTCGACCTTGGATTGTGGCATATTCGTCCTTTGCCTGTACTATTCCCTGCGAGATCTCCTCGATCTCGACCTCCAGTCGATTCATGGTAGTTGCGGACCCGCCGGCCTGCATGCATGCAAAGCCCAAATATTCAATCCACGTAGCCCATTTGTCTTGCTTCTCTGGGTCGCTATGTAACTGGAATGGTCGGGTGAAGCCAAACCGTTTCAAGTGCTGCTCTACCTTTTTCGTGTGTGCGAGGAAGCGATCGGGGTCGGTATGTTCCCCAAGTGGAACAAGCCTCGATAGGGCGATCCTTGACTTCTCCCACTCCGGTTTGAGATGTGATGGGTCGGCTGCCAGTTTAGCGGTCCACTTGGCATAGCTGCGCTCATGGAAACCCAGCTTTCGTATAAAGTCGCGCATATTGACGTAATCAGCGTAGCTCTGTTCAACCCCTCGCTCGTGTTTTTGCCAATCGCGGAACTGCTGCCAGTGATCATACTGCTGATTAATGACACGGTGATAACACCCCGGCATCCAATTGTGTTGGTTCCAAGGTTCCAGTATCTCACGATATTCGTCCAAGTTCTCCGCAACATGGTCGGCGAGTTCGATCGGATACAGAGGGCGACCGCCGTCTGCGACGAGATAATCGTAGTGAATCTTCTCGAATTGAGGCCTCGTAGCTAGACGATCAACTGCTATAAGTGTTCCCGAATCTGAGCTCGCTGACCGATGGCTGCGTGTGGCAATGCTTCCGTTGGGCGATATCTGGGCTGGTCTCTCATCGAGTCGGTCGAGATCAAGTGGGTGGGACGTTTTCAGGGCCTCATGTGCAATTCTGGACCATTCTTAGTAATCATGAACCGTATATACCGGAAATGCGAGTGAAGATAGCTTACCTCAGTTTCCCTCTGAGGATGGACTGGTCACACTTCCAAAGTTTGCGAAATTCGCTGACGCGTGGCTGGTAACTGCCATCAGCCGCGCGGTGGTCTTGCAAAAATTTGGCGAGTGCCTCTTTGCTCATGGAGATGACGTCGCGGGCGAGCATTGTCCCAGATGGTGGTTCCTGAAGCGAATCGTGGCCGTCGTCCACATCCGCAGTTGGTTCCACATCCGGTAGCTTTGGAGAAGCCATCTTGACGCTGCAGAGGTGGTGTTCCGGTGCTGATTGTAGGGATTGATGCCGTGCTGAAAGAAAGACGTGTTTGGTTTGTACTTATATTTGCGACTTCTTTGTTACACCAGAGCCATCAGGGCTTGGCCACTAATCTACTTGGAGGACGTGGCGGAGGCATTGGCAATCAGTACATTGCATTCTTTGGACCCAGTGTCCTGCTGATGTACCTCCTGTGGATTATCTGTGCGTTCAGCAGCATGGCAAGCCAAGCCAACAGTATTTTGTCAAACGCAAGCACCGGTTGCCTTTGTCCCAACCGTAGGCATGTTCCCCCGCCGCCTTTGAACCTGATTGCCTGTTTCTCTCTGTCCCAGTGCTCTCCGCTGCTGGCCGACCGGACCTCTGGCTATATCTTCACTCTCTTTTCCATCTTTCGCTTTCATTTAATTGTACTTCCTAGTATCCGACCCTTCGAAATGTCTCCCAACGCGCAGCAGGACATGGACCCTTTCGTTTGTGTTTATCCCACGGGGTGTCTTTCGGAATTGGCCATCAAAAAGAGCACACTGCAACAATTGACGACTGACGGAGGACTCCCTTACTTACGTATCCGATTTTCGGACATTGCATCATCCAGGCACGGAATTACATTTGGATCTGACCCAGGTTGTCATGTGGTCATCAATGACAACGATGTCAATAAGCGACATTTTTGTTTGGGCATAAACAAAAGTCGCCAGGTGATGCTTTACGATTGGGGCTCGAGTAATGGAACTTATGTTACTTACAAAGAGCAAAGGCGGTACCTACGAAACTACTTCAAATGGATCATTGGTGGACATCCTGTCGTCAAAGACTGGAACCCCGTCATCGTCGAACCCGGCGCCATGTGGAGATTCACGATTGTAGTCTCAGACTACACGGCTGAGGCAATATTCCCGACTCAGTTCAACGAAGAACTTGAAGATGCCTTCAAGACCTTGTGCTCGGAACCCGACAAGCGCACCCGACTCCACACCGGCCTAGACGAGCCAACATCCGACTCAATCCAGCTCACAAGGCCTCTAGGCAAAGGATCTTTCGGGAGTGTCGTTCACTCCTTCGACGTCAGCACCGGACAGGTGCTGGCGTTGAAGACTCCCGTGATAGGGACGATGGTGAATTACCCAGCGTGGGTCAAGGAGGCTAGGATCATGGAGGCAATTCGCCATGTTTGTACACCACTTCCCAGTACCGTTCTTGTTACTGATTATTTGCCAGAGAAACATTGTGAAGCTTATTCGATCCGACCTTTCTGATCAGCAAAAACCGATGCTGGCCATGGAATTCGTGCCAGGAGGGCAGCTGGGCTCCAGCGGCGAGCCCCTGCAGCCATCTGAGATGATCCAGATTCTCAGCCAGCTACTCAGTGCCCTCGACTATCTCCATACGCTGCCGGAGCCGATCGTCCACCGGGACATCAAACAATCTAACGTACTCGTCCAGGAACGATCGGCTGGCCAAATTTGGGTAAAGTACGCCGATTTCGGTGTCTCGAAAGCTGGTGACGATTATCAAACGGCCATTGGGTGCCCGTATTACCGTGCGCCTGAGATGCATGAGAGCGGTCGCTACACCACCGCCGTGGACATCTGGACACTCGGTGTCATGATGCTGAAGCTGATGGGGACCCTTGTAGAGCATCGGGGAGAATTGCACAAGGACTGGTGCGAGACCATCATCAAGGAGGCTGCCAGGGTCACGACCCGGAACCCACTGATCCAATTCGTCTTGGATCATATGGTGCAGATGTCGCCGGATCGTCGACTCTCTGCGAAAGAGTGCCGGGTGGAGCTACATCGCCAGTTTTCTGCGATGAAGGACAAGCCTTCGACCCCCGATGTCTTGGACATGCCGGAGGAAGGCTCCTCTACGTCGAGGGAACCGCCCCGAGAACAAGGCAATCAGTCTACGTTGGTCCCAGGCCCCTCTAGAAAACGCCTACCGATGACTTCCTCGGGCCCTGTGCCGGGTGCCGAGAGTTCATGGCCTTCAACCAAACGAAAAATCCCGGAGGAGTCGGAGTACATGCCTTCAACCCCTGGCAAGACCGAGCCAGACGCCTCGACTCTCGAGGGGCCGCTAGATGATTTGAGTCTCTGGAATCCTCAAGATAAGGGAGCGCCAGGGACGACCAGGAGTGGACTGCGATTCCTTCCAGTTGGGGGGAGTACGAAGGGAGACACGCAAGGGGGTACAGAGGCCGGTACGGGGCGGGATGCGGATGCGGATGGAGACGCGGAAGGGCATCGAGCGAAGCGGACGCGTTTGGATGATGCCGAAAGCTAATACGGTCGGCCGGGATCAAATCATTCGGCTGGTGCGAGGCATGTTAGTTACGACGGCGGCGCATACGGTAGCATTGGGGGGCGATTCAACTGAAAGTAGCATCATGTCGACACTCTTAGAGTCCATAGTTTATTTGTCGTGGCGGCCATTCTCACAATACCATCTGTCCGGGTCTCCTCCAATTGCCCTGCACGCCTCGTGTTGCAGTGAAAACACCATGGCCACATCATCACGACCTTCCGTTAGATGGCGTTTTCCGAGACCGACATAACCGTAGACGCATCCACAGCGTGGGACAGGTCCGCCCACAGCCGCCGTGATATTGGAGCCCGTCGGGAAAGACCTGTCGCACTCTGTCATACGCTGACTGATCCAGTTAAACGTGGAATGCGCTCGCCAACAGGAGGCGCTGATGATGGCGTATGTGCAGAGATGCATATTATGTAACAGGCCCCTGTACGGGTCGGAACTGAGATGTTACGGTGGGAGATTCGTCGGTGTGCACTGGCTGATCTCGAATGCGTTGGCGTAACACCGATGAGTGAGAGACCTGGTCGTGTGTTGTTAGTGCCGCCCCATTGGGAACACTCGGCTGCCACCAGCTCTGTGTGGTGTGATTGATCCTCTAGGTACTAAGGGCCCGGACATGTCTTCGGCTACTGATTTATTGTCAACCTGTAGCTGATACGCATTCCGCTAACCGGCAGAACGCTTGCATGCGTGCCAGGAGACGATGAATCGTCGTGTGACCCACGTGGTCAAATGCAGTGACGGCCTTGACTCTTGAACTCAAGGCCATCTCCTCCTATAGCATCTCCTTCATGCCTCGAACTACTGTTTGTGCGCTATATTGGACTCTTTCTTTGCAGAATGAGCCCGCCAAGACATTCATTGCAATATTTCTCTGACAAGGGGCCATCCGAAATAAGGAAATGGCCGGGATGAGGCCCAGAGGTGGGCTATTCAAGCAAGCGGAGGCTGAGTCTAGACCAACAACTGCCGTCGGGATCCGACATTTTCACGAAAATAGTGCTACTAAACAACAGGCAGATAATGGTTTGGGTGGGACCAAAGTTCCGTGGACGGGATGGGGGCATCCGTGCCGGTCAGAAGAGTCAGCTTGTCCGTTTCGTATCCTGTGGCTTGCCCCTCGATTTCTCGTTGCGTGCGGCCTTGGCCTGGGCTATTCTTTCACTGGCAACTCAAACTTTGGTCCAGGACTGTCTCGTATATTCTGGAATAGAAAAAAGCATCTGGCATCAAAGAAACCCTTGGCATCAAAGACTCTTGGCAGCACAGACTCTTGGCATCAATGCTGGAATCAAAGAATCTTCCAGCGTGAAAGAGCTCTCCAAGGTACAAAGAGCTTCGGACGGCACAGACTCCCACGGCAGCCCGCCTAGGCCACGTCCCTTCCAGCTCCACGTCACCATTCATCGGGAACCAGCCGATAATTGACGCGTGGCAATTCAATTTCAAATTCGAATTTTGTTTGCCATGATTGACTTTCCTCTGAATTCGTGCGTCCTCAGTTGCCACGGTCTCTGACAAGGACGTAGCACAGTCGTGGCGGCGAGGCTCTGTAAGCCAATACATGGCGGCTCTTCGCTCAGGCCCAGTAGGCCAGCCAGCTTGACAGATACGTACTGGGTACCTATGCGGGACACTAATGTGCTGTATCTTAGGTACCTTCGCCCTCCCTTGGGACAGTGCAACCACTGATCCAATCGATGCGTGGCCCAGCTGTTTATTGTCCGCGGGGCTGAGACCATGTACCACGGCCACACTGCCCGCACCTTGCTTCTCCGGATCGTGGCGCAAGGATTCTGAGGTTGTACAAAGGCGAGGGGCACCAGAACGAGGGGGAGGTGACAGGAAATGGCCAGCATGGCTTCAATGACAGGGCAAGGAGGTCTACGACGCCACTGACCAACTGTTACTCTGTTACTGTGGCTTCCACGTTGCGGAGAGCGGTGCTACAATAACGGCTTGAGAGACCAGAAATGATATTTTCATCCGACAATTGGTTCAGGGTGTAAGTAATTTGATGTCTCCATCAAGCGCTCTGGCCTTGCCGGAAGAGTCACTCCAAGTAACACGACGCATGACGGATACCAAGCCGAGTGGGTAAATCCGTGGCCATGTGAAGAGCAAATCAGCCCATTACTGCCCCGCATTTGAATTACCAATTGGCTTAACTTACCTAGGTAGTCAAGTAGTGTATGCGGATTTAGCTGACATTCTTTTGAGACCCCGCTAGATCGTCTTTAGACCCCAACCTGAATGCGACGGAGTCTGGTGAGGATGTCTTTACCGGCGGCCACGACATTTCTCTGGCAGATGGCACTCGAGTCGTTTAAGCGTATGACCCACACCATAAAACTGAGATCTTCCACACGCGTCCACGCTGATGGCATAATGCGCGAAATGATTGCTGATGGAGTATCAACTGGAGTTACCTAGCCAGTCCTGCAATCGTCTTCTTCGAAATCTGATGGCATGTCCGTATCCGAGATCGTGATTTTTTGCGACCGTGTTGCTTCGTATTCCGAGACTTACGTACACGCTCTTCCCATATGGGCGCTCTTCTCCGTGCCCACGTATTCTGTTTTCAATCTATGTTGTTGCTCAATGGCACTTCCATCGCTTAAATTACAAGGATCGAGGGCTGGAAGCTGTAGTTTAAGATTCGACGGCTTGAGGGCCTCGGAAGAGATTCGGGCGTGTTAGTGACGAACTTGGCTTCCCTGCTGTGGCTGTGCTTGTGCTTATCTGAGGCTAAACCTTTTCCCGATATTCTTCCCAGATCTCAGCCACATATATGAAACAAAGCACAGCCGCATTGATGAGGTCATGGCCATGGTCAGTCTCATCTCACACAGAGTCTGTGTTGCCGTAGGGGGATGTTTCACTGTAATACTTGGCCGTACTCATGTGGCAGGCTGACATCAGGACCTAATCCGGTCCTTAGCGTGATCTGGAGCTTTCTTGAACACCGGGATGCAAATGATGAATGGCATATGCGTAACTGGGAAATCCAGCTCAACAAAGTCGCTCCCACAGACGTTCACGTTAGTTTTCAGGCAGTACGGCCATATTCTCCCTAGTGTATCGTAACTAGTACGTAGAAAAATGTTGTCGAACTGTTCGTCATTCCGAGTGATGAGGTCTGCTACGCATTTTCACGTACCGGTCGGCTCTGCTCAAACCATGCGATTGTCTTCTGAGGAATGGGAAATTTATTTCTAGTGTACTGCTCTCTTGCAAAGACGTCAATGCTCCTGGACATGGTGCATGGCATAGTCGGGGGGATCCCTGAGTGTCTCTACGTGTTGTTGGTGGTCGACAACGCTGCGTAGAGTCTCGCCGAATATGGAGCTTGAACGGTTGCTGTCGTCGTCATCATCAAGTTGTAGCTCATAGATCTCTTTGCGCAACTAGCGAAATTTTGTTGCTCTCAACTATTCTCAACGCATGGTACTGGGGTTGAGCATTGCCGTCGGAGATTCGAGGGCTTGGATCTCGGGGACGATTGACGAATTCGTGCTGGAGATGGTACGGTATTTACCACGATGGTGACGATGAACCCGCTGAATATCCGTAAGTTGAAACGCTCAGCTTGGCACGGACGCTTTCTTTAGAGCAGACGGTTTTTCCGTTCGTCGGAGCTCCATGCCACGGCGAATTTGCCACCTCGTGATCCGTCAGCCAATGTATTCCAAACGGTGGGAATAGGCGCTAGGTTCGATCTGGCGCTCATGACCGCCGGGACCCGATCGTACTCGGCGCGGGTCGGTCGTTCGATCTACGTAAATTGGGGATTCGCAATTGGCCTATTATTTGCTTTTGCGTGCGACCAGTCCCGTGGGAGCGTGCGATTCTTCAAGTGGTGAGGCCACCCCGTGTCCGGCGGCTGAGACCAGCGAAGTCATTGCCGCAATGGGAACGATGGCTATGGGCGAGTGACCTCGTTCCTATCAGTAAAGCTTGATTTCATTTCTCTGGTGGGATTGAGGGATCCGTAGGACCACTCGAGAGCCACTTGAGACTGGGGTGTAGGTGGACCGCCTTTTGGTTCGTGTGCGTATGGAGCAGGGCGCTTGGAGAAGGCGGATATGTCGGAAGAAGCGCTTTGATTCGAAGCCAGATGGAGAACTGGATGGGGACGCAACGAAAGTTGAGCTATCTGGAGCCGATTATCACGATCCAACCTGATTCTGGACGACGATACTTATCTAGTCTGCGACGTAGTAGTGACGCCTGCCGACTAGATTACCAGATTCGTCCCGCCTCGCCCGGCTACTGTGACATGTTAGTGTTCAGGGGTCCCAACCCCCCTGGCATGGATACGGATCCGGCTGGACGGGGTGGGTTGATACATGGCCATACCGCGCCGGCTCTTTGCTTTGCATCAGGTGCCGGCTCTCCACGAGCTGTCAGAGACGTCTGTGCATATTTGACTTTGAAGCCGTTGCAACGTTTGCAGGGGAGGGCGGGAATGGCGTCGAGCAGGGGACTGTGGACGATAGTGGATGATGATAGCAGAGTGGATCGACGTCTGAGCAACACGGCCTGCTTAAATGGCACGCATTCTTGTTCCCAGCAGGACCCGACCTTTTGGTCGCTGTTGGTTCTTGCTTTCGTCTTCTCGAATCACGGTCCCGGATTGGCTTTGATCGCAATGGCCATCGCTGTCGACCCCGTCATCTTGGCTGCCTTTGGGGAGCCCCCGGAGGGCCTGGACCTCGAGGAACGTCGGGTCGTAAACCACAACGTCGCCGTGTGTGTTTCCCTGGGCCTCGCCGTGGCGGCCGTGGCCTTGCGGCTGTATGTGCGCAGACTGAAAGGGGCCCGGCTTTGGTTCGATGACTATGCCATCATCTTTAGTACTGTGAGCTTTGTCTACCAACTACCCACCGGTTGGAACTATGACTGACCTCCTTGATGGTAGTTTTGCTGTGGCGGAACCGTGGCCATTACCGTTTTGGGTAAGTAAACGCCGATCTTGTGCCTCCTTCTGACAACTTCTCACACCAAACAGCAGGGCAATACGGTGCCGGTGAGCACGTCTGGGCAACAAATATCCCCCGACTATTAAATCTTCTCAAGGTATGCATACCGCTGCGTCTCCAACCACACTATCCTGGCTGAGCAATGTCTGACGCTGATGCCGTCGCAGGTTATTTATGCTGAGGGATACGTTTATGGGTTGGCTGTCACCGCCACTAAGATCAGCATCCTCCTCTTTTATCGCCGTCTCCTCTACTCAAGCCCATCACCGAGGAGCCTGTTCTCCATCCTATACTGGGTGGCCTTCTTTCTCGCAACCTCCTACCCCGTCATCCTTTGGGTCATCATGGCCACGGCTTGTCGGCCGATAAGCTTCTATTGGAACCAGTACGCCGGTGCTGAGGGTCAATGCATTAATATTAAAAGCTTCTTACTAGCTTTGGGAATCATCAACATGCTTAACGACATTATGATTCTGACTGTTCCTATTCCGAGGATTCTCGAGCTTCAATTGAGCAAAAAGTTGAAGGCTTCAACCATTGGAATTATGTTACTCGGGGGCTTGTGAGTTATCACCATCCACATTATTCATCTAACCGTCGTCTAATTAAAATAGCGTTTGTATTGCCAGCATTGTGCGCATTTATTACATATACCAATTCTCTCGAAAACTAGATGCCACATGGTGGATGGGTCCCACCATGGCATGGTCCAGTATCGAGCCATCTATTGCCATCGTATCGGCCTGCCTTCCCACGTTTGCGCCACTCTTTCGATTCAACAGACCACACAGGTCAGGAAGCAACCCATACTACATCAGCGACAAGACGGTCGCATCAAGAAAGGGAACACAGGTGGCCAATGGTATGCGAAGTCCAGGCCGCTTCGGGATCTCTAGCCCGACCCATAATAACGCGACACGCCATATAATAGAGGACGACGAGGTTGAGCTTACCTGCAAGGTGGTAGCAAGAGATGCGGCTTCAAGTCAAGGGTCGGATAGCAAGAGGAACTCAATTGAGGAGAGGGGTATCGTTGTAAGTACCCACGTGTCGGTTGTCTCAAGTGGCAGGAAAGGGCCTCGCCATAAATTGGGTTCGGTATCCAGCGTGGAGTAGAGTCATGTGGAAATCATTAGCGTTTGGTTAAACGGCATACATTATCTCTGAGACTATAAAGTAGATGAAGCATTGCCTGAAGATATCACGATAATTACTAAAGAATTAAAGCCTAATATTGTTGATACTATTGTTGGTGTTTTTTTTTACCGATGAGCTTCTGGTCCCCCTCTGGGTATGTTGTAGGGCACCCTAACCTCTTGGTATTAAAGCATAACGGTTCCTCTCCACATAATATCTAGCAAGACAGTAGTGTGAACAGAAGCGTTGAGATGTTATATCGTTCTGGTGATAGACACGAATACCAGAATTACTGTACTGCTTACCTATGTGATGCAGCTGTAAACCCTTTTCAGGTCTGGGGGAAAATTACATTCTCTATCAATTTGACTATAACTACCTAGTTGGAAGGAAGATGCATACTTGACTCCAATAGATAACCCAGTCAGATTATCTAAGCCCCTGACATGTACTCGAATCACGCCTTTTGGACACTTGTCGGTCGCCCCATGCATACGAGTGGTAGCCGAGGCCGCCAACCGTGGTATGGCCGCCAATTCCACCGATGGAGAGGATCCATATAACATGAATCGCGCTTCCTCTGTGTGAAGGCCTTCAACCAAAGTCTTGAGGGTATTTCCGGGCCCGACAATAGCTATGCCGTTGCTGGCTTGAACCTCGATCTTTTTGAAGTTGTTCATGTCGTTCACGAGATTTCGGTTACTGCCACCAAGAGCTTCTATGAGTTGACAAACATGTTAAAAAACAGTAATGTATTAGACATGCCTTTATTGGCGAGGTCGTGACCGAGACTCCGAGCTTGAACTTTGATGTCATTCCCAGAACCGCCAGAGGTAATGTTAGAAACTTCAAGAGAAGTATTCGGATACGTAACTACAGCTAGCGTGTACTGGTAATTGAAGTTGTAGTCCGAGTGTCGTTGAAGGTGGTTTAGCTCGTTCTGGAATTGTACGCGACGTTGATCTCCGTGGACAGCGCCTACCAAACAAGTATGGGGCTGACCATATTTTCTTTTGGTATATTGAGCATTTGAAATTTTTAATAAAAGCAAGAAAGTGTGGAGAGCCGTTGTCCCAAGTTTCTATTAGATTTCGGAGAGAAAGGTCTGGAAGACATTGCATCACATTGGGGTCATAATCGTTGGAATTTTCTCCCAACTTCAGTGCTTAGGCATCTGATTCGCATACACGAGAATGAAAGATTGTTGAATGCGAGACAAAGGAGTTGGCAATTTCTTCATCGTTTTGTATGTAAATCGTTCTTTGAGGGAGTGAAACTGAGATTGCAATCTTGGTTTCAATCGTCGTTCTGCTATCAATATTTCCATTTATTTATTTATTCAGTATACGCTATTTTACCTATATCTAGGCCTATAGAACTCCTGCTATTTAACTCAACAAGGAAAATCCTTTCAATATTTCCATTAGCCACTGCACGTTAGCATTGCGCGTCCTTGCTTCTAAGACCAGTAGCATATGAACCAGCGAGATTCTTAGCTTTGGATCTAGTGTCATCCTTGGATTGTCCTTGGAGTCCAGAAGTGTTCGCAAAAACGTTGTCGTGCTATTGCTAAATAAATTTGGCATAAGTCAACTCTTGAACCATGGCCGTTGAGATACGCTAAGGCTCAAACCTACACATTCATGAAGATCCATCAGATTGTTCACCAAGATGCGTTGATTCTACTGTAGTTGGCTGACTAACCGGTATTTTCGCCACTGTGTAGTAACTTCAGGGTACAAGGGCATACCTTGAAGATTGACACTTGGTCGCCATTCAACCCACAAGCGAACAGTCTGGATCGTAAGGCTTTAAATAAAAATAGAAAATTCATGTTCGTATTGTTAATATGTTGCTATTTAACTTTTAAAATACTAGAATTGTGGCAACGAGCACTTACAGATCTGAACTGACCTTGGCTTCAGGCATCAGAAAGTAACATGAGACTAACTAGCGGTACAATTCACGTCAACTTGGCCACAAAATTGTACCTGACTCCTGCATTAAAATCTCGATAGGGTGTAGCTAAATAAGGCTAAGCGCCAGCATAAAGCATGGCATAATACTAAAGGGCACCGGCATGGGATCGGAGGATCCGGCGATGACCGGGTATGCTCGGCGTTTGGGACCTCCGGCTGCTTTGCCGGCATCACTCGATATGCCAGACGTTGTAAGTTCGAGGTTCCGACTAGTGAGATAAGAAGAGTCATGGAGCACATAGAGAAGAAATAATATGGGATTTGATATCTTTCAGCACTATTCTGGATCTTCTTCTCAAGTCACCTACAAACGCTAAGAACTGTGAAAGACACTACACCAACATTCCGAACATCAAACTCACGCCATTATGAGACTCATCATTCGCGATGACCCCGAGGCAGCTGCTCTGCAAGTCGCCAACCACATCATCAGTATGCTATTTAAATCTAGCTATCCATTCGCCTCTAATTTCATCATCACCAGGCCGAATCAACACCTTCGCCCCAACCGCATCCAAGCCCTTCGTCCTCGGCCTTCCTACCGGCAGTAGCCCCCTACCTGTCTACCGCAACCTTATAACAGCATGCCGAGATGGCCGAGTCTCATTCAGCAATGTCGTCACGTTCAACATGGACGAGTATGTCGGCCTACCTCAATCGCACCCCGAGTCTTACCATTCCTTCATGCACACCAACTTTTTCTCACAAGTGGATATTCCTCTCGAGAACGTGAACATCCTTGATGGAAACGCACGAGATCTTCAGGCAGAATGCGACAAATACGAGGAGAGAATAAAGGCTGCGGGTGGGATTGCACTCTTCCTGGGCGGCGTGGGCAGTGATGGACACATTGCCTTCAACGAGCCAGGCTCGAGCTTGGTGAGCAGGACTAGGGTCAAGACGCTTGCATACGATACGGTGCTGGCGAATGCCCGGTTCTTTGGAGGAAATATGGACCAGGTTCCCAGGATGGCCCTCACGGTTGGTGTACAGACGGTTATGGACGCTAGGGAAGTGGTCATCATCGCGACAGGCGTAGGCAAGGCCCTCGCTGTCAAGAAGTCGATTGAAGAGGGAGTGAGCCACATGTACACCCTCTCGTGTTTGCAAATGCATCCATATAGCATGATCGTCGTGGATGAGGATGCTACTCTGGAGTTGCAGGTCAAGACTGTGCGGGTATGAGTCTCTTTCCAAGATGTTTATGCTGGAACTGCATGCGCTAACTCGGTCATAGTACTTTAAAAGTATTGAGCCTCCGGCGAAGGAGACTCAGGGGATGCGGGACCTGAAGCGACTGAGAACATCATCGCTGGTGTCGCCACCTCAAACACCCCAGTCCAAATTTGCGCTGGAGAGAGATGCTCTGGATGATGGAGAGCTGTCACCGGATAGCATGTCGTCACGAATTGCACCGTTCCATTGAAGCATGAAACTTGGTAAGGAGATATAGATTTAGATAGAACTCGAGACAGTCAGGATTGCATCTTTTGGCACTATTCTCATTGTATGGGTTGTATATCCGTCGTTTCCGGCCAGATCCCAAACGTCACCTGGTCCAGGCTGGCCTGGTTGAAGATCTGCCATGAGTAGTCCAGATCTGGGCTTATCACAGGAAGACTCATGGGATCATGCAGTGCCGTGGGGCTTGGGGTTTGCATGCCCTGCAGGCTCTGCTCAAGCCGCGTGGCCAGCTTATCGTGTAAGCTTGGCTTTGGCTCATTCGTCTGCCTCAGGAAGTCAAGGTGAATGCGGATATTTCCAAGGTCTGACAGCAATGAGTACATAATCGACGATGTAACATAAATAGATATGGATTTGTTTGACTCACCATCTGCTTCTCCGTTGCCACCTTCCACACCCTGTATCACAATAAGAGCGGCCCATGTGATCATGACGAGATCCCAATTGGACCAAATCGCCTTGTCGTTTAAGTGGAGCTTGAGAGTCGCACGTGCTGAAAGTAGGAGTTCGTATTGCTCCTTGGGCGTGATGCTATTAGAGTGGAGGTTGCATCCCCTGGCAGGATGGTAGATGGACAAAACGAGCAGTCGGTGCAACACATACTGACGAAAGACTGACTGGCGGTCCTGCTCACTGTCATCAACTTCCTTGCTAAACTCTACGAGCCAGTCGTCAAGCTGTCTAGCCCAGTCGCGGATGACAGCTGCATCGACAGGACTGAATGGATACGCTGACCAGGTAGTTTCTGAGGGGCTACCCGTAAAACATGACCAAATGGTTGGCAAGCCGCGCCCAGTGAAGTGAGTCAGGCCGGTGTGCATCATTCGAGATAGCCGGTAGAGTTGATCCCTGTGTGATATGGTGAGCGATGGGAGGGGCGGCTCCCGTGGAATGACAGGAGCAGCCATGTGAAGAGAGGCATGCTCTAGATCAACAATTTGAACGCCAGTAAAAAGCTTCCGCCAATCCCTAGACCTCTCATCAATGTGTGGTGGACAATTCTCAAGGATTAAACGATGCGCGACAGAGATCCAAATACCCGTCTCCCGGACGCTGCCCTCGGTCAAGAGCCCAGCCAAAATGATGGCTAACACGGTTTGAAATGCCCATTCTTCCACTGAGCCTGGATCGTCTGGAGAGTGTCCAATTTCGCTATTCGGAATACTCAGTTGCGCGATGGCATTACAGAGTACGTTGAAATAATGCGGTGCTAGCTCAGCTACTTCAGTAGTTCCACGAGTACTTGAGCAGTATAGAATAGAAGCCAGAAGCAGTGGCCGAGGGGCAGAAAACCGTTGTTTGCTTGGAAGAAAGTGGAGTCCTGGTGTCTTTTCATTGAAGCTGGAGTTGTGTTAGCGGAGAGAAACTGCGCTCTGCTCAAGGTTACATACATCTGCCAGAGGTGCTTGATGGTACTCCTCCGCCATATCAAAGCATCAATGGAGCTGGGACTTATCCTTTCAAGGCATCGGACGGCTTCCCATAGAGAATTCAAAGAACTGTCTTCTTCTTGTAGCTCATCTTCTCCATTCATGTCTATCTCATCGCCTGCTTCCGCCTCGTTGGGCTTCGATCTGGAAAGACCTATGTATTCTTCAATCGACTGAAGTCTTCGCAATATCTCACTGTTGAATTCGATGTGAGTCGGGTCAGTCAGGGGCAGAGACCCTGGGATAAACGGGACAGAAGCATTGGACCGAGGTACAAAAATGCAAGGGTTGCCAGAACGCCTGCATCTCCGACATATGTTCCCGCTGTCTATTCTACATTTCATCTTCTGCCTTCGGCAATTAACTGTGACCAACCAATTAGCACACTCAGACCAGATTTCAAGCTTCGGAAACCCACTGCAAGCTTTGCGAGCCTTGGGCTCCGCCGGCTCTGCGGGTGCTGCAGGTTCTCCTGCATGACGAGCCACGATGGTCTGACCGTTTGGAGACATGACCGCAGAGGAGGTAGAATGGGGTGGTTGAGGTACGGTCCGGTGATTGCCGGTAGGATGCAGAGAGGATGAGAGAAGGTGTGGGTGAGCTCTAGCTTTACAGTGAGTGCCACACCATGGACTGGTTATTGCGGATAATAAAGATCCGTTATCGCTAGATTTACGCATGGAACATTGAGGAAGAAGACGCCAGCAATCAGACACCATTATCAGTAGCCGTTAGTGTAAACCACCAGGAATCTTTGATCCACTCTCCACATTTGAAGCTATTCATTCCCCTGATTTCTCCGCATTATACCCCTGGTATCTTGGAGCTCCCAACTAACAACTAGGCCTATCTAATACCAATTCATCGCTTCTATTTAGCCGTCATATTCTGGTCATTTTCCACGCCATCTCCGCGGGCATATAATGTCCCATGACAGGATCGTTGTATGCACTAGTATTCTCCGGCCCACCTTACACCGGCGATGTACGGCAAACCCGGTATAATTGCCGAACCTCCGTCTCCCAAAGCAGCTTATCGGCCTCCCAGAGGCTAAACCAGATTCAAACTCCGCCAATGTGACCTTGGTCTCCGGGTTCACCGGCTTTGTTGTTGCCACTCGTCTGTTCTAATGGCATTGCTTCCGCCTATTTTCCTCTTGTCCTCCCAGGACGGGCGCTGTTCGTCAGTCGCATGATGTTCCTCCCTCCCCGTTGGCTCCACACCTCCCAAAGCTCCCGCCGGTGATGTCACAAGCCACCTCCAGCCCTGATGGCTTGCTTGCCCGGGCTAAGCAGATTGTTGGGGAGTTTGAGCTAAGCCCCGAAGATGTTTCAAAGATAGCAAGACATTTTGTCCAGCACATGAGTATGTCCTACCTTCCCTTATCCTGCTTGATGATAAGTCCTAACGATGCTACAGAGGATGGACTTCAGCGTGATGGCGCAACTCAAATGCCGTCTTTCGTTACGACAATGCCAAGCGGTGCCGAGAAGGGTCTCTTTCTAGCTGTTGACCTAGGCGGTACCAATTGCAGGGTTTGTTCAGTCAACTTGCACGGTGATTCTACCTACACATTGGTCCAGTCCAAGCACTCCATACCGAGAGAGCTGATGGTCAATTCCAGCCACAAACCTCTGTTCAACTTTGTCGCGGAGAGAATCCGAGATTTCCTCAAGGACCAGCACGAAGTTGAACCTATCGAGCATCTGAAAATTGGTGGACAGCAAGTAAACAGGGACACCCAGTTAAAGCTTGGATTTACCTTCAGCTTCACCTACGAGAACGAGTCGCTCTCGCGGGGAACCATGATACAATGGGACAAGGGATGGGACATTCCAGATGCCCTAGGCAGGGACCCCTGCGAAATGCTACAGACTGCCATTGACAAGCTGTCCCTATCAGTACATGTCTCAGCCCTTGCTAGCGATAGCGTTGGTACTCTGATGGCAAGATCGTACACCTCAACAGGCGACTGCAACACCCTAATTGGCGCTATATTTGGAACTGGGACCAATGCGGCCTACGTTGAGAGGCTTTCAAATGTGCCGAAGCTTCAAAACCGACCCGAGTTCAAAGATCATGGCCCCGAGAGCATCATGATCATCAACACGGAATGGGGTGCATTTGACGAGGAAATGGAGGTGTTGCCTACAACATTGTACGACAATCTACTGGACGAGAACTCAGCAAACAAAAAGAGCCAGATGCTTGAGAAGCGGATATCGGGGTTGTATTTGGGCGAACTATTGCGGTTGGTCATCTGCCAGTTGATGGAGGCCAAGCTCTTGGACATGACAGTCGACGAAGAATCCCCTCTAACAAGACCATATGCGGTTGACAGTTCATTCCTCACACTCCTAGCCCAGGATTCTAGTGAGTCTCTGAATGATGCAATACGCCACATTTCGAACACTTTGACAGCCCAAAATGTCTCATGGAAAGATGCTCGCGCATTCCACTTGATTGCCGCATCCATCGCACGTCGGGCTTCACGGCTAGCTGGAGCAGCCATTGCAGCCATCATTATTCAATCCGGACGATTGAAATCCGCGAGCACTCGGTCAATATCCACACTCTCAACACCAAAAGCAGTGGAGACAACACATAGGGAGAAGAGGGATGATGTTGGTCGTCCGACTGACACCGCGGCAAATGTTTGGCACTTCATCAACCATCTCTTGCGGAAACTAATGAGACGAATGGGCCTGAGGCGCAAAAATCCATCGAAATCCATTTCAGCGTCAGAGCTCACAGATTCGAAAATTTTACAGGAGCCCACCATCGATATCGGAGTAGACGGGTCACTCTTTGAGTTTTACCCAACGTTCGAGGAGGACATCAGAGGAGCGCTCCGGGACATACCAGAAATCGGAGTTGAGGGAGAGAAGAGAATCACCATGGGACTTGCGAGAGATGGGTCTGGTGTTGGAGCGGCGTTGATAGCACAGTCGATAGAATAACAGCATTTTACTATAGATATGCATCACACATTCCCAGAATAGACATGAATGATGTGGGCGATGAGTTTCAAAGAAAAATAAATTCAATTTAGATCGAGGTTGGAAAAATCGGTGATTTAAAACATCCAACAGCAATGGATTGAAAACAAGATACAGGAAAATTCACCAACGCAGGTGAAGTGTATAGTGTATATCATGGAATGCCCGAGTAACTACTCACCCTGAGTTTGAGTACATTAGGTATGACCGCGATGTGATATGGAAGGTGGTTTCATGATTTAATAAGTGTCAGATTTCTCAAAATATCCCTCGACATACTCCGCCATATATACGGTCCTAAGAATTACATAGACTAAAACTCCTCTTCCCAAAGAATCGAATACACACTTAGTTCGTTTTCCGCCTCTCGCTTAGCAAGTGTACTTGAACTTGAACTCCATCTTGGGCACGCCCTCAAAGCCCGCAGGAACCGCGTACGAGATGTTGTAGTACAAGTGATCCCTCAGTTGCGACCCGTATGTGACGGGTTGCTTCTCTAGGCCGGGAGCATCCACAGTCACCTTTAGGCAAGGCAGGCTCTCAAATCCATCAATGACATGCTTGCCACCGAGAGTCCAGCTGGGAGGAACGTTGGACAGAGCGTAGGTGAAGATGTCGGTGCCGTCCTGAGTAGTGTTGGGGTACGAAATGGTAAGGCTGTTCTTTCCAGCGACTGCGTCGATGGTGGATGCAGATGGGTACAGCGAGAAGAAAGTATTATAAGGGAACGGCTTGTGAGTCAGCTCGCCAGCCCAGTGCACGATAGCTGGGACGAACTGATTGCCACGGTTCTTGTCTTCGGCGACCTGCTCAGCGCCGATCATCAGCGGGGAGGAGATCCAAGAGGTGGCGGTACGGGTGTCGGCATCTTTTCCGAGTGCGTCGGGGATAGTCTTAGTGATGAGGCGCTGACCCTTCCATGATCCCTTGGCCTTGAGAGCATTGGCGGTGTCCTTGGAGATGAACTTGGAGGTGGTGTCCATGATGAGTGCGACCGCGGCACCCTGGGCAATATCGTAGAGAAGATCAAGCTCACCCTTGTACAGGTGAGGACCATACTCGTAGCCATAGAGACCCCACCAGAACATGGAGATGACGGCTGAGTGAGTGGTCAAGTCTCTGGTGTAGGCGCGGTCGTAGGGGCCGGCCATGTTTCCAAGGTAGGGGTTCCAGTGATCGGCAATATCCTTCCACAGCTCCGTCATGATGAACTCGGCATTCTTGGTCATGGTGGCCTTCTTGGGGCCGTACTTGATGTTGCCGGCGAGCGCCCAGGCGTCCATGCCATAGTAGGTGGGAGCGTTGTACTCCGAGAGCACATCGTCGCCGGTGGACTTGAAGAGCTTCAGGATAAGGTCGCCCTGCTGGTTGGCGAACTTGGTGAAGGTCTCGTTGTTGCGGCGCTCGCCTATCCAGCCGACGAACCAGGCGCGCATGAGGGCCGGGTTGGCGTACGCGATGGTGAGGTTGTCGTCCTCGGGGAAAGTGCCGTTGCGGCGCATGGCGCCGACAGCTGCGGCTTCGAGAGCATCTTCGATGCGGGTGACGAGCTGCTTGCCGAGAAGGTCACCGAACTCCTCGACGACTTGGACGAGTTGAGTCCTGTGGTGGTGTTAGTGGGTAGCAAATTAGTCGTGTGAATGGTGACTTACCCAACAAACTCTCTCCAGTTCGGGTCATATGTCCCCTTAGAGCAGTCAGTATGAAGACTACATAGAGAATCCGCCATAGTGTATATGTGTAGACTCATAGGGTTTGGCAATGACTCACATAGATGGAGGGGGGGTAGAGGGGTGAATCAGGCGTCGGGTAAGGCTCGTCTGGAGACAACTTGAAAGTGCCATACCACGCCGAGTCGTAAATCTCATTCATCTGGCATTGCAGGCTGTAAAGTGTTAATTATAAACGCCGGCACATTCATAAATATGATCAATCTTACATCATATCAATAGCCTTCTTTGCATTGGCCACATCGTTACCCTTGTTGCGATGGAGCAAGCCGGCCGTGTACCATGCAGTAAATCGAACAGACCAAGGGCCGTTATCGGGATAATTGATCAACTTATACGAATCATCCCACCGCGAGTCTCCCACCTGCATGGAATAGTCAAACAGACTTTGGGCGGCTGGGAAGGTTTTGCAGTCAGTCAATCAGTTACAAGCTCCACAGGGCCACCAGCCAGTGAGTATCGAGTATCACGGAGAATGGTGACACTGGAATATGAGGGGAAAGCAACCAAGGAGGACTTACCATTGGACAGCTTCGCAGTGGTGGGGGCTGCAGCCAACGCGGCCATGACGACCTTGGACAAGCGCATGTTTGGTGTTTCTGATTCCCTTGTTCTCGGCCAAATATCTCCGTTTCTTGCCTGTAATACAGTGCTTGGATATGAGTCTTGAACCTGGAATCTGGGGAAAATGGCAACACAGAGGCACCGGAAAGTGGTGAATTATAGACGGACTGCTTCCCCTCAATGGTTCCTGGACTATTCCCTTCCGGTTCCAGCTTCGACTATAGCTTCCGATAGGTGGACGCTTGGCCATGGCCATCATCTGCCCAAATTGGCAATCTGCCGCTCTCATTCGGGTCCGGTGCCGATGCCGGCTCACGCTTGAAGACGCTTGAAGACGCTTGAACATACCACCGGCGATCCCTCCGGAGTTGACCGGTCTTTGCCGCACCTATCTGGTTCGATGGCGCTGCACATGACGTTAGCTGCATGGCCCCGCAACACAGCAACGAGGTGATGAAAAGGCTGGGCCGCACAGGGTCCAGACCCTCTATAGTTCTTCTCCTATCATTCCGCTCTGGCTGTATCTATCGCTGTATTACGAGGAAGAGAGTCCAGTGTCTTCCGGGCTGGACAAACACCTTATCGATCAACTCCCCATCCGCCACCCGGAGTTGCAATCCTCAGCCCAATCGCCATCATGGCTGCCCAAGCTCATGTCTATCCTCCCAAAGTGCCAGACTGGCAGAACCTCGAGGTCATCCACCGCAACACGTTGACCCCGCGTCCCCACTTCTTCGTCTATGACGACGAGTCTTCCGCACTCACCCGTGACTCCAGCCGAGCCAGGGTGCAATGCCTGTCTGGGTCATGGAAGTTCCACTTCTCCAAGACACCCCTGGAGGGACCGGCTGACTTCTTCCGCCATGGCTACAACGCTGCAGCTTTTGCTGATGTCCAAGTCCCCGGCATGTGGCAGCTCCAGGGCTACGGAAAGCCGCACTACTCCAATGTCGAGTATCCTTGGCCGGTCAACCCGCCCTTTGTGCCCCAGGAGGACAACCAGTGCGGCAGATACATTACCAAATTCCATGTTAGCAAGGCTTTCGCAGACAACGCCCAGTTGAGGCTACGCTTTGAAGGTGTTGACTCCGCCTTTACCCTCTGGATTAACGGCAAGGAAGTCGGCTATTCGCAGGGATCGAGAAACCCTAGCGAATGGGACGTCACTGAATATGTCAATGTTGATGCCGACAACACCCTGGCCGTCGAGGTCTACCAGTGGTGCAACGGCAGTTACATTGAGGACCAAGACCAGTGGTGGATGTCTGGCATCTTCCGCGATGTCTTCTTGCATTCTTTCCCCAAGGTGCATCCCACAGACTTCCAGGTTGAGACCACCTTCGACAAGCACTATCGGGATGCGACCCTAAAAGTCAAGGTCGAGATGAGCGCTAACTCTCCAGTGGAGATTAAGCTGCTCGATGGTGGAAAGGAAATTGCCAAGGTCTCGAAAGACTTTAAGGCCAACAAGGTCCATGTTTTCGAAATACCCGTCAAGAGCCCGAGCAAGTGGACGGCTGAGACGCCATACCTCTACGAGCTTGTCATCGACTTCGGCAGCGTCATCTCCCAACGTATTGGATTCAAGCAGACGGCTCTAGTCGACGGCATCTTCCATGTTAATGGCAACCCAATCAAGCTGCGCGGTGCCAACCGCCATGAACACCACCCTGACTCTGGACGCGCCGTCCCACTAGAGTTTCTCAAGCACGACCTTCTCCTGATGAAGAGTCACAATCTCAACAGCATCCGCATGAGCCATCAAATCAACGACTTCCGGCTCTACGATCTCGCTGACGAGCTGGGTCTCTGGATCCTCGATGAGGCTGACCTTGAATGCCACGGCTTTGAACTGGCTAATGGTAATGACTGGGCAAGCTACACTTCTGACAACCCCGATTGGGAAGCATCCTACATCGATCGCGCAGTGCAGATGGTCCAGCGCGACAAGAACCACGCTTGCGTCTTCATGTGGTCTCTTGGCAATGAGGCCTTCTACGGCCGCAATCACCAAGCCATGTACGATGCCATTCGGAAGATTGACACATCCCGTTTGATTCACTATGAGGGAGATAAGGAAGCCAAGACCTCCGATGTGTACAGCCGTATGTACCCACCAGTCGAGACTGTTATTCAAATGGCTCTGGGTGTCTGCGAAGAGAGAAAGAAACCACTGGTTCTATGCGAATTCGTTCACGCCATGGGCAATGGCCCCGGCGCCATCAAGGAATACGTCGACGCGTTTTACAAGTATCCCCGTCTGATGGGCGGCTTCATTTGGGAGTGGTGCAACCACGTAAGTTTGCCATTGTTGACCACTACTGGCGACTCTTCTAACCTGGGATTACAATAGGGCCTAAGGACAAAGACCGAGGATGACGAGGAGTTTATGGGTTACGGGGGAGACTTTGGCGATATCCCCAACGACTACAACTTCATCATGGATGGCTGTGTGTTTTCCGACCACACCCCAACGCCCGGCTTGATTGAGTACGCCAAGGCCATCGAACCTGTTCAGACATTGGCTCTTGATGGCGACAAAGTCACCATCATCAACCGCTACGACTTCATCTCGCTCGATCACCTTGTCTGCTCCTGGGAGATTGTGGGCGACGGAGTCAAGATTCCAGGTGGCGAGATTTCTATTCCCGCAGGCATCAAACCCCATACCAAAGCTAGGGTCACCATTGATAATCTGGATGCCGCCATCCCCAAGGACCTTGAAGGAGAAGCCTACCTCAAGATTAGCTTCCGCATAAAGGATGCCACTCCTTGGGCTCCGGCTAACCACCAAGTCGCTTTCGGCGAGCTGCAACTCACCAAGCCCACCTCCCTAGCCACCCTCCTCTCTAGCGAGAAGCCAGCTTCGAGGCCCAAGATTGAGCAGCCCTCGCCCTCCACCCTTTCGATCACCTCTGAGTCTGGCTCATCGGTTTGGAACTTCGACCTCGCGCGCGGCCGCTTGGACAGCTGGAAACGAGCTGGCAAAGAGCAAATGAGCCAACCCCTGGAAATTGACTTCTACCGTGCCCTGACGGACAACGACCGCGAGATCCACGCCAAGGACTGGATCGCCAAGCGTGTCCATCAACTTAGGCACGACACCCGCGAGGTGAAGTGGCATCAGACTGACGCCGGCGTGCAAGTCAAGGTCAAGGCTCGAGTTGCGCCGCCTGTGCTGGTCTGGGGCGTAGATGTCACTTGGACCTTCACCATCTCCGGCGAGACCATGGCCCTGAAAATCAAGGGTTCTCCTCACGGGCCCAATCCCCCTACATTCTTCCCTCGTCTGGGCGTCACAATTGGTCTCACCGACGTCGCGGAAGTGTCTTGGTTCGGCCGTGGTCCTGGCGAGAGCTACAGAGACAAGAAGCTCAGCCAGAGCTTCGGAAACTGGAGTTCAACCGTCGATGACCTGTTCGTCGACTACGAGTTCCCCCAGGAAGGAGGAAACCGAACCGACACGCGATGGGTGCAGTTTAACGGCTCTGGCGCCAACCCGCAGCGTATTCTCCGCGCACGGTTTGGCGATTTGGAGGGCGCGTCGTTCTCAGCCATGCACTACACGGGCAAGGATCTCGACGAGTGCACGCATCCATATGAGTTGCATAAGCGAAAGAGGGAGGATACCATTGTGCGGCTGGATTGGAAGCATCACGGCCTGGGCACTGGCTCTTGCGGACCACCCACCTTGGCCAAGTATGCGCTGAAGGTGGAGGACTTTGAGGTGGAAGTTTTGCTAGATTAAGCCGGTTGATGGCGATAAAAAGGGATATTGTGGAGATTGAAATGGAATATGATGATTTTATGATTTGAATTCTTTGGGTAGATTTGAAAATGTCCCTCCTTGTTGACCATTATCTACTAGCAGTAGTGGCTAGTAATTATGCTTGTGCAGACGTGACAACAGAAACGAAGTGTAGTAAGAAGCCAATCCCAGTAGCCATGTAATTACATCAAGGGAGGAAAATAGTTCATTGGAAATTTCAAGTTAAAATATCATATTATGAGCTATAAATCAAGAAACCCTTGCTTAGAGTCATGCAAGTAGGCGACATCTAATAAAATATTAACTAAAATCTGAACGATTCTCGGCCGTATATATCCCATCCTGAGAACTAAATCATCGCATTCTAACCACCAACCCATCAAATCTTCGAGATAGTCTCTCTGGGAGTCGCATCATCTTTGTGCATCGACTTCTCAGCGTGCATGGCCGTTTCTTCGGCCAGCTTGTCCTGATATTCATCCCCGTCCAAAACGGCGGCTGTCTCCTCCAAGCTAAGGTTTCCGGTCTCGACGAACAGGAAATAAATCACAATCATCTCGAATACCAGCCACACGTCGTATGTGATGTAGTATTTCCATCCGCTGTTGGTCACGCCCACAGGGTTTGCGTACTGGTTGAAGATGAGCGCCAGGGCAACGAACAGGTTGTATAATACGAGACCGCGAGCACGCAAGTTGAATGGTAGGATTTCGATGACATAGGTGACCTGCAGGGGTGTCCAGCCGATGCTGAAGAAGAAGTTGTAGAGGAAGATCATGGCTAGGACGCCCTTGGCAAGACCCTTGTCGCCAGTGCCATCGCGTGCTACCTGTTTGTCATACGTGGCCTGAAGTGCTGTCCAAATGACGTACACAATGAAGAGGCCGGCAGTAGAGATCATGAATAGTGTGCGACGGCCAAAACGGTTGATGATGGTGGAGAAGAAGATACTCCAGACCATGCTCCAGATAGTGAGGAGCGCGTTGATAAGCGTCTGTGTTTCTTGAGACTTGTAGCCGATGGATGTGAGGATCAGGCTCAAATAGTACGAAATCAAGCCGTTACCCGACCACTGGCTAAAGAAGCCGACAGACAAGATGATGAAGAAACGGTGGAGGTTGCCCTTGGTCTGGAAGAAAGACAGGTAGGAGGTTGTCTTGCTGGCCTCGGCCTCGAGAATCAGCGCGGTGCGGATCTCCTCCATCTCGAGGGTGACCAAAGGGTCAGAGTCATCACCATTGGCATGGTACTTGGTAATGAGCTTTCGGGCCTCGGCGTCTCGCTCCTTGGAGATGAGCCAGCGTGGAGACTCCTCGACAAGCCAGCACAGCATAATCTGGATGACGCTGGACAGGCCCTGAAGCAGAGAGGGAATACGCCACGCCCAGTCGTTGCTGATGCGGAAGGTTCCAAAGGTAATCCAGGCAGCGCTGAGGCCACCCAGACTCCAGAGACTGTTGTAGAAGCCGACAAGGGGACCCTGCTGGCGCGGGTAGGCCAGCTCGAGAAGCAGCAGAGGCGCGGCGGTGATGTTGAGGGCAAGGCCGAGACCCAAGATGCCGCGAGCGGCGATGAACATGCCGGTGTTTTGGGCAGCAGCCTGGATGACAACTCCGATGAGGAGGATAAAGGCGCTGAAGACGAGGGCGGGTCGACGGCCGAACCTGTCGCATGCGAGGGCGCAGAAGGGAAGGGCGACGAGCTGGCCAACATTCTGAATGGCATTGAGGCTAGAGAGAGGCGTGTCAGTGAGCCAATTGCTGCGATAAATAATGTGAAGAGGCCAAGTACTCACAGACCAAGATCCGAGGCGCTAGGGTCGTTGAAGAAGTTTTTCCAGGTATCTAACGACTGCAACCCGTTCATCATCGAGCTATCATATCCAGTGGCATAGCTGGAGATGAGAGGCAGGATAAGGATCAGGTTCAGCTTGACGATGCCGGGATTCCTGAGCCACGAAAAGGCGCCATCATTGGGACCGAGGGCCCCAGCGACCGTGACGGGTCGTTCAGCGCTGGGAGAAGCCATTGTGTTGCGTCAACGTCAGCAAGGCGAAGCTGAGGAGTGAGGGTGAACGGTGATCGACGAACTGCAGCAAGCGACGCTATTGCCGGGATATTAAGATCATAAGAACTGCTGACGGCTCTCCAGTTCGCCAGGCGACCCACCCAAGATGCTGGGGAAACCTGGCTTATCGGGTTGTGGAGGTGGGTTGCGATGTCGCGTGTGACGACCCGGCCATCATCGGCCGGTGAAGCCCAGTATCGGGCCACGCCACCGGCAAAAGCGCCGGGCCTCTCGTATACGCCAGAGGAGAGGCTGTCGTCAGGGGAGGATAAATACCCGACGCTAAGTTGAGCCGGAGTCGGTCGCGGCTCCATTCATTAGTGCAAGGGGCGGGTTCGCAAGCTGATGGCAATGATACTGATTGGGCGGTTGAGGTCACCTGGCTGGATATCGAATCCCACCATGATGTGGTTCTGAGTCAGTCCACAGCCATGGTACCGGTTTTTCTGATCGTGTAGCGGCAGCGGGAGCGGCAGCGGTTTGAGATAACAGCCGCCGAAATAGGGAATTTCTTGCAAGTGGAGGTTTCATGAGCAGGGAATTTTACAAGGTAAAGCTACGAAATTTGTCAGTTGGTATGCCCACAGTAGACAGCCCAAGTCTTAAAGTACGATCAAACTCATAAGTAGTAAAGCGTACTCAGCATACGCAGACCTGTATCCAATTTATAACTTCAGCATTCACCCAGACTCTTACAAGTATCACCATTTCTTAAGAGACTGTGGTAACTGAGAGGTCGAGTTCATATGGAAGGACGTTGAATTTCCCGAAAACAATTTCCAAGCCACTCTAGGGTAACTTGATTATCTTCAAACTTTGTGGCAGCCGCCAGTAATCTAGCGACTCTCATATAGTTTTTCGGGTTCTACTAGGAAACCTGACATGATGTTATAGTTTGGTCTTCAAAATGTATATACTCCGCTTCTATTCTATTTCCCGCGCGTAGGTATCATGAATCTAGTTTTTAATACAATCACAGGGATACCTTCCTTTTGTTCATCAACGAAGCTTCATGCTTTAACACTAATTACAAAACCCGTCTTTGCGATTCTTGCAGCCACGGCCATCAGGGCACCAACGAAAATCGAAGAAGCAGCAAACACTTGAGCCCCTAGATAGTTTCCGTCTTGTTTCCTTATCAACACACCACAAATGGCCGGGCCAGTCAGGTTTGCGAAACTGACAAAGGCTAGAACCATCCCAACCCGCGTACCAGTCCTACTGGGGTCAGGTGTCATTGTTGTAACGGCGGCTGGGAAGAGAGATTGCAAGGCCGCCGCAAGTAAACCGTAGATGACCGCAAATGCCACCAGCCCTGCTCGGGCGTCGACGGCAGCCCAGCAATACACAAGTAAACTGCATATGAAGCTCAACACAACCAATATGTTGAGAACTCCAGTCCATCTGTCGGCAATAATGTTTGGAGCAATTCGCCCCACAACGCCGACGCCATTGAGAATCATGAGTAAGTAAATGGGATCACTGACCCCAACCTGATTGCGGGCAAAGGTTCCCAAGTAGAAGAAAGCGAAATAAAGACCCCAGAAGTTCAAGAACATACTCAGAGAGAAGAAGATAAAGGGCAGCTCTTTGAAAGCAGAACTGTCTATCAAGGGCCCAGTTTTGCGTGGTGGCAGGCGCGGCCTCATCCAAACCAAACAAGGGATGTAAGTAGCGAGCATAATAAAGCCCATGATGCGTAAAGTCCAAGGAAAGCCCAGACCGTCGTAGAATATTAGCCGATTAAGCATGACTGGATACACCAAACCTCCCAAGGCCGCGCCGGCAGCAGCAAAGCCCACGGCCAAGGATCGGTTTCGTTTGAAGTATTGAGAGAGAACAGCCAGACCTGGGCAGAATGTGAGACCGCTCCCAATGCCCAGACAAACAGCCTGCGCCAAGAACACTTGCCAATAGGTTTGGCACAGAGATGTCATGAAGAGTCCGAGCACCTGGAGGAAGACACCGCTCGTGAATGTGACGCGGAAGTGACCGGCATCAGTCAAACGCCCAGACCCGACGCCAATGAAGAAGACGAAAAATGTCTGAACACTTCCGATCCATGAGATGGCCGACTCTGACTCGTTGAATCTTTGCAAGTAGTATTGTTGGAAAATCCCATAGCCGTTGGTGATGCCCCACGTGTTAAAGAACACAATGTGCATACAGATGACTTGGGTCCATGCTTTGTAGCCCCCGTCAGGAGGTGCGGTTTCTGATTGATCCTGGGCTGCCTGTTCTAGATCTTCTGATGAAGTATCTTCGTACTCCTTCTTGCGGGGAAGTCGCATTTTTGACAGGGTATAATGATGTTTTCGCTTGGCTGGCGGAAACGTAACTTTTGTGGCGAGGTGGACGTCGTGAAGGCTTCCAAAGATGCGGTGGGCTTGACAGACACCCGAAATAATAAATCAAATTGCGATCATTTATAGGAGATGATAGATGATAGCTTCGAAAAGAATCTTTTCTGCTTACATTTTCAGTCCGCATGTAAATTCCCTTTTCTAGTCGCCATGTCCCGTTCTTCCCGCTCCTCCCGCTATTGCCGCTATTGCCAGCATTACCGCTATAGCCGTCATAGCCGCTATTACCGCTGTATCCGTTCATCCGATCGTCATCTACCTCACTCATTCCGTCGCGCAGCTTCACCACAGCTCACCATTCCTCGCTGAGAAGAGAACCACTGCTGAGCCCCCGATCGAACCAGCTGCTGATTGGTCGAAGATACCTTGATTCGCGGTTCTCTTACACGGACCTAATGTCCAGGGTCCAGGGTCGCAAGCGGTCAAGGCTTGCATGCAAGACATGTCGAGAGCTCAAGCGCAAGTGCGACGGCGCTGAGCCGTGCGGGACATGCGTGCGCTTCGAATATGACTGTACCTATCGAGGAACCATTGGAAAGAAGAGAAAGGCGAGGGATAACTTCACGCGGGATCGGGAGCCCGAAAGTTCGCCGTCAACGTCGCCAAGGACACAGCCTTCGGCCAGGGATACCACACCGGCGGCGGTGACTACACACCGTCAAATTCGCTCCTTAGAGGCAAATTCTGGACCAGCTTTCCTCAGAAGGTTGGCGCTGAGGTTGAACCCAAAAGATGCTCCTCGACTTCATACCTTCGCATGGAACGCCTTCCTCGGAGCACGCAGAACCGGGTTTGCGCCCGTGTCCCAGCCCCTCACAGAGATGTTGTCTGAAACCGACATGCGCAATCTAGTCGCAGTTTACTTTACCAAGATTGATCCAATTTACGGCTTTATCAACCGGCAAGAGATCGATGAGCAAATTGAGTGCAGATGGGCGGGCCAGAGTTCCAATGAGATGCACGACGCAATTCTATGCGGTATAGCAGCTCTTGGGTGCCTCTACTCTCAGGTACAGCCGATGGCTGTTGAGCTTAATTTGATCGAATCCGCAAGACACATGCTAGAGCAGAAACTATCCGAGATTCCATCTACGGCCAGCGTCACAGCATGGGTACTTCGGGTCATGTACTTGAGATTTGCCGAGACCCACCATACGGCGTGGATGGCAAGCTGTATACTCATGCATATGGTCGAAGCAGCCGGTCTGCATTGTGAGCCGTCAGCTGGGTCTGTTCTCCCGTCACCACAGGAGGAGGTGGACGCGGAACTCCGAAGACGACTGGTAGCTATATCGCAGCATCTCAACATCTGGTCGTCTTTCGACATGGGGCGCTCAAGGGTTACGCTATGCAATGCTACAGCAATAATGCCATCTGAAAGACCTGGCGATTACACGGCCGAGTTGATGGGACTTCTTCCATACTCCGCCATGCTCGATCCCGAAAAGGCACCTGATGCATACGAACTAGAAACTACCCTTACTGCAGTGATCGAACGTGTTCACTCAATCCCACCGTCGGTGCTTGGGCAAGTAAACTTGGCTCTTTGCTTATGCCGTCGGCTGCAGGCAATGGACAAGTCATTCACTGGGACGGTCCTCGAACAGGTACTCACACTCGCTTCGAAAGGGATCCAGGCCGCTCAAGCAATCCTGGATGATAGGGCTCCTTGGCATCACATGGCAAATGTACCCTTTCAGATCGTCTGCCAGTTGCTTGCAATAGACAACAACGCGTCTGTATCTCGACTTAGAGATGCAATGCAATGTCTCAGCAATGTGGCTCAAGTCTACAATACGGATGCAGCCCGAGAGGCGTTGAAAACAGCTTCTTTGCTGATACTGTTGCATAAAAAGTGGAAGGAAAAGTGTGCTTCTAATCTTGGTGACATTCTAGAGCAGTTTCCAATTGTTCAGTCTCAAGATGCTGAAGATGTGCCTGAAGCCGAGCAGCCGGACAACATCATGTGGTTGAATAGCTTGGCGGAGGATTTATCCACGCTCCCATTTTTTGATATCAACGAGCTTTTCGTTCCGGAATTTTTCAGGGATGATCACAGCCAGACCCAAAAGTTAGGTTAATGAGTTTAGGGTCAACTCTTCAAAAGACAATCAGCCAACTCACTAGTTTTGGGTCAGCTCAGAAAAGAAACCTTCATGTCTCGTATTCTACTCTGATTTAATGCAAACATCGACGTGGACCGAAAACTGATTATACGTAAGGAGGCGATAAAATATGTAAAATAAAATATAATCCTTTTCAGAATCCCTGTACAACGCCTTGGTGTTGTGGTTAAATCGAAGGTGCCCCCTCTAGTTTAGGCATAGGATAGACAATGATTGCGTATGACAGCCGAGGAAGCATTGCCTAACATAGTGAGCCACTTAGCTGAGGTATTTAGTGAGCTCGGGCTTCCATTTAATCGCTAAACCTTCCCACATCAGAGAATCCGCTCTACTGCTTTAGTCCTTCAATCCCATGACTGAGGTGGCATGTCAATCCTAACTCAGGAGACTCATTACATAGACTATGTGGAAGTTAGTTTATAAGCACCTATTTGGCCGGTGAAAATGCACTTAACTTACATGAGGTCGGGGAGCGGCTAAGTTCGCGATAGCACAATGTGACTTGGCTCACTCGAGGCAAACTAGACTAGCGCACTTGGCATTATGAGGCCAGTCCTTCCGAGCTGAATAAATCTCATCGATTCATTCATTCATTCAATAAATTAGCGCTGAAACTTGCTTTTGCTGCTTCTTCGCTCGCGAACTCAATCAACTCGCATATTCATCCATTGTCTGGGTATCCCTGCATTGCTTGAGGGAAGTGGACAAACCCCATCAGTGTGCTTTGTGCCTTGCAGAATGCCTAGCCGCTTCAAGTGCCACAAGCCACAGCGTATGCCTACACAGTACAGGGGTTTATGAACAGCGTACTAAAATCTCGAGCCATGCCTCTCGCAACGTGATTCTAAATCCCTCTCATTCAAATCGACCCTCAACACAAGGTGATTCGATGGCGCCCACGGAGAAGTTCGACTACCAGCCATTCGCGAAACCACGCTTCATCAGGCTATTGACACTCTACCCATCCACCTCGGATACGAAACCGCTCAAAGGCAGCCTGCATCAAGTGTCTCTCGATGAACTCAAAGGTCCTAAGGCAAATCACAGCTACGAAGCTCTGTCATATGTCTGGGGCGCCAAACATGGAACCGTCCCCATCACCTGCGACAACCAGACACTTCTCATTACGCCCAATTGCGAGTCTGCACTGCGGCATCTTCGTCACAGGTTCACACGCCGAGTGCTCTGGATAGACGCTATCTGCATAGACCAGCAATCAATCGAGGAAAAGAATGGTCAAGTTCCGTTGATGGGCGAGATCTATACCACGGCGAAGAGTGTCATCATCTGGCTTGGGTCGGGTCAACCCAAGGACGAGGATCTGCTTCGTCATGCTCGTATTGGAGGCCGACTATATCAAGTTAGAGGTTTGGACACAGAGCAGATACTTCCTGGCCAGCGTACCAGGAAATGGGTTTCAAAATTCATATGTAAGTGGCGATGATTCCGTCTCTATCTAGCATTGGTCTATATATCATTGGAAGCTTATTCTTCGTTCACAGCGGAGGAAGAGATTGAAACCGTGCGGCGCATCTGTTCCAACGTTTGGTTTACGCGCATCTGGACTGTTCAGGAGCTTCTACTGGCTTCCTCGGCTGTCTTCCAGATCGGCCATACTGAGTGCCCGACGGCGATGCTTTACAATTACCTTATCATTACCGAGACTTTCGCCCATTCCGAATCTCCAGAACTGCAACGCTTTCAAATGAGAAATCGTGCGCTAGAGACACTTCACCCGCAGATCTCGGAGGGAAAAAGCGCCTTCTCAACCCATATACAGCGCCGCGGAAGATCCCCAGAGACCGACAGTACCGAACTGTTGGCTATGTGCTGGCAGCTCGCCGGCCTGAGCGACGCAACTGACCCTCGGGACAAGGTTTATGGCATGTGCGGCCTCCTCCAGAGCATTCTTCCAAAGGGGGCTACTCTACCTGAAGTCGACTACAACAAGCCGATCGCACAAATCTTTGAAGACGCGACTCGTGCCTTGATCTGGTCGACTAAGTCGCTGTTGCCCCTCGAAATGATTGTCCGTCAGAATGGCGAACCGAACGATCTGCCATCATGGGTCCCTGACCTACGTGATCCTACCGCTATTAGGACCGACTGGCAACCTAGCGTATGGCGTCACGTTTCCAACGACACTAAAATAAACATTCCGGATTACTCGAAGCTCCAGCAGAAACTAAGGGAACGACAAAAAGCATCGGGCTCTTCGAAACCTGTCCCGAGCGCAGAGATGATCATACCGGAGAAGCAGGAGCCGCGACAACTACCAGTAAAGGCCAAATATCTCGCTGAGGTTGTTGAAGTATACACAAGAATGCTGAACGCTGGCAAAGGAGCACCGGATGGCTACCTGCTGCGCACAGCCTGTCTGTCTGAGTGGACTGCCGTTGCTTTCGGACTTGAGGAGAGTCAGTCCGCTGAGCAGATGCCGCCCGGCGGCTACCTCAATGCCCTAGAGAACTTGACGCCAGCGCTCAAATACATACGCGAAATAAACGACGGCCCGGCGAGTTCTTCCTCCAACAGTCCGATGAAGGAGCCGCGACGTAATCAGCCTGTAGACGTATACGATGGCGCTGTTCTTTTTCGCACATCGTGCGGTCTACTCGGCCTGTGTAAGGGCCATGTTCGCGTTGGCGACAGAGTATGGCAGCTTGCTGGCGGACGCTACCCGTTCGTGCTTCACCGAGAACCTTCGCCGGGGCAGTCGATCTGGGCAAGGTGGTCGGTGTGGCCGCAGGACAAGGTGTACCGACTAGTCGGCACTGCTGATGTACCTGGGCTGGAATCAGAGCACAGACAGATGGTTTGGGGCAAGTATCACGAAAAACATTTTCATGACATCGTCCTTGTATGATAGGTTGTGGGAATAATGCACGGGTTGCGCACGATTCGGGTGGGAGGTCAAGGAGCGGGAATAAGAAACCCTAAGAGCTTCAGGGATCCAACTAAGAAGTTGCTTGAGTTTTGTCTAATAATATCGCATTGAATTACTCCAACTACCTTAAAAATAACCGTACAGTAGGAGATGACTCGGCTCTTTTCTTTTTTCCCGCTGTTGTCCGTCTTTCCCAAGAAAACATCAAAATTCCCTCCCTCAACACGCAGCGGGCAACATCAACCATTGATCCCACTGTAGGTCCGAGTTCTGTTCTACCCATGATCATGTCTTGTGACACACGGCCGCTCCTAGCATCTAGGTAGCAAGTCCCGGTATTTCGAGCTCTAACTAATTTGATTCCAGCTCTGAAATCTGAAGCGACTCCAGCTGAAGGGTAGCCTCAACATATCCCGGCGATGGGAGATCGACCGGTCCAAGTCCTCGGACTGTGGAATTCGCCCGACTTCGTTTCCCGAGTGGTGTCGAGTCGACTGATGACGGCCTTGTCGATGGAGAGTTGGAGTTCGCCCGACTTCGCTTTCCCGTCGGAATGAGAATTCGTCGGTTGCCCGACGCTACCGGCTTGGATTCAATCTGTCTTGGGCTGGATGACCTGTTAGCATTGGAGCAGAGATGAAGAGAAAAATGACTGACCTGTCGGTAACTGATGAGTCCAAGCCATCAACCATCACTATCCCTTCCGCATCAAGTATAGGATCGACCAATTCATCTCGAATAGTAAAGAGAGTCTTGAAAAGACCCACGGCAACCTCGTCAACTCTTCCAATCACGTCAGAGCTGGGTTCGGTCATTATCCACTCCACCAAACGACGCGGCAACTTTTGCGCGAAGCAGAACTCCTGGGCTACTTCGCCATGGGGTATGTAGATTTTCAAGTGATCACTGCACTCTTCAATGTGCAGCTGACTTGGGATCTTGTCGACCGTGGACACACCATTGTTATTTGTGCTCAAGGCGAGTTGCAGAAACATGTCATCAGTCTGGTAGAAGGTGGTTTTCTCGATGATGCTGATGATCGACCGTCGTTCCGCGGCGGTTTTGACTCGAGGACTCCGAAAATGACTCGCAATACTGTCACGATATGTTAGTGGGCTTCCAAACAAGTGGATTTGGCTTTAACTGACCGGACAAGACCCCGACTCCTCGCCGCTGTAAATCCTCCCGGAACCAACTCAGGCGTAGAACCTTCGAGATAGCTAGCCTCTGCAACATTCCAGGACAGGTATCGGCTTTCGAGATTGGCCCATACCATCAGAGGCTCAAGACGCCAGATCTCGTGAGCAGTGAAATCAAGCATCTCCACCATGCCTGAGAATTGTTCCTCAAGGAAATCTCTGTCGATGATCGAAAACTCCGTTTCCGCTGACGAGAGCTTAACCACGCCGTTTGTCTTCCTCACCGGGAACACTGAACTGGAACAGAAGGGCTTCGGATCCAGCGAATCTCCATGATCCGGCAGTGACGCATTTAATGACCAAATCATTTCTTTCACGGCCATTGTCGACACACCTTCTGGGTCCAGGTTTATCAAGTGGCTATAAACCATGCGGAACCCACTGGAGACCTTTAGAGAGTCGGTGAAAAATGACTCGAGTCTGCCGTAGTCGTCGCTCAAATCGACCTTGCCCGGGATATTCAACCCAGGGGCCCAGACACAGGCCGATAGCTTGTGCCACCCCGTTGAACCATTAGAAAATGCACGGATGTAAGCCTTTTCCTCGAAGGAAGATCTGGAAAAATTAGTATTTGGCTCCGAAAGGAAGGAGTAAAACCTACCTCAGCTCCATCACTTCTCTCTCGGAGAGACGGGGGACCATCTCATCGATAGCACCGTACAGCTTATCCAGTCCCAAATTGGGGTGAATGGAGGTATCGGCACGGGCTGCGTCGAGACGATCCAATATGTCCTTCAATGAAATCGCATTGGGAATTTTCAATGTTTGCTGATAAAATTGTCGTAATTCCGCACGCTCCGCGTCGTTCGCGTTCCAGCTATCCTCGGGCGGAAAGACAAAGGTCCAGCCACGCGGTCGGCCGTTGGATTCTAGGAAACATGAACCGAGGCTATGCCACCATCCATGTCGTAAAATGAGATCGGTCTTACCAAAGACCTCTCTGAAACTTGGTCAGCATTTCTAGATCTGGGGGATTCCATGCCAGAGGAGAAAGCATTAACTGACCTAACTTTTTGCTGAGCCTGCAGCGTATCATTAGACGCCTCGCAGGCGGCATGGATGCGGAGGTACAGCTGCAAGATTCGGCGCGGAAGCCTGACTTGTTCACGGCGGTTCTTTTGCCGAATAAAGCGGAGAATGTCGAGGTAAAAGTTCAGGTCATTCCGAGTCCCAACGGCAAAGTGCGACGCGAGGAAAGCCCATTCGCCAAGATCTTCGTCGTCTGTTGGGGGCGTTTTCAACTTGAGGAAAGGAAAGGGTTCGTTCTCGAGCATGTATCCCTCGCAAAGAGATAGAAGCTTCGGGACGGGAAGGTAGGTTCGTGAGAGGGCCAATCGGTCTCCACCCAGGCAGAGGACTTTGGTGTCTTTCAGGGTTGTTATCCCAGATGGATCCTCCGTTGCTGCAGCCGCATTGCTCTCCCACCAGGTTCGCAGATAGTTGAGGAAGTCGCTGGGGTTTTCGTCGGCATACTTGAGACAGTTGGATGTCAGTGACGTGCCGTTGGCGACGGGAACCACATCCTCAGCCTGCATTTTGGCAAGATATGTTGCCTTCCAAGGGTCGCTTTCAAGGAACATTGAATGTGAAAGAGTGAGGGTTGACGATTTGCAAAATTGCGGTCACGATCGTGGTTTTTTGACCGTATTTTGTGGTCGTGGTGCTGGCTGTTGATTATTGGTCGTTCACAGTTGGGCCGCCATCACCCCACCGCCCAGCCCAGCCAGTTCAGGCACTCAACTCGCTTCCCCAGCTGTGGGGTTGACGAACAAGTGGCGATCTACTATTGCATGTTTCAAGAGTTGCCCTCACCGACCCTGGTCATATCCACTGTCTTTCACTGGTTCTCAGTACTCGGGCACTGCTTAGGCATGACTGGGGACATGAAGAGAAGAGTCACAAAAGTTAGGTTGATCTGGAGTGAGGTGGCCTGGAGTGAGGTGGCCTGGAGGTACTCCCCATGAACTTGATCAAGTCCTTCCTGGAGGTTCAATGACTAGACGACGTTAACTCCTTCAGCCAATCGCGATTGGTTTGCTAAGAAGATCCTAGTTGCCATTCTTGTGGGTCCTTTCGGGCACCCTCTGGCCTATGTCCGGTAGAAAGAGAAAGGCACTGGTTGAAAAAAGAAAGGGCAAAGTTAGTGCTCATTTCGATTCTCCAGTATTATGGCCAGATCACGCAACAATCTTGTTGACTTGTCCGGTGGGCCGTGGGGACAGGTTTTGGCGGTGAGTGATGCCAGCGACGAGCAGGGTGTCAGAAGAACAACGAGCTCATGGAGAGCGACACTTGCAAGCATAATTTACGGAGATGAGTTTTGGAGACCCGCATAAAACCGGGTTCTGGAGTTATACATCGAACCCTACGGAAGAATGAGGAGTGACGAAGAGTGACACAACCCGGGCCTCTGTAGCCAATCAAAAAATGGTTCCAAGGGGAAACGTACCTGTGGCACAAATCAGAGATTTTAGATAGCTTCGGGGATGCAGATATTAGTTTAAGAGGACATGCCGGTTGAGTCTTGCCAATGTGGCTCGATTACAAGGACATCCCATCGTGGACGAACCAACTGGGAAACGGGGGCACGAACTGGGTCAAAGACATGACTGAGGGATGGGAAAGAGCATCCAAACAATACAAACGGGTTGATTTAATGCGATCGGTTGCACCCTAGTGGTAGATTTCTTTCCCTAGTGGGATTAAAAAGAAGCTTGTACGGTTAACAACAGGGATTTAGTGTGGCTTGAAGAAGCTGACACTTTCCACAAGTGTGAGACCCAACTTGGCGTGGAGCTGCTCCTAATTAATTTTATTTGACCCCCCAAAGGCGCTTCTCAGCTTCCTTTAACAATCGTCCCGTGATCCTTGATGCTTGCTTGGCTTCGAGGCGCAGGCCCAGACGCAATGCCACCACGGGACGTCCATGACGCCAATTTTTTGTAAAATACTCAAACTTTTGGCAGAGCTATATTGAAATATCCTGAACTCTCTCTCAGTTTACATGGTCTTCGCGACTGTGGGATCTATATTTATGTTGTGGGCATGCCACAGACCAATCTCGTGGTCTATCCACGCCCCTTGACCCAGTCGTCGATCGTAAGCAGAAATAACCCAGGACTACTTAGCCTACTTCTGTAGATCTCCGGTCGGCATCTCAAGCTGATGCTAAATGATGTTTACATTTGGGCCATCCTTTCGCTGCTTCCAGACTCGGACCTGCACCAACAAACCGCCGGATCTGAGAGCAGGCCGTCATCGCCGCTTATGTCGACGACCAAACAGGGGTTCGACGACGTATTTTTCTACTACCAATGAAGACAAGGACCACTGTCAAAACGACCATGCGATCCACGCTTACAAGGCAACTTTGATCGACATACGATGCGATAGATTAAGGGGATGGTCGACTCAGGACAAATCTTCAAAATCATCCGCTGTTTATCTTCTTCTCTATTATTCCCTAGTTCTTTCTACTTTTATCTACAAAGTATAACCACCATATTCACAATGAAGTCATCCCAGACGCTCGCGATTCTATGCAGTCTAATAGCAGGTGACTTACTGCCTAGTGTCAAGTGAGCTCAGTTGTCTCACCAACATGTCGAATCACCTCCCAATGAGGGAACCCAATGTTGAATTTAGTGCATTTTCGTCGTGCACTTTACAGCTGCCATGGCCCACGTTCGGGTTTCAAGGTCATCTCTTTTCACCCGCTGAAATCCCATCTGACCTTTTTATCCCATTCTAACCTTCATAAAGTTAGTCACAGATCCCGCAACCCATAACCTCCAGAGCACCTAGACATTATGAGGAGGGAAGTTTCTCTTGTGGCAAGAGATTCAAGTCCTCTCATATATTATTGGTTAGAATAAGGTCATTGTCTTGAGATTGTTATCAATAGATGGAAAGGGTATTGACTGCGGATAGTAAGGTCGTCGACTGTAAATAGCTGGGTTGATATTAGAAGGGTTGAATTGAAGCTCAAGGCAATGATCAGTGTTCAGTGTGCAATAATCGTATTATTCAGCGACTGTCTCTTCTGGTGCTGGGCATAGCAGTAAATGGTTGCCTCCATTGTGCGCAAAATACTATATAGGTTTGAGAAAAGCAAAAGAATAATAAAACCTTTTAAATTACCTTCTTAAATAACCAGGCAAATACAGGTTCTTGGAGAGACAACGTACCGAGCCACCAAAGCCTCTCCACCATCTCTCACCTACTGCCCAAGGCAGGTAGGTATCTACCTGCGCTTTTGGGACGGTAATGGTGCTGCTTCTTCGCGCCAGACCAGCGTCACGCGTTGGCGGATGTGATACCCTGAGGGCCACTTGGACGTCGAAACTTTACCCACCACCTTTTTGGCTATTGAACCAACTATCCAGGTGTATCTTTCTTCTATATATCTCATGTCAAGACCCTCTTCGACTTCTCCACCTCTTCCTTACCACTCATCTCAACCACACACACCAACCATGAGCCCCTCTCGCTTCATCAAGCAGGCCCGCGCCACCACCAAGTCCCTTCTAGGTAGTCGCTACCAAGAAGAAGTTGAGGAGGATCCGAAATGGCCCCTGCCTCTGGATGACATATCCGAGTACACCCAAGCACGCTTGAAAGACGGCCTTGCCTTTGTCGACCACACTCAACGAAATAAGAAGCGGAAGATCTCGCCTCTTTCCAGTCATTGCCTGACGCTCTATCAATCCGCAATTAAGGCGTCCCTGCTAGGGGAGGACGTGAGTCCTGACGAGTATGACCATCTGTTGGCTACCATCTTCACGTACGAGAAAGACATCTACACCAACAAATTTCTTCGTGATCCTCTTGGGAGCGATATCTGCCCCACAATGGTTGAGCGCCTAGCTGAACTCCGACGATACGAATTCGCAACTCGATATGGCGACCACATGCAAGCCGTTTGCGACGAGCTCAAAAGCAAGGTTCAAGTTGAGAAGCCCCAACACTTCGAAGATATTCGAGGTTGGAATCGATTCTGGACTAATATCAACGCCGATCTTAAACAAGAGCACGAAGACTGGGTAAAATGGGGTTTCAGAAGCCCATATGTCAGCAACAAGCAAGTCAAAACAACGCTCTGTGTTTTCAATGCCTGCAATCACATGGGTCTCAGCTTTGATCACGTTCTTCAGGCAATTCAACTCTATGCTGGTCAAAATAACCTGTTTCACAAATCCATTCTGCGTTACATCGAGAATGGTGAATGGTGCCGTCTAGCTGAGATGCTCTTTCGAGATCTTCGAGATCTCCCTGTTGTTACGCCAAGCCATCTGAGGAAAAATATTCCCGTCATGGAGACTATCATCAATGCCATCGTTGATGAATATTTTATTCGAGGGGACAAAGAACGCCCATTTGACCCCCGTGACTGGAGGACAAGAGAAAGCGCCTACGAAATAGCGGCGAACACAAGAGTGGAGGGAATGAGGCGCGAAGGCCCCGTCCTGGAGGAGCGCAAACGGATTGAAAAACAAGCGGCGAAGAAGTGCAAGCAACTTATTCAAAAGCACTCCATGGTGCACCTGTCGGCTCCGGTCAGCAAGCTCGACGCCCCATCTGGAGACTTGCCACCATCCTTAAACCGCCCAATCTCTGAGGTTGAAATTGTTACGTCGATGGAAACAATCAAGCGTTAAAAGAAGGCTTGGGGCCAGCTGGTTGCCTTGCAAGAGGGGCCCACCAGAAGACGTCTCAATTATTGCGAGGAGTACGGGAGCATTGAGGAACCGATCGATCCTGAGTTTTGGCTAGAGTTGGCTGAGATTGATCATGCAGGTCTCCTAACATCTTCAGAACCAGCAGTGGAAGAATGTGACGAAGAGGAACCTTCAACAGAGGAATAATGAGGTATGGGAAGGAGAATGGAGATGCATTATTCTTTGGCCAATCTGAAGGGCCGCTGGTCGTACTCAATGAATAGATAAGCGAGTAATGGCTGAGAGTCAGGTTTCTTCTTCCCCAATTCAAATCTCATGCCGATACCAATTTTGCCCACTAGTTTGGGAATAGTCTCCATTGCCGTGAAGCTCGGGAATTGAACCGCTCATCTGGGTCGGGCCTCCTACAACTGACGACCCAACAAACGAGGCCGCTGTAGGCGAAACCGACGGCTGCTGCATCACACTTGGGGGTTGATACCTGTAATGAGGTTCGAGGTAGCTCTGCATATCTGGCGATATTTGAGGTTGCAGAGATGATGTTGGCCGAACGCTCTCGGGTCCGGGTGTCGGTTTCTGTTTGAGTCGTTTGAAGCACCACACTGCAAGGAGGGCAGCCAAAGCACCGCCTATCGCACCCGCCGTGGAGCCGATGATGACATTCCGGTTTGAATTCGAAGACCCAGAATCAGGCGACGAGGTTTGCGTCGCTTCCGGGACCTCACTAGTATTGGTAGCGTCTCCTTCTCCGTCGGGACGACCCGCATCAGCATCTGAATCATCTCCGTCGCCATTCTGGCTACCAGTACCATTGTCATTGATACTTTTATCACCCGTCTCGTCAGATTCACTTGTGGCATCATCATCACCCACGGAGTCATTGTTATCTGTTATCTCTGGTGGGCTCTCATGCGTTGTTGACTCGTTGTTGGCTTCGGTCGTTGTCGTGGTGGCTTCCGCGGTGGTGGCTCCGGATTTGTCGTAGCTGATTGACAAAGTAATTGTCACGTCGGGTGTCGGGTCGCAATACATGGCATATTCTTTCATTATGATGTTGGTCATCGTGACGCAGTATGGGGCCGCGGAACTCGAACTTGGAGTAGTCAGTGGAAAGCATCGAGATATTTCAGGTGCCGATCCATACCAAACGACACATCCTCCCGTGTTGTGATCACAATCCCCGTTCTCACCAAGATCGGCGTACTCGATGCACTTCGTCCGAGGGGCACAACTAGACCTTCGAAACGTCAATATCTGGGTTTAGAGTTAGAGGCCTGACCTACACAGAGCAACATCCAACGAAGCCATCATCTCCCCGATAGCAAGTGCCCCGGTCGCATGTAAAGCCTCCATCACAATCGAGATCCCGCTTCAGGAGTCGCGTTGTGATTCGATCAGGAGCGGCTGGAATGGCAGGTTCGCGTTGAGACATTGCCAGCGGTGCTAGATAAAGCACAACTGCAATAAATGTGAGCATCATGATCTGTAATGTATATATGTATTGGAACAGTGTGGTTGGTGAATGAGGTGAGAGAGCTGGAGAAGGCCAACAAACAGACCGGCCGGCCGGGGTCATAGCACACTGATAGGGACGCAGTTAATGGCCATCGGGCTGAGAAAATGATTCCTATAAATTACCTTGTGAACATGCATGCAGGTCTTGGTGGCTGACTCGAACGCGAGTCTATTTGCCAGTCTGGTGCAAGTCTACCGCCATGTCTCTCATCCTGATTTATAGCCCAATTCAATCCTCTCCCGAGCCTGCATGTCAGCACTACGAGTCTTGGCGATATTTCCACACGCGTATTCCCATGCAGCGACAAGAGGAAGATTTGGTCTCGAGGGCCATCCTACAGGAAATGGCGTTTCTTGGGAGTAACGGAGAAGGGGCTGTCCATGCAGCCAACGCTGGGAAGTTGCAACATGATTGGCAAATGTCAAGGTCTTAGGAATCCTTCATTCAGCCGGCCCCCAACTACCCATCAGGTGATGCGGCAGTGTTGCTATGGGAGCCTCAAAGTGCAAGTGCTACATTACGCCACCACCTTGGCAGCGGTACATTGCGTCACCGCCATTACAGTCTGTATCACAGTGCGATGACAGTAAATCATGCTGCAGAAGTTGTGAAGTATCCATGCAGCCTTTTGTGGCTGAAGCAATGATACAACGCGCCTGCACTCTGGTGGTGGATTGTGATATCAGCCCGTCTGCAGGGTGATGTTTGTGGTATAATCCCGTTGAGACATCAAAGCGGATCGCTAGAATGTACTTCAATGTAGATTATCGCTCTCCGATTTATGCAACCTTGGGTCCAGTGGCTTTGACTCAATACTTGTTTTTAGAGTATACATGCAGTATTTCGAGACAGACGGAACTGAAATCCATACATCTCACTTTCCAGCCGGAACATTATTATTTCATTAGCACTAAAAACATTATCTCACTACTTATTAACTACATAAATAGGACCGCTTCATATGAAAATTAACACATAAATCTGAAGGCCTTTTTCCAAATCGGCCATCTCATCCGCTCCTCTTGCTCTTGTTCAGAAGCAATGTGGATGCGGAAGTATCGTCGACCCGTCTTAATATCCATCTCACTAACTTTGATACCTCGAGTTCGAAACCAGATCTTATGAATGATGTAAAACACAAGAATAATTGGAACTGCCATAATGCGGAGGAAGAAGGTTTGGACTTTTCCAGAAGTACTAGGTTCTGAGCTTGTGCTGATGGGCGAAACTGCGATCCAAAACTGGGACACCAATACCAGTGTGTAGCCAATGAGCCCGAACCAGGAGCCGAAAACGCCGACAGTGGACCGGAAAGGCAATTGTTCCAGAGGATGTGAGTTATATGCCCAAGCCTTGCGGAATCGAATGTGACAGAGGCAAATACTACTCCAGGTGAATAGAGTGCTCAGGGCGCTGATGGAAAGAAGCCAGTTAAATATAACACCGTGGACTTCCAGGTCAGCCAAGAACGCGAGTAGACCGATAAAAGAGGCAAGTAGAATGGCCATAATGGGACGTCCATGCTTGTCGACGTAAGAGAAGATGTGGGGAGCATGGGATTGTTCTGCCAGAGCAAGTAGTGTCCTAGAAGAGCCAAAGACTGCCGAGTTGCCGACCTATGAGTAGAGTCAATAAAAGCCCATCATACTCTGCACGAGGGAATTCGTCCACATACACTTATAACCGCAACAAGGATAACACCATTCATAACACTGGGGAGTATTGTAGTACCGGCAGTTTCTATCGCAATAACGAATGGGCTGGCCGATGCATCCACGCTGCTCTTGCCATTCAAGAGCCGAGGTTCGTTAGAGGGAACCAAGAATCCAACGAGCAGGAGAGAGACGATATAGAAGATCATGATACGCCAGAATACCTGCTTAATAGCTGTGGGCAGGGACTTGCGAGGGTTGGCTGTCTCAGCGGCAGCCAACCCTATCAATTCTGTGCCTGTGAACGCTGCAGAAGAGGACACGAGGACACTACAAAAGCCCTTGAAGCCATTATTGAAGGCGCCAGGACTATGCCAGTATTGAGTTCCAATGTACCCGCTTTCTGGCTCTCCGCCGATGTTAATAACAGCAGCGAGTAAACTAGTGTACGTTAGCTTTGCGCACATGTGAAAACGTTGGGCCTGGAAACATACATAAACCCAATAATGGCGGTAACTTTGATGATTGAGAATATAAACTCAGCTTCACCGTACGCTTTTACTCCAAATAGATTAATAATAATAATAGCGAGGAGGAATATGGCGACAAAGAGGGCTTTGCTGATATTTTCGTTCCAGTAACTAATAGTATAGGCAGCCGCGATGATTTCCAGGGGCAGGACAAAAAGCCATTGCAGGCAGTAGCTATAGATATATCAGATTAGCCTCTGTAGTACTTGAAATAAAATCCTCACACATATATCTGCCAAAAAGCAAGACAGAATAATCACACTATTTTACTTACTTCCACCCCATTGCAAATCCCCATGAAGGATCGAGGAAGCGAGTCGAGAACGCAGAGAACGAACCGGCAATGGGAAACAGGACACAAAGCTCGCCGAGGGACTGCATCGTACAATATTGCATTGCGCCAATTCCAATGAATGCGAGAAGAACTGAAGCCGGCCCACCGGTATGGAGGGAGGCTCCAGAGGCAACGAAGAGCCCGGTTCCTACGACAGTCAGCAATGGAAACGTGAAAAGCCACACCCCAAATTTCTACGCAGTGTCTCTTGATATCGCTTTTGATGAAGACTTACCAATGGCACCCCCAAACGCAATCATCTGCAAGTGCCGACCTTTGAGCTCTCTCGCAAGAGCTGTGTTGGCCGTCTTCGCGCTTGCCGCGACCAGGTCGTAGCGGTTGTCCCCAGCTGCGGGTATCGCTGGCTGAGAGGTCTGCTGGTAGCCGCCACTTCGACTCCTTCGAGGATGGACCTCGGCACGCCGGAAGCCGTCTATCCAGGTGGTGGCCATGTTTGGCGGGTCGACCTGCTTGGCCGAGACTTTCCAAGTAGCTCCCTTATCGTCGGTGCCGCCCGCCCCCATTTCGTTCATCTCGATGACTTCTACATCGCGAGTGAGGATAATGTCGCCTTTCATGTTGCCGTTCCAGAACGTTGCATGTCCCGGGGTGTGAAAGGAAGAAAAGGGCAAAGATCTGTCGTGGGAGAAGGGGGGGATAAACGAACATGTGGAATGGAAAGAGTACGCTCATATCTTCCAGAGATGGCGTGAGTGATTGAGAGGCTTTCCCTGATATGTAGAGTGGCTTGCAGGTGACGGAATATTTCCTCCTTTCAGCAATGATAACGATGCATTGCGACAGACATGTCAAACTAGCGAGACAGGGAACAGGGGTCGCAATCAACACATCCTAGTCAGGGGGCCTAAGCGTCGGCTCCTTCCTATTTTGATATCCAGACGCCGCCCTAAAACTCGAGCATTCAGGCTATAAATACTCGGTTTCTGTTGGAAGTGATACGCGGAGCTGTAAGGGCGGCCATGGAATCACGACTGATAGACCCAGGCCCTTATACCAGGCTCTTGCATTTCCGGGGCGAGACAGGAGATCATCCCGCTTCCACGTGAAGTCCCCTTGATAACCCCGTCCGCTAGTTCAGCCACTTTCCACTGCCCAGGAATTGATATCGCAATGATCCAACCAACTCCTCTTGGCACCAACTGCTCTTGGCACACCTCCCGAAGTGTTTCCAATCCCCTGTCGGGTTTTGCATGCCGAGTAATTGCCCTTGCTGCCTTCAGACGGTGACGCGTCGGGCATGATAGTGATATGAGCCTCGGTAGGCTCGGTTGTTCTTGGCTTGCCGACTTATCTGCAGGATCCGATTCCGATTGACTAGACCATTCGCTGAAGGCCTCAGGTGCACAAGCCTTGGCAACCCGTCCTCACCACGAATTTCTTGATCATCTCGAACGTACACGGCAGTTGCAAGGGTTAGTTAGGGTACTTCGGTATCAACCAATGTTACCAAGCATGAAGTACTCGCCCAGGCCCCCTCTATATTTAAATTGCCGATTTGACCACATAAAGATTATAATTATTATTTATGAATCTATTAGGCCTTAATTGCCTTTAAGATGTACTTCTTTGCGGAGATGTTGGGAGATGCGCTTGCTACAGACCAACCCAAACGTGTCATGCCCAGCGGCACATGATTGGGTTTGGTAAAACCGACTCAAACGGGGTCTGCAACAGGAGAAGCAAGCCAGGGACTAGGAAAACATATTGCCTTTCAATGCATCCGCTAGAGATAATGGGAAGACGGCGAGAGGCGCCACTATGACAGCCTTATCATGGCCCAAATTGTAAAGCGAACCCGAATTCATAAAGGAAATGAGCGTAACCCTTCTAAGACGCAGGCCGCGCCACCATTTTGAGTACCTAGGTAGTGATTAAAGCAGCCATTGTTTCAACCGTATGCAAAGCCCGTGCACCATCCGTATCACAAAATCCATATTTAAAAGTTCTCCAACCTGTAAATGTGGCACGGGACCTCCTCGTAAGGGTGGGCGCTATATCGCTGGTCAATACAATTCAAGGGTGGCAGAAAGGAGAACATTTCCAGCACATGTCTGGATGTAAATCTGCCGACTTACACCTTCAGGTCGGCCACAGCCTTTCTAGCAACGTCCTCGCCCACGCACAGAACTTCGACCCGAACCTCTGGCACCTCCTCGAGCTTGCCAACTGCTCCAATGTTGGGGACCGCAGTGGCTCCAGGTCGGAACTGGCCAGTACCGGTGGTGGACCAGCACGCTTCGGTGTATTGGCCGGGACCGGGATAGCTACCTGCGCCGGCTTTGAAGACGGCCGCTTTGCAGGCCGCGAGGCCGGAGTGGGGCACGTAAAAGACGAGCATGAAGCTCTTCAGGGATTGGGTAGCGGATGCCATTGGACCGGTTGAATGGTGGCTAGAAGGTAGAAAGGGTTGAAATCTTCCAGTGTAGTCGGGCTAGGAGAGAATTGACAGATTCAATTGTTCTTCGCGAAGTAATCTTTTCATATACCCCGCCCACGCCTGTCATGTGATTGATTCTCCCCTCCAGTTTTGGTGGGCGAGTGACCTAAACTCTGCTATCGCGGATGGGGCTACGCCAGTCGCCCGGTCGTCTGTTACTAACTTGCAAATTAGTCACTTGATGGAGCTGAGCAGACACGCGTATACGGAGTAGAGATAAGCTAGATAGGCGAATACATTGCAGGCCGTTGCTACAGAGTGAGTCACGGATAAATTCATCGCTCTGGGGAAAGTAGAAACCTTCTAGTCCTCCGACGTCGGACTTATGAAGCAACAGCACATTCCTGGGTGGTACGCTCCCCTACGCACGCCGCCTCAACGCAAGCAGCAAGGCCACCAAAATGAAACCCCCTCTTGACCATCCCAGGCCCGTAATGTGCGTACTTGGCGGAATTGGTCATGATTGTCTGGGCGTGCGGTGGGATGACCGGGTCCTGTATCATACACCAACAAGTATCGGTGATGAATTGAGCCCCAAAGCTTTCCAACGCGTCCAAGTACCCAAGAGCGAGAGCCTCTTTATAAATCTGCTGGCTGGTCGTAATAATGAATTCCACGCTCTCCAGTTTTCGACGGTTCCCACAAAGAAATGTGAGCCGCGCAAATTCTTCCAGGGCAAAGTGTGGATTCCCCAACGAAACCACGTCGACTGTCCCGTTTTTAGCCGAGTTTAGTTGATTCCATGTGTCTTGCAGGCCGTGGATGTCCACTTGAACGCGGTTTGCCTGACATTCCGGGAATTCCGTGGTGGAGGCTTCGGGCGTGACGCCCCGGATGTGGAACATGGGCGCGGATGAGCTTGTCGCGAACCCGGCGCCGAATGCCTTCAGATCCGCAATTGTCGGGTTGCTCGACTCCAAGCCATAAATGAGAGGGATTTCGGAGCCAATTAATCCTCCGATATGGTACCCAAGTAGGGGAAAGACAGACTCATCCCAACCGTCGAGCGGGGGCACATCGATGCAGACTTGGGGAATTCTGCCCTCAGCTCGGTGACATCCTGCGTATGGCGCTCTTCCCGTCAATGCGATGAAAACGTCGACGTAATCGGGATACTTTTGCGTTCTCGCGCCCAGGACACTGTTGGCAAATACAACTGCATTGGACTCGGACCATCCAATCTGGGCTCCTGCGTTAGGCTTGCTCTCGAGGAGGTATGGTGCGCATGTAAAGCTCTCCTTCGCCCCCATGGCGAGATATAAGTCTCCAATCTGAGACGAAGCAGCAGACACCTCGGGATCTGCCCCCAACTCGCGCCACCGCAGCCGATCAACGCTTAATGAGTTACACGTCACTGGTACTGCAAATCTCCCGTTGAGCTCATGCAATCGCTTCGGGATAAGGAGGCTGCTTTTCCCGACGTAGATGCAGGCATCGATGTGGGCTTGGGAGACGTCGACCAAAGCGTCTGCGCCCTGGAGGGCTGCATAGGACACAATCATTTCCAGAGCCATTTTCGTCGCAGGACCGCGGGTGCCCTGAAGGATTTCCTGGTCACTCAGTGAAAGCGCCACTTTGTCCGTCCTTGGTGACGATAGAGGCAATTGGAATTCATCTGGGCCCGTGACAATTAAGCGCTCGTCCGTGATTGTGGCGAATTCTGCAGACGTCAAACGACCAAACAACAAGGCATCCTCCACTTGAATAACAGGGATGGATTTAGAAAACATAGCCTTTGCAATCAAAACGCCTAGAGTGAGAATCTCTTCCGTCTTCTGGAAGATTAGTGCTGCCGGAGCCGCTCCGGCCAGTAAGAGCTCCAAGATGGTTCCGCTTCCGGAGCATGATCCGCGACCACATGGTATCGCGAGGATCTTGCCAGCCAGAGCTGTTCCTCGGAGGGGATGATGCGTATCGGCTATAACGCCGCTTTCGGCGTCCACGCCCATCATGAAGCTCAGCGGAACATCGGAGAAGACGAGGCGTCCGCTTGCCGATCCGGGAACCAGAATCCTAGCGGATCTGCTGTTGTTGGGACTGGACGTGTTTGGAGACATTCTAGCCTGCCTAATGCCTCGTTGATTGCCCAAAATGCTTGGAAATTTATTCCCAAAGCCTCAGAGGTCTAAAGATTCAGAACAGCTTGAAATGTAACTCCCACTTCGGTGGTGGGTTCACATACCAAAATCGCGGGGTTCTCCCTCCACCTACCATCGGACTTCTCCGATCGGCTCGGTCAACCGACCCGTCTAGGGCTCGGAAGCGTTGCCGACTTTGGAAGAGTGATTCGATTGCTGACCAGGATGATTCCAAGGCTTTAAATTGCTTCATGACAAATTTACCTGCCGGAGTGTGGCTGCACGCGGATGTGAGTTTTGCGTGACAAGGTAACTGAAGGTAGAGAAATGTCTCCAAACATGCAAGTCTGAGAACTGGTGTCACAATTAAGAATTCAAATAGGGCAGCACATGGTTTTCAATAACCACTGTAATTCACTACCGATAAATTTACCTGGCAAGATATGTACCTGCGCTACAATCGTGAGATGCACGTGTATCACATCCTTCCGACCAAGCAACCGGAGTCTACTCGACATTAACGGTCAGTAATCAACTAATTAGACACGTTCGTAGTGTGAAGTTCCCGACTCTTTCAGTCCATCATTTCCCAACTTTGTATCCGCAGCGTTAGCAATGCGAGTCGCCTCAGCGTCGATAAAGGCTTGTGGCCGCTCGCGCTGAGTCAACGCCGGCTTGCCGCACACAATCAGCGACGGGTTCTGAATAAAGATCTCGTCCATGTCCTCAAGAGTTCGGCGCGAGGTTTCTGGGTAGAGGCAAAAAACCACGGGGAAGTAGGCCCAGCAAAGAATGACATAAACTATGATGCTCGTTAGTCAACCATGTCCGATGAAGTGGTAGCGTTTACTTACTCAGGTAGAATTTCCAGTGAAGGTTGTTGACTCCAATCTTTGTGAACTGGGTCACGATAAAACCACCCATCCAGTTGGTCGCAGTCGCAGCAGCAGCACCGCGAGTTCGCCAGCCGAGAGAGTTGATTTCCGAGTTGTAGACCCACGGGACCTTGGCAAAGCTGGTTCCGTAGAAGAAGTAGTACATGAAGAACATTGCCGTGGTAACTCGGCCCAGCTATCCATAATCAGCATGATTTCTTTTAGCAATATTTTAACATCACTTACCAACTGTTCTCGAGAAGGGTCCTCCTCGGCGGTCTTCAAGCAGAGAGCGGCAACAAGATAGCACGAACCCATGGTCACCGATCCATACAACATCATCCTGTTTCGTTAGCCTTGTAACATCTTCCGGAGGTTCAAGGTGACTTACTTTCGTCTTCCAAAGCGATCAATAATCAGGAGACAGCAGAAAGCGGCACCAAGGTAGACGGTTCCGTTGACACCAGTCATCAGGCGGCTCTCTTGCTCACTAAGACCGACACTTTGCTGCAGGAGGGTAGGCAAATAGTATCCCAGGGCATTGACGCCGCTGAATTGTTGCATAAACTGCGTGCCACATGAAAGCAGAAGTCTTCGAAGGTTCTGGGTCTTGTCGCGGCAGCGGAGCATGTCCATGACAGGGACCCGATCTTTCCTCTCCATGTCGACGGCAGAGCGGATAGAAAGAAAGTGGGCCGTTACATCGGGGTCATCGATGGTCTTTCCTTTGCCTTCTAGTCGCGCCAGAACACTCAGGGCCTCCTCGTGTCGGTCCTTCAACAGAAGCCATCTAGGAGACTCGGGGACGAAGAGCAGAGCGATGGAGACAACAATCGGGAAGATGAGCTGGAAAGCGAGAGGGAATCGCCACTGGAGTGCGCTTCCCTGGAAATACAGACCGTAGTTCATCCAATTAGCGAGACAAAAGGCGGCAGTGTTGGAGAGCGACCCAACAACGACGAGCTTTCCGCGGTGGCGAGGCTTCGAGCACTCGGCCTGAAAGACAGGGCAAGTCGAAGATGTCAATCCCATGCCGAACCCGTTGATTACTCGGCCAATGATCATTTGGGGGAGGTGCCAAGAGGTAATTTGTAGAATCGCGCCGACCGCATTGCAGAGCAGGCCGAGGGCCACCGTTTTCTTTCGACCGAGCTTGTCGCCTGCAGTGAAGGCAGTGATGGCACCGAAGAAAGCTCCTAGCTGATAAATTGTTAGATGTTGTCTCAAGAATCTTCAGGAAACCTACAGAGAAGCAGCTAGAAGTAATTCCAGAGATGTTTGGGTCGCTGGTCTCGGGAAAGTGCTTCTTGAAGTCGGCCGAGATGAGAACTCCGGAAAAGACTCCCTGGTCGTAACCAAACCATGCCATGGAGCTGCATCATGTTAATTACTTGTCTGCCTAGAATTTAGGAAAACTTACCAAGCATTGACGATGGTGATGGCAGTGATGAGCGCCGTCCCGCTCAGCCGGTCTGAAAGCCCGGTCATTGCCATTGTGTCTTGGGAGACAAGAACTATGACGAGATGAATAAACGATGCGTTTGAGAAAAGGATATGTTGCCTTTAGTTCTCGATCTGCTGCACAATGTTCAACCTAGGCCAGGTCACCTCGATCACAGAGACCGAAGACAACTCAAGAATAGGCGTGGTGTGCGTTGACTGCGAGGTGCTGATCATCAACAAGAAAAGCCAAAAGGGGAGGATCCTGCAGCACTAAATACTTGTGTGACTTGACAGAGCGTGGTATCAAGGTCAAGCGGTTGCGTGCCGTAGCCGAGGCGCCAGGGTTGCAGGAGTCAGCCACGAACGACTTGGAGATGAGGATGTTGCCCAAGAGCCTAGTTCGAGTGCCAGCCACGAGATCAAGCTACCATTGCCCCGGTCCAGCTCCCATGCAGACGTGCGACTTCCGGGATCGTCGTGCGGAGAAGACACTCGACAGACGTCCACCCGTGATCCCCACGGGGTAGCGCGGTTCCGCTTCGCGGGGATTGTCATTGACACCAGGACTCAATGCGCTACGCGTCGCTGTAGAGCGGTCTCGGGGGGAGGCGGCAGACCCGCTATCGCAGGATGGAATAGGGATGGTCTGACTCGCGGGGATAGGCGGCAGAGTGAAGAACTAAGCTAAGTACGCTGGTAACCAGGATGCTGTTGCTGGTGACAAGGATACTATTCCCGGTGCCATGGCACAGAGCGTCACTACGGTTCTCTAGCGGCCTTTGACCGGCATGCCGAGCCTTGACGTCCCTGAAATGGACAGCCTTGCATAAGACGTGGTGATTCGATCCGGTCCCGCAGAATTCCCCGCATCACTCAATTCACCTCTTGGAGTTTTCTGTGTGTCGTATTTTCCACCACGCAACAATCCCAAACAACACAATGGCTGCCCAAGACCACCAATTTGTTCTCGTCACCGGTGCAACCGGCTTCATCGGTGCCCATATCGTCGACACTCTGCTCAACCGAGGCCTCAGAGTGCGGGGAGCAACCAGATCACTCGCTAAAGGAGATGCCATGATCAAAGCCCGGCCGCAGCATGCCCGAAATCTCGAGTTTGTTCAAATAGAGGACTTCAACAACCCTGGGGGCCTGGTCGAGGCTGTCCAGGGAGTTGACGGCGTTATTCATACCGCGAGTGTAAGTGAGCACTCATCACAGCCTGTGAGGTAAAAAGAGCTGACGTTTTGCTAGCCTTTTACCTACGATACGAAAAACAATGAGAAAGAACTTATCCTGCCAGCCATCAATGGAGTTCGTGCGATCCTCGAAGCCGCTGCCACTAATCCCAACATCAAGCGCGTCGTCATTACCTCGTCGTTTGCCTCCGTTCTCGACGTAAACCGCAAGGGTCCTCCCTACTTTACTTATACTGGCTCTGACTGGAATCCTCTCACCTACGAGGAGTCCGTGGACCCTGCTACGAGTGCCGTCATTGCCTACCGCGGGTCGAAGAAGTTTGCGGAACTGGAGGCGTGGAACTTTGTCAAGCAGCACAAGCCGACTTTTGATATCGTGACACTCTGTCCACCTATGACTTTTGGTCCAGTTGTTCACCCTGTGGCGAGTGTGGACAAGCTCAACGAGTCGAATGCCATGCTTTGGCGAATTGCGACCGGAGCAAACCCCTTGCCAGTATCTCGCGTGCCATTTTGGATTGACGTCAGAGATCTTGCCGTTGCGCATGTCGAGTCACTTCTCAGGAGCAATTTGGGAGGCAACAGATATGTGCCAGCTTCCCCTGAGCGGTTCTCGTACGGGCTTGCGTCAAAGATCATGGCTGAGGAGTTTGCGGATTTGCAAGATACAGTGACACAAGAGGATCAATTCATCGACGAGAGTCATGGTCTAGATGGGGAAACGGCTGCGAAGGAGCTCGGCTATCAATATCATCCCTTTAGAGAGACTGTTAGAGACCTAGTGGCACAGGCGATTGCGATGGAGGAAACGGCCACGGGACAATAGATCAGACAATACTACAGCTCCCAATTGAACCTTGAAGCATCCAAGACTATCTTTGCCCCATTTTTGTTTCAAGAAGCGCAAATACCCCAAATCATCATCTCAATTTGTAGCGAGTCATTTGAGTGTCACGTCCTGCTGCCATCCCGTCTTCTGCATGGACTAGCCTACCATGAGCTAAGTTCACATGGCCAATGCCGCCAACAAGCTTAGCTACTCCAACTTCTCCAAGAGAGGATAGCTTGCTATCCGCTGGCTTGGGTGCCTCCGCTTCTCCGACTTACATCCGCCGGCGGCGGGGAAAGGCGGCATCAGCTCCGCAACACCAAGTGGGCGTCGCATGACTGACCAGCTGGGTCAAGCAACGGTGGCTCGTTCAAGCTAACTATAGATTCCGTTTTGTGAAAAGATTTCACTCGGTCGACCGCTAAGTGAAAGGCGCAATCCTACAGATGGCATATAATAACTTCTGCAACCGTTGACAGCCATCAAGGTGTAGTGAGTCAGGACAACACCTATTTCCAACCAGGCCACCATCTTGCCAAAATGTACCCCGAGACGTTTGAAGGATTTGCCATTCCATCTGCGGATAAATGGAACAGTCCAAAGAGGTTCGAGGTATGTTGGAGATTGAGCAAGATCTAAAATTTTGGACCCTTGCTCATTCAGATCCAGTTTCAACCGAAGCCTTTTGGCGACTATGACATCGATGTGAAAATCATCGCTTGTGGTGTATGTGGCTCTGACGTCCACACCGCAACCGGAGGTTGGGGAAACAAGATCTGGCCCCTTGTCCCAGGACACGGTGAGTTTGCTCAGATTTCAATCCATCCTCAAACTAATCATTTGAATGGCAGAGATTATTGGCAATGCTGTCAAGGTTGGCTCCAAGGTTACAACCGTCAAAGTCGGCGACCGTGTTGGCGTTGGTGCTCAAATTTCTGCCTGCCTGGAATGTGATACTTGCAGAGAGGACAACGAGACATATTGCAAGCAGCAGATGGGTAAGTGTGATCTTCGTCAAGTCAAATCCCTTCACTAACAGTACCAGACACTTATGGCTCGGTGTACCCCGACGGGACTGTTGCCCACGGTGGCTACTCGTCTCACATTCGAGCACATGAGCACTTCACATTTCCTATTCCAGAGGGCCTCCAGACAGAACTTGTAGCTCCGATGCTGTGTGCTGGTCTGACTGCGTACTCTCCCTTGGTTCGTAATGGCGTTGGACCAGGCAAGAAAGTCGGCATCCTTGGCATGTAAGTATTTCGCTAGAAGCTCTACCTACCGTTTACATGCTAACATCGCCTTGCAGTGGCGGCATTGGTCATTTCGGAATCCTCTTTGCCAAGGCTCTTGGTGCTACCACCTATGCCATCTCACGATCTCGCGCCAAGGAAGCTGATGCAGTCAAGATGGGAGCCGATGGCTTCATCGCCACCAAGGAAACCGATTGGGCCAAGGCCCACGAGATGACTTTTGACTTCATTCTCTCCACTGCATCCTCGGATGACGGTTTTGACCTAGCACCCTATCTATCATTGCTCAAGACACACGGCCGCTTTATTGCCGTTGGTCTCCCCGAGGGTGCTGGGTGGCAGATTCGCCCTCAGAGCCTTCTTGCCAATGGCTGCCTCATTGGAAGCAGTCATTTGGGCAGCCGCAAGGAGACTCTGGAGATGCTGCAACTGGCAGGTGAAAAGCAGATCAAGAGCTGGGTCGAAACCATTCCTGTGGGAGAGGAAGGATGTGGGAAGGCTCTGGAGAGAGTTCACAATGGTGACGTTAGGTACAGGTTCACGTTGGTGGACTACGACAAGCAGTTTCAGTAAATGATAGAAGCGTAATAAGAAAATAGTTTCGATTCACTGTTTTGCTCATCTTAATTCGATAAGCTGTTATGGCGCATGGTGATTTGTGGGTAGTAATTTATGAAGAAAAGTTAAGATCGAAATTAGAGTCTAAAGACACGCTCTGAGATCACGATTGACATTGACGGATACAAGAAAATATGCACAAAGGGACACCGTCATCTAAATTACTATCACGACTTGACACCAAAGTCTTCTAGCCTCTCCTCAACCTCCATCATCCAAGAAATGTCTTGATACAGCTTTATCTTCTCTCCCTCGCCCAGCGATGCCATTGGCCCCCTAGGAATACCACCATATCCGTTCCAGTTGCTCAAGATAGCCTTGAAGCCAGGAATTGCCCGCTTTGTCAACTCCCAGTCTGCCTTGGCCAACTGCTGCTGAGCCCGCATAGCTTCCTCTCGCTTTCCTTGCACGGCCAAGTTGTACACATTGACACATGCGCGAGGGAATACATTGGCTGCCCCGACGATTGCACCGCTGGCGCCCACTTCCACCGATGGGGAGATGAAATCGGCAACGCCAGAGAAGGCAAAGTATGGCCCCGATTTGGAGGGAAAGACCTCGGACACGGGAGAAGTGGCTTCTGCGACGCGCGCAAGCTTTCCAACGCTGCCGCAGGTGAATTTGGTGCCGATAATGTTGGGATGGTTTGCCAGGCTAATAAGCTGGTCGGAGTCCAGGTCGATCCCTGCCACCGCACCAGGGTAATTGTAGATAATCAAGGGGAGTGGGCTGGTGTCAGCAACTTCAAGAAAGTATTTCTCGATTGTTGGGCCATCCATTGCCCATTTGAAGAAGCTGGGGACCATCAGGAGAACTGCATCGCCGCCTGCATTCGCAGCATCACGACATAGGCGCAGTGTGCCCTGGATGGACTGGTCAGAGGCCCCGACGATAACTGGCAAGTGAGAGAATCCCGCCTCGTCGAGGGCCTCTCGGGTCGTCTTTGTAACCTGGCATCTTTCCTCGGGGCTGAGGTAGACGGCTTCACCATTGGACCCGTTTGTCACGATGCCAACCACCCCAGCCCTTGCAAGACGAACGGCGTGCTTCTTGATGGCTTCTGTGTCGAGGTTTTCGTCTTTTCCGTATTCGTAAAAGACTTGAGTTGGCGCGTAGATTCCAGGTAACAATGTTTTAGGCATTTTGGTAATATCAGGACGTCCTGAATGTCGCTTAAGTGGTATGAAGTGAGGTGGAAGTAGGAGGGAATAGAGTCAATGAGCCACCAAATGTGCGACGCCATATCGATTCCTTCTATTCCCATTTAAAATTATCTTGTCTGCTGCACATGGCGCTCTCCGTTCCTACATCATGTCGTGATTGCGGAGTAACGTCGTTTGAACATCACAAGACGCGAAAGACGAAAAGCGGTTTCGGGCTTCCGCTCTAGTCTCGCGCCAAGCGGCCGGCGGGGGGAGGCGGCAACTCCACCATGATGCATGAAACCTGGTGTTGTCAGGTGGTTCGCCCCGGAATGGCTTCTCCGCAGTCTCCACAAGGATTCACGAGTCGTGCGACCTGGGGAAGGGCGGCATGCTACCGCGAGATGCAAGAATGTCCCCTTTTGTGATACAAGGTGGAGTTGTTGCGTGTGGAGTGAGACATTGACCGCCGACAATATCAGCATGCCTTGTCCTACGAATTCCACTGGCTTCATCCAAAGTCTTTCGTCGACCTGCCGGATTGTCCAGTCAACAGCTGAGTCAATATTCCAACAATGGGTTCCCTTTCGGTTCTCACTGAGCACGATGTTACCATCACCTCCTTCACGGTCACAGACTTGCGATTCCCAACAAGTCTAGATGGTGTCGGCTCCGATGCCATGCATGTGGGCACGAATGGCTCTCATCCATTCATCCAGCTCCAGACAAACCGCGATGGGTTGATCGGAGAAGGCATTGTAGGCACCATCACTCTGTTGCCTCCTGGTAAATTATTAATCCACTCTAGGCCTTTAGCAATGGCCGGGGCAGCGAACTGATCTGCATGGCGCTAAATATCTTTGGGAAAAGAGTCGTCGGCAAGACGATGCACGAGCTGACCCGGGACATGGGTAAGACCTGGCGATACATGGTCTCCGATTCACAGTATCGATGGATCGGCCCTGAAAAGAGCGTTACGCATCTGGCGGTTGCAGGCGTCCTCAATGCCGTCTGGGACCTGTGGGGAAAGATCCTCGGCAAGCCAGTCTGGCAAATTATCTGCGACATGAGCCCGGAGGAGATTGTCAGATGCATTGATTTCCGATACATCACCGACGTGATCACGCCAGAGTCGAGTATTGAATTGCTCAAGACGACCCAGAAGAACAAGGAGGCTCGCTTACAAGAGGCGAAAGAGAATCGAGCAGTCCCGGCATATACCACGTCACCTGGATGGCTAGCTTTCTCGGGTGATCGCATGCGAGAAGTTCTGGAGGAGACAATCGCTGAAGGATACACGGTATTCAAGTTCAAGGTGGGAACCAGTGTCGAGGCCGATCGCGAACGACTGGCCGCCGTCAGGGAGGTTCTCGGGTACGACAAAGGACACCAGATCATGATTGATGCCAACCAAGTAAGCCCGCACAACTCAGATTCTTGCTATACATTTCTGACGTCTTTAGGTCTGGAGCGTCCCGCAAGCCATCGAATACATGAAGCACTTGGTAGAATTCAAGCCTGTCTTCATTGAGGAGCCGACCAACCCAGATGATGTATTGGGCCATGCTGCCATTCGCAAGGCTCTGAAGCCGTACGGGGTTGGTGTAGCCACTGGAGAAGCAGCCCAAAATCGGGTGACGTTCAAGCAGCTCCTCCAAGCAGAGGCTACGGACGTCTGCCAGATTGACGCCGTGAGACTTGGTAGCGTGAATGAATGTCTCGTAAGGATTCCTACCCTAACTCAGTGTCTTAAAACTGACTTCGCAGGCCGTCATGATCATGGCTCTCAAGTTCAATGTCCCCTGCGTCCCCCACAACGGCGCTATGGGCTTGACCGAAATGACTTCCCACCTGAGCACAATCGACTACATTGCCATCAGTGGGCGAAAGTCGATGCTAGAGATGGCCGATAGCCATCGCGAGAACCTGCGCCACCCGTCCAAGATTGAGAACGCACATTACGTCACCCCGCTGGCTCCTGGATATTCCACAGGCTACAGCGAGGGGGTGTTGGAGAAGTACACTTATCCCACTGGTAGCTTCTGGAGTAGTGATATTGGGCTGGAAATTATGGCTCAACCTACCGGAGGAGAGTTGTAGATTATGTACTGTATGTAAGAGTCGTGGTTGCGAGTCTAGACATCAAGTTGTGTGTTTCCATAAACGTCAATAAACATTATCCGTATTTATACACGGGACAGAATCCGCTGTTTTCTTTGCACATCCTCTAGAATTGATACAACAGCGTCGAGGCTGGAAAAGGCCCACGGTCGTATGTTGTTGATAGCAGTAGTCTGAAGTTCGTCAATGTCCAGGACCAGATGTCTCAAATCGGGGCTGAGAGACGCGAGTGTGAGCACAACAATTGCGCCGAGTGACCTGTACCCGTTAGTTCATCCCACAACTGGGAGCAGATACATACGATAATGAAAACGTCCACGTATATTGGCTGGGTCCGACCAAGACTCGGGTGGTGTTATGGATGTAGCACCTGCAGCTCTCTAGGCAAAGAGCAGCTTTATCCATCATCGACTCGGTCGCATGTTCCATGCCATGCGCAGCTATGTAGAGCACAAATGGTCGATAAATGATATGTCGTGCCGCGAAATACCGTATCCTCAACACGGGTTCGCGATCATTTGACTCAATGGCAGGTGTGCCAACGCCAAGTGCAGGTCGGAAGGCCTCTGGGATGGAAGCGTGCCACGTTTCCAATTGGGTGTGCAGTTCGTCGCAGACTGAAATCATCGATGTCACGTCTTCAATAGAGAAGTCGTCGGGGGCCATGAGCGTAGTGGATGACAGCGTCAGGACGTGTTTTTTGCTTGGGTAGAGAGAGTTGTGGATGCGGTTGAGCAGCCTGCGGATCGAAATTTCGGCAAGATAGCAGGTGGACTGCATGAGACCAAGGTTGGTGCAGCTGGGCAGACTGATTTCGTCGGTCAGCTGCTGAAGGCCGCTGCGTGGTAGCTCAAGTTCTGCGAGTCGGTCGCATTCAACGAGGAAACAGGACCAAAATAGCCGAATGATACTTTCTCGGGAGTTTGGTCCCTCCTCCCGAGGATCTATCCTGTCAAGATGTAAGCATAGCCCATCTAGAGGGGCTGGAGCTCTTACCCAGATAGCTTAAACTGAAGGATCGTAGACGCAGAATAGATCAACCTCCAACTCTGCAGTGGACGCACAATGTAAGCAAAGTAAACGCTTGCCAGTACCAGAGCCTGAGGAAGCAAGAGGCTATACGAAAAGGACCATGACGACTGGGAAATGAGCGTCGGCATTGCGTGTTGCATGTATTGCATTCCCGGTGGAGATGAACTGAATCGCCCCGGGTCTGGTTGAGACGACGCCACTGTTCCGAGGGCGAAAATGACCATGCAGAGTGCTGAGGCGATGCTCGAGTCGGGGCCAGTCTGCAGAAATTGGGAGTATATGTCTTGGAACTCATCTTGGTCTAGGATGGGGTGGCTGTGGTGTGCTGAGGAGAAGAATATTGCGACCAGCTCGTCAGCCATGTCGCGATCAATCTCAATCGCCGGCCGCGCCCCTGGCCAGTCCTCAAATGAGAGCTCAGGGGGCAATCGGTTCCTTGACTCGAGCAGGAAGAACAGATCTGTGGGGTACTCTCCGATCAACGACTTCATGGCCGGCAGACTCAGCAGGTAGCTAGACGACGTCTTATGCTTTACTGGAATCGTCAACGGGGGCAAATTCGGCATTTCTGATTGAAGCTCAAGTCCTGTGAAGTGCCAAGGGGTGAATGGGACGCCAACACCTCCTTGGATGCCTGTCATTGCCATTGACGATTGGCTCTGTGGTGAAGTCTCGTTCTGGCCGTGAGGCATGTGCACACGGGCATTGGTGGATAACGATTCTATCTTTTCGCCCTGGTTCTCCAGGAGCGCTTCGATGTCGCGGAGTCGGTTGATGATCTCTCGCGTGCCACCCGACGTATCGATCCTGCCGCTGTTTAGTATCGCCCAGGTATTAATACTCCCGCATCACACACCTTTGAGATGGCTGATCGTCGTATTGGCAATCAACCTCCATCTCCATACAATTTGAGCATGATGGCTTCCGGGCGTCGCATCTCCGTTTGCTGTCAAACCCACTGATCAGCACTGAACGGAGTCTTCAGGTCAATTATCACTCACCGACTCCGACAAAAGCTGCACGCCAGTGCAACTCGCTTCCTATTAAAGCTCATTATTTATTACCATTGAACTCCCGAGCTCGCCAGGCGAATTAAGACTTTGGTGAAGCGACTGGTAGACAAGACTTGTGTAAAGCATCACCTCCAGATGAGGGGGGCACATTTTGTCACCTGACGTTCATCACTCACGTGCTAAGCCGCGGAGCTTACCCTACACTAGAAGGTTTTACAGCCAAAACCTCTTTGTAGACCTATGACATGTCGGGATCACGTCCAACGGGTGAGACTGGCAGAATATTTTAATTAAACGGTCATTGTATTCATCATTCCGGGTTTTGTTAGGTGTTGGAGTTTGAAGGTTGAGTACATGCTGCTTGGTACTTCTCTTAACACATTCATCCACAAGCTCCTTTAACACACCACTGACTTTTGGATAATTCTAATCAACAACATGTATCAAGTATTTTAAAGCTACAGACATACACTTTCGGCTATTTCAGACGCAGATACTCCAAAGATGGCGATACCTAGATGCCTGACTCCTTGAAGATAGACAAATTATTCACAAACAATCACGTGATCCATAAAATCCATGCTTGATGCATAACTCTGGCAATATTATGCAATGTCTGACTGACTCCGCGGGCTCCTCGGCAGGAGCCAAGATCGCGAGCGAATTTTGCCTACCGATTCCACAAGCTTGAACACGGTATAATAATACTTGTCCTTTTCCCCTCCGCCTTTCTTTAACTTTTCATACCAGCTTACATCATTAAACTCATTCACGTTTTCTAGCCATGGCCCACGTTAATGTCTTTAATCTCTGCGGGCCGCGATTGATGCGCCCTACCACGCGATTGATGCGAGCGACGACTCTCTTGTCCAATGCCCACACTCAGAGCCATGTACCGATGCTATTCTCGACTTCGGCAAGACATTGGACGAAGTCGAAAACTTGCCAAAAGAGTTGCGCCAGTGAAAAGCCGCCGCTTTTATCCATCACTTCGCCTGGCTTCTGGAAGTCACGGCCAACGTGGAACCGTGCTTCTGTCAATACATTACGCTGTCTTGTTGGCTGCACGCTGGGTGATTTCACAGCCATGTGGCTCCTTCAATTGAACTACCCTGAGCTTGGTATGGGAGTGATAATGCCGATATCGAGTAAGTGAGCCCTGTGGAGGTTAAAGAGAATTGCGAGTTTAATACAGCGCGCAGTGATTTCTGGAATTTCAACGTCTATTTTATTGGAGACTGTCATGCTTCGCATTGGTCGTGACGGACTTTCCTGGCTGGCCGCCTGCAAGACCGCCATCGGAATGAGTTTCATTTCCATGATTACCATGGAAATTGCCGAAAATGCAGTCGACTATTATCTCACGGGAGGAGCAGTGTCGTTCAATACGCCTGGGTTCTGGGTTGCGGCTCTGGTTGCGATGGCTGCTGGGTTCCTCACTCCACTTCCTTATAATTATATTCGTCTCCGAAAGTTTGGAAAGTCATGTCACTAGGACATTGGATTTTGTATCATTATGTACATTTACAACACATCCCAACTTTTAAAGACGTGCAAGTTCTCCTAAGATTTTCCGGATGGTCTCGAGCTCCTCGATGGTCGATGCGTTGCAGGTGCAGGATAATTCGAATCCCCGCCTCCCACAGTGACCTCGTCCTGCGAAGGCGTGGCAGCAGCAGCAATCTGGCCGTTGTGCCCCGCGTAAAGAGAGTGTAGATAGTATAGAGAGTGTAGAGAGTGTAGAGAGTGTAGAGAGTGTAGAGAGTGTAGAGAGTGTAGAGAGTGTAGAGAGTGTAGAGAGTGTAGAGAGTGTAGAGAGTGTAGAGATTAAATATAAATAGCTGTAAGCATACCGTAATATACCTCTTTCGAGTCACTTGTTTAAACCGGAGGTGGAAGGGCATAGTCTGCTCTTTATTAAGCTCCTTTCAGTTGGCCTCAAATACTATATTCCACAATACAACATTCAGCTCTATAGTAGCTATATCACGGTAGATAAGATACTTAACGGCGAAGTATATATACTGCAACTCGGTATTGTTATCGTCCTTTTCTGTATCAATAGTGCATTTGAGTGAAATAAGACCCCGTAGAAAGTCTTTCTTCCGGCTAAATTCCTCGAGGTGGATAGTTGCCCCCACTCGGGGGAGCTATATATTGAGAGAAGCAAAATCCCCCTGCTATTTAATCTGTTAAGCCTCTTACTTCCGGGTTGGTTTTATCTAGCTTGAAGAGTAGTAATTAGATATATAGCTTAATTCTATAGTTAATGATAATTATCTTATAAATATAAAAAGTACTCTATTTAATATACACTATAGTCAGAGTATTATATTAGTTTGAGTCTAAAGTGCACAAAGCAATAGAAAATAGAGCAATCAAAAATCGAGCAACAGAAGAGGAGTATTACAGTAGATTTTATCGGGGTTTAGTTATACCTAGCCTGTTTTGATCGCATGCGTACACGATTTTGACCCTGCCGTTAGGGGTATTCTAAAACTTCTCTGTTGTGAAAGCATGCCCTCGAGCATTCGCCCAGGAATTAATTACTCTGACGAGGACTCTCGCGATTTGTGTATGCCTTCCTGTGGAAGGACGTTGTTGACAAATGTTGCCGAGGTCATCGTCGTGCGGTTGGTTGCTTGGCTACTCAATTACAGGGTAACTGCAACATGATGCGTCTTACACGCGCCGATAGGGGCGCCATTTTGGGGGCTTAGTTAGAAAACGCGTTTAGGCACCAGTATCAGTCGCCTTGGCCACGGCTTATCTTACGTGAGATGCTCACTTAACCTTGTCAGCTCATTGCCTGTGTGATTGGCTCGCTCGGATCCAGGCAGCCCGAACTAAGAATGTAGACATTGTAGAATCCGAGTGACCCAATCAAGTAGAGTGCTGCTCAGAAGTTTTTACTCCTTCTATTCGTGGTTAGCCGAAGATGGACCTGAAGTTATATAAACAGGCCTTCCACTTGTCTCATTGCAAGCAAGATTTCCCCAGAGTCAAGACGCAATCCCTTGACGGACCATTTCGACGCAGTCTTCAACAAGATGCACTTCACTTCTATTCTGGCGTCGACCATCCTCTGCTTTGCGGCTGGCTCCGACGCGTGGGCCCAGGCTGCGGACGGAACGTGGATTGCGAACAACAACTTTTACAGAATCGGCGTCCGTGAGTGGTCTCGCTCCAGAGAAAAACCACGCAGGGCTGTCGTTCTGACTGTTGCTAATATACTTCGTAGACAATGTGCATGAAGCATGCACTATTAGGAACACGAACACCATCGTTTGGTGGGGTGCCTGCCAGTACTGGGTTGACTCTCACGGCAACAAGTTTCATGGAGGTATGCATTTCCGCTTGTCTCGGTTGTGGAAATATGATGTTTTTGATGTACTTACACACCCTAGAATGTACGTATGATGGAGACTGGGGTGGTGTTCTCTGTCTCGGTGGCCCAGTTCGTAAATCCTAACAGTGTGTCTGGATGCGAGGTACATTCGATACGTATCAGTCGGGCTCTCAATTAGGTATCTAGGTCTCTCAACTAATTCAATGCATCATGTCAACGGCTAGGCAACCGATTGTTACTGTTGTTATGCCGGCGTGTCATGGCTAAATAAAATGATTCCACATGGTGTCCGGCTCGACCAAATTCACTACCTTACGTAAACCCCCTGTTTGTCTCTGAGTTTCTTATATGAATCAACGTCAAATTAACATATAAAGAAGGTCCTAGTGGTATCTGGCTGTGCCTGTACATGGCTTATCATAGTATTAGTTAAGTTAGTAAAATCGGGCTAGGTTCTTGAAGTGCTCTAGAACCAGGAGAGCTACGTACCCAAGCTTGAATGGTGGATTTGGCTCATTCATGCACAGGCCGAGCTAACTCCCTTTCTTCTGACGATAATATCGACTAACGTAGAATAGATGGCGTTTCTAGCACCCCTTCAAGAGCTTGGTTCGCCCTACTGGTACGAGGAGCCTTGGACAGTGCCAAAGTTGGGCGATCTTGCCTACAGTACTAAATCAACACTATACACTTGTGAGCCCGTAACGCTAGCCATGGTGAGAACTAAAACTCTTGTGGTATTTATCTCCTATCACAGTCTCTATGTAAAGGCAAACCGTTTTTAGCCATGTCATTTCACTGTTGAATTTTTGGCTCGTTGTAATACAGGAAACGCCTAGCGCCGGAAATTTCAAAGTCGGTTAACTCGCCATTCTCCCGTCATTTGTCGAGCGAGTTCGATTTTATCGTGTTCAGGAGACCAAAAGTGAGGGTGTACTTCCCAATTTACTCCGCAGCCCTTATAGAAATTATTACCGTATGGTATTCAACTCTGGGAATACTTGATTCAGTTTTGAGGATTCTGCCACATCCGACCGCCTGGTCTGACGTTGGGTCGCAACATCCAGTCAAGCCCGAGTCTATTGTCCTTGCTATTGGATGCCTGAACCCCCGCCCTCAGCCTCACTGTTGACCATGCAGAATCGACATCTCCCTTTCTCCTCCCGCAGTCTGCTGGTAAAACGAAGGCTCTGGACCACCACGGAGCGCTAACACACGAAGCGAACGGATGTGTTCCTAGCCGTGATGGATCCTCTTTCCGCACTGGGGTTCGCCGCCAACATCTTGCAGTTCGTTGATATCGGCTACAAGCTCGTCTCCTCCATCATCGAAGTCCATAATTCGGTCACAGGAACTACTTCGGATAATTTCAATGTTCTTGATACCGTTGGTAATCTGGAGAACGTTTCTGGACGACTGAGGGCCTCGACCAAACAAATCCCCGACAAAGAGGCTCTGTATTCCCTGTCCGTCAATTGTCAGGCTCTCGCGGAAGAGCTCCTAAAGATATGTCAGTCTCTCAAAGTAAAGAAGCCTGGTTCAACTCGAGAAAGTATTAGCGTTGCGTGGAAGGCATGGCGGAAGCAAGACGATATGTTGTCTATTCGGAGGAGGCTCGACGAGTATCGGCAACAGATTTTGCTAGAAGTTAACCTCCTTCTCAAGTCAGTTCGCCCTCTGCCAACTCCAGCTTCTCTTTTTTAAACTAACTTGGGACTAGGAGAGACCAAGAGTTCATGGGGGCTAAGCTCGTTGCTTTGATTGGATCTACCGAGCTGGTTCAGGATGAACTTCGAGCCTTGAGATCCGACATGGCCATCAAGATGGAGAAGGCCTTGAGCAGCGAGGCTGGGCTCGTCGGCCATCTCTCTGAAAAGCTTGACGCGTTCCAAGATCGTATGCAGTGTGCAAATCGACAGCGTGGCATCTTACGAGCTCTTCAGTTCGACAAGATGAACGAGCGATTCGAGGACGTCAAGAAAGAGCATGATGAGACATTTGAGTGGATTTACCAGGAATCTACAGCAGACAACGACAACCTTCCCTTTATTGAGTGGCTCCGCTCCGGCGACGGCGTGTTCCACGTTGAGGGCAAAGCCGGATCTGGAAAGTCTACCCTCATGAAGCTCATTTGTAGGGATGCTCGAACGAATGAGGCCCTTGCGGCCTGGGCCGGCTCACAGCAGCTCATTCTTGGCCACTTTTTCTTCTGGAAGCCCGGGAGTTCAATGCAACGCTCTCTCAAAGGACTCACCCAGTCTCTTCTTTACACTATCCTAGAGCAGGTTCCGGAGCTCATAGAGTCTGTATTCCCCGACCAATGGAAACGAACTCGTTCCATGCCTTGGGATAACCTATGCCAAGTCCGGTTATCCCTAGCTGACATCCAAGGTGCTTTTCAAAGCCTCATCAGGAACGACCAGGTCTATTCGTCCTGGCGCTTCTGTTTCTTCATTGATGGCTTGGATGAATTCGACGAGTCAAACGGGTTGGACCCCGAGGACCGATCCACTTATGCCGACCTGATACGTCTTTTGTCTGAATGGGTTCAACACAGATCCAAAGTGAAACTATGCGTCTCAAGTCGGGATTGGAACCTCTTTAGGGGAGCATTCACACCCCGTCAGAAACTACGCCTTCAAGATCTTACCAGGAACGACATGAGAATTCTGATCCAGTCCAGTCTCCAAGAGTATGGCAACATCTCCCTCAACGGATCGCAAACCGAATCGGACTTTGATGACCTAGTGAATCAAATCGTCGAAAAGGCTGAAGGAGTCTTCTTGTGGGTCGTGCTGGTGCTCAAATCCCTGCGCCAGGGTCTGCAGCATAAGGACTCACCAGAAGCACTTCTCAGAAGACTGGAGACGATGCCTCGAGGGCTCGAGAACTTCCTCGGTTATATGCTCGAGAGCATAGATTCTGTGTACCATCCACAGTCTGCCAGAATATTCGCCGTCGCCCTGGCCGCAGGAAAGGCCTCAGACCAGTCAAGCATCTCGCTTCTCGGATATTCCTTTCTGGAAGACATCCATAGAAACTCGAGGTTTTCACTTGAAATCGATGGCCCTATGGGGGATGAAGAGATTCAGAAACGACTGGAGCGAATGTCCTTTCAGCTTGATGCTTGTTGCAAGGGGTTGCTGGAAGTAAAAGACAACAAAAAGAAGCTCCCACGTGCATTGTCTGAACGGGTTACGTTTTTGCACCGCTCAGTGCAAGACTTTCTCGAAGATGAGGACGAGGACGAGGGTGGGGGCAAGAAAATGAGACAGCGCATCAAAGACACAGCTAGGAAAGGTGGCGGACTTGACCTCTACCACCTCATCGCCAATAGCTTCTTGGCACAAGTTCAGTCTCTAAGGCTTGATCCTATGCTCCACGATTTCAAGTTCCTAGGGCCAGATTTGGCCTTCGCCGTGGATGCTATTCATGAAATGGCCATGGTGACCCAGCATCTGGACGTGACATTGGTTCGAGCTATAGACAAAGTGCTACGTCAGCCGCAAATGGACATTTCGCCCTCTTTCAACGGGAATCGTAGTTACACGAAGTCCGAATTATTCGTCATCGAGGCTTTCGACACGCCGGCCACCATTACTTTCCTCGACATTGTTAGCAAACTCGCTGTCCGTGGATGCAGCGAGATTTTTACCCTGGCTGATGCTGGAGTAAATAGCTCAATCATGGATCGGTCGGTATCCTACTTGCTCTATCACGTACTCCACAGCAGCTGCACAGCTCCACCTCCCGGTATACCAGGTCATGTTAGTGTTGCTAAGGAATTGCTCCTGCGGAACGCCAGCTTGAATGATGTGATGTGGTCTGATAAATACTGGTCCTATACAAATTGGGAAGTGTTCATCTATCATTTTGTCGAAAAAAATGATTGGACCGTGAGGATGGATCATCACGATGTTTCAACAAGGATACTGCAGACACTGCTTGAGTACGGCGCTGGCCCTCTCCTCTGGGTCAAGTCCGGCATCCCCTGGCATCATAGGCCCCCTAACCTTGTATATCCGAATGATAAGGAAGAAAGAAATCCCGATTCTCCGGCTATGTCACTACGACAAATGATAGAGTCTAGGCCGACCTCGAACTTGAAAAACATCCTTGCATTACTTCCTAGCCACGAGGATTATGATAGAGAATGGCAGAGGAGCCGCAAAGTTAGCAGGAAAGAAATTAGAAGGTTGCAGGGTTTCTCGGGGCCCGAAGAGTCATGGGATGATTGGCCCACTGAGTCAAAGCCCGGCAAGGACATTTCGGACTCGGAGTTTGATAAATCATCGACTAGCACCTGGAACGTGGCCCTGGAATCACCTAGAAACGAGCCAGGACATGGCGAAGAATTCCAGGAGAGTGTCCTACTGGCCACCAGCGGATCGACTCCAACTGTCAGAACTCTCGACGAACCGGACGAAGAACATGCGACGGAGATTTTGCCCAAGGATGAGGTCGTGTTAAGCGTAAGCTTAGCTGAGGATCTAGCAGATGCGGCGATAGAAAAGGAAGAAGATTCTCGGGAAAACGTGGATCTGCTTGCTAATCGAGTCCGAGAACGGACGTGCAGTATCCTCAGGAACCCGTGGTTCACCTTCGTGCTCGGTGAGTTGTGTTTTAAACATGGGCAGAGTGGTAGCTAACTGGTGACGAGGTGCCCTGCTTTCAATCGCCTTTATGAAGGCTTTTGGGGTATAGAAGTGCCCATTCGTAATGAGGTTATGGAGATGGCGCCTGCTAACTAGGTGAGTGACCGAACGGAGCTATTCATCGCAGAGGAATTGTTCTTCAAGAGGCTTGAGTGGGGCTCTTTGAGTAAGATTAATGGGAGTAGGGGCAGAAACAGGTTTTCAGGTTACATATTGTAATTAGATGATATTTCATCTGCAAATATAATGAAGGGAAATGTTCCGATCTGAGCCCTAATACGTATTCCAGAAGCATGCCCTGAACAACCAATGGGATGAACCATAGCAAAACCCACCGAGCCGATCGTTGGCTGTATAGGGAAACGAAAGATAAATGTTGACTTTGTGAATGACCCTCAAGCTATAAAAGACTCGAGGTGCCACGGGTCTCAAATCCTCGTGCCAGAAGTGCTCACGAGTAACCGATCCGCCGATAAAGCCTTCGAAGCATGGCTTGATCTTGGGAGGAATACAATTGAAGGGTTTGCTGCTCAGAATACGTGCTGCGTTATCTTGAGCTTTACTATTGTGTCACGGATATAAGGTCTTTAGGAGTGAAACAAAGGAAATTAAAGCTTTCTACATTTTTAGGAAGGAGGCCTCAGCCAGTTATCTCCTTTAGCATATCCTGACCTGCCCTGACTAGGGCTATTGACTCAATCTTACAAGTCAATCTCATCATCTCAAAAAGGGAACTTTGAGGCAGCAGATTGCTCTGTCCGTCATCATCTCCCGCTACTATCTATAGAATATTCAATTGATAGTATTTTCGGCATATTAATGCGACGCTCCTCTGTGCATCATTCGATCAGATAATGCGGATAGTGGTATCTCTATTATCTTTTCTTCTTTCTTCATTTCCATCACCTTCAATCTCAGTCTTCCTAGCTCTTAAAGATGCGCCACCACTCCAGCCTTTATCAGCATTTAGGCAGGCTGTTGAGTCTTTAAGTCGTCTCTGTTGCTAATCTCCCTCATATAAGAGAGATACTTATAGATGTTTACTAATTCGGACTAGATATCTATCGGCATCTATAGGTATCTATTCCGGTTTCTTCTCCTTTTTTCTTTACTCAACATCATCAGTTAGATCAAAGTCATACGGGATCCGTAAATAATGGAGACATGCAACTTAGTACTACACGCAGTACCAGAGGAGGCAGTAGCTTTACAATAAAGCTATAAGTATCTATAGTCTGAGCAATTTATTGTCTAGTTTAAATCATAAACAATTAGAGCTGAAACACTTTATTCCATCAGTTTGGACTCTGTGTCTATTCTATCATCAAGAGTCTTACAGCCTGAAATTCGCAAGGCAATTGCGAAATTGCAGTGCAATCGCAAGCTTTTTGCAAGTTGCGGTTGCAATTCTTGCGGCCTCAGTTGCCTCGACGCCTTGCACTGCAATTTTAGCACTCCACGGGGAGTTGGTGCGCCCCTCTCATTCATCATCTGGGCATAATATCGCTTTCTCCCACAGGTACATCTCTAAGCCTCCTTCTCTCCCTTATCGGCCTGGACTATCTCTCTCCGATTGAACTTGACGAAAAAGTTTGTTTGCTTCACAAACCAAGCATTGATGATGGTCCATTCTTTGTTCGGATCTTGGAAGTCAATCTGGATTGTTAGTAGCTGACTGGATGGATGCCGTGGAGATACTCACATCAAATCTTCGCATCAGACTCGGCACGACCTTGTAAATCTCGAGCAAGCTGATATTCTTGCCGATGCAAGTTCGGCTGCCCATGCCAAATTGAAACATCATGCCGCTCATCTTCTTGATTCGTTTTGCCTCCTCCTCAGCATCCTCGTTCGGGTCGGCTAGCCATCTCTCCGGCCTGTACGCGTCGACGTCTGGGCCGAAGATTTCCGGACGACGGTGGATCTGCCAGGCAGAGACTCCAACATTGGTACCACCCTTGATGTGCTGGCCTAAAATCTCGACGCCTTGAGGAGGCACGATGCGTTCCATCGGAAGGCCAGGTGCAGGGTGCATGCGGAACCCTTCTTGGATGCATGCATGCAGGTATGGTAATTTTTGAGCTTCAGCAAAGGTGACGAGGCCAGTTTCGCAGTCAGAGAAGGTGTTATTCCTCGCAGCTTCGTCCAGCTCCTCCTTGAGTTTCTGATATGCCGACTTGTTACGCAAGAGGTAGTAAAACACAGCAGATAGTGTGATGGCTGTAGTTTCGGAGCCAGCAAAAGCCATGGACACGGCCATGGTCTGGACAAGGGTATCAGTCATAAACTCTGGTCTGGCTTCTCCTGCGGCGATGAACTTGGAAAGCAAGTCAGAGCCCAACGGCTGCTTCTTTCCTGAGCTTGTTGGAAGAATGGTTGTGTTGGAGCTTAGCTCGGGGATTAGTCGCTCAGCCATGCGGGCGCGGGCAAAGCGAGCAACGGGGAACGTTGAGTCGATGAAACCCCATTGAGATAGTTTGAGATAGATGGGATTCTTGAGGAAAATGAGGTCCAAGAATGGGATTTGGCCCACCTAGATGATGTCAGTCATGATATTTTACAGTGTTCGATTGAACTTACAGGTGCGACGTAGAGAAAGAGTTTGGACAGGTACCCAACGATACCCTCAACATCTTCATTCTTCTCAAGAAATCCGTGGCGCTTGCTGTATGTAATTTCTCCAATAACATCAAAGGCATAGTACTGCAGCCAAGTCGTAAAGTCACAACCACCGGGCTTCCCGACAAAGAGTTTTTCAGTTTGATTCAGGAAAAGCTTTGTGGTGTTATCGACGAAGGGCTCGTATTGGACCAAAGCGCTCATGGAAAAAGCCGAGTTAACACAGCGGCGGAACTGGGAGTGGAAATCATTGTCGGTGGTGCTGAAGAGAGACGCTAATCGGAAGCCTTTTACGACGGATTGCTGGACGATGTAAAAGTCGGACTGATGTATGGTTAGAGATGGGCAAACCATGAGGTAGGTATGTGCTGACCTTGACGAAGCCTTTGTTGAGTCCATAGATGGCTTTCAGAGCCGCGGGATCGGAGAAGGAGAGCGTGTTAGGACCTGTTCGGACGATGTCGCCGTGCTTGTCGTGGAGGGCTCGTAGGGTTCTCTCAGGTCGCTGCCCGTAGACGTCGATAAATCGCCACCAATCGGTCAAGGATGCCAGGAACGGTCCTGGATACTTGTTCAGGCCATTATTGTAGCGGTTTTTGACAAGCCATCCAAGGAAAAGAGTAAAGATAATCAGCACCCAATGTTGAGAGAGCGCTGCCAAGAGCGACTCAATTAATCCGCCTTCCATGTTGAATAGGGAAAGTAATGGGCCAAAGAGATGGGGTTGAATCTCGAAATGGTCTTGAATGTCGAGGAACTAAGTGCATTTAGGTCTTCAGGCTAAGAGGATCTTGGTCCTTTTCACTTGAACGAGCTACCCCAATTCATCTTCGGATGCAGAGGCCCGAGGCAAACGACCCGAGAGTTAAACTCACTGCCGCACGATTGCGGTGCGCTCCGGGGCCTGCAACAGCGATGAATCTCTGGAGAAGCGGCGGATGACGTGTGGGTGTGTGTGTGTCGGCATCTTGGGAACCCCACCTGGTCGGCAGATGGACACGGCTATGAGGAAGTGTTGACGGCTTCGTATCTGGGGGAAGCTGTTAGCGCGTCCGTCGCGGCGGTTGAGATGCTGCTAACAGATAAGTAAGACGAACCAGGTCGCCTGTGCTAGAGAAAGCGTTCCAGCTCCGTGGATGCCGACTTCTGAGCGAGCCACGGTCGGTTATGCGAGGCCGAACAGTGGCATCGACCGGGATGTCCACATTACCCAGCCAATGCAGCCCGCTATATTACTAGCCGCAGCACCAAGGTTGCCACCAGGCCAGTGAAACCGGATTGCGGGGTATCTGGAAGCGCGTCTTTGCATCTGCCGGGCCCAATATCGCTGTCAGATGGCGTCGGCTTGTAGATGGAGATGATCCCGGCCGCGAACTCTGCGGAGATATCGGGGCTACACGGGCTTCACGGGCGTCATTCACCCGTCTCAGCGCTCAATTGCAAGCTCAATTGCCGGTCTGATTCTTCATCGTCTACCAAGACCCGCTGCCAATGTCGCCACGCCCGCAACAACTGGCGCAATTGCCCATGCCGTATGGGGAACTCCTCTCCACACCATCTCCACCCCCGGACTCAGCGCAATCCCGCCTCCCCCCGTCAACCCTCCTCTGTCTTCTCTACAGCCGTCGTTCCCCGTCATCCCGTCGACCCGTCACGCCGACGACGCCGCAGATCGTGACCCCATGGCCCATTCTCCCGCAACGGGCCAACGTGCTGGCGGCCCTGTCGCCCCACTCAGTATCCGGGGATTGCTCGAGCTTCAGGACGAGCTTGATCCCGACGACGCGGCCCAGCATGTCTCCGGGGATCGCCATGGCGGAGAGGGGCAGGCAAACAAGAAGCGGAAGCTCGCCAAGACGGCCGACTTCACCCGCAGGAAGAGAGCCGCCACTGCCTGCCAATTCTGTCGTCTTCGGAAGACAAAGTGCGACAATGTTCGGCCGTGCTGTGGCTATTGCGAGCGACAAAAGGCGAAATGCATCTACGGCGAATCAGAGTGGCTCGAGGACACTGTTGAAGATCCCGACCAAAGCGAAGGGATGGGGCGTCGGATACTCAAGCACCTGGAAGAGATCAAGGAGATGCTGGCAACCAATCAGTCTCGTTTGCCAACGAATCCCTCTGTGAATACTCCTACTGTAGTCACAGCGGCCACACCTCGAACAACGCTTCAGACTACTACAACCCCCCGGACTATAGGCCAGAGCCCATGGACTGATGCTACCGACAACGGGTCCCAGACGACGTCAACAAAGGCACCCGCGTCAAATGCAGTGAGCCGCCCGCATGCATTAGCTCGCTGCGAGTCACTGCTCCGATGGCCCATCTTCAACGGCATCGTGTCCGAAGAGGTCGCTCGGATTGAGTCCTTCCTGACGGACTCCGACTACAAGGCCAGGCAGCAAGACGCGAATGCACCGACGAGGCACGCGTCACAAGAACAAACCGGCAAAGGTATTCGCGATGACGCGTTTGTACCGCTGTGTCGCAAATTTCTTACTCACGTCCATCCTCGGAATCCCGTGCTCGACGCGGATGAGTTGATGCGTTTTGCGAGAGACGCTGAAGAACACGGGGTTAAATGGGATTCAGAGTCTTGTCTCGTGGTGAGTCAACCTGCCCTCCGAAAGACGCGCACTAACATGACCAGCTCCTTGCTTGTGCATTGGCTACATACACGAATCCTTGGGAGCCGCCTGTTGATCTTGCGAATGACGCCGCGGCCACGGAAGCACATTTACAGGACCAAGCGGACAGCAGGATGGAGGCTGATGTTTACTATCTGGCTGCCAAAAAGCGACTTGGGCTTTTGGGACATTCCATCCAGGATATCCAATGCCTATTCCTCGCTTCCATGTATGACAAGTATTGTCTTCAGCCATTGCAGGCCTGGTTCCATCTGCGAGAAGCATCAGTCCGGCTCCATGCGCATTTGCTCGGCCAACGACAACAGCTAGGCAAGCCGGGAAGGGCAGTGTCAAGTCAACACCTGGAACAACGCGTCTATTGGTCTACTTGGAGAGCTGAAAAGTAAGTGCTTCGAAAAGGTGATGGTACAAGGCTGACGATGACGCAGTGAGCTTCTACTCGAGGCTGGACTTCCGACAAGCGGCCTGGAACACTTGTCGTACCCAGATGCATTTCCGTCGCCGCCTCCTGACCTTTCTTCCGACCAATTTGGAGTCACCAGCCCCGAGTCCATAGGTACACCCCAGGACCAGCAACGCCAACTCGACGAGAAAGGCTGGTGTTACTATCTCGCCGAAATCTCCCTCCGGCGCGCCATCGACGAAACGGTGCAGGTGCTTTATCAACGAGGCGATTACTTTTGGCTCCAGAACCAAGATTACTTAGTCCGTCACTATCATGACTTTGAACAGCAAATCACGTTGTGGTGAGTTTGAGACGAGCTGGCCTGTCTGTGCCGGCCTAGCTAACAACCCAACAGGCAACATCACCTTCCAGCCGGAGTCCAGTTCAGCGAGGACCAACCCAACGACAACGAGTTTTCCCACTTTCTCTTCGGCAGGTTTTACGAGTGGCGGGAACTCGTCCTGCGGCCTATCGTTTACTACGTCCTCCACTCTCCCGCCGAGCGAGTCCACCCCGAGACAGTCCACCACGCCCAAAAGGGCATCGATCTTTGCGCAGCGTTGGTTTCGAAGTACTCTTCTCATCTGCGCCACGGCGGCTCGTGGTTCTTTGCTAGAAAGTCGTTCCTCTGCGCATGCCTCATCCTTGCTGTCATTCTGGAGCCGAACCGCGGGCTTCGACCGCCCCCGAACTGGGCCGACTTGGTCAAGATTGCGTTGGAGACGTTGAAAAGATGGGCGATAGATGCTTCGGATATTTGGAAAATGTACATTACTTTGGATTCCATGTACCGCGCAATTTGTAACCAGACTGGTTGCCAGTTCTATGGTACTACATGATAGGATCATAACGTGGGTTCTTATTCCCCACCCTGTACGCAACAAATCTACCTGTTTATATTTTCGTTATCCCGAACTCGTGGCCAGGATCGAACATTCCCGTCTCGGAATAATACACCTCCCAATGTTCCACCAACCGCTCCAACACGTCCGGTTTCTCATCGGCGAGATCGTGCACCTCACCAGGATCCGTCTTGAGATCATACAGCTCCCACTTGTCCTTTCCCCTCGGGGCGTTCATGTACAACGCTTTCCAGTAACCCTCCCGGATGGCTCGCAGGCCGAATAGCTCCCACCCCGTAATGTGCTTCTCCTCGTCATGGAACGCGGCAGACTTTTCGGATAGATGGGGTACCCAGGATTCTCCACGCACTGGAACAACCTCTCGACCGCGGAAAGTCCTTCCCGGCAAAGGAACTCCGGCAAGGTCCAACACCGTTGGGAGGATGTCCATGACTGTAGAAAACGAGTCTGTGTTGGACCCGGACTTGGAAAATGCTGGGTAGTGTATCAGACACGGGCACCGGATTCCTCCCTCGGTGATCCACGTCTTGAAACCTCTTGAAGGGGCCATCGATGCCATGGCCCACTCTGATCCATACCAGATGTACGAATCTGACATGCCCATATTCTCAATCGAGTTGTTGTAATACTTGTTGATAATCTTCGTCACAGTTCCCGCACTACCCATCATGGGAATAGCTTCGAGCATTGCTCCCTCGGCGCCATTATCCGACATGAAGAGAATAAATGTGTTGTCGAGCTCATCTGCACTCTCGAGGTAATCGACAACCCTGCCAACATTGGAGTCAATCAAGTCAACCATTGCGGCGAAAACCTCCATCTTGCGCGCTGATTCTGATCTCTCTTCGGGCGTCATGTTGTCCCACTGCTCAGCAGTCATGGGAGCAGGCTCCACGTTGTCGGCAATAATTCCGAGCTCCACGAGCTTCTTCAGTCTTGAAGTGCGCAACGCCGCCGGCCCGTTGTCATAAAGGCCCTTGTATCTCTCGATCGTTTCCCGGGGTGCTTGGAGCGGCCAGTGGGGAGCAGTGAATGGCAAGTATGCGAAGAATGGCTGGTCTTTGTCGTCTCTCTCCTTGAGATAGTCGATAAGCTGGTCTGAGAAGGATGTCGTCGAATAAAAATCTTTGGGAATGTCCTTGGTGCGGTCCAGGAATTTGTCGTCCCTCATCCAAAACTCGGTGGTATTCATCGGAGAAAAAATACCGTGCGACGGGTCTTCAAGTTGAGGCTCGTAGTTGAAGTGATTACCGCAGCCGGTGAGAAACACGAAGCTCTTGTCAAAACCGCGAGAGCATGGGGCAGTTTCCTTTTGTAGACCAAGATGCCTGCCACGTTAGCGAGGGTAATAATGCGATGCTTGAGGACTTACCATTTGCCAGACATGATCGTGTGATAACCAGCATCTTGCAAGATTTCACTCAATGCCGCGACTTTGAAGTTGAGGTACCCTTCGTACCCTTCGCGACCCTTGTACGCCTCGCGATAGCCTGCCATGTGCTCTGTCATCTGGCCAAGCCCGGCAATGTGGTTGTCCGTGCCGGAGAAGAGCATACTTCTCGTGGGCGAACATGCTGAAGCGGTGTGGAAATTTGTGAGCTTCACTCCTGATTTGGCGAGACGGTCGAGGGCAGGCGTCTTGATTTCGGACCCGAAGCAGCCGATGTCGCTGTAGCCCAGGTCGTCTGCGACAATAACAAGAAAGTTTGGTCGCTTTGCAGTAGCCATGATAAAGAGTGGATCATCTAGATACCTTTTGCGTTTTCCAATTGCCGGCACTCATTAGCAAATTACAGAAAGAGGTGTTTATATGCAAAACAGAGCTTCTAGGATTGTAATTGCTCGTGATAATATCGAGAGGAAGCTATAGCTGTTGGAGATCCCAGCTCCTTGTCATCCTCATCATCGCTCACGGACTTCCACGGGGAGACGGAGAAAGCCTCGAATGTGGCCTGCTGACACTCAACACAGGCTACGGAGATGACGGGGAAAGACGGAGAAGTCTAGTTCTGGTCACGACCGGGGAATCTGAACTAACACTAGCTGCAAATGGAGTCTTGAGGCCATGTGCAATACTCGATTAGGACTGGCTGAAGGGCACAACCGCCGTCTGCTAAAGCCAGCGAACTGCTAACTCCGTCTTTCCCCGTCTTGTCTCCGTGGCATTTGCACTCCATCAAAACCCACACAGCGATCACGAATAGGGTCTGTTGATAACCACTCGATAACGTTTTGCGGACCTCTATTGCCTGAATGAATGAATGATATCGCCATCAACGAGTTGTTAATTCATAAGTGCCTAGAGGGATTCCAAATGACTTCAAATCAGAAGTCATAGCAACCTAGTTAGGACTCTCAACCCGACTCCCTACGAACTACGAGAAAATTTTTAGACCAGTTCAATGCATGCTGGCTCCGAACCCCTTTGCCTGTACCCTGGTCCCATGATCTCCATTCCCCAGGAAACGCCATTCCGGGGCAGCTTTGGCTAATCATCCATGCAGAAACTAGTCTGATATTGACAGCTAGATCTGGAATCGCAACCACCCATCCAAACGACGTATATAAATGCTCGGACAGCTTCTACGTTTGACAGACCAATACACCATCGCTCTCGAAGACTACTCCCATACCTCAATTACATATTTTGCACAGAATGTCTCTACCGTCTTCTGAAGCGCGCCCGCGCGGCGTGCTATCATGCTTCAACAAAAGACTGGTCTATTCGTGTGCCCTCATTGCCATCTCCCAGATCAACTTCGGCATGGACCAATCCGCCTTCTCCAATACCCAGGCGATGCCAGCCTTCAAGGAAATGTTTGGCACCTACAACGAAGCCACAGGCACGTACGCCCTCGATACGGTCTACCTCTCCCTGCTTAACAGTATCAACTACGTCGGATTTGTATTCGGTCTCGTCACAGGAAACTTGCTGAGTCGAAGATTCGGCCGTCGCAAAGCCCTGTTCATCATGTGTTTCTGGGCTATTGTCGCTGCCATTATCTTGGTCACGTCGCGTCACCGAGTACAAATGGTCGTCGGTCGAACGGTCGCATACGTCTACATTGGAATGGAATTGGCCCTTGTGCCCGTGCTCCAGTCCGAGTTGGTACCAGCTGAAGTGCGAGGCCTGGTTGTGGGTACATACCAGTCTGGATTGTTGGTAAGTGTTGTATTCTGCACGCGCGGTTCACGGCTAACCTCTCCAGTTCGGTCAACTTCTTATGGCTGTCATTTGCCGAGGAACGAGTGAGCTCGAGGGACACTCATCTTGGCGCATTCCTCTGGGCCTGTTCTTTGTCATCCCATCTATTCTCGCAGTCGGCATATGGTGGATTCCTGAGGTACGTGTGTCTATTTGTTAACGCTGCGATTGTACTAACCCTGTCGCGTAGTCTCCCCGTTGGCTCCTGACCAGAGGCCGTTCCGAAGAAGCTCGCGAGTCCTTGAAACTTCTGCGCGAAAATGCCTACACCGATGAAGAGATCGAGTCCGAGTTCAGTCAGATCCAGATCTCCCTCGAGAGAGTTACGGAGACGGGCAGCTTCAGTGAGCTGTTCCAAGGGAGTAAGTTATTTGCCTACGACTTAGGACTTGTCTAACCGGCAACAGCAAACCGCAAACGAACCCTCATTACCATCGGAGTCAACATCTTCCTCCAGCTGACCGGCCAAAACTTCATCTCCGTTTATGGTACCGTCTTTATTCAGTCCCTGGGCAGCGTGAACCCTTTCATGATGTCATGCATCAACTCTTCCGCTGGAATCATCATGGTTCTCTTCGCACAGTCTTTAGTAGACAGGACAGGCAGAGTGTAAGTTTTCCGACGCAATGACAGAACTGCGCTAACTAGCCATAGTCCTCTTATGGTGGCCGGAGGAGTCATTCAGACAGGAGCTCTCATGACAATGGGTGGCCTTGGAACAGTGACAGATCCTTCTAGCAGCATAAGGAAAGGCATTGTCTCCATGACAACCATTTTCAACATTGGATTCTGTATGGGATGGGCACCTCTCTCCCACGTCGTGTCCGCCGAAATCCCCACGACCCGTCTTCGCGACCTCACATACGCCCTCGCCTCCAGTTTCAACGTCGTGATTCAGTTTACGATTTCCTTCACCATCCCATACCTTTTGAACAAGCCGTATGCCGGGCTTGGATCAAAGGTCGGCTTCATTTTCGGATCGACGTCAGTCCTTGCGTGCATCTTCGCTTGGTTCTGCATTCCAGAGTGCAGTGGCAAGAGCCTCGAGGAAATTGACGAGCTGTTCCTTGCTGGAGTGCCAATTGGACGCTTTGGGAAAACGAAGCTAACTGAGCATGTGGAGGATGTAGAGGATCTAAAGAAGTGAGGCCTGCGTGGTGAAGTCATGGACGCCTCAATGTTACTTAATGGTGGTGATTTCGACGCAATATCGCAATCGCTGCTCATGAGGTCTCCTAGTCACATCTCTGCAAGGACTGTATACTCAGCACCAAATGTCAAAATGCCACTATCTGAATCAATGTTTACTGCAGGCCGTGATCTACCCTCTCGCCAGCTAATTCTTGACCACCTCAAAGCCGTCCAAGGTATCGAGAGCCTTTCGAAGCTGAATGACATACTCGGGAATTCCACCCGGGAAGCAAACCGGCTCGAAGACCTTTCCGGGGATGCTTCCGCCCATGTACGTCGAGTGGGTCGTCGGAAACAGCATGCCGTTGTTGATATCGATGATTTGCTTCTTCCAAGCGTCGGATGCCTCACTCTTGGGGTTAAGATACCTGATGCCGTTTGAGCTCATCTTTTCGATGCAATCGCTAATCCACCGGCCCTGTACTTCAACGGTGGTAGGTCCATTGCTGAGGAGCGTTGGGCCATGCGGACCGTAGATGTGGAACATGTTGGGATAGCCACTGACGGTGGTACCGAGGTATGTCTTGGCTCCAGGAATCCACTCTTCCTGGAGGCTGGTGTTGTTGATGCTCTTCAGACCGAGTTGTGTCATCACTACGTCAATTGTTAGCTTCGATTACAAGGGAGTATGTCGATCTCGTGATGAGATTGCAGTCAAGAATTACCTCCAGTCACAATGTCCTAGCTGTGTTAGTACCTCATACTTGTCTTGAGTTGAAATCTGAGAACTTACGAATCCGGTCGCCACAGCAATGACATCAAACTCATGGTGAGTTCCATCTTCAAGAGTAATACCCGTCTCGGTGAACTCCTTGATGGCGTTGTTCTTTATGTCGACAACATCAACGCTGGGTCGGTTGAATTGTTCGTAGTAGTCATACTCGAGGCAGGGTCGCTTGATGCCAAAGTAGTGAGGCATCTTCAGCGGCGCAAGCAAGTCTCGCGCCTTGGGGTCGCCAATGCGCTCGCGAGTCTTCTTGGCCCAGAAATTGTACGATTCCTCGTTGGCCTTAGCATCGATGAGGTTGTCCTTGTACAGGGCGACCCAGTAGCGGAATCCACCGGCGGCCCAGACCCTCTCGTAGAAGGCCTCTCGCTCCTCGGGGGTGTCGTCAAACGTGTTCTTCTCATACCAGTCATAGTGAAACCCAGCAAAGTTCCTTTCGCGGTACCTAAACAGCTCGGGGTAGAACTTCTTAGCCCGCGTTTGCTCCTCGACGGTAAGGACCTTTTTCCGCATTGGCACGGCGAGATTGGGAGTTCGTTGGAAGACCTTGACCTGGCCGGCCTCGGGGCCCCATGCTTGGACGATTTGGACTCCGGATGCGCCAGTACCGATGACGGCGCATTTCTTGTTCTTGACCTCTACTTTCTCGTCTGGCCAGAATGAGGAATGGTGGATGACGCCCTTGAACTTGTCCATTCCTGGCCAGTCAGGGATATATCGTCGTGCGGCCTAGAGTTTCATTAGCAGGGTTGGGTATGGATCAAGGAGATGCCTACAAATCCAGTTCCAAGAACCAAGTACTTGGCCTTCGTGATGCGACCATCTTCGGTGCGCACATTCCACTTGCCGGTGGCAGTGTCGAAATCCGCACCAACAACAACAGTGTTGAAGGCGCAGTCCTTCTTGATGCCGACTACCTTGTCGACATGGTCGAAATAGTCTCGCAGATCTGCGTACGTGGGATAGTTGCTTGGCCAATTCCATGTACTCCAAACCTCGGGCCAAGAAAACTCATACTCGGGGACCTCAGAGTCAACACCGGCGCCGGGGTAGCAGTTCCAGCGCCAGGTGCCTCCAGTGTCATTTCCAGCCTCGAAGATCACAGTCTTGTAACCGCGGTCTCGGAGGGTTTTGAGCATGAAGATACCAGCTGTTTCGGTGTTAGAATAGGATATCTACAAGATGGTTTAACTTACCGAAGCCGGCACCAACAACCAAGGCATCAACCTCGAGGTTCTCGGCATAAGGACCAGTCTTCTCTTGGTGGGAAACCGAGTAGTCCGTCAGCTCAGTGTTGAACTTCTTGGATCGTACAGGGATTGGTTCGCCCATCTTGATGCAGGTGAGTGAAGAAGTAGTTTACGAAAGTCTTGGGGCTTTAGAATGCTTGAGATGAATCGAGATGATGAGTGTTTCTTCTGTTATTTTGGTAGATTATATGTCTATATTTATAAGAGTTTTACTGTTACGTTTTCTCTATCACTCTGAGATTGCTGCGGACGCACGATTGACGCAATCAGCTCGTTCAATGCCATCTACCGAGCGTTCCGCTCAGGCAACTTTCCGCTCGTGGTGATCCGCATCGCCATCCGCATCTCAATCCGCAGCCTTGATACCGTCCGCACCTTCATCCGCATTCCCATCCACCTCGCCATCCGCACCTGTCTCTCAGAAACCAAACAAGAGCTTCCCCGCCGCATCCCCGGATTGTCAATACGAGGCACATTAGCTTGTGGGTCAAAGCGCACTGCGGAACCAATCGTACAGTGAAGCTAGAAGCAAGTTCATGAACATCTGCGGATGCGGAACCGCATCTACCATTAACGATCCGCAACAGCTTCAGCTACCCCGCATTACGGCTCCGCACGGACTTGTTAGTGGCTCTTGGGATGAAGTCTAATTGTCGGTTATGCGAGATGTTGAAAAGCGTCTTCCGAGCTGGGATTAAATAGCTGCGTGTACCTCGGTGAAGATACAGACAAATCACCTCTAATTAAATCTTTACCAGATACCGTCAGAATGCCTTTCAACGCTCAAGTTCTATCTTCTCTCCGTGAATCTGTGGATGCAGCATGCTCCGATCAGAAAGCCGGTATCCCGGGAGCTACGGTCGTCATCGTCGGCAAAGATGGCAAGGAGCTGTTTGCTCACTCGGCCGGCAAGCGAGGTGTTGTTTCCAAGGACCCAATGACCCTTGACAATATCTACTGGATTGCTTCATGCACCAAGATGCTTACAGGGGTTGCTTGCATGCAGCTCGTGGAACAGGGCATCCTGAAACTAGACGACGGCGAACATCTCGAGAATCTTTGTCCGGAGCTGAAGGATTTAAAGGTGCTGTTACCCAATGGGATATTAGAGCCAAAGAAAAAGCGCATTACGTTGCGAATGCTATTGAGTCACACTGCAGGGTTTGGTTACACGTTCTTCAATGAGCGCCTTCGGGACTGGGCTTTGCCAGTGGGCGGAGATGAGTTTTCTGGAAGACTAGAGGACGTCGTGACGCTACCATTGCTTTTCCAACCTGGAGAGGGATGGGAATATGGAGTACGTACAACATAACTACCCTGCTCTCGTGCAAATATCCTGGTGGATGATGGTTGCTAACAAGCCAGGTGAGCATTGACTGGGCAGGAATTGCACTCGAACGGGCGTCCGGATTAACCCTCAACGGGTACCTGCAAAAGAATGTTTTCCAACCCCTGGGAATTAAAGACATGTCGATGATTCCGAATAAAGATATGAGGAGCCGACTTGCGTACATGCACAGCAGAGATCCTGATGGTACATTGCGTCCGAGGGACCATCTGCTCCGGCAGCCTCTGGTCGTGGATCCAGACGACGAATCGGAAACGGCAAGAGTTTTCAACAGTGGCGGAGCAGGGATGTTTGCAAAGCCACAGGATTATTGCAGTAAGTTCTCATCCCATCCATGGGCATCTATTGGTAAGCGCTGACTCTCTGCAGAGGTGTTGGCGGTGATACTCAACGACGGAACATGCCCGCGCACTGGAGCCAAGATCCTCAACAAGACAACCGTGGAAGAAATGTTCCGCAACCAGATCGCCGCCTTTCCAAATGCCAGCCGTCAACCCATCCCCGCGGCGAAGCCAGACCTGACCAACCCCATTGGCGAACTGTACCCGGTTCCCGGAAACCCGCCGCAGGGCTGGGGCCTCACCTTTATGCTGAGCAACGGCGGAGCAACCGGCCGATCTACCGGCACGGGGCACTGGGCAGGATTGCCGAATCTGTGGTGGTGGTGTGACCGCGAAAATGGAGTCGCAGGGATCGTCTGCACCCAGATCCTGCCGTTCGCAGATGGCAAGGTCGTAGGGCTGTGGGCTGATGTTGAGGCTCAAGTGTATAAGGCGATTGCGTAGAGGAGAGACTGGGAGGGAGCGTGGGAGTAGGGAGAGTGTCATTTACCATAGTACATTAGTCTCTCGTCTGTACATGCAACTCATTTCTGACCCTGGACGCTGCAACGTGGTTCCTAAACAGTCTCTAGCCCATAATGTCACTGTAAACTCCTCCCTCCTCATATATCCCCCCATTACCTCCCGCATCCAAAGACCCAAGCCCACCAAGTACCGGTACCCCATCCTTCTGCACGAACAGACTCCCGTTTGACCGTTCGGGCCTCACTCTCGATCCCAATACGGGCAAGTCTGCTGACGCATGCTGCAAGTTGATGCTAGCAGAACGCGGGGAAGCGGGGATGCAGGGGTGTTCGGGGAGCATAAGGAGCCGGAGTCACCTCATATCCTTACCTTTCTCGAGTTCTCCTGGACACACACATCTGGAGTCTGACCTCGTCCCCGCCGGAAGAGCTGGACCGGAGTTGCTCGCTTTCCACGACCCGCCACGTAGCCCGCCTCGCCATCTACCAGGGAATCGGCTCGGTTTCAGAGCACAGCGTCCAATATGAGACGTCAGAATCACTCGTGTGATCAGTGCAGAAAATCCAAGCGAGCATGCGATGCCCCGCGTTTGGACGTCGCTCGACGCCGAGCTCCGGCCGACGCGGCAGTTGGGTCGAGCGAGAGAGCCGGTCAGTCCATTATTCCTCCGCTGCCATTCTACCCTGGTCAAATCGCAGTAGCTAACTGGGTCTAGATGCTGACGCGAGAATTCGGCCATGTTCGTATTGCCTCAGGACAAAAAAGAGGTGCACAATGGACTGGGCTTTATCGCAGATTCGCCTCGAATCTGCCCCATCCTCCACTTCCAGTTCTAGCACAAGGGATCAATTAAACCCGGTGCCGACAAAGCGACAGAGGATCGACGTCGACAGCATTCAGCCGTGGACCGTGGACGACGCGATAGAGGAGGAGTTTGACCCCGGCTGCGCATCAACATTTCTCCAAGATGCCACTCAAATCCAGGATCTCGTGTTCCAGGATGCAGCGATTCCCGATCTCGATCTGTCCACCGCAACCTCACTTAACATCTTGCAGTTTGACGCAATGCCAGACGAAGGCCTCGCCCAGACTGAGCTGCTGGAGCCCTCTATCGAGGGATTAACTGGATCCGCTGTATCCTGCAATACGTCAAGTTCTTCTGCCAGCTCATTCCCGCAGCCCGATTTAAATCTGGAGATCTACAATGCTTGGCAACTCCCCGAGGCCTGCTCAGTTAGCCAATCCATTTCTTCTTCCCAATCACGGCCGCCAACCTCAAAGCGACGCCGAAGGTCCAGTGGCTGGACGGACTACCAGAATCGCTCAATCTCTCCCTTCTCCATCGATCAAACCATGATGGCCAGGTCCAACAACTCGCTCATCTCGACCAACCTGCTCCAAATTTACCACGACGTCTTTGAGCACAACCTCTCCTGCTGGTTGACGGAAGTTACATGTCCGTACAAGCCCCCGCGCTGGAGGCCAGACGTGGCAAGCACAGCGAATCTGAAAAGGGAATGGGGTCCATTCTGGTCCAACAGGATATACCGCCGAACCGTCAAACTCGACCGGGTCGCACAGTCGGGCAGCATGGTACTCCTAAGTCGTTCTGAAGACCAAGCAGCCCAACGAGCTCTCCATCTTGCAATTATGGCATTTGCGACACAGTGGGCTCAAGGGAGTCGTCGTCAGCGGCAAAGATACTCGGCCACCATCGATGCGAGTGACGATAATCCGTTGGATGATCTTGCCGATGAGATGGCTGACGAGTTTGACCGCAATCTTCAGCGTCACTTCTGGGAACAAGCACAGAGAGCGCTGCAGGAGGTCTCAGACGTGGAGTCCTACAGAGTCGTCTGCGCGGAGCTGATATTCGGACTGACACAAAAGCCATGGTCGAATCACGATAGCCCAAACATCCTCGACCCAGCCATGTTTTCGAGTCGTCATGGAATACGAGACATGAAGACGTCTATCGTGACTCAAATCAACAGCATCATATCGAAAGAAGGACCCCCGATTTACGTGGAGAGGGCGGCTCGAAAGATGCATGCGCTCAAGTACCGATACGACGCTATTCGACGACGTCTCGATTCGTCCACCAACGGACACGGCAAAAAGGTGGCCGAGACCCTTTCCATCAGCGCCGAGGATAAACACACCATAGGACTCCTTTATTGGCTTGCCGTCATGTTTGATACCGTCTCCTCATCGATGAATGAACGGCCAGTCGTCGTTGGGGATGAAGAGTGCCAGCATTCCTCTCCGCAAGAGGAGTCTTCTATCGACGATGAGGTGGATGAGACGTCGAGTGGGCGTTGGAAGATTGATGTCTTCATCCAAGACGACCTTCAAGCACCCGCTCAATTCCTTCATTGGCCCTGCTCCTATGAAGCTGCCGCGGAGGCTGTCACCAGGTCAGCGCCGGTGAAGGTCTTGCTATTTCGGCACGTTTCTTATTTGCAAAACATCCTTCGAAAAGGTGGTCGCGGACAAAAGGTCGAAGAGATTCTCAGGAGCACCACTTCCGTCTACCGGTATTGGAACATGACTTATGGGTCCTTCTTTCGAGAACTAGTACAGCAGTTCGACGGCGTGCCCCCGCGAATACAGGGCTGGTTCGTCTGCATCTCGGCACATTGGCATCTCGCCGCTCTCATGTTGGCGGACCTGGTGGAATTTGTCGACGAGAACAACTTGGGCGTGGAGGTTGCCGTTCGCAGCCGCGTGAACAGCAAGATGGCCTCCCGGATACGAGAAACGAGCGTAAGAGAGCTCTCCGATCTCGCCAGCGTTGCTACGCCGCCCACCGAGGAGCCAGGGAATCACGCCGCTCCGCAACTACCAGATTTCCACCATGCCGTCAACGAGGGCACGATTTTAACGGAGCCTTGGACCATGATATTGATCAGGGCTTTCAGCAAGGCATCGGTTATTCTCCTGGGAGAGGCGGATGAGTCTCTGCGATACGGCAGGGCAACGCTTGGTCACAATAATGAAGACTTCAAGAAGAGTCTGGAGAGAGCTGAGGAATGTGTCAAAGCGTTGTGGCTTCTGGGCAAGAAGTCGGATATGGCAAGGAAAATTGCAGAAGTATTGTCGGTAGCGTCGGACGGGTTGAGAAGATGAAGATCAATTGAACTTGTACTATAGCATCCCATGAATACGTACTTCTATGTAGCGAGTCTATGTTACTTCTATCTTGCGGGTAAGGATGTTATTCTCAATGTTCCTAGTCGTTACTCTCCATGTTAAGACCGAGTTATGCTTCCCCTGCGGCCGATCTCTTATGAGGGAACGGAACTCGTCTCCGTCAACCAACGTCCAATTTGATCCAACAGAAGCCAGAAACACCCAACTACTGCCTCGGCATTCCAGGCCCATTGCTCTGATCTAGACAGGGTTCTCCAAGTCGAGATCGCAACCCAATCGAGATCCATGTGCCTCGTCACCGCAGTGCGGACCCGCATCCGCAGAGCTCGGCAGCTGCGGGCCCGCAATCGTTTCGGTTAACTCGAATGACGTGCGATGGTCCATCACATGGACATTCTCCATTGCATTAGGTTAGTATGGAACTTGGATGGCTTCTGTTTGTTTCTCCGGCGGGGCCTCTGAGCGCAGCTGACCTGCAGCCGAGTTCGTTGCGACGTGAGAATATGCAGCTAATCCAAGGTTATTCGTCCGCTTGTTCCTCCGGCTGTTGTCCTCTGACTGACCTGGAAGAAGCTCTGTTCATGCCAGTGACTTGACTGGACGTGGAGGTCGGGTTTAAAGCTTCATGTCTGTGGAGGTAGTAGATGCAATTATTCGTATATCTATGCAAATCTATGTCGCTCATAAATGCCCGCTAATAATACAAACCTATACTCCAAACTCATCGATCACGCTTGGTGACTCGGTGAAACTATCGCCTACACCCACAAACGGCATCTTCAAGCCGAAGCCCTCCGGCCCTCCGATCTTCATACCCTTGTCCGTCTTCCAGAGCGGATGAGCTGGCAGGGCAATGACGTTGACACGTAGCCCGTATCGGAGATCTTGAGACCCAATCGCTTCTCCGTCCTGGCCGAGGATCGAGATCAGGTCTGGAACTGTGCACACCACCTCTTGCGTCTCCTCGGTTCCGGCCGAGTCGGTGAGGGCGGCGTACAGGTATTCGTTTTGGAACGGTATCGTCATGTGCCTGTCGGTTGGAACAGGTTGCTTGCTTGTGCCGGCTGACTCCCGGTCGTCGTCGTTGAGGGGTGCTATCACGACTGCGCCCATTGTGTATCCGCCGTCGACGAATCGACGCACATCGACGATTTTTCCGGTAAACAGAAGCTTTCCTGCACACACGTCGAACTATTGTCGTGTTAGAATATCCTTGAGACGCAATGAGAGATACTCACAATTGCATCAACATAGCTTATCTTCTTGCGTCGTGCCAGGTGTACTGCCCGTCCCAAGTACCACGCCAGCGACAGCGTGTTGGGGACACCGTGAGACTTGACTGCAGATCCGGGCAGCGGGTTCGCGGATACAGCACATCCAAGGCCCAGCTCGACTGCTGTAGTTCGTAAAATACTCTCTAATCGCAAAGGAGAGTCTGTGTTCTGTGTAGCGGTCAGCAAAGGTGCAGCAGGCCAGACAGAGATCCCTTACCATGACTATAGAGCTGTTTCCTCGGGCGTCGGAGAGGACGCAAGGAACCATGGAGTGCCCATAAACGCTAAACGTAGCTATTCCAGGTTAGAAATGCCGAGATGGGTGCAAAACACTTCTTACCGTGGTACATGGTCGGATATGCTCGTCCCATCGCGTCGCCGTCAATCACCGGCACGTCAAAATGAACGCCGGTCGGGAATGCGCTCATTCCATTTCCGCCGCCGCTGTCATGGTCAGCTTTGTGCGAGATGAGGCCAGTAGTTACTTACATCTCGTCGATAAACATGCCCTCAAAAGACGCGATGCCGCAGACCTTGTTTACGGCCTCGATGCCCACGGCAATCTCGTTGCCTCCAGCAATCCGTTCGTTGATGACACTCGGGCTGCCGTACCAGGAGCCAAAGCAAACCATGTCTGTATCTTTGAGCGCCTTTGGCGAGATGATTCTCATTTTTCCCTTGGGACTGGAACGAAGGACATGCAAGCCCTTGAGGTACTCGTGATGCGTTGGGCCACCACCGCCAGTGCCGAGAACGCCGCATCCAGTTGAGAATAGCTCCAAGTCTACCTCAGACACATACCAAACCCCATCTCGCACATCCGGGCGATAGGTCTCGAGGTCAACTTTGAGGGACGGCCTGGTCGTAGACTCCAGAGCATTGGGAATACTCGTCTTCTGGCCTTCGTCCTCATCTTGCGCCTCCTCCATCTCATGTATAGGCGGAGACGGCGGGGGAGTCAATTCGGACGGAATGGAAAGACGGCCGACAGCTCTGATCTGGATTCTAATTGCGCCGTTGTGCATGTACTGAAGCGGCATCTTGTTGACCTCGACGATCTGGACATCCTCCCGCGCGGCGCCTTTCTGCACAGCCAAGTCAACGGCCTTCTTGCACGCAGCGTCGATGACGGTCTTTTCAGAGCGTCCTTTGGGGATCTCGACGATGTCGATCTCTCCAGACACCTTGGCAATGGCGGCGCCGACTGCGTTGGCGGCGCCTTGGTGGATGGGATGGATACATTTGGCGACGCCTTGGAGATCTTCAGTCACAAGCATGGCGCCGCCTCCGACCAGGAGAACATGCACTGGTGCCGACGAGACCTTCATCTGCTCAATCACACTCTCTAGCATTCTCTTAATCTCCTTGTTCGCGCTCTCCACGAGCGCGTGGGGGACATCCTTGACCAGCTCGGGGTTGCCAAGCTCGCTTCTACCCATCGCGACAACAACGTCGGTCGCAGTCAGAGTCTCTCCACCAAAGACCTTGGCCTGCGTCTGAATAAAGTGTCCAACAGAGCCCGGTCCAATAGTGACGGCACCGTCTGTCGAGTTGGCCTGGACTTTGCTGCCACCGCCGAGGCCGATGGAGAGGAGTTCAGGCATGGAGAATGCGGTTCGGACACCTCCCACCTCGACAAAGCCCGGCGCCTGGCGAGGGAAACCGGACGGCATCAAGGCACAAACATCTGTTGTCGTGCCTCCAATATCGACGACAAGGATCTGCGGCTCAGTTACGTCGCTTGGATTCGATTCCGTATCGGCTCGTTTCTGGTGGTCGATGCCCGCGAGAAATGCAGCGCCCGTCATGCTGTTGGTCGGGCCACTCGCAAACGTCTTGATCGGATACTCAGCAGCCGTGTCGGCATCAATCAGAGTGCCATCGTTCTGCGACAGATACAGCGGACACGAGAGTCTCAGGCGGGCCATGGCTCGCTTGAATCCCCTCTTCACCCGGTGGCCGGTCCTGAGGATGGCGGCATTGAGAATAGTGGCATTTTCCCTCTCCAGAAGCCCGGTCGGTCCAATGTCATGCGAGCACACGACTTGCAGCTCAGGCGCTTCCCGCAGCAGAATCCGCTTGCACTCCTCCTCGTGCGTTCCTTCATGGTCCAGCGGCGAGAAGACGCCGACCAGCGCAACCGCCCGGATGCCAGAGGCGACGATGTCTTTGGCGGTTTGGCTAATCTGCTGCGTGTTGAGCGGCGCAATCTCGCGCCCGTCAATTTCGTGACCCCCGTCGAGATAGTACGCGCCGCCATCTAGAATGCTGCGCAGGCCGACAGGGAAGTCCGAGAAGGGAGGGATCTGCCGCGTAAAGGGGCCACAGAGCCGAACCACTGCAACGCGGTCCAGCCTTCGTGCGTCGGCCTCAACCAGCGCATTAATGAAGTGCGTCGTGCCAATCGTCACGCTCAAGACCCGGTCCTGATCGACCTTGGAGTCGTCCAGGACCGCACGGATGGCGAACTCTATGCCGCTGGTTATGTCCTGCGTAGTTGGGGCTTTATGGGACGCGAGCACGCCACGGCCAGGGCTGTCGAAGGCCTTGATGTCGAGAATCGCGGCATCTGTGTTGGTCCCGCCGACGTCTACTCCAATGCGGTACAGAGACATGGTGAAATGCGATGCAATTGTCCCGAGATTCCACCCCGAGCTGACGACTAACACCTTTGCCACCTTATGTATTCACGCGACCCAGCCACGACCATCGCCGAACTTGATTCTCTCGTAAGAGCCCATCAGGCTGGTGTACCCACAGATCCAATAGAACCTGTCGCGATCGTCCAGCGTCTCGTGGGGCCATGGCCAGAGCACGGGAGCAACTTGACGCGTAACCAGTTCGCCGTCTACAGGGGAGTTTGCCGGCCTTGATACTGATTGGTGCGGAATGTTCGGTTCGCCGACGTCTCGTCAAGTTGGCCGATCTTCACTATCAGTTACCCGAGGTCGAGATAAAGCTAACGCCAACCATTCTCAATTGGACGCCATCTCCTGAGTTCTTGTATCACGGCTCCATCAGCCACTGGCAAGTTCAAGACGCCCTTAAAGGCATTCGGCCTCGACTTCAACTCACTCTGCAAGTAAAACGGGCTATTCCGGTCCCTGGGTTCCAAATCCGCACAATCCGGTCCGCTCTGCTGCCCAGAGAAATTTTCACGATGGGCGTGTCGGAACAGATCAAACGCGTCGAGCTGCCAAACGGGTCTCAGTGGATTGTATGTTGCTATTAGCAAACCTCTCTAGGACTCTCTAACAGTGTATAGAACGATGATGTACGGCCCGTCAACGCCGAGAGGCGCACGTGGACGTTCCTCGCCTATCACAACTTCTGTAAACACCTCCACGACGCGATGTGCTGCACCAGAGCTGACTCCTTCGACAGGGCTGTTGATCAACTGCAACATCGCAACGTTTCTGACTGGCAGTGCACTAATTCCTCTGGGATTAACCTGGTGGCAAGCCATCATCTGTATGAATCCACCTCCACCACGCGACGCGTCTAACACGTGTCAGGCATTATTGTGGGAAACCTCCTTGCTACGGGTGCGATCCTCCTGGCCTCAATGGCTGGAGCCTATTACCATAGTACGTATCAACTCGATTGACGACAAGCATATACTAACAGTCTCAGTTGGTTTCCCCGTATTTAGTCGAGCAGTGTGGGGTCTCTGGGGCGCCCAGTTCGTTGTCTGGAACCGCATCTTTCTGTCATTAGGTAAGTTCCACGCACTATAGTCCTGTTGTTTCACTAGCTAACTGAATGCAGTTTGGTAAGTCAAGTTACAGCCTAAAGACAAGGCTCATTCTTACATCCCACAGGTATGGCTTCCAATCATGGGTCGGAGGAGAGTGCATCTACCTCATCATTCTATCATGGGATCCCGGCTTTGAAGGACACATCCACAACACCATCCCCGCCGACACGGGAATGACGTCGGCCCAGTTTCTGTGCTACTTCATCTTCTGCATCATCAGCCTTCCGTTGCTGATGATCCAACCTCATCGGCTGCAAAAGTTCTTTTACTTTACCAGCACGATAACCCTAATCTTCTTCGTGGTTCTCCTGATCTGGGCATTGGCCACAATGGGACCTCGTGGTTTTGGAGACACCATCAGCTCTGGATCTGTCCTTCCCGCAACTGGGGGCCCAGATAGCGTCGCGTGGCTCATGATTATGGGCATCATGTCCACTATTGGTTCGATTGCAGCGGGCATCCTCAACCAAAACGACTACGCTCGACTTGCTAGACGTCCTGGCGATGCCATCTGGGGACAGGCTTTTGCCTTTCCCTTCTACGGTATTTTTGCTTCAATCCTGGGAATTCTTGTCACGGCAGCAACGCAGGATCGCATGGGTGAAGCGATCTGGAACCCGCCAACGTTGTTCGTCCGTTTGCTCGAAAAGGACAATAGTGCCGGAACTCGCGCAGCCGTCTTCTTTTCGGGACTCGCCTTGGTAGTTTCGCAGATTGGAAGCAATCTCCCCGGTAACGCACTGGCTGGTGGCATCGATCTGTCTTCCGTGTTTCCTCGATACATCAACATTCGACGAGGAGCGTACATTACTGCGATTCTTAGCCCAATCGTCAACCCCTGGCGACTCGTCAATACCGCCACCATCTTCCTTACAGTCCTGTCGAGTTATGGCGTATTCCTTGCACCGATGACGGGCTTGATGGTTGCAAGCTACCTCGTCGTGTGCAAGCAGAAGCTGAACGTCGACGACCTCTACCGTGGCGATAAGGGCAGCATATACTGGTACACGTGGGGCGTCAACTGGCGTGCTCCGGTTGCGGTATGTATTCGTCTCCATTTAAATAAGGCTTGACTGACAGTTTCCACAGTGGATTGTGGGGGTCGTTCCCTGTCTGCCCGGTTTTATTGCCGCAGTAGACACCTCAGTCAGCGTTTCTGATGGTGCAACGGAACTATACTACACCAATTATATGTATGGCTTTCTTTCAAGCGCCTTGGTCTATAGCGTGCTTCACTTTGCGTTCCCCGATGCCAGGTCGGATGATTTCGTGCGCAACAGCCCCAGTGCCAGGGATCTCCAGCAGCAGTATCAGTCTCGGTGGGATGATGTGACATTGGCAGAGACACCGGAACTCCATGACGACAGCTCGGATTCACATAAGAACCAGGGACTGGAGACGACTACTCGGATTTAGAAGAACGACGTTAAAAGAAGAATGTGTTTCAATTGGCAGGGCGAATTTTAATGTTTTGGTCGATATTAGTATAATAAATGGAACATGGGCTTGCTAGTCTTTCTCGCTAAATGTGGCCAAGCCAAACTGGCATTCAATCGCCGTAGCATTGACAATCGCCTGTCCACGAGTCATGCTCAATCACGCCCGAATCTCAAACAATTCTCTGCGTACTAATCAATTAGGGCGCGCTCAACTGGCCAGGTACCCCGAAGTAGCCGAAGTCGGCAAACTCCATCGGCCAACTTCGCGTCGGCGAAACTTGCGACGCGGGTTCTCCGAATTCTCGGTCAACTCCTTCACGTTGTCATCGAATCAACGGCTGCTGGCATGGAGCCCGGGACTGAGCCACCTGCTCAAGCAGGCAATTCGTCGCGAAAGTACACCATCAGAAGCAACTTTGGCCAGTCGAGAACGCCTCGAAGCCGCAAGAACCGCCCGTGCGATGCGTGCCGCCGCCGCAAGACGGCCTGCGTCATCCCCAACAAACCCCCTTGTGAGTGAGCCGCCCGCCGCGGCAGCGACTGCATCTGGAGGCTGAAGCTTACTCCTGATATAGGTCTCTTCTGCAGTAGCAGAGGCTTGGTCTGTCGGTCATCGGCTGCTGATGCGGCTCCAGACCCTCACGTCACGACTCCAAAGGCATCGCCTCTCTCCAATGGCCCCGAGAGTTCGGAGGCTGGCCCTTCTCCCGCTAGCACAGATCGCCAGAGCGTGTACGAGGGCTCTGTCTCATCTACGATAGTCAGTGATGGTCTCGTGCGCCAGCCGGTTCTCGTGGACATAGATGCCGCGGCATCGTTCGCCTTGTCCGCTCTGGATCCGCCTGAGACTGATGTGCACACATTGGAAGACATGGAAGACAGAACGTCGCATTCGATGGGGCTGGCTGGCGAGCAAGACACGTACTTTCTCGACTCATTCAGATCGGTGCTTCTGAGCGAGCAGGACGAGATTGATGCCAACTTCACCCAGGTCTATGACGGCAGCTCGCAGCCGCATCATCATCCGGTCCATTTTCTGATGCTCCTCAACGGATTCCCCGACCACACGAATCTCGCGATGCAGGAGGCTTCGGATGCCATTGAGAGCCGTGTATGGCCTCATGGTCCGGCTCTAGTACGCCTGTACTTTAAACACGTTCATCCGGCGTATCCGGTCGTCTCCAAGGTCCGTTTCCTGCGTCAGTACGCCGCGGCCAAGCTGGAGATTCCAGCTTCACTTCGCGGCGCCGTGTATGCGTTGGCCTGTGCGTTCTGGCATCGCGATCCATCGCTCGAGGGACCATGTCCCTTCCAGCAACATGAAATTCTCAAACATTGCCATATAAGTCTCCGACGAGAGCTCGAGGCGCCCAATCTGTTCAAGCTGCAGGCGTGTCTACTGCTGCCGCATATCATACCTCCAGATATTGACAGCGTCGAAACACCAAGCACTTGGATAATGGCATGTCAAGCTACTGCATGTGCTCAAATGATTGGTCTCCATCAGGATCCTGGATCATGGAGCATAGCAGCCTGGGAGAAAAGGATACGGAAGAAGCTGTGGTGGGCTACGTACGCCAATGATTGCTGGTCCTCCGTGTGCCACGGCAACCCGCCGCACATTGGCTGCGACACGTTCGACACGACGCCTCCGACCTTGGATGACCTCCGTTTCGACGAAGATGTGCCTGAAGAATTGCACTACTTGGTGGATCCTGAAAACACCAGCTTTCGAATATCTGACGGGGCTCGGTTCTTGGAGATGGTCAACATCGCCCGGAACTTGCGAGCAATTCTAGACTGCAGCTTGTGAGTTCTCACTCTCAACGATCCAGAGCCGTACTAACACGTAAATAGCCAAGTGAAGAGGAACATGAGTAACCCACAATCTCGACCCCAGCTTACGGCATTGCGTGAAACGCTCAAAGACTGGCCAAGTCTTATCCCGCAGTGTTTGATAGTTGAAAAGGACACCCGTCACAATGGTAGGCTTCAGCATGAATAGCTTCCGGCTTTGTATTAACCTCTGTAGGCCCTCTCCATCTGTCATTCCACGCTACCCAAGTTCTCTTGTTCCGCGGTCTTATGTATCCAGCAACGAAAGAAGCAAAGGCCACTCCCGGTTCAAACCTGCGGCAGTGGCTCACCGTAGCACTCGCACAGTTCAAAGTGTTTACCACTTTTATGAGAGACATCACTGAAGAGGAGTTGACCGGTTTCTGGGTCCGCCGTAAGTCAATTTCCAATACCCCTCGATCAGCTCCTGACCTGTATAGACGCCCGATCTCAGCTCATTCTCTGCGGCAACTTTCTCATCTACTTATTTCTGCTGGCATCCGAACCACACGATGTTGAAGCAGCTTATCAGCTGTTGGAGAAGTTTCACCAATCGTTGCAGCGTCTAGGGGGCACGAAAGATATCAGTGCAAGATTACTTCTGCGACCCGCCATGCTACGGATCGACTCATTCTTTATCCAAGCCACTGAGCTCATAAAGCAGGGGCGCAGTGGAGTTGGGGAGTCTCCCGCCGTTAGTGTGCAATAGAATATGTGCTTGAATTAGTCAACTTTGTCACAATCGTGACACAATTTCGTGAACAAACGTAGTAGATAGTGCATATGAGGGGTTAACAGCACGATTAGCAGCACGATACCGGAGGACTGTCCTGATGTAGTCAAATGAGTGCATCACAAGGTCAGATATTGGCAGGCTAGGTCATTCTGCTGAAGGAGTATAACATGTGATGAATATCGGCAAACCCAATCTCTACTTGATCATCGAACAGATCGGCCAAGAGTTTATCTCTCGTGCAATCACAACGACAATCGTAAGGGGTTTGCCGATGTCGCCGTCGTTCGGGGAACTATCGGCTAGTAGGAGCCGGTCCCACCAGTAACTAAGGCTTGGCTTACACCATCATCATCCTCTAGCTCGTCCTACGCCGAGACCTTACTACCGCTAGTTGATGTGATGTGTTGGATCATCACATCGGCCAACTTCGAGGAGGCAAATTTCATTTATGATATGTAATCGTCCATATCATGCATGTCTATCAAATCCGCCTGGCTGCTAATTCTGATTTGCCCATTTTTAAAGACTTGCTATCATGGCCCAAGACTCCGAGGCTGCTCTCCAGCGGAAATAGCCTGTTCAGGCACAAGCCCATAGGGCTGAGTCGCTAATCTCGGAAGTTCCCCCATGTAGACAGGATCCCCGCACCTCGAGGTCAGATTGGTTTGTCCTTCTCCTACCTCTATATCCAGATTATTCTCCATGGCATCACGAGACCTCCACAACATGGTGTACAAGATGCAAATGAACTGCATCGCCATGGTTAAGGGATGCATAAACCGAGATGTCGTCCTTCTCACTCACAAGATTTCATTGACGGTGTTGAATCTCAAGATCCTCAATGTAACGAGAAGAATCCTCTTGAGCCTTGAGCCATCCCAGCCTTCTTGCCTCGTGGGTTTGGATTTCTTATCTGAACACGCATGATCCCGGTGGCAGCCCTAGCCCTGAGGATGAGAATAAATTCTTTCGACATTTGAGGACGCGAATAGCACGGCCACTGCCCACGGAATCTCAACACCGGTGATAAAGCGGCTCAAGGCAGTGAAGGTATGTGTTTTGGGGAAATGCTTTGTTGCAGGGTAGTCCAGCCTCGCGCAATCCCCCATCAGATAGGAGTAGGGTATGCAAGTGCATCTCGCTTGTTAATGCGAATGACGGTTTATTCTAGAAGCCTGGTTGGGTATGTATGGCCAGATGCAGAGCTTTATGATCCCTGGGAGCCCTCTTCGACGCTTCTGTTTGCTGGTCATCGCTAATCCTTGGCCAGCGACCGACTAAATGTTCCAGCACTTGAAGATGCAGGTGGCACCTAACCCTGCTGCTGTTCAATAGGGCATATTCAGTACATCGCAAAGCATTCCCGACTTGTCAATTGTGCAACTGTGCAAAGTACTAGGTACTTCTCACAGCACTCTGAAATACGGCAAATACGCGTGGTGTGCCAAGATAACACCCCGACCCCAGTATTCAGCTCATGCATTCCCACTGTTACGCCTCATTTTATCACCGCAGCGAGCGAATGGGGTGCCAACAACCCCTGGAAGTTTGTGAACGGCCTTATCAACAGCCTGGTCGTCGAGGTGCGACACGCGCATCGCCTCTCACATCCTACTGGCTCTGTATTCAGCTCATTTCAGCTGCCACATCCTCAAGCCGTTCACAGCTAAGATGGCCCCTGTGGTTAATTATTAATTGAAGGTTACTCTCCAACTAGAAGCAGCGTGCCTCATTCTTTTTGTTTCGCGATTTGTGGCCTTGAGCTTGCGGCTGAGCTTTGGATTTCCTCACATCATCAGTCTTGACTCTCTCTTCCCTATTCGTGTCTCTCTCGCTCTTCATTTCCTTTCTCATACTCAACCACCATGCATCGACACTAGGATGTCAAAGTTGCCTATTAATTCCCAATTCGTAGGTACCGGTAACTTTAATCAACTTCTGTCGGCCACAATTATTCTTTATTCCACGTTGCCGGGGCTTCGCACTCTCAATGATATTTCGCTTTTTTTGCGCCCGTCCACACCTTCTTTTGCATAGCGGCACTCGCTCACCGATTATCAGGTGTATCGATTCTAATTGTACTGTACTGGTGCACATCAACAGGGGCATTCTCGCCCCTTCAGAGCTTGCCCAAAGAAAATCCGGTGCTGAGGACTGTTGTTCCCATATTGCCGCTGGAATCCTAGTCCCCTTTATTATGGCTCCATTTACCCTGGAAGCCCACTTCGTCACCAACGCGTTCAGTGATATCATTTCCAGCGTGAAAGTGAGTCAATCCTTACATTAAATGGGTTATTAGTTCAAACCAATATACCTTTTTCAAGATCTGCCATGGACACTCATAGCATTGTTGTTTGGAAGCACACTGGACTCTCATATCTGGAGCCAGCAAGGTAGAGAGATATAACTTACGGCGTAGAAGTTGAAACAATAAAACAAAGAAATCAAGCACAGTTGTCAACAAATGTTCTTGTTTGCGAGTCGGAATCGTGATCAGGGCTGGACTTGACGATCAGCGAACTTGGGACGACACCCACCAACAGTCACCTTATTAATTAGCAATCCGAAACCTAGGCCCGCGTGCCTATATCTCAATCGTGGAGAGAATCAAAGGGAAAGATGAGGCAGGTGAAACCGATCAAGGCCTAGGGCTAGTCTGGCAACCGGGATAATTCCCTGAAAATAACAAAAAAAAATACCGGCCTATCAACTTTGAATCCCTACCCAAAACAACTTCTGGCTTTAATTTTAGACCCCACTGTAGCTATAATCTTTGACACCAATCTTCAAAATCAGGCTCGGCAAACTGAGGTTGGCCGCGGTATCGGGGTCTGCAAAATCAGGCTGCGATTCAGACACGTCGCCACATCGACCGCGACTACTAAGCTGACCTGACTATTTCCTAAAAAGCACGGAGTGGCGTTGTCTCAGAAAGCCACCCCCTCAGATAGTCACACCTGAGATTGCAAGGCTCCTCAAATCACCACACTCCTACAAATGTGGATTTTACTAATTGTCACAAAATCATTCACTCAAGTTAAGTAGTAGCATAAATAATTAGTATGTTGCAATCTATGGTCCAAGGTTTGCATCTTGCACTTGGTTAGGTAATATTTCCTGTTCATTATTTCTCCAATGCTCGAATGAGGCATCCCAAAAGCTGGCCATCCGCCCCCACCGATCCTGCCTGTGAAGGGCTGGCAGGGGTAAAACAACAGGCTGGCATGATTGGATAGCCTTACAAGTAAGCAAGGGGGCGCTGATGACCATATTCAAGCTGACGCGCTCGCACTGATCCATTCCTCTCCCTTTCATATCCTCTCCATCGCAGTGGTGAAGAGAGCAATCACGCGCCAACACACCATGCCTCTTAAAAGTAAGAATGCTTTAAGAATCCATGGTATGCCTGGGTGCACTACCAAACAGACCTACGAAGAAGTCGTCGAAATACTCTGTGCACCACCGTCGACACTGACGAAACGTGCTTCTAGCCTTTTCCGTCTGTCGGACATCGGACAGACTAGGAGCAGCACGGATGGAACAACCCCATTGATGACGACCCTTGAAGGTGAAGCATCACCTCAACTGATACCTCGCACTCCTCCGATTCCATCGGACGAACCCGCCAGTACATCATTTGTCTTTCAGCACAAAGACGCCCCGGTGGGTACGATATCGTTCTCGGACCGAAAGAGACTCAAAGCAGCACTGAGCGTGTTTGAAAAGGCCAAAAAGAACAAGGATCTCCACTGGAGTGGCTGGGGGATCACAAACGAGTTTCGAGGTATCACTGTTCTCTACGAATATCCCAGTGCCGATAAGGTGGAAATGGAGTATGTGCTGATATGCTTCCCACCACGTTTGACCTGCTAAATATCCGATTCACAGTATATGCGCCGTCCATGGACTTGGCGGGAACGCTATTGATTCCTGGACAGCAGACAACAGGAAGATGTGGCTGAAAGACTATCTACCATCTTCACAAAACTTTACCAAGAGTCGTATCATGACTTTTGGCTACGACGCAGACTTGGCAGACCAAAGATCGTTAATGACACTTGAAAACTGGGCAGAGAACTTGCTACAGATGCTCATGGAAGTCAGAACTTCTAAGAAGGTACTCCATACAATATTGACGTTTGATCAATCGATCGCAGCTGACTTATCATGAATATAGCAAAGAAGACGGCCATTGCTCTTCGTGTGCCATTCTTTCGGGGGGCTAGTGGTTCGAAAGGTGCGTAACCAAGATACAAACATGGCATTGCATGCTAATAATGACTCTCTTTGCGTAGGCAATGATCAAGTTGTCGACCACCAAGCACAAGGGGCTATCCCTGGCCCAGTGTGGTCTCATCTTCCTGGCTACTCCACACACAGGTACCAGCATAGCTGACTGGAATGCGCTTTTCGTTGCCACTGCCGGCCTAGTTGGCGGAGTCAGGTCAGAAATTGTGGACAGATTGAGAGCATTCAATTCCAGTTCACTGTGGGACAAGAGTGCCTTCCTCAATTTGAATCCACTTCCGCCGTTTCAATGCTATGCCGAGGGTATGTCGGTCCAAAAGTCAGGGATACAGCGAATAGTAAGAGAAATCGAATTTCTGCAAAGTACACTTCTTATTCGTCTTCAGATTGTCACTCAAGATTCAGCGTCCCTCGACTCTCAAACGCCAGCTCATATGATCATGAGGGCTGATCACTGCACAATTTCCAAATTCAGCACAAACTCCATGGAATTCATAACTGTCGCCAACGGCATGTCTCAAGTTTATGCGGAAATCTCAACGACCTACCGCCATTCCTCAGTTGTTAGATATCTGATCTCGCTGAGTCGGCCCAAGTCCGGCTCTGGGAGAGACTCGTCCTCCACAGATACAAATACTGGTTCGGGGTGAGGTCGTTGATAACGAATGGCAGGCAAGCTTGCTGCCTCTAACGACTTGGTAATCCGGGAAGGAATCTAGGGTTCAGGGCGCTTCTTAGTTCTCCTCAAAGGCTACGCCTGGGCTGGCTGACGCTCAGGACCGCGTCAGGCGAACGGAATTCAGGTTCAGTAACCTAGAATGAAAAATGTACTCGGTGGGCTGGGCTCAAAGAGTAAGCTCAAAATAATAAATTTTAATGATCACTTACTGCGTTAGAACTCAACGACACTGATACGACTTGTGGCTATCAGGGATTAGGCCTACTACCATGGAAATAAAATACTAGTTATTAGACAGATGGGTGGAGAGGTCGGGTTTTCGGTCTTTAACATGACTTTCTTTTCTTGAGCTTTGGGGTCCAGCTGCCACTTCAGTAATCAATTTACTCTCTCACACTCAACACCTGCCTAATATTCATTTATTTATATTCACCTGAGCTTAGCTTGTTATGTGCCAATTTTCGGTATGGGTGTTGCACAACCTGCCTTTGAACTTAGGGTCTAGTTTAGGCTGTAGACAATTCCATCTCAGCCAGTCTAGTAGGGACTATAACATTGATTTGAGTTAAAAGGTACGCTTATTATCCAAAGATATCTACTGGCTGTGAATAATGGCTTAAAATTTTGCGGTTCAATATAGAAAGGGCTTACGAAGCTTGTCGGTAATGGGACAATTTCGGTTCTAGTCATACATCTCCATCAGGCAGTTTATCAGGCAGACTTGAGAGCGGGGCTCAGACATACGTCCAAAGGCAATGCATGCAGTTTGTTGGACCATCGGGAGTGAACGAGAATTTTCTACCAACAAACAGTGCAGCTGGTTTGTCATCATGTGACATGGCTGTGAAGTGCAAATGTACGATCAGGCTGACTGGCTTGAAAACCCACTTCCCCTTCCATTCTTCTTTTTCTTCAGTTTCTTCCTGCTCATCTCGCACCCGCCGTCGATGACTATCCATCGCGATCCGTTATTCAACTTGTGCCTGCTATTGGCTGCTTCCTAACTCCGTCCGCGATGGCCGAGGTCGTCGGCCTGGTAGCTAGCAGCCTCACGTTGCTCGAGGTTGCCGACAGAGTCACCCGTGGCCTCTTTCAATTGAAGCGGCTATGGGATGAAGTCAAAGACGTACCTGAAACGATTCGGGAGATTCTCACACGTTTGGACGTCCTCCTTCCCGTTGTCATCGAGATCGACAAAGACTTACAAAGGGAACCGACTATGTCGGGCAACAGCGCCGCTGTTTTGAGCTTGTCATATTGCCAGAACGCAATCAACGAGCTCACGTCAGTGATTGACGACCTGTCGCACAACATTGAATCAGTCAGGGGATTCAGGAGGAATGCCGCCAGAGTCAAAGTCGTGTTAAAGAAAGACGCTCTATCAAAGTATGAACGGAAACTAGAGTGGGCTATTCAGCTTTTACTTCTTGCACAGCAGCTACACACAATGTATGCAGGCCTAAGATTTTTAGGAAGCTACTAACAAGTCACAGCGCCATCTTAAGGCTTCAACCCGAAGCAATTGTACAGTGTCTCGTGTCTTCCGAGCTGTCCATTCGACCAGAACCCGACTCTGAAAAGCACCAGGAGCTATCGCCATCCCTTGAGCAAATTGCCAAGGATGAATCAAGTCAGCAGATTTCAGCCGCTTCGCATTCAAGAAACTGGACGAAATTGCCTTGGAGACGGCCTTCTTTGTTTGGTAGTTTCGTTTATACCTCCCAGCCTTCGAAACCAGACGCTCTATTGAACTCTCTCAGTAAGATGATGTTGTTAATTCAGATGTGATAGGAAGACTCTAACGCCTACCAGGTTATTGTGCCCGACTTCAACTACCTAGGTGGATCACAAACAAGGCGTGGGATATAATGGTCGCCCCAGGACCAAACATATCTCTCCGAGCTTACTCTGTTGTTCCACGCGATTCTCCTATCTTTGAATGTGTTAAAACTGGCGACGTGGACAAGATGTTTGATCTTTTCCGTCAGGGTGCCGCCTCCCCACTTGATGTAGATCAATATGGCCGAGGTTTATTTCAGGTAACGCCTAGGCTTCCTTTGTCGGCTTCCATACTAATTCTTGCACAGACTGCATGTCGCTATGGTAATATTTCCACGATGATAACTCTTCGGCAGCTCGACATTCGATGCCTAGAGATGAGCCAGAGATATTCGTGGATATCAGAATGCTTACACTTTCTTCTCAGGGAAGGCTCTGTGACCGAGGCGTTCTGTCATTTCCTCCTGCAGAATGGGGCTTTTCACAAGGAAGATTACGATTCCGATGAACAATGGGACATTTCTTTATGGAACTCGCAAATTATTTGTGCAAGTTCCCCAAACGCAGTGCGCCTTATACTGCCATACATATCACCCGATCACCACACCTTGTCAGCATACAAACGCCTCGGATCAGTCCACCTTCATCGAAACCACCCAATCTCGTTACGTCTATTCCTTCAGCCAGACGGGAGCATTATCGCCAGCGATATACGAGAACTCCAGCAACAAGGATTATCCCTTGCCGTCCTGGTTGCGCTTCTTTCCACGGCACAGACAGGAAGACAAACTCCTCCAACGAATCATTGGAGGAGATTGCGTCGGGATACAATTGCCGTGACGGAGTCCTTAAGCTTTCGACAAGGGCCCCTGGGCTCACTCTTCGAATACCACCCTGGATTAAGTCACCAACCAATCGGGACTGCATTCTCTGCCATAATAGTAGGGACCCTGGTCTCAATTTACGATTGGGCCGATTATGAAACCAAGAATGAGTGGATTCATCAGCTGAATACGGCGCTTCAGAACTGGTTGGAAGACCTGAGCATTGCCGGTGTTGACCTCGCTGAATATGGCAGAATTGAAGAGGCCATCCTAAGCAGTCTCAGTCCTTCAGAGAAATCCTTCATCGCTTTTTTCCCTGCAACTCAACATCCAACCCGGATGCCAACGAAACGCTGGAATTATTACCAAATTGGTCATATCAAGTTAGAAAGCTTCACCTACGGGCCTAAACCGACAGACTGGAGCTATGTGTGGGACTACCCAACTGAGAACTTCTCCGGTGAATTCTGGGAGATGATTGATAATGTGTCTTTGAAGGTCCCGGGGTCTTGGGTCGAGGATTCTGACTCAGATGATTCAAGCTCTTATGGCTCAGATGAATGGGGCATGTATGGATGAATGCTAAATGAGGGGGCCAAGCGTCTTCTCGCATTGGTAAAATCGTGTAAGGAGTATCTAGCAAGATAACAGGGCAATTCTCAAAGTCTGTGCTTACATCAAGAAGCCGGAGGGTGACAACCTGTATAACAGGCAGGACAAAGTCAAAGGAGAACTTCAAAAATAAAACTGAATTTGTCAAGCGTTTTAATATTTTCGAGTATTGCTATTCGCATACATTTAAAATGCTGATTACATGGAAATATAAAAATTTTACACCCAAGTTTGGTGCAAGGTAATATGCCTCGCCTGTATGTCCACTCTGAGTATTTTATTCCGAGGAAGTTCCAGTTTCTATTCTAAAATAATAAAAAACTTAACTTAAAGAATAAATACTTAGAATAAAATTTATTTGATTTTCTTAAATTAAACTTACTAATAGATATATTATTGAGATTTCTTGGTGAAATTAGCCTGTATACTTAAGTGTGCGAGTAGCATTTTAAGTGCGTGCGACTAGCAACACTTATATTTTCAAGCGTTCAATTAAACATAGTTAATCTCTCAGTAACAAAGGGTTTCCGAGTCCACTGCCTAAATGACAAGAGAGACCAAGTAGCTATATTCAGGTAAACCAATTTATTGGAGCTAGATTGCCGAGTACCGTCCAGCAGAGAAGATGTCCCACGCCTGATGCAACCTGTCTTCACAGTCTGGGCGGAATGATGGCCAGATTGCTGTTGGAACCCCACAAAACTGTAAAATTAAGGTGTAGGGTGGCATCTCCGGCATTTCTCCGGCTAAATCGCAACCCAAGCTTGGACACCAAATGCGGAGCGGATCTAGGTTCATCCGGGCTTCAGGAGGACACGATAATGAGGACAGCTTTAGCTTTACTGTCGCGTTTCTAGGTCGCACTCCCAAAGTCCTCCAACGTCTCCTTCGCATCGTCCTCCATCATCCTCGACCGACTCCCGCCAGAACCATCCACCCTCCTTCCACCACTTCGTCTCAACCATCACCATGTCCGACCAGATCCAGGAACTCCTCGAGGCCCCTCTCGAGTTCGCCCGCGACGGCATTCAGTTCGCCAAGCGATGCACCAAGCGTACGACTTCCCCTGGGAGAAGCGATTCCGATCCTCAATGCTAACCTGCCATCCATCAACAGCCGATAAGAAGGAGTTCCTCAACATGTGCACCGCTGTCGGCACTGGCTTCGTCATCATGGGCGCCGTTGGCTACATCGTGAAGCTCAGTACGTCCTCCCTCCTTTTGCGCAACGTGTGTGTCCCGACTAACCTGGCAATAGTCCACGTGCCCATCAACCACACCCTCGTGGGTGGCGCTTAAACGATCGATCGGACTGGTTCTTCGGAGTCGCGGCGTTGAGGAAATGGGCGAGAGGTGCCATTGAGTGCCAAAGTGCAAGCGTGATAATTGTGACGAGGGGGAACGAAAACAGCGCGAGGCCAAACTACGACCCAAACCATTAGGAGAGTCGTACCATGTATATTATAAGCACTCTGTGATCAAAGGACATTTCTGCCTACAGTTCGGGCCCGTTGCCGCTGTGCCAACTGCCACTGTGTCAACACGCGCAATGTGTCGAGAGTTTCTGTTCGTGTTGGGTTCTCGGCCTTGCCTGCTTGGAGGCATCATCACGCGACTCTACGCGCCAATTCGTGACTCGTCCGCGAAAGATGATGAGCCGCCCATGGTGTGAGGAGAGCTATGCGACGACGAGCGGAAGTGCTGCTATGTACTGCGCATTTCCGCCCAACACCTCTGTGTCTCCGTGGGAGCAGCGACGAGCAACCCGTAGTGGCGACCCCAACCTGACAGCTCTCAAACTATTCTGGACCAATTCAGAGCGCCTCAAGCTCCGTCTATGCCTACCCTGCTTGCGCCTCTGAGGTCTCGGGCGGCGCGACGTGGACCGAGGCCCGTCAAGTTGGCGTCACAGTTACTCAGGCTAGTGGGCTTCCATGCTATAGAAACAGCTGCCACTCTTTAATCACAAACGGGCCATCTTAGGCATTCCCAATAGGAACAGAACTCATCGCTGTTATCCCGACAGTATCGCAATGATTGAACAAGACGACCACATGATCAGCATAATTGGCCCTTTTTGTCCTGGGTAGACTGTCAAAATCCCCGTTCAGCATGCCTACCCCTTTCTTCAGCGCACTGTCGCAACACGAGATACACTCACCAAAGGAACCTGACCTCGTAGACAACGCACTCGTGCTTCAAAATTAAACAGGTACGGCATGGTCGAATCATTTATATATGGCGACACCCTGCGACAACTCAGTGCTTCTTTATCAAACCATTGGCCCTCTTGGTAGTCATTCGCCAATCTTGAACTACCGCCCGAGTATGGTTAGCTTGATCCCCCTCCAAGGTATTCATCACACTTCCAGCAAGGTCCTAAAAGATGTCAATTTTGTTAAACACGTATGGCTTATGTACTCACATTGAGAGCCCTATCCATAGCATCGGTGATAACTCCATTGGGTTCACATATCACAGCAAGGGTGGTCAAGACATCGCGGCCAGGGAGGAGGCGCTGTAGGGTCTTTGTCAACTGCAGACAGTCAGTTCCATCGCACAGTATAGTGTCGCATTGCGTGCATCCTCAAGAGTGTCCACAGTCATTTGGCATGCTTAACCTCTACCTCCCCTTCTACTTACGGTGACAAGGGTGGTATTGAGCTGGTTGCCAGTATTCGCGATCCCTCCCAGTCCAGTCATAACAGTCTGTCCCAGTGAGTCCAGAAATTTAAAGGGTTTTACCACCTTAATTAAATGGACTCTGCGCGTTGAGGAACCCCTATACGCTGGTCACTTCAATCTGGCCAGCAGGCTTGGTAAGGTCGTTGGTCGCTTGTGTGAGCGCGTTGTTGTTTGGTGAGTGACTATCAGCAGCAACTAATTGGAGGAAAGTTGGCCCATCGGGTCGGGTGAGCCGTATAGTAAGAAAGTTCACCCTTCTGCACTTCTCGCGATAGACCACATCTTAGTTTTCATGAAACTTGCGGTTTGCTGTTCCCAAACGATCATCATTCCCGATTTGCTGCAGACTGCGAGTCGCGATATCTTGGGAGATATGGAGATTGCCACTTAAATCGCCATACCCCGAGCCACTCTAACGTACCTAGGCAAGATGGCCATATACTTTAATTTCTCTCCTGCCAATCAAGAAGATTTACCCACTATGGGGCGTCTTAAGCATGACGCGTGGCGTTCCGGGAACGGATCCTGGCCAAATACGCGTACATCATCCACGTATGATGAAGCCACGCTTGAGAAGCCCGACTACGCAGTAAGTCATGTCGGAGCGTATAAGACATCTCCACCATATCCATGTGGCTTAACGGGCATGCATACTATTTCATGTTATGGAAATTGCAAACCCAACTCGAGCGCCGACTTGAGCAAGTTGCTTAGAAACCTCCGTTTAGTCCTCAATATCTGTGACTATTGTCAATTCAATTATGCATCAGCTTTCGCATATACGGAACTCTTCTTCTCCTCAATTAACGTAAGTCTTTCAGAATGCGACCTATATGAGTGGGTGGTATCTACCTGTAGTCGTCGGGTTTCCCAAAAAAAAAAATTCTTACCCACCATGGTCACGCAAATAATCCGGGGTCTGTCATTTGGTGAGCGCTCGGGTGTTACTAGACTTCCTCGAGGTGATTGACCAGGTTTAATTCACCTATGAACACAAAATGTATCTCCAAGCGGTATCCAAAGATAGACTGGTGGCCATTCTAAAATGAAGAAGGAATGGCAAAATGATTATGTCGCGGATTTTTGCGGCGGCGCATAGCATTTTGAGCGGACTCTTAGATAATCACACCGAGTACAGGTTCTTTCTAGCGCTATCTGCAATAAACATGGCTCTGACAATTTCTCAGCGATAACCAAAGCCTGGGGATTGAGATCGACCTGAGCGAAGTGATTCCCCTCCAAACGAATAGGGCGACACCAAATTGCACCTTCGCGCCACTGCTCATCTCCACGGAAGGCTGCGCTAAAGTGATAGCGGTAAAATCAACAAAAGGTCGAAGCACAAGCGCGTTTAACGGAAAATAGTATGGAAAGATAATCAATAGTGTGCCACAAGCCGATCTTCTAGACCACTTCTCCGCATCCCATTGGGCCCAGAATATTAGGTTCGGTAGGGTTGAGGATTAGCCCTCACCCCTGCTGATAGCTCAAGGTCCCCTTGATCAATACAACCGTCCAGCTATCGGTTGATCGCCATACGCACGATTGTTAAGCGGGGATGATAAGACCTAAAATAGCGTACCACCGATTCAAATTGTACCACCGATTGAAAGGGCTCTCGCATTAGCCTCCCAACTGCCTGGGTCGCGTGCCTGATTTAAGATGGCACATCAAAGGCGAGGCTATTTTGAAGTGGCTTTCTCGATCCAATGAAACTAACACACTAGCCCAACTCCCCGTCTGAATTATGTGTCTTAGATCGACGATCACAACGCCTCCCCCCTTTATTTTCCCTTATTATGATGCACGAATCCCCGGACGCGCTGGGGGCACGTGGAGGATACCATCCTGCTTCCTGGCTGCCATGCTCTCACGCCGTGGTGCCAACATGGGCTATCATATACAGGCTCCACGGCGCTCTATGAGCACATTCGGCTTCGTCTTCTTCCTCCATCTCGTCTGCAGCGTACTCGCCGATGTCCCGCACCACACAGACTGGCAGTCGTATCAGGATGGAAAGCTTGGCCTGCAGCCGAACCAAACGTTTCACTCGGCGCCGCACATCGGAGCACCCATCTACCAAGTCAACAAGTTCAACTATGAAAAGGTTGACAAATCTCCCTACATCTTCCTGGCGGGGGCCTACAGCGAGGGTCTTTACGGCCCGAGCATCATCTCATCCGAGGACCTGAGCTTAGTCTGGGCGGATGAGCGATATAGCACAGGTCGAGCAACGAAACCCTACATCTTCAAGGGCCAGCCTGTCATAGCCGCCTATGCAGGGGATCGCATCCGGATATACAACCAACACTACCAGCAACTCTACCAAGTCGGTTGGCAGCTCGAATCTCCAAACAGGCAAGGGCTAAATAACCACGAATGCTACATCACAGAAGACGATACTGTGGTGATTATTTTCGATGAATATACCCCCGCCGACTTGACATCGCTTGGCGGTCCAGCGGAGGGCCATGGCGTGATCCAACAACATGTTCAGGAAATTGACCCCGTAACCAACACAGTGCTCTTCCATTTTTCAACCCTCAACCACTTTCCAGTTTCGAGTTCTCTCATGCCGTACTGGGATAATGGCGGGCTCTTTCATGATTATTCGCATATGAATAGTGCGCAGAAGGTACCGAAATCTATCCAAGGTCTGAATCTAGAATGGTGCAAACTGACGCTGAAATACAGACCCCCGAGGGCGATTTTCTCATCAGCATCAAGCACTTTGGCTGTATTATCATGGTAAACGGCAAGAATGCTCAACCTAAATGGATCATGGGCGGTGCACGGAACCAATTCACAGACATCACGAAAGACGGCACGGCTACCTTTGGCCCCCAGCACCACGCACGCATAAGCGGCAAGAACCGCATTACTCTTTTTGACAATGCACAATGGAACAACGGCTTTTGCGAGGGGCGAGGAAGCAAGGGAGGCCATTGCTCTCGCGGTCTCGAGCTAGAATACGACCTAGAGGCCATGACAGTCTGGGTCGTCAACGAGTGGTACCATCCCCAAGGTCTCATCAGCGCCACGCGAGGAGGTGTCCAGCCGCTCCCAAACGGAAACACGCTTATTGCCTGGGGGCAGAATGCCATGTATACCGAGCACACGCCCGACGGAGAGGTTGTCATGGACATCCAGAGAAGTCTCGTTGACGAGGATCGCCTGGGTCACAATACGTTGATAGCCTACCGCGCCTGGAAGGGTGACTGGGAGGGTAAGCCCACCTGGGGACCCAACATCTCCGCAAACGCAGATGCCAGTGGGAACATGACGATTTATGTCTCATGGAACGGCGCGACGGCTGTAAAACGATGGGTTCTGGTATGTCTTGATATGCGACGATCTGTGTATTCCGACAGCGAACTAATTCCTTCTTCCAGCTCCTGTCCACTTCATTATCGAGCCTCAACGGCCCCAAAAAAGTCGCAAGCGAATCGCGTCGCATGGGCTTTGAGACGGGTTTTGTGCTTCCCCGGGACTGGGACGCTACCTTTGCCCGCGTTGCTGCGCTTAACAAGAATGGCGAGATTATCGGGTCAACTCCAGCAGTTGACATAGCCACCGGGGCAATACATGTCCTCGCGTATGAGGTGTCGTCGGTGAGAGTCGATGAGGGCACCTCAGTTAATCCCAAGTACTGCGTTACTACTGTCTCTTCTACAGCGTATGGGAATATAGGCGATATCTCGTCCATGCCTCTCTACCTTGCGTGTGCAACAAGTGTCGGCCTTGCCATGTGAGTCACTTCCAAGGGTCATTTGAGCTTTTATATCGAGACTCATAACTAACCTTCGGTCTAATAGTGCGCTGGGCTATGTTCTCCAAACAAGACAGCCGTCAAAAAAATGAGCGCGATTTAATATACCCTGGTAGGCAGCCCTGGCGATGGTGGCGAGCAGAAGGAAAGACGCCCACCGCAAATGAGTGGAGAAAAGATTAAACCCTCCAGATTGAGGAAATAGATCTGTGCGCATTTACCAAGCATTTAAAGTTCGACTTATCACGCTGGATTATTATTTCTTGTATATAGCCGGGTTCACTTTATTTCCAATACATTAATTAATCTCACACAATTTCGACTTCAGACGTCACATTCAACAGACTGGGTGCAAACAAACTCTTGTTACTCCTACAAAGGAACAAAGAAACTAAACGTCCAGAGCCAAACTCCCAAACCATTTCTCGACATGCCCAACACATCCGCGCCAGTTACAATCCCTCTCTAGTCCATGTCACTATCTGGTCAGTCGCACTACAACCAACGGGCGGGTAAAAAAAGGACTCACAGCAAAGCCAAGGTCAGATCACCATGGATCCTTGCCTTGAGCTCAATTTCTATCTCTAGGTTCAGGTCAAGACGCAGCTTGAGTGGATCTTTGCCGCCCCCGCCGCCTTGCTGCTGCTGCATTTGCTGTTGTTGCTGCTGCTGCATCTGCTGCTGCTGTTGCTGCATCTGCCGGCGCTGCATCTGCATCTGCCGCTTGGTCATGGGCTGCTCGTCTTCACTGGACTCCTCGTCCGAGTCCTCTTCGGAGGACTCTTCCTCTTCGTCCAGCCAAGCCGGGCGCCTGCGGCGGACATCCTGCGCCTTGGTGGTGGTCTTTGTAGGCTTTGCGGGCTTTGTGGGCTTTGCGTTCTTCGCACTCTTTGCGCTCCGTTTTGGGGGCTCGGGCTCGGGAGTGACGGGCTCGTCGTCTTCCTCTTCCTCGTCGTCGTCGCCAGAGATGTAGTCTTCGTCAAAGACGTCCTCGTCCTGATCGCCTTCGGCGTCCTCGAACTCGTCGCCGCTCTCCTCGGCCTGGTTTACAGTCTTTTTCTCGGGCTCGGGTTTCTTGGATGAAGCCTTGGACTTGGGCTTGTCTTTGGCTGGCTTTTGCTCCGGCTCCTGCGTTTGCTCTGGCGTCTGCTCTGGCTTCTGCTCCTGCTCCTTTTCAGGCTTGGGAGAGACGGGAGGTGTTGATTGTTGTGGGTTGGGAGGGGTTGAGTCGCCCTGCGTGTTTGTGTCCTGCAAATGTTAAATTGGCCCATGGAATAATAGGCAGGTGGCATACCTGTGGTGAAGCCATGGCTGAAAGTTATTAGTGTGCAGACGAGGTGAGATGCAATCACTAAGTTTTTTTTCCAGTGGTGTGTTGTAGTGTATTGTGGTCTACATATTCTAAAACGAAGCCCGACGCTTCGTCTCTTTTGTGATGCCTCAAAAGATGTAGAAACAGGATGAACAAAGTTCACTCTGACGCAATAGGCGTCATCGGATGCCCCTTGGAGCCGTCGACGAACCGGTTTCAGCACACCCAGTATTTTTTTATCCATTTAATAAAGTGAATGACGTATTGGATATCGAGGTAATGTGGAAGAATGACGCTTCTTAATCTGCATGACCAGGCAGGGGTCTTACATTGCAGATGGGGTGGATGGGGTGGATGGGGTGAACTACCAGACAGACTCCCCATACTTTAAACGTCATTCTCAGCGACGGCAAGAACTGGATATTCCTGTTTACAGCATCACAGTCACAGTCACCATGGTTATTGGGCTACTCACCATCGCATCTATCCCTACCGTCATCGGGGTCGCGGAGGCGATTAGCGCGCAGAAGTCGCAGAATGCCTCGCTGAGCAAGGAGCAGGAAAAGTTCCACTTGGCCCCCCTGATGCGGCGCAAGGGGAAATCAGAGGAGGCCGGGGTTGGCGTTCTAGTGGACAACAAGGTGAGAGAGTCTACAATTTCCAGGATCAACCGCGAGCTGACGCTTCCAGCTCTTTCTCAACCTGCCCGAACGCCCCGTCGAGGGCCACGAGTTCAACGGCTACTACTTCAAGTACCCAAGCGAGGAGGGGCATCTGGGGATGGTGAGCACCATCGCAGTCGATCCGCCGATGCTAAACTGGATCTACATCCACCGAGACACGCACGCGGTGGAGTATGGGGGCCGCAAAGAGACCGTGGGTCACGTCATTGGGCCGTGGGGCTGGAGCGACGACGAGCGCTTCCTGACGCTCCAAGGCGATCATGATGCGTTTGTTGCCGTCCGCGAGGAGGCGGATGACGGGCGATGGGCAGTGTACTGGGACCCGGAAGGGGAGATTCAGGAAACGGCGGGCAAACGATGTCGGCCTGTGGCGCTGTGTCGCAAGTTGCAGCGCGGCGTGGAGAGTCGCTTCGTCAGAGACTGAAGATCCTTGCTGCGTTGGTGACCAGGGTTGCATGAGGGCACACCATGGGGTACCCGGGGGACGCCAAGTTGTAGACAATGGGGACTGCTGCAGGACGTTGAGCATCTCGATCATGACCTCATGGGGGGGGGGGGGGATGGGAGTGGAAATCCTGTTATTCAGAGGAGGTGGTGAACTTATATGACCTGGCGTCGAGACTCTGTCTATAGCGATTCAACAAGAGACAGACTAAGACGAGATCACCTCATTACTGCTTACCGTGCCATACACGACACGCCTTGTTTAAGAAACCACACTCACACTCACGCACAACTCGCCAAAATGTCGACCATGGAAAAGGACCGCGTCTCCTCCAACGAGGTCGACTCCGACGACAACGTCTCGAGCGAAGAGCCGCCCAAGCAGATGCAGCGCCGCAGCAAGAAGAAGAAGAGCAAGTCCAGCCGGCGCTCGAAGCAAGCCGGGCCGCTCGACCAGCTGCCGCTCGGCGGCGACGCGGTCAACAACACTCTGGGCGGCGTCACCAACACGCTCGGCGGCGTCACCAACAACGCCGTGGACCAGCAGAAGGGCGACGGCGGCAAGAGCGACACGCTGCGGCTGCGGCTGGACCTGAACCTGGACATTGAGATCCAGCTGAAGGCGCGAATCCACGGAGACTTGGAGCTGGCGCTGCTGTACGTGAACAACCCTCATCATCTTCCCTCTTCTCCCCCCCGCACGAGACCGCTTCGCTTCCCCTCTCTTCTCTTGGCCGTTTCTTACTTGGCGTCCACTCTCCAGCACCGGATAAACTGGCGACTAATTGCGTGTCTACCTATCCAGGAACTAAGGCGTTCTTCCTTGTCCTGCGCGAGTGTGTACTGTGGGCGGCCGGAACAGGGCGGCCTCGTTCCGGCCTGGGCTTTGGGCGTTTGGGGAATGAATATGGGCTTAGGAACCTCGATGAATATTTTTCAAATCAATCACTGTGCCATATCACACCGTGCAAAAGTCCTTGACGCAATTGCCACGCCCCGCTCAACGTCTGGACGCAGCCCGAACAAGGGTCGCTGCGCTGTCGTTGGCTCGCCGCTGGCCCTCGCTGTGATCTCCATGCAGGCGGCGCTGCGTTGGGTCATGGCGGCTCGGCTAACCCCGGAATAGCCTCCGTAATCGATCCCGTAATAAGCCAGGAACGCGTGGTGAGGCCTGCTACGTGCTTGCTAGCAGCCTGTCATGTCCAGGCGCAGTTAGCTAGCCGTTCTGCTTCCTTGCTAGTGTCGCTGTAGCGTGTGTTTCGGCCGCCATCGAGATCAACGACGAGGGTATGATCATAATACGGGTAATATGGAGCATAATACGGGGGTACTATGGCCCAACTACGGCTGACGGCACGCAGGCGGGATACTAGTCTGATATTCTGTTGCAGTGAGCGGACCAGTATCTCCGGGGAGCGTCATCCCCTGTTGCATCCTTGTCCATCCTCCCATCCTGGATGCTCATCCCTATTCATCGCCATCCAACTCGACAAGTCACTCACTCCGTATGTCCTGCTGACTGTCCTGCTGACTGTCGTCATTATCCCCGCAAAAGGACCGTCCGATTCACACATCAAGACGCGGTTCAGCGCGATGCCCTCGCCGTTGCCATCGCCAGATCCATCTCGTTAACCACAACCCACGATGTCTTCCAAGCCGGTAACACCTGAGAGCTCGCCGACGCATACCACGTACGAAATCAACCTGCCCGTACGAGACGCGCGCTCCTCGCAGTCCTCACAGTCTTCGCAGTCCTCGCAAACCTCGCCGTCCCCAGAGTCGTCGCCGCCGCAGCACCCGCAACCCGGCATCCACATCCCCAAGATAACGCCGCTCGCATCAGGGCCGTCGCCCGCCGAACTCGCAAAGGGCCTCGACGGGAAATATGTCGACGAGTTTGGCAACATTCTGGACTGGGACGGGACGGTGCTCGGCAGGGTAGCCGGCGATCTCCCGTCCATGGTCGGCCGGCCCGTCTCAACGTCTGGCGAGATTCTAGACCCGGACGGCCAGGTGGTGGGACACGTTTGCGAAAACTACAGCAAGCCAGCCTTGAAGCCGCTGGGAGGCGGGCTTCAGGTGGACGACGTGGGAAACATATACGATGGTGAAGGAAACGTGGTTGGGAAGCTCAACGCCCCGGGTGGCAAGGGCAAGGAAACAAACGAGACAAGCAAGAACGAGCAAAGCGCTCCAGCTGCTCCGACTCTCAGGCCAGATGAAATGTGCCTAGATGTCAAGTCAACGTATGATGGCATCCAGCTCATCATCAAGATACCCACCGTCTTCAACCAAGACTATAATAGTAAAAAGTAGTTTTCTTTTGTCTAGAGTTGTGACGCGAATTTCTCTTGTCCAACATCCAAGAATAGTGAAAACTGGCTTCCAGGGCCACTTTAAGTTCATCCAGCGTAAACCCATGGGAATCAAGCGGCCGGTGCAAGCCCACGCTGCAAATCTCGATCTCCCACACCCTCAAGTGGAGGATCGGCCGCCTCCACCTCCCAGAAGCCGGTTTTCATGCATGCAGGCGGCAAACCACTTACACCCGAGGCCAATCACTTGAAACATCCGGTGCTGGTACTTCCACGAACCAGCTGAGTCCTCGAGAGTCTTTACGTCATCCAATGCCACACCACACACCTTCGACCTTGGATGCTCGCCATGACGCGCGGAATGATGGTTCGTACGACTAGAATTTGCCTTGGGGGATCATAGTCGCCTTCATGGCGCTGGCTCTGACGTTTAGATTGTCTTGATGTCTAGACGTCATGAAAACTGGTTTTCGCAATCGGCTCCTCGCTATAAAGCAATGTCTTGTCAGGAATTGGGACGATGATCCAGACATCCATCCTGATACCCAATCAACCAACCATAGCAGAGACAACCGTATAGCTATCGAATCGAGACATCCAGACACCCTTTTTGATACCCACTCAATCGACGAAAGCAAAGACAGCCACCTAGTCATCGAACCGACACATCCACAGATCATGCAGAATCCTCTGTCGATCCCAGGGGGCTGGAACAAAGACACCCCCAGGGACACTCCCGCTGAAGAAAAGAGTAATCCTGGTGCGTCCTCCCTCCCCTCGCCGTACCTAGCGCTCATCATCCCCCTTGCAGTTGACACTGAGTCCGTTCCACGCAGCGGCGTCGGAGTTGTGGGCGAAACCGGAGACGTCGTGGACGAGACCGGAAAGACTGTTGGCGAAATCACAGACTCCAAGGATCCCAAGGAGCTTGTAGGCAACACCGTGACGACGGCCGGAGATGTTGTTAGCACAACTGGAGATGTCCTCGGCAAAGCGGTGCCCCTAGACGAGGAGCCCAGCGAGTACACCACCACGTCGGCCGAGAAACCCAAGAAATCCAGTGGCTTCGGTCTGTCGGGACTCAAGTCTGTTTATAACTCAGTCGACGGCAGCATGAGGCCCGTCACCAGTCGCCTGGGCTTCGGCAGCAAGTCCGGAGCCAGCAAGTCCGGAGCCAGCATCACACCTGAAGACAAGTCGGCATCTCAGGGTGAGGAGACGGAGAAGCAGTTCCGCGAAGCCCAGGGCAAGGGTTCTTCATCTGAGATTAACCTCAAAGATGAGGACCCAGTGCCGTCGGTTACGGGTAAAGAGACTGGAGTCGAGTCCAAGGACAAGCTTACTGAGGTCCCTCCCGATCCTATCGAGACAACCAAGGAAGCAGACATCGAGGCGGAGCAAAGCAACAGCATCAAGCCAGATGATCTCAAGCCCGACGACAGCGTCTCGAGGTTCGAACCCGAAAGCACATCCGAGATCCAAAAAGATATACCGCCTCTCGATGAGGTTAAGGAAACCCCAACCACCGACCACACAGATGTTCCTGAATCAGACGCACTTAAGTCTGTCGAGGGGACCGAGGTTCCCAAGTCTGAGGTTCCGAAATCGGAAGTCCCTGAGGGCTCGGAGCTTGATAAAACCAAGTCTGACGTCCCAAAGTCTGAGGTTCCAGAGTCTGAGGTGCCAAAATCTGAGGTCCCAGAGGGTGAGGTCCCGAAGTCGGATGTCCTAGAGGATGAGGTACCAAAGTCTCAGGTCGAAGGATCCGAGGTTGCAAAGACTGAGGTTCCAGAGTCTGAGATTGCGAAGACTGAGGTTCCGGGATCCGAGGTTCCAGAATCCGAGGTTGCAAAGACTGAGGTTCCAGAGTCTGAGATTGCAAAGACTGAGGTTGCAAAGTCTGAAGTCCCCGAGTCTCAGATCCCCAAGTCTGAGGCCCCACCCTCCGACATCCAGCCCTCTGAGCTCGCCAAGTCTGAAGTCGCTGGATCTGAAGCCCCGGGAACAGACATCCCAGGGACGGAAGCCCCCAAGTCTGTAGTTTCTGGAGTGGAGATGCCCAAGTCCGAGGCCCCAGAGGGTGAAATCCCCGAGGCTGAGGTTCCTGAGGGTGAGGTCCCCAAGTCCGAGGCCCCGGAGGGTGAAGCCCCCGAGGAAGAAGCCACGGACGAGCATAAGCTGGACTTTGCCGCCCTCGAAGGCTGCGTCGTTAACAAAGGCGGCAACCTCATCAACGACAAAGGAGAGCTCATCGGCCGCGTCGTCGAAGGCGAGGTGAAGCAGCTCATCGGAAAGAAGGCAGACGCAGACGGAGTCATCTGGAATGACGCCGGCAAGGCCGTTGGCAAAGGAGAGCCTCTCCCCGACAATGAGCGAGAGGACCTCAAGGACTTTGCCCCCTTTGAGAACTTCCCCGGAGCTGTCGTCGAGGCGGATGGCCGCGTCCTTTTTGAGGGCAAGCAGGTCGGCCAGGTTATTGAAGGCGACCCCAAGCGCCTCAAGGGCAGCAAGGTTGACGAGGACGGAGATATTCTGGACCGTCGAGGCAACGTCATCGGCAAAGCGGAGGCCTGGGATGAGCCTGAAGAGGAAGCTGCTCCTGAAATCGACTACTCTATCCTCGCCGGCAAGCGCGTTAACAAGGCCGGCAACGTGGTTGGAGACGACGGGATGCTCTATGGCCGTGTCATTGAAGGACACATCGGCTCACTCGTAGGCCGCATGTGCGACAAAGACGGCAATGTCAGGAGTGAGTCCGGAGAGGCCATCGGCCGAGTGGAACTTGTGCCCGAGGATCAGCGCCAAGGCACTCGTGATGGACCATTCGCCGACCTCGTTGGCTGCACTGTTGTCCATGACGGGAAGATTGCTACTTCTACCGGCGAAATCGTGGGTCGATTGATCGAGGGCGACGCCAAGGCCCTCTACGGCCGCCCTATTGACGAGGACGGCGATATCCTCGACCGCAATGGCAACACTATTGGCAAGGCTGAGCGCTGGGAGGAGCCCGAAGCTGAACCCACGCCGGAGATTGACTACTCTATCCTCTCCGGCAAACGAGTCAACAAAGCCGGCAACGTGGTCGGCTCTAACGGAGAGCTGTACGGCCGTGTTATTGAGGGACACATTGGCTCTCTCGTCGGCCGCATGTGCGACAAAGAAGGCAATATCAGGAGCGAGTCTGGCGACATCATTGGTCGCGCAGAGCTCGTTCCAGAAGACCAGCGTGAGGCAACTCGTGATGGCCCGTTTGCCGATCTCGACGGCTGCACCGTTGCTCGTGACGGAAAGGTTGCTACCTCTTCTGGCGAGATTGTTGGTCGCTTGACCGAAGGCGACGCCAAAGCTCTCTACGGCCGCCCTGTTGATGAAGATGGAGACATCCTCGATCGCAACGGCAACGTTATTGGAAAGGCCGAGCGCTGGGAGGAGCCTGAAGCAGAACCCGAGGCCGCGATTGACTACTCTAGCCTGTCTGGCAAGCGAGTCAACAAGGCCGGCAATGTCGTCGGATCAAACGGAGACATCTACGGTCGCGTGGTTGAGGGCCACATCGGCTCCGTTATTGGCCGCATGTGTGATAAGGACGGAAACATCAGGAGCGAGTCTGGTGAGATTATCGGTCGCGCAGAGCTCGTACCAGAGGGTCAACGCGAGGGTACTCGCGACGGGCCTTTTGCTGAGCTCGTCGGCTGCACCGTCACAAAGGAGGGCAAGGTCATCACAGCTACGGGCGATGTCGTGGGACGCTTAGTGTCCGGCGACCCCAAAGTTCTCTACGGCCGTGCTGTCGATGAGGATGGAGACATTCTCGACAAAAACGGCAACGTTATCGGCAAGGCGGAGCGTTGGGAAGAGGACGTGGTGGAGAAGAAGAAGGATCCTCTCGCTGGCCGACGAGTGAACCGCGAGGGTAACGTGGTCGACGAGGATGGAAACATCATCGGAAAGCTCACCAGCGGCGACCTCTTCATCTGCTCGGGCAAGGAGGTCGACGAGGACGGTGATGTCGTCAACCAAAAGGGCGAGAGCATCGGTCACGTCTCTCGCCTCGAGGACATTCCCCCCGAGCCCGAGGCAGAACCTGAGCCAGAGCCCGAGACAGAAACGCCTGAAGAAAAGGAAGCGCGGGAGCAGCTCGAAAAGGACGTCAAGCTCGCCGGCCAGATCGCGGCATGCGTTGAGCAGACTCTGGACAAGATCCGGCCCATCTGCAAGATGATCACCGACAAGGTCGACACGGCCGAGCGCACGCCCAAGGACGAGCTGGACGAGGAGGAGCTCGTCAGGCAGGTCAAGCCGCTGATCGAGGAGGGCGGCAAGATCCTCACCGAGGTCAACGGCGCAATCCGTGGGCTCGATCCTGACGGCCGCATCCAGCGCAACGCCAAGGCCAAGGCGGCCTCGCGAGAGGCTACGCCGGAGGAGGCTCATCTCGCCGAGGTGTTGAAGGAGGTGAGTATCCATCACAGTTCTGGGAAGCATAAGCTAACAGTGTCAGCTCACCGGCACCATCACCACGTGCATCGACAACGCCAAGAAGAAGATCGACGGCATGCCTCACGCCAAGGAGGAGCTCAACCCGCTCTGGGGCCTCCTCGCAGAGCCGCTGTTCCAGATCCTGGCCGCCGTGGGCCTCCTGCTCAACGGCGTGCTCGGCCTCGTCGGACGCCTGGTAAGTTTCTGAAACTCCCGCAGCCCACACAGCGAATTGCGCTAACACACCCTCCAGTTGAGCATTGTGGGCCTGGGCGGTTTGGTCGACGCCATCCTGGGAGGACTGGGCGTCAACAAGATCCTCAAGAGTCTTGGCCTGGGGAGTGCCATTACGGCGTTGACCGGGAAGAAGGAGAAGAAGAAGTAAACTAGGTTGGACTGAGTGTGTATATTGTTTGTAAAATTACGAATTAGGCTGTCAATTGATTGGGTTCGGTTTCCAACGACGACTAGTCCGTGGAGTCGTGGAGCATCGTGGAGCATCGTGATGAGGTTGACCCAGCAAATCAAGTATACGGTATATGCACCTACCGAGACCTTAGTCATCCAAATTTCACTACAAAGCGCAAATTTTCTTCCACCTTCAAGCATCTCAGCTTCGAACATCAATCACAATGGTCTAGTACACCGAGCACAGCGGCGCTGGCAATCCGCCTGCGAACCATGCGCCTCTTGCTCATCCGTCACGGAGAAACAGTCGACAACGTCACCGGCCTCTACGCAGGGTCGCGCGACTCGCCGCTGACTACCCACGGAGTACTGCAGGCCCGCCGCCTGGGCGCGCACCTCGCCGGCCGCGTCGCGGTGCAGCACCTGTTCTCGTCGGATCTGCAGCGCGCCGCGCGGACGGCGGAGGCGGTTCGCGATGCGCAGAAACGCGTGAGCGGCGGGACGCAGCTCGATGTCGTGCGGCTGTCGGATCTGAGGGAGAAGGACTTTGGCTCTGGGGAGGGATCTCGGCTTGGGGCAGGGCAGCATGAAGGCGCCGAGACGCCCGAGGCAATGAGGCTGCGCGTCGACCGCTTCTTGGATGATCATCTCGTCCCGGTCCTCGCCGTCAGCGAGTCCACCGTCTGCGTCGTCGCCCACGGCATCATCCTCGGCGTGCTCTTCAAGGCCCTCTCTGCGCGGATCCCCTGCTCCGTTGCTCCCAGCGCCAAGTCAGAGTTTTCCGACGTGTCGGCTCTCTCGCGACTCTGGTGGAGCAACACGGGTTACCTGGAAGGAGTCTTGTCCTCGCATCCAAACCGACCCGACGGCCGCCTGCCTCTGAAGCTCTCCGTCGAGACCATCAATGGCATGGACCACGTCAAGGGCCTGAAACGGACCCGTGGCGGCATTGGCAGTGCCAAGTTCGACGAGAAGCAGAAGACGATGGACTCGTTCTTCAAGCCGACGTCGCGGAAGCGCAAGCACGACGACAAATAACGCTTGCGCTCCCCATCAATGGTACGTTTACTCTTTTTCTTACTCCCAACACCAAGCAAGCTTTATGATGAAAAAGCAATTTTCACAGACCTGATCTGAAATAACACAATGTGGAAACAACTTTGTCCAACCGCTGTCTGACAGCTTCTTCATACACTGATTCATTTTTACCGCCTTGTCGAGAGACTAGCTAACAATGAATTATCAGGATTTTACCGTTCAGCTGAATGCCCAGCATGACTTTATGATACCCATGGCACATAGCTTTTAATGCATTTCTTCCTAAACATCTGTGCTTCCATCGTCTCGTCCCGTGAATACCTTGTGCATCCGTCTACTGACGGCCTGTCCCACATTCCGATCCGAGATTGCCCCGTCCTTGTTGGCACTCTTCCTGATTCCCTCCAGTCTATTTGGTCCTTCGGCTTCGAGCTTGCAAACCAGGTCGCTCACGTTCCCAAACTCAGCCGCAATGCCGTACGCAATGGGCGCCGTAACCCGCACAATCTCCTGCAGCATGCGCACGTACGTATCCTTCGCGTCGTCGCCCGTCCTGACCTGTCCGCTCTCCATGCAGAAGCCCGCCCCGAGCGTCGCCTGGTCGCGCTGTCTCCTGTACGGCACCGTCGACACGTGCTGCGTGAAGACGGCGATCCACTGCGCCGTCTCGAGGGGTATCGTGGTGTGGTGGATGAGCACGTCGTGCATCACCTGCAGCTGAAGCAGCGCATCGTCAATCTTCTCCTCGGGCACGTACTCCGGCGCGGTCGTGGTCCTGCGACGACCTGCTTGGGTGGTGGGCTCCTGGGATCGCACGTGCGATGTAAATTGCCGGTTGCGCAGGTTCCGGTTCTTGCGTGTCCACGGCAGCATGCCTTCGAGGAGGTAGATGATCTGGTGGTTGCCCAGATGCCGCACCATCTTGCCGACGTGCGACTCGAGGTCGTCTGCCAGCGCCAGCTTGACAAACTCATCAGCCGTCAAAATGACAAGCGCGTGCTTCTCGTCCTCTATCCGCAACGGAAGCGGCTCCCAGAGCCCCAAATCGTCGTTGTAGCGGCTTTTAACCTTTCTCCGCCACTTGATGACGTTCTCGATCGGGCTGTCCCAGGTGGTGTACTGGACGTCCAGACCTTCCAGCAGCGTTTCCAGCTGCACCTTGGTCGTGGGGCTCAGGCTCGCGGGCATGTCGACAATCATCTCTGGCGTGGATATTTTCTTGTCGGTCCGGAGTTTGTTGACTTCGGCCAGGGCTGCATTGCGATCCTTTTCGCGGGCCTTGGCTTCCTTTGCATCTAGCTTCTCCCGACGCTTCTTTTCTTTGTCAAGTTCCCTGGCTGCTGCTTTGGCCTCTTTCTCTCGGGTCCGGTCCTCTGTTGATTTCTGCGGTTTTGACGTCTTCCGTGACTTTGACGATACAATGTCGCTCTGAGAGCGTCGCAGTTGTGATCGCTGACATTGAGCAATGTCAAAGCTGGCAATATCCGGCAACTCATCATCCGATCCTTCGGGCCCAGAATCCTCAATGTCGATAACAACAGGCCGCGTCCGTGGGGGGGAAGATCCAAATGAGAAGGCCTCCGGGGCCGAGCTGGATATGGGGTCCCAGTCGCCATTGCGTCTGGTGGGTTTCGTGACTGGCGCAGGTGTCTCGCCTATGTAGACTGGCCTCGCACTCCTTGGTTTTGGGGCTGGGTCCGCTGGTCTTGGAGAGCTCGCAAACGCATCTGATGATTCAGGCACAGTCGTAATCCGTTGCTCTACGGTGAGAGGGGAAGTGGCAAATGGGTCCGAGGACTGTATGGTACGTATCGCAGGTGTACAAGTCTCGGGTTGGGGGCAGGCCCTAGGTTTCGGCTGGGGCGATATGACTCGCTCGGGTAATATGGCGGGCTCTGGGGAGCTGGTGAGGCAAATGGGGTCGAATACCGCAGCTGGTCGTGCGTTGGTTGTCCGCACGCTTGGTCCTGGGAGTTCTCGTGGCGGAGTCCGCTTCGCTGGGCGGGTAGAATTGTTGGACGGGGAAATCCTGCGCTTGTTCCCTGGCGGCTGCTGTAGAATCGGCTCGTCGAGGTCAATGGTAGTGTCAAAGTCGTCAGAGAGGAAAAGGAAGTCGTCGGAGAGCACGGTGTTGGCTGAAGCCGTGGTCGAAGCCGTAGTTGCAGTTGCAGTTGAACGGTGCACTGGAGCATCCCGGCGTCCATTGGCATGCCCAGCTTGTTCCGCGGGGGGAGGTGGGCTGGACGAGATGAGATCAATCACATCTGGCGCCATGGCATCGAATTGCCTCCCGAGACGGCATTGGCGATAAGTTTGCGCTGTGTCTCGAAGTGGGATGGAGGTGAAGCAGGCTTCCAGACTTCTAAAGTGGGACGCCAGCCTGCGCGTGGAGACGCGACATCCTGGCTTGGCCCAACACGTCCAACGCCAAAGTCACGTGCATACCTTAAAGAGTTACATCCATGACTTTCGACTTTACGCACCGACTCTACGCACCGGCTCTACGCACCGACACAACACAACCGGCGATAACCTCAACGCCGATACCACACAATGACCTGGTTTAGGTTGCATGCCGTCGTCCCTAAAGAACAGTCAAATGACCACATCCACGTCGTATCGTCAATTCATCGCCGATCCGTTGCCCCGCTTTCCACTTCGCCATCTCCCATCTCTCCGTGAAACATGTGCCGCCTGGGGTTTGACAATGGCACAGTAGCATTGGAGCCCGAAACGAAACTTTACGGCAGTGTGCAGACTCACTGCAGGAAAAGCCGCCATGGGCGTCACTTGACCCTTGGCGCCTCGAGTGAAGCCGGGTTGTTCGGTGATTGCAACCTTTGGCGAGACAGGGGGGTTACGGGAAATGGCTGACTGGCTTCGTTGAAGCAAGCGCCCTAGGCCGAGTTGGACGGCTGGTCCGACAAATGCGCTTGAAGCCAACTCAAGCCAACCCGGAAGCGAAGACTGTCGGGTGAGACACGAACCGAGGATGACGAAGCAAGGGATTGGTAAACCAGCCTTGGTGGTGTAGGTGGTGTAGGGTAGGTTGCACGGTATGTATCTGAGCGGATGCACCATGACAGAATCCATTCAGTCGATGAAACCCATCATGACGTTCACCGGTCTGATTGTAAAATGTGATGGCGTGATTGCGGGCGCAAACACTTAAGGGGTGACCCTTATTACCTGCATGCCATTATCTAGGTGAGACGGTTTCCATAGTCATCACGCCGAATTCCGGAACTGTTGGTCGATGCTTTTGCGACTACATTCCAACGAGGGGTACGAGCCATACGCCGACATGACGAACAACGTGACAGAAGATGTCATCAAATCCATATAAATCTGTAACGACATCTGCAACTCCCAGTCGTTATCAAAGCTGAAATCGGGTACCTGGTAACGTCTAAACAGAGTGAATCATGCATGGTGTCGGGGAGTTCCTCTGCCGGGAGGGAACCAACTCGGTTTGAACCAAGTGACGACATGGCTAAGACAACGAGACAAATCACTGCCCACTACGGAGTAACGAACGACTAACTACTTGACACGCCACAAGGGACATTCTGACAAGTTCGAAACAAACGGCACGAAAACCAGCCAAGCAAGCGAAGCTGTGTGTTCTCTAGGGTGCAGATCCTCTACCCATCGATCGTCACAACGCCGTCCGAGAACCGGGCTGGACGACGGCCGAGGTTGAGAATGACAGAAGCAAAACCTCGCTTGCAGTGGTGGCAATGGTAAGAGCGGCAGTAGCAGTAGCGACTTGTGCGCCCGTGCGACTTTTGACGCCTTTGGACGCCTTTGACGCACTGGACGTAGGCTGGCATATCGACAAGGCTGAGGGTGAGACTGGGAACAAGCTGCCGGCAACCAGCAGGAGATCTGGCATTCCGGAGCGGAGGTGCATAGAGTGGCATGGAGTGGCATGGGAAAGCCGGACGACTCCCTGTCGTGGCACGAGCTGTCGACCTTGGGTGATGCATGTCTTGGTCCACCACCGATCAAGGGCTTGCTTTTGGGGTCGGATCTTGCACGGCTGGGAGGCGCTGAAGCAAGTCCGCGACACGATCGGTCTCTCAGGGTCACACAGCAGTGGCAGCACAACACACCACACAGGCCGTGCCAGGACCCGAGAGATCGAATCCCGGTAGTTGGCCAGCGCGTCGCAGGGAAACGAGTAAGGAGGTGCGGGTGGGAGTCAACCGCCACCTCCGCAAGCCTCTACGCCCGGCAGGGGATTGACAGGACGAGAACCACCCGAGAACCACCATCACGACAACCAGCGGGCGGGCGACAGGGCAGCCGAGGTGGAGACGCTACCTGAAACGAACCGCGGCGGTGGTGCTTGTTGGTTTCCCGCGACGAATTGCTTCTGTGCAGAGCCAAGGTGTGCCAGAGACCCTTTGGGTGCAGAAAGACTTGCTTCTGCCATGGGGAATGGTGCCATTCGCTGCGACCCTGCCACACATCCACCCTTGTCGCTGGGGTTTTGGACGCGCCGTCGCAAGTCTCGCGTCGACCGCGGACGGCTTGCCCGCACCAGTGCCCCGGCCATGGCCCCATTGGACAAGGTTTCACAGGTGTGATGGACGGAGGGACTCTGCTCTGGCGCAGATAAGACAGTTGGGAAAGCGTCAATGACCAAGAGACAGCGTCCGAGCAAGGCGACGCAGAGACGTGTCTTGGGCTGGGCTGCTGAATGTAAGCAACTCCAGGCTACTTTGGGCGAAGTTCGGGCGAAGTTCATCCAAAGTCCAGCCAAGAGTCGACGCAAGGCGAGACAAATGACCCAATGGCGACGGGAAAAAGCAACTAACTTGCAGGCCAACGCATCGAGCGGTCCTGTGCGGTTGCGGGCTTGCAGGTTGCGGGCTGCGGGCTTGCGGACTTGCGGCCAAAGAACGACCAGTGCTTGAATGCCCCAACTGAGCAGGGACTGCGCTCCGATATGTGCGCTGCGGACCTGCAAACTCCTCTAGACTCTAGAGCGGTATGCGACTGCCGCCCCCATCTCTGTGTCTCCCCCGTCCCCCCGAGTGGCCCATGGTGGGATGATGCCGTGAGTTGACTTACCCGCTGCGCAGATGCTGGGAGCGCGGTTGGCGGGAGAAGTACCTGAGTACCTGAGTACCTGAGTACCTGAGTACCAGGCCGATCTCTAGCCCCTTTTTGACTGGTTTGGGCGTTGGACAGGGACAGGGAGGGACGGGACCGATGCCTCAAAGTGTGCAAATGTGGTTGGTACTCCGCGCTATGGACGTGCGCATTACTGCGTAGTACGCACTACTTCGCACGTAAGAGAGAGAGGGAAGCACAGTAAGAAGACGCACATGGGTTAGCTAGAAATTAGTACGTAGTACGTAGTACCACTTCGCAGTTGGCCGTATCCCAGGAGCTTTGCCGTGGGCCGTTGGTCGTCGAAATCGAAGGATCTGCGGGATGCAAAGTTTGCGTGCCTGGCATCAGCGGCATGGCGAGGGGCCGCTAAAACCGGCGCGTTGGTCCCAGCCCCTGAATTGAGGGAGACGGGAGAGGGGGAAAGAGATTTCCAGGAGGCACAAAAGTAGTAAGGAGGCACAGGAGCAAGGAGAGAGTGAGTGTGAATCTGTGGGTGGTTGGTGGTTGGTTATTGCCGGAGTGTGTGTGTGCGTGCGTGAGTGCGTGCGTTCTGTGTGGGAAGTGTGTGGTGTGTGAGTGGCTGTGCGAGCGAGAGCGAGAGAAGTGTGGATGGGCTTGAGGCGGACAAAAAAGCAGCCGACGCCGCGTGGCTCAACCACCCCGCAACTGCTGCGCACAAGTTTTTGTCCACGATATAAGCACCTTCAAGTCATCCAATGATTGATGGCCCAGTAAGGCCAGAACTCGTCCAGTAACCGAATCCAGGGGGCCCCTGAACTACGCCATGGTACGCCGAACTCCCATTGTGCATAAATGTGCTAGCAGGTAGGCGCTCATGCTGTGTGCTCTGTGCTGTGTGCTCTGCTTATTTGTCCAGTGAATAGAGGGCTAGAGGGCCACTGAGGGCTGGGCCTTGGCCCTTAGCACCTGGGCCGATGGTCGCTCAGGGGCCCCGGAACCGCGGAGACCAGGGGCCATATGCCGCTAAAAGGGTCTAAAGCCGCGCCCCGGCCAGGTACCACTCTCCCATGCCGGGCGAGCAGCCAACCACTGCGTGTCTGGCGGCCCTTCTCCGCCGGTCTCTGCGCCGCCTCATTGGGCGGTCGCAGCTTATGGTGGATGTGGCGGCCGTGACAGCAAGCCAGAAGCCCCCCCTAGACGACCCCTAAACCAGTGCCCCAGCGAGCGCTGCACCCGCTAGAACGCCAGTGCACACCCGCCATTGCTCCCAATGCGCCAGTGAACGAACGTTGGGCTCCCCCTGGTGTTTCTAGGTGGGCTGCAGGTCCACGGTGCCATTCCGTCTGGGGCCTGACCCTTTTTTGGCGCCATGCCATGTTATCCCATGCCATCCCATCGGCCATCTCTTACTAGGCACGCAGTACAGTAACGCAGGCAGGGTGGAGGGATTCCAGGTCGGTATTCCAGGCCTCAGGTATTCCAGGCGTCCCAGGCGTCCCAGGCGTCCCAGGTATTCCAGGTACCTACCTAACTTACCCCCTAGTCCCTCTTCCTCCTCCTCCTCCTCCTGAAGCCAAACGGTCCACCCACATCCACTCCCACACCCTCAACCCACGCCCGCCCAACCAGCGCCTACGACCATCTTTTTTTCCTCTCCCGCCCGTTGTCGCGTCTTGTTCCAGCTTTCGTCTTTTCGTCCATCGCGTCGTGGTCATTACCGTCGTCGTCTTCTCAGTCCTTCCCTACGAAATCCACAAACATCCTTCCTGGCGATAGTGCACCTGTCGTCCAAACGCCCAAACTCGTCCCTCTCTTCGCTGGAACGAGGTCGAATCTGTCGCTGGCTCGGACGCCCTCCCCTGTTTAATTACAACCCCCCCACACCCCTGGTTGGGATAAACACTCGTCTCGCTGCCCGTACGCTCTCGGCCACTTGACTGACTTGCTGCGACCTGCGACCTGCCATTGCGAACTGCGACATCAACTGCCAGTCTGCCGCCAACTGCCCTCCCGCGAGACTGTCTGGGACACTTTTACGAGAGAGGAATCCCAGCGCGAGAGCATCCGCTTCCGCTTCCGCTTGCAGCCTTATGACGCCCTGAAGACTCCTTCCTCCTTTCCTTTCGCGGGGCCCTTCTTGATCCCCCGAGCCCATTGCGGCACTGCCTTTGGCCTTCGCGACTGCAACCCGCCGCGCCACGAGACCATCTCGACGCCAACTCGCGCAACTCCATCTCCCACCCCCATCTCCAGCCATGGCGAGCTCGCCGCCGGCTTCGCCTGGGGGCCACCTTCCCCAGCGGCCCCTCAGCGCCATCGCCTCCAGGACCGCGCCGAGGAGCCATAGTCGCATGAGCACCGGCAGCAAGACGGGAGGCGGTAGCAGAGCTTCTGACGATGAAAGCCGCACCGCTGTCAAAGTCGGTATGTATATATTCTCTTGTCCTGTTTCCGGCTTGTCGTCCTGGGTGGATTTCGACCTATGACTGTCATGACTCTCACCTTTACCTCTACATCCGGACGTTGACCTTTTATAGTTGTTCGCGTTCGACCACCGCTCAACTCGAACGATCCTGGCTACGACTTGATTCCACAACGCTTCCAGCGCTCCACAGTCCAGACTCCATCAGACACGAACCTGACCATCGACTCACCCCAGGGCCGCAAGTTGTTCGTCTTCGACCGCGTCTTCGGCCCCGATGTCATGCAGGATGGCATCTGGGACTACATTTCCGACTGTGTCGGCGCCTTCATCCAGGGTTACAACGTCTCGCTGCTCGCATACGGCCAGTCTGGCGCCGGCAAATCCTACACTATGGGCACATCGGGCCCCAGCGAACAGTACGACACAGAGTTGATGGGTGAGGATGCTCCCGCGAGCGCCACACTCAAAAATGCTGACCAAACAAATCTAGGTGTCATTCCTCGAGCCGCCGCCGCCCTATTTGAGAAGCTGGACGCGCCCACATCTAGCCCCAAGACGACGAACCGGAATTCAATGTCCCACTTGCGAACTCCACGGGGATATGGACAGCAAAACGATCTCGGCGACCGCAACTGGTCGCTCAAAGCCACCTACGTCGAAATCTACAACGAGCAGCTGCGTGATCTCCTCGTCCCCGAGCACACGCCGACCGGCGAGCGTGGAAATGTCGCCATTCGCGAAGACGTCAAGGGAAACATTATCCTGACCGGCCTGCGCCAGGTTGAGATAAACTCTGTCGACGATCTCATGAACGCCTTAAATTTTGGCTCCAGCATTCGCCAGACCGACGCCACCGCCATCAATGCTAAGTCATCACGTTCCCATGCCGTCTTCTCGCTCCAGCTTGTCCAGCGTAAAAGCAAGGCCACCCCCACACCCGGCGCTGAGAAGCGTTTCTCCGTTCCCCTTGAGGCTATGACCGGCCAAGAGGTCTCCATCACCACCGACAGCAAGCTTCACTTTGTCGATCTCGCAGGTAGTGAGCGTCTGAAGAATACCGGCGCCCAGGGTGAACGCGCCAAGGAGGGAATCTCCATCAACGCAGGTCTTGCTGCCCTTGGCAAGGTTATTAGCCAGCTCTCCTCTCGCCAGGCCGGATCACACGTCTCGTACCGCGACTCCCGCTTGACTCGTCTGCTCCAGGACTCATTGGGTGGTAACGCCATTACTTATATGATCGCCTGTGTCACTCCCGCCGAATTCCACCTTAGCGAGACCCTCAATACTGTGCAGTACGCCCAGCGCGCCCGAGCTATCCAGTCCAAGCCTCGCATCCAGCAGATTGAAGAGGGCGACAAGCAAGCCGTCATCGACCGTCTCAAGGCCGAGGTTGCCTTCCTGCGAGAGCAGATTCGCATCTCCGACCGCGGCGGCTCCAGTCCCCGACGTGCTGCCCCAGGACCCAACAACGAGCGATCCGAGCGACAAAACGAGCGTGAAGTCGAGTTGCAGAACCAGCTGCTCGACACCCAGGAGAACTACACGGCGCTCAGCCAGCGTCACGCCCGGTTGATTTCGCAGATGGCCAGGGCTCGTGAACACGAATCAGACGAAAACCAACAGCTCGAAGACTCCCTTGGCGACACCGCCACCGATCGCCTCAACCGCTCCAACTCTTTTGCTCAGGCCGTTGAGCAAGTTGTGCTCGAGTACGAAAAGACCATCCAGTCCCTGGAGCAGTCCCTGTCCAGTACTCGCGGTACACTGTCCAACACGGAAACCAACTTGCTTGAAAAGGAAACCAAGTGTGCTTACGTAGAGACCATCAACACCCAGCTTCAATCCCGCCTACAGAAACTCATGGATCGCGAAGCGAGCACGGAGAATTATCTCCACGACCTCGAGGCTAAGCTCGACGGTCACACCAGTGGAGAGGAGAAGAACGCCACCATTATCCTGGAGCTGCGTAAAGAGATTGCCCGAGTGAGGGAAAACGAGGCCGCATGCGAGGACTACATCTCAACTCTCGAGGAGCGTCTTGCTGAGGCTGACCAGGATGCCGAGCTGATGCAGCGTGAAGTTGATCGACTCGAACAGGTCATCGAGCGCCAACGAAGTCTTGGCAAGCTCGACTCGTTGCTTCACGAGCTCGACCAGATCCAGGACGGCAAGGAGAAGGAACCTGAAGCTCAGGTTACTCCTGAACCAACCAACGGCGTCCCCCGCCGCGGCAAGGCCGAACACTCCCGGAGCCAGTCGCACGTGAGTCGTCACAGCCAGATGGAAGAGCCTATTCCCGAAGGCGACGAGGAGGGTGCCGATTCCAAGATTAGCACCGTCAAGGAGGAGGTCGACGAGGACGCTCCGGCTGATGGATCCCATCTGGAGAAGCCTGACGCTGATTTTACGCCCCAGAGCCCGGCCCAGTCCAAGTTTGTCAACGACAAGCTAGAGAATGTGACTCAGGAGCTCTTCGATCTGCGGGTTGAACACGAGACGACCCTCAACGACTTTGATTCCCTACAGGCCAAGTACGAGGAGGCCATGCGCAACCTCGCAGAGCTCCAGGACGCCGTGGACGAGGCTCGCCACCCCAGCCCCAACCGCCCCCGTGATTCCGTCATGTCCATCACCTCGCCGACTGACACCCGCCCCGAGTCCTTCCTTTCTGACGAGAGATCGAGCGACTTGAAGGACGGACCTCGATCCTCCTTCTCGCGATCGCTCTCCTCAGAGCTGTCCTCCGCCATGGACTCGCCTGCCACCGTGGACTCGTCCAGCGCAGACATTTCCGAGGATGACACCATCACCGCCAAGCCTACTGCCTCGACCGAGGACCTGACCCGGGCCCAGAGCGAACAGTTTGCGGCTGAGCTGAGCCGTCTCAAGACTCTCGCTCAAGAGCGTGAGGCTGCCGAGAAGGAGCTGGCCGAGAAGTACTCACAGCTCGAGTCACAGCATAGCGAGACTCTTGACATTGTCGAGGAGCTCAAGACCGACCTGTCCAAGGCCCGCGCCGTTGCCGTCGAGGCCACCTCCCCCAGAACCAGCACCCCCGTCATCCGCCGCAAGTCCAGCCAGAACCTCATGATCATCGACCGCGCCCACCGCTCGTTTGCCTCCCTGCGAAACATTGCCACCGAGAACTTTGAGGACAACCACGAGGTGATGCAGAACTTTGAGCTCAACTTGAACTCTGCCATGCACGAGTTGCACACGCGCAGTGAGCGCATCCAGGAGCTTGAGGCTGACGTCGCTTCCGCAAAGAAGGAGATGGAGACTAAGATGACCATCATTTCGGGCTTGACCCGTGAGCGATCCAGTCTCAAGGCTAGCCCCATGGACATGTCGATGGTTGCCAACATGCGAGACCAGCTGGAGCGAAACGAGCAACAGCTTTCAGAAGCAAGGGACGCCCACAACGCCCGCGAGCAAGAGTTGTCGACCGAGCTGGAGTCGCTGCGACAGGCCCTGGAGTCGACCAAGAATGCCGTGGCACCGCAGGAGGTCGAGGAAGTGAAGCGCTCACACGAAGAGAAGGTTGGCGAGCTGCAGAGGGAGCTTGCCGCCTGGGAGGACAAGCACAAGACTGTTCTCGAGTCAATGGCCACCGCCGAGACGCAGATGCGAAGCACGATCCAGGACCTCGAGGCCCAGGTTGCTTCCGCCTCCAAGCCCGTCCATTCTGAGCCTAGTGATGAGTCAAGAGAGGCTGCTAAGAAGCAGGAGGACCTCGTGTCATTCCTGCGTAGCGAAATCGACGAGTACAAGGCCATCATCAACAGCAACGCCACCAAGGTTGCGGAGCTCGAGAAGGGCCACTCTGCGGTTCGCGCTGAGCTGGAGGCGGCGACCGAGAGGTACAACGCCGAGTTGGAGGAGATGAAGAAGGCCCAGGGCACCAGGGAGCTCACTCATGCCCAGAGCATTGCCGAGGACAACACCCGTCACCAGGAGCTCGTCGCTAAGCTGGAGGAGCAGATGGCCGCCCACGAGCTGGCCACCAAGAGCCACCAGGAGAGCTTGGATCTTCTCAAGGCCACCCACGCCAAGGAACTATTGGATCTCAAGACCAATGAGCAGAACGGCTACGAAGAGCAGGTCGAGGTGCTCATGTCGGAGCACGCCGAGGGGGTCCAGAAGCTCGAGATGGAGCTTACCGAGGCCCGCGAGGATCTTATGAAGGTTGCTACCCAGGTGGCCTTTGCCCTGGGTCTGGATGTCAGCGTCGAGAAGCTTACCGAGCGCATCGACGAGCTAGTCTCCGACCAGAAGGCACTGGCCGTAGAGCAGACCAAGCGCGCCGAGATGGAGACGCACGTCACCGAGCTTACCACCATCAACGAGACCATCATGCGTGACCTCGAGACGGCCAAGACTGCCCTGGCCGAGATGCTGTCCGACAGCAACAACACCAACACCAAGTCGGCCCCCATCACTGACCAGGTGTCGATCCTCAAGAACCGTATGTCGGAGCTCGACAACCGCAGCAAGAAGAACAGCCGCCTGGTGGAGGAGCTGGAGGAGCAGCTGCAGAACAACTTTGATGAGGCCCAGATGACCAACAACCGTCTGAGCACTCTGCAGACGGAGCGCAACGCACAGCTCGACGAGGCCAACTCGGCGCGGATCCGGCTCCAAGCTGAGCTGGATTCCGTCCGCGACGAGTATGCCGTGCTTCAGGTAAGTTCCCGTTCGTCTCATCAAACAACACTCACTAACTTGCAACAGACCAAGCTCGAGGAGGTTCAGGCTGGCGTCCAGCGATCCAACTCCAACTCGACGATCCGAAAGAGCGCGTCCCACACCTCGCTGCCCTCACCACCACCCGCCATCCCTCTGCCGCCACTACCGACCTCGCCCGTTAACGGCTCGCCTAGCTCACCTACTACCGCCGGCCCTGGCCGACCCGCCAGCAAGGACAACCTGAACATTTCTCAAATCACCGAGGACCAGGAAGCCCGCATCCGCACCATCGAGAAGCACCTCTACGCCGAGCGCCAGCTGACGCAGACGCTCGAGGAGGCCCTCACGGACTTGGAGAAGCAGACCAACAAGGTCAAGGCCGACTGCGACGCCTGGAAGAAGCGCGCCCAGGAGCTCGAGACGGAGAACAAGGACCTCAAGGATCGCCCGCCGCCCGAGCCCGTCCACGACAACCGCTGGAGTCTCCAGGCCGTCGAGGAGGAGCGCAAGAAGCGCCAGGCCGCCGAGGCTGCGCGTCGCCAGCTCGAGGAGCGCATGAATGCCATCAACAAGGGCAAGAAGAAGAAGGGAAGCTTGAACTGCTTCTAGAGGGGGCCAGGTTGAGGTTGAGAGATGCCCGTTTCACGCCTCATGTTGTTTTTGCTTTTTTTGTGCTTTGCTCTTTGTTCTATTCCCCCCCGTGCGTGTTTTTTATGCTTGTGCTCCTCCTCCCCCCCTCCCCTTCCCTCCCCTTCGTCTGAATTGTTTCCCATGACGAACTTGGGAGGGATCCTCCCCCTAAAATCCCCGAAGATGGCGAGTTTCGTTTTTTTTGGCACTGGCCAGGAGTTTGGAAGGGTTTCTGCTTCTTGTCTGAGAATACCATCTACACCAGCAGCTCGAAGCACGATGTGATTATTATTATTTTTCTTCCCTTTTACGTCATGTAACCCTGTTTTGTCTCTCTGTTCCTCTTTTTCTTTTCGCTTCCAAAAAACTCCCTTGTTACTTCTTACAACCTTTTTTCTGTTTTCTCTCTTGCCCTCGTCCCCCCAAATGGCGGATGCGGGGGCGCGGGGCAAAAAAACTTATTTTTTCTCAAAGAATGAGCGGAAGATGAGATGAGATGATTTTCATGAGGCCCGGGAATCTGGGCAATTCTGTTATATATAAGGGAACTATCCCGCGACGATAGTGGTAAATACTAGTTCAGAACATTTTTTGTCACGATGATGTGTGTGAATGTGATTATTGTAATGTGAAGGGAGGTTGTATTTTTGAGTGCGTTGTACTACTGAAACAGTCTCATCCCTTGACTGGGTGAAGCTATCGTGCAGGGTAAATCTCATGCACCTAGCCTATGGTGATTCCATTCGATGATGTCCTCCATTTGATCCGAAAACCATGTGTTCCCCTCACTGGTCGTAGGCATTATCGCCAACATCCTCAATTCAGGTGGGGCCTCTTCAAAATATCCATGATGTCGTTCCCCAAGATTGACTGGTTGCGCACAAATGGCATCTTTGCGATGACTCCCAATCTGGATTTGACGGTAAACCTATTTGTGTCGTGATGGACACTCGAGTTGGAGTTGAGGTCCTTGATAGCAGATGCTGTTGTTGCACCCAAGGTGAGCTCCAGTCGCTGTCGCAAATGCGGCGGGATTGACTTTGCCATCCACGTTCTCTCGACCTCCCTCTCAGAAGCAACCCCAGCTGCTCGAAGCAACAGACGAGATAACCCGTAAAGATGGTCCCAGGCAAAGCGGATCCATACCTGATCCTCAACTGTATTGGCGGCTTGAGCGAACCGGAACAGCTGTTCCCCAAGATCGTCATTCACGTCCATGACCAAGGTGGCCACATCCGACCTCCGAACGGGTGTCTCATCGTTCATCATGCGCTCCACCGCTGCCCAATGTCTGGCCCTGGGCACCACACTGGTAACCAACATCAATATGTCTTCCCTGTCGCTGTCGGTCAAGCAATCGGCTGAGTCGGGCTTAAAATCATCAGGCAGCGGCAATGTCAGATATTGCGTCGGCACCTCATTCAGCCTCCCACTTTTCGACGCGCTCATGATCTCCGAGACCATTCCATCCCATTTGAAGACCATCTCTTCACCATGGAACCAAAGCTGATTGACTGGCACAGAGAGCGTGTTTGCGAGTAGAAGTCGGTCACAGTTGACCATTTGCAACCGCTTCAGAAAGGCATAGGAAAAGCTGGCGGTTTGGGCGGAGGATATGGTGTGCGAATTAAAGGCTTCGAAGTCGCGAATGTTGCTTTCAGGGTGTTCCGCCTGCAATCCGTTCAGCTTCCCATTGTTGTATGCCCCCTTGACCTGTCTCATCATATACGGCCAATCGACAGTCATCAGCATATCATTGAAGCGAAGCTGGCTGGTTGTAATAGATAGCGCGTCTGCTAGGCGAAGTCGATCATTGTTGACTTGCTCAAACAAGGCCAAATGGGTAGGATCAAAATACGCAAGCCCAGGATCGGGTGCTAGACGTAACTGACATGCGGCATTCTTGCAAAGCTGGTTTGGATCCAACAGCCTTTGTTCGTCTTTCGTGCGAGGACAATCCACGGCATGTTCAGCAGGTCGCTCAGTTTCAATCCTATTAGTTTGCTTTCTGAGAGGATGGTTATTGGAGGCGGGAGTCGAATCATTGGCTGCAGGTCTTTTGGTCACGGCAGGCTGGGACGGTTGAGTAGCTTGGCTGTGTGGCTTGGCCCTGTTACGTATCATCGAATTGTTAACATGTACTCCACCAGGTGAGGGTTGATCCTCGAGATCTGAGACAACTTACCCGACTGAAGTACCCGTCGCCAGGGTGTCAGATACATGGGAGACTCGGCTAGCTTTTTGGACCCTATGAGTCCTGGTGCGCGATGGCGCAGGCGGCTGCCCGACTTGTCCACTGCCGGAGGGAGGAGATGGCTCTCTGGATCGCTTCAGGGTCCTAGATGCACGTGTGTTGACTCGGTTCATCCTGGCTGCGAGGATGAAATCTAGTCAGGCTGATGAGTAAGGGCGTGTGGTCACAAGACCTGTGATCGAGTTGTGGTGCTCGACAGGTGATGGTGATGGTGAGAGAGAGTGGAGATGGTTCATCGACAAGTTTGTGAGAGGGAGGATCAAAAAGTCTGTGAAAGAAGAAAATGATGAAAGAAAACGAAATGATTGTGAAGGAACAGAAGAGTCACAGCCGGTAGTACTCACGTGAACTTCATTTCTGCAGTGATTCACTCCCAATAGGTACCTTCGCAAATCATTTCACCAAACAACAGCCGGCCCGTCTCTGCTTCCACTTCTGGTGCCATGCGCAGTACAGAGAAGAATTGTGCACTGATGGGAGTTTAGAAGATTCCAACTTCACTCAGTCTTCACAGGACCGATGTCCCAGGCATGTAAACTCTTCGCCGTGGGCTCTGGATGTAGTCTCGCTCTAAGATTTGAAAGCCGTAATTTAAACCAGACACGCAAATTAGCCACCTACTGATTATCTAATTGTTCATGGGCTCTTAAGCCCCGAAATGCTGACTGACAGTTTGAGGTCCTGCGGCTTGGGAGGCATTTTGAGCTGCTGCAGAAAATTCCCCATCCTCGTACTCGGCGCTGTCCGAGAACAGGTAGTTTCATCAGGATATGCAAGGCAGAGGTAGCTTTGCGGTGATGCCGAGGCAAAACGAGAAAAATGACTTCCCTGCCACCCAGAGAATGCTAGTTGGCCATTGCTGCTAAGGCTGTTAGAGTACCTATCTATAAATAAAGCCCCGCTGGTTCAGAGTCTGAAGTATCTTAATCGTAAGAGCAGCTGTTACACACTCTCTGGCTGCCTCTTGGGGGAACTTGATATTGTTGTGGTCCAACGAAGTCTCATTCAGGTGTTTGGATGCTACGTGTGACTCAGCGGTGTTCAACTTAGGAGAACGATGGCTTGTTCACGTGTAATGGAGATAGACTACGCCTTGAGTAGACGTTGAAGATGGTTGCAATATCCCTGGTAGCCTTTTCTATCCGTTAAAGGTCGGTTTTGAGCTTGACGAAGGATCTGGTGTTGATTCCTAGAGGGTGTGGTTCTGGAGTATTTCGTCTTCACTACCTATCTTGCCCATGATGCGGCACCGCCCAGGAATACTAACAAAGTCTCTAAGGAGTGCTTACTCAATCGCTTAAAGATCGTGGCCAAGCATAAAAAATTCCTTGATTCAGATGCTGTGTCTAGCGGCTGACAAGATTTACGTCATCGGTCGAGCAGCGGAACAAAGATGATCACCGTCGTCAATAAGAGGGTCTGCGCCCTTGATTTGACAACCCTGTAGCTTAGCATATAAGGAGCGACAGCCTACGATTATGCCTCACACAAGGAGGTCATGGAATATATTTAGTACCCAAAATTTATGCTATGGCAACTTCACGCTCAATCTCAGTCACCTATGTGCCCGCGGATTGCGGCTCCATTATCCCAGGCAAATCCAAAGCGCCGCAAGCCTTCCAAGATGTGGGCATCATCAACAAACTACGAGACGCCGGGCTATCTGTCTCAGAGAACCATGCACTGGAGTATCCCGCAACATTCTCAGCATCAACCTTTGTCCCAGGCGGCGTTCGTAACGAATACGTCAACGTCTCCGTCTGCAAAAGTGTCCGTCACGCCATCTCCCAGAACCTCGACTCTTCTGTTCAACCGCCGTTTCAACTCATCCTCGGTGGTGAGTGCTGCATGTTGCCGGCGATCCTTTCGTCCTTCTGGCAGCATGCGGGTTCACAGTCCCCTCCCAAACGCGTCGGCCTCATCTACATCGACGCCGACACCGACCTTACTTCCCCCACGGACCCTAGCTCTATTGGCACCTTTGCAGGCATGAACATGGCGCATCTCATCCGACTACCTGGCGCGTTGAAGAGCATGGAGCAGTTCTCGCGGCCCTCTGGCGAGCCCGTCTGTGACGCCTCCAACACCGTCTTTTTCGGCACAAATATGTCCTTGCCGGGAAACAAGCCTGAGCACTTTGCGTATCTCTTCGACAACAACTACAAAGTTGTCAACTCAGCATCACTGGCGCGTGAGCCAGAACAGCGCGCGAGGGAAGCCCTCAAGTATCTCGAGGACAAGGTTGACATCATTATGGTGCATCTTGACGTCGACTCGATCGATCCGGGGACGTTTCCACTGGCAAACGTTCCGAATTTCACGGGAGTCATGTTTGAGGAAATGATGCGAGCGTTGAAAGTCTTTCTAGGTAGCAAAAAGGTCAAAGGATTAACTGTTGCTGAAGTTAATCCAGATCATGATCCTGGGTTGGACATGGTGGAGAGGCTGACGGACCAAGTTGTGGGCATGCTGGCGGCAAGATAATTTCTTGAATTCAACTAGAAGCTTCGGAATTGACATGTTAGAATAACACTCGTGGGTGCTCCTTTCCTGGATCAATTCGGCTGTTGGTACGACCCACCCATCAGGAATGCAATTTCGACGTCACCTGGCTCGGCGATACTCTAGATTTACAATAGTAACTGGTCCTCATAGCATTGGACGACTCGATATCGAGACGTGGTTTCAGTGGATAGCTTAATTGGGAGTTTATTCTTCTCATATACTTGTGAACTCGACGCTGGATCTACAGCCTGATATTCTACTCCCTGCGGCCGTAGCTAAATCTTTTGCGTGACCTTGATAAATGGCGGGCGTGCAAAGAAATCGCAATTGGAAAACTCCAGAAACTCTTTAGACGCAGTGTGCTTCTCGTATGCCTCTCGGCCAGTGTATCGCTCATAGGCGTAGAATGTTGTTGGTTCGTCAGGGTGGAAACTGACTACGAGGTCCAGAACACCAGGTTCCGACTCTGCCAGCTGGAGGGAACGGCGCATGAGATGCTTGATTTCCTCAAGATATTCAGGCTTTGCATAGACCTAGCGGGGGCCATTAGAGTACTCCTGAAAGGGCATAGTGGACTGATATTTACCGTTCCAATGATAATAAACTCCCCCTCGGGGATAGGTGGCAGCTCGATTCCCATGTTTGTATTTGTAAAATGGACAAATACGATAATTTGGGCAGAAACACAATCGGTGTGAAAATCACCCAAATGGTAGGAGGAAGAAATACTCACGACCGGGAGATGTGATAGTGTGAGTGGTCGATGGCTGTGTTGATTGCTGGCTGGACGGGGAAGTCACAGGAGGTCTTCTTATACCTTTCTGTACGGCACAGAGATCTACCGCCATATTATCGAGTTCAGACATGTTAGCGGTCTCCGGAATGTTAGCGGGCTCCGAAATGTTACCTATCGGGCCCGAATAAGACTTATATCCGTCCAAGGTGCAGTGGTGCCCGAGAAACTAGTCGCCCATTTCTCGGGCTCCACTGTAAGCTACATGGCCACAGTATTATTAATAGTATTAAGCTTTAATTAAGGTTCAGGACAAGGGAAATGCCACCGCTACAACTTATAATCGGGCCACTTCGAAGAGAGTAAATACTTTTGTGTACAAGAAAGGCATGAGGATGAGTCAGTTAAGGTTTCACCGCGGTTAAGAAAGGTTATTATTAGAGGAGTAACTGGTGGGGATTGGTCTCTTCGTCAGCAGTTACTGTTTGGTTGCGTTTGCAACTCCGCGGATAGTTGGTCCGCGATTGCGTATAGAGTAACTTATACCAGACACTTCTATTCAGATACTCAAGTTATCAAATTTACTTTGAAGATGCCTCATGAATGAAGTTGTTGTTGTCGTACCGCTGCTTGCGGGAAAGGTGCGGAAAGTGTGCGGAAAGTGTGCGGGAAAGTGTGCGGGAAATGCCTGTCACCGTTGCCAAGCTGGGAATCACACTCCCACCCTTAGAGCAGCGCGTGCTAAGCGTACGCTCCGGGTGGCCCACTTGGATGCAACCATGGAGTTAGGGAATTTCTGCGCTGCCGACCTTGACTCCACGCCGAATATCGTCTACGTGTTTGCGGGAGCCCGTGTGAAACCAGATTCAAGTCACACGACCGAGGTAGATCAAAGGGATGATACTTTTTAAATATGGTTCTGTGTATGGCTATAAGTAGCAGTCCGTTTGTGGCATTTCAGATACCCGACCAACATAGGACTCAAATTAGGCATACCTTCTTTCACCATTTTGAACAAGCTACCAAGCCAGAAAACATAAAAATGGCGCCACTCTCGGGAAAGATTATCGCCATCACAGGTAAGGGCAGACTTACTGCCACCTTATCTTGGTGACCGATTTACTAATTGTTTCACGTAGGAGCTGCATCCGGAATGGGGCTTGCAATCGCCAAGAAGCTCATGAAGCAAGGTGCACTTCTTTCGATTGCCGATGTCCATGAGGCAAACCTTCAAGCTGCCAAATTGCAGCTTAAAGAACTTGGAGAGCAAATTCTCTTAACAACTGTCCTGGATGTTAGAAAGAGTTCAGAGGTCGACGCGTGGATCGCCTCTACGATCTCGGAGCTTGGTGGCCTCCATGGGGCAGTCAACTTTGCAGGTGTGACAAATGCAAAGATTGGAACCGAAGGAATTCATGAACTAGACGACAGTACATATGATTTTCTCATGGATGTCAATTTGCGTGGAATTGTCAACTGCATGCGGGCCCAATTACGGTATATGGTATCTGGAGCGGCAATAGTGAACGCTTGCAGTGCTTCGGGCCTCATGGGGTTTGCAGGGGGAGCTGTTTACACTGCTAGCAAGCATGGTGTCGCTGGTGTAACCAAGGCAGTGGCAAAGGAAGCGGGCAAAAAGAATATCAGGGTCAATGCTGTGGCTCCGTAAGTTCAAGCATTCTCCTTCAACACGATATACACTAATTTGAGCATGATAGCGGCTTCATAGATACACCTATGACGGCCAAAACCATCGGGAATTTGAACCTTGCCCCTGGTGACTTGGGACCTTGCGAAGCAACCGCGCTTGGTCGAGCCGGACAGCCTGCCGAGGTCGCAAACCTCGTGGCATTTTTGCTTAGTGATGAGGCATCGTATATAACTGGGACTGTTATCCCAGTTGATGGTGGGCTGGTTTGCTAGTTCTTTCCCCCTAGCTAATGCCTAAGCCTCTTGAGGGTGTCTGTCACCTTGACGTTTGGTAAAGTGGAAGTGTCAGGTTGGGCTTCAATTCTCGAATAGTTGATATCATGCTCCGAGGATCGCAGAGCAAAGCTTTCCAAAATTCACCATCTCTTACTCCGCCAAGGAAAGTGGATAGCGGATGTTTACCAGTTGTCTTGAAGCTTGTGTACTCCAATAAACACATCTTTCGTTAGTTGGTAGTTAATAAACCGATTGCACAGCACAGGGCTAGAGCTTTCCTAGCTCTGCGATTAACAGGCCCTGGCTGCGCCCCTCAAATAGAATGTTATGCGGCCATGCTGCACTCTATACTCTCAGTATCCTCCACCAGTTCTGTGTTCGTGACTGGTAAATAGCTGTACCTTTACGATTTTAGCCTTTATGACATGAGTTTTTGATATCTTTAGTAGCGAGGGTTGAGGTGTATATTGAATATGGTCTGATAATGAATCAATGGGATTGTATTAAGTACCGCTCGAGATATCTTTACGGCTGCTGAAATATTATCTTTAACTCTAACCTGGGGGCATGTCATTATTGACGTGGAATGATTGCGCAACATCTGAGTGCTCCTATCGCCATAACATTCTGATTGAGAAAAGAAAAATCCGCATAAGTTTAAACCACGAAGGGATACATCAAATCTCTCTCTGTAGACATGGTGCTTGGATCCCACCACAGGCCGTGGTCATCCATTTCCTCCTGCTCCTGGGCCGACATGTCATGAACAATAAAAAAAGTACTGCCATCTTCCGCTATTCGATCAGGGCATCGGGCCCTCCTCACTATCCGGAAATGCAAACCATCTTGGTCATTGTCATTAAATTGCTCGCTGGGAACGATATTATCGCTGGCAATCTTTGGTAAGTATACCACAAGTTCCACCTCTGGCGACCATGTTGCTCGCCGAAGTGGCTCCAATATCGCCCGCTCATTGATGTTTGACCAACTGTCAAAACCACCATGGTCCATCCACAGATTGACGTGGACGAGATGTGGTAACGCGGCGATGCCTGGCCAGATTTGGTGCCATTGGCACCCTTTGGGCAGCAGGCCTACCGCACGCTCTTGGCTAGCATACCCGGTTGCTCTTATCTTCTGTTGAAATTCCTGGCTCACGACCTCGAGTGGTGTTGTTGCATTGTAGTCCCTTGCCAATGTTAGGGCGATAAAGAGATCAACGGACCCAAAAAGGGTAACATTTAGAGATCGAATCGAACGAAGAAGTTGACGAGGGATCATGGGCGGTGGACTATCGTGTATGACAGGCTTGGGGTCGTCGTTGAGATAAAGGGCGGTGTCGGTGTCGGTAATTGTAATCTCTAGATGTTGGCTCAAGAAGCGGATTGATTCGGCATAGCTGCTCAGCGTATTAATAGGTGCTGAACTTATCATCACGCAGGTCTAGGTCAAGACTAGACATTGACGTGCAGGGGTAGAAGACTTGCATTGTCTTGTTGACTAGCAAAAGGCTGATGCATGCATTTCGCTCAGTACTGATATGCCCTGGCAATGGATTCCAATCTTCTTCACATCGGTAGTGATTCCCCCAGGTTGAGTGCAGCCTCGCTTTCATTAAATTGCGACTACCCTTCCTGCGAAGACTTTTGAAAGCGAGATCCTCTTCCTCTTGACTTGGCACGCGGTGATTGTCAGGCGCTGTGGGATATGGACCGCCGATGCCACTTGATTCATCCCCAGTTTGCGCACCCAGACAGGCTGCAGTCACGAGACGGTCGTTCTTGAAGAAAACGTGGAGTCGCAACCTGGGAGCCCAGACGTTTGTGTAGATGAGGTCGCGGATTTCTGTGGGCAAAGAGGTGAAGGAGAAGTGGCGCGACTCTCGTCTTGTCACAGGAGACGCCATTTTGCCGCCCAGAATCTCAATTTGAGTGGAGACGAACGGACTGGGTTGAGCTGAGGAGCGTCACAATTCTGGAGGTGTTGGTTGTTACTTATAATCTTGCTTTACTTATTTACCGACCAATGATCAGAATACAGTGAGCGTGACCCAAAAGTGGACCTGTTGCTATTTATAGAACTGCTAAAACCCGCACTTGGAATACATGCGTAAATGAAATCACCAACTTCTGGCCGGTGATGGTCTTATCTTAGATCCCATTTGCCCTCCTAAACTTGAGATATGTATACATAAACGCCCAATTCGGACCTGGGATAATGCATGACACTTCCAATACCTTCTGCTCACAGCCCTGCCCTCGTAAACCTCCATTGCATACTCCAAATCACTCGAACTCTTCAATCAACCCCTCTTCGTCCACCATGAAATTCATGCTCCAGAGCTGCAACGCAATCCCCAGCATCGCAATGGTGTCTAGGTTCTAAGTCAACTGCAAATTTTACACACGGATGAACGCTCAGACTTACCAGCATTCCTATCACTCTTCACTTCTAACACGCATATCCAGTCATAGCAGTAGTTTTTTGGCACATCCAAAGTGTCTCCTGTTCCTCCCAAGCGAGTATGGGCAAGCTGAACGTGTTAGATATTTGCGCCTTAGTCTTGGGTCTGTTTGATACTCACCTCGTGTAGCATGGTTGAACTCATTGTCTTTAAACCGTCAATCATGGAGAAAAGCCGTACGTCCCCTTGGTCAAGGAGCTTATCGTTGCGTTCATCCATCCACGTGCGAAAGCTGACACTCCTGACTTCGTCGATCAACACCTGGTTTAGACGAATGAATCCTTTGTCCTGCCACTCCCTGACGAACCACGGGCAAACATCGATGGTGTAAGGCATATCAGGCTGGGGAATGTCGGGCACACCCGGCAGGTACCTCTTGAATATCGAATTTTGCGTCGACATTTTCACTTTCTCTATACCGTCGCCGTACTTTAATCCGCTTTTGTAGCAAAAACTATCAAGGAATGTGAATGCGCTGCTTGTAACTTTTCGATTGTTCCAAGCAGCGTTAAGCATGGTGGTCCTGCCGTTTGAATCTTTACTGAATCTCTTGAGATCACAGTAGATTTGCTGGATCCCAAAGCAATGGCCACATTGTCAGTTGTAATATGGAAAAAACAAGGAGGAGAAATATCTCTCACCACATCGTCCCAGGTCCTGCGATCGTTCCACTCCGGAGATCCAATACCGGGGTCTGCAGGAGCAGCTGCAAGATTCATAACCTTTTCGTATATCGCTGGACACATGTCCTATTAGTACACTTTTCATTTTGATTTCTTATGTAGCAAGAGGGCTGTCCGAGAACCAACAGGCTTTTACTTACCTCTTACGTTACTGAACTTCTGCTCGTACTTCTCGTCGTCTCCCAGCACCATCTTGCAGATCTTAGAAACTCTTTCATCATCCGCGTGTTGGCTCATGACATCGAATGCAATCTGCGCTCGTGCTCGAGCCTCATCCATGGCAGCAATGATACCGTCTCGGGGTCTGAGAGGCCCTTTGACTTCTGCCTCGTCTTTGACTTCTTCGGCGTTTGTGGGGTCTTCGAGGACCTCATTGTCTGCAACGCGTCAGTTAACCGTTTTTAACGGAAATGCATCGTGTGCATGGGGGATGACGGAGCCTTGCTTTGGAGCAACCAAAGACGGGTTCTTCGTCCATGAATTACATACCGCAGCTTTCATCAATTGCCCAGTTTTGCGCAAGGGACAAGGGAAAGAGGTACAGAGAGGCAAAAACAAATGTGGAGAGTCTCATGTTGGCACGAAGGATGGAACAGTTGAGTTCCTGTAGTGAGTAGAATGATATCTATGTGAATTGAAAGCCGACTGGGACCATGCCTATATATGGGTATTGTTGCATTACCACCAGCCCCGTCTGAGTCTTCACAACACATGTTGGTTAGATCCACGAAGAGGATTTGGAAACATCGCTTCGAAGGAACGTTCTCCAGCGGATGAATCCCACTGGCTGTGTCGTCTCAGGATTCTCCTGGCTAGCCGCCCGTCCGCTTATACAGAATACATCAGCTGAGGGTTAGACGCCCAACGATCCTTCTTCACTGTACAGCCGACGATATGCAGCAGGAAGGACCTGAAGCTTGGCAATATGCGCCTGAAACAAGCTGTTGGGTATGTAGATGGCATCAGCCAACGGCGGGCGGCAGGCAACCGACGAATCCCAAATCCTGACGGTATGGTCTGAATTAAGCTGTTGGCTATGAATATTGAAATAACCGAAGACACTAAACCTGCAGGGCGTTGACAGTTGGGGCTGTGCGTCCAGGATGTAAACCATCCGATGATAATTAAACTTACTGCATGTCTTAGTCCGGATAGAAGATATCGGATCCTCCGAAGGATCATAAGAACAGGAATCCCTTAGATCCTCGCAAAGAAAGCCAATGAGGAGCAGAAGAGAAGCGCCAAAGCCTGTTAGTACAGGCCTGATACAGGGCGTTGATTGGGTGTTGGTTGGGTGTTGGTTGGTTGTGTATGTGATGTGTAGCGACCAACATATGCCAAATCGAGCGGCACTAAGATTGGAATTACGCTACAGGAACATGCGGATGATCACGCAGTAGCTTGCTTTAAGCTTAATTAGCCGGTGATATCTACCTCTGACTGCGTTCTCCGAGTACGCGCCGATGTGTGCTTCGCAACCAACTGCAGGATTCTGGGAAAGGGTTATTATAGAGCCAACACTACTTCGCATCCTCTGTTTTTCTCGCCAACACGATATTCCTTCGTTTCACCATGTCCGATTAACCCCACAAATGCCCTGGACTCTGGTCTGATTAGCCGGAGCCTCTACACTGCCTTGGTAACTGGATAGTTTAGCCGCTGGCGTCTTTCATAGGATTCCGAGTGTGTGCCAACGTGATCCTTAGTGCAATTTCCAGATTCGTTGGTCGACCTAGCGGAATTTGGCTGGACTCGGCTGGACTCGACATCGGGGACAGTATCATTGCCATCGTAGACATAAAGGCCAACCTGCGCTGTCACGTCAACCAGAAAATAGAGCTACACACAGCTTTACCATTTTATCACTTGATTCATCGTTCCGAATATCTCACCCTCGTCATGCGGCTTCTTACCGCGTTTCGTTTTGGCTTGATGCCAAACCCCACGGCAACGTCCATTGGAGCCGCTGTAGGGGAGGCAGTCGAGGCTCTGGCTACGAGAACTGGAATGCACATCGCTGCAATCATTCCGACCACCTCTGGTCAGATAGGAGTCAATCCTGTCAGTATTCTGCCTCCGGCATCTGTATTGTAAGTGAGATCAGTGATTTGACGCGCACACCAGTCTGACATATCTGCAGTCGAGGCACCGTGTATGATACGGACGCTCCGACGGCCACGACGGTAACCACGGGTGGTCACACTGAAACCCACAAGGTTTACTTTGCTGTGGCCACGAATGCGGCTGGAGATCTTGACATCTCCATTGTTGACCCTGACCTTCGGTCTTTCTTGGAAAAGACAGCCGAAGAAGTGCCTGCTTGCGCCATATCCAAGCTTCGTCGTCGCCTTCGCAGTATCTTACTTCGACGCGAAGCCTGTGGTGCTCTCCGCTATATGGACGAATTCGAGTCTTATCCTAGCGCCGACGAAATCATCCAGGACCTGACCGATCAGATAGCCAGTGCCGCTCCTGACCATCCTGCGGTCAAGGAGTATCTGGAGCTTGAAACCGTGCCTGGCTCGGGCTCAGGCTCCGGAGGCTCGGATGTTGTTGAGACTGTGGAGCTTAGCCTTATGAGTGAAGAGGAACTCACTCTTCTCCAAGCAAGCGCCGGACCGGTCACCGGCGCCATGGGCCTTGGCTTCCTCACCTACATCTTTCATGTCTTCAATGCTGACAAGGCGGCTGCTAAAGAGGGAGAGAAAGTTGCCATTACTGGAGTACACATCCCTTCCAACTCTATTCAGACCGTGACTGAGACGAAAACCACGTCTACGAGTACTACGTCTACAGTTTCTTGTGCCGATCCTAGCAAGACAGACTTGTTTTGTCTCAAGGATGATTGCGAGATTGACCTACCATTGACGGAAGACACCAAGTTTGTTTGCAAGGTAGTTTTTACCCTCCGCCCCAAGAAGAATAGAACTTACTAATATGATTAGGGTGGAAAATACGAAGGCTGTGACTGTGCGACCGAGCCTGTAGTCCTCTCGCTACCAATCACCAAAAAGGAGGATGCAATGATGAAGCTTTTGGCCGACAACATGGTGTTCAATGATATACCAACGCACCCAAAGCTATCCAATTACGGAGAATGCGGAACATCGAATGAGAATATGGAGAGCAGCACTTGGTTCAAGTAAGTCCATCGGTCTACAAAAGTGACCACGCTAATCGACGTATAGCTTGGTTCAGAAGCTTTGCACGGATACCAAGCACTACAAACTGGACAAAGATTTCAGCGTTGAATACACTGCTGAAGACGTCTTTGCCTCAGGCTATGAAGATGATGTTTTCGAGTTTTACTTGAAAAAGAACGAAGGTGTTGAATGCAAAAACCCCTGCACTCAAATCTTCAACGATGGTTTTTCTAGCACATCATGTATGGCACCCATTCCGCCTTGCTTCCAATCCTTGACACTCCGTGTATGCTCAATATCTTACCATTGAACAGGCCATTATGACTCTCACACTCGAGCTCGCTCCGGAAGTATTAAACTGGATTGTGGTGAGGCCGGTTACGAGATCAGAAACGCCAAGTCCAAAGCTTCGGGACCACAGTGTGCAGACAACGACTGGAGCCCGCTTCCATCCAACGTCTGGAATGGACCAGCTGGAAACATCTATAACGTTTTCTGTCAGAACGTCACCCCGGACAAAAAGCTCGAGATCACGATTGACCCTTCTGGCAAGGCGGATCCCGTCCGGTGGCTGAAGCGATCACCACCACCCGATCCAAGTCTGTACGACGGTTACAGGGTCGATTTCCTTTGGAAGCCAAATGAGGATTCTAGCGCAATTGATTGTGAATTGTCGTGCGACGGGGTCATGGAAGCATTTGGCTCGTCAACTTGCGGACACAAAGGAAGTAAGTTTCCCATCCTTGTCCTGTCCTTGACGATGAACCAACCCGCTGACTTAACTATCAGGTGGAATGAGAAAAATGTCAACATCGGCCAGCTACAATGTCGGTTGCGGCACGTACTCGTACAGGATCCGCAAGAAGAGACACCCTTGGACTCTCGGAGAGCAGAAATGCTACAAGCCCGACCAATTCGGCGCGCACAAAGACGTTTCTCCCCCTCTTGTTCGGAGATTCAGCAAGAAAGCGTGCAAGAACGTGAAAGGCTACAAAATAGTCAAGGGAGATAGCGACTCAGTTCTTCACCACGAATTCACAAACGGCGGCGTCAAGTACCACTTCGAGGCCGGGTGGGATAATTCCTGCGAGTTGGAGGAGAAAAGGATGGAAGAAGTCAATGCATGGAAGCCACTTGGGGAAAAGAGTGACGCGAGGTGTGAGTCTCTATTTGCCAACAATTACAAGAACTGTAACAATGGTGGTGTTGGTGGAGAGATTATGGCAGGGTGTGTCAAGTACATATTCAAAGCGCTGCCGGAGTAGTGAGCGTTTGGGACAGCTATCTATGTACTATTTCGATTATTTCTGCTTTGATTTAGTCATTTTATATTCCTGCCGTGGAATCAAATATGTTCTCACTTGGTAATGCTGACGGTAATTTGTTAGAAAGCCCTGTTCTCGCAGCTTGGAATTGCTGCTAAGAACTAGGCTTGAGGAAATCGCGACTATTCGTAAATTCAAATGGAATGAGTAGATCATTGCTGTCTATACCGTATACTCCGTTCAATAAAGGAATATTCACACCTTATGACTACACTCTACTTCCCAAGACAAAACGACGATGTGCATTTCCTCAAGGCCTTTGCCATTCTCGAAGGACCTTCGCAAGTATTGGATGATGGTTTGAATCCGCGAACTCGGCCGCATCCTGGCACCGCTCCTGAATTGATTCCATTTCATTATCATTCTCAAGCAAGAGGTAGACCATATCCAGACGACCATGTTCAGCGGCGCCCTGAAGTGACGTCCGTCCTCCAGTAACCGCTGGCTCCGCGTTGACGTATGCCCCTTCCTCAAGGAGCAAGATAGCCATGTTGATGTTCCCATTTATAGCTGCGAGCTGTAATGCTGTTGCACCGTGATCAATGGCTGGCGGAGCATTAACATCGGCGCCACGAGATATGAGGTCTCGCACGAGAGGTAGATCGTCTCTCTTGACTGCAGCTTGTAAGGCGGTAGTACCGAAACTCGGTGCTGCGGGTGCGTTGATTTCTGCCCCAGCGTCAAGCAACATCTCAACAAGGCTCTTGCGACCCTCTTCAACAGCCATCTGAAGAGCCGTTGTAGCTCCAGATTCAGAGTGTATGTCAGCCCCAGCGTCTAGCAACATCTCAACAACGCGCTCGTGACCCTTTTCAGCGACTATCTGAAGTGCTGTTGTAGCTTCCCACGAGGTGTTTACGTTAGCCCCAGCGTCGATGAGTATCCTTATTGCCACTTCCGCATCACTACTGTCTAAACATGTAGCTGCTACGTGAATTGGAAACACCCCGTTTGATGACGGCTTGTTGGGGTCAGCGGAGCCACGGATTAGTGATTCTGTGATTCCACGCGAAAACCTGTCGTTGGTAAACGCATGGAGAAGAAGATTCCCTCCATCAAGCCCGGCTTGATTTAAATCAGCCCCTGAATTTATCAGGAGTTCAACCACGTCTTCGTGGCCGTATGCAACTGCGATGGCGAGTGGTGTTTGTGGGGGAGTCAGACCTGGGATCCTGTTGAGGTTTCTGCCCGGGTCGAGTGAGGGTCTGTTGAGGTTTGCCCCGGCGTGTAAAAGCCGACCCACAATATGGGCCTGACCAGTCCTGGCCGCAATGGCCAAGGGTGTTGTTTCAACATTTATAGGATCCGGGTTGGCACCGTTTTTCATTAGTAGGTTGAAGATGCTCTCGCTGTTTTCGTTGCTGTCGGTGTCGTCGTCGGTGTAGTCGGTGTAGTCGCTGCAGTGGCAATACTCGATGGCCGAGCAGAGTGCCACTTGATCGTTGGTGATCTGGTTGACATCTGCGCCAGCACGCAGTAGCCTTTCGGCCATCTCTACACCACCTTCCATGACAGCGGCCTGGAGGGCTGTTCGTCCATTTCCTAGGGATGCCGGGGCATTGACACTGGCACCCCATTGCAGCAGTTTGTTGACCAGTACCAGGTTACCCGTCGAAGCTGCAGCCTGAAGACACGTGAGACCATCATACGCGGCAGCATCGGCGTTGATGGCCGCGCCGCTGTTGATAAGGAAAATAACCAGCTCCGGTTCTCCAGACTCGGCTGCAGCTTGCACGGCTGTACGTCCTCCTCGGTGATAAGGAGCAGCATTCAGATCAGCACCATTGTCCACAAAGAGACTGACCAACTCAAAATCCCCTAATCTAGCGGCTTCTTGGACAGGCGTCATGCCGGCGAGATTCCTGCTGGCGGGGATATTGACGGTAGCCCCTCGTCCCAAGAGAAGATGCGCCACCTTCTGCCGCATAGACCGAGACAAATCCCCCGCAGAGATGTCTTGAAGTGCGGTTGAACCAAATATGCTGAGAGTATTGGTATTGGCGCCAGCGTCCAAGAGAAATTTAATCATGGCTAGGTGACCAAATCGCACCGATAACTGTAGCGGTGTTTCGGTGCCCAAGCGTGTGTCCGTTGCATCCATAGTGTCAAACATGTACAAACCTTTGTTGGCCGCCGCTTGACTAAACCACAATCCGTTGATATTCGCGCCTTCTTTTAGTAACAGCCGAGCTATTTCCTTGTGCCCATACGAAGCTGCGAGGCTAAGTGGGGTGCAGAGGGTCGACAAGGACATACTATTTCCGGAAGCTTTGCACTTTTCCCAGGTCTGAGTACAGATCGCCTTGTACTTATCTCCAACGGGCATATTGACGTCGGCTCCAGCTTCGAGTAAGACACTAACCATGCCTGGGTCCAGGTGTGAAACAGCTGCTTGAAGCGCGGAAAGGTGACCCGCCTCGATGTGATTAACATCTGCGCCAGCTGCGATCAATATCTCAAGAATCCGGATAGGTCGACCTTTTTGCGCAAGGAAGAGGTTGAGTGGGGGAATATGTTCGAATGGACCATAAATAGTGCCGTTAACATCAGCACCATGATCGAGAAGTTGCTGAACTATTCCAGAATCCGCAGAGAGTACCGCAGTTTGAAGAGCGGTTTTCCCGGTGAACGTAGAATCCGCGCTGTTTGGGCCGATGCCCTGTTCGAGGAGCATTGTGACAAAGGCTAGATCGTCAACCCTGATGGCGCTCAAGAGGAGGTTGGATGCGAAAATCATCACTGTAGGCCCCGTCATTCGAAGAATGTGTTCCATGACCGGCCTATGCCCACCTTCGATAGTCCATCTCAACAAGCCATCCATTTTTTCGTTAGAGAGACGTGCATTGGAAGAGAGAAAGACGGCCCACTGGAGGACCTGGACCAGTGGTTGGGGTTGCGATAGCCTGTCAATGTGGTGCTTGAAGTTGTCGTTCTGCTTTTTAGGCACCTTATCCTCTAATAGGTTGGATAAGTCTCCAAGAGCTTCTGTGTCCCACAGAAGCTGTTCCACAGGAATTCCGAAGACGATTTTGGCTACAGAAATTGCTTGATCGTATGAGGTTGATCTAAGAATGCCAGGTGACATGCTAGAGGTTGCTACGGGGTACGAGGTTAGCTCTGAGGTACTGAGAACCCAAGATATGGATTACGTACCTAGTGTTATGACATGGTCCTGAAATTGAAACCAAGGCAGGTTGTTGTACGTGATGAATAGACCTTCTCCAGTCGAGGGTGGAGTTCGGGCTATAATCCGGTCGGGGCTCATCTCGACATCAGCTGGGGAGGGGTTAGGTCGTGATCATCATTATAGCTCTCAGACGCAACTTACTTGAAGGTGCCGGGAAGGATGCGAGAGGGACGGCGTATCTGTTGAGCGCCTTCCTCCGCTTTTCCCCGTCGATAACCCTTCCACTCATAACGAGCTCGCTGTCTTTTCCAGACGCTTTCCGCTTCCGGACCAGAGTGTTGGCATGCTCCCATTCCTCTTTTTTGAAATTCTTTCGCATGTTCCAACCATCCAACTTGCGGACATACTGCGCCTTGCTATTGGCAGATTAGTATCTCGTGTCAAGGTGAATATACAGGTTGGAATGAGCAAAAAGGAGCCTATGAACGTATAAATGACTTACGTGGGCTCAAAACCATGATCTCTTGCCATGCAACTGATAAAATCTTCTAGCGTTTTGCCTTGCACAACATACATGTCCTGTATGTGGTCTTTGTGGCGATCCCACTCTGCAGCGGGGATTCTTGGCGCCCGTGACATGGTGAGATTGAGGTGGGTGGAGGAAGGCGTGGTTTAAAAGAGTAGATGATCTGAAGAAGTCAAATAGAGACACTCGGGAGAGAAAGAGGTAATGCTCAAAGAGAGAAGCTTGTACTGGGTCTTGTCTGAAGCTGTTGAGTTTGAGATGTGCGAGGAGGAGTAGGCTCTTTATGATTATCACGGTCGCACACTGAAGCCTGAGGCCGAAAGACACTGCCTGGTTTCTCAAAGTGCATATTCCATTTGGCCAAAATTCGCAATGCACATACCCTTGTCGGGCTACAGAGATGTGGCCATTGATTGGGTTGACATTGCATATATCCAATCGGAACTTACACACCTACTGTAGCTCTGTCTCATCAACGCCACGGTATACGTGGTGAGCTTGGCTGGGATGTCAGCAAATGATTGGCACAGTCCAAAATTCGCTTTCTGATTAACGCCACAGATGCACGGTGAGTCCAGCTTGACCTTGGGATTGATCCTGGTCTTGGTTGGCTGTGTCCAAAATTCGCTTTCTCAACGCTCCGCAATCATGCATTAGGGAGACCATGCTGGCCGTTGGTCGCGTCCAAAATTCGTCTTTCCAAACCTGAGCCAAAATTCGCTATGCGCTTCCGAACCGTTTCACTGGAATGCCGCTTATTGGCTGTGTCCAAACTTCGCTTTTTCCTGTCCTTATTCATAGCCATCATCATGGTGGCTGTGTCTGACCCTGGGCGCCACGCCTCATTTCTACGGGCTGCCAAAATTCGCAAATGCTTTCATACATATAGCAGATCACCCACCTAGCACCCTAAGGGATAGTTTCTCACCTTCTCACCCATCTATTCTTCTCAAAATACACTTCTGTCCCTAGTAATGGCATTGTCTACAGAGGAAATCATCTCCATTGTCGCCGCTCTGATAACTATACCCGGAGCAGCTGTGATCTTCTGGCGCTGCTGCACACGACCCAGGACTGCTACGGCTTCCGGTAGGTTTACCTCTACACATCGCGACTTCATATGGGCCGAACTAATTGATCTCTATGTAGTGGAGGAGGGACTGTCGGATCAACCCGAAGAGCATCGTCTGAGATCCCTTTCGTCTACGGCGCCATCACCCGACGTCATCTCGATTTACGACCGGTTCGATTCCGCCCCAAATAGAACAGCACCAAGTCAGCGACTGGCAGTTGGACTGTACATCTCATTCCACCCGGATCAGTGGCGATAGGGAATATCCATTGTTGAATAGGTCCCGTTTCAACACAAGATTGCCGTGTTCAGGCTTGCGACCTGTCAATTCTTGAGCTTTGGTGAAGGTTCATGGCCAATGTCGCCGATTTATAAAGCAGCGTTATGGGTATCACATTTTACATAGCATAGCTCATTGAGTCTCCTGATTCCGCCTTCTTGAATCATGTGCCCCCCAAATTTCCAATACAAGTTCTATACAAGATTGGGCAAATCTCAACGCTACAGTGCTTGCCTCCATGTCCACCTGTCACTTTGTTGCACTTGGCCTTATCCTCCAAAAACAGTAAGACTCGCTCGCCCCTCCCCTATCGCACGCACCCCCGCCAATTATTTTGCTGAACGTCGGCTTTAAAAATTAAGCGCACAAGAACTTGTACAGGAACTCGGTCTTCTGGGAATCGCTTTCTAGGAGAACATTTTATCACATCTAATTCGCGCTAAATTATGTCGGCAGATTTTTCGCAATTACATTGTCTTGATCCTCTCGCCCCGAACTGCTCCCCATCGTAGTTCAAATTATCCGGCGTGAGTGAAATCTTCTCTCCTTACATCACTCTGAAAGGTGAATGAGCCTCCCAATTCTAGTTGGTCTTGTCGCCGCAATTTGTGAATTGCTCGAATCATAGAATATGCGCGTATTGGCAAAAGCATCAACGACAAGCCGGAGGCGTCTAATAGAGCGGCGGCATCCGATGACCCAGACCGATTTACCATGAGCAAGCAAGTGGAGCCACGGCCGTGGGCATTCTCTTGGTTTACAAGTCGCAATGCCCGTTTTAGAAAATCTGAGCAGCGCTGAAGCAGAAAAAAAAGTAGGAGCGGGAGCAAGGGTGACATGTAAATTTGAGAGATGTCGATTTATGTACGGAACATATCTTGCTACGGTTCCGACCGTTGTATGTCTGAGACTTCCTCTTAGAACTGATTAATCCAATCCACCATGGCTTCAAAGTACTCGACAGATGGCTCTAGATCAGGATATACGTAAAAGGCATGCGGCATGCCAGGGTATATCTTCAATGTAATGTTTACACTGTGGGAGAGCCCGAAGTCAGCATCATCCTGGCTGTAATCTCAAAATAAACTTCTTTTTAACTCAACCTACCCTTCTGCTTTCATCGCTTCAGCGTATGCGAGTCCTTCGTCTCTTAGTGGGTCCATTCCTGCAACCTGAACCACTGCTCTTGATTAGATCTAGGATCGCATAACTGTAGTATGCTATGGATATGGTGCGCGAAACTTACATGCTGGTGGAAGGCCTTTGAAGGAGGGTGCTAAGAGTGGGCTTGTTCTTGGATCTGGATGAGCTCTTGGGAGGTAGTTTTTCCAGAAAATGCGCATCATTGACGCGCTGACAATTGGCGAGTTTGCGTTCTGCACGTACGAACTATACTCGTACTTGGATTTTGGAAAGTGATCTGGGTGGCAAGTGACGGGAATGTTGAGGATCTGCCCGATGATCCCCGTGATGCCTTCGTGAGAAGAAATTTGAGCGACTGCCGCACACTAAATCAGATTAGTTATCTGAAACCCGATATACGTGGCTGAGGACCGTACCACATTCGCGCCTGCGCTACCACCACCGACAATTATCTTTTCAGGATTGATTCCCAATCGGCCCGCATGTTGTTTACACTGATTGGGCAATGTATAAGCATGGACGACGATACATGTTTTTTTGAGAGGATTATTGTAATGCTCACCCATTTTAGCGCATCAACGGAGTCGTTCAAGGCATAAGGGAACGGAAACTCTGGTGCCCTTCGACAATGTTAGCTACGTGAGACCAGTTTGTCGACAAAGACCTGACCGTCGATAATCCACACTACACACAACTGCAGAACAATTCGCAGCAATTAGCCGATTTTGAGCTTCTTCTGTCTCGGGGCTGCCAGTCGTCCACCCTAGTTCATCAGTCAGGCGCGCAAATTATTAGGGCGGCGAGATGTGCATTTCATGCTGACCAACCTCCTCCATGAATATTAAAAAACAACAGGTGGCGGCTGCTTAGATGGACAGGTTCGTACATTCGAACCTTGACCTTTGCACCGTCTCTTACAATGACTTCGTCCTCCCTGATAATGATATCTATGCCTGGAACCGGAGCGTTCGCTGGAAGTGGTGGAGGCCGATATGGGACTTTCCGAAATTCTTCAAGCGGCAAGCTATAAAGTCTTTGGGCAAGAGGCTCAAGTTCCCGCTGCTTAGAAGCCACTTTATTCCATTCTGGATGTGCTTGGGACAAGTGGGCAAAGCGAGAATGCTCGCCGCCATCGTCTTGAGTTTGAGACATGTTCGGTAACAACGAGAAGTGTAATTTGCTCAAGCAAGTGTGGTGGTTCAGATACAGGGGGGTGGTAGTGTCATGAAGAGGGAAAGAACAAAGGAGCTGATTGAGGCTGAGATATTTGAGGCTAGATTACGATTCCACCTCTTAGTCAAGCCGACTCGGCGTTCCCCGAGGCCGAAATATTGAAATGCGGATTGGCACCCCATAAATTTGTACCACGAGCTTTCATTGTTGCGGTATTAGTGCCCTGGGCTCATCAACGCAGACTAGCAAAGCGAAGACCTTACGTCTAGATTTTGAATTTCTTCCTTGGTTGAAGTTGAACAACCTAGACGTAAGGTATGAACTTAGCACCATGGCTTTCTTCTGCCACACTGGGTCGGGCTGGTTTTAGGTGTGGCCCATGTTGATTGGCTATCCGGAGGTCCGAAAGGGTTGTTGTGTAAGGCGGGGAAGACCCGGCGATCGCCGGATCAAGGGCCGTTGTGCACTTTTCTTTGGTTAGGTCCGGACCGTATTTACATGTGGATATCGAATGATTGAAATATTAGGCCTCCAAGAGACACATATAATCGCAAAATTGTCAGACTTCTATTGCATTGAGGCATACCACTGTCTGTTGTTATCACAATCCAATCTTAACACCTTCACCCAACTACCATGTCAATCCCCGAATATCAGGATAACGGTCCCATAAAGGCCACCAGCGACATAAACCTCCATAAACTGACAGGAAAATCAGTCATAATTACTGGAGGTAAAATTTACCCGGTGCGGATATAGCTTGACTTTGGCTAGCAAGCTCATCATCATATTAGGGGCCAGCGGACTCGGCAAGGCTTACGCAACGGCCTTTGCTAACGCAGGGTGAGTGGCGTATGGCTTCTCATAGAGTATACAAACTAATAAGTCGTTGAGTGCCTTTGTTACGATTGGTGACTTTGATGAGATTGCCGGAAAGGCGACTGAGAAGGAGCTTTCGCCGTAAGTGCTTGATATTCAGCTCTGGTAGGACTCATCTCAACTGATTTTAGCAACGCGAAATTTGTCAAATGCGATGTTCGTGATTGGGATCAACAGGTCGCAGTTTTTGATGCTGCGCTTGCGAATTCTCCCCATAAAAGTATCGACGTTGTTATCGCCAACGCTGGCGTTGTTGGCGCTGATGATCTGAACAATCTTGACGGTAAGTACCAGTCTTAGACCTCGTTTAACAAAGCCCATCGAAATGTGACCGTGTAAGATAGATCCTTCGCAACCACCGGTCAAGCCAAACCTCAGAATAGTCGAGATCAATCTTATCGGTACCGCATATACCGCTAAGCTTGCACTGCATTTCTTCCGGCGTCAGCCACAGGATTCATCGCGAGATCGATGTTTGATCATCAAGGGCAGTGTTGCAGCTTATGCTGATCAGCCTGGATCGCCCCAGTACAACATATCGAAGTGGGGAGCTCGCGGGCTGTTTCGGAATCTTCGGCGGACTGCTTGGAGAGAAGGGATTAGAGTCAACTTTGTGGCTCCGTGGTAAGAGATATTTCAACTGGAAAGCGTTGGAAGATTGCTGACAGGTGGTGCCCACTCAAGGTATGTGCGTACGCCGATTCTTTCAGACAAAGTCATCCAATATCTTGAGTCGAAAGGGGTCAATTTCGCAACAGTTGACGACTGTGCGAGAGCCATGGTAGATATTGCGTCTGACAAGGATATCAACGGTAAGTGATGCGGCGGAGGTGACGTAGTAGTAAATTTGAAATGCTAATGTACCATGGATAGGTCGCGCCTTGGGCATAGTACCGCGAGAGGAGGCTTCCGAAGGCTACATGGATCTCCAGCACGACGATTACCAAGATGGCGACTTTTTGAAGGGATGGCAGGAAATCGTTCTGGCCACAGCAGAATCCATTGTGACCATCTAGATTTGGGATGCGTGATTGGAAAGTGGTAGGATGCAAGAAAGCATGTGGTGAACCGAATACATTTTGTTATTTCGCAATGCTATTTTTATTACTGGAACTGTCGCAATGAAAAATGGTTATTTGACAGTCTACTCGAAATCTCACCAAGCCCCACACAGTACTGAGTGAGGGCGTGAGCAGGGGACACTAAGAACACACAACCCACCCAGAGGCAGAGCTGTGATAACCGCAATAGTGTTGTGACAGAAAGTTCGGATAGGGTCGAGATCAAATCCGTATAAATAGCCTGACTGAGCAAAGATGATGACTTTCTCAGCTGATACCATTTGATCAAATAGATCTCTGAGAGGTCTTAAAAGAACGGGCCAAATGACTGTGAATTAAATAAAATGCTAAAAGAGATGATCCTTGCCAATGGATCTTGTGCCAGACCTTCCCAATTTATGGTCTCAATGGGTTAAGCCACTGGTCCCTCCCCGGCACGGTGTTTCCTGTTGAAGGAAGCCGTCAATCCTAGCCCTAGTGGCTGCAAGTGATGAGATGACCTTTATCCCCAAAGACCGGAAACCCCCGACTCAGTACGAGCACCACACGCCTTTTTTCTTCGTGACCATCGATAGTGGAAAATTGAGTACTCTTCGACACTTTCCTTCCTCTTGTACACCTGTCAAGTGCGCAAGGGAAATGCAACATGGCCTTCAAACTTTTCCCAGGTGAGATGAAGCAGTCCCTTCAAATCAGCGTCTCTGAGAAGCTTGCAATCTGCTTTGTGGCCCTTCTCGTGCCAGCCAGCAGTCTGACAGGCTGTATTGCAGTACCAAAAAAGAGAACACTTCGCACAGCGATTCCGCAAGGGCGCCTGCGTACCGCAGCCGTGACATACTCTGTTTCCATTCGTTTCTGTTGAGAATGTTTGGACCCGGTCGCTCAAAGCCAACAAATTGTTGAGCGATGTTCGAAATACCTGCGTGAGCACGCTTTGTTAGAAATGTCTCCAAAGTTCGTTGTCTGAGTGGTAATGGCAATGGTACCTTGAGCTTCACCGGTTCTTCATGACGGATTCCAGTTTCGAGAATGCTGAACGCGTGGCGCTGTGCATAGAGAATAGCAATTGTATAGCCATTGCGAATCTGTGATGGCGCCATTTCACTGCCACGCCCTTCGGTGTAGAAGATCAGCTGAACCGTCTTGCCGTCAACATCTTTGACGTTCATCCGTAGACGAGCCAATGTGTCAAAGCTGACAATCTCAGCCAGAAAACACCAATGCTGCCGTGGCCGGTACGTAAGCCCGTCCCTGCTTTCGTAGAAGATGGGATCCGCATCTGTCTCGTCTGGCAAGTTCATAAAACTTGGGAATACCGCCTGGTCACGGAAGTTCACTGGCTGTCCGAGTTGTCTTGGCTTCTGCCTTCTCCACAGCCAGTCTTCGAACTCTTCCGGGGTGAGATCCTTGGGAATTTCACTCACAGCAGTCTTCCACTTCATCGACAATCCATATGCCTTGTTCTCTGAGGGGTCCTGAGACAGCACATTGCTTTGAAGCTGGGGGCTGTCGTCACCGTCCATGGTAATGCATCCAAGCCTGGCCTTCTCAATAAAGATTCGTGCCCTGGCTAGGTCTCCGTTGACGATAGCAATTTGTGCAGCGTCGAAGAACGCCCTTGGCACACCACTGCCATCTAGTCCTTGTTCGTTGCAAAGACAGACGATTCGATCAGCGTATCAGAGGGTTCGTTCTGGAGCCGATAAGATCCCCACCAGGCCAGTTTCACCCATGGAACCTTCTAGTCTCAAAATCTCATCTAGCCTTCGATCACTTTCTTGGCTCTGGTGTGGTGGCAAGGAGCAAAGACGACATGAGCAGGTAAACATGAATGTTGTTCGCAGAGCCTCTTGGCGTGTTTCGCGGTTATTATGGGTACCGAGATAATGAATTGTGATCTCGTGTCCCTCCTCGATGTCTCGCAACGCATGGATGGTGTGCCGCTTGGTATTCTCGTTCCAGCCTCGATGGGCGTTGTTCTCGCAAGCATGATTGATCCGAGATGCCTCTAGGAAAACACTTCCTTCTCTCACATCATCCACGAAAGCAAGTGCGTTCGTCCGTACAATTCCAATATACCGTGAGTAAGCGTCGTCGGAATACATGTTATGTAGGGAGAGGAAGGCTTGCCGCTGGTCTTGAGTAAGCGCGTCGACTTGTTCGCATATTAATGCTTGTAGGGTCTGGCGGTTAAGAGGAGCGCCAGGCACCCTGATTAAGGGCTCTTCAGATAGGATGCGTGTGCCCTTGGCGATTCTTCGTGTAGCGACGAGTCCCTTCCCTTTCCCAGGGATCTCTTGAAGAGAATACATTGGGTCACCTGTCAGACTCGCCATTGTACGGCAGTCTTCGTTAAATTCAACTCAGGATCGAATGGCCAGTGACAAGAATACTTGTCATCAAGATACAGCCGGACCAAAATCCTTAGGTGTGTCTGAAAAGAAATCTGCGGGGGTCCTCTAGGTCTGGCAGAAGCTGAAATACTATGAACATTGGCCCAATTTCATGCGTTGATACCCGATGATGTCAGTGTGGCTGGTCTGAGGTAACCAAAGGCTCACAGTTGGAGCCAATAAATTATAAGTGTGACAAAACATCTTGACCCCCGAGAACCGCGTCGTGTAACCTGGACGAGGCCACTGACGCATTTTCAAACATTTTAATCCCCCAACACAGAGAAATGGATATTGAAAAGGAAGATCTCTTTCCACTACGTTCCACAAATTCGCTGTTCCAATGTGGAATGGAGAACTTCTATTAATGGAATAGCAATCTAATGATGTTTGTAAACCATGGTTCTCTAACTAGTTATAGTTTACTACCCTTGCGGGTATCTACTGTAACGGACGGCAAATTCTGAAACTGGGTGTATAGTTTCAATGCCTCTGGATTGGCTACTGTCCCGCTAACAGTAGCCTTTCGACAGCAGACGATATGCTTCACATTGATCTCGCACTTCTTTCCATTGACAGTGTATGGGATGTCTGCAACCTCGAAGATGAAACTCGGGACATGTCGGGGAGTGTACCTCTCCCTGATGGCAGTCTTCAAACCTTTGACCAGATCATCTGTGTATTTGGAGCCTGTATTCATCTTGATGAACAGAAGTACTCTCTCGTCCGCATCAGAGTCTCGTCTTTGGCCAACACAAATGCTATCGGCGATTTGAGGAAACGAATCGACAACAGCATAGATCTCAGCAGACCCAAACCGAACCCCCGATGGATTCAAAACACCGTCGCTGAATATTGTTAGTAAGAGTTTGCAAGTGACAAGAATTACTTACGATCTTCCCAGCATGACTAAGCCGCCTGTGTCTGGAAGTCGCTGAATAAAGTCGCCTTGACACCACACTCGAGGTCCAAAGCGGTCAAAGTAAGACGACCGGTACTTTTCATGATTATCGGGACCATAAAATTGGAGTGGCTGACTCGGAAAAGGTTTCGTGCAAACCAGCTCCCCGGGGGCTCCTGAGAGCTCAATGGAAACGGAATCGCTTTGGGCGCTGTCTACAATGTCTACCGCCATACCAAGAGCCTTCGCTTGGATTTCACCGGAATAGACTGGGAGAATAGGAGCTCCTCCTACAACTGAAAATCATTGGTTAGCGGATGGCAGGTGTTGTGAGAGACAAAAACTCACAGCATCCCGAGATGTCTGTCCCACCGCTCATCGAGACCAGTTGAGCACGGGGTGGAAAGGCTGTTTGATAGAACCATTCGTACAGATCAGGAGATAGCACAGAACCGGTAGATGTTACTACCCTGAGTCTAGAGAGGTCGAATAGTTTGCCTGAAGTTGCAATGTCTTAGTTCCAATCACATATATAACATGGTGGGTGACTTACGAAGCACAATCTCACGGCTCTTCAGCTCGGCAAGATAACGTGGAGATGTTCCAAATACGCTGACTCTGTACTCCTAGTTAGCTTCGAACGGCTAATTAGTTCAAATAATCTGGAACAATTACCCAACTTCTTCTGCGAGCTGCAATAACACCGTCGGCGTGGGGTGGAACGGAGAGCCATCATACAGCAGCATCGCGGCTCCAGATGATATGTTGACAAAGTTCAACACCCACATGACCCAGGATGTCTTGAGTTTGGTTAGACTTCCGTGTGTCAATAGTGAGGACGATCGAGGCTTACGGTGGTGTACTGAAAGACAATGTCCTCTTTGCGAACGTCATGTTGCAAGATCATATCCGTCTTCACCTTCAAAGCCACACCCTAGGTAAATACTCAATCAGCTCCTGTCATCTCTTTCGGCCCGGCTTGAAATAGAACTTACACCCGCAGAGTGGACAATGCATTTTGGTTTGCCTGTCTGACACGGTCGAAGTTAATACACTGCTGCCCAAATAACGGCTAAAGTAATCTAGGGACGTACTGTGCCGGACGAGTATAATATGAAGGCGGGATGAGAAAATGGAAGCATGGCAAAATCCAAATTTCCACCAGTGCCGCGACGGAGAAAATTGGTGTAAGAGCATCCGCGGTAGATGTTATATGTACGCATGTCGAGGTCGCAATAAGGGATCAATACAACATCCTTTAGGGTGCCGCTGCCAAGAGAAAGAGCCTGGGACCATTGTTCGATGCGACCCCCAAGCTTGATCAGTTTTCCTGAGTAGATGTACCCATCATCAGCAAAGATTATTTTTGGTTCGACTTGCTGATAGCGGTCAATGATAGCATCGGGCCCCAGGTCCGGTGATGAAGAAGACCAGATGGCACCAATAGATAGAGCTGCTAGACATAAAACGATGGAATGAACCGAATTTGATATGACGGCTGCCACAACGTCGCCGGGTACAATGGAGGAGTTGATCATTGCATCGCGCGCTACCCGGACCCGATATCGGAGATCCTGCCAGGTGACCTTTTCGATTCCAGGAACGCCTTCTCTTGAGAAGTGAATAGCCACGTCCTGGTCTTTGCCATTGCGCAGGAGAAATTCGGCAATGTTCATCCTCTCATTAGGGAAAAATTGAGGGGGAGGGAAGAGAACCCCAGAAGTTGCATCCTAGCAATATGGTTAGCATCAAGACCGAAGCAAACATAGTACACTGCTGGGACCGCCATTTGACTGCGTTACCTCTTGGCTCAATACGCAGCCAGGTTCACCTGATCCTCTCGGGGCTAGCTGCAGCCATGTATATGCATCTCTCCAGAAGTCCTGGAACGTCTCATCGCCAACCGACCATTGATGCAGGTCTTCGTAAGTACGAAGTTGGAGGCCATGTTTTTGATTCACGTGCGTCATGAACTTGGTGATGTTCATTTCGTCCACTTTGCGGGGCTCCCATATCGGCTTCTTGTGATTGACAGCCATTGTTGCGGGTGTCGACTGGGTCGTTAGTCACGTTGGAATCTCATCAATTGAATTTTAGAAGACGCCCTCACATCGACGAAGAATGCTACTTAGGCTAAAGGGTTCACAACCCACGGTTTCGTGGTTCGTGATGGGTCTGGATAAGGCTCCGTGAACGGAAGATGGACACACTGTGCCGAATTCCCCGCAACGTCACCTCGGCAATTCCGCGCATTCCTGCAATGATTCAGCAGTTCATCGGGTTAGGCTTAATGTCTCATGGCTCGGCCGCCACCGAGAGCCGACCAAGGCCGTTATGGCGGAGGTTTTGCGGGCTTCGGTCATCGCCGCCCCGGCCTAGTGACCGAGGTGTTTCGGGTTCGGCTTCACCTCTCTCGGGTTCGGGTTCGCTTAGAGGTCAAGTTGATAACGACCGAAGAGAACTCCACAATAGCGACTCTCGATTAGCTACGGATCCACGGTGAATTTTACCAGCTAATTGATGCATAATTCAATTATTTTGAGGGTAGTAAATATATTCGAAGATAGACGGGCGACCGGGAAATGTGGTTGGATATCGGCCAAGGCCGGTTTGAGTCCCGGTACCTCACGCCACCCGGCTGCATCCCGAGAGAACGAATAGCGACTAGAATGGCCATGGTAAGATTGAAAGCACAGTTGAGCTGGGATGAGAAACCATGGAATACACAGAACCTGCACGATGGAGCCTTAAACGTGCTGTGTGTGCCATACTTGGGCTGAACCCTTGTTCCCGGTTTGCTGTTCGACGGCACAATGGACTAGCATCCCATTATTTCGGACCTCAGTATAAACCCACCCTTGGACTTATGCCTGAGTAATATCTGGTTCCCCCAAATATGACCACGGCGTCTCCCCAATGAAATTTCTTTTGGCTCATCATCTCGCTCCCGTCACCCTTTCTGCCTCTTTTTACGATGACGAAAGACACCCAGAAACGAAAGAAAATGGCACCCTACAAGGACGATCTTCTGAATGAGCCCAAGAAGCGAGGCATGTATCAGTGGGTACTCATTGCGTTCTACTTGACGTGTGCCGCGCTTGTCCACTACGGTATGTGGGTGCAGTCCGGTTCTTGGGGCTTGGGCAGTCAGTTCGGGCAAATCATTTCCACGGGATCATTCCCAGACGACCCCAAGTTTCCTCTCAAGCGGACGTACGTCGGAATCCCGGCCATCGATGACTATCTTGTCTTTCTGGCTGCTGCATACATGCCTGGACTCTGCTCCTGGAACAAGAGATTCGGGACTTTACAAATGTACTTTCTCGGACATTTGATCCAGCCTATTGCTATCTGGACTATCGAGGCATTCCGGAGTCGCAACACGATGACGTTATTGGCACTGTGAGTAATAATCCTACATCCCGCCGTGCAGAAGTGCAGAATCTAATAAAGAATTAGTCCCACCATCTGGTTCACGTTGGTTCAGTGGGCCGGCGTTGGCATCTACATGCCCATTTACTACGCTGTCTACACGTGGATTTCCGACGTGGAATCGTATTGGTCGCCGTTGAAGCGGTTCGTTCCCATCAAATACGCAAAGACACTGCTGGCCGCCAACTTCGTCGGGTACATCCTACCAACCATCTTGATGTTTATCCCTTGGAGCAACCCATACACCATCCAGAATTTCGAGGCCCTCTGGCAAGTGTCGCCGATGCTCGTACCGCTACTCACAATGATTTTCGGCACCATATATGCCTGGCAGAGCCCGAAGTCGTCTGAGGATAAGCTTAATCCGCTCTCAAAAGAGGAACCGAGTGATCTTGCTAGCCTGAAGCTGATCTATATTGTCACCGGCGCCTGTGGAGTCTTTCTACATTGGGGGATCATGATCAAACTCTTGACCTCAACTGACCCTGGCTTGACCTTTGGCAGTGTCTTTTTGCCAGATTGGTCGGCGACTGCCAAGCCCTTAGGTGAAGGAATTAAAAATCTGTTCCTGGCCGACTTCTGGGGATACTACCTGGCATCTTACGTTTGGTGTGCCAGTGCTATTTGGGACCTCAATCGCGTTGGCCAAACGGATATAGATATCACCACCGCATCTGTGGCAATCTTAGCCGGACACTTCATCGTCGGGCCTGGTGCCGCTATGTCTGCCGTGTGGTACTATAGGGAGGATGTTATGGCTCTCCATACTGTTCCCAAGAAGGAGAAGTTACACCGCAATTAGACTGAGTCTGTTGCTTCCAGCCCATTATTGCAGAGAATCTCTTCACATCGGCATAAAGAAATCAAGAAGACTGGATTAAATGGGCTATATTTGGTATACGAAGGTCTTTTATAGTGGAATAAACAAGTAATTGCCGCTCTACGAAGTGTCTTCATCTTATCAATTGCCATACTTATACCCGGGGGCAGTTGCTTCGAGGCTTGCATCAATTTGCAAGTTGCTACGAACCCCAAGTCACCATCTGTCGAACTTGATGAATGGGAAACCGCAGGGAAGCAGTGAAGAAGTTCCGAACTTTAAGTCATTCACAAAATTTATGGACCTAGCTTGTGATATATAAAATATGGTTCACTGGATAGCAGAATCAAAGTCTTAATCTACGGGGAGTGCACTGGAAAATATTCCTCGCCGTAAATTGACCTTTAAACTCTCGTATTGAATATGAAGCATTAGAAGAACAGAAATAAGACCCAGGGTTTCAACCATCGAAGTTGGAAGACAGTGATAGTACTACACGAGTCGTTCCGCTAATCGAAATCTGCGGCTCCCGTTACGTATTGGAGATTAATCTCCACCTGTAATTAAATAAAGAATATCAATGTAACAAAATATCGGAAGTGAGGTCCGACAGGAATGGCCTGCAATGGTCTCCGGGGCTTAATGGATGTTACATTCGGCGCCGAAGTCCCGTTTTCAGCTCCTGGTCCGGCAAAGCATCACAAGTCGCTACGGCACCTGAGTTTTGACCTTGTGGCATATCCCGGATGGTGGCATATTTTGACCACCGGCCTTCGCCGAGAGGGGTATTTCTCCATTTCCAGGTTTTGTTTCGCATAGCGTAGGTGCTCACCGAACCATGAGACCATCCTGGTTGGGTCAAGTCTGGACGTTCAGCAAATAAAAATCCTTCAGTGTGATATGCTACGAATACAGTTAAAATAGGCTTCTGAGTCCAGGTAGCAGTCTCTTTGCTATAAATATCTTATACACTTCGTTCCTGCTTTCCCATTAATAGCCCACATGCCTTGGCGAAGGCACCGCCTACTGAAATTCACCGATGACTTAAAATCACAGCTTGAGCTATGGACGACTTTTTTAACCGCATAGGCCGGTCTCCGATCTTGTCGCCCCGAAACTTCCAATATGCTTGCGCCGTGAGCGGCATCTTTTGTTCCTTATTCTTCTTTTGCGCCTTCGTGGCTTGCGACTTCCTCCCTCCTATCCCCGCAAACTGGACCGCGGAGCAGACTGTTCAGCATTACAAGGACCACAAGAAAGGGATTGAAGCCGGGTCCGCAATGTTACTCATCTCCGGCATGCTCTACCTTCCCTTGACGGCAGCCATCTCTGGGCAGATGCGACGCATCCCTAACCTCCACTACAGTGTTAATGCCCTCCAGTTAGCCTCCGGAGCGGCGGGCATTTTCACTTATATGATGCCGGGCATGATCCTTGGGGTCACCAACTACCGCCTCGACCGGCCAGTTGAGATCACGCAAGTCATGAACGAATTGTTCTGGATCACCTGTTTGATGCCATGGCCAACATTTATGACGCAAAACTTTGCATTCGCGTATGCCATCCTCATAGACACCAGGCCAGTCCCGCTCTTCCCGAAACCGGTTGCTCTCGTCAACATCCTTGCTCCGATTATTTTTATCCCCGGGATCGCTATGCACACCGTATACGATGGTCCCCTCGCGTGGAACGGGGAACTCACCTTCTGGCTCGCCGGCATCACATTTTGTGTTCAGCTGATCTTCGATTCGCTTTGCTTAATGCGAGCCATCTCAAACGAAAAGCCCGGAGGTGAAAAAATCGTGGATAATTTCCCAACCAGCCTGGATGATACGGTTAAATGTGAGGGTTCGCCTGAGGTTAGCCACGCTGGTGCGTAACCCAGCCTTTGACATCCGTGACGAGGTCTTGGCCGCATACGATATAACCGCCATTGGAGACATGCATTATGGAAAATCGAGGAACTATGACTGGGCTGATTTATCCTGGTACAATTGTGTATTCTCTTCCCGTCTTCTAGAATATGGTAGTTTGAGTAATTAATAGCAAAAGACGGTTCACCTCGTGAAATTTAATGGACCAAGGTTGCTTGACTCGCTATCCTCAGAAGTTAGAGAGACTACTTGTCGATAACTCGGCTATGAAGGGGAACTAATCAGTGTTGACAATATTCTGAAGTACATAGCTATCTTGCATTTGGTATCGGTACATGTTTTCGAACGTCACTATGTTCCCTTCCCGAGCGTCTAAGAGCCCAGACTCCAATCAATCATTTCATCATTCTTCTGGGTGGTATCAATATCCCCGTCATTATTAAAAGAAAGGTCAAAAGGCCAATTGCATGAGAATCCCGACACCAAGTCGTTTGGGAGGGACGTCTCCCGCTGGAAGACGAAATCAAACGACCCTTGGTAAGTCATGAATTTGTCCATTACCAACGTATCGTCAAGCTGGTCCGCTGAAGAGGGGGTCCCTAAGCCAATGTGAGGATTTTCAGGCTGGGCCTCGACGCCCTGCCCATCGCCTAGGCGTTGTGATGTGCGTAGTGCAGCGAGGTTTGGGTCCACATTAGATGGCACCTGAGTATCACAAGGTCGGTTTCTATTCTGGCCGGACACAGCGTTCAGTGCATCTCGTATGACAGTGGTGGTAAGCTTGTTGAACAGCTCGCATGAACGACGAGAAGCATTCCATCGCTCGCAGATGGCAACCAAGACGTGGGAGCATGCTTGAGTCACCTCGATGATGCACATGACGTTGGGCACAAGGCTGCGGCTTGCTGGATCACTAAGTATCCTGCCGACAGAGTATATGTAGGCCAGGCCAGCGATAAAAACGCCGTGGAGTGTGATCCAGGAATAATTAAGACGTCTTTTTCGGTGCAGTTGGCTGTACGACTCGATTGTAGCTTTCGAAGCATTGAGAAGGCTCATTAATTCTGACTCTCCGTCATTGTTTTCAGAATCTATCATCGGATGTGGCAGATAAGGTGATGGTCGGTAGAGAAGAAGTATGGCGTTATTATGCAATGCGGAGTACCACTCCGGAGTCATGAAGCTAGAAACATAGCCTCGAGAAGCCGTTGTTGGGACCAGATGAAGATGTTCAGTGTCGTTTCTCCAAGCGTCAATATCCTCGTGGAACTTGCGACGGATCCGACGCTTGTCTTCCGCGGGAATATGGCAGTGCTGCCTCGATATGTATAACATGCTTAGAATTTGGCCCGACAGCCGTCGTATTCGGATGATGTGCAAGAATGGGGAGATCCTCGTTGACCCGGAGCTGTTTTGGGGATCTACTTGAATAGGTCGATTGGGACCAAAGCAGTCATCGTCCAAATGAGAAGGTAGGGAGATGTCGATTTCATCATCGCGGATGGCAACCGGCCTGCCGAGGGTGATGCTGACGATCCTGATTACAACATATCAGTACATGCGCTTTTTCTTCCCACCTCTCTCACATCGCAAACTCACCTGTCAAGGTTATACAGACACCAAAAACATCGCTTCCGCATTTCTTCCTCCAGGGAGACTGGATGCACCTGGGCTGGGTTCTCCGGATCACAGTCTAGATGCCTGGGCTCCAGGTGAAGTCCCAGCTCGAAGCAAATTCGTGCACCAATGCCTGTCAGGTGCCATATGCTCGCACTAGAATCCCGAAGGTTGCTGAAGATGCCATGCTGTGATATGAGCAGTATGACCTTTAATGATTCCAGACTGGGCATTTGCGTGATGGCGTTGACCTTGGATTGGGCCATGGTAAAGTAAATTGAGGATCCAGTCGCCATTTCCTCAAATCGGTTGAAGTTTGAGCTGCCAATGGTAAGAACCATGTCAAAGACAAAGGCGTCGAAGGTGTTTGTCTCGTAGAAGCCAGGCTCGGAATAAATCCTGTCGACGGTAGCTAGGAAGCTAGGACGGTGCAACAAGGGGAAGGTGATGTGAGTGTGCTGAAAGTAGGCCTCGATGAAGGGCATAGCGGTGGCAAGGGTGGGAAAGGCGCTATCTGAAGGTGTCATGGGAACATTGGGATTGCCGAGGCCGCCAGAGGCATCTTGCTCACTGCCTAAAAGGCCCATGCCTCCTTGGATGCTGATGACTCTATGGATGATGCTGGCCAAGCCCAACCCGCTGCTGGCACCTAGATATCGTGTCTCTCCAGTTGCAATAAGAGAGAGGTACCCAACCTCGACTGCAAAGGCATTAGAATCCGTGCTTCCTTTGGATGACAAGGCCACATTGTCATGGCCGCCTGCTTCTCTGGATTGAGAGGATGGACTGGAGCTGAGATGTGATGCAGGCAGGTCACTTGTCGGAAGGCTTCGTGCCTCGATTTCGGCTTGCGCTGAGGCCAGATTTTCCCTCAGCTTCTTGTTCTCCTCCCTCAATTGCTTCAGCAGACTCTCTATGCTGTCGAGATAGCCTCTCGGTAGATTGCGCTGGCGCAGCTTATCGGCGTGGACGCATGGTGCGCCAGCCTTCTCACAGGCGCCGCATTGAGGGATCCGACGGTCGCACCGAGTTTTGCGAACGTGACAGCGATCGCAGGCCTGCATATTTGGCAGTAAAGACTTCGTTTGCAGCCCGCTGGCAAGGAATCAGGAAGCTCAAGCTGGGTATCAATTGCGAGGCATACACGAACTTTGAGGCGGCGCAGTGGGATGTGCAGGAGTTTCCCCGCAAAAGTGAGTCCGGGGTTTGCGGGGAACTCGACATTATCGGGGCTATTGACACCCATGCATCTGGTTAGTGGCAATCATGGGTGTGTGACAAGGCATGTCGGTACTTCGGACCTTTCAAATTGAAGTGACGGAGACCTCGTCATATCTCATGAGATTGCAGTGGCTATGCTCAGTGCTCGATTTTATCAGGGCAGGCTGGTTTGCATAAATACGCTCAGTCCAGCATATATATCTTTCAATGTGACATTTCTTCTGAAAGGATGCAGGTCCTTTAGCTTATGACTATTATTGAGCTGCCTACCATGCTCTGGTTCATAGCAGCTCCGGCAATTGCCCACTTGAGTGACATTCATAGTACAAGATTCCAGCCCTGTGGATGGCAGGTCATCTTAATGGAACCCAATCGAATGTTCCCAGATCAGGTCAACGGCAGATTGCAAAGTTGTCGCATTTACCCACACCTTCGCTGACTGCATCAGCTCCGCCTCAACTCACAGCATCCCTAACGATACAAGAGATGTCCTGTATACCAGCGGGAGTGGGAGTACCGCCATGCTCAGGCTAGCGTTTTGTTCAGCTATTTCGTCCCAAAGGCTAAATGATTAACGGAGAAATTACCAAATCCGCGTAGGAACCAAAATGTTGGGCTACTTCAAATAAAACAGGAGCGCACAAAGCGATCGCTGTAGTGAGATGGGTCCAACGGCATACCAATATATGCATCGTCTTGGTCTGTTGGCTCCTACAATATTTGTGAGGCTCATACTTCACAAAGTTAAGTATTAGAAATAGAGCATAGTGTGGTTCGGGCTAGGGATCTCAATTGGCAATATCCTCCCACCGAGCCGTGTCTACCTTTGCAACAGCATCAGTAGTGTTAAGCAGGACAGATTTAAGGCGTTCCTTAACACGAGTCTTAAATGCACTATGAAATACAACCATCTTCAGATTACTGAATGTAATCGGTTCGCCTGGTTCACAGTCTGAATGTGTCCAACGACGATTGGCAATTTTGGTCCTGTGGATGGTCCCCCCGGCCCATTTCCCGGCTCCCTTTGACCGATAATCAACATCTAATCTCGGCACAAATTGTGTACAAACCCAGCAATAAACACATATGAAGCCGAGGGGTCTGGATTGCCTCGGTCGATGACGCCGGACCTATGGATTCATTCGTCGGCCCCACTCCGAAGCCGAAGGATCGCTCGGCGATCGCCGAAACCCCACTATCGCAGCGGGGCCGCAAAAACCTGGCATGTGTATAGGGTAACTTAGGCCAAGTGTTGCTCAATTTGATCTGAGGGGGGGCGCTTGAAGCCTGGAAGATGTCGATGCAATAGTGGCCTGCACCGAGTTCACTTCTAACGGTCACTGGGGCAATTCCTCTGCCGCTGGACACTCCTGGCTATTTTTGGGAAAGCGGGTTTATGTAAAGGAGTTGTTCAAGTTCTGATCGGTGACGTGTCGACCAAGGCGCACCTTGCTCGGCAGAGGCGAGTTAGAAGGGCAAGAGCAGACTCAAAGAGGTAGAGGAGCCTATCGATCCCTTTGTGGGCAAGAAAGTCTCACGTATTGGACGAGAAATTGGGAAACATGTGCATCATACACTTGTCTTATTATATTGCCTGCTTAATTCCAGAATCAGAACGCGAATACATAAAGAGTATTGATTGCACCATACATCTTACTATTTACATGAGTCCCTTAGCTAAACCTCAGGCGAACCAATGGACCGACACATAGTTAAATGACGTATTTCGGCACCAGACTTAGCTTTATTTTTGAATCTAACTTTATGAATACAATATCACTTTCTATGCAGGTACAAATACTGAGAGTAGTAGGCGTAAAGATATTAACTCCGAGACTGGTACATTAGGTGCATTGTTGAATGATCTCCAAGATCAGAGTGATACGTATGTGTGTGAATAGCAAGCTGCATGGGCGCGAATAGCAACGCTCTACATAAAATAGGTGCTGCATGCCTTCACAGAACCCGATACTGCACTGATCAACTGGAGTGTTGGCATTTTGAAACGATCGATTACTAAACTTAAATGAACTTATAAGTTGTCCGTCGGCTTGTTTTGCTATTCACTGCAGTGTAGTTGAAGAATAGCTGCTTTAGCCGGATTATAGACGCACAGACTCTGAAACTTGGATAGATACAGCATATACCAGTAGATCAGTGTGTAGGAAGTCCGAAACAAATGAAATTCATGCCAGTGAAGGGTATTCAAGACCTCTTCGATTCCGAAATCGTTCGGACTATTGGTACATGAACCAGGAAGCTCTTCATCAAGTTTGATGATGTTGCCTCAAGGAGAAGGTTTCGAAGCTCCGGACGAAATTTCTAATACCAACTTCCAGGTACCATGCCGAATGTGACTCATACCCTGTGATGAGACCCGAAAACCGTCTCCCTAACAGCAAATACTCTTGATTCGTCATCTGGTACGCTCGGGGAATCGCCGGACCCGCTATGCGGTCTCCACGGCTCGGCGGCTCCTTATTGATGGATGTGGATGGCCGGATGCGATGCCGCTTGGTCTGACAAGAGTGACGGCAAAGGCCGAGATATGAAGCTTCCCATCGTATCAGTTTAGAGGCCGGCAGCTCAACTCCGACACCTGGATCTCATCTAATCAACATTATATCCTTCCGATTATTTAAACCCAGTTGCTATATCACCCAAAAACAGGCGAAACACCGGTCTGGGCACGAACTCAACACGTAGTTAAGCATCGACTAAAATGGAACTGAAACGTCCAATTATCATCGGAAATGTGGCTGGCGCCATGGAGGATTGTCCTCATGCAATGTGAGTGGTCGAGTCCCTTGAATACCCTGATCACCGCATAGTCAAGTACAACCACTTACCCTTTCCGAAAGGCTTCGACAGATATCCGATAGCACACTTGATGCAGTCACCGGAGACTGGCTCTCAGAGCTCAATATCGCCTGGAATGCGATACGAAAATACGATGATCCAACTAAAGGGTACGAGGTAGGCTTCTTGGAACAGCTAGAAGATTGCATCGACATCATCGCCGCGAAAAAGCTCAAGCTCGTCGCAAACGCAGGCGCTTTGAACACGCCCGAGTGCGCAAAAAAAGTCAAGGAGATCTGCGAAAAGCACAATCTCGGCCATCTCAAGGTTGCGTATATCGAGGGAGACGATATATCCGACATTGTCGTCAACCGTCACAAGCAGGACCAGCTTGGTGGCATTGTGCATCTAGATCATCCAGAGCGTACGCTTGAGAACTGGGGTAATGATCCTCTGTGCGGAGTCGCCTATTTTGGCGGCTGGGGCATTGTTACGGCGTTGAAAGAAGGGGCAGACCTCGTCATTTGTGGCCGTGTGACAGATGCGAGTCCGGTAATTGCGCTGGCTGCGTGGTGGCACAACTGGTCTTATGACGACTGGAATCAACTTGCCGGCGCGCTGATCGCAGGACGTACGTTTTCTCGATGTATTGTCGCTCATGATGTTAACTAATGTGAACGACTAGACCTCATCGAGTGCGGCCCCTACGTTACTGGTGCCAATTTCTCTGGTGTACGACCGCATCTCGAAGGCATGGTCGACCTCGCATTCCCGATTGCCGAGATTGCGCATGACGGCACGACCATCATTACCAAAAACCCAAAGCACCCGGGATTCGTCGATGAGCTCAATGTGCGAGCGCAGTTTCTGTACGAGATTCAAGGAACTCAATACATCAACCCAGATGTGCTCGCTGACATTGAGCATGTCAAGATTGAAAATACCCACGAGAAGGATCGGGTACGGGTATCAGGTGCCCTAGGTAGTCCGCCCCCATCAACAACCAAAGCAATCACGGTATCAATAGGCGGCTACCAAGCTGAGGCTACTTTCTATATGAATGGACTCGACCTGGATGCGAAAGAGCGATTCATGCGGCAGCAGATTGAGCATGCGTTTAAAGATACACCACTCACCGATCTAAGCATCGAGCGATATGGCTCTAGTACACCTGACCCAAGCAACCAAGCCTTGGGGACTGTGTCTGTCAGGGTTTTAGTCAAGGCCAAGAACAAGGACGATATTAACGAAGACGTGTTCCGGAAGCATATATACGCGCTGAGAATGCAGTTTTACGCTGGTATGGAATTCTTTGGAGCCCTTCCCGCGAATTACAATTCCTTGTTAGAATCACGCAAACTGACATATCTTCGCTGAATAGGATACCATATGTCTCTTGACTTCCGCACCATGTCGCCTAGAATGTTCATGGAACTTTTTCCGGGTCTGGTATCCTACGAGAAGCTTCCTCATCGCGTGGTAATTGATGACCGAGTGATCGAAGTTTCGCACCATGGCATCACTGCTCCACCTCCAGGGAAGCGCCCAAGCTATGAAACGACCAATGGGATAGACATGGCAACCTTTGGCTTCACTAGTAGAGTACCTCTGGGAGCGGTGGCCCATGCTCGATCTGGAGACAAGGGCGACAACTGCAATGTCGGTTTCTTCGTCCGGTCTGCTGACGAGTACCGATGGCTGCAGTCCTATCTGACTGTGCAGCGGATCAAGGCGCTACTCGGGGAGGATTACAAAGAGTCAGTCAGCGTGGAGCGATGTGAGTTTCCGCACATCTGGGCTGTGCACTTTAGGTTCCTGGACTTCCTGGGTGGTGGTGGTGCGAGCAGCACGAGGATCGACATGCTCGGGAAAGGCGTGGCTGAGTATTTGCGAAGCAAGTTTGTTGATATCCCAGCCAAATTTCTGGGCAACCCTATTTCCCTTAGTTAGTAGTAACAGGAAGTAGAGAATACGGGAACCAACCCCCTTAGATATTATACAAAGAGTGTGGCCATTTATACATTTTGCTGGTAGAAGTGACTCTTAATACAAACTATACATAAAGATAATAGAAGTTATTATTTACCATCTCTTCAATCATACTCTAGTAAATTGTATCATTTATTGTCACGGCCTAGTGGGGGTGGCGGCCCGTTTGCGGGATAAAGACCCGGTGCTACTTTCTCAGCCTCACGGACGGAACAACCAGAGGTCCTAAAGTGATTGAGAAAAGACATAGATATTATGCTAACTATAAGCAGCTAGCTACAGTAAGAGTATTAAAGCCTGTGTAAAATCCAAGGTACCTAAAGCTACAGCCGCTGTATGGAGCTTCATTTAGCCTTTACCCCGCTTTAAAATCAACATCCAGAGACGAACATAAAAAGAACACCTTCCATCACTTCATTCAATCGAAAGACCGTTGTCGTCACCAGCAAAAAATGTCGCCCTCAAGCGCTGAACAGGGTCACTATAACCCTTATCAACTCAGATCTCACAGTAACTCCGAGCCTCTGAGGAAGAGAGTTAACAGAGCATGCGACAAATGCAGTGCATCTCGCACGCGCTGCGATGGGCAGTCGTAAGTCAGAGAACATCCTTGATGAAGAAGGCAGAGATCTGATTTTGCACAGGCCGTGTCGCCGCTGCAAAGGTTCGTCTAATACGCCCATCTGATGATTCCGGTCGTCCATTCTTAGTGCTAACTGCGACCTCAATGGCAGAGTACGACTACGCTTGCCTGTACACTCGCCAGGTAAAGAAACGAGGCCGCCCAGCTGCAACCAGTAGCCCTGGGAAGTCTCCGACAGTGTCAACAAGATATGAAGACCAAGTCTACCATGACCTGTCCCATAATTTCATCTCTGACAATGAAATACCGCGGTCCAATGCACAGAATATCGACGAGGGAGCTCTGGCTGTGGATGCGGACGTTCCAATCCCAATACCACCATCAAATGGCCTCAGCTACGGTGCTTGTCAAAGTGCTTCGGCTAATCAGTCACTGCATTTTGATCCGTCGTTCCTCTCCGTGCCTAGGGGCTTCCAGGGATATGACCCCGTTGAAACAGACAGTGTCGATGGAGGCTCACCTGCCGGACATGATTCGCAACATCTAGCAACCAGCGTCGCCACTACCGACTCGCCCATGTCCTTTAGAAATGGTAGCGCCGGGCATGGGTACTTTGGAAATGATGCAAACGCTGCCAACACGCCACGACCTTCACAGCGCAAGGAAACTGCTCAGGAATGCCGGTATCCGTTTCTTCATCCGGTGATTCCTTACATACGCGATATCATTTCAGTTTCCACGGTATGCGAGTTATTCGACATCTTCCTTACTGATCCCGGGAGCTCGCTGTTCCATTGCGCTTCACCATTCATCCTTACCAAGATTTTCCGCAAAAGGTCTATACTCCATCCTACCAAACCTCGTCGTACAACACCAGCCTTAATCGCCACTATTTTGTGGTGTGTTGCTCAAACAGCCGACATTATGATATTACAGGTCCCTGGATCAAGACCCAGAATCTTGAATCAACTTTACGACGTCATCACTTCACTCATCTCACAACGAGATCCGGACAGATGGCGTCACGTAGATGGTTTGCTCCCCTCTGGCAAGATCCGCTGTAGCAGTCCAGCTAATATCATCCCAGGAAGTTTAAGGGCTGACAAAGATGCTGCTGGTCATGGGTTAGATGGTTCTCTGGTATCACCGCCGGCAACGCCTGCAAATGAAGTTGTTGGGGAAATCGACGACGTGCTAACTTTTCTTCTCTTGACTATCACTGTGTCGGGCTTGGACTGCAAACCAGACTGCCAGAAATGGTGGTCGAAGGCCACCAGACTAGTGATCTCTTTGAGGCTTAACCGTGAGGATGAACGCTGCCTTGAGGCTGAGCAGCCTTGTCCGAATCCACTCTGTGTTTGCCAGAGAACTCAACTAGAACCTACGCTCGCTAACATGGAGCAACGCGAAGAGCGTCGACGTGTCTTCTGGCTTTGCTTTAGCTTGGACCGTCATCTAGCTTTGTCATTCAATTCTACTGTTTTGATACCCGACTCTTGCTGCGAGGTCTACGGTTGGTTGTTTTATTTTTTCCGCTTTTCCAATTGCTGATAAACAACAGCGCCGTTACCCGAAACCGTCTGGGAGAACCTGGACTCGATACCACTCGGAGATTTACCAAACCGAACACTGGCGCCTCCTGTTACTGCCACCGGAACCTCATTTTTCGAGTACTTTCTGCCTTTGATGGTGATCCTCGGTGATATTATTGAGATCCATCATAGACGCCAGCATCCCAGGCTGGGAGGTGACGACAATGACCATTTTGTGCTCTCAATACGAAAGCTCTTGGAACAATACGAAGTCAGCCTTGAAACTCTCGACGAGAATCCACATCGGCCGAACTCGACCACTTTCCCTCACGAAGTAACGTCAACTACAAACTCGGACATTCGCCACGAAGCTCCGACAAGCAGAGGCAGCTCAGATCAGGCGCAGCTCCAAATTGTACGCGCTTATGGCAGACACATTATGCATGTTCTTTATGTGCTTCTATATGGAAAATGGGACGCCATTTGTATGATGGACGATGACGATGGCTGGATTACCTCTGGAGGATTTGGCGAGTGTGCGTCCCATGCTATTTCGGCCTCTCAGACAATTGCAACAATCTTGGAGATTGACCCCGAGTTGACCTTCATGTCCTACCTTTTTGGCATCTATTTATTGCATGGAAGCTTCATTTTCTTGTTGTTTGCCGACAGAATGCCTCAACTTGGACCGAACCAGTCAGTGGAGCTCGCATGCGAAAACATCATTCGGGCCCACGAGGTATCCATTGTCACGCTGAATACCGAGTTTCAGGTACAGTAACTTCAATCTCAATAGCTCGAAATGATAGCTGACCATTTTATAGAGAACATTTAGAAAGGTCCTACGATCAACGCTGTATAGTGTTAGAGGACACAATGGAGCAAACATGGAGGCGCACAGAGCTAGGCGGAGGGTGTTATCGTTGTACAGGTGGACAAAAGGTGTTCGAGGACTCAATATTTAGCCAAGCTTCAAACTTGGGATGCTTTTTAATCACTTGACGAAATCTCATTGAGCCAACTCCAAGACGCATTTACACCAAATCTGACGTGAATTCATTACCGCTAGTCAAGCTACTCAAATCCATGCGCCGTCCACTCCATAGACACTGCCACTAACAAACGAACTCTCTGGCCCAAGTAAGAAAGCTATGACGTTTGCAGTTTCCTCCGCCGTCCCTTGCCGAAGGAATGCTGTAGGCTCATCGAACGGCGCGTCCTTTGGTCTACCTTTGGCATCCCACTCTTTTTGCATCAAAGGCGTGTAAATAGAGCCCGGAGCAACGCTGTTCACGCGAACCTCACGATGGCCATTTTCTAATGCGGCAACCTTGGTTAAAGCGTTGACCGCGTGTTTGCTTGCGTCATATGCAGCATGCTTGGCAAAACCTGTGGTCATTAGCGGTTGAGCGGCGAGGAAGTATGAGGAATGCCAACCTTTGGAGCCGTGAATGGACGAAACGTTGACAATCGATCCACCATTTTCGATATGCTGCAATTCTGCTCGGAGGCAATACATTGTGCCTGTCAGATTGACAGCTAAGATGCGGTCCCATTCACCGTCTTCCAACTCTGTGATGGCTGCGGTGCCGTGGACTTTGCCTATGATACCCGCCACGTTGGCAGCGCCATCGAGCCGTCCATGCTCAGAGATGATTGACTCAATCCAAGAGTCGACTTGACTTCTCTGCGCCACGTCCAGCTTCGTGATCATAACGGGCGCATTCAGTGAACGGAAATACGCTTCCGCTTCCTTGAGCCCTCGTTGCTCAATGTCGCCGATACATACTGTCGCACCCCGACTCGAAAGGAGCTTTGCTGTGGCTAACCCGATTCCATTGGCACCTCCGGTTATGGCGTAGACTTTGCCAGACAAGGGCAGAGTTGTTTGTGGCGAGTGCGACGAAGTTGTGGTATGCATGATTCTTGGTCGATATTGGGTCGGGAGGAGAGAATGACCTTTCACAACCGTACCAGAAGTAGATCTACATTTATTTCAAGAAAAATGGAACTTCTACCCTCGGCAAGAGCGACATAATTCTGATCATGCCCTAAGCCTGCTAAGAAACCATATCGGAGGGCCAACCAAGAGTTACTAGATCTCAAAAGGAAGAAAAGACCATCGGGTAATCAGAACGAGGAGGTTCAAGTGGAGAATGTGAATTTCCCGACGGGACATAAAAAATACCCGACCAATGACCATTCTTGAAAATTACCCGACGGCTAAATACTTCGTGTACCTTCGTCTCAAGGCTAGCCGACTAACAAGATGTGTGACATCTCAAGTTTGCAGTGTGAATTTTAATTACGAGAGTACAACGAGAGATCGATTAGCTGGTAGACATGAGTCCTTTCGAGACATGCTTAAATACCCTGCTCGTCTTCGCTCAAAATGGATTTCCCAGAGCGGAGTCTTACAAGGTTCAATTACACAGCCACGATGACAGACATCGCCATCACAAAATGCAGTACGCGAGACGTGCGCTTCCCGACTTCACTCGATGGTACGGGGTCCGACGCGATGAATGCCGCAGGTGATTACTCGGCCGCTTACTGCATCCTTGAGACAAGTTCCGCTTTTACCGGCCACGGCATGGTACTGCCATCTTTATCCAAGTTTTGACCATTCAACGAGCTGACGTACTCCAGACATTCACTATAGGTCGTGGGAATGACTTAGTCTGCCGTGCAATTGAGTACTTCGCAGACCGGGTTGAAGGCAAATCCCTTAACAGCCTGACTAAGGATTGGGGCAAAACATGGCGTTATCTTGTCAACGATTCTCAACTTCGCTGGATCGGGCCCGAGAAAGGAGTCATTCACCTCGCCCTCGGTGCTGTTGTGAACGCCATCTGGGATTTATGGGCCAAAGTCATGGGAAAGCCCGTTTGGAAACTGGTTGCCGATATGAGTCCAGAGGAACTGGTAAAATGTATCGACTTTCGGTACATCACCGACGCTATTACGCCCGAAGAGGCCATTGCCCTTCTTAGCAAGGCTCAAGAAGGCAAAAACGATAGAATTAAGGTCACAGAGTCCAACAGAGCAGTGCCTGCCTATACAACAAGCGCAGGATGGTTGGGTTACAGCGAGGACAAAGTCAAGGTCCTTCTCCAAGAGGCCGTTAGCCAAGGCTACAAGCACGTCAAAATGAAGGTTGGCGGCAACTTGGACAAGGACAAACGGCGGTTGAGCATCGCTCGCGAAATAATCGGCCCGGACCGTGTCTTGATGGTCGATGCAAACCAAGTTTGGTCAGTACCCGAGGCAATCGAGTACATGAAGGAGTTGTCAGACGCCAAGCCATGGTTCATTGAGGAACCTACTTCACCGGACGACATTCTCGGCCACAAGGCCATCCGAGAAGCTCTGAAACCTTACAGGATTGGAGTGGCAACTGGAGAGATGTGTCAAAATCGAATCATGTTCAAGCAGCTGCTCATGGGTGGCTGTATCGACATTTGTCAGATTGATGCTTGCAGGGTGGGCGGCGTTAACGAAGTTCTGGCTATCCTTCTCATGGCCAAGAAGTTTGGTATTCCTGTAGTTCCTCATTCGGGCGGCGTCGGGCTTCCCGAATACACGGCACACCTGAGCACCATTGACTTTGTGGTTGTCAGCGGCAAGCCATCTCTGTTGGAGTATGTCGATCACTTGCATGAGCATTTCTTCCATCCAGCTCAGGTTATCGATGGCTACTACAAGACTCCAACAGAGGCGGGTTATAGCGTTGAGATGAAGCCCGAGAGCTTGGCGAGGTTCGAATTTCCGGGTCAGCCTGGCGTTAGTTGGTGGGCGAGCGAAGAAGCTGCTGCGATTTTGAAGGACAATAAGAGTGATGAAGTTTGGCTGTAGGATGTCTAGTTTATGCTGGGCTAATTCCGCTCATGAGAGATTCGGCTTCACTAAATACGTCGCTTCACCCTCATTACCAGTCTTTCAGACGCGCTATATCTGCTGCAAAATTGTATTCCTCGTGAGGTATCTTACGATGCCGTTCACTGTGTAGTGAAACCGCCCCTCTTATGGGCGCTCAGGTAACTTCGATCTACTCGTACCTAGGAGAGCGTTGTTTGAATCGAAACGGGCCACCCGACCCGGCCCGGCCAAGACGTAACCTATTTCACAGTACTTTCCTCTTCAAAACTGACCAGTCTTGGTCCTTGTCAAATAACCTCACATTTATTTAAATCACGCTCCTTTCGCTCTGGCTGGTTGAGCACTGCGGCATGCGCAGTTAGCTGGCACATGGAATTCCATAACCTTGGGCGAATCCTTCGCTTCCCACGGTGTGATCGATGGTAATATGGATAGACCCATACGAATTTATTGACCAAAGGGGCTCAGATTTACTACTATTCTGATGATCTTGTTTTGACTATCAGTATTTGGGCCCATCAAGCCAACTTAGCGCGAGCGAGAAGGTTAAGGAATGAAACTAGATCAAAGGTAACTATTTTTCCACAAAGAAGAGAAGGTGAAAAAAAAGACCTGGAGCAGAAGCAGTTGGTAAAACTTCTATGCTTCTGGAGACAGGAACTAAGCTATAGTGAAGAGCTGGAACATCCCCACGGATCGCGCACATTGTCAGTCAAGTGCGGGCCTCGGTATATTGGCGCTACATGAGCCAACCGAGTTTTACGGAGTGACAGGTCGATATCCGGATCTCGTATTCACGGTTCACCTGTCGCTATTATCTGCCCAGCCTATAGGGTCTTTATTTCCCGACGAGTGACCGTCATTAATTATCCGTCGGTTCATTTATTCGGCCAGCTTCGACGCCTTCCCCAGGTTTGTCCTGCATCGTTCTGGTTACCTTCCCCACCCCCAACCTTGCCCCCATCTGGGGTTCACACGAAATGCGGAGATCTGGGGATTGGCGTTCTGGACGAACATGCTGGGGTCTGTGTGGTTTGGAAGCTGAGGCTGTGAGGTCACGTCGCCGGGTCTCGTCAGGTTTATCAGCTTATAAGATCCAACCCACCTCCAGGTCTGTTCCATTCTGCTCGTTACTCTTCACCCTACTCTACATACTCGCCGGATAAGATCAAGCATTCTTGTAAGGCTGACTTCTTTTCTTTTTACAAACTGATCACTTCATTCATACGCAACGATGGGCTTCAAAGATTTCCTCCAGGGCAAGTCTCTCCGAGCGAGAAATGATGTAAGGACAAGCGCAGCAAAACTGACGTTGAGACAATCTCTGTTTCCCATTGTTCTCGTCACCACCCTATTCTTTCTTTGGGGCTTCTCTTACGGTAGGCAGGCTGTCAAAATATTGACCCGCTTGACGTTAATTGATCTTAGGCCTGCTGGATACTCTAAACAAGCATTTCCAGAACGTCCTTCACATCACAAGAGCTAGGTCCGCTGGGCTCCAGGCTGCTTACTTTGGGTAATTCTGCCATTGCTACATCGTAATGGATTCTCACTCACCCGATGGCTCACAGTGCCTATCCTCTCGCGTCTCTTGGCCATGCAGCCTGGATCCTGCGTCACTGGGGATACAAGGCGACATTTGTCTGGGGCCTCTTTCTCTATGGTCTCGGCTCTATCATCGCAATCCCATGCATCAAGGCAGAGTCATTTGGCGGATTCTGCGCGGCCATTTTCATCATCGGAAATGGTCTCGGTTCCTTGGAAACGGCTGCCAATCCATACATCACCGTCTGCGGTCCTCCCAAGTATTCGGAAATCCGCATCAACCTTTCCCAGGCCTTCAACGGCGTTGGCACCGTGGTGGCTCCTTTGATGGGCTCATATGTCTTCTTCAAGTTTAAAGACGACGGTGCTCTTGGAAATGTTCAATGAGTCTACCTGTCGATTACCATTTTTGTGTGGTTTCTCGCTGTTGTTTTCTGGCTCGCCAATATCCCGGAAATCACGGATGCGGATATGGAATTCCAAGCTGGTGAAGTTCAGGCGGAATATGTCTCCAAGCCATTTATTAAGCAATACCCTCTCTTCCATGCTGCATTTGCTCAATTCTGCTACGCAGGTGCCCAGGTTGCCGTCGCTAGGTACATCTTTCCTTGGGATGATGAATACGGCTTGCTAACTTCAAAGCAGTATGTTTATCAATTATGTCGTAGAAACGCGCCCCAACACCGACGACGCCCTCGGAGCGCAGTTTTTTGCAGGAGCTCAAGGTGCATTTGCCATCGGCCGTTTTGTTGGGGTGGCTTTGATGCGCTTTGTAAAGCCACGATTGGTTTTCCTGGCCTTCTTGACTTTCTGCATCGTCTTCATTGCCCCAGCAATCAAGCATACAGGGAACGCTGGTATGGCGATGCTGTTCATCGTACTCTTCTTCGAGTCTATCTGCTTCCCCACTATAGTCGCGCTTGGCATGCGAGGCCTCGGCCGCCATAGCAAACGTGGCAGTGGATGGATTATAGCTGGTCAGTCATACGAAGCTCCCGGCCTACGGGCTCAGTATCCATTTACCTGATCTAATTCATTCGCAGGTGTGGCAGGCGGCGCTGCAGTTCCTCCACTGACAGGTGCGGTTGGCGATCTCCATGGCATGGGTATTGCCATGGTCATCCCAATGACGTTCTTTGCTTTGGCTATGACTTATGCCCTGTCTGTCAACTTTGCCCCGAGGTACCGTGATGTGGCTGATGCTTTCACCATCGCCGACATTGGCACCGAGGGCGACACTATAGATGAAGAAAAGGTTAAGCAGCAAGGCGAGCATACTGAAGTCGGCATGGCGGCCACCAAAGCCGACTGAGCTTCCAGTTGAGGCTTCATTTCTATCAAGCGAATTCTAGTGATCTGTGGGGACCGAGTCCGGTTGGTGAAATAAAGGTCAACACAATGAATAGACTAAATTCGCAAGATCTCCTTCCAGACAACCTAGTCCTCTCACGTCAAGAAAAATACCTTTGTTTCGTCATTATAGGATTGCTAAATGCTGTTATTCTTTTGCTTGGTGGTTACGTGTCCCTCATACACTTGGTGCTTTAAATGCAACTTGGGGGAGAGTAAAGAAGGGAAAGGTATGCCGCGCCTCCAACCACCGACCAACTTGGATGGCGGGTTTGGTTCGCAATTTAATTAAAATTAATTTAAACAACGTAATCCACACGCTTGGTACTGTCGCTAGTATAGTCCTTTGAAAGAGCGGTAAGCTTCGATTCAGTAGGCTAAATCTTTTTAAGATACTGGTAAATCAAGAGTTCACGACGGAGAGAGACTGTAAACGCGATCTAGTCAAGCAGGCCATACCTACTGCCATTAAACTCCCGTGTATCTGTCAGCATCATCACACCATTTACGTTCTTTCAGACTGTATTTATTTAATATATCCTTTAAACGGTCTACGATCATGGCGAAGAAGACAACGATTGCTGGGAGGAGACGTCACACTGAAGAAGATGGATATAATGACAGCGATGACGATATTTATGACAGCCGTTCGCTGCGGTCTCCAGTCACAGAGAACCCTTATAAACCGAACTTAAAGAGAACTTCCTGCGTCAGTTTATTCATAAGTGGACAGAGAGTACCTTCGTCATACTCAGGTATCAACACACATGAACATATATATAAAAGAACCTTCCTAATCCGGAAGTAAAAGGGCAGGATGTTTGGTATTCTCGGCATGGGCAGCATTGGGCGAGAGTTCACCAAGCAGGTTGTTAGATGAGCTCGCTGGCGGATACCCCTACGTCTCGTTCGATCAGCTGCTTCAAATCAGCGACATCATTTCCTTGCACGTTCCACTCTCAGCCGCCACGACGCATTTGATCGGTGCTGCGGAAATCTCAAAGGTGATGCCCGGCGTGGTTATCATCAACACGGCCCGGGGTGCAGTCATTGATGAAGGGGACATGGCTGTTGCACTGGAGAATGGCCATATCGCTGCTGTCGGACTGGACGTGTACAAGAAGGAGCCGTTGATTGACGAGCGTCTTGTTAAGAATGAGCGAGCATTGCGTGTGCCGCATTTGGGGACACATACTAAAGACCCTAGTCAAGGTGGAGTCCATGGCTATGGAAAACGCTACCCGGGGAGTTTGCGGCAAAGAATTGTTGACCATAGTCCCGGAGCAACTTGGCCGAGGTTTATAGACAGTGAACTGTCATCTCTGTAATCCCTTTATAGTAATCAGACGCCATTGCTTGATGGGGCTGAAAGACCATGATAGTATCTTGGTGGTTTTCAAGCAGCCGACTTAGTCTAACAAGTCGTAAGTTGAGGGCGGTTTATTCCATCAAGTTGCTTCTACGGAGTCAAAATAATACATTTTTCTTCAGAATTAAAGCATTTTCAAAAACCCAATGCTGCACGATGATCAAGATCAATATTTTTTAGCTTGTCTAAATTGACGTATAGCCATAATTTCAACCAGCTCGGGGCTTAGACTTGGTCATGACGAGCCCCTTATGTTCCAGGCGTTCTGCAGCCTCAAAGTAAGCCTCAAGGTAGGCAAGTTGCTGCCGCAGAAATCAACGTTAAGATGAGCCACATTTGAGGAAGGAATGTGAAGAGCCTAGCTCAATGCCATTTAATCACAATTTTTACTGAATTAGATAAAGCCCAAAGTCATGGAGGTCCCGACCCCATCCTTGGTGGAGATATCACCCAAGAGCCAAGACAAAGTCTTACACTGAGGTCTAATCTACAAAAGACAACTTGCGGAGATGTCTATATTATGTTATTGGATAAGAAGCAGAAAATATATCCCTTCAAGGCGAGCAGCAAGCAATCAGAGTTGATGAAGGTGCGTGGGATGTCCCAAGCACTGTCGCAGATCACAGCGGTAAAAGGTCGCGAGCAGGTATGTACTTGCTTCCTAGGCTCATATTCCACCGTCTGTTTTTTTGACTGACTTGCGTTCTGGTGGAAGGTATTACTTATTGACGACTTTACGTCCATGGAATCACACAAGGTCAAGGTGGCGCAGACTGCCAGGGTCATCAGCTACTGCATCAAGCGAGCGGATCCTAACAATATGGAGCTTTACTTCGCCTCGAATGTGTTCAATCATCATCAGTGCAAGACTAGTACCGATGTTGAAAGCATCATCAAGAGGCACAAGTTCGCTGATGGGCAATGTCCTATGGGACATTGTCTCTCGAGCATTCTTAACCATATTTGGACGACCCTCGGGCCTAGCAGCAACCCTATCAGCATCTACGTGTTGACGGACGGGATTTGGGAGACAAACGACGATCATATCGGCCGAGTGATTGCGGGATATGCCAGAAAGCTCATGGAGAATAAGATCTTCCCACCGAGTATCATGATACAATTCATTCGGTTTGGAGATAGCCCTATGGGGTATAGACGACTGAAGCGCCTGGATGATAATCTTGTGGAGGGGTTCCAACTTGGAGACTAGTAAGTGTGGTGTCACAGCCCTGATGGGGAGAACACCGGCTGACGAATTTCAGTGACATAGTGGATACCAAGAATGGTGACGATCATGTAAGCGACATCCTCCTGGGAAGTATATCCAGGAATGCCGATGCTACAGAGAGAGGGTCAACGCCGGTGACCGGAGGTGTTCATTTAGAGTAATAATTTATAGGGTTGCCCAATCTATTGAGAGGAGCAAGTTTCTGGCACAAAGATAATAAAAAAAAATAGATAATATTTTCCACAATTTAAGCGTTTTTGAAACCCAATGCTTCCACGTTTACCATCTCTATCGAGGGTTTAGAGGCCCTAGTAGCAAGACACCTGGAGGAAGGACTAGAGGCTCAACAGTTGAACCACCCCCTCTCCAAAACAAAACCACCAATAGATCAACAGTGTTGCCATCTCTATAGGTTCAAAAGTCCACGCAGCCGTTGGAGGTGTTCCACACGTATGGACGCTAACCATACTTCTGATTACAGCCCGGTTTGGGACAAGGCAGTTAAAGTGGCAGAACTACAAAACCTTCAGCTTCATGTACCTTGATAGAGTCAGTGTTCACTGAAGCTCTTTATATAGTCATCGAATGAGATAGTGTTTTCTATGCTACTTTGTCCACTTCTTTTGGCAGAGTGCCCCAATAACATGAATGCCATTCTCATCGGTCAATCTGAAGCGGCACCGCTGTGACGTGAGACTTGTTCTTCTCGGACGCGTTCCCACTTTCAATAACAGGCTTTCTGACACTCTTGTGTTCCTCAAAAAGTCTTCCAGCTTCGTGAATGAAATCGTCCCATAGCTTATCACACAGCCCGATGACGAAACTCAGCATGTCTTTCGGACTCCATGTACCAGAGAAGCTGAAGTGCTGACCCAAGACCTTTCCCACACCCCTGATTGAGAAAGCCTCTCCATGCGTGATGGCCCTCAGACTCGCTTTCAGTTCCACGCGTTCGTATTGCAAAGGCGCTCAGCGAGCCAGGCAGCGGCTGCTAGAGCTGCTTGAGCGACTGCTTCAGCCGTGTCCAACGCACCCTTGGCAAGAGTCACTAGGTCGTGCCTTCTTCGCAGCCCCCAACAGCTCCAGGGCAGGCAACTCTCACGGAATCCATAAACCTCGATCTACACGACCCCCGAGAACAAGCAATGGCGAATGGCTTCATCAAACGGTTCGATAAGGAACACTTCCGGAGGCTTCTGATCGATTGGATCGTGTTCAAGAATCACTTCTTTTAAATCGACGGCTGGCGGTCTGGAAACTGGTACGCCTTATGTTGCTGCAGGTTTGAGCATCGGGCAGCCCACAAGAGGCAACCCTAAGCCAAAAGTGGCGTGACAAGTTTTCTCACCTGTAGATTCCAACCTTTCTCTCTTCCCCTCACTTAATTCACCTCTCAGATCACTCGAATGCTTCTTCACGAACCAGAAATGGCCATCATCTAACGCACAACAATGAAGTAGCTAGGAATATCTCGATACGACGGTGCCCCACGAGAAACCTTCCACAATCACCATGGACCCTGTTACTGCCATTGGCCTGGCGTCGTCCATCCTCACATTTATCGACGTCGGTGTCAAAGTGCTCCAGAAAGCCAACGAAATCCGCAATTCCCAGGATAGTAGCACGAAGGAGAACAGATCCCGAAGGACTATCAGCGATGAGCTCGAGTTTGCCGCCGCAAGGATGAAGCCACTGGATGATATTCGAGTTTCACCAGAGCAAGAGTCTCTATGCAAGGTCGCTAGGGAATGCCAGGTGCTATCCAAGAAAATGCTGAAAATCTTGGAGAGCATCAAGCCAAGAAAGTCTCATTTCATCTCAACACTTATTGTGGCAGCGAAGGTCATGCGCAAGCAGGACGATCTCGAAGCACTTGACAAGGAATTAAGGGATTGTCGTGGTCGGTTGACATTGAGCCTCGTGGAGCTCTTTAGGTAAGTCCATTTCCTTCAGTCATCTTCTAACTATAGGCTGACCTGCTATGTAAAGGCAAGAGTCTACAAAATTCTTTGAACAGATTCTCTCCTTGGTGCAGAAAGATGCGGCTAAATTTGACCAGCTGCAGACGAGCATAGGACTATTGCGTGAGGGAGTTCATACTGAAGTCTTGGATCAGAAAGCAAGTGCGCAATTCCAGCGCCTCATGGGCCTGGATGAAGAAGCCCTACACAAGTTTCGGGAGGATCGAATTCTGCACGGTCTGCAATTTGACACAGGGGGCAATCGATTCGACCAGGTTGAGCAGCCTCATCCGGACACCTTCAACTGGATTTTCGAGGAAGGTGGTAGACTGTTAGACGACAGCAATAAGGCTCGTCCCGAGGTATGGTTGAAGAGTAAAAGAATACCAGAATCCATCATATGGAAGCTGACGAATGTTCATAGGTTGGAGAGCAACGCAAATTGGACATGCAACGGGAGTCCAGGGAGAAGTTCCTTGGCTGGCTCGCCTCACCCGGCGCCATCTTCCATATTCGTGGCAAGTTGGGATCGGGAAAGTCAACACTAATGAAGTTTCTCTCCTCTCACCTGCGTACGAGGGTTGAAGCCAAGAAATGGGCTGGTAAGATAATTTTTCTGCTCGTTGAACTAAGATTTTGGTAACATTTTGAACCGACAACTAGTAGCTGACAGATACTTGACAGGAGATAAACAACTCGTCATTGCCAATTTTTTCTTTTGGAGACCCGGCTTAGACTTGCAAAAGTCTATAAAGGGCCTGAGTCGCTCCCTCCTCCATGATCTCCTCGAGCAACGTCGTGATCTGATACCTGAAGCGATGCCTGACACGTGGGACGGGGTATCACAGACTGCATGGCAAACAGAGTCTAATATCAATATCTCGCCTGATTTGATCAAAGAAGCACTTGGGAGAGTCATGCGCGACAAACGGCTCTACGAAAAACACCGTTTCTGCTACTTCATTGATGGTTTGGATGAACATGAAAATACCAACCACGCAGACTACCAGGACCTCGTTAAGTTCCTTGGCGATTTCTCTGACGCTTCCGAGGGTAACCTGAAACTTTGTCTCTCAAGCAGGGAGGAGAATGTCTTCATGACTGCGTACTCGGAACACCCAAGTCTTCAACTGCACCAGCTAACGCAGTTCGACATGCGAGACTTTGTATTGGGCCGACTTCAATGTCTCCAGAACAACGAACTAAGGCTTCGGCTAGCAAAAATCATTCCAGAGAAAGCAGAAGGTATATTCTTCTGGACTAGCCTTGTGGTTAGAATCATTCGGGACAAGCACGCAGACGGGAAAAGTGACGAGGACTTGGAACACCACCTTGAAACTCTCCCTTTAGGCCTAAAAGAGCTCTTTGTGCATATACTGCACCGCTTAGATGATGAAAGCAGGAGAAAAACTTACGAAGTTGTGGCTTTGCTGGACACAGCCAAAAGCTCCGGGGAATGGGATGTGGACTATCCGACCCGTATGGTATACTTGACCTTGCTCGCATTCTCGTTCCTAGATGAGTACCACAAAGACAAAGAATTCTCCATGCGAAAGAACTTTCTAGCCTTCAAGAAAGACGGAGGCCGGACAAAAGCAAAGACTCTTCGGCAGCTTCGCGGTGCCTGCGGAGGACTCATTGAATGTCATGAGCACGACGATTCGAAACATGATTGGGGAATCCTTGGATACGCTCACCGATCTGTCCCAGAAATGTTTCAAGAAGAATCTGCCAAACTAGGCATGGGGAAATTGTTGAAGGGCTTTAATTCTATGGACGCCTTATCCCACCTCATCTTTGCACAGGTCCAGTTCACCAGCGACTCAGACGAAAGAAGCCGGAGTATTTGCGCAGGCTTGGTTACAAAAAGACTGGTGAGGAAGGTCGACAAGCCACCCTACCACTTTCTGGAGTGCATGAGCTCCTGGATCGAAGATTCCGGCTTTGAACACCCAGGTCCAGGTCGTAAAATCTGTGTATTATCGGCACTGAATGTTTCGATATCAGTAGGATACACTCTTCCCTTGAACCCAGGGTTTCAAAGACGACATTTTGTTTACAGCACTCTCTGCGTTGCTGCGTTCTGTGGCGTCGAAGAATACACCGAATGGAAAATTCGGAATGATCCAACTGCCGTTGATAGCCCCTTCAAGCACGCCTTGGTCGCCCATTGCATGTTGATTCATCCCTACCGCAACCCTAATCGTCGGTTTTGGGAACATTCTTTTGAGAGTGGATTCTTTACGAAAGATATTCCCACTAACTTTGGGCCAATTTTTTTCTTGAATCAACCACAGTCCATCGACGGAGACCAACTGACAGTCTGGCAGAGGTACCAAGCATCGACCTTCGCAGACCCCAGACGGTGCTCCAAGGCCATTGAACAGTTTATGGAGTGCGGGGTTGATACTTCTTCTACTTTTACTATCAAGACTGGAGACCAGGGGGAGACCCGCTGGGAACTGCGATCCAAGGATGCAACAATCAGAGCCAGCTACGAGAAGGAGGTATTTGAACGAATGCCATTACACACTTTCCAGGAAATGCACCAAGCGGGCTTTCATAGCAGGCACTCTGAAGGCGATCAGGTTTATTCGTTTCGAGATTGGGTCGAGACGATGGAGTTGAAGAATAAGGAACGTGTTTTGGACTTGATAGATCGAAAAGGGGATGAGGCAAGTCAAGCAGACGGCGCCGCCCTCAAGTCACTGGAGGACAAGAGCGAGCACAGCGCAAACCAGGTTGGATCCGAAGTCCAACCTTGCGATGATGCAACGGAGAATGAGGATCAGTATGCAGACGGAAGCCACGGGTCAAAGGGAACAGAACTCTTCAGAACGGTTCATGTCGTTACTATGATCTTACTTGGTATGTCTAACTGCCCTTGAGATTCGTTGCGTTTGCTGACTGCTAGCCATGATAGGAATTGCAATCGGTCTGGTATTTTCTTCTGCTTGGATGAGACTGAATGGAGAAGGGAGGGACAGTGTAACGGACTAAGCCGGCAGGGTTTTTCAGCTCGTACTCTTGACCAAGCATCAGCAAATCGTGGAGTGCAGGTCAAAATGCTCGTCTGTATCCTATGAGTCGATCGACGCCAACTACTCGGTAATAATGATCGTTGCGCAATGGTGGAACTGCAAAGTAGATTCATGCTTCCTGCCTAATTTCACATCTTATAGACCTATCAACGAAGGAAATCCCAAACAAGTACAGTTCCAATATCCATCCACCGAAGAGTCCATCTATCATTCCAGATGCTGTCCTTATTGAGCCGTAGGCATCAACGGGGCGACCATCAATTTCCCATTTAGATTTTAAAATCTCATCATGCTTTTTACAGACTAGACGGTCTAGTAGAGACCGACACAGATGTCACCCTTGACGCGGGCAGTCAGGTGGACCTCAGCCTCGAGGTCCAGCTTGATGCCGACAAGGAGGGCAGCGGACTTCTGCTTGCCCTCGTCGTCGGTGGCACCGCGAATGAGCTGGCCTGGAAAGTTGTGAGAGGTTGCTTGAGATGATGGAATCGTTGCCGAATAACTTACCAGCAGGGCGGCTGAGACCGGTGGCAGTGGGCAGAGGGACAACGAACTGTCGCTGGTTGCGACCCTCGTCGGAGTCGTAGGAGGTGTTGGCAAGGCTGCGAAGTGTTAGATTGGCCAGGCGAATGATTTATGCAATTTCAAGTCGCAACAATTGGAGTTTTAGACGCGGAGAGCAGTGGCAGGGGTCGACTTACGCGCTGGGAGCAGACATGTTGAAGGTTGGTTTTTGGTGGAAGGGTGAAGAGTGGTTGCTGAGTGTGTTGATTGTTGAGTTCTGAGAATGGATGAAATTGTAGTGATGAGTTCTATGGACTTTAAGGGCTGTAGAGAAGGTCTTATATAGGTCACTGTCAAAGCCTTACTCGCATATTGCGTCTTCTGAGCTGAAGGCTAAGGCCGACATCCTCCGAAACGTCGCAGATAGCTTGAACAACGCGATCAACGTCACTCCCTGATCCCTGGAACAAACGAAAAGACAGCAGCACCTACACCGGCCAACCTCCACATTTGATGTGCTGGCAAATCAAGCCCCGCAGTCCAAAGCACAGCGGGTCACAGCATCCGAAGAGGACATCCCGGCAGATCCATACAACCCGCGTCAGCTCGCGTATCAAGATGCTCGCCCAGCCAACGAAGAGCGACAGAACGCATATTGCCAGGCCGGCATGCAAGACATCGGCTGGAAGGATCAGTGGCGGCTTCCGATTCCCCGCAGCAAATGTCCGGCATTCGCCTCGTCGGCTTTCCGATTTCATGCAACAACTGAGATTGCGGCTTCATTGTCGGCCGCAACCGCAGGCCTGGTCCTGGCATTTTACCCACTCGCGCTCTTTGCGCCGGCGACGAGATTGGCGCTATTAATAACAGCTGGTATATTAATAACAGCTGGTATATTAATAACAGCTGGCATGTTAATATCTGTTGGCAGATAAGTATCAATTGCGTCAATACTGACGTTAGCCGCTACCCACCATGTCCTTCTACTTCAGCCTTCTTCGGGTTCCTTTTTCCGTCCGAGACACTCAGGTTCTTACCTCATCCTATCCGGCTGTCTCCTCAATTCCTCCCGACAACCTCCGCCACCCCCATAGCTCTCACCCAGGGATGATGACCACAGGTAAGCGAGTCCACGGCGCTAGAATTAAAGTCATTTCTAGATCTTAAAGCTTTTTCTGAAATGTTAGTTTAGCGTTGATAAAAACTTCTCATGTTTTACAATATGCTCTTCTCTGAAAACCTCCCGCCCTTACTCATTAAGGCTACAATACAGCAAATCTTCAGAATGTACCGTCCCGGCTTTTTGCTAGCGGATGGGATCAACAGGTTCACAAAATCCATGTAAAGATTGGCGAAATCTAAAAATAAACGTAGTTTTCTCAGACTCTCTTTTACAAGAAACTTGAAAGGTAAATAGGTCCCGATAGCTTGATGAAGCACTTGACGAATCCAACAACTTTCTCAGCCATGTTCCAAATATATTTGTCCATTAATTTACACTATTTACCAAACACTAATTACTTTGCACCCTCTCAAAAATAAATTAAGGAGGAACCGTGTAGGTCGAGTCAAGGTCGAGTCGTCCTTGCTCCACCTAGCCGGATAAAACCTCCCTGAGCGCCCTTCCTCCGAATTCATCGGACTCATCCAACTAGCATCCCTTCCTCAGCCGACCCATGCGGTATTCCGTAAAGAATTCGGAATCTGGGTACACGTTGCCGCTGTCCGGACCACTTAGAGCTTGAAACCCAGCCCGTTGACATTGTCCCTGACAAAGTCAGACCAGTCGTCTTGGCTCAACGACTTGCCCAAAGAATACAGGGGCTTCTTGATACTGAACTTATCGGCAACCTTGAAAGTCCCCGATCCAGAGAGCTCGTCACGCTTGACAACCTTTTCGTTCGCAAGCACGTCAAACTCCAATGTTGTCGTAAGAGGTTCATCAATCTCTGTCGAAACTGTCCAGGAGCCTCGTACGTCTTTGCCATTTCTTTCAAACGGCGGACCCGTGGAAACGAGTCGGAAAGAGACCGTGGACTCCCATTTATAGACCTTTTGATAGAGGTAAAAGGCAGTCCCCATTGGAACGAAGAATGAGTCCGTTCGCTTGGATGTCCCTTGTTCCTTCTTGGTAGAGAAGTATGAGCTGGACAAGCTGGCGTCCAACCCAAATGAAGCACCGAACCCGGAATATCCGAAGTTGACTTTGAGTTCTGCCTTGACGTCGAAGCCGGACGTTGTTTCATACCCATAGGTCAGCTCAACGGCCTCGGTGTAATTGACCGCCCCCTCCTTGTTGTCGTAAGATCTGACCAGCTTCCACTCATACCCGGTGAGACGAAGTTCAGTGATTTGGTAGAAGTTCTCTCGGCTACCGTCGGGATATTTCTTGGTTTCGACCTTCTTGAACGTCTTGACCAAATTCTCATTCTCGGGGTTGGGAGAATACAGTAGGAAGTCGGAAGCACCACTGGCGGCGCGTCGGGTCAGACGCTGCGTGGTTTGTTGCTCATCCGCAGCATCGGCAGAATCATCTCCAGCCTCAGCAGAATCGTCTCCAGTTTCGGCTTCATCTCCTAAATCCATAGGTGGGACAGCTTCGTCGGCTTCAAATCCCTCCTCTCCTAATTCAGGGCAGGAATCCTCGACCCAATCTAACTTCTGTAAGTGTCAAGTTCACAAAGTTGGCATCAAAGGGCAGTTACCTGGCTTCGTATCTGTGCAGACAAGCTTGCCACCCGCAACCACCTTGCCGGTCAGATCAGTTCCCGTTCGGTCTTTGCTTTGGCCTAAATCTGTCAGCGCTCTCCGATATCAAGAGTTAAATGGGGGCTCGTTACACCACTCATCCAGAGGCTTCGTAGCGGCCTCATCTACGGTGCCGTCTCCACTGAATTTGCAGACATCGGAGCTACCAAGATCACAGTTGACAGGACCCCAATTACCACTTTCGCTATTAGTATGGATTTTCCTGTGATGGCTTCAGTTTGAATTACTTACCCAAGTTGCTTGCACTGCTCCTCAATTCCTAGGTAATAGAAGTCAGGGCTGGCTTCGCAAAAGCAGTACTTCACGGCTTTGACTCCCTGTACCGAAAGAATGCATAGCAGGAGGGCAAAGAAGAAACGAGTGTGTGCCATGCTCGATATAGAGAACATGCTGGTGGAGGTGATTCTTTGAGTAGGCGAGTTTCGTTGGCAAGAGTGATTTGGATTGGGTCTGTTTGGGATGGTTCGATGTTGGACTTTATACCCTTCGTTGTGTTTTCCTTCACACTTCATTCAGCCATAGCCCAATACGTATTCTAGATGGATGGTATAAGCGCCTTGACGCCACTTCGGCGCTATTTTGAGCCTCTCTTGATAACATCTCGGTGAATGAAGTATGGTGACCAGCGGTCAAAGTCAGGCTTGCGCAAGAAATGATAACGATCAACATCTGGTAAGTCACTACGGTAAAGTTTCGGCGAGTTCGGTCGCATTAGAGTCACAGAGAAAGCCTAGAATACAGCAGATCATCTCGGAAATATTGTTGGTTGTCCAATTAGCTGGTGAGTTTTCGTTGAGCTGTTCGCACTAATGGGCCTAGATTCACGGAGATTCTGCGGTATTGTCTTGATGTAATATAAGTCATTGGCAAAAGTAAAAAGCTGACCCGAAAAGTAAATGGAACCTCCCAACCAAAAACAAGAATCTCACACGGCACGGGAGTACTCTCGGATGATTGCGGCTGTGTCTCGGCTTACCAAGCTTCTCCTCGCCATCTTGGACTAGCCAGAACTCTGAACCTAAATTTAGCATATGCCTGGCTTTCATTTCGGTGATCGCTCAGCCTAAAATACCCAACCACAGGCCGAATAGAAGGTGCACTGGCTATTGATACAAGACCAATTATCTGATCCATACTCAGTAGTCAACCCGCCGGTAATCTATAAGTTAGGTTTACTACCTTGAGTCTGGGTCGCTGATCAAGAATAAACTTCTCCGGCAGCATAGTAATGTAAATCAACAAGTGACGGTCTACTTTGGACTCACAAGCAATTAAAGTGTCATTTTCAGACACTCTTGAGCCGCAGGCTTGTATTAAAAGATACATGCGTGGGTACAACAAGCATCATCTGACTCGGTAGTTGTGCTCAAGTCATCCAAACGCCCCTCACCTCCAAAAAGGAAAGAAGAAGAGAAGGAAATTGACGAAGGCGTCTATCGGCCCGGATGGGGAGGTGGACGGGCCGATATACTAAGAAAGGCAAGGCAAACAAAGACCAAATGTGCAAACAGGGTTAACAAGTAATACAAGTCTCCGGATCTACCAGTCGAAATTTTGAGTCATACATGTTTCTTTTACCAGAAAATTAACCGCCGTGTTTTAAATTAATCCGGTGAATGGCTATTACTTAATTTGATTGTGTTTTACAAGGAAGCTCAGCTCGGCTTGTTTAGTCGAATGTGGCTGATATATTGGCCGAATTTTCCCGTTTCAGAATGAGGCGATCGCGGATGGTGGTAATGCTAGTTCATCCCAGAAGCTACAGTTCTGGCCATGGGGCATTATGGCTACAGTTGTGGCTGTGAGACATTATGGTTACAGTTGTGGCTGTAAGACATTGTGTTTCGCGTATTGAAAATCACGATCCCCGATTGGATCATGTGGTGGAAAGGTTTTAGACGACCATGGCACATACATTAACCAAGCGCCGAGGCTATTGCTACTAGAGAAGGATGTAGGAATCAAATCGGTCTAGGATCAAATGTAGGAGACCTTTCCAACAGCGAGAGTTGTATATTCTATCAGCTTTTGTGTGTTCTTTCAACACGTTTGACGATATATGGATAATTCATCACGAAATCAGATGCGAGGCTTAAAGAGAAAGAAGCCACGCGGACTTATTTCGGATGCGCAGCAAATCTTTTGCCTCGAATACTGTTTCCCGGTATAGGGTATTGCGTCAATTATATGAAGTATATTATTTAATACAAAGCTTTCATCTATCTCACCATGCCAAATGATTCACCCACAAAAGCAAATGCGCGGATTAATATGTAAGCTCATCTCGCGTATCCTTGTTAGTCACTTCGGGTGGCTGAAACAGACGCCGAGACATTTGATTTATTGGATGATAGCCAGTTTAGGTTCTAATATACTGTGTCGTGGGAAAGGAAACGATCGTGGCCGAGGATCGCCGGGACACTCCGTAGTGTAAGTATGCGAATAAGTAAGTAATTTAACATACACACTTGGCCAATACAAATGTTGTGACCAATCAGAGTCTGATTCCATATCAGCTCAATAATATAGTGGCCGCCAAACCTCCGAGACATACCCAATTGAACAGTTCAATTATGTTGCCAATTATGAAAGTCCATCCCAGGGTTGAACATATTTAATCTTCGCTCCCTGCCAGTAGAGGGTGAGCCATTCGACATCTTCTCATCAACTACACAACCGACTTTACTTACCCCTACAACCGAACCGTACCAACATGAAGCTTTCAATCGCTTTTGTCCTTGGTGTCTGTGGCCTGGGAATGGCGGCGGACCTTGGATCAGGGCTTCAGAAAGTAAAGGTAAGTCTGTTCTGTACAAATGCCAGCAAGCACCGCCACAATTCGCCTCATTAGCCCTCGGCTGAGTTGTCATTTTGGATTTCATACTGATACTAGAAATTAGTGCAAAACCAACGCTGTGTGCAGATCCATATGCTCTTCAACATCGTATCCAAGATGTTGTAGCAACCCTCAGGTAAGTCTTGCTCTGTTACAGGTTGTAGGAGTTGAATTAAGTGATTGTTGAATCTAGGACAAGAGCAGCAATTATTGCTATTGCTACGTAAGTTCCCTATACTGAGCAGGTTACTAGTAATTGGTTTTTGTTAATGTGTTACTTTTAGGCCTCAGCCAACGTCATTGACAAATCCGTGAGTATCCCCCAGCCCTAGCCCCACGCGCTGGATCATGCTAACAGCCCCCTTGTTTAGTGTGCAAAGGATTGAAAATTCTATGGGGGATTCGATCAAGTTAGCATAAGTCATTGCATGGAGTTCTCCACGTGAGTTTAAGCTCGGCTGGCTTTTTGCGGGTAGATAGTTATTGCACTCGACAACACATAATAGCAAACTCAATGTCACATCAATCCATTTGGCTATACCAACATCTAATGACTGTGATACCACGCGCATTATCAATAAGGTTAGTGGCACATGTGATCCCAGTATATCACTCTAGTAGTACTTCATTTTTTCAACATAGTTGAATGTTGAGTTAATTGCATATCCTTCAACTTGTCTCTCAATTATCTTCAATTCTTTGAAATTATGGTATAATTGTAAATGCATTTATCAATTTTGCATACACTAGCACTAAATTTGATATGTTATCTAACAAGTACTTTGCCCTCCTTAACTGACAGTCTGATTACCATACACAAGCCCATCATCCTTATTCTTCATACCACTCCACGCACTCTTTAGAGCATGGACCTTCACGCTGACCTTGACGCCCTCCGGTACGTCAGCCGTGCTGATCACCATGTGCGTTAACGGCTGCGTCGTGAAAAAAGTGTTCGTCACGCTGTCCACGCCTCCGTTGAGAAAAACCTCAAGAATTGATCGATCAATCACGCCGCTGAAACTCCACGAGCCACGGCTCGTCGGCAGGCTGCTGGTCGACATCTTGTCCGTGAAGAAGACGTTATCGAAGCCCCGCGCACCGCCGCGGTTGATGAAGAAGGGATTATCACCGCCGAGGTAGTATCCGCCGTTGATGTACTCGCCCGTCATGGGGCTTAGGAAAGTAAAGTTCATAGTTGCCGTTGACGGAACGCCACTGTCTGGGATTCCAGTCACATTGGCCTCCCAGTAGAGCGCTTGGGACTCGACATTCGAGTAATCGACGCTAAGGGTGCCGTTACTGAAGCTGTCGTTGGAAGCAAGCTCGGATCCCATTATGGGGCTCAGGTCATAGGGCTGTGAGACTAATTTCCAACCAACACGTTGCGACTTGGTTAGGTAGTTCTCGCGAGGAAGACTCATGGCGCTTCGCCAGCCTTCGTTGCCGGTGGGAACCACGCCAGTGTATTGCCAGTTGGACGCCCAAGCAATTGACACGGGCTTTTCATCTTCAGCAAGGCCGTAGAACCACTGTCCCGCGTAATTGTCTTTGCCAAAGTCAGAAATACGAGCAGCCGCATCGACGGCCTCAAAGTGGGTGCCGTTGAAGGTGCCTGGGTAGTATTCGGTGATGGAGCCTCCGAGCGGCGCCCCAGGGTTGATACTGATAGCCATGAGCCACATGTCGTCCTGCTTCTTGCCATCCTCGTCAATGTGTGGGATGCGGATCATGTTGGGACACTCGTACTGCAGACCGAGAAGTCCATGGTGTGAAAAGTTGCTCTTGGCAGTCCATTCCTTGAGATCTGGCGATGTGAAGATGCCTACGGCAAAGTCATGAGGGTAGGCGACGACCATGACCCATGAGTCTCCGTAGCGGATGACTTTCGGGTCACGGAACTGCGGCGAGGTGCTGTCGATCACGGGGTTTTTCTTGTAAGGTGTAAAGGTGTATCCTCCATCTCGCGAGTAGGCGATGGCTTGAGTCTGCTTGACAGGAGATGACAGAGTCTTCTCACGTCAGCAACCTCCATCTCCGTCGACATTCACTCGCAGATCCGTGACTTACATAGATTGCAACAACACCATTGTCCTGGTCTGGGAAGAACCCGGACGTGTTGTTCACATCAACAACGGCACTCCCGGAGAAGATGTAGACGTCGTCTTCCGGCGGAAACAGAGCAATGGGCTGATTTGTCCAGTGATACAAGTCCTCCGAGGTCGCATGACCCCAGTGCTGGTTTCCTGCGACAATACCTTTTGGGTTATACTGGTAGTACAGATGCCAAGTGCCATTGCTGTCGCGGAACATGCCATTGGGGTCATTCATGAAATGTTGCGGAGGGGAGAAGTGAACCTGGGGACGGTAGGCGCCATTGTAATCACCAATAACAGGCGTACCTGTCGGAACATCAACGCCGCTGCTTGTAGCTGAAGGGCAGGAGGATGAGTCCCGGGCATAGGACAGCCCACTTAGATGGACAAGGCTAATGATGGTTGATAGGATGGAGCTCTTCATGATGGCAGTGGGGAAGAAGCAACTGCAGGTTGTTTTCAATTCTAGCTCTAGTCCGGGTCATCAACCCGCTATATATGCATCACAGGGCTGATGAAGCTAGCTCTTGTAAGCATCATCTTTCCCAATGGCATCAGTTCCGACAGCATTGATCTTTCTCTCTCAGAACCAACAAGACTGGGTCATCTCCACATATGGTGTTACTTAAACCTGGAGAGATGACGTCTTGGCCAGGCTCACTATGGAAGAAAGGTGGGTTAAAGTTGGGGCAAGCGGGGAAATCTAGGTTCTTTTCTGGAGCGGGCCGATAAGATGGAGCCATTCCTGGGGTCATGGGGCTCGCAAAAACGTTTGTCGGACCGACAATTGTCGTATTGTTTGTTGCAGATCATGGACGGTAAGAAGCGGAAGTCCGGGACCGCCGTTGGTGGCGCCTAAGCTAGACGGTAGATGGGCTCTCCTCCAATTTTTTAGTCTAGCACCAAACTCAATGGCCAGAGCAATCAACAACAGGGATTTGCTGGGGTCTGTACTTGCATGAGTAGGATAAAAGCAACGTGAGCTACCTAGTTATGAGATGTTCCTCGGCTCGCCCTTTCATCTCCTGAGAAAGTTTCAAGCGCGCGGCTTTTCGCAACTTTCGTGAGTGTCATTAGTTATATTGTAATGATGATTTTTAAGCCTTGAACTTTCAAACGGGTGACGAACAGGTCTGACTGGAATACTCATTTGAACTAGGTGGTCTGTATCTTGATGACCGCTGAGGTAATGGGAAGAGTTGGAATGAGTTAAGGCACTGGCTTAAAGATCTAAGGTTCTAATCAAACATGGGATTACAGTAGAAGTTTGGTGCGAGATGTGCTCTTTAATACCCTGGTGTAGCCTAGAAGCTCATTCATGCAGCCACAGTGGGGTGCCAAGGAGCTGTTACAACGACCATCTCGACGTCAATGTGGTGTTGGAGTCATACCACAGAGCATTGGCATATAGAGAGCGTTAGGAATTGATCACAGCCCCCGGAATACTGTCTTGGTTTGTAGACAGCATGTCTTTCGCTGATGGACACTGTTCAATGCTCGCGCGGCGACGTGAAATGAACACACGAATCCGTCACGTCGGTGTTCTTGGCTCTGATTGGGTGCCTGTCGCCTTGCATGTCCGTTGAAGGAGGCAAAAGCTGGCCAATGAACGATAAAAGCACCAGTGTGCTGTTCGTTCAGCCGCAGCACAGCCTGTTTTCACCTAACCCCAACATTTGGCGTCAGATCACAGCCTCTCTCTTCAATTTTGAACTTGACAACGTTTGACGAAGCTCCAAGATGGAAAGCAATCACCTATCGGCAGAGGAGGACCGGGAGCCTGGTGGTCAACAACCGTTTATAAACTCACCCACGCTGGACATCCCGCGAACTGACAGCCAGGCTGGAGCAGCCAGGTCTCCCACAAGGCCCTTCCCGACAAACATGGGCGAATCCGAGCCACAGGTCAAACTAGTCCCCATCACCAGGAAGATTAGCAAGGTGAAGAGGGGTATCCCTGTTCACACCTGCGACCAATGCCCCAAGGTATGACGCCTCTTTCCCGGTCGTTATCAACACGCCTCCTGATAACCACCGCCGCAGACCTTTACCCGAGCAGAGCACTTACGGTTTGTTTGACTCCCTAAACATACTATAAAGCCTCTAAATAACTGGGTGTAGTCGACATCAACTGAGCCATGCAGCGCCCGATCTCCGTTGTCACATTCCTACCTGTAGCAAGACCTTCTTTCGTAAGGACTTGCTCGATCGTCACGTACAAGGACAGTATGTTGATCTCGTTGTGATTAGAGGAATATTTTCCATTTATGACAGCCCCAAGGCTAACGCGACACAGCACGCTCTATGATAATGCCGAGGACCTACAAATAACAACGGAAAGCTTCATTCCCGGACTCTATCCGCAACCGCAAGGCATGCCGGACCTCCCTCCGCTCTTCATCCCCGACGCTACACCGGGTATCCCTTCCTGGCAGAACAACCAGACGACACCATCGTACACCTCCAAGAGCACCTATTCGATACCTTCGGATAACTCACAACGCCACCGATTCCCCGTCCGTACCTCGAGTGGTGACTCGAGTACCCACGCACCGTACCAAACCGCCGCCAACGAGACTCGAAGCGCCAGCTTGGATACCGGCAGATATCTCCCTTTTACATACTCCGCCTCTCCACCAATGTATCAACCACTCTGTGGTGATAGTATGGACCTTTCTTTGCTAGGGTATCAAGACAAGAGTCACGAAGAATTCTATGATTTTGATGATCTTGAGCTTGATTTTTCAACGCCAAAGTTCCATGAAGACATCACCTTCATGTTTGAACCTAATCTAATTGAAGCTAGAAACTTCGGGACATCTGCCACGAGCTCTACTGCTGCAACTGTGGAATGCAGTGCTCAGGCTGCTCAGAAAATGTCAGCACCAATTTCATCGAGACCTCAGGGGCAGCACGTACAGCAGCCCTACGTGCGGCCTGGCCTCCCAATAGTGTTCTGCCATCTGTGCAATGAACACCCAGAGGGCTTCGAAGACGATGGGAAGCTTCAACAACATAAAATCAAGATGCATGGGAGAACAGTGAAGAAGTTTGTCTGCCGCGACCCTGCAACAGTCGGCCTTGTCTCCAAGGTCCAGGCTGTCAACCCTCTGTCGAATTGTCAGGCTTGTAGTACTGGAACGCAATACGATGCGGATTACAATGCGGCTGCACATCTACGTCGTGTACATTTTGATCCACGGGCGTCTCGCAGACAGGACAAGAACAATAACGATGTACGCAGCGATAAGGGAGGCGGTCCTCGACCTCGTGTGGATGATCTTGAATTATGGTACACGGAGATACCCGTGGTGTTGCCACCGGAAGCTTTACAGGTCGACGTATACCCGGGCTGGGCCGGCTGGGAAACATCCAATGAGTTGGATCCGGAAATACTGGCTGAGTTGGTACCACATCAATTCTGGTCACTCAATGCGGTTGGTTCTCTCAAACTCCAGATTCAGTCTTTGTTTATGTCTTTTACATTGCTAACTTGCTCATCGCCTCTCCCTAGGATAAAGAGTATGCTCCACTGAACTTGCGAGACCAAGGTATTGCCAAGACTGGAGTTCCTTGCACTGATTCCGGCTATGGATCTGCTCCCTACCCGAATCATCCTGCCAACGTTGAACACCCACAGATACGAAATGAGAACATTGTGGGTAAAGACGACCCAGACGATAACGTGACCACATACTCGGCAGCAACTACCGTTACTCCCCACCTCGCCCATCAATACATATCTGAATTGTCGAATGATCTTCATTCGAGATTCCGGGAATGTATTGACATCAAAACTTGGCCGACTGTGTTTCATATGCTTCCGGAGCTCATCAAAGCTTTCGCCATTAAGCTTGGTCACGAGTCATCATCCCCTCTGAATCGAAGTATTATGTATTTCCTACACAAGCGACATCGGTGAGTCCTTGTTCCCAAGTCAGCTAACCAGCTCTAATAAACAACTAGAGAGTTCGCCGATCATGTGGATTTGCTAGTGCGCGGCGGAGACGAGGATGTTGCCGAGACTCCAAAACATGGTGCCCAAGGCATGTCTCTCCTCGATAAAATGAGTATGTGGAACGAGCGAGCCGAAGAATGCGACAGGATTAAGGATAAAGAGGCCCTTTTTGAGGGCGTCAAAGATGTGGAGGATGATGACATTTTCCAAGTCGAAATGTCTGCATACAGCGAGGCCATTCTCGGTAGCACCGCGTATCAATGGTTCATTGCCGCAGTCCGCAAGGAACACCTGATTGACCGGGGCAAGGTTGAGGCTCGTGCTGTTGTTGAAGAAATACGAGCAACGATCTTGTGTAGACTTACCACAGGTTCGATCAGCAAACGGAGACCTGCTCCATCGTCAGGGGTAGCTTTTAGGCTTCAATGGAAGCCATTGGAACTCCGGCTCGAGCAAGAGCGGGCGAGGCTCGGTGTCGCGACGGAATACCCTTTATTCCATGCTGTATCAGTCACTGGACCTCCGGGGTCGTTCCAATCAGCTACGATCATGAATTACATGAACCAGACATGGCCCTCCAGTGGTGTCGGTCTTCTCGAGGTGCTTCAGCAGGTGGTTGACGGCAGTCGTGGAATTGAATATTCAGGTAAGGGCCTGAAACATGAGATTCTAACATACCACGGCTAACAGCTTCCAGTCAATCTACCAGACAAGTCTCAAGTTGGTGCACGAATTAGAGGAGATGAATTGTTTGTTACAGTCCTGGGGCCAGCTCATTCACTTGCGGATTGTGGTGAGCAGTTGTCTTGGCTCGCTGCTGCGCTGTCCCCTACCAGTCAGGATCATCTCAGTCATTGCACGCCATGGGTCGACGAGAATCCATTTGACTGCTACTCGAGTCTGGTCTCTTCAGTGGGTGAATTCCTCACTTTTGATATCGAAATTCAAGAGAATCTGGTGGAACCTAATCTAGCAAACACGCATTGCCTGACACGACTCGTCGGAAATCCCTCATCTGTCGTGGGTTTCCCGACAGCTCGACGCCCAGATGATTATTTTGGACTTGAAATTGACAGAAACATCCTGGCCTCAATCGTCAAGATGACTCAGAATGGCTTCATCTTCTCAACATCTGGACAGAAACTAGAGGTGCTCAAATGGACTAGCAATGTCCTCCTTTGGCATGTCTGTCGCTCAGATGGCCAATCCTGTTCCTGCTGTATGAGGCATATCTCGACTTACAGGCTACGCATCACGGAAATCAATGATCTGAATGAATACCGTCACATTGTTGACTGGTGTGAGAATCTCGACAGGCTTCCAGTCAATTCCAAGTTGTCACGTTCTTCTACAAAAGAAGGTGTCATCACAGATTGTGGTCTCTATCACAGGGAGCACGAGAACAGTCCCGGCGAGTCCAATACTAGGTCTATCAGCACCAGTGGGTCCGTTTCAAGACTTGCTACCGATTCAACAGGTGCCTCTTTCGAATCCGATCTCTTCTCAGACTCGGATTCTTTGGAAGATGTTGGGCCTTTGGACAGAAATGATGAAAACTTTTCAATCCTGGATTCCGTTGTTCAGACTCTGCTTTCGGGGTTCCGGGAAACGTCCGAAGCAAGGAACAGACTAGGCCAGAGTGAAACATCGTCTGGGTCGACACCGGGAAATTTCAATCCTGGTACCGAGCTTCTTTCCACAACCCTTCCCCTGAAAACGCGTCGCAAGAGGCAGCGCGGACAAAATGACGAAGAGGGTTCCGAAAATGAAGATATGCCACCAGCTTCCAAAAGAACGAACTCGTCTCGAGACACAAAACCGCAACCCCGGTTCGCGTGCCCATACTGGAAACGGAATTCTGGCAAGCATCGTGGTTGTTTCTCCAAGATCCTGAGGAGGATACGAGACGTCAAGCAACATTTGGCAAGGAAACATACTCCCGAATTCTACTGCGAGTGTTGTTTTGCCACATTCGAGGACGAGGAATCTCATCGAGGACATGTTACACATACAACAGGAGAAGTTTGCGTTCATGATCCTTCTGTGGTGCTAGATGGAATTACCCATCAACAACATCGACGCCTATCGCGGAAGTCAGACTGGAAAGTTTCGGAGCAAGAGCAATGGTTCTCGGTTTGGGATATACTATTCCCAGGAGCCCAGCGGCCTGAGACGGCATATCTTGACTCCAAGCTATGCGAGGAAATCAGTGGGTTCCGGGAGTACTGCTTCCAACATGGACCTGCTACACTAGATCAAGCGCTGAGTGGCGGAGTCCCTGAAATCGAGAGAAGACAACAGTTGGTGAGGATATGCCAAACCGGATTCGAGCAGCTATTTGAAGCATGGCGTTCCAGCCGCGACTTAAATGCAGCCTCGTCGCGCCAAGCCTCTTCCTCCACAAGCCAAAGCAATAGTCAAGACAGCAACACACGGCCACCGCAATGTCAACCAACGCCCAATTCTTCTCTGGACAGTACTGTGCTCACGGCTGGAAATCCTGTTGCCAACGCCTCTCAATTTCACGACTCAATGCTGAATCCCCTTCCGGTCCCGATCTACCAGCACCCGGGCGATATTCTACAGCCACCTCAGCTGTCACTGGGAGACGTTTCGAACAGATATTCTCGACCATTGGTCCAAGGGGATCGACACGACTTTTCGGATCTCTGCTTTGGAACTTGGCCTCTATTAGACGAGCCAGGCCTCGGAGAAACGCTCCTCAACCCAAACGTGTGCGACTCCGTAATACCCGATTCCAGCGGTTTGGATATTGAGGAGTTGCTGGACTTCAATAGGTTTTGAGAGTTACGAAGAGACTCGAGCTCCGATCCGTGAATGCCTCATTTGATGTATAGATGAAGGCGCGCTGGATACTGAGTGTTTCTCTGCTAGCGAGATGAGACGAACCCAATGGCTATCGTCTTAAGGGCATGGTTGGAGAAAAAAGTTTTCATAGTTCGCAGTTCGCAGTTTACTAAAAAGTGGGTTTTTATTATGATCAGCTCTTTACGACGGAAGAAAAACACAGTTCGGCGTTTAAAATAAAAAATCAATTGTCCCATGAGAAGGAGTCTTCATAGCGTACTAGTCACCAAACAGAATGTCGGTTGTGAATCATTCAAATATTCATGATTAAGTCTATGTAGGACCATGGGACTTAAATTAAGGAAATAAACCCCAATTGATTAGTATTCATAAGGAGTCGCCACTCAAACATGTCAATCTTCGAAGTTGATCCGTCATACTATTCAAACGTTACCAGTCTTCTCTGGATGGCCTTGAGGCAAGACATCGGCAAGAGTCGCGTCGGTACCCTTGAGCTCTTCTTCCGTGTCGATATGGTCGCGAATCTTGAGGAGAATGACTGGAGCGGCAACAACAAGCGAGGCGGAGAGCAAAGTCCAGTTGCTGATGAATTCTGCCTTGAACGAGAGCTTGCGGGCATCAAGGTTGTTGACAACCGCGGCTCCGACAGATTGAATGCCCTTGTAAAACCCGACGTAGTTTGCAGAACGGCGACCGGAGTTGGATAGCGCACCCATGAACCTTGGTTGGTTAGCAATTGAATGTGACAGATAGGGGTTTGAAGGGCGTACCAGTAGACGGTGGCTTGCCAGGCAGCATCATAAAAGCCATAGAAGATGTACAGGAACATGGGACCAACATAGCCCGAGTCGGTCCAGTCAGTTGGCTTAAAGGTCGGCTCAGCGACAGTTGCGCGGGTATATGTCTTCTCGAAGGCATATCCACCACCCCAGATAGCAAAGGTAAGGACGAAGAGAACCCCAAGTGCAACCTTGGCGCGTATCGTACGACGGATTTGCTCCAGATCAAGGAGATATCCCCAGATACCGGCAGCAAAGATTTGCGCCATCCAGTACAGAAGACTATTCAGGGCCTTGGTTCGGGTATCGAAGTGCGCGCCGTTTACGGCGTTCTGCTGGTAGACGTAGAACCAATTGGACGAGAAGAACATGGGGAAAAGGAAAAGTACAAAAGGCTCGAATTTAAGGGTTTCGTACAGCCCCCATAGCTCGCTCTGCCAGGTTGGGTTCTTCATCAGGATGACGCGGGAGCCGTCCTTTCTGACAATGTCGTTGGCATTGCAGAGCGTAAGGGCAAGAAGCGCTCCGCAGAACATGAGCACGATGAACCCGATGTAGGTACCATCGCTCACTGTTACGTTGGCCTTGATGTTGATGTTTTCGCCCAGGGGAATCTGTATAAATGATTAGATATTAATCCGAAGGGCAATGCCACACACGACAGTCACTCGGAAGGGTTGATGTCAGGTATAAACAATGAAGCACTTACCAAGCTTCCAATAACAGCTCCCATGTTGAAGATTCCCCAGAACCAGGCAAAATAGTGTCCCTTTTGATCCTCGTGGGGATACGAAATCATAATGGTGCCTTGCGCAGTCCACAGCATGGCCGCGCAGACACCAAGCCAAGCGCCCGCGAATAGGTTGAAGCCCGGAACATGGTGGTGCACCGATACCAGCAGACTGATGGCGTAAAGGCAGTATCCGACTCCTCCAAAGGCCAGCGTCAATTTCACGCCGAGCCTGTTGACAAAGGTGCCGCCGAAGAAGCCGAAGACGGCAAAGGTGCTGTACAGGGCTGTGTTCTATTACACGCAGAGGTGAGCAGGCCATCCCAGCCTCGCCATATCAGCGTCACACTCACCATATTATCAGCCAGCGTGGCATCGGTTTTGCCTCCGCCTCCCATTCCACCGAGGGCGTTGAACATGCCGGGGCACAGAAAGCACACAAAGGCTACCATGCCCAGCTGGATCTTTGGCGACGCATACCAGGGCAGAGTGTAGCCGAAGAGGCGGTATTGCCGATACTTCCAACCTCTCGGCAGGTCTACCGTACCGGTCGAGTGATTGTACAGCTGGTCATCGTTGCCATACGAGACGGCTTCTGGGTTGGCGACCGGGACGGACTGCCCTGCGGCGGGCGTGTTGATGGACATGGCGGGCGATCTCTAGGGACCAGGGGATGACTGAGCTATCGGGATTAAACGTGGGGACGGCTCCCTTCTTAAAACTCTCTCCAGCGTTGGGGTCGCAATAAACACGCAGCATCTAAAATTATACTATGCAGATCCGGTCAATTTTAGAAGCTCCCTGCGAAAGGGTCCGAATCCTGCCTCTCGCGCCGGACATAAAATACGGGTATTGCGGCACCATATCAAGTGTGCCATCAGCCCTGGGGCGATCGCAGGGTCTTTATTCGCCAGGTTTTCGTACGCGACGTTACATATGGATACGCAGGGAAGCCATGCGGGGAGAAAGGCCCCCAAATACGGACGGCTGAGTACCGGCAGAGACAGAAGCTGTGCTGATTGGATTGAGCGTTTCTTTCCGGCTTTTGTCGTGTGAGGCAGTGCTGAGTCTGGCGTCGAGTCAAAGGGATAAAGAGCAGCTAGAGCGCAGGCAGAATGCAGTCGCTGTTGCACAAAGGCTCGTATACTCCAAAGTACATCGCCAAAGTGCACTCCAACGCGTAATCATCGATGGCCAGACGAGTACTGCGGGACAACGTGTCGACATGTGCACCGCCTGGGGAATGTCACGTCAGCTGGCTGTCAGCACCAATGCAGCCGGCTGCTCCATGCCACACCGCTGCATTGCACCCTAGATAAGGCTGGGAATCATCTCACCACCAGCCTGCAGCATCCAGGCGATTATTGCTTGATTTGCCGAACCCATGGTCACAACGCCGGGCATCGACGGCAGGCTCCGCCCCCACACGAATAGCACAGTGATTGCACTGCCGATCGCAGGCCCTGGTTGGAGGGAAGGCCGCCTCAGCTCGGTGGACTCATAAATCATCTGACCGAAACCTGTAGGCATTCCTCCAGAGTGCGGGAGCCGTGTATCGCACACGGGCCGAATGGATATCAACGGCGAGCCTGATACGAAATGTTACGTCGTACAAGGTGAAGATTGAGGAAACTTGACGGATGAACCTGTGACGTGTATTCCCGAGCTACGTAGTACGAAGCAGTAGCCCTGAAGATGATGCTTCGGCGCTTCGGTGATGTATATATTATGGGGACCATCGACTTCACCGCAGCCGATCGCATGGTGAGTCCGAGCGTAAACCGAGCCGCCTTGATGTGGAACCCTGGCAGTATGCATCTCGAACCTAATCTTTTTTATTAATCCTCCTCGGCCTTGGGAAATACTAGTCATATAAAAGATTGACAATTCTCTGGGGGTAGAATCATGTACATCTGGATTCTGTCCGACCCGTTGCGTCCCAGCCGGATAAAACGTCCCTCTACTGCTACGTTACACGCGACTCCTACCAAAATCGACTCCTCGACCAAAACCGACCCCTCAACCAACTCATGACTACACTCTGCGTAGGTCTATCCTCATTCAGGCCCGCTGACCTGCTCTCTTGTCTCTCTTCGCCCCGGTGATTTCCCAGTGCGCACTGCGATGTGCGGCCCCACGGTGCTCGTAGCGGGCGGGCTTGTGCGAGCTCCGGTCGGCTCCGGGTGGGTCTCGTGTGTTCCGGCCGGGGGCTGCGCTGCTGGTTAAAACGAAACTAGATACGGCATGGCTCGGTCTAGTTAAATTCTTGAAGCGGAGTACTGCCCATTACTTCGGATCAAACTAGTATTCAGATTGCCCTGTTCCAACCTACCGTCCAACCCGCCATATGGCATTCGCGGAGAGGTCAAAATGTTGACAAAGCCATCCAAACACGGTCGTGTATTAAACGCCGCTGATCCCAATTTTCCCACACCATGGATACAGGGTGACTGTGGGAGATAGCGGCTGATATGCGATAGGCACTCCGGAGTACGTCCCAATGCTTAATCGATAAACAGAAAAGCATTGCTTCCGGTGTGAATGCACAGTGATTACCCTTCTGCTACTACTATTGGTGTACATTCCCACCCCACCCACCTCCACAAACTCAATCGTACCCGGCGGGTTAACCAAGCCTCCCGTCCGGCAAAGGGCCCCATCTCTCCGGCATCTGAGGGGCTGGGTTCCTGTTTAGGACACGCGTCAAATCACCCACCTTCATCGGCTAGCTTGACTTGAGCATTGGGGTTTTTGGGGAGGGATAAGCAGGCGCTCGGCTTTGCCAACCAAATAAGGGGCCAGGATATGGACGTAGCCATCTTGCTCGTTTGTACCTATATGAGATGTACCCTACCATTCGCGCGCCCAGATTCTCTGTTGGCTTGTCAAAACGCCCTAGCGGGCCGGCAGACAATGGGAAAGGGCCAAGCCGGCCAGTGCTGCGGGGGCTGAGTCCAGGGCACCGCCTTACGGGGTGAGAATAATTGCCAAGTCGCAGACACACACGCTCCACATCCCTCGCAACGGAGACCGGCCGAGTTCCGGTACACCAGCTGAGTACGTCATCCGGAAAATAAACTCCTATTGGCCATGGGCGTTAAACGTAACACGGACGCAAAGTGACATCCAGATCTTCCTCCCAGGCTCCCAGGCTCCCAGGCCCCCCGGCTCCCCGGCGATGAGTCAGGCCCAATCTTGGATGCCCAACCCCATCACACTCTGACAGTTGGAGGAGTGGATAATGGCCCTTTCAGCTCCCTTTCCACTAACCTGATTGGAGATGGTATGATAGGGGAATTGGCTGCCTACAGAATGAGGGATCGCGGCTGCTTCCGACACACAACGCGTTGCCCGTACAGAGGAACCCTGTGGGAACTTCAGTACTTCAATCCCAAGAGTGACCTCTCTATCTCAATCTGCACTACATCAAACTGCTGGATAGTCTGAGATTATACCTTTATTGGCTCGCTGCATTGCACTTTATACCTGTGTTCAAGTTAGGTGATGGCAGAAATCCAATACCCCAAAATCTCAATTCTTTGGAAAAGTCTAGCGCACCACTATTAGAGTCACACTCCACTCTTGACGTTCTTTCTAGTGGCCTGATAGGCCTGATCATGCGCTAATGCGGCGCTACACTTGGCCAAAGAGGTGAGATTTTACGGTAATGGAAAGGACTCATGGTACATGTAGGTTAGCCTGTATTGTACACGAAACCGTGATACTTCTTGCCCAGTTGCATTCTTAGTGCGGTGTGCTGCTTCCTTGGGCTAGGCACACAGTGAGCTTCGAGTCGGACCATCGAAGGACAAGCTCCCGCTGTTGGCACTCTGGCGAGCCAGATCTGCCCCAAGCTGATCTCCCAATGATATGGGAGCTCAGGTGCTTCGAGTCACCAAGCCCACCGGCACTGAATGTGGATGGATGTACGTGTGTGAGCGAGCGCCAAGAACCTTACGAGGCAGAACTCGGCGATTGTGCGTCTTGCCTGTTGGTTGCCGACTGGACTGGACTGGACTGAAGTGAGCTGAATCATAGAAGAAATTCTCCTCCTACACCACAGCCAACGTTTCAACAGATCCCCTATATTGGCACCTCTCACTAAGTATTCTCCTCCGAGCTGCGACGAGCTCCTGTCAAGAAAAAGCATCGGCTATCAACATCCCTCTGTCCTCTATATCGAAACAGTTCTCCGTCTACGTTCAGCAGTCGAGAACACGTTCCGGCACAGTTTCGCTAGTTCCATCAACCCTTGAGTCTCGGCTTCGCGGCCTCTGCTCCGTCACTGTTAGCGTCGTCAATCACGATTCACATTCACTGTCTTCCGACCTCCAGTTCTGACAGAACACGCAGTCACCGGAGGAAGTTGACAGTCACTCACCATCAACAATCTACGACTCACCTTCACCCTTTGCCCGATCTGCCCTGACATACGCGAATCTATGCAATCAGTTCTGCATTTAACTCACCGTCTCCTCATCCAGTTATCTGCTCGCCTTGCAGTTCTGCAATATGTGTATCCCTCTCCTTACTCAATCTAGCATCCATTTTCCTGTCACCCGTCGCGTCTACACTACGCTCCAATCTTGTATTGGCAAACACCTACCCATCCAGCCTTTTTCTTCTAGCGCCTTTCGTCGTCGCCTCTCCCCCGCTTGCACTAACAGCTCAACAACCACAACCAGCTATCGCTTAGTTCAATCTTACCCTGTCTCAGACATTCTGAACTATCCTGCCTCTTTTGCTCCCCCTGAACCGGACCAAACATGGCAGCGACAACCGGTGAGTAGCAAACCTCTCCCATCCAGCTCAACTCCTCTAGCCCCGCCCATGCCAATGGAATGTGACCCATGATGGTATCCCCAAAGGTAGCCGCTTGACAGTTGGCAAATAGGTGTGTGCAGTAAGGAAGGTCTGAATGAGGCAGAACGTTGTGTAAATAGGAAGTAGCCTATGCGCTGTTGATCATAGTTGCATTGAGTTGGAGACACGACGTGAGTAGACCACCGGGAAGTTGACATGAAATGGTTACCCATGACATTAGCCGTCTCATTCGTTGCCTGATCCAGAGCAAAGAACGGCTGAAGGTGATCTGCACTTGTAGCCAGAGGGATTGTTAGATACTTCATTTTCTGCAATAGACTCTCACTGTTCAGGGAGCAGTTCAGATGCTCTACAGCACATCAGTAGGGATTTCTTTTCTTCCGGGAGGTTAAATATAAAGATTTTCTCCATCAATCCTTTATTTGACGGAAAGAGATGTACTCGGCAACCAATCAAACTCCTGGTGTGGCAATCTCGTGAAGGAGCCGCACACCTAACTTCCGAGCAGCCCAAATTGCGAGAATGAGGGTTGTCCATGTCAGTAACCCTCTCGCTATAATAATCCCCTTGATAATAGAAAAGGTTTTCTTCTCGTTCATCCGTAGGAACGGACCGCTAGGAATCTCTTTGCCCAGAAATTTGCACAGCGGCTCCACCCATCCTCAGCCTTGAACTCAAGAACCTCCTTTCCACGCTTCCTGGCGTCCGCTCTGACATGTTCGTAGTACGTGTCATACATTTTCGTAGAAAATATGTCGTCCGTGCCGAAGTTCGCCTTAGACCACTTAACACACTCCATGTTGAGTTTATACCACAGCCTGTCGGTTTTCCAGAGCATGCCACTCCATTTGAACCATGGAGTGAAGAAGAATCCGAGACTATCGTAGGCGCTCCGTGCCCATGTCTCAGAACTTGGACGTCCGTTCAGCACTATTTTGACATCTGGATACATATCCATCAAATCAGGTGTGAAGAAAACGACTGGCAGATCGCATACGGATTCGTAGCCGCCAATCAGCTCACGCAGTAGCTTCTGTCGTCGCTCCGTGTCTCTTTCACGCACCGCATCGATCATGAGCTGCTGGCGGGACGCATGTGGGATTATTTCCGCCATGTGTAGACACGGCGTGAAACCGAGCTGTTCGAATGCCGCTTGCATGGATGACGTAGCGGCGCGGGGGACTCCGGCTCCGATTAAGAGGAGCGGAGCATGCTGATTGACGGGGCGTTTGCGGGAGTCGGAGATGAATCGAACCATGATGAATGAACAGCTTAGAGTGGTGATTTAAATGGTTTGAGCAATGAACCTCGAACTTCAAACTACGACAATAAAAGAATACGGCTATGGACAATCTTCTGAAGACTTTCGACTCGCGAAAGAGGGTTCTGGTTAAACACGAATGTCTCACGTCAGACTACTGCTTGATTTAGTTAGAGGCATAAATGCAATACGTCACAGCTCTAAAATGTGCCCACACAAGCTTCATGTTCGTAGTACAGCTCTTTTTGAGATGTTTGGCAAACTGACCACAGATGACGTGAGATGAGACATGGGATAGGTTGCTTATAACGGGACATAGACCGGGAGGGAAATCGCCGACAGATCCAACTCCGGCTATAGACCTACTCACTAGATGGATAATGTTTGATGCTGGTATTTGGTCCTTGTGATAAAAAATGATGAGGCAACTACCCTGCACCTACACCACCGACAATAATGATCTGCAGGAAGACATCGCCAAGTATTTCCTGGGGTCCACCTGAACAATTTAAACCATTTAAATTAAAGTTGCGGTTGCTCCGCTATACCATCACGTGCCGTAGATCACAATGCGAGAATATCGAATTCCTTACAAGCCTGCCCTAGCAACCGAATCATCGTAGGAATGAGGTTGCCCAGAGAAACGTGGGGAATGTGCGCACTGCATTGGGGGGCCGCGACTCTCCACTTCGTTGTTCCTTACCTAGAGGTACCTTGGTCCCCGTTAGTGACATGATGCTGACTGATCTCGCAACGGATGCTCAACAAGCTGCTTTTGGTGTTGTACGTGATGTAAAAATGCATCAAATCTCTGTATCTTGCCAACTGGACAACAACTCGGCGGCCATGTTTTCGAAATTCGCATGATTCTGTTGGGGACCACTGCTCATTCGCCCGCACTCAGCAGATCGCCCCGTACTTAATACCATTTAATCCTAGATGCGAGGTTTCGTATTGCAATACGCGTATACTCCGTACCGAAACCGAAAATGGGTGCACAGCCCTACAGAGTAGTCTCTGAACTGAGCCGATCATTCCCCCAGTGATCTTCCGAGAGTTCAGAATATCGGAAGAACCCGAGAGAGCACTGCCTCAAATGACTAGTGCTAAGGATGCAGAACTTTTCGCCGCAGTCTGTCCGTCTGGTGGACGAGTGCTTTCATGCTGGTGTGCGCAATCCGTAAATCAACAATGACGTGCGAGATGGGGGCTTGGGCCTATAAAAATAGCTAGCGATCGCAAATGAATCGTGAATGCCAGGTTTTTTGGAGAAAAAAGCACGATTAAGCCACTGTCGAAAGATTCTATTGGCACTGCTAATAAATGCGCCATATGCTGCAATCATGTTAGTACGTGATCGGGCCGCCCGCTACTCCGCCACCGCAAGCTTCGCGGCTTTCGGTCTCGCTTCCGCACTCGCGTCGTGCTCTTTTGTTATCAGAAATTGACTTTTGGGCGGTGCCGGATTCCCGCCCTCGAGATGCCTATTGAAGAAATATCACGGCGGAAGGAATGACAGCAATTAGATATTTAAAGACGGTTCCCTGTCGCATGAGTTTGAGATTTGCTTCAGCATCCACTTACAGTTCTTTACTCAGACGTCCGACTTGGCATTCACCCAAAACACTCCTCCAACATGCCTCAACTCGAAAGCTACAATGGCCACTTCCTGTGGGAGTACATTCCCTCCCTGCCGGCCGCCGTCGTCTTCATCGCTATCTTCGGAATCTTGACTGCAGCCCATTGCTGGAATTTGGTCCGACACAGAACGTGGTTCTGCATTCCGTTTGTCGTTGGAGGCCTCTGTAAGTGTTTATTTCGCCCATGTTTGTAATCCAAGTTACTAACTTGACTGCAGTCGAAGTTATTGGCTATGTTGGCCGAGCCTTGGCGCACGACAAGACCGGAAAACTGATTCCCTACGTCCTGCAATCAACCCTGCTCCTTCTCGCGCCTATTCTCTTTGCCGCGTCTCTCTACATGACCCTGAGCCGAGTCATTCGTTCAGTCCACGGCGAATCATGCGCGATGATTGCTCCTCGCTGGCTCACCGTCATTTTCGTGTTCGGCGATGTCTTTAGTTTCATCGTCCAAGCCAGCGGCGCCGGGCTCCGTGTCATGGCCGGCCAAGGAAAGAACATCGACCCGAAACTCGGACCGTGGGTCATCGTCGGCGGCCTGATCTTGCAGATCGTCATCTTTGCCATCTTCATTCTCACCACCATGAAGTTCAAGTCGAAGTTTAGCCAACACGAGAGTTCCAAGATTACAACGGGTGCGGATTGGCGCAAGACTGTGATGATGCTCTACGTCACCTCGGCACTCATCATGGTTCGAAACATTTTCAGGACAGTCGAATATGCGATGGGCAGCGATGGATATTTGTTGGGCCATGAGTGGCCAACCTACGTCTTTGATGCGTCGTTGATGACTCTAACGATGGCATTCTTTTTCTTGTGGTACCCGGTCAAGCTGAATGCCGAGCTGATTGTCAGGAATGACACCGAGATGAACGCGATGGAGACTACTCATCACCGAAAGTAGACCTAGCGACGGGTTGTAAGAACCGGGAGACAGGCTACGGGAACCTAGAGACAGGATATGGGAACCCAGAGAGTGGTTGCGGGAACCTAGAGACAAGCTACGAGAGGAGGTTTCAGGGCAGCTACTAGGTACTACATATTTTCTTTGTCGAATAGATTGATCCATTCATATTAATTAGGTGCGAGACAATTCACTTCACTCTTCCCATATCTTTCCCGCCTCGACTTTTGTTGGTTCCATGCTACAAATGCAGTGAGATGCAAGCTGCATGTAAGACGTGGACTTGGGTGGATCAGCAAACGTGGCTGGTATTTTAACCTGGAATGTTGGGAATTCGATTCGAGACCGAGACCGAGCCCGAACGCGAAACCCGCAATGGAATGTCCACCACCAACCACGTTGCCAGTTAGGCTGGCGGAATCTGGTTTCCTTCAATCGGCTAATTCCCAGTATGCGCGAAGTAAAAGCATAAGTTCTCAGGCTAGAAGCTTACCTTTAGTATTAAATTTAAGCTAAGAAATAAAACAATTCCCGCTGGAAGGGATAAGACTGGGAATCAGTCTCATTACGGGTAATTTGCTGAACTTGTTGAGTGGGAGTACCCCATGAGGATTGTACCGGACGGCGCCTAAATAATGACAAGCTTTTGCGAGGGATGCCACACTGTTTGTTAAAACAGCGCAGAATGCGGCAGACCCGGAATACACCGCCGCTTTTCCTATTGTACGTGCAAAGAAATATCATTCTCTTACGAACCAACTGCGATACTGGTCCATTTTTTAAATATGTTCAAGGGGTCCTACACGATGAGCTCTAGTAACCGCTCAAAGTAACACTGAGACTGAATCACATTTATCGTCTATACGGCTCTTGAAGTTGGCGGGTTTTTTTAATTCCGTTGGAACTCCGTGTGAACTATAGCAGCAAACCGTGCCACTGCTCTGGCTAGTCCATCTCCTCTGCGGGCGCATAAGTGAGTCGAAACTGAATGGAACCCAGCTGTTTCTCGCACAAGTCAAATCAACTCCTCTTGCTGACAAGAGCATCGTTGTCAAGTGCGCTATTGTAGATGCGGTCTTCAATCAACGGGGCTGAAGACAATATCATGAGACTTTGAATCCGGCCATCCTTCTCTAGTCTGGTGGTGAACCATATCGGCATGTATTAGCTAAAAGCTGCGAGGCGCAGGCTAGACGAATTCTTACATTCTGACGCATAGATTGGGGTATTCGAGCCTGCCAAGACATTTGTAGTGGAGGTCAGAACAATGAGGCTAAATTTAATACATTTCACGTTCTATTTTCTCAAGGATATGATCAAAGGGTTATCCAACTTCGTTGAGAAGAATAATCCAATGTTTACTAACCCCTAACGAAATTCCACTGAAACCATTTGTTGATCAACACTCTTAAGAAGTGTTCAGTCTAGCTGTGCGATCTTCGTGGGCCATATCAAGTCTTGTACAATTTTTGAAGGTGCTCTAGACACAGGCAAACGAGGACGGAACTGTCGCATCACCTCCCACGTAATGTTGAACCCGAGGATACATGCAAAGATCCCTCTCCACTGCGACGCCATTTCCATCCGGTCCTGAAGCTCGCAAGGTCTCGGGCGCTATGCCCTTCTCTACCCAGTCTACGATATAGTCCATCGTAAGTGGGGGAGTCGGCCCGCAGCCGAAGCAATGTCCGGCGCCGGGCGCTAGGAAAAGACGATAGTAGTCCGAGGCGTCTGGATCCTTTTTCAAGACTCGGTCGTAGTAATCGGTGCTTCCATTGACGGGAATGGCAGGGTCTACCATTCCGTGCCAGTTGACCATCTTGCCGCCCCTCCTCTTGAACGCAGATAGGTTCGGGTTGGATGTGCCGACGATGGATTCGTATTCTTCGATGCAAGCGTGTGTGAGGTCGTCCCACTGCTCGTGGGTGATGGTAGACATGTCGAAACTAGGGTCCTTCACGACCCAGTATCGAGCCCAGACGTTAGAGACAGCAAACGTTTGTCCCTCGCAAGAGCCTTCTTTGGTGCATTTAGTCAGGATAGGTCCAAAGCGCGGTCGCGTCATATGAGTGTCCTTGTTGAATCCGTACCACTGGAACTCCCCTGTAGCGCTACGGGGTCCAGCCCATGTCTTGCTCACCACATCCGCAGCTGCAGTTGAGATGGCAACGTCAACCCCATCACAGTCGATGGTCTGTCCAATGACGGAATGTGCGTCAAAGTCACAGAGCGCTGGTTTTGAAATGATCCCATCCTCCACGCCATCCAACTTGTCGCAAGCAGCCACAGCAGCAGCTGTAATGGCGTCGACTTCGCAGGGTCGGGGGTAGACGCGCAACTGGTCCATGACGAACTTGGGCCATATGCTGGACCACAGGAAGTTCATCCAGTTGATGGCAGGGAAAAGGGCGATGATGCCGTCGTAGTCCTGCGGATATCGCTGCGCGAGCATGTGGCCTTGCCTTCCGCCGGTGGACGCGCCATGGAAATACGAGTATTTGGGAGGCGTCTCATAAAATGCCTCCGTGACCGCCTTTCCGATGGTGGCGGTGTCGTGAAGCGCTTGGGAGGCAAAGTCGATGAGAAGAGGCCAGTTCACGGTTCCAGGAGCGGTCAAAGCCCACGAGCTTTCATGCGGCATGGCCTCGCTGGGGTCTGACGAGTGCCCGCCATCGGTAGTTGCTACAGCAAACCCTGATGCCATGAACGGGAGCATCATGAAGTGGGAAAAGATGCCTCCGCCCGTGACCAGGCCGCCCCCTCCGATGCCCAGGAACCTGGAGTTCCAATTCTCAGTGGGAAGCAAGGCGTTGACATGGATAGTGTCGTTCCATCCGGGGTGCGTGTACGTGACTGTGATGTTGCAAAAGTTCAGGTCCCGTAGAGTATCGCTTGACGGCAGACCCGGAGAGACGGGAGGCTCATAGGTGTGGTTGCGTTGCTCATTCGCGCTGACAGAGAGCACGCTCACTCCGGGTATCTCGGGCAGCGACAATGAGCTCGAGTTGCATTTGAGGGACAGATCTAATGGTGCATGGCCCAGCCACTGACTCGTCCAGCCGAGGGGGTTGAAGTCCCCGCGCAGCAGATCCCAGGCCATCTGAAGGTTGTTGGCGATGATCGTGCTGCGAGTTGTGAAGATGGATGATTACAGACGACGATGAAGAAGTGTCTGCGTTGGCAACAATGCAACAGGCGCGTTTCCAATGCCAAACATGCCACAGTGTCTCAATCGTTTGGTTGAGACACATTCGAGACGCGACTTCTCTTCCTCGGAGACCGGGGTGTTCGCGTGTAACTTACCCCGCGCGGAGAGTTTGCCGAACTGCTTGCCGTGCAGCAATTCGGAGCTTCGGCTTCATCCGAAATAGCGGCTTAAAGGCGAGGACAGTAAACGCGAAGTAGTAAGTGCGTTAGATCTTATTGATTCATTCACGCACGATGCGGATATGCTGCGTTTGGTGTGGGGACGACCACGCGTCGGTGAGGGCCACGGCCTCATCATAGCATTAACTTGCTACAGTACGAGAGCAAGTAAATATCCATCGTAGCCTTTTGCACCCACGAATTGCATAACAGTCGCATCAACCCTGATATCCTTCCCTACAGCCTCAATTGCCAGCTTTCCTCCCTTGGCATGCTCCTCCTGGGGATCCTCCTCTGCCACACTTACCCCAAAGCGTCCCATGACATTGTCGATGATGATAATGGACCCGGGCTTGCTGAGTGTCACGGCGTAATCGAAATATGCTGCGCTGTTCATTTTGTCCGCATCGATGAAAACAAACTCGAATCGCTCTCGCTTTCCTTCGATAATCTCTTTCTCAAACACCGCTAGGACATCCAGCGCTGCTCCTTGATGGATAGTCACTTGGTTTGCCACACCGGCCGCGTTAATATTGCGCTGGGCGACCTCGGCATGCTTGGGCAAAAATTCAATGGTATCGAGCTTCAAACCTGGAACCTGCGTTGCCATCCAGATGGCGCTGTAACCAGCCAGGGTTCCGACTTCCAGCATATGCTTGGCTTTGATGGCGCGCGCTTGAAGAGTAAGAAACTTTCCCCACGCGGGAGAAACATTGCCAAGCGGCATTTTTTCCTCTTTCGTCGCGGCAAGAGTAGTCTCGAGAGATGTCTGAACAGTCGCATTGTTGTTTCTATTCATTGGGTGGAGGTGAGACATGGCGTACTCGTCAATGGCACTCCATTGTTCCGTGAGCTCCACGGGAATGTTGGAGCTGGGGTGTTTGTCGTGTGCCGCCATTTCAATGTTGTTCAAGTGAGAAGTGTTGAATATGAAGTGCCAAGATGGATATCCCATGGGATATAAACGTGTCGATGCTATATATAATCTTTTACACACACACATATACCCTGAGTGATTTATTATTGGTATATGAGTGTGGAGATCAGGACGCGCGTTTCGTCGCAATCGTCTAGGCAGACATTCAGCTAAACGTCATTGACGAACTACAGACCCACTATCTCGTTCGGGAGCGATTGTAATATGTCCACCTATGAAACTACGGTTAGGGCGGCTGCTAGACGCGCAATATCTCTTGGAATGCATCCGCTGATACCCACAATCGTTGCGTGTTGTCATCATGATTTTGTGTGATGAAGCGGAGCTAAATGGATCAATGGCTAGCAGGCCAGCGGCTACCAGGGACATGACGGGGATAAGGGGGAGGAGAATGCAAAAATCATGGCGAATGGTGAGGGGGTAAAGACGTTATGATCGTCGTCAAACGGGGGGAAGGGTTTAACTACGAACAGACGAAAGACTCGCCATTCTGTGGCCGCGACCTACCCTAGGACATACCACAAAACACCTGGCCGGAAATTAGGTACCACTGCATCGCACACCCCACGCCATTTGCTCAAGAGCTGGAGAGTGACGACGAGGAAGACCAGGCTGATGGAATTCCATACCGGGATATCGGCAACCGTGGATGGCATCCAATTGACCCGTGGACTGGTAAACGTGGGCGTATCATGTTCGGCTGGTAGCTAACAAGATGAACCACGCTAGTAATAATCAAGGACTGATGATGCTAGTATACAAAGGATGCGTTAAATTTTAGGGTCCTGATACATTTCAAAAGGATGTTGGGAAATTAAGTATGAGATTGGTTGATTGTGTCTTGTTCCACCAATCCGTACGGTGCCTTACATCCGTCAAAACGATGTCAAACAAACGTTCCGGTCCACCAAAATCCTCGATGAGCTCGGAGTACGACCGTTTCGACAGTTGTCTGTACGAATCGCCCACGTAGATTGTTCTGACCTTGCATAGGTACACGCGGATGGCATCGCGAAAAACCTTATTCCCATAAGTCGGATTTGTAAGACCCCGAATGACCGAGTCACGGTTCTTGACATTTGTGATATGGTTTATTGGATCGAATGCTGTCAAACTCACCCTTTTCTAATACATTCTCCGTGCCTAGTCGATTACAGATACCCATGCCTTGAACACATGAGTACTCTCAATATTGTCAACATATTTTACATTTTTCTCGTAGGCTTAAACGAGACATAATTCTATTCCCTCTCTCCAACAATAATGGACCCAGTCTGTCTGCGTAGAGTGGAGATATTCCTCTCCCTCCGGGCCCAACTCGATCACTTTGTGATTGTTTGCTAGAGGCCAAATGACACCCTTGAGCACATCAAAACATCTCGAAATGTTGAGGATATTCATTTTTTCCATCATGCCCTGAAGCAGCTGAACCACCTGCGTGGCACGAGTGCTCCCAGGAACGCTCTCGCACCCGAGCACGAAAAGTGGCCAGGCCATCATAGTAACAGAGTTCGAGTCGAGTGGGACTCCGAGTACGGAATTATAGAGATTTGCTGAAAGTTGAGCCATTGTGGCTGGATTGGTTATGTTGGCGCGACGAAGGAAGATTTCTGTCGCCAAGCCATGTGACATGGCTGCTGCGATACACGCGTTGTCGTTTACAGTCTCCCAGGAATCACCGCGGAAACTTGAATCTAGAGGCGCTTCGACATGATATTGTGCTGCAGGGATGTGTTGCATGGCATGTCTTAGCCTCTGCAGAATGGCTTTCTGTCGACTGGAGAAGGTCGCAACTCCGATGTGGGCCTCGAAAAAGTCGCAGATTAATCCACTGCTCTCACCAAGAAGGCAGAATATCCCGCCGGCATAGCCAAGAACAGAGTCCGGTCTGCGGCAGCGAGCCATGTCCTGATCAAGACCAGGGAATATGTAGTCTTCCCAGAATGCTGTAGAGAGTAGGGGTCTGCGCGGGCTGGGGACACTGCAAAAGACATCAAAATACCCCACGAACCTTACTGTTGGTCCAAGGATAGGTGATTTGACCACAGAGTCTGATTTTCCAGCCGAGCGGTCCCAAGCGCAGCGGGCTTTCAGTAATGATACAGTCCCTTGGATATGAATGAGGACTTTTTGTAAGTCACAACCCCGGATAACGGCGGTACCTGCTAGGCTCTGTGACGCGGAGATGCAGTCATCACTTAGATATACTGGCCGGCCGCCTGTGGTGGGCTTACTTGATCTAATCGACGTGATGACTGCATGCAATGCCCTGTGCTGTATCTCGAGGGCTTCGGTTTCCGACAATGAGCCAACGGCCACCAGGTGCGCTGCAGAGCTGGCCAATGTGGTTTGAAACAGGGCAGACTCCCCATCTATGAACAATGAGAAATTGGCGGCCCTAAAGTCGAAAGCGACGTCGGGGATTGGAAAGACGAGTCCTATAAACGACTCGGCCCAGTGACTGAGAAGATGGGCGTCCCTCGGGGATGTAAAGGCAAGACCAGATCTGGGAGGCGGCTGGAGAGTGAAACTGGCCGCAGCCGAGTTGACAGCCGAGTTGAAAGCCGAGCCAGACGTCGTCCTCGTGCGTCTCGGCGTCGGAGGTGGAGACAACATGTGCGGCTCGAAGCCAACGCTCACCCACTTCAACTGCTTCGTGTACCCGTCACAAGCCACCCCCCTGTCGTTGCAGTTCTGGCATTGCGGGCGTTTCTCGTCGCACTTGATGCGGATAGTTCGACACGTCAGGCAACCTGGAGCGGCATCAGCCCACACTGTCTGAGGGCGTTTGAGGGCGTTTCGGACTGACCTGTGCGTGATCGACGGAAATAAAGCTGCGGCTCGCCCTTCGTCATCGTCGTTCCCATCTTGCCTGTTTCACCGACGCTGGCCACGTTGCTGGGGTCTGCAATTGAATCTTTTGCTGGGTAGATGCCGTTGGATCTCGGTGACTCTGTATGCCGGTTCTCGCTGTTACGTCCCCCTCACCGGCATCTTTCCGGCTCCGACGCCGAGATATCGAGATTGGGGGTCAATGGGGGCATCTATGTCCCTCATCCGGGGCAGGTATTCGTCATACGGCGTCGTCAGTATCTACAGCGTTGGAATTGCAACTTCTGCTCACTTCAGGCCCGGTCAATCCAGGTGAGCGTCCAGTGCAGGTCTAATCGCTCACGAACTCATGGGCATCCTTGCTCTTATCAAGTCGTCTGGGGTTCAGGATATCGTGTCCCAATTCGGGTAGATCTGGTGGGACTCAATCCTCCCCGCTTCTCGCCCCCATTCCGCCGAGTCATGTTTGGTCGCTCTTTAATCCACGCTTAGCATTAACCTTGTTCTTTTGTCGTTTATTTGGCGTCTTTATCAGACTTGATCCTGTTACATAACCTTATCATTGCCTAGCCTTATCAGCCGGATATGACTTGGAAGCATTCTCTCCCACACCGTACCGACGTCGGCTTAGAAATACCCCATAACGAATAAATCGAAGCGTTAGATAGCCACGTGCGACCGTGACCCTAGCAGGGTCGAGAATACCATACGGAGTAGTCGGACACTTATTCAGGCCTTATCATGGCGATCGCCAAGACTTGAGTCTTGGCGACAAACAATATGCACTCCAGCCTTCGGCATGCGTATCTTTTCCAAAGAAGTGCTAGCTAGTTCAACACCGTTGAGTGGGTTCGACGATTCACAAGATTTTCCGTGAAGCTGCGTGCCGTTCAAGGCAATGATTGTGAGAAGCTGGATGATGAGTCGGCTACCAACAGAATGCAGTGTAACTCGTACTGCATGTCTTGGCTGTCTATAAGAGGCCTTCAATTCTCTCTCAAATAACGGATTCCTTTCCTTCAGAGCATTCTTGAAGTTCAAACCCAGGCTGAGTCGACCACATCAACAAAGCTCACAATGAAGAGTTCAATCCTGGTCAACACCCTCTTGGGACTGGCTTTAGGAGTATCTGCCGCCCCCCGCCGAACCTGGAATGTCCATTCCGGGCCAAACAATTACAAGGCAGGCTCCGTTCGACGACGAGCTATCGAGGAGAGAGCTGAAACATGCCCTGTCCCAGTCGACAACATCATCACGGCTCCCAAGACGACGCCTTTCAAGCCTCTGACTGAAGATGAGCTGTCATCATTGGTCAAGTTCCTTCTGAATGAGGAAACCGGACTCAACTTGACGGATTCGGCCAGCCCAGACCTTTCCATGAGTGACAACTACATTTCTCATCTTGAGGTCTTGAAGCCCAACAAAACCGACATCCTCAACTATCTCGATGGCAACGCCACCAAGGTCCCCCGATACGCCAGAGTGACGCTCTATGAAGGCGCTGCAAAGGTCCCTGGCATTGTTGACTACATGGTATGTTCCCATTTTGATCTTCAGCTTCACCGCACTCACAGTAAACAGGTGGGCCCTTTCCCTATTGGATGCGACACCAAGATCAAGACCCTTGACTACTTCTACAATGGTGTCAACGGCCCCAAGGTCCTTGTAAATGCTGGGTACAATGACGGTCCCCGCAGTGCTGCCATTGACACCATTGTTGGCAAGACCATGGCCAGCATTGCCGACATTACCCTGGATTTGATTGACTTTGCCTACTATGGCTCGGGCGACAAGAGGAACAATGCAACCTACTTTGTTCAGAACCCGAGCTCCAAGGATGGCACTTCCTCTCTCATCTGGACACCATGGCGACGTACAGGACTCGCACCATATGACCAACCCTCGGATCTCTACGTGAGCTTTGATGTGACTGGAACTGACCCGTCTTTGTACTCGGCAAAGATGGTCCTCTACAACTTGGTTGTATACGAGACTGTCGATGCTTTCCGAAAGGCTTACGAAGAGGGCAAGATTATCAAATCAACACCCCCCACCACCAACACAACTTTCCTGCACAAGGATCGTTTCGGTGCCGTCAGAAAGCTTGAGGACCGCCTCGCCCCAACAGTTCTTGAGCTGGATGGCAAGAGATACTCCGTTGACAACGACAACAGCTACGTCGAGTACCTTGGCTGGAAGTTCTACACTCGCTTCGATCGAGATGTTGGCATCCAATTCTACGACATCAAGTTCAAGGATGAGCGAATCATGTACGAGCTCTCACTTCAAGGTTTGTCACACTCTTTCTTACCCCAAGATGTTTAACTAAGCGATATAGATGCCATCGCCCAATACTCCGGAAACAACCCTTTCCAAGCCGGCACTGCCTACATGGATCGATTCTACGGCATCGGCGCTCAGGCAAGCCGCTTAATTCCTGGCTATGACTGCCCGTATCATGCCACCTACTGGAGCCCCAGCTTCACTGACGGCACTTCGACCACGAACTTCAACAACACCATCTGCATCTTCGAGACTGACATTGGGACCCCTATCACTCGTCACGTCGACCAGAGCTACGTCCAGGCTACCAAGGGATCCAAGCTCGTCGTGCGCCAGGTCGCTACCGTTGGTAACTACGACTACCTGTGGGATTACTCCTTCTATGTTGACGGCACAGTTTCCGTTGACGCTCATGCTTCTGGCTACGTCCAGGGTAACTACTACCGCCCAGACGACGAAGGCAAATGGGGCCCTCGCATTGCCGAGACCATTGCTGGAACTCTCCACACCCACGTTATGAACTTCAAGGTCGACTTCGACTTGCTCGGCACTGACAACACCTTCTTGAAGACCGAAATCGTGGTCAAGAACGTGACCCAGCCCTGGTTCCCGGAGCACGGCGAGTTCGAGATGATGGGATACGAGTTTACCGAGCTTCAGACTGAGGACGAAGGCCTCCTTGGCGTTCCCGCAAATGGACAGACCATGTACACCGTCATCAACAAGGACAAGGTGAACAAGTGGGGAGTGCCTCGTGGTTACCGCATCGTCCCAGGTCTTTCCAACGTCCACCTCGCGTCCATGAAGTCTCCCTTCTTCCTCAAGTCGGCCGAGTTCGCGAAGCAAGCCTTTGCCGTCTCGCGCCAGAAGGACTCGGAGCATTCGTCGTCGGCCGCACTAAACCAGAACGCCCCCGCTGCGCCGCTGGTTGAGTTTTGGAAGTTCTTCGACGGCGAGCCTCTGGTTCAGGAGGATCTGGTTGTTTGGGCCAACCTAGGCATGCACCACTACACGCGATCCGAGGATATTCCCAACACCATCATGCTGGAGGCGCACTCCAACATCATGTTCGCTCCCCAGAACTGGGGTGATACTGAGGGCACCGTTGATCTGACCAACGCGGTTATTTACAACGAGGATAATGTCAACAGTGATGGAATTGTTGAGCCTGAGACCAATGGTGTTTCGCCACCTGATTGCCTTGTCCTCTCTCCTGAGGATGAGCTCCTTGGAGTTTTCGAGACTTAGATGGAAAGAAGTTACATTAGACTGATAGCAATGCTATCTCCTTCAGACAAATCGATTTGAGATATTCTAGTCTTGATAGCCTAGCAGGCTAGCCTAATATTACTTGAGCAAGCTGAGATCCCTTACCATAATCCCACCAGCTTTCCAGAGCCTCTCCATTTGCTCGCCGATATGATATACCATTGACCGTCTCTACCAAGAGAACAAAGTAGCAATCCAGTGCATTCATACCAGGAGTCCTCAAATAGCTCTTTTTATCTATGAAATGTCAGCTTTATTGAATTGAGAGTATTGATTCCATGGAGCTTAGATAACTAACCATGCTGCTCAGTCGTATCTACCTCTCGTAATACATCGTCACCGAGCCAAGTCGACCAGCCTTTAGCAAATGCAACGAGTTCAAGAGTCGTTCCTCTACTCTGAGCCAGGAACTCTTCAGCAAGTCTTAAACTAGGCATCGTAAGAGAAATCACGGCGGTATTTTTGTGTTTGATCTGAACGCGTCGATCGTAGTCTTGGACACCCGAGATGATGTTATCTTGGGTGATTTCCACGCGCACGCGACTTGTCTCGCAGAAAAGATATTGTGTTTGCTCGCTCAGCGTAATATTCGCCGCCCATTGGAGTACGGGTACCTGGTATTTAAACTCTTGGACGGGGTCTGATATGTGAGCATAGACGTATTCCGGCTCGCTTCCTGGCGCTTTGAAACCCTGGACTTGGCGGTGCTGATCATAAGGCCTTTTGTTCCACCCTTCCAGTGTCTCCGATTGTGCGCCATTCGAGGCGTTCGTCTTATACTTGTGCCACTGCGACCTGATTTTCCGCCTACTAGTTGCTTGAGGAGATCCCATGGTGAACCACTGGGTGATTGGCTGTCGAAATCCAACCTTTTGCTCATGATAGTGCCATGGTTGTATGGATCGAAACTCGGCGTCATAGGGAAATGATATGTCTCCTTGCCAGCCGATCCATGACCAACTCGGAAGTCCATTTTGTTGGCCTGTACCTGGATCACGTGTGGACCTTCGTTCAATATCGGCATAGAGAGAAGACCAGGCCAAGAAGATATCAAAGAAGAATTCACAGAGCCCGAACAAGACTCCTCCAGGATGAACTCTGTGAAGCATGGCTTGGATTCCTGCAAACGCTTTCGGGGCATCGTCGGCAAGAGTGAGAGCCTTAGTATTGAACGCCGAAACCGTTGGCATCAAGTTCCAGACACTCGGAGACGGGCCGAATTTCTCTTGTGCGAGTGATGTCCATTTATCATCAGCCAGTGGATTAATCTCGAGGTGTTCGTACCACTGAGCACACTGGCACTGCCACATCAGGGGACCGTGGTTGAACACGATGCGCCGTCGGGAGAATAGCCACTCTTGAAAAGTCCAGGATCGCTGGAAGTAGGAATGCTTCGTTCCTGAAGATGGGTCAAGTGACAAGGATCCGGCTGCAAGTTTGTCTCCGTCGGCCAGCTCGTAGATGCGAAGCTCGAGATCTCTTGGATGGGAGACTCCCTTGAGCCCTCGGAGGCCAAAGTCAGCCCCCGATCCAGTGGCTCCCATGATGCAAAACGTGGCGTTCGCGTAGATCAACTGCATCTGGTTCAGATTTTGCGTGAGACTCTCCAAGTCGTCCTGTATTATACAGAGGGCGTCGATCCAGATGTACCTCTGCCCCAGGCTTCTGACAAGATCCATCGTGTTGCGAATTGTTGGCGGAAGCTGTGATGCAAATTCCCCGGTGCTCAGTATGCCCGGTTGCTGCAACTCCTTCAGCATATCTTCTGTATTCTTGCGATAACGACATTGTCCCCAGGTGTATGATAAGGCTGTGTATTTTGTTCCCTTGGCTGGAGATGAGACCACGCAGCCTTGAACGACATCAACGAGCCATTCGGGATCGACTGCCTCAACTCCTTTGAACCAACGTGGCTCGTTGCATTTGGCCCCATGCTCACGTTCACATCTTGAAGCCCAGCCAAGGACGGTATTCAAATCAATCCAGTGTGGGTCTGGCAAGATGCCACGCCCAGGATGAAATGGCTGGTCATTGCGGAATACGAGCTCCATGGGCGTCGTAGAAACATTGTCAAACACAATGTCTCCCTCTGGAGTGACTTCGGCGAGGCCTAGTCGAGCGGCAGTCTGGTTGGATTCTTTCTTAATGGCCAAGAGACGGTCGGGATAGTCTGAGACCGGCCTGTCAAAGTTGGCGGCACGTCGAATGGAGTCGGTATGGGGACAGTCGCCATCGAGGACAGCCGAGACCTCTCCTAGTACCTCGTCATCCCATTCCTCGAACTCGGCCCCGTAGATTTCAAGAATGGTTGCACAGACTTCGCAGGTAGCTTCATCATCGCTTGCCATGGTTGCGTGGTTTGTGTGTAGCGCTGCGGGATGCTAGACTCTTGACGCAGAATAGTCTCATATCCTAGAAGAACCTGTATGGAAGTGGAGAGGGCAATATTCCTTGCAATTAATCGTATACCAGTCAGTCTCGTCGGCAACAATCGCCACGATTCTCCTGTTAGGAACAGGAACGCAACCGCCTGTAAGGTAAGTCTTATATGAATAGAGGTATTGAATTGCACTGCCCGTGAAGCTTGACAGGTCAATATTCTTTTCCTGGTGCCTCCTCACCTCGCGGGGTTTATCATCACATACTCTGTCCGGGCATCTATATCCGTACCCGCCTTATTGCCGGCGCAACACAACTTTCTCGCCTACCCTGGACCTAGTTTTCTGAGTGGAGACGTCATCTCAAGGTATGAGATCCATGTAAAGTCATTTCGAACAATTGTTAACTCTGTTGAGGGTTGTGCCGGAGTTTTGAAAAGCCGAGGCTGGTGTGGATCTAGCACAGGCATTGTTAACTGCTTTTGGGCATTTGCACGGATGGGTATTCGTTTTCCTGAGATTAATGTCTTGAGATGGGTGAAAATTATTGTCAAGGAAGTATGGTATATTAATAAAGCTGTATAGGTATGTACAATTTGCATCGTGACCTGGGGGGCCTGTTTCCCAGTTTAGCTACCATCCCAAATTCCTCCCTATTGTTAGCTCTCGTCGGCCTATATCACTCCTAATTTAACCAATAGTTTTCGGGTCAACAAATGAGACAACACTCCACTGTGGTTCCCTAAACGCGCCCAAGTCAGAGGCGTTCTGCCCGAATCATCCCGACAGTCTAGGTTAGCACCCTTCTTGATCAGGCATTGAACGACTTGACTTCGCCCTTCGCCCGCCGCCCACGATAATGGTGTTCGGCCGTTGTTATCTCGAGACTCTATGTCAGCATGCTCCTCAAGCAGACACTGAATCACTCGATTGCCGCTATCATTTCTATTGCTTGCTACCCATGACAGCGAAGTCCGGCCGCCGTCATCCCGAGAGTGCACATTGGCGCCTTTTTTAAGCAAAAGAGTGGTCGTCAGACGGCTGCCGCTCTCTGCAACTTTGGATAGGAGTGTTCGGCCAGTCTCATCCCGAGTATCCACGTCGGCACTAATGTTGCGAAGCATGTTGACCAAGCTTTTTGAAACGAGTTTTGTTGGGCCGTCGAATATGTCCTGTACTATAGTATCGACGTCCTTGTGTGAGAGTAACACCATGACGATTGCTACACAATCCCATAATTCGGTCGTATGAGCATTGTCATGTGCCAGAAGTCGTCTGACTATAATGTAGTGTCCCATTTCTGCTGCGATGGAGAGCGGTGAATCGAGGTCCAGGTCAGTATTGCTGTCTGACAGTAGCAATTTCACTGTTGAATCAAAATTCTTCGCTGCTGCTCTGGTGAGGGGTTGGCCCAGGGTTGCGTCAATATTCTTGTGTGCCAGCAGCAATCCAACTTTTGTATCATCTCCCTGGCTTGCTGCTTCGGCAAGGGGCTGGCCCAGGTTTACGTCGATGTCTTTGTGTCCCAGCAGCAATTTCATAATTATATTATCCTCTCCTTTTGTTGCTGCGACGAGGGGTTGGCCCAGGTTCACGTCGATATTTTTGTGTGCTAGCAGTAATTTCGCTGTCGAGTAATAACCCGTTTTTGTTGCTTCGACGAGGGGTTGGCCTAGGTTTGCGTCGATGTTTTTGTGTGTCAGCAGCAATTCCGTCATTGTATGATCCATCATATTTGCTGCCTTAGCGAGGAGTTGACCTAGGTTCACATCGATGCCTTTGACTTCTTGAATCAGCTGAACTATTGCATCTCGCCTTTCATTTGATGATTCGGTGGAGTAGTGGTGCAAGTCTTCGTAGACATCTTCGCCTGCTAGAACAGCTCGGATGAATTCTGCATGCCGTCCACGGTCTGTTATGTAGCAGAGGAGTGTTGCAGAAGCCAAGAAACTCCTGTCCACTTCAAGCTTCCTGGATTCTAAAAGTTGACGGATAGTCTCAGCAACGCGTCCTTTTATCGCCCAAACCAGAACGTCGTATGCCAATGAGGCTACATGTTCAAGAAGCTTATGTACTGTCCAAGCTGGCAACTGGCATTCTCGATCGTCGGTTTCGCCCATTGCGATCGTTTGGGTCCCAAACAATAAAAGTCTCATCGTATCTCGAGCCACCTGGTTTGAATTTCTCTCATAGTTCGGCCGAAAAATTTCATTGCTGCAGGCATCCGATGAGATTCCCAACAAGGCGTATATTTTGTCGCGCGGGTCACCTGCTTTACTGTGCTGAAACTTCTGGAGCAGTGTGGCGAGGTCTTGCTTGTGACTCCACCAGGTACTTTTCCTCAAATACCCGGGCATAACATCCAACACAGCTTGGGTATGAGCGCTCGTTTCCATCCCCAACAAGGGCGGGATTTGTGTGAACGTTCGCGTGGAGATTGTGTTCGAACCACACATGATAGACGCGGCTCGAGCGCTCGCAACTTCTTGTATGACCCATACTCGTAGAAACCAGGGCTTTTGGAAGAGTTCCTGAAAAGCATCGCCCACGCGGGTGTCTATCTCAGTGTGGTGGATTCCGCGTAGGCGATGTTGCAAAATTGGCCAGCCAACCTGCCAGCGCTCTGGCGACTCTGCCCAACTCTGAGTTGCAACCATTGCATTGCTGTGCACCCGATTCATTAAGCCCATAAGGAGGTCAATGTTGTCACTGCTTGGACCTAGCCAGATGATGACCTCCTCGGCTTTGCTGTAAATGGCCCTCATTTGACCAACTTGATGACCCTGCTCTTTGCTGTTGCCCTGGTCAATGCAAATAGCATCAATCCACATAACCCGATCTCGATGTTCTAATCTTAGATGCTTCAATGCCGTGAACAAATTTTCGGTGACTTTTGTGGTGCATCCATTGACGACGATTTCTGCCGACTTCCGTTTGCCACCCCAAGCGTAGGACAATGCTTCGTAGGGGACACCTTCAATTTCGTGGAGCCATGTCTCAAACACCTCGCAACTAATCGACTCTTTAGAGTAGCCCTTGAATATACGAACAAGCCTGATAGCATCGCTCGCTAGATCAATAGGTTTGTGTTTGAAGATTGGCAGAGCCATCTTTGCGGGACAGCGACGGGGTCCGGAAGCAATGGACCGAACTGCCGGGTGGGAAGAGCATGGGAATGACAATGAGTGAAGAAGTGGAGGAATCGATCTATATGAGGGCCTGTACCTGGGAATTGGCCCTATTATTGTCCAAGGCGGAGTGGTTGCAGCAGCTGAACATAGCCGAAAGAGGCGCCTGCAGGGTGTCGCTTCGCCACTACACAGCCCCAAGACATTATACAGTTAGAATTCCTTTCGTGGACTTTCAAATGGCGCGATATGCATGCATGAAATGCACTTTACAGCCGAGGAACGAATGATACGGGGTCAGATTAACCCAGATACAGAAAGCCTCCTAGAAAGCCCATCAGAGTCGGCTCCGCGCCACCAGGCCACCCATACCGCCATCGATGAGGCTGACTACAGATTAGCCCTGTGTTGGGCCGTCAGAGGCAAATTCATTAGATAAATAAATACCTCGAAATAGGTTGGTTCTGGCCAGGAGAGTCAATTTTACTGGTACAAGTTATTAGTACCGTCTAGGCTGAGGAGGGCATTTCGGCCAATTTGTCTTCCAAACAGAAACCGCTCCCACCACTCAACCGTTTACACACTTTCTATGACCATTTCCTGCCTATTCTCTGTGTCATTCCCAGTCCCATGCGTCGCGCTGAGGCTGATGGTCAAATCCACCAACCCTTGCCTTCCCTTTTCGCAATATCTCGAGCAACAGCCACCGCGTTCTTTCCCTGGGGCTAGTTTTGCCGTATCTGGAGGCCGAGACAATACACGCCGTCTTGACTCGGTGGCTTCGGCTTTAATCCGCTTTGGTCCAAGGTGAGAACCACCTTACGCTTGCAGTAGCCTAATTCCACCTCGTCGATAATTTCTTGCGGTTGAGATATCGGCTTCGCACCGTTTCTTCGTCATTTGAGAAAGCCGCATCGTCCAGCCCGTCGACAGCGCTTAATGATGCTCCATTTGCCAGCATGCCTGATAAAATGACGCGGGAAGTGGTATATGATACATCTTTCGGAAAGATCGAAGCTCAGGGTACCATGTACTAGACAAAAGATGGTCGTTTCGATTGCGCATCGTTGTCTCTAATTTTGGCAGACATATCTGTTGAAGGATGCCCCCGGCCGCCTACGGCCCGAGACAGCCGGGACCTCATACAGGCTCCAATTCCCTCGCCTAGCTACCTCATGATAGTCATGACAATACACACATCTTTGACCTCTTAACAATATGCCGTACATATTCTGTTTTAGGTAAATCGTCCATTCGTGCGTGAATTAAAGAACACCAAATAGTGAATGACATAACTGGTTCAGATTCTAGGTCAACCATACTGGATTAAATTACGTGAATGATATATTTCACGGCAATACAAGGAGGACAAGTCTAACTATACCCATCCAATATCACTGGTATTGTGAGACGAAACTTCCAGGTGATGGGGCTCCGGCTTGAGAGGCCCCAAGTTGTTCCAGTTCTGCGGTCATTCTCCGCCCATGTGGATCTAAAAGCCGGGTTAGCCATGTTTGTATTGAATGGCTCTTGTCGGCTGCCTTTTCCACACCTTTTTGCATGACACCAGCTGGAGTTTTGTTTTCGTGTAGAAGTAGCTCATCCAGCTTTGCTGAAAGACAGTTCAAGTTACTGGAAGGACAACCAGCCCGTCGAATGGGCAGATATACCTCAAACCCTCACCTAAGCACGTGAAAGTCTAGACTGGGGTGGAAACCAGGGTGGCAGTATGATGGTATCTGGACAAACCGCGCACAGCCGGAAGAGTAGCATGGAAGTAGACGTATCTTGGGCAGATGATCCATAAATAATCAGAGTAGACTTCTGAAATTACTCCAGGTGTGAACAATCTAAGTACTATAGTCTACGAAGACAGAAGTGGCTGTTTTGGATTCTGCGATAGGGATATACTCAATGTCGAGCCTAAAATCGCCGTATTAGTGCTTGTCACGTATAGGTGTATGTAAAAAGAGTGCAAACTCACCCAAAGGCTTTTGGACCGCCGTTCTTAAGGCCTTCTCCTTGTTTCCATTGCGGGCTCCCAGCCAAGACTACAACATGAACCCGTAGCCCGTATCGATAATCCTGGGTGCCTAATGCTCTGCCATCCTCAGCATCAAGCAGGCAGATGAGATCCGGTACACTGCTCAGCGTGACCTGGCCCTCGACCCGAAACACGTGAATGTTTTCGTTCTGAAATATGATCCTGATATCTTTTGCTGCAGAAGAGCTAGACTCTGCATCGTTGAAGGGTACAATAGTTGCTGATCCTTCGGTAAAGGCACCACGGACATGGCGTGTCACGCTGGTGATCTTTCCAGTAACGATCTTTTTACCAGGATGCGTGTCAAGAATACTGGCTACAATATCTCGTTTGTTCGATCTCGCTAGTTGTACAGCTCGACCGAGGCGCCAAGCAAGCGAGATCGAGAACTGGGCGGCCACCTTCTTCACCTGACGACCGGTGAGTGCACCAAGAGATATTCCCGCTGCTTGTCCCATCTGGACACACACAGCTCGCAGCATATCCTCAATGTCTCTGTTCGAACTCGCCTGGGTCTGGACGATTGTGTTTCCCTTACCATCCGAGGCAGCTGCAGGCGCAAGCAAAATACCCGCGTTATTGGGCGTCACTTGCCACAGGTTAGGATACGCTCGACCCATCAGGTCGGCGTCAACAAGGGGCTTGCCCGTCCAGAGCGCAGCTTGTATTCCTCTCATTCCGTTGGAGCCTCCAATTTCAAGACTCATGACTGCTGTTAGATCGTCGATGCCCAGACTCTGGGACTTTAACACTGCGTTGATCGAGTTCTTCAATTCTTCTCCCGAGGGTAGTCGCTCTGAGAAAGTACTCGGAGAACCCATTACAGCGACGGCTGGAATGAAACCTGCGTCAGGCAATTCCTCTGGCGAGATGACTTCGACTGTTCTGCCAGCGGAAAAGAGCTTTTTGACACTGAGGTGACTTGCGTAGATATCTCCTCCTCCGCCGCACCCGAGGATGGCACAGCCTTCCGCAATAAAGTCGAGGTCGATTTGAGAGAGAATCCACCGGTTGTTGGTGATCTTTGGGCGATAAGTGTCGATAGACGCTGGAGACGTGTCAATAGCACCGGCACTTGGAGGTGATGTGTTTGCTATCTCAGTCGTCCTTGCTGAGTTCTCATAGTCGTGGTCATCTTCTTCATGAAGGGATTTTGCCATGCCATGTCGAGGCTTGAACCCAGTGGTTGAAAGTTTACCAACAGCTCGTATAATTATATGTAGCGACCTCGTGCTGGTATAAAGAACCGGCAAGATGGTCTCCTCGACGACTTCTGGGGTTTCTGCTCCGTTCCGGCGAGCTTCAAGGATAGCTTGTTCTCGGACCTGACTGACAGCTTGTTTTTCCGCGTCCTGATCGACAACGTTGACAATAGTATCTGCCAAACCTGATACCCTGGCCATGGCGGCACCAACTGCGTTGGCAACATGTGCGAAAGGTGGTCGTAGGATGTCTGATACGCCCTTGAGTCTCTCTGAGCAGAGGATGCTGCCACCTCCGACCAGGATAACCGGGACTTCAGTTTCGGTCGTTTTCATTTCGTCAATAACCCTTTCCAAAAGACGATTTATGTGCTCTTTCACTCGGCCAACATCCGAGGGTGAAATATCAGACACTAGCGACTTGTCGCCTATGCCTTTTAGTCCACCCGCGACAAGGATGTCGGTCGTAGTCAGATTCTGGCCTCCAAAAGCCCGAGACCTGGTAGTCAGCTCTTTGCCCACAGATTGAGGTCCGACAGTTACCGCATCTCCTAGGTCGCTCAACTGAACAATTGAACCTCCTCCAACACCGATGCTGCGCAGATTGGAGACGGAAAAGTTGGTCCTTACTCCTGCGAGATGAGAGAATGCGGCCGCTGGGCGTGGAAGACCCGACGGCTCTACTGCGCAGACATCAGATGTTGTTCCGCCAATGTCGAGAACAAGAGCGCCTTGGTTGAGACGGTCTTGGATATTGGCAAGGAAGACAGCACCCGTCAACGAGTTCGTTGGCCCGGATAGGAAGGTAGATACTGGTAGGCTTGATGCATCTTCTGCATTGATGAGAGTACCATCATTCTTGGTAAGAAAACTAGTACTCTAGTTAACGATGCTCAATGACTGGACATTGAAGTTGAACTTACAGGTTTGCTGAGAGCTTCAAATCTCTGATGGAACGCTGAAACTGGCGGATCGTCTTGCGAGCAAATGGTAGGATGGTCGCATTGAGGATGGTGGCATTCTCTCTCTCGATGAAGCCGATTCCTGCCACATTATGCGAAAGAGTAACGTTGATACCTTCACCCAGGACAGAGTGAAGGATTTCAGCGACGCGGTCTTCCTGGCGATGCACAGAGTCAATCGGGGAGTATACTCCAATGACTGCGATGTCCTTGATACCAGCTGCGCGAATCTCCTCGGCTGTTTCTCTCACTGCACCTTCATCGAGGGGTGTGATGACTCGACCATCAACTGGGCAGAGTGTGTGGCATTAGCAAGCTGTGATGGAAATGACTTCGTCGAAGTAATCTCACTCTCAAGGCCACCTGGTAGAGATGCACTAAAGCCCTCAACGATTTGCCTCAGGTCGTCGGGCAGACCGGCAAAAGGAGGTACTTCAGCACCATATGGCCCGCTGAGACGCAGGACAGCAAGTTTGGCTAGCTTCCTAGAGTCCTTTTCTATGACGGCGTTGATGAAGTGCTAGAGACGGAATCAAGTCAATGATGCTGTTTTATTTCTATTTGGGCGGAGAAAACCTGCTGTAGTACCGATATTGACGGCTACGATATCGTCTCTAGCATTCTGAGAGAGAGACCCTATCACGCTATTGAGAGCTTCGTTAATGCCATGACTAACGTCAAAGGTTGTCGGAATCTTTGCAGAGCTGAGAATGCTTTCGACTGGCTTCGTCTGGCTCAAGGCAAGGTCAATAGCCACGGCATCTGTGTTGGTGCCACCTGAGGAAACCAGTTTGTCAATTGCTCCTCACACAAGTGCTTCCGAGGTACCTACCAACGTCTACTCCAATAACGACCGGCATCCTGGTATGTGAAAGGAGAGCATCACTTTGGTTTCGGCCCCGATGTGTCGGTTTCTGCAGGGCTAATGATAGCTTATACATGGAAAACGTGGTATATTGTGGGTCTGCTAAGGCGACATGGATCATTTATCCGAGATATGTAAATAGTTCAGATGGTGTCATCTTTCCGATCCATGGCGTATCTACCAGAGAAGCTCCGGCATCGGCTGCTTTGTAATTAGGTCGGAAAGCGATCAGGTTATGGTGGCTCCTGTCAGATGGAGTATGGACTGTAATGGCACTACCGGCAAGAGGAGTCACCATTCCCTTTTGCCGTAGCGGTATTTCCGACAGCTCCCAGTAAAAAAACTTGACATTTGGTCATTGTGGTAGCATTGGGTAGAAAATGCTTGAATTGCGGATAAAACTGTGGTTTTTTTGACCTTGTGCCGGCAACTTGCTCACCTTGAGGGAGCAGACAGAAGTTAGATTTTGCGACAGCTCCTATGAAATTTTATTCCGCTAACTGATCAGACCAAAAGTGCAAGGCGCACTCCAAAAGGAGGCGCTGATAGTTGCGTATATAAGAGATGCATATTTTGTAACGGGCCGGTGCAGTTAAAACGCGGACTGTGTGTTGCTACGCTCTAAGATGTTGGTTTGCAGGTCCGCGAAGAATGAAAGATGTTGGCAAGTCCATCTCAAAAGATAAGATCGATGGAAGAGCTTCTTTACGAACGAGAAGACGACTTGTTTCCACTCGCTTAGACCCTCAGATTCTCACCCTCAGCTCGGGTTTCAATAGCCTCGGCCGTCCACGCTTTGAACTCCAGTAAACCTTCATCATTCCGTACCGCCTTGCCATGGTTGCTTGAAGAAACTTGTCAGACTTGTCACATAGTAGATTGGAAAATGAACTTACAGATCTCGTCTAATCTGGAACAGAATGACAAACACAGTGAGAATCGCGAGGCCAATTATGGCTGCGCATACCTGGTACCCAAATTTGTAATGAGGCGCTACCAACATGTTAGCAATCTCTATGCGTTTAAAACCCTTAAAATTCTAGGTTTAAAATTATACATACCATCCACAGCAGGGAAAAGAAGTACCAGGGCCCAGGCGTTGATGGCATAAACCATGGTATTTCCGAGCGATACAATTAGCCCGCGCAGTGTTCCATTACCCTGACAGACCTCGTTCAACCAGGCAATTGTCAAGGACTGCGCAGGCAGTCCGGCAGTGATGAAGATGTATCCAGTGAACTTAAGCCACTCGGGAGCCTTCCACACAGAGACGAACGCATTCCCTGCAAGACAAATCAACATGTTTGCAACAATGACAACGGGGCGGTTCTGCAGCCAGTCTGAAATGATGCCGCTGATGATTGAATTCACCAGAGCCGCACCCTGCCCAGCTGTCGGGATGTTGTTGATCTGCGGAACGGTGTATTTTCCCAGGTACTGGAGCCAGAGGTTGAAGTAGCCGTCTCCCCAGGAGAAAGCGCCGTATAGACTAGATGAATTGGTGAGTTATTTCACATCACAAACAGCACTTGGCGAACCTACAAGTAACACGTAACGAAGAGGTAGACATGCCAGGTTGTCCAGATTCCTTTGAAGCGTGCCCAAGTAATCTTTTGCACAGGCCTACGTCCGACCCGATCCATTCTTTCGATTGCTAATTCGACTTCCTATATTACAGCGTTAGCTAAATAAGACACCTGTAGCCATTTCAACGCGGCCCTTACGGAGGTCTTGAGCCACTTCGCCCTTGTATCTCTTGGCTGATCTGGAAGAGCGTAGTAGCCCCAAATTGCAATGGGAAAGGAAATTATGCCGTCGAAGATGAAGAGCCATCTAGAAGTCATTGTCAATGATCATATTAGAAGAACTGAGAAATGGGGTTGTTCACTCACCTCCAGCTGGCCAAGCCTTTACCGTTCATATTGGTATAGAGGCCCGCCTGGATATAACCCGAGAACATGCCAGCAACCCTGGCAGAGACTTCATACAAAGCCATCCGCTTGCCGAGCTCCGACGGTGTGTACCACGCTCCTAAAAGAGCAGCGAAACCGGGAAAAGCAATTCCCTGGAAGAAACCAATGGCGAAGCGCAAGCCATACACCTACCACAGACTGTCAACTTATAGTGGGTAACAACGACAGCCTGCAGAACTCACCGTCTCGGCGTTCTTGGCACCGGCGATTCCCATGACTAGAAACGTCCAGGCAAGTTCGCAACTCGGCATAAGTATCGACGGCCGCACACGTGTCGAGAGTAACATAAGCGGTACTGGATTAATTTAGCGGAAGAAACATGGAAGATGGGGGCCTCTAAGAACCTGCTCCAGCGATGATGCCGCAGTTGAAAGTGGTCGAGAAATAATTGAGCTCGTTACCAAAAAGCGAAAGCTGGGAGATCGATTAGTAGGGATGGGATTTTTGGCGGCTTCTACGACCTACATCTTCCTGCATACCAGACACATATGCGTTGCTAAACTTGGTCAGGATTGTTTCTTTAAGCATACTCCGAGATTACGGGCCGTACCCGATGTTCGTGTTGTCTAGTGTCTGCATGAAGCATGACAGCGCAGTATAGGACCTGTTGAGAAATTAGATAGTTCTCTCGCGTTATAGAACTCCCTAGAAAAGGGTACGCACATGAGGAAGGTGTCAAGTTTGCGAACCAACCGGCGGTCTTCATCTTTGTTAAAGTAGCGAGGCAGCGTGAGGCCCAAGATTCGTTGCCGATGCTCCTCCTGGTCCGCACTGCGGACATCAACCGCGACAGGTACGATATCGTTGCCCTTTGAGTCGGAAACGTCCGACACCCCTTGGGAGGTCATATTGAGTAATATCAAAAAGCCCGAGACCAATGAAAGTGCAACGGATCCAAGGTTTGTGCCGTATTTTCAGCCTCGTCCCGGGAGTCTGGATGATATACATGCAGGTCGGGCGAGGACAAAGTACTTCGGGTCTAGCGTTGTATCACGAATTTATCGAGGGCATTAGGTCAGAGATACTTGGTGAGATGGGCTATAGCAATGTTTGTCACTCCAATGTCATTCATAGATGCGGACCCTTCACCAAGGGCCGGACTGCTTGGCATTTTCGGTCAGAATTACGCGTCACAAAGTTGATGTGATACAAGACAATACAAGCATCCCCTAAAACAACACCGAGTCTTCTCATCAAAACCAAACCTGGGAGCTAGAGGCCATGCTACTGTGTTTTTCCGTCGAGGTATTGAGATAAGGACAAGATGCAACTCAAGGGTCCAATTGCGAATCTGCCTAATGGGGAAATGCGAAGCGCTACTATCAAGGGCATAGATCACATGCATCCATATTGATGTGGAGTGTAGGGATAAGCGACTTAGGCGAATTGATGGCGTGATGGAGCTAGAACGGAAATACAGGTTCAATAGCCGACATCGCATGCTAAGCTTGATAATACTAAGGAGGAAGACGACCCTTGTTCAAGCTAAGGAATGAGTAGGAAAGGCTAGAGAGAACATCGTTGTTGCGCCGCCAGACTGAAGAAAGGGATCACAACAACCCACCACTCGCAGATTCACCATGTCAGATACCGACACGAAGCCCAAGAAGAGAATCTATCTCAATGCCTTTGACGCCTGTACGGTCGGTCATACCAGCCCCGGACAATGGCGGAACCCTATCGACCACTCGGCAGATAAACGTGATCTCGACTACTGGCTGGAGACGGCAAAGCTACTAGAGAAGGGAAAATTTCTTTCCTATTTCCTGGCTGACACGGTGGGAGGCTTTGATGTGTACAAAGGAAGTCGGGATCCTGCCATCAAGATAGGCTCTGAGTTTCCTGTCACGGACCCTTTCGTTGTAAGTTTTACACGGTGTTGGTCTTTGATGAGAACATACTACTGAACACTGAAGCCAGCCCATCTCAGCCATGGCTTCCGTGACGAAGTCACTGGGTTTCGGCGTCACCGCATCGACAAGCTACGAAAGACCATTCTTACTGGCACGCCGCTTCTCGACTCTAGATCACTTCACGAAAGGCCGCATTGGGTGGAACATTGTGACATCTTGGAATAAGGCTAGCGCTCTGGCGATGGGGTTGACTGACATTGTCCCTCACGATGAGCGTTATGAGGCAGCCGATGAGCTCCTAGGACTTCTCTATCAGTGAGTGCCCAACACCAATTCTGTTGTGGATTTACTCCTAACGCAAAGTAGACTTTGGGAGTCATCCATTGCCGATGACGCACTGGTCAAGGACAAGGAGTCGGAGACGTATATCGATCCGTCCAAGGTCCGGACTATCAAGCACGAGGGCAAATATCACAAACTGGAAAGCCCATTCATAGTTGATCCAAGTCCTCAAAGGACGCCGTTCCTCTTTCAAGCCGGGACATCCACGTAAGTGCCATCGCTGTGGAGTATTTTTACAATACACTCCTAATCTCTCGAGTAGTGCTGGCTCAGCCTTCGCAGCGAAACATGCCGAAGCTATCTTTATAGCCGGGCACGTCCCAGGCACCTTGGCCCCAAAGGTTGCAAAAATCCGACAGTTGGCGGCTGACTTAGGCCGCGATCCTCAGACCTTGAAGTTCTTCCAGTGTCTGACGCCGATCTTGGGAGAGACAGACGAGGATGCCCAGAGGAAACTGGCCGACATCAAGAAGTACCAGTCCATCGAGGGCGGTCTCGTCATATTCAGCGCGTTTACAGGCATTGACCTCAGTAAATATGACCTTGACGAAGAGATCAAGCCTGAAGATAGCAAATCATCTGCTATTATTCAATCAGCTTTTAGCAATCTCTTCAATGAGGAGCAAGGCACGGGAAAATGGACCCCGCGACGGGCTGCGGAGGAGTTGTCGATTGGTGGTAACGGGGCCGTACTTGTCGGAAGCCCACAGACGGTCGCAGACGGTATGGAGAAGTGGGTCAGAGAAGCTGATGTTGACGGCTTCAACTTATCTCCCGTGTTGCAGCCGCAATCTTGGAAGGATATTGTCGAGCTACTTGTCCCTGAGTTGCAGAGACGAGGAATCTACTGGAACGACTACGATGTTCCCGGAGGTACACTGCGGGAAAATGTCCTGGGCAAAGGAAACAGCCGCCTAAGGAGTGATCACATAGGAAGTACCTATTTCTTTAAGAGTCAATAAGTTTAAGGATTATGCCAAACCCCGATAGTCTGCTCCTGCCATCTATTTCCTTCGTTCGACCGCTCATCAGGTAGTGACGTAAAAGGCACCCCAATAAAATGGGGTTTGTAGTCTAATTGTGACACAGAACGAAAACTATCTATAGGGCCTACAAAATAAAACTTCCATAACAATTGCGGAAAGGAATAGATGGCGGCACGCATCCAAACAATTGGGTTAAAATTACCAACGAAGTCTACAAAATCTGGGCTCTCGATGGTAAAACCACGTTTGGGGTCGTGGGGTTTAAGGCATTCACGCAGCCAGCACACAAGCACCTGGATCGCTTTCCAGCCATTTTCCCAGCCGTTTTCCCTCACAAGATCACGGTTACGCTTGCGCTTGCTTACACTTGTCATGGCTGGGGCTTTCCAAGAAACGCTAGTGGCGTGGTTCGACGGGTTAGCTCATTTACTTGCGGTTGCGCTTACACTTGCCAAAGTTCTGGTTTTATTCCCGGCTTTGTTCCGTGCCATTCACCAGCAAGTGGCGTGAACATTCGACACCAAGACTCTGGGAAATCCAGGATGTCATCACTGGCAGTAACATTGCGTGATTGGGGGAGCGAAAGCGTGATATTGACTCTCCCATTGACCGTCCTTACTCCGTGACGACTCACGAGGCAACTGGCAAATAATCTAGTATGCTCCCTGCCGCCGGCTGTACTGAGGTCCTTGTACAACCTTCACTGCTTGCCGACCAGTCCGTACCGGTGCACCCGCCGTAAGTGAGAACCCAGGCAACTTGGCACCACCATCCCCCAGTGCCCACAACGCAATTCCAAGCCAGTTATCTCCACGGTAGTTGAGCACTCCCTCGGGGACAGGGAACACGGTCTGGGGGCCGATGTTGCTGACATAGCGGCCAAACTGGAAGCCATTGACAAAGAGCAGAGCACGGTAGGCACCTGTCTCGCCAGTGCTATTCGTGAAAGTGAAGGAAAGCGGGATGTCAAAGTTCTCAGCAGGGTAGTCAAGGTGTAATTTCGACGTGTAAAAAGCCACACCGGGTTTGCTTATGCCCTTAAACGGCGAGCCACTCGAGAATGAGCGAAGCGGCGGCGAGGGCAGGTGATATCCCTGGCGCTCGAAGAAGAATCCACCCTCATTTAAAGGCCCTCGGAACTTGTCGATGTAGTCTTCACCACCAAGATTCCCTGTGAATTTCCATGTCGTGATGGGCGTTGTGCCTCCTGAGGGTGACATAATAACCCAGTCGAGTATGCCGCGAGGGCTCTTCTGCTCGTCATATCCTGGGGTCCAGTTGCCGTTGAGTCCCGTGTTGTCAACGATGATGGTCAAGACGTAGCGCTTGCCCTTGACAAGTTTCGGCAGAGTATAGGTCGAGTTATAGTTGCCGGTAGCATCGTATCCATTGAAAGAGCCGAGGAATTTGCCGTCGAGCCAAACGGAGCTGGCATAGGCTCGGCCACCCTGAGTCCATAGTTTAAGCTGGGACTCGGTGCCGTCAGCCGTAAAATGTCCCCGGTAAATGAGAGCGCCAGCATGGAAACCGTAGTCTGAACCATAAAGTGAGACGGAGTTTTGAAGAGGCACACGGGTATTGTTGCTGGTGGTGTGGTCGGCCACAGTCCATTTCGAGTCGTCATATTTACTATTGATCTCAGGAAGCGAGTCGACGTAGTGCCAGTCGAGGGACTTGAGGTCTGGGACCTGGATGGTCGGGATGGCGACATCTGGCTTGGTTATCCAGTTTCCAAGTTTTGACTTCTTGTACTGAAGTGCCTTGCCGTTGATATTGAGCCGAGAGACCTTTTCCGGGACACCAATAATCTCCAAAGTCGTTGAGCTGTTGAAATCTGCTTGGACCGAGAGCGTCGAGCCCTTGACTGAGACGGATCGAACAAGGTATCCGCCATTGATAATCACTGATTCTGGGTTCATGATCGAGGTTCCAAAAGCGGGGTGATCACCGTCTCCTGGTAGGTCGGGAACCCAGTAGTTGTAGGCCGTGTTACGATCTAGCCAGTGTCAGCGGCTTGGTAGAATGTCTGGAAATACTTAAACTCACCTAGCAGGTAAATGAACAGAGAATCCGTTTGAACAACTCTTCGAGTTGAAGAAGTAGTCCACTGGAATATACAAACATTCTTCTTGACACTGAACTTCACCCCGCCTCCTTCGACCAGCTTAAACTTGGAGGTCTTCTTCACAGCGACTTCGTGAAGTTCATCGGGGCCACCATAAAGAACAAGGATAGTCTTGTCACTAACCTTCTTCCATGTGAAGACTTCAGCGGTCGAGTACAAAAGATTATAGTCGCCAACTGGATAGTCAGCAAGATGGATCTTGGAGTCTCTGCCGTGCAAGGAGAGTGATCCTCCCAGCTGTGGAACTGTGAGCGTCCCAGCCGACGTTGGGAGTTTGAGCGTGTAAGATGTCGAGTCAGTTCTGGTATAATCGGCATGCCGTGCAACGAAAAATGCCTCGCCGTCTTCAGTAGTGAGAGGGGTGATCGCAATATCTCCGTTGGTGCTGTACTGTGACGTTGACAGGGTGCCGGGCGTAGATGCTGCGTATCCTGGTGATACCCTCAGGAAGTGGCCTTGCAACTTCATCTCAGCGTACTTTTCCCGAGTAATTGATCTATCCTCTTTGATCGCCTAGGTTTGTTAGCCGGTCCCAGTTACTTGAATGGTTGTCCCAACTCACAGCGCCATAGTCATACGACGTGTAGCCATCGCAGTGGCCCAGGTTTCCCCAGTTAGTTCCTCCAAATGTCTATACTGTCAGAGAGGTGTTTTCAAGCTGAGGTCAGAGTGCATACCATGTAGATGTTGAAAATTGTCACTCCGGCCGCCAGGTTATTCTTGTAAAACACGCGAGCAAACTCATGGTTCGTGAGCGCAGCGCATTGATCAAATCCCCAACCACCTGGGGGATCAAATGCGCCTCCTTGGAACTATGTTTCACGTGAGCCAGCTAACCATCTCAAAGCATTTTCCAGACTTTACCTCAATAATTGAGTACGGGGTGTTTGGGCTGGCCGCCAAATGCTCGCTGTGCCAGGTTGTTGGGAGACCGTTTGAGGGCCATTGATCGGGGTTGCCCTGTCTCGTCAGTAGAGTCAAATGAGTGATGATTCTGGAAAACTTACACAATCAAATCCAACAGGATATCCGTCGTGGCCCTTGTCAGGTTAGTCGGGCTCACATGTTAGGTTCCTGGAACTCACATAAATGTCCACTGCACCGATTCCCGTTCCGGGTGCGCCAGTCTTGCCTTGCCATGCATCGTTGTTGATCAAGGGCACGACGATTCCTGCATTCCTCGCTTGGTCATTCACATATTTCAAATAATCTTGATCCGGGAATTTGACTCCCACAGCAGCGCTGTACTCGTTCTCCGGCTGGAACAAGATTACAGGCCCCCCGTTGGTGATTTGGGCCTTGGCGATGATGGAGCAGATGTGCTCCATGTAGCTGTAAATGTCAGATCAATACTCCACATGGCGGCATCCATGACGTACTTGTCAGTAGCGCTCAAATAATCCGCAGCGCTGGTTCGCAGTGTTCCTTTGACTCTCTGTAGCCATCCAGGGAATCCTCCGCCAGAGACTTCGGCGTTAATGTATGGACCAGGTCGAGGCAAGAGATAGATGCCAGCTTCCTGCGCAGCTTCGATAAACGGTTCTATGTCGAAGATTCCCTCAGATCGGAAGTCGCCTGGTTTCCCCTCCAACAGCGCCCAATCAATGTAGAAAGACACCATGTTGAAGCCCATCGCCTTGACCTTCTGGAACAGATCGAGGTACAGGGATGGTACAGGCAGGCGAAACGGGTGGATTTCGGCAGAGAAAATCGTGGCTCGCTCGCCATTGATGAATAGGGAATGCTCGTCCCAAGTGACGATATCTTGAAGAAGCTCCCTCTTGTCGGGCGCTTGGAGGATGTCGAATGGTCGTCCTCCACGACTAACGATGCTGCGTCCATGGCAGGCAGCCACCGACAAGGCTGTGTATATCGCAGTTGACAGCTTCATCGTGACCAGCTCTCTGATTGACCTCGTGGGACTCAATTGCCGCGACTGCGATTATCGTGGGAATTCGCCGACTCCCGCTTGCCGCCACCTTATATTACCTCGACGGAACGTACGGTCAATCTTGCTCATAAAATCATTTCGGAAGAGATCCCGATGATCCCGGGCCCTGGTACCTACAGCAGCACTGCATATTGGTGGACAATTTGCATTTATCCAATGGCCGGGCCAGTTGCATTTGGGGAAGATCTACCGAGCGGACACGCGGGGTACGAGTCGACTGTGACGCTACGATTGGAGCTGTTAGAACGGTTGATGTCAGAACCAGGGATTATCATGCGAATTCAAAGTTAGGCTTGTGGAGATTGGGCCTGGACTGACAATCTTATTGCGGCGTCTTAAGGTCCGGTCTTGCAAACAGGCCCGAAGCGGCAGTTTGGCCTGGAAAGCTCTAGGGTAGTCCGGCTTGTGGAGTTGTGCTCGGCCGATGGGTTTAATGGCACGATAGTGGATGATTCAGTCTGCAGAGTTAGGCAAACCCGATTCACATGTGTCCAAGGTGGATCAGGAGATTGGGAAATGGCATGTTTTGTCAGTGATGCATTGCGAGGGGAGGTCATGCCTAAAAAGAATCCTAGTGTTGTTGGCTCATGTGCTTTCGGTGATCGTGACTCTCCTTGCTAACAATTAGCTTGCATTTTGCGGATTGCAAACTCCATTGAAGAATCATACAAAACAGCACTATGGTGTAACATTGGAGAATGTACATTGCATTAGCGGCCCCTTTCACGTCTCCCGACACATTTAAGTATATACTGCGGAAGGCTTTCCCTCGAAGACGCCCCTAATCTGAAAGATACAAACCCTCATCTGGGGGCGGCACTCCATACCAATCCAGTCCCAACTTATCTTCTGGATCAGGATCCTCCATCTGATAATAGCCATCATATCTCCACCATTTCCGATCCTTGAATACGTCCTCCACGGGCAAAACTCCCTCCATCTTCATTTGATCGCGCGTCTTGACAACCCCGCCCCAAACCCTCAAAATATTCTCCCCGATGACCTTCGCCAGCTGGTCTTCGGTAGCCCCGCGATCCAAAATGGCTTTCAATAAGTGTGGATAACACTTGACGTCTTCTAGCCCGGGAATCACACTTGCGATTCCATCAAAGTCAGAACCAAGCCCGACATGGTCCCATCCGATGCGGTTGGCCACGTAGAAGAGGTGGTCTACCACCATGTCCATCCTTGCCTCTTTGCGCCGCTTTGCGACGTGCTCAGGAACAAAGGTGACCATGACGATTCCCCCATTTGCAGGGACCATGTCCAAAATATCATCGGGGACATTTCTCGCGCAATCAAACACGCCCTTGGCGTTTGAGTGGGAGAACATGACCGGAGCGCGAGACAAGTTGAGTACTTGTCTGGCACAGTCCTCAGAGACATGCGAAACGTCGATAATCATGCCTTGTCGCCAGTGTAAGTACCAAAAGAATGGCGAGAAGAGGAGAACATACCTATTCTGTTCATTTCCACTACTGCAGCCCTTCCCAATTGTGATAAACCCCCATGCACCGGCCCAACTTTAGAGGTCGAGCTGTCTGCAAAGGCATTGTTACAAACGTGCGTCAATGTGCACTGCATCAATTAGTATATGGTCCATCAAAATTACGCTGTGAAAACTTACGTATCTTACTCCCAGCCTGTAAAAGGCGCGAATAATTCCGATGCTATTTCCTGCCATGTGCAATCCCTCGATTCCGATCGAGCACGCAATCTTTCCCGATGCATAAATCTGCTTCACCTCATGCGGTTCGCTCACGAGTTGAAACGTCTCCGGGTATGATTCAACAAGACGGAGTGTCAAGTCAATTTGTTCAATTGCATCGCGAGCCATGTCCGAGTACTCTGGCGTAGTAAAGTTCTCGGCAGAGCGAAGGCAGGGGACGCAAACGGACCAGAATTGTCCACCAACAGCACCTGTTCACGTTAGTTTAGTTGTATATCCAAATTGGAGGTTCTGTCCCAGTCATTCGTCTTACTTACCTTGCTTGAGCCGGGGAATATCTGTCATCCCACGCTCAAACCCCTTTTCTAGGTCAAACTTCTCATTGTTATGAATCTTCCCATGGAAACAAGCCCTCGGCTGCTGTGGTAGGTCGTTATGGCCATCGATTAGCGGAGTTTGCGATATGACTCTCTTGACACGCTCATCAATGTTAAGTGCGTGATAAGGATGATTAGAACCCATTGTGAGAGAGGTTGCCGCGGCTGGGGTAGAGCGCTTGAACTTGAGGGGCAAATAAAATCGTTAATCTCCACCGAGAACAACGCGGATATAAATAACGATTCGCTCTGTGCACGACTCAGTCGTTATCATGACTTCCCACGGGATGCCGGTTTCCCGCGGAGTGTAACAGTGGATGAGTGGGCCTGAACTGATGTTATCCGCGGGATAGATAAGCCTCTGCTTAATGGTATCCGGCACGACGTGATGGAAACGAAACGGCATGATCCTCGTTGACGATAAGTAGCTTCATCCGGATAGGGAAGTGAATCCGCTGATATCAAGCGAGTGTAGCCTTTTGAATGGGGCAGTGGGTCCTATTCCCCGCGGAATAGATATGCTCAGTTCCTATGATAGGAGGGACACGGCATCCCTGAGATAGAGATGACGCATATAAAGCCGTGAAAGTCTTTGCTGAATCGAATTGAGCTATTTGGGCTATCCTTGAATATTCTTGCATTTTTACACGCAGTGGCTCAAAGACATATCCATCATGTCAGAAGAAAAAGGACCCATGGACCCTCCTTCGAAGCCAGGCTCTCTCAAGGATGGCGTTTTCAACGACATTTCAACTTCCGAAGCCCTGAATCTTTACCGCGTTGGTGATGATGAGGAGATCAGTGAAGAGGAAGCCCGTGCCTTGAGATGGAAACTCGACCTCCGACTGATGCCGCTCCTTTGCCTGACATACGCTTTGCAGTCGATCGACAAGAACACTCTCAGCTACGCCGCCGTTTTTGGTCTCCGAGAAGACCTCGGCCTTAAAGGAACGGAGTACTCGTGGACTGGTGCTATTTTCTATCTAGGTTACATGATTTGGGAGTTCCCCACCAACCTCATGTTGCAGCGGCTGCCGATTAATCGGTTCATGTCCGGCACTGTAAGTCAGCCGAACTACTCCATGGACTTTGTTGACCAAGCGAGTTATAGGTTGTCCTCTGGGGCATCGTTCTGATATGCCATGGCGCCGTGGAAAATTTCGCTAGCCTCGCTGCCGTTCGAACCCTGCTTGGTGTCTTCGAGGCCTCCATCAACCCAGGAACCATGCTCTTGTTCAGCATGTACTATACCCGCTCGGAGCAACCTTTGCGAATGGGGATCTGGATTGGATCCGCTGGGTTCGGCTACGTCATTGCGGGCATTGCTAGCTTTGGAATTGGCCACATCCAATCTTCACTGGCTGCTTGGAGACTCATGTTTATCATTTGGGGATCGATAACCGCCGCTTGGGGCCTTATTCTGTGGCTTACCCTCCCTGATGCTCCGACCCGCGCCAAGTTCCTAACAGAAAAGCAAAGGGCGCTTGTGGTGGGGCGCGTCAAAGATAATGGAACTGGTATCGAGAACCGCAACTTCAAAATGAAGCAGTTTATGGAGGCAATGCTAGATCTCAAAACTTGGCTGCTGTTCCTATTTGCAGTCACGAGCAACTCTCCGAATGGAGGTCTGTCTGCTGTAAGTATGGATTAGTCCGCGGGACACACACAAAGCTAACCTGCCCAAGTTCCAAGGCCTTATCATCAAGGGTGCCGGCTTCAGTACCCTCCAAACCACTCTTCATCAGATGCCTTCTGGCGCAGTCCAACTTATTGTCTGCCCTCTAGCTTGGTACGTACGCAGTAACTTCATCTCTAATGGCTGGATCACTAACTCTATGCTAGCTACTTTGCAACGCGGTTCTCCAACTGCCGTATCCTCATAATGCTGCTTGCACTCATCCCATTCCTCGCGGGCATTTTGGGCCTTCGACTTATCCCAGAAGACGTACCCTACGGCCGCTTGGCATGCCTGTGGATCTCGTTTTCATACACTGCAACCTGGACACTCAGCATGTCGGTCGCCACCGCCAATACAGCCGGCCATACGAAGAAGATTACCACAAACGCTATGCTCCTGATTGGGTATTGCCTTGGCAACTTCGTTGGGCCGTTCTTCTTCAAGACTGATCAAGCGCCCTTGTACCCGCTTGGCGTTGGAATGATGTTCTTCTGTGTTGCGGTTCAGATATTCTCCCTTGTGGCCATCTGGGTGCTGCTCTGGTGCAGAAATAAGTCCCGCCGGGACTTGCACGAGGCTTCAAACGAGAGGGAGGCTTGGGAAAGAGGATTGTTGGACGAGACGGACCTAGAGAACAAGTACTTCAAGTACGTTTACTAGATGTACCAATGGCCTGTGGAGTGGAGATATCCACATTCAGAGCTTTCACCGCCTCGAGCTCGCTTGTATTTAATTACTTTATGCGAGCTTCTCCTCACCTAATTAGCCCTAAGAGGTAACCTCAATGAAAGTTCCTCGGATAATGAACTTCCATGTCAATACAACCATCACATAAGTCACGATGATTCGATATTCGAAGCGAAATGAGGAGAGCAAGCCGTCGGCATTCTCGGGAAATAAGGCTAATGCCATCGCCAAGCCGGCAAAATAGGTTGTTTAATTCACCCCGCACTCAAACGTGGTCGGATCGACGGCATTGCAATCTAAACCCTGTCGACTTACAACCCCACACTTTTACCTCTTGAGGCATCACGCCTTGAAAGATCATCACACGAAAGTTTCTTTCTTTCTTGCTCCAATCATACCCCGCAGGTCTTGTTTATGTAATGTTCGATATAGGCTATAATTGATATAGTAAAAAATGGACTACAATATCGACTGTTGTCCAAGGGCTTAAATAGGGCTTGTACAGTCTGTGATAGACTTTTTGCACCGAGGATCCATCAGTTCATAATCTACTTTCTAGACTTTGATCGAAACACCATGCTGGTAGAATATTGGGTCTTGCCATTGCTGGCGGTTTCTTTGCCTACCGCTTCAGCGCAGCTCAACGTTTGGGCCAGGAAAGCTGGGCTGAAGTATTTCGGAGCAGCAACCGATTCACCCGGCCAACGAGAGAGAGCCGGCTTTGAGAATGTATATCCACGCTATGATGCCATTCTGAGGGACACCCGTGAATTTGGACAAACAACACCCACGAACGGTCAGAAGGTCAGTGAACCCATCGTCCCCCCTTCACAATTTTTATCAGCTGCAGAAATACTAAAACTGACCTTTCAAGTGGGCGTTTGTTGAGCCTGAGCCTGGTGTATTCAACTTCACCGAAGGCGAAATTGTATCTTCAATTGCCGAAGAGACTGGCCAGTATCTACGATGTCACGCACTTGTGTGGCACTCTCAGCTTGCCCCATGGGTAGAGACTACAGAATGGACTCCCAAGACTTTGACAAAGGCTATAAAGACACATGTTCGGAAAGTCGCAAGCCACTGGAGAGGGCGATGCTACGCCTGGGACGTCGTCAACGAGGCACTCAATGAAGATGGCACCTACCGAGAGAGCGTGTTCTACAAGGTCCTGGGAGAGGAGTACATCAAAATTGCATTCCGAGAGGCGGCGAAGGCTGACCCTCATGCAAAACTGTACTACAACGACTACAACCTCGAGTCTCCGAGCGCAAAGTCTGAAGGCGCCATCAGAATCGTCAAGATGCTCCAGGACGACGGGATCAAGGTCGATGGTATCGGAATGCAGGCACATCTGGTTGCTCACCGCGCACCAAGTCTCGATGACCAGATTGCTGTTATGAAGAGCTACGCCAAAACCGGCGTTGAGGTGGCTCTAACCGAGCTGGATGTCCGGATCGAATTGCCAGTCAATAAAACAAATATGGCATGGCAAAAGGAGGCCTATGGAAATGTTAGTCCCCAAAGTCTTTTCTCTTGTTTGATACTAACAGTGGTACTTAGGCGGTCGGTGCCTGTGCTCAAGTCAAAGCATGTGTCGGAATCACAATCTGGGATTTCTATGACCCCTTTAGCTGGGTGCCGTACGTTTTTGATGGAGAGGGTGCGGCTTTGCTCTGGTTTGAAGACTTCAGCCGTCATCCAGCATACTATGGAGCACTGGATGCCCTGAAGAACGGAACTCGTCACTGTCAGAAAAAGGGAAAGCATCACTGCTAGGTATCTTATGTGGGGTCTTCGGCTTGGTATTCTTCGTGACGGTCTGCTTGACGCCATTGATTCATTTGCTATCTGAGCCCCGTTGAAGCGATATGATGGCTTATTCAACTGAAAATTGTCAACACTATTCGTATCAAAGCGGGTCTTACGCGAAGTCTGATTCACCGATGTTTGTACCATCCAACGTACACCGTCTTTTACACGTCACAGACCGTCATACATAGGACCGACGGTCGGGCCAAACAGACCCAATACGAGCCTCAATCATTCGTGTTTGTGTCCACAGCAAACCAACTTCATTCAAGATGCACAAACAGGATCCCTGGCATCAAAAGTCAATCATCCCTGTGGAACCGACACAGGAGAAAACAAGAATGCCACCGGCATCCTACGGCTGTTTGTATATGATTTTTGCGTAGAATCGTGTAAATGTCTTGGTCAGATAGCAAGCACAATTGGGGATATACAGCAAACGCCTGGGAAGTTGTGACAAACTTTTCCAGCCGCTAGGGCCAACATCAGGGGCTCTTCGTCTATGTCGGATGCTCTTGATCTATTTGTCACATTTCATTTTATAAAACGCATGGACAGTTGCACCCCACAAACTGCGATTTCACTTTTTCCGTTAGGTTCAGCAATCAAGTGACTTTCTTTGCTCATTGCTTTGATCCACTTCCAGCACCTACCAAATCCCAACTGTGCAAACATCCACCGAAAAGTCCAGTTTGGGCTTGAAAATGGCAAACTGTACCAAAAGAGAACTCTATCGCAACAAGGTGGGGTGGAGCTGCCAGAAGTTAGGCCAAACCCCGTCACGGTCACCTTGGTAAAACATTCACACACAATTTAATTTCTGTCATACTTCACAATATTGAAGGAAATCATGGGGGCTCTGTGTTTCAAAGAATATTCTGCATGTTCTTTGTCTGAAACACAAATGACTGTTGTTTAGTGTTTCTACGACAGAATTTGTGTCCCAAATATGCCACGAGGTCATAAAGTAGAGAGTTGGCGTTCCGTTGAGCTCTGTAGGAATCGCAAGCAAGTTCAGAAGTAATCGTGAAAACGCTAGGCAAACGGTACAAGGGCTGAAGGTTTCCTAGTCAATCCACTCGATTCAACAGCGAAACTTTTTGAACACTGTCTGCATGGCAAATATTAGTTCATTTATTCCTAAAATTTACAAATGTTGGATGGACAAACCTTGAGGTAGTCAACACTAGGTCCTTCAATCCTGATCGTGTACACGTCGTTTCGGAGCTATTATATATCAGCAGAGATCGTAACGCCTGAAAAGGGGACAACATACTCTGATTGAATAATGTTCAGCAACACCAGGAATCTCGTCGAGGGTGGTCTGGAGCCTCTTCACCGAACGTATTGCCTTTGCGGGCATCGTAACCACAAATTCTCCGGCAAAGTGTCCGAATGTCATCCTAGGAATACCTGGCATTGTAGGCGCAATGGAAACTGATGGCTGAATTAGTATGTGCCTTGAATACATTATTTGACAGCTTGAGGAGGATTGAATCACCAGTGGGCTGTGACGGACGTGTTTGTTCTGGACTGACGGTACTGGGTAAGCGCTGATTGTGGGGGTCCAGGTCCTGGTAGAGATCAGGACGTTGGTGTACAAGCCGTAGTGTGGTGACTGCGAATGGGCGTAAAACAGTAGAGTGGAGGTGTCACGTCTGGTAATGATTGATTGGTGAGCCTCGTTCAGTGTAACTGTGCAGAAGGCACAGGTTATATAGTGGTTCCATCTACTGGGGATCCCTAGGCGTTGGGACGGATCACCGTGTTGTCGTGAATCACTGGGTGGTTTGGGGATCACAATCACCAGTGATTCTGGTGGTGTGCTGGTGATTCGATGCAGATCATACTAAATCCGCGCCGGAAGAAAAAGTACGTCAGTCTGACCCGTGAGACCGGGACGAGACATGGGCTAGGGCTTCAGGTTGTTATCTTTTTAATTATATTCAATAATTGCGATAAGTTCAATACTTCCCTCACACTCTTGCTAGACAATATATCGGCACAGGCCCGTCCAGAGCCCGGCAAAGTCTTCTATTCTTTTTTATTTTCGCAAAGTTGTGAGGGCGTTTGTGGCACAGCTGAGGCTGTCCGCCACGCAGCAGCGTATGACTTCTCTTCTGGTATCAGTGTATCACAGCTGCTTTAGATGACTAACCAATTGCTGTCGTTGAAGACAGATTGTGTCATACCTTAAGGTAGGTTAGATTCTTGTGAATCGCCTCGCTTAAAGCCTTGTCGTCCGCCCCACCTCAGCTCGTATCGTCGGGATCGGTTTTGCGGCAAACTTGTGAAGGGTATCAGGTTTCGTTTGTCAAACTAACGAATTTGCCTCCGTTAGGGGGATATATGATTCATAGTCATCGCAACATGATGGTTCTAGCAAGGATGTGCACTCTTGCCGGCTTGGAAACATGTAATACATCAAACCCACTGTAAGATGACACCGACTCATGTAGCGCAATCATGAGTAAAGCTGGAGGGTTTGTCACGCATCGTTAGGGTGCGGCTCAATCGCCCACAAACACCTTTGGAGGTTTGAGGCGTGAAGCTCCAAACAATTGATTGCCTGATTCCAACACTGAGCCAGCTTCGGCCTTGCTAGGTGTTTGTTAAAGAGGCATTTGAGTCACCTAATTCATCTATAAATATAAAGCCCTAGGACCCAGGACGTTTCCTACCTTTAAACCGACCAAGCGGATTCAGCCTCTCGGCAGCCTACCCAAGCCCGCATACCACGCATGAGAGCGCTGGAAGAAACGGCTACGCACCGGTTTGACAGCCGTCATTCATCCCCTCCTCTGTCCCGTACGAATGGTCCACGTCTCCTTCTAACAACAATAACAATAACACTTTCCCCTGGTGAGCTGAGCTTGAGCGTCGCCCAAGGTACTGCCCATACGCCTGCAGCCTCACTTCGTGCTCTGGGATTTCTGTGAGCTCTCTAGCTTGGCAATTTGTCACTCGGTTTCTAACATTTGTGGAACCTAGGCTTAGATTGCTGGCTCTAGTCGGTCCTACGTCTACAGCCTCGTCGTGCCTCTCGCATCGGCGCCATGTCATCATCACCCGTCGGTCTTAACACGAATGAGCCCGAAACTCTGGCGGAACATGGCTTCATCGAGTTGCTTGACGGTGGTAATCAATTCATTTCTCGTGAAATGTGGATGGAAAGACCCCAGAGCGTGGTTATCGCGACCGAAATTCGACAGGCTCTGAAAGCGGCCGGAGTTTCTAGCAGCAGCCAGAGGAACTTCTTGCCTATCACCAAACTGGGCGAAATCATCAACCACTCCGACATTTCCAAATTGATAGATGCTCTGAAGTCGTGCAGCGACTTGTCGCCAAGCGAGAAGAAGCAGCTAGTGAACAAGATATGCTTTGTCAAGGACAACCCTCCTTGCTCCGCCTACAAGAGGATTGTTGCGGCGCTAATCAAGAACGAACGTGAGGAGGACATCCGCAGCGTTGTCAAGGAATCATTCAGTGATGACTATCTTACCACGGGCTGTTTCGACGACAATTTCCTATTACGAGATGAGAGAACAGGCAGAGCATGCCAAACAATGCAGAAATGGAATCTAGAGACACGAAAGAAGTTCCGGAAGTCAATCGACAAATTCAATGCCCCGGTTTTCATGCGCCCAAGCGATCCGGGGGTATACCATTATGTACTCGACGACCGAGTGGTCCTCCCTTTCGAGATTATCCCCTCCGCGCATGGAGCCAATGGGGATACGATTGACCAGCTCAGCCGCAGTGGGAACGGGAGTGATAACCAGGGCGGATTCAGTGACATCAAATGTGTCAAGATACACGCAGACCACCACCGCTTTGGTACCTATGATGTATGCAAATATGTTCCGAGCATCTATTGCTATACTGACAGCGTCGCAGGTGCCACATGAAGACGGCTTTTTTGCCGTCAAGACTCTTAATTCCAGGGAAAGAAATGAATTTGATAAAGAAGTCAACGTCATGCTGCGGTTTACTCATCGTACAGACAAACAGCTTGTAAAGTTGCTTGCGACTTACGAACAGCGGGAAAGGATGGCATCCGCTACCATCTCATCTTCCCTTGGGCGACTTGCAACGTCAAAACGTTCTGGAGAGAGCTTCGACCTATTGATCGGAGAGATCTCTCACTCATTCGATGGATTTCTAGTCAACTTTTCGCTGTCGGGGAATCGCTAGCCTACCTCCACGACGAAAACGCTCTGAACCCGCCTCTTGACCGCCAGGAAGTGTGGGGTAGACACGGAGATATCAAGGCCTCAAATTTTCTGGTATTCAAAGATCCTTCGCATAAATCCAGCAGGGGTTCAATCTTCATGGCCGATTTTGGACTCTCGAGGTTCCACCGCGAGCATTCACGGTCGCAAGTGAAGCCGGACCATGCGTCCGGTTCCAAACGTGCTCCTGAATCTGATACGACAGGAGGCACTTTCAGTCGAAAGTCGGACATCTGGACTTTGGGCGTATTCTTCCTTGAGTTCGTGACGTGGTACCTAATGGGGTATGACGTGGTATGTTATGATTTTCCTGCGGCACGGGAAGAAGAAGATCTCGGAGGCACTGTTACGGACACTTTGTTTCGAATTCGAGAAGAAGAAAACATCAGGACAGCAACGGTCAAACCTCAGGTCACCAAATGGATCAAGGATCTTCATGGATCGGCGGACGCAACGCACTATGTGCACGATCTATTAAATCTTATCGAGGAGAAGATGTTGGTCATCGACAAAGACTCTCGGATAAAAGCAATCGATCTGAAGTCGAAGCTAGATGTCATGCGCAAAAAGTGCATGGATGATGAGAAGTACATTACCCAAAGTTGTGGGTGCGAGAAAACGGCAAATTGATTATCCCGACACATTGTTGATGCACGCGTTGCAGAAAAGCATCTTCTCGAACATACGGAACGAATCAGAGAGGATAATGAGACTTTTCAAGAGAAAGGTCTTCAGAAATCTGTGAAAGCACCAGACTAAACAAGCAAGCAGACTTGTTCACGGCGACCAGAGATTGAGGGAGTGCTGCTGCAACCAGAGCCGGATGCTTCCGGAGCTCTGAGCGATGAATTGGGAAACCATTCATACCCTCGGGAACTGATGCAGAATCTTGTTTGATAAGATTCCCTCCACGTTCGGCAGTACAGCAATCTTCTACTTGAGTGGGCGCGACGTTTGGGGCTGGAAAATTGGCTTAAAAAAAAGGGTGGTCACCGTGCTTTTTGGGGCGTTTAAAACGAAGTGTGGTACTTTAGGGATAGGATAGTTTTATTATCAATCTCACTGTAAGCAGATCCGATCGCGATAATTAAACGCTATCGTAGTGTTGATGTGCAAATTCCTCCAATTGTTCGAGTTCATCCTGTGGTGCATCAGACTGTCAGCTGAGGAGCGACAAGTAGAAACAGTTAGAGTAGCCGTACATGAGTAAGAATCCGCGGTCCGGATATGATGTAGCGATTGTTTCTCAGCTGCAGAGTACTTTGTCAGCTGAGAGCGAGCGGGAAAGGGGTGGCGATGTGCTTCTCACTCTGATGGTGTACGTGCCCTGTCCCCATAGTTGATCGAGGCCTTGGCGCAGCTTCGCAGGATCCTTGTATGCCTTACGCAGCACCTGTTCCATCACCGACCCGGTGGTCGAGACAGAAGAGGAACTGGACGTCGCGGACTTTCCTGAATTCATGGCACTGGTTCGTTCTCTGTCAGCCCTGGGGGTTAGGGGGATAAATACACTTCGAGAGTGTACGTGAGAGCTGCGACATGACCACTGCTTTATAGGCAATCGTCCGCCTGAAATCAGGCTCTGTTGGGTCCAGCCTAAAGCAAGAAGCTGTAGGTGGGACGAGTTTGGTCAACTGCATGAAACTCGGGTAATCAACCGATGCCACGTCTCTCTAGAGTTGCATGGAGACACGGCCAAGAAGCGACCGCGTGTATGGTCTGTAACGGTTTATAACATTTGGGTGGCTCCGTGACCTAGTACAGTCTCAGAGTGGCTACACAGTCAGGCACAGACGCGCACAAGAGGCGAACCACTCGGTTCCCATTTGAGTGAACACAACAGCGACAGGTTTACGGATAGGCAACACAGCCCGTCCGTCCACATGATAAAGACCTTCCGTTAGTTTCCCTGGCCGGTCCAACCGAGGTTCTTTTTTCTGTACCAGACAAACAATCAATCTCCCATACTACGCCATTGAGACCATGGACTGGGCATCAGATGACTTTGGGTTTACCGACAACGACTTGAGGCTGTTTCAGTACGAAGAGAGGGCATCTGTTGTGATTCAACGCTCAACGTGTGATGAAGTGACCTAAACCCCGCATGTTCAATCTTGAATACGAGGCTGACAATTCTATCAGTCATTTCAAAGTGAGGAGGTTGTTTCCGAGGCCGGATGGGCAGAGTGGTTCAAGACTGTTAGTCTAAAATTCACGCTCATCATGCTTGACATGAATGCTCACAGGTGTATACAGAGCGTACCGACCGATACCACAGCGCCAAAGATTTGTGTCATGTACGTACATTTCTCCTCGTCGGGTCGATCGCAGCTGATGACTTTTCTTAGTATATGCAGTAGAGCGAAGAACTTTTCGAAAGATGAAGCGTCGCCACTTTACTACTTGCCATTCTCTCGCTCGACCTTCAAGGATATACTTTCCAAGTTCAGAATTCATCGCACAACAGCGAGAACCGTATCTCGTGAGACAGCCTACTTTTCATCGACCATCATTGACGATCCCGATCGTCCCACGCCTAGTATAGGTAAGCTTTAACGCGAAATAACAGCGCTCAGTACTGATGAAAGTGTGGCCCAGTTTTAACTTGTCGCACATCACCCGCCTGGTCCAATGATGTTGCCATGACCTTGACTCATTCTCCTCAAACCAAAACGACATTTGCGATCGTTTTCGGGTGCAGCGAGATGCAGCGGAGGCAAATCGAGGGTCGCCTGAAGGGCGTAACTCCGATGGCGCTGGCGCATCCTATGCTTCTGCCAGGCATTCTCGCCGAATTAGAACGAAAGCGACTGACGGGATTAGTTGAGTACACTCTGGATAGATTCACCCTCAGGGCAGGCGGCACCTCGATGGTCGCGGGCGGGCGCGTAGGAACGCTACACATGAGCGAAGAGCAAATGGGCCAGTATCTGGAGCTTTGCTACGAAAGCCAAAGCCTTGCCAAAGAGTTCAAAAGTGTCAAAAGGCAGCTTTTCAAGATGATACAATCTTGCGACGTCCCTTATCCGGCAGCGTCTTGTCCTGACACGAGAGACGGTGGATCGATTGCAGCAGAAACGATGCAGGATGCACTGGCAGATGTCGGGACCAGGATCAAGAAACGCACACTCGAAATCATGGATTTGTATGATAACAAGATTGACGAGTGCGGTATGGTTTTGGATAACACGTCGATCACGATGCAAACGGTCAGTAATGATCGACCTCGTTGTAGTGGCTTGAAACTAAACATGACTATCAAGATATGGAATCACATCGCCAGACATGACGCAGCTGTCAACACCAAAATTTCCATTGCGAACACGTCGATAGCCCTCGACTCGAAACAAGACAATGCACAAATGAGGTCAATAGCGCTATTGACGATGATATATCTCCCGGTATCAGCGATTGCGGTATGATCAAAACATGACAGTCTCCGTTCCGTATCACAGCTAATCCTGCACGCAGTCTGTCTTCAGCATGGGGATTTTTGACTGGTCATCCAAGGGCACGGTTGTCTCCAAATACATTTGGATCTTTGTCGTTTTGTCTCTGGGGTTGACGATTCTCACTGTCTTGGTGTGGTATCTTGCGACACGCACAATAAAGAAGAAAGACGACGGTGCATTTGAGGAGCTGGGGATGACAGGATCCGAAACGTCGTAGCAATCATGTTGAGCGCCTCTGCCGTTTACTTACCAATATCTCTACATGCCTTGTCTATTTACCCCAACATTCTGGAGATTCCCACCGTGTCCCATCGCACATGGCATCTGTACTCAGCGATGTCACAGATGCACATCTTTGATACTGGGGAACTGTGCCAGCCTCGGCAATTCCGGCTCCGTCGTAGTTATCACTGTGATGATCGCCGGTGCCGGAAACCCGATACTCCTCACATGAGTAAGGTGTTCTCTATGAGACAGCACAGCGCCGCACCGTCACTCCACCGCCGCCGCCGCTACTAAACAAAATATCCCCCGGAGAACTGGGCCCGGTGTTACATCAGTTTCAGGAGAGTCCGTCTTAACCGGGGGGTGGGGCTTGAGCGGGAGAAGGGATTGATGGAAATAATGGAACGCAACGGTGGACGGGATTAAAAGGCTTGGCTCGGGTATTTATGAGAGACGAAACGTGGGAGCGGGCGTGTTTTTCCTCCTGCAGATCAATCAAGGATATTCGCAGGGTGGGCATTGTTGTGATGGACACGCTGGCGAGCGTCTCCAGTTTGTACTTTTCACAGCACTCCACGTGTATTTCTTCAGTGGATGAATTAGGAATTAGGCGAGTGGGCCATGGCTTGCCATCGCCTGCACTAAAGACGCCGCACGCGTGCGACTGGCCTTACAAGATGGCATGGTTTTAAATAAGAACGCCCCGGCCCAGCTTAATGTTTTAAAGTCAAGTATCTGTAGATTAACATCCGACAAGGCTGGCCGTCTGACCAGATTTGGGACAGAGCCCGACCCGGACGGACGCGTGAAACGTAGCCGCCTGTAACATGCATCAGGGTGTCGCATGGCGTGGTGGGTGGAGCGAGATCAGCGATGGACAATGGAGCACCAGGGCAATCGTTAAATACTGTGGAAATTGATCAACACGAGATGATGATCCTGCTGTTGGACCAACACAGCTGAAGCCCCTCGCGCTATTGGAAAACGTGGGAGCTGAAGTCCTCGCCAAGATGCGGCGTAACGCCTGCGGCATTCCCTGTCACTCCGTGCCAACTAACAACAAGCAGGCTCCGCTAATCACAGAATACGGAGTGGAGATATGGAGCAAAGATGGGTCTTGGTCTCCTCTGCCCAGCAAGCGACGCGCGTTTGCCGTGCTATTCCATGTTGGTAAAACCCATGCCAGGCGAGAATATCCACAACACCGGAAGCCCCCTCGCTTGATACCTTGCTCGCCAGTTACAGACGACGGCGGCAAGAGTCTCGGCTCTCGGCCCGCCATGCTCAGGGCAGACGCTTTTGGGTGCAAGCGTGAAGCTTCAACGGTGGGTCGATTCGTATCCGACTGTTGGTATTGCGCTACGAGCCGAAGCAACCGGGTGTACGGAGTATTCAGCGAGACAGCAAACGTTTGTGTGTCCGAAAAAGAAGAAAAATGAAGTAATATTCCCCCCTGGTCTGCGTACGTCGCACAGCACAGCATGGACCAGGGTGACGGCAGCGGGAGCAATGGCATGAAACACAGCAATAACAACAATGCACCGCACCCATAGCATCGACGGAATTGCGTCAACTTGCGACAAGCTTTGTGGTGCAGCTCCAAGTGACATCGACACGACCTGCGACTCGTCAGGAGAACTGGAGCAGGCCCCATTGATCGCTTGTCTCCACTCAGCGATCAGGGGCCTCATCCATTTTTGTTTTAAACGATTCAAGCGGGCGCCAGGGGCAGTGGATCGCGGACAGGCGAGCTGGGGTTCCCTGTGAAGAGGGCCGTGTGCAGAGATGTTCCGTGTAGAAACATGAATATACCGCCGAGTTGGGAGTTAGTCTGTTTACAATATTGGATGATTGCACCCGGTTAGCCGAGAGGTTTATCTTTCTCCTCCTCCTCTTCTCTCCCGTTCCCCTGCTTTCCGAATCCCTTCCCTCTTCTCCGCCATAGTGTCCAACCGTGGGCCGGTATAACTCTTCAACGCCAAGCACCAGCGATCCTCGAGATGCCCTGGTAATCCACCTCTTGGCTCCTCGCTTCGTCTCGGCTTCGGTTCGCCTTTACTCGATTAGCATATTCCAAATGTGGTAGAGAGCACCGACCTCGTCTATCGTAGCATCCGTCCTTCCCGTCGATCATTCAACGACTCGGTCCCCACGATCGTTTTCCGAGCATCCCTCTCGATCTCAACTACGGCACTGCCGTTGCCAGACAATGAACAGCCTTACACCCAACTCCCTCTCCTCCGAGGAGAGGGGGCGTCTTCTCGATGTATCCGATTCCGAATCCGACCGCGATAATGCCCTCAACCTGGCCGCCCAAAACACATCCGTGCCAAAATTGGCCGGTATTCTATCACCACTAGACTCCGTTCGATCCGCCCCTTGGAGAGTTCTTACCCTCCGCTTCGCCTGGTTCCTCGTTCCGAGCTTTCTCCAGGGTCGTAGCATGCGTGAGAAGATCCGCCCAGCCAAGCTAGGCCCCACGGCCTACCTCGACGGCATGAGGGGCATAGCGGCACTTTTCGTCTATTTCTGCCACTACCTATACCAGTGCTATCGAATTGGCTTTTCCTGGGGCTTTGAAGGGAACTACAACTTTATGCGATTTCCCTTTATACGCCTATATTGTGCGGGACCGGCTGCCGTCTGCGTCTTCTTCGTCATCTCAGGATATGCTCTCTCCTACCGGCCGATCAAATACATCCGGAGCCACAATTTGGCCGATTTCTCTACAGGTCTGAGCTCTATGGCCTTCAGACGCGCTATTCGGCTTTTTCTTCCGACTAGTATTTCTACCTTTATGGTAGTTTGTCTTGTTCGCATGGGTGTCTTTGAATGGACTCGCGAGTTTGCTACGCAGGATACCTATCTAAAAGAATCTCGTGAACCTCATCCCAAGCTACTTCCAACTGCGTACGAGCAGTGGGTTCAGTGGGGCAATATTATTTTTGGTGGATTTAAAGTCTTTAGTTGGGACTTCTATGAGGGATTCCACGGTAAGTTTGTCTTGGATCCCTCTGTCTCACTTTGTACTAATCGTGGCCCCCAGCCCTCGATCCTCATTTATGGACTATTCCTGTCGAATTTCGATGCTCCCTTTACCTCTTTCTTACGCTTTTAGCAACCGCTCGTCTGCAGACTAAATACCGATTCCTCACCCTTGCAGTCATTGCCTTTTTTACCTACGCAAACTCTCGATGGGACTTCCTTCTATTCCTTTCTGGAATGGCTCTAGTCGAATGGGATTATATCCGTGGCGCTCACATCTCGGGTCCGGCTCTGCCATTCGGAGAGAAGGAAGCCAAGACTCCTTCACCAACAGCTTCGATTAAGCTGATCTTCTGGAATCTTGTTGCCATCCTAGGCTTATACCTTCTGAGCAGTCCTGACCATGGAGGCTTGGAAACCCCTGGCTGGGTCTATCTCTGGTCGCTGATCCCAAAGTGGTGGGCAACTGAGCAGTATCGGTATTGGCAAGCTACTGGCTCAGTTGTTTTCGTTCTCGCTGTCGGCCATTTGGCATGGTGGCAGCGAGTCTTTAACTCTCGTGTGGCTCAGTATTTTGGGAAGATTTCATATTCCCTGTATCTAATGCACGGCCCAATGAACAAAGTGATTGGATATCACTGGCAGAAGATGGTTTGGGACATAACGGGCGTTGAGGGCAACGCCTATACTGTCGGGTTTATTTTGGGCGCCTTCTTTTGCATCCCCAGCGTTATTTGGGCCGCTGATGTTTTCTGGCGGGCTGTGGATATTCCAACAGTCAAGTTTGCGAGATGGTTTGAGAACAAGCTCATCAAGGTCGACTAGTATGCATTGGCGATCTAGGAACGTTTTACTTTTGTTTAAATATTGGGTCGAAATGAGGGTATGGCATCCACTAATTTAGACATCTCACATCTCAGGAGTTGGGGCAGGATCATGACCGGAGTTTGGGGACAGAGAGTGCATTTATAGAAGGTCACAAGAAACCAATACTACCCTAAGCCAAGATTAGCTATATACCCAAATAACCTAGTCTACTGGGCCCTGTGTTGATTGCCGACAAATGTTATTTCTGAAACCTATGTCCTTGCATGCCACTGTGCGATGGCTGAAAGGCAGCTGTGATGCTGATGGGCAGGGAATTTGGGCAAGCATGATGTGCCAATACACGACACTCGCATACAAGACGATCGGACCATCAGTGTCATGAGGTTTACGCACTTCGGCAGTCATTTCGTTTCCCTAGCTTAAAATAGATGGAGTCTAGATACCTCCACGTCTCGGAGAGCTCCGCATCTTACTGTCACGGAATAATCCGTTGCATTTGAACCTACCTAGGAAAGGATCCCCGCGCATCAGTAATTTTCGGTCCCACCCAGGATCTTATTGTGATGATCACCAAAGCTTCCCTGCGAAAATTGCTCCGGATTACCTTAGATGATGCGGGGAATGATGAGTCCCAATAGCCTCACCGCCCCTCTCTCTTACCAAATAGACTGACCTACATTTACCAGGAGATTGGAAAGGGTCTCATCATATACTAATTCCAGAATACAAAGATCAGAACTCTGTGTAAGTCAGGAACCGGCATCGGATCTCACAATCTCATATTGTTCTTATTTCAAGTTTTCTGGGCCTCTAGCCCAGATGCTGATACAGTAATCATTTCCAAGAATCATCATCACGTACTATTTCTTCCGATGTTGCAGACTCATTTGGAGATTATACCATTCTGGAACGTAACAAAGTAGAGGTGGTCCAAAAATTGAGTAGGAGAGAAGACATCAGCTCCTCATAGCCTCATTCTTCAGCTTTCTAGGAATGCCGTGGGTGGGGTGGCCGTTCAGAACAAAAGGCATGCATCCTCGTCACCTCACCCTTCTCACTCAGCTTGACAAATAAGTATTTTTATCGTAGATTTATTATGAAACTATTTGATTTCCTCTACTCCACTCACACATTCTTTTAACTGTATCCAAAAACAGCGCTATGTGTAATCCTGAACCCTAGCCCTTAGGCAATACCCTCTGAATAAAGACAAACAAACTTCTAAATGGCAATTGATTCCGGCCCTGCCTCCAGCGGTGCGATGGGGACATTTTCTTCGGCCTGGGCCGCAATCTTGGACATGCTTATTTGCGCAGGCCAGATCTGCCGTCCAGCCTCCACCTCTCGGTTGAAGTGTTCTTGAACCTGGTCGCGCACGTTGGTCTGGAACCAGATGGCGCCCTTCTCCATGCCAGGGTGCATCTCGCCGTTGATGAAGACGCCGCGCTCGATGTTTCGCTGGGCGCCCAAAGCCAGGAACTTGTCCTCGCCCATGACTCGCTTGTACAGGGAGTCGATCTCATGGAAAGCTTCGTCGGTGGCGTACTTGTTGCGGTAGACCTCGTACCGCATGATTGAAGTGCGGGGGCTGGTGGGGATAAATCGCTGCATCATGAAGAAGTTTCGTCTGAGCAAAGTTAGCATTGCCGTCGTACTGAGCCGGGAGTTGATGTGGTGGAAAGCACTTACGAGACGTTGACTGAGGCATTGGGGAAGAAGTAGGTAGGGGCGATCTTGAAGCCACGGGCAACCATGTCAGGCGTGGGGCTGCCAAAGTGCATGAGATAGGACTTGACGGGTGTGACGACGTAGGTGTTGATGTCGGTGAGGTCCCTGAGATCAGGGTGGGAGACTCGGCAGTGGTAGCACTCGTTGTAGTTGTCGCCGAGGAGCTTCCAGTTGTATTCGCCCTCCATCTCCCAGGTGTGGTCGTACTCGTAGCAGTCCCAGTCGTAGTAGTCAAATCGCTCTTGGTCGTCGCAGCCCTCCAAGTCCTCGGACCAGGAGATCTCCGGCTTCTCACCACCGTCCAGGTTGACCCAGACGAAACCCTTCTTGTCGATCTGGACGTGGATGCTAAACACACCGTGCTTCCCAATGTCGAATTCCTTGAGGTCCTGGTCGATGTGGAAGGCCTTGATCTTATCGTTCTGGTCGCGGCAGACAACATAGTGGAACTCGGTGACTTGGTATCGCTGCCAGTCGCCCTTGTTGGGCAGTCTGAGGTTGTGGGTGGTGAGAAGCCACTTCTTGGAGAAGATGGCGCGCTTCTCGAGATCGTACATCTCCTGAGAGACGTACCATGAACCGGGGAGAGCCCGGATACCGGTGGACTGGGTTGTGGCATTCTGGGGCTTGGAGGTGTCGGTGTCAGGGACAGAGACAGGTGCAGGGGTGGCACCCAGGCCGAAGTAGCTCTTGAGGAACGACATGTCTAGTGTGAATCAAGGTCGAGATGTATTCAGACTGTAGAGGCTGATTCTTGCTCGGGAGTTGAGACTGTATGATGATACTAGTTGAGATAAAGATTGAGATTGCAGAGCACGTATCGCCTTTCATATACTTTGCACCCTCGCTTTGGCAGCCTCCTCATCTAGCCCGCTTCTCTCCCATCTTCCCCAGACCAACCCCACCGGCTATCTCACACGGACACAATCAGGTGGCGCAAAGGTGTGGCATTGGCTTCACGGGATAACCGGCGTCGCATGCCTCTTCTGGCCCAGTCCGGCACGGTACCTTATCGGGCGCCGAACGGGACTGAGTCCGTGACGCGGCTCCCAGTGCCGTATGCACCGCAGGGTCCAGCCTGACCGATAGGGGAGTTTTGGTTTCGAGATGTAAATGCGACGAGCTGGGGAAGTCTAAGCTACATTTAGAAAGGATACTTCCTCTTTGAGTAAAGCACCATAAATCTAGACACATTTAAAACAATTGTCTAAATCTTATCAAATCGGCTGCCGGCGCTGCGGAGCAGTGGGCCGCTCACATGATCGGCATTAGTCGATTCGGTGCTCGCTCCTATCATCAAGCGCCCGCCGACGAGTAGATCTGGTGGCAAATGCTTGTTTGACGTGTGGTGGTATCAGACATCAATCGGGCTGTTTGCGAAGCACCGTCTGCTGCATTTGGGCCTTGACGCTGCTGCGGGCTGTTCGTGCATGAAGCTCTTCAATCAACTTGTAACCATCGTGAAGCACGGAATGGTGAACGTGGGCTTGGTTGACTCACACGTAGTTAGGCGAGATTCTAGACTCAATCGACCCCAGGAATGGATCGCGGCACATTGACCGCTAGATGCTCCATATTGAGGCGCAATGTCCACATGAGCGCCCGACAAGAAGGTTGCCACCTCCACGATGGTGGCTATCGGTTAAGACTCTCGCCGTGTACAATCGGTTATCACGGCTGCCCTCCATATTTTGCACCCCGCCACACCACAATCGGAAGATCTTCACTTGATTACACGGGTGGTGAGCTAGTAGCTGTGGCACATCGACAGACTCATCGAGAACAATGGAAGCCCTCCATCTCGCCCGGTCTGAGACAACAACAACCCAAGCAGTGTGGCTGAAAACAAAAATAGACCCGTGTTGACAAGGCTTAGTGTTTGGGAGATAGCATATTGCATGGTAAACAAGACCGGATTTGGAAATCCCACGACAACTCGGGCGTTGCTAGTCCCGAGATAAGGGTTCGATGCGCCCACATGGCCAAGTCCCAGTGGACGAGTAGTTGCGATGAGTGATTTAGCTCAACACCATTTCGCGTGATGTGAATAATAGACTTCCTTCTGACATAGTCACCCGGTCCGGCTGGACCAGGGTCGGCTCCGATTCAGGCCCGGAGGGTCGGGAACTTATCCCACGTGATCGGTTATAGCAGGATGATTTCCGCTGTCAACTCCGGAGCAGACGGATCTTCGACCGTATCATTTCCATGGTGGCTGCCCAAGGCGATTCCTCTGCAATGTTTCTTTGGGTAGTTTTGATACATTTCTGTACTTGGTTATCGCGCCATTTACTCGAGGTTTGAGTAGAGAATGCGCCGAAGTAAGCTCCTCGCCCATAAGTTGTCCGTAGATGCCATAAACTCGACCATGGAGGGAATATCCGCACTCACCACAGTCAGCCGAGTGTCAGGGTGCCGCTCTTCCCGTCCCGCTACCCCTATGGATAGGTAGGTTCGACAGTAAATGCTAAAGCCTTGCGCGTGTGTAAAAATGATAACCAGTACAGCAAACAGCATGGCGATAGCGGGAAGCATAAAAGATGATCTAGCCTCCCCCAGTTAGTAGCGCGATAAGGTGTGCTCGCCCAGTCACATAGCTATAACCATGCCTTGCTGCTCTGCTGTTCGTCTAACAGATATCCTCAATTTTCATCCCTCTCAAGCTTCGCCCGTCACGCATCAACCCGCTAGCTGTCGTCCACACTCAACCGATCACTAACCTCAACTACAAGTTTTCGTATCACAATCCTTCACACCTTCCTTTCAATCTCGATTTCCACAGCCTGATACTCAGCAACACCAACGTCTACGCCAATATGCATGTCGATCAATCGTCACAACCGCTCCGCTCATACCTGACATCCTCAAGCCCTTACTCGCATCCTTCTCCGAGAATCCATCAAGCGAAGCGGTCGGTCCCCGTATATTAGCTTGATTATGTAGCATTTCTTCCAACCGATTCGGCCAGGTCACATGTGTAATCATCACCTTCACCAGCTACTTTCTAGAACCCGGGTAACCCTTTGATCGATGTCTCAACCAGCCCTAGTCTTATCGCTGTCGGGAATCATAATAACTTACCGATTAAAAACAAATATTCTAGAGAAGCAGCTACAGATCGCAAAACTACATCACCACAGGCTCCAAGCCCGACCGAGCTAACCCCGTCATGTGTGGATATCAACGGCATTTACAAGCTTGAACGAATGCAGTATCGCTAGAAATCCATCATCTTTTGATCGCCCCGGCCCTAGCCGCCTCTTCGCCATAATGCATACGTGCCGAGCAATCTTCCGATAATCCGATTAAAGTCATGCATTCTTGGCACCGGGGGCAAGTGAATGATTGAACTCGTCCAGCATCATGACTCTTTCGCCGTGGCTACTGTATCACGGATATTTGGTCTTGGAGATGGTGAGGATGTCGGAGTCTTTATTTTATGCCCGGAAGGAGCCCATCTCTGGCCCATCAACAAGAAATCCCGCCTTGTCCAGGACTCTGAGCTCAACCCGATTAGTCACCCTTGGAAGCTTATGGAAGAGGATTTTGGGACGCTGAAAGAAACTGTTCTGCTTTCATCAGCTAATGTTATTGCTATTATACCTAATTAAGAGTTTTGGTCCATTATTGCGGCATCCCTGTGAATTCTTAACCAGGTAGTATTGATTGTAGTATCCATGATATTTTGTCCATTTTTTTTTCTATTGTTCTCTCTATTCTTGCTCTGATAATCCGGCCTATTCTGTAAGGGCCTCCATACTATCAAGCTTGATGAGGTCATCATCCGCCTTACATGAGCTGTCATGCTGTTGTCTTTTGTCATAGGACGGAAGCATGCAGAAAGGGCGGAGGACAGGTCAAACCTGAGAGTCTGTGCCATTCAATATTATCGAGGAATTAAAGGTAATCAAATCAAAAACTAATGCGGGTACTAACATACGATGCTGGAACGGGATACAGCGGTCTAGGCCCCTCGATACACAACAAGGAGTGGTAGGAAGCCGGACAGACCTCAATACTCGATGGCTTGTTTATCGATACCCAACCAGATTGAGAAGGGACGGCCCGGCCTCTGTTGTGGGTACCTCATATGCAGACGCACCGCAAGCGGAGTTACGGATCCAGAAGTTCCCGATTTCCTAAAGTCCGCATAACAACTCAACAGAAGAGTCCAAGGGACGTACGTGCAGGACGTAAATCTAAATAGGAACTTGATTGTGTCTGAACTGCCTAATTGAGTCTAGCCTTAGCAACAGTCTCAGTGTGTCAAATCGCATTAGGCCGGACGTCCGTGTATCTCGGAATGTTCCGATGTTCTTGCACAGTTTGGTTCCGATCTCTCCATTTACGGCGGTAATTACCAGCAGCTGAATATCTACACCTACCAATTCAGTCTTATATATTAGCCTGGCAAGCAAGTTTACTGATACCTATAGGTGTGTATAGAGTTTATATGAGTAAAGGTAATAGATGGTAATAGAAAGATAATAATTTTCACACATGTGGTCTAATTATCGTGTTGTTTGTGACTTACTGCGACGGGCACAAACTGGAAATGCCTTCAACGGCTGTACAGCTGTTGAGCACCCCCGCTGAGGGATTTGAACTATATCGCTGCTACCCGATCATCCGAGGTTTCACATGTGAGGGATTTAGCAGGTAAGGCGACTGAGGAAAAAGGTCAAAACTCAACAGAGTTATTAAAAGCTTGGTTGCTAAGCGGTTGCTAACTGTGACCCGACTTGATTACTACTCATTAGAGCCACGCTCCCACCCTTGACAGCTTAGGCCTTTCGGTGACGGTTTGAGAAAGACTGGCATCCGAGAGCTTGCAGAATGACTAGAGACAGAGGCGACACCATGTTGGCCTCGAGTCTGACAAGAAAACACAATCAAGATCAGATAGATATGTACTGTCCAGATTGCAGCATATCGGACTTGGTTCAAATAATCCAATGGAGGAAGAAGACTATGCAGGTGTTATTGATGTCGCAAACACCTGGAGCTCGTACCACGCTACCGAATATTGGTTTCATGGGGGCACATTGGTGGCGAGCTAGCGTTTCTTTCATCGTAAGATCTCTTTGGCGACCCAAGAACTGCCGAACACGAATATTTGCCGATGACCCAGCCGAGGGCTAATGTGGTAGCCCTTATTCATTGGCTCTGTTCGGCTTCGGCACTTGACAATCCAATGTGAGGGAGACAGACGCTCATTTCCAATCAGGGTAGTGATCCGGAAGTCCCGACATTGGAGAAGGCTTGCATTCACAATATAAAAACGCAATATTGCACATGGACGACGAAAAGCTACGCATTTTTACGTATACAGCACAATTCCACCGCCCAGATACTCACTACACGTTGAAAGAGCACATCAGCGACCAACGATAGCACGAAGTCTGCCATTTTATCACTGCGAATTCAATTACACGCAATCACGCGACCTTCCAAGATCATGCCTCAGAACCCAAGAAAACCTTTTGAAGTTGCCATTATCGGCGGTGGCATAGCGGGAATAACTCTGGCAATCTCCCTTCTCGAACGGAATGTGCCCTGCGTCATCTACGAGCAAGCCCACACGTTTGGCGAGGTTGGTGCTGGTCTTGGGTCAGTCCTAATGCACTTCGCGCCATGACTGTGTGCGATCCAAGCGTATCTAGGGCTTTTGATAAGGTGGTCAGTGGCAACATGTGGGAGTCCAAGAAGGGTATCCTGTTCGAATTCCTCGACGGTATGGATGACACGACCGACATCACACCTCGATTCACCATCAGAAACTCCGTGGGGTTGCGGGGCTGTCACCGTGGTCATTTAGTGAATGAATTATTGAAGCTTTTGCCGAACGATGTGACTCGCTTCAACAAGCAGTTGGAGCGCATCGAGGAACCACAAAGCCACAGCTCGGGCAAATTGCGAATGGTCTTTCGTGACGGCACCGTGGCCGAAGCTGACGCTATCATTGGGTGTGATGGAATCAAATCTCAGATGCGCGAGATTGTTGTTGGCCAAACTGATCCATCCGCCAAATGTTCCTATACGTACAAGTACGCATACAGAGGAATGGTTCCGATGAATCAGGCGGTGGAGGTACTGGGAGAGGAAAGAGCTGTCAACGCCACTATTTGGGTCAGTCATTCATCATTCCAGGGGTTGCCTACTATCGAAAAAGATCCCTCTAGGGAAACTAACCAACTGATTAGACGGGTAAAGATATGCATATGGTGACCTATCCGGTTGCCCACGGAACTGTCTGCAACGTCGTTGCCTACCGCTCGAGCACCAGTGACTGGCCGAGCGACAATCAGTTGACTTTTCCTGCTCAGAAAGGGGATTTGCTGGAGGATTTCAAGGGCTTCCGACCGATGCTGCTCAGATTCATGGAAATGGTTAGAAATCTTGATCGCGTGAGCCAACCTACAACTCCCCTCCCAACAAAACCTCTCAGCTTGTGTCATCAGAATTTAACGGGGAGCAGTGGGCCATGTTCGACCTGGGAGACTACCCTGTCCCGACTTTTGCCAAGGGTCGAATGTGCATCATTGGGGATGCAGCCCATGCGACCACACCGCACCATGGCGCAGGCGCAGGATTGTGTTTCGAGGATGCCGCTGTGCTTGCATCGCTTCTAGCTGACGACAAGGTGCAAACAAGCACTGATATTGAAGCCGTATTTGCTGCATTCGACACGAGTAGACGAAAGAGGTCGCAGTGGGTCGTCCAGAAGTCCAGACGGGGAGGCGACTTGTACGAGCTCCGAACGGAGGTTGGAAACGACGTTCAGAAGATGGCTCAAGAGCTGAGGGAAATTTTGGCTGTCATTTGGGACTTTAGTATTGAAGATGCTATCGGGGAAGCCCTAGATGATCTGAGAAACTGTCTGGTTGTCAAGGCTGAACGAGCAAACATCTAGGGCGATTTCGGAAAAGGGCTGGGAGACCGATGTCGGGTAGTATTTAGCAAGATATCGCGTAACTTGGATCCGTATGCGTGCATTGCTTATTCGATTGCACCACTACGACGGCCTACTAGCAAGCACTGTAATACAATCGACCTTGTTTCCTCCAATATCCCTTTCGCCGAGGCCACAGTGGAAGACTACCTCGCCACCAGCTCCGACCATTATCTCTCAGCACTGCAATCCCTCTACGACCGAAGCTGTCGAATATCCCGACTAACCAAAAAGCTTCGCAAAGAAGGTGACGACGAGAGAGCACCATTTATGGCGGTCCAACAGGTTCCCAGAGCCCTACCTCCCGCTGAACCTCAAGGCCACTCTAAAGTGCCCTAAGGATTCAGCACTGGCTCGCAGTGCGGTCCCCTGTAAATTACAGTGGCCACATTCCCGGCTCCACTGGGCTCGTCCACTTCTAGGTCCGCTCTAGGGTTTGCCACAGCTACAGTAGGGCCTATCTGACTTCTAGGAAGAATCTCTGTTGAAAGAAAACGCGATATCCCTCCCTTGTGAACTCTCTACCCTCCCCTTTTAATCCCCGAGATCTCCCTGACCGCCTGTCACATCGATCGGCATGTTTCTTATTGCTTTGTATGTGTCTTCTGAAAACCATGGCTGAGACACGTCAAGATCTACTAGCACTCCCCCACTTTCCGGGTGCGGGGTGATCTAGAATAAACACGATGCGTCTTCTCTCCTCAATTTCGCCATTGTTTCTTTCGTTTAGCACCCCAAGGAAAAGCAAAAGAAGCCTCCTTTGTGCGACCTCAGACAATAGATGTCATGATGGATTCATCTCGCAAGCCATCATATGAGACCCAATCTTCAGGAGCCGGTCGGTATCAGTGTACCCAGTGTCAGCGAACTTACACCCGCGTGGACCATCTTGCGCGTCATGTCCGATCGCGTATGAACCCACGCCCAAGCTCTTCATTACCATCCAATTGCTTGATGCTAACCTTGACGTCTAGACCTTCAGGAACGGCCCTTCCAGTGCCAGACGTGCCAGAAATGTTTCGGGAGAGCGTAAGTAGATCCCCCACCGCAGTTTCGTCCCTGTCCATGCTGACAAGCTGTCCAGGGATCTCCTCAAGCGACATATGCAGTTGCACGGAGAAGACAGGAGCAACAGAAAGAGAACAAGGCTCATTGGTCCGTACCACCCGCGGGAGAGCAGAGTCTCGGAGGCCTGTCAAGCCTGTGCCACTGCAAAAGTCAGGTGTGACGATGACAAGCCGTGCATGCGATGCCGGCAGCTTCAGATTCGGTGTGAATTCTCTCGCCCACCTCAAGCGACCCGGACAGCGATTAAAGGTCCGACAACAAGGAAAAGTAAGTGCTGTAGAGAGATACTCGTTCCCTATTCCTCGATCAATCTCCTGACATTCCATGAATGCAGCGCAAGAACCCACTCAGCTTGCTCTGTGCGGGCTCGCAGACCAAGAACCTCCGGGAATTTTGGAGCACTCAAGAGCTTCCCAGTCACTAGCTCCCTCAGCAGCAGGTTCGAATAATACGCCAGGTCGGATAGCCCTTGTACCCCCGTATATTCCTTTTGCTTATCATTGGTTTGCAGAGCATCTGGCCAGAGACTCGTATTCGTCGTTGGAGGACACCACGGACTGGGATATTACGCCCCTCTCAGATAACCAGTTTTCCGACTTCCTTCGCGACGTAATGGCAACTCCAGATACGGGCACCGCAGGCACGAACGACGAAACAAGCTGGCCGAACCCGGACTTTCGCCAGTGGGATGTACTTGACTTTAACATGCATGGCGATGCCGAGCTTGATTGGCCGAGGGCTTCATTCCCAAATCATTTGTACGACAGAGGTGTCTCAGATATCCAGTGGCCATGGCTCGATAGTCTGCACGCACATCATCCGCCTCAACAGCAGCCGCATCTTTCGGAGGTGCACCTGGTCGAAGAACACTTACCGAGATCAGGACAACTGGCTCCCAACCGTGTCACACCGAAAAGGCAAGCAGGTGTAGGTGTTGAAGCCTTTCAAAAGTCTTCGCTGTCACGGTGGCTGCCGAGTCAGCAAGACAACACTGCAACACACATGAACCAGCTATCCATCGGGGCAGAAGAAGCCGAAGCTTCATATAATCGCTTGTCTCAGGAGCATCGAGTTCTGAGCGAGCCCTTGACTGCAACCGCCAGTAATAGGCTGTTAGCGGTGATACTGAGCACCTGCGATGCTGAGAAAGGCGCCGCCATTGCTGCGGCCTTCCCTCCACGCCAGCATTTAGCGAAGCTGGTTCAGAACTACATGACACAAAACCGGGACATGTCCGCGACTTTCGTCCATGCACCGACTTTCTGTCCGAATAGAGAGAGGCCAGAGCTTCTTGGTGCCGTCATCGCCGCCGGTGCGGTCCTGTCGGATAGTAGGTCGTTGCAGGAATTCGGTCTCGCCATCCAAGAGGCGCTCAGTTTGGTGGTTCAAAAACGATGCGAGAAGTCGAATACCGTCACAAGGGAATTATGGCTCCTGCAAACTCTGATGTTCGAGATTGAGATTGCTCTTTGGAGCGGAAGCAAGCGCAAGATGGAAATCGCCGAGAGCCAGACGCATGTATTGTTCACGGTAAGTCAAGAGCCCAGTCCGCAACCATGACGGGTCTCGCATACTGACGAACTCTCTCTCGCATTCCAGATGCTACGTCGCAGTGGAAGATTTCAGAAATGCCAAAAACCCATCCCCGCCCCTCTGTCCCAGGATTCCGGAGCGGTACTACGCCAAAAATGGATCACTTGGATGCAACAAGAGTCCTACAAGCGATTGTCGTTCTACGCCTTCTTGTTGGATCAGCAGCTTTCAATGGCCTTGCTTGTCAGTCCTCAAATATCCTATGCCGAAATGCTACTGCCCTTGCCTGAATCGAACGAACTTTGGACTGCGGAGGACGCCGAGCAGTGGAAGAGTATCTATCTGAAGCTCCCCGCCCGACCGGTAGAACAGCTTAACCTTTCCATGGTGAGCCTTCTACAAAAGCCACTGGAAATCTCTTCTCTACCGAATTCCTACGACTTGCGCCTCTCTACACTGATTGTGCTCCACGGCTTGTGGGGCATGATTTGGGAATGCACCCAGCTTACGTCCGTCCTCCGCAGTGGCCTCAGCCATAGCAGCGCTGCTGCAACGCTCCACCAAGACCTCTGTCAGGCGCTCGATAGCTTGCTTATGGCTGTGACAGAAGTTGAAGAAGCTCAGACACCTGAGGTTTACCTGATGTTGGGGTTGCTCACGATATACCTCCACGTATCTCTCGAAAAGGTCCAGTTATTTGCAGGTAAAGAAGATTTAGAGGAGGCCCGACGCGTGCTCCCGCTCTTGCAGGAATGGGCAACGCTTCCGAGTGCTCGGCATGCAATCTGGGGTGCAGGCCAGGTGCTCCGCGCTGCAAAAGCATTCCCTGTCCGACAGCTGAGAAACTTTTACGCAATTGCCGTCTATCACGCTGGCCTGACCTGCTGGGCGTATGGGCTCATCTCTCTGAAGAATGAGTCACGAGGAAGTGATGCACAGAGAACGCATTTAAACTCACCTGCTACCACCATATGGCTAGATGGACCTGACACAAGCGATGTTAGACGTTTTATTGCTCTTGGCCGCGGTTCTCCCAGCGTAGGCTACCGGCAGAGTGGCGAAGTGCCATCCACAGGAATTGCATCTCTGTCTGACCCTGTGGCTCTTATGGGGGTTGTATTGGGTATACTGCAAAACAATATAGAGCAGCAGACAGGTAGTGCTTCGATACCACCTCTGGTAGAGAACCTGATTCAGCTTATTACAGACCTGGGAGAGGCGGGTTTAATTGCTATAAGTAACCTAGCTTACTAGGTATAAGTATACGGGCTCAAAATATATTACAGGATTTGAATGCGTTCTAATTTACATTATTCGTCAGAATAGTGGACATTTTGCTGTTGCTGTGGATAGTATGGCTCTGAAGCTCTACGCACTTATGACAAAAATCTGGCGTATGCGAGCTTCATGACCTTGCCCTTATTCCTGAGGGTTATATTTCAGGGCAGAACTCTGTCTTACTTTACTTGTCAGACCTTTTCTCAAATAGACACCAGGCTCGATGACCAGGATTAATGAATTCATTGTTGTGAAAGGTGGACAAGCGTCAATTACCCCATCATATGTCCTCCCCACCATGTGGTCCCGAGACCGTGGTGGGGCCGGCTCTATGATACGGCCCCACGTCTAATCTTGTGATAGCCGCTCCAATCGCTATGCTTCCCTGACTTAACTTTCGAAGAACAACCATATCTTGAGATATCTTGAAACAGAGGGAACCTGGACACAAGATTAATGAGACAAGTAGAGTGATTGAACCTATCAAGACCCCTATTGGCTGTTGTGTTTCTCTACGACCTTGACGAGACTCAGAGATTGGGTTTTAATAATACTTTGGTCATGCATGAATGTACTCATACTGCAACTGACCTGTTGGGCCCGGAAACACAAGGGGGCAGAGCTATCATGGTTTGGGCCTAAGCCAAAGTTCTCAGGATGATGACCACGGGGCAAAATACACCTAGCCCCTGACAGCACAGTGCTCTCACGTAGCAGCAGCTCGAGCCTGATCCTTCATAGTCTGGAATTGACGCGAAGGCACTCGATTCTCAAACATCCAGTCCACTTCTGCGACGCTGAGACCCTTCGTTTCAGGCACGATCCAAAAGGCAGCCGCGAGATAGACAGTCGCCAAGCCTCCGTACACAAATCCCGTCCTTGCACCTAGATTTGCGGCGTCGATGTTGTAGATATATGGCGTAATGAAAGAGAAGACCCATTGGAATATGGCGTTGGAGACAACTGCGATCGACTGGGTCTTGGCTCGCAGTCGGTAGGTAGACAGCTCGGCGGTCAGCGCCCAACCAGCTGATAGGAAAGAGACCACGCCCCAGGCAATCAGGAGGTTCATCATGACGGCGATAGACCAAACCGCCCCGATCCCGGAGACGTAATAGAGACCACCAATGACGAAAAGTAAGACGGCGGAGACGAGAGGGCCGGAGAGAAACAAGCCGCGGCGTCCCACCTTTTCCAACACTGTCCAGCTTGCAACGACTAGGCAAATGGAGAAAGCGAAGCCTCCGATGCCAATGTCGAATGTATGCTCCACAGGAAGGCCAGCGATAAGGAGGAAATAGATGTTTTGCGTCAACAACTGAGCGCCGCAAACATTAAGTCCCGAAATGATGAAGATGACGGAGAGAGTCCGCCGAAGGTCGGTTCCCTTGAAACAGTCGAGATATCCTCCAGCTGCGACCTCATGGCCGGAATTCTCGTGTCGAATCATGCCGACGAGGTGTGCGAACCGTGCGTCGATAGAATTGGTACTGCCGTAAATGGTAGTAATTGCCTTTTTGGCCTCTTCCAGTCGGCCTTTATTGATCAGGTATACAGGAGACCTATGATAGTCGCGTCAACATCGCGTTCTCGGGCTTTGTCGTCGGGCCAAGGTGTAATGCTTACTCAGGAACAAATGGAAACACCAACACAAGCACTGCAGCCAAGGGCCACTGGATTGCAAAGGCGGTCTTGAAGGCCCGAGGACGCATGTCGGCGATCAGCGCGCGTATAATGCCGAGTCCCAACATCTGCATGCATGTTTGGAAGAGAATCAAAGATGACTGGATGATTCCACGTAGGCGAGCAGATGATATCTGATGAATACAGCGGCGTGTTAGTTGCAAGTTCTCGGTGACACAACTAGAAGTGTGCATATAGGACTGGTGCAGTGACAGATCAAGACTCACCTCGGATGCCCAGGCAGTCGCAACGGCAAAAAGAGCCCCGATTGCCAGGCCGTTGAGCATTTTGCCAGCTAGTAACGTTCCTCTACTATTTGCAGCGAACTGGACCGCGACACCTGCGACAGAGAAGATTGCCAGGCCAACCACTGTCCACTTGCGACCCACACGGTCCATGACGAAGCCAATCCCAAATCCACCCAGAGCTTGTGCCAGGCCGGTCATGGCCGTCCAGAGCGAAGTCCATACAGATGGCAGGTATGTTTGTCCGTCGGGGGTGGTGTCTCCAAAATATAGGGTGAAGGCTGGCATCGCGATTGATGCTCCGTTGATGATGCCATCGTATCCGAAGCAGGCTCCAACAAGGAACGCAGCAGAGGCTGGATTCGATGACTATATTTCAGCATTTCGCATCCCGGCTCTTCAAATTGAGCATGCTTACCGTAGCAGAGCATGCGCCATTGCGCCCAGCACGCCTGCCAGAGTGTCATGTCGCGCTCGGAATTGAGAAGCTGGGCACCCATCTCGGTTTCGGCAGGGCCGAGACCCATCATGTCGAGGGTGGCCTCTGTATGCTCTGCACAGGGCTTATTGTCGTCGTATTTATCCATGTCTGATTGAGCTTGAGTGAAGTGATTCCAAGCATCCAGGAGTCTTTCCAGAGCAGTGCGAACGGTGGTTATTTATGGAAACCAGGAGGTCATTTGTTGGGGCGTGTCAAGCAAAACAGCACCAATGCAATCAACGTCGATGGTTTTATTGCCACAGACCAGGGCCGCTTGAAGCTAGAGCAGGGAAGATGAATACGTTACTACTTTCCAACCGAGTGGCCGTTTCTGGGCGCTAGCTGTCGTATACCTCCAATCCAACCCGGATTCATGGGGCAAGATTCTGAAGGATTCCGGGGAAAAGCTGGGGGAAGCCATGCACGGCTGGGGTTCATAGAGTCTTCCCTGGTGGTTTGACATGGCGGTAGACAACAAGCACCCAGTACGAATTGTGTGGGGCGGGAAGTGGTCGACCACAACCAGTGCTACTCCAGACTAGTTACTTACAGTCCCGGAAGGTGGCGACTCTTTAGGCTCATTACTTAACCCTGGACAGCCTCTTAGAGGTCGCTCGCTGAGCCGACCCATGATATCTTGCCTTTGTGGGGCGGGAAGTGGTCCAACACTAAGTTAAGTTAGGTGATATAGCGCCTGGTGAACCACTTCCCGAGTCAGCTGCCGGATCGTTAGTCCATCTATCCATCTTGAACTGCAGCGTCGCTCGCTTACTGCGCCAGGTTTGTCTCATGTGGAGCGGGAAGTGGTTCAAAACTACGCGCGTAATATCCCTCCCTTAGTGGGGACGATGGTACTGAGGTACAGTCTGACAGTCAAAGGGATGCAAGTGCGAGTACGGAGTATTCATGAATATTTCAGCACCCATATAGTCCTTCTATCCCTCCATAAACCATGTGTAAAAGCTTTAAACCTGCTCTTCTATTCGTTGCATCAACTGTTAAGCAAACGCGAACGAGTGCCACATTGTCTAAATCATGCCTTTCAGCCCGCCTCTCACGGACAGAGTGTCAATGGTCCACGATGCCGAAAAGATACAAACCCAATTAAAGCAGTTGTCCTTGGAGGAGAAGGTAAGTCTGCTTTCCGGCTCTGGATTTGCTACGACTGCGGCAATCCCTCGACTTGGAATACCTTCTTTGAAAGTAAGTGTAATAGTCATTTTAGCCAAATGCTTGTGGAATTTTAGGCTTTACTGAGTAAGTGGTGTGCCAGCTGGCTGAAGGGGTAAACGGTGTGAAGGATGCCCTCGCTATCGACTCTGGTGATTCCGTAGTAGATGTCCTGGCAGGAGGAGGCCCTACGACAGTCTGCTTCCCAAGCACTTCCTGCTTCGGCGCGACATGGAACATCGACCTGATACGCCGTCTCGGTGAGGCACTTGGTAGCCAAGCAAAGTTCAAAGACGTTGCAACTATTATGGGCCCTGGGGTGAATCTGCACCGAGACCCTCGTTGTGGCCGTAACTTCGAGTACTTCAGCGAGGATCCGTTTCTTACAGGCTGCCTCGGGGCGGCCTTAATCAACGGTATTCAGAGTCACGGAGTAGGTGCTTGCGCGAAGCATTTCGTTGCGAATGACGCCGAAAACTACCGAAGATCGTATAATGTTTTGGATCCATCCGGAGGCAAGGCTCTGCGGGAGCTTTATCTGGCTGCATTTCAAGAAGTGCTCGTTCACTCGAACCCTGTAGCGATCATGACTTCGTAAGTACGACATTTTTCACTCCATCATTCATCTATCTGATGGGTCACAATATGTCTGACTGTTCACTCAAGCTACAACAAGGTCGAAAACTTTCACACCTCTGAAACTCCACTACTGGCTGAAGTCATACGTGGTGAGTGGGGATACGACGGCGCTATTCAGTCAGATTGGTTTGGAACCGTTTCAACGGTACCATCTATCCTGGCAGGGCAGGATTTAGAGATGCCCGGTCCTTCCATTTTCCGCGGTCCGCGTTTGATGAAAGCTGTCAGAGATGGACTCGTATCAGAGGGACAGATTGATCAGCGAGCAACAAAGATGCTCGAGTGGATTGACAAAGTTACACAACGGTCCACGAAGCTACCCTTGTCTCAGGACGATTCAGTGGCGGTGGCCAGACAAGTTGCTGCAGAAGGCGTCGTCCTACTGAAGAATGAGGGCGCAGTTCTGCCACTTGATCCAAAAACACCGAGCAGAATAGCTGTCATAGGTCTGCCAGCCGTTGACCCTCCTGTGGGTGGTGGAGGCAGCTCTTTGGCACCTCCTCAGTATGTTCGAAATGCCTGTGACGCCATCAAGGCCGCACACATCGATCCGCATCTAGTTCGATACGGAGGTGGTGTTCGTTGCAATAAGATCCTCCCAACTATCCCAGCAGACCGGATCTCAACTCCTGATGGACTACAAGGTGTTAGCGTCGCCTACTACAACAACTCTTCCCCTTCAACGCCCGTTTTCACCGAACCCCAGAGGCGAGCCCAGGTTATGATGCTAGGATGGCTTGCGCCTGGTTTGGATGAATCTGGTGGATTTCGCTACGAAATCAAGACCACATTTATCCCAGAATCAACGGGTAATCACTCCATAGGTGTTCGATCAACAGGGGCATACCGGCTGTTCATCGACGAATCTGAGGTAAGAGCCCCTTAATTTCCGGCTCAACGCATGTCGCTAATAGACAATCACTTAGATTCTCTCGGCTCCATCACCCAGCTGCAATGCTGAAACATTCCTCTTCACGCCACACAAATTAGAGACGTCAATCGTATTCCCCATGAGCTCAGGACAGTCATACTCTATCCGTCTTGTAGTGCAGTCCTGGAAGTCAACAGTTCAAAAGGCAAATGAACCCAGTCCGCACATGACGGAGTTATGTTTTCAGACGGAAAATGCTGATGATCAGGCAATCACGGAAGCGGTCTCACTTGCGAGAGACTCTGACGTTTCTATTGTCTTCGCAGGCCGTAACAGCCAGCATGAAGGTGAAGGTTCGGACATGGAGAACATCAGTCTGCCAAATAGGCAAGAGGCCCTTATACGTGCTGTGGCAGCTGCCAGCAAGAAGACTATCGTGGTGCTTTACAGCGGCGGCCCTTTCGATGTGTCCGCATTTGTAGGGTCCGTGGATGCCATCATTCACGCGCACTACTTGGGTCAAGAAGGAGATCTTTCACTTGCTGATATTCTCTACGGGAAGATCAACCCCAGCGGCAAATTGGCGACCACATGGCCGATGCAGTTGGAAGACGTTGCTACTTTCGGAAATTTTCCCGCATCGATGAACCCCGACGGTCAACCCGAGATAACTCTTCAGGAAGGTATCGAGTTTGGTTACAGATGCCAACACCTTGTCCCTCCTCGCTACCCTTTTGGTTACGGCCTCTCCTACACCGTCTTCCAATTTTCCGATCTAGCTATCGAACCGACTCATATCGATACCGCAAAAGAATATTCGGAAGCTGTTATCAGCGTCAGGGTTACAAATACAGGTCCCAGGACCGGTGCCGAAGTGGTGCAAGTATATGTTCAGCCTTCCGGAGCTTCGGGACGGTCACCCAAAATCCTGAAGGGTTTCTCCAAGGTCTTGCTTGAGCCTGGTACATCATCAGAGCAGAAGATTAAGATCAACATACGCCAGGCATTGAGCTCTTGGGATACACAGTTGAAGAAGTGGCGGCTCGACTCAGGTGCCTACCGCGTTAGTATTAACGGATATACTGCTGAAGAAGCGACAATAAATGTTGGTGAACAGGTTACATGGCTTGGTTTGTAAGAGGAGTTAGTGAGGGAATCTTTGAGCTTAGATTGGTACTACTCAATATGGACTGCATTTGCTCACAGAGAGGCGGTGTGTAAATATATAGAAAAGTGGAGGAGGGGTAACAGACTGCTTTCCGGACTATTGCCAAATTTCCCAACAATCTGATTTCATATTTCTACCACATTTGAGTATCTAGAAACGTATGCATGTTTGCCGGGGCTGGGGATGATGTTGGCGTTATCAACCCAACATCCGGACTGACACTTGGAACAATTTGTGTTGGGGAAGGAGAAAATCGTTCCGTGAGCCTGGCTTTTGGAGATCATGAGCTTTAGATTGTGAGTAGAGGAGGTGTTTATCACGTTTCTAGGGTTCACGAAAAGCTAGCTCGACGATGGTAGACAAGGTTAGTCTTGGAGGAATACAACCCCTGCTCATAGTTGCATTATCACCAAAAATGGAAGGTTTTACGACTATCATTTGGCGTCAGACAGTAAATACTCTCGTGCCAAGGCCCATATCGCTACGGCATTCAGATTTGCACTCCGGCATCTAACCTTCGGCCTCGCGTTCCCAACCAAACCCCTAGGCCACTCGCCGATAGCTGTTATTGGCGTCGCATGATATCATTTCTCCACTTCCGCAAACTATGTAGATGTAACCTGCCTTTTCCGACTACTTATTCCCGTTCGAGCCGCCTTGACCGAGATTTAAACCGAATTGCAGGGAATAATGGCGAATACAATGGCACAATAGTGGGATCGGAGTGAACCATTGGCGTGCGGGGTAACAAACTGCCGATTGTGATCTCCTGACGAGAGAGACACAAATTTCTGGTGAATAAATACTTCGAGAATTCTATTTACCTGCCTATTTGCTCCAATGGAACGATATGCGGCAGCCATGATGAGACTTCTAAAGCCAATAAGCGCCGTTCTTGCTGCGTCGCAGATTTCGTTCTCTCATGCCACCAGCAACTCGGAAAAGCCAATCAAGCTCGACGGCTATGGAAAGTTTTCGGGAACCGTCCTGAATACTACCTACAGCAATCAGGAACTCCCTAAGCCCGTTGACGCTTGGCTTGGTATCGACTATTCCACACAACCAACTGGAGACGGTCGGTTTAGCCCGGTAGACTGGCCTGCGCCCTTCAAGGGCGTCAAGTCCGCAGCCTCATACGGCAAGGTGTGCATCCAAGAGGCATCGTCAAGCCTCCCAGTCGAAATCCAAGATGAAGCTTGTCTCAACTTCAACGTCTACCGAACGCAAGGCGTACCCTTGAGCCAGAAGCTGCCCGTTCTTGTCTGGATTCACGGAGGGGCTTTCTACGCTGGGAGCTGGAAGAGTTTTGACGGCGCTGCCTTTGTGGCTTCTTCTCGCGTCCCGATTGTCGTGGTGACGTTCCACTACCGCGTCAACTCGTTGGGATTTTTGCCATCTGCGCTCTTCGAAGACGAAGGTCTGCTGAACCTTGGTATTCGCGACCAGCATCAATTCCTCCACTTCGTCCAGAAGCACATCAAGTCCTTTGGAGGGGATCCAAAAGCCGTCACCCTCGGAGGACGCTCTGCTGGCGGCCACTCCGTGGGGATTCACTATTTCCACAACTACGGCAAGGAATCCAAGCAATTGTTTGCACGAGCCATCCACCAATCCGGCTCTGTCACGTCCAGAGCTTTTCCCAATGCGAGCTACCCGCTCTACCAGACTCAATACGCCGAATACTTGGCCTACCTTGGATGCGATGAGGAATACGACAACGAGTCGACTCTCGCTTGCCTTCGCAGCGCCGACGTGGATTCGATTCGAACCATCAGCAGCAAGATTTACAACGACTATGACCCAGTATTAACGTGGCCGTTTCAGCCTGTGCATGGTGGCTTCTTGTTTGAGAAGCCAGGCTCGCAATCTGGTTATGACGGCACCTTTTTCCACGTCCCAACAATCAGCTCGACCACCACTGACGAAGGGAAGTTTTACGTGCCCGGAGACCTGGAAACCAACAAGGAGTTCTTGGATTATCTACACAACATTTCTCCCGCTCTAAATGCCAAGGATATTGCCCTCCTGGAATCCTTATATGCTGATCCTGCGACTGACCCGACATCACCCTTTGCCAACTCGCCAAACAGCACGCAGTATAACCGCATAGCAGCAGCTTGGAGCGATTACGCATACATCTGCCCTGGTCAGGAGACGTCGTATCGGACGTCCACCGCCGGCGTTCCCACGTGGAAGCTCCGTTTCAACACGCCCAACAATGTCCCCGCTTGGCAGGGAATCCCGCACACATCTGATACAAGGTACACTTGGGATGAGCCTACGGCTCAGTACCCTGAGATCAGCCACCTCTACCACGGATACCTCTCTAGCTTTGTAGCAAGTGGAGATCCTAATAAATACAGATACCCTGGGAGTCCGAAGTGGCCTCAGTATGAGGGAGATGCAAATGAGCCAAAGCAGCTAGTCGTGCAGCCAAAGGGAACACAGGTCGAGAAGGATACCATTAGAAAGGAGGCTTGCCTTTTCTGGAGAGATTCTGATCGAGCTACTAGATTAAATAAATAGTTTCCTCGACGGCATAATAATAGGGCATATGTCTTTAGAGACACTCATTAGTATCACTGACTTTCAACGAGCACGATAAGTTACTTAACATATGGGTCTGGTTAGAAGTAAATAGAAGTATCACTAGTCCCTGACATATAGTCACATGGGTTTCCACACATCTGATATAAGGTACACTTGGGATAAGCCTACAGCTCAGTACCCTAAGATCAGCTATATATACTATCAAGAGGTTAGGGTGCCCTAGTACACACATACCCAGAGGGGGGACTGGAAGCTCAACAGTAAAAAAAAGACACCGACAATACTATCAACAATAGTACTGGAGGTATTCAAGAGGCTGAAGTGGTGTTATCTGACTTTTTTTTTCTGCCAACGTTTTTGTGGAAGTCGTGGATTGATTCCCCAACCTGAAGGTCGAGCACTCCGTCCTCGTAGAGGAAGAGCGCAACGGCTGTCATATAGCATTCCATCATGCAATAACACTCGTTTCGAGATCCAGTCCTATTCTGTCGGGTCTTTGCAGCCCCTGGTTTTCCCAATTCTCCATCGCCTGCTCAAATAGCACCGCCTGCTCTTCCCCAGCCGGCATAGGATTGCCCTTTCCCCTCCTCAGTCGACTGTCCATCGTCTCAGTGAGCCTAGCCTCCACATCTGTATCATTCACCACGTCCTGCTTGAATACGTAGGACCGGGTCTCGCAGTTCCGCCATCCCGTCCCAGGGTTCAGCCATGAGTCCTCCCAATCATCGGTGAAGTAGTGCAGGAAACCCCCGTGCGTTACGAGCGCAACTTGAGGGTCTGTATCGCCTTGCTCGATCAGTTGGCGGATCTTCTGTCGGATAAAAATGCGGGCGTCGCGGGCGCGGGCTGCTATGGCGTTGCTTTCTGGGCTGTAGTGAGTCCCTAAAGCTTTCACGATCCAGCCGTCCTTGACTAGAGAGAGGTCGACGGGCCACTTGCTCTCAGCTACCACTCTGCGGAGGACTGATGGATCAGTTCCAATGTCGCACGGGTCATCCGAGGTTTCTTGAGCGTCAGGGATGGCAATTATCTCAGGGTGACACTTGCTGCTGGCCGTGAGGGCTGGTTGAAACACTAGATGGGCAGATTGGAGTGTTCGGCTAAGCGGAGAAGCAAGGACAAGAGATATCTTTGACTGGTCTGAGAAGGCCGTCTTGCGCAAAGCTATGCTCTGCTCTTCACCCAAGGGAGTCAGGTGAGGATCAGGAAGAGTGTAGCATCCGACACCAACGTTGTGAAAGCCCTGTCCATGGCGGACACAATGTATCACTGGTGACATTGTGAGATGTGTAGAAGTAGAGAAGACTTGTTTGGTAGAGATGTGTAATATAGAATGATGCAAAGAGTCTAGCTACTGGCAAGATCGCAGTTCATAAGATATAGACACCGGTCTGGGAGCGGCATGATGAAGTTGAGCTTCTAGTCATCAATGCCATTGCAAGAAATACATCCAGTACTAGACTGCTGAATAATTCTGAATTTCTGCTGACAAATGCTTGTCTTAAATAAGTACAGCCGGGCTATCTTTCGATCCATCTTCGCAATCGATCGATGACCATATGGCACTAAAGTTTCCGAGATAATGGCAAAAGAAATCCAGATTTTCCATGTCTTCGAAGGGCGCAAGTTTCGATGCGAGGAGGATGTGGATCTGAAGCATCGCGGATGAATCTCAAACCAATCAGGATGCTGGCAGATCAGTCGAACTTAACCCCATATGGGCAGCCAAGACGCAAGTCGTGCATAAGCGTTGTGTCCACTAACGCCTATGTTTAAGGCGAGCAAGTAACAGTGCTGACCTATCTAGCTAAATGAAGGCGTGTGAACGGCAAGGAGACTCTCGACTATGGTGCACCTTGATACTCGTCTGGCAAGCTTTAGGCGGTGGGCTCAGGCTACCATCCAACCTCAATTGTCCGAAAACTCACATATTCAGATGTTCTGATTACAAATGTAGTGATAATTTTGCCAAAAATTGTATAAGATCTCTTGCCCTGGTCTTTTCATAGCCCGGCCTCTGCTCGTTACATATCTCTGCATATTCAGTGGCCGATATTTGGCAGACAATGACACACCCATCGTTACCTTCATCACCGTCTCAGCGGGTTCCCAGCAACACCTCAGCAACACCGACTGTACTGTCGAGAGAATGTAGCCTCAGGGCTCTAGCTCAAGTTGTTAATCCTTTACCAAACGACGACCCTTCACCGGATCTCCATGACATTGCCGAATTCATACCCGCAGTTGACGAGTCCCTCCAAGCACGAATCGAGCGCCTCGGCCGCGAGCGCCCTCGGATCTTTACAACCCGCTGGAGCGAGATCATCTTCGTCTTCAGCATCTCCATGTCCCAATTCTTGACAGAATACTTCGTCTCAGGCTTCACCGTCATCCTCCCAACACTGATCACAGAGCTCAATATCCCGCAAGCAGCCAGTGTGTGGCCAGCGACCGCCTTCTCCCTCGTCATCGCCAGCACCTTGCTCGTCTTTGGCCGTCTGGGCGATATGTGGGGAGGATATCCCGTCTTCATGTGTGGTCTTGCCTGGCTTCTTGCCTGGAGTATAATAGCTGGGTTCAGCATCAATCCGCTGATGCTCGACTTCTGTCGGGCTCTGCAAGGGCTAGGAGCTGCGGCATTCTTGCCTACTGGAGTCATGCTCATGGGGTCGTTGTATCGTCCTGGGCCACGAAAGAATCTCGTCTTTGCAGTATACGGCACTTCAGCGGTATTTGGTTTTTTTGGTGGCATTCTCATGGCAGGGATTGTAGGTCAATTCAAGCGCTGGGGTTTTTACTTCTGGATCGGCGCCATCCTGACGGCAATTACGATGTTAACTTCAGTCTTGTCCATTCCGCGTCCTCATTCAAAGGACCAAACCCCAAGCAAAGCCAAAATGGACTACCCCGGCGCCATTACGATCGTCTGTGGCCTCATCCTAGTCGTGTTTTCCATCTTGCAATCAGCCCACGCCCCTGCAGGTTGGCGAACGCCATTTATTCCAGTGTGTCTCATACTTGGTGTCTCGTCACTCCTTGCTGCAGGCTACATCGAAACGCGCGTCTCTGCTCAGCCTCTCTTACCGGCTTCGATCTTCACGACTCCTTGCATGAGCCCTCTCCTTTTGGCCCTCTTCCTGCTTTACGGCACCTGGGGCATCTTTTCTGTATATGGTACACTCTATTTCCAGAACATCATGTCTGCCAGTCCGTTGCAGGTGGTAGCGTGGTATGTGCCTCTCGGTCTTGCAGGCCTCATTCTCAGTGTCATCGAAGGCTTCATCTTGCACCTGGTTCCAGGACGTGTGCTGTTGATCATTTCCGGCCTGGGCGCAATAGGGTCACAGCTTCTCATAGCTCTAATTCCGCTTGGAGGAAGTTATTGGGCATGGATCTTCCCTGCAGTCATCTTCAGCACCGTGGGAATCGATCTGTCCACCATCTTGATGACAGTTTTCGTGACCACGACGTTTCCTACAGCGCAGCAGGGGCTGGCTGGGAGTGTTATTAATTCTGTGCTGCAGCTAGGTGTAGCTTTCGTCCTTGGTTTGACGGACATCATCCAATCAGCAACAGTAGACGAGGCAGGATTGGGGAAGAGCTATAAGAACACGTTCTGGTTTGGAGTGGGTGCTGCAGCCGCGAGTTTGTTGATTCTGGCAATCTGGGGGAAGGTACCTAAGGCCAGTAGTGATTTGACCGCGGATGAGAAGGCTGAACTCCTGGAAGAGGCAATGACTGAGCAGCAAAGGCAATCAGCCAACAGGGGTGGTACTCTGAGAGATGCATGATCCCACATGCAGACCTCTGCTCACGAATTGTTGCTAGACCACGTGGTCTCCAACTGGTGATTACCCGGTGGTTGCTCTCATGATTGTAGTAGTTACCTATATAGTCCCGGTCAGTGGCAATGGATCTCTGCCACCACCATGATCATCCGGGATCGCCTTACAATCATGCAATCAACCAGTCGGTGCCTATGTTCTTTAGCTTCTCGATCCAGTTCCAATTCTCTTCCTGTTTGTGGAGTCGGTCATTGCTGCTCTTTACGGCATCTTCATTCTTTCTCCCATCCCATATTGTCCTCAATGCTCCGAGGGCCTCTCTAGTAAGTCCCCAAGGCTCAATTTCCCAGAGCTCTTGGAATCTTCTCACTACCCAAGCACGATTCGTAAGGTCAACCGTTTCCAGGCCAGTAATGAAAGCTGGCCACGCTGTTGCTGTGAATAATGCATCTCCAGGGTGCATATTTGAAAGGTGGGTGATGATTTCGGCTGCTAGGATTTCCAGATCATCTGGCAAAACTGTGCTGGGCCATAGGGCAAGAATAATGCGTGAGAGATAGACACATACAGCTGCCCTGTGTGCAGAGGCAATTTTAGTCCGATGGAAGAGATCATCAGCCGGTGAGCGTGGCTGTAAATTGATGGCCCAGACAGCTGGGTCGAATGACTTCGCAGCGTGTAAGAGATGAAGCGCATCGAGATGTCCCAAATTGATCAAGGTATCCGGAGACGTGGAAACGTCGTTCATCTTTAATAGTTGAGCCCCTGCCTGTATCAAAGGAAGGAGGGCTGCCGGAAATGACGAGCAATGGTTGCCTTCTGCATCTTGAAGCAGTGACATGGTAGTCGTCGATAGCCCACCACTGTGCGGTAGATAAGAATTTGCGAATGATGACCCAAGAAGATCATACCTAGTGCATGTCAAGTCAGGAGCATCAATTACTGGACAGGACGACTTACACCAAGCAATTTGACACCAACCAGCTGCGAAGCGGGCTCAAAGCAATCTCCGTCGCCGGGGCGGATGCGATCAGCTTCTCAATGATTATTCTCGCACCATTGATGTGAAATATCCAGCTGCTTCGCCCAGAGTCAATGAGCTCGAACCCAATGAGGAGAAGCACCACGGCGAGAATCACATCAACATCCGCTGAAGCCATGTCCTCGAGAGCAGACTTCAGCAGACAAAGTGCCTGCTGCTTGGCCCTGAGTGCGTCATGGAAAGTCTCCGGGCGAGATGTCATACATGGACCGATCGATAGAGAGCTCAGTAAGCTTGTGCTGCTCGGAGTCGAGGCCATCGTTGTAAAGATACTCGACGACCTTGATGGCCGTTGACAAGCGTTTGACATGTGCAAGGCTGAACTGGCGATGATGGTCTGCAACAAGATGGGCCGCTGGTAGGCCATCGGAATCAGCTCGCGGAATGGATTATGTTTGGGGATGTCATAGAGAACGAGGTCCCTGCAAACATCACTTGCAACTTTCACCGAAGAATATTAGTATGAAGAGCAGTCAAGCGGACGAAGGTAGCCTACAATAGTCCAGATATCTCCTCGATCGATAGTCTAGATGTTGCGCAAGCGGGTCTATTAACGAACGAGGTAACGAACGAGGTAACGAACGAGGAGAGTTCGGCTTAGAACTTGCGAATGGGGGCTGCCTTGTAGACATGATAGAAAGCCATGGCGCTTGTAGAGTCGAGGTTGCATCTCCCTTCTGGATCTTCCTCATGTCGTCGGATGTAACGCCAGCCATTTTCCCACGACTCGCCATACCATTCTCCCACCGCAACAGAATGCCATAGCCTAGACAACATTGACCCCTCCTGGTGCATTTCAGGCAGTGCGGAAGGGATCGGTCACATTTCAAGCGGCTGCGCCTACAGTTGTGGCATGCTCCCGGCCTTGCACTCATGGCTAAGCTCCAATATGTAATAGGAGAAGGGCGATGCTCGCAGAATGATAGAGCAAAACGCTTATTTGTACTTGGGTAGAAAGGGGGTCATTAGTGATGTTGTGCACTGCGCTGTCACGAAATCAGCCGCTAGGACTGAGAAGTTGAGAACCTTTCCAGGGCGGTCAGATAGATAAGATAGGCAGGAAAAGCTGGCTCCGGGTCGCCTGACGGGGCCGACGAGTCTTTAGACCAATGGGAATTGCTAAAAGTGCGGCATCTATAAGCTTGCAGCACCCCTATTAAAGTGGTGCTATACCTCTATTAATTGGCAACATATTGAAGGCTATTATATATATTGGATATATTGTGAAATTAATTAATAAAAAGAAAAAGCAGCAGGCAGCTTACTATGAAAATTTATATAGATATTTAGCTAAGTAAATAAATAAGCTAATACTAGTAGAGCTTGTTTAGCTTAATTAAATTATATAATTAGCTGGAGTCTTAAAGTAAAATTTATTTATTTATTTTAATTTTACTGTTAATTTCACTGCTAATTTTACTTAATATTATGAACTTAATATATAACTCTGGTTAAAGTAGATAGAAGTATCACCATTTTAGAACACATAGTCACATAGGTTTCAAATAGACTTTGGAAATATACAAGACGATTAATAAAAGCAAAGATATCATTCAGTTTCTATTCTATTGTCTATTAAACACCCCGAGCGCCTGTGCAATGCGTAACACTGAACCTTGTGCTATTAAATGCGAGCAGTAGGCTCGCTAGTAGCGGCAAGGTACTCCTCGCTGAAAGGATAGTCGTTGTATCCGACGCTGCTCTTCTTCACGTAGAAGGTCTCGCGGTCATAGGGGGTGAAGGGGACGCCGTTCTTGGCTCGGAAGACCAGATCGGGGTTGGAGATGAAGTATCGGCCAAAGGCAATGGCGACATCCCAGTTCTTGTAGCGTCCATCGAGAGCCTCAGCTGCTGTGTCGGGCATGTAAGCACCGGCAACGAACACAGGAGACTGGTTGTCCCACTCCTCGAGGATGAACTCGAGTTCCTGCGCCTTGTCTCCGAAGGGCTTGACGGCGTCCATAGGCTGGGCCGGAACGATGCCGAGGTTGACAGGGTTGCCACGGGGCTCAACCAGGGACAGGTAGGCGAGGTTGTATCCAGCCTTCTTCAGCTCACGGATAATATAACCAGTCTGCTCCCAGGTGTCGGTGGAGAAGGAGCCCTGGAAAGTGGCAAAGGGGCTGAGACGCAGAGCAGTGCGCTCGGCACCAATCTCCTCGACAACAGCCTTGATAATCTCGAGCAGGAAGCGAGCGCGGTTCTCGACGGAACCACCCCACTTGTCAGTGCGGCTGTTAATACTATCGCGAGTGAACTGGTCGACGAGGTAACCGTGAGCACCGTGAATCTCAACACCGTCACCACCGGCAGCAACGACATTCTTGGCGGCGTTTCGGAAATCGGCAATCTTCTGGTAGATCTCCTCCTCGGTCAGAGCCTCGGGGGGGACAGGGCGGCCCTCCATCTGCTTGGCGCTGCTGGAGGCGTACTTGAAGCCACGGCTCTGGACGTACTGGGGGTTGCCAGCACGGCCGAGATCCCAGAGCTGCTGGAACATGAAGCTGCCCTTGGCGTGAACGCCCTCGTAGACACGCTTCCAGCCAGCGATCTCCTCCTCGGTGGAGACACCAGGCAGGTTAGGATCAGCCTCGGCGGCCTGAGAAACACCAGTGGCCTCGCTGATGATGAGAGTGCCGGGAGCTGAAGCACGGTCGGAGTAGTACTTGATCATCATGTCAAGGGGAGCGTGGTTGTCGTCGTTACGGTAACGGGTGAGAGGAGCCATGGCAATGCGCTGGGAGAGAAGCGAGTTGCCGACCTTCAGGGGCTGCCATAGTCTGGATTCGGAGACAGTCATTGTGAATAGTTGATGAAGGCGTGGAGAAGTTGAGTGAGTTGCGTATGCTAAAGATGAGATGAGATAAGATACTGTATGTTGTTCTACGAGATATTCCTGAAGCGTCCCGAGATGGAGATATATACTCACGGCCACAACTAGCCTTGGCAACATAACCCAAAATCCATTTCTAAGCGATCGAAAGCTCAGATCAAAAACTCCACTAAGGATCGCACGCAATCATACTTCCAGAAGCAGCGGCAAGCGGCAATACCACGCAGCTCCGCCGCATGAAGAGGCTCAACGACGTCAACGCCTCTGAAGACTTTTTCGGCCCGCTACTACGTAAGGACAACCTCGGTAGACGAGTCGTCTGTGTGTCTTGAATGGGGACGCGGACCCGCAGTCGCCATGTGTTGGCGACGGTTGCAGTGGGCCAACATCCCATTCCAGTCCCATTGCAGAGAGGCGGCTCCGTTGTGCTTAGCAATCGCCATGTTTCAACCACCAAACCTGATAAGGCGGTGGCCGTTGGCCGGGAATGGTTTCCGTTAACGGGAACATGTCCGAGTATTCCCAGTTTGCTTAGTCAATTCTCGATCCACTTGGCTTTTAGTGCCGGTCGAGATCCACATGAAGCGGCTACGTCATTCTGGCACCGAAACCCAGAGACCGTTGTGATGGCATCCAGAAGTGAGTCTCGGTCAGTGGCTCAGTGTGTGAATTGTTGCTGTAGAGACTCTCTCCAAGGTGGGCATGAATGGAGACGAGCAAGGACAGGTAGTAAAGCAGATGAGCCTCCACTGCCGAAGATTGAGCAAAAAAATCGCACTGATGACCCTGAGGATTGATAAGCCGTAGCACCAAGATTGAAGGGATTGACAGGAGGAAGATCAGTCGGGGAGATGGACGCGTAATATGGTTTGGTGAGTCGGAAAGATTTAAAAGAGCTCCGAGATCGAGGCTCATCAAAAAGAGCGGATCTGCTGAGTCAGCCAGTAAAGGGCATGGCTTCACAAAACGTGGCAAAAACTACCAATCTAATATTCTCTGTTTAGGTGAAGTTTCGAATGTTCATCAAATTTTAGACGTTTGCGATAATAGATGCACAGAATCCATGTACCATAAATCAAGGGAGGAAAAGGCCATACGTGTCCTATGTAATAGCTTCTTTCCAAGTGCCTGACGCTGGATATTCTCGTCACTCTAGGGTAGGGACCACTCCACTGCCTGCTCGGAGGCTCGGGTGGGGTGGTTCAAATTGGTAAGGAGATGCCACTTCTATATTTGGAGTAGCCCAGCATATTTCCGGATCCTGTTTAAGGGCTCCATGAGATCTTCGGAGTATAAATCTGCTTGCATTTTGGTTTCGTTATTAACGTAGCCATGGCGTCTCCCAACGTGAAGGCACGTTCACTCTAGACCCACCAAACACGACGGGGGAATTGTCCTCTGGTTTCTTGTTGATCTGGGAGCGTATGGGACCACGAATTTGTTTAATTCGCTATACGTGGCGAAAAATAATCTACATCCTGCAGCTGTGTCGCCGACATCATCCAAATTTCTCGTCATGGCGATGGTCAGCACTGGATTGTGCGTCTACAGAGACGGATACTTGGCAAAGCTGTTCGGCTCCATGGCCCGCAAGTCGCCGGGCCCGATAGTTAGCTATGCTTTGCTTGCATTATTCTGTATACTAGCTCTCATGGCTCCGAAGATGTCGACTCTACCATTGACAAAGATGAGCTCGTGTTCATTCCTCATCTGATTGGATGAGGCGAGTTTGAGAGCGGCCGCGGAAGCCTTGTGTTTTAAAATACTTAAATTGTGAAGAAAACTATGTTTTGTTTTCCCCTGTGCCATCAGCAACTCGCTCTCGGTGGAGCAGATAGCAGTGTACTAGCTAGAGCGTAGTGCAATAATAGATACTTGATGTGATAGCATCTGCAAAATGAACTAGCTTGGAGCAGATGGTTAATCTCCTCATTTGTGGATTTTGGCTTAATCAATGCTGAAGCACACCAACCAGGGGTCAAACCGAGAAAATGATCCTAAGCGGCGGGAGTAACAGACCAAGACCCCCCAACAAACACAAGCTCTCCATTTGCTTCTTTCTCAGCAGCATCCACGTATACCCGCAATCCGATACGCCCCTTGTCCACGTTAAACACACGTAAGACAACGTACACAGTTTCTCGACTGCCGCGGTGTTCTCGCATCTTCACTTTTGTTAGCCAAGCACGGCTTTGATGTCACAAACATCTCAAAGGACTCACACGCTGATATTGCAACCTGCTCATAAAGAAGGGAGTCCTGCAGGGACCGGTAGTGGTCTTGACTTCGAGTAGATAGTTCGGCCGAGCATGCTCCCAGGACGAACTCAAATAATCGCAGTCGATGAGCACCTTTGTAAGAGCACCAGTCGTGTCCGCGTACACAATATCAGCCGTCTCGCGATTACCTGGCCATCGAGTAATATCAGAGTACTCTGCATGAACCTTGACATAGTCTCGTATGGTACTTTGCCAATTTTCCATCGAAAACTCTGGGATTGATGGGTCTAGAGTCTTTAATAGTTCAAACACCTGGAGTTTCCTGTAAGTCACAATCTGGAAACACGTGCATTCGCAGTCTAGGTTTAAACTTACATAGAGCTCGCCAGCAGCGCCTACCATTCTGTCTCGCTCTAGTTGCGTCTTGGATCTAAAGCGGATAGATTCTTCGATGCGGTCGAAACTCGACTCCGTTTCGTACTCTGTGGGTAAGGCGCTTAGAAGAGCGGACATGTCCAATGGGGCATTCGTCCGAGTGGGAAAATCTGCGCCCCTTGCGGCTGAGATGACTCTACCGAGCAAGTCTCGGTATTTCGTTACGTCTTCGTTGACGGTTGACAGCCCGAAGTCCGGCTCTAAATATGGGCGATTTCCCGAGGTCCTCTGGGGTACAAATATGGGCCGTGCGGACTGAGAGTGAGATGCAGCCTGTGAACTCGTGACATTGACGTAAGTAATCTCCTCGGAGGTTACCTGGCGAGGAGGAGACACCGGTGTAGAATCAGCTAGTGACGAAGTCTCGCTGGCCATGTCTGCATATGGAGTCACGAGCTCCGCCACGTTGTCTCTTGCTGGTGACCTTTGGAGGCTCTCTTCCGTCTCAGATTCTGAACTGTCATTGGTGACATTGTGTTCCTCCTCATGATCCTCAGATTCGATATCAATAGACACGATGCCATTCTCCTCGAGGATTTCTGGAACGACATGCTTGCTGGCGTTGAGCACCGTCGCAACCAGTCGGTGAGCCTTCTCACTGGTGCCCGCAGTGATCTCAGTTTTCGGGTTCGTCATCAACCACTCGCACAGACGAGCGGGAAGTTTGCTGGCATAGCAGAATTGCCGTCTCTTTGTTTTGCGTGGGAGAAATATTTGTAGGCGCGTTCCCTCTTCGCGAAGGTGCAAGTCACTGCGACTCGAGACTTCTTTGTAGTCTTGTCCATCCTGAGAAAAGTGAACTTCACAAGATATTCCATGTGTCTCGTAAACTCGAACATTTCTCAGCGTCTCGTACAGACATTCGAGAGACGTGATTTTCAGTCTTTCACTGTCGTAGTGAAAGGCAATTCTATTCCGTGGTTAGCATTTCTTCATTGTATTGCTAGATGTTAACTTGCCGACACAGAGAATGAGCAATTGGCCGAATTTTATCCTCCGATGGTGTCACTGGTCTCATGTCCGTTTGATCAACAGTTGAAATTTCTCTCACTGAGAGTGACAGATACCGCTCCTCTAGCCCAAGCCATTGTATGAAAGAAGCAATTTCGTGAACTTCGTTGAGGTCAAAGTCGAGAGTTTTGACCTGCCCAGCGAAACAAACTCCCAACGTCACCCTATCCACAATGGCGAAGTTCGTTTCTCCTGTGAACAGCTTGACTTCGCCCCCTGGAATATGAACAGGGAAGATTTTTGCCCTTCGTAGCGGTTCTGGTTTTACTCTCGGGTATCTGCTGACATCCGAAAGAAGTCCATTGAAAGACTGTATTTGTTGCTTGACCTGGTCGACTGATGGAGATGGTGAGCGACCTAAATGTAGGAGCTCGTCGTATACAATCTGCAGATTGAGAGTGTCGACTCCAAGAAAATCAACAAAAAACTCTTGCAGATCCTCGTACTCTTCCACCAAGGGGGTTTTGCCTTGAATCCTGGTCTCACTGGACCACAAGCACTCTGAAACTTTGAGCCACCTCCCATTTACATAGATCAGAGATTCAGTTTCGAACGATTTCCTGTCACGACCTAGGTCAGCACACGCGGGGGTCCTGATTTACAGTAGATAGCTTACCTGATTTCCTCTCCATCCTTTCTAGTAAGTCCTGCCATAAGATGAAGGCGATCATAGAGTTCGGGTATCGCCTCCGGATAGTCATAGCCATACTGACTTGCATACTCCAACTCGTGCATGATGTCGCGCCAACTACAGTCAGAGACTTCAAGCACGTCGCGGAAAAGCCTCTCGGTGACCCGTCTGGCATCTTGTTGACGGGTCAATAATGTCTCATACCGCGATTTGAGAGGACGACTGGTGGTAAAGGTGGGCGGCGCATGCCATAGGCACTCGATGGGCTGGCTCCAGCAGGCCTCGAAGTCACCACTCGACGGCACAAAGATCAATCTATGTTCCGCAAAGAAATTTCTGGTACATCTTTAGCCTCTGGACTCTGCGTAGAAATTTGGCACTCACTCTAGCCTCCTCTTGTTCATCTCCATCGCCGCTGACTGCACGTACTTTCCGTAAATAGTGCTGTATAGGTCGATGAGCCTGTCCTCATCCTCAACCTTGTCGGCCCTCGTGGATCTGATTTGGAGGAGGAGCTGTTTGTAAAAGTCGATGCCTGCATCGATGCCGACTCCAAGCCGTGGCCCTAGAAAGGGCCAGTCCCTAGCGTAGGTGCCACGTTCCAGGGTTGTCGTCAGTTGAAGGAATGGGAAGCTCTCCTCACCTCTCAGGTACCTGGTACACTCGTCTTCAAGGTCTTGAAAAGGTAGGTAGGTTTTATCTAGTGCGATCATGGAGCCATCTTGGCAAAGGACCGGAATACCTTTGAGTTCTGTGGTCATTGCGAGGGATTTTTCGATATCTCTCCCCCCATCGCACCAATGATGCCGTAAAAAGCCCAAAAACTTATCAGGTAGGTGCTTTGCAACGTAGTGCACCGGTTTCGAGAGACTTCGAGGTTCCACAGATGAAACGAGACCGAGATGCCGTCGCACTCCGGCATAGGTACACAACCAATCTGTCCAGATCTCTGTGGAAACTGACGGTTTCTCTGGGGCATTTCGGAAATAAAGAGTGGAGAGGAAGTCCAGCTGTGGTGCACCCGCTGGTGTCTCCGTGGCGTTTGCATGTTGGAAAAGCCTTTTCAGTCCAAACTCGTGGTTGTCAGGGAGGAAGATATTTGCACCATATGGAAAGAGAGTGGTATCCTTTTGAGTTACCAGACGAAATTTTTCTTTGCCTTCCATCGGATTTGTGGCTAGATTGTGTGTTGAGTAGAAAAACTTGAGGTGGTTCACAAATGTGTAGAGCTTTGCCCCGGAGCCAGGTATATAAAAATGATGCCACTGGAGAATGGATTTGCGTACGAAGTCAACATGGGCGTCGGAAACGCCAAGGTACGCGAAGAGACGCACACGTCTCGAGTTTTTTTCAGCTGTGCCATTGAGCAGATTGAGGCCGGTACCTCCCGGAATCGCTATGCCAGCGCTTTTAGAAAAGTAGATGTTGTCTCTGTCGCTGGATGCGACCCAGTCCCCATCCTGCAACGGTAATAGTGATAATTTGAGAACCCTTGCACGAAGATGGTGGAGTGCTGCTTTGTCGAACGTCATCGCGAGCAGATTTGCAGCCCTGGTGTGCCAGTCATCAGTCTCAATCGACTTCATTCGAGAAGTTTCCAGCCGAAGGTCTCGTTCCACCAAATTGAGAACCTCATCTTGCGTGAGTGATTGTAGGCCATAAGCTTTGAGTTTGCGAAGGTCGGATTCCTGATATTTGTTGGAGATATACATCTCTGGGTCTGTGTCCCCGAATAGAGGCTCCTGATGAGAGTCGAAATGGTAGGCTAAAAGTCGCCGGAGGTCTGTAATCGGCCGAAGACGACCTTCGCTCCAAGGCCGTAGGACTGGTTCGAATCTCAGATTGGTCTGCAGTTTCGTGACCAAGCGTGACCAAAAATGATCGTAATGGTCCATCGGATTCGGAAGGAATCTCATCCAGGTGTACTGCAAGGCTGGGTGGTCGCAGAAATCTAAGATTGCCTGAATAAAAGCATCATAAATACCCTCGAGGATGCCAAGGTTACGTCGAGATGTCGTCACGATTCCCTGGCGGTTCGCCTGTGTGACAAAGTCGCTGTGTATCAGGAACTACGAGGCGTCAGCCATAGATGATATGATGGGATGGTAACTTATTCTGTACTTACCTTGAAGCCCATGTGACTCATCGGCAGAAAAGCAAATACATCTTGAGGCATATCGATCGGAACTGAATCCTCAGTCAATGGGAACCCGAGAACTACGTCAGCTTTCGAGTATGCTCTACTTAGCTCATCATCAGCTGAGTAAGAGAGATTCTCGTTCTTGGCAAGATTTCCCGCCTCATGTCTCGTGAGATGATAAATCTTGGACGTTGTGGTGATAGCGCCACCACTCGTGACACGTCTTGTTAACGTCACCCGGTTGCCGTCCTTTTGTTGAGTTGAGAAGATTGTAGAGGTCTTCATCTCACTATCGGCGTCAAAAAAGGTGACTCGGATTTCTTCCAGGTTGCGCATGAAGAGGAGAAGATTCTCCTGTAAATCATTGAACTGTTGATAGATCGTGTCTCGTTGAGATGACAGCTGGTCTTCGTCGCCCTGGTCGTGCAGCGACAAGGTTATCCTCGTTAGGGGTTGTTGTAGCTGTTCCATAGGCTCCTCCCACACAGGACGTATCATTCCAAAGCCTGAGTCTCGAATGCGATGTTGAAAGTAGAATGAAAAGTCTCCCGACAGGATGTGGACCTTCCACGCGGCCATGAAAACTGACTTGAAACCAATTCCCTTTTCGCCAATATATATCTGCGATCCAGTCTTGGAACTCTGTCCTACTGCGCAGATTGCTTTCAGGTTCTCAGGCGTGAAGCCGTCTTCGTTGCAATCGATGACAATGCGATCCGGATACATTTTGAAAGAAATGTAGGGTGCCTGTTCCAGTCTTCTGGCTGTCCGAAAATGGTTGTCGTCCGCATTTTGGAGCAGCTCGAAGACGAATCGTGCGTTGCTTGTGTAAAGGTTCTTGGCGAGGCTGGGTAAACGTCAGTCGAGTTTGAGTGTATTCAGCTTTTGCAAATCTTACGTCAACACGGAAGAAGAAATCATGCTGTCTTTCCTACGCATTGCGTACTCGAACTTTGCTCGAGCAACCGGAAGGAGCGTCGCCCATATTTCTTCTTCGACGAAGCCAAGTTCCGTTGAAATATCTTCAACCAGCTGGCGAGCACGCGCTGGCCCCGTGTTTGGGGTGGCCATGGAGCAAGCAAGGGGACTGGCCAGTTCAAGAGGAGAAATGTAAGCGGAAATTTGGTGTAGGAGATCGACGAAGGCAAGTTGAAGAGGCACGACGCAATATGAATACTGTGGCGGGGTAACAGACTGCTAATAAGAGAAAATTGCTGCTGGCCGAGGTACGACATGGGGAATACGCCTAAGGACCAACATGCCTAAATCAACTGCCCAAAAGGCCAACGGCCACGTCCGAGTGTAACTATACTGGGCGCGTCGAGCAAGTATGTCTTGAGCTAGTGGTTGTGATGTACCTTGCCACCAATCAGCATACCGCCTTCTTATGCAGTTGGTCCAACATTCTCCACTGTGATAAGTTGACGCAACCTGAAACCTCGGCTGATGAATGATCCTTGACCTCTCACTGAAAACAGTCAGACGGTGGCTTTGAGGCAATTTTTCTCGGATGCTGGTAGAAGCAGTCATGGGATTCTTGTTCTATGGCCAGCGACTGAAGAACTTCCCTAGCTAGCGATGCTACAAGTTAGATGGTACCTTTTTAGCGAGGAGGCCGGTATATTTTGATGGTGGGGGAGGTCTTTAGTGCAGACCACGCCCGCCCGTAGGGTAGGGGCTAGAGGGATAAGGGTTAAGGAAAAGTAGCAACAAGGTAGTCTCCTGAGGGCAAGGCATGCTAGGAGCAATTCATCAAATGCTTCTGAATCTCTCTAAGAAAAAGAAAAAGGATAATATCGTCATGGGCTGCTGCGACAGCTAAAGCAGAAGGAGCGTACTGAGACTGACGGTGTTATAGTAATTGGAGAAGGGAAAAAGCGCGCCGTCTTATTTTCAAGCAGACTCAACGTCTTAAGTAGGGACCCTCTAAACTGGCAAAAGGTCTACCTCACAGTATTAAACTCCAGGTGGACCCAAACGATATTGTTTACTGCACCACTCTCCTCACTTTGACTGGAAGTCGTAGCCTCTTCTCACTCAACGTGACTCGGCCCTCGGACGATGAAACTCTGGAACAAGGACCAAATGGCACGTGGTGGCTCATGAATGAGAACCAATCCCACCCTAAGCCCCCCCTTCCGCCATCCTAAAATGGATCCTTCACCAACATGAGTTTCCGGGCAAGATTATTAGACTTGATTGAATAAAGATCTTGCGTCGATGACTGAAATCTAATCGTATCACTATAATATATCTATGCCAATGTCCAAACTGGTTTCGTCTACCTGTCCTCTTCAGCCTCGGCCACCCAGTATGCCTCAACTTCAACAATACATGTCCTCGCCGGGACCGTAACAGCGATAGGAAAACCTCCGTAGTCTGGGTCATCATTGGGCATAATGACAAACTCGCCACTTCTTGTCTCGTCGCCGTTGAAGATTCGGAGCGTCTTGAGCTGCCCTTGCTCATCGACCTCCTTCTCCTCCGCTGACAAGATGCCAGTAAAGGTAGCCTCCTTGCGTACGCTCTTGAAGCTGGCATTGAAACCCCGGCCAACTAGCAAGAACTTTGCGTTGCCGAGGTGGATAACCATTCCACCGCCAGGTCCGGCCTTGCCGAAAACAAAGGCTCGCTCGATAATGACCTCGACGTCGCCGAAGACGCGAGTCCAGCGCTCGGGGACTCTATCGCAAGGCTCCTCGTCGAAAAAGAAGCCCATTCGGTCTTCCGGGGCAGCGGCTAGGAGATATTCTTTGGTCTGGTCGAGCAGCTTAAATTCGCGACCAACAAGTTCGGCACCGGTGTCAATTCCAAATGGACTGGCACCAAGAGCTCCATAAGTTGCGTAGGACAACCACACGCGACGGGAGCCGTTCTCGTCGCGCCTCTGCTCGGGAATAAATAGGGGGTTCTTCTGCTCAGAATAGTTCTTGCAGACGGTCTCATAATCGTGGAAGTATAGGTCGGGTGCGAGGAAATCTAGAGCCGGAGTGTTGTGTCGCCAGATATCTAGTACGTGAGGGCAGGGTCCGCCAGAGGGATAGACTCCAGGATCAGCTCCACCGCCCACGACGAGAGGCACTCCCCTCAGATCCAGCTGGGAAGGATCATCAAAGTTGAGCCATGTGTTAGTGTAGAGGGGGATCTGGTACTCCTTCTTTCCAGCAGCTGCTACTCGTCCGACGTAGGAGGAGATGTGATACGCCATGAAGGCTTCGTTTGCAGCGGATCCAGCGCCAAAGACGGAGTCCCAGGAATGTGCCCCAGATGTGGGGATCTGTGAGAACCGCTCCTTGAAACGGGGATGGAGATCAGTCTTGTGTAGGTATTGTAGGAGGTCGGCAGGCACAGGCTCGTTAAATGCCTTGTTGGCCTTTTGCGAGCGGTCGCGGGAGTCTCCCAATAGACCAGTCTCATTCTCAACTTGAACCATGAGAACCGTGTTGTGTTCTGAATCAACCTCGGCCAGATGCCGCATCAAGGCTGCAAAGGCCCGACCGTCGGCCTCGCAACACTCATTGCTGAGAGGCGATACCATCTCCACGGTGCGCTTTACGCCGCCAGCTTCGAGGACCTGGACACGGGGGAACCTTTTGACATCACGCTTGACCCATCCCGGGGCGTACGTCGAGATGCCGTTCTTGTAGGTCCCGAACCAGAGCAGCACGAGGTGCATGCCGTGCTCACGAGCGCCAGCCAACACCAGATCGAGCTCGCTAAAGTCGAAATGGCCCTCCTTGGGCTCAATGGTCTCCCAAGTCACGGATCCGAGCAAGGTGTTGATGGACTGCGCCTTCATGGCGGGCCACACCTCGCTCATGAACTTGGCTGAGCTTAGCGACGAGTTGTGCAGCTCGCCAGAGAGCATGAGGAATGGCTTCCCCTTGACGATGAGCTGAATGTTGCCATTTTCCAGGCGGCTCAGATGGGGAGGGGTAGGAGGTTGGGTCTGGGCAACGATGGGCGCCTCGACGATAGTCATTTTGGCGGCTGTGGAGAGGAATGGATGAGTGAAAGTGTACAAGAAAGATGAGAATTCAGCTTTGGGAGAGCAACTCAGGTAAATAGAAGACGGAGTGGAAGCAGAAACCCCGTTGGATCCGCTGGCGAGGTCACGAAGGCGTCAAGCGACTCCGGGGCATCCCCAGACCAGACAACTCGCCATTGCCCACACTCACCACGCTGACACGCAATGATACCACGGGGTTGGAGATGCGAGATAGTGGACCTGGGGTCGCGTATGCTTCTCCGAGCAGCGGGGAGACTTGTCTTGATGGAGAAACATCGCATTTACTATACCCACATGGTCCATTTTAGCCTGTTTACCCCCTGCTACTCGCGCTGCCCACGCTGATGTGCCCCGGATGGATGCCATCGAGAACTGCAAGGCCCTGCCAGCAATCTAGATCGTCGAGCTTCCTCAGCAGGCGCTCGAGCTTGCTTCTCGCGCTGTCGCCGTCCGTCTGGCCTGCTCCATGCCCCTTCTCCACCTGTTCGAGGTAGGCCGCTCCAATGTCCCGGATCTTTGGGACGACGCTACTGCCGTTTGCGTTAAAGACGGCCTGGGGGAGGTGGTATAGAATCTCCAGCAGATCATCGACGATCTTTTGATGCTCGGGCAGGCTCTTCTCGGTTGGGTCCAGCTTCTGCAGCAGGTTCGAGCGGATATGCAGGCTGGTGATGAAGATGTTTGCGATCTGCACCTCGTGGCCTTGGGTCACATTCGGCGGGCGAGACAAGCCGCCGCGCCAACGCAGCTCCGGAGGGAGGTTGTCAATGACCTTCTGGACCTTGGATAGATATTTAGCGAGGCATGCGGCAGAGTCAGAGCCTGGTGGCGTTAGCTGGACCTCGTTCCATACCGAGAAGAGGTCGCTGAGGCAATTGAGTCCCGGGACATAACTCGTTGCGTCACCGTACCACGCTACATGATCCGATTCTGGCAGGCCTGGGGGCTCCATTTGATCGTCAGTGAGGTCCAGCGGCCGGGGAATTGCATCGATCAGCTCCTGCGAGAGTAGACTGATGGGCAGTCGTCCGAGAATATTGGCACTACTGCAGCAGGCGTGTGAGCATCGCTGGGGAAAATACGAAGAAACGCCGAGACTCACCACGAAGCGGCAAAGAGAAGCCAAAACAACCGCTTGAGCAGCTGCTTTTCCACATTGTCCAGGTCGTGCGCGCAATAATACGCCAAGTACCGTACTCCGGCTGCTGCTTCCGCTGTGGCGGCATAGGATTTAATATCACTGAGTCCCGAGTCTGATACGGCGCCCACGGCCGTCCCCAGGTTGTACATGGTAATGCACCAGTCGACCGAGTACGACGACCGTGTAAACCCGCTCGCGACGAGGCTGTTCTGGTCGATGAACTCCAGACACCGGCGAACCGTTACCGAGCCGTAGTCCTCGCGCGGCAACGTCGCGGCCACGGCTGCACACACGCTCACCACGAGCCCGCAGAAGGTCCGGTCTGCGTCGGCGTCCCCATTGCGGAAGCGGCGCATGAATCGCCGCCGGAGAAGGATCGGAGCTACGGGGTGCACCTTGTCGAACCAGTAGTTGAGCATCCGCGACACCACGGCTTCTGGCGCGAAGGAGCCGAGCCAGGGGCCTGGACGGAGGCAAGCCGATGGCCCTGCGGCTGCCAGTGGCCTGCTGGGAGACGCTGCAACGTCGGGGCTTGAGTGGGAGAGTGGAGATGGGCCGGAGAGAGTCATCAGCTGAACGCCAGGCGTGGGAGATGCAGCCCCGGCCGCTCCTAGCTCCGGCAGCTGGGCATGTCTATATGCAGAGTGATGCGTTAGCAAGGCCGTTGTAATGCCGAATAGAAACATCTCATGTCGAACCTGTTTGGAGGACCTCGCTTTCTCCTCGGCCGCTGTCGAGTGCAATTGATCTCGAGAAAGACGCATCCCTGGCAGGGCTGGCTCTCGGAGTCGTAGATGCACTAGAATCAATCAGTCTCGATCGCCATTGTGCATCATCACCACCGCTTCAATCCACTCCAGCGAGCGGGGCATCACATACCCGGACTTTGCGAGACCGACAGGCATCGCAGGCGTTCTGGTTGCGTCCCGACTTGCCCCTGGCGGCCGTTCTCGAGGGCGTGGCGGCATTTGGCGAGTGGGCGTCCATGGCTTGATTTGGAGATCGACAGCAACAATGCAACTGCAAGGTCCATCACCAAACATCCGAGGAGAAATCTCGGGGAACACCGCCTTGATATTCGTATGGCGGCCGCGCAGAAACATCGGAAATACATCACCAGATGCCAAAACCCCGCAACATGTTGATCCACCCGCAGTTCCGCTCCAATGGCGTCCAGCTCTCGCCGGACAAGCAGAACTGCCCAGAGCCGCCCCCAGGATCGTCGAGTTGCATCGGGTTAGCATCGCCAGCTTCACCGCGGTTGTGGCCGGGGAACACCGCCTGTACGAACCACGAGTCTCCCCATCGTCCCCTAGCTCAATGCCTTTCTCCAGGGTTCGCTACCCCACGGGGCACCATCCGTCAATTCGCGCTAATGTCGCATGCGCCGCTGTCGGTAAACTTGCGAGGATGGGCCTCACATGGCCTTCATCGCGTGCGTGTCCGGGTTCATGGGTAGCCTGATGTTGGCTTCTGGGCTCGACTAACAAGATCTTGCTTTGGCTTCGCTTTCGGCCGGTGACGAGATATATAAAGTCCCGCCTCGCGTCTCCCTGTTGTTGTTTGCAAGGAGGCATGACTCAAGGCTGGCACGAAAACCTTGCAGCTGAATTCTACATCTTCTACTCGCTTCATCCGAGTCTCAACACCCTCGTCCCGGTCCTGTCTACCCAACACAGACGTCATGGAGTCCAAGGAGACACACGTCGATGCGATTGACCGCGTCGACTCTGCAGAGAATCATGTCCCGCAGGGCTCAGCACTTCCGTTCTGGAAACAGACGGAGCTGCGAAAGCTCTACGGAATGATGCTCTTCCTCTTTCTCGGCTCGACGACTCTCGGCTATGATGGCAGTCTTCTCAATGGGCTGCAGACAATGGACTCGTGGCAAGAATGTAAGACTGCCAAACACCACGCTCGCGCTTTTCCACTGACTCTCTAGTTTTCGATCATCCCACCGGTAGCCGCCTCGGAATCTTTGGAGCGTTCCCCGGATTCGGAGGGTTGTTCGTTCTCCTATTCGCACCATATATCGCCGACGGTCTTGGCCGGAAGAAGGGCACTGCCATCGGATGCGTCTTCGTCATAGCCGGAGCGCTGATGCAGTGTTTCCCGAAACAATCGCACTCCGGACGAGACGCCCTGTACCTCGCCGGCCGCTTCATCATGGGCTTTGGCTCCAACATCTCCAACGGCACCTGCCCTCTCCTCATCACCGAGGTCGCCCATCCACGACACCGCGGCCGGGTCACGACGATTTACAACACTGTTTGGTACCTGGGAAGCATCGTTGCCGCCTGGGTTTGCTTCGGCACGTTGCAGAACCAGACCGGAAACATCCAGTGGGTGCTGCCGACGGGCCTGCAATGCCTCATGCCCGGAATCCAGCTGCTGGCCATTTGGTTTGTCCCCGAGAGCCCGAGATGGCTCATCAGCAAGGGAAGAGAAGAAGAGGCCCGCCAGATTCTCGTCAAGTACCACGGCAACAACGACCAGGACGATGACTTTGTGCGCTGGGAGTTTGCCGAGATCACCAACACCTTGAGACTGGAGCGCGAGTCATCGTCAAACAACGGCTGGATGGAGTTGATTCGAACAAAGGGAAACCGCAAGAGGTGTGGACTGATCATCGCGACCGCTATTTTCTCGCAGTGCAGTGGCAACGGTCTCGTTTCGTACTACGTTGGTGTTCCTGTCCGGCTCAAATGGCACCTGGTACTAACTGCGCGTGATATAGCTTTCAACCATTCTCGATACTATTGGCATCACCGAGTACGTTCTCCACACATACATGGATAACCGTAATCTAACAAACTTCCAACAGGTCCGTCACGCAGGCATACATCAACGGAGGCCTCACCATCTGGTGCTGGCTAGTTTCGCTCTTCGCCGCCTTCTTCGTCGACCGAATCGGACGCCGAGTTCTATTCTTGTTTGCCGGCGTCGGCATGCTCATCTCCTTCTCCATCTGGACAGCCTGCAGCGCCGTGTACGCCAAGACCGAATCATCTTCGGCGGGTATTGGAGTTGTGGCCATGATCTTCCTCTTCTACGGCGTGGCTGGTGCTGCATGGCCTGGTCTCACCGTCTCGTACACCGTGGAGATTCTGCCTTATAATATCCGCGCCAAGGGATTGACTCTTTGCTTCTGCTTCACTGCTCTCAGCGGAGTCTTCAACCAATATGTGAACCCTCTGGGTATTCAAGAGTTGGAGTGGCGTTTCTACTTTGTCTACATTGCTGTGTAAGTTGTCAACAATTTATACCTGTACCAGACGATACTAACTCCTGCCCTAGTCTTATTATTGAATGCTTGGTTATCTACTTCTTCTTTGTGGAGACAATGGGTCCTACTCTGGAAGAAATTGCCGTCCTCTTTGACGGTAAGGATTCAGCCGCCGGCATCGCACAGGCACAGGCGAAGGAAAAGGTCATGAGCACGACTAAGGAAGTCGAACATGCCTAAACGCAAGATATAAGGGCTCCTTCTGTGTCCTTTAAGTAGCTTAGTTGAGCCTTTAAGAGAAATATCTTGGTTCTATGATGGTCCGACACCTGGACTCGTGAGTGACGCGACAGCGTATTGGGTGACACTAACACACGACATAGACATGATGACGGTTGCTAAATTTAGCACCCGCTTGTCAAGGGTGCTTGCATCTATTAGTGGGACTAATAAAGGTCTAATTCTTCATGTAATCTATCCGTTGGAGTTATTCTATCGCGTTGCGACATCCCTCTTACAACGAAGCCTCAATCTTGGCCAGCTCCGCCATGGTCGACGCGACGTTATCCTTGGCGGCCTGCGGCGGCTCGGCATAAGGCTTCCTGGGCATCATCTTGGCGGGGGCGTTCTCAATACCGGCCGCCTTTGCCGTGTTGACTGCGGCGGCGTACTTTGTTGCGGCAATGCCAGACTTGCAGGGCTGCTCAGCCAGCGCGGCTTTCTTGTGCAACTGCAGGGCCTCGGCGATCTTGCCCTCCTGCCATAGGTCGTAGATGCGCACGATGCTCTTGGGGAAGACGTTGGCAAAGGCGGCGATGCAGCCGGCAGATCCACTGCTCAAGCCGCCGATAAGGAAGTCAGACTGGCCGCCAAAGGTAGCAAACGTCGCGGGGTCCAGCTCCGCAGCGAGGCGGGTGATCTTGGCAACGGAGCCGCAGGTCAGCTTGACGCCGACGATGTTGGAGTGCTTGCGGGCCAGGTCGGCGATGATGGCCGAGTCGAGATCCACGCCGTTGCACACGCCGGGGAAGTTGTAAATGACGATGGGCAGGGCGCTCTTGGCGGCGACCTCGAGGAAGAAGTCGGTAATGACAGCGGGCGTAGTGGCCTTGCCAAAGTACGCCGGAGGCAACACGAGGGCGTAATTGGCACCGGCATCAGCAGCATCGGCGATATATTCGAGCACCTGGCGCGTCGAGTGGCCGCCAACACCGGCCATAATGGGGAAGTCCGGACCGATGGCCTTGCGGGCAATACTGACGAGGGACTTGCGCTCGTTCTGCGTCAACAAGAAGGTCTCGGCATTTGTACCCAGGATAACAAGGCCGCGAAGACCGGTCTTGGAGAGGTAGGCATAGTATTTGGCCTGGTCCTCGGGTATGAGAGCGTCGGTTTCCCGGTCGAACAGGGTGACGGCGGGACACCAGACTCCGCTGGGGGGGACTTTAGGGAAGCCCATGATTAATCGTGGTGTGAGAGACAGGGGAGGGGGGTTGTCTCGGTTCTGAACAGTTGGGCTATCCTTGGCAAATATATCGACGCGAGGAGATTGTACAGGAGAGAGACTTACTTGCTGCAGACTGCGTGATTGAGAGTACATCTGCGTATTAATATATTGAATTACAATTGGGGGCGAGGCGGATACCCTTGCCGCTTTCTCCAAGGTCGGCTCGAGATCCCGACCCCGATCTCGGCCGTCGGGCCGGCTGCCGAGTGGGTTGATAAGCCGTCAATCGAGACCATCACAAGATGTGGCATTTTTCAGGACATGACTCTTGTTCATACGCCTCGCGTGTTTCATAATGTGTTTCTATTATTTAAACGGGATAGTATAGAGTCACGTATTGGCCAAGTTGTTACTATCCAGGTCCTCGGCCTCCGCTCCCGAACACTTCGGTTAAAGCCGGCTACGGGCCATCAAATTCAACGGCATCAACGCCGACGAGGTTCGATTAACAGAAAAATATTCATCCTCTCGGATCGTAAGCTACAGCCGAAATGGCCGGTGGACTACAGTAGAGGCTTCCCTCTTATGAAATAGGCGGGACTGCACTCCCATGCGGTCCCACCTCTATTTGACCGTGCTATCCCTCACTTAAAGGCATCAAACTCGCCTTTGGTATCACCAGATCATCCTCATTTCGAGGGCACAGCTTTATCGTTACCGCTACTGGAGACATTGCCTGTATCGGTGATCTCAGTAACTAAACATGCCTTTTAATACCGCCGCCTGCATCCAGCTCCACTTCACTAACAGTGAGTCCACCTTGCACAATGGTCAAATTTACCAGCATTAATAGCAATTGATACAAGTAAATAGCAGGAGTCCTCGTAATTTTCAGCTACATTTGTTGCACCAAGACCAGCCAGTTTCTGAAATTCCTTTCTGCAAAACACAACTATGTTATAAATAATATTCACCAAGCATAGCTACCGTCTATATAATATTGTAAATTCCACTAGGAACCATTGTAAATCTCCAAATCCCCCTTACCATGCCCTTCACTTTGAATCGTTCATCACTCTCCATCGTTCTTACATCCGCGTTGGTCTTCGCAGAACCAAGTGCCTCAACAACCCAAGAGACACTCATAGCGCGGAAAGACGCTCGAGGTATCGACTCCAAGACCATCTGGAACGGAGTGAGCACTAGAGCATTGCCGTTCAAGTTTTATGTAATAAAAAATAAATATACTGCAGTCTCTAGTTAAATTTCAATTAATAAAGCTAACTTTAACCCTGCTGAACATTACTTAACCTAGCTGGTGCAGGTATCGTCTCTCACTACTTCTTCATCTCAAAATAATTTCGTAGAACCATCTCAGGAGATGGTATTCTGGCATTGCCCGCCTTGTCTAAACTGTCGTGTTTGACGCCATCTCCGGGACTTGGCTTCGCAATGCCTCCAAACCTCTCCAGGAGCAAGTAGGCGTCATGCTTGTCGGAATCGGAGTCGGAGAGCATCCGCTTGAGGATTTCCCGTACCATGCCGATGCGGCTAGAGGTCCCAAGCTCTTCAACTCTCTGGCCAACGTTGACAGTATCGTCGAACTTCCTGTCTGGATCCGCCAAACGGGCGCATGTCAGGATCAACGAGCAAAGGCCGGCGGCCAGAGCCGTGGCAACGGAGCTCCCTGAGATCCTTCACAGTCGTCAGCTAAAATGACGATAAATTTGGACAAGATTTTCATGTATAAAAGAATCGAAAGACTCCAACTGTTTGAGGATCAAAGCCGAAACTTACTTCTCCTCAGACTTGATAAAAGGTACGACACCGGCTGGCACGTTTTGGCCTCGCAGCTTGAAGCTGTATGAGCTCAAGTCGATCTCACGTAGAAGCTTGCCATATTCGTCGCACGCGGCAAGCACCAGAAGCGCATTGCAATCGCCTTTGAAGGTCGCAGGATAGGCGGCCACGATCCTGGATCCCTCGTCGTGTGTGCTGCATGTCATGACGATGCCTGCCTTGCCGGCCTTAATGATCTTCTTCTTCATCACATCGTCTGGATCTTCACCAAGAACAAAGCTCATGGATATTATGTCGACTTTTTCATCTATAGCCCATTGAATGGCCTGTTAAGTGTGTCAGAATTAGTCAGAAAAAGACTGATGGAGGCCCAGAACACAACAACAAGAACAGGTATAATGTAAAAAGAGGGAGTGTATAGTGGTGTTCGTATATACCTTTGCAACATTCTTGGCCTTGATGCCGAACGCATCTTCGGCCACCCTGGCGACATAGATCTCACAAAAGGGATCAATGGCACATATGAGGTTCGCCATTTGCGTTCCGTGTGGATCTGAGGGGAATTGCCACGGGCTGAAGTTAAGGTTGCCATCGACAAAAGATCTGCCAGCCTTGATGCGTGACCAAAGGCTGTTTTCGTCGTCCTCTTTTCGCTTCTTGTTCGCGGGCGGCATTGCATTAGCGGACTTGCCACCGAGACCATCAGTCCTTGGGACTTCTGAACCCGTCCTTTCCTCATTCGTCTTTGCTGATATCTCGGCGTCTGCTTGCTTCGAGACAGGAGAAATGCTTAGGACACCATTGTCCAGAATGGCCACCTTCGTCGGTCTATGGGCAACCCCTCCATTGGCCGCGTTCCTTTTCTTGACGAAAAAGGCGAGTTTCGTGAGCCATTCGGCGAGTGGGCGCGACAACTGATAGGCGCTGCCACCGAACGGATCAGCCTCATTGTCAAAGGGCCGCACATTTCCGCGCGGTCTGTCCCGTCGACATCACAGCGGAATAGACTTACATCTTGCTCAGGTCTGCCACTGATGGGCTCGGATACCAAGCCGCTTCGATAGGATCAATTGAGCTAATATTGGGTTGTCGGTCGGCTAGATTCTGGTTCTGCAATTGAATGTAGTGCAGCAAGTTCCTGGTCTGGTTCGCCGTACAAGTTTCCTGAAGGATCATCTCGTTAGCCCAATACGCAATGATAGGATTCAAGAGAGATATTGACTCAACTCGAATAACGTGGACGTAGAGCTTCTTGAGCTAAATGTAATTAAGGTGACGGTTAGCACACCTAGTCCAGGGTTTGAGGACGTGCCGCAAACAAAGTGCAAAGGCGTGGTATAGAGCAGTAGATATTTGAAGACCTATGCGACGTTCCTGGGGATCTAGCACTGACCTTGCTTAGCGACTCGACACCGTCGTCTTTGTTAAACCAATGGTTAATGGCTGCGCGCTTGCCGCTCGAATACAGGTACAGCTCTTTGATCTCTTCTTGCTCCATGGAATTTTGGCTCTGGAAAATGGAGATAGAGAGATCGAGTACTTTCCAGTCGAGCACTTCGATTTTGAATTTCTTCACATACTTAGCCATCTTCAAGTCATCGTGGGGGTTGACTAAGCGATCTGGCACTGTGAGCTTGATAATTTTTGTCACCTTTTTGACTGACAACCAGTCCAGGACCCTGAACACCTCATCATGACCCTTTTTGAGGTTCAAGTTCTCCGCATAGGCTTCCCTCTCGGCCACCATCGTGTCCAATGCTGGAAACGCCACGTACTTGAGCGTGCGTTCATACCGGTGCATCCCCCGTTCGTTGTCCTTGTCTTGGAGGATCAAGGAGTCCACGATGTCGGATATTCGGTACGCCGCAGAGTTGAATCGGGATATGTCGAAGCACAGATCGTCGACTGTGAGGAGAGTAAAGTAGTTAGAGCAGACCGTAAGTAGGATACGCCTGCTCGAAAGGGTCGGAGGCGCCTCATTATGAGATCATAGTGCATGAAGGGGGGATATCAGACAGGACATGACTTACACGGTTCTATAGAAGAGCGAGAGGTTAGTTAGGCAACCAGAAATTAATAATGTTGAGGGTTTCGTTAGAAACAGATGACTAGTGAAATGATATATCGTACCATGCGACCTATGGAGAATGTCGGGCAACTTGTCCATATCCAGCCCATGAATCATCTTGGTAACGATCAAATTGCGAATCGCGGCCCGGTCGCTCTGCTTTGGATCGGAAAAGGAGGGCTTCGAAATATAGCGCCCTGTTCCCTCATTCTCCCCCTTGTACCATTTCTGGTTGTTGTACCAGAGTGGGTACTTGTCGTTCGTCTTTTCTTGCTCGGGCTGCCCAGGAATGACGTTCTCCCTGCTCAACGCGTCGGGGTAGTCGTCGACGAAGATTTTGACAAATTCGACTTTCTCATGCAGCACTGCCATGTGGAGAAGGCATGGCATGATCTGTTTGACCGGGTCGTTGCCGCTCTTTTCTTTCCAGACCTTCCAGACCTGCGTCAAATTCTGCTTGATGACTCCCTCCACCACCTCTTGATTAAATGCCTCAGGCGTAGCCCTGTGGACGAGGCTCTTGACAATGTTCAACCGACACTCGTCTTCCTTGCTTCGTACGGAGTCTTCAGTCTCTTCCAAGTTGACTGGCTCATTGAGCCTTTTCAAAGCTTCGATAATCGGGTCGCTGGTAGTCGGCATTCCGATGCCGTGCTCGAGAAAGATTTCTACAATCTTGTCCCACCCATTCTCGAGCGCTGCGTCAAAAGACTTGTCTCTGTCTTCGATACCGGGCACCGTGAGGAGCTCCTTCAAGGTCTCGAGCGGCGTGCGCTCGGCGTCCAGGGCAAGCGCCAGAGGGCTTTTCCCAAAGTCCTGATCTTTGGCTCCGACAAGTTGGGCCAGACTTATCTGGCTGAGAGGATGACTCGACTCCTTCTGGGCGTCTTTGAGGATGGCAGATATTTTGGAGAGCATGAGTTTGATGATGCTGTGGTTTCCCCTCTTCGCCGCTAAATTGAAAGGAATAAACAATTCGTCGGTTTTATGCATTTTGTTGTTGCACTGTCCGGTGTAGAAGAGCGTCCGGTCGTTGTTCTTTTTTTTTGAACCGAGACACAAGAAGGCGAGCTTCGGACAGGTATTGACAATGATCTCGCTCGTCACTTTCGCAGCTTCAGCACAGTCCTGGGTTTTGAGGGCCTTGACGAGTATGCGCCACCGGAGACAGTCGTCCATCTGTCCATCGTCATCGCCACTAAGCTCCAGGAAGGCTCTGATGCCACTGATGAGCGATTCTTTGCGGCCTTTCTGGTCCGCGAATTTATTTGTGATCTCATCGAACATTTCTGTTCCTAGAGAGTCAAGCTTCTTTGTGTTGCCTTGGCTTTTGAGATAACTGAGCAGTGCGTCCTTGACGTCCTTGACGTCCTTGACGTCCTTAACGTCCTTTAGAGTCCGGAGATGGCCAGATGGATTGGACACGACCATCTTTGTTAGATCTGGTGGATAGGATAGGACAGTTGAGATGGCACAGACTCTCGTGCCGATACGAACTTGTCTTTCATAAGTGACAAATTACGGTAGCAATGCAGGCCGCATAGCTATCACAATCAGTGGGGGTTTGGGCGCTGATGATTGGCCCGGCGAGAAAAAATTAATAATAGCAGGTAGCAATGCAGGCCGCATAGCTATCACAATCTCTGGGGCTGGCATGGCGCATATGTGATTATCTGTACGCAGTACCCCAGTTGTACTCGGTATATGACACTTTCCACCATACAAGACGGCGGGATTTAGCGAAGTTAGGCACCAGCGAGGGCCGTGACGAGAAGCTCGGAGACGAAGGCATGGGAACTTATGGCGCAGTCTCAATAGTAGTCCTGACTCTCTGACCCAAAAGGACCCGTGAGAGGGTTTCAGCAGGCAAGTACAAAAACTATTACAGTAGCCCCCGGCCTAGAGACTTATAGATAGGAGAGCCTGTCCCACCCGTGTCAAAGTTCGTTGCAGCTCGATGATTTGCCGGTCCTGCTCTGCGATGCGAGCCTCGGCTCGTGCAGAGCGGACTTCCAGCGCCACCAGCCTGCTGTCGCAGTGAAGGTCGGGTGATCGAGACGTAGCAGTATCAACTTCCGGATCTCCAGATGCTCGAGGCCGTATGTTGTCTTCTGTACCTCTCGTTTCTACTGGCTGCGGTGGGCTTGTCGCAAGCAAACCTGCACCGTGTGATTGCGGTAGTGGTCTCCCCGTGACGGCGTCGGCATCTAGCGGCGCCTGGCGCGTCTGCGCCTTGCTCTTGAAGGCCTCCTCTCTCTCTAAACTGGATTGTATCACCTCTTGCTGAGAGCTGGAGCTGGAGCTGTAAGCTGCAGCCACATGATGCTCCCTAATCTCGAGCGGTTCTGCAACGGCTTGCATAGGCTTGGCCTCGGGTTCCGCGGTCGCCTTTGGCATCTCGACCCGCTCCCATTTGTTCAGCCACTCAGGGTTCAGGTTCATGCTGCTGCTAGGATCCGCGAGTTTCCCGAGGTTGTTCAGGTCAACGTCCTTGATGATGGCGCCGCCCTCAGCGTGGAAATTGTCTCTGGATCCCGGCCGAGACGTGACCCTCCAATAAACCCTATCGCCCCCTGGCTGCTTGAACAGGCGCATTCCCTGATGGAGAAGTTTGCTGCCGGTCCCCGTGTCCGCGACAATTCTGACCTCGACTCGATAGTGGGATGATGGTGATCTCAAGAACAGAGCGGCAACGCGGACCTCGGGGGTGATGCCCCGTTGAAGCCGCTCGTTTTGGAACACCTGCCATAAGACCCCGTTTGGAGGTCCCTGCTTGCGCTTGCTGTACTGCTCCGAGGACTGGCCGTAATCGGTGCACACTTCGTCCCATTCGGTCTCTGTTGTAAAATCTATCCCCGCGGATAGCTCCTGGCCGGCGCCCGCAGCACCAAACTTGACGCTTGGTGTCACGTTGCTCCGCCTGTGAGCCTGAACCCCATTCCACATCTCCGGGTGGCGGAAGGGGCCCCATGCCACAAGTTGCGGATCTTCGTCTTCCTTCTTGTCAGACTTGAGCCTCAGCTTCAGCGAGGCGTGTGTCACCTTGGCGGTGCGGCTCTCCGGCTTGAAGCCCAGTTTGAGCACCACGAGCGTCATGGCTTCGCTGTGGTCATTGTCTCGCCACCCGTCTGCCCATAGCAACCTGGTGATGGAGACGCCGCAGTCTGCTTTGGACCTGTGGTACACAACATGTCCACTTTCTTTGCCTTCGATAGACGCCTTTACTGCTCCGTCGCGATGCTCCGCCACAGGTTCGTACAGTTCAAATTTATTGGTGTGAATGTCCGGCATCAATTCGACACAACCGGCCTCGTAGATGGCGTCGTCGTCGGACCAGTCTGATTCGTCGTCCATCATGAATCTGCTCGCCTCTGACGACATGCTGAGGGTTCTCTCGTTGAGTCGACGTGTCTGGAATGGGTGATGGTGGCAAGACAATCGTTTGCAAAGGAGAAGGCAACGAGACAGAATCTCGTCCATTCAAACACTAGTCCATTCAAGGAAGGCATTACCAGCATAAGCTGGATTTAGGCTGCCGCAATCGTACGACAAATTGGGCTGCGAGGGATCCCACCTAAGACCAACAGGTATATGCTACCTCTGTTGACAGAAGTACATATAGAATCCTTGCAGCATCATCCCGCGCCCCACGGCCAATAACGGCCCTCTGCATTTCAGCTTTCGGCTGCAGCCGGAGCTTGTTGCATAATCTTATCATCCCGGGCGCCAGCACTGAAATCCGTCACGCGGCGGACGTGGGTATCCTGAAGCTGTTTCATTCCCAGTGCTAGACTAACCAACTTCGCTGGGTATCATCAACCTTGAGTTCGTTCGGGTCCTACTCAACATGTCTGCTGCACCTTCACTCGAACCCTCCGCATCTCCAAAACAAACGTCGGGGAGTGAGAAATTCCGGCAAAAGATGGCTTACACAACAAATTTTTCCAAAAAACTCCGTCAGATTGGTCAAAGGATACTGTCGCCAGCGGCACCGCCTACAAAGGCACTAGCAGACAGAGGTGATACCATCGGGGATTCAACAAACATTCCTGGTAAGGGGAAGTTAGCAAGTACTCGCAGTATCGAGCAGAACGCTCCCAAGACAGCCCCAGTGCCGGAGGAGAGCAAAGACTCACAAGACACTCGAGAGGACACCGAAGATGCCAAACAGACAGATCCGTCCCCAAGTCCCCAGGTTTCGCATAATCCGACTGTTGAGTCCAAGCCTCCAGCCGAGAAGAGACCTCCGTCGCAGCTAGGGACTGTAAAAGATCCGCCCGCGAGCCCCCGCGTTTCGGATGGTTTGGCCGCTGAGTCTGAACTAACCGCAGAAGAGGGGTCTAGGACTCAGTTTTGGACTCCAGAGGAGCGGGCGGCAGAGCTTTGGGCCACCGCCTATGACTGGCTACGAGAAAAGCGCCCAGAGCTTGTCCGAGGCTATACCATAACCATCAGAAAGTGGTTGGCATCTAATGACATCTATTTTGAGGCCCAGGGGCGGCGAGCATCGGCGATGGATTTGCCCGCAGAGGAGTCGTTCGTCAGGCCACCGCTCAATCTGGTAATTGGCGTGATGCTTGAGGAGCTACAACCAGAGACAGAACCAGAGACGGAACCAGAGACAGAGCCGGATTCAGAACAAGTGCCAGAACCGGAGCCAGTTAAGCCTAGCGAAGAGCACGACAGCGCCAGTGACGCCGTCAAGGAGCTCAGCGTCGGGTCTGAGGCTGCTCGATCGCTCAGCAAACTACTAGGGGAGGCACTCAGGGCATTCCCGCATGCATCGATAGCCTGGGCAACTACATACATTACTCTTCAGGTGCGGTCTACCGTTATTGTTCTGATATGTGTCGAGCGCTCATACTCTTTATTTCAAAGAATCTTCTCCGTCCTGTGCCGCGGACGGAGGCCATGCAATTGCAAATTCTTTCTGTCATCTCGAAGACGGAGTGGTACACTGAGCTGTTCCGGCTTTTCTTCTGGCCCGATCAAGCGGAGCCACCCATACCATCTGCAAACTCACCAGTCAACGCCCTAATCGCTCTGTATGAGTCCGTTCTTGCATACCACATGCACGTTGCCGCCGAGTTCGACATTCAGAGGTCTCTGGGACAGCCAAAGCTGGAAGAATCTCTTCTCAAGGTGCCACTGGATGAGCTTCGGGCTTGTGAGCTCCTGCTAGTCAGCAGGTTCGATCAACTGCGTCTCCAAAAGGGACTTGTGAAGCAACTGGACCCCACAAGAACTGATAATTGTGATACACTGGTCGATGATAAGCTCCGAAAAGTTTTGGCCAAACTGAACGTCGACCCGCAACGGATCCCCAATCTCGACGCCAACAAGTCCTACGTTCTCGAGCGCCTCTACGGCTGGGCAAGCAAGACCCCAGAGTTCCAAAAATTTACTACCTGGGATGGTGAAAGTCATTCGCGCCTACTCTGGGTCGATGCACCCCCCGGTGCTGGCAACTCGATGCTCCTACAAGCCGCTGTGCGGTGGCTGCCAAAGATGGCAACATCCTCGCCCGACACCGCGAAACACGTCGCGCACTTCTTCTGTGATGGTACCCTGTGGCGCCAAGGGGACATGTTATCAACTCTCAAGGCTTTGATATCTGGCATTCTCCTCAATCAGCCTGACCTTGGAGACCACCTGGAGCTGATCATAGCTAAGCGAGGGAGCTTTGACGCCGAGGGGGATGTATTGGCTCTGTCTACCATTCTTTACAGCATGATCCAGGACAGCCGTTTTACTTCGACCTATTTTGTGCTTGACGGTATCGAGCAGTTCACCACGCAGCACTGTCGTACCATGGACAGGACCGCTGACGTGATGACGGATGGCCCGACTCAGAAGTTATCGGAGCTACGGCTCCTGATTGCCAGGACCGTGAGGCTATCGCAGAAGGTCAAATGGCTGCTGGGAGTCGAATGCGAGCTGCATGAAGCCAAGCTGACATACGTCAACGATCATAAGGAAATGAGCCTCACGCTCGACGAGAGCAAGTATTATGTGCTACCAGAGATCGCCCAGGAGTACGCTGCCCTCGAGATTACCAATATGTGCAAAAGGCTAGGATACAACGATAACATCCAAAAGGGACTAACCGAGCATCTCAAACGGGCCAAAGGCAACTTCCTGTTCACCAACATGGCGTTGGATATTGTGGGCGCGTCCACTACACCATGGAACGCCCTTTACATACTCCACGACCTCGCCGCAGGCGAACCGAGCATCGATGGGCTATATCGCTGGAGTTACCGTTCTATTCGCGAACTGCCGTACAGGGACTCGGTCTACTGCCACGACATCCTCTATGCTGCGGCGGCTGGACATCGCCCGCTTCCCGTCTCAGAACTCGTCGCGATCATTGAGCTGCCCCCAGAGGTCGAGCCATTCCTTATAATCAAGAAGTTGCTACCTGCGTTCCTGGAGATTCGCGAGGGGAAAGTCTGCTTTAGGCACCCCTCAGCCAGCATCTTCATCCGACGTGAGATGGGAGAGCAGAAGCTGCGTTCAGAACATTCGAAAATCGCTCGGCAATGCTTGAAGCTTCTTCTCAGATGGCTCCATTGCAGTCGCATCAAAACAGGCACCAATGAAAAGACGCCTGACACAGGGTTTGGTCTGACGGCGATAATTTGGGTGAAGCACTTGTCCGTACTCGGCGGCGACGATCCGGAGACTTTGGCACTCGCAGTCCACCTCCTCAGCGTCCACTTGATAGACTGGCTGGAGCTTTTGGGCGCAAGAGGGCTAATACTCGACGCCTTATACATGATGAACGAGCTTAATTCTGCACTTGAAACTAACGTAAGTTTGCTCAAGTCCACTAAACCTGCGCCTATGACGAAAGCCATAGGAGCCTTATTGCAACCCCTTTGCTGACTTATCTCCCCTCGTATCCATGTCGCAGACGCTGAAAATTTTCCACGACGAGGCCAGCGACATTATCCAGATCGTGCGGGAAGTCACTACTTTCATGATTTTCTACCAGCGATGGAAGGCACAGCCAGAAGAGGAACGACAGCCAGAGGAGGATTCCACCGACATGAGTCCGAAACAATGGCTGCTTTTCGCGGCCGATCTACCATTACTTAGGGAGAAACTGCTTCCGGTAATATTCCCAAGGCTCCAGGATGCCCCCGTTCTCGATGGGACCGACGATTCGCGAGTGTGTCTTTACGTGCTGGAGCACAGCGACTGGGTTCGAGGCTGCTCCTTCTCGTCCAATGGCCGAATGATAGCCTCTGCTTCGGATGAGGGGTATGTGCGTGTCTGGGATGTCCGAACAGGAAATCTGCAGCAAGTTCTCAAGGTTTCCGATAGTTATGTCCTTGGCGTCGTCATTTCATCCGCCACAGCCCTGCAGGATGGTGAAAGTGGTGATGTGATTGCCGCCTTCGACGAGAACAGAATCAAGGTGTGGGACGCGACGACGGGGAATGTTCTGAAAACCTTGGCTAAGGATGAAAGAGAGGAGATCGACGAAGATCTGCAGAGTATAGCGCTCTCTCGAGGAGCGGATATGCTGGCCGCTGCCGTGGGTGACAGTGTGGTCATCTGGCAGCTCCCGGATGCCACCGGTTACATAGTGTTGGGTGGCCGCAACGGCCAACCGGTGAGACGTGTCACGTTCTCTCCAGATGGGAAGCTTCTCGCTTCCACCGCGGGCTCGGAAATCACTATCCGGAGAACCAAGCCGGGTGCAGGCGACACCGTGTGGACCCTTCTGCCGTGTGAGTCGCCTGGGAAGGATCATGTCCCAAATGAAGAAAATGGCCGTGAAGAGTCTGAAGCGTCTGAAGCGCACGAGACCACGAGCATAGAACACGAACAGCGGCGCGGACACATGAGCAACATCGGCGGGCTTTGCTTCTCGCCCGACTCAAAGTTCCTCGTGTCGGGTTCGGACGATACGACCGCGCGCGTTTGGAGCATTGATAGACAGAAGACAGTAGCTATCCTGGAGTACCACGGACATTGCGTCAACGATGTCTGCTTCTCCCACGACGGTAGCTGGATCGCCACGGGCTCTAGTGACGATACCATTGCTCTTTGGAAACACAAGCCTCCGGGAATCTGGGGCAGCGGCGAGAGTCCAAGGCAACCAGACCATGTTCTCCGCGGGCACCGCAATTCCATTTTCTCAGTCTCATTTTCACCACTTAATGGTGGTAACTTTTTGGCGTCCGCTTCGATTGACAGGGACGTGCGCATCTGGGATATGGACAAGGTCAGCGGAATGATGGGCGCAGGGCAGTCGACGGACGTAAGTACTAGCAAGGGGCATGACAGCGCAGTGAGCTGCGTAGCTATCTCCCAAGACGGCCGCACTATTGCTTCAGCCTCGTATGACGGCGTCGTCTGTTGTTGGGACGGTCAGACGGGCACGCGGCAGCGCACCTCTGCACAATCTCACAGCGGCGAGGTCTTGTCCATGACTTTCTCGCCCGACGGCCAGCTACTAGTGACAGCGTCTCTAGACCAGACGGCCTTCGTCTGGGAAGTCGCCGGGTCAACGATGACGCCACTGATACCGAGGCTGCGCTTAGAGCACCATGACTGGGTGCGTAATGCTCAGTTCGACCCCCAGGCACGACTGGTGGCGACGGGGGATGACGAGGGAATAGTGCGTGTGTACGACGTCTCTGGTGCCAGAACCGCCGCCAGTACAACTAAAGACGCTGTATGCAACCAGCCCAGCACCACCACGCAGCAAACGATGAAAATCTTGAACAGGCACAGCGATTACGTCTACGGCGTGGCTTTCTCGCCGGACTCGAAACGCCTGGCGTCCGGCGGCGACGATATGCATATCATGGTTTGGGGGCTGGACTTGGACGATGAGAAGGACACTCTTCTCCATGACATGACGTCCGACAACGTTGATTCGAGGATTCTCGACGTCGAATTTTCGGCCGATGGGACCACAGTGGTGTCCGTTTCTGCGGACGGGACCATTGCCGTCTGGAGGCCCAGCGCCACGGGAGACCGTCAGTGCCAAATCGTCCAGGAGGGTGAGGAATCAGGCCGTGGCACGTTCGTGTCAATGCGCATCGATCCGCGGTTCCCAGAACTGCTGCTTACGGAGCTCGGGGCCAAACGTGCCAACATTGACGGGCGACAGGTGGGTGAAACTGAGAATGAGCCCCGTGCTTTATGGCGCCCGCCGGGTTGGCTTCCGCTCAGTGTTGACAAATCACGAGCATCTATCTCGTATGATGGCAACTTGGGGGGCGGAGAAGGGGGTACAATGTCGTCGGACGGCGCCACCACTATCTATCTCCCGTCAAATTTAACCCCGACCGATGAGCCATACTCTTGCCGGGTCCAGGGGGACATGGTCGTTGTCGGATCCGTGTCTGGTCATGTTCTGGTTTTCCGATTCACCGCGGGGGGGCAAGATGGGAAGGTTGAAGAAGGCATTTTCAGTAGTAGAGTTGACGCCATGCTGCGTTGATCATTGCATATCGTCGCAGAGGCAGCGGTCTAGCCCTTGCAGTCAAATCTCAACAGCAGGAGCTCGATCACGCTAGAGATATGTTGGTTACAATAGATGATCTCATCGCCAGACTTCATGGGTTCAATAAGTACCGTTGTCGACTTTGGAATGCTAATATTAACAAGGGGTCGTAGATCTAGTCCCTTAGGATGCTGTTATCCCTAGGCTTCGAATAGTCACCAAAATGTAGCCTGAGCTGCCCACGATATCGGGGCCTGGTAACTCGTGGCATGAAACAAACATGGTCCACCTATCTCATCGAGCAGACAGAGCGTACTTCGAGCGGGCCTGGAAAGCAGATCTTGCAAATCGGCATACGCTGGTAATATGTCTCAATACAGACGGCCCATCGGGTTGATTAGTAATTGTATTACCCGTTTACTATTATGTAGACTACTGATTTTATGAACTGGCAAGGCAGATTCCAAAGAGGAGATTGCAGTTCATCAAGTCCCCTTAGTCTGGACATATATTGAAGTTTCTCAGCCTACTTCCGCCACCCTAGAATGGTTTCTTTCTTTTTCAGTTTTCCTTTGTTAGGATAATTAAGTTACATACTATACAACCTAATACTTATATATTACTAACTTTACTAATATTTAAAAACTTAATATTTATAGAAACTATAAATATTATTCTAATTAAATAATGAATACATTTAAAATTAAACTATTTAAATATTCAAATTTAAGAATACTTAAAAAAAAAAAGAATTTCAGCTAAAGAATATTTATTAACTACTTATATAAGAATATACAAATTATATAACTAATAAATAATATAATATTAATTAACTTATTAAAAACTCAAAAAAACTAAAAGATATTACAGAGGAAGTTATATCAAGAGATTAGGGTGCCCTAGTATACACATACCCAGTCCATTCAAAGATCAACAGTATACTCAGACAAACTAAGGTTTCTAGTCCAACTAGTTACCTTTCCCAATACCTTAATAAGCTGCAGGTAACAGCTGTATCTTGAAAAAGCTAGATCTGCTGGAAAGAGGAAGTTATATATTTAGTAATTAGAAGAGGCAAAAAACTGTTATTAGGTTTAAGATTAATAGGCTATGTCCTTCGTCACACTCGTACAAGCACGTGATACATAATTTGAAACATTAGTCAGGACAGTGATTTCAACACTGGAGCCATTTTTATAGATCCTAAGAGAGTAAAGGGGAGGCAACGACACGGTGCCTGGTCGATGCTGTCTCATGGGCGCTGCTATGTTGACCAGCGCGTCTGTTTCTGGCCACCTTTGGTGCCAGGGAGCCATTTCAGGGCCACCCTCGATTATAGCTGAAGCTATTCAAAATGCTGCGGTACAGTAGCTATAATCCTAACGCAGGATGATTAGCGCCTGAGCGACCCTGAGCAAAAGCAGCGAGGCGACACTTGATCTCAGCGGGTGTAAGTCGTCCATATTGCCTTGTCGTAACATTCAGTGTCAGGAACTAGGAAGGATACCAGTTGTGATATCTATGATAGACGCTAAGAGTCGTTATATAAATCATTGACGCGATAATTAAATTTGGAGGATTATTAAACCATCGGCCTAGGAGGTGAGAATAATTATCCTTGGGACCAATTTTTCCAATAGCCAACAAAACGACCACACATCTCTAGTTCTCCCACAGCCGCCCTTGTCCGTCGAGTATAAATACAAGTGGCGTGCTAAATGCACAACTCATGCTTTGCATCGCCACTTGTCAAATTAGTCAAGTCAGGCTTAACTAAACCATGCCTACCCTATCTAACCCACCACCATTACGTCTACTCCGACTTCAAGTCGTCCACGCACTTCTTCCAGTCTATCATTCTCATATAGATGACCTCAATAATGCCAATGACAACCATCCCGGACCCAAGGCCAATCCACACGCCATTCAATCCCATTTTCAGGGGCCCCAACTCCAACCAGATTGCAAATGGTATAGCTGCTAGGTAGTTGACGCCGAAAACCACCCACGCAGCAATAGACTGTCGTCCAAGACCGCGTAGGATGCCGTTACAACCGCACAGAATAGAATCGATGACCTGGAACGCGCCTACAGCAAGCATGGCCTTGGTGGCAAGTTCTCGAACGGTCGAATCGTCCGAGAATATAAGACTAATGTGATTACGCAGAGAGACCAGAAGAGCTCCGTCGAATAGCCCAATAACAACGAAGCAGACAGAATAGAGTACAGTGGCTCGCCGAGCGGTTGGGACAAGACCTGCGCCGATCAAATGGCCGATCCGCGTGCTAACAGCCACACTGACAGAAAAAGGAATATGCCACACAACCACAGACGTCGTCGTCAAGATCGTCTGTGCAGCAAGGTGAACCGTGCTGATGTACGAGGTACTAAACGTCAAGATCTCGAACGCAGCCCACTCGGCCAGGGTGACTGCAGATCCGGCCGCAGACAGCCGGACCATCGGGCCCCATCCCCTGAAGGCATTGCGAGAGAGACCAGACCAGCACTTGTGCGACGACTTCTTCAGCAACACGATATATAGGAGGAGGAGGATCGGTCGGAGGTCGTTGGCAAGGGCCGCTCCGAGCGCAGCGCCGTCGAGGCCCATTCCTAGTTTGAAGGCAAAGAGCCAGCTCAGCAGTGCGTTGACCGGGGCGCAGACGAGCAACACGGCCATGCCGGCTTTGAAATCTCCCTGCGCCTGGAGAAAGCGCTTGCCAGCCTCGAAGGCAGCGTACCCGGGGAGGCCAATGAGGCTCACTCGCAGGAAAGAGCCAGCACTTACGGCCAGGTGATGTTGCGGGATGAACACGGCAATGATGGAGGAGGAGCAGAGCCAGACGGCACCGACGGGGACGCAGACGAGAGCCATCAGGAGAATCATCCGCTGCACGTGTAGGCCAACGCCTGTGATATTGCCGGATCCATATGCCTGGGCACAGAGCGTGTCGAGCGCAGTGGCCATGCCCTCGAAGATTGCGAGGCCGATGATGTTCATCGTCGTGACGCCGACGCTCGCCGCAGCCAGGTCATCGGTGCTGAGATGCCCGGCCACGAAAGTCGTGATGACGGTGAAGGAGTATTGGAGGAGATAGGTGGCGATGAGGGGCAGCGAGTATCCAGCGAGAAGCCGCAGCTCCGAGCCCACGCTCTCCGTCTTGGGCTTCAAGCCATCGCCATCCTCTGCATCTGAGAGCAACGGCTCCGTCTCAGCAAAGAAGCGATGCTCAGACTCCATCGCGTGGCAGACCGGGGAGCGCAGGAGGAGGCCTGGGGGACCACGGGGAAGCGAGGACGATCAGCACCTCAGAGCCCAACTGCTGGAACGGACGGGGGGCATTCCATTCCGACAGCGGTTCGTCGGCAAACCTGATTGTTAAGCGGCAGGCAGAAGCAAAATGGTTTGCGCGCGCACAACCCATGAATCCTGGAAGAATGAGCCCATTATTTCACCCCGGGAGCCAGCTTTGTGGGGCAATGCGAGTCCCCGTTTTGGTAGTGCGACGTAACGATGCAAAGCGAGCTTACCAGTTTCTGCGTAATACGTCCAATCGTCACTTGGGGTTGAACCGGGAGAGTCTTGCGAGCTAAGCTGGGCAAGGGGAGCGGAATGAGGCCATGGGCAACAGATTGGACCGCAACGTCGCGCAAGGGGCCCAAGACGTACGTAGTAAGTTACGCATATAGCACTGTTTCCCCTTTCCGCCTTGCCAGGATGACCATCGCCAGGATGCAATAATTGTTTGCTTTTTAGCTAGTTTATTACTTCTGTTAATACCGCAGGCCACTTGGGTCACGCGGCGGCCTGTCCTCGCAGTCGATCCCCGCTGGCTTCTGGCTTCCGGGTCCCTGGATTCCGATAGCCCTGCTCCAGATTCTCTTCGTACCGATCAAACAAGTTAGTCGTCAAGAGCCGAGCCGTCGCGTTACCGGGACCGGCCCGTGTCCGCGGGTCTTCCTGGCGAAGTGGACCTAGTGTCGAGTTTTGCATTTTCTAATCGGATTCCCAACCCCTGCCCTGAATAAACCCTGAATAAACACTTGCCGCGTGCCCTGTGACCCTTGTTCTTCTACTGCGGCTCGGGTATTTGCCGGGTGTTGAGAAGGGCAAAAAATACGTCGTACGGCACTTATGTTCGGATCCGCAAGTGAGTTAGCTTGAACCTACTGAGTAGTATTGTTGCATCACCCTGGTTTGACGGCCAACTTTGGATGGAGGACGCAGCTGTCACAGAGTCGCAGAGTCGTATCAGAGTCGGTACGTGCCGTCGAGACTGCAGAGATTTCGCATGCTCGGCGAACCGAAAATCCATGTTCCCGGGTGGGATGGGGCATGCACTTACTGCACAGTCACTAGAGGCATTTCGTTGCGGGGCAGTGGAATGAGGGTGTAATGATCTTTTGAGGTATTGGGTGTGATCTCTTGAAACATTGGGTGCGCGCTTGAATTCTACATCCGATACCCGGCATCTGAGGACTCATGCGAACCGGCCCGCGATGAAGACATTCTCCTATCATCGTAGTGAACCTCAAACTCGTCTCGCACCACGATGACGCCCTCCGTAAGCTTCCGCACGCTCTCACTGCCGCCCGGGCTCGCCCTTCCACTGTGCTTGGTGGTCGGCTCGCGATCCGAGTACCACGCTGAGTGCTCAGGGGACTTGCCCTTGGAGCTCATCTTGAGCGTAGTGCTGCGGGCGCTGATGTTGTGCGAGGCACCCCTGGAGCCGTCGTTAATGACCGTCAGCTCGAGGCCGCTGCGCTTGTCGCTGCTCTTGAGCTCGTAGGGGGCCTGGATAGCCGCCACGGCGGTAGAGCCGAGCAGACTGTCAATGATACCCTTGAGGCTGGGGATGCAGACGGTGAGCACAGAAAGACCGAGAGACGTTTGAAACCAAATGGTTCTCGGGACCGCCAGCCACGTGGGGTCGGAATAATCTTGGAAGAGGTATTGGGCGTTTGTGAGGCTTGGAATAGTTACGATCGGCACACTAGATGACAGGTTAGCGTACGATCGAAGCGCGCAGGGCGGGAAGACCAACATGATTCGAGTTCCAAACAAGCCCATGACAACAGCTTTCCTCCTCGTCGTGGTCTGAACATGCCACATCATGACAACCGGCAGCACGCACAGCGCGAGATCCGTGACGATATCCATCACGCCATTGTAGATGTAAATCGGGCCATAGTTGGGGCACTCTGCGTGGCTTTCTGCAAGCCACGGCGATGGCAGTGGACATTGGAACACGGTGGCGAAGACGCCGGTCACGACGCAGACGAGGACGAAGCCGGCGAGGACCATGTTGGCAAGGTTCAGCTTTCCTCGGCTGTCGATTTGCCTGATCAGGAGGCAGAGCGAGATCTTGGTGCTGCCGTTGATGAACAGGGCCAGGATCCGAGAGGTATACATCAACTGTCGAGGACGCATGTTAGTTAAAGTATATCAACTTATCGGTTGCTTCACTCACCTTGCTGTAGCGTTCGAAATCTTGCAAAGAAATATCATCTCGGTGCATCCCGAGGCCTTTATTGCACGCCGCGATGACACAAGCCGTCTGGACAAAGTAGACCACGAGCCCACCGAGCAACGTATAGTCGTAGTCCCTCATGGAGGTAATGTTGAGCCGGATCAGCAGCTTGGTTATGGTGCCCAGGATGGCGTAGATGAGAAAGACGACGGAAGCCACCACCACCAAGGCCGCATGGTCGTCCTTGGTGAGCGGGTAGAAGGCTGGCGCCGCGGGCGAGTCGGTAGACATGGTGGCAGTTGTCAGGGAATCAACATTCTTGGCCTCTGCTGTCAGTCTTGATTTCGAGCGAATGGATGGACCGGCCGTGCAAGTCAAACTGATGGCAGACTCCCCGCCAAAACCAAAGGCACCGAAGAAGGGGATCGTCGGGCGTCTATATATCGCGGCTGTGCACTCGCCGCGTGCGAACCAACAGCCCGATATCCCAGCCAAGAAAGCTTCCTTCTTCGACGCATGTCTCTCGTTTCCGCGTGGTCCGCCGCCTGCATCAGCGCCACGCCAAGGGTAAGAATGCTCCGAGACGGCCACCTACGCCACAGTATCCAATCTGCCGGGGCGAGCATGAGACGGCTCGATGGAGGTGGGGTGTTGTAGGAGGCTCGTACGCGCGTAGAAGGTTTTCACTCCGACTAGCAGGGACAGAGTCGTCGACAGGCCCGGCTCGGATGCGAGAGCGAGACGAGACGCCCATACTGGACGCCTCATATTGGACTTGGACTGGCTTACAGCGGGCCGCAGTCGTGATATTACAGTAAGATGGGGGGGTTCCCACCAAGGGTCGGGTGGTTCTGACTGCAAGCCGCGAGATTTTGTTCCAAAGACAGCTAAACGATCCAAATTATGCGTTGCCCCTGCGTGTCTACAGGGCTTCGGAGACAAGGAGCGTCCAGGAGCGAGCTCCTCCACTTTTCGGCCCCGGATGCGCCCTAGGCTACGCGCCATTGCCGCCATGGGGGTGTTCAAGGGTTGTTGGGAAGTCCCAGGTTTCTAGAGGTCCATTAATGCACTTCCAGGGAGTGTGGAGGGTCCATCTTGGCACTTCCAGGGACTAGAGAGGATCCATTCAAACACCTCCAGGGACTCTAGAGGATCCATTCAAGCACTTCCATGGTCCATCTAGTCCCAGAGTCACCACCAAGTCTCCGTCGCCTCCGACAATTGTCGTCGACACAACGCCCGCTGCCAATCGGAACTCACACACCAAGCCACAGCCCACGTCGTCTCTGCAGGCAAATACACCAAGGACCAGAGTCTCCTCCTTGTCAGGCCATGCATTCAATCTCACCGTCGCAGGCCCCGCCAGAGGCAATCGCTCCGGAGTCCGTAGAGGTGGTATCAGAGCCTCTCCACTGCCGGGGTGCATGTCGATGCATATGTACATTGATTCCTGGCCGCTGATTTGATTGCTCGCGTGGATTTCTCGCCGTTGATTAACTTCCTCGCCATCCTCTCTTAAATATTCTCCCCCAGCCAGCCACCCTCGTCCTGCAGCCACGCCTGTTCCCAACGACCACCATTGTCTCATCGACCCAGCCTCTCGGTTCTGTTGGTTCCTCGTCTCCTTCGCAATGGCCCCAGCAGACAGCATCGAGATGCAGCCCGACGGCAAGGACGTCGCCGTCGACGCCACCAAGACCGAGGATGGCGGCTCGTCCGTCTACAACCAGACGCGCACCCGCAGGGTCTTTTCCTTTTCCCAGCTGTTTGCTTTTTCCCTGACGTACATGTCGCTATGGGAGGGCATGTGCACGTTCGTATTGTCCATGACGTAAATCAAACATGTATTGTACTGACCTGGACCCAGCAACATGTACTTTGCGCTGTACAATGGCGGCCCCCAGACCTTCATCTTCAGCTTCATCATCGTCTTCTGCGGCGCCATCTCCCAGGCCGCCTCGCTCGGTGAGATGGCGTCCATCCAGCCCGTCGCCGGAGCCCAGTATCACTGGACCTACCACCTCGCGCCTCCGTCCGTCCGACGCTTCGCCACCTACGTCCAGGGCTGGGCGACGTGGTTTGGCTACATCTCGCTGCTGGCCGGCATTGCCAACGTCACCATCATCCTGCTCGAGTCCATGATCCAGCTCAACCACCCCAACTACGTCCCTGGCGGCTGGCACACGTCGGTTCTGGTCATCGCCATGTGCGTGCTCCAGGGCCTGATGAACACCTACGCCTTTGAGATGATCCCCTGGATTGAGATGGTTGCCGGTGTTTTGCACGTGTGCCTGTTTGTCGTCTTTGCTGTTGTCCTCGGTGTCATGGGCAGCCGACACGGTGGCAGCTTCTGGCTCAAGACCAACACCGTTTCCGGCTGGGATGATAGCTACATTGCCTGGAACTTGGGCATGCTCACCTGTGTGTGGAGTTTCACCGGTATGTTTCCTCCCCATTCCCGCTCCCTTCATTCACTAACTGTGACGCAGGTTTCGACAGTGCTATCCACATGAGTGAGGAGACCCGAAAGGCCAAGTCGGCCGTCCCCCGTGCCATGTTCTGGTCCATCTTCATGAACGGTGTCCTGGGCTTCATCATGGTCAACGTGCTGCTCGCTTCAATGGGTTCCATTGACGACGCCCTCAACTCGGCCAGCCCCATCCTCACCATCCTCCTCACCGTCACTGGCTCCGAGAAGGCCACCACCGCCATGATCACCGGCCTCTTCGTCATCTCTTTCAGCGTCAACCTCGCCAACATTGCGTCCGTTTCTCGTCTGACCTGGGCCTGGTCCCGTGATGGTGGCATGCCAGCCTACTTCGCCTACGTCAGCCCCAAGCACCGCGTTCCCATCCGTTCCATCGTGCTGACCGTCTTCCTCGTCTGCGCTCTCTGCCTCCTCAACATCGGCAGCTCCAGCTACGTCGCCTTCGGTGCCATTACCTCGCTGTCCTCCATGGCCCTCTACATCAGCTACGCCATCGCCATTAGCAGCATTCTGTACGCTCGCTTCAACAGCGCTGGCCTCAAGCTTGGAGAGTGGAACCTTGGTCGCTACGGATTGTACGTCAACGCTTTCGCCTTGGTTTACACCCTGTACATCATCGTCTTCCTCCCCTTCCCATCGACCCTCCCTGTCACAGCTGCCAACATGAACTACTGCGGCCCCGTCATGGTCTTTGTGCTCTTTGTTACCCTCGCCCTGTGGTTCCTCCGTGCGAAAAAGCACTGGACTGGTCCCAACCTCACCATTCTCGACTTTGTCATTGCCAACTCTTAGGCGTTTGTCAAGCAAAGTGCCTCGCATAGCAGGGCCTTGTCTAATAATTATCTGTACGATATAATGCGCGGACATAGAAACAGTAGATAGTGACATGAACCGCCATGTCTTCAAATTGAGCGTTAACTACTGCGATCTCCGAGATGCTCTACAAGATGATGACCCCTTCTCCACAAGTTGACGTGACTGTGACTCGACTGACCATCCCACGGCCCATCCATTACCCCCATCCACCACCCCCACCCATCTTTGTAGGCGAAGATTTAGCGCAGTGGACTCGTGGGGCTCCTCAGTGGCTAGTACGGGGCGTTACCCGTGTTCTTAGATGAATGTTGCGTCACCAGATTCAAGCTGGAGGAAAGATGACAACCAATTAGTGACGGGGCTCATTCCAAGGGTCTCTTTCTTTGGCGGATACTCGATCTTGACCACATTAAAGCTACAATGGGGCGTCGTTGTCTCAGCCATGCGGCAGTATCCGCCTAGAAAGGCTTAATCCGGCGCTAGATTCATGCGGGAATAAAATGCAGCGTGGGATGAAATTAACTACGTGTCGCCGATTATTACTCTCAGAACCCGACCAGAGATTCAAAGAAGCAATGCTGTACCAACGCCATATTTGTGTGGCTTGGTCCGTCGCGAACATCCTTTCCAGTCTGGGAGATAACTGAGGAAAGTAGTGGATACTTGTGGATATGCCTCATCATGTATTTCAGTGGCGTTCAAGGGTCTACAGTGAGTTTCGGTGGCGCAGATGACGACATATAGGGTAAGTCACATTTGGAAGAAAAGAGAATGAAAAATGAGACACATGACACTAAGTGAGTGCATTGATGTCTGAGACTAGATCGAACAGAGTAGTCATTTTCTTTCTTTTTTTTCTATCAATGTCTAGACTGTTGTCAGCCCCCTCATGAGACAAGTAATACCTAGCTAGTGTTAAGATCAGGCTCGGGAATCCGGAGTTCAGGCAGAGGCGGGCTAAACCCGGGCTGTTCGTCCTCATACTTCTTTTAATAATAATTAGCAATGTGTATGACAGCAGCCAAAGGGGGTACTGTTTCTTGGTGGGAGATACATTAGTACCGGCCGGGCTGGGGACGGGGAGTGTATGAGGCCCTGCAAGAAAATTCAAGACATACGGAACTGGGTCTTGACCAGGTAAAGGAGTAGGTATGTTTGTTTCTGAACACTTGATTCAGTGCCTCACAGTGCAGCCTACGAGAAGGGAAGGACAAACTACGACAGGAGCTGCGGCGACAACTTGGTCAAGATCACAAGGCAAGATAGGAAATTAATCTCTAATAGCGGCCACTGCGATACTGATGCTGGCATGGCCAACTTTTAGCTCCTCCATCGCAGTCGCTTAAACTTGAATCTCTCTTAGAGCTATGGCTCGTTCTGTCCTTTTGGACCCGTCGTAGGCTTGTTGGTATATGCAGAGGTCTCAACTAGCTCGTGGTGTGATACACGACTGAAATATCCACAAAGCCTCTGGAGGAGCACTAAGATGCCCAATATTTCCATTTGACATCGCTCCGACGATTATGCTTCCATTAGCACTGCCATCATACTCAATCTTACTGTGCGACCCTTTTCTATTAGTGCAATGTGCCCTTGTTCATCGGGCAGTCCGGATGCACGGCAGTATGCTGTCTAGCCCTGTGCAACGACAATGATTCTACTAGAATCGATTTATTTTGCCTTATTATACCCACTTCGCAAATGGCGTATTGGAATTTTGGAATATGCGCAGTAAATTCCAGCATCATCCTGTTCCTGTTTAGACTTGGTGGTGCGAATCATGAATATTTTTATTTATTTTTAGCCCGTCCAGGACTTCACATGGTAGAGGCTACACAGTTGTCAATCTTCCACGTCACAAAACCAACAACCTCGCTCGTAGAACTGCATAGACCTCCTTATACCCTTGCAACACCAAAATGTTGAGTTCGGATAGTTGGCGACGCTTGTTTGATGCTTGTTTGATGAATAAGCTAGCCCACCGCTAGTCCTAGTTTATCTACCGGGCCAGTCAAAACGTCACCGGGCCCATATAATTGAAAGTCAGACTATCTGGCCCTTGATAAAAAACCTGCGGTCAGGAGTCAGCCAGCGGTGTGATCTGATCTTCCAAGTTTCAATCCTTCAAACCACGGCCTCTTTTTGATTTCCCTGGCCTTCGTCTCCCTCATCTCATCACAATGGCCTCCGGTATGGAATGCCTCAAGCTCACCAGCAAGAATCTGCCCTTGATCTCCTCGCAGCAGAGCAACGAAAAGGTCCAGATCCCTACGTACGCCCGGGATGACGTCAAGGAGGGAATTGTCCACGTCGGCGTCGGCGGCTTCCACAGAGCTCATCTGGCCGTATATGTCGATCAATTGCTGCAGAAGCACGGCGAGCGCAACTGGGCCATCTGCGGCGTCGGTCTGCGTCCCAACGATGCTGCCATGCGCGATGTCTTGAACGCTCAGGACCATCTGTACACCGTCATTGAGCGCTCCGCCAAGGGCAGCCGCGCCAAGGTCGTCGGCAGCATCAATTCGTTCCTCTTCGCGCCCGACGACCGCGAGGCCGTCATTGCCAAGATGGCTCACCCGGACACTCACATTGTGTCGATGACCATCACCGAGAGCGGCTACTACTACAACGAAAACACCCACGAGCTGCAGGCTGAGCATCCCGACATCCAGCACGACATTGACCCGGCCAACGAGAACGCGCCCATCAGCACCTTTGGATTCCTCTACGCTGCGCTGGCCCGGCGTCATGAGCAGGGCATGAAGCCCTTCACCGTCTTGTCCTGTGACAACATGCAGCACAACGGCTCCATCTCCCGCCGCATGCTCGAGTCGTTTGCTCGTCTCCGCAACCCGGAGCTGGCCAAGTGGATTGTCGAGGAGGGAGCTTTCCCCAACGCCATGGTCGACCGCATCACTCCCGTCACCTCGCAAGCCGACATCAAGTCGCTGGCCGACAACTTTGGCATCGAGGACGGTTGGCCCGTCGTGACGGAGCCCTTCATGCAGTGGGTTGTCGAGGATAAGTTCTGTGATGGCCGCCCGCCGTTTGAAAAGGTCGGCGTCCAGGTCGTCCATGATGTGCACGACGTCGAGCAGTTTGAGAAGCACAAGCTGCGTCTTCTCAATGCCAGCCACTCCGCCATGGCTTACCCGGGTCAGCTGGCCGGCTTCAAGTACGTCCACGAGGTCATGGAGCACCCCATCTACCGCAAGTTCGTCTGGCAGATGATGCAGGAGGAGGTCAAGCCCCTGCTGCCCGAGATCCCCGGCGTCGACATTGACGAGTACTGCAAAACGCTGACCGAGCGCTTCTCCAACCCCACCATCATGGACCAGATTCCCCGTGTTGCCCTCAACGCCTCGGGCAAGATCCCTCAGTTCATCATGCCTTCCATTGCCGAGCAGATCTGGGTGTCCGGTCCCTTCCGGCGCCTGTGTTTCGTCGCTGCTGGCTGGTTCCGTTACATCAACGGTGTTGACGACGCGGGCAACACCTTCGAGGTCGAGGATCCCATGCTCGAGCAGCTCCAGGCCCTGGCAAAGGCAGGTGGCAATGATCCCCGCCAGTTGCTCAGCATCAAGATGCTGTTCGGTGACGACTTGCGAAACGACCAGCGCTTCCTTGACGAGGTCTCCAAGGCTATGGAGCTTATTGCCAAGGACGGCGTGATGGCAACTCTTCCCAAGTACGTCGACTAAACCACATCGGAGACGTTGTGGTCGACTTGTTACGCTATAGACGGAGTTTGATGTTATAATGAGTACGGATACACTGGACTAGAAGAAATATGTCATGAGTTTCATAGAGTTCGTCGTCATTGGATCCATTTGATGACTGATGCGAAATGCGACTTATAAGAGTTTGATGAATAGAGCAGAGGTGAAGCAAAGGTCCAGTCTTTCCTAAAGCTTAGTATAGAGTAGAAGGGGTGCGATGTATGATGGAGTGGATCTGGACGTTGTAGTGTAGATCAGGGTCTGGGAACATATAGAAAAGGTAGATATGAGCACCGAAATGTATGACAGCTGCTGAGTATCATATCTACCTGCACGCGTTCCTTGTGACTATAGTACGGTGATCAAGTATAACCGCTCCAGCGGATAAGCAGTCGGAGCTGCACTTCATTAGACGAGGGACTCCGCAACGATAAACACACTCGGTGACCATAGCCCAGTACCTGCTAATAACCATTACCAGACGTGACCACTCATTGCTCACCCGTCCTGTTCCTACTGGATCATAAGCCCCGCCATCCCGCTCGCCCCATACTGATCCCCTTAGTAAACGCCCCGCTGCCGTAGACATGGATTCCAACAGTTGATGCAAGAGTGGAGTGGAGCAGACGAGCTTGAAATTACGGAGCTGCAAAGCTCGTTCTTGATATTCTATCCATTCTAAACTAAGTATACATTTGAATACAACCCGTAAACATCATGACTTCATCCAGCATAGTCGTTCATTCGATCCTCAATCAACACGTTTCAACACCGTCTTCGCGCCCGTGCTAGACACGCTCTCCAACCGTCCATCAACAATTTCCAGGACAAACTCATCCATTGGACCGAAAAAGTCGAGGTTCATCCAGGAAAAGGTATTATCAAACAAGCTCTTCTTACCGCCTTCCACCGTCGCACGGGGGAGCGGAGTCCACGGCTGGCCGAGCATGCGGTACGCCAGGCGTATCGTCCCGTTGGTCTTGTACAGTGAAGCCAAGGATCGTGAGTACGAGTTGGGGCCGGTTGGGTAGAGGCGTGCTGAGATGTTGGCGGGCTTGGTGGCTCCGAGTAGGATTGCGCGGCTCTCGGTGCCGTTTATGTAAAACGACTCCAAGCCTAGTCCGGGACGGCCTTCATCGACTGTTATGGTGAGGTTGGTTCCCTCTGCCGTCTCGTCGACAAACGTTCCCGCAAAGTTGCGTCTGCCATTCTGAGCCGCAGCGTGCTCCATGGCGGGAATGAAGGTCTCGCCGACGAGGTCGCGAAGGGGCCAGCGAGCCGAGGACGCGGTCGCACCAGCAATCAAGATGGAGTACCCAATGCCGTGGTCCGGCGAGAGGGCGAAGATGCAAGTGTAGTCTCCGTTGCCGCCCGCTTTGGTGTAGAGGTCCGACACACGAGTGCGGTTCGAGCCCGGCGTCACAGGAATCATGAGGCGGGCTATTTCCCAGGGCGCACCAACGAGCTCGACTAGAGATCCGGTGCCGCTGAGAGGCTTCATCCAGGCCCGTGTAGTAGCCGCAGAGAGCAGCTCGGAGTTCAAGATGGAAAGACCGGCGGTGCGAAGATCTGCGCCGTTGGAGTAAATACCACCCGATCTGCAGGTCAGGTCAGTGTTTGAAGCATAAGGAGAAAGGAGAGGAGAAAGTACTTACGGCGTGACAATTGGAATCTCCAGGCCCCATGAAGATGTGTTGGAGAGAGGCAACCGATTAATGGCGTTGACATCTGTGCCATTCGGCACTGTGGTCGACATGTTATGGAGTCCCAATGGGTTGAAGACACTCTGCTGCAATGCATCCTTGTAAGAGCGTCCCGACAGGCGCTCAAGTACGACACCTAGGAGAGCGAATCCTGTATCGGAATACACCGCATTTCGGAATGGGGAGATCACGGGGCGCTTCTTGCGCATAAACTCTAAGAGCACTAAGTAGCAGATGATTAGCGGATGATCGCCGGGGGATAAGGCATTAGAATTACCTGGAGTGGTGAAATCGGATAGACTGTCGTGTTGTTGTAGAAGGTCTGATAACAGTTAGCTTAGCTATTCTCGGAGACGAAGAGAGAAAACCAACCTCCTGCTCCCCCGGAACCAGCTTGCTGGGACGCAAGAGCTCCGACCGTGACGTCCTCCCAAACGATGCGATCCAGAGAATCACTAGACGGGTTTCCCGCGAGCTCAGGGAGATATCTCGTCACAGGGTGGCTGAAGACCTCCATACCCGCCGTAGCGAGGATTGCGTAGACGGTGAAGATCTTGCTCACGCTGCCGAGGCGGCCAATCGTCTGGTCGTTGAGCTCGCCGCACGTCAGCGTGACGTTCTGGCCCTCGCCGACGTGGTAGTAGTTGAAGAGCGACTTGTTGGTCGCCGCGGAAAAGACGTCGACGGCAAAGACCAGGTCGGTGCGGTTGAGCGTACCCGCCGAGAAGAGGCCCTCCATCAGGCCGGGGAATTCTGCTTTGGCGGAGCGGATGGCTTTGGAGTCGGAGGGATCGAAGTTGGCGCTGAAGGATGGGCCTAGGAGGGGCATGTCGGCTGTGAAGGCGACGCTTGCTGCTGTGCCGGCCGCAAAGGCCAGGAGAGGCGTGATGAATGTGTTGTGAAGAAGCATTTTGAGCTGAGATTTACAACCTGCAATCTGTAGATTGTTGTTGTTGCTCTTGTATGAGAAGCGTGTCTTGACTCGGTTGAATTCATTCTCATCAACGGACCACGCCCGTGCCTTATATACTATCATTCATGACGACGACTGCGGTCGTACACGATCGTCATTTCCAGCCAAGCCACGGCATTAACCGTTTACGGTCTCTTGTGTCGCTATGACTTGGCAGACCCGAGGCGGTGTCCAAGCGAACGCGCGTGCGTCGCGGCGATCAGCGACATGAGATCGAGCGGCGAGATTTACACGGGAATAAACAAAACTCGTTCTCCAATTAGAAACGGCGGCGAGGCGGTAGTATCATGTTGTTTCACAGCCTAGTCTACGCCTTGCTCTGCGTTGGCCTTAACACCGACGTCGAAGTCCCACTGAGTGCCTTGCAAATCGCAGGCTGCCAGATGATTAATTTCCGGCGCTTCGCAATTGGTCTGATCGTATCACGTAATTCACAGTGTCAAGCGATCTTCGTTGCTCCGCCTCTGGAAGCGCTGCATATGGCTCCATCGAGTTAGTGCAGCTTCCAGCCGTCTCATTAACGTGTGACGTCAATGATGTCATAAATACAATGAGAATGAGATGCAGGTATCGTGGGGCGATGGATCGTGGGGCAATGAATCGACCCGATTGGAGCTTGGCCGTGTTTTACTGCCATCGCCAAGTCGAAATATCAAGGCGGGCGTCCGCAGCGAAACGGACGGGAATGGGTCCAACCCCATCATTGGTTCATTTGAACTGCGCAATTGTCAGTCAATTGTGTCATGGAGTTGGTGTTTTTGCGGCTTATATGGGAGCTCACCTCTTATGATCCATGTTAGGGTCTAGACCCAGACATTCAGACTCTGTCAAGCTGCCCCCAACGCTCTCGCTCTGAGCTTGAGATTGCCCGGCGTTGATCTATTGTGTTGGCACTTTGCCTTGCCGGCGACTGATATCAAATCTTGATATCGAGGAATTTCACCTAGATTATGCAATTGTTGTTGTCGAGTTGTCTTTACAACCAGACATACTGACCACCATGTCCAACCCCCAAAGTGGTTTGAGGGGACTGTATTCCATCAACCTGACGAATACTTCACCCTACCACCTAGCCACTATGGCCGGCAAGTGCAGGATCCCAGACAATCTCCTGAGCCTCGCTGACAACAGGCACATTACTCAACCCATCTCCCTGCGTCCCAAGCCCATGCATCGGCAGCAGCCGCTGCTTTTTCACCTGATAGATATCCTGCGCAATGCGCTTCACCTGCATCCCCAAGTGCGCGGCCGCCGGCCAGACCTGCGCGTACTCGCTCAGCACGCCGATGCTGAGGCGGATGCGCTGCCGGAGGTTGTCGTCATTGTGCGGCACAAACGAGAGCGTCCACTCGCTCAGGTGGATCGTCGCGGCGAGCGTCACCATGTAGGCGAAGAAGTGCGTGTGGGTGAGCAGCGACACGCGGTGCCCGATCAGCTTGCTCAGCTCGTTGGCCGACCGGATCGTGTGCTTGGTGTGCGCGTTGAAGGCGTCGCTCGACACGGCCGGCGTGGTGGGCGCGCACGCGTCGATGTAGCTCGTGAGCGAGGGGTCGAGCTGCGAGTGCGGCTGGTGCAGCAGGATGGAGATGGCGTGGGCCATCATGAAGGCCTGGAACATCATCTCGTCGAACTTGCCGTCCTTGTAGAGCATGTTGCTCTTGGACGTCGGGAGGTGCATGCGCCAGTTGGCCAGGAGCACGTCGAACTTGGCGAGGTTCTTGTCCTTGGGGCCGAAGACGGTGGGTGTTTGGATGAACTTGCCGAGGTAGCAGGCGCATTGGATGCGGTAGGCAAAGGATGAGAATCCGGCGCTGTCGTCCAAGAAGGTGATGTTGTCCATGTCTTCCAAGTGGAGTGGCTGGGGGATATACTAAGATGGGTTAGTAAGGAGGTGAAGGAGAAGAACGATGAACATACGCCTGAGAGAAACTCGTGCTCCTCGCACGGCAGGGCCACATCGGATTCAACTTCATACAACGAAAACTTGGTAGACCGATGAACTCCTGCAATCATGGCATCAACGATGTAAAGGTCCCACCAGGTCCTCCGCCAGCTCTCTTCAAGCACAGGCATGCCTTGACCGTTGAACTCGGCAAACCATCGTTTATTGAGGCCAATGTGAAGCGAGACAGCTCGAATATCAACCAACAGGGCGTGGACCTTGTCTCGTTGGCGATGGCCGTCAAGTCCAAGAATCAGAAGCAGCAAGCATTGGACTATGAAGCCATCCTTGGGCATGTCGGGCTTGTAGACAAGCCGGTAGGCATAGTCGAGAAGCCTGGCACATGTCGAAGGCGTGTCGACGAAGATGGCGCCAATCCAGCGCATAACAGCCACCAGTGGCTCGATGGTGGGTTGGCCAGGGGCTAGGGGGAGGAGGTAATCCTTGGGCAGGACAAAGGGATGGGCGGCATGGAAGTTGTAATAGAAGGATTCAATGTATCGATCCCTATAGGTAGGGTTTTGGGTGGGAAGGGCGACGGCATAGTTCAAGGCATCGACGGAAAAGGCGTAGGTATGATCAAAGGCGAGATTATAGTGGCTGCTGGGGGCCGACGTCTCAGAGTAAATGGAATAGTCAAGACCGAAATCCGGGAAGACGGGGGTGGTATTGAAGGCAGAAGGCAGAAGGCTGCCAGACGAGGGTACGGAGACGGGGGCGTGAGAATTAATGCTGACCGCAGGCGGGCCGTAGGTGGTATAAGTAGAAGTAGCTGGGCGGGCCGGCCTCAGCGTGAGGCTCCTGTTGGGCAGCTTCTTGCGGGACGGGCCCTTGTAGCCACGGCGAGATGCGATGTATACGCAGTCGGAGCCGGAGGTGGTGCAGCGGGAGCAAGGCCGGCGACCATCACACTTGAGGTGTTTTGTGCGCTGGCGTGGGGGCGGGATTGGTTAGCTTCTGGAGTTGAGGACAGCGCGTATAGGCGTATAGACGTATAGACGGATATAATATAAACTCACACATGCTAGACAGGCAGACGGCACGGCGGGGACTGAACGAGACGACGACGATGACGCGCCTCCTCCGTCGTCGTTCCGGCGCATCGTCGACGACGAGCCCAACGACGGCGGGACCTCGGCGCTCATGCCCATGTCGTTACGCGGATAGGACCGTACGGCGGACAACAGGCCGCGGGCATCAAAGAGGATGGCGGCGGCGGACGATTGAATCGAACGACGGACTGAACGGGCTTCGAGAAGTTGGGTGCGGCGACGAACGAACGACGCGTGAGCTAAGAATCCGCTTCAGCTCCAGGGGTTTCAAGCCACATATGTACTGTGCGGTACGTGGTGTGTCCGCGGAACGGGATTAGCGCTGCGGCAACGGTTCGAGGTAGCTGCTACGCTGGGGGATGTAGTTTGAGTGTATTTATATCTCGTTCTGGGGCTGAGGGGTGGTGGTGGTACCAGGGAGGTACACACAGCCCCGCTGGATGTACAAGGTGTTCGACCTGCCAGTTGCGAGGCGGAGGATTTCCAGGGGCGTCAAGGGGGCAAGTCAAAGCGTCGGCAATGGGAGAGGGATGCTTGGTGGTGGGTGGACATGAACTGAGAGATACGTGCCGTTTGTAGATAGGGCGATGGCGGATTGTTAAGGGTTGCGTATCTGGCGTGTCGAGGGTGTCACGACTTGAATAAAAGCTTCTATCCTGACCGAACCCATCCACCATGTCAATCCTGCTGCGCAAAGAGCACACACACTCTCTCTCTCATCTCGCCGACTCAACAATCCCCGCGTGGCGGAGGTGCGCTGGCGAGATTGCCCATTGCTCCCGACATGGATCCTCCCTGTCCGCCGCCTGTTTCCACGTCTCAATTCAGCTTGATTGAACCGTCCCCTGCAGCCCGGACTTGCCGACATGATTCCCCGATAGGTGGACGAGTGCCGGTGGAGGCTCATCTTACGGGGGCTCAGAGCGCTAGCCGGTCCCTATAGGGCGGCCTTCCCAGATCATGTCAATCTTAAACATCGGGCTGTGTGCTGTAGCGTCCTGTCGGCGTCCAGTTTGAAGCCTTTGATGGGCTGGATGTGCTTATCGCCATTGTTATCCTCAGCCTTCTTTCTCCCTGCTTCGCCCCCACCGTCCCATCTTTTGGCGCTGTTTTCCCTCCGAAGCTTCGCAACCACTACTAATTTTAATCCAGCCGGGGAATTCTCATTCGATCGAGACATCCAATATGGCGTAATTTTACCATACAGCCTTACCGCCTACAAATATACTATTAATAAACATTTAGCCATCATTCCAATGCCGATGCGATGCTTGATGAGCCACTCCGAACATGTGGCTCGCCCTGTGGCACAGAATCCCCATCTAGCATTCCTACCCTAGATCCATTGCCTCGGTAATCTGCCATTTAGGTTTTATTCATATCTGCCATGCTGGATCCTTATCGATAAACCACGACGGACGGGATAATGCCGGAAAATATGGTGCCATTTTTCTAAAGTTCGGATCAGTTTGCGGTATGACAGCGAATTTTTCCGAACAAGTCAAGTGCTTTCCGTAACGATCTTCCCCCTGTCAATCGACCCGAGCAAGACATCACGCAAGAATTGTGTAAAAACGTGACAAGAGTTACTATACTGGGACACAATGCTTTTTCCAATGATTTCATGGCAAAATTAGCTTTGGTGGGTGGTAGCATTACATCTTACGTATATCTCTCAGAAATGTCATCTTTAATTCGATACAATTCGAATAGGCTTCATATCTTACTGGTTTCAATTGTAAACTACATTTCTCAATTAATGTCACTGATTGTGTTTTTCACAAAAGCCAACAACAGCCATTCTACCAAACTTGGTTGAAGAACCATCGTCGAGCTATTGTGTGCAAGGAATAATTCGTATGGTTTGTAAACGAGGTCGTCGTAGAAAATTAGCCGTACCTCGTCTCATATCCCCCCTCTTATCGCCCAGGCGCAATAAAATTGAACTCCTCAAGTCGTATCTTATTCCTGTAAATCATTTCCCTCTAGCTTGCTTAATTAAAATCCATCCCAATCGCAAATTTGCCAAAAAACTTCCAACGCCATTCAGATTACACACGGGATCAAGGCTCCCTTCCTCTTGATCGATGCGCTCTGTATCATACAGGACTTGGCGGAGGATTGGGACCATGAGTCTATCCTGATGGGCGAGCTGTATGCGCATGCTGTCTGCATGATTTTGGCGACTGGTGATCATGGTGCCCAACGCAAATCCAATCTGGAGCACGCACAACGCAAACTACAAAAGCCCAGAGGAGTATAGGACTGAATCTCTTCAATCTTCTGCGCTGGCGGGGATATGCAGAGGGTTTCAACTCCTCCTCGAGTCTCAAGGTTCCGAACTTAGACAATTGGTCAAGTTCCACAAGAGCTGGTATGAGATGGTTGAGCAGTATGCAGGGCGGAATCTGACAAAGGAGAGCGACAAGATCCCTGCCTTACTCGGGGTAGCCGACTTTATCGAGAAAAGCTCCGCTTGGGAATGCATTGCAGGCTTATGGTGGGAATGCCTATCCATAAACCTGCCTTGGAATGTCAAGACTGCAACCGGCTCGGCGAGGTCATCATTTCCCGCGCCGACCTGGTCTTGGGTGTCAATACGAGGTGGAGTTGAGACACAATTACAACACGTCAAGACAGAGTCACAAAACACTACGATACACTATCTTATGTCCTTCCAGGGCTGTGAGAATATTAGCCGGCACAATTGGCGGATCACCAATGCTGGGCTCAAGATGCCGGCTCGAATTTGTGACTTCTCCAAGTTTAACCCTCAGGTCATCTTAGATCGCCCCGATGCTGAGCCGGAGGTCTCACTGACTAGGAGTGAAGCCTATGTACCTATGCTCAAATTTGATGGAGTTAGCACGACGGAGCGAGAAAGCTCTGAGATCCACGGCCTGATTGTCAAGCGCACGTTATATCTTCGCGATGACTTCGAACGAATTGGGAACTTTTCAATGTAGATCCCAAGTAAGTTGTCGGAGGTGTTCAAGCGCATGTATTGTCAGCTGAAAAAAAATCATTCTTGTCTAGGTATCGGGGCGGCTGATACGAATCTCAGCCGTCTGATATTTCACTTGTCGGATGCAGGTGGCCTTAATGTAGAAGAAGAAATATATTCGGCTCAAACTTATTGTACAGGTAGACTATCTTAGTTGTATTACATTTCCGCCTTGTGGTTGGAACCGGGGATACCACCAAACTCCTGCACCTCCTCCAATGTCTCCTTGAGGATGGCCATACCCTTCTCCAGCTCCTCGTCGGTAATGGTCAGAGCAACTCCAAGGCGAACACGGCCGGGTTGAGAGTACATCAAAGCACCCTTCTGGTAAGCAAGTCTGGCGATTCGGCGAGCAGTAACACCCTTAAAAGACTCGTCGAGGATGATGTTCATGTCTCCACCTCGGGATGTGTAGAAGTGGACAAAGGGGATCTTCCAGGTCGATGTCTCTTCCTTCCACTTAGTCTGGATAGTCAGAGCACGCTCGATCAACTTCTCCTCATCCATGATCTCCAGAGTGGCCAGAACCGCAGCATTGGCCTGAGGAGCCATGGCGAAGGTGCTAGCTGATTGGTAGGGCTTGACGAGGGTCATGACCTCGTTGCTTCCGAGAACGAAAGAAGCCGGGTACGCTCCTCCGCTGATGGACTTGCCCATGGTAACCATGTCGGGCTTGTTCTCAGGGCCCATCCACTCGGAGCTGAGGAACTTGCCAGTCTTGCCAGCACCCTGGCGGACCTCGTCGGAAATGAAGAGGACGTTGTATTTCTTGCAGATCTGTCGAACTTCAGTGGCAAACTTGAGCTCCTCCTCGAAGGTCCTGCATGCTGTTAGTAAACATGAGCCAGCAAGATGGGAACCTCTGGACACGAGGGAAATAGCTACTTACTCTGTGAGACCGTGGAAGCACTCCATAATAACAGCGGCCACACGGCCATGGTATTCACTCAGAACGGCCTCAAAGTCCTCAGAATGCAGGTATCGAAGGACCTTTCCGGTACCGGGGTGGACGTTGGTGATGTTCTTGCTAAACACACCATACTCTGCCTAAGTTAGAAGATGTGGAAGGAGGAATGTACAGAGGACTCACCATGCTGGTCGAGGGGCTCCATGATGGGCCAGACACCGGCAGTAAGACCGTGGTAGTTCTCTGAAGTTCCAAGAACCAGAACATCTTCGGGAGAGATGCCCTTGTGGGTGATGCCCCATTTGCGGGCAATCTTGCAAGCAGTATCGGCTGCCTCAGCTCCAGTGCACATGGGGGTGATCTTGTCAAAGCCAAGTCGGGTGCAGAGCTCTTTGGCAACCAAGGGCCACTGGACCGAGTGAGTAGACATGTTGGCAAGGGTGACTATAGAAATAATTAGGGACAGTCATCGCGAAACAGGAGAAGAGGACTCACTAGTTTGCACAGACTCGGTGACGGCCTTGACAAGCTTGGGGTGGCAGTGGCCCAGGTTGGTTGCGCTAAACATGCAAATAAAGTCAATCAACTCCCTGCCGTCGACATCCTGTTTAATGGTTAGAAGATGATCATGCCGACTTTCGGAACCAAATATGGCTGGAGCACTCACCACAAGAGTCGAGCCCTTGCCGGATACCATAAAGCCGGGGAGAGAGCCGAAAGCGCCGACAGCGTAGTCCTCCTCCATCTTGAGGAGTTCGAGCGTCTTTTCAGACAGTTGCTCTCCGGTTTTGGACGCCATTGTAATGATGTGTGGTGTTGTTGGGGTGTTTGAGGCGAGTGGCGAGGAATAGAGAGATGAGAGTGCGATTGCAGAGGAATGAGAAGAGTGTGAGTGTGATGAGGATGGGAAAGAGAATATTGACTGAATATGCCATGCTTTATATATATATGTCTTTCCGCGATGCTCTTCCCGACGACATCCAAATGTCCATTCCGAGCAGACGACTCTCAACGCACCTAGGTGGATCCGATAAGACGATGCGTGGACCCTGGACTCTTTGAATGAGGGCTGTGAATGGCCAGATTCTCCAGCTCGAGCTTCATGATGCCAACATGGGAATAGTGCTCCCGCGGTTATCTGCGAACCCCGGCGTCCCTAGCGCTGTCGCGTTTATCTAGTCGGCATCAGCCCATGTTGAAGCTCCGCGACGCTCTGCACGCCTTCTCCGCCTCGTCATTATCCGCCTCGATCCATCCTCGTGGAGAGTTGCCCCGTTGCCGCGGCTTTGCTGAGACATGGCGTCTGCTCGGAACAGCCAGACGACCGGGATCATGGCCCCCCGGTCCAAGACGGGCTGCTTTACGTGTCGTCGGCGGCACAAGAAGTGTGACGAGGTTCGTCCTGTTTGCGCCGGCTGCGTTCGAAACCAGCTGCTCTGTCACTGGCCGTCTTCGAGTCCCGATGACCCGGCGACGCAGCCGGAGATTGCATCTGCCAGCTCAGACTCGGATCCAGACGCCTGTCTTGTCCCCGTTATCATCCGCCAGCCTACCGTCCTGCCTCCGCTGTTTCGGAACCATCGGAATAGCCTCCTGTTCCAACACTTTGCCCACGTCACTTCGCTGCAGATGGCAAGTCGAGTGTATCCCGAGAATGCATACCTGACGTACAACCTCCGCATTGCCGCCGGCTGCGATGGTCTGCAGCATGCCATTCTCGCCATCAGCTCGTCCCATGTGTCGTACATCAACTCCTCGTCGACCGATTCGTCGCTGGATCACTATGTCGTCGCCCTTCGCGGTCTGACACACGCGATAACCAGATGGAAGTCATGTTCTGCCATGGACCGCATTCTCATCGTGGCAACGTCCCTGGCTCTCTGCCAGTACGAAGTGAGTAGTCATTCTACACCGCGCGTCTATGTTACTGACCATCCCAGGTTCTCAACGCCAACACCCAAGGCTCGCTGTATCACCACTTGCGTGCGCTAAAGTGGATGATATCCGAAATGCTAAAAAATGAGCGAATTTATGACCAGGACATTCTGGGCTTCTTCATCGAGCAGTACCAGTACCTGGCCATCGTCTCCCACATCGGCTTTGGCTTCGGCCTCAAGATGCTGGATTGGAACCAAGGCCAAAATAGCCCGGTTGATTCTTTGAAGACGCTCAACAAAGACAGCCCCATCTATGGCTTCATGTTTGGCCGCTCGCACAACCTCTTTGCCTTAATTCCTCGCATCCACAATCTAGCTCAACAATGCCGGCATGAGGAACACCCCGCGATTGAACTGGAAACGACGTATTCGATGCTTCTTTCAGAAATAACCTCATGGGATGGGAAAGATGACGAATACAACCTGGGCTACCAGTTGTCCGGGCTAATATACCAACAATCGCTCCTCATATACCTGCATATGGCCTTCCATGGTCCCAAGTCACCCACGACAGGCCTCATCGCAAAGGTCGAACCTTGCATTGAGTTGTGTCTGCAATACATTGAAAGCCTGCCAGCGGATGCTCATACTTGGACTACTTCCATGTGGCCCTCCCTGGTATCTGGGTCATGCATGCTTCTAGAAACGCAGAGGAATCGCCTCTCCAGAATCTTGTCCGACTCATTGATCAGGTTCCCGACTCTCGAGGGCATGCTTAAGGCACTTATTATATATTGGAATGACTTGGACGAGGATATAGACTTGTATGGCCCTCATGGGTTCGAAATGACGATGAAGCGGCATAATATCATCCTTTGTGTTGGGTGATACATCACCTACACGTATTGGCGTTATGGGATTTGGGACAAGGGGAACCTAGGAGTTGGTCAAAATTCCACATTGTATTGGAATCACAGCGTAGCGGAAGTCGTTCGTTTGGATACCTCGGGCCGAGTCGAGTGCACAATATCAGGTTTCGATTTCACTCTGATGTCTTGTATTAATGCTTAGCGACATGATAGTCAATGATAAAATCGTTCTTAGCTGTCATATTAATCACCATCATCAACAATAAATGATTTCGTGTCATGCTGTTGCTCGTCATAAGACTCAAAGTGCGGGCGGGGCGACTAGTCCACCCTTCTATATTTAGGTGGACTGGTGGATAGAAAACATGTTGGCTCTCATCTGTAAACATCCATTTACCGCTTCTGTTACCCGGGTCCGTCGATTTTCTACGGATAATACCGGTACCCCAGACTTGCCCCGGATTCGGGACATGGCGTGGGTACTTGTGAAGGTGGACATTCAGGTGGACGGGTGGGTGGGCATTAATGTGGGCATAAAGGCAGTGTGTTGGTTGGCCAGAAAGTCATTTATTATTGCTACTGAGAATCCGGGACATCCGAAAACCCATACTGGATCTGAATGACTCCACGTCGGGTACTCCGAATTGCATTGTGGACCTGAATCCGCATCGTCGGTTCACAAGTCGACTATTTATTATCCACGCCATAGCCCAGCGCCACAACGGCAGATATAAAGAAATTCACATTCGAATTTCTATACCATCAAGACAGGTGTCTCAGGGTATTTGAAAACAGAATTTCACAGTTATCATACTCGAAACTGTACGAATCACAATGACTCCTACAACCAAAGAGCTTTCTGTTCGTGAGGTCTTGGAGCAGCTCACGCTTGAAGAAAAGGTGTCGCTCCTGTCTGCTCAGGAATACTGGAGAGTACCCTCCATACCCCGCCTTGGCATCAAAGCCCTCAAAGTTTGTCATTAAATCATCCTTCATGACCCAATACTAACGATTGCGGCAGACTAGTGATGGTCCCAACGGAGTCCGGGGCGAAGCCCTCCACGCTTCAACCAAGGCTACCTGCTTCCCCTGTGGTGCTTGCATGGGCTCGACTTTCAACGTTGGGCTTCTGCAGAAGATTGGCGTGGAACTAGGCAAAGAGGCCAAGTTGAAGAATGTCGGCGTGCTATTGGGCCCTACCTTCAATATTCATCGCCACCCTTATAGTGAGTTCGGTCGCTAGTGTTTCCAACCGGATGTACTAATTATGGCGTAGGTGGCCGTAACTTTGAGTCCTACTCAGAAGACCCAGTTCTTTCTGGAGAGCTGGCAGCTGCATACATCAACGGCTTGCAGTCGCAGAATGTGGCCGCAACACCCAAGCACTTCGTTTGCAACGAATGCGAAGATGAGCGCAATAACTCCAACTCAATCGTCGACGAGAAAGTACTTCAAGAGATTTACATGCTGCCGTTCCAGACATGTATCCGCAAGTCCAACCCATGGGTGATTATGACCGCGTACAACAAGGTGAACGGCGACTGGTGCTCGGAGAATGAATTCCTGTTGGAGCAAATCCTCAGAAAGGAGTGGAAATTTGACGGCTGCGTCATGTCGGATTTCGAGGGCGTGTACACAGACATCGAGCCACTGAAGAAGGGTTTGAACCTCGAAATGCCCGGTCCATCTCTCTACCGCGGACAAAAGACAATCGATCTCGTCAAGGCGGGTAAAATATCTGAAGCTGACATCGACCGCAATGCCGCACGAGTTATTGAACTATCCCGAAAAGTCGGAATGTTGGATGAGACGGCGCCGGAAAGGGCAGTCCTTGATGCGCAAACTACTGCAGTTGCTCGACAGACTGCAGCTGAAGGCATAGTCCTTCTGAAGAACAAGGACAACTTGCTTCCAATCTCACCCGACACTTCAATGAAGATTGCTGTTTTCGGTGCTCCAGCAACCGTTCCTATTATTCACGGAGGTGGCAGTGCTTCTCTAACCTCCCACTACGTCGAAACACCGCTTTCAGCACTCACAAAGACGTACTCTCATGTTGAGTACAACTACGGCGTCCCAATCTTCCGCAAACTTCCGAGTGCGCCAATTGATTGTATGAAGACGGCGGCGGGAGAGCCCGGGGTGGACTGCCACTGGTTCAACGGGTGGAACTTTGGAGAAAACGAGATTCTCCATGAGCGACTGGACACAACAAGAACACTTGTCATTGACTCGAGGATTGGAAACCTCGAAAGGAAGCATTGCACTCGCATGGAGTACACCTTGACTCCCAAGTCAACTGGAACTCATACCTTTGGCATCACAGCGTGTGGAGAGACACACCTCTATGTCGACGGCAAGGAGGTCGTCTCCCATGATGGATTCGACTATATCGCAGTCCCCCATATAATGCAGCCGTGGCGATACGAGAATCAAGCGTCGATGGAAATGAAAGCAGGACAGCCCTACAAGGTCATCATCGACACGCTGTCCACCATCGCACCACCACCTCCGCCACCAGCGCGACAAATTCCTCCGCAGGCGACGCAGGTTGGGTTTTTCGAAAATCTTGGCAACCAAGACATGGGCAGGCTTGAAGATTTGGCTCGCAAAAGTGACGTCTCTATCGTTTTCACTGGCAACAACAAGGAGTGGGAATCCGAGTCTTTCGACCGGAACATTCTCGGCCTCAGTTCAGTGCAAGAACAGATGATTGTAGCTGTTGCAAACGCGTCGAAACGAACAGTGGTAATCAATCAAACTGGCGGAGCTATCAGTATGCCATGGCTTCACAAGGTCGATGCTGTTCTGCAAAACTGGTTCGCTGGTATGGAGGTTGGAAATGCCGTCGCCGATTTACTGTCTGGTCGCATCTCGCCAAGTGGCCGCCTCCCAACAACTTTCCCGGTCCGGATCGAAGACGTGCCATCTAACAAGAATTTCCCATATGATGCGAACTTGGACATTCGCTATGCTGAAGGCATGAACGTGGGATACCGAGCTTTGATGCAACCCGGCGCGCCTGCTCCACTGTTCCCCTTCGGACATGGACTGTCTTATGCCAAGTTTGAATATTCCGACCTTTCTCTATCAAAGGGAGAGGGCCAGAATATTTGCGTTGCTATAGTAAAGGTTACAAACACATCACAGGGGGACGGCATGGAGGTGGTCCAACTGTATATCGACGGGCTTCTGAGGGCTTTCGACAAGGTCCTGATTTCAGCGGGAAGTACCGTCACGGTTAGCCTGAATCTTGACAAGTACTCCTTCAGCGCCTGGAATGACACGGCCAAGATGTGGGAGATAGAGGTACGGGACTATGTAGTCGATGTGCGGCAAGATGCATTGACTGTCATTGCTCAAAAGACTTGGACTATCGACAGTGCTGAAGGAGCGCAGTGGGAAGGGCTATGAATATCTGTTATAATTATAGGTACCGGAGTGATACGACTACGTATAGTTCAATGATTGATTTCTCTCGATGACTCGGGACTTAAAATATGTCTTGACACCAACCTCCTCTCCCCAGCGTACCTGGCCTCACGACATTTGCAAGAAATCACTCGAAGCAGGTTGACTTGCGAGGATGAAGGATTGGCTAAAAAGGGCGTTGCAAGTGACGTAGCATTTGCGAAATGTTACGGCTTTGAAGTATTCAATTCATAACTCAGACCGTTTATGTAGAAGCAGCGCCATATTCAACGAAGCCCCCCAAGTGCCCAAGCGGGTTAAACTATATGCAGCATGCTTGAAAATGGAGCAAGGCGCATCAAATCCTGGCGTTGGATTTGCGGACAATGAAGACTCCAGCACGCTGCTAAGCTGCTCTGCTATTGGGCCAGTTAGAGAAAGCTGAGAGACGTGTTGTCTGAGAAGCTGTTTTGATTCTGGCGAGGTCGTCATGGCAAACCCCCAGAGCAGAACATGAGCGAGAAACAAGCCAATTAGACTATATGGTACGGCAGCCTGTGCCGAGGGCCGATTTGCGATGGAAGCAATGGTATTTATTGCTTCAACCGCGCCCATAAATGCCTGACTCTTCGTGTCTTGGACTGCCGACGACCATGATGCGGATGCAAAGTATCCATCTAAAGACCAGACCTTGAGTCGGTTAATGGCCGGCTTGATACCATCGGGGCCATCTTTTCCAATAGCCTCTTGCAGGTCGGTTATGGAAACGTTGAGAGACATTCGAGTGAGGCCATAGAGAAGTGATGATGCCTCTTGGAAATACAACCCGGTGCCGCCTTGTCGTGGAGGTGGAAATCCCGGTTGGGCACATGCTTGAGCCCATGTTTCGAGAGAAGCTGCCACTATCAGTAAATATTTTCTAGGACGGCTTGGTTACGTACATATAATGCCCTGCCGGCGCTCAACAAGATCGTGGATTTGTTGGCCATATTTGTTCCCGGCAATGGTTTCACTGAGACTGTCCTCGTCGGTAGTCTCCAGAATGATAATGACAGCTAGTCCCCAATCGTGGGCCCAATCCAACGCTCTCGTAGACAGAGCCATGAGAACCAAGAACGCAGTCCATTGGTTCAACCGCATTGCCGAGGCGGCCATCTGGATCCCCTGGGGCTTGCTTCCCTGGCTCGCTTGGTAGAGAAACGGACCAGAGACCATAGCAAAAGTAGGAGCTGGTGGTAGGGAGGCCAAGCCTAGGAGATTCTTCCATATCCGGGCCGTAGGTGCAGTCCAGAACTCATCGTCGCAAGGGCACTTCCACCGAGCAACCTCTGCCAGCGACATCATACTCTTCATGTTCAGCAGGGCAGGAAACTGTCCGTCGAGAGTAAAGACAAACCACATCAATCTCCTCCGAGACTCTGCTGCTATCCAGTACATCCACTGAGATTTAGGATCTTTGGATAAGTTTGGGACCTGGGCCATTGCATCCTGGACTTTTGGCAGCCGCCGTATGTATGTCACCAAGGTCCCCCTCAAGGCTTCGGCAATCTCAAACGCTCCCTTGTTTCCACACCACAGCCCGGTGTAGCAAATGAGTGCGTAGGCGTAGATTACATTGAGGTCTCTCAATAGTCTGCGGTCGTTATCGATGGCGGTCTGGAGATTGCAACGTGCTCGATCCTGGACTAGAATGGCGAACCGTCGAGTGTGGCGGAGATGGCTGTACTTGGCGCCAATAACCATGATGATGGCAACTAATGGCGGCGGAAGAGAATTCATGTCCAGTGTGGGCTCGTGCAGAACGGGTGACTGGGCCGAGAAGAATTTGAAGAAAAGGGCAATAAAGGCATTGGCGATACGGAGGGAGGGAAGGGTAAAGACATCGCTTTGCACTGGCGTGGGAGGTTCTAGAAACCGCCGCAACCGCGTCCACGTAGCTTCGTTGATGTCGAATCTCGGGTCATGATTTACCAGCAGGGGATCGTGGTCGTCGACATAGATGGGCTTTCCGTGGGAAATGGCAGTGGACGATGGGTTCCAGGCAAAGGGCCAGCAATCCTCCGAGGACGGCACGTTGGGTGGTGATGGGACACGGGATATCCTCCCGGGTGGTTCTTGGTATTGAGCATCTTCAGCCTGCTCGCTGTGCCTTTCGGTAGCATCTAGTGCAGGTGCTCCAACGGCATCTTCAAATGACAGCAGGGGATGAAATGTGGGCATGAATGGAAATTCATCTGGTTGACCCTGGAAACCTCCTGAGTCCCTCGAGCCGCCGTTTGTCTCATGCAAAGCCTCGAAAAAGTCAACCGTGAACCAGTCCTGTGGAGTCTGGCCGGATTCATCCCATGGACGAGCAAATGATGTAAAGTCGACGTGGGAATTTGAAAATTGTGAGTGGTCCAGCGCCGTATCCATGCCGATGCCAGGGTCCTCGTTTAGCAGCATGTCGACATTGGATCGCCGATATTCTCGGTGACTGGGCGCATTGAATACTCCATGTAGCGATGGATCAATCGGTGGTGGACCAGGTGATATCGAGTCTGCAGGGTGGACTTGGCCATAGTTGAGACCATCACTTGTCAGTGACGGACTGACGGTTGAGCTCTCGGCGGGTGAAGTGTTTTTGCTTCGCTTCTGGTGCAGCAATTCGTGCTTCTTTGCCAAGTCGCTTCTTGAAAACTGCTTCGGGCAGATTGAGCAACGATGCGGAAGCACCTTGTTGTCTTGAGAGTGCCAACAGGTCAACGTCATTCACGATCGAGACAGTGGACAGGCGTAATGGAGCTTACGAGTCTTGCGGTGCCGGTTCAGATTCTCAGGGCGGGTGAATGTCCGGGTACAGCTGGGACAAGGATACGACCTCGCAGCTGGAGTGGACTGCGACTCTGCCATGGTGATTTAGGCTGAAGGGATATTGCAACCGCAATTTGCGGTGAAACGGTTGGATGGTAGGAGGAAGATGGACATGTCCAGCTCAAATGTCCACCGGAACTGACAAAAGTTGGGGGATTGTCCACCTTTAACTGATGATGATTCTGGCAAATGTCCACCTGCGTCAAGGTTCATGTCCACCCGAGGGCATGAAGACTATCCGTCTTTGGAATGGTTCATGTTCACCTACTCCACATGTCGAGAGAGACGAGCCAGTAGAAGGACGAGTCAGTCGAATGTCCACCCAATGTCCACCCACTGTCCACCCGGCTAATTCAGTGCGATGAGGCAGCACAAGGCCATGAGGGGATGAGAATGAAATCTCGGTGAGTTGGTGATTGTAACGCAGTGTAAATTATGCAATGAATTCGTATGCCGATAATTCGCAGGCGACGGCCCTTTCTTTTTGTTTTCAAATGCCATGGACTCGTACAGCAACGTCTCATGTCATGGGACGACAAGATTGTATCCTTCCAGGTACTTGTTGAGCGTGGCGATGCGAGCTGGGGCATTCATAAGTAGTCAACGGTCTTATTTTCTGTCTGGACCCTGCGTCGACAATCCTGAGTGCCTTTGAGGGTCTGGCAGAATCTTCCCCAGCACTCCCAAGGGAATATGGCCACTCGCAGAAGACGTTGACTCGGGGAAATGAATCGATGTCTCTATGCGCGCATCGGGTGCGAGCGTCACAATATCAATCAATGGAGTTAAGGTAGGATCTGTCGAAGATCTTGCAATACGACCCATCTTGGGCGGCGACATCAATTTCGGATCCGATGTACTGAGAGGTCCTAGGGCTGGATTGCCCTGTACCGAAACCTCGTCGTCAAGGGAGTTGACGATACGACTCTCTATGAGAACGACATGTTGATTAAAAGCCAAGACAGAACCCTGGCTGACTTTCAAGTGGGCACAAACTCGGTCGCCTGCACAATCGACAAAGCCAAGCGAGACAAGCAAGTGACGATGGACGCCTATGATGGCAGAAGGAAGCTTCACTCCCGTCAAACCCGCAGAAATCCGATATCCCGATACATGTGACACCTTCAGTTCTATTTTGACAGGTAATTCCAGAGAGAATCCGATATCCGTCAGTCTCTAGTGGTGCGCAGTGTTCTCGACGTTTCCCGAAATCCCTGGCGACTTGTGCGAGTTTATATTTCGTTCACGCTATTTCTGCTCTTGTAGGAGATGGAAGGCTGTGGCAAGCGGATAGAGTGAGCTCTAGAAGCCGTTTTTAACAGCAGTCAGCAAGTGCAACTGAGCCCTTGTCGGGTGTCCGCATCGACAGTTTTGATAGGTGCCTCTATGGCTCTGGCGACACTGGACTGGTACGAATGGCTGTCTAGAGATACCTTTTGGAGTTCGTCGGGACGCAGGGGAGGATAAATTTGATTGAACTCGTGGAGTACCATTTCAACGGCCTCGACTAGCGAGGTCACTTGGCGCATGTCGATTGGAAAGCATCCCAACCGCTTGGCTAAGTTTATGGCTAGAGAATCGTCGAAAGGTCCCGGAATCTTCCCTTCCAGGTGTTTTTTTTTTGACCAGCGCGAGGCCTTTGGAAAGGGTGAATGATGCTAGTTTGGTTCCCGTGCAATCCGGCTGAGGGCAGTGGGACAAGGTATCATGTCGCTACTTGTGACGAGAACAGTGGCCCGATTGAAGCCGGACGCAAACGACGTCAAGACTTTGAAGTCGTCGGCATTTTTAATTATTAGGAGCAATTATTGCAAAATCTTTGGGACTAAATCACTCTCGGAACAGACAGTCAGTCTACCACGCTGATTTGGACGTGACTGGGTGAGAGCTTTTCGGCCTTTGAGGGATTCGCCGGGGCAACTTCAAGGTTGTTTTAATTCCCCTACCATCAAGGAGTGGCGAATGGGAGTTGTACCACGTTAGCAAGGACCCAGGAGAAATGGAGGACTTGGCTGAAAAGGAGAAGGGCATTTTGAATGAACTCTTGACGGAATGGGAGAACTACTTTGCCGAGACGGGAGTGTTTGAGTTTGATGTAAAAGATAGGAACGTGAAGGGGGTTTAGTACGTAGTCAGGGAGCAATTGCCACGTCATATTAGTTGCAATAGAAAAATGGTCAGTTATTTATATCCAAGATTGTCTGCACTCGATTATTGATTCGGGCTCTTGAATCAAGTCAAGAGTTCTCGGAGAAAGATACGCCGAATGACCCACTTAACTCGGCATCAGATATCACGACACCTTTTTAGGGACCGGAGACATCTCCGACCTCCGAATAAAGTCCAGCGGGGAATGAGATCATCAACCAGGTCATTGGAACGGCACAAAGAAACTCCCATTTCTGTCCAAGGCACCTGCCAAACACATAGTCTTATTGGGCACAGATCGAACCGCACTATCTCACGAACTTATCCCATTCCGAGGCGGGTATAAGCAATTCAGCATGGCCCCGCTAGATATCCAATGCATTCGGGACCTGGAGGTTGCTGCGACGCGCAAGATGAGCACAATGGTTCGGGGTAAGTGAGAGCTGCTCACCGTCTCTCAATTGGTATTGTATGCTAATTGAGTTTCTCTCATGATTGCAGATTTTGTCAACGAGGGCGCAGATGATTGTCAGACGGTGAGAGACAATGAAGAAGCTTGGTCCCATTACCGCATCCGGCCTCGCATGATGCGCAATGTTGAAGTCATAGACACCTCTACTCAGTTGCTGGGGTCTTCAGTAAGGATACCACGTTGTGCTTTTGAGATATGCTCCCTTGCTTGACCAGAACTCTGACTCTTTCCGGCCAGGTTCCCTACCCCTTCTCCATTGGGCCAGCCTCAATGCAAAAGCTTTGCCATCCAGACGGAGAAGTGGCAACATCTAAAGCTGCAGCAGCTCTTGGCTTGCCCCTGGGTGTGTCCACATTTGCAACAGCAACTCTTGAAGACGTCATTGCACCACGAGCACCTGGTGTGCCGTACATGATGCAGCTATACGTCTTTCGAGACCACCACATTACAGAAAAACTGGTAAAGAGAGCCGAACGAGCCGGTTTCAGTGCCCTTGCCGTCACGGTCGATGCTCCCGTACACGGAAAGAGGAGAAACGAGGTCCGCAACAGGTTTCGCATCCCGGATGATGTGTGGTTTGAGAATTTTGACCGCGAGGGATTCATGCTTCCCATGGATGTGGAGAACAAAAAGGCTGCCGATTCAGCAGCAGGAAACACAACTAAGGGCTCAGCGGATGCCAACAAAAGTGGATTTCTCAATGGTCAGTCGAAACCCGTCAGGTTTTCTATACTCCGTAGGGCTTCTGCTAACCCCCCCTGGTCTGCATAGATTCCCGCCTCGAGTGGGGAAAAGACATCGCGTGGCTCCGCTCTATCACGAAGCTCAAGATATTTGTGAAAGGAGGTAGGTGGATCTGTGACGGATTACCTGTCAAACAAGGACATGTATCGGGGTTAATCTGCTAACCTGGTTAAAACCTAGTTCTCACCAGCGAAGACACTCAATTAGCTATCGAGCATGGAGTGGATGGAATCATTGTCTCGAACCACGGCGGGAGGCAACTGGACGGAGTCGTCACTACAGCTGAAGTGTTGCCAGAGATTGTGGCTGCTGCCAAAGGCAGAGTTCCAATCCATGTCGATGGAGGAATCCGCAAAGGCACCGACATTTTCAAGGTCGGTACTGATTTCTCTTCGACGAGGCGTCACTAACACATTATGCAGGCCCTCGCTCTAGGTGCAGACTTTGTTTGGGTGTCCCGTCCATCACTTTGGGGGCTTGCGGTAAGCCGTACTCCTTGTTTTTGAACCTTTTGTCGTATTATATGATCTCAGATAAAGCTAATGCCTTGCTAGTATGACGGCCAAAAAGGTGTTGAGCTATGTATGCATATCTTGATGGATGAGTTCAGACGCACCATGGCCCTCACTGGTTGTGTAAAAGTCTCCGATATTACTTCCGACTTTATTCGTGACGACTTGAGGCGAACTGCAAGATCTAGGCTTTAGGGCGGCCACTTGGAATGCTGGGTGGTAGGGTAGTACATTGGCGGCCTCTACTCTCATCTTGGAAAATTCGGTAGAAAGTGTAACCATAGTAGATCTATTTTCCCGATAATACTTCAACTGGTTGTCCCCTTTTTGGCACCCAGTGTATGTCCAATTCTATCTATCTTGCGACTATTGTTGAGATACGTCTACCTTGCTCCACCAGAACTCCGACTCTTTTCTTCCCCACACATCCGGAACCAACTCTGACGCGACTTCATCAGCAGCGCCTCCAATCAACTCCTCATTGTTGGCTCCAAAGACCATTGCCTTTGGATCCTCCTTCTTGTATGGCTCCCACTTTGCTCGGCCAGCCATCTCGCCCTGCACGGCGTTTGGATCGCCCTTGGTAATGAAGCTGGTTACGTATGAATTCATGGTCCTGCACAGCGCCTTTTGTGTGGGCGAAATGCTGGTCACCTTGGGGTCGCAAACTTCGTATCTCATGTTGTCCGCATGGCGAGCGCCGTCCAGGATGGAGCTTTGCAGGGCCCACTGGTAGACGTACACAGGCAAATCCGTGGAGGCTGTGGCAAGCTCGGCCGTTTGACGAACAGGGGCCACATATGCGTAGTGACCATACGCTCTCTCGATGCGTTTGTACTGGGAACCGACTCCGTCTCTGGTCTCCTTGTATTCCGAATCGGCGTGTGTCGCAGGGTCGGGGTACAGCTCGTCAATTGTCTTGATGTCTTCGGCGGACAGGAGGGGAAGCAGCTCGGCGAAGAAATGGAGGAACCCTGAAGATTCCGATAGTTGCTTGTTGACATAGAGAGAACCCTCATTTCGGGTGAAGCCAGTCATGATGGGAACCTTGTGCCATTTGCCCTGGTGCCATGTCTCCAAGGGAGGACGGGCGATGAGCTCTCCATCGATGACCGGCTGGAATGCCCACCGCAGGGACGGGTTGTATTTATCGAAGACGGCAGTCTGGGCCGTGGTGATCTTTTCACTGGGTTGAGCTCTCAGATACGAGAATATTTCCTCGTGTGAGGCATCTTCGGGGCAGCCAGTCTCTTTCAAGAAGTCTGCAAACTGCTGTTCGTGAATTGGTGCATTGTAGGGCCGAACAGCGCGAGACGTCGGCGCGCCAGATTCAATGACGACCTTGTGGAAGAGCGGCTTGACGCCTTCTTGGAAATGCATCAAATGGTGGCCAATCTGAGGGATAATTAGCATATTTGCCACAGCGCACTGCTGCGCAAGACACTTACCGAATGGGCCCCGGCCGAGAGGCCGATCAGGGTAACGTTATTGGGATCACCGCCGAAGAGGTGGATGTTCTCCTGCACCCACTCGAACAGAACAATCTGATCTCTCAGGCCGAGGTTGAGAATGCCTTCCTTGGCGCTGGCCGACGACGGCAAAAAGCCAAGTGCTCCGATGCGGTAGTTGAATGACACGGCAATGAAAGGATCCTCGGCCCATGCAATCATGGATGCAGTGTTGTGCATCGACGCAGTCCCGCGGTTGAAGGCGCCGCCATGGATATAAACAGCCACGGGTAGAGGCCCAGCAGGTTCAGCGCCATCAGACGATTGCATGAATACATTGGCCGTGAGGCAATCCTCGCTGTATACCAACGGCGCGCCAGGAAGAAGCGGCTTTCCTGGGCCAGACGGGCCATACTCAATCGCGTCAATCACATCGGTAGACGGCTCAACCTTGACGGCAGGGCGGAATCTGCGGTCCCCTGTCGGCGGGAGCGCATACGGAATGCCCCGGAATGCCTTGACGGGACGTGGGAGGTTATCGCTCAATGTGACGCCAACCACTTTGCCCTGGGGAAGCGTGACGGCAGGACGCTCAGGTTGCGTAGTCGTAGCCATGATGTGATTAAGCAAGTGTGATTAAGCAAGTGAAGCTAGCCAGAGTGTCGAATCAGATTCGGCAGATTTGACGAGAATTCGATAGTCGGCTCAGGCTCTTTATTAGACGTCTTCACAGAACGCAATCCACCCGATATCGCATCTCTGGCTCAACTGCGCGGGGTTAGGCCGAGATAGCAGGATAAGAGAGGGGCCGTGGGCTCATTATCAACCCATGGCCGTTGGCTTTATCTGGTTGACGACATCTACGGCGGCAGATTTGGCGCCGGAGGCGATGCGGCTCCGGGGGCAAATCTGGAGCCCGATGGCGGCGAACGAGGCTATCTCGGCCGCGACCCGCAACTCGCCAACTCGTCTGGAGATGGCAGGGAGCGTAACTACAGGGATTGCGGACTTAGACCGGCCGGCCCAGTAATTGTTTAGAGATTACCCCGCCCCCAGGCGAGTCGTGTATCTCGCGGCTACGCGGCTTCGTAGTGTCCTCCGCATGAGTCGTGACATCTGCGGCCTGGCTCCCCTGTAGGCCGATCCCTGGCATATCTAGATGCTTGCATCGTCGAGATAGGCCGTGGCACAGATAGCGACGATCCGCAGTTCCTTATGCGTCCTTAAATATGGCGGAGACGTGCTCCTCACTTGGGGGAGCCAACTCCACCGCTGCTCCGCTGGCATAGAGCTCAACTCAGACTCTCATCCTCAATCAACCCGCCACGATGGGTAGCGCAGCAGAATACAAGGCGGGAGCCGACCCCGAGAAGAGCGAGACATACAACGCCAAAGCCGAGTCAATCGCCGTTGGCGAGGTTGACAGCGTCGACGCGGCCGAAGACTTTCTCCGGCAACACAACTTCAGCAACGAGTACCTGCACGAGCTGCTCGAAGACAAGGAGAAGAACCGCCGCCTCGTACGCAAGATTGACTTGGTCGTGCTGCCGCTGCTGGCCGGAACCTATGTCCTGCAGTACATCGACAAGCAGGCCATGTCCTACGCGGCCGTGTTCGACCTGTTCACAAGCACCGGCATTTCGCTGGGCCAGTATTCCTGGTTCGCGAGCATCTTCTACTTTGCGTACCTCGGTGCCGAGTACCCATGGGTCTATCTCGCCCAGAAGACGCGCATGGCCAAGGTCGTCGCTGGATGCGTCTTCTCCTGGGGCTGCGTCCTGATGATCACGGCAGCGTGCAGCAACTTTGGCGGTCTGGCTGCGTGTCGATTCTTCTTGGGTGTCTTCGAGGCGCCAATCACCACCTGTTTCATGATGATGGTTTCCATGTGGTTAGCAAAGTTCTGTCGCTTCGACTTGCGCTCCAAGACTGACAGTTGTGTCGTACAGGTACATTCGATCTGAGCAACCTTTCAGAGCGGGCGTTTTCTATTGCTGCAACGGATTCGGCTCCATGATCGGTGGCCTCTTAAGCTATGGCATCGGCCAGATTGACACATTTCCCGTGTGGAAGGCGGTGTTCCTAACATGCGGCGGAGTGACAGTCCTCTGGGCCATCGTTCTCTTTCTCTTCTTGCCCGATAGCATCATGTCAGCCAAGAACTTCACCCTCGAGGAGAAGGCCCTACTGATTGGACGAGCGAAACTCGCACAAACCGGTGTTCTCAACAAATCCATCAAGTGGTACCAGATCAAGGAAGCGTTCCTGGACCCGCAGGTGTGGCTGTTGACTTTGTTCATGCTGCTGAACGAAATCATCAACGGAGGTATCGCAAACTTCGGCAAGCTCATCATCAAAGGCCTCGTCTCCGACCCGCTGCTCACAACGGCGTTGGGAATCCCCCAGGGCGCGTTCCAGGTCTTTTGGATCCTGTCGGGAACGTTCCTCGCTTCCAAGCTTCCCAACTCGCGTACTTTGGTCATGGCGCTTTACCTGGTCCCGACCGTCATCGGAACCACTCTGATGTGGAAGCTGGACAGAGAGCATCACAAGATCGGCGTCCTTTTCGGATACTACATCGTCGGCGCGTTTGTTGCGTCTCTTGTCCTCGCTCTCCAGATGCCCGCGACAAACTTGGGTGGCTACACCAAGCGTATCACGGCTTCAGCCATCGTCTTCACCGCGTACTGCGTGGGTAACATCATTGGCCCTCACGCATTCCTGGCTAAGGAAGCACCTCTGTACCAAACTGGCTGCATCGTCATCCTCGCATGCTCTGCCACGCAGATGGTGGTTGCCATTGTGCTGCGTATGCTGTTGATTGCGCGCAACAAGCGACGGGACGAAGCCGCAGCTGCAATTGGTGATGCCGATATCTCGAGCCCAGATGAGGCAATTGATCGTACCGATTTTGAGGTCAGTTTGCACGCGCTCATTAGAAGGAGTAAAGCTAACACTTTTACAGAACCCCCACTTCCGATACGTTTTGTAGGGGGCTGTGTTGTTATCGTACTTTGTTTCGTGATTGAAGGAGAGCTTGGACGGGTTTTATATGCCTATTTGAAGGATATTTGGGGAGTTTCTCTTGCTGCACCCAACATGCCAATTAGACCTCGAAGTCGCAGAAAGATTACACAATTCTTCGAGCTTGTTCCAACATGTGTTCCTTCACACTTCCCACAATGACTTGCTTGCTTGACTCCACCCTTATTAAGACTGTCAACAGTGTGCCTCAATGTCCGTCAGTCATGATCCTCTTCCCATAATGAGCCCCTCTCGGCCTCAACCTCTAGCGCCACATGGACAGGCTAATCGCTTCCCTCAACTTCATTTCTTTCTCTGGTTCTAGCTTTTGCTCATGAAAGAAGACATCAGTCGCTGGGCGTCAATGAGCGGACCTAAAACGGACTTATTAGTGATTGGTATCGACTTTGGAACAAAGTGAGATAGCAATAGCAACTGAAGCGGGTTTTCTTATATTAACATGTTTCGCAAATCAGGAACAGCCATGTTGCCTGGACCAACACAGCGGATTTTAGACCCATAATATTAATTTCATATCGGAATGGTCTGGTACTTATCGACAAGCTTATCGACAAGAAGATAGAGTTCCCACTGAACATACTTATAATAGGGACCTAGTTAAGTACTGCGACTTTCCCACCACAGTAACAGTCTTCTATAATTATAACCAGGCCGTGTGCAGATATGATATTTCAGGAGCAGTAACAATACGCCGGCGGTTGTTTAAATATTTGCTACTGAAAGATAAAAGACCCAAGTCCAAAGATGTAAAGGTTTATACTTTCACAGCACTTGTAAATTGTTGCAAGATTGTAACAAGCAGGGCTGTAAAAAGAATTACCGGTTAATTAGTTAATTAGTTAATTAGTTAATTAGTTAATTAGTTAATTAGTTAATTAGTTAATTAGTTAATTAGTTAATTAGTTAATTAGTTAATTAGTTAATTAGTTAATTAGTTAATTAGTTAATTAGTTAATTAGTTAATTAGTTAATTAGTTAATTAGTTAATTAGTTAATTAGTTAATTAGTTAATTAGTTAATTAGTTAATTAGTTAATTAGTTAATTAGTTAATTAGTTAATTAGTTAATTAGTTAATTAGTTAATTAGTTAATTAGTTAATTAGTTAATTAGTTAATTAGTTAATTAGTTAATTAGTTAATTAGTTAATTAGTTAATTAGTTAATTAGTTAATTAGTTAATTAGTTAATTAGTTAATTAGTTAATTAGTTGAGAGACAAACTAGGAGAGCTTCAAGGAGAATCATCAGCATACTTTTCTATACTGGTATCATTTTTCTAGATGGCCTCTGCCGCAGCGCCTTCCTTGACGAAGCTTTGAGGGGACTTTCACACAGCGCCTTGGACCGGAGTAGAAAGACGTGAGCAAAGATAGCAAGCGTGAATTCATTAAATGAGACTAGGTAGAGTCGATCGAACCTCGGTTCACTACCGGAAACCCGCAGAAGGAGTATGTCGTGAGATGAGTGACCGAGATATCTCTGACAATGTGGAAGCCCTGCGTCAGTGACAACACGAAGGAGCCTTCTATCAATCATGGCAGGGTTCATTTCAAAGAATCAGTGCCAATCTAAGAAGACCGACATCTGCTGTGTCTCGGCCTTCACACCAAGTGTGTCGAGTGGAAAGGGCTCATATCAAGGAGACGTTCACCAAACTCTTTGCCTTCTGAAATGTCTAGTAAATGCTCCTTCCCAGAAGGCACGAAAGCAAGGCCTTCGAGTCACGTTATACTAAGTGCACCGCAATGTCCGGATTTGGCTATGCTCACATAGTGCAGGGAATTATTCTCACAGCCGGTCTAGGTAGAAGTTCCTGCCTCTGTGATACCTGCAGGTAAAGATGTCTAAGAGAAACATCAACGGTTTGCACATCAACAGGATGAAGGTGTAAGTGATGGATAGGGGTCTGACCAGAAATAATAGGTCCGCTAACGAAGTTCATCTCAGGCGAACTGCAATATGTCAGGGGGCTGTATGCAGGGGCTTTGCGGATGGTTTAGATGGCAGCAGCCAAATCTAAGCACACAAGCCTCTTGAGATTAAGTCTACAGTATCTAGGCCAAGTTACGGGGCCAAGTTCCGGACAACATTGGTGACGGGAAAGCACTTTGAGGACGACAAGGTCGATTATAAAGTCGACGGCAAGTGGGTGGCGGACAACCAAATGGAATAGTACTTAATGCAGGTTTGAAACTTCGCTACCAATGTCTATCTGATTCTGCTAAAAATACGCAGGATAAATTGCGTTTCCACGTCGAAACGAACTAGCTGTTAGTGACTGCGACTGTTCGAATTAGACAGCGACGGCTGCTTCTCAGTGACCGTATGCGAGTATGAAGATGATGAGCCCCCTTCGTGAGAAACGTCGAGCGTGAAAAGTTTTTCGAGATTGAGTGTTCGCCCATGGATTACATGGCAGTTTTAAAACCCCCAAAATACCTGACGCCGCAAAACAAGGAAATGGAGAAACTGTACTACAATAGAATATTTTCCAGGGTGAGGGGTGTTGGATTGATGTCGAGGTTAACAAAACTCGCCACGGTAAGACTGAAATCGATGTTAAATTTCTGGGCGGAAGTGTGGAGTAGAAGCAAGAGTTTGAATTTTATCAGGGGAGTGCTTATTTAAGTTATCCTTGAGTATATATTCCTATGATGTTCAGATATTGTACCTTGATAATATGTCTTGAAGATCCTAGGTTTATTCGAGTTTGGTTCAAGGATACATTGAGTGTCTTGATCTATGTCACAAACAATTTTTTTTTACCAGGTCTATGGAGTTAGGTTAAGGGGGAAATGAATTTAATGGAGAAAAAAGGGGAAAATACGTGGGATGGGGACTAAGGGGGTCGGAGTATATAAAAGAATTGGCTTGAGAGTAGAAATATTCGCATGCAAAAATCGAATAATTTCATGGGACATTTTACCCTACAGAGAACGCCCCGTACTGAACCAAAGTGTCAAGTTCCGCTGTAGCCATCGAGTCTATAAGTATTATCGCCCAACAAAATGCGCGGACACTGCTATCGAGTTTCGTCAGGCGCCCGTTCAAAAGGAATGAGGTACGTGAACTCGAATGTCATATTGACTTATGCAGATTTCACCGACTATTCGAAACCTGCAACTTACGGTAAACGAATAAAGATCCCACAAATATTGTGGAATATCTGGAGCTGTTGAGCGTCCAGGTTTTCCCAATCAGCCTCTATGGGTGAATTAACAGCAAAAGTGACCTGCAAGTGTATCGGCGCAAGTACTCCCGTCCAAAGAATTATATGTGCACCTGCGTGGGTAATCCCTTTATTCTTTTTGACCTGTCCTTGCCGTTCTCGACCGGGCGAACTAAGCAATACCCTGTGGAATGCCCTACTGCCTGTAACGCCGCTTCGCAGCCTCTAATGTGTAAGATAGTAAAGAGTTGCAATTTAGGCCAAGGAGAGAGCCATGACGACACCATTGCCGAAATGCAGGAGAGCACAACCAATCCCCAGACGGCGGCCACGGCGAGAGTGGGTTGTAAATCTGAATATTAAATCCACCAATTTCCATTTATCTTGGTCCTTCACAATATGTGGTATTGGGTGTTTCGCACATCCTGGACCGGCTCAAATTGTTGGTTTGCGTTTACGTGTTGTAGCCAGGTGTAATGGTGTATAGATGCCGTAAACATAGAGTAAGAGGTCAAGGAGATAACCTTAGAAGCCAATGATTGACAATTATCGATTAAATAAAGTGGAATCTGCTAGGAGTTGGAACAAGGGGGGAAGAGGGATAATGTACTGAACCCCTTCAGTCGAAGTGCTAGTTGAGCGGCGCCTACTCGCTCCGAAAGCGAGCCACGAGAGACGGGACAGCCGGAAGCTCCTGTCCCACTCTGCAATCATTGCGGCCAAGTACGATTGGGCACTTCCCCTGGTGCCGGACTTAAGGCCTACGTCTTGCAGCCTTAAATCCCCAGAGCCCTCCTGAAGCATGTCATCTTGACCCTCTAACAGGTTGGTATTTCCCCTTGCGATGTATCCACTAATGCTACGTCATTCTGCTTCTCACGACTCCTGATCCAACCGCAAAGATCTGTTGACAGGTTGAGCTATTAAAAGCCTCGTTAAAATGAGCATCCTCGAATAAACAAGTCGGAGTGGTGGGAGCTGAAGGAGTCAGGCTCCACCCAACACGCGTGTTCAGGGATAATGGATTCGCGGAGTGTTTTAGCGATACCGAAACCGAGTAGATCCTACCCCTGGTGCAGTCTATCAGGTCTATCAGTCCAAAAAAAGTAAGGCGTCCTCGGGTTAGGGTCGAATTGCAAAGCCAGTCCAGCGCATAATCCTCAGTTTAGTGGAGTTTGGCTCAGCGATCCTGCATCTGAGCTTGTTTGATGGTGGACCAGGATCTGGTTGCATTCCGGTGACAACGAATACACAGCCGCATCATATCCGATCTTTCCGTAGCCAGAAGAGCTTTATCTATTCAAAGGCGATAATGGGGCGTGGTCTGTCCGTTTTTCACTTCTAAATATAAGAGACGGGCCGACATGCATCTGGAAGTAAATATTTCCAACCATTACCTCCCAGGATTTAATACTGGCCTCGACATCTGATTTCTTTCACCTCTCGGTACCCGCAGTCTTTAGTGCACTGACTCGCCAGGGCGGACATTTACAGTATACATGTAGTCCGGATACGCATCCACTCCACTCGCTTCTGTAATCATGGCCGGCCGCTATGAGGACGACCACACGGGCTACGACGACGCTCACTACGGCCAGAACCAACACGAGTCTCACTATGGCCAGAACCAACAAGATCAAGCGGGTAATCCTTACTGGGATGAAAATTACCAAGAAGGTGACCACCGGGGAGCCTACTCCGTCGCTTCGTACGACGCACCGTAAGTTGTGAATCATGTTCACCGATCGCCGGCTAACAACCCTGCAGAGAATACGCAGACGGCCAATACGATTATTCTCAACACCGAGACGATGAATATTACGACCAATCCCAACACGACGGGTACGGCTATCAGAGTGCTTCTGCAGAAGAGTACGATGTGTATAACGAACATTATGGATCGGATCAGGCGCGCTTCGACGAATTCGACGGCATGCACGACGATGGTGATGCAAACGGCTATGCTCACGGTTATTCTCCATCCGTCCGCACGTCGAATGTATCGTCAAATCCCACGATGGACTACACCAACACTTTCCCCGCCGGTACTAGCACGAAGGAACCCTACCCGGCCTGGGCTTCGGATGGCAACGTGCCCATTTCGAAAGAAGAAATCGAGGACATCTTTCTCGATTTGACCGCCAAGTTCGGCTTCCAACGGGACAGTATGCGGAACATGTACGACCATCTAATGACTCTGCTCGACTCAAGAGCCTCTCGAAAGACACCCATCCAGGCTCTCATCTCCTTGCACGCCGACTACATTGGCGGGGAAAACGCCAACTATCGCAAATGGTACTTCGCTTCTGGCATGGACCTCGACGGCAAGAAAACGGCGTCCGGAAAGAAAGCACGATCTAAGTCGAAGAAGAAGGGCCAGAGTGCCGAAGCAAGCGAGCCGGACGCTTCACAGGTACTTGAAGAAGACGATACGCCTGAAGCACGCGAGGAGCGCTGGAGGGCTCAGATGAGAGTCATGTCACCACACGACCGCGCCCGCCAACTTGCCCTGTACCTCCTTTGCTGGGGAGAGGCGAATCAAGTTCGATTCATGCCCGAGTGCCTCTGCTTCATTTTCAAATGTGCGGACGATTACTACAAATCCCTGCCGCCAGAAGTGGGAGACGCCATGGAGGAGTTCTCGTTCCTCGACCACGTCATCACTCCGCTGTACCAGTTCCTCCGGGAGCAGGGCTACGAAATCCGAGACGGCATCTACGTGCGGCGAGAGCGAGATCATGACAAGACGATCGGCTACGATGATTGCAATCAACTGTTTTGGTACCCCGAAGGCATGCAGCGCATTGTGCTGTTGTCGGACAAGAAAGCACGCCTGATGGACTTTCCGCCTGCGGAACGCTACCTCAAGTTCAAAGACTTGGATTGGAAGAAGAGTTTCTTCAAGACTTACAAGGAATCAAGATCGTGGTCCCATATGGTCGTCAACTTCAACCGCATCTGGATTCTCCACCTCACCATGTTCTGGTTTTACACAACGGCCAACATTCCAAGCTTGCTTGTCGGATCAAAGTACGAACAGCAGGTCAACCAATCTCCTTCCAAGGCCAAATCAAGTTCCATTATTGGGCTCGGCGGCGCCATTGCGACTCTCATTCAGATCTTTGCCACTGTCATCGAATGGGCATATGTCCCCCGCCGCTGGCCTGGAGCCCAGAAACTAAGCGTCCGGCTTCTCATGCTGATAGGCCTTCTTATTGGGAACGTTGCTCCAGCGGTCAAGATCTTCTTTTTCCCAGGCCCCAAGAAGCTGGATTATTACCTGGGCATGGGTCACGTCACCACCGCTCTACAAACCTTCCTACTTTTTGTCCTCGTGCCTTCAAGCAAGCTGTTCACCAACCCGTTCAAGAAGTCTACAGGCCCCAAGACGGCCGTGGAGACGTTCACCGCAGCCTATCCAAGTCTCCACGGAAATAATGTCATCTTCTCCTACCTGTTCTGGGCTATTGTTTTCGGGGCAAAATTCGGAGAGTCGTATGTATTCCTCACCTTGTCCTTTCGCGATCCGATCCGGTATCTTTCCATCATGAACGTCGACAGTTGCCAAGGCGACAAACTCATCGGAAAGGTTCTTTGCCGTTATCAGCCTCAGATACTACTTGGCATGATGACGTTCACGGACCTCATCTTCTTCTTCCTGGACACCTATCTTTGGTATGTTCTTGTCAATACAGTCTTTTCCGTCCTGCGATCCTTCTTTGTCGGATCAACAATCTGGACTCCCTGGCGGAACGTGTTCATCCGCCTACCGAAGCGAGTTTATTCCAAGCTTCTTGCAACGACGGACATGGACATCAAATACAAGCCAAAGGTCCTCATTTCCCAAGTTTGGAACGCAATCGTTATATCCATGTATCGGGAGCATCTTTTGGGGATCGAGCATGTTCAAAAGCTGCTATACCATCAGGTTCCTTCTGAGACGTATGGCAAGAGAACCTTGCGCGCGCCGACTTTCTTCGTCTCGCAGGGCGACAATTGGCTCAGGACCGATTTCTATCCCAAATATAGCGAGGCTGAGCGTCGCATTTCCTTCTTCGCTCAGTCACTCTCGACCCCCGTGCCGGAGCCAATGCCCGTCGATAATATGCCTACTTTCACTGTCCTCATACCTCACTACAGCGAAAAGGTCCTTTTCTCACTCCGCGAAATCATTCGCGAGGATGACCACTACTCCCGACTGACCATGCTCGACTACCTCAAGCAGCTACATCCTCACGAATGGAAATGCTTTGTGGAAGATACCAAGGCCTTGGCGAACGAATCACCATCACCGGAGAACTCGGAATCGAGCGGGAATGAGGCCCGGGATAAGATTGACGACATTCCATTCTACTTCCTCGGATTCAAGTCATCGGCGCCAGAATACACACTCAGGACTCGCATCTGGGCCTCTTTGCGATCGCAAACCCTGTATCGCACTGTTTCTGGATTCATGAATTATTCTCGAGCTCTCAAGCTTCTGTACCGCGTTGAGAACCCTGAGATCGCCCAGCTCTTCAGGGACCATCCAGATGCATTGGAACGTCAGTTGGAACGCATGGCGAGGAGGAAGTTTCGCCTGGTCATCGCCATGCAGAGGTACGCCAAATTCAGCCGCGAGGAGATGGAAAATACCGAATTCCTCCTCCGCGCGTATCCGGATCTACAGATTGCATACCTGGACGAAGACCCGCCTGAAACTGAGGGCGGCGAAGCCCATATTCATTCATGCCTTATTGACGGGCACTCGGAGATTCTCGAAAATGGCTTCAGGCGTCCCAAGTTCCGCATTCGACTTTCCGGAAATCCTATTCTCGGCGATGGAAAATCAGACAACCAGAACCATGCACTTATTTTTTATCGCGGAGAGTACATCCAACTAGTCGACGCAAACCAGGACAACTATCTAGAAGAGTGCCTCAAAATCCGGTCCGTCCTCGCAGAGTTTGAGGAGACAAAGCCTGAAGCTACCAACCCGTACGATGTCATTCCCGACAGCAAGGCAAAACCATCAGAACCAGTGGCGATTCTGGGCGCCCGCGAGTACATCTTTTCAGAGAATACAGGCGTGCTCGGCGATATTGCTGCTGGCAAGGAACAAACATTCGGCACATTATTTGCGCGCACTCTCGCTCAGCTCGGCGGCAAACTGCATTACGGTCATCCAGATTTTCTAAACGGCATCTTTATGACAACTCGCGGCGGCGTTTCCAAAGCCCAAAAGGGTCTTCATTTGAATGAAGATATCTTTGCCGGAATGAACGCCATCATGAGGGGCGGGCGGATCAAGCATTGCGAGTATTATCAATGCGGAAAGGGACGAGATCTCGGATTCGGCTCCATCTTGAACTTCATCACTAAGATCGGAACCGGCATGGGCGAGCAAATGCTCTCCAGAGAGTATTATTATATCGGTACCCAGATGCACCTGGACCGGTTTCTATCCTTCTTCTATGCGCACCCGGGCTTTCATCTCAACAACATTTTCATCATGCTCTCGGTGCAGCTTTTCCTGGTCACTTTGTTGAATCTCGGAGCGTTGAAGCATGAAACAATTCCATGCCACTACAATCGGCACGTCCCCATCACGGATCCTTTGTACCCAACTGGATGTGCAAATACGGATGCCTTGGAAGACTGGGTATACCGCTGCGTTATCTCGATTGTCTTTGTTTTCATCATGTCATTCATCCCCCTCACGGTTCAAGACTTGCTCGAGCGTGATCCCTGGATGGCTTTCCTTCGCCTTGCCAAACATGTCTTGTCCTTTTCGCCTTTTTTTGAGGTATTTGTCTGCCAAGTATACTCCAATTCTGTGCAGTCAAATCTTTCATTAGGCGGCGCCAGGTATATCGGAACTGGGCGAGGCTTTGCTACGGCTCGCGTTCCATTTGGAGTGCTCTATGGGCGGTTCGCCGGGCCTTCCATCTATTTCGGTGCTCGGCTACTTCTCATTCTGCTATTCGCGACCTGTACGATTTGGCAAGGCGTTTTGGTGTGGTTCTGGATCACGGTGTTGGGCCTGACGTTTTCGCCCTTTCTCTACAATCCACACCAGTTCGCATGGGCAGACTTCTTTATCGACTATCGCGATTTCATGCGGTGGCTTTTCCGCGGCCATTCTCGAGCTCACGCGTCCTCCTGGATTGCATACTGCCGCCTGTCTCGAGTCCGGACTACGGGGTACAAGCGCAAGAACATTGGAGATCCCTCCGAGCAAATGCGAGGAGACGTACCTCGCGCGCCGCTACAAAATATCTTCTTCAGTGAGATCTTTGGGCCTTTGTTTTTGGTTGTTGCGTGCTTGGTCCCTTATCTTTTCATCAATGCGCAGACCGGTGTTCTCTCGGAAAATAACAACAACCAAACGATTAGGGCGACAGATTCCCTCATTCGAGTCTTGGTGGTGACGGTTGCGCCGATTGCGATTAACATGGGAGCGTTGGCAACCATTTTCGGCATGTCATGTCTCATGGGACCTGTCCTGGGTCTCTGCTGCAAGAGATTTGGTCGTGTACTTGCCGGGGCTGGCCATATTATTGCGATTATCTCGCTGATTGTCTCTTTCGAGGCCATGTTTCTGCTTGAGAATTTCAATTTCTCAAGATGCATGACAGGCACCATCGCGGCGGCTGCCTTGCACACGTTCATCATTAAGTTAATCACGACACTGGCTCTTACAAGGGAGATGAAGACATCTCAGGCCAGCAGAGCGTTCTGGACCGGGCAGTGGTATTCCCTTGGTCGGTATACAGTCACTCAGCCGGCTCGGGAGTTCCTGTGCAAGCTCACAGAGATGAGCATGTTTGCTGCAGACTTTTTGCTGGGGCATTTCATCTTGTTTCTGATGTTCCCAATTATTATGATTCCTCGCATTGACATGTTGCACTCGATGATGTTGTTTTGGCTACAACCGAGGTTTGTATCCCCAGGTGTGATATAAGGAAGACTTGCTGATGACATATTTAGTCGACACGTTCGTGGACCAGTGTATTCGACGAAGCAGTCCAAGCTGAGGCAGCGTCGCATTATCCGCTGGACAATCATCTATTTCGTCATGTTGGTTCTTTTCCTAGGATTGATTATCGCACCTGCGTTGGCGGGCAAGTACCTGCCTTCAAGTGTCATGACCATTTTTGAGGACTTGGCCGGACTCCACCTCTTGCAACCCAAGGGTCAGGATAGAAACAACACCAATGGCACTCAGGCGACGGGAACGGGTATGCCTGGATATACTGGTGCTGGTTTTGTGTCGTCTACTGCGAGTGGTGGCTCAGCAGCTACGGCAAGTGGCAAAATCCGGCTGTTTTAGGAGCGTTTTCAGTTGGTGGAATATCGGGTAATAAGCTAAATTTGAGGGTTGATTCTGGAGTACTTGGTGGGTAGCTTAGAAAATAGGAAGGATCTAATAGATTTGGTTTCATGCATTCTCTTAAACCCTCCTCTTGTCATGATATTTCCCTTTCTAGCTACCCTAGACACATGGTTCGACTGCGGGGTGAATCAGGCGGTGATTTAATTTTCCGCACGGAATGCGCCGGCCCCACAAAGTTCGGTGCCAGTCCAAAACTCCAAATCCCCCACCATATCAATCGTCAATCATCATCATCACACAATTCATGGTCAATCGCCATGGCCAAGTCCAAATCTGCCAAGCGGAAGCGCAATGCGCATGTCGATCTCCCGCAAAAACACCCCAAAGCCGCATCGACCCTTACGCCGCCTCCCGATGGCGCAGCGCTCGAGCCCAAACACCTCAAGACGGTCGTCTCCGATGAAGAGCTCGAGATCACCATCGACACGCTCACGTCCCTCGCGCAATTCCCCAGCCTGACCAAGTCCAAGGCCTGCAAAGACCTGCGCGTCGCCGTCTACGACTTCCGCCAGGCCTGCACCACGGGCGTCAACACCGCTGGTACGCTGTGCGTTGCCGCTGCTGATGGCTACCGCTAATCGTTCGATAGAGGGCGCAAACCTGACGGCGCGCATCACCGGTGCGCTCGTCGACGAGAAATGGCTCGAGGCCAAGATCCTGCTCGCCGAGATGCGTATCCGCGGCGAACAACCCAAGATTGGTGCCCTGTGTCGCTGGGTGCGAGACTTGGATGTCGTCAGTGGCCTCTCGACACAACCCGAAGCTCTCAACCACGTCCCGCTTGAGCGCAGCGCCAAAGATATGGAGCTTCTAGCCGTCCTCGATGCCGTCCTGCGTGTCAGCACGCCGATTGATACCAGCCCGAACGCCGTCGACTCGACCTCCCCTATCGCCTTCCAGTCCATCTGGGACCTCCGACCGAAGACGGCGCCGCTCCAGGTCTACGCCTCCGTCCTCGACAAATCCATCCTGGCCGAGGCGCCCAAGTCTCCGTCCGCCCTCCGCATCATCGAACGAACCCCCGGCCCGCTCCGAAAACCTCCGAACCACCATCCCGCGATCCTCTACACAACCGCCCCGAACGCCGTCCCACTCGCTCCCAACGGCCCGGCCATTACATACCACCCCCACCCCGCCGTGCCCGGCCTCGGCCTCGCCATGGACGTCCTCTCCGCCGCCGAGTGCAAGGCCATTATTGCAGCCGGCGAATCCGTCAATTTCCTGCCCGACGCACCCCTTCGCGAAGACGGAGACATGAGCATCCTGGCCCACAACTTCTACTGGGTCGTCGACACCACGTTCCACGACATGCTCTGGGCGCGCATCTCCCCGTACGTGCCGCCCTCAGTAAACGGCCGCCTGGCCCGAGGCATCAACCGACGCTTCCGTGTGTACCGATACGTCCCCGGAGCCGAGTACCGGTGCCACATTGACGGAGCTTGGCCGCCGTCAGGCATCCTCCCAGATGACACGTACGTGTACGACTCGTCGCCCGAAGACAAGAGACAGAGCTCCATGTACACCTTCTTGCTATATCTGAACGACGAGTTCGAGGGTGGAGAGACGACCTTCTTCATGCCCGCCGCGCGGGAAGGAACCCTCAATGCCTACCCTGTGCGACCTGTCATGGGATCCGTTGCCATCTTCCCGCACGGAGAGTCCAATGGCGCTTTGCTACATGAAGGGACAGGAGTGAGGAAAGGCGCAAAATATATTATCAGGACCGACGTCGAGTACGACGTCAAGCCTTGTGAAGAATGATGAAAATATGAATAATGTTGAACTTGACATGGATATCCAAAAGCAATGGGAACGGTCATGCCGGAGTTATTTAACGATGAAAATAAAATAAACCCCCAAAGTGGTGTACTTTACTAGTGCAAAGTCGTGCTACCTAGTCTTGAAAAGACGCTATTAGGAATAATATTGACAACATATTGAGCTTGAGCTAATTGGCCTTTCTTTCTTATGATCCCTTGGCGGAAATTTGGCTTGGTATTGCGTGACCGAACCATCCGAAGAATGACCTACGTGAGAGCCATTGTTTGGGGCAGTAATAATTGCGGCTTTGACATTTGCGTGATACCTCAAATTCCCAAGAGAAAACCTGCCTTCCTGTTTTCGGTGTCAATGCCAACAGAAGTCCTTTGACACGTCATAGACATGCTATCTACTCCTGGAGACGTTCCACTCGGAGCTCAAGCTGGCATTTACCAGCTGTACAAGGCAGGTGTGTAGATCCGCAGACTCTGAAGCGGAGACAACCAAAATAATCCCATCAATGAGCCCACGTGCGGGGATGCCCCTAAAAGCCGGCATTAATTCGCTCAGTATTTAAGTTGCAGTTTCTGCATTGGGGCTTTTAGGCTCATTTTTTTGCGTGCCAATTGTCCAGCTTCTATCCACGACTTGTGCTTCGGCGGATCAACCTCCCGATCAGCGAGCTCCGGCGCTCGGTCTAATCCCCTCGCAGAAAGGGAAATCTTGCCCCGGCCATGCTCAGAACACAGCCTGATGATGCCATCTTGTTTCTTGCAAGGAACACGGCTAGCGTGAATCCAAAATGGCGGAGCTTTTGGCGGGAATCCGGGGTTGGGTCTTCAGCGCTGGGTCCCACCAAATGTTATTTGCATGAAGGGAAAACGTGGCATAAGATTTACGGATTGTGTTAACGTATATGATAAGCGAGTGCCGCAGACAAGTGAGTGCCGCACTTTTCTCAACCTTCAAAATAAAAACTCAAATAAAAAAGCAACTAAATATCTAATCAATTAAAATCAATTACTATACTCTTCCTCCGACATATTAACAACTATCTGGCATGTTCTTATATTATGACCGGTCTTGCCGCATGTTCCACAGCGCCTTTCTCTTACCGGCGCTGATCTTCCTTAACCACCACTTCTTAACAATTCGGCCACCACCTGCGCATCAATATCTTTCTGATCAATTGCATCCCTTCCCTCATCTACAGTCATCTTCCCTCTATTCTGTAGTCGAGTTCTTTTTGCTCTGCGCCGTTTGCTAAGAGTCTCATTTGTCTGTCGAAGGATCTGGATCTCAGACTTCATTAATGCCATCTCATGCATTATTGCCTTTGTTCCCTTAGAAAAAGACTCAAGCGCCTCAAGAATAGATATCGGAGAGCTGCTTTGGTGCCTTCTAACCCGTCTTTTAAGGTATTCAGACTAAGAGGTAGCCTCAAGCACCGTCTTTGGCGTCTTTGAGACCCAAGGGTCGGGGAGGCTAGCCTCCTCCTCAACCGGTGTTGGAGTCCGCAGCTGCACATCAAGCTTAGATATCACAGTTTCCGGATCTAAAGGAATAAGCCCGGCCCCTCTAAAACCCCCTTTGATATTACTTTCCGTTATAGCGGCTTGGTAGGCGGTATAAAAGGCCGGAAAGAACTCAGTCTTTGAAACATGAGTTATCGAGCACCTGATTAGATGCTCTATTTCTCGACCGTATGCCTTTTTGAGCGGCCCAAAGCACCCGACATCAAGAGGCTGAAGTAGGTGAGACGAATGAGGCGGCATACAAAGCGTAATAATGTCGTTCTCTTCACAATATTTCTCAAAGTCGACTAAGTAGTAACTTTCATGCCCGTCGAGGATCAGAAGACGATAGCGACCGGTTGATCGATTCTTTGTGTGCCGGTCAAAGTGCTTGAGCCACTCAAGACCTATCTTATTATCAGTCCAGCCATTTTAAGTCGTCGCAATAGCCCAATCGCCCGGGAGGTTGCTTTCCCGGTACCAGTTGGCGAGGTGATATTGGCCCGCAACCACGATAAACGGCTGGATCGCCCAGCCTTCCGCATTAATCGCCTGAATGACTGTAACCCATTCCCGGTTTCCAGGCTGCACTGATTTCGGGTTTCCACGCCTATCTGCGCCTGTGATGACCATTCCGCTTGCGATTATGCCCATCATAAAGCCGGTCTCATCAAAGTTGTAGATATCGGCTAGGTCGATACCATATTTCGCGATTGTATTCTCCACGAGCCGGAACCAATTTCGAATAATGGTTGGATCTTCGCATTTGGCCCTCTGATAGTCGTATTTACGAAAAAAACGCATCTTAAGCTCTAGTTGTCGCCTGACGAAATTGGAAGCCCAGCGCTTGCCGACAGGTGACGCGTCGCGGTCGGCGAGCAGTCGGTTGGCCATTTCTTCAACACCACGCAGTCGCAGGGGAAATCCTCGCGAATCTAGGTCGAGAATAAACTGAACAATAATCTGTTCCTCTAGATCAGAGAGCTTCCGTGACTTAGGGATAATATCGCGTCGAGAAAGCATGCCATTTTGTCGGCGACGTATCATCCATTCGGGCACTGTATAGATCGTTGCGGCGCGTCGGATGCTTAGCTTTGGGTTATTTTGAAGGGCTTGAAGAGCAAGAAGAATTCTTGCCTCATTATTTGATTGTGACATATTTGGTGGTTGAGAAATAATTGATTTAATGAAATAAGAAGTGATCCTAGGATTTTTGCGGCACTCGCTTGTCTGCGGCACTCGCTTATCATGCACGTTATAGGTATATTTCTTTTTCTGGACAATGCCTTGGCATTTTTAATGCACCACTTCCTCACCGACTCGTATTTGACACCCCGTGCGAATCGCGGTCGTGGGTAGCATGAAATAACCTACGTTAATCCTTCGAGCAATTCTAATATTCCCATGGAGCTACTGGCAAGGTAGCATCATGCATCCGCGGCTATATAGACTAGGCTATTCCGGGTGATTATTGGTGGAACATCCAAGTATGATCGGACGAAGGGCATTGCATATTCTTCTTACGGCTGCTCCGTTTCGCTAAAACAGCAGCCGAACTACACAAGTCGCCATTTGAGATGTGAGGAAATATGCATGACGATCTCTGCGCTTGTACGATATATAGAGCACAAACCACCCTGGAAGTTCTTTAGATAGCCAAACTCAAGTAGTCTCATTTGCATTGACATCCAACTCGATCCTAATCCCTAATCAATATGAAGTTCTTCCAGGTTCTATTTCCGCTTGCAACCCTTCTGGGCCAGATCAACGCAGCCCCCAAACCCCAGAGCAGCAAGCCTCCATATTTTATCCTCACAGGAGATTCCACCGTTGCCGTGAATGGGGGATGGGGCGATGGCTTCCTTCGCGATCTGAGAGAACCCGCTGCTGGAATCAATCCCGCGAAAAGCGGAGCAACGACGGTCTCATTTAGAGCGGACGGAAGATGGGCTGGAGTGCTGCAAAGCATCGCAGACAACTTGGAGGAATTCAGGCCGATTGTGACCATCCAGTTCGGGCACAACGACCAAAAGGTTCTGACTCTGGAGGAATACCAGAGCAACCTTACAAGTCTCATTACAGAAGCTAAGGATGCTGGTGCAACTCCGGTAAGTCTTTCCTCTATGGCTATTCTTTCATATTGCCAGAAAATAACCAAGATCATAGATTATCATCACCTCGTTGACTCGTCGTCGGTTTAGCGGAGGCTCCGTCATCCAAAACCTAGAGGAGTGGCGCCAAGCAGCAATCGCCACCGCAGAGGAGAACTGCATCAAATGGTTGGATTTGAATATCGCGAGCACAAACTACGTCAATGCCATTGGTTCGGAGAACGCGACGTACTATGACCTGAGCAGCGGAGACAAGACGCATCTCAATGTCGCTGGCGAGACAGTCTTTGCCCGAATGGTGGCCGACCTCCTTTTAGAGAAGCGGCCTGATCTCAACCCTTTCATCATCCCCAACAAGGCTCTCAGTGATAAGATTTGGGCTGGCGAGTTTGCCACGGGCGACGAGTAAGAGAGTGCTGTAGGATGGTTCTTGTATCTCATTATGGTCCACTATGGTGTAGGACCTATGATGGGGCTTCCCTAGTCGACAGCGGCTCTCTGGTGTTGTTTTAGTCTAACTGGACTTCACTCACACCATCTTATCGCCAAAGCCTATCCGAAACCTATCCAATTCTGCGATGACTGAGTAGCAATAAGGCTAAAGATAATATACAACTCTACAATAATATATAGTCTTTAGGATTATAATACTTCGAAACGGTATTCTGGCGCACGTATGTATTTGCCCGCGCTCATAAATACGAAGAGGCGATAGAGAGTAAGGTAGGAGCAGATAAAACCTTGAGGGTACGAATAGAGAGCCGCTTTTTTCCGTGCAAGACGGATGATATCGTTTGCAAGCGCTTTGCAGGTTTCACTCCACTCGCCCGAGACATACAATAGCCCGAGGTATTACACCAGTCCCAAAACAGAGGAATTAGAAATGAATAGATGTCGTAGATCCGGGGAGAATTGCGAGGTTGCATCAACATCGTGTGGGGTAAGAGGCCACTTTGATCTACACATGACCTGGGTTTAATTTTCCTCCAACAGTAATTCTTCTTGGTCATACGCTCATCTCGGGCAAATTGAAGGTTGTCCGTTGACAATCATCCGATGGTGCGATTCTGTATCCTTGAGCACACATCATGAGATGCGAAATAACTACGTAACTGTCCAGAATGTTCACCATATCGGGGAAGTTTAAAATATAAATCACAATCCGAGCCCTGAGATGTCTCAATCTTGCCATTTCCACCGCTAAATCATTTCATTGCAGCTGTCTAGCAGCCATCATGAAGTTTTTATCATCTCTTAGCGCAGTCGCTATAGCGGCCACTGCAGTCACTGCTCCAGTGGCGCATGCCCAGTCCAACACTCGACCCATGGAGAACCTCGGTCGCGGAGTCGTGGCAGTACGCTCAAACGAAACTCATGTCCTGGTGGGCTGGCGTTTGCTAGGTCTCGACCCTGACGACATTGGCTTCAATGTGTATCGAGCCACAGGCACTGGCAAGACGACACGGCTCAACTCTGAAGTGTTGACCGGCGGGACCAACTTTATAGATTCGGAAGCCGATCTAGGAGAATCCAACACTTATCATGTTCGACCTGTAGTGAAGGGAAAAGAACAAGACGCCAGTGGAATGTTCAAACTTCCCGCCGACAACGCAGAGGAGCCAGTGGTCCGGATTCCGCTCCGTTCTGGCGGAAAGATCAAGTATGTATGGGTTGGCGACCTCGACGGTGATGGCGAGTACGATTTTGTTCTAGATCGACAGACTTCGCCTCAGCTCCTAGAGGCGTATCGCAGCGACGGAACATTTCTCTGGGAGGTCAACATGGGACCTAACAGCGAGAATCAGAACAATATTGAGCCTGGGTCGTCAACACTCAACGTCGGACATTGGGATGGCGTCACAGTCTATGACTTTGACAGCGATGGGCACGCCGAGGTGGCAGTTCGGATCGCGAACGGCGTCACATTCGGCGATGGGGAAACATTTGAGGAGGGAGACGACGATAACTCGCAGTTCATCGCCATTCTGGACGGAAAGACCGGGGCATTGCGTGGAACTGCTCAGCTGCCCACCGACTACTTGTCTGACGGCCCCTTGGCTGCTCGGTTCGGCGTTGGTTATCTGGATGGCGAACGACCTCACTTGGTGACATATTTCAAGAACCGTATCGGCAAGGGCGGCTTCAACCTCATCATGGCGGCTTGGACCTTTGACGGCTCTGATGTCAGTATGGAGTGGAAGTGGTTGAGGGAGGATCAAGATGCACCAGATGGACACAACACCCGGATTATAGATGTGGACGGCGATGGAAAGGATGAAGTCGCCGAGATTGGGTTCATGCTCAACGGCGACGGAAGTGTTCGTTATCTGCTGGGTCCAGAAGGCATCGTCCATGGCGACCGGTACCACATCGCCAAGATGGACCCAGACCGCAAAGGGTTACAGGGCTACGGCGTACAGCAAGACAATCCAAGTCGCCTTTACGAGTACTACTACGATGCAACAGACGGAACGCTACTCTGGGAGCATTTCGGGGATGACGTAGCGGATATTGGACGCGGTATGGCTGGCGACATTGACCCTCGATACCCGGGGATGGAAGTATGGGGCTTCTCAGGAATATACAACGCCCAGTCCAACGAACTGACCGAGAATGACACTGGCCTGGCGCCTTGGCCGCATCTGGGCATTTGGTGGGATGGAGATGAACTCATGGAGCTGTACAACGACGGCAAGTTCGAGAAGTGGGATTGGGAAAACCCGACGCCTTCGAACAAGCTTCCACGGCTTCTCAAGGCTTCTGACTACGGGGCCATCAATCCGACCAACCGCAACCCCGCGTTCATTGGCGATATTCTGGGCGACTGGCGTGAGGAGGTGATTCTCACCAACGAGGCGTATGACGAGCTCGTCATCTTTACCACCGATCACCCTACCGACATTCGTCTTTATACATTGCCTCACAACCCGGCCTATCGAAATGCCATGACACTGAAGGGATATATGCAGTCGCATCACGTTGACTACTTCCTTGGCCATGACATGAAGCAGCCTCCGAAGCCCAAAATTCACTACGTGTAGTGGGAAGTTTAGGTTTTGTGACAGTTGAGTAAGAGGGCTGTACACTGTCCAAACTGTAAGGTATATTTTTTTTTTTTTTTTTTTTTAGCTTTACTCAATATCATCAGATAGATTAAAGCCATACAGTAATCTCAAATAGTAGGGATAAACAATAAGTACTACACCCAGCACCAGAAGAAACAGTAGCTAAATAATAAGATTATTGCCTACTAGTCTCTACCTAAAGCTTTTATTTAACCCCTTTAACTTCAACCCTATTATCTGTAGTCAACGATCTTGCTGTCTACAGTCAATAACCTTAAGATAGTAACCTTATTCCGAGTAATAGGATATAAGGGAGACTGACATCTCCCATTGTTAAGAGACCAACTTCCCTTCTGACACTCATCCCATCTTAATAAATTTCATCTGAATAACTTGTCACTATGTCGACCATCAATCGCAAGGCCCTTGTTACATATATCCCTGCGCATTAGGGATACGAATCTGGATTCCGGCACAGCACAGGATTCCATTGGAATCTTCAAGATGAAAGGGAAAGACACAAGCTGGATAACCATCTAAAATTCCTTGAAAAAAGGAACCTCCTAGACCTCTCACCACACCACCCAGAATGCCTGGATAGAAACCAAAGGATTGCGTTAGCCATTTTCGGATGCGGTCTGTTTCTTGACGATAGGAACAGAGCCAATCCGCAGGGAAGTCAGGCCACCGGCATCGACATTACATTCATCTGGATAGAAATGGCCGCATTGTATGACCTGGCCGATGATACTGTAAGGTATATACGAATTAAATTGACTAGCAGTATCTCAATTATTATAGTGATATATATCAGGTTTTCTCCAGCCGACTTGCACATACGGGTCCCTCCTGGATCATAAGCGATGGTGATAAAGAAAACTCTGCACTATAATAGCAGTGCAAGCTCAACTGTTATTGAGCAGCGTAAATTCTTTAAATTCCAGCATGTCCTCAGTAGAGTTCTGCTGCTAATAAATTGCATTCTCGCGAATGAAGGCGAGACTCTCGTGATGTGACTGCCGGCTGTAGCCAACATATATATAAATATCTATATTATGTTACCGACCGCATTATCAACCCCCCAGACACCAACCCAAGCGTCTTCAGCTGGCCTCTGAACCTGGAACCACACTCTCTCCGCCGAAACCAGCATTGCTGTTTGTCTCTCCATCCAGCGACGGCGACCGACGTCCGTTGATCGAATCATGCTCGCTCTCATCTCCAACAGACTCGTCCTCATCGTCCGCAGAGTCCTCACCATTCGCTGCCGACCGCCTGGAGGGGCTATTCGAGCGAGTCGAGCGCGTCCGGGCGCTGCTGCTAGAGCTGCTCGACTGAGTGCTTCCTGAATTGCTAGTAGGCATGCCCATCGGCCGCCTGCCTGGAGTCCATACTGGTGGGGGTCTACCTGGAATCCATCCTGGTGTCCATCCTGGTGGAGGAGGCATACCTGGAATCCCTCCTGGCGGATGTATCCCTCCTGGTGGAGGTGGCGGAGCGAACAAGGGACCGATCTCCTCGAACGTGTGCTCCCGATTATGCATGTCCAGCCGGTGAGCATAGCACTTGAAGCAGAAAGAGACGTCTTGGGTACACTCTATGCACTTCCATCGCATGCCCCTGATGACCTGAACAATGGGAAACAGAGTGTTAGCACCTCGGAGCATCCTCCCGTAAAACAACGGTGGTGACTTACTACTAAGCAACCCCAACACAAGAGTCCCGAGCGGTAGAATCCTATAGGGCTTGTGTGGGTTTTCGACCCCCATTCCTCTGTTGTACCATCTTTGTTGACCCGCGTGGCCTCCTCCGGCTTCGGCCTGAGTACCTCCAACAGAGGCCCGTATCTAAATTCTCTCATCCCCCGAAAGTGGGCGAGTCTCAACGGTGACCATTCAGCCGTAGGGTCGTAGCTACGCCCTGAAGCCCATATGTCAGCGCCAAGATCAACCAGTTTGCGGATACTCTCCGGATGGCCTGATCGAGCAGCCCAGAGCAGTGGCGTCCAGTTGTCGTCGTCTGCAATGTCCAAGTCATCCGTCCAGTTGGGAAGCGGACAGGTCTCGAGATTAGTCGACGACGCCGCGGCGAAGTGGATGGGTTTACGCCCGAACCGGTCTTTTGCTCTTCCGTCTGCCCCAGCGTTCAAAAGAGTCTCCAGCACTGAAAACCGGGCACGTGGAGGGCCCTGCAGCATCGCGGCGATGTGTACAGCACGGCGGCCCTGGTCGTCGGCGACATCTAGATTGGCCTTGCGTCGGATGAGGAACTTGAGGGTTTTGAGGGAGAACATTGGGTCAATCCTGCGCGCCACCGCTTGAATGATGGGATATCCAAATCGGCCGCCGAGTTTGTTGACGGGAACCTTGACCTCATCTACAAGATACCGAACGATTAACTCCCTCTCGTGAAGCCGGGGTCCATATTCCATGGTCCTGAAGGTAGTGTGCAACAAGGACTCCCCGTCCATGTAACCAGGATCGACCGCCTCCTTATCCGCCCCGTTCTCAATGAGCAGCTTGAGAATCCTGAGCAGGCCGGAGGAGCAGGCCATGTGTAGGAGGCTACCAAAGTTAGGGTGGAATACATTCACGCTGGCCCCCCATGATATGAGATACTCGGCCACCTCTGCGTTACCCAGCATAATGGCGACCGCGAGAGGGGTGTAGCCATCTTCGTTGGCCTCATCCAAGGGCACCTTGGCCCTGTGCAGAAGCTGGACCAGGGAGACGTGGGTCATGGGCCTGATCTTGTGCAGGAGAGTGTTGCCTTTGGCGTAGGTGCGGGTCACATCGATCTTGTAGGGAACCGTCAGCAGCATTTCTAGACACTCTATGATCTTGTCAACATTGCCGTAGGAGCCGGCCAGAACGGAGGCGGCGTCAACATCGTTGTTGGCGCGGTAGCGGGGATTCGCGCCGGCGCTGAGCAGTAACCTCAGACATGGCGGAGAAGGACGGATGCAAGCCATCATCAGAGCCGTGTATTTATCGTTATGTGCATCAAAGTCAGGTGAATCGTATGGAATCTCCACGTCGGGCTTGGGGTCGTTGTTCAGGAGCATCTCGACCACCTGGACTTGGTCGTCGCCCGCTGCGAGGTGGAGGACAGTGCCAGATCTGCAGTGACTGTCGATGTCTAGTTTGAGCTTGAGAAGATCTGGGAATATCTCCGGACAGTCATACGACGCGTGAAGCATGTTCCATCCCACGTCACTGGTCCAGTGCGGATCCGCGTTGTGTTTAAGCAGCATCCGCGCCAGGCCGGGTCGCCTCCAGGATAGTGCCACGAATAGGGGTGAATCGACATCTTCATGACCATCGGTATAGTTGACGTCGGCACCCTCCTTCACGAGTAGCTCGGCAATCTCCAATTTGCCGTCGCATGCTGCTAGCGTCAATGGGGATTTGCCATCGTCTTCGCGATTGGGATCGAGATAGTCGAGCTTGGCGCCGAATTCCACCAACAGTGAGACGAGCTCCGTGTTGCCGGAAGCCACAGCACTGACCAGCATTGTGTCTCGGTCTTGAGGAGGAGGGCCTATGATTGCTGCATCAGGCTGGTTCTCTAGCAACTGGCGGGCAATATCCACGCGCTGATTCGCAACAGCTCGATATAGGGCCGTCCCTGAAGCACATTCGGTATTCGGGTCCGCCCCATGGGCAAGTAGAACGCGGACACACTCGGCGTTACCGACATCTGCAGCGATTATCAAGGGAGCTCTGTCATTCGACGAGTCCGATGCGTCCTCATCGCCGCTCTTGAAGTCTGCCCCAGACTCGATGACAAGTTCAAGTGCCCGGGGCCTGGAGAATAGAATAGCAGCCCGTACGGGATTCAGAGCATCGTCGCCTGTTAATTCCACATCAGCTCCTGCCCCTAGGAGAACTTGTACCGCGCGTGGATCTCCAACATTGCAAGCAGTGGAAAGAGCGGTATCGCCATCATCATCAAAAAGGGACAGGTCGGGCTTGGGGTCGAACTTCAACAGCGTCTCCATGATAGAAACTTGATTCGTATACGCGGCCAAGTTTATCAGGGATGTATCAAAGTACATCGTATTTGCGTTGATGTCCGGATTTGAAAGCAGGATGGCCGCGAGAAGATTATCCAGACCCGCGGCAACGGATCGTTCCAAAAGGTCCTCGGGCCAGTCAAACGTTGCTGGATCGGGTACTTTTTCAAGGAGCATGTCCAAGGCGCCTCCCTTGCCGTATGCCGCGGCCCAGAAGATGGCATCTCTGAGTTGGGCTTCATCGACCTTCACCTGCTCGAGTAGCCACTTGACAATATCTTTGTTGCCCGCTCTCGCGGCTTCCGTGATTGCATACCAGCAATCCGTCTCGAATGAGGCATGTCTTCTCTCAGATTCGCACTCGCTCCTGACCAGTTCTTCCAAACCCAACATTGCAAAGACTGGCAATAGTGAGATGTAGGATCTATTAATCCTGGTGACTGGGTTGGACATTGTATAGAACGGAACCTCCCAAGCACCCCTGGACCCCTTGGACGCGAACATTCCCCGTAAAAGTCCGTTGGGCTTGAGCTTCCCGCTGGCTCGGTAGTGATGAGGCCAGAACCGAACGGCGTACTCGGCCATGCTCGAACGCTGGTAAGCAATCACAGTGGCTGAAAGTAGCGACTCCCATGGACCCCCTTCGAGGCGATCTGGAGAGAAAGCAGACAAGGCCTCTCGCGCACTCTCATTGGAAAAGAAACGCAGACATATTTCCGCCAGTTGACTGTTCACTTGATGTGCCACCTCCTCCGGGCTCCCCTCGATCTCAATCTCCGACAGGCTGTGAAACGAAGAGTGGCTGAACCTGAACTCGCCGTGTCGAATGGTGATGATGCCGCCAAACACCTGGTCGACCCAGGATATAAGCCCAGCCGGATCAAGTTGGCCAAGGTCCGCATCTTGTCCCGGAGACTCGGAGATGGCGATCGCCTGAGCCAAGGCCCCGGCCGTCCAGGGCTCGGCTGCATGCTTAACCCAGTTGAAGACGTTCCTGGCTCTCTGACGGCGCTCGGGAGGTAGAAAATCAACGAAAACTTGGACCGCACTCTGCGCAGATGCGGGAGACAGTTTACCAATGACTGGTTCAAGCTCTGACCTGGACGTGCCACGGCAGTTATTTTCAAGCCAAGTCAGAATAATACGCCCGAGGTGTGGCGAGTCGTGGCACTGCGAGAGAAACGTCTCAAGTTGTGACTGAAACGCCTTGCAGAGTGGTCGTCTTTTTAGAAGGCGACTGAGATCCGACCTGAGCTCATCGGCCAATCCATCATGCCGACTCAGAGCTGGACACTCGGCCATGTTGATGGACGCAATCTCCGGGAACGGCCCGGCCCCGAGACTGTCCATGCCGGTGGTGGATATAATCAGCCTTGTAGAGCCGTCGGTGTAGCTCTGCTCGTATCGCACTCGGTCGAGAAACCAGATCCTCTCCTGCTCTGGACATTGGTCAAAACAGCTGATGAAGAACTTGACCCGGTGATCTAGGGTGACTATCCAGTACCTAACCACCCAGAAGACGTGGAATATATCGCCCCTCGACCACGATTTCATCCTCTTTTGCAACGACAACGCCTCAGCCATGTATTGTTCTCCATGATCCCAGAAGTGCCATACGATGAGGTTGATGTAATACACCATCATAGCCTCAATGCTATTGTACCGTGAGTCATTCCGATCGAACTCGAAATACGCAACTGCCCCTCGCGCGTTCCTGTTGGGCTCAGAGGTGACCAAGGCATCATCAAAAGCGTGGTGGCAGAGGCGAGACAGGTCGGCAAGGTCAAGTGATGTGTCCCCGTTGCAGTGCAGGTGCACGATCTTCGGATCCCTCAGGGCCTCCAGCTTCTTCTTGTTGTTAGGAGTGAGTTGCTTCATGATCCAGCGGACAAAGGGGGTTGGAGGGAGCATCGAGTTGTAAGGGACGTTTGTCGATTGCGTCGGGGGCGCGAGGGAAAGAAGGTGCGCTTGGTCCTCGAGAAACCTGTACTCGACCTTGAACACTGGGGAGTAGGGTCTGCTTGTCAGTTGACACTCTTGCTTTGATGACGGCCCGGTAATGAAACTCACGGCATCCGCTGGTGTTGTTGAGATCCGTTGATATCCATGCGTGATTTGGATCGCCTTTGACAAGGTCCATATGGTCGTAAACTGTGCGAAACCTGCCCATGGTTTCGAAAGATTGGCAATAGGAATGTGAAAACCTTGGGAACGGAGTGACCGGATCCAACTCTGCTTCCGAGTCAGTAGTAAAAGAGTCGTCGGATGCATTGTCGTTGTCTTTGTCGTCTTTGCCGTCTTTGGATGGTTGGCCCATGTAATCACGGTAGCATTTCGTAAATACATTGAAAATGACTGCGCGGTCGAGCAGCTTAGTATGGAGAAACTCCTGGTTGATTCTGTGCACCTGAGCTGCCAGGTTCTTGGCCTTCTCCAATGCCCCAGTCCTTATCTTTTGGGGACCAGGCAGGTAGATGAGTTGAAGAAGCTCGTCTTCAAGATGGTCCACAGACAGAGCACGATGAGGCGTGCTCAGGAAAAACTGACACGGGGCGTCAGTAGCGCCTTGTTGGGGTTTGACGGCTACGGGTACTTACGATTGCCGTTGACAGGACGGCCATCTTGCCATATTCGAGGGGATTAGCCAGTGCCATTGAGAGTGCCTACAAGCGTTAGTCGAGCATCAAATTGAGAGGACAAGTACCGAATACCTCCTTGACAATTGTGCCGCCGATATCGTGGCAGATCCATAGTAGTGGACGGTCCGTCTCGGTCTATCAACGCTTTTAGCTTGGCAGCAGCTGGAGAAGGGGGCGAGGTTGGCGTACCTCATCAAGTTCTCTCCGAACTCTTGCCAACTCAGTAACGAGGGCCTGGGCATGGATCCGGATTCCGTCTGGGTCGTAGATGGTGGCACCTTCATCAATGTCGTAGGCATAATCAATCTGCCTCACATCCAAATCTTTCAAGAGACGGTCTCTCACCCACCAACCCTGGCCTGCGTCAATCCACGCAGTGCGATAATCGTCACGCAGTCCATGGACAGTGACAATGCTATGTCGGCAATCAGCGTCCAGTACGTGTACGGCGCGCGATCATACTTACTCATAATCATCATATTGGGAGCCAGACCAGCCGCCGTTCCTGATGATGTTCAAGCCTACCGATCGTTCATCAGGGCCGGAATCCAAGGATCTATCGGAAAAGAGAGCCGAAGTAGCAGTTTCGAAGCTCTTGACGCTGGCTGCATCATCGTCGCCCGGCTTGTCTGACGCAGCGTCCGGGTCTTTGCTGCCTGGGGCGTGGTTAGGAAGGCCAATCTCAACAATAGAGGCCTCGTCACCACCAGTCTCAGGTTGAGCCATGGCGACGGCTTTGTATTGGCACAGGCAAAGACAAGAGACGGAATGACTCTCCCCCAACTGAAGGATCCAGAGAGAGCAGCACAGCTGCATAAGCGAAGCCCAGCCTGGCGAGCCTTGCAGGAGTGGAAACACCAAGAACGGGTCCAGGTTCTAAGCCACGCAATCTCACGGGGTGGATTGACGTGCGGTACTGTCATTGGTAGATTATCCGTGATTATGCAGGCAATGTGACATACCCTGTCCACAGGAGCTCAGCTGCCCAGTGTTGGGAGGAAGCCGGCACTGTTGTTGGGTGGAGGCGGGATTTTTTATCTCGGCGATGCTTGCAGGGCTCGGTATTCGAGTGAGGGGCTTGACAATGACTTTTTGACCTTTCTGACGTCTTTGGAAACATCTATTTAAAATGTATATGAAAGATTAACACCTGGGAACTAGATTAAAATATAGAAAGCAAAGAAGATAACAGTGAAATCATGGTGCTGACAACTGAACGCAAATCTATGAAGCGACCACAGGCTGCAGCTATCACGAATGGAGCCGTGGGGGCAAGCCAGATGAAGTGTTGGTTGAAAACAATACGACTCATCGCTCCAGGCAGAAACGCAGAACATATTGATGCCCATCTAGGGGATCCAGCAGGATGCTGAGCTGCAAGTGCAGAAGCCCACACGACTGAAGGCAACAACTCATCCACCATCGACCCTACTGAGTATAGATTCTCATCGCGTCTTCTGCGCATCCTTAATGACGGTCCGGTAGCTGACTTCGCAGTACTTCCCAAGATCCTCGCTCTGCAGCTCATCGTTGTCATACGACACGTTCTTGTTCGGCCGTGTGCCCTTGTCGCGAGGGTTCGGCTGGAAGATGATGGGGTCGTCCTTTGGGATTTTCTTGAAGAAGCTCTGTGTGCTCGACTTCCAGTCCGTTTTGCATGAAAAGCCGATTTTGCAGCTGAACTTTTCGCGATCCTGTCTAGAAACGAGGACGGCGACTTTGAGAGTAGCCGGGATGCCTGTGAGCTGGGCTTCATTCTCGGAAAGAGTCCACTTGGCGATCCGGTATGGAGGTAAGTTGTTGACGACCTGTTTGACGCCATATAGCGTCGCGGCGTATGTCTTCTCGCTGCTGGTTGTCTTTTCCCATTTCCCCGTCAACCCAACACTGGCAAACTGGTCAACGCCAACGCTCGCCTCGCTGCCCTTGGTGATGCTCTCCTGCTGGGTAGTGGGCATAAGGCTGTACGAATCGCCTTCGAACGAGATCCTTTCGACCTCGACATCCTCACCGCCAGGGCCAGGCTCGAAGAGCAGCTCAATATTAGCCTCAGAGATGCGACGCTTATTCTTCGCCTGGAAGGACCACCGCATAACCAGCAGGGTAGCGTAATAGTCGCTGTCGGCCGACATGGCGCCGTGGATGACCTTATCGAGCTTACAGCTAATGTCGATTGCGCCAGAACGCTGAAGAACTTCGGACCGGTGGTATTGATCTGGTGCGACGTTGAAGACGTGGAAGCCGCTGCCTTCTTCTCCCCCGGCCTCGTACATGCCGAGGCTCGCCACTTCGTTGTTGCCGTCTTCTAGATGAGACATGGTGGAAGAACGGGAACAATCTGATGTGACTAAAGAGACAGGATTGCAAAAAGAAGATAAAGGTGACGATAGAATAGCCCGTCAGAGAGGAAGCCGAGCCACGACATGAGATTGCTGGGTTACTCGCAGAAGCAACCCTTGACACTCCAGCCTTCTATTTCCACTGCACGTGTCGTAATACTGCGGAATCTTCTCTGAGAAGAGGGGCCAAGCAGGGATTTGTTGATCCTACAGGGCGAATAGTGGTGCTAAAACAGTCACAGGCGCGTAATTTTGGGGGCCAAAATATTATCCCTGTATGTGCATGTCGCACTGTGTCCCTATTCCTGATTTCATCTCTCGACCATATTGGACGATGCAAAAGGTGACATTGTCCAATTATCCGGTGGTTGGAATTTGGCTTAATTCCTTCATCGTTCCCGGCATACTACGCGCTGCCTGTAACGCAAAACCAGCACAAGGACCGGCCAGACAACTGTGGAAATGTCGTTAGACTCAGCGTCTGAGCATTTCTCGAGCGATTCCGACTCCGAGGAGGGCTTTGGATACAATGAAGAAGGCCCAGGGGAAGAAGAATCACTTTTCCAGCAAGCGTCCAAGGAAGTAACAAAGGGGCGCAAATTCACCAGCGAGAGGGACGTCGCTGACTTTTTCGACACATATCACGACATTGTGGGCAAGGAGTCGGATTCCGGAAACCTCCTGCACTGGATAGTGGTCGCAGTCCAACTCTTTGGCGTGGAACCCGAGAACTTTGAGCTGCTCATCCGGCGACTGGTCATGGAATATCCCTACCTCTTGAGAAACCCGAACAAGGAATCACACAAACCCATGTACAAGGCCGTTCAGGCCAACACGCCCTTGCTCGTTCAGTACATGATCTCTGCATGCAAAGAGTGCTGCAAGCTGGAGTCTCAAGCCATGCAGCATCTCGATAATGGGCTGCAGATGGTGTCAGCCGAGGGGCAAACCTGTCTGCACATTGCGCTGAGAGAACAGTTTGACCCTCAAGTGACGAGGTTGATGATTGAGAATGCGAGCCTCGAGACGTTGGCCATCCAAGACAATCTCGGGAAGACTGCGATGCACTATGCCGTGGCATTCAACCAATGCTCCAACATGCGGACAGAGCTAATCTCCCTCTTCCTGGAACGAGACTTGACCCAATTAAACGCCCTCCATAAAATGGGAATACCCCAGAAACCCACTTTCCTTGACTTGCTCAACAACAGCCGCGAGTCGGTCTACCGAGAGCATGAGCGACTGAGCAAAGCATTCGAGTTGAAGAGGAAGAAGGACAAGGCTATAGAGAAGAGTCGGTCCGGAGGTGGCGACCAAGTTGGCATCCAGGTTGGCACAGTCAAATCGAGCGAGAAGCCTACCTCCAAAGGCACCAAAGAGGTTTCCCGATCTCAACTGACCCCAAGGGATGGCAAGCATTCATTCGCGAAAGCAGAGGGCGATCGAGGAGGCGTGAGTAAACCAGGCCATGACGTCGACGAGGGTGAACAAAAGGTGGACGAACGCGAAGCGAGACGCCGACTCAAGAAGCAGCAGGAGGAGGCAGAGAACGAACGACGGAAGAACAAGGCCAACGGGACCGACTCAATCGAAGATGACCACCACCCAGGGGAACTGGATCCGTTCAGCCCTGAGGTGGAAGTCGACCCAACAGCACAACTAGCTCTTCGGCGCACCAAGACATCTCGACCGTCCGAGACTGTCCCCAACACTTCATTGAAGAGAGTCGACTCAGCGCGAAGGGACGGGAAGATGAGCGCGCCAACTGCTCTAAAGAGGCCGTCGCAGGGCACCAAGAAGAGTTACGGCCCTGAGAAGAGCAGCGTGTCCAGTTGCAGGAGGAACTCGAAGAAGATACTCCTGACACTCAAGCTGCATTACATGCGAACACGGAACGCCGAAAAGGTCATTTTGTTTCTTTACGGAACCAACATGGATGGTGAGTCTCGCAAGCTCTCTCTGGAAAGATTATTCTAACGCAGGCTCAGATATTCAAATCAACTTCGACTACGACCGGCTCCCGCGCGACATGACGTGGAAGAAATTCCTAAAGCGCTTCGGTAGCAACGCAGAGACTGGTCTCAAGTTCGACCAGGTCTTGCAGTACGTAACCTTCCCGTATGTCAACGTGCAACTTACAGGCCGTCACGCCGACCAGGAGCGGCAGAGGGAGGAGGAGATGGGGATGAGCCAGCTTGGCGGCGAGGGCCGCAAGGACATGAAGTACTTCTTCGACTGGCTGTACGAAAAGGGCGTGCGTCACATCATCAAGCTCTCGGTCAACGACTCCCGGGACCCTTCTGGCAAGGTACACAGCGACGAGGTCATCCAACAGTGCCTGGAGAGATTCGTCATCGAGCGACTCGATTGGCAGAAGGTGGACCTGGACCCGGAGACGATTCTTCACGTGAGCAGCAAGGCTCTCGAGAAGGTCGTGTCGGCCAAGGATGAGACCAAGAAGATTGAGCTCGTTCCCAACCGGCAGCTGAAGGAGCTCACGTTGAGATGGAGTGGCAGCAATGCCGTGCTGCGGGCGTGGAATGAGCCAGAAGGCTTGCCGAGACTGGCGCATCTTGAGAGAATATCCCTTTACGAACCACCTCCGGACAAGGTAAGTGAATCCCAGATCGTAGCCTTGAATTTTGCAGCTAACCATTTGCCCCGACAGACCTTGGACAATCGGAGATGGATCGAGAAAAAGATTGGGGAATTCGAGGTCCGGCTCAACACAAACTTCAAAAAAGCCCGAGAAAGCGAGGCGACAGCGAGCTCGCAGGACACCGTCAAAATAACAGAAGTCCGAGTCGAACGCAAAAATGTAGACGCCGATCCGGATCGCAAGGGAACCATGGAAGACGAGCCAGACTTCAAGACGTCGCTGCCTGCAAAGGGCGTCAACTCCCACAAGTGGCTGGACTCGACGACCCGGTTCGCCAAGGGTATGGAAACGTTCTGGAAAAACACAGTTACCGATTTCAACGAGACCCGCAAGATCCAGGGGACGCCGGAGCGGATAGAGGACGATGTTGTTATTGCGCTGATCGACGACGGGGTGGATATGTTTGATCCCTCGCTGTCGAGTAAGGTGCTGGAGGGGAAGAGCTTCGACTACCACCATGACAAGGTCAGGCCTGTGTTCTCATCGGCAAGAGGCCATGGTACGGTCATGGCGAGTATGATTTTGCGCGTTTGTCCTATGGCTAAGATTTATCCCATACGGCTCAAGACGTATGAGACCAAGGACGGCAAGTCTCAGATTGATAGGAAATACGCAGCCCAGGTAAGATGAAAGGATCAACTCCAGGGCCGTTCTGACACCTTTTACAGGCTATTCAGGCAGCACGGGACAAGAAGGCTACTATCATCTCCATGTCATGGACGCTACCTGGGCCTGAACCAAGTACCAACCCCGAAGAGGACGAGCGTGAGTTTTCCCTCGCACTCTCTCCCTAGGCCTTCAGGCGTCCTTCAACGCGCCAGAAATGCATGATACCGGACAATCTAACCTCTAAGCCAGTACACAAGGTCCTCCATGCCGCTGTCAAAGACAAAGTCCTGATGGTCTGCTGTTGTCCCGACGGGGGCAAGTTCACCAAGTCCGTCTACCCAAGCGGCCCGTGGCCCAAGGACTTTTTCCGCATCGGCGCGGCGCACGCCGACGGCACCGTGTTTAAGTGGACGGAAGAGGATGACATCTCGTTTGTTCTCCCGGGAGTCGACGTGATCAAGGACCGCGTGGCCAACTATGGCAGTGACGGCACCAAGAAGGGCAGTACCAACCCCGTCGCCCACTTCAAGTACGAGACTGGGTCAAGCGTAGCGGCCGCGCTGGCGTCAGGCCTGGCTGCCATGATCATCTACTGCGTCAAGGCGAGCATCCTAGCGGCCAAAACAGCGAACCATAATGTCACAGGGCCGATCCTGGGCATCGGGATCCCCGATGACGGGGCCATCTCCGTGGCCAAGCCGGAGGCCATGCGGCAGGCATTCAAGAGCCTGGGCCACGAGACGCCGAGCAGGTTCATCCAGATCTGGGACGAGCTGGACAAGATTAGCCACGTGCTGGAGCAGGCACAGGCACAGAGCTGGAAGGCGGAGGCGAAGCAGGAGAGTATCAAGAGGTTTGTCGAGTTTGGGCAGAAACTTGCCAAGTCGACGTAGGGGATGTAGGTCGAGGATTTAACGGTGAGATGTATAGGTAACGAGGTACTAGGTAGATCCCAGGCTGCCATAGACATTTAAATTGAGGGCAGCTACCTAATTAATTCTTTGTCCTCTACAATCGTTTTAGCATTAAATCTAGTCAGATCCTCAATGATCACGGAGATAAAGGAGATGGTTAGATGAAGGTATATGTTGGCTAGCCGCGATCGAGCTGTGCCTGGAGAAGCAGTGGATTGCTAGATGAGGCCGTTGTGAACCGAAGCGGCGACTTGAAGATGCTCTGAACCGGAGGCAGTTTCAGGAGCCATGAGCAGGCCGCGTCGCTAGGGGGTTCATTACCCGGATCAACTGGGTTCTTTAGATCGTGGAGGGAGGGAGTGGCTTTCTTGGTGAGCCTGCAAAGATGACTAACAACGGTGTTGCATTGATTGACAACCTGATCCGTTGCCGGAACAGATCAACTTGGGAGGGCGTCTATGGAGATGCTCGCTGGGATCGGACTACATGCAGCTCAAGAGCGATCACCACCGGCAGTTGCTGAGAAATAGAAGCTCTTGGAAGTTGCATAGACCTAGAAAAGCATGACAGATTGCCAATAATGAGGACTTGTCATTCTCCGGATGAGGGACGCTGGGCTCGTCCCATCGGACGTCGCGTCAAGATCCACCGTCGTGGTCATTGATAAAGGGCTGAGGATTACGCAACGGAGAATGGCGAAGTCGGCCACTGAATAAGGGCTAACCGGCCATGTGTTCTTTATTGTGTTACGAATTCTTTACGGGCTCGGAGGGCGCGGGTTCCGAGCGCGGAGGCCGCAGTTGCCGTGTCCGGATATGACGATGCACCAAGAAAGCGTATTAATGACAACAGTAACGTCTCAACCGCGTACGACTACACTGTAGAATCAGTATGGCTGTCGTGCAAATATGATACCCTCAGAATGACAGTTGGCCATGAGCGTCTAGCTGCCGCTGCCTCTGTACCGATATTCGTGATATCATCGTTTTCCAGGTGCCATGTTCAGTACCCAAGACATGGTTTCTGTTTAACATGGCCCTGCTGCCCAGAAAACTTCCACGCGTTCACGCAAACCATAACAAATCCCTGTGCCTGCAATAACAATGCGTCCTTAGCAGTAGCCCACTTGATCACAAAGCGGTAACTAAAGACCAGAAGTCGCAAGAGCGAGCAGTTCCCGCGACTAACTTGTAACCTGCTTGAGGTATTCACAACTATGTATTGTTATTGGATTATGGACCGAATTAACACTGCCTATTGTAACACTTGGGTTACCCTATAGTTATAGTTCAAGTGTTGAATCCAACAATTATTTAAAGCTGATACGATAATAGTGGATGTCTTCAGTGCGAAATTAACAAACATTAAATTAATATCTCGTCTCTGATTCAGAGGCGAGCGATGTGACAATGATGATAACATGGCGCCTCCGTGCTTTCGATTTACAAATGGACAGACGTAAGTAACCTAGAATACATTATGTCCAGTGAGTGGAAAGAGGTCATCAATGTACAACCCATCGAATTCTCCATCCCTTCAATCTATTCAAATGGCACCTCGGGCACGAGGGTCCATCCTAAATATGCCTTGTCTTGGTATGCCAACGCTTAGCGTCAGGGGCGAGAACTGGACGTGCGTGGCCTTGTAAGGATCCTGCGGCAGGAAACTTCCGGGCTGTGCTGTTTTCGTCAGCAGCAATGCATTACATTCATGCTCATTGGCTCGGGGACGGTAACCCGTCGGCGGGGACCGTACAAGCTGGGATGGACAAGGGGCGGAAGAGCACCCTGCACTCATTGATCATGACTGCTGATGCCAAGGTTTTTCGTACAGCCTTCCACTTTTTTTGTCGATCATCTTGAGCGGTGTCTCCACGGAGAGAGCTAGAGTGTTGAATGGCTTTCACTGGCCATCTGGCAGGATTCAAGCTCTAGAGGGCTGCTAGAGGCTAGCATATCGCTCACCGGTGTCTCGAACCTGAGGTGCTGTGAGCTGTCCTCGATCGACGTTACTTTCTTCGTTGCGCATAGTGCTTGTTTTGACGCAGAGCACTCGAACCATACTTGCCCCTTCGGGATTCTCCGATATCGAAAATGCGGTGGCAATTCCTTGGCATTCTAAGCCTTTGAACATGTTGTAGAACTGCCGAGCAAGCGACGTAAGCCGGGACGAAAAATGTCGTTTTCTCGGGATGTGGGAGAGAGCACAGTTGCATTACCGAAGTCTAGAGTGGGGATCTCTTCATCCCTGCAATACGCCATGACAAGGTAGCTTATTCTTGTTTCACGGACAATATTTTAAAACTGCATTGTCATTAGAGGCCTGGAGTATTGACCCCTGACCCTCGTCGGCAGTACACAAGGTGACGAATTCAATTCCTTCCAAACAACTTCCAGATTGGCGGTAGATTTGAGGCGCGGGACAAGGCTTCCTTGTTTTTGATGAAACCCAGACCCAAGAACTCTCGCAATTCCGTCTACAGTTACCTTCGGAAGTGCCGAGTCCACTCAATTGCGGGTCACACTGACCCCATGTCTTTGACAGCCGGCATTTGAGGACGTCAGCCAGTGGGGATTTGGCCGTTCAGCATTACGCCTGCGCCTAGTAATTCGTAACCAATTCGTCCGACGGTCAATGCGTGGAGAACATACATGGACATAGGGCGTAGGGTATTGGATTTCTATAAAACTAGCTCTGAGATGCGATATATCTTGTGGTGCACCAGAACAACACATCTTTCAGCATCAACAACTACTTTCGCATCTTCTCATCTCTTCTCACTCATCTAAACCGCATCGAATACCTTCGCAAAAACACCTACACTATGAAGTTCACTAGCTTTACTCTTGCCGCCATTGCCTCACTTGGCGTGGTTGCTCACCCTGAGCGCCTCACTGCTGAGATCGCCAAGAGAGAGGCCAACTTGGTCGGTCGGACCAGCAACAAATGTGCCGCTGTCATTGAAAAGAGGCGGGAAGCAATGCTTGCCAAGAGAGCCAGCCGACTACATGCACGTCGCGCGGAGAGTGGGCACGTCTCAGCTCGGTCGGAGCACAAATACACCACAATCCAGAACGATACCTGCGTTTTGGCCCCTGATACTATTTTCGGCCCATACGGGTAAGTAAACAGAATAAATACGTATGGGAAGGAATCTAATTTTTATTAGTGTCGATGGTGAGATCGTCCGCACCGATCTGCGAGAGTCTCAGAAGGGTATCGATTTCTACTTCGATATTGGTGTTATTGATGTCGAAACCTGCGATCCTCTTGAAGGCACTGCTCTGACTATCTGGAACTGCAACGCAACTGGATCGTATTCCTCCTTCACCGGTATCGACCCGGATACCTCGGAACTCTTGGATGGATGGAGCAAGAGGACCGACGGAACGACTGACGACGAGACTTTCCTTCGAGGAATTCAGATCACCGATTCTGAAGGCATGATTGAATTCATTACCAAGTTCCCAGGCTACTACGTCACTCGTACGACTCATATTCACGTTACGGCCCAGACGAACATCACCAATGGAACGTCCTATTCGGCCAGCAAGGTTCAGCACGTCGGTCAACTTTTCTTCGACGAGGATTTGCTCAACAGTGTCTATGCTCTTAGTCCCTATGTCGAGCACCTCGCCACCTTGAACCGCACCACCAACGCCGAGGATAAGTTGTATTCGTCCGCAAGTTCGGATGGCTACAGTGCTGTTATCAGCGTCAGCCAACTGGGAGATAGCCTCGAGGATGGTCTCGTCGGTTATGTAAGTACCATATTTTCTCCATCTGAAGCGAAGGAATGCTAACAAAATTAAGATCACCATTGGTGTCAACACTACTGCGGATGCTATTGCGGTTACTGGAGATTCTGTGAACCCTCAGGGATGGCTGCCCACTGTCAGCGTTGATTCTACCAAGTTCGCCGAGGCAACCAGCAACAGCAAGAAGATTCGGGCCAACCGCAACTAGTTTCCATTGACAAGGACATCTGGTCATGTCCGAAGTGAGATCGAGCAAAATTAGATTGGGGATTGAAGGAGATGCGCGCGGGTATAGACACAACTACAGGCAGAAATAGAAGCAGGTCCGAATGTTAGAGTAGATAGATTATAGAAGAAACTGCCACTTTTGGCAAAGCATTACACCTTCATGAAAGTATGCCTGTCAATAATATATTGTAGGTTTGTTATAACTACTTAGATTCAAGTACAAATCGGCGCTGCTACTAGTGGTTCCGACCCACCTGTGCCAGTCAACACTATCACATCACAATATTACTTACTCGTTGATGTATGATCCGTTGAATCCCGAGCAATGTCACACACTGCTTAAAACACTAAGCAGTTATCTGGGACTTTACTATCCTCTTTATCCCACAATAGTTAAACCTTCTTGGTTGAGTACTCGCCATCCACGAAATATTCGTACAACCAGTATCGATATACAAGACTCCACTGACTTTGTCATCACCTAGCCACTCATACTCACTGAAATATATACTAATTCTAGAAGGAAGCGGTAGACCCTTCGGATTAGTACTTCTAGAAATGTCTTGATGGCAAACTTAACCCCGCCGCCCTTCAAGCTGACTCGGGGAAAGACCAGGCCAATATAGCAAGCGCTCAATGCCCCGTGCCGTCGCATTAATACTAGCTTATAACCTGGACTGGATGCTCCCTCGAAGTTCTAACGTGCCTAGAATGATACTCGGCCAGACAAGTAGATGGGTTTTGCTATCATTTGGGATGCTTAGGTTTTACCACGAGCATCATCACTCTCTTTGAACTGTACAATTTAGAAGAGGTCTCTATCAAGTCTGTTGGAAAGTCAATTTCAGCGCTATACCCGGCTTCAAACGGTCACAGGTTTACAATTAGTTGAGCCAGTAAACAACACGGAATGCACTTATACGGACCCGTCACATGAAGGCTACCGCGATGGAACCATCCTCATCGCCGCCTGGCTCGGTTTACGATTCCAAACCAACTGGGGCCCCTCAAATAGTTTCTTTGTCATGGTGCCGATCTTTTGATATCCTGGCCGTGCAGAATAGTTGGGGGGATCTCTGTTGCTGGCATACCAAGACTGTTCCGCCCAGGCTCACGTGGAGACTTGAGCCTCTAGCTGAAACCACCTGGGGTAGAATGGTCGGATATTCTAATTCTTCAATCCGTGGGTTAAACCCGCATAATTTACTGCTCTTTAACTCTAAGGGCCTATGTTAAGTAATTTCGGATGATAAGAAGCAAGGGTCCTCGAGCATTGTGGGATGCAAGACGCTTCGTACGCCAGAAATCATCGAAAGACTCGCCATTTATGGCCCAGACGCAATGCTATTTGTCTTAGGTGCGAAGAGCAGCATCCACCAAATGAAGTTGGAGCCCACCCTCGAACTGGTAGGTACTAATCGGGCACATAGAGGGCCAATCCGACATTTAAAAGGAGTTTGGTGCTTTTGGAGGTTCCATGATGCAACTAGGAGAAGGCGGCGGGCCAGGCGCGAATTTCTCCAGTGATAACAACTCCAAAGCGTGCTGGTCAGAGGACGCCCCATTGAGGCAACATCGGCATCTTTTGTGATCGATGCAGAGGCTAGTCTTTCATATCAAGGAGATATCGTGTGTTCGATATCGCTCAAGAGTGATGTGTACTTGGACACCCACCAAGCTCTCCAGCAACCACACGAGCGCGACACTGATGAGTCGGATCCGTCTGTCGCCGATAGCATCCGGAGTCGAGGCAAAGAAGGCCTGGAGAGCCTGTTGCCGATTTTTCGGCACAAGAGTTTCTCAAGGACGAGTAATTGGTCAAGTTTTATTACGATGCTGTCCGGCATATGGACAAAGGGCGTTTTGTGTGTAGCCATACGCTTATATATTCATACAGGTTTTAACTTTTTCAAGTTGAAAAGCTTGATATTTGGTCATTGTGGGAGGTAGCATTGGGTAAGAAATACTTGAATTCTAGATAAAACGGTGTTTTTCTTTTACCTTGTGTCAGCAACTTGCTCACCTTGAGGGAGCAGACAGAAGTTAAGCCATACGCGATTGATGAAGAGCTACTTCCTGAGGGTAAAGGGCTCAAAAAATTACAAGGTGATGGGCGGGCAGGGAAAGGACAGCAGGCTCCTACTTTACCATGCCCTAGACGAACACGATACCGACGTGGGAGACACCATCGACGATGCCAATGTAGAAGCATCACGCTTTGCCGAGGAGGATGACCTTTCCAGGCAACCGAGCCGTGGGACGTTTTCGAAGCTAGAACCTGTTGCTGAGCTTTTGACAGCCGGCCTACCGTTCGAGTCCTACAAACGAAAGCTTCGTAACTTTCTTCACTCGCCGCCATCAATAGCCATCAATTGAAGACTAGGAAAGCCGGCACCAGGCAAACACTCTCATTTACCTGCTGGCACATTTGAGCCAGTAAATTACTCGGCCGAGGAGTCGCAGACGTTTGAGGCTACAGAAATGTTGCCCTCTTGGAACACTTGAAGCTTTGGCCAGAGATTTATCGACTTGACGAAAAGAATGTTTTCAAGGCTTTCATTGTTGGGGATAGGACGAGGCCAAGACTGAGAGATGGATACCGCCTTGTTTAGCAGATATGCGTAAGTGTAATTCCCGTCTCTATGCGTGGACGCGCGGCATCACCCTCAAGTTTCCTAGGCCTCGGAATAACTTCGGTCTCGTTAACTAAGAATTGTAAGACTAACGCTTATTATCAGAACTATGGCGTTACGTTGTACGCTGGTGTCCGCGTTCAAGATACGGGGTAATTCGAGAGCCTCGTCCGCTCCCTGAAGAATCCAATCCAATTGGGTACTGGCAAGAGCGAATTGAATAGCCACAAGTCCTAAAACGTTCATACGCCTGGAGAAGGCAGGAACATGATGCCGCTTAGCGGTGGCCAGCATGACATGTCGAGCTACAGCAAGGGCAGCGAAAGCGACACCAGTTCTCGCACATTGGGTCCAATCATTTCAGGGTACCCCAGTCTCAAGTCCTACCACAGTCTTCTTCGGGGGCTGCTAGCGTGGATATGCAGTCTCCAGGAACTAAGTCGAAGTTTCTTATGACGCCGGCCGACTTAGAGTTCGTTCAACTCAGTCATCTCTAGTACAAAGAACAACTAGTGTACCAAATCAAGCAAAATGCTAACACTCTGACACCCCTGTTAGTTCACGCTATGGAATCGAAAAAGGCAGTGTGTCAATCTGCAACAGGCCCGAGAGCATCTCGGCACAAACGACGAGCGCCTACGACAACGTCCCCAACCCCGCTTCAACCACTTCCACCTGTGCCGCTAGAGATCTCTATTCACTAGTTAGAATATGGCTGGGGGAGGGGAAGGGGGTGCTACACGTCACGAACGGCTTCCTCGCCTCCACTTGCGGCTGGACAATCGAGTCATTGACAGCGACAAGGCTTGTTACAAATACGGCGTTCATATCATCTGGATCGATAGCTATTTTCTGGAAATTTATGACCACCATGTCGGCGAGAATCTCGGCATGTGTGTGTGAGAAGCCTTGTTATTCTTCCTGTCTAGATGTGGATGACCTCGGATGTCCTCGGACGTCCGAGACGCTCGGGGATACTGTGGGGTCTTTGACTCCAGCTAGCTATTCACCTGATCAAATGAAAAGCCACGCCTGGGACTAAGCAGCTGACGTGGAAGGGGGCTATGAATGAGGGAAGAGAAGCTTCACCGCTATCACAACCGTAGAAATCCGATATCCCGATACCTGCGACATCATTGCAATGTAGGATGTCATCCACAGCTTGCATAACCGAGGTGATCCGCTAACAGGGCGCCGACAAGCGAGGAAAGAAAGTTGGTCATGGTCAGGCCATCAATAATTCTGGTCCCCCTGAATAGAAGTTGAAATGGGTAATGTTCTTGAAATCTGATTGGAAATCCACCAAATGGCCTTCGTTGTAGTATAGTAGACTTTGTTGGGTCTATGTTTTTATTATTCCGACGTGTTAAGAATGCTGCTGAATTGGTACATGATGATATTTTGCCCACCGTACCTAGTGTCACGAAGATGGCAGAAATGACTATGAACAGCCAGTGTAAGTTGATCTGGGTAAAGAAAAGAACCCTCCAAATGATTCCCTTTCGGGCTTTCTCAACTGCAGTCTCGATCTCGTCAACCTGCACCCTGACTCAGTACTGAGTGGAATTTCTTTCACAATATTTGATGAGGTTTAATATAATATTAAAACGAACAACGAGAAATATTCAAGGAGTAAAGTAGAAGCCCACGTAGAAATTAGCTAGAGATGGCCGGTTTAAGGCTGAATAATAATGGCAGTAGTTTACCACCAATCTGAATATACAACATATCGGGCTGCGCGCGCGCAGCTCCATGCCATTAACAAAGCCGAAACAGACGAATGCCAACGCGGCCAAGAGATCCAGATAACGCGGCAAGTGCTGCTCGAATCAGGAGCCGGACTGATTCACGAGAGTGGCAGCAGATAGATCGAGAGAAACAACGCTTTTTCATTACACATATTTGAAGCAAATTAAAACAATAGCCCCTTCTTCCTTCTCCAGTCCCAAGTAGTTGCCTGCCGCAGGTCGTCCACGCTGAGCACATCTACACCCTCTCTAATCAAAATATGCCAAATGTGATTTCGCAACCCAATAGGCCACGCAGGCACGCCCCAATACCTGGCCTTCAGACCCAGGCGATGGGCGCCTCGGACCTGAGCCCGAATGAGCTGAAGCTGCTCCTGCGACAGCCGTGATCCAAATACGTGTCCAACCGCATGTTTGAAGCTGGCTGAGGCGTAGTAGCTATTTGAGGAGTTATAGATGTGCGATGTCTCCGTGTTAAAGGCATGTGCCTCCTGGATTTCCGAATCGCTACTCTGTGACGCTCCATCGATGACTTCAATATCCGTCGCACGAGCTCCATCCTCGGCTCGATTCGGATTTGGCCATCTGGCGGACATGTCGGCCAGCAGCTCCAACGGCGCGTCAAAAAAGACGTCACGGTAGGTGCTGCTCGCAGTGAGGTTTTCGAAAGGCGCGTTGCCTGTGCCGATAATAACAACGGGACCAGGAATGATGGCAGTGCCATTGAAGTAGGTGAGCATATTCCGGTCCCGCAGCGGCTTGAGTTGCGCTTGAAGCCCTTGCCACAGCGGCTCACCTGGAGTTTTGAAGTCGATGGCCAGGACCAGCGGGTGGTCCGGTTCGGCACTGAAGACTCCAGCGAGGTGCTCATCAGTCAACCAACGAGAGTCGCAAGGCTTTCCGGTATCGCATGGGGGCAAGTTATTTTGGCGCTCGATGATATCGATGAGCGGATCGATGTACAAGCTCCGAAGCGTACGGTTTGCGCGTAGCTCAAACTCACGATGTCCCACGTACAGGTCATCATCTTGGTACCACACATCGGCCTCCACGCTCGGACAGCCGGCAGAAATGGCGTCCATCAGTGGCACGGTTCTCCAGTAATCGTTGTGGGAATGGCAGCGCACAGGATACACATGCTGTGTTGCGTCGAAGATCCAGTGCCCGACGCCTATTGTCGCAGCGGGTGCGGAAAGCCACTGATGAAGGATCTTGTCCATATCATCTGGAAAGTAATTTTGCGAAATGCTGGCAAGAACGTCGACCAGGCCACTATATTTCGGAGCCACTGTCAAAATGCGCAGGGACAGCCAATTAATCCCAGAAGCACTTACACGAGGCAGAGATAGAATACGATCAGGAAACAAATACGATTCCGTAGCTTGGTTCGAAATTGCGACTTCTTGGCACGACATAATACCCATGAAACTAGATGGCCGGGTCCAGATCGGCGACGCCAAGGCAATGGCTCTTGGAACTCTTCATACTCGTCGATCTCGAACGGTTCTGCCCCGTCCATTTGCTTTCTCCGGGAGCTGTGGAGGAGATGATGGCCGTCGCCGAATGCTGCCTCGGACTCGAGGTCGCCCAAGTAGTACGTACGATCGGCCATCTCTCGCAAATATTCGGGGGTTGCGGTGTTGCAGGCGTTGTTGGTTGTGTCAATGTTTAAAGGTGGTAATTTCGAAAACAACGTGATACATGGTTTAGGGGGGAAATTGACGGGAAACGTGAAACAGGGAGCACGGGAATAAAGAGACGACAAGTCGACAGAACAGAAGTTAGCGAATAATCAGCCGCAATCATGAAGCCACCAATAAGAGCCATGGCGTGACAGGAACATGGATGGACGGAAACGAGGCGCAGCAGCCGCGTCAGCACTCTCTTCTGGAACGATGGTCCAGACCTGATGGATCTTAGTGACAGCATAGCCACCAGCGTCTCAGGGCCTTTAAACCCAATGAAGAGAGCCACGGAGCGTCGCAAAGCATGTTCTATTGCCAATGCGGAAACTCGACGCGCGTCTGCCATAGCCTTTGCAGCGTCGTACTGTCAAACGGCACGATGTGGGGGTCATGCTAGCCGAAATTCCGAGATGAATACGAAGGACGTAGGGATCTGAATTAGAGTATCGTACTTCGTACTTCGTACTTCAGAATGTGGCTGCCTTGGCTGGGCGAGTGCGCAGTAAAATCGCATCTCAACGGCGCATAAAACCAGCTCGCAGCGGCGTATGCACCCGTCACGATTTCCCCTAGCTCTCTTCTATAAGCCGTCATGTCGACAATTTGGAAATCCATCGGCCGGCTGGTCACAAGAACAACAAAGACGACCTACACAAAGGTTCCCTACGATGAAGAACGCCTAGAACGAGACATGGCGTCCCCGTGGCGCCTGCGCTTCCCCAGACTCAGGAGAGCCTTTCTCATCCTCCTGGTCATCGACTTGACCGTGTTTGGCCTGCTCCTACACATGCTACAACCGCTCTTCCTCCTCCTTCGCAAAAACCAGGAAATGTTTGGACCCACAGTCCATCTCTTGGAGCACGACGATAATACCCCGGAGTCTTGGCAGCCTAAGATCCCGCGCATCTTGCATCAGACGACAGCCACCAACGAAATCCCCGACATGTGGGTCGAGTCGCAAAAGAGCTGCAAGGATGCATACTCGGATTTCGAGTACAAGGTTAGTTAGATCATTGACGGTGCAATTGTTCAATCCCAGCTGACTTCTTCTCCAGCTCTGGACCGACAAGCTGGCTCGCGACTTCATCTCTGTCGAGTATCCCTGGTTCCTCGAGACCTGGGACGCCTACCCCATGCCCATCCAGCGGGCAGACTCGATCCGCTACTTCGTCCTCTACCACTACGGCGGCATTTACCTCGACATGGATACATTGTGTAATAAAACATTCCCTCTGCACCAGGTCGAATCCCACTCTGTCAAGCACCACGCCATCTTCAAAGACACCCGCCCCACTGGCGTCACCAACGACTTCATGATCTCTTCCGCACGACACCCCGTCTTCGCAGCTGCCATCGCTAGACTCCCTTTCTTCTATTCCATCAGCCGAGTATGGGGCAAGTTCCTCCCCTACGTCGCTATTATGATCACCACTGGCCCATTCTTCCTCACACTGGCGGCCGAGGGCTACCTTCTCGAGCAACCCTCCCTCCGCTCGCCGACAGTCGCAATCATCAACCAAACCGAATTAGATCCCTACATAACCGACCTCCAGAGTTGCACCTGGCACCAGGGCGACGCCCAGACCATCATGTGGATCGGACGTCACCCGTGGGTCTGGTTCGCCATGGGAGGCGTAGGAGTGGCTGTCGCATTATACGTCCTGAACTTTCTCCTCGTGATTTGGCGCAGGGTTGTCTTCCGCAACAAGTCAACATCTTCACAGAAGGTAGCATAAAAAGGAGCGGGAAGCGGCGATGCAGTGCAAATTTATACGTTTATAGAATGGAGTGATCACGGCCCAGTAACACTAGACTTCCTAGCTTCTTAGATAGAAATAATACTTCGATATTTGAGAATATCTTCTCACGATTAGTAAATGGGTAGTGTAGATTTCGTGATACTTTAACGGTTTAATTTACTGATATTAAACAGCAAATGTCTTCCTTTCCATTTAAACTTTGGAACTGATTATGGTTATTAATAAATATTGTCACTAAAATATACTTATTACCAAGTCTAATTCCTGTATGCAGGCTATGTCTAAGCGGCTTGATAGCTTGACTCACTTTTTGTGAAGATAGATTTACTCACTATCCGATTAATGAAGGAGCTGATATTTCCAGAGAGTTGGGTAAAATCCAGCCTAGGATAAAAGTTGAGATAACTCGAGCGATGCGTTACATGCTGAGCTACAGGGTATTTTAAGAATGTAGATTCATTTAGACATAATTTAAGAGTTAGGTAGAATGATCCTCTTAGCTGGAGTAATTCATGGTCAAGAGACCTCCTATATTCAATTATCGTATCGCGACTAGTGTGGTAGCGTCATCCCTCAGCAATTGCCGTCCTTCGGAGAAATGCATAACTACTGCACCAATAACAGCAGGATTGTGCACAGCAACAGTTTAAGAAGGATGATCGCCTGAAAAAATAAAACTCCAATCTAGTGGAAGCATCTGAACTAATCTGCCGTTGCGACCGCAAATCGAAGTGATCATACCAATAAATAACAGCAACCTACAACGTGATGATATCGGATCAAGCGTTTACCCTGCCTTCCAAGAGTCAAGTCTGCACATGAACTTGAAGGTCATCTAGGCCACGATTGGGTGTTGTAGACTGGATTTTAATTGGCACTCTTCGATGACATTCCATAGTGTGCTGTTGATGGTCGGCCTCCCGCATCAACAATGCCACTCAGACTGATGAGGCTTAGAATTATATCCAATAACCCTCAGTCACGTTGCGTGGCGTGTCAGTTAGGAACCAAAGTACAGGTTTCATTGGATGCCCTACGAAACACAGAAATTGGCTGAGCTTCTCTTATTTAATGCCTCGCTCGTCGTAGGCATGTTCATTCTTACCTGTGCACCTTTTATCCAACCTACTTCATCGTTTACCTCTCACCTCCACTTTCGAACCCATCACGCTTTTTATTTCGAGAGAGAATAGCCAGACACAATAGGCTCTAACCAGACCGAACAAGTTGCCCCTGCTGGGTCTCCAAACAAATCGGTCTCGGCGTACCTAGCCGATCATATTGAGGAGTACCGAAGGCTTCTCGTATTACAAAGAGAGATACCCGTAGTCCTATCCTTTCTAGAGAAATTATATAAGATTCAGGCATTTAATTATATTATTAAATAGCTGAGCTTATATAGAGCCAGTAGAATAAAAATACTATTGAATCTTGTAAGAATACGTATCAATAAGTAGATTATGCCGATAAAATTAGAAAGATCTAATTCCATAATATAAGCTGCAAAATTGGGCAAGATTTTAACACCGTTAGTTTAGCCAGCATCTCTATATAGCCCTCGTATCCGTTTTCCATGGCCAACCGCATAGCTTGTGCAACGCGCCATATGCCCCCTCATCCAGGATTCCTCCAGATCATCCAGATTGAAGGGAGCAACCAGCGTCCAAGGACTGCTGACGATGCCGGCACGTTCGACTGCTGCAGCGAGGCTTTCATTATCCCGAGGCTGCCTGGTGGATGATTAGGACTAGTGGGACAAGCCCGGCAGCGTGTAATCGCCAACTTTGAAACCTGCGTTTGCTCGCCTCCACACAAGTGTCGCCAGTACTCCACGGTATAAGCCAACCACTCTTGTGGTGCTTCTTCAGACGTAATGTTATGTTTCTTAAACCCGTGAGGGTGGTCTTTATCAAGCCCTTTAGCAGGATGAGTCGGGTATTGTTATCGATGTTAACAGGCACACGCAACCTCCTTACCGTGTAGTAAGTTAAATTACTGCGCCTGTTATAGGGACATAGGTCGTGCGCCACCTGCCACTATCCAATCTCACTTAATCTCACTCCGTAAGTATGTACTTAGGCACCATATCCAACCTGTTGTTCTGTCGGAACATTTGCTCCAGCTAGGGACTAAAATACCCGTGGGTACCCACATATGGATAGGCCTATAGGTACCTAAAAATTTTTTGGTATATTCTTAAATACCTATAGATACCTATAAACTAGAGGTCTTAGCTTAAAACAGAAATATATAAGAATAGGTAGTAAGAATTTACTTAAAAAAATAAATAAAAAATAAATAAATAATAATTTTAATTTTTTAAAAAATAATATCTTTTTTATTATATAATATATATATATATATATATATATTAAATATTATATTTTTTAAAATTTTATAAATTTTAAGTACTTTTAGGTGATCTAATTATAGCTATAGGGTAATTTCTTATCTTTGAGTATAGAGCTTATCTTTATGGATACCCATGGGTACCCAATTCCAGACCCTAGCTCCAGCGGTCCAACTTACGCAGGGGACCCGAGACTATCGATGATGTGGCACACAAGATCACTCCACTAAACAAGGATCTGCAAATAGCTTTACTATATACAGCTAGGCATATACCCTGCAGGGGTGAAATGGAGGATGCAGCAAAGAGAGTGCCCATTTGTCGGTTCCAGTAGATCAATACTTCACAATTTGCCACAATTGATGGTACAAGGTACCGCACTATCAGGCATACCACTGCCGACGACAAGGTATCTCTACAAAACAAAATCGGGGCCCGTACTCCGTATCGAACTAATATTCAAAATCCCTATGGGCTGTAGGAATGCGTGTTAGAATGCGTCTGGGGTGACCGAGGCCTCGACCTCCGAGGCGCCGTACCCATATTTCTGTTGCAGCCGCTCGCTTGCTATGCATTAGTCTCTTGAGCTAACATCACTCGTTCAGCTGCTAACTGAAGACTATCGAATTATCGTAAAATTTGGTTGGATTGGAAGTCGACGGCGCGAAGGGAAACCCACTATTTTATCAACTTTATTGGCCTTGGATGAAAGTTGACACGAGGCCAACCGATCGTAGGGTTTAGCAGGAGGCGCCGGTTCAGCCTTCTTGCATCTTTTGCCTCGTTCAAATAAGATTGGGTTGATTGCCCCTTTTGTTGATCTGCCACGAGCCTGGAAGGCTCTAAAGGGTAGGATTTCTGTCATCTGCCTTTTCTCTCTCTCCGTATTTCCTCAGTCACTCTTTTGCATCATCGCCATGCGGTTCACATCCTCCCACTTCCTGGTAGCTTTTGCTATCTCGCTGCGTCCTTGCACCTGCTTTTCTGTTTCCACATCTAGCGATGCGAATACACTGGCTAACGCAATATTTGGGAACGGACTCACAATCCTTTCATCATCATTCTCGGGAGCCTCCGTAAGCTCAGGGACGTTTGCCGATGGACCTTTCGGTATTGGCAGTGGTGGCATATTAACTTCTGGAACCGCAGTTGGCGCCCTCCCCGGCGGTGACCATTATGTTAACAATGGCGCCGCTGGATCGGATACGTATTGCGGTGCCGCCACTTATAACGCGGCAATTTTGACTGTCGACTTGTTTTTGAACCCCACCTTTAATGGCATCAATTTCGAGTACATCATGGCCTCAGAAGAGGAAGGGTATGTAATCTACATCTTCCGCACGTTTTGCAGCTAACAGATCTCAGTGGCTCGGCCGATCCCGTAGGCATCTTCCTCAATGGCGGCCAGTTTGCCCAAGACCCAGACGGAAACAGGTTGAAGGCGACGTCGCGTTATCTGGCTTATCCCTTGGTCATCACACCTCCAAACAGTGTCACTTCGTACCCTGGTTCGTCGCCACCTTTCCTGGTAGGAGTTCCAGTCAGCGGAGCCTTCACGGTGGTTTTGGCCATTTGTGACCAGGGAGACGCAGAGTGGGATAGTGCCGTCTTGTTCAAGGCCGAGGGTTGTGTGGATTGCAACACTGAAGTTAGATTGGCATACGTGACGTCGACGACGACAGTTCCCGCTGGATCAACAACCTTTACATCGACGACACCGGCTAGTGGAACCGCTTCCGGAACCGTTGTCATTGGTGTAGAAGCTGCTGAGACAACCACTTCGACAACTACATCGGAATCTACCACAGCTACATCAACCATGTCGACAACCACATCCGAAGAATCTACCACAGCTACACCATCAACCACCCCGGAATCAACCCCGACAATAACCCCGACACTCACAAGCACGACTTCGACTACGACGACCGCAACTCCAACAACAACGGAGTCAACAACTGTTGGGAGATGTGGTAGAAGACTTAATTAGTCTGATTCATTGTAGCTATGTATATTAGTTTTGTTCTTTTCGAGTTGACAAGAAACAATTATTTACTTAATTGCGCATTTTAATAGACTTTTACTGGGAGCACCTCCTCTATACCTTCTTAATCTGTCACTATATGAGAATTGAGCTTTCTGGAACGGACGAATGATTCAATAGCTTTCAAACACTTTGAAGGTACGTCACTTGCCCATTGAATGACCCACCATTCTCAAGTCCAGGAGATTTGGCGTTCCATCAATGCCCACCTTTCCCATTAACGTCAGAAGACTAGTTAGTCGACGTTGGCAAATAGCCCCAGGTATACCTTAGCTGTAACGGGGTGAAGCAGTCCGTAAACTTGGATTCGTGCCCAAAGGAGCCTCTGGTACAATGACCTGGCCTCTGTTCTTTTGCTGGGACAGTAATGGTCGAGAAAATCGGCGTATGTTTCAAGTATGTCCAGTATGCGTGGATGTTTTGGCGGAAGCCTCTTTAAAGCATGGCATAGTGCCCAGCTCACAAGATCTGACCCCATTGGGCCCAACCTGTAAGACATTGAGTAGAGAAGTTCCCACTCTCCCAGTTCTGCGGGCTAATAACCCAGATACTTTGGGATCGTGAAAAACCAAAAATCGTGGATCCAGCTCCAAAACCTCAAGATCCAACCTTCAACCGTGTAAGTAACGAGGTCGAGTCGCGTCCTGTGCAACCACTATTGGTGGATATTCGCGACGATGATGTGTACCATGAGGGATGGGTTGGTCCCAGACGCACTATCCTAATACGGACAAAGTTAGATGATCCAAAGGATTTCCTAGCTAACTTGACGTAGTGTTCAGTTGTTTAATAATCCATCGAGGCTGTCGGGTTGTAGAAAAGGACTTAGACTCCAATTTAAGAATAGTTATGATTGATGATTTCAGAGAGAAAACTCATTTTCCGGGTTTGAATCATAAATATATTATAGATATTCCGTTACATCTAGTGGGTGGAAATAATGATGCGAGAAAAGCTCTTGTTATTCTTCTACCTAAGAAGTCCTATTTATAGATGAAGAAAAAGCTTAACTGCCGCAATAGCCGTTGAAATTTGATGTTCCTATATGTGACATATTCTAATTGACAATTGACTTCAACATCCTTAAAATAACCTCACTCACGCTTGCAGAAACAAGAAGTCGCCGCAAACTTTGTGAAATGGCCCACCAGACGGGGCCTCTCTCAGATTCAATCGAACCAATTATGGCCTCCACCGGAAAGCAGGATGCTGCCAATCAAGGTCCTGGATGGCACCCTGAGTGAACCCACCTAATTCTTCCTCAATATTCTTATTCTCACGTCGCTTGTTGTCAAATTTCATCCAGGCTAGGAGGCAAATAGAGCTAATGAAGATAACAGACGATGTGGCAAGGTTGAGGCCGTTGCCAATATGGTAGTTTGGTCCATCTGTTGGCAGAAAAGACCATGTGGCAATCAGGCCGCCAATATTGCCAAACATGACGTTTGTGCCAATGGCGGCAGACCGCGCAGTATCTGAGACGACGTTGGCGGAAACCTGTGCATTGCAGAGGGCGCCGAAAGAGAATGCACCCATGGCAATAAGAAAAGTGGCGCCGTACCTGACGTGGCCGTCGGTGCTCGCTAGAAACATGATATATCCAACCATCATCAAGGGAGCCGAGGCGATGAAGTAGATGGTGCGACGATCCGTGATAGAACTGAGGTACGGTACTAGAAGGGTGATAAATGCTCCTACCACATATGGAGGTACAGTATGGAGCTGCTGAGACACGACCGAGTTGTTTGGGTATATCGTTCTGACAATGGTAGGGGCGAAGAAGGCAAGGCCTTGCACGGTAATATTGTCCAGGAGGAAAATGAATGACGTTCCAAGTGTTACCGGATTGAAGATGCCCTTGAGAAGTTTTGGCATATCGATCTTGTCCAGGACTTCAGTTGCGGCAATGCGCTCAGATTTGACGCGGGCGATGGCGAGATCCTTCTCTTCTTGAGATAGCCATCGTGCGGTTCCCGGGTTGTCGGTCAGGGTGAAGAAGGAAATGAGCGATAGGCCAATCGTGATGACGCCCTCGATGCCGAAGATCATACGCCAAGTATGAAGACTGCCGAAGTGGGAAAGCTTCAGGATGCCGGACGCCAGAAGCCCTCCAAAAGCACCGGCAAGCGGAGCCATGACGATATATAGGGAGAGGCGGAATGCCAATTCGCTTCGACGGTACCATCTGGAGAGGTAGTATGCGATGCCGGGCAACATGCCAGCCTCGAAAACGCCGAGTAAAAATCGCACACCACAAGCAGCGGCCGTACTTTTCACAAAAGCCGTGCCGACGGAGCAGATGCCGAAGAGGAGGGAAGTGGCGGGAATGAACCATCCCGGACCTATGTACTTGCAGAGCACGGTGCAAGGGATTTCAAACACAATGTATGAAACATAGAAGACGGAGAGGATCTGGTTGTAGTCGTATCCGACGAGTTCGAGGTCTTTCTCCATTCCTGCGATTCGCGCATTGCCTATTTGGAGTAAGTCGCTGGCCAGTAAATCGTGTCAAGCGGTGTCCATACCGATATTTGCTCGGTCAATAAAACAGAAAAGGTAGAGGAGCGACACGGTCGGAATGATGTAAAAATCGATCTTTCGTCGGAGCTTCGCTTCGGCCGCCTTGTCAAAAACGATGAGTGACTCGCCATACCTGTGCCAATGTGTAAGTCTGGAGTCGTCAGAATAATTGCATCATGACAAACTGATTGGTCGCGAGCGTGCCCCTTTCTGCGACTTGGTGTGTGCCTCCAACCACTTTGTTCTCGTCGTGCATCACACTGATGTCATTCTGGTTGGATTCATCGGCCGAGGCCTTGGAATCTGAAGCCATGGCCAAGGAGGTAGTATTAAAGGTGTGCGAACTTCAATTGAGTGACGACGGACGATGTGATGGGATGAGGGCCGGATGTGACAAGGAAATGCATGGGCGGCGCCGGCGAATATAAATAAATAGTTGAACAACAATGTAACGGCTTGGCAAAGGGGATCATGGGACCGAGTCCCGTCACCCAACACTCTGTAGGGCACCAAAAGAGGCTCCTGGCCCGCAAACTTACACTGATAAGACTCAGTCAGACGCGTCTAATCTACAGTGAAACAACATTCGGCAGATGCCGCCTCGGACCTGGGATACCCCGTGGGGTTTGCGGGGTATGCCAAGAGGATAAGGATGACTGGATTCAGTTGCTATTGGTTGAAGAACAAGGCCATTCTATCGAGCTCGGCCGGCAACGCAACTCGGCAGTTAGCCTCTCAGTCTCGCAGGACGCCCACCAACCAGCACCGGTAGCAACGCCGAGGAGACACCCATGACATCCGGGGTATCAAGGTGGGGTATTAAGGTTAATGCAAAGTTGGGTTAGATTGGCGCTGTTAGCTTGGGCCGGCGTGTCCGAATCCGATGGGCCTGGTTGATGAGATCTCCGCCAAGTACAAGGATGGGGCGGTTAAAGGCTTGGGAAGTTTACCCATGACCCCTTCTACCCTGTACGGACTGCGACCGGGCCCGTCAGTATCTGCAAGGCCGCTTACTATGCTGACAATCTCTGTAATCTGTGTGGACAATGTTTGCGCTAGTACTAGAGTGTAACCCCGGAATTCTTTGACATGAGTGGTGTTGAGGGCGGCAATACGATTACCCGCCGCGTAAACCTGCCCAATTTTAAATGCAATGACGCTCCTTGGACAATCTTGGCATGATTACCCTATATATTTGCCTTTGTTTTATCCTTCCAATTGTGATTTCCTGACACCCTGATGTGCTTCTCCTAATCGCTTGAAAGCGTCGTCTTCTCTTCCATTGACTTCCGCGTCCAACCCTCATAATTGCGCTTATCCACCCACCACTACCCAACCCGCCGCCGTACGAGCGCTAAAGACTTGATCCTCCATCGGAATCAAGTGGCCATTCTTCTTCTCGCCGATGACTTTTTTGTCGCGGGCCTTTGCCTAGCCGCCGTTTCCACCGACAACAGAGCCTGTGAGGGTCATCTTCTCGTCCTGGAGTTCTAACGTGGGGACACTGCTCTCGCCACCGAAGACGTAGAAGACTCTAGGTCAGAGGTTTTTCGGGGGTGGTGGGGGGCGTTTAACAGTGCTGGTACCTTCGGGACAGTAGGCAGGGTGCGTTGGCCAGCGGGTGTTGAGACTAGGATCTGGATTTGGCACGAGTTCTGGATGGGTGAGTTCTTTGTCATTTGGGTTGTAGGAATGTCAGCTTGCACGAACGAGGCTTGGTTGTAGTTGACGTTACTCCGTCCTTACCTAGAACATCCCTAATTCCATAATTTACTCAACACTCGAGCACACGAGGATCCCAAGTCTGATAGGAGGCACTACGGCTGAAGAATGCAGCGACCTCGGCACGTGATGGCCAGACTTCGCGTCGAGATATGCCAAACCCAGATAGTCCGCGTGCTTTTGTTGCCGATTTGGAGGCGAGGTGAGAAATGAAGGGTTTAAGAAGGACTAGAGAGGTGAGGATACGAGGATGGAGGAATGTCGAATACCAAGGACATGATGATGAAATGGTAGGTCTGGTAGAGTTTTGAGAGATGATGGTTTGTAACGGTTTCACAGGGGAGGATTCAAAGTTGGGCTTATGACTGTAGAATAATGTGCCGGCGATAGTTTTTGAGAAAATGAATTGACGGCGTAGAGTTAATATTTATACAGTAGATACCGAAGGGATAATAAGGCTAAAACCTGTCCTCGGAAATACAATAGAGTGCGGAGGTGTAATTATCGTCGTTTAATAATTATTTCTACGTATTGCCAGAGACACATAATTCTATATAGTCCCCTATAAACATGAAATACCGTCCAACTACCACTTCCAAGTGGTCCCACGCTGAGCTTTAGAGCATCGGAAATTTAAATGTGAATTGAATCCCATGGCCCAACAATTTTTTGCCTATCCATCACACGTATTAGGCGAGGCTTTGAGGTACTAGCTAGTTTAGTGTATGACGCGCGGTTCTTCCATAACGTCCGCACTCTACGGTACCATTCCATCACCAACACTCTTCCAGGTAGCAAGGTAAAGCACCAGATTACGTACAAGAAATGGATTGGAGATTGCGCCTAGCCGTTATAACTTTGACGATTTGATCCTAAAGGGCCAAGGGCAGTAAGATGTAGGCATCTACTCGTCGATTTAGAGGCGTCATTTGTTTAATGTACTACCGCTCAAATGCTTTGGCGAAAAGGCCTCCCGGAAAGGCGAAACATGACGTGACTCATTGCATCGTCTTATACGTTGACTGTCACTTAGAAGTTAGGTCTTTCAGAAATTTAACCGGGATTGTCAGTAGCTCTAAAAAGATAATATCAGCAATCCCTCCCCAATAGCACTTGACAAATGAAGCTCGGAACACTAGTTAATACGCTATAAAAATAAGTGGAAGACAAGACACTTGGAATATCAGCGATTGTTGTCTCCATTTTCACTCCATTTTGTAGAGAAATTATGCAGGGAGGGAATCCGCTAGGAACCCCCGAACGAAATGCCTTAGCAAAGGCATTCGATATTGTGACTTGTATAAAACGACACGCGAGAAAAAGGCAGTAGAGGGAAAGTGTTACTACATGCTCCTAACGTAATATCCTAGCCTCTTGTCTTTTAAACCCCACGACTGTAAGTCATATCTTCAGCCATTCTACCCTGCTCCGCCTCGCCTACCACTACAGCAGATTTGAGGTCAATCTCAACATGGTCACCGAATTTGGCGTTGATTTCCTCAAGGGGCAAACCTTGTGTCTGGGTCTCGGTTAATATGTGTTCTCTCATTTGTTTTAAGGCAAGACCGACCTCTGGAAAAGTCAACCAGATTGCGATGGTGCTGATCACAGTGACAGCAACGAAAATCATGTAGAATTTCCAGCCGATGCTGTTAAGGCCAACAGTGACAGGGGCACTGTAAGCTATAGCGTTGCCAAAGAAGGACGCAAAAACCAGGGTTGAGCCCTCGCTGCGCAGGTCTGTGAAGAAAGATGAGTAACGATATCTTGATGTAGTAAATTTGAAATGTCCGCCAACGTACGAGTAGGCCAGATCTCAGATCCGTAAACATATGCAGTGCACTCAATGGTTGTTGTGAAGAATACTCCGAAAATAAAGTAGATCGCAACAGCAGCATTTAGGCCAGCGGTATCGTCAGACCCGAGATAGAATTTCTGTAAGGCGGCCATTACACTCAGAATAGTAGCTGAGCCGAACCCGCCAATGACTTGACAAAGGGTTTATTTAGCGATTCGTTCAGGAATAACATGATGGGGTCTGACACCCTTACCTAAAAGCTGCACTCGCCCGACGCGGTCGAGCAGAAGGATATTGAAGCCGCATCCAATAACCAAGCATGTTGTCCAGGCGACTCCTAGAGCCATCTGCAATGTGACGCCAAAGCCTAAACTGCCCATAAGAACCGGAATGAGATTCGCAATGGCGGTAATGCCAGTGCCTTGAGCCATAACCCAGAGAAGTATAGAACAATAGGCCCGCTTTAAGAGATGCCTCGTTGTGAATATGTACCAGAAGCCACTGGGAAGCTGTTTCTCGGTTTCGACTTGAGCTTTGATCTGGATAGCTTCGGCATGAGCGAGGAGCCCATGAGGGTCGGACTTGGTCTTGTGGAGTCGAATCAAGATAGCTTTAGCCTCTTCATCCCGATCTTGCTCCATGAGCCAACGGGGAGACTCTGGTAGAAAGTATAGCGATCCGAGGTGAACAACACCCATACCTGTCAGTACAATGAAGATCAAGCGCCACTGGATGGCTGCGTCGACAAAGCTAAAGGCAAGGTTGAAGACAGCGCAGAGAATGTACGCAGTGACGACACCAACTCCTTGCATACCGACAAGGGCACCACGAGCATGAGGTGGTGCCACCTCAGACATGTATACGGGCGAGTTGGCGAAGACCATGCCGCCACCAATACCGCAAAGGACACGGAAGGTCAGCAACATGGCGATGTTGACGGAAGCAGCTTGAAGAGCGCCGGAAACGATAACAATGATGGCGGCTGTTGCATTGCAGACACGGCGACCGTAATGTTTTGCGATGGGGGCTTGGCCGATGGAACCGACCATGGCGCCGGCTAGAAAGCTGAAATAGTCGGGTTAGCATATTCAGATCACTCAAACAGGACTGGCATAGCAGGGCATACCCTCCAAGGAGTCCATCCGTGCGTTGAGCAGCATCGGAGACAGTTAAGAACTTGGCAATGAAAGATGGTTGAGCCAGGGTTCCTGCAATGGCATTGGCGCTGAAGCCATATAGAAAGCCACCCAGGGCAGCAGTGAAGATGACCTGGATATTTGTCAATGACTCCTCTGATACACCCCAGACCTTAGTATCTTACCTGATAGGTAATCCAGCTGACCGAGTAGTCGATGTCTTTGATGTCACCACTAATAGGGGAGTCGACAGAGGGCTTGCTCTCAGTCTCGTTACCTGAAATGTCCTGGCTGATCTCAGGCTGACCTTTCTCGGGCTCAAGAGACATGTTGAGGCTATTTCGGGAACAAGATTGATCGAGACTGGCCAGAGAAACGGTTGAAGTCAGAGTCCAGGCTCTTGTCACAACCTTTGGAGAGAAAGAAGAAATTTCTGTTGAAACAAAGACGGATATAATGAGGGGCTCGACGTGTCCCTTTTGGAGTCACTTCCACTACCACCTAAACCGGGATCATCTTCCCACCGCATTAGGGTGAGAACGGGTCTCCGTCAGCGTTGCTCCCATGATTGCTTCGACCAACAAGGCAACGAGACGAACGAAGGAGCTAGGGAATGCGCGACGCTGGCTAGTGGGAACTACCCTAGTCAGTTGTCGTATGCATTTGATAAGGGAACAGGCGAAGTCGGACCGGAGCGTCGCAAAGCACGCAGCATGTCGATCTTTCGGGTGTTGGGTTTTGTCACTTCTTAAGTGGAGCAACGAGTCCCCCATGAAAGGGATCTGCACGGATGAAGAAAGCCACTACAGACCACAAGGATTACGACCGTTGAATACAGTAGTTCTGCATTAGTACTCAGGATTGGTATCCATTCTTCCATAGAGAAGCAGGGGGGCTCTGTGTTAAGTGGTCAAGCTGTAAATGGGTGATTAGCACCCGCTGGGCTCCAGGTACCAGTACTCCAGCTGCATACTGATGGCTGCAGGAATTGTAGATACTAGACACCTAGCGATACAGCTAATGCGGTGACCGTTTTTGATACTTGTGGCTTCCACCGGCGTCGCTTTGCAACGATTCCGGCATCCCGGTCCCCGCTTGCCAAGATGCCGCTGTAGGAATCCGCGAAGACTCCCGTGGACGTGGGCCCAATCAAGCCACAGAGACTGAAACATGGCCAGAGTAGTATTTTCCATCGGTGACAAGACCTGCATCTTAGTGAGCTCAGGGGTGTCTCGTATGTAGAACTACTATTGACAGGGCTTGTTGGCACGGAAGCTCGAAAAATGACAGGTAACTACAACCACCTACAGAGGAAACTTTATTGCTATAAACCCCAGCTAGCCGCTGAAAGCGCCAATACTATCCATCCTAAAACGCTAACATTTGATCTCATTTGGCAAGAAAGCCGCCGTCGATCGGCAATGTGATACCCGTAATATACGACGCAGCCGGCGAACACAACCACAAAGAGCCCTGCGCCACCTCATGCGGCATGCCAAACCGGTTCAGATAGCTGACCGTTGGTGCAAATTCGTCATGAGTCGTCCCCATAATCTCCAACGCCTTCTCAGCCATGGCAGTCTGTACACACGAGTCAGTTACTTTCGAGTCAGTACGCCACCTGTCAGAAGCCACTTACCAGGATAGCACCGGGAGCTACGGCGTTTACGCGAATACCGTGAGGCCCGCCCTCCATGCTCGCGTGCTTGGTCAATCCAATCATGGCGTGCTTGGCAGCTGTATATGCCGGCATGTTTGGTTGAGGCTTAAAAGCATTGATACTGGCAATGTTGACAATAGCCCCGCCTCCGCCCTGCGCTAGGAATTGCTTCATCTGATGCTTAACGCAGAGCGCGGTACCTGTCAAGTTGATGCTGATGAGCTTGTCCCAGTATGTCTCGTCGAAATCCGTGAGCGGCGTCTTGTCCGGGGTAAGCGCAGCGTTATTCACCGCGCAGTCTAGACGGCCGAACTTATCGACGGCGAACTTGATAAGAGCGACTACATCCTCTGCGGATGAGATGTCGGCCCTAGTGAAGTAGATTTCCCCCAGTGTAGAAAGCTCCTTGGCCACTTGGTCGCCCTTGTCTGTCTGCAAGTCGCAAATCACAACTTTGGCGCCGGCTTTGAGAAAAACTTCGGCTGTAGCTTTGCCCATGCCCTGGGCGCCACCCGTGATGAGGGCTACCTTGCCCTTCAAGACGGGGTAAACTTCGCTACAGGGGATTTGGGGAGGCATGGTGTGGCGTTGTGCGTGGTAATGAGCAAAGATATTGGAGGAAGTACAAAACTGGGTGGGTGGGTGATGGCTGCGAAGGTTTCAGACGACAACCACTCGCCCGTGATTAAATAGTGCAATCTCACCATGGGAACGGCCGGGTAATGCAATATGTAGGATCATCCAGTATAAAGCCCACCCTTGAAGGGGTTTGATACCGGTAGTTGTACCGGTATGTCTTTGTGACACCCCCAATGCGACCCAAACCAGCCCCAGAGTCCCGTTATGCCTCCCCGCATGAACTAGACGTGGCCAGGGTTCGTGTTAGCTGTCGATCATTACGAAAGCCGTCATCAAAGACCGCTAATAACCCCTGAAAAGCACATGAAGGAGCAAATCCTAGCGCGTTGCTCAATGCAGGCCGCGGTATCTACTACACTGCAATCATCCGCTTCGTAGCGGCCCCATTCCCCGACCCGTAGCGTAGTGCCGTTGCAAAAAGGGCGATCATCGTCTAGATTCCCCTAGTGTCGAGCCAGCATGAACTCCAACGCGTCTTACGATTACAGGGGATATCAGCCATGGCAGGGGATTAAAAATGCCGAATATTCGGGTAGACACAAAAGGACGTGACGTTTAGCGACGGACCCAGCCGCTCCGGGCACTATATGCGGTAGCGACTTTCGAGTCAGAGTACTACGTATCGTTATCCATGGGAACTAAAACTAATGCTTCAGTAGCTGAAAGAGAGACCGCCATTTGCACTAACTAGGCTCCCTGTCATCCACCCTGACTCAGGGCTGCAGATCATACTGACGAGGTCGGCAATTTCCTCTGGATACGCAGCCCGGCCACCAAATTTCCTACCCAGCTCCTGGACATCTGGTGCATCCGAGTCCCTCACAGCAACTAAGGGCGTCACTGAGTTCCACAAGCCCAAGTCTTTCTTGACTTGATCACCGGCTGACAGGTACATGTCGGTCATGACGGGACCTGGGTTGATGGTGTTGACGGTGCAGTTTTCGGCCAGCTCGCGACACCAGACTCTAGCCATGGCCTCTACCGCTGCTTTGGTACCCGTGTAAAGCGTCGTGTTAGGGGTGCCGATCTTGGGATTGACGCTCGACATCATGACAATACGCCCGGTCCGATCCGTCGGTAGGTAAGGCTTGCAGACGCCTGTGAGTAGGGTTGGACCTAGAACATTGATGCGGTAAATGCGGTCGAATTCCTCCTGCCTGACGGACTCTATAGGTCCCAGGTAGAGAACGCCGGCATTATGGACGATGATGCTGACTTTCAAGTTCTCGCCACCAAAGTTATCTTTGCACACCGAAATGAGGTGCTCACACTCGTCGATCTTGCTGATGTCTGCTCTGCAAGTGACAGCCCTGACCGAGTAGTTGCTTTCGAGCTCCTGGCTCAGCGCTGCAGCAGAGCTATCCGAAGACGGCGTGGCATAGTTGATGAGGACATTTGCTCCGCGGGCAGCGAGATTGCGAGCAATGTATGCACCGATTCCTGATGGACCATGGTTAATTCAGCGCAACACACTACTGAAGAAAGCTGAAAACATACCACGGGCGGAACCGGTGACAATTGCGAGCTTGCCTTCGTGAACGCGCTTGATTTCGCTCATTATGAAATTTACCAATGAGTTGTTCAACGTGCAGTGCAGCAGGAATCAAGAACTGAGGACTGTCAGACCCTGCTCTATATTTGTCTCCTTGGCCAAGGAGCCATTGGAGCTCCTTCCCTGGATTCCCACTTCAACATGCCTGTTAAACTCCCTCACTTTTCGGCCAATGTATAATGCATAGTAGAAACAGGACAGGGACGACAGATACTCATGTTACATAGTTCCATGCAGTAAGTCCCCGCCCTTGAAACACGACCGCCTGCAGTTTGAACCCAATTCATATGATTTTGACCTGTCATATACCAATACTTGACCCATAGGCGCCACGGGGGCATGAACATCAACGGCACGCTTCGCACCTTCAAAGGGCGATGTGACGTTGGGAAGTGGGGTGCACTGTACTGTAATGCAGATCCCTAAGGGTCATTACATCTAGCATCAGATAAAATAGGCGGGATCTTATGTACCTCATTTCTTCAGTTCTCTGTAGGTTCGGATCCCTGCCACTCGCGTACGTGTCGCCTTGCGACATACGACGGGCAAGAATAGTGCCTTCTTCTCCGCAGCTACTACAACCGGCTTCTCCTCCGCGGCGGGGCCCCGAGCCGGGTAGATTTTACTCCTCGGTGCCGGGTTGTCACTACGCTAGGGCGATTCCCCGGAGAGGCCTAAGTTTTTAGTCTGGCGCCGCTCATATGCCGTTAGCCGGATCCCGTATGGCGGCTGCGATCTACATAGGTGAGCTGAGATATACATATATGAGTCAGAATGGGCGATAGATCTTTAGCGCTTCGTCTAGTTCGTGAACCATCTTGGCCGTCTCCAGCCATCGAGCTAGAGCCGTACCTTGGACTGATCGACAGGAGTTGTGGAGTAACGGGACTTGCGATATCATCGAAACCGTTTCTCGGTACTCTTCGCCTGCTAGGCTCCCTCATCAACCCGGGATGCGACTGCTCAAGTTGGGCTGAAGGTGACAATGCCAGGTCCCCTTGGCGATGACACTCCAGTGTGCTTCGTAGTGGAGGACGGCGTATCAGCGGAACCGGGCCGGTTTCTTATATCAGTTAGTGAAGGTTGGCGCCTCTGAAGAAATGAAGACGAGTCACATTATCCAATCCATGCAATCACACTATATTCATTTCGGGCACCTATGAATCGTTCCACCCAAATGACGGGTTTACATCAATCCCAACCCCTTTCCGCAGATTTGTCGTTCAGTTCTTCTTGAGGCCTGCGAGCCCCGCTTCATTGCTTCTTAGCCAAAGTCTGTCACTCATTCTGTCGTCTTGATTAAGAGAAAGCCTTTGGGAGCAGCAGGGCATCTCCATCGTTCAACTCAACTCAATGTACAAGGCGGCAGGAATCGGAGGCAAAGGGGCCACTGTGATTGGCGTCCTCTGGGCCGAGAATGTCATAAGCTATGCTCTCATCGGCTTGCGAGTTTACACTCGTCGCTACATTCGGGGATCACTGGGCTGGGACGACTTGTGTCTGGTCTCAGTAGCGGTCAGCAACGGATTACCCCCGCCGCGTACGAGAAAGCTAACATTCAACTAGGCCCTCATGACAATTTTCGCCATCTTGGTCTCATTCTCAGTCCATCGTGGGATGGGTCAACACTTTGACCAGCTTGAAATACCACAGTTTGCAGATGCAATGCTGTATCTGCTCTGCGCCCAGTCCGCTGTTTCTCTTGCTATTGGAATGGGCAAGGTGGCAGTTGCTGTTTTCTTGCTTCGTATTGTTACTGCTCCTTGGTAAGTCGATTGGCCTTTCTAGTATATAATCTGTCCCTTGTCTCACCACGTGTACAACAGGCATCGCTGGTTCCTCTGGTTCTGCATTACATCCATGATGGTTTTGAGTGCGATTCTAGCCATTTCAATCTTCGCACAATGCACTCCTGCCGAATCGATATGGAATCCTCTACTGGCGGACCAAAAGAAATGCCACATGAACTTGACTGTGGTTGCTTTCATCGACTGCAGTAAGTAAAGCACGCCTTGGGGGGTATAGAAGTGTCTAATACTGAACCAGCTTATGCCGCGGTCCTGGATTTCGCTTTGGCCGGTTTCCCTTGGCTTGCCCTCCGCGGGCTCAACATGAAGCGCAAGGAACGCATGGCGATTTGTCTGTCTTTGAGCCTCGGGATATTGTAAGCACGCTATCTGTTTTTGAAGATTCATCGTTGCAGGCTAACTCAATCTAGTGCCGGTATTTGCGGGATCGTTCGGACGTCCACCCTCGAAGCCTTAAACAATTCTACTGATTATCTTTGTAAGTCGAGGGCTTTTCCATGATATCGTGTTTGGATCCCTAACCTCTTGCTTTACAGACGCCACATCGGACTCTGTAATTTGGACTGCGAGTGAAGTAACCACAACTATCGTCTGCCTTACACTCCCAGCTCTCCGCCCTCTCTATAACAAGATGCGTGGACAGGAGTCAAGCTCGGCTGGGTACCAGCAGCACGATGACTCTAACTACAGACCCGGGGGTTCCTACGCTCTGAGCTCATTCCAGACCAAACGAGGTGATGGCGACAACGATTTTAACAAAAACGGGAACTTTGCAAATGTTGAGGCAGGACGAACCACTGTCAAAAACGACAGTGATGAGACAATCTTACTGCAAGGTGACGATAAGAGGAATATCAGGCGGGTCCAAGAAGTCAGTATTTCTTACGAGACTACAAACATGGAAACCAAAGTTACATCGAGGGAAGCTGTTTGAGAGTGGGATAATTAGGTATTGGTGTGAGTTAGGCTCTATTTCTAGCATCGCATACGAACGCATCAGCCCCATTTGTCCTACCTTACACCCCAACTCTATTATTTATTTTATTTGCCCCTACCTCTACGGGTTACATCTGTCGACCCCGGTATTAGGGCGCCTCCACCTCTCCACCGCTCAGATTCATATCTTTACGTAGCGGTTATTGGCAGATTTTAGCTGTAGTTTTTTTTGCCCATTCTTTCTGTTACTAGACGTTTTAAACAGTTACCGTTGCATTCAATAGTCCCCGCGTCGGGGTTTGTCGTCGGGCTATGTTAATGAGTCGGCAGAGAGCAGCAGCGTGTTTGATGATCGCTGACAGAACGCCGCTGACCGGCTTTGAACTAGCAGGGACTGCGCCTTCGTCTGCTCCATGCAATGAGTCTAGAAGCTTTTTTGCAATAGCTAATTGGCCGTTCTTATCTTGTATCAACTGGCGCAATTCTTCTCATGTACGAAGAAGCACGAATGCGGTCGCCTGGGCGCAGTTTGTTTGAAAATATGGTCGCCGACCCATGAACGAGCAAGTCTCAATCGGCCCTTTGATCCTTCGCAGATTGCGGCTCCAACAGAGACGATGATGGTATAAATATCGTGGGCGGCCAACTTGGGGCATGCGTCAACAGGACTTCACACTGCACTCAATTCACTACGCCAAACATCTTATTACTCTACCTCAGCTGTATAGGTCATTTTTTCACAATGCAGCTTTCTAAGACTGTAGCAATTGTCGCCGCCTTGGCTTTCGGAGGCGCTGAGGCTCATTTAGCTCCTTCAGAAACGACGCTTGTTACCTCTGTCGTGGCGGCCTCTACTGCAACAGACGCGACTGAGCATGTCCCCCGTGCCATCTGCAATCAGATTTTCCCGCAACCGAAAGCCTTCAAGTGCGATGCGGAAGGATACATCACGAATGACTCAGGAAAACTAGGCGATGCAGTATTCCAGCCTACAGTTGAAGCATGCGCCGATTATTGCCTCTGGCTCGCGTCCTGCAACTCTTTCATGTACAGATGGGGTCAATGCCAGCTCTACGGTGGAGATTTCTCCTCACTCGGCTTTTTCTCACAGAGTTCGGGGGGTTCATACTGGTATCAGCTGGAATGTTTCAACTGTTGACAGGTAATTCCCATGTTGCGATGTTTGCATACCAACCTGGCCTAACTAATATGTTGAAGGGTTTTGTAACATCAATTCCTAACGTGGATGTCTTGGTTGCGCTTATTTCCTTCGTTGTCTGGGCTTTGGTGTAGTTTATGAAAGATTGGTCGTCGGCCCAAACTTGCTGGATACAATAGACTAGGGTTTACTGACTTTAGACACATGCTGAATTATTCTGTGGAATATATTGCTCCTGTTGTTGCATCAATTATGCTTTCGAAGGTCCAGTCAATATCTGAATGCTACTTCTACTTCTTTGCAAGCCAGACTTGCTGCACCGTCTCCTCCACGGTCTCGACTGGCAGACCCAGACGGCTATTCCAAATCCCACCCTCAACATCAGAGTGATCCTCAAGACCCTCTTTTCCTAGAACAAGAGCCGTAATGAGACTGCCCCCGCCTTCCAGTATCTTCCCCTCACCCAGTAGCTTGAAGCCTTCAGCTCTAACACTCTCTGATGTTTTGTTGACGACCTTCCACTCTTCTCCACTGGCCTTCTCAAGGGCGGCGTGAATCTCGAGCTGCGTGGTGGTGAAGGACTCCACGAACACCAGCTTGTTAGCGGTCTCGGTAGCGTGGCTGAGGACTGCAACAATAGCCCGACCGATTTGCGCAACGTTGGAGGTTGTAAATCGAGTCTTTCCCCCGTCGATAAGGGTTGACGTCTTCGTAGCGAAGTCAAATCCGACGAAGCCTGCAGCCAATCCCTGTAGTAATTGATTTAGTATCTGGCCTCACTAGATGGAGACTGTTTCAGTACTTACCCAATCGAAGAAAGGGCCCGTGAAGAGCGCCGTCCAGCTAATGGAGCTTTCTTGCGACTTCAGATACTCCAAGTACTTCTTCTTTCCCTCGAAAAAGGGCACTACAGCGATCACAGCATCGCTCTACCATATTGTAAGCAGAATACAGCGAGATACATAGATCAGTGCTCACCGTAGAGTCGGAGCCATACTCGCTTGGAATGAATCTCTTAACACCTGCTGCAATGGCGGCCTCGATGACAACGGCTTGGTCGCCGAGGGCGGTGATTGGGAGCATACTGATCACAGCATCCTGCCCTTTGAAGGCTTCAGTGAGCGAACTCAAACTGAAGTCACTCTTGACATGGGTTACACCCTCGGGGAACTTGGCGGATGAAGTTTCGCGTGTCACAGCTGACAGGACGAGGTCAGACTTCAGCAATTCTGGAAGAACCGATGAGCCGACGTTGCCGCTTGCCTGCTCTATATTAGTCAAATCTGAGAGGTGGTAGATTTGGTTCAAGTGCCAGTAGGTATCTTCTCATAGAAGACACAGCGGCATCACTTACTCCGACGAGAGAAACATTCTTAAGAGACATGATGACGAGTAGGGTGGGTGATCTTGCGATTATTGGGTGTTGGGTTTTGGGAATTGTGATATTGTTTAGTTCTGTGTGTAAGAAAAAAACTGAAGATGGTAGATACAAACTGAAGTCTTATAAATATATCTAGTCAAATACACGAAACATTTCAAGGCGATGACGAATATCACCATCTCCACAGATCGGAGGAATAGATGCTCCGTTTCCCTAATGCTAATACAAAAGATTAATATTTTGTTTCCCACTCTACACGCCTTTTCAAACCTTGTATCTGCCCCATGTGCTTATAAATCCCTATCATCAACCCCCATATAGGACTAGTAGCCGTGTTTCATTCGCACTTGCGATCGGAGTTCAGTTCACCGCTGCTGTGGCTTAACAGACGGCACCCACATTATGCCGCTGCCCGAAACCCGAAATCCTATTCCTATTTGGAGAATACCGTAGAAGCAACAAGTCTAGTCCGTCAAGGACAGATTACCATTGCTTCCGTCCATCATCGGGAACTGATGCATCAGAAACATTCTTTGTCACACCTCGACATCTTAATACATTTCAGTTCCAGAGTGAAACGGGGATGGACTAATATCATGGAAGGTCAAATTAAACGGCAGACTCCTATATTCTGCAGGATCTGGTGTATACGAATATTATCTTAGTCTACGTTGCGAAAATACGTGACAATCTCGAGAGCCAAATCCCAGTCTAATATCACGTAACAGTAAAAAGCATGCCGCGATTAGATATTCTGCGTGGTTCCTGGATGGATGAATTCAAAGACAACCATCAATTCCGTACATTTACCACTCGTTTGTCTATTGCAACGCGCATTTTTATGGGCGACAGAGCTGGTGATCACCAGCCGTGAAGTCTTTCCTGTGATTTATTTTGACTTTCTCAAGACTGGGAAAATTTTCAGAGCGAGTACGAGTGTCCCAAGAACATTTACAGCAATGGTAATCGGCTTCCAGTCCTAGACCAATGTTGGAGCCAGCGACGATGATAGTTTGGTCCTAAAACGAGGCTGTAGGAATGGGAATGGCCCACATTTGGGCGCGCAACGCCGCGATTGGAGACAAGTTTCTGGCAGGTATATCAAACTGCGGGATGTACCCATTTGCTGATCAGATCAAGAAGGCGAACAGGAGAGAAGGGGCGTACGTGTAAGGAATATAGGGACATTAACCAAAATAAAATGAAAAAGGGAAAGGAATGGAGCTCGGGGGAGAATCTTTCCTCCTAATCTTCAACAGCTTCAGGAGGCCACAAGAACAAGAAAATTAATCTTTTGGATTATTCATCCGATGCCCACAGTGTTTGCAGTCTAGCCTGCTGGTGGCGCGGGTCGATTTTTTAACAGCAGGACGAATTATAGTTCGGACCTCATTTGTCATCGGCGAAATTTGGTAATGGTCCCGAATGTCCATATTAAATGTTCAAGACGGACGCTTTTGGGTTTAAAAGGAATCAATCGTCAATTAAATATATTAATCTAGCAGACAGATCCTGTTTTTCAGAAATATTAAAACAACTTTTGCTTTTAATATCCGTCAGCGTCATCCAAGGCGGTGATGTCAACCTAGGCGCGTTATGTGGGCGTCCACGGGGACGGAGCAACCGTTGGTCCGTTACCTGGCCACATTTCCACAGTTAACCTCGGTAGGCTTGATCAAGAGTCACAGTCGAGACTCATGCGGCCATGTTATATTGTTCTCCGTCTCAATTTTTGTGACCTAACCTACTCCCCAGAGAAGCAGAAATAGAAGCTTCCCCTTCATGGACTGTAAAAGGTTGCAAGTTCTCTTGCGTTAGCTCTGAGCGAGCAATGCATTCTTCTTTCAGATACCCTACACCTAGACTTGACTTGAGTTAGGTCGTCAAGGTCCCAGTGAAGTTCATTTGTTCCCCACCTTCAACAAAGGACCTAGTGATTATCTGGACTACACTTCTGCAGTGCACATTGCAGTGCCGAAACTTGCGTTGAATGTGAAGTCGAATTATCTAAATCTACCCGACACTGATCCAACCTTCTCGCCCTCGAAGCAGCGAGGCAATTGCCTATGTACAAGGGAGTTGGAAACCAAACGAAACTAAGAGTGAAGTTGGCCTGTTTGCCGTTTGAGCCAGTTTCTCTCTTTTTGCCCTGCGATAGGAAAGTCAGCTATCATTTAATTGACGGATAAGAAGACGCATCAGAACTTCTCTTGTTCGTACGGTTTCCTTTCCCGTTCAGAACTCCAAAGAGTTATGTTTCCACGTGAGAACTCGCTGCGATCCTCTTTAGCAGCTTAGCGTGCGTCCCATTCTCCAGCCCGGGTCCCAGAGCTCGGTAATACGGGATACACCGGTGTCTACACTCCCCGCCGTCTCCGACTTTAAAGAGTCAACGGTTTTGAACGGATAAACCGGTTACGCCGGTGTGGGTTTCCAAGCCGTGAAATGCGGGGTGGATTGAATAAATCCCCATAATACCTCCTCTTGAATTAATTAGCGACGACATAGAAAGGACGAAAATATTAATATTTCAATAAAAAATAGAAGTCCTGTGCTCTACACTTTGTCAACATGGCACTTGGTACGCCACTTACTCCTAAATAATACTTTACGATGAGGCTAATATGCTCGTCCAGGAGTGTTCGGAATTACCGCTGGTGTTTATGCTGGGGATACTTGAACGCTCGGTTCAATGTTCGAGACGATATAAGCGCCTTATCTAAGATGAGAAAATCAAGTAAATATTTTGCACGCGCGGGTAAGTCTTGAATTTTCTTGTGAGGCTTTAAGCTTACTATATTGCGGAGAGCCAGAACCGGCTTTCTTTATGGTACATCGCCGAAGCCGTCTTCAAGAAACACGAGAATGAGAGAGCAATCTAGACGCAAGATGGCACAGTTTCCTTCGGAGATTTAGCCGCCAGATAGTTCAGTATGCAAACTGGCTATTGGAACAAGGAATCGGCCCGGACGACTGCGTTGCAATGTACATGAACAGCCCGGACTTCGTCATGTTGTGGTTCGCATCCATTTGCATCGGAGCCTACCCTGTATTGCTCAACTACAATCTGGAGGCCAACTCACTGCTGCACTGCTTGGAGACTTGAGAAGCGAAGTTGCTCTTGGTAAGCGTAGACGATGATTGCCAGCGACGAATCGAACGAGGTCAGGAAGCGATTATGAGCATGGGCATTAAATCCATCGTGGTCGATGCAATACTCAAGGCCGAAGTTGCCTCAATGTCCCATGACGTTCCAGGCGACGCATATCGAGAGCATGTCACCGGAGAAACACCCTTCTGCATGATGTACACAAGGCAAGTATCTCATTTCCAGAGGCTAGAAGGAAGCGGACGGGCAAAGCGGCACTACAGGAATGCCAAAAGCGTGCCTACTTTCTCATCGGAAGATTCTTATGTCCGCAGTCCATATTGAACCGCCTTATGGAAGCGTGCCAGGACGCCATTACTGGTATAACACTATGCCAATATACCACGGCACCGGCGGTATCACTTGTTTCGGGACCCTGCCTTCCGGAGTCGGGATTGCCTTGGCCCCCGGGTTCTCTGTGTCTCAATTCTGGACAGACATCCATGACTCAGGAGCGACTCACTTCGTCTATGTCGGTGAAACAGCACGCTATCTTCTCAATGCTCCACAACTCCCGCTGGAGAGGGCACACAAGCTCGTATGTGCCTACGGCAACGGGATGTGACCAGACGTTTGGCTAAGGTTCCAAGAGCGATTCAACCTACCAGAGGTTGTGGAGTTCTTCAGCTCAACTGAGGTAATGTTCGGACTTGTCAACTGGAGCTGTGGGCCATAACAGGTCGGTTGCGTTGGCCGCTATGGGGTACAGAGGGATTTTTATTCCACAACGCTTATATCCCAGTCAAGGTTGATCATAACACCGGAGGCATCTGGAGGGATTCAATTACGGGATTTGCTCATCGAGTGCGAAGAGGGCGGAGAGATTCTGGTCGCCCTTGCAAACAAAGAGGCGTTTCAGGGATATTGGAAGTCGCCGGAAGCGACCGAAAAGAGGTTGTGCATCGACGTGTTCAAGAAGGGGGACCTATTCTACCGAACGGGAGATGCTTCGAGGAGGAATTCAGATGGTCTTTGGTACTTTCTCGACCGGCTTGGAGACACGTTTCGGTGGAAGTCGGAGAATGTGTGTACTGCTGAGGTGTCAGAAATTCTCGGCCAATTCTCTGGTATTTTGGAGGCAAACGTATATGGCGACGATTTGCCAAACCATGATGGCCGCGCCGGATGCGCTGCAGTGCAACCGAACCCAGATCCTGCAGGCTCTTTCTACTATCAAGCACTGGCAAAGCATTTATTCAGCAATCTACCAGAATACGCCGTGCCGGTCTTCTTACGTGTAGTGGGAACAGGCTCCCACATGGACAATCACAAACAGAGCAAAGTTCCCCTGAAGAAAGAAGGGGTGAATCCTACGCTGGCTGGAACTGAAGTGTCTGGGGGTAGTCAGGATGGTTTTCTTTGGCTACTGCCGAAGAGCAACACATATGTCCCATTCCCTCAGGCAGATTGGGACATGTTAGTTTCCTACAAAGCACGATCGTAGAGCAGTAGTAGAGGATATGTGATATGCCTCCTCGCCATGTCTCATTCTGTGACATCACCTCACCCAGGTACTCAGGTGGAGACTCGGCGTAATAGGCTCCGCTCGGAGGAACTGGCGCTATTTCCTCCGACACGGTTCTACCGTGAATGCCGTCCCCACTTAGGTAATAGATCCGAGCCTCGTATTGCAATGACGGCTTTCCGGCCGTTGGCCCCTATTTCCAAGCAATGTATTGTGGCTTGTCAAACGTCGATTCCTGAACCTAAGCTGGCTGACCTAAACTTAGTAGAGGAGTAGGGGCACAACAGTTTGTCTTGGGTCTATAAAGACCAAGCGTGGAATATGGGGAGGAATCACAGACTAATGTGGGCTCTACGCGGCTCGAGTAAATTTGACGGACTTGATGTTGACTTTTTCCGGGAGCATCGATGTCTATTGTCTGGCTCCTTAGAGTATCTCGAGACCCCGATTCAAATCAAACGAATCCCAACTCGACTAACAGCCACTATCGTTTTGTAATTCAGATCCCGCCGACATGACCACCACCATCGACTCGCAATTGGATACGATAGACTGTCCGGCCTTGGAGGATTGCGGAAATACATCCCGCCTTCTGGTATTTAAGTCTCAGTCATCCAAACCCAACAAAAGAAGAAGGGCAGCCCGAGCTTGCCTCTCATGCAGAACGCGAAAGGTCAGATGCGACGTCAGCGAGCGATGGCCGTGCGGGAATTGCAAATGGGGTGACTCTGAATGCGTTGTCCTCGAGCGCCGGGGCGCAAGGTTTGTACACCTCTGAATAATTCATCTCGTCAGCTTGGGGCAGAACACAGTCCTCTCCTCGCTCGATGAGGCCGTAAGAGAATCTCTCTAAATCGCTGACAGGCTCCCCGACGCCAAACCGCCAAGCACGCCTGTTCAAGACGGTGATAAAGCTCGCGGTATATCAGTCAAGACATCCGATTCTCCATCATGCTCCTCCTTATTTGAGCCTGGCCTACCTGGACTATTCGAGACTCAGCCAAGCATTCAACTTCAGGCGTTCATTGTACCACTACCAGCACGAATACAATCCGACGACGCCGCGTATCTATTATACAAAGGTGCGCTGAGTTTGCCAGATATCGATTGCCAAAACGCACTGCTTCGATCCTACTTCGAGTTCACCTACCCCTACATGCCGGTCTTGGACCTCGGTCATTTTCTCCAAATATTAGACGCCCGTGACGGGAAATGCGGCCAAATCAGCTTGTTTCTCATCCAATCCATCTTGTTTGCTGGAGCTGCACATGTAAACATGAACTACCTAAGAGCAGCTGGATTCACTACTCGAAAACAAGCCCTCAAGGAACTTTTCCAGCGAGCTCGCGTTCGTTCCCCCACTATTCTTAGTTTTGGGCGCCTTAATGACCTAATAGCAGTTACTTTACGACTTCAATTATGAATCCGATCGCCTCGTTCTCGTCCAGGGGCTCCTACTCATGTCACTCTGGTATGAGACCTCAGAGGAGCACAGGAATACATGGCATTGGATTGATGTCGCCGTCTCGCAGGCATTCGTGGCTGAGCTCCACCGAGACTCAGACGACAGTTCACGATGCTCGAAAGACAGAATATTACGGCGCAGAGTCTGGTGGTCTTGTTTTATCCGAGATCAACTTACTTCGCTTGAGATGAAACGGCTCCCTCGGATCAGAGACGGCGAATATAACGTTTCGATGCTGACAGACGACGATTTCGAAATTCAAATGACTCAAGACGATTACTGCCTGAAGCCAGGGCCAATTTGGACCCAATTCCGAGATGAGACAAAACAAAAGGAATTGGGCAGACTCTGCACTGCAAAAGCGGTCTTGTGTCAATGCATCAGTGCCTACCTCGTGTTCTCCCACTCCATTGGATCAAGGAAAGGCCATGGGATTTCTTCGTATAATTCAATTCCAAACGTGGACGGGAAGAACTCAGGTGGCTTTTCATTTGCCTCGGTAAAGGGAAAGCTCGACATATGGCACAAGTCCCTGCCAGAGTGCTGTTGGCTTCGACCACTCCCAGATGAGGTACGGATTGTTGATGCTGGGATTGCGTTGAATCGGATGGTTTTACACATAATATACCAATCTATTAGGCTGGCCATCGAAAGAACCATATTCATGTCACCTCTCACGCAATCATTACTTAATCGAGAGGCCGCAAGGGTTTGCATGCTGGAGGCTGCTATGCAGATTTCGGACATGGCCAACGAGGCGCATGAAGCTGGAATCTATCGTTTCTTTTCCAACTCGGCGCTCATTGCAATCGTTGCCGCCGCGGGAGTTCATCTCCAAAGACTCAAGGGGAATTTGGAGGCGGAAGGTCAGACTGCATTTAAAGGATTTCGCCAATGCGCAGAGGTAATACAAAGCCTGGGGGATACTTATGAGCCTGCCAATCTCGCAAGGCATGTTATGGAGTGGACTGTTTCAAGGCCCGCAGATTGCGTATCCTTGTCCTCACCCGACGAGAGCGGCCGAGAATCATCGCTCGACCCAGGACAGGGAATACTTCACTGCCTGAGTGAGGATAGTTGTCACAACGGGATGGCTGATACTGAAACAACAAGATCTATCTTATCCGCAACCCATTCCCCTCAGGAGATGTCACCCCCAGAAGAATCAACAACCGCAGATTCTGGATTCAAAACCTTTGATGAGAGTGAGTTTGAGGATATCATGACATTGGGTGAGGATTTTGACGTCTCCGGTGATAGTTTCCATTCCTTATTCACACTGGAGGCGGGTTAGAAGCAGAAAGCATGTATCTAAGCTTCCGAAGCCGGAGTGTTCTATCACTATTAGCGTCCCGCTTCTGATTTGATAATATCAGTTAGAGAGTGTAATATTAGCACTTTGAGGAGTGAATCTTCCGCGGCACCTTGAAGCATGCCAGTGTAAAACAGCGAGCGATGGTGATACCGTGCGTGGGAACTGTTTTTAGAATGCCAGGAATACCTAAAGAGGGAGTCAAGGCCGGGAAAGACGGGAGCAAATGGATAAATCAGCGTCAAATGCGTCATATCGCCTTGTGATCAGATCTACCTATGTTACTTAGGCTCTCGCTGTGTAAACCAGTGAAAAATGCTTAAATAAGGAAATCAGTATCGCAATCTGACGCATCTTGAAGAGGTAGCATCGGGTTGCTCAATTAAAACGATCTTGCGGAACGAACACAACTGGAGAAGAATCCAACAAAGTTGACATAAATCTGAATTTCGAGTTCATTTGTAACTATCTTGACCGCGATTTCAACAAGATTTAACGGCTCCTCACAGTCTGGTAGAGGTTTTGGACCCTCCCGAGCTTGGAGTTTGTTCGACACTCCACTTCTCAAAGGCGTTGATGCTTTCTTCAACGGAGTCAAAGGATAGCATAGAACGTAGGTAATCCCAATCAGCAAAATGGTACCCTGAACCTGACGGAGTACGTCCAGAACTGGATAAGGTAGCATCTCTTGCTTTTTGGAGTGGCCCGTCCGGGAGGTGATATGAGATTTGGTTCGAGGCCGCACCTTTCACGTTGGTAGTAGTCCGCGTCTTCCGCAGAGATTCGTACAGCTGCAGCATTTGCTCCATCTGCTTCTTGTTACCGGTATTGCGGAGTCCAGATTTATCCAGGAGGCCTAGCAGCTTGCCAAGAACAGCTCCATCTTCAGCAGCCATTGCCGCACCCTGAGCTTGATATGGCAAGGTCGGGTGGCATGCATCCCCGAGGAGTACCACTGCGTTCTGTGTGTAAAGTAAGCACATGCGGTTGGACGATGTTATAACGATGTAATACCTTGGTCCAAGACTCAAGTTCTTCGTGATGACACAGTTTCCATTTTAGCACCGATGGAACACAAGAAATGATCTTGGTCAACCTGCGATGTGTCAGCCGGGAGTGAAACAACGCAATCTGTTGGTATACCTCTCATCCCAACCCTCAAAACAAGCCCGCATCTCCCCTATTTCGCCTGGGGCTTGTCGAACATCCTTGGAAAGATTGTCCGGTCGTATGAGCACCAAGTTGAACGATTTCCCACCCGCAAGTGGGTAAAAAACGCAATGTCTTCCCGGGCCCATCCAACATTTGACAGACTGGTCGTTTATGAGCTCATCGATGCGTGGATCGCCAAGTCTTAGTAGTTGCTCTCGGGTTATGGTTCCGCGATAGGCAAGGTCACCTGTCTCAGACGGTGGCGATTCTGTACCCAATAATTGGTCTCGAGAATGAGACCATAACCCTTAAAAATTAGCATCGTGGTAGAAGGTGTGATGGTATGGCTGCTTGGCACGGCAGAGGAACTTCGGCCAGCGATAGACTTGGGTACTTACCATCTGCACCGACGATGACATCCGCCTTGACGATCTCGCCTCCTTTCAGTCGAGCGCTTGTGGTGTCAAAATCAATACCGTCTACCTCTGCTCCTAGGTGAAGTTCTACCCCTGCATCTTTGGCAGCGTCCCACAACACTTGGTGGTATTCAGGGCGGGCGATTACCCTTCAGTCGAGCCATCCGAGTTAGTCTCTCGAACCACGAAGCAGAATGGCACTCGGTAGAAGGCAGCCACATTTGACTCACATCCACTTGTCACCAAATTTCTCCACCATTTTCTTGCCTCCATCTATCCTAAAGACAAGTTTCCCATTTGCGTATCTCAGATATTCGATGGAGTCAAGAACCACACTCTTTTCGACGAGTTGTTGCAAGATCCCCAACCGCCGAGCAACTCGAGCCGCATTCGGTGGAATTTGAATGCCTGCCCCAACCTGGTAGTGTCAGCAACACCGGAACTAGATTTCAGAGCATGTATCCACGCGTCATGAATTGTATCTCTGAGGGGAAAGTCTTACGGGGACGAGCTCCGAAGCTCGCTCAAGGACAGTGACTTCTAGATTTTCTTGACGGCAGGCAATTGCACACACCAATCCACCAATTCCGGCTCCAATGATGACCACCTTCATGGCTGTTCTTTTGACGCTGTGTGAGTCGTCAATGCTTCAGCTGGTTAAGCGCTTTGGCAGGGGCAAGTTGGGGTATTATGTTGATTGCGGGGAACAAGATGCTCAAGTTCAGGCTTATGCGTGGGTAATCCGCTCAAGTCTTTGTATTCTACCGCGTCTTGACGGCTGGAACCCTGATATATCGGTGACTTTTCGGCTATTTCCGTGACCAGGCTCGGTATCGCCCGGCATTGCCAGCAAATACCGTGCTGTCTCCGCCCAGCAGGTTTAGTCAAGACGAGTCAGATTAGATGTAGTGCGAAGACGTAAGACTTGTATCAAGTGATAGATCCGTTACGGTCAAATCGGCCAAAAGGAATAGTGTTCAAATTCATGATGACGATTGTGATGATTATTCCTTCTCCTCATCCGGACCGGCCGGAAGAGGGGTTATCTGACCACCCCTTGGGCCCTTCTGACTAAGGTCCGGATATCAATCCATCGAAGGATTCCGAGTACAGGGTCTCTGTACAACATCAGACGTTCCACCAATCCCGATCCGACCAGTTTGTTCTTTTGTTCGGTTCATGGAATTTCAACTGTAGAGCCGAGGCTTCAGAAGATACACTGGGACTCACGCCAGTTGCAGTATTGGGACATTCTCACATTATACACGAATGCACAATAGCAAAACAGTCACCCAATGGAAAAGAAACCGACTGTTCCACTCCAGAAAAATATTTGAAATATTTTTCCGTTCCAAAATCATCATTTACAGAGTAGATGGGGATCAGCAGCTTGCTTGAACATCGCCAGCCTGGCCAAATGATCACCTTGTCCTGCGAAACTCACTGCGGAACAGGAGCCTCTTTTCCCGCATCTGCAGCATTTCCCGTCACAAAGCCGAGTGGAATATTAGGACCCCAGATGTACAGCGAGTCCGGCGCCTCTGCTGACCGCGTAAAGGGTGTCATTTTGTTGACCAAGTCTCCATCAGAATAGTGCTCGAGAATATTGCCCGTGGTGTCAAACCTAGTACAAAACAACCATTTATTAGCGTGGTATTCAATCTGTTGCGGTAGCAGGAAACATCACTCACCAGTAGTCAAAGATCTGGCTACCCAAAACATGTCTACCAATACCCCAGCAGTTGGTGTATCCTTTTTCAACTAGCCATTTGTGGCCGAGGGCTTGTGTATCCATGTCATTGACTTCAAAGCTAGAATGGTGCACAAATGCCGGCTTGCCAGTCGGGTTCGCGGCCAGGAAGAAACTCTGTGTCACTGTGAGCAGGGGCCTCTCAACTACGGGAGACACTTACGTGATGATCAGTGTAAGTCATCCCAAGATCAATGTGCATGAAGCAACTCGTGTCTTCTCCCGTCTTTGGGTCGAACACGGCATCGGTGGGTACCAGGTTCATAAGACTCGTATACCACAGAAGCGTGGCCTGATACATGCTTTGCGGAACAAGGTACCCGTAGTGGCCCAGTTTATGAACTGGACTTGGCCCGTAATTAAATCTGCGGAACTTCCCTTGTCTCGGTTTCTCGGCTGCCAGATTGAGTACTGGCTGCTCGCCACCGATGATTCGATCTGTCACCTCGACGCTAGAATCCTCACGCAACTTCTGGCCATAGATGAAGCTGACACGATAACCATTTGGATCGGTGAGGCTCACTGTCTTACCCCCACCGGGCCCTGTCATATCTTCAATCTTTGACGCATCTGGGTGGGCTGCAGCGATTTGGAGGTCATTCTCCGACTCCACGGCCCAGGTCCCTCCAAGAAAAGCGCGACGAGGGCCTGGGGCCTGTTCGGCGACGTAGATGTACGGGTCGGCCCCGAATCCACTAAAATAGATACGACTGCCTTCTCGAGACACTTCAACGAGGCCAAAGTCCTCGAGAAACTGGGCGGCAGTTTCCAACTGGGAGTGTTGGTAGTGCACAAAAGCAAGGCGAACGACCTTAATCTTCGGGGATGTTGCCATTGTGCGTGGAGGGTATCAGATACTGAAGTGAAGGGTTGTAGAATCTGACTGTAGAGAATCTAATCAAGCTTTGAAATGCGGAATTGGATTGAAAATACCAGTAAATCAAATTCAATTGTTGAAATGACCGTACCTACGTAGATAAGCTTCTATCAATTACTTTAGCTTTAATCGGTAATCCATCCTATTACCGTCCGGCCTAATACCGGCCTTGCCGTTTACGCCGGTATCCACTGTCCACTATCCGGGCGTGCCGGCGCGGGGACTCATCGGCCGTTATTGTTGTATTAAGGACATGCTTCTTTTACGGAAAGGAGTAAGCTTCTTTGGAATAATCTCCAGCCCTTTCCGTTCACTCTCGGCTTCCTATTATTCATCATCATGAGTTTCAAACAGCTTGTTCGCTTCCAGGAGAAGGGCAAGGCGCATTATGGCGACCTCGTCGAGTTTAATGATACTCAGGGCCACAAAGTCTCGATACTTTCTGGTAATCCCTGGGACGGCTTGATTTCGACTGGCCAGACCATAACGGTTTCCAAGGTTTGAACTTTCTGAAAGGGTACAAGCTTGGGATAGTGCACTGATCATTGTCTGCCAGCTTCTCGCTCCGCTCGAGCATACCCCGATCATTGTTTGCGTGGGACTGAATTACAGAAAACATGCGACCGAGGCAAATGTGTGTAATCAACCCTGAGACGCCACTACCAAACTTATCCAAGATTCTGAGCTAAGATGATGCAATCCTCCAGCTACAAGTCCCGACTTACCCCGTCATCTTTACGAAGCCTAGTGACTCCCTTGCCGGTCCATTTGATGATGTTCACGCGCACCCTGATGCCCAAGTTCAGTTAGATTATGAGGGCGAGCTCTGCGTCATCATTGGTCGTGATGCGAAGAATGTTTCGGAGAAAGAGGCACTGGGCTATGTTTTGGGATACACGGCGGGAAATGACGTGTCGGCGAGGAACTTTCAGCTTCCATCCGCTTCAGGTGGGCAGTTCTGCTATGCCAAGTCGTTCGATGGCTTTGCACCTATTGGGCCAGCCATTTGGTCTCCTACTCTGGTGCCCGATCCGCAGAATCTCCATTACAAGACAACAGTGAACGGAAAGGTTGTGCAGGAGACGGCGACGAGTGACATGATCTGGTCGGTACAGCAGATCATCGCGCATCTATCTCGGGGAACCACACTACGTCGAGGGACTGTAATTATGATGGGGACCCCATCCGGTGTTGGATTCTTCAGCGGTACATTCCTCCAAGACGGGGATGTCGTCGAGGTTGACGTAGAGGGACTTGGGAAGATTTCGAACCGCATGGTCTTCGACTCTTAGATGTTGAACATTATTTGATCTCGATGACACTACTTTATAGAGAATACAAACACAGCACATATAACTACATGGGGCTCATCCCGAATTGGTTGTATTTCCAAGTACTCGAGAAATAAGTTAATATGTAGAAAAATTGAAGAAAAATATCAATCAACAGCGCTGCGCCAGGTAATATTCTACCTCCACTTCCGTCATGTGGTTTCTGTAACTGTCAGATAGAGGCTGATAAAAAACACCGCACTGAAGAAGATCACTTTGGTACAGTGGCCTATTGGTTGTCCGATAGTGACACCAACCTTAGGCATTCGCCCCATGGAGAATTGAACATACGAAAATACGAGGCGACTTGGAGATTGTGGTGGGTTTCTCCACGTTTGGCAGAGCGGGGACGGTCAATCACGGCCATTTGGTGATTACCGTCCTCGGTGCCACGACCGGAAATTGCAGAGGGACTGAGGCGAAGAAGTAGGCGAAACTACATACGGCTTAGACCATTTTGGTATCTATTGACTTTTTATTTCTTTTGTGCAGCCTCGGCCAAACTCCGCTGTCCGAACTCCGAGACGAGCTTAGAGCACGTTATTCACCTCGCAGACTACATCTACTTCCCCCGGTGCGACCGGCAAAATTGACAATTCTTGCCTTTGCTCATCTACATTTGTTAAGCAATACGTCGTATTTGAAAGAGCCTGTCTATTCCAACAAGTCAATCCCATCGTACCCGCGAAGATGACGAAAATAACGATGAATTCCTCTCCAACGCAACTCGCGACAGTTGGTGCCTGGAAGCACCCATATCCTGAGGCTACTCGCCTGGATACTTTCAGACGGCACGTTAACCGAGAATACACTCTCAATCTAGAGACGTATGACGATATCCATAAGTGGTCCGTCGAGAACCTTGACGACTTTTGCAAGTCAGTCTGGGTCTTTTGCGGCATGGTTTACAGCGCTGCTCCAGAAAAGGTTGCCAACGGGATTAGAAACATGTGGCCTCGCCCCGAATGGTTCCCTGGTGCACGAATCAATTTCGCAGAGAATATACTGTGCGTTGGTTTGAAAGTACATCCGGACCGTGTCGCCGTGTCTGCTTGCCGCGAGGCTGGGACACACTGGCGTCACTTGACCTGGGTTCAACTACACACCCAGGTAGCATTATACACAACCGCTTTGAAGGCAGCCGGTTTGAGAAAGGGTGACCGCGTTGCTGGTGAGTAATATTGGCTCACTACTTCAACTCTCATTCCCCACGAAGCCCACCTTGCTGACCAAGAATGACACGATTGTAGCTGTATTGTCGAACTCTATAGAGGCCGTGGTTGTCCTTCTCGCTGCAGCATCCATTGGGGCAATTTTCTCTTCGACGGCTCCAGATATGGGAGCAGCAGGCATTGTGAGCAGATACGCTCAGATTCGACCGAAGATCATGTTTGTCGACACAGAAGTGCTGTACGCGGGAAAACGGCGCGTCTTGCGACAGAAGATGACCACGGCAGTAACTCAGCTGAGAAAACAAGTTCCAGAGTTGACCAAGGTCGTCGTCGTCACAGGTTCTGTATTACCTGACAATGGCTGGTACGTTCGACACGTTGTTTCAGCATTTGGGGTTCAAATCTAAATGCCGAGTGCACAGTATCACGCTTGGACAGTTTCTCGACGTTCAGCCCTCTCCACTTGTATTCGAACAGGTGCCATTTGACCATCCCGTTTACATTCTCTACTCGTACGCTATCCAAGTTGGGGTCAAGCAAGAACAGAGTTAACTTCCATCCAGATCTGGTACAACGGGAATACCAAAGTGTACGTGTACCTTTACCCTTCTGGAAGCTCAACATTACGTGCTGACGACTTATCCACCAGGCATTTGCCACTCAGGTGGTGGTGCTCTTCTACAACAAAAGAAGGAGTTCATCCTCAGCTGCAACATGGACGGTGATTCAACATATTACCAATACACAACAGTAAGCCCACAGTTCAACCAAAGCTGTTCGCCCCACCATGTACTAACTCTCCACCAGACAGGGTGGATGATGTGGAATTACTTGGTAGGGTCCCTCAGCGTTGGTGCCCGGATTGTTCTGTACGATGGGAGCCCGCTATATCCAAATGCAGCATTCCAAATTCGGCTTTTAGAGGAGCAAGGGTAAAGTTTTATCCCACGAAGAAGTCACAGATGGTCAAGGAGCATCAACTTCGCTAACACTGACCAAACGGCTAGAGTAACGCATTGGGGGACCAGCCCCAAGTTGTTGACCGCCCTGAAGCAATCCGGCTTTACAAGGTCAGAAGCTCTTGATAACCTCCGCCTTGTCGTTTCAGCAGGGTCGCCTTTGTCGTCGGAAATTTCTCGTTGGTTCAGAGGCATCTTCCCCCATCGCGTGGGCCTGTTTAGTGGTTCGGGAGGTACTGATCTCGTCGGTGGGAGTAAGTATATCCTAGCCGACCGGCATCATGGACGCTGGCTGACTCTCCTCATAGTTATCAGTGGCAACTGCCTCTCCGTAATTCACGACGGGGAGCTTGCGTCCCCTCAACTAGGCATGAAAGTTGAAGTGTGGGATTTGCAAGGCCGCAACGTTGACCAGGCCGGCGAGAAGGGCGACCTAGTCATCACCACACCATTCTTCAGCATGCCCGTCACCTTTTATGGGGATGGGGGACTAGAAAAGTACTACAATGCTTACTTCGACAAGTTCCCGGGCGTTTGGTGCCACGGCGACTTCGCACAGAGAAACCCAGTCACGGGAGGATATGTAATCCTCGGGCGCAGCGACGGGGTTCTTAATCCTGGAGGTTGGTCTCTATCTCACTGAAAGCATGTGACCAGTACTAAAATCACAACATAGGCATACGTTTCGGAAGCGCCGAGATCTACGGCGTAATGGATCAATTCGCCGAAGTTGAGGATAGCATTGCGGTAGGGCAGCGTCGTCCAGGCGAAAGCGACGAGCAAGTCCTCCTATTCTTGAAGACCAAGACTTCAAATTTCGACCAGGTTCGCGAGGACGTCCGAGAGGCTATCAGAGAGCAACTCAGCCCCAGGCATGTCCCTGCACACATCTTTCGAGTCAACGACATCCCCTGCACGTCCAACGGCAAGAACATCGAAATGGTCGTCAAGGCCATTGTGTGCAAATCGAAGGTAGCAAATATTGACTCGGTTGCCAACCCGGAATGTCTAGCAGAGTATACAAAGTTCGCAGACCTTCCCTCTTCGACCGGCGAGGCCAAGCTGTGAGTATCCCGATAGGTAGATTTGATATTACACGCAGAGAGGCCCATATCAGCTCGCCTGCTTTACTCAATACACAATTCTGTCCTCTCTTAATTCCATCTCGACTCAGTTCAAAGCTGCAAGTAGTTAAAATGTTGATTATCGTCGCACAAGTAATCAAGTTGAAGCCGTGAGCTCCAATCGTCCATCAGGTCAAATGAATCTTCTCCCGATTGACCTGTGCTCACAACGTCGTTCAGTTGATCTTCTTTCTGGAGATTTGTGGCCAGTCCATGCAAGTGGAAAATCTGCTCAGGCAGTTCGCCGCCCGTTGTGGTTGTGCCACGCAGATTCGCGGATTGTAGAGTCTGAACGTTCGTGCAAGCCGTCGCAGAAGCCTTTGCCATAAGGGGATTCGGGAAGTATATAGCAAAGTACTTTGCAACTAGAAGCTCTTGGTCCGAGATCTCAGGGTGACGACTCAACATCGCAGCCACGTCTAGACGTACGTCAGCAAATGGTTCATCGAATGAGAGAATCTAATGTTCGCACCAAGGAGTAATGACCCTAGTCTCCAGACCGAGCCATACCGAGCCAAGATCAAATTTAACATGTCTTGATGCGGATTTGAACTTTCAGTAGACGGGAGAAGCGCTTCGTGTGGAGGATTCATCCAGGTTGGCAGCAAAGTACAGGCAAAAAAAGGATGGCTTAAAGCGACATATTCCGGGTGCCAGTGCAAGATGATGCGGGAAATTTCTCGTGTGTTTATCAATACAGAAGCTTTTCGCATCGCATCAGTTGCCGAGATGAAGGTGCGCGCACTTGTCAACATCAAGTGCATACCGATGATCCAGTTGGACCGAGCAAAGTTCTCGGCGTCGAAAAGGATGGGGTGGATTTCCAGGCCAAAGCGCTGCGTTATCGCGAGGGAAAGACAAGTAACGGAGCCTGCAAGTTCCTCCTGCTCGTGGGCGCAACTATGTTTGCTTGAACAGGTGTCGTAACAGACCGCCATGAGGTAGTTTGCCAGAAGAAACCACGCACGTTCGTCTTGGTTGGGGGATTCAAAGAGTATCTTCCAGGCCTCTGATGGCCGTGGGTGAAGTACTGGAGACTCGATGGGTGTTTCTGCAAACCAGGCGGCATCTGCAACTGGCAGGCGAACCGCCATTCTGTTGCGGTTGATGGCGCTTGGTCGCCTTGATATGGTTGAACCAAAGATATCCAGCTCCCACACAAGCCAGAAGGCTCGCCGACGTTCTTCGAGATCAGTCCACTGTGTCGGGTCTGTCCAGGGGTCTTCTCGCTCATCAACATCGCAAAGATCAAGATCGTAAGCGAACCGAACGCAGACACCAGTGAGGATCCAGGCCGTATGCCCGGGGCCAGAAGCGTGCAAGTAACTACATAGCAGGATACAGGCCTGAAGATACTGCAGTGTTGGGCCATATTCTACCGTTCGAAGCGTAGTGTAACAGCGATTGGCCTTGGTTGCGAACTGCGCGCCGCGGTCCGGTGCTTGGATGTTCTGAAAAGATTGATGGGTAGAATAGCGCGCAGCCAAGGCAAAGATACCGTAGAGTAAAAACGCGTCCGCGGTCGAGTATCTTCCCTGGCAGATGGCCCCTGACGCGTCGTTTTGCATGAATCGGGCTAAGGTCCGCGGCTTGTGAAGTAACGGAAGCCAGGGCTGGACCTTGTCGAAGTATACTTGGATGAGTTCAGTCGCGACTTCGCTCGGGACGTCGAGGCGGCAGGCTTCTTCGTGGCGAGTTTCCGAGGCTTTTCGAGGATCGAGGCAGTCTGCAATGTCGAGGATATTAGACGGACTCCTACCAGTCGATCCGCCACAGTCCAAGTCGCCCGTAGAGTGTTGGTCCGCGATGCCTGAAGCTGAGTCGAACGACGTCGACGTATTCGGGTCGGCATCATTCGGGGGACTATTCGAGGGCCTCTGCTCAGAATCCTGTGACGATGGTTTATCGAAAGCTTGGCCATCGTTGAGTTTAGATTCGAGAAGGTCAACAAGACGCTCTGGCGAAAAACATTAACCGTCAGACTTGCACACTTTTATCGGTAGATGGTCTCATCTCACCAAGTCTGTCTGGATCAATTCTCTGTTTCTTGTTACCCTTCGTCGACGGACGCCGGAACTCGGGCGTTTTCCTCTTTGTGGGAAACGTGCAAGAACCGCCGGTCCTATGACAAAGGCCACATATGGGTTGTCGCATGTCACCTAGGCATGGATAAAAGGATCAGTATCGTGGTGCTAGAATCCACTGACGATATGGTTATCTTACATTTTGTCTTTTTTCTGTCGCAATCAAAGGAGGCCAGTTAGCGAGATGATACTCCACGCCGACTGCCGGGATTGAATAAATAGGGGAACATACCTCCTACACTCCATGCAAGCTCGGTGGCCTTTATGCATTATCCACGGCCAGCCTCTTCGATCTTTCTCCAATTCTGGTATCGACTCGGCCTCGAAGAAACTGCACCCAGACTCCATCGGCGCAGATTCGTTCGGATCCATCGGAGCTGGGAGCTGGAAGCAAAGCCTCCAAGGTGCGATAAAGGCGTTGAGAGTGAGGCCACAGGCGGCCAGTGAATTCCAATCCAAGAAGTCACAATATCAATATACGTAGCAAACCTCTCTAGCTTGGGCTGCCTGTAGGAAGGGGTCGATTACGATCTTGAAGGTCAAGGTAAAAGGAGGAGCTCAGCCGAATGCCGAAGAAGGTTCCCCAGGTTTAGCGAAGGGCGCTAAGATGAAGCTGGTTTAGCCCACTGTGGAGAAATGGTGGTGTGGGTTTGATCACATCTCGTGAGCATAACATAGGTACTAAGTACGTACTACGTAGTACGTAGTACTGTAACACCCCCGGAAAAATGAGTCGAATGACACGGCCAGTGTGATATATTCCCATGTGATTCAGGCTCGATGGCATTACACATATTCATTTCAATTCAAAAATGTGTCAAATCTTGAAACGTATTGTTTTTGCAATTTCCCTTGTTGTACTGTGAAGAATCAACACTAGCTGACGTTACAAGCTTACCTATTCAATGTGTTCATCTTACAACCTCGAAGTCTTCTTCCAAGTACTTAGAGAACTAGCTTACAATAACATTACTAATTTTCAGAATGTTACAAATTCGGAACAACTCATAATTGCCCGTAGTTGTTCATCCGTCCTCACATCGCCACCTGGCTCTAGGGTAGGTTGAAGGCCCCCCTTTTGAAGGCCCATCTTTTGCAACCTTGGAGTAGTATTGGTCAAGTGCATTAACAGACTAGCGCTGTGACTACCCCAGTGTGTGTCCTGCTGGTGGGCACGGCAAACAACGGCATCCCGAAATGCCGTCCTGCCAGCCATCCCGGTCCTCACGGTGAACGGTGAGCGGCGTGGGACCTGGGAGTGCCCACACAGGGCCTCGCATTTCACTTATAGTTTCGCTATTTTGCTATCTTGCTATCTTAGTGCTGATTATTTTATTGCGAATTTGGCTCTTTTCCCCATTGGTTCGTGTTGAGTTTAGAATCGACCATTTCAGCTACTCTCGCGAATATCGTCTCTAATGCACCCCGCCACCAACGACGCACTAGCAAAAGCAATGACGTTTGACACCCCTGTTCTCATTGTTGGCTCAGGCCCATCGGGGCTGCTTCTTGCCCTCCAACTGGCTCAGAATGGCGTTCGGAGCATCCTCGTTGAACGCAATACGGACACGACAAAGTGGCCAAAAATGGATGTTACCAACTGCAGAAGCATGGAGCTTTTCAACAGGTTGGGCATTGCCGAAGGACTCAGGGATCATGGTGAGTAGAAGTTTGAACGTGCAAGTCAAAAGACCGACGGTAACCATTCAATGCAGGGGTTGGGCAAGATTACTCGTTTGATGTTTTATTTAGCTCTGGGCTTTCCGAGGGTGGAGAGTTGATATCGAAATGGGTAAGTTCATTGTTGTCCAAAACAATCCAGGTAAAATCCCAGGCTAAAGCTACAATTGCAGAGCCTAGATTCACCAAACGCTTGGAGAGATCGAATCAAAACACAAAATGATGGCTCCATGCCGCGGGAGCCCTACCAACGTTGCAGCCAGGCCATCTTCGAAGCTTGGCTCAAGAAGAAAATCCAAGCCGAGCCACTCATCGACTCGCACTTTGGATGGAAATTCGACGCCTTCACCGAGATTGAAGGTGGGGTCGAGTCCATCATCATTGATACTGCGAGTGGAGAGAACCACATAGTACGGAGTCAATATCTCGCAGGCTGCGATGGAGCCGGTAGCCGTGTACGGAAGAATATTAAGAGTGAGCTGCTTGGTGGCCCTACGTGAGTTGATCTACAACCCCCAAACACAATGTTACAACCCAACGCGAGGCAACCTAACACATTCTTCTCAGACCCGCAGCCAGGTATCTCGTTCATTTCAAGTCTCGAGACCTCTCGAAGCTTCAAAAACAAGGTCAATTCTGGCACATTTTCTTCACCAGCGGAAGTGTTATCATATCGCAAGACGAAGTTGATACCTGGACTGCTCACTTGCCTATATCTCTCGACACGGACTGGAAATCACTAGACCCAGAGGAGGCCATTTACAAGGTCCTAGGGGGCTCACACGCCCCATTTCATATCAAGGTCGACGAGGTACTTGTATGCAGCTCCTGGCGCCCAAGCATTGCTTTTGCACAAAAGTACGCTACAGACAGCCTCCGAGTCTTCCTTGCGGGAGACTCTGCCCACCAAAATATCCCAACTGGAGGATATGGCATGAACACTGCTGTGGGCGACAGTTTCGACCTTGGATGGAAGCTCGCAGCTGTCGTCAATGGCTGGGGCGGGAGTCATCTACTACGGTCGTATGAGATTGAGCGCAAGCCAGTAGCCATCCGCAACATCGAACGTTCAGGCGTCCACCACAAAGTTCACCAGGACTACACCGAGTGGATAGCGGAAGCCGGTCCAGGAGCTCTCACGTCCAGCACCGACGAAGGCGCGGCTCTCTGGGAACGCATCAAGACGCATGTTCTTTCACATGATGGTGAAAATAAAGGCCATGGTGTTGAGATGGGATACAGATACAACGGTTCCCCCATTGTCGTGGAAGACGCTCATGACACAGAAGCAGAACCGGAATGGAACTACCGTGACTATGTCCCATCTACCTGGCCAGGCGCACGAGCGCCACATGTCTATCTCGACGATGGTAAAACGAGCATATTTGACCATTTTGGACCAGGATTCACCCTTGTCGACTTTACCTTGGATGGGAGATGGGTCGCTCAATTCGATGCCATTGCATCACGACTTCAGGTCCCTCTTAAACTGGTGCCCTTACCACTGGAGCAACATGCTAGAAGAGTTTGGGGCCGAGATGCTGTCTTGATCCGCCCCGACGATCATGTTGCGTGGCGATCCCCCGTCCACAAAGAGGAGGACGACATTGAGCGAGTCCTCAAAATCGCAACTGGCCGAGATGCGCTGGAACCAAGCGATAAGAATACCTCAGACTATATGCTCGAGTCTGTCAAAAAGTCAGGGTTCACTGGAACCGTGGGAAACATGGGACGGACCCCTGTGAAGCAGCTGGCTGAGTTCCAAAAGTGAAGCGTGCGAGTCCCGGAGAAAGTTGTCTTTGCAGAACGCATTCATAGTGATTAGCATCCGTTCATTCTTCAAATCGCTATCTAGAGTCAATTCAACTTCTCGCCTACTCTCAGAGTACCAGCATTAGTGCTACCGACGATGTGTTGAACGGTTTCTTAGATGACTTTCCGGCTTACCTTTCACGAAATGGTTTCTAGCCATGGCGAGCTGTTTGCCATAATAAGTACACATTTTGCTGGATCAAGCAACCCCAAACATAAAACAAAGCCACTTGATGCTACCTAGTGGGAGCAATACTGTTGTAACAGGGCAACGAAAAAAACCGAGTTCAATGAAAACAAAACCAATTTCCACTACGAGTAAATAAGAGGTACTTAAGTAAAACGTGGGAGAATACGGGAGACTCTCAACTAAAAGAGAATGAGGATTAAGACCAAAGCCAAAGACATAGTATGCAGCGATTTCTAGGTCTACGGTTTCATTTGAGTGATAGTACGTTACGACGTTTCTCACAGAAATCCTTAAACCACCCTCTGACGAAGGTTATGATACCAGACTATCAGAGGTTTCGTAATACAGGGTCACCCTATAACAACATGCGTAAATCTGATGAGACTCTACCTAGTCAAGCATAGCAGATTTATTTTCAATCAGCCACTGTACTAATGTCTTTGGCTTCCTTCCCAAGATCCTTTCCGCACAGTCATTCAGGAACCAACAGACTTGGTTGCACTTTTCAAACTCGAAGAATTCCCATAGATAATCTCGTCTCTCCTTGCTGATCCCGGTGTATTCGTTCAAAAAGCCCTCCTTACTGGTATCGGCCGTGACTTCAATCTGCTACACTCGGCTCATGACCTTGGCAACATCTTCAACCCGGAGAAGATCAGTCCCGTTATTAATGTTATGGAAGACTCCAATATGTCTCTCATATGGCGACAACAGCAGGCGCGCAACGACTTCTCCAATGTCCGCAATATCCATGTACGGAACAGCTCTGCTTGGCCATATCAACTTGTGATCGTCCCGTAGGCTTCTCTTCATCCAGAGGAAATTTCCCATGAAAGTTGTCCCGGTGTTGGCAAAGGTCACCGGAAGAAGGCTTTCTTCGAGAACCTTTTTGGCAATGGGCGATTGAATTGGCAAGCCAAGACCATGGTCCACAAGCCACTTTGGAATGCGGCGAGGGTTGAAATCCGGAAACATTGCCGTCATGCGAATGACGTGAATGAGTTTGTTTCCACTCTCCTTCAGGGCCTTGACCAAGTTGGTCATGGCTGTTTGTCCATTGACGGAACCAGGAGTAACGACACAGACACCTTCCATGTCTTTTACAACATCGTGAAGCGACGGTTCATTAAAAAAGTCAGCTATCACGACTTCTGACGATTGCCATGCCTTTTCAAGCTCGGGTTTCTTGGATTCACTAGTGGTGACTAGCCTCATTCGTATATCAGGCTGTTCTTGTTGAAGAACATGGATCACCTGGGAACCCACTCGGCCGCTGGCACCAAACACCAAGACGCTTTTCGGGACTTTCTTTAGACCTGCAGCCATCGTGACGGTTGAAGCAAATTTCCGAGTAGTGTCAACTTGGATTGTGGGTTGAAGCTGTGAAATTCCGTGCTTTGAGAGCAGCAAGATTGAATGCTAGCAGAAAATATCTTTCTGGCCTGGGATTTGTCGTGGCAACAGCGGTGACAAGCGCGGTTTGCGGTGATGACCACGGCAAACGGAGGTGTTTGGAAGAATGCCGTCCGTCGAGGGCGGCCTAAGGGTTCCGCACCTACTCACATGCCTTGGATGCGAATTTAGATAACACAGACAGTAGACTGGAATGACAAATGATGAAAAATAGTTGCATCGGTTAAGATGCTGATGGACAGAAAAAGACGCGGCCGATAAAGACAACTACAATCCAATAGTGCACGTGAGACGTGTGGGTAAGAACTTGAAGTGGTTGTAAAATAACTATCTGTAGAGAAGAGAAATAAATGCAGTGTAAGAGCTTCCCTCTCAACCTCTTGCCCTCACTAAACTAACTAAAAAAAGCATCTGCCTCGGAATATTTCGCCATGATGTCCTTGACCTTGTCTAGAGGCAGCGCCTCGACAGTGCGACCCATGTTGCCCGTCATCGTCTCCGCCATACAAAGCGCATTGTAAATAGCCTCCTCGGTGGCATCTGCTACTGCTTCGAAGAGGCCGTTGATACCCTGGTCGTCGATGTAATCAATGTTCAGCTTACGCGGCTTATACGGGTCGAATGAGCGTCCTTGTCCTGTCTTGGCTTGCACTGGGATTTCATTGCCGGTAGAGAAAGCCAGAAACACGTCGCCCGATGGGTTGTGGCCGTACCCTCCCACGCGGGCGATGCCAACTGTGGCGCGCTTGGCGAGTCGCTGAAGCTGCAACGGATGCAGAGGCGCATCTGTGGCGACGATGACGATGATGGACCCGTCTTTGCTGTCCTTTGCAGCCTCATACTCCGCCTTCTGAGCAGCTGTTGCCGCATCCTTTTCAGCCTGCTCTGCAAGAATTCGGCCGACCGGAACGCCGGAGATTCGCAGGTGCTTCATACGCCCATAGTTGGCTTGCACGAGGACTCCGACGGTATAGGAACCGGCACCATCACCATCATCCGTGGGAACAAGTCGGCTGCTGGTTCCCGTGCCTCCCTTGAACCCTTGACACAGCATTCCTGTTCCTCCGCCTACATTCCCCTCTGGGACCGGGTCCGACGATGCCTTTGTCATGCCTTCAACGACGTGCTTAGGCGTGACGGCGAATTGCCGTAGATCATTGAGGTGCCCGTCGAATGTCTCAGCTACGACGGGTAGGAGGAACCAATTGATTCCCTCCTCGCCTTTTCCGTAATTTTGAATGGCGTATTGGTAGATGCCGGTGTAACATGGACCCACGGAAAAGCTGTTGGTGATGATGATGGGTGAGTGCAACAAGCCGGTTTCTTCGATCCAGTGGCTACCAGTCATCTCTCCAGAGCCATTAAAGCGGAAGAGGCCGGCGTGGCATGCCTTGTGGAACCATTCCTTGCGTGGGAGAATAGTAGTGACGCCAGTGTTAATCGAGCCACCGCCTCCGCGAATCGTGGTAGTATGGGCGAGGACGCCTGGGACATCAGTAATGCCATTCTTTGGTCCAGGCTTCCAGGTCCCGAGATGAACGCCTGGGACGACATCACGGAGCCGGGCTCTAGGCATTGCGGCTGATGAGGCCATTGTTGTAGAGGGGTTCGTCACGGACTTTCTAGAATGGATTGCCTTCACTGGATTAACGGATATATCTTGTCTAGGAAAAAGATTGCTGAAGGGTGAGCTTATTAAAGGATCCCCTCTTCTACTTCCATGTTTTAGTACGGACAGATGATGTTCATTTGCTTCTACGTTGCTGAATGACTCATGCTGATCTCCCCGCACGCGTAATTTGAATGCGTTGGCATGCTGATAGACTAGTGAGGTTCTTTTGTTATCCCAATTAGGCAGGTCGCAATAAATAATCATGTCATTGTATCGCAATGAGCAACAAATGACGCTCAATGATTATAAAATCTACCGCGTTACGCCACAAGTACCTAAGGAATGAGACAACTCCCTGTTATCTTAACCTTGAGTCACAGGCAGCCGATGTGAATGTGAAAACAACCAATAAGCTACGTTTGAGAACTCTACTTTCTTCCTAAAACCCCGACAATGTCATCCTTCTCACAAGCACTCGCAACATCCAACGCACTCCTGCCTTTCTTATCCTCCTGGAGAGGATCCAGCCCTTTACCCAGCATTGCTTCGAAAAGCGCCTTATCATATCCCGGTTTCGTGTAATAGTTGCTCTCTCGCCTCGTGATAACATGCAGGGCTGTCTCACCTTGGGTATTAACAGCAAAGATGTTAGCACCGCTGTCGGGCGGAAACAGTTTCTCATAGTCCTCGAGATGGTATATGAGCGGATCCTTGGCGCGATCCTGCCGGCCCGGGGATGATAGGTAAGTGAGCAGAGGAGTATTCCCAAGCTTATCGGCCACATTGATGGAGCCTCCTTCAGCTAGGAATCTTCGCCAGAGGGCTAGGCAACGGTCGAAGTAGTCCTTAGGTAGATCTATTTGCAGATGTCCCGAGGAACGTCGGGATCGATGAGTCGCGAAGCACTGCTTGGCAACGTAATGCAGAGCTGTGAGACCGTTTGGATCAGGTTCTAGCAGACTAGCACCTTTGGACAACAGCAAGTCGCAGATTTCAGGTCGTAGGATACGGAGAGCGTAGTGGAATGGCAGAAAACCATTGTGATCTCTCATGAAGAGCGTAGGAGCAACTTCCTTGCGATGGATGAATTGCACTAGAACGTCGTCTGGCATGCCGGGGTTATCCAAGAGGTGATGGAGCGCTGTCTTGCCTTCATCGTCAACCAATGTAGCATCCGCACCATAGTCCAGAATGCGCAGTGGTGGTCCAGTTGCCTTTGGACCCCGGGGCCTACGCGAGTAGCCAGGCAAGACTTCTCGCCAGTTACACGCAGCCATCAGAACAGTGCGGCCGTGTTGATCGCGACGATTGAAGTCGATTCGAGACACGCAAGGCTCCTGGAGCAATGTATTCAAGACCTCGTACTCTGGAAGCTCGAAGAGAGAGTGAGCCATTGTCTCGTCTTCATTCAACGGCAGATACAAATCAGCTCCACGCTCGACAAGTGCGCGAAGCAGCGGCACAGACTGCGGAACGTCCCTGTCTATTTCCTCAGCAAAGGCGGCACATAAAAGTGCGTATACTTTGTGTGACTCCTTCAGCTGGTAATGCACTTGTCGGCCATTGCGCTTCTCATCAAGAGAGTCAACACTGACGCCATGATCAAGGAGTATTTCCAGCGCCGAAAGATTCTGATGAGAAATTGCCAGGAAGAGCGGGTTACTAACTCCCACCGATGGATCAGCACCCTGGCGAAGCAGCTCTCGCATGATATCTGGCGCACCAGTCGCTTTGTGCAGAGGAGATAGACCCTCCTCGTCCAGAGTGTTCGGATCAGCCCCATTATCGAGGAGTAGGCGCACGGCAAAGGCCATCCAAAATCCTTCGACTGTGTGATTGTTGTACCTTACTCCACGTGCCGCTGTGTGCAATGGAGTTTGGCCCTTTTCATCTCGTGCATCAACCGTAGCCCCATTGGAAATCAAGTATCTCATTCCCTCTATCTGCCACCAGTTGTTCGCTGATGCGAGTACGTGGAGCGCAGTTCCTCCTGCGACTATATCTGATCTTCGCTGTCCGCGATCTGGGATGGTTGCGAATTGCGCATTCACATCGACGTGGAACTTTTCCACGAGAAGTTGCAACGTGAGCATGTTGGGCTCTGGCCATCTACATGCCAGCTGCAATGGAGTCAAAGCAGATGGATAACTAGAACGCGCCGTCGCCGTTCGCGCTTCAATGATATCTCTGACAGACTCATACGAGCTGTAATGCAAAAGTAGCCTGGATAAATACTCGGCCACTTGTAGACGATCGGGTCTCATGAGCTCCTCGAGAAGTGTGTAGCATAAAGCATCCACCGGGTCGACCTCAAACACTTCGTTTATAAGCTTGGCTGCGTCTTTGCAAGTGAGGAGGTCCAAGTACATAGAAGGGGACTTTAGAACTTGGTTGGTTGCGGACTGATCTTGACCAAGGACATGCAGGGCAGACCTTGGTCGCATCAACGCCATCTGAGCCCACATCCACTGCCGAATCTGTTCTGAACGTTCTGCAGTTTTCTTGTCATCTTCCAAATGCTGTGTTGCTTTAGAAAATAGCTCTTTGTCAGTGGCGAATACCTCGGCTACTTCAGAGCAACCTTCGTGCAGGGCGACATCCAATGTTGTGAAATGGGAATCGTCGACGGCAGAAACATCGGAACCCGCGTCCAGAAGCATCTTCATGATGGTGGTGACCGAAGGGAAGAAGATCTTGCGAAATATCGATTTCGGCTCACCGTATCGATACTGATACCAAGGTTGTTCGTCATCTTGTTGCGAGGAGCTTGGTCGCAGAGGATCTGTTAGCGGACCAAGTAGCCATTTGTATCCCCCATGGTGCGAGCCCCAAATATCCTGCTCCTTTCTAGATTCAGCACAGGCATGTAGAGGAGTGCGACTTTTAGAATCAATCGCGTGTACATTGGCGCCGTGCTTGAGAAGAAGTGCCACAGACTCTGGTTCTCCTGAACTACAAGCGTAGTGGAGAGGAGTTCTGCCAAAGCAATCCACTTGGTTTAGGTCAGGACATCCAGGTTGGTCAAGTACCAGGCCAACAACGCTCGGTTGGCGAGCTCGGCATGAGAGATGCAGAACATTTTGAGAATCCTCTGTCAAGAAGCCCAGGGTTGCTCCAGCGGCCACCAAAGTGGCTACTTCAACCGCAGACCGCATGGCTGCCAGATGCAATGGAGCGAGGCCATTCTTGTCTCGGATCTCGAAGTTGAGCTCTTTCCGAGGATTGATCACTTCCGTAAAGTGAGTGGAATCCGCTCTGTTGTAATGGGGTTTGTTGGGAAAGAGGGAAGGCTTCTCAAGACCTCTCATCTCTGCTACATGCAGAGCTGTGAATCCCTGCTTGTTCACAGCATTGATGGGTATACCAAGACTAACAAGCCATCCAACAAAGCCAACCACCTTCGGCGCGCCGTGGTACCAAGAAGCGACATGATGAAGCAGGGTGTCTCCATTGTCGTTCGTACTAAGCGGATCCAACCCATCCTTGGCAATCATCGTTTCCATTTGGCCGCGGACACATATACCCTGCTGGCAAAGAAGATGCAAAGCATTGTTACCGCAAATGTCAACGACGCCGGTTTTCGCTCCGTACTCTCGAAGGACTTCCAGCTGGTTGTCGTAGCCCAGGCAGCACAGGAATAGAGTACAGCCGTCGTCCCTTCTCGCATCGATGTCTATACCTTCAGCCAACAACAGGTCAAGGTACTCTGTAAATCCCCTAACACTATAAGACGACAACCCAAACCAGTATCGTCTTTTCTCGGCGTCGTTTTCGCATCTTGAGAGCAGCATCCGGAATACCTCAAGCCCTGCAGACATCCCTCGCCGCACTGCCGTCTTTCCATGTTCGTCTGGAATGTTGGGGTCGGCACCGTGCTCGAGTAGGTATTTGACAATGGCCTCGGTGTTTGGACTCCCTGTCTTCATTCCCGAGTCGATCATGCAACTGTGCAAAGCCGATCTCCCGCGATGACCGATCTGATTTGGATCACTTCCATGCTCGACGAGAAGCTGCACAGCCTCAAGGTCTCGGTGACTCCCAAAGACTCGATGTAGGGGGGAATTTCCAAACCGGTCGACCTTGTTCAAATCGGCTCCCGAGCGGAGCAACGCCCGCATCGCAGGTACATGGAGCGAGTCTGGACCGGTCTTGTGAGTAGACCCGGATGCTATGAGGAGAGCTGTACTTTCGTCGCCGTCGAGCTGCTCAAGATCAGCATTTGCCTTGACCAGAACTCGAAGGATGGCTTGACATGTCGAGTCATTGTCACAGTCCCATTCTTGAACCAGGCGATGAAGGGGCGCTGCCATGGTCTTCTTTCCCCTAAAGCCGCCTAGCATGACTGGTCTGGGCTCCCATGTTGATGTCTTTCGCACATCTGCACCCCGATCAATAAGAGCCTCAACACATCTCAAATTAACCGACCCGCATGCAAAATACAGAGCGGTTGCTCCACGGTATGTTGCGTTGGCTGAAACATCTGACTTGTCGAGGATTCCTAAGACGGCATCGGTTCGATTGAACCGACAGCATTCGCACAAAAGCTGCTCCAATGTCTCTGGGCTACAGAATGGTATCATTGCCATGACGGTTTCTGTGTGTCCGCCTGAGCTCGCGTAAAAAATAGCGCATTCTCCCTTGGTAATCTTTTCTCCGCCGAGAAGATACCCAGCATGGTTTTCCTTTGTTTTGAGAGTATCAGGCTCAACACCCGCTTCAAGTAGAACCCTGACCACAGAAGAATGGTTTTTGCGTGCAGCAAGATGAATCGGCTTCAGGCCACGTCCATCCGGGGCATTTGGATCACTCCCATGTTGGATGAGCAGCGATGCCACTTTTGCGTGTCCATTCGCGGCTGCCCAGTGTAGCGGGATGCGTTCTTGAGCATCTACATCTGAAACAAATGACCCTTGCTGTATCAATTTCAAGGCAAGTTCATACAGTCCAGAAAAAGCTGCGATATGAAGCGCCGTTGGGATACCCTCCGTGCTTCCTTTGCTCTTCGATGTAGAACCCCACTGGATCACAAGCCACCTTGAGAAAGCGAGACTTTCAGGTTTGAGAAACTCGGCGATGGCGGAAAAAAGCTCCTCGTCTTCCACGTCATAAAAACTAGCATGGTAAGACCAGTTTTCCACGGCGTAGCTGAGAAACGGATGTAGTAAACGAGCCTCTCTGTAGCTGAAGGGGTCCTTTGCCTGTTCCGCCCGGCTAGGGTTGTAGAAATGTTCATTACAATCCATCTGATGTTGAGGCGTTTTGTATGCGATAGATGCTGAGTCTTCAGAATGTTCTCCATTAAGCAATAGTGAGCCGGACATGAGATACTGCAGACAATTCATAGCCATCCGCTTATGCGCCTTGTCGGAGTTGATGGCGGGAAAGTTAGTGAGCGAGGCATTGTTCGTTGACAAGGTGCGGCTGTCGCCACGCAAGAACTCGGTGAATGAATGATGAATCACTTGCAGGGTCTCGTCTTCTAGGACCTCCACCAGCGGCCCGCAACAGGTGGCAATTAAGGCTTTAAAGCCTCGCGGTGCTGTGACATTCGGGCAGCTGCACTTGATGACACTCGCTAGTTCGTATAATCGCAGAGGTCGGGATGCGTGGGTGACTGCTTCAAGAACCAACACTTGAACGTCCATATCGACTCCGTGGTCTTCGCGCTGCTTGGTTAACACGTTGGTATAGATCTGCTCCAACCCGACAGGGAGAGATTCTTCAAGAAGACTGATATCCACCGGGTCATCAGATAGCAAAGACGCTTCCACCTGGTCTATGGTGAGCTTGGCATAGAGGAATAGCCCTTCAGACCTTCTCGCGACCATTTTGATGATGTCTTGTTTGAGCTTTTGCTGATTGTCTGATTTCAGGGCTCTATCAAATCGATGATTGAGAAAGGAAATGATGTCGGCATCCACGAGTCGCTGTTGCAGGCTGATGTGCACTATCGACGAGTCCCGCAGCGCACTTTGGAGATATTGCTTGGGCCGACTGGTCATGAGCAACTTAAGAGACCGAGGTCGATACGTAGCAAGACCGTTGAGCTTGTCCAGAAATGACCTGTTGTCCGTTGTCATCTCATCCAGGGCATCTCCAACGCAGTAGACCTTTGGAACACACAATACACCGTCGAGAAAAAGCTGGATGAGGTCGTTATCCGAGGTCTCGGCCAGACTGGTCTCCAGAAGTGGCTGGAGAGCGAATTGTAGCTTGACCGAGTATGGCAGAAGCTGGGCAAGCCAGTCTTGAATAAGAGCACGCGGTGAAAAATTGGCCGCGACAATGTTTCGAAAAAAGAAGAACAGCACGGGACAGTCCTCGGTCATCCGCAGGTGTTGGATGATGGATGCGGCCATTACCGACTTGCCTGCTCCCGGGACGCCCTTGATCCAGAGGCTGCCATGATCTGGAGAGTCATGCCATTGTCGATATTCTTCGGTCTCACAGATCCAAAGCCCGGTCCCAGGAGCTTGCGATAAGAGGTGGCGGCGAAATTCCCCCGACTCGGCCAGATAATCAGTGGGCTGAAGCCAGTCGCGGATGTCAGCGAGGACTTCAGGACTCAGCGCCGCGTCATTATAGTCAACAAACTCATATTCGTCAGCGGTATTCGTCGAGTTCGGCATAATGAAAGCAATTGAAATATTTGAGGATGACGATGCTACGAACAAATATTGCGTGAATGTGTTGATCATTGATGCTTGCTATTGCGGGGAGAGCAGGCAACAGTCGTCCCACGGAGTATATCCAATCACGTGCCGAAGGATTCGTCTAAATATAGCAGACCAACCGACCAACATAATAGTTGCAAGAGCCAGCCTATCTTCATGGATGTTGTGGTTTTGTAGTGTTGATTTGCCGTGAGAACCAGAACTGTGCGATTTGTGGTCAAATCTGCACGATTGGCTACCCATAACAATCCTCAATATTTATCAGCCGTGGAATGCGGGGCTTGGATGCAAAGTGTGTGTGCCTATCAGAAAATATGATGTACGGACTCTCTATTTTTATTTCAGCTATGCATATTGGTGAGCCAGATGTGAAGTGTCAGAAGATCAGCTCAGAACGGCGATGTGAGAGTTCACAAGTGTTACTACGCGGGCAACTCTCCATATTCCGTCACCATCGTATGAGATACGTGATGAATTCGACCAACAACAAGATTCTGACGAAATTCCTAATTCAAGGACTAGCTACATTTTAGTAACAAGGATCTCTCCTGCGCCTTGGACATGTTTTACCGCCTCGGGACAATCTAGCTCAGAACCTGGAGCTCCAGCTTACCTGGACTCTTCAGTATCCTAATTGCCATTTCTGACAGAAGATACTCAAGGCCATCAAGAAGATGCCGATTCCCTTCTCATGGATAGGCGGCGTTGATGCCTCGCCTGGTCGCGAGATGACCACTGGTGATCGAGAGTGGTGGGAGTCTCACGGCCCTTGGTTGGAGAAGAACAAGAAGGCCATGAAACTCAAGGACGCTGACTGGAAGTTGAGAGACGAGGTAATGGCCAAGGAGGTGCCTCGCAAAGAAGACGAGGGCTACGAAGTCTTCGACTTCATCTGCATGCGGAAGCCTCGGGGCCCGTGGGAGGATCCAGAGCCAGAACCACCAGCGGGCATGAACCCCGTTGGCAAGCTTGCTTCCCGCTTCCCTGATCACAAATGGGTTGTTTCCCTGCTCGGCCAGGATCGATCCCAATGGTGGATGCTCGAGGGCATGAAGCGTGATCCGGATGAGTTTGGCATGCACATCTACAAACACTATGGCAACTACGGGAAGTTTGAGGTCATGGAGAACATTGTACGTCGAGTCTCTCGCTGATCGCTGTTGATGATACTAACATCTTATAGTTCCTTCACTTCAGCACGGTGAATAAACCCTCGGTAACCTACCGCGAGCTCTGGCCTGAGGTGGTAGGTATTACACTGACTATTCGCAGTGATGTGTCCGACTTCGTCAGTAAGTAGACCACAGGGAACCGTGTCTTTTATCACCTACTAACCAATTCACAGGGAGCGATGACCCTGACAAATCTTGCATGGTGATCGAGCTGGTTGGCACCATCCTCATAACCGCCCTGAATTTCCTCAAGAGCACGACCTATTGAACGGCACTTCGCCAATCCCTAACATCGGCCTCATGGTTGCGATATTCGTCGAATGGGGCTGGCAGCTAGCCAACGACTTCAGCATATTCACGAAGAGCGCCTCCTGGATCCATGTCGTCGTTCCGATGGTGGAGGAAGCCGGGATCACAATGAATGGGCCAGACGATTTTGAAAAACTCCTTGAAAAAGTCAAGAGCAACGCCGGTGATCTGGGAAATGCCGAGGCGAAAATGTGGAAGACCCCGTGGAGTACCAAAGTAAGTTGCTTGTCTGCCCTTGTGTTGAACCTCTACTGACGTTGTAGGCCGCGTCGTTCAACCGTAAGCATGCTTCATCGAGCTCTCGCACCGCCAAGGCGCTCGGAGGGACACACTACGACATCACCTTGTTCAGTGCTGCAGAGCGGAAAAAGCACTCCCTCAGGTAACTGGTGTGCTGCACATGCAGGTGAAGGTACATGGCCGGGATTTGAGAGAGAATGGCACACATGTCTGTGTCTTGGGTGAATTGGAGTGCTTCTAGGACAAGCTACTAGGATACGCCGTGCAGCTTTGTTCCTGTATGGAAATGGATGGAACGGAGAGGATTGGAATTAGAGAACGGTCATTTCCTCGATGGAAAAACAGTCCTCCGACACTTGAAACTAGCGATCAGTCACCAGTGCTCGCGAATATAAGTTCGGCTCTGGTGATCCTCGGCCGGCCTAACTCGCCGTCGTCTGTCTTTTCGAGGTCGTGAGGCCGAAGAAGCTGCCCTGTGGGTCGTGGAACTCCCATACCAACTGTTGCGAAGTTTATGCCAAGGGAATTCGGAATCCAGCCCTGCAAAACACGCCGCTCGGTGGAATCATGACAGTCCAAATCCCAAAAGCTGTTCAGCGGTCTTGTAGTAGGAGCTTGAAGGCCTGGAGGTTGCGCACACAATTCCGGAGGGCTTTATGTCACACACTCGCACGGGCTCAGATGCCAACAAGCCATTGGATCTCCGTAATATGAAGGGTCCAGAGGCCAATCTTAAGACAGCTACGTGTTTTCCACTAATTCTGGCTTCGCGTCAATAGAGAAGCGTGTTCGCAGGGCCGCGTTTTTAGTGATCTATTCGGCTTATCTTTCTTGATATCTTTATTACGCAATTGACAGACTCGAGTCCAAATAAAGACGCGTCAATTAGAGCCGCATCACAAGCGCCAGCGTAGTTAGTCACCGTTCATTCTTCAGCCGGGGCAAGCCAGCCACACAAAGCGAGAGAGCTAAAACGGACCGAAAGGAATGGGAGGAAACACGAGACAAATCCACAGACAGTGCGGTATAAGGGGCTGGGTACGATCAATTCACCAGTTAGTACACAATATCAATCGCAGCAATAAGCACAACCGGGCCGCCTGCCTTCCTACCTGCCTAATGGAGCAATAATCCAGCACCCTCTCGGCGGCAGTGTTTCATTAACAAGTGTTTCTCCATCCCCGGAAGCCACGAAATCAGGTGGTAATTCTCGCCCCGTCCATTCGACAGCGCCTGGTCGGGCGTGCTCCATTTATGCGTAGAGGAATGATTTCCCCGGCGGCGAAGTGGAGCGAGTTTCGTAACTTTTACCACATCAGTCCCACCCGAGCCTGGAAAGACGCCGGCGGTCGTCTCCACCTCCGCCGCCGGCTCCGTCCCACTGTGACAATAGCGTCTCGAGGCCGGAATCTCCGTGAGGCCGCGAGGCTTAGCACGCGGGTTGTTGGCAGTTGGGCACGAGATAAGAATCGAGGTTGTAATAAATGTGACGGCTGTGCCGACGGAGCACGCACCACCTTCTTCCTCCATCTCTCGCGATTGTCGACACGCTGAGTTCCATGCTATGAGCGGGAGTGATGGGATACGGGTATCTTGCATACCGGAAGTCGCCTAATGATGTTCTCAATTGACCCATCTGTGAAATTAGAGCTCGACTCATGCTTGGACTAGAACGGACATCACGGAGCCGCAAAATGCACAGAACTGCTCCCCTTCCAACCTCTTCAACCCTCAACCTGCCATGACACAAACCAATGACACTCCCAAGACTCTATCACACTTCACCAGCACCGACCGCATTACGTACTGATTTCACAATAGCTTCGACAGCAGCCGCGGGGAGCATCGGCCGGCGGGATGCTCGACATCGTTGGATTCTTACGTATCATAGTACGGGGTTCTCCACCCCCGACTCTCCACCCCCGACGTGGGGCCTTCTCCAGGTCTCCAGCCCAGGCCAGACGAGCCGAGACAGTCGTATAAAGGCTCACGACGCGCCGGGCTTTTCCTAGCTCGGGTACAGAGTTCTACAGCTCTCATCGTCTCCCAACCTGTATCAGTTTGCATACGACTCGCTTCAACATGGGAATCACCGACTCCGATTCCGACTCCAAGCCAACGGGCACGCCAACTCCAGCACACGGGCTCGAGCTCGATGCTGATCGGATAGCACGAGTTGACGCGACTTACGACCGAGCCGTTGGCACCGTCACGGACTTTGAGAAACAAAAGACGGCCGAAGGAGAAGCACACTTCCGCCGACTCGGCTGGAAGCGCCTGACTGTCATCCTCGTCGTCGAAGCCATCGGCCTTGGCACCTTCAGCCTTCCTGCCGCCTTTGCGACCCTTGGCGTCGTTGCGGGCACCTTCTGCTGCATTGTCCTAGGACTGCTGGCCATCTACACCGGGTACATTGTTGGCAAGGTCTCGGTTGTTTATCCATCCATTCACCACTATGGCGACATCGGCGGCCTGCTCATGGGTCGGTTCGGAGAGGAGCTGTTCGGGTTCCTCTACGTCCTCCAGCTAATCCTCATGACATCGTCCTTTATGCTCACCGGAACAATCGCATTCAATGTTTTGAGCGACTATGGGGCCTGCGGCCTGGTCTTTAGCGTTGTCTCGGGCATTCTGCTGTTCGTCCTAGCCATTATGCCTTCATTCACCGAGGCTGCTATCCTTGGCTATCTTGACCTTGTCTCGGTCGTGTCAGCCATTGGAATTACCATCATCGCCAGCGGCATAGAGGCCGCAGATTCCCCAGGAGGTTTGGGCAATGTCAACTGGTCAGCATGGCCGGCCCCCGATGCCACCTTCAAGGACGGCATGGTGGCTATCTGCAACATGTTATTCGCCTACTGCTTTGCCATGTTTCTAACACCCTTCATGTCCGAGATGCATACCCCGACCGATTATATGAAGTCAGTCTGGACCCTGGGAATCATCGAAATTGTCGTGTACACAGCCACTGGTGTACTCATCTACGTCTTTGTCGGCGCCGACGTAGAGAGCCCGTCTCTACTGTCGCTCAGCAGCCTGCTATCGAAGATCGCGTTCGGCGTTGCACTGCCCATCATATTTATCAGCGGTGCCATCGGGAATACAGTCACTGCCCGATACGTTCATATTCGGCTCTACAAAGATTCTGTCACTCGCTTCATCAACACTCCCAAGGGTTGGATCACTTGGCTCGCCGTCCTAGCCGCCATCACTGTCGTCTCGTGGATTATTGGTGAAGGCATCCCCATTTTCAATGATCTTCTTTCGCTCAGCTCGGCCCTCTTTGTATCTGGATTTGTGTTGTACTTCCCAGCCATAATGTGGTATAAGCTTCTCTGCGAAGGTCATTGGTATGAGAGAAAGAATCTGTTTCATGCTTCTGCTTGCTTATTTGCTTTTCTTTTTGGCCTCCTTGTCCTCTTTGGAGGGACATACGCCAGTGTCAAGGACATTGTAAGTCTTCCGTCTTATCCGAACATCGTTGATACTCAACATTAACAAATCCTACAGCAACACCACTACGCAATCGGCTCTATCCGATCACCCTTCTCTTGCTAAGTGTAATTTTACGAGCGAATAGCCCCCTTTACAGGAAAAAGGCAGGCATATCATTTTTGTAGGCGTTTGTACGAAGGTGAAGAATGAAATAGTTATGGTTGTTAAGCCACAATTGAAGATACATTTACTCTAGACTTGATCATCCAATAAATCTACATCTTTTGGGCCCAAACAACCTTCTGGAGGTAATACGGGTGCATTTTACCCGCCCGAAGCTCGCGACGAAGCAGCGAGATGTAGACTTCAATCTCCTCCTTCGTCCACCCTTCCACCGTGTTGGCCATGAAGAGGACATAGCCTTCAATGTCCTGCTCAAGAGTTGCCTGAGCATACTTTCCAATCTCTTTGAGCTTTGGATCCTTTGGCCATGCACCAATCGGCACCTGTGCGCCAGGCTTGTTAGCTACCTCGTTGGCACACAAAAATACACGTCGAAAACTCACTTTAAAATCACGCTCCTTGATACCAACAAACCCAGCCTCCTCCATGGCCTTCTTCTGCACACCATCTTCTACAATGGTAAAGGACCGGCCGATTTTCTTGCCACCTTCCACAAAGAACTTTCCCCACTGGTGCATCGCGCTCTTCTCATGAATGGTCCCGTCGTCACAGTCCATCCTCGACAGCGCCTCGTTGCTTTCCAGGTATCCGCCTGGTTTTAGGCATCGGTACGCTTGTTTGAACAAACGTGGCCAGTCGACAATGCTACCGACTAGCCAGCGAATATGAATGTAGTCCAGGGAGTTTGGGGCAAATGTCCATTCCTGGGTGCAGTCATCGATTTGGCTGCAGAAGTATTAGTTTCTGAACAGAAAGCCACAATTAAGAGATATGAGAACTACTCACAATTCCAAGTTTGGTGGCAACCAACTGGGTTGGATAGGCGAAATATCGGTTCCAATGACTTGCGCCGAAGGGTACTGTTCGGCGAAGTCACTATACTAGTCGTTAGAAAGGTTCCGATGTCTTTCATTGCTCACTATTTGCAGTCTTACATTGCCCAAACCCCTATGAGAGTATTAGTATTGTTGGTTGGTTTCAGGTCCTAGCTTGTGCCTGTCAAATTGGATATTGCGCACCTGTTCCTGTTCCAATATCAACTGCTTTCTAAAATGACAGTTAGCAAATTCCAAATATGATTAGTTTTATCATATATTGAATCAATATAACCTTGATATCCTTAGGGATAGGTGCAAGATGGAGGGCGCCGTCCAGAACGAGTGTCAGGACATGGTGGCTGTGGAATTAGCGGCCTCCCTCGCCTGGAGAGCTTGGTAGCAGCTTACTTGACGTCCATGGACTCATTTTGGCGCTCATCATTTGTGCCCCTACAATTGCTTCAACAGGTGTAATTTATAGACCTGGGGATGTGTCACAAACCAGTACTGGGCGTTGCCAATATCCCTGTGATACGTGCGACCCTGGATTGTTCTGTATTCCAGAATACTCGATGTGATTGATGCTGTTGACGAGGCAGCATCGTCCCCAAGCGAAGACTCTGCATCATCTTCCGCCCCAAGTTCCTGTAATTGCTTGCGAGTGAGACGGGAATTCAGCGTAAATCGCGCGGATCAAATTGTACTGACTTCGGCCACCTGCGCCCAGTGCTGGGGAGGCAGAATACCAGGCTCGTTACCTTGACTTGAAAGCCCACCATCGGGCTGCTCAGAGGGAGGAGTGACACTGGGATTGACGCCAGACATTTTGAAAGCGTATGCTTTGTATGGGAAAGTTGAAGACGGAGCAAAGGAACATGCGATATTAAGGGACAGTGAGATGGTTTGAACAACCCCGATTTTTATGCAACTGTTAGCCGAGGTCGCTCCACAATACAGTTTTGCGATAATGCACTTGCAAGCGAGTTTCTGGATATGGTATGACCCCCGGCGAGTTGTTGACCCGGCATGTAGGGATGGATGCATGAGGTTCAAGCGATTGGCAATATAATCCCTGTACACTGGAACTTGGCGAGGGACTTGCTGCAATTGGGCCGGCTATTGCTTTGTAGACTAACCATTGAACGCAGCCGTAGCAAGTGGCTGAATTGTGCCCTTCACTAAGTTTACATATTGTGATTTCTACTCGAACGATTCTCTAAAAAATTGCAATCTTATGATCACTATACATTCGAGGCTAAGGAAAGGTAAGAATTCACAATCCTCACACCTCGCGAACCTTGTCCAGAAGCTCTTCAACGTCCTGCAAAAAGCTTTCCGGCTCTTCCAATACGGTAAAATACCCACCCTGTGAGGACAGGGCATGCTCTTTTCAGCAAAAGTCATGCAGAAACAGCCAGAAAAAGTCAGAAATTGCCTTGTCATGAGATTTCTATTCTACAAGATTCGGACATACTCTCTCTGCCCAGGCCTTGGGCATGATGAATAGTTTAGCGAGAAAAAGTGAGTATCAAAGAGGGGTTTTCTTGGAAACAGGCAGTCCGGGATCACCTCCGTTTGCCATGCTATCCAACTAATTGACAGAGAGGAACCCACAGTAAGAGTATCTACGCTAGCCGAGGAGCGCACACTTGTTACAGAATAGAGCTCTAGAGACCCCGTATCCCAATCTTCAAATAGAAAGGATCTCCGTCAATCCTATCCCTCAGTTCTCCCTTCATCAACCCTGCAACGTCCCATTCAGTCCAAACGAACCGTCCATGCAAAAACTTTGCCTCGGGGGAGGCAAGCCAGACTGAAAACTGACCAGGAAGATCCGCTAAGAAAGGCACTCAGTCAGCAATTTTCCACAAGGCGTAACAATCGCAACTCACGGCTATTCCATGTATAAGAATCCTCCGTATACCCGGCATCTTTAGCGTTCTGCGTGAACACACCGCCGGGGTTCATGTTGACAATTTGCATCTTCTCTGGCGGGACATCTTGGGCGATTAGCTGCATAGCAAGAGCAGCTGCGTTCTTGGTGAGTCCATATCCCGGAGTTTGTGCCGCTACTTTCCAGTCATGGATAGCATAGGAGGAAACATTGATAAGATGCTAATTCTTTACTTTCAGCACCACTACCACAAACACCATTATATGCTTGAAGTGTCACGTACCTTTGGTCCGGGGGCACCTTGTTTCTTTTGCTTGTAGAATTTCTCTGTCATCTGAAGTTGTGCGCGTAGGTTCATATCGTAGTCCTTCCATATCCCCTCAGTTCCGACGTCAAGGATAGGGTTTTGGTCTGATATCTTAACGGCGTTCAGTACCAGGACGTCAACCACGCTTCCCTCTTCCTCCAAGTTCTTCCAGAGTTTATCGACCTCCTCGGAGCTTGAAACATCGCAGGTCAATCCAACAACCTGGGCTTCATGATTCTCGGGTGCGAGTTTGGCCACGGCGTCTCCTACCAACCCTGGGCGTCGGCCGAGGATTATGACTTTGGCGGCTGAAGCTTGCAGAAATGCTTTGCTGATTGCAAAACCAATACCAGCATTCCCTCCTGTGACGAGAATTGTTTTCCCTGTTTGGCTCATCTCGGGTCTCAAGGGTGAGATGGTGGGATAGGGTTCCCGATGGAAAGGTGTTGTCAAACTCCAGGCAGGGTCCATGGTGTGCATAGACGAGAATTGGTTTGTAAGGTTGAAGATGGGATGAAAGAATATGAATGATAACTGCCGTCAAAACCGGATTCTGGACAGACTTATGTAGCCCGATTCCAGAGGCTGGGTTCGCTCAGATGCTATGCTCTGTTCTGATCCTTCCAATCCTTGCCCCGCCTGGTCATTCCGCAATCCCTGTTTCTCGAAATTTCCGCCTTGGCAGAGTGGTGCCGGCTTAACCCCCTTCGGTCTTCCATCTGCAGACCTATTTTCGGAATTCTGTAGTTCATTCGCTCAATGTACGGTCTGCGGAACGGCGAAAGTGTGATAGTACGGCATCAAGTCAGCATATGTGAAACCTGAAGATGAATAAGCCAAGCGAGGTGAGACAGGAATTGGAAAAGAACCCATAAAAGTCCGCATGGCTAACTTATTATGGAAGGCGTCTCCATATTTCTCCGTTGCGGAACTACCGCGACCTCACCGACTGGTTGAATCATGCCGCGTCCCCATCTTTCCCCGCCGCACTCTGAGCGTCGTACACGTCGACGTATTTGTTGCGGCAGTCATGACATGGCTTTTGTAATATGGATCGATAGTTAGGTGTGTTTATTTCCAAGCACAAGGTGGGGACACCATCGTCGTGAGTAACTAATTTCGGTATATAGCCAGGACGAGTCCACACAACTTCGGCGATTTTTCACATCACCAAACAAGCCATTACGCAGAGCGTTGGTGTAGAGTAGTATTTGGTTCTGAGGGTGGTTGTGTTCCGTCCGCTTTGGTGATACTTTTGCTTCTGAGATGGACAAGAGACACGGACACGAAGATTTTTGTATTAGCATCTGGAGTAGAAGGGTCAAGGAGTTTATTTGATCGCATTCTACAGTAGAGCATTATTTCTAGTTTGTTCCAAGTACCCTTTGTCCAAGTCTGGTCGGAGAAACATGAGGTTCATCACGTGACATATCACATTTTCTTCATTCCTGTCAACTAAGGAGCATTTATTAGATTGAATGACAATGCGAGAGGGCCATAGAATATCGCGCAATACATGGCTTTTTTTTGGTTGTCGATATGAATACCAAGTCCGATTTAAGATACAAAGATGAGCTTCTTGGTGGAAATGAAAATCTCACACGGAGCTGACAAATCCAACCAGCCTCACATTCAAACTCGTTCGTGCATTTCTTGCCTCATTAAAATCTTTCACGAATATCCACTGCCAGGATCTAAACCTCGCCACAAGACGATATGAGCCAGGCGTCACAAAATACGCAAACGGGTACACCCTACGCCTGGCGTAGAGCTTGTGTACCCTGTACGACCTCGAAGCGCCAGTGCACGAAGGAGGTTCCCGCTTGTCAGCGATGCAATGCTAAAGGGATATCATGCAAGTATATGCCGGCACGGCAGGCGGAAAATTCTTCGTCTAGAGAACTGGAGATTCACGCCCCATTGACGGAGGTACACCATACCGCTCCTTTAGAGGGGTGTGCCAATTTCGCTGATCTGGCAAACCCCTTTCCGTCAACAGTTTCGGGCCATATCTTAGAACCCCCTCCATCAGAGGCGACTGTGGGTTCTGGTTCTGCGGCAATGGAAAATTTTCCCAGCAGAGATGTGTGGTTCGAAATACCTGAATCGTTATTGGTAGACCACTCGATCCCTCCAGACCTACCAGACGCATCTACCGATTCTCACATTGATCCCTTTATCAAATGTGTACAAAATTGGCTCGTGAATTGGGTCACAGAAGGCCGGAGTCCGTTGCACCACCGTCAGCTATATCAACACGGAATGCCTCGACACGTGCAAGATGCATACACAACTATGGCGATGTACAGGATAAAGAATCCTGGTAACAAATATATCACGTTCCGAATCATCGAAGAACGTGTTACGCAACTGTTAGATGATCAAGCTTTGGAAAATTCAATCTATCCTTCGCAAGACATTTTCAGCCACCTAAGCAGAGTCCAAAGTCTTCTCACCTACCAGGTAATCAGACTCTTCGACGGGGATATTGGCATGAGAGCACGAGCCGACGCGCAACTCAGCACTCTGTCGCAATGGAGCCGTGAAATGCTGGCGGCCACCGAGGAATTCTTATCTCGGAACAAATGCCCAATTTCCCACGGGGTTCAGTTCGAAGCAGAAATTGCCAAAGTCCTATGGAGGTCCTGGATTATAGTTGAGAGTGTACGACGAACTTGGATTGTGTCCAATTATATTCATCAGACTTATCTATTCCTCAAACAAGGATGGTCTGAGTGCCCAGGCCGCATCATGTTCACGATGCGTAGTGGACTATGGGACGCACCGTCTGCATTTTCATGGCATAAAGCTTGTCTGGAAACCGACCCTCTTTTTGTACCTACCATCGGGATTCACAAGCTCTTTGAAGACACGCTTCCTGATGAGGTTGATGCCTTCAGCCGTGCGGTTTTGGCGCTCGAGGTTGGCATGGACAAGATGGAAATGTGGACGAGAGGCGAGTTGTATAGGTTCAGCAAATATCTTAGTAATTAGTCGACGACTGAAGGGATATACAGCGCGAAGAAACAGGTACTATCAAAATAGGATATAAGGAAGCTAAGACTCATCTGACTAAGGACTTGCACCCTCTTCAGTCGTCCTCAAACGTGAAATTTCCTTCTTCAGCATTTCATTCTCCTCCCTCAGTTCATCCATCTCGCACTTCAAATCTTCGGTTTGCTCCTGAGAACCAAGGCTGAGTTCCTCGACGATCTTCGTGACTCGCCAGAGACGCATGACGACGATCAAAGAGGCAATCTCCTCTATGATACCAACCAGGACAACGTCGATGATGAAACCCGCGACAACGATAAATGCGTCAAAGCGGTGGAACCAGGATTTAAAATAACTAAACACATTAGCACCGGTGGGTTGTTGATTGTGATGTGTAGAATGGCGTACCCCCAACCAAATGCCCAAACGGAAGCAATTAATTCAAGCATGAAGAGACACGAGAAGACCAAGCTCATGGAGCCCAGAACATCCAAAGCCAAGTCCCAATCGGCTCCGCTTTTTTCCTGCTCACATTTGAAGAGTTTGAGAATAAAATCTGTTTGAATCAGCTGTGTAGGGAAAACGTTAGCAGAACACAACTTACCAGCAATCATGCTCAGAACATCAAGAGACACCAGGGTAAGGACAGAGTAGTGGCCATATTTTGAGGAGAGAAATTCCGCAACCTTCTGCTTGGTATTCTGGAGAGTCCACTGCTCACGACTATGCGAGTGCGAATACCAATGCTGAAGATTTAAAGATGGGAACCTCAGCTTCGTGTGGTGCCCTAGCAGCGGTTGCTCCTCATCGCTGGCCGGTCCACGTTCCGCGCCGGTTGAGGGCATTCTATGTGTGGGTGCTAGATTATTTTTTGTGAATAGAGCAGATTTAAGTCATACAAGGATACGATCGGGAGGGAAGATGATTGAACAGTTGTTATCTCCAGGGTGAGTGAAGCCATGTGAAGTGGGGGTTTGGGCTTCCAGAGTCGGCTGACGTATGTGCTTATGTAACTATTCAGACTAATCGCTTGTATGCTAGTGTGCTCAGGCAACAGATCTAAAGGGGAGTAGCGCCTACTTGCCAATCCTAGGAATCACGGCCTGTTCAAAACATTAGAGAGCTGCTGGTATAGTATTGCAATATGTATCACAATATGTAGGAATATGATGGTGTAACTGGTCTTAGATACACAATTCGTATTTCGTCACGGGTTCCAAGTACTGCCCGCCAGTGCGGGACGGCTTTAATATCCCGTTAGATAATAATACATGGGCGACCCCTGTTTGGTGAAAAACACGATGTCCCACGGGGAAGCCGCCGCCTGGTGACGCAGCTTGAACAGAAATGTGGGTGCGGTAAAGACCAGCAACATGGCCGGTACCAGCCGATACTATTCGATGAATGAGATCTTTGTTTAACAAGCGGCTTGAAACAACAATCCCGGAACTGCTGGAGCTCGATTCCCGCGGAATGAACCAATCTCGGCGCCTCTGAATAGGAAATAAAGGAACTTGCCTCCTTCCGGATGGTATGTGGTGTATTGTTAGTCCATCAATGCCAGAAGTGAGGGCTTTTCTTGGCATCGTGACGTTTGCAACATCTCCGTCCTAACCCCGTGGACCGTCCCGCTGATAACAAACTGCCGCTTAAACTGCCGCTGCAACTACGTCATCGCTAGTGTCAAACAAGTCACCGCCGCTGTGCTCCGTGATCCACTTGTTCGCTACTCGGCACCTCCGGTTTTTCTAGAAGCTTGCCAAACTTACCAAGCAGTAAACAAGCAAATGCATCATCTGCTACATTTTAGGCCGTTCATTGTGCCTTTGGAACTACTGCAGTCTCATGGACCTATTTCGGCGGCATTCCTGGCATTGTCAGGAGGGACCTTCGGTAGGGCATGGGACCAAGGTCATGTGTTACAATGGGAGTAGAAAATACGGTTGCTACGAAGTACGATCTCCGGACATTGACTCACGGCGATGCTAATGACACGATGTAGTTTTGGCGGAGCTTACGGGAGGCTATCAATATCTCCTTACACCTAGTCTTTGGCGTCTTTTCTGTATTTGTGAATGATGCAGAGTTAAAACCGCGAGATGCTTTGCATAATGGTTGCTTAATCATTTTATGCAGGCCCACAGCAACCTCGTAAGGTGTGAGGAGAGACTCAACTGCACCAAATGAAACGATAATTACAGATGCTAGAAGGATTGTTGACGTATGTATTCCCATGATAATCACTCCGTATTCTGCTGAGAATTCGTCACATATCGTTTGTCTCGCCTTCTAGAATGACTCGGCCGTCCCCGTGGTGCCACAATTGCCCCGTTCTCCACCGTCCCTCTTCTCCACCAAAACCCAGATGAGAATTTGTTCCGTTGTTCTCCGTCACTTCCGAAGACCACAAAACTCTGGAGACCCCATGGTATTGCAGGGGTACGTCGGCGAGACGCCGAGGCGGCATTGCCAACGGTGCCGCATGACCAGTGGAGAAGAAGAATGCATAGCAACTCTCACGAAGTACAAATGCTGAATCTCAGCCGCCACAGTTGGAAAACCTCACACCTATCAAACTTGGTATCTCAAGCCTTCAATCAAATCAATTCGAGACTACTTAACATGGGATTCAACACCGTTTATTTCGACAAGTACAATCCAAGCTCCGAAAAGAGCACCAATGCCCGACAGGAGCTCGCCCACCTAGACTACTCTCCGCTCAAGCGGGTATCAGGGCGGTCATGGGCAATGGGAATATTGATTTCCATGGGTGGCATGGTGTAAGTTTCTGAAGCTATGCGGTGGTGTTGCGCAATTTAACTGACCTATATCAACCATTAGATTTGGATATGACACTGGTCAAATTTCCGGCTTTCTCGAGATGCCCGACTTCTTGGAGCGCTTCGGCCAACGCCATGGCAACGGCGATCTTTACTTCAGCAATACCCGGTCAGGCCTCATAGTCGCTCTTCTCTCTATCGGTACCCTCATCGGTGCCCTAACCGCCGCGCCAATTGCCGATCGTTTTGGACGAAGACCTTCCATTTCGTTTTGGTCTCTCATCACTTCCATTGGCTTCGTCATTCAGATAGCTGCAGACACTGCATGGTATCAAATCATGATAGGCCGATTTGTTTCTGGTCTGGGCATTGGGGCTTTGAGCCTCTTGGTCCCCATGTATCAAGCCGAGACGGCGCCGGCTTGGATCCGCGGCGCTCTGGTCTCCGCCTATCAACTCTTCATCACTTTCGGCATTTTCCTCGCTGCTTGCTTTAATTACGGCACTGTTACACACCAGAGGCACAGTTCCGCCTCTTGGCGTATCGTCATCGGGCTTGGTTGGCTGTGGACCTTCATTCTTGGTGTTGGTATTCTGTCATTCCCTGAGACGCCCCGACACGACTGGCGCACAGGAAACTCAACAAGAGCGAAAGAGACTCTTTGTAGAGTTTATGGAGCTCCTGAAAATCACTATGCCATCTACGTCCAAGTTGAAGAGATTGAGAGTAAGATGCGGGAGGATGGCCAAGTCAACGACAGCGGAATCCGCGAGTTTATCAACATGTTCAAAGCCCCCAGAATGACATACCGAATCGCTCTGGGCATGGTTTTACAGATGTTCCAGCAATTGACGGGTGCTAATTACTTTTTTTATTATGGCACAACGATCTTTCAATCTGTTGGCATCAACTCGTTTGTGACGCAAGTCATCCTCAATGCCATCAACTTCGGCACAACCTTTATCGGCCTATACATTGTCGAGCATTACGGCCGCCGCAAGTCACTTATGGGTGGATCTATTTGGATGTTCATCTGCTTTATGATCTTTGCATCTGTTGGTCATTTCAGCCTGGACCGTGAAAATCCAGAGAGCACCCAAGGTCCCGGGATTGCCCTCATTATATTTGCCGCCCTTTTCATCCTCGGTTTCGCAACAACATGGGGCCCGCAAGTATGGACGCTAATTTCAGAGCTGTATCCTTCACGCTACCGTGCCAAGGCCATGGCTCTTGCTACAGCCAGCAACTGGATTTGGAACTTCTGCATTGGTTTCTTCTCTCCATTCATTAGTCAAGCCATTGATTTCCGTTATGGCTACGTCTTTGCCGCCTGTAATATCATTGGAGGACTTATCGTCTACTTCTTTGTTATCGAAGGCCAGGGTCGCACGCTCGAGGACATTGACACTATGTATGTGGCTCATGTCAATCCGCTGAAGAGTGAGAAGTGGACACCGCCCTTGAATGAAGAGACGATGAAGATTCGTCGACAAGCTGGTGCCGAGACTGAGGCTGATTCAAGTGTTGATGGCGGCAATGTCGGCGATGCGACTCAAGCCTCCAATCCTGTTGAGGCAGTCAAGGACAATGGGGTGTTGCACAAAGAGAATGTCTGAAGCAAATGAAAGAGTTTGAAGTTGCAACTACAAGGGATTCAGAGGAAAGAAGAACAACTGTATTATATTGTATTTTATGTACATATATTATTGGAACAAAATGAATACTGGTTGACAAGTTGCCACCGCACTCTCTATTCATCTCCCAAGACTCATGTCCAACGTACTCTGCCTGCTGAGTTATATTATATAAAGAATCTTAGAGAAAAAGCTTCACATGTTCAACCAAGAGCGAATCATCGGCATTCTTTACAATGTACTCAACACTTGCTCGGCATTTCTCTTTGCCCTTATGCTAGTGCAACTGTTCACGGAAATAGCTAGTCTCAGCAGAAAGTCCTCCTTTTAGCTCGAGCTATCAAGTATCTCAGACTCTTATTGTCGCCGGCTTTATCTGTATTAAGTATATCTCCTGCTAACTAAATAGAGACTTTTTTAAAAAATATCTTTATTATTTTTATTTTTTATTATTGTTATTTTTATTAGTTTTATTTTATTTTTAATTATAAAATTTACTTCTATATATTCTCTTAAAGTAAGTATAAATTATAGTATAGTATATGTATCATAGTTTTATTATTTTACTATATAAAATAGAGTGGTCTTTAAAATATAATAAGTGGCCTAATAAGAGCTCCTCGAGTTATAGCTACAACTACTCTGCATATACAATACTAAATGGTTGAGATGATATAGCCTGGTAATCGTCCTGGTTTGTTTCGTTGCCAAAGATCTTCAAAGCTTTGATGACAATGGTATAAGTTCCTGCCGGGGTATAGGTACGATCCTCTAGCTGTCCATCCCATGGTATCAACGCCACCAAGTTTGGGCCGTAACGGATGGGGAACCCGGCCGCGTTACCGAGCGACCAGGTCCCCAAGATGGTGGACCCATGGCGAGAGTCGGCGCTCGAGTTGCTCACAACACGAGACACATCGGCTCGCAAGAGACGTGAGCCGAATACGAGATAGTAGTTGATAAGGGGGAGGGTTAGCATGTCGGGCGTTGCGGTGCCGGCCTTGGGCAGAATAATGGTGCTGTCGGGAGCTTGGGTCTGTGGGAAACATTCGCACTTAGTAGTAAGGGCATGTCACCCATATAGCCAACAGCACCCTGGTAGGGCAGCGACAGGCCATCGCCATTGGTGCCATTTAGTGTGATATATCCAGGGTAGATGGGGAGACGGTCGACGATACTGTCATCGACGCCTTGCGGCGGCGTCACTGTGACCGAGATATCGGCAGAGCCCCCGGCGGGCACAGTGATACTCGACTCGCTGAAATCCAGACTTGCATAACTAGAGATGAAATCGGCGGGGAAGGCAGCAGGCATGTTGTACGCTGCATCCATTGTCACGGTAGCGGCCGCGGTGGTGTGTCCGAGCTTGTAGGTGACTGGTGATGACCCTGTGTTGTAAACGGTAAAGCTCTTTGTTTTCTGGAACAACCCCTTGTCTTTGAACGCAAGGGAAGACACGCTCAAGAGGGTCGTGGCGTGGGCAGCCGCATGAGCCCGAACCATGCCGGCCCCCTGTTGGGGTACGGGAGCAAGAACCGAATATTCCTTTGTGCTGCCGTCGTTGAAGAAGCTAGGGACCGAAGTTGAAGTGAGCAAGTGTTCAAGCGTTGCTGGGTCAAAGGTTTTGCGAACACTACCGACGAGGGCGTAGATGCCAGCCAGCCATCAGAGGTGTTGCCATGGACGTTCCGGAGAGAACCCCATAAGAACCCAGGGCCCTGGGCATGGTTGAGAGGATGAAGCCACCTGGCTCCGAGAGCTGGGGCTTTACAGCCAGCTCATATGTTGGCCCCCAGCTAGTGAAGATGCTAGAAAAGCCGCCAGTAGTCGGGTTCGCCATCTCGACAAGGTGCCTATCCTTGCTTGCCAAGTTTGCAAGGCCGACAACAACCTTTTCTCCTTTGGCGAGAGAGTCAAACCATTCTTCGCCTTGATCCTGCGTAACCATGCCGGAACCATCGAAGGTTTCCCGGTAAAATGCTCCAATCTCCTCAATACCCGCCTTGTTATTGACAATAAGCATGTGTCGCGCGCCTCACGCCGAAGCGTGGAAAGCTTTCAGACTGAACAAACAATCGCCACGTCTGATGAGTGCGATGTATCCGGACAAGTCAGGCTCGCCAGGATAATCCGGCGAGCCGAGACAGCCGAGATTGCTCACCGGCCATAGCGGGAGGTACATGGCCTTCCACGTCGAGTTCGTAGCTGGGATTCAGTAAAAAGGCTTCTCAGACTCCTCGTTGGTGCTGTACGTCGCGTTCACGACCAACATGGGACTTATGACACTGTCGCTTGACCCTATCGCAGTCACTTCTTTACCCGATGCTGGGCTGCCGGCCACGAACAATCCAGATGAGCCACTGTTTCCGGTAGCAACAGTGCAAGGTACGCCAGCCTCGACAATGCGTGAAACGACGATAGCCAACGGATCCCCGGACCAGCCCGAATCGGCACCGAGAGAGGCGGTTATGACATCGCTGCCGTCACTGTAGGCCTTGAGGAAGGCAGCAATCAATATGTCATTGGAGGTGTTGCCAGTGCAGCTGAAGACCTTGTAAGCACCCAGTTTCACGCCTGGGGCCGCTCCAGTGAAGCCAAGGTCGTTCTCTTGGGCGGCGATGATCCCGGCAACATGGGTTCCGTGACCGGCGCAGTCCATCGGGTCAGGACCTGGAATTGGAGTGCTTGTAGCGCCGCCAAAGTCATCCCCGACAAAGTCCCAGCCATTGCTGACGAGACAATCCGGACCAAGGCAACCACCCAAAGCGGGGTGCAAATAGTCGATCTAGACAGGATTCTTGTGAGTTTGGGGTCTGAGATATATGAGGTGCGGGCATGAAGGGGAACACTCACACCGGTGTCAATCACCCCTATCTTAACTCCCTTGCCAGTAACCCCTTCCCCGCGAAGGAGATCGACCTGCGTCATGACATGGGGAGCAAGCTCATCCCGGCTGTCTTGGCACCGGGAGAGAAGAGCTATGCCCGGGGTTCCTCGCCAGTGGGTCGTGTAGTCTGGCAGTGAGTATTCTCTCACGGGCCAGATGTTCTTTACCCCTGGCAGAAGAGTGACAGTCGCGGCACGGTCTTCGGTACCAGTAAGGTTCCGGAATTGAATCGAGACGCCATTGAACACGCCGGCATTAAGACGAGTTCGGACTCTGGCATCGTCTGTGATGTCCTGGAGGAACTCGGAGGCTCCCTATGGAGCTCTATTAGCATGTAGCCAGATGGCAAGACATGGCCGCGGCATAGTCATCATTTATGCAAACACACCTGATCATCCTCCAATTCGATAATATACGCTCCAACAACAACAGGCGCTGCCGATGTAGTATTAGCAGAGGATGCAATTGCGGCGACCCCTAGGGATGCCAGAAGAGGCACAAGAAAGCTCTGCGTAAGCATAGTAGGCGTTCAGATCAGGGGATAAGAATGGCACTTGCGTTGCCTCAAATGGCATTAAAGAATGTTTCAGCCGTCTTATATGCTTGGGTGAGGGACGAAACATAACCACAGACCAAATCAAGGTACGTAGGCAGGTCTGTTTCCGGACTGAAAGACATACTACAAAGGGAAGCCGTCAAAAGTACTCCGCAAACAATACAAAAATAGCAGGTCATATTAACCATGATAATTAAGTTGGAAGGGCCCCTACACTGCGAGTCTGTATACAAGTCGGCGATATACCTACCGAATCAGTGCTGTAGCCCCGGATAAGAAGAGAAAATTATGCTGAATAATATCATGAGGGGCCGAATATCAGGCTAGTCAAGTTATCAAGAGGCCCTCTCTATGACCCTGTTCAAATCACCCTGTTCAGATTGATAATCTTGATAATAATTGTCTCAGGTTGTTTAAGAGAGATTTTTCAGGCTTCCTCTCTGTTCTATTATTCCACCAGGAGTTATATCTTTGACTCTCAAATGCTTGTGAGGCAGCCTAGGGCGTCAATTCAGTTAGTAGATGCCTTATCTGCATAGAAAATCTGCTATCTCTGAAACTTATGAAAGCCCAAAGCTGCCCCACAAGCATTTCAGCCGTTAAAGGGACACCGAAAACGCGAACTAGAATCCATCGTGTGAATGCCTACCTCCAGATGTCCCCCCACGAGAGCCAAGGCCCTCGCTAAGGCACTTTGGGAGGAAGCCCGGCCACAGTTTCTTAACTGGGACATATCCTGGGCAGCGGTGCCCGATTCGTATCTCTCGAATAAAACCCAGTAACGGGCCTTCTGCATGATAACACATCTCTCGTTGCGATCCTAGCACAGCGGACTCCGCATAGATAGATCTTCTTGATAGGTAGCTATTGAGCTCCACCTTGACAAAAGAAGCCAAGTCCCCCACACGTCTTCTTCCCACCTAGCCTATGCTCATTACCATTCTAAGGTTCCAGCTGCAAGGTGAAGGGCAACCCGGAGTTAAGCGCGGAGTTTACTAATTTGTCACATGTCATTAAGGAAGCGCTGTTACGTCAAATCCTGTCACCCCATTGACTCCAGATCGAGCGGATTGATGCCCAATAATGGAGACGTCTCCCTTTCTCGATGAGTTTGGTTGAGTAAACTTCCTCTGGAATCCACGTCAGTGAGTTCATAACAACTTGGCTGCCTCATGACAGCAATACACTTACCAATTCACAAATCAGTCTCCAAGCCTCACGGGCTCCTGGATGGCTACAGCAACAGCAGGCTAGACTAATGGCAATTTGGTGGTGCGGCCTAATAAATTACCTTCAGGGGTATGACACGCAGCAGACGCAGCAGCCGGCTAGACCAGCCGCATCCGGACGTTAAGAGCCGGCGAATTGCTTCCTGTAATAAGTTACGCAGCAGATACCCCGTCGCGTTAGCCCGGGTCTATTGGTGCAGTATCATTCTAATGGGCAACAACTTGCTCTGCGGCAGACGCTCTATCGCGTTAGTCCTTATCCTAGTACGCCACGAGCACATAGTGGAACTCCAGATCTATCGACACAGGACCTTTTTGGTCAGCAGATGCCAGAACATATCGGTACGGCTGCCCCTGGAAGACCCTTGCCTCAAAATGAGATGATCTGATCAACGCCGCAAGTGTGCTTTAGTACAGATGCCATGGCCGATCCAATGCAAAGTCTTGTATCGCAGTCACAAGAACAGGCTAAGCCGACATGTACAGTTGGAATGGGTGGGTCAAGCGTCAATTTGTCGGATTCCTTCGCCTCCTTTTTCCCTCATTTCTTTCCCTCGTAATAGTCAGCGTGGGCAGGTTCCTTGGCCTGGACATTTTGGGTTATTTTCAAGCTATACTTGGTGACCAGACGAAGCTCGTGCCTTAGTCTGCTCCATTCACCGTTGTCGGCGGCGAGTCTTTGGCTATTGCAGCAGATTTGAATTCGACGTAGCAAGATTGCGTCACCTGTGATGAACTGCAGTTACACGATTTATTGTCTCGGGACGATGACTTCCAGAGAATCCGGGGTGTTTGCAGATTTTTAAGACATGTCATACACCCTATTTGTTTTTTTTTTAGCATTACTTAATATCACCAGATAGATCAAAGCCATGTAGTATTCTGAAATAGTAGATACAAATAGTAAGTGTTGCATCCAGCACCAGAATATACAGTAACTGAACAATAAGGATGTTGCACACTGGTCTTTACCGTAGACTTCAATTCACCCCCTCTAACATTAACGACCTTACTATCTGGAGTCAACAGCCTTCCTGTCTGTAGGTAACAACCTTAAGACAGGAACCTTATTCCGAGCAATAAGATATAAGAGAGACGTCTCCCGTCGCCGAGATGCCAACTTCCCTTCCGAATCATCAAACTGTCCAAACTTTCATCATGGCTCCTTTGATCATCCGTCACACCTTACAATATCATGCTGACACAAGCCAAGAGAACCGGGACTATTTTGTGAGTAGACATAAATGTTAGAATAGCTACAGGGCGAAAGGTTTAGACAGGATTCCGGCAGATGAAAAAAAGGCATATTGAAACCCAAACCTGGGCCTTAGCAACTGTGACGTGCACAACTAAAATGCAGTAAATTCAAACATTAAGTTCCCTCATCAAGGGGCCACTGAATTATATCCTCTAAATAATCTTACAGAATGAGCTTTATATACTCAACTAAATGCAAACTATCTGGATTCTTTAAAAATCTACTTAACAGTTGCCCGGTATTTCTCTCCTTATGCCAGTATAACTTCTTACGGAATTAGCTAGGCGTGCCCTCTTTGTAGACATAAAACTATGAGCGGGGTGTGTAGAGGTGCAAAATATAGACATTTCTTTTAAAGTATTGCTTTCCAAACACATACACGGGCCCTTTTTTACCTTCACGTACGCTTTGTGGCTTGCCTATGTTCCTGATCTGGCTATCACGTTATCTCTTGTCTCTTTTCGTACTTATTTTAGGGTTTGACATTGCAAATGACACCTTTGAGAAAGTGAGTTAAGCGTCCAGCCAGTTAATTCCTTTATCAAGCTACAACCTGAATTTCTCTTGGGCCTATGTTCTTGTCTAACATCTCATACACACTATATCTGCAGGCCCTCCCGCACCAAGTCCATCTTCAACAATTAAAATAGCTCAGATTGCACAGATCCTAAATGGAAGGTCCAGACATAGCATCCGAGAATGCCTTCAGACAGGTCTGATCCGATGCCTCAGGATAATCCCTGTATGGACTAGTGGTATTTCTGAAATCTAAGAACCGCCAACCTCCCAGAAGAACACCCAAGTGCCACGGTAACGCCATCACTTGCCGTTTCGATTGGGCGATAGTCAGGAGGCAACCAGAGCAGATTAGCTCCATTCCATGTAGCCCAACAGTTGTCTTTGCTGATTCCGAATCCACCGAATTGAGTAAAATCCAACCTCTTTTGAGTAAGAAAGAGATTCGCGTCCTCAACAAAGCCATTCCTGGAAAATGGTCGAAACAGCCGTCCTCCTCCCATGTCTATTCTTCCAATGTGCGCACCGTCACCAGCACGACAGAGAACGATCTGACCTTTGCGAAAGGTGAGTGCGACGAGCGAGTCGTCTCTGGAAAAGGCAATGGAGGAGGCAGCGTCAGCGCCCCCTCCAAGCTTCCAGACAAGTTGGCCCGTATTCACATTTCGGAACATTACCACAGAACTCTGTGAAGTCACCGATCCTTGCCTCGATCCGCTATATGACGCCACAAGGAAGCGAGAATCCGAGGAGAAAGCCAAAGCCTGACAGCATCGATTTTGGTAACCTGTCTCATAACCCCGAAATTCCTTTAAAAGATTCCCTGTATCAGTGCGCCAGATCCGTAGTGTCTTTCGACCGGAGGCAAGGAGGGAGTCGTCCTGTGCAAAGGCAATGGACGAGACGGCATGCTTGCGGACTTTGAGAACACGAATCAATGACAGCTCAGGAAGCTTCCATAAGCCAAGAGTTCCCTTTCCATAGCCAGCGGCGATCATGGAATTATCATTCGAGAAGGCACAAGTGCTGGGGTTGGAAACCGAGAGCTTGACGACCCCAACCCGTCTGCCTGTTTCGGTGCTCCAGAGTCGAAGTGTCTTGTCGGTACAGTCGAGAGACGCTACCATTGAAGAATCAAATGACAGTTTCATCGATCGGATATCAGTGTGGAAGTCCGCCCCTTCTTTTTTCTTTGAACCTGCCGGCGATTGTATGTCATAACGCCAGAGCCGCACGCTTCGATTCGAAGTTGATGCGAGGAGCGATTTGACGTGAGAGAATGCCAACCGGCCCTCCTCATGATCTCTCATCAAGCGAATACACTCGCCCGTTTTGGTACGCCAGACCCGAACAGAACTGCGCATGCTTGCCGCCAGAAATTGGCTGTCGTGGGAGAAGATCAGTGACCAACCCTTTGCTTTGCCTTGCTTTATATCCAGAGGAACAGAAGCCCCAGAATCAGCGCGCCATAGTCGAAGACAGTTTATCTCCTCATGTGTATCATTACGTCCCGACAAGTTTGCTGCCACGAGCGAAGAATCCGGCGAAATGATCAACGACGAGACATAGTCGAGGCTCCCCCATTTGAATTTGCGGGTGCATACCCCTGTGTCGGTTTTCCAGAGCCAAACTGTGCCATCGCACACGGCCAATGCAACAGATAAGGCGTCTAGTGAAATCTTCACCTTTGGGTACGAACAGTAGTCACTGTTTCGCTTATTCTTGGCCAAGGGCGTGTGAAACTCATGCATCCGGACACACTCGTGCTCATTCAATCGCCAGATACGGCCTCGGGAAACTTTGTCTTCGGCCAAGATCGATGCCACAAGGAGATTGCCTTCGCATGAGAACGCTGCTGAGGAATCATCACAGGCCAAGATCTTGAGCGTTCGAATGCGCTCCCCTGTATCTGTCCTCCAGAGCTCAATCCATGTCCATCCCGGTCCCCGATTCTGTCCGTAGACTGATGCGATGAATGACGAATCGTGTGAGAAGAGGAAGTCTCGAACAAAGAGCCCGTTACCCGACGATTCATATGGATTTGAGTCTCTGCGGCGACGTTTCCCCTTCTCAACGTCAAGAGTATCCTCAACGCAGGTGTTGAAGTCTTCGTCCGCAATCTTACATTCGAGACTATGGATGCATTCGCCTGTCTCAGTTCGCCATATCCGGAGATTTCCATCAACTGAGATTGACGCCAAGAGAGAAGAATCGTGTGAAAAGATTACGGAGCCGATACGATCCGCGTGGCCCTCGAGATATCGGACGCACGAGCCTGTATCGGTCTGCGAAAGTCGAAGTGTTCCGCTGTCCAGATTTGACACAATGAACGCGTCATCGTGCGAGAATGCGATTTTACTCCCCTGTCCCAGATCTCCAATTACATAAGAGCATGGGTCCCAGTCTTCGTCCGTCCGGGGACGTATTGTGATCCAATGAGGCATGTCCTTTTGGAATATGTCCCTAATGATACTGTTCTGTGGGGCAAAAATAAGAACCGAGGAGTAAAGTTGAAGGGGCGCCTTGTCGATAATCACGCTGTTATAGTGAACAATCCGAATGGCATCGACCAGAAGCGCAGTCAAGGTGTTGTGGCACTTTTCCTAATTCAATGTTAGTCAATTAAAACCCCGACTAGAGTCTTGAGAGTTGCTTTACTCTGCTGAGTCTCTCCAACTTTCTAAGCATAGAGAAGCTATCTCTTGCTCGTCGCATGATACTCAAAGCCTCGACCCAATGTAGAAAGTGAGACTGTAGAAAGTCCAACACATTGTCAAGGTGGTCGACATGGTCTGCTCCGCTTTGGAGATGAGACACCCAGTACAGGCAGGCATATTGAACCTCGGACGGGATATATGTGTCGACCTTATCATGATGGATTATTGAACCCTCCATTTCGGATAACCTTAGACCACACATGTCCTCTCGAAGGAAGTTGTTCATGACCCGTAAACAATTTGTTGCAATGTGATTGTGGGTTTGGGTCGCATCAACCCAAAACTCACTCCCTCTCTTCTCGGAGTCTAACAGGAAGTCTCGGAATGAGAGGTGCAGCAGCCTCATGGGAGACATGGTTGACTGTGGTACACCCAATACCGAATGAAGCATACTCAGTAGACTTGTGATAGATCTTTTTGGGATATCGAGTATCTTAGCCAATGTGTCAGGGGAGAGTGGACTCTCGAGCACCACAATAGAGCCAACAATGGTTTTAAATTGCTCAACAAGTCTATGCCGGTCTTTATTAGACAAGTCCTTAACCAGTCTGTTAAGCACGGGAAGGTATGTCATGTCGAGTTTGGATTCCTGGCTCCTTGTTTGGAACCGCAATACCTCCTGCAGCAGTTCATCAGGATGTCCACATCGACGGTCACCGAGAAAACGACAAACGGTAGCGGCGAAGATGAAAAGCGGAGTCACCATTTCCAGGAGCTTGTTGAAGTCTGGAACACAAGGCCACTCCTGTATGAGCTTGTCATCTTCGTCGTCCTGTGCTAGAGCATTATATTCAGCACGAATCGATTCCAACTGGTAGTTTAGGTAGAGGCGCAAATCTCGTTTCATTATAGGTGGTGGGACTTCATGAAGGACGATATCGCGATATTCCTCTTTGATTGGCGAAAAGCCGAGGCGAATCGGTAGCTCTGGGCGACTTGTAATAAACGTTTTTAACGCCGTGCCCCGCGACAGGCTCAGGAGTGAGATGATTGCTCTGATATCGTCATCTTGCTCGCTCTCATCAAGAGCATCAATCATTAGTATAACAGGCTTATGCGCTCTCGCTTTCGATGTGGCTGTTTTCAATGGTTCCAAAATTAGATGCAGGAATTGCTGTCGCAGTCCCTTGTTCCCGATGGTGGAGTCGGCGACGATTGCCTTCTTGATCTCGATAGCTAAGTCGGGATGTCTGATGGCAAGTTGCCTAGCCATGGTGGTGAACAGCTTTGAAGCGTTGCCTCTGTCGCCCTCGCCTCGCTTGAAAAAAAAGCTGGCTCCCAAGTGGCCAAGCTCATGGAAGCTCCGACTGAGTGTTCGAGATATCGTGGACTTTCCAGTCCCTGCCATGCCGTTCAACCAGAAAATAGACTTCGTGTTCGATTCCTTAACCCATTCATTAATTTCGTCGAGAAGCTCAACGCGAGTACCTTTTAAACATTCCGGATTCAAGCGCTCCTCGAATGAATCGAAAGGGGCTCCTGCGGCAACAGGGAGCCGATTTAGCGTCTCCTCCTGAGAAGCATGTTGCACAAGGTGACTAAGATGTATTTCTTAGCTTGAAAGTGGTGGTAGAAACATGGTGGATTATAGCGTGAATACCTACCCAAGATTTCGCATCTCCTCCTCAGTGGTGGCTGCTGTAACCTGAATCCGTTCGAGATTTTCATTTACTGGGATATATTAGTAAGGATGAGCGTGAAGAGTGAATATAACTAACTTGATCCCAGGACTTGAGCCAGCTGTGGTGTAGCATTCAACTGTCGAATTGGAATGTAGTCGAGAAGCTCTTTGGCATAGGCAGCGGCTGTGGCGGATGCATACCGCTGCCATCGATCGTTTTTGTGAGAGTCGGCATAATCACAGATGCCTCTAATGACAAGGCATGGGAAGCTCTGCATCAGTCCAGCAGCCTCCATCTCTACGCAAACACACTGCTCTCCAACAACATCTGCCACACCATCCCGAGTTGCCGCGTCCTTCACTAGGACATTGCCGGAAGCGATGATGCCGTAATGAATCTCTGGATCGTGTGAAGAGCGTCGACTGCGAGTAATCTCAAATGCTTCATCGCAGCTCTCGCAGGTCTTGCTGCTGGTATGAGTATAAGCAGGCATGAAAAGCCGGTCCTGCTCGGCCCCCTGATACATCCAAGATTCCAGCTTGGGGGGATTTTTCGTTTGCAGTGTTTGAAGAAATTCTGGAATCCTGGTACCGGATATCTCATGCTCTGCCCGTAAGTTCGCCAAGGCGCTCAAAAGCACCGTCGGAGGGGCATTCAGTGAGCCTTTCCGTTCCCACACCTCACCGACAGTTGCTTTTCCCAAGTCATATTGGACTACCCCACCTGAAGTTCCCTCGGGGTGACTGACAACAACATCGCCAAGGCGAATGTCCAAACGGCGGGGAACTCCACCGCCGATGCCAACCAGCAAGCCGAAGCGAAGGTGAGGCAGCGAAGCTGCTAAGTTGGATGCGGTTGTCGCAGCAGATACGGTTCCATATTGCCCTGCAGGAAGCGAGGCAATGACGATGTTGTGCTTTCCCATCCGTCCCCAAGAGTACGAGTTCGTATCTGATGGATGCTGTTCGAAGCCTTGCGGAGCATCATGGCGATGGTCAAGCAATATGCTGGCTGCCGCACGCTCAATGTAGAGGGCTGCAATCCAAACGATCGTATAGAGCTCTGCATTAGACAGAGATTCCGGCATAGTGTATGGAGCTTGTCGCGTATGGTCTTGTTCAAGTCATGATGGACCGGATGGCGAGATGAGGCTCAGTTTGAAGAGTAAGACCACGTCAGATGCGGGGTTGGCTCTGATCTTAGCAACAGCCTCACTTTCAATGTTGGCCATTAACAAGGCCAGCTAAACATATCTTTCAGCTGACCCACTCTTCTTCAGGCTCGATCCAACGATGATGCAGCTATTGATGCGGGCCTTCGCTGTGAGATCCTTGAGGAGGAGCGACGTATTATCGTGACTTGTGCGTATTAATCTAGACCATACGCCTCGACAATAGATGTACAGAGTTGCCTAATTCCTGTACTGCAAAGAATATTAGGCCTAAGTTTGGCTTATAAATCACTCGGGGATATTGGTTTGCCTTCAAATGCCCGAGCAGTGTAGTCGGTATTAAGCGCGTCTCTCACTAAAAAATTATCATGGAACATATTTTCACGTGCAACAACGATGTTGATAAAGGAATAGGATTATTGCATTATTCTGTTATTCGTAGGTCATACTATCTTTCCGTCACAGCATTTAGTTTGCGCTTGAGTTAGTCCTTCTATACCAACTACAGAGTTAAAGACGAGGTTTAGCGGAGTCTGCTACTGCTTGACGCACCAGCCTCAAACTGACTAGGAGACAGGCCTCTACACGAGACACTGTCTTGTTCAACCTCGCGGGTAACATGAATAATGTGGCGAGTTGACTCATCATCGCCATTGCTTTCCTTGTCCTGAAAATGGCGATACTGGTCGCCGTCGACTCTGCTAGCATCGGCGTTAGACAGCTTCATGTGCGTGCGTCGCCCGCCCGTCCCGCCAATGGTCACCAGGTTGACATCGCCGGACCTGCCAGGCGTTCTGTCGCTTGCGCCATACGAGGGGACTAGGTTGCGGATGAGACGGCGTAGCATGGGCATGGAACCGGCGACGATGCCCAAATCACACTCGAGAACTGTCAACATGACAATTTTTCCGATCTCGTCTGTGTCGTCCACCATCAATTAGCTGTCTATCTTTCTCCCTGCGTCGTGTCTCTTCCAACGTGGGGATTGTACTCACAAAGTCTCTCGGTAGGTATAGTATACGCCCACGTGTAGGTTATGCGGATGGTCGTGGCCACTGACGCAAAGACACCCAGTGACAGGATGCCCATAGTCAGGAGTTTCATCCTCTTGGGCATCTGCAGGTGTCGGAGCAAGAGAATAGGCAACACAGTGGTGCTCACATCAGTAAAGATGTTGGCAGCTGAGACGAAGTACGAAACGTTCAGAATGACTGTCTGGCCTGAAGTGCAGTCTCCCGGCTTGCCCCATGCTGCTGACACAGGCTTGCACTGGAAGATGGCCACAGGCCATGATATTTGCCAGACGATCCAGCTCAAGGCGAACAAGGCCCAGAGAGCGTTTCTGTACATCTTATTCAAGTCCGTGGCAAGCCGGAGCAGGGTCCAGATGATGCTCGATTTGATGAGGGCACCATCCAACACGTATAGAAACTGCCATATCATTGTCCAAAGCCCTACTTTGTACTGCATGCCGACCGTGATGATGTCGTCGTGTGATCCGATACCGCTGTATGCGAGAACTATAACGGAGGCGTTGTGCCCGAGGTTAATGATCTGGAAAGAGGTTAGGTGGCTGTTCGCATCTATGGTTATCCGGCAGTCAGAATAGTGCAAGACTCACCCATCCAGCGAGCATCAACCAATCCTCGATGGCGAACGCGTGCAACGACATGCGGACGTAGAACCTTAGACACACCACAATGCTGGATATGACGGTGCAGACGATGGTTACCACCAACAGAGCGAGCGCCAGGCCCTCTGGGTGTATGGGCTCATACTTGGTCGTCGTCAGATCTTTGGCCATGCTGGAAACACCACACTGCTGGCTTGCTCGTTGTTCTCAAACCACATCACTGGTATGTACAACATGCAGCTGGGAGTTGGGAGGGAGATATGTTTTGTGAAGGGGAGACGGTTTTTCTCATGAAACTCTATCCAAGGTCAGACGCCAACACTCGTTCGACAAGCTTGGCAACAGATCAGCCTATTGGGTAACTTAATTCTGATATAGAGGCTGCTATAATGAGAAACCCTGTTGCTAGGAATTATGGGGACGAATCCTTCGCACCAAAGCTTGGAGGTTTTGATTCGGCACTTGAAGTACGATCCAGCGAGAGCCTGCTCAGTGGATACTGCCCTGTGGCAGCCAGTTCTCACCAGCAGAAAATCCCAGGTCAATGGTGCAGATCCCAATCTCCAAGGGAGGTCTGTAACGTCGCCCCTACACTGTGGGCTCTCCTACGTAGGCGTCTCCATCGGGAATAGGCCGGACGAGCTGGGCCGTTGGTTGGCGGCTGATGCTCAATCCACTCAGGATACCACCGGGGAACCCGATCCTGGGCACTGGTGAGGTTTTTAAGCGGCACAGTACATACTACGTAGTCCGTTCTACTATGTAGGATGTAGGGCCGAACTGCATCATACGATGGACGGATTGAGCCTTGCCACTGCCTAGAAGTCCACACAATCAGCTTACGCAGTGTTGAGTTCACATGGGGTCCACGCATTGGGAACTGGACCGTGGGGGATCCTTGAATTCGCTCTTACTGGGCGGTTGGTTCCCGGAAGTTGCATCAAGTTTGAAGCATTCTATCATGAGGAACATTGGTCTCGCTGCCCTAGTGCTGGCCCAGACTAAGACGGAAGTGGCCAACTGAAGACAAGGTGCTTAAGTAGGAGGGGTTTGCAGCCGGTTTTCAAATATCCCGGTCATTGCCACGTTCTTCATTCCACCCATTTATTTCGCATACGAGCACAAACCACGACAGTCGCCCAGCAAGACAAGAAAAACATGTCTGAGCCAGCAAGCGAGCAGCTTCCAGCCCTCCCTTCGGACCTGACGCCGGAGTGGCTGGGAGCCAAGCTTGGGCACAAGATCAAATCGGCCGAGAATACGCGCAACATTTGGGGCACGGCGAGCAAGCTGTTCTACACCATCACGTACGAGGAGGAAAGCAACGACGAGAGGCCGACCCAAGTCTGCATCAAGGGCGTCTTCGACCCGAAGATGATCGAATCGCAGCCGTGGACAGTCAGCCTGGCGCAGCGCGAGGCCGAGTTCTTCACAAAGGTAGCTCCCACCGTCAACAACATGATCTTCCCCAAGGGCTGGTGGGGCGGCACCAGCGACAAGCAAGGCATCGCCATCATGAACGACCTGACCAGCGAGGGCTGCTCGTTTGCTGCTGAAGTCGCCTCGTACCCGGCGGAGAAGGTGATGAACGGCGTCGAGCAGTTGGCCGGTCTTCATGCGCAATACTGGGGCCAGAGCCAGGAGGATCATCCCTGTAAAGAAGCCCCTTTTGGCCCTGTCCCACGCGTCCCTCTCTAACACGACAGCAGGGATCTGGAACAACTACGACCCGGCCATGAAGTTTATGTGTACGCCCTGGGACGACGTGGTTCGAGGCCCTGGCCGACCCCAGTTACCCGAGTACCTGATGGACGGTAAGCGATGCAACGAGGCTCTTGACCGCTACTACGCCGAGCGCAACCCGCGCTTCCGCACACTGCTGCACGGCGATACGCACATTGGAAACATCTACTTCACTGCCGATGGCCGCATTGGGTTCCTGGACTGGTCGGCATTTCACTTCGGGTCGTGCTTCCACGATGTTGTCTACCACATGACGTCCATGCTGAGTGTCGAGGACCGTCGCGCCCACGAAATGGAGATACTAGACCACTATCTTGAGACGCTGCATCGGCTCGGCGGACCCAAATTCGACCGTCACAACGATCCAGAGGTCATGACCGAGTACCGGCGGTCCTTCATGACCAACGTCATCTGGCTCATCTGCCCTGACGGCTTGCAGAGTAAGGAGCGCGTTGCTGCCTTGTGCGAGCGCACCGTTGCTACTTACGACGACCATAAAGTCATTGATGTTATCCTTGGTCAGCCTAAGCCGGCGGCTGGTTGAGAATCAATGCCAACAAAGAATCGTCTTCGCAGTTGATATATGCGGCACTTGCCCTCATCCTTGTCAGATTAGAGCCGTAGCAGAAGCATTATGCTACTCTGATCAATAAATGATCTGACTTTTTCGCAATAATATTGACTGATTCATGCGTCCCCATATTTGCTCTCCCTGACCAGGCTGCCCGTCCAGGCCTCAGTGATCCTTATCCTGGTTGGTGAACCTGCGTATCAACCGCTCGAACATGTTTCATCATGAGCCCTTCCAATGAATATCTCTAGCATGATGTTAGTTCTAATGAGTGATCCGAATCGCACCGGAGCTGTAGTAAGGGGACAATAAGTTTACTCTGTCGCTTTTCTGTCACTTACAAGCGCAAGATTGTTAAGAAGCTGGGTATTGATTCCGTCCGAGGGACATTCCGCTAGGTGTAATGGAGTAGGGCCCTGTCGCCGCTCTGCGGAGACTCTCTCCCATTTTGCCAGCCGTATTTCTGGAAGCACCAAGATGAACAATGATTCACACGCTGACTCCAATGAACAAGCTCCATGCCGCAGGTAGCTGGAGCTATCGAGCGTTGGCCCCCACTTACATCCAACACATAGTCTATCATTCCGTCCCACCGAGGGCCAATAACATGCCGAATCCCAGCGAGTTGGGATGCAGGTAATGCTTGAATATCTATATCTCAAGCACTATGGTCAACCACTCCAAAATAGATAACACACTGTAATACGAGTACTGACTCAGCTAAACCAGTCTCCGAGCCTAATGACTAGGCAAGCGACGTTCAGAGCCCCTAGTAAATACACCGAGTAGCCTCTTAGAATTCTTTACTAGCTTTTGTATAATTAGCCCAATTGTCCAGCACCTAGTGCGAGTGGGGATCGATTATCCTTCGTAAACACCCCCAACTTTGTGAGCACAAATGTTCATCGTCATCCCATAACTTATGACGTACCACGCAACCCAATCAAGCTTAATAGCCCACCGAGCCGATATCTTATTAGCCAGTTCTAATCTCACTGCATCTAGATGGTCGAGATGAGAAGCGGGGTAGAAATGGTGTACTATTGGCAAGTTACGTGAGACATTCCGCTGACACGGCCGACCGAAGTACAATTGAGCGTCCACGTCGCCAACTTCGGACCACTCATGAAGGCCTCGAGAAGTCGTGTACCGTCCCATCGACGCCCTACATAGACACAAAAATGCCGCATCGGAGACATGTAAGCCTCGCTTGCTCTCTCTATAAGTCTCCATGTCCAGTTCCGCGCCCCCGCAACATTGCACATATATCAATACATCTCGCACTCTCCTCCTTCTCCTCGTTCCTCCACGCACCTTACTCACTATTCCAGCCGCCACTTCGCTCAAAAAAACGAACCTATTTGTCGAATCCATGGATCTGAAAAGCAGCTTTGTCCAAATTATCGACGGACAGGTCGGCCCTGCCAAGGAAACCCGTCATGTGATCAACCCCGCCAACCTGAAGCCCATGGGCGAGGTTCCTGTGGCTACTCAGGATGACTTGGATCTCGCAGTTACTGCTGCGAAGAAGGCTTTCAAGAAATGGTCAAAAGTCCCCTACGAAGAGCGTCGTCGTGCTGTTCTGGCCTATGCGGACGCTGTATGCGAGCTGCGGGATGAATTCCGAGACCTTCTCATCGCAGAGCAAGGAAAGCCGGTAAGGGCTATTTCCCATTGTATCTGAGGCTCTGCGTTAACAGCGTTGGCGATGACAGATCCCTCAAGCAGACTTCGAGACGGACGCGGCTATCTATTGGATCCGTGGCATGGCGGATATTCCTTTGCCGGATGATGTCATCGAGGACGGCGAAGACCGGAGCATCATTACAAGCTATGTTCCAATTGGTGTTGTCGGTGCCATTGTTCCATGGAACTTTCCTCTTCTTTTGGCTGCAGGAAAGCTAGCTCCTGCTCTCCTCACGGGAAACGTCATCATTGTCAAGCCCTCGTAACTGCCCCTCCCTCCCTACAAAGGTTTCAACATGGCGATGGCCTTGTGCTAACCAAGTTGCTATTCTAGGCCTTTCACCCCCTATTGCGGTCTCAAGCTTGTTGAACTTGCGCAGCAGTTCTTCCCTCCGGGTGTCGTTCAATCCCTAAGCGGAGATGACAGACTCGGTCCTTGGCTTACCAGTCACCCCGGCATTGACAAAATCAGCTTTACTGGTTCTACAGCGACCGGTAAGCTTGTGCTTCAGAGTGCTAGCAAGACATTGAAGAGGGTCACCTTGGAACTGTGAGTTTCGCTTCGAAGTGATAAATGGATAAAGTTATACTAAGACAGTTGTCAGTGGTGGTAATGATCCTGCTATCATCTGTCCCGATGTTGACATCGACAAGGTTGCTGAGAAGGTGAGTGATATTGTGATCCGACCAGGGTGTATCTGCTAACAACCTAGGTTTCTTTCTTCGCCTTCCTGAATTCCGGACAGGTTCGTACTCCAAGTTCTTTTCTACTCCCGATTTCTGTTAGAGGCTGACAGTTCTTCGGGAAAGCTATGCCTAAATGTGAAGCGCATCTATGTTCACGAATCCATTTTCCCCCAATTCCGAGAGGCATTGGTGAAGCAGGTCAAGTCCTATGTTGTTGGAGACGGTTCAAAGGAGGGTGTCAGCCATGGGCCTCTCCAAAACGAGATGCAGTACAAGCGAGTCACATCGTTCTTCGAGGACATCAAGACGGAAGGGTGGAAAGTGGCTGTGGGGGGTGAAATCAAGTCCTCTGAAGGGTATTTCATCAGTCCTACAATCATCGATCAACCTCCTGATGATTCACGAATTGTCGTCGAGGAGCCTTTTGGTAATTATGGGAATCTCTCTGCTCCCCGTGAATGAGTACTTACCTTCACTTACAGGCCCGATTGTGCCTCTTCTATCCTGGAAGACGGAGGAGGAGGTGATTGCCCGAGCCAACAACACCACCATGGGCCTAGGAGCCTCCGTCTGGTCCAACGACGTCGAAAAGGCATCCCGGATTGGAAAGGAAATCGAGGCAGGAAATGTGTGGATCAACACTCACTTTGATCTGTCCCCTGGAGCTCCCTTCGGAGGCCACAAGGAGAGTGGAATTGGAATGGAATGGGGGTTGAGCGGGCTGAAGGGATTTTGCAATACGCGGGCATTCTATGTCAACAAGAAGGTTATAGGCTAAACGGAATTTCGTGCACACTCTTTGTAAGTTGAATATTGCCCGATTTAGTTCCGGTTTATGGCGTGGTGTTTTTCCCAATCTACCTTCCGACTAGCCCACCAGTTACTCCATGATATCCTCCGCAATTGGCGTCATCATCTTGCGAAATAACATTTTAATCACCGTGTCCCGATTTTGCAATTACAAAGGGTGTGAGGATAAACAAGCCAGTCTTCCTAAGGGTCGTGCAATACTGTTGGAAATACGCCCTCCATTTCCTCGACCTCGAAGAAGACGGAAAACGAGAAGAAAAACTACGGGATCACTCTACAAAACTGACCCTACAAGCGCACGACCATTCCTTGTGCATTATTGTTCTCTCCCAAGGCTTCCAGATCGAAATGTTAAATCTGCGTCTTTACCGTCGCATCCACCGATGATAGTAATTGCGATGCCTCAACGTGGCTATAGGGTAGCTGTGGAGAGGAGTTTTTCGACTGCTCCCCGGCGGCTGAGTAAGCCTCCAAACGAGAACGCCGTCCATTCAAATACTGATGGAAGTAGGCCAATAACTAGGAGAGTCACCTGTAAGGTCAATGACCAAAACATTATAGAATCGCAATACGCCCTGGCATGGGTTGCAGCGTCACATGGTCTCGCGGACTGACTGAAATGAAGCCCTGTCCCACGAGTCGGCGACCTGGCGACCCCGGTGACCAAGCGCCTCAGTAAGAGCCCGAGACGATTTAATCACACCACGAACGCTTATTAAAAAGCGCCCTTAGTAGCCTCCACCTCACTTGATTCGGGGACCTTACATTTTAGTGGTTTGATAATTATATAATCTGAGAGAATCGCCAATAAACTCCACTCTGGTCATCGTAAAATCTTGGTATATAGCGTTACATTTCCGCCTACGTTGCATTTCATTACCATGCTCATGAGTTCCAAAGCAATACTTCGAAATCAATTGAGAAAAATACTGTCCGACATGTCCAAAAGAATTGTCATTATCGGCGGCGTTGCAGGCGGAATGTCTGCAGCCACCCGCCTTCGTCGACTCGATGAGTCGGCCACCATCACTGTATTCGAGCAGGGAAGCTACACTGGCTTTGCCAACTGCGGAATACCCTACGCCTTGGGGAACGTTATCAACAATGATGATGCACTGGTTCTTCGCACGCCAAACGACTTTAAAGAACGCTTCAACATCGATGTTCGCCTTGGCACGGAAGCTGTCAGCATCGATCGCTCCAATCGCATTGTCAAGGTTCAGTCGGTTGAAAACGATGAAGTCAGTGAAGTTGCTTACGACAAACTCATTCTGGCCCAAGGTGCTGAAGCCTTTCGACCCCCTACCGATGGTGCAGAACTGGATCATGTGGTCACGATGCAAACCATCTCCGACCTTCAGTACGTCCGAGCCATGATGTCGAACCGCAACATCAAGCACGCATGTGTCATTGGAGCTGGCTTCATTGGTATCGAAGTTGCCGAGAACTTGCGTAATCTCGGCCTCGAGGTTTCCGTCATCGAGTACGGGCCACACGTCTTTCCGCCCATTGACGCCGACATGGCCGAAATTCTTCATACAGAGCTCAAACGCAATGGAGTCAAGGTGTTTCTGAACTCGACGGTCAAAGAAATCGAAACGTCGCACATCATTTCCAGCGATGGATCTGAGATGCCTGCCGACTTGGTCATTATGGCCGCAGGAGTCAGGGCTAGAACAGCTCTAGCAAAGCAAGCGGAATTGGATGTCGGGAGAACTGGGATCACGGTCAACCCGCACATGCAAACCTCTGACCCGGACATCTACGCAGTTGGGGACATGGTCGAGACTCAACACAACATCGTGGGAAAGCCAACTATGCTTGCACTGGCTGGGCCCGCAAACCGACAAGGGCGCCTTGCAGCCGATCATATTTGTGGCAAGACCGTTGCATATCGAGGCAATGTCGGCACCGCCATCTGCAAAATCTTTGATCTGACCATTGGGTTCGTGGGTCTTTCTGTCGAAGCTCTTCGTCGACTGGGCCACGACCCTCTCTGGGTCACGGTGCATCCCCCAGACCATGCGGGCTACTACCCAGGCGCTCAAGCCATGACGATCAAACTCATATTTGAGAAAAACACGGGTCGCATCTTGGGCGCTCAGCTCATTGGCAAGACCGGTGTCGACAAGCGCCTTGACGTGCTCGCGACAGCGATGCAAGCGGAAATGACCGTGTTCGACCTGGAGCATCTTGAACTAGCTTATGCACCACCGTATGGATCGGCCAAAGACCCCGTCAACATGGCCGGCTTCGTTGCTTCGAATGTTCTTCGCGGAGATTGCGAAATCGTCCACGCGGAAGATCTCGGCCCCGAAATGCTCAACAATTTCCAGATAGTGGACGTACGCTCGCCAGGGGAATTCGCACGAGGCCACATACTACGAGGCACGAATATTCCCGTCGACACTTTGAGAGATCAATTGTCTGCGCTGGACAAGTCACTGCAAACCGTCGTTTATTGTCAGGTTGGGTATCGAGGATATTTAGGCTACCGAATCTTGAAACAAGCTGGTTTCAACGTTAAGAATCTTGACGGTGGCTTCAAGACGGTGGTTGAGGGAGGATATAAGCTTATTTAGATATGATATTTGAATTTTCCTCTAGCTTCGGTTTCACTGTCCTCTATCGGTTGTGCTCACGGCCCGCGTCGATCTCCGTTTTAGCCTCACCTGGGAAGACCTGAATAGGGGTCCGCCCACTTCTCCTGACCTTGGATGCAAGTGTCTGAGTCATCTTGATCAGTGATCACTAATTAAGCTGCTCACTAATTAGGCAATGAGTGCGAGACAATACACCGCCCCTGGCGAGCCGCCTCAACATGCACACTACATATGAGCCACTATTAACGAACCCACGTGCTATAGACTAGACCCTGTGCTTCCAAGCTACCATCACGCTTGTCTACCGTAGCCCACCGTCCCTATCCACTAGCTATTGCTAGACCACTACCCCTCCAAACTCTCTACATATGCCAACACGTTGCACCGTGGCCTACCGGTAGATTGCTCAATACGATGTCTTAATTCCCCTCGGACATGCGTCCGCGACCGCGATTCCCCTATTAAAACCTCGTAAAGTAAATATGATTGTTGCATGTGGCTTTTGTCAATAGACCGTACGTATTCACCGCATGGGAACTACCGGAAAGTGGCGTCGATCCAGACCGTCACGCCGTCCCGAGCTGAATCGCGCGGCTACTGCTTTGGGTACGTGGCTGGCTCGGCTAATGGCATTTTCCCCGAGGCGTCCAATAGTACATACTACTCCGCCTCGTTAAAAATGTGATTGGTAGCCTTACCATAGTACATGAGGCAGCTTGGTTTAAGGTCGAGAGGGGTGACGGGATTTCTCAGGTGTGACCGTACCTGCGTCGTTCAACCTTGGCCAGCCCAAAGCCTCATTAATTTTAACGCTGGCCACTCTTGATGCTTCGCCTTCTGCTGAATTCGTGACGTGATTCTCGTTGTGTGATCGTCGTTATTTGATTGGGACTTGGATTTCTGTGCTGCAGGATACCCAGCGTACACAGCCTCAGCCTCAATCGATCTGTGCTCCATAACACCCGTTGATTCAAGCATCAATTAACCTATTTGTTTAGGCTTGGGAGCTGACCTGCGCGGCTAACCGTTAGCCCGTTAAGAGAGTGATCACGTTGGACGGTGAGGGTCCGGAACTCAGCCACAGTCAGCCTGCATTCAATAGTAGCAGGTAGTGCTCCGTAGTGTCTGTTTCACAAGCTCGACCACAGTTCACAATTGACAGGAGACTTACCAAGTTCCAGCCGGCTGGGTTCGACTTAAGAAAAAGGCTGACGACAAAACGCCACTCACGGCTACCCTTTTGGAAGGTAACCAGGTCTGGACCAAAGGCAAAGGACTTCTCGCCATTTGGTTGCGTGCGTCTCAGGGCGGCTCATCCGATATCACTTGCTGGTGCATCTCCATACGCCAAATTAAATGTCAATTACCTGATTGGATGCCCTGAAATCCGGTCCTAAAATTCGCAAGGATACTGCAGAGGTGTCCCCCTAGGCAGCAATGCGCATCTAGTGGTTAAACAATGCGCTTACGAACAGCCACATTCAACGCCACGAGCAACCACAGCGCCAAGAGCGGTTTCAGAGAGGGAAAGGAGAGAGAGAGAAACAGCGTATTGCGAGTCGGAGATGCAGAAACCAACATCTCGTGGTGGCTTTCGGTCATTTGCTGTGATGGTTTTACATAATGTGAGAACGGGATGCGCGAGGATAGTGACGGGGCTGAAAGGCTAACACGGTCGAGACCGCAGCCGCAGAGAGACGTTTTAGCGCTGGCCACGCGGAAAACCACAAACATTCCTCCGCTTGAGTAATGTGTAAGCTGAGTGGCGTCTGCCACATGAATGTTTTGTTTTAGCCTGTGCCTGACAAGCCATGTCCACCGCATTGGGTGGCCTATTGGACGGTGAGCCTATGTCTCGGTAAGTGACCAGCCCGTGGCGGAGAACGCGCGCCTCCTTAAAGTGACTTTGGCAATTGTACTAAAAGTCTAGGAGCTGACCCCCCCTACGCTATTCCGGAGTAAGCCGGGGTAGCCTCATTGCTAGCACAGCTTGGCATTCGACCATGTCTGTTTTGGGCATCACAGTGGCGGCAGTCGACCTTTCTAGGACCTCAGGGCTGAAAACATGGCGCCTCGGACACCAAACAGGCCTTGTCGTCTAAGCCGTCGTCCAATATCGCCGGGGCGAGGCTTTTTACGGCAGCGGCGGTGATGGGAGTCCTCTGGCAGTTAGCCTAGCCCTATCTATGTGCTTGAACGTTGAGCACGTCGGAGACTACGGGTGGTGATGGGAAACGAGGATATAAGAAGCCCTCGTCGCCTACCTTTCCAAACTCAATCCCATTCCTCAGCAGCAACACACTTGCCAATCGACAACCCATCCCTTCACCCATCTCTATATCCTCTCCCCCTTCACATCCTCCAGAACCATGAAGTTCTCTGCCACTCTTTGCAGCCTCACCGGGCTTCTCGGCCTGGCCCTGGCCGCCGCACCCATCAAGAACGATGGCATCTCGGCCGACATCGTTGTCCCCGACAAGTACATCGTCAAGTACAAGACCGGCACCGATGCCACTGAGCGAAAGAACCACGAAAACGGAATCACCAAGAAGGCCAAGAAGAAGAACAAGAAGGGTGTTGTCGACACCATCGACGTCGGCGGACTCCACGCCTACGTTGTTGAGATCCCTCCCTCGGAGGTCTCGGACATTGCCAACTCTAACTTGGTCAGTAATCTTCAACCCTTTCGTTTAGACAACCACTAAATTCCGTCATCAGATTGAGTACATCGAGAAGGACAGCATCACCAACGTCACTGCTGTCGCCGCCGAGCCGCTCGACAAGCGTGCCGCTGTCAGCCAGCTCAACGCCCCTTGGGGTCTCGCCCGTATCTCGCACAAGCTCGGAGGTAACTCTGGCTCCCACGAGTCCAACTACTACTACGACAACACCGCCGGTGCTGGTGTCCGCGTGTATGTCATCGACACAGGCATCCGGACTACCCACACTGAGTTCCAGGGCCGCGCCGTCTGGGGCGCCAACTTCATCAGCGGCTCGCCCAATACCGACGAGTACGGCCACGGCACTCACGTCGCCGGTACCGTTGCTGGCAAGACGTTCGGCGTGGCCAAGCGTGCGACTGTCGTGGCTGTCAAGGTGCTTGACAAGACCGGCTCCGGCACTATGTCTGGTGCCATCCTGGGCATTAACTGGGCTGTCAACAACGCCAAGTCACTCGGTATCGCTAAGAAGGCCGTCATCAACATGTCTCTCGGTGGTGCCTACACTGCCTCCGTCAACGCGGCCGTCAAGGCTGCTACCGATGCTGGTCTCACCGTCGTTGTCTCTGCTGGCAACTCCAACTCCGACAGCTCATTCTACTCGCCCGCTTCTGCTCCCTCTGCCATCACTGTTGGTGCTGTTGAGGGTACCAACTACCGCGCTTGGTTCTCCAACTATGGCTCCTTGGTCGATATCTTCGCCCCTGGTGTCAGCACCCTCAGCTCTTACTACCTCAGCGACACTTCTAGCCGGTACTTCGCTGGTACTAGCATGGCCTCTCCCCATGTCGCCGGTCTTGCGGCCTACTTTATCGCCAAGGAGGGTCTCTCTGGCTCCGTTGCCGTCACCAACCGCATCCTCGGCGCTGCTGTTATCGGTGTTGTTGCAGACCCGCAGGGTAGCCCGAACCGCATGGCTTACAACGGCCTTGGGGCTTAAATGATAGTGTAAAAGGCAGTGACATGAGTTCTTCCTTTTATTTCCTTGTTTGTCTTTCTTTTTCTAGACCTAGAATCTGCTTTGGATATGTTATCCTGGAGATACCATTGAGTTAGAGTCCCAATGATTATAAGTTACTACATCTCTCGCTACTCAGTCTGTGATGAGCCCTGCCCATCGTGTTTACAATTATTTGATTACCTGAATGAATTAAAACGTGTTGAGTAAATGCAGCCATTCTCCGTAGACGCGGCCTGAATCTGACCGGTATTACCTGGCTATATATCGGGCGGCAAGGGAGGCTTAGTCCCGAGATCGGTTGTAACTTGTCCCCTGCACAGTTTATCCGCGGAACAACTGCCCAAAAACAGTCGAATATAACCTAATTGATCGAGTCTGAACTCTGGACGAGGGTTAACCAAAGAATAGCAACAGCTTCGTCATATAAGGGGCTGAATCGTGCTGGCTGCAGAATCATTGCCAGGATGAAACCCCTCCTTTCCATACCTATGGCAAGGATCTAGACGCAAATGCGGTATACATAGAGATGCAAGCTGCCAAAGTAAGACGCACTCGGCGCTTTGAGTATCCCACCCAGATTCGCAAGTTCGTTTTTGCGATTGCGAACATCTCGCCAAATCTATATTGCTAGTCATTCTCATGGCTCACATCGTCACGGTCCCTGATATCACGGGCGGCGCGATCGGCATCACCCAGCAGAGCCCAGACGTGTTCATCGTTGGCGCCGCCAACTTCACCATCGGTCCGGTAATTGTTGATTACGGCACTATGGGGCTTCAACGACTCGACCCAGACGAAGTGAAGTGAGTCGTAATTGTAAGCGTATGCAATACGGACCAAGAAGCGCAACCGGAGTTTAAACATTTCTCTGGAGACCCCACGGTTTATCTGAGGCCTAGAAAACACAATATACCAACGCTGCGCCTCAATACCACCTCCTATCCCTCTATTCAGGGTGAATGTATCGCTGCAGCCACGCAACAGCTGCATCTTTTCCTCGAACCATGGCCGCCTTCTCTCCTGGTCTCGAATCGTCTCCTCGCGTCAAACAAGAATGGCGAACGCCGGGAAAGTGCTGGTAGTCGAACGGCAAGCCTGCAGTCTGGGCCCGCTTGAAGGTATATAGCTTAAGCTCAGGCGTATAGGTAAAGTCGTCCTCCGGGGCGAGCATCTGAAACGGCACGCCGACGTTGTCGATGTCGTCTTCGGTCAAATTGGATGGGTGGCCAGAAATGATGCAATCTACAAGCGGAGGGTTGTGTTCTCTAGCTCCAAGCCGAAAGACGGCCCATCCGCCGAAGCAGTAGCCAGCAGCTCCAACGCGGGCAAATCGCTCCCGCAGGTGCTTTGCAAACGTGATGATTTCAGGCTCTCGAATTTGTCGAGAATTCCGCTTAACAAATCCATCCAAGCCAACCTCTTCATATCTCTCTTGGCGGCAAAGGTCGAAATCGAGAACCTCGCCGTTGAAAAAGTCAGGGACATAGGCCGTCACATTGGCTTCTTTGGCGAAATGATCTGCCAGCAGACGAATGTTAGGGAACGTCCAGCCGAAGACGTCGTGGATAACGAGAACGGCTGCATCTGGGTTATCGCCAGTGATATAAGTGTCGAGGTTTGCGAGTTTATCGGTTCGGCCGACGGGAGTCCCCTCCCATCGGAAACCCTTGAAACAACAGGAAGAATAAGGCATGTCGATATCGTGCCAAAAATGGGTAGAGAAAATGAGGCGAAGAAAGAGATGTATCAGGGTATTTACCTGTATTTAACGAGAGACGGATTCCCCACGACGACCCATCTTGAGCTAGAAGTTGAACTGCAAGATGAAACAGAATACTGGAGCACCTTCTTAAATTATTTGATCTCCGCACTCACCCACTCACTAGCAGACCCACCTGTCAGCATGTTGCATTAGCCGCGGACTTAGTGCATACCTTCCCTTCAACCTGGACTCTGTGACAACCTCGGGCGATCAGTGATGAGCAGACCAGGAAGAACCCCGGGCACGTAGACCAATTTCCCTTTCTCCTAAAAGCGAGTAGCGGTATCCTAAGTTTAGTTCACCAAATAAAGCCGTACACATCGATTACTAAAGCAGCTGCAATCTAACATGAAACTCTTTCTTATTTTAGGAACAACAGGTCAGTATTTCTTCTTGCTTCTTCTATGACTAAATTACAGCTATAAAAACCGGTAATTTAATAGACCACTAATAAACTGTGCCCGAAATATTGTTGAGAAACCACCAAGAAAAAATATTACTAAAGTTCCATCATCTATACCTGTCCTGAAACATTCTGGAATTCCAGATAGGATATTCTTGATAGAGGAACATGATAAATACTATCAAGCTTCTGCCGTTTTCTCTTGCGATAAGATTCATTCTGGCATCATTGCTGGTCATATCGTAATCCAGGCTTCAACCCATCCTTGGTTGATAAGGCTATTCATGGTTAGTTCAATTCAACTCTAACAAACTTGAAGTACTCACCAAAGGCTTCGGCGGAGCATCGATCCAGGCCGCCATTCTAAGATGCCGATTATCCGTTGCCGTCAGAGAAAGATCATATTTATTCGGCTTCTCCGTCGAGTAGATAAAGTTGGTCGGAAACCCTGGGTCATATGGCGATGCTTCGTGAATATCATCAATGTCTTCCTTAGAGAGCTTTACTCGTAGAGCATCAGGCATGGCGTTTATCTGAGCCACCGTGTTGACTCCCACAATGGGGAAGACATAGGTCGATTGATGGAGTAGATATGCGAGGGCCTGATGATGTCAATACAGGTTTCAAGCACGAAGAGTCGCCACCTACTATAGCCTGAAATGATGTCCCCTTTTCATTTGCTATCTTCTCAATTGTTTTGGAGACGGCAAGAGCTTTCTCACTCGGCGACGCTTGAGCAGCGTCTGGATCGCTTTCCCGTTCATGTCTTTGTTTGGCGGACAATAACGTGCCGGTTCCCAAGGCAGCGAAAGGAACGATGGCCATGCCTTGGTCTTCGCACATTGGGATGATCTCTCCTTCCATGTCACGAAATGAAGCGTTCCACTTGCCTTCGTAGACCGAGAACGGGGTCAGGCCATGGTGTCTAGCATCTGCACACGGTGTCAGGACGTAGTTGGAACTCCACGACGATCAAACTTACAGTCATTCGCCTTGACGACAACCCAGGCTGGTGTATCCGAAACACCCAAGTAAAGAACCTCCTTGGCCATAACGTGCGCATGCAACCCCTTCATAACCTCTTCGACCGAGGTCGTGAAATCCCACCAGTGTACGTAAAGAATATCGATATAGTCGGTCCTCAAGTTCTTCAAGCTATGCCGCACAGATACGTGCATGCTCTTCATAGAGTTTCCAATAAAGTTGCTCTGCAAAGGCTCATTCCCCCTGTTTTGAGAGCGATAGTGAGCGGAGTACTTGGTAGCAATAACCATTTGATCCCGGACACCACGCTTGTCCATCCATTGACCAATGAGCTTTTCGGAGTCTCCCCAATTGTAGACGTTTGCCGTGTCGATGAAATTGCCTCCAATGGCGAAGAATGCGTCTAACAACTCAAATGGGTCTTCATTTTTGCCGGTATATTCGCTCCATGAGTTGCCGATGCTGATGCCTCCAAGGCATATGGGTGAGACCTTGACTGCGGCGTTGGGGGAGAGCACACGATGGTAGCCCATTGGAGAACTGGGCTTGGGCGAGGGTTGAAACAAAGACATGATGATGTTGGCTCGATGGGTGATAAGTAATGGGACGAGCCAGTGTTCCAGAGCGAGTGCCTTGGCTTTTTATCTTCAGAGACGATAACCATATTTCCTCCTCCTCCAACATGGCATGTCGTCACCCACGCTCGCAAGTCTGCATGTAGCCGGAATACAACCCGAATAATGAGTCATGCAGATCTACCCCCGCAAGCTAATGCAACTTGCTGACAGCCCTTCCAAGTTACTCCGTACTTAAACAAGAAACCTGTGGGGCTCACTACTACTAAGACTGACCAATAACGCATTCCTGTTACCCTCAGCGCAGCACATGGTATTAGGGGTTGTAACTATCTTTGACGTGTTCTAAGTCATCTAGAGTTAACCTTTAATTGATTTGTAATATGATATTTCTAAGCGTTTCACATTCTGTCATCAAAAACTTGATTTTCTTACGAAGCGAGGCCTTGAGGTTTGTAGACGCTTGTTGATGATGTCTGTGGCTGATTGGAGAAAATCACGCTTGAACAGGTATCGATAACTCCGCAACTCCGCAAGCAACTCCGCAAGCAACTCCGAGCTCGTTGAGCCAGCCTGAGAGGTGGGTGGAGGCCATGGAGCACAAAAACCTGTACTGCACATGTCCGTACAGATGCCTTGTCCGGTGACAGATGGTGTGATCGAAGAGACTGCGCGTCTCAGAGCAAACTGGGGTGCAGCGTTATCATTGCTGGAAATGAGCAGATGTGGTCTCATTTGTATTTCAAAACCCCATCAACAACAATCTATCACCCGCGTTGAAGCCAACATCACGAGCTGTCCAACTTGAAACTTGCGTGTAGACACGACGGAGAACCAGTAAATTTCCCATCTAAGCAATATACGCTGGTTAACGGTTTCCGAAAAGCCTATTCTCGTCGATCTGAACGTCCATCTTGTGGAAATCGTCAAGAACGTAGCCAGCATATCATACGAAAGACAAGTAGACACCAGACTTCATTAATCCCCTGCATCTCCTCAAACTTTGCGTCAACCCAGCAATCATCAACCTCCACTCTGGCATCTTCCAGTTTGTCTTCATCGCCACTTGGAGTCGATTCAAGTAAGGTCCAACCGCACTGTATTCGGTTTGGCTTGTTCCGGGACTCTTGACCCGTCCTTCCCCGATCCAACTCGTTGCATATCTTCCGAATGACATTCTTTGTACAGGTCCATTAAAACGGTGTAACTCTCACTGTAGGATGTTGAGTTAAGTCGTTGGAGGTTCCGGAATACCACTTTCCGATTCTTGTAGGCCGTTTGCTGTTTGCTGACCTTCGGGGCTTTTGATGACTGATCAGGGGGGTTGAGCGACTCCTCCTTCGCCTCTGTATTCTCAAAATGGCCTCCATTGGGACCATTATTGGGCCTCTCAGATTGAGTATGCCTAAGATCTGTTGAGCTGCCATAATGACCTATGCTACAATGCAGCCACCTTCAAAGCCCATTGGCCAGCCCTGGGAGCGTCTTAGACAAGAGATGACATGCCAGATTCGCAGACCAGGGTTGAAATGGGCGGTAAAGTGACATGTAGTGTGCCAGGTGACGTTGTGTTCCGCTGTGGCCACCTTAGCCGGGTTCGTATGGAGTGTGGACGGCGCTTTAGCGGCAATACCACCGTGATTCATTCACGTACCCGTGCCTTCGCTCTGTGATAACGCTCTCCTCCAAATTGGTTTGCACTTGGGTATTGGTCACCCTCTGTTCGTGGCTTCTATGCTCGTCGTGCTTGTTAGACCATAATCGTGGCGTAAAGATGAGGCTTAGTTAGATAGTCAGCGCTTGTGACGCCTCAGCGCCGTAAGGCTGGAGAGCGATTGGGCACCATTGGGCAGCAAAGGGCCGTGTAGTGCATGGCTGTAACTGTGCCGTCTCTTATCAAGACGTCGTCTACCCAACATTCCTAACGGCTTCTTTATTGCTCGTTCCATTTTAGTGGTTTCTTATAGTCCACGCGCCAGAATACGCCTTGGGTCAAGCTCCGCTCCACCCATCATGACCGCCAAAATGTCAATCAATCTCAACCCGGCCATGTCCCCGACCCATTGGACAACCCTCCTTTGTCTGCTTGCTGGGGCAATTTGTACTATTCTCTTGTCCCGTCTCTTGTTCCGTCCAACAGCGCGCCTCAAGCCCGCGACACCGGTCACACAGCGAGGTGTCCATCTCGTCCAAGTCAAGCTCAACAGGGACGATGCCGACACAGACATCGACATCATCGCCATCCATGGGCTCGACACGACGTCGCGAGACACGTGGACATGGAAAGACCCCAGGGATCCTAAGAACCAAGACAAGTGGGTTAACTGGCTACACCCGGGTATGCTTCCAGAGAGCGTGCATCGGGCCCGGATCTTTACATGCGACTGGCCAGCCAATCTGCTTGAACCATCAGACTTGGTACAAAAGACAATGGAGGAGTATGCTCTGCTTCTGCTCGAAGGCATCCAGAGAGTGCTCTTTGGGGACGCCGCAAGAAGAGAAGACCGGCCCATAGTCTTCATCGCATCGTGTCTTGGGGGCATTATCTTGATGAAGGCTCTCGTGCACGCAGATGACAAAAGAAGCAGCTATTATCGTCTAAGGAGAGCTGCACGTGGTATTGTTTTCCTTGCTACGCCGTTCCGAGGGACTTCGTTCCAGGACGTCGCGGCCTGGGCGGAGCCAGGTCTGAAGGCCAAGGCTTCAATCCAAGGTCGAAAAGTGAGCAGGCTACTTGATAGCGTAAAGGGATCGACCTTCGACCTTGAGGAACTCGTCCACAAATTCACCCAGCTATGTCAAGACAAGGGCAATCCCTGCGAAGTGTTCAACTTTTATGAACTTCAAACGACGAGCCTGCCGCTGAAAGTATTCCCTTGGCTACCCACTTGGCTCCGCCACCAAAAACAGGTAACCATCGCGGAACTCAATTATTCTCCGTCCCATGACTAACGCTTTCAGCTGGTCAACAAGTCCTCAGCAACGCTGGATATAATCCCTGATCCACTATCCCTGGATCGACGCCACTCTCTGATGAACAAGTTTCACAGCCCTAAATGTGCAGATTATCAGAAAGTCGCCGATCAAATTGAAAAGATGGTCGGGAAGATTCGCGAGGGGACTCGACTACAACAAGCGGACGCATGGATACGGAAAAAACACTACAATGCAGACAAGCTCCGAATTGAACGACTCTCGGGCGATCTGTTGCCGATGGATCAGTGCTACATCAATCTCGCCATAGTGGAGCAGTCTGGGCTGAACACAGGCCGCTCGAACGAAGGAGGCGCAAAGCCCTCCCCGTTTTCACTCTTCGCTCGACAGAAGGTTGAGACGTCAGATAGGAACATTGAGGTCAAGCTGCCGACAATCTTCAACGAACGCAAAGGCCACGATGGTAGCGCAGTAGAACCAAGAAGAATATTAATTCGAGGGCGCGCTGGAGTGGGGAAGACTACATTGTGCAAAAAGATTGTCTACGAATTTTCCCGAGGCACATGGAGCGAATGGACCAAGATGTTCAATCGTGTCCTTTGGGTCCCTCTGCGGAATCTGAAACTACCAGACAGACGACAAATACCGGGATATAACTTTGAACATCTCTTTATTCATGAGTATTTCTCGCTGCCGAAAAGCAGACCGGACCTGGCTAGAGAATTGTCCGATGCAGTAGCGACCGATAACAACAAAACCCTCTTTCTCCTCGATGGCCTGGACGAAGTATCCCAGGACTTGGGAGCCGCAGATGCCATGTCCCGCTTCCTCACGGAGCTGTTGAAACAGCCAAACGTCATCATCACCTCCCGACCGTCTGCCAAGCCTCCACCTGACCTGGACCTCGAATTGGAAACGATTGGATTCTACCCAGATCAAGTGCAAGCTTACCTCGACGCCGACCCCAACATGAAGCCAAAAGCCAACCAGGTTCAATTATTCCTTCGAGAGCATTGGCTCATCCAGGGACTCGTTCGGATTCCAATCCAACTGGATGCGCTTTGCTACGCCTGGGAAGACTTTAGTTCCGGGACGGCGCCAGATACCATGACTGGGATATATAACGCTATTGAGTATAAGTTGTGGAAGAAGGATATTGAGCGACTGGGTAAGCAGTACGATGGGAAGCCGGTGACGGCTTCTCAAATTGACTCCTCCGAAGTCAAGGACCTAGTCGAACATGAGGCCTATTTTCTTGAAGGCCTTGCCTTCACTGGAATGCACAGTGACACCATCGATTTCACATCAGAGCATCGAAAACCTATATCTAAGCAGTTCAATTGCTCCAGAATGTTACTCCATAAGACACTTCCAAACCTATCTTTCTTGCGGACATCAGACCCATCATCAAGGCTCGAAGATCGGAACTACCACTTTATCCACCTCACCTTTCAGGAGTACTTTGCGGCGCGGTATTTCGTACGGCAGTGGAAGGATCACAAGCAACTCGAATATGCCTTCAAGAGGCAACAAGATGCCCCCTCCGATCTGCCGACCGACCCAGTTGGATTTCTTCAAAAACATAAATACTCGGCGCGATACGATGTCTTTTGGCGCTTTGTTGCCGGCTTACTAGACGCGGACGGCCAGGCAAACCGATTCATCGATATAATTGAAGAGAAACCGCTGGACCTTTTGGGTCCTACACATCAACGGCTGGTCATGCATTGCCTGAGCGAAATATCGGGTGACTTGCGCATTCGAGTAGACCTAGAACGAAGGCTATCGAAGTGGCTACTATTTGAATGCAGATTCGACCATGAGGCACAACTAGCAAGCGAAGTGGAATTTCCCGAGCAGGCGTTGGACATCGCCTTACGTGAAGGGTCTGATGTAAAGGCAACGATTTTAGAGTGGCTATACTTTCGGGCCACGCTTCCGCCGAGAATTCTTGCACAGGTGGCTCCCCAGCTCGAGGACGAGAATTGGCGGGTCCGAGAGGCCGCCATCGGAGCCTTAGGTTGTCGACCAGACCTGCCAGAGGAGATATTGGCGGCCGTAGCAGCAGGGCTCGAGGATGAGAACTGGCGGGTCCGAGGGGCCGCCATTGAAGCCTTAGGTGATCGATCAGACCTGCCAGAGGAGATATTGGCGGCCGTAGCAGCAGGGCTCGAGGATGAGGACTGGCGCGTCCGATGGGCCGCCGTCCAAGAGTTAGGTCGTCGACCAGACCTGCCGGAGAAGATGCAGACGGCTGTGGAGGCGCGGCTTGAGGACGAGAATGAGAGAGTCCGAGAGGCCGTCAGATCCTTAGGTCGCCGATCGGACCTGTCAGAGAAGATAAAGACGGCTGTGGCAACACGGCTTGAAGACAAAGTATCACCTATCCGAGCGGCCGCCATTGGAGCCTTAGGTAGCCGATTAGACCTGGAGGAGAAGATGCCGATAGCTGCAGTGGCCCAGCTCGAAGATGGGAACTGGAAAGTCCGAGTGGACGCTCTCGAAGAGTTACGTAGCCGATCGGACCTGTCAGAAAAGATACTGACGGCTGTGGCAGCGCGGCTTGGGGATAAGCACCCGAGCGTCCAAATGTCCGCCTGGAGTGTAATGCGGAAGAATGCAAAATCCTACTACACCCTTCTCAGCGGCCCTCACGCAACATCCTTGTACAGGTTTCTATTCAGACAAAGCTTCAAGGAACAATTGAGTTGGTATATTGATGACGGCCACTCTTGCGTCAACATGCCAGAGGGTATTACGAGGATTTCCATTGAGAATCAACAAAATGACATCAGGGTCATGATCAACGAAGCGCGGCCAGCAGATACACCATCAATATGTGGAAGCGGGTAGCGCTGAAGCTGCACCAAAGGGGGCTACATCAGTATATGGAGAGTGCTCACTATACAATTCTTTCCCTCGATGCGTCCTATGTTACCGGCTTAGCCCGCTCGACTGTAGTCTGGTGAGCCTGTTATCGTCCAAGACATGTTGGATGTCTAGTTTTGTCCACGCTGATTCCATCCTCGCCGCCACGTTCGGCGCATCCCACGATTTCATTTCCTATAAATCCCTTCCCGTCCGCTCAAAAAACCCCGCAGGACTTGAGCTGTTACTCCCCGACATAGACTGTCATGCATTTGAAAAAGGGCAGAAAGTATGCGGAGACTAAGCTTATATATTCATTCTACACGGATATTTTCAAATGCCAAGCCACTCCGTGATGCCTCCCCTTGCATAAACCCATGGACATAGGCCCCGCCCACAAGCCTCCATTGCTCTTCGGTCCAGGCTGACGGACGAAAAAGAAGGGGCACCCTCGAGCCGGGCACAATCCACACAGAGTCACCCCTTTTCATCGACTGCGAGCCAACTCCTATGTAGCCCTTGTCTGTGCGGAATAATCGCAGAAGCAAGGCATGAGAGTATAAGCTATCGAACTTGCGAGCGTCTTCTATCTGCTCGTCATTTATGTGCATATCTTCCCCACTAACAGAATTTTTAAGCTGGCTCGAGCCTGGTGCAGTTGCACTCAGCTTAGGCAGGACGGCGTCATAGTCGTTGGATAGGACTGTTGATAAGTCGGACAGTTCTGTGAATGGCGCCAGATGGCGACGGATCCAACTGGAAAACTCTTTTTTCAAGTCGGGTACAGGAATTTTACCGTCCTTGTCCGTGTTCGTAATCAGGCTTCTCCAGAGGACTTCCTGACGGTTCTCCCCGGTATGGTAGACCTGCTGTGTCCGCTTGAGGATGTCCAGCCATTGAACGAATGGCATTCCTCTGCCCACCTCTTCCTTAGTCTCTCCTACTTGAACAACTGTGTCGAGTTTGGCTGCCCTCAACGTTAGAACATTTTGTTCGGAAATTTCTGGCATCACATAAGCCTCCGTGCCGGCGGCAGCAGAAAAGCGCTCGTAACCGGTGATTCCGAGACCGAAGGTCCCCTTGACGTTCCAATCTGGAACCCAACTAGGTAGGGAAGGGATGCTCTCGAAGTCCTCGCCCTCACGGTGTGCAAGCAGCAGGAGATCTGAGCTATGTTCCAGTATGTACCGTGCGATGCCGATGTATGCCTTGGACACATCCCTCTCCTAGTGTGGGTACAAGGGAGAATCCGCCTCGGCGTCCTCAAGCTCCAAGGCGATCTTGTGAATCCCGAGAAGCGCGTAGACCTTGTCGTGCTTCCTGAAGGAGTCCCAGTTGCGAAACCGGACGAGACTGTGCAGGAGGATGGGGCTGTCCTTTTTGAGATGTTTTTCCACGACGGCCAGTTTAGTCAGATCCTTTTTTTACGGCGGCCAGTTTAGCGGGATTCTTATATAACAGCGCCTGCAGTTCGAGGCCTGCAGCGTGGAATTCCCGTTGCGAGATGCTCGTGGCCAAATAGTGAGACATTTCTGTAATATCATCCCAATTAAACACAAAAGAACCGCATAGCACGGTGGTTGCCTGAGCAAGGACGAGCTCTTGTACAGCCCATACACGGGTGAACCAAGTTCTGTCAAATAATGATGCTAAAGCTGACAGCTGTGTACGCTGCTTGAGCTCGTCGATTATGCCTTGATCGTCAGTTCCACTAGGATTCGTCCTGCTAAAATATAGTAGTCAGCTTGTAGACATGGCGGGGAGATCCCTTCTCCCGTGGGCTAAGGCGGCCCGAAGGACAATAAGTGCCTGAAAATGTCACGGGAGAATGGGATTCAACAAAAAACAAGGAGTCAATAGGCCTACCGTGATGCGGCAAACTTCCTTATGAAGGCGCATGCTAGGTCAGTTTGTTTGTCCGCGATACCCAGCCAAATAATGACATTCTTCGCATTCTTGTAAATCTCAGCCTTCAAGTTCACTTGCTAGTTTTTCTCTTAGCTATCCTAGTCAACACAGATAACATCTATCCAGAATTCGAAGTCGTGGTTGTCGTGAGCAAGTTGCTGTAGACAGGCGAAGAGGTTCTGGGTTACTAGGAGCGACTCCCCATTGCAGTTGATACGACGTGCCGGGGTGGCGTTCATCCCTCTTACTGCGGCCTCGCGAGTCGGAGGTCCCCACGTGTAGGAGAGGGCGTGGTAATCAGGTTTGTCATCTAGGTTTACCACGCGAAGGCTGAGGAAGATCTCGGCTTCTTGTCCCTGAGCATGTGTGAGCTCTAAAATAGCGGAGAGCACCTGAGGGCATGCTAAGTCAAACATAGGGGCTACACACCGTTTGAGCATGCGGTGTGACCACAGCGTCGTCGAATTTGAGCATACGGATCGACCTAGGCAACTTCAGGGGCAGATCTTTGTAGAGACTTCGAGGTGTCGACATTGCGGATTCAGTTCAACGCTCAGCCAGATCCCGTAATATATATGCGGCAGGATAGGGAGTGCACGATCGGGCTCTTTCGTTGTGAGCTGGCACCCTCTGTCGAGAAAGAATTGAAGGGGAGGAATAATATGACTTGAGACGCAGTTCTGTTGGCATTCTCCTCGTGACACCAGCTAGAAAATGGAGATTGTCAGCTGTGGTAACGCTGGAAAGGTGCTGCATCCATATTGAACTGAATCGTAATTTTCTCACGTATTTGCTCTCAGTGTCAAGCCTCTCCAATTGTCATCCAATATTCTCGTTGGGACGCCCATCAGGCATTCATTAGGCGTTCATTAGGCACTCATTAGGCATCCATCGGGACCCATCGCCCATCCATCGCCGACTTGGAAACCAGAATGAGTTGCCGCAATATTGACTGATGCCTTATGCGGCCTTTTCTCGATTACTAGTGAGCCTTTCTGGACTTGAAATGTGCATTACCTTCCTGGTCCTGAAATTCCTGTGAGAACTGCCACAGCCCAATCGGCGGGACTGAGAAGACAGCGGTTAAGGCTCTGTAGAGTGACTTACTTGTCTCGGCATTACTATACCTCTATCTCAAGGTGGAACAGACGAGAGATGTCGTGTCAACTCCATTTTGAATACTCGACGTTGTCGGGGTACTTCACACATGACGAACAACTTGAGGGGCCACAATGTCAAGGAAGCGCAAGTCGGCAGAGAGGAGTGGGATGTGAGGAAAACACCCGCGTGGACAACAAGACCATCTGAGCTAACCCCGTATACAAGCGAAATGGGCCCAGCTAGAGGGCGATGATACGATGACCCGGGTCGATGCGAGATTAACAGAGAAAGGTAAGGGCCAGGCGCTCGAAATCAACGCCTCGTTGGAGAGCGATATCCAGGGGATGAAAATTCCAAGGCCGGGGAGATACTACACTAGTCCTCTCGCTCGCTGCCTGGAGACAACTCGGCTTGCCTTCTCAGGCCTCGGGTCATCTGGGAGTGAGCCCTTCAAGCCGATAATCAAGGAAGCCCTCCGTGAGAGGCTGGGAAAACACACATGTGATCGCCGCAGCACCCGCTCCTGGATAGAGAGCAATTATCCTGAGTTTGAGGTCGAGCCAGACTTGACTGAGCAAGACGAACTCTGGCAGCCAAACTACCGAGAAACAGCTGACGAGCACGTCGTACGAGTCAAGAAATTATTAGACGACATATTCAGCAGTGAGGAAAAGAGTGTCATCTCCTTCACCGCTCACTCCGGGGCTATCCGAGCTCTCTACGCTGCAAATAGGCACAGGGATGTGTGGGTGGCTGCAGGGGCGATGGTACCTCTTCTAGTGAGGGCAGAGCTGCAGGAGGTCGGAGCAAGTAAAGATATTTGACTTTGAAGACAATGTTACCCTACCATGGTATCTCTCGTGTCGTTCCCAGCCGACTCCAGAATGTTAGGACTCCCCAGTATGTACCCACGCGGTATTGACACTAGTTACAAGCGCTTTCGAGGCCACCCCAGGTTGGAAATAGCCAGGCTTAAGAAACGGGTTTCTGGATTAATAAGCTGATGATCAGTCCGAGGGCCTTAATTTGACCTCGGGGAAGGTGGTCAGGGTTCTTTGCCTAAATTGGGCGTTTTCACTCGATGTAACCATATTTCTGGTAGATGCCGGTCCATATAGGCTGCCCATCGAAGCGGCACATACTTTCTTTTATCAATACTCCACTGGTCCTTTTCATTCTCCCGGTTAAATCTTGAAGTTTACTTTAACAGGGGAAGCTTTCATAATTGCAGTATCTCGATCTGGTCGCAGTCGCAAGTTCACTACGTAATTGCCCGACGGTGTATAGGGTAGTCCGCGCCGAGCTCAAATGTTGACGGGACTTCAGCCATGGATCCCGCAAACATCAACAATGACACAAACAGAGTCTGCGCACTGGGAAAATGAAGAGCGAAACCCGCGGTTTCGAGCACAGAGGGTAATTTTTTCTCTTTGACGCTAGAACCACCACCACATTGATTTAGACGGCACGCATGATATCCAGCTTCGATGTCAGAATAGCCGACGCTGACGTTACCACGGGATGCTGAGAGGTAGGATGCCGATGTTACTTCGTATGGCGGAGAATAGACCCCGGACTCCTCGGTAATTACGGAGTAGCTTCTCCTGTGTTCCAAGAATCTAAGGGATTGGGGTAACACTAAGACATTTTAGGCGCTGGAGAAATCCGGCGCGATCCGACGCGGAGTCTTAACAGAGCCGGTGATATAGGCTTATCCATGCTTGGGCCAAGAAATTGACCGTTGAAAATCTTTCTCGAACTTTCAAGAAGGGGTTAAGGTTTGCGCGACGTAATGAGCGTATTACGTAGTATCCGTAATGTAATAGGGATTAGGGATTACGGATGGTATGGCGGGCTTGGTCTAATACGTGGGCAGGCCACTTCGTCCAAGCTCGAACTGTCGACACCTTTTCCAGCAACTGAGTGGCAAATACGAAGTCAGTAGTTTAATTCAGACGAGCTACAGTTAGCTTTAACTTGGTAGCTTTGAATGAACGACGGTGGGGAGAAATAAGGTGCTTATTATCTTGCTAACAGAGGGCTTCTCCCTGGATGCTGAGTTTTGGGGCATTGATAATCAAACCAGGTATTTCAGAACGAGCGTGGACAGTAAATATTCGCCCGTCTTGGATAAATATTGCAACGGCGGTTGAGACTACGGTTATTGTAAAGAATGACGAGACAGCCACAGCAATGACCCATAATTGAGAAGAAGTAACAACAAAATGGTGACGTATAATCCTCATGTAACTCATTTCGGGATATTGGGCCCTTCCATTTCGTGTCGCTAAAATGTAGACAGACGTGAGCTTAGACTAGACACTTCTCTTTTTGCTTTCCGGATTTATAGTCTCTTCCCCCACCCATATCTCAGTTCTCTTTTGAATACCTGGCTCCAAAGGGATATCACTATTGTCGCTCCTTGATGGAGATGGTGCTCGATTCGATCGAACAAAGGTTGTAGTGTTGTTCGTGTTGTCGAGGCGATATCCGCTGTTAATGTACGCTGCATTGGACCCAGTCGCGACGTAGGAGGATCCGTTTTGTGACTTTCCATCTCGGAAGAAAAACAGAAACATAGATCGTCCTAGAGCGAGATTCGCGCCCACGATTCCGAGGTATAGTTCGAGGTTGGACCAGATGGCGGTAATGGCATAGACCCCTGGGAGATCGATGGTTAGCTGTTTGTGACGACAGAAGGGTAGGATCTTCACTTACAACTCAAATCAGATGTGACGATACCCAGAGATGCTGCACGAGCGACGCCAAAGCCAGTAGCCCTAGTGACAAAGTTAGCGGCAGTCGACGATGTACGACGATGGACTTACACTAGACCCAGACTCATTAAGGCCCAGACCGACAACTTGGTTTTAAATGGAAGCCGGACATTCCAAATGACAAGAAGAGGGAGCAGCGAGCATAGGATATCAGTAACGATAGAGTACGCTGATGACGCCGGTGTTAGTGGATTTCTCTCCATGGCCTCAAGCGCCAACAAGACCGACTTACCGATAGTCAAGTAAATCCAGTAGATCCGGATTCGTGCATCCCAGCATTTCCCGACGCCTGTCCAGTATGCGTTCACGGGGTCGCACTCGGCGAGGAGAATGATAATGGCACCAAAGTTGGTGATGACCAAACCTGTCATGATACCCCACGAGGTGTATCTTGACCACCTCGCGTCCTTGATTCGCAGCAACAGGAGCAGGATAGATACTTTGAGGAGACATATGCTCGCGAAGAGAAGCATCTGGGCAACCCACCCAAGCATGTTGTTGTTGATATAATTCTCCTTGGGGATGTACCATCTATGCCTGCCATTGCCGAGCTTCACCTGCGCAACCTGGATCGCAAATCTCGCGATACCGAGCCCAGTGACCACAACCATGGTGTAGTCATCCCATCCCAGGGTGTGCATCGAGAACCGCACCCACATGCGCAGACTCGTGGTGATGATGACGAGTGCGATCAGCGTGGCCGACACTCCCAGCAGGACAGGACCAACATTGCTGTCCGGGGGTAGAGGATCTGGCGGCGTTACGGTGGCCATGGCGGGCTGTGATCGTCGAGGGAGCGTGCTGAACTGGCGACAAAGAGGTTGATCGTTTTCGTAGTGTAGCCAAGACAGATGAAGAGCGCTACCAAAGGCTGATATTCATGGACACGCCATACATACATTCAGTCCACAGATCGGAGAGACCGACTACAAGGTTGCATGCTGTTGAGAGCCCGGGGCCGTTGGACCCTAATCGGGCGTCTGCCGCAAGAGACTGCAGAATCGAGCAGGCTCGCTTACAAACTCCGCATGCAGTGTTCAACATCCCACCGGATAACAGCTCAACTCGTCTGCAAGATTGTATCACCTATCACACATCTAGCAGGTGTATGCAGGGGATCCCAGCTAGTGCACTCGGGTGGGAGAACCACGGCCGCGTTTGTGTAGCAACCCACAGTGTCAGAGTCGCAATATTCCAGGCTAATTTGGACCCCTGATTACGCAGGGCCAGAGCTTAAGGCCTGACAGTTCGTCTGACGCGCCATTTCTCCGCTGATAGCCAGGGATCTTGTCCCGTCCCAGATTAGTGACGAGATAGCAGGACGCCATAGTGATCTGCCGGGCCTATTCTCACCGGAAAAGGGCTGACTAGCCTGGTGGCTGAAGGCTTCCCGTCCTTAAGCACTTTGCCATAATTCTAACCGCGGCAAGCATATTTTAGCACGCACAATAACAAAGGAGTATTCCCGGGGCCGTCGAGGCGAGCGGGAAGGTTTACAGGGGTTTAACTGACCCATCTCACATCATGTCATGGGGGGTAGGATTGGCCAGGGACATACCCTTGTCTATTGGATAAACGGATCGAACTCCCACTAGCCAAGACTCTTGTCAAAGTCTAATCTCAGAAGAAACGCAGCCGGCAGTTCCGCGGCCGGTAAGGGTCCTGGAGTTGGAGCGTGAAGCCGCTTTCTCCGCTGTTCGTGATGCTGCGCCTACTGTACCCGGCGAGACAGTAAATTGCTCACCGCTGCAACTTCCAACTCGAGTTAGCTGCATATGCAAATGCATGGAGTAAATAGTAGGGTAAGCACCATGGAAAAGAAGAAAAGAAAGCTTTGATCCCTGTTCCCTCATGTCTCCCACGTAGTACTGGCCGGGGCCGCTCCCCTCGATGCGCATATGCAGAGTAATGCGTACGTAGTACGTACCCTTTGCAAATTACGGTTGTCCGGGGAATGTTCCCTCGACGGCGAGTCTATTGGATGCTAAGATGGCAATATTGCCTGGAAACCTAGATCCACCGCCTCGTTCTTGGCAGCAAGCACGTCGGACTCCATACAAATGAAGCTGCATCCCACCGAACCCTCGATGCATCCATCGTCAGTGTGCAAGTGCGACGCCCACCTCACAAGTACTAACCCGGAGTGGGCTTTAAGTTTTCGTATCACGCTCGGTAATCCTCTGTCGCAGTGGAAATGATGCTTGCAAGGTTGTATTCGGGGCTTGCTTGTGCCGCAGTTGCACTTGCAGCCCCATCGTATACCCCGTCCTACGATTTTGTGAGTGGAAATCTATCCCGCCCCGTGTTCGGTGCTTGAAACTAGGAGTGCAGAAAGCCACACGTCTGAGTTGTCTCGGCTAACGCTCCTGATCTGTAGATTGTCGTCGGCGGTGGCACAGCAGGCGTCGCCGTTGCTGCTCGTCTCAGCGAGGGCCTCCCCTACGCCTCGATTCTCCTCATCGAGGCTGGGCCTGCCGCCTGGGATGAGAACAAGATCAACGTCCCGGGCATGAAGGGGTCAACCCTCGGAACCACGTACGACTGGAACTTCACCACTGTCCCGCAAGCTGGCGCCAATGACCGATCCTTCCCCGTCAACCGCGGCAAGGTCTTGGGGGGAAGCTCCGCCATGAACCTCATGACCTACGATCGTGCTGCCGCCGCCGAGTATGATAGCTGGGAGGAGCTGGGCAACCCGGGTTGGAACTGGAAGACCATGATCAAGGCCATGAAGAAGTCCGAGACCTTTACCGGCAAGAACACTGCTACATACGGTTCCGCGGGCGTGGGTGACAAGGGTCCCGTCCAGGCAGTCATCAACCGTGTCATTCCAGACCAGCAGAAGACTTGGATTCCTACCATGAACAAGCTTGGTATCAAGACCAACCTCGAGTCTCTGGGTGGCAATCCTCTCGGTGTCATGTACCAGCCAAGCAGCATTGATCCCGAGACTTACACCCGCTCCTACAGTGCCAACGCCTACTCAACCATTTACGGCCACAACTTGCAGATCCTCACCGATACCATCGTGGACAAGGTCACCTTGGTCAAGAAGGGCAAGCAGCAAGTTGCCACTGGAGTTGTCCTCCAAGATGGGACGCAAATCAATGCACGCCGCGAGGTCATTATTTCGGCCGGCTCGGTCCAGAGCCCTGGCCTACTCGAGAGGTCAGGCGTTGGCAAGAAATCCGTCCTCTCCGCTGTCGGTGTCAAGCAGATAATCGACCTCCCTGGTGTCGGCGAGAATCTCCAAGATCACCTCCGCATCATGAGCTCCTACCAGCTCAAGCCAGAATTCACCTCGTTCGATATCCTCCGCAGCAACCCTCTCGTCGCTGCCCAGCAACTTGCGCTCTGGGTCCTCGGCAAACTCTCCCTGTACGACTACACGGGCAGTGCGTACACCTTTACCACTTGGAAGCAGGCCATTGGCAGCGACAAGAATCTTCTGGCTCTGGCCAAGAAGGCAGTCGGTAAGGATGCCAGCAAGGTGGATAAGAAGAAGCTAGAGTTCATGAAAGACTCATCGATTCCCCAGTTGGAAGTCATCTTTTCAGATGGGTACACTGGAGTCAAGGGTTATCCGGCAAGCACATCAACACTCTTTGGCAAGGGCTTTTTCACTCTCATTGCCGTCGTCATGCACCCTTTGAGCCGAGGAAGCATCCACATCAACTCAGTCGATCCCGCAGCAAAGCCCGTCATCGATCCCAACTACTTCGGCAATGAACACGACCTGGAGGCTGTTGTCCAGGCCGTCAAGTACTCCCGAAAGATTGCCACGACCGAGCCGATGCGGTCAGTATGGGAAAACGAATACGAGCCTGGCATGGACGAGGTCCAAACCGATGACCAGCGAAGGGAGTACGCCAAGAAGACCGCTCTCAGCATCTTCCATCCCAGTGGCACCTGCTCTATGCTTCCCAAGGCTGACGGAGGTGTTGTCGATCCCAAGCTGAAGGTCTATGGTACCAGCAACCTCCGAGTTGTAGATGCCAGTATTATGCCTCTCCTTATTTCCGCGCATATCCAGACAGCTGTCTATGGCATTGCCGAGATTGCCGCTGAATTGATCATTCGCGATCTCAAGTACTAGGATTCAACCATTGCGTTTCTCTTCCAGGGGCTGGTATAGGGTAATCGGGGTGACCCGAGGTTGTAATCTGGTAATAAACTTCAAGATAGACATTCAATTCTGAATTTGAGACGCTGTGGTATCAGCAGATGCCCGTCATTCTGGAACCCAAATATAACAAAACGTTTGGCAAGAAACCTCAAGCTAATGTAATTCCTGCGCACTTCGGTGAAGATCATAAACAGACGATTTACTACCGGAGAACACTCCCCGGATGCATGATCTGATTTTGATGGTAAACCAGTGCCGTTCCGTTACATGCCGCGGTTATTTGCGCATTTTCTGTCAATCCCTGTAGCGCAATAAGGAGAGTTCGAAAGTATTCGAATATCTGAGTAACGACCGTTACCGAATGGAATGGTAGCCTTCTGCGCTGATTGACTGAGCACATCGCACCACAACGGATGTGACTGTCAATTGAGGAACTCCGGATACGTCGGGAGCTTAAAGACTACGAGTTACATCGCCTGCATTGCGCTTAAACTGCCGGGAGTACGGGTGCCTTCTCACCATGCTGCTTCTGGAACAATCCCGCAGTGGCTGATTCTTGTCTTACTCCCTACGCGCGCATGGTTGAGGCCTTACTGACACTGGATGTCGCAATGCCGCTACGGCAAATGGGAAAGCACTCCTCTTGCCGGTAGTGCAATTGTATTCCATATCTCCGCCTTACAATGGATGGATGTGACGACTAACTCCTTGTGAATCATTGAGGTCTGGGCATTTGATGATCCACTGAGGCTGACAAGGCAGACACGAATGGTACAGGAAATCGGCCGCATGTGGTATTCGCAGCAGGCAGAATCTTTAAGTGACACTAAACAACCATGATCAATACAAGATAAGAGATAAGGTGAGCCACTTAATACGAGGGCCATGACGTCGGGTGATGCATCTTGATGCTAATTGGGTAATGAAGCCAAGGATCGCAACACCAGGCACCAACATTCAGACAATTTACGACACTTCACATGCGTGTTGTGTTGAATCCAGTAACAACCGACATTAAGAGAGGGTATCTAGAAGAACAACACAAGATTTTGATTTGATGAAGTTATTGCTGCCTGTTGGAGATGCGGGCCATATACTGCATGATTAATTGTCCGCAGATTGCTAATCTTTCATCAGACTTGACACATACCGCAGTAGCCAGGAAAAAAGACCCAAAAAATACAAGAGCATCACAAACTCAGTGAGTCTCTCTTCCTAGCAGCATTTGATTCTCATTAAAACGTCGAAAAGGCTCTTGGGACCACTCGACATCGCCATGGCTGTCACGTTGAACATCGTCGACCACCCAGCCCAGCCCTGGAGGTATCTCGAAGTCACAACTCCCGAGGCCCTCCTTGAAGCGATCAGCCCTAGAAACTGTCACGATCGCCACCTCATCCAAAGCTCAATTCCCGGGCTCGATTTCGAAGCAAGCTGCACAACGCCGTCGAGGAACGGCTTCGTCTGGGCTGCCTACCACGCGTACAGCGGCCATCACCATCTGACAATCCGCCCTGAGGACATCTGGTTCTCAATTGTCACACAGCTAAGCTTCTACATCAACGCCAATGCCGAGAAGCTGCGTTCTTTCTTTGTCGAGCACGAGGGACAAAGGAAGCTCGAGGTCAAATCGGGCGGGTCTCTGCACACTGCCGACTTTGGATTCCTTGCTGAATGTATGGCGCACTTGATCGCCCAGAACGTCAAGGATGCCGAATTGCGGGCTTGTGTCATGCCTTCGTTCTCAACAACTACCGACACGGATCGCGTCGTCGCCTCGGTGCTCTTCATGGGCGCGGTGCAAAAGTACTTTACGTACCAGATGACCTTGGAGTGCGGTATCCCATCTGTGACGCTGCTTGGAGAGGTCGCCGATTATGAGGATATTCTGGCACGCTTGGACAAACTGGAGCAATTGGGCGATGAATCAACCTACTTTGCCAAGATGCTGAGGCCTATCCTGCGCCACATGATTCTTTCATTCAGGGAGCCTACCAACCCAGAGGTCATCAGTTTTTGGAACAGAATTGCCACCAGGGACGAGAGAATGAGCGGCCAAGACTACCTGTCTGGATGGATCACTGCGTTTTGCTACTGGAGCGCTGAAGGACAAGCTCAGTACCCGTACACCGAAGAGGACTCGGTTGAAAAGGAAGATGACTCGGTCAACGAGTTCCTCCAGGACAGTAAATTTGGCCACTATCTCGAAGGTTGTGTCCTTGATGGTGTTGTTTATGCCAAAGTTGACACTGAGGATGTGCCTAGCGGCTTCGCTACGGTGCCTGTCACGGTTGACGACAACGGCACGATGCATGAGTGCAACATGCTCGCGGGGTTCTTCGGCATACAAGGTCTTCCTCAAGATGTACCGGGCGAGGCTTTAGGCCAAAAGTCCACTGAGCACAGCCAAACAGCTCTGACACGGATCAGGCCTCTGACAGGATGGATAATGTACGAGAATAAACCTAGCTCTTCAAACGCGTTACCGAGTCAGACGTGGCGTTCTCTTTATTCTACCCTAGCCTTTTGGAGAAAACATAATAATAATATTTGAAGTTGTTAAATATTGAGTATTACTATCCACACACCTCCTTATTGCGGATTATGAGTTCCCGAGTTCTCCATCCACTTTCTCACAACCTCTGGATCACTTTTTCCATTGTACGGTTCCAACCCGAACATGGGTTGAAAGGCCCTGCCATCCACCAAGTCCGGGTCAGCCCCCTTCTCCAATAACCACTCCGCATACTCCCGGTCCTGCGCCGCACAAGCATACGCAAATGGCGTCATGTCTTCACGTCTCGGGGGCCGATGAATAATGTCAAAGAACTCGACATTCTTGACGTCGTTGACACCAGTCACATCCGCCGAGAGCAAGTATTCAGCCATGGCGCGCCTTTGAGAAAATGGTTTGCCTGGAGAGAACCCGTCATGTCGGGATCCCATCCATTGCACGAGGCTATGTAGGGGGTGTGCGTATGAGGGCTGCGCACCGTGAGCCAAGAGTAGGGCGACTAGCTCGGGATCCCCTTGGCCTACGGCGGCGTTGAGGACTCTTCCGCAGCGTCGATCCAAGGGTCTGCGGTCGTAGATGCCGACGTTCAATCGACTGAGATTGGGGTCCGCCCCATGCGACAGTAGGGTAGTGAGGAGGGGTTTGTTGCTAAGACTCTCGAGGAGTGGGACTTTGTCAATGTTGTTAACCGCGTAAAGCCCATTCCAAAGTTGGTTCGGATGCCAGCCAAAGTCAAGTAAGACCTTTACCAGGGGCAGAGGGTCTTCTCTATCCCTGTCGAAGATGGTCACATTCTTGGGCTTGTTGCCATAGACCGTGGGGGCGTGGCTCCAAGATCGGAGAAAGACGTTGTCGTGTAGGACGGCGCCTTGTTCCAGAAGATAGCGCGCAACGACGGGCTGGTTTCCGAAGGATGCTTGCTCCAAGCCATATTGGAGCACGGCTTGACTTGGGTTGCCCTCTTGAACAAAAGAATCGACTCGATCCATCAAGCCCTGCTCGCATGCGTCGTAGAATCGCAACTCCGACTGGTCAGGGCTGATCAGCTTGGCAGTCACGACATACTCAGGTCTTGGCAGGCGTGGAGGCAGTGCCGGCAGATCATCACCATCTAGTGCTAGGTTTTGTTGGACCAGGACCGGTGCCACTGCAGGACGGATCTTGCTCTCGATGCGGCGCCGATTGGCATTCAGGCGTTCCATCCAGTCGATGTGTTGACGGATGTCGTCAAAGCACTCTGAAGGATCCATGGCTGGATCGCAGGGGACAGGAATGGATATCACACTGTAGGGCAAAGATACGCCTTGTGAATTGTGTTCAAGTATCCGCTTGATGCTGTTCAGGTTGACGTCTTGGATTAAAGTTATAACAGTCACATGGATGGCCTCAAGTCCAGCTGGCGGAGCATCAGAAAGAAAGGCACAAAACACTCAAGAGCGGGGATTCGCTGGTCTTCGCCGAAAATTACTAATAAGTCTGTGGGGTGAGTTACGTTACAGCCACCCCGGTCCAAATATTCTCTGCCGTCGTATAGCTGCTGTGGATGTTCGTCGGGTACTTCGTATTATTTCGGGGGAGCAAAAGAAGTTGGTAACACAATATCAGGCTGCCTGTAATTCCAATTTACCGACTCTGTGTCTACGAGTAATTGAGTATGTCTTTTAATGACACTAGTAAGTCACTGGTATTATTGCTGGTGGCGAAGGGAATCTCAGAGCGTATATGCCGTCCCTTCAGTCTTTACTACCGGCGACCAATTGCTGCTATCTCTAGTCTGTCGGCTCTAGGGTCGACAAATTGAGCGAGGATCCATTATGGCCGGTGAATTGAACTCTGTAGAAACGAATATCAGGTCCGGACACATCTCAATGCTTCCCACCAACCACGTTGCCGTTCTGGCCAGTCTTGTTCCTGACTTGATCGAAGAAGAGATCATCAAATAAATCATTGGAGAACCTGTCCTTCAGATCCTGCAAGGTCCATTTCACCTTCATACCCTGACCAATCTCAGCGAGGATCCGCAGGAATTCCTGCCTCTCATCCTTGTAGTCCTCCTCCTTCAGCTTCTGGATCCATGGCTTGCCGTTGACAGTGTAACCAACCCACTCCTTCGCCCAATGCGGTCGAGTCTTGAGCAACTTGCCGGTATTGGGATCCTTCAGCGCCATCCACTTATCGAGGACCGACTGCGCAAACGTCGGCCACAGATTCGCCGCGTTGTGCAGCGTGAGCACCTCGATGCTGCACGTACCCAAGGCGTTGCCGCGCTGAGGAGCCATGACGACGTTGCTGCCGCCCATGATGCGCATCTCCAGAGGCATACGCATCGGGCACTTCTTTCTGTTCTCGTAGCAGAGGAGGATGGCGTCCCACCAGGCCTGCTGCACCGGGGCAAAGTCGATGGTGCCGGCAGGGCCGCCCTTCTTGGCCACGAGGGGCATCTCCACCTCGACGTCGCGGACCCTCACGTTCTGAATGGCGCGCTGGAAGTGCAGAGCGTCCGGGAGCCATGTTTTGACCGACTTTTCTGGGAGAGCGGCCATGGCGGCGCGTGAGATGAGGGTCACAGCAGCCTCGGACATCTGGGTGACCTGGATGAGGTCGTTGAGAATCTTGGCGTTCTGAAGGACGTTCATGGTGACAGTTTGGATGAAGGAAAGGAAGATGTGTGTATTGTCAGGAAAAGCCTGCACGCCTTTGGAGTCTGTGGTGTTGTCCCAAGTGTTGACCCAGGAGAAGTCAGAGTAAGGGAACCAGAACCACTCAGCGTAGTAGTCGTTGGTAGCTCGCCGCTCGAACTCGGCCTGGCAGTCGTGTTGCTCTTTGGGAGACAAGTTCTTCCAATCCTTGAACAATGCAGGAGGGATATCTTTTTCGGCCAAGCCCGGCGGCGGGGGTACGGCCCGAATGACGGGCATCTTCTTGGGAGCGAGCTGTGCATAGGTCATGGGAGGGAACTCCATGGTGATGTGGGTGACGACACCCATTAAGCCAAAGCAGCCGCTTGCGGCACGGAGATGATCTGGATTGTCGACGTATTGGATCTCGCCGTTGGCATCGACATACTCGATCTTGCGGACGAGGTCGCTCAGAGTCATGTTACGACGACCTGCGCCGTGGCAGATGGGAGCGTTGCTTCCACCCAGCGTAATCTCCACCATGATGACGTTCAGTGGGATAGTGACTGTCTTGTTGCTGATACACCAGCGGCGTAGTCTCTCGTTTGTTGCCGCACAGCCAATCCGAACGAGCTTGTTCTCAGGGACTCGAGGCTTTCCTGGCGCAGGCTCGATGACCTCAAGCTCGGTGGGTTTAGATAGAGAAAAAGGCAGGGCGGCCGTGTTTGGGAGTCGCGTCACCAACGCGATGCCCAGCATCGAGATCATGATCTGTCCCTGTCTTCCAAAGATGGGCGACCATGAGTGACCTAGGCATCATGGTAAGCTACACGGAATCTTGATGCACCTTGACTGGTTAATTGACTCACGGTATCCAGAGCATCGAACACTCATTTTCTTCTCCTTTGCCAACTTGACGATCTTCTGGATCGAACTGACCGTTGTAGGGACATAGGTGATGCTCGGTGTATTGTTGATGGTAAGACCCCAATTGTTGAAGGGCGCATTGTAATATACCTGAGCGTAGGCTTGTCAGTTAAGGTGGCGGAATGTCCCTGTCTTTCTTACCAGAGCCCCCTTGTCATCTTCTTTGTCGAAGAAGAGGTTGTGTATATCCTCGAAAATTCCCTTGAGGAATCCGCCATGAGCTGGGGCGCTTTTCTGGGCAGTGGTCGTCGTGCTCATCAGGCTCATCGCAGCCGCACCTGATGGTCCGTCGCCCTTCAAAAGATCAATCGAGCCGGTTGAGGATACATGGACGGCAGCCTCGGCTTGTTCTAGCTTGCAGAGCTCGTCGCGACATCCGGGACTGGGTTCAAGGACAAAGTCCCGGCCGAGCTCCTCGGGGGTCTTCTCCTGCTCGACGAAGGCGTTGACCTTGTCTCGCTCCGTCTGTGTGAGGTCTCCCAAGACCTGGGAGTAAGTTTCGTCGGTGGTGGAGCGCTTGAAAACCTCGAGAAGACGACGATGGAAGTCGTCCTTGGCAACATTGTCAGACGTGTAGTCATCGAGGAGCTCCTTCAAACCAGGCACGCTCTCATCACGGAATTCGGGGTTCTCATCGAGTTTATCGCTGATCAAACCCAGCCGGTCGTTGACCGAATTATCCCATGATTGGGGTTGAGATGAAAGTGCAGTGGCCATGGTTGAATATGGGGCAAAGGGCAAGTGTGAAGGGTGGGCCTCGTGTTGAAGCCGATTTTGAAGATGGGTTGAATGAATCCTTAGGAGCAAGTCAACTCGAGCACAGGAGACAGATTCTACTCTTATATAGGTTAGGATATACGCAGGCGGCAGTGGTCCGGGGAAAGACCACAATCTATGGCCACACGGAGACTTTTCGCGGATGCACGCCGGAATGCTAATCCAAGGATGACGATCTAGAACTCAGCTCAAACCCTAATGAATGATCAGCAGCGAAACATGGCTGAATCTTGCAAATCTTGCTGGCTTTGCTTTGACTTGTCTCACTTAAATACCCCACCTACATTGAAACTCTGTGCTCACCACGCATGGGCAGGCCAGTCGATTGAGCTCAGACTTGAGAGCGTCGTCTGCCACTCAATCGTTCCAAGACCGAGACTCAAGGACTATAGAGCTAAGAGGGCTTAGCTTGACACAATCCTTTCGAGCAAGATTGCCTTGAGTAGCGGTGAAAGTGATCGTCACATTCCTGCATGCCTTGGGGAGGACGCAGCAATACTATCAGCCAGCCACCAAATGCAGCAAGGAGTCAAAATCACAAAGACACTCCAATGAAGAGCCTTTGGCTAAGGGCCCTTGAGCGGGGTTCGCCTAATTGACGATTGAACCGCCCAGCAACAGCAGTCCGGTGCGCGCCACAACTAGAGTAGCCACTCGGATCGCGCCGTAGGTATGAATATGGTGGGACCGGTCGACGTTTGTCTCACCTGTTCTGTTGAGACTAGACTGCGTAGCAACTCATGATTGAGTTGTGGGCTGTGCAAATTGTTCTAGACCGGTTGAGTGTCTCGGACTGGTTGGGTTTTCCTATTCTTGGCTCAGTGACTGCCTGTGAGTTTTCGGTTTTAGATAGCTCGCGAGTATTGTGGTGAGGCTTTATGTATGCGAGGTTTCGGGAATGGCTGGTTGATGCGTGCCATAGTCACATTCCACATTTCAGCGTCGCTAGTTTCACCGTTTTTAGTTAGGCATATTGAAGTCCCCAACTGCCTCACCCAATAGAGTTCGAATTATTGGATATATGGGCCGCCTGGTCTGCGCCAACCAATATCAACGTACGGCATAGTCTGCAGAAGATAGGAAGAGAATTGTGTGGTTGCGAGTTTCCATAGGTTAGAAGGTGTCGATGGAGTCCATGGACGCATCTTTCTCGCTCTTGAGGCTACTAGTGTCGCTACTTCGGCCAACCGTGTAGCTGTTATCCCCTCGGGGGTCGCACTAGTAATCAGATCTCTATGACTGGATCGGATGTTGGGCTGTATACTATTATACAGACAAGTCTGTTGGGATATTCTGCGTGTCGTCCTAAGAAGATGGCGGGACTGGGTAATTTATGCTACTTACTACGCTGGACTATCGATAACTTATGGAATTAAGCATATCATAAAGATACGATGCTGAGATGCGACTGGATGCTTGACTAGTAGCGCTTGAGAAATGACGAGAGTGGTAAACCTGCCACAATATGCAACACAAATCGAGTGTCAATAATACACATATGGAATCCAACAAAATGATTTAAACTCGCTATGGGCCTTAGGAATCAGAACTAGTCTCAGGCTTCCTCCCCCAAATGAAATAGACTGGAAGGTAAAGGTGAATGGACGGATCCTTCAGATCTTTCTTCACCTGGGCCATCAACACGTGAACCTCTTCTATGTTCCAACCCAATCCATGCGCGAAAATGCCAGGTGTGTAGGAGTCCACGACCTGGAGCTCCTGAACAGACTGGTATTTCCCAATCTCCTTGAGCTTTGGGTCTTTGGGCCACATGCCGATTGGCAGCTATCATTGCGGTATTAGTACTGACTTTCAAGAAATCGAAGGTTGCTTCGTGGGGCGGTATACCTTGTGGATTTCCTGGTGAACATCGACGAACCCTGCGTCAATCAACTTGTCCTTCCACCCAGCAGTGCAATCCACCGGCTTGCCAAACTTCTCAGCGCCCTTGCGCAGATTTTCCATCCAGGATACGGCATTTGTGGCCTTCTCGATGGTACCGTCATCACACAGGAATTCGGCATTCACAGCCTGCAGCTCAATATACCCGCCAGGAGCCAAGTGGCGAAATGCCTGTCGAAACAGCTTATCTGAGTCGCCGACACATCCCTCAAGTTCCCGAATGTGAATAAAGTCGAATGGTGTGCGATATACCCAGTCTTCTTCGTAATCATCGACTTCGAAGAAACAATTAGGCGGAGTCCTACAATAGTTCTTAGTACGACCCAGCAGAGTGCAGAGGAACATGCATACCAGTTGGGCTGGATAGGGCTCAGGTCGGTCCCAAACACTTGTGCGGACGGATGATCACTAATGTCCGGGGTTAATAAATGACGTTGGAATCAATCACCGCTAGGACTGGTAACTCACTCGGCAAAAGTCATGGCCCAAATGCCGGTTCCGGTACCAAGGTCGAGCACGCGCTGAATGTTTTTACCAATAGGCGCGAGTTGAAGTTGTCCGTCAAGCATAAGAGTATATATATGATGGACTAAATCCATTCGATCTTGTTCCTCTTCGTCGTTTGGCTATTGGTGACTTCATTAGCCCTTTCTTGACTGTTATCGCGGGAACCGTCCAGCACATACCACCGGGTAGGCACCTTCGCGAAATGCATGATAGCGGCGCCCGTTCTGCGTCATTGTCAGCTCAGTACTGGTGATTCGAGCCTGATCACACTAACCTCGTATCTGGATAAAGCATTAACTTCTATACTATTACAAACATTTTCATCATAAGCTCATTATTCACTTGTAGTTAAGTATACTGGAGTTTAGAGACGAAAAACGGCTGCCAGACGCTTCCCTAGAAAGAAAGTCAGAGAGGATAGGTCTGAAGCGTGTTTTGGGACTCACGATTCCTCGTAGGCAGAGTCGTATTGCTCCTGCTCATCCTTGAAGACAACTGTGGTAAGAAGACGGCGAGGTATTTGTTTCGAAATCTAGAAGGATTCACGTACGTCTGCCTGCAACTGGGCTTCAGGCACCAGCGGTGGAGGCGAGCCGGAGCCCGACTTTGGAGGCGAGCCGACGGATTTCGGAGGCGATCCGACGGGCGATTTTGGAGACGTTCCTTCAGCCATTTCTGCGCGGATTTGAGTATCCAATGCAGGGAGCAAAAAGAAACGAAAGCTACGTCAAAGCGCGCTGTAAAAGTCGTGCTTTTTATCATTATTGCCTTACCCCGCCCGGGCCGCGACGCTTCCAACCCTGGCTGTATTTCGCGTAGCTCGGCTCGTGAAGTGTGTACGTAGTATGTAACAAGAACCTCGGACTACAGTGGGGATCAAGCGTGTTTCAGTGGCTAAGGGTTCGCTAGGGTCTAATTTGGCACTGTAACCGAGATATCTAGACCCTATGGAGTGGGATGATGGCGATAAAATTCGACAAATATGGCCTGACGCAGATTTGGTCAAGTCACTTGTTGTCACGCTACTTGGGCGGAACCTTGGCCTTGTACTGTGCGACCAATTGGAATGCAGACGGCCTTTACGCAAGCGGGTACCGCTAAAGTCACAACCTTGTATGATAAGTTCACTCCTAAATTCGCTCAGATACTGCCGGTACTTGAGGGGGACGGGACGGGAATATTGGAGTCACCGCTCTTTGGTGGATAGAGGCGTTTTCAGCCTTGGCATGCTGTGGATAGGATTCATCTGGAAGCTCATTTCGAATGCAATCAAGACCATCTAGTCTATGATAGACCAGTCATGTCTCAATCCCAACACGGCGGGCCGAGCCATAGCTTCGATCCCGACTGCAAGGGGGCGGGAGAGTGCCATCCGATCCAGGTGAACTCAAATAGCATCCATGACGGAATGTAAAGGCGGCTTTAAATCACTGCCAAGGGCATTCGGCGTAGGATGCAGAATGGTTGGCTGCGAGTGATGGAGGCGCAGGCTACAGCACGGTGTGAGCATCGATCCTATTCTCGGCTTGGCATCGTTCCACCACATTATATCTGACACTGCTGCGGGGTATGGCCGTACTACGTAGGAGATGCCTTTGACGTGATAATTCCACTTCCTTTGACCTAGGTGACATCTCCGTTCTCGCCCCACCCGCTCAAGAGTCGGAGCTCCATCACTCCTCGAGGCAATCATGAGTCTTTTGCACCGTGATGTAGAGTCGGACAGCGATGGGTTTAACACTGGAGAGTTTGACGATAATACCGTTTTAATACGGCGCGCCGACGTCAGCGATTTCAATCCAGGTAACATCCTGCCAGAGCCAGCGGCCGTGCTGGGCGACATCACGAGTTGGCTCAAACCGACAGAATACGACGACGATGGCAGCGAGTATCAAAAACACATCTCCTTTCGCCTCCCGGGCACTGGCGATTGGGTCTACTCCACCGATGAATACCGGCAATGGCATGACGGGCCAGACCCCGGCATATTCTGGGTTCGAGGTTGGTGATGCCTCCAGACCTGTCAGCAGCTGCTTCTACTGACAATATGTGTTCCCAGGCACCCCAGGATCTGGAAAATCAGTTCTCGCCGCTTCCCTGATCAAGAAACTCTCCCAAGAGGAGTGCCCGGTGCTTTACTTCTTCTTCCGGCATACTATTGCCGCCAACAACAACCCCAGTGCAGCCGTTCGCGACTGGCTAGCTCAAGTCTTGAAGTTCAGCCCACCACTGCAGGTGGAGCTCAAGAAATGCGTCCGAGAAGGCCAGGGCGAAGAAGTCAGCGTCGAGAAGCTATCCATTGCCGAATTGTTTCATCTACTCCGTACGGCATTGTCGCATCTGCCCAAGGCCTACATCCTCGTCGATGCCCTTGATGAGATGGACCAGGATGCCCTGGAGTCTTTTCTGCAGCATTTTTATGAACTAGTCAAGTGGCATCCTCTTGAGTTGAAGCTCTTCATGACCAGCCGTCCGGTGGCAGTCGTCGAGAAGATCGTCAGGAGCGTCAAAGTACTCGATGTTCGGCTGCATAAGCAACGTGTTGAGCCCGACATTGTGGCCTATGTCCAGCACCGACTTGCCGACTCGTCAATCCCAGCCGATAGCCTCTCTCGCATCGCAAAGACCATCATGGACCGTTGTGATGGCCTGTTTTTATATGCGAGGCTGGCCATAGACCATGTGTTGGAACGGCCTGACCAGGACCTGGACAATAGCCTTCGAGCTATCCCTGCCGGGCTATCGATCGTGTATTCGAATATCCTTGAAGAACAGTCCGACAGAACCGACATTCCAGTCGGGCTGCAACAGTTCGTCTTAGAGCTTGTCACGCATGCGACTCGACCGCTGCGCCTACTGGAAATCTCCGACCTCGCCAACGTCACTCGCGATATGGGAAACCTGGGCACAACCAAAAATCTCATCCGCTCCGTTTGCGGGCCTCTCCTTGAAATTCTCCCGGATGAGACTGTCCATGTTGTCCATCACTCTTTGACTGAATTTTTGAATGGGACGACCAGAAATACAGGCCAGAGCACCTACCCCGTCTTTGAGCCTGGACCGACGCATAACCGCCTGGCACTCCTGTGTATCTCGTATCTTCGAGCAGGATGCCTGGATAGTTACAATATCCAGCCGAATGACTTCTTCCATCGCGGACTTCAAAATCGATTCGACCAAGTGCTTCCCCCTTTCACGCGGTACGCAGCATTGAACTGGCATGTCCACTTTCGAAAGGCCATACGAGCTGGCCATGACCAGTCTGAGGTCAACAAACAGGCCCATGCCATGCTCGTGAACGAGAACCTGGAGAAGTTGGGAATCCTAGCTGGGGCTAGCGAGACATGTGGCTTTACACCCCTTGGCCTCGCAACATTTTTCAAACTGACAAGCCTTGCCAGAGAGGTTCTGGACCACGAAAAGGCCAACTCCGAGGCCAACCAAAGCATCAAAGAACCACCCTTTCGACATGCCGCTGCAACCGGGGATGTGGAGCTCGTCAAGCTCCTCCTTGAGTATGGCGCAGATCCAAGGGCGTATGACGAAAGTGGCGAAAGTACTTTGCATTTTGCTGTTCGTTACAATCAACATCAGGTCGTCAAGGCTTTGCTCGATGCCAGTGTCGATCCTTTGATCCCTAGAGGAGAGGACAAACGACTGATGGAGAATGTAATTGGGGAAGGACTGACCGACTCACCCACGGGCTCACCCGTCGATTATGCCGTCCGTGAAGGGGACCTTCAAATGGTCTCAATCTTTACCCCCCACCTCAAAACTGCCGAAGTGGCAAACTGGGCTCTCGAGCGAGCCGTCATAAACCAGAGGCGGGAGATCTTAGGGCACCTATTAGAACACCCTATGGTTCATGTCAACTCCAAGCTCCGCTTTTGCACGCCTCTTTACACAGCGTGCGCATACCGTGATGCGGACTCCATTAATCTTCTTCTCAAGGCCGGTGCGGATCCGAACATCGTGCACAACATAGATTCTTGGACTGAAAGGAGTGATGACGAAATTGCAAAAACAGGCTACAATGTTTTACATGCGTTGGCTGGTTTCGGTGAGCCAATGCCATTGAATCCTATCAAGCGTAGCAATGATACGGAGACAAGACGATGCTTCAGGTTGGTGCTCGATGCTGGAGCTAAGCTCGACTTGGTCGACATCAAGGGCTGCACTCCCTTGCACATTGCTAGTGACGCCATAGCCGTCGAATGTTTACTTGACGCAGGTATCGACCCCAACGTTACTAACCGGGCTGGAGAGACTCTGTTGCACACAACCAGAAGTGAGGACATCCTGCGGATTCTGGCACCGAGGGTAGACATCAACGCCAAGTCACAGCTTTCTGGTGCTACCCCTCTCTTGGGTACACTGAAGGAGCGATACATTAATAGTGACTTCAAGATCAAAAAGGCCTCTCTACTATTGGAACTTGGTGCCAACGCTGCTGCTGTCGATGACGAAGGCAACGGAACGCTCCATCATATAGCGGCCACAAATCGACTTGGGCAACCCGGCCTCCTTCTTCTCCAGCAACTGCATGCAAACGGAGCCGATGCCAGTCTCAGGAATAATGAAGGGAAGACGCCTCTACACTGGTGTGTGCCCGGAACCGGGTCAGGGAAATACGGAATGCGCGAAGGCACGATGGTGCTGGACGAGCTGATAGCCTGTGGGGCAGACCTTGAGATAAAGGACAACGAGGGCCAAACAGCCCTATTCCAGATGATGAGCAGCAATGATGGATACGGTGCAGAGGGAAAAATCAAGCTTTGTGAGCAGATGGTGGCGGGCGGTGCGCGGATCGACACTATGGACCTCGAGGGTAGGAATCTCCTGCATTGTGCGATGGAGTCTTCGTGGTCTGGTGCCAGTCTTGTCCGTTTCTTGGTCTCTCAAGGCATTGATCCGCATCAGACTGACAGCAGGGGCAACACGCTCTGGCATCTAGCGGCTCCGAGGTTTGCAAAGGCACCGCCGGACTCCGCCATGATCTCAGAACTACGCGGTTTGGGAGTCAACCCTGTGAGGAAGAATCACGACGGCCAGACTCCTCTTCACATTGTCGCTAGGTTTCATCCCTCTGCGTTCCGCTCGAGCAACAGCTTTTCCTCCAATGGCAGGCCAACAAATGCGGATGATGCTTGCTTTTTCGACACCTTCGTTAGCTTGTACAAGAACGTTGACTGCGTCGACAACGACGGCGTCACACCTCTGCATGTGGCATCGACCTTCTCGGAGTATTTGACGCGCAGGCTGCTGGAAGAAGGTGCCGACCCACGGAAGAAGACATTGGAGGGACTGACGCCACTGCACTTGGCTGCTAGGTCGAGGCAGACAAACACACTTGGCATCTTGCTGGCCTGGCTCAAGGCCGAGGTGGACGAAGCGACAGCTCTAGAGCTACTCAACGCGTGTGACCGTATGAATAGGTCGGCTCTTTACTACGGCTGTGCCTCCGGCCGCGTCGAGACGGCGCAGATGCTCTTAGATGCCGGTGTTGTTGTTGATACAGATTCATACGTCGGGTCTCCTTGGGATGGCTGTATCGCGCTTCAGGACGAAGAGGCTGCGAAGTGGCGGCGGAGTTCTGCTGGGATTGATCACTTAGACTCTGAGCCCGATGGTGCTGGAGTCTTCATCCCTGACACGATGCGAACGAAACTTGACTTGGAGGGGACGGGCTTCCACAGGCGGTTTCCCTTCACTCATGAGCGTCTCGACGAGATCATAGACCTTCTTGTCACTAATGGATCCGCCAGCGGAGCTCGCTACATTGATCAGGCTATATCATCGGCAGTAGAGAAGCAGTTCGATCACGCTACGGAATGCCTGTTGCGCGCACGCGAACGTTTGGGCAGCAAGGAAGGGTACAAGCTCGACGACGAAACGTCTGCCCGCCTCTCGCAGAGGAACGACGCTCCATTGCCCTCAGATCTTCCGTACGGCGAGTCCCTAGTGATTGTACTCATGGGTCGTCGGCAATATTCCCTTGCTACCAGAGAGATTCTTCAACATGTTGAGTCCATGTTGGGCGAGGACAAACTCCACAAGGACTATTCGATGCATCACGGCACCATACTGCACTGTCTCGTCGCGGGCGGCTTCGCAAGTATTCTTGACCAAGTGGCTCGTCCTGAAGCTATTCAGGCGATAAGAGCTCGAGAGGATAGCGGCCCGATTCCGCTACTTGTAGAGGCGTGCCAGCGAGAGTGGTGGAACATGGATGTTGTTCGCCTGCTGGTCGAGACGAAAGGCGCTGACCCAAGTGCCACTGCGCTCGCCCTGCGTAAATCCGGATATGGATATGGCCTCAAAGCCAGAGGTCCGACTGCACTACACATACTTATCCGAGGCGGACGCTGGTGGCAGACGAACGAGGCGCTCCCCTATCTACTCAGGAAGGGAGCGGACGTGGAAGGGCGTGACGAACGTGGCATCACACCGCTGGGCGCCGCACTGGAAGCAATCAATGGTCCACACTTCAATAGAAAGACTGTCGAGATGCTCTTGCAATTCGGTGCCGATCCGAATGCTGTCGATAACCGAGGCCAGACTTGCCTATCCCGTGTTGGAGGCAACATGGACATCTATCAGCTGCTCATTCGCCACGGGGCAACCATCTCCCCTTCTACCATGGTGAGCGCCATCAACCGTCAAGATGTTACGCTTCTCGAGGCTCTACTCGCTAGTGGTGTGGACCCTAACTTGCGCAAACCCGGCAAGGAAGTTCCGGCATGGGTGTCGCCAGATGGACGAACCCTCAGGCCTCATCGTTCAGATCCCGGAGAGCCTCTAGAACAGTACCCTATTGAGTTGCTCACCGCGAAGGAAGGCGACGACAAGAGAGACAAACGGGTGTCCGAAAAGATGCTCAAGCTTCTCCTGGACCATGGAGCGAATCCGTCGGCACGATATGAAACGACGACAGTGATGCATCGACTTATTCACCAGGGCCCGATGATTAGAGCTTATCTCGATGGCAAGAGCCAGCTCCTCAAGATTTTGCTGCAGAATCCGAACTTGGATATGGAAGCACGCGAAGATGACTCTGGGATGACTCTCCTCTTGTCCGCATGCTCCAGAGGAAGGATTTTTGTCCCCCCGACGCAATCAGAGAAGCCGACGTTAATTCAGCTGCTTCTCGAGGCGGGAGCCAACGTCCGAGCGAGGGACAACAAGGGCAGAACTGCCTTGCACATTCTCCTTGCAGCCGATTCATATCTCCGCACACATAAGAATCCAGATGTCAGCCGTATCATCGCAGCAGCTCCAGAGCTAGTCCATGTTGCGGACAATGAGGGTAGAACGCCGTTGCACGCCGCCTTCCACCAAAATATAGACACCAGGCATGTGTACGAGTTGATCGAGGCCGGGGCAAACGTTCAAGCCTCGGTGAAGTCGACGGGCGACACGTTATTGCATTTGCTATTCCAACAAACGTGGGTCATAGGCTTAGATGGAGAGGTGAAGGTGGGCAGAAAGATCTACTACGACCCAGAGCCAGTCTGTGATGCGGCTGTCATCAAACATGAAAAGCAGGATAATCTTTTCCGTGGTCTCCTCGCTATGGACGTAGACGTGAATGCCCAGAACAACCAAGGAGAGACGCCGATATTCACTTTCCTCCGGGACGCCGAGGTGTTCGCCAGGGTGACGGACAATAACGAGATCCGCCGGGATTCTGCGCAACCTATAGCACACGACAGATTTAGAAAGGAACTGTACAGAAAGCAGGCGGCGGTTGAGCGGGAATACCTCATCTGGCAGCTCTTCGACGACGTAGGTTTGGACTGGACAGTAACGAACTGCAAAGGAGAGACGCTGCTGCATGTCGTCGCGGCGTCAAAGATGGACCCGAACACGCGAGTGAAGCGCTTTGAGTTTCTGGTTGGAAAGGGTCTTGATCCTATGCAAGAGAATAGAGACCACCATACGCCGCTGGATGTTGCGGCGGCTCTGGAGTGTGATGACATTCTGGCACTCTTTAGAACTTGAGTATACTAATATCTATATCTGGCTTCTAAATTAACTTTCGCTAGCGGTATCACTGTCTATCAGTGATTCATATCTGGCCTCAGAATTTACGGAGAAGACACCTAGTGACGGCTGGACTTTGGCCAGGTGAATTGCATACTATTGGAGGTGATGGCCGATACTCTTTCTTCAGGGGCCAATGCTTGCTATGCCGGATGTCTCCTTGTGCTACACTGACTGCAAATGGTCAACGCAAAGTTTAACTGAGACATGATCCGTTCAGTCACTAGAGAGGCTGGACCCGCGTAGCGTTAAGAGAAACTTCGTAATTTGAGAGGTTTGCATGATAATATGGCTCGATTTTGCATGGATTCAACGAGTTTGGATCACCACACGTATCGGTTTCTGACTCGTGGAGTCTCCACGCTTGCATCTCTGTTATGGGATTAAATTAATCCACGAAGAGACACCCCATGATCGTGCGATGTCTGAAATGCGACTATGCGCCATGGAAACAACAACTATATCCCCTTTCGCCATATCATTTCTCGCAGCAAGTAGCAGTAATGTCGAATCAAACAGTCAAGGTGTAGTTCACATAATTGTTTCCGATGCGAGGATACACCTCAATCATGAAGGTCACTTCCTGATTAGCTTCCACCGCGACACGAGTTGTATTTCCTGTGATGGTTATGACATTATCGCCCCCTGTTAAACGTCAGCTCAAGGCCACCTCAAACCAGTCGGAGACTTACTGCTCCACGTCCAATGTGCACCAAAAACTGTTCTTCCACGGTTGAGTGGTGGAAGGTAATTTGTCCATTCGTCTACCAGAGGAGTCCCGTCGGCTTTGAAGGCAGCTACGGCTGCTGGTTGAGGGAATCCATTCCAATTGATAGCTATGGGTACTTCAGACCCGGCTTCGGCGGCAGAACTTGCCACAGGGACCGTCGGGGCGTCCCAAACGATTAGTTGAATCGGGATGCGTGCTCCTGTTGAGAATGAGACTAATGCAGTTGCTTTGACTCCCTCTTCGCTGGAAGAGTTAAAGTAGTTTGACAAGAATGAAGGATGGAACGTAATGGCGGTGGAACTAATGAAGTAGTCAGGTCCTTCGGTTAACAGTTGACGGTCAACTGCAATAGTTGTAACGTTGTTTCCGTTGAAGTCGAAGTAACAAATGCGATTAGAAACCAAGTCGTCCAAGTCGTCAATTCTGTGAAATATAAGCGCAGACGAATACTCGCCTTCTGTGTCGGGTTTAGTTGTGGCCCATGGCAAGCTGTTTGTGATACCCTTCAAGGCATTCAGATGAACCTGGAGGCCTGTAGAGTCGAATAGAGTGCGGGCATTACGGTCGAGGATGTCATTTCCAGTATCCCAGATCATACATGCGAATTTGTATTTGGCACACATCCGGCCGATGAAGTCGTAGTACTGCCACCTAGCTGCTGGCTCAGACATGACTGGGCTGACGAGCCATTCTCCGATAAGAATGGGGATATCTGGGAACTTATGGCGCAACAGGGAAAAAGAGTCCTCTAGCTGATTCTTCTCTTCTTTCGAGCCCCAAGTAGTCTTGCCCCAAGCAGCTGACGTGAAATTACCTGCACAAGAAGCTGTCAGCAAGGTATGCATACCTAGATTGTGGGTATTTTACATACGGGGTTCATAATAATGCACCTGTAAAAAATAAGGGTTGGTGTAGTTCGGGGCCGGCTTTCTGAACCATTCAATAGTTGCGTCGATGTCCTGCAGTGGTCCGCTCAACGCAACAACTCGCTGCCGATTAAAGCCGCCGCTGTGGGTGAGAGCCAGTTGGAAGATGTCGTTCAATTTCGTGAGTTGAGCAGCGTACTCGTTTGTTGCGCCCTGGGGTTCGTTCAAGGGCTCGAAGGCTACACGAGACCCAGTGCAGGCCAGCTCTTCTCCAATTTGATACCATAGTCGATAAAACTTCTCCTCGATCATTGTAATGTTAGCATTCGGGGCTGTATAATCGGCCCACAGAGTCGAGTCGTGATGGATGTTGATAATTGCGCTCATGTGACGAGATGTGACCATGTTGACGACGTCGTGCACGCGTTGGAGCCAGGCTGGATCAACCGTCCAGTCAGGAGAATCACCTTCATCGGAGTTTCCAGTGAAGTGATACGCCCAAGTGACTATTAAATAAAGTTAATGTTACAATCGGATGAGTTTCATTTACTGCACAATACTTGTCAAAGTTTTGATCGGACGGGGAAGTACATACCTGGGATACGAACGCTGTTGAACCCTGCATTCTTGACATCGTCAAATGTTGATTCGGTGATGGGCTCGTTATTCCAGCTATCCTCGTTTGGGACGGCATCCAGGCTGTTTCCAAGATTCCAGCCAGGAGAGAGATGAGCAACGAACTCAGAAGCCGATATTGCCTCAAACTCCCCGCAGCAGATGACTCGACCCAACACAGGGATAGACTGGTACGTGAAAGCGAGCCCCACGGCTAGAGCCAGGGATATCCAATTCATGTTGGGTGGATTCTTTCGAGTATGGGCGGTAACCTTCAGAAGGCCGATGTTGTAAGAAAGGAAACATGTCGGGGGATCGAGTCTGTTTTATAGAAAGTCAGGTGCGGGTGACACTGATGAGAAGACTGCGGCTCGGCAATGAACAAGTTACCTTTCACTGGTAGGTAAACGCACGGGATACAATTGCCCTTGTGAATGGTCATCAGAGGCTGGTTTCTGTCAAGTCGGTTGTGAATCATTAGATGGTTTGACTTGTGTGATGCGAATCACAGTCGAGGCAAGGTGGATGGAAATAATTTATCACTGCAAGCGTTCATCACAGACTCACCTCCCCGCCTTACAGAAGTTTCTTTCAATCACGACTCAACGCTTTCGGCATGTTCTATTTCTCTCCGGATGCCAGTATTCCGGTAGTAAATCAATGCCGACCGACTTGTGTTGGTACGCCGGGGTTGGCGCCTTCGAGTGTCGGCTTGTCAGCCTGCTCTTCCCAACTCGGGGCATCATTACTTCCGGTACGCTGCTATTCAAACCGAGTCCAGCATTGGGCGTGAATTTGTGACAGGCATCACCAACAAGGATGACGCGGCCAAAACTCCAATGCGTAGCTATCCCTTTTTCTAGATTGGACATGCCAGAGGTGAGTCTCTTCGCCCATACATCTGGAAATTTGAGCGTCTGGTTCATAGGGAAATCCTCGTATTCCCAGGCCAGATTGTCGATATCTTCTCGGCATTAGGATGTATGCTCTCGCGTCGGCTTAGAAGCCTTTATTGAGAAAAGCCCAGCAGCGCTCCCGACCAGTGAAGTGCATGGGACCTTGGTCTTGATGCTGAGTGTCATGGTTCTGTGCACTCTCTTCCTTGGTCGCAAGAAACATGCCCATCTGCCATTTTAGGGTGACGCAAATGGTGTTTCTGGGTCCAAATCTCGAGAAGAGTCGGTCTGCGGCGCAAGCTTCCGCATCAAGTGACGCGTTTTGATTTCGCCCTCTCGCAGCCCGTTTGCATACCAGCGGCGATTTGAACACCAATGGAGCCCGATGGCGTAAATCATGTGCGTCCGGCGTTCTGCTTGTCGGACTCCTGTGTTCTCCATTCATTCCCGCTGACAAAGGAACCCTAAGCACCAAAGTCCTTACACCTAAGAGCTGCCACCACAGCCATAAGAAGCGGATGCAGTAGGATACTCGGGATTCAAGGTCAAAACAACTAGAAAGCTCAGTACATTTACTCAGTAACTGAATAAATACTTTGTTGATGATAACTTGAACGTCGTCACCGTCCGCGGCGGCGTCATGGGTTTCTCACGAATATTGGACGGGCTCAGGTTAATGTCACATATCGAGTGGCTACATAAATACATCCAGCATGATAACTTACTAACCGGCCGCTCGGCGGATTGGTGCCTCCGTATATATACTCAGTTAAGAATCGACCAAAGCAAAGGCTTAGCCTATTAAACGGTGATTTTGAGGTTGAATTGTTGATTGAAGGAGTGAAGTGTTGACGCGAGGTACGCGTCTACTAAGTACATGACGAAGCTACTGATCGGATAATCTATAGTCCGTCCCCCTTGAATTCCAACATAGCCTCCTCTTCTTCGTCTCGTGCGGAATGTGCTTCTGAAGCACAGGATATACCGTTGTCCGCGAATCAGCCTACCAGTCTTCCCATGCTTCAAACAACCGCTATGCTATTAAGTTAGAGCTAGGCAATATCCTTCTCCTCAGCTGTCTGCACTGCGTGGGGTATGTTGCAGATGTGATTACTTATTATATCATGAGAAGTCAGGCCTGATTAAGTGCTGGGCTAGTTAGTACCTAACAGTACGGAAATATGGAATCCTGTTTGCTTTCGCGCTAGAGAGGTATCTTGGACAGCCACGGAGACTGAAAGGCTACATGTTGGCCACCCTCGGTCTTTAAGATTGCCATGGTGCCTTTGAGCATCTCAGCCACTGCTCAGTCCTTGGAGTGGGATTAGATCTGGCCTTGGCCCTTGACTCTCGATGCTCCTCGCCAGGGTAACTACCCCAGAGACTCAACAAATTAGCCCGTCATCTTCCTTGCAAAATGCCCCATAATTAACTATATGGGGAAGTGATCTACAGGCATAAGAAAGTGGGTTCCAAAACGGTTGGCTATTGGGAAACCCGATAAACCTCCATAAAGTAATTTGTGGGCACTGATATGAAAGATCACGGGCCAATTTGTCGAGTCTATACGGTAGTGGGGAAAATACATAGTGAAATATCCCCCTATAGTGGACTCGACCTTGGACTTAAGACTCGTAGGCGCGAGTAAAAGGCGCATTAATTAAGGTTACTTTATATGTCTAACGTGGTCCACAAGCGAGTGGGCCACTTGCCCCCTTCAAAGTGCTTCTTCAACTTCAATAGTCAATCGCACCACAGCCAAAGATGAAATGCTCTTCAAATAAATCTCGGATACTATCAGCCATTTAAGCTAGAAACGGGGAATTGATTGCCAAGCACATCTTACAATTTTTTTTTATCTCACTAATCGAGGTGTTCCCAGGCCCGATATCTTCCTTAGTGTCGTCTTCGTATTTCTCTTTCTCTTTACGGAGAGACAAACTATAATTGAATCACCATTAATATAGCGGAAGGGAGATTCTTGTCTGTAGAATTGCCTACGGGTGCGCACGCACCTACAACATGCCGTCGCCATCTCTACTCCATCGCCGGGAGATACTGTGCAGAAGATTTATAAAGCCCCCAAAGCAACGTCACTTGATCTATGAATGAGCGACTGTGCTCACATAGATTTTTAAGAGCCTAAAGACGACGCTTCATTGGAGGCCATGCACAAAATTTAAGCGGTGGCTGGGACGGTAACCGTCAGCGTGAAGAGTACCTCGCCCTCCACATCCTCCGTCTCATTCCATTTCAGATTATACACTCCTTCGACACCCGAGGGGATGCCCTGCCAACGCGAAACCAGCCCCCCATTGTCGGTGGCAAAGGCGACAGCCCCATAGAAAGCAAATCCGTCAACGACCAGGTGAGAAGTATCGTTACCCGTAGCATCGACGAGGGAAACATTGTGCTGGGATGAAGCAAAGCTGGGGATGGCAAAAGTGAGGTTGTCCCACGTCGGCTGGGCATTGTCGGCCAGCCCGGTGATGTTGGGAGAACAGGTCCACGCCCCCTCGTTGTCCGTGACTCCTTCTTGTTAGAGTGAAAGCAATAGAGAAACAGCCAACGGCTCCAAGGAGAATTGGGCGTTGGCAAAATCACTTACAGATGACTGGGGCTGTCTCGGCATCACGGAGCAGGCTGTGGTCGCCTGCGTACACGTGTTCTATCACAATGAATTAGAGACCAAACCAACAGTAATTAAAAGGTGGTTAATACCTCCGTCTGAGAACAAGACGAGGCCTCCAACGTTTTCTCCGTATGCGTAGAGCTGGAATGGCCCGTCCGGTCTACCACTGGTGGCACAGGAAGCAGGGCCAGAGAGAGCCAACATGAAAAGGAGCAGCTCTGACACATGCATGATGGGCAAAGTTGTTGCAATTCCTAAGCTAGGTGGCAGGAAATCAATGATTGAAAATGATGGGAAGTATCGAAGAAAACCAGCACAGAGGCGAGAAGGTTCACTGGTTGGTAAGAATGTATATCTGAGAGGGAATAGACCGACTTAAGTATGCAAATCCCATAATCGCCGAAACTCCCGAATCTCCGAGACACAAAGTTACTTATATCCAAGGCACAGCAATTCATGACTTGCCGTCTGTCTACCCCCACAGTACGGTGCACGTCAAGAAGAAAAGGGGCTGGTCCTGTCATCCTGGACGAGCGAACGCGTAATCAACTGCAACCAATATGCACGACTCAGGTCAACCGCTGCATTAATAACATGCATATATGACGAGTGGGTCTCGATGGGGCCTTATTTCTTTTGCGAAGGCATACCGAGTCATCGACCCGCCGCAGCCGATGAAACATATCCAACGGTTGTGACTGTACGACGCTTTGTCAGCGGCATATGGCGGAATATGTTCCACGAGGAGTCCGTATTCAAAAGCTAGGTTCAATCAAGCAGAGATTTCGCTCACCTGAGCGGTCTCATCGCTTGCTATTAGCTGCCTTAGCATCCTGCGCACATGACTGTACGAGTCAAAACCTATCATATATGATATCTCCATGTGTAGCAAAGGGCGTATCGCGACTCACCAGACTCTAATCTTAGGGGCGGTGAAGCAGGGAATCAGGAATTGTCTACAGGTTGCAGTGGCGATGAACACCGTATCCGAATATAGCACGGTACATGATGCTGTACGTAATACCTTCAAACCTTCGTATCTAGGCGCCATCACGGGGTGCAAAGGGTGAATCTAACGAGTGCATGTCGAGGCACCTCCGAACGTCCGGATCCTCCGAAGAAAGATGAGATGGCGGAGTAAAATGGAACGCCGGAGTCGAATATGGTGAAGTGGTGGAGGCCTGGTTGAGTACAAAAGAGGTATTGTCCTGCCGTTTGGAGAGGGTCTGTTTCTTCTCAACTCGCATCACAGTCTTCCTGGGCGCCCATTATTTTTCGCTCTGCCATCAAGTTTATTCTGCACTTTGTTGACTTCCTTTTTGCCCAACATGCGCCGTCAGTTGCTTACATCCGGCGCCCTTATCTGGACAAAGTTAGCTGCGGCCTTGCCAAGCGCTGTCCAGTCTCACAGCCCTCTTCAAGCCCGCTCGGCTTGTGAAGGCAATACCCCTACTACTCGCAGTCAGTGGTGTGACTTCGATATCAGTACGGACTACTGGACCGAACCGGTTGACACTGGTGTTACTAAAGAATACTGGCTTGACCTTAGTGACGTGACGGTCGCTCCTGATGGTCGATCTCGGTCTGCTATGGCCATCAACGGTAGCATTCCCGGCCCAACCCTCTTCGCTGACTGGGGTGATACCGTTGTCGTCCACGTCACTAACTCGCTGACGACTTCTTTAAACGGCTCTTCCATCCACTGGCATGGAATGCGTCAGAACTATACTAACCAACATGATGGAGTTACTGCTATTACGCAGTGCCCTATTGCGGTCGGAGACACTCTGACCTATGTCTGGAAGGCGACGCAGTATGGTACGAGCTGGTATCATTCCCACTTTGGCCTGCAGGCCTATCAGGGAATCTTTGGTGGCCTTGTTATTCACGGTCCTGCTTCCGCTAATTACGATGAGGATTTGGGTGTTGTCTTCCTAAGTGACTGGGATAAACAGACAGTGGATGAGTTATACCCAAGCGCCGAGGTCAACGGACCGCCAACTCTTGAGAACGGGCTTATCAATGGTACCAACGTGTATACCGACGCGGATGGCAATGAGTCCGGTAGCCGACTCACCGTTGCTTTTGAAGCTGGGAAGACGTACCGCCTGAGACTTGTTAACTCTGCTATCGACTCACTCTGGAAATTTTCCATCGACAACCACACCCTCACTGTTATCTCGGCGGATCTCGTGCCTGTCGAACCTTACACTGCCACCCACGTGAGCGTCGGTATTGGTACGTGTCGCATGCCTGCTCCAGTTGTCTCGATTCCATTCCTAACTTGGCTCAGGTCAGCGTGTTGATGTTATTGTCACTGCCGACCAGGCCAGTGTCGCTCAAAACTTCTGGATGCGATCTATTCCCCAGTCTGCTTGCTCCACCGTCTCTACTACTCAGAATGTCCGCGGTATCGTTCACTATGGGGAGAGCGCATCGACCCCGGAGACGACCGGCCACGATTTCACAGATGGTTGCGAGGATGAGACGCCCAACATGGTCCCTTCCGTCCCCAAGAATGTCGAGTCCGCAAACTGGAGAGACTTTGAGGACGCGTCGGTTGCGACTAACAGCGCCGGGGTGTTCAAGTGGATGCTGAATAGCACTTCTTTCCTAGTTGACTGGGCGGCGCCGACACTGGAGTCTATCATGGACGGCGTGACCGAATACACGACGCAAAACGCCGTCATCCAATTCGACCAACTGCAATGGGTCTACCTCATCGTCCAGACAAGCCTCCCGGTACCGCACCCCATCCACTTACATGGGCACGACTACTTCGTCCTGGCGCAGGGAACCGGCACTTACGACTCCTCTGTTGCACTCAATACGCAAAACCCACCTAGGCGTGACACCGCTATGCTCCCGGCTTCAGGATATCTAGTTATGGCCTGGGAGACGGATAACCCAGGTGCGTGGCTCATGCATTGTCACATCGGATGGCATGTGTCTCAGGGATTCGCGCTGCAGTTCATTGAGCGGGTCAGCGAGATTCCTGCCATTACTGACAATAGTACCCTTTCGAGCATATGCACCGAGTGGGTCGCGCACAGAGACGATCATAACATTGTTCAACACGATTCTGGTGTTTAATGGGAACTTGGGGGTGGGGGGGGTTGCGCATCGCAGAACGAGGATAAAGTCAGGGCCGGTGAGATGGAGCGAGTATGGCTATGGAGGTAGCTCGAGTTCAATGTTGGCCATACAGGATTACCCTACATTTCGTTGCCGTAGTGCACCTAGTAATTGACCTGCCCCGATCATTGGACTCGCCAGTGACTGGAATGCTCTCACGATCCCCCTGTGGATCTGGCATGTCAAACTTGCTCCCAGCGCTTTCCTAATTGCTTCCTTTTGTCTGACTAGCCTTGCAAAGCTGCGGTGAAGAGCTGGCTCAAAGTGCTTAGACAAAAGCTCGATGAAAATCGGCATAGCCCTCCTTCACACCATTCAAATCCTCCGCAACACCAAAAGCACCGCCGCCAGGGGTGTTAATCTGGATATACTCCCCGGGCTGAAGATGGACAACCGCTTTGCCCCCGAGATTGATTTCCTCGAGCTGGCCCTCCTCGTTGAACATGTACGCCAGATTCACGCCTTTTTCTCCAGGGCCGCCTCCTTGCATGCCATATGGCCGGTACACCCGGCGGTCGCTCAGAATACTGAACTTCAGAGGTACCTTTGCCTCAATCTCACGTCTGATGCCATCACCACCGTTCCACTTTCCCTTCCCGCCGCTTCCGCGACGAATCTCGTTTCGTCGAACCAGCACAGCTGTTCGTTTCTCGACAACTTCGGGATCAGTTCCACGAGTGTTGGTGGAGTGAACCTACACCACGCTGGTTAGCATTTCATAGCATGATAGTCCGAATCACACTTACATGAACAGCATCTTCTGCATGATAGCCCTCTCCAGCACCGACGCCACCGCCGATGGACTCTCCGTAGTTCCACCCAGGGGTGATCTTGCCGGTCTCGGGGTCTTTTCCACCCATGCCCCATCCAAAGCTGCTCGCACAGCCTTGACTGGCACCGTATCGACCAAAGGCACGTAGAATTGTGTCAATCACTCTTTGGCTCGCCAACGTAGATCCGCAAATGGCCACAGCAGGCGTAGGATTCAAAACCGAACCCTGCGGTACATGGATGTCAACTGGCGCGAGACAGCCCTCGTTAAGGGGAACCTCCTCTCCCAGGAGACAGCGGATTGTATAAATAATGGCCGAATGACAAATGGAGATAGGGCAGTTGTAATTGGCATGCATTTGAGGCCCAGACCCTGAAAAGTCATACAGGGCACCGCCTGTGTTGGGGTCAATCTTGATGGACAGGGCCATAGCTGTGCCATCATCAAGATAGTCTGTGGATGTGAGTGGCTCAGGGTGCTCTTTGGAGATGCGCTTGAAAAACTCCCGGACCGCGTACTCGGCGTTATCTTGTATCCCTTTCATGTAGCGGTGGACCTCTGGGACCGAATATTCCTCGCATAGTTTTCGCAGCAACGTTATGCCGCGCTGGTTGGCTGATGTTTGCGCCTTAAGATCGGAGATGTTGTCTGCGAGACGGCGTGATGTACTGCAGCCGGGATACGAACCAGCCTTCTCAAAGGCAGCCCGAACCTCATCCTCGAGGAATTTGCCGCCTCTGACAATCTTCATGGACTTGACGTTCAATCCTTCCTCCCATAAGAAACGCGACTCAGGCATCATGCTGGTGATTCCTTTTCCGCCGATATCCGTATGATGGCCGCGAGACGCCACGTAAAAGGCAATCTCGGTATTGACAAAGACCGGAGTTACGACGGTAATATCAGGCAAATGCGTGCCGCCCCATTGGGGGTGATTTGTGAGTAGTACGTCTCCATCCTGCAACTTGTTAAGCCAGTGGCGATGCTGCGCTTGAATCGCAAACTGCATGGAACCTAGATGAATAGGGATGTGGGGGGCGTTGGCGATCAGTTTGCCTTCTGGGGAAAAGATGGCACAGGAGAAGTCCAACCGTTCCTTGATGCTGGTTGAAATAGACGTCCTCTGTAGGGTATTGCCCATTTGCTCTGCGATAGCCATGAACCGGTGAGCGAAGACAGAAAGCCTAATGGGGTCGATGGATGCAGGTATAACAGAATCGGAAGTTTTGTGACTGGCCTCTGCAGGAATGCTGTCCTGCACCTCCCTTTCAAGCAGAACGTGACTTGATAAGATATAAGCGCGGTACTTGGACTCAACCAGGATGGTTTGGGTGTCATCAATAACCAGGGCAGGCCCATCAATAACGCTACCGGTTTGTAACTCATCAAGCCTGTAAACCCCAACATCTCGCCACGAGCCATCCACGTACAGCCTCTGAGTCGCATTCGCTGCTGCAGGATTGAACTTGGATGTACTTGCTTTCTCTTTCAGCGCAGAGGTCTCTTCTAATCGCTCTCCGGTAGCACCTGTGCCCCGAACTTTGATCGATTCGATAACGATCGCTCGGTCCATAGCAAAAGCGAATTCTCGAACGTGCTGGGCCTTGAAAGCTGCTCCATAATCTCCATCGATAGGCTTTGAGATGGTCAAGTTTGTATCAGTTCCAAAGTACTTGAGTACAAGGGACTCGTCGAATTGAATTGAACTGGTGTTGGCGCCTTGCAGCGTGAGCTCATCCGCCACTTTCTTCTTGAGAGACTCCAGGCGGTTTTCCACTTCCACCAATACGTCACTCGTCAGCTTTGCAGCAAAAGGGACGAATGTCTCATATTGAAGATCCGCCTGAGAAATTCCATATGCCGATAGCAAGGATGACCATTTATGGATCAAGATGCGGTTGATTCCTAATTTGTTGGCAATTGAGCACGCGTGCTGGCCTCCAGCACCACCGAAACTAACGAGGTTGTGGTTCTCGAGCGCATATCCACGTGCTTCAGTTGTGTTACGAATAGGTCTGCTCATGGTTTCGTTGGCGATTTCCAAGAATCCAAGGGCAACCTCCTCTGCTGTTAGGGTCTGTGAAGTCTGGCGGTTGAAGTCGGCTGTGATCTCGTCGAACTTCTGGGCGACAACATCCACATCAAGAGGTTGGTCGGCATTTTCACCAAAGATGGCTGGAAAAGACGACAAAAACAATCGTCCGAGAAAGAGGTTGGCGTCAGTCACCGTCAAGGGGCCGCCCTTTCGATAACAGGCTGGTCCAGGATATGCACCCGCAGACTCGGGGCCAACGACAAGGAGGCCATTACGAGCGAACAGGATTGAACCTCCTCCAGCTGCAACGGTAGCAATGTTGAGCATGGGAACTGTAATGGACCGGCCAGCAATTGATGTTTGCGCCAGATAGTCATATTTTCCGTCGAACCTGGAAACGTCTGTACTCGTGCCACCCATGTCGAACCCGATAACAGGCGTATTGTCATCGGCATCAAAACAAGACCTCGCCGTACCAACAACGCCGCCTGCTGGCCCGCTCAAAAGTGCTTCATTTCCTCGAAATTTGCGTGACTCCTTTAGCCCGCCATCAGAGCACATGAACTCGACGCGTTTTGGCAAGATCTTGAAGCCGCTTTCAAAACCACTGATGTACCGCTCGATGACGGGATAAAGATAGGCTTCGGAGCAAGTCGAGTTGCTGCGTGTGACATACTTGATCGACGGGCTTGTTGCTGATGATGTTGTGACATATTTGAAGCCAACCTCACGGGCCAGCTCAGCAACCAAGTTCTCGTGGTCTGGGTATAAATAGGCGTGCATGAATGATATGGCCAGTGAAGTGTAGCCCTCGACGCGTAGTTGCTGCAGCTTCTCGCGAACCGTTGCAGGGTCAGGTCTCTGGAGAACGCGGATAACCTCTCCGCTGCTTGTTTGGACCAGGTTAGGATCTTTGAGAGCCTCTTCCTTGTCGAACGGGAACGGGTTGAGCTCGTAGTCCTCGATAGTGATGCGTTCCTCAATTTCAACCACGGTTGAATGTAGCGCTTTAGCTTTACGGATATTCAGGTCGAAAAGCTTAGGACGTGACTGATCACCGATGACACACACATCCTTGAAGCCTGTAGACGTGAGTTAAGAACACAAGAATACCCTCATCTAGGCCCTGACTCACCACTCGTAGTTGCCAAAGCAAATTTCTCGCCGTTTCCTGTTAGCAAGGCGTTGGTGGCGACTGTAGTGCCCACACGGCAAGATGCTATAGTTCTGTGTTAAAGACGCACAACCAACCCTAAGCATAGTGTGCGAGCTTCTTACCGATCATTGACCCATCCAACTTCTCCCCCACAGGAATGGATTTTCCCTCGACCACCTCGAGCACGCGACGAATTCCTTCTGTGGGAGCGTCGGGATACCTTGAGGGATCCTCAGAAAGCAGTTTGAAGATAATGGGGTCGCGGTCCTCGACATGAGCGATGACATCACAAAATGTGCCGCCTCGGTCGATAAAGATGTTGATTCCAGCCATGATGGACGTGCAAAACTTGGCACGATCGATGTTGTGCGAAGTTGTGCGAAGCTGGGAGGCGGCTTCTTAAGCTTTAAAGCCAGATCCTTGAGTACCACAGAATTTGAACCCTCTCTAGTAGCACACAGTTGACAATGATGAGTTGGTCTGAGTCTCAACGTTATCCTGCATTATCAACTTTCCTCTCTTCGATGAGGTGCATCTTTCTGGGTCCAGTAAATAAAATGGGGGCGATTGCACCATTTGACGCTAGACTGGACACCAACTGTTCCGATAGTCGGGAACAACCCGACGATTTCTATCCGAGTAAGGAAATTTTCATGGCATTTGTAAGGTCGGCCTTTGCCCGACTCCAGTTTTTATTACCGAACTTGGCGTGTAAAGTCGGCTCTTGCCCGACTCGGCTTTCTATTTGCCGAATGTCTCAATCCAAATAGCCGGAAGCGTCAGATAAGGAAACACTTGAGTCATGTGCAGAACACATTCACATCCGCAACGTCAACCAGTCCTCAGACTAGACGTCGAACCTATAGGTAGGTACGACCGGCTGCTTTCACCACTTCAATGAGATTTTGAGGAAATATCGCAATCAAAATGACACAGTTCGTGATGATTAATGGTGCCAACCTGGCGTACGAGATCTGTGGCCCTGATGGTGGCCTTCTCATGATCACGCTCCACGGAGGACGAGGGATGGGTACGTACATACATTTTGCCTTTGATTCAATGAGCAGCATAAAGCCAACATCTCATAAGGGGATCACAGGAAAGATTTTGAAGTTTACGGCCAGCTGAGTGACAAACTCCGCGTCTTGTCATTCGACTACCGAGGACATGGCCAGAGCTCGCGCACCAAGCCCTACACCTTTGAGCAGATCGTTGATGACATTGAAGGGATGAGGAAACATTTCGTTGGACCGGACAAGCAAGTTATCATATGCGGCGGAAGTTTCGGCGGCTTCCTTGCCCAACAGTATGCTATCAAATATGCTCCTTTTGTATCTCATCTGATCCTGCGAGGCACAGCGCCTTCGCACCATCGTGAGTTTCAACTCTACAAAACCATATCCATGCCACCTTTTGACCGCCTAAAAACAGATGAAGAGGGTGCCATCAAGCATTTGGAAGAGCGCATGGCCAAGGCGCCAAACTTTTCCGTGGACATGCTACGGAGCAAGGTCTTTGGCGCTTTCAAAGACGACGAAGAGTTCAAACTCGTTCACTTCGCCATGTTGCCGCTATACAGCGAGAAGTACACTGCAGATTCCGGACTGCGCACATGCTTAAGCACTATTTACGTCGCCGAATCACACAGTTAGTGGAACCTGGTAGACTTGCGGGCCATAATACTCACCATGAAAACAGACAGCTTGTACTCGGAAGAGGAGAAGTATTTCGACTACACAGATAAGCTAGACACAATCACGGCGAAAACGCTTGTTCTGGTCGGGGATCGCGATTGGATCTGCCCCATAGGTACTGGCTTCTACTCCTCCCACCGTGACATTTTAATGGAATTCTAACACACCTCAACACAGAAAATTCAAGAGTGATTACTGAGAAGATCCCCGACGCCAAGATTTTTGTCGTCGAAGGCGCAAATCATGGAGTTCACGCCGAGCGTCCTGACCTAGTGCTGCCGGAAATCAGGAAGCATGTCGGTATTTGAAGTGGGATTGGAACATGGGTGTGGCCTACGACTTGGGAGCTGAAAGAGACATGACTGCGAATGAATTTATCAATGATATGTGAAAGAATGTATTTATTTATTATTCTTACTCTTTAGCCAGTACCGATTATCTACATTACCACTGTATCTAGGGTAGGAACTGTGTAAGTCTCTTCGAGATCGAGTGAACTTCGTCTACCCTTAGCTAGAAAAAACCTCCCTCAACTGAATTCTCACGTACATTCTGACCAAGATCACCTCCTTGGCTGACTTATGCGAAAGAACGTAAAAACAATTCGATAATGGGCCGAATACTGTTTTCATACCCATACAAATCGTAATAAAAGCCAGTCTTTACCTCCCTCAACTAATCCAGTATGGTGAGTTTGGGTTCCCATGACGCCAGTAGACGTATCCCATTCAACGCTAGCCCAACACAACACCCACAGACATTTCGGCTACTAAAATGCAGCTAAAATACGCTGACCGCCCACCCTCTCTTTAGCGACATGTCCGGAGTCGGAGGCGGTCCCGGTCTTCAGAAAAGAACTCCACCTAACCAGCCAATAGGTCGAGCTTCATTCAGCAAGGGGACAACACTGGGTCCTCGCAAATGGCACGGCTTGACGGACTTCGCCCGACCATCACGCGCCCAAAATTACCTGAAAGAGAAATGCCCCACAACTAGCACACAAGTCTGAAGAGTTTACCCGTCGGTAATTTGCTTTGGTGATAGCGGCACCGAATAGTTGCCGCTTTGGGGAATTTCGTGCTCGCCCCTCCGAAGCACGACGCCGCGACCTGAGATGATGCATGATAAACCTGCGAGGATAGTGATATGCTGATAAGACGGCTATCTTCACATCGAAGAGGTTGCGTTGCATCGCTCCAGGTATATGTCCCGGCTTTAGTCCTCCGTCGTGGTCTGCAGTTGCTATTCTACAACCCAGTTTTGGACTTGGACTGTTCCCGCCAGCTGCAATTGAGCCTGTCAGAGTCCTGGGGCCAAGTCACAAACACAATGTCGCAAGTTGACGTCCATCATACCGACATTTCCAAGACTGTCGGCAACATGGAGTCTAAGCCGAGCCCGGTCGTTGAGGGCATCACAAGCACACCATCCATCGGCGAGTCGGCCAACGGAAAAGACTCCCCCGCCCCGCCCCCTAAGCAATCCGGTATTTCGGGATTTTTCCATTGGCATGAGCCCGGCACCTCACGCGAGGAGAAGAGGCTCATTTTCAAGCTCGACTGGTTCCTCTTGAGCTTCTCATGCCTCACGTTTTTTGTGAAGCAGGTAAGGCGTCTTCCATCCATGTCGTATCGCGGAGGGATGTTGCTAATGATTTACAAAGTTGGATCAAAACAACATTTCAAATGCTTATGTCTCGGGCATGTCCGAAGAACTCGGGTTTGGTCCTGGCAACGAGCTCTCGTGGATGAACACCTACTTCAGCATTGGTAAGCAACTGGTCGAGCGAACTTTTCAGGTCAACCAGCCAGCTCACAATTTTCAGGTACCATCATTGGTGGCACTTTTTCGAACTTGATGCTCACTGTAGTCCGGCCTCGCTATTGGCTCCCCGGATGCCTGCTTGTGTGGTCTTTGTTCGTTTTGTTTCTCTTCAAGTGTAACAACGCCCACGAGTTCTACATCTTGCGATTCTTCATCGGCCTCTTTGAATCGGCGGCCTGGCCAGGAGTCATGTTTTGCTTAGGTTCGTGGTACCGCAAAAGCGAGTTGGCCCGCCGCAGCGGTCTTTTCGTCATGAGCGGCGTCCTTGGACAAATGTTCAGCGGGTACCTACAATCTGCGCTATTCAGCGGGATGCAAGGCAAGGGCGGCATGTCAGCGTGGCGCTGGCTCTTTATCTTTGACTTCATTCTGGGAGTTCCCGTTGCCATTTATGGCATTGTAAGTTCCCCAGCCCTCACTATCGGATTCGGCTGCTGACTGCTCAGACTTGCTTCCCAGATACGCCACACACGACTCAAGCATTCTGGCTGACGGAATGGGAGAAAGAGCGCGCCCGGCAGCGCATTGAAGAAGAGGGCCGCAAGCCTGTTGGCAAGATGAACTGGTCCGTTATCCAACGCGTCTTTGGATCCTGGCAAGTGTACGCCTTCACAGCTGGCTATGCATTCTGGACCCTTACATGCGGCTCCTACGCGATCCAATACTTCACACTGTACCTCAAGTCTCGCGGCTGGTACACCGTCCCCGAGATCAACAACATTCCTACTAGCATCGGCGCTGTCAACTTCGTGTTCATGATTTCAACCGGGTACATCGCCGATAAAATAGGGAACCGCGGTCCTGTATGCTTCGGGGTCGGTTCCCTGCTTACCTTTTGCTACACTATTCTCACGGCTTGGAGCGTCCCCCACGAGTTACGAATGGCCGCTTTCATCATGCTCGGCTGTTACGGCTGCTACACACCACTCCTAGCTGGATGGGCTAACGAGGCCTGTGGAGGCGATCAGCAAAAGCGAGCGTTCATCCTAGGATTCATGGTGTCCGTCGGTCAGGCCGTCGTTATTCCGTTTCAGCAATTGCAACTCCCCAGCGGACAAGCTCCCGAGTTTAAGCAGACTCACGGTTGGCCCAGCGCCTTGGCATGGGTGGTGGCTTTGACCCTTTGGACAGGCATCGGTATTCCTTTTTTGCAGAAATGGCGCGATGGAAAGACCAAGGTTGTGTCTTCCGAGGATGTTCTTGAGGAGTAAGAGGGGTCAGGGAAGAATAATGGTGTCTCCATTACCGTGGAAACCGCTAACCAACGCCCTCGGTTCTATATTAGTCAGTGCCTATAATTACGATGAATTGAGAGGATATGTAGCAAACCCTAGTTCTAAATCTTGCGACAGCTACCGAAGCGGTGGCCGGGAGGCTAACTGTAAGCAATCACTATGAGGATGCACCCTTCCAACGTAGCAGTAAAACAACATAGCTCGTATCAAGCGGAAGATATTGACTCAAAGTATTCGAACGATCGGCAGTCATTTCTCGAATTGTGTAGATTAAGTGAACTAGGAATAACAGAAATACAGCCAAGATTAGTCCTCTTTCACAGTAGACTCTGCACTCTTTTCGCCAGTGCCGTGAATATAATCCAACCATGGCATTCCTCCAAAGTTTACATCAAATCGCTCGTGATGGCGATCATGACGCCATGCTGCACCTCCAAAGAAGTCGTAGCCACTGTGCACTGTCGCCGTCTCAAGCAGTTCGAAGGCGAGAAATGCCCACATAGTGACGATATGAGTGCCTAGCGCCGCAGGGGGTAGTGCAATGGGTAGAACATTTGCCACGATATGCTCAATTGGGTGTGCGTACTGAGACGCGAATGACACCGGCGCCTTGAACTTGTGGTGGACCTTGTGGATGCGGCGGTAAAAGTAGGGAATATGAAAAAGACGATGAGAGTAGTAGAATAGTATTTCGCGCGAAACAATACAGATTGAAATGTCGTATATGAAGGATGTTGCTGTGGGGAGGGTCGTGGTGATCTGGAAGCGGGACGGTGTATCTGACAAAACAGCCAGAATAGCAAGGGAAATTTGAATGGCGATTATGAGGAGCTGATTCCTCAATGATATTGCAACGGCATGTCCAACAACCGCAGCAGTTGGCTGTTTTTCTGAAGGTTGAATTTTGTGCCTCTCAGCAAATGATGGCGCTATGAAATCGAGGGATACATAGATGGCAGAAGGGATCCACCAAAAAAGCACCTGGATCGTTAAAGTCCCAATAATTTCGATCAAAGTATGGTTGTATTTTTCGACAAGCTCCCCCCAAAGTCGAGGCATGTTGTCCAATGTTTATGACGGTGACAGGTTCATAATGCTAGAATGAGGAGAACGGTGTTGTACATTAAATATAATGAGTACTGCATCAATTTTATCGACCCCAGTACCCCGCATTTCTCTTCTGCCACCAAGCTGAATTGAGTTTAGTGACTTCAAAGATGACGATAGTCAAATGATTTCATCGTGAAGCCTCGGCTGTCGTAAAGGACTGTGGGCGCCATTGTTCGTCATGTGACGGATGAAAGTTGGATTCTCATACTTTCTGAGAATTCATCCTGACATGGAAAGTAGACCAAGATGATGGATCAATTGGTTGGCCACTACCACAGACAGCATACTGTCTCTGTAACATCGAGAGCGAGCTTCAACCAAATGGAGGAAGGAAGGCAATTAATGTTGAGTGTTTAGGATAATCCATCATCGATCCAATTCGCCATCTTAGACAAGCTTTGGCCTTAAAACTAGGACCAGCAAGCACTTTGAGTTGACTTTTCACCGACGACGGAATAATCATCGGAACGAGGCCCTAGGAAACCGAACTCACAAAACCCATGGGTTATCCACACCATGAGACAACCCAGTATGATAATTAAGGGCGGCATAAACAGAGGCCTATATTGTTCTAGCGCAGCAACGATTTTACAAGAGGGCGATCAAGGCGTGAACGGACATGGACACATTGACCAATACCAATTAATCTCCTCGACGTGTCAGCGTCTTGGACTGGGAGATTCCGAACATGACCCGATCACGACCAACGAAACTGCTAAGCAACCACACTGGTTGTAAGATGGCAAATATATGTGCTGCAGATACAGTTCGATTAAAGAGCGTCGTGATGATGGAAACAATTCAGAGGTCCTGTGGCTACCCTGTAGTAGCGAGAACCAGTCCAGGAGTTCCGGAAACAAACCAAAAGAACCCAGCCATTCATTGCTCCTGAACTAATTCGATAACATGGCTATGCATGTATAATGGAGGGTATTGCCGTCGCTCGGCATTGAGCCGAAATGCAGACACGACAACTCTCCTGTTGCCCTGTTGAGGCTTCGAGAAGCAACTTTAAGGTTTAAGACTGGGTATGCACTTTAACTTATATCCTCGCCAATCATCAGTTTACCACGTTAGGACTCGACGGTACGATCGCACTGAGCTTGGAGTTATAGGAATACGCTTCTCGGGCCAGTACTTTAAATTTCCCCCTCTCATCAATAATCTAACGAATCTTCTTTGCAGTACTGGCTCAATGGTTTGATGGAGCGGCATCGGCCTGCAAATGTCAAAGAAAATGGCCACGACTTCTACCTACGACAGTGCCCGTCATGTAAAAATCCTAGTATCGACTCGCATGAGAAACTGCCGAGTGCCGTTCTCCCGGGCGGACGGGGCTTGTCATTCCGCTGATCTCTCGCCGTCTAGGAGCCGACCCAGTTACTTAGCTACTCCATGCTATCGCGCGTTTCCACACCGGATCCTCGGCACAGCTGGCCACGTAGTAGTAGCTGGAGCGGCACGCGTTACTCAACTAGGGGTAATTTCCACCTCTAATGGCGGATAAAGTCTATTCGCTAATGCCACCTACTCCATCCAGCTTCGGAACGAGCAAGGCCGTTGAAATGGTGATTTATACCCCGCTCAGCGCTGTCGCTCTCCAACGTTGCGCACGAATAGGGCCTCGTGATAGTCGCAAGGCTTCTTAACCACGGCGTTGCGCACGAATAGAACCTCGTAATAGATACAAGACGGCTTTACTCGGGCGTTGCGCGCGAATAGGGCCGAGTGATATACGTACGGCTGATGTTATACGGCGTTGCGCACGAATAGGGCTTCGCGTCACAGGTCAGACTCCTCTGGTCGACGGAGCTGTTCTGCTTGCGTGGCCCTGTAGGCTTCTCATCGACCCATTCATAACATTCGCAAGTCTGAGGACGTCGCCATGAACAAATATAAAACGATGCCAAGAGAAGACGCTCAGAGACGTGCATATCGCACCATTCCTCCACAACAGTGAAACAATGGTCTCACAATCCAGCCTCCGACGCCTCACTCTTGGCCTTGTTGCCACAGGCTCCCTTGTCAATGCTGGGCCCTGCGACATCTACTCCTCTGGCGGCACGCCCTGCGTCGCCGCACACAGCACCACTCGTGCGCTGTATGGCGCCTACACCGGCTCTCTGTACCAGGTGAAGCGCGGCTCCGACGGTACTACGACCAACATCGCGCCGCTATCAGCCGGCGGCGTGGCCAATGCCGCTGCCCAAGACTCCTTCTGCGCCAACACGACGTGCCTCATCACCATCATCTACGACCAGTCTGGCCGCGGCAACCACCTCACGCAGGCCCCGCCCGGCGGCTTCTCAGGCCCGGAATCCAATGGCTACGACAACCTGGCCAGCGCAATTGGCGCACCCGTCACGCTGAACGGCCAGAAGGCGTACGGCGTCTTCATCTCGCCGGGAACCGGCTACCGCAACAACGCGGCCAGCGGCACAGCGACCGGCGACGCGGCCGAGGGCATGTACGCCGTGCTTGACGGGTCTCACTACAACGGCGGCTGCTGCTTCGACTACGGAAATGCCGAGACCAGCAGCACCGACACGGGCAACGGCCACATGGAGGCCATCTACTATGGCGACAGCACCGGCTGGGGCTCAGGCGCCGGCAGCGGCCCTTGGATCATGGCCGATCTCGAGAACGGCCTGTTCTCTGGCATCAGTTCCGGCAACAACGCCGGCGACCCGTCCATCTCGTACCGCTTCGTCACTGCGGCCATCAAGGGCGGGCCAAACCTGTGGGCAATCCGCGGTGCCAACGCGGCGTCCGGCTCGCTGTCGACGTACTACAGCGGCGCGCGCCCAACTGCGTCTGGCTACAACCCGATGAAGAAAGAGGGCGCCATCATCCTCGGCATCGGCGGTGACAACAGCGTCAGCGCCCAGGGCACCTTCTACGAGGGCGTCATGACCTCTGGCTATCCGTCCGATGCCACTGAGAACTCGGTCCAGGCCAACATCGTAGCCGCCAAATACAGCACCGTGTCGTTGACGAGCGGCCCGGCCCTCACTGCCGGATCCTCCATCTCGCTGCGGGCCACTACATCCTGCTGCACAACACGCTACATTGCACACACCGGCTCGACTATCAATACCCAGGTTGTCTCGTCGTCCAGCACTACCGCCCTCAAGCAGCAGGCCAGCTGGACCGTTCGCACGGGACTTGGCAACAGTGCCTGCTTCTCGTTTGAGTCCGTCGACACCCCCGGCAGCTTCATACGGCACTACGACTTCGCGCTGCTGCTCAACGCCAACGACGGCACCAAGCAGTTCCACGAAGACGCCACCTTCTGCCCGCAGACCGCTCTCGCCGGCACGGGTAACTCGATTCGATCCTGGAGCTATCCCACTCGCTATTTCCGCCACTATAGCAACGTGCTCTACGCTGCGAGCAACGGCGGCGTTCACACTTTCGATGCCGCCACCTCATTCAACGACGATGTGTCCTGGGTCATCAGCGCTGGCTTTGCTTGAGTGCTGGCTTGGACTCTATCAAGGTATCGACATATTTTGTGTTTTATTGATTGAGTTTTACCCAACTCAGTTACCATCGTTTGCCTATTTGCTATTGTCTATATGCTGAGACAGGAAAAATACATAAATAAACCAGTTTACATTGCAGTTGACCAAGTATGTGATTGAACCTCTCGGTCTTTTCGGACCAAAAGCACGCGAAGTCGCCGTCCCAAAGAGGAAACCGTACAGGATCGGAGACAACCCCTCCTTGGTTATACACCACCTCATGCACTCTGATTTGTGGCTTTGTAAATCACTTTCTCCGCATTCGAGATGTTCATGGCGATCATTCCCTCCCACGAATTCCATCGTACTACTCCTCGTGTCGAATTTTCCCGGTTGCGGGATTTTGGTACGACGTTGTGTTGATTTATAGGTATATCTGGGAGGGGAATCTGCCTATGGGCTGCGAATGTCAAGTCTCGCTCTCCTATTGCCGAATTTGTATCTTCAATTACCGCATTCTTCGACAATGCAACGCCCCTGCCTCATTCTACTCTTCTGCGCGGTCCTTCAATGTGTCGGTGCCACGCTCGATCTCGGCTATGACCAGCTAGACAGCCTTGCTTTGAGAGACGAACGCTCACCACACCAAAAAACATGTGTTGTCAATGCTGGCGGAAGTAATGATACCGATGACGCTCCAGCGGTTCGCAAAGCATTCAAAAAGTGTGGCCATGGTGGTAGGGTTGTCTTCAAGCCCACAACGTACTATATAAATACAGTTTTGAATGTCAGTGGGCTTGAAAACGTCGATATTGACATCCTTGGAGAACTATCGGTATGTGCTCCCCTTACACGTCATGCCGATGTATGAATGCACACCCCGACTGACCAACCGTCTATAGTGGGGGACAAACATCACTTATTGGCTTAACAACTCGCTGCCAGTCGGCTATCAAAATCAATCAACTGCATTTGTTCTAGGTGGGAACAACGTCCGTATAAATGGGTATAATCGAGGAACATTCAACGGAAATGGTGACGAATGGTACAAATTCATTCGATCACAACCCAACACCTCAAACTACCCCGGCCGGCCCCATGCTATCACCTTCAATGGTTTGACCAACTCCGTAGTCCGCGGACTCAGATTCCTCAGAAGCCAAATGTGGTGAGTGCAGAAGACGCGTAACATCGGAACGGACGGACCTGACACTAGACATCAGGACCATGTCAATTATCCACTCCCATTACGTTGAATTTGATGACATATTTATTAACAATACTGGAAATATCTATCAGAGCTGTGAGACAATGCATTGGCAACTCAATTAATCTAAGAACAAATTTTTAATTATTTTTAGCCAATACCGACGGTGCCGACACCATCCGCTCGTCCCACATCAAGATGAACAACTGGACTGTGTATAACGGCGATGATAGCATTTCCTTGAAAGCAAACAGTACCGATATCACCATCACAAACTCGCGCTTCTATAATGGTCTCGGTATCGCAATCGGCAGCATTGGCCAATATTACGGCGAAACAGAGACGATAGAGAGGTTCCACGGTAGCAACCTCGAATTCAACAACACCCTGCACGCCGTGAGTATTACAGAGTTGTCTTTTCATGCGTGACTTCAACTAACCAGAAGTGCAAGTTTTACTTCAAGACGTGGACGGCAGATCGTAATGGCTATCCCCCGAATGGTGGTGGTGGTGGGAAAGGCTGTAAGTAATTCCGAGACTCCCGAGGACTCAGCGTAATAACTCAACTCCGCCATAGATGCCGAAGATCTAGTCATGGAAAATCTGAAAGCAACCGGTCTGCGCGGCGGTGCCGTTACAATTTCTCAATGCACCCGCTTCTCCGGCGCGCCTGGATCGGGAAATTGCACGAATTCCGAGTTTCAAATTCGCAACATTTCTGTCGATGGTCTGATCGGTACAACGAAAGACTCCCGTGTTGCAAGCTTTCAGTGCAGCGCCGTTAAACCGTGTACTAACCTGGCGTTATTCAATATTGACTTGAAGTTGGCCAGCGGCGTTGAGGCCGATCGGTATCTTTGCGGCAATGTCGTTGACCCGCGAGGCTTCAACTGTACAGGCCCTCCTTGTGTAGGTGGTAGCGCCACTGGGGGGTGCTGATTATTTTCGCACAGCATTACGCAGAAAGTAGGTTGCTATCTGTGCTCTCCATTACTCGATCGTCGTGTGTTCAATCATGTTCAAACAACATATTCAATAGGCAGATTCATTGTAGCGCAGTATTACTCCTGCATACGTGTAGTCTACATTCGAGTCCAACGCTAAATCTTTTGCTTGGAGACCTCTGATTTAGCTTTTCGGGAGAATTAAAGCCATTCAGGTCACGCCGAATAAGTCGATCCTGGGGACATAAGGAACGTTCGGCACAGATTAATTCCTACACTCGTGAGGAAGGCAGATCTAGCTTAGAGAGTCTAGGTGCTGGTATTCCCTAGCCGAGGTCCGAATTCCTGCCGAGCCGCTTGCCCGGATTTTAAGGCTGGCTTGAGGCCGACGGCGATGTCCTTTGATCCGACGGTGCTAGCTTGGGCCTCGTACCCAGCAACAAGATCGATAGTCTTTTCATTTACACTCTCATGTGTGAAATAAACTACATGTCGGAAATTCAAGGTCAATCAATCACTCGACTCGAAAAGAAAAACGAAAATGGTTGTTTCTTTTCGGGTTCGACTTGGTTTAGAATAACGCCATTGGTGGAACAAGGAACCAGATATGCATCAGTGGTCAAGATTGTCATTGTTTTCGACACCCCACTGGAAGATGGATGATCAATTTGTCTTCTGTCTCGGCACAGACCTCTACAAAAAACAGTGCTTGGACTGGTATTTCGACTACTACCACAGGGCTGATCCGCTGCTTCGGAAGTCGTTATCCGAGCCGAATGCATGAATAGGGAGCCCCTTTCTGAACACGTTAACCCTCTGGGACAGACAGAAGACATTTCAGAAGATGGAAAAGCAACAGCGAACTGACTCATCCGCCATGTGGGGCCAGATTTACTTCAATCTCAAGCTATTGATTATGGGTGGCTTGTGAGTCTTGTCAAAATGATATTTCGCATGTGGGACGGTGGACTTCGAGGCCCAACGGCGGGATGTGGGGCCCATGGGAGCTGGAATTTCTGGCGACACATGGGCTGATATTCTTTGCGTAAAGATTTCGGGGACTCGCTCTCTTATTTATCGGTGTTTCATTGATATAATTGGTGATATGAGGCAATGGTTGTGACTCTGGTTTATGCGTGTCTAGGTGCTGCTCTCCATGGAGTCTGTACCGAGAAGAATATGTGGCAATTTAATTAGCGGGTTGTTTTACACGGGCATTCTGTCTGGGTTTGTTGCGCTAGAGCCTATAGCTTCTGTCTTGGGGGATGTCGACTGCACAGTCTACGGAAAGATACTCGAAAATAGCTGGAACAAGAAGTGAGCGTACAGAAAGAACGTGCAGCTGGAATTATAGTCACCAACATCGCTCAGCAACGTCCTCTTCGGTGTTACCATTACTGGTGCTACCATGGCTGACCTCCCGTCATTCTCGAACGATAAGATTCCTCTTGTATCCCATCGAGTAACCATAGCTGTCTTTGAAGCCTTCTACTTTCCTACAACCGGTGACGTATGTGGGGCTGGCTTGCGAAGGCATTCGTGAGGCTCATGTGGGGCTCCTTTTCCCAGTCTGGACACGCTTCACTAAGGTTGAGTTAGATACCCCGCAAACCTGGGGTAATGGGTTGCTGTTAACATCATTTATTCTTCTCTCTTCTCGCTTCAAAAGAGAAACGATCCGCAAATTTGGGGCTCTACCCATACTTGAAGCAAATACACGCACACACAGATACACAGTCGTACACCCTGCCTTTTTTGCTCTACAATTCTCCTTTTATCCACGATGGGCGAACACATCAGCAGCCAGCCTTTCAACATCAAGGATGAGCCAGTCGAGAATCAGAGGCCCATGAGAGTTATTGTCATTGGGGCAGGCTTCTCAGGCATCTACGCAGCCATTAGGTAGGTCCGCGAGCTATGGCGCTGAGGCCAACTTCAAATCTTCCAGGTTATATCAAGTTCCAAAAGTATCCGACTAGAAGAGATTCTTGCCTTCTGCTGGGGCCTGAAGACTGCGTACGAGTCACAGAACCATGTTGACATATGTGATACTAGGATTTCTCAGCGGCTCAAGAATGTTCAGCTTCAGGTGTACGAGCAGAATGAAGAAACTGCAGGTGTATGGTAGGTTCAGAATGAAATGAATTGCACAGCTTATAGTTTCGATACTAATTGTTTCCCAGGTGGTTGAACCGCTACCCAGGCCTGGCATGCGATATCCCATGTGAGTTTTCGGCTATAAGCTCAATTGAGATATCGAAAACGATAGATTGGCAACTAACAACCCTCACCTAAAGCCTACTCGTATCAGTTCAGTTTTGCTCCCAGCCCGTATTGGTCTGCACTATATGCCCCTGGACCCGAAATCCGGGCATATATGCAGGACGTCGCTGAAAGGTACGGTGCCACGCGCTATATCAAGACTTCCCATGCCGTCAAGGAATGCGTTTGGGACTCCGAAAAGAGAATCTGGTAAGTTTTTATGCACTTCTTGGGAGAGAATGAATGAGATATTGGACATGGAATCTAATAGTGTCGATTAGGAGAGTCAAGGTCCACAACATCGAGACGGATGAAGTTTTTGAGGACACAGCGAATGTGGTCATTTCTGCTAAAGGTGGCTTGAACGAAGTGAAGTGGCCTAATATCAAGGGCCTGGGGGATTACAAAGGGAAACTGATTCACTCTGGGAAGTGGGACGAGAGGCAAGCTAGCAAGACCCAGGTCTGATTCAACCGCTAACTGTGATACAGCGCTGATCTTCGTAACAAACGAGTTGGCGTTATCGGCAACGGATCCAGCGCGATTCAAATTGTACCAGCCATTCAACCGCTCGAGGGAATCAAGGTCTGGAACTTTGCCCGCAGCCCTACATGGGTGTCAAATTCTTTTGGGGATGTTGCAATGGCAAAACTTGGAAGAGAGCCTGGGGACAACAAATGTGCGTCAACAGCTAAGTACTGCACCTAAATGCAGTGAGAAACGAACTAACGGAGTCCATGTGGGTGGAATTGATAGTCTCCCGACGCGATCAGGAATACATGGCACGACACCCAGACCACTACCATAAAATGCGGAAGACACTCGAGAATGAAGCTAGCAAGAAGTTCTTGTTCACACTAAAAGACTCACCAGAACAGGCGACCGCTGTAGGAAAGTTTCAAGATTACATGAAGAAACGTCTAGAAGGCCGACCTGATCTCTACGAAGCCATCATCCCAACGTTTGCTCCTGGATGTCGCCGACTAACCCCGGGGCCTGGGTATTTGGAGTCGCTCAAGGAGGATAACGTGGTCTTCTGCAACAAACCTATCCAGCAGATAACTAAGAACGGCCTGACTCTCAGCACCGGAGAGGAGATAGAATTGGATGTGCTGGTTTGTGCAACGGGGTATAACGTCGGGGCACCACCTACTTTTACAGTAACGGGCCGCAACGGCGTAACGCTCGAGCAAAAATGGACGCCACATCCAGAAACCTACCTTTCTGTGGCTGTAGATGGATTTCCCAACTTCTTATTCATCGGTGGGCCGAACTCTAGCCTCGGCTCCGGCAGTCTTCTCAGTGTTTATGAAGGACAAGGTGACTATGCGGTCAAGATGATTCGAAAGCTGCAAAAGGAGGACTACTCTACCTTTGAGGTCAGACCGGAGCGTGTTGCCGACTTCAGTCACTACATCGACGAATACTTTAAGCGCACAGTCTATACAGATGACTGCTCGTCGTGGTACCGCTCACACACTACGGGGTCGCGGATTGTTGCTTTGTGGCCGGGATCGTCGGCACAGTGCCTCGAGGTACTCCGGGCCCCGCGATGGGAGGACTATGTCCTTGAGAGCGCGGATCCTACTGGGAACCTTCTACGATGGCTGGGGAACGGCTCAAGTATGACTCTTAAAGAGGGCGACCCGTCCTGGTTTCTGGAACCCGGCGCTATTGATGTCCCTAAGGAAGGGAAGCCGGAGGAGAGCGAAATCTATCTTCAGCGTCCATTTTCTCACTAGAGAAATTGTCTTGAGCATGAATTCTTTGTCTTATATCAATCCTTAGTTCTGGAAAGTGCAATTTTTCTTCTAACTTCTATTTCGTGTATATGATGAGTATTTTAATGAATAACTAGATCGAGCATGCTGCACCAAAACTGCCTGCGACACCTTCGTCGGGTATCGGTCTAGAGGCCGAAAAGCACAAGTGCTGTGGCTACTGCAAGTAATCAGGGTTAGTTGCTCTGTCGCTCCCTGGGGCGAGCCACTCAACTTGGAAGGCAGTGGAAGGCGCGAGATCTTCTGGGACAAGGCGCTTTGTAAATGAGTTTTCGACCTTGGAGACATCTATGGCAGCTTGTCAGTCCAGGTACGCTGGTCGTGGTTGATGTTTTCACTTAAGCAGGCTAGTGTTGTAAGACAGCTCGGATAAGACAACCCAGGTTCTCGGGTTATGATTCTTACGCAGAAGTCGGAAGGTATGAAATGCGGGCTTAGAGATCCCCTGCAGGTTTATGAGAGCAAAGCCATCATTCGTAGGGGTGCTTTCAGAGTTATGGGTGGAACAAGATCAACTCAATATTGTTTCACGTACCTCTGCCGACGTCTTTTTCTTTTGGGGAAAATCCTGAAGCTCATTGTCAAAGCAGGAGTCCGACATTTCAATTTATTCACTACTGAGAGTCGCATCACATATTCTCGCATTACCTCTCAAATCAATTCCGAGAGGGAGAAGGTCAAGACCTCAAAAGTTGAACTAACTCCATCTATCAGCGAGAGGGCCTCCAGGAAGAAATGCCTGTACAGCACTGTATCCTTTGTGATGTAGCTGTAGGTACGAGCATATAGAAGGACATTCCACCCTGGCCCTAAGCTCCATCCACCACATACTACGACCTGCTTTGCGATACCATAGATACAGCAACAATAGTGCAACAGGGTCTTTTCCTCGCAGCAAGGATTCGAATGGACCATGTATGTTGCGTGTGAAGACTTCAGTTTGACCTATTGTGACTTGGCTATCCGGGAGATGCTGGATCTGGGATATCGCGTGTGCAGCATTGAAATACGGATTGTTCTCTGCGGTAGACAAGTCTTCAAGATGACACGCGATAGCCAAGGCCCTTGGTATGCCATAGATGCCTTTCTCTGGCAGGGGCGAGTTCATTTCAGCGTAGGTCGACGCCATGACACAAAAAATACTATCCGGTCGTAGAGGGTTGACTATGCGCCACAGTGACATTTTACCCTTGCCCATACGCAACCATTCCAAGTCAGAAGGATCAGAAGGTCTTAGGGGCCACGATTCTTCCGGTGTGCACGCATCAGGGGACGAAAAGCTCAAGACAGCCAGAGCGGCCGCGGTGCCCCATATTGAATCTTTGGCTTTTGTGTCAATTGGCTCACGTAGCCGTCTGTTGAAGAGGGCTGTGCCTTGTGACCAGTGATAACACTCTTCCAGACTGCGACGACAGCTTGATGTGCTATTCAGGTGGCGGTCATATGCAAGCGCCACCGCTAGAGAGGCGTGCATCAAGAAAGGGTGCTGTAAACCACATGTAATTAGTAGGGCTCAAGTTCGCAAGAGATAATCGAGCTTAATAAATGACCAAGCTTGAGTTCTGCAATGGGACGGGAACAAAAACAATGTGACAAGACTTACGGTGAAGGCTAGTGTCATGAGGTTTCGATTGACTTTTATCATATTCGCGTCATCTGGAGTAATGAGACTTCGTGCTAGGTAGCGGATTATGAAATCTTGACACCTTGCATTCAACTGATAAGATGTTGACGCGTCAGATGTCCAGACAGCACTGGTGAGAGGAGCTTGAGGCCCTGCTCTTTCTTGAGCGACGAATGACCTTAATGAGTCGTCGGCGACGGGCTGCAGATCTGGAACATTGGACATGAAGTTGCATCGTACTCCAAATGAACTACATCTGCTGCACTGTGGTTTGCTTTCGTCGCACTAGAGGGCCAAGGGAATCCGTTTAGCTACCCACAGTTCTTTGGGAAGCGGAGAAGCACGCACCTTGAGTTTTCTGAGCTTGCAATTGCGGCAGCCAAATCTCGACCTCCGCATAGGCCTGCGCTTTCGAACCTCTTTTGGGCAAGTCGAAGCCATGCCTGGATTGTTGTCTGGTTGTGTGGACACGTCGACTGTGAAAATTATTCCCGGAAAGGATTGATGAGTGCCGAAAGAATCCATCGAGAGTGCAGGGTCATCAGAACATTGCGTCACAATCTTTTTACGCTAACCCTGGCTCGGATAAGTAAAGGTCCTCGCTAGCTATTAATCGGATGCAGAGCTTTTTGATTGGCTGACAGTCCCAAGTTGTCCTGAACCCAGCTCAAGGTTGCATTAGATAGGCCGGGGACTCGTTAAAGATCAAGCGCTTTGAAATGATGGCTTAATGGTATAAAAGAGGCGATCCCTCGAGATACTGGCAAGAGTTGAGAGCCCTCAACCCAGCACTACTTCTTTTCACTAGATTCTTACATCAAATCAACCTTTGCTCACACAAAAGTCCAAAATGGCCACCCACCTCGCCGCCGTCTGCGTCGCCAAAGGCCAACCGTTCGAGATCCAAACCCGCCGCACCCCGAAACCTGGGCCAGGCGAACTCCTCGTCGCCGTCAAATCCGTAGCCCTCAACCCGGCAGACGGCTTGATGCGTAACCTGGGCATGTTAATATCCACATACCCCACCGTCATCGGCTTCGACATCTCGGGGTTGGTGCTTGAGGTCGGCGATGGCGTCCCTACCAGTACTACCGATCATGATTCGGGCCTCTTCTTCGAGCCTGGTATCACCCGCGTAGCCGCCTACGCGGCCTCCTTCTGGAAGTCCTACGACCCGAATTACGGCGCCTTCCAGGAGCGGTGTCTCGTCCCCTGGCAGCACGCCGTACCCCTTCCGGACAAAACTATGTCTTGGAACCACGCGGCAACTTTGCCAGTGGCCGTTGAGGTACCCCTGAGCGCGTGGGATGCCTTGGGGATTCCCCGTGTGGGAGAAGCCGCCGCTTCTGCTTCTGCCTCCCTTGCCCCTGCCGGTTCCAATACCGGGGTAGAGATGAAGAAGAAAAGACAACAAGAAGCACTCCTAATCTGGGGCGCCTCCTCCAGCGTCGGTACCATGGGAGTGCAGAGTGCCCGGCTGCTGCGGAAAGACCAGAACTCTCCTTTCGCCGCCGTGTATGCTACGGCCGGGGCGGCAAATATGAAGTATGTGAGTTCGCTGGGCGCGGACAGCGTGTTCGACCACAGAGACCCCCGAGTGGTGGATGCGATAGTTTCAATGGCCAAGGAGGATGGGCTGGTGATCCGGTACTGCTTTCTAGCCACCGGGCAGCTAGGACCATGTCAGGCCGTGCTTAAGGCTTTCTTTGCGGATGACGAAACGGAGAAGAATAAGAAGGCTAAAATTGCGTCCGCACCTGTAATACCCCCAGATGCAGATGTGGTGGACGGAGTGGAGACCATCTTCGTGCAGCCTTCCGCAGGGGAAGGTGAGAGGTTGGAGCAGTTCCGATATTGGATGGGTACGTGGCTGAGGGAGAACCTGGCGAAGGGAAGTATCAGCCCGAGTCCGGAGCCAAGGGTAGTTGGCAAGGGGTTGGGGGCTCTTAATGCTGGGTTGGATATGCTGCAGCAGGGGGTGAGTTGTATGAAGTTGGTTGTTGAGGTTGAGGAGTGAGAGGTTTTAGAGCGTTGACTAGGAATTAAGACTAATTCTGACTTATTTCAGAAGTTTATATACTACATTAGGTGTGAAATTACTACTTTGTGTGTTCTAATAATTACCCTGAAGTTCAATACCATCATCGCCAACCGTCATCAATCGTCATCAGCCGTCATCAAACAGGTGGCGTATAATCCAGGTCCTCATCAAACCGCCAGCGCCGTCGATTCTCCTCAACCCACCATCGACTCATAAACGCCGCCTTCTCTACCCACGCCGCCGCCTCGGCACTGTGCTCGCGCTCGACCTTGCCCAGGAACTGCCTGAAGTCAAACGCAACGACCGTGGCCTGTTCATGCGGATCCCGCGTCAGGTTGCTGAAGCGCCACTCGATGTCGTGCACGATGGGGACCACGACGCGTAGGTTCGGCTGGTGAGCGTCCCGCACGCTGAGCATGGCGCGGCCGGGGTTCATGACGGTGAACTGCCAGTTGGGCTGGCCCGTCACCAGCGAGAAGTCGCTGGCGGGCCGCAGGAGAGACTGCCCCTCGTAGTTACGCATCAGGTCCTGCGCCGCCTGACTCTCGCTCGCCGACAGCGAGTCGGTCTCGACGAGCAGGTCCAGGATGGTGGGAAGGATCTGGTGTGATGTGACAGCGTCTTCGACGTCGATTACTGGCAGCTTCGGGTGCGAGAAGACCAGGGGAACGTGCAGGTTTGCGACGCCGGGGGCGTAGTACGGCGTGATGCAGTTGCTCTCTGCAACACAGAGACCGTGGTCGCCAACAAAGACCAGCAGAGTCTCATCGGCGACGCCCTCGTCCTCCAGAATGTCCAGCAGCTTGGCCAGCCAGCCGTCGACGTAGCCTATCGTGTCCAGGTACTTGGACAGCACGGTTGATTCGTCGCCTTCCGCTAGGCGTGCTATCTCCTCGTCGCTCGGTATCTTGAAGGGGTGGTGCGTGGTACCCGTCAAGTGCGTTAGAAATACCCTTTCATTCTTCTGTTTGGCCGTCGCGAAGGTATCCCGGATGTACTCTTCCAACGTGAACTCGGACAGGCCGCCACCAGATTGGGGTCGAACAACAGGGCCAAACTTGGGTTCCGGCCCGGTTAGATACTGCTCTGTGATGATGTTGCCCTCGGGAAACCCCAGCAGCGGCATCTGAACGTCTTGCTTGTCAAACAGGCCTGTGACGGACTGCATAAAAGAGGATGACCACTTGAACGAGGAAAAGCCGTCCATGGAGCCGTCACTACCGTGGTCAAGCTGGTTGAAAGCCTCCAATATGTGCGGCAAGCATGGCTGGTAGATGTGATGGTGAATCTCCACGTTGAAGTCGACGACGAGCGGACTCAGTCCGCATAGCGTTCCTGTGAGGCTCTTCAGCGTATAGCTCGCCGTGGTGAGAGCATTGTTGAAGTTGATGCCACCACGTGGTTTCTGCTCTAGGTGTGGGAAGCCATCGTTGTAGTCGCCCGTGAGCAAGTTGGCGGTCGGAACAAGCGTTGCCAGCTTTTCTTGCGCTTGCAACAGCATCGTTTTGTTTTTGAGCGATTTGGCCAGTTGATTCCAAACGAAATCGTGCTTTTTGATCGGGAAGACGTCTTTCCTGGTGCCCTCGAGTTTAACAATCATCACATGTCGGATTTTGACGTCGCGAAGCTTGCCGCGGAGATCGGGGAGCAGGTCGTTCTCCCAGTTAGAGATTCTCATGGGGTCCGCTGTAGCGCTGTAATGCTTCTTCTTTTCGTACCAGTCCTCGAATCCCGGGAGTGGTCTGTCCGCAGGGAGCCAGGGGAGAGAGATCGGCTCGTCCAGCGCCGTGAGATTATCCCAGGTGTAGTTGATGCAGTCTCCGTACACTGGGGTCATACTGGCGAGATTGGGCGACGAGTTTGCAAAGTCCACAAAGGGGAGCAAAGGTAGCGTCCATGACATGAATGCAAATGCGCTATCTTCGGGTCGAGCAATGGACTCAAAGGTCATGGCTATCAATGAAGCTCCAACCATTGCATACGAAAGAAGTCCCCACTTCCTTTCCAGCAGCCTGCCACTCTGGTTTAGACGAGGTTTCTCTTCGTCCTCAATGGCAGACTCCCCGGCGAGTTCGGCGTCCTGCTGTAAGAGATGAGCGTACTGGGCTGTAGGCGGCAGGCAGCGTCGTATCGGAGACGAGTTCCAAAGGAGGACGAAGGGCCATTTAACAATGTCCAAGGCAATGCTCATCGCGGCATAGCTGAGTTCCTGCACAACGCTGCTTGTGACGAGTATAGCAGCAAATACCAGCAAGCACGACATCAACCCGGCCAGCAGCAGCTTCAGGGACGACGCGTCGCCGGCAAAACCGATGTTGCGCCAATGAAGTTCAGAGCCCGCAACGATGAAGAAGGAGATGTCGAAGCTCGCCAGCGCCAGAACGAATACCACCGTGACCAAGACCACGGTCGAAGCAACGGACCCCAGCCAAGGAACAGAACCAACAGAGGCTGTGCCGGCGAGGCGTAGGAACATGAGCAGCGCGACATCCTGGGCGAAGAATGACAGCCCCCAGTGCAGCACCGGGTCTATCCCCAGCGCATCAATATGGGCGTAGATGTGAGCAGCCTTGGCGCTGACGACCGACACGGCTGCGATGGCATGAAGGAAGCGATAGTTGGCGCAGCGGGTGACAAGAGCGCCAACCCAGCGGCGGCTCAAGATGCGGAGGTTCGTGATCATGTCGACAGGAGGAACGTAGATTCGACAAGAGAAGTCAACCGTCCCGCACCAGCTTTCCAGCGGTGAGCCAAGTTTTGAGCCAAGTTGATTGACGTCTTGCCCAACCCTTCCCCGACAGAAATGGTCTTTCTTTTCTTTTCCTCATCAGGGCTATTAAATATTGGTCTGGGAGCGTCTAGTGTCGCGTGACCCCTTGACTAAAGCAGAATCAATAGAATGCGCCCCTGCATTCCTCTATTTGAGCCACTATTGACGCTAAGGAAGTGGATCGAAGGACGAAATGACATCGTTTGTCTGACCACTCGGGTGGTATCCGAAGAGACCAGACCTTGGAGAAATGAGGGCGTCTCGGCGGGAGCGAGCAGGTAATTGCTTGTCTTATGAGAGGCGGGGAGATGTTTGCTTGTTTTTATTGAGGGAGGTAAAGAGTTACTCCACCATTTCACCACCTAATTGCAGCCCTGTAGCATTCCGACCCTGGAGGAAAAGGTCCTAGTGATGGGGGCCCGCCCTGCGAGGCTCCGTGGCGTGGCAAACAACCTCATCGTGGCGGACAACAAGCGCGGAAGTACTCAATGCCGCTAACTGCTCCAGGAATTCGAAGGGAAGCGCGCCCCTGAGTCCAGCCCGGTGTCGACACGGGCTCGTCACGCAGTAGCAGGGTGAGCTTTTCGCCCAAGGTGATGAGTCTGACGGCTTTTCCTTTGAGTTCTTGTGGGATTTGGTCTAGGGCTGATTCGGGTGGATGTGTGGACGCTTGCGGGTGATGGGAGATGCGTGTGAACAAAGTTACTTGGATCGGCATCAAGAGGGCCAAGGGGGCAGCCTTATGTATAATTGAGAGGAAAGGGAATGCTAATTTGCTAGATAATAATCAGAGACCCGGGAGACACTACTATAGATCTGCTGTGCGGACTTTTGTGCGGACTTTTGGTCCCACCGCCGGCTAGTCGTGCCGAGATGATCGCCGGGATGGGTACTCCAGAAGCGACACCACAAATAGAAAGCCCACAGGGCAGCCGTGAGCTGCGGTCGAAGAAAGACAAGAAGGCTGGAAAACGGCAACAAGTCGGACTCTGGGGGGCAAGCTTGTCCGCGACAGACTCAAAGCCCCGCAGGATATTGATACCCCCTAATTAACACATAATTAGCCCCACTAGCTTGGGAGGTTCGGCGTGGATGCATCAAATCCGGCATCAAACTTGGATCTTGACATGACCAATGAGATGCAAAGTCCGCAGCTGGACTACTCGTGAGCCTTAACCAATTATAGCACCGTAAAAGGTGGAGGGAGACTGTCCGTCGAGCTTGGCAATTGTCCACCTTGCTCAGAGACTCGTCTTCCACCGAATGGTTCTTGATGAACAGGTCAAGCCACATCTTGTTTCAGAGCAGGGCATGCATATTCGAAGAGGGCGTAAATATCCCCGTTACCTCGTCAAAATAGACCGCAAAAATCGCCCTCTCCAAGCGTTTACACTCATGAGGCTGACATACCCTATGCCTCTATGGAAAGAGCCTCAACTCCGCATCGAGGTGGTTCAAGATTTCACCGCCACGTTTCGATGCCACGATCATCCCTGCTATGAGGCCATTCGGCATGGCCCAAGCCACGGCCCGACAGCTGATTACTATTCTTTGCCATTGCTAGCGGCGCACCCAGTCAAAATGCGTTCAGTTCCACAGCACACCATTATCATACCAGTAGTCGTTCAAAAATCCAGGAACCATGAATGCGAAAATTGCTCAATTATCAGGAAAGATCAGTGAAGACGTAATTATCTAAACTGGTTAAAATGCAAGTTTACTACATCCGTTTCTTTTCCTTTCCATTTCCCCTTACTTGCAGTCCTGTGACTTTTGCCTCATCCCTATACAACTCCGGCTATCCATTCAAATAAGAGATAGCAGTCGGTAGAGAGCATTTCCCTACTCGCCTAACATCGTCTTGAGGACTTGAGCAGGGGTGCGCTTCGGCGCGGCTATCTCAAGGACCTCCTTGCTCGTCGTGTCAATTCCGCATTTGCCCTCCCAGGCGGTTTCCGCAGCGTGCCTGATGGACAGAATAACATTCGGGGCCTCCTTGGTTTGGGCTGCCATGTACTCGACAAACGAGGCATCCTTGAAGATGACATCATCGACCTTGGTGCCAATGTACTCCTCAATCAGGGCGACGATCTGGCGGCCAGAGATATTCTCCGGTCCGTTCAAGACGTACTTGGCCTTATTGTGCGGGGTGACGTCTTCGGTGACTAAGAGGTGAGCTGCAAAGATGCCGACGTCGTTGGAGTCGATGATGCCGACGGCCGCGTCCTCAGAAGACATCGTCCTTAGGGTCTCCTGCTTGCCCGTCTCGCGGAACTTCTTGATCAAGGCGGCGGCAGGCATAAGGATGAACTGCGTAAAGACGTTGGGCTGCAGCGAGGTCCAGCGCAGACGGTCGAATTCCGGCGAGCTCAGCAGGGCCTCGATTGCCCAGTGCGTGCGCGGGTAGTAGGCCGGGCAGTCTGGACGTACGTTGGCGGCCGTAGTGGAGATGCGCACGACGTACTCGACGCCGGCGTGGAGCGCGGCGAGGTGGAACGTCGACTCCTCAGCGAACTGATTGGGCTCGTTGTGCGAGGCAATAAAGGCCCGGACGACGTTGTTTTCGCGGAGCCAGTCGGACGTGATCTCGACCCACGTCTTCTCGACGACCTCGACGCCGGGCAGTTGGGCCAGCTTCTGAGCTGCCGCGCCGCTCGCGGAACGCGTGAGGGCAAGGATGCGGTAGCCAGCAAAGGCAGTGCTGGTCTTGAGAAGCTCCGACAGCGTCTCGACCACGGCGCGGCCGGTGTTGCCAGTGGCGCCGGCGATGAGGAATGTAGGAGCCATGGCTGCGGGTGGTTGTATATAGATGGGAGAAATGGTGGTTTGATGGCGCTGGATGAAGTAGTTTGTATCCATTAATCCAAGAGGCGACATGGCTGCTCTACTTATACCAGCACCACCGCACCACCGCTTGCAGTATGAGATTCCGGCGCTGGGATTGATGACCAATTGTCTTCCCACTTGTCACGACGAGTTTTCGCTGGCGTAAAAAGTCGGTCGGAGTTTATTCACGAGGGGCCAATACATAGACGCCTTGGTGCCAATAATTTGAAGCATTCACTCCGAGGCTTATAAATAATTTGTCGTTGCTCCGCACAATGCTACGCTCTAGTGGCTACCAGGTCTCCGCTTTGATTTCCGAGTACTGCCTGCCCCCCAGTCTTTTTCCTTTCTCTGCTTTCGTTTTCATTCACCTTGGCTTTCACGACCGGATTTTCTTTTTCCTCCACCTTTCAGTCAGATTATCTCCTCGAGCGTACCAAAGTACATGAGATGGTGAGTATTATAGGTTATATGCACAGCTGGTTGATCTTTCTAGCTACATAATTCTTCCCTCAATTGGCCTGCTATTAGACATTTCTGAGTTATGGGTCAATGAGAAGCTAGGTACGCCAATGGCTGTTTACGTAGCAAAGTACTCACTCTGGTATTCGAGCGGCCTGCGACAAGGGGCGTCACCCTTGTCGCTACCACTCGGGGTGCGATAATACATTACTGCTGCTGGCGTCTCAAAAAGCCGTGTCTCTCCGGCTGGCTTGCCAGTACGCCCTATGGGATATAACGTACGGTTGAACCTCTTCGTCCTGCTATTTGTGTTCGCCACTCCCAGCATAGTGAGTGCACGAAGCTCCAACCCAGTAAAAATCGCTGGTGAGCATCTATGGTCTTTAACAGTGGCTTGGTCTCTGTTTTGTTGGTGGGCGAGGTCTTTAGTGCAGACCACACCCGTCCGTAGCGTAGGGGTAGAGGGATAACAGAGGCAAAGAAAAAGCAGCAGTAAAGTTATCTCCTGGGAGTAAAAGATATTTGAAGCAGCTGATTAATTACTCCTGAATTACTGCTGAAGAAAGAAAAAGAGAAATAATATCAAGAGCTGCTGCGACAGCTGCAGTGGAAGGAGCGTACTGAGACTAAAGGTGTCATATTAATTAGAAGAAGGAAAAAGCATGCCTCTTATTTTTCAAGCAGACTGTACGCCTTAAGTAGGGACTGCCTAAGCTAGTATAGGCCTTCCGTACTGTATTAAACCCCAGGTGGACCGTTGGCCCCATCACACTGTATAACGATGTAACTTAGCACATTCCAAGCCTTATCATTTCTAGTTGTCGGTACCACCGTGACATCTCAAACCATCTCGCCATTAGCCGCCCAGATCACCTCAACTGTGTGTTGTGCGCCCATGATGGCCCGTCTTTTAGGCGGACGCTTTACGACCATGCTCGCAGCACCTATAATTGCCGGCATCTTCACTGAATATGAGAGCTAGAGGGTTGTGTAGTGGGTTAGCTTTGGTCCACAGTATCTCATCTTCGCTCTCTTCCTATTTCTACCCGATTCGCCAGCGGTTAATGCGAATATCAACAACTTTGGAATTCTGTACACTATATCAAGATACCACTTTAACAGCTAGTGTGCAGAAATTATGATGGCGTTCTTTGTGACGCAATATTCATCTCATATCGGACTGTACTCACGTTCCTCTTATCGTCGTCTACTTGTAGTCTATCGACCTTGGTAATTGGTCTTTTCGTTTCCGTTGGAATACCGCCACTCCTTATCACTCATATCATTTCACGTTGTTATTACTATCTACATTACAGGGCAATTGTAGCTATTATTGTAGGCCTTAGCGGCGTCATTATGGGGCTTGTGGATCCTATTATGCAAGGTCTGCTTGTGAACCTCAGTTTGATCTGGATATAGAAATCTAATCGTGCATGACTTGCAATCGTGGACCTTTAGCTACAAAATTCAACACAGCCTATGCTACATGGCACGATAATGGGCACTGCTCTTGTTAACAAACTTTATACCCAGCGTGGGTGGCACTGGGGCGGGGGAGCGAGTATTGGTTTCCTAGGAGTGGCATCAATCATTGCGGTGATCAGTGGACCTCACGAGACCGGTTGGATAGGCTGGAGAGGTGATTGAAGCTGGAGGAATCAGACCCACAAGGTGTAAGAGAAGAACAAGTATGATCGGACACATTCTCTCCTAGGATGGCCGGGTTCGTTTTGATATGTTCAGAAGCTGGAAATTTACGGTGCTATTCTCTCTAGGAGATTAGGTAATATTATGATGACGATCCGGTTCATTTGGCCTTCTCAGGCACGGCCCGGATTTTCATATGGAATAAAAAAATAAAAAGAGGATAGGACGAAGAACATCTAGGAACAAACCAGGTTATCTTAGTGGTTTTAGCTAGTTGAATCTGAGATCAACCAGAACAGCGACCTGATATATACAACACATCCGTCTTCTCTATTCATACTAACTTTTGGGGAGGCGCTATTAACAAAGCAATGCTCTCCACGTTAATCTACAAGAGCAATCTCAACCAACAATTCATTCCCCCGCGGCGTCTAACGAGTTGAACCGGCCTCTAAAACCTAATAACAAGCTGTGTCGCAGTGCCAGCTGTAATGGTGACGACAACGCACAGCGGTCTTAGCATTTCTGCATCATCGCAGAGATATGTCACCCTGGAAAGTATCAGGGGCTTGCAAAGTCGGGTTTCAGCTACTACTGTCTTCAATTTGACGTGTGCGGTGCTTAGACTGAACTGCGGGCGTGGCTCCAGTCAAAACTGCCACGTTCACCTCGATGCCTGTCGGAAAAGACGAACGTCTCGTGCGAGACGCATACCCCCCTCTACAACGTGACAATGCCCCGACTCCCTTAGCAGTCATCGGCAGTTTCTTAGAGGCCGAAAGGTCATGTACAAGGGAATGGTCTTGGCATAGTGACAAATTGGTCCTAGTGTGTGCATTAGATTCCTGATAAAAGAATAGTTTTGGATTTCTTGAATGCCATACATGCAAGCTCTGTATTAGGTGTGCCGATCCATTTTTACCTTCCAGATCAGGGATCTACGGCCGGTCGACAGAATCTGGAGATTCTTGGCCCTTGGTCTATTGATGATTATTGCTGATAAGCGCCAAAACAAGGCTCTATGCCTTCGGAAGTCGCCGCACGCCTATCGCGCACAATCTGTCGGTGTCCTTAAAGGAAGAGCGAAGGCAATCCAATCACGGTCCCAGCGTAGAATATACATCATCGCCTGTACCATACTAGTTAGGATGCGCACACTCTTTAGCCTGTCATACAACCCGGTTACATCCATTTGCGGAATGACGCATTGCTAGACTTAATACTTGATCTTTTAATGATTTGGTTCCTAGCTCATTTCCGCCAACCTAACCAATCCAGTGAGTTACCGATATGTTCCGTCAGACTCGGGCAGGGTGATTGAAGGAAAATATAACTCCCGGGCAGCGACATGTTGTGCACACCCTAAGTATCTTAAATTTAACCGTATCGACACACATCTGTAAGCGTCCCAAGGCGTTTTGTCGCCATTTTAAGTATCACAGTTACTCTCTCTGTTTTTATGAATTGAACAACAAAACGATGGGAATATGAATTCCAGAGAATCGTACCCCGCTATTCTGTGTTTCTAGTAAAGAGAGCGACTGTTGCATCCGAAGACTGGGGTGCAGAAGATTGGGTTGCATTTAGCTACAATCCCCTTGCGCCAAGATTCTTTTAGCAGCTGCCAGTGATGCCACATGAGATACCGTTATCCCCCACGCGCTAACTCAGCGCATCTGATTGGCTATATGTATCACGCAGATGCCACCTCCCTTTTTTGACTAGCCTTTGAGTCCATGTTATCTGCATGCAACATGGGTCTTAGCCACAACGGGATACCTGCCGTGATGTTAGTTCATGGGGTGATGTGATACTTCAAAGTTAGGAGAGGAGGGCTCAATGGTAGCCCAGGTACATAAATAGGTGGCATTTGCCCCCTCATCCAAGCTGTCTTGCTTCCTCACACAACCAACCATGTATATCTTCAACCCCCTAGTTACGTTATTGGCAATTGTTCCCGGTGTCCTCTGTGCTCCGGTTGAGCCTACAGTCCTTGACAAACGGGCTGATGCTCAATGGCGAGTATTCCTTGTCTTCGAATACTACATCGTGTTTCGATGCAGGAGAGGTTACTAATTCCCGATTAGTGGCTCAAACTATTATACAGCTGCCCAGGTTAATGCAGCCAGCGTTCGAGCATGCAATTACTACAATGCAGGTACAGCGGTCGGCGGATACCCTCACACGTACAATAACTATGAGGGTTTCACTTTTGCTGTGTCTGGACCGTACCAAGAATTTCCGATTTTGAGTAGCGGGTCTTTGTATTCTGGAGGTAAGTGATACTTGCCTTCTTCTACTACATCATTTGATCTAGTTTTAATCAACGAATAATCAAATAGGTTCACCTGGTCCGGATCGAGTTGTTATCAACACATCGTGTAGACAGGCAGGCACCATCACACATACGGGGGCGAGCGGGAACGCATTTGTTGCTTGTACTTAGACATTCCAAGGACAGCATAGTTACTCGTGAAAATTACAATTTGCTACCACGTTATAAGCAATATTCTTTTTAGTGATATGAGAATTTTACGCCTACGTCAAGGACCATAAGAGCAGGCCACATGGCGAAGTAGTATTGACGGAGACAGTCACATGGGGGGTATTACAAACATGGTATATGATACCAGAGAGTCCATTGCCTGACTAGGGGAAACAGAGTACGTCCCAATGTACTAGATCCATGACCAGAGCTGACTCATCTCCTCAGCCAAGAACTTGCGGAGGTAAGATCACAACTGTGGTAGACAAATTTATATCATGGTTTTCGTACTCCAGTACCTGTAGGGTCCTTACGAAGCAAGGCTCATAGAGATGATGGAATCAGAACGTGTCTTAGAAACTAAGGCAATAGGAACACTAAGCTTGTAATATGAGAACGCCCTCGAAATTCTTCTGCGCAATGTTTGCCAGAGCCAAATTCGAGTCCACAAGCCACCACCATCTTCTATGAGAGTACTTGCCATCAGCGGCAGTCTGTCAGTTGTCCTCAATTTCGGTGGAGGATCTGTTGCGGGAGACAGCACTCAACTTAGTGCCTATGCTAAAACCGAAGTGGTTCTTTACGGTGCAACAGTTGTCAACATCTCATATCCCTTGGCATGTGTCTTCAAATTCCCTACTGAGCCAAACGACGTGTGGCACAGTCTATCTTCGATCTTGCACAATGCAGATTCTATGGACGCTGATATAACTGCGGAATTTATCCTCGGGGGCATCTCACCTACTGCTAACCTGGCTACAGTGATAGCGCAGGGGACAGTCGAAGAGAAATTCTGTCTCTCACTCACTGGCGGTTGGCTCTCGACCCCTCTAGTCCTAGATAAAGAAATTGCACCTGCTAAATACAAACCACTGCTTTTCTGTCGAGAGGAAAATCCAGAGGCGCCAATCTTGAATGTAGAAGCTATCAATCGCGTCTAAGCCGTCTACTTATCCGATATATACTCCCTGGGTTATTGACTTTTCAACGCCAGGGATCCTCACAAGGGCCTGCCGCCGGTGCATCTTCTGGTCTGCTGCATGGATCCATTCGGGGATGATGTGCTTATTTACGAGAAGGCTCTGAGGGAAGATGGGGTCAAGACCGAGATGGTTGTGTATCCCGGGCTCTCGCATGGCGATCTATCGTTTAACTGCTTGAAGTCAGCACGGAAAGGTGGCATTGATTCAGTGAAGCCTGTTGTTAGTTGATCTCGGTGTGAGCTCTATTGCCAATCAGTAGAATCTCTAAAATCTCAATAGAGAGTGTTATAAGGGAGCAGTCGTTGGTACCAGCACGGGTAATTCTGACTTCGTCGGTGGGGCGGTCTAAAACTACCCACTATCCACCGAAACGCCTAACCTGCGGCTACCTAACCGACCCTGCAAAGGGGTGATCTATGGATACCTGTTTGTTGGTGGGAGATGCACTTGAGGCCAGCGACAGAGAGTCTGAGTTACCCTATAGGTAGTTTGGGATTAAAGGAGGGCCCGCAGCTAAGACCAGACGAGAAAATAGGTTGATTGAAGTGCGAAAGAAGTTGATTAAATGCCTTAGAATGTAACTACAGAAAAATAATGCCAAGAAAGCGATAAGAGCTGATGCGACAGCTTGGCTAGGGGAATACAGGGTGACCGACTGAGTCTCATGGCCACCATAACTTTATTTATGTTCAATCTCCGACATCCTAGTACAAGCCGATACTCCTGGTCGGCCCATATCCAACATGGAACTGATTCTACACGACTCCAGTCTTGCCAATGTACCCTGGAAAGGTGGTGACCTTCAGCATATTATTACCAGAATAATAAACTTCTATCACGCATAAAAATCTTGGGAGCAACCGATTGAATACCATCCTGGTCGTCACCTCGATCTTAACCGTGACCGACTCGCTAGGATATCTCAGAACAACAGGCAAGTCTCTTCAAATAGCCGTTCCATGGTTTGCCTAGCCCAGAGTAAATCCTTCGCGTCATTTTCCCACCGTCGGAGAGTCCGGATTGTTGTTTTAACCATCGCTTTCCAGTCGATGCAGGGGTCTATGATATGACTTCGCACAGACGCCAAGATCAGTAGTCCACAGCCGGTGGATCTCCGTGCGATCGACCATGTCCGTCCGTGGCGGTGGTGCTGCTCGTAGAGCAGTATGAGGATTGTACAATAACTGAGCATTTTTTGGGCTAGAGGTAGGGCTCGGTATCTATTTGGATCATCGCGCGGCGTACAGATGACGTAGTAAATCAAAGGACGATGGATCCATTCCTGAGAATTGAAGTACATTCCCCTGAGGAGGAAGGAGAACTCGTCGTTCTGGCTTTCGGACTCGGTGAACTGAATCTGAGAAGGGAGATGTGCATGCCTGCGATACTCTTGTTAGTTGAACAGTAGGAATCATCATACAGAGTAAGAACCGTACCACTGATGAATCTCGTCTTTAAATGCCATGTGTTGCTTTAAAATCTCCTCAAAGTTGGTGATCCAATGGTACTCCCCTTTACCGTAAAAACAATCAAGGATCCTACTCATTATTCTCTGCAAGGCGATTTCGGCAAGGTAAAACAACCAGCTTCTTTCTTCTTGCAGTCCTAAAACACCCCATTGCAGGTCACTGATCGACTCATCCGAGGCTGCCGCTTGCACTCCTGACGGTGGCATTGAGAGGGACAAAAAAGAATCGGGATATTTGAAGGTCGACATGCCGCACTGTGGCAATCGAAGTTCCATTCGCAGATCGCTGAGAGAGATCAGAAACAGAGAACACCAGAGCTGAAGCGATGTCTTTGGCTGGCTTGACTTACTATTCGTACTTCACACAAAACCAGTAGAGCCGTTGTTCCCGATGTCGCACATGCCGCAAAACATCTACGTCGTGATTTGGCGAAAAGTTTGACCTCCTCCATAGGTAGGCCTGGAGTTGAAGTTTCGCCTGAAGGAATAAAGGCCAGGCTCGTAAGGGTCTGAGTGCAAAGTTCTCGTAAAGCCCGGCATAGCAGTAGCAATGAAGCGTGATCATGGAAGTATGTAGCGTGCCCATGCGTTTCTTTGCAGCAACATAGTACGCTTCCCCCGCAGTTTGGTTGAGGAGAGGCTCCGGTAAATCACTCGAGCCATAACTAGCCCCCCTGGAAATTTGGTGTGAGGTCCCGATGCATGCTAAGGCACAGGCAAGCAACTATCAACGTCAGTTGCGACTACAAATAAAAAAGAAGAGTCTTACTACGAGACATGTCCCGCCATCCCACCCAAGTCCATGCTCTGAAACCTCTCTAACATATTGGTTGAACTCGGCCGCGTCTAGAATAGGGTTTCTGATATGGATCATGTCGAGGAATTTCTTGGACAACCTCGGAATATCATCTTCATTTACCCCTTGACGACTCATGCTGTTGTTGGCCCCGTACAAACCATCTCTCATCGTCTCGGCTTCTTTTAAATCCAAACGCCCAGTCGGCGAGAAGAAAGAAGCGTCAACATCAGACTGAAGGAGGAACGATGTGATGCTTTTTACTGATGGGATATCCTTGAACACGGGCCACCCAAGAATTGACTCGTGTGCCACAGTGGTGGCCGATGTTACGGAGACTTCGAGTTGGCCAAACCCGTGATCAGAGAAATCACTCTGGCTATATGCATCTTGGTCGTGGAGAACGGACGGATTCACCTCGATGGCGGGCTCTGAGACAACTTGTGTTGCCACGGAGGCACCATCAAAGCTCCGCTTAGAACTGTCCTCGATCAACGAAATGGCGTGATCTATGCGATCCATGAGCTCTCTGTTCGTTGGTTCCAGGGCCCTTGAAAGACATTAGCAGCAGTGACTCCCATATAGATTTAGGAAAGGGGTAAAATTACGGCAAGCTCTGCGCGTTACCATTGCTCCCCGTATAGGTACAGGCAAGCCTGGCGAGAGTGCAATACCTGCAGCTGGGCTTTGCATTGTCACATTTCGTCTTCCGGCTTCGACACACCTCACAAGCTACCGTTGCTCTCTTCCGGGAACGGCGGCTGGTGGCATCTGCCGATCTCTTCTCCGATATCCTGGGGGAAAGCATTGCGGGGTCCGCCATCTCGACGGGGAGGGCGACAGGGGATCGAGCATGACGGAGCTCGACACCTGCTGAATCAAAGCCCAGGGCGAAATGCGGGGGGAGTGAACTGCCCTCAGCATCCGTCTCGGCATCTGCCTCAGCAAATGGAGGTTCGGACGACAGATTGTGGGATGGCATAGCGGCTGCGGGGAGTGACGCGGACATGGTTAACCGATCTGTTCCAGCTGAACTGAGGGCCTAACTATCCCAGGCCAATGGGTGACTGTGTGCTTGGATACCGTATGCTCACATGACACCAAGGACAGGGGTCGTCGCGGACGTTCGGGGAGCAACACGTCGTTGTTGTCAGCGTTGCAACGTGTGGAGAGTAGAGAGGGAGCTCAGGAGGGCAGAGCTGTGTGGGGACGGCGGGGGATCTACTTAAGTATCTCAACAATCAGGACCAGAACTGAAGTACAATAGATTGGAACAGCTTAGCGTCTCCGCTATTGTGCATCTATCAAATAGGATATTGATATTGATGACAAAACTTCAGGGGGGGTGCCGAGCTAACGTGTTCTAACTCAATTAACATTTTGCGTTAGTGATGGAAGATCGTCTCGGGCATCGGACCGCTTGTCGGCTGTCGGCCGGGTTTATCGGGGCCAAAGGAAATGAGCCGTTCATGGGGTAATTAGTTACCCCGGAATCAGACGCAGGCGACCGCACTAGGCGTCTGCATCTCGCAAGGGAGGGCCATGGCCTGTGGAGATTATCCGTCTCCAGTACACATCGTCATCTTGGCGTTGGCACTCCTCTGGGTGAGGAAGTATATCTATATCAGCTTGACTCTCTCATGCCACGGACAACCCTCGTCATAAACCAAGGTTCGACTTCAGCAACAGCAAGATCCTCTCCACATCCATATCATACATACATACCCTTTCAATCCAAGCACATCGTCTTGAGGCACTGGACTTTGGCATCGCAACGTCCACGAGCAACCATGCCGTCCGCAATATCACACCTGGTGGCAGTCAAGAACGCCTTCAACGCGAGGCTGTTGTTGTCCTGCTCGCTCATTGCCTTTTCCCAGATGAATTTTGGCTTCGATTCGACCGCCTTCCAGGCTACACAGGCCATGGATGCATTTGCGGAGACGTTCGGTGTTTACAATACCACGACCAAAAAATGGTACCTCGAATCGACCTACTTATCGCTGCTGAACGCCCTGCCCTTTATTGGTTTCGGTGCTGGTGAGCTTGTCTTCTCTGTCTGCTCGGCTTCCTCAAACTAATGTCAAAGCAAGGCCTCTTCGCTGGAAGTACCGTCAGCGCGCGCTTCGGCCGCCGGATGGTCATGTTCACTATGAGTGTCTACGCTCTGATAAGCGTGCCCATCACGGTTCTTTCGACTTCAAAAGAGCAAATGTTGGCAGCTAGGATAATCAACTGTAAGCACTATCCCCATGTGACAGTAGCGAAACCTGCTAATGGAGATCAGTTGCATACTTAGGCATGGAGTTGTCCGTTGTTCCCATCTTCCAAGCTGAAATTGTTCCACCAAAAGTTCGAGGCTTGGTTGTTGCCACATATCAGCTGTGTGTCTACGTAAGAAAGCCCAAGTAGTCTCGGCCTACCAAACCGCGTTCTGACCTTGAACAATAGATTGGCGGCGTCATCATGAGCATCGTCTGTCAATCAACCGCCAAAATGCAAGGAGACCTTCAGTGGAGGATTCCGCTTGCGCTGTTTGCATTCGTTCCACTTGTTGTCACGGTGCTTATCTGGTTCATTCCAGAAGTATGTTGCCGTTTATCCCTTTCTCCACCAACAATCAGCAGCTGATATCTCATAGTCTCCCCGTTGGCTTTTGATGCATGGTCGCCACGAGGACTCTCTTAGATCCCTCAGAATCCTGCGCAGGGGCAAATTCACTGATGAAGAGATTGAAATGGAATTCAATTCCCTGCAAATCATCCTCGCCGAGGAACATGAGCAGGGGAACTTCATGGAGATCTTCCAGGGCCCAAACTTGAAACGGACGTGGATCACGGTGGGGATTAATTTCTTCCTCCAAATTACAGGACAGGTGTTTACTTCTCGTTACGGGACCATCTACATCAAGTCTCTCGGCACTGTCGACCCTTTTATTATGACAATTGTCAATCAGGCCGTTAATCTGACTGGCATCCTCTTCTCCATGGCGTTCGTCGATTCCGTTGGAAGACGGTAAGTTTCTGCACAAACACTATTAAAAAGAAACGAAGATTCAGTTCTAATATTCTTAGCCCACTTCTTATTTTCAGTGGTGGATTGCAGGCTGCTTCGCTCTTTGCCATGGGGGGGTTGGGCACTCCGAAAATCATCACGAATGCCATGAAGACAGGAGTCGTTGCCTTGATTACCGTCTTCAATTTCGGTTTCACAAGCGGCTTGGCTCCCTTGTCGCATACAATATCGGCTGAAATTCCGACGTCGCGTCTTCGAGACATGACATATCGGACAGCAAGTGCTGTCAATGTTCTCGTGCAGTAGGCCTCTAATCATCTCCGCAAAAGGATCCATGAAGGCTTTGCTAACTCTCATAACTCATAGGTTGGTGGTCACTCTTGTCATCCCTTATTTGTTGGATGCACCCTACGCAGCGTTAGGGTCCAAGGTTGGATTCATCTTCGGAAGCTTCGCTATATGTTCGATGATTTTCACATACTTCTGCATCCCGGAGTGTAAGGGTAAGACGCTCGAGGAAATCGACCGCTTGTTCATTGAGAAGGTACCGATCCGGAAGTTTAAGCATACCAAGCTGCCTGTGGAATTCATGTCGAAAACAACTGAGGGGGTCAAATCGGAAGAGGTGGTGCAAGTCGAGTGTGCCTAAAGGCTGCTATGATTTTGCGAGAGCTGGAGACTTCCATCGTGTACTCTCCAAAGTCTGCAAGACTATCTGGCGGGCTTGGAATTTTCCGCGAGTTTTCGTCTCATCACGTCATCGACTCTGTTATATAACAGCCTTTTCATAATCTGCAAAACATATTTCTCAGTCAAGATAAAAGGTTTACTATGAAATCAAGAAGTATAAACCATCTGTGCTCAACAAAACCTGTCCTTTCCCAAAGCCAACGCCAAAGCTTGACTTTTGCAAAATTGCCCCCGGTATAGCTATCCAAGACAACAGCGAAAACACCAATCGCATTCATTGAAGCGCCTACCGTCAAGGAATCCGTCATGATAATCCCACATAAATCACTTAGTCACTTGACTCGGCGACTGCAACGTGACCAAATGCGCTTGCCTGCTAGTCTTGTGGTTGTGGACCGAGGTTCGGCCAAAAGCAAGTACCGTGTTTGGGAAAGCTTCCAGGTGAATTGGAGTTGCGACTGAGGCGCTTAGATTTCTCTTCTGACATTGTGAGAAAGGTCGTGGGGAGAAAAAGGATTATTCTACGAACATGTCTTGTTGGGCTCGGAAGTAAGACTACCTGAGCATACCAGAAGCTAGTGTGCATTATAGGACAAATATTTCAAATAATCATTCTTAGGCCCTGCGTCTAGTTATTTCTCGTCTACTGCCAGAACGCCGTACTGGATTGCTGCGCCCACCACTCCAACTTCTGTGACATAGTTGTCCCACTCCTTAATCATCTCTGCCATTTTTTCCGGATATGTCTCACTCAGATCGTTCGTCTCCCCCTGATCAACATCTACCTTGTACAGCTGCCACTTCTCAGGTCCAAATGGTTTGGAAATATATAATGCCTTCCAATTGCCTTTGCGCACAGCTTGACGCCCAAACAGCTCCCACCCAGTAACGTGGTCTTTCTTGTGAATGCTCTCTACCTCTCCTTTCAAGTAAGGAAGCCAGGACGCGCCTCGCATTGGGTTGATGGTGCGTGATCGATAGTCCGGCGCTGGGTGCCTCACTCTCGCAAGCTGAAGAATTGTAGGTGCGATGTCCATCACGGTCGAGAAAGAGTGTTCAATACCACCTTTCCCAGCTGTTAGAGGCAGGTATTTCATAATCAATGGAACACGAATTCCACCCTCGCTGGTAAAACACTTGTACAAGCGTGATGGGGCGGTAGCGGCAGACGCCCAGTGCGGCCCATACCAGGTATAAGAGTTATATCTGCCCAGATTTGACAGCGAATTGTCGTAGTATTTGGCAATATGATCAAAAACATTTTCTTCAATGACGGGAACAGCTTCTAGGAGCATTCCCTCGGCGCCATTATCAGACATGAAAATGACAAAGGTGTTATCCAACTCGCCAGAGTTCTGTAGGTATTGGAGGATCCGGCCAATTTGCGTGTCCATACGTTGAACCATAGCGGCGAAGATCTCCATCGAACGGCTTGAGAATTGGCGTTGCTCAGGATTCAGATCAGCCCACTGCCGCGACATTACGCGGTCCGAAACTGCGATGACTTGATGCGCGACTGTGTCGTCAGGAATCAGACCAAGACCTTTGAGACTCCTAAGACGTTGCTGTCGAAGAGCTTCTGGACCGTCGTCATAAATTCCGCAGTAGTCATCAATGTCTTGTTGAGGAGCTTGTAAGGGCCAATGCGGCGCCGAAAAGGCCAGGTAGGCAAAGAAAGGCTTGTTTAGGTTGTCGTTGTGTGCGGACCGATCTTCAAAGTATTGCAGTAACTTGTCTGCAAAAGCATCTGTTGAGTAGAAATCTTTGCCCAAGTCTTGTGGTCTTATTCCTTTGTTACCTTCCACGTAAAAGGGCCTCGTTGTGCCTAACATGCGCGGCAGTGACTCGTTGTCCATAAGCTGAGGCTCCCAGCCATAATGGTTTGCCGCGCCCTACAACGCAGTCAGTCTCTCGCTCTTTCGAAATATCAAGAGGAATAACATACAGGAAGTAAACTGAATGATCGGTCAAAGCCGCGCGCACAAGGATATCGATCCGGGGTCAAACCCAGATGCCACTTTCCAGACATCAGAGTGTGGTAACCGGCATCTTGGAGAAGCTCTGGCAATGCTACCACGCTGTCATTCAGATAGCCCTCATAACCGGGCTTCCCCCTCTGAAACTCCTTCAAGGATTCTGCCATACTGCCGATGCCAGCGATATCTACATTCCGACTGTCAGACAATGTCTCCTCTCGGTCAATGAATGGGAGTCAGTATAGGGGGGCTACATACGATGGTCTGTACCACTTAGCAGCATGGAACGACTGGGTGAACACGCAGCGGCAGCATGGAAATCCGTAAAACGTAAACCATTCTTGGCAAGGCTATCAATGTGGGGAGTTTTGATCTCGCCGCCGAAGCAACCAACGTCTGAAAAGCCCAGATCGTCAGCCACAATTACCAGGAAATTGGGTCGTTGCGCCATTTTGAACTTGGCATACAAAGATAAATAAAGGTGAGCAACAATGCCGGAGGAGTCACCATTCTATACTTATAAATAGAATAGTTACTGCCCGGTAAGTTGACTAACCCTCCAGCCAAAGCCCCCACCAATCGGGCGTGTACTCCTTAGTTAAAAATTGATAGCCCCCTATCTCCCCTATCTCCCCGAACCCTGCCATTCCCTGCCATAGCGGGGAACGATTACAGTGGGGACGAAATGCCGAGGCCAAGATTAGAACCCTTTACTTCCTTTGGATTACCAGATTTTCTCCAATCAACTCTTGTCGGCAAACGAGAGCGGCAATCCACTATTTTGCCTTGCGAATGGGCGCTGGCTCCCTCTTGGTCCGTCTCACCAGTGCCGCCGCCGGTAATACAATAGTAGTAGGGCCATCGGTAGGTGCGGACAGCTATGACGACGCATAGGTCGCTCTCTAGGTGGCTAATGTAGCTAATCATGATCATCACTGCCCCATGCTGACTGAGCGGCATTCATGACTCGTGAGTTAACTCCCTCAAAACCCCCGTTGGTACAGAGGCCGACAATGTGATTGGAAAGGGTGACGGCGAACTGATGTGCAAGCCCCAGCATCCAAGGGGAGCGGCATACTCGGTGCATCAGGCACCCAATCCCAACCCCAATGGGGTGAATTTCCGCTATATCGATCGACTTGTGATTCTTCAAGCGAAGGTAGATAATATTCTGGCAGGGCAGACCTTTGGTGGTCGTAATCGCACATGGGGCATAGGGTGTTTTTGTCGACGCTGAGATATTTGCATTCAGGGTAGCTTGCTTGGCGTAATAAGGTCAGAGCTTGAGGCGAGATTTTCTTTTAAATATGCGAGAAATGTTGTGAATATGTGTCAATCCTGACTTGATTTCTCCTCTAGAGAATTTTAGCGGTAATATTTGCATCCTGAAGCTTCCAGAATAACTTCAACTTCATTAAAACTACCTATATTTCCCTATAGTCTCTGCCCTCAGTCGATCAACCTTTCTCTTACTATTCTGCTCCTCTCCTTAAATTGGTCACCGGTCGAGCCCAAAGTGGTGTCATGGCTGAGCGGGGTGACGAATTGTCCTACAACGACGTTCATCATCGCTATTCCCCTACCGGATGGAATACCTGCGAGCATGCCAATTGCCTATAGTAGATATAGGCTCGAGCTGCCCAACAAAAAGACTCTCTAGTGTCGAGAAGAAGGCAGTCAGCCATCAGCCTCAAGTTTCCCGGCGCAGATTTTTGGGTTTGAAGCAAATGTACGAGGAAGCCTTTCAAACGCCCATGGGTCTTTTTGTTGGGGGGCATCCAGATTCGATTCATGCTCTGGGGTATCTGGGTTGCCCGATTCAACTTTCCGCTCGTCATTCGCATCCGAGGCTACCTTCATTCTTTCAAGCTATGAGATCTAAAAGGAAATCTCGAAGCAGCAGGAATGAGAGGAAGTAAGGGATAGACGAAGAAGTGTAGTAAGAGAGTGACAGAGAGAAAGGTAGATGGAAAAAGAAAGGGTAACCGATGGCACATAAGAGTCACTGAACAGGGCAATACCGATGGACAGGGCCTTATTTAAAGAGAATGTAGAAAGAAATATAGGAAGATAAAGATGTAATTCGTACTTACCTCATCATGAATTTCAAGAGTCCTCAGCTTAGCTATATTACTGCAAAATGGAGGAGAGTGAACGCAAAGGCCCGCTCTCCGTAGGCCTCAGCCAGGATCCAGTAGCGGAGAACCGGCTCTTGGTACTCCGCTAGTCCACTCTTTCGTAGGAAGATCTACGCCGTATTTCGTATCATGAGTGATCGTTCCTTAGCGCACGTGGTAATATTTATTGTCTTATTTCAATGGCCGCTTGGGTTGTCAAGTTTGTACATGACGTCCGTGTTCAATTCTTCCTCACCAAAATCTCGATTTCCACCGTCAAAGGCTTCTTCGGACATGGTCGGGTGTTACAACCATGTCTTTCACCCCTCTCGACAGCGGACCAAGCCCCGCTGACCAAGTGATCATGAAAGAGGGCGACACCTTCAATTCTGTACTGGAAGACGAGCCCGTCGCGCGTGGGGAGGACAGAGCCGAACATGAGGCTCTCGCGACTAAAAAGTTGGCCGTATGCTCTTAGAAATAACATGGAGTCATCTTGACTTGGCGAGTGTTGGCCCTATTCTAGTTCGACCGCTGCCGTTATTAAAAGGTCTGACAGGACCCAATTACAGGCTCAGAGCATTGCACCAAATACTGATGCTTTGATGGCCAACAGATTAGACCCTATGACAAGCCCAAACCGTAAGACCTGCCTCCTAATTTGACTTTTGTTCCATAAATAAGTGTATCATCTCTTAATAAATTTACATTAAATTACTACATGAGTCCGCAACATCGGATTCCACATCAAACCCTGCATCAAACTCCGCATCGAACTCCGCATTAAACTCCGCATTAATATCTCGCCCTGCAATGGGGACACGGGATCCAGCTTTAACCCGACACCCCGAACCCGAACCCGAGTATCTTATGCGCGGAAACTATGCCTCTAGGCAGTTGTAACCAGATGAAGGGAACTTAGTTTGGACGCGATGTGTGCTCGGATGATGGCAAAAGTTTATAAATACAGCTCTCCTTCCTTTTCTTCTACCGAAAAGATATCCCACCCCCTTTATATCTTCTATAACCGCAATCTATCAACTACAAACCGCACCAATGTCCCCAACTATGTCTGGAGTGTCTGGTCTCCGTATAATTGTTGCCGGGGGCGCGTCAGGAGTAGGAAAAGCGCTCTCGCAACTCCTCGCAAAGCAGGGCGCTAAGTTGGTGATTGGCGATGTTAACATCAAAGGAGCTCAGGGAGTTGCCGACGACATCGTGGCTCAGGGCGGCTTTGCCGTGGCCATCTATTTCGACTTGTCTAAAGAGAACACCATCAAGAACCTTATGGACGCCGGCGCTGAAAAGCTTGGCGGTCTCGACGGACTTGTGAATATGGGCGCCGACCTCCGACCCGAGACTATGGGACGAGATGCCCGTATTGACGATATGGACACCGATGTTTGGCACCGTACCCTTCAAGTCAACCTTACTGGCTATGCCTTGTCAACGAAGCATAGCCTTCCCCATTTCCTTGAGCAGGGAAAGGGGAGCATCGTGAACATCTCCTCTATGGCTGCGTATGGTTCGCAGCTCACTCGTCCCGCCTACGCCGCCTCCAAAGCTGGTGTCGAATCCTTGACTCGCCACACTGCCGCCGTCCGGGCTCCTGATAACATTCGCGTCAATGCTGTTGCCTTTGGTCCTATTGCAACGCCGCCGATGTTGGAGGCGGCCAAGCAACCTGTGGTTCAGGAGGCGTTGGCAAGGCTCCCACTTAGGCGGATGGGCCGACCAAATGAGGCCGCGCAGGTTGTCGCATTTTTTCTTTCCGATTCCTCATCTTATGTAACGGGACAAGTGCTGGGAGTGAACGGCGGGTCTAATTTGATTAACAATAAAAACAGTACCAGTTAGTCTTGTTGCTCTTTTTTCCAATATAAATAACTGAAGTTTTAAATATATTATTCTTAAGCTATTATAGATATTAAACTTTTTAATTTAGCTATATTATTAAGTAGCTTTTTAAATATATTGTATTTATTTAATAAATAAATACTATTTTTATTATTAATTTTATTAATACTTTATTAAATACCAGTTTATTCTTAAGTAAATAACTTTTAAATTTAATAATTAATATAAAATACTAATTTAAATTATCTTAACTTAATACTTAATATAAATTAAAAGGAAATTTATTTATTAAAATTTAATTTTAATACCTTTTTATTTTATATTATTTAAAAGTTTTTTTTAAGTACTATTAATATAAAAAAGCTATAAATAGAAGAATAAAAATTATAAATAAGCTTATTTTATCTTTAGTATATAGATATCTAACTTTTATAATACTTAAAGTTTAAAAATTAAATATTATTTCAAATTAACTAAAGTTAGATAACGTACATGATAAGCGAATGTCCCAGACAAGCGAATGTCCCAAAATCCCTCAATCTCTCTTTCTTCCATTTGATCAATTAATTTACCACCACCAAACATGTCTCAATTTAATAAAGAGGCTAATATCCTTCTTGCTCTTCAAGCCCTTCAAAACAATCCATCATTAAGCATCCGACGCGCTGCATCAATCTACCATATCTGCAATAAAAGGCTAGGGCGCCGCCAGAAAGGCATGCAGTCTCGACGCGATATTATCCCTAAGTCACGCAAGCTATCCGATCTAGAGGAACAGATTATTATTCAATTCATTCTCGACCTAGATTCGCGAGGGTTTCCCCCGCGACTGCGTGGTGTTGAAGAAATGGCTAACCGACTGCTCGCTGACCGCGACGCGTTACCTGTCGGCAAGCGCTGGGCTTCTAACTTCGTCAGGCAACAACCAAAGCTCAAGACGCGTTTTTTTCGTAAATACAACTATCAGAGGGCCAAATGCGAAGATCCAACCATTATTCGCAATTGGTTCCGGCTTGTAGAGAACACAATCACAAAATATAGTATCGACCTAGCCGATATCTACAACTTTGATGAGACCGGCTTTATGATGGGCATAATTACAAGCAGAATGGTCATTACAGATACAGATAGGCATAGAAACCCAAAATCAGTGCAGCCTGGAAATCGGGAATGGGTTACAGTCATTCAGGCGATTAATGCGGAAGGCTGGGCGATCCAGCCGTTTATCGTGGTTGCGGGCCAATATCACCTCGCCAGCTGGTACCGGGAAAGCAACCTCCCGGGCGATTGGGCTATTGCGACGACTCAAAATGGCTGGACCGACAATGAGACAGGTCTTGAGTGGCTCAAGCACTTTGACCGGCACACAAAGAATCGATCGACCGGTCGCTATCGTCTTCTGATCCTCGATGGGCACGAAAGTCACCACTCAGTCAACTTTGAGAAATATTGTGAACAGAACGATATTATTACACTTTGTATGCCACCTCATTCGTCTCATCTACTTCAGCCTCTTGATGTCGGGTGCTTTGGGCCGCTCAAAAAAGCCTACGGTCAAGAAATTGAGCAGTTGATCAGATGCTCTATAACCCACGTTTCAAAGACTGAGTTCTTTCCGGCCTTTTATGCCGCCCACCAAGCCGCCATGACGGAGAGCAATATCAAAGGGGGTTTTCGAGGGGCCGGACTTGCTCCTTTAGACTCAGAAAATGTCATATCAAAGCTTGATGTGCAGCTACGGACTCCAACACCGGTTGAGGAGGAGGTCAGCCTCCCTGACCCTTGGGTCTCGAAGACCCCAAAGACAGTCCTTGAGGCCAGCTCGCAGTCCGAATACCTCAAAAGACGAGTTAGGAGGCATCAAAGCAGCTCTCCGACATCTATCCTTGAGGCGCTCGAGTCATTTTCTAAGGGAACAAAGGCAATAATGCATCAGATAGCATTATTGAAGTCTGAGAACCAGATCCTTCAACAGGCAAATGAGACCCTTAGTAAGCGGCGCAGAGCGAAAAGAACCCGCCTACAGAATAGAGGGAAGATGACTCTAGATGAGGGAAGGGATGAGATAGATCAGAGAGACGTTAATGCGCAGGTAGTAGCTGAATCATCGAGAAGTAGTGGTCGACGAAGGTCGGCGCCGCCGAGGGAAAGGCGCTGTGGAACATGTGGAAAGGCTGGTCATAATGCAAGGACCTGTCAGGCTATAATTGAGACCTCTGGAGAAGAGTATAGCGATTAGTTTTAATTAATTAATTATATTGTTGTGGTTTTATTGAGGTTTTAACTTTAGAGGTTAGGATTTTTGGGACATTTACTTGTTTGGGACATTCGCTTATTATGTACGTTATATAAAACTTATTCTTTTTTAATAGAAGTTAAATATTCTTATATTTATATATATCTTATTTAAATACTTTAAAAATATTCTTAAAAAGAGTTTTTATTATTATTCTTATTATATTTAAGTTAGAATTTAAATTTATATTTAAATTTATAATTTCTACTATTCTTTTAACTGCTAAAATAGCTATTTATATATATTAAATTATATTTAGTTATTTAAAATAATAATATTAAATAGTTATATTATTTTTACTTTTTAAATATTTTAAGTTTAAATTTTACTAATTTTATAAAAGTAAAAAATAAAAAATCCTTTAATTTTATTAAATTTACTATTTTTATTTAATTTATATATAATAGCTTTTAGTATTTTATAATAAAATTCTTAAAGTTTTAAAGTTAATTTAAATTAAAATTACTTTAAATAATAAATACTTTTTCTTAATAAGAGAATTTAGTATTTAAATTTACTGTATTTTTATTATATATATATTATAATTACTAAGGCTTAAGTTTTAAATTTTAAGCTACTTTTTTTTTTATTAAATTTTATCTAACTTTTTTAACTTTAATTTTAATACATATACTAAAAACTTCTATAACTTAACTTAATATCTTAAGATTTTTAATATCTATAATATTTTATTTTTATTTAAATTCCTTCTTTAATTAGTACTTTAAATAGTTAGTATTTATACTAGCTTAATATAATATAATAACTTTTAAAATTAGAAGTTATATTTTTTATAGCTAATTTTTATAAGAAATATTTAGCTTTTATTATTATTAGTATTTTTAATATTATTAGCTAGGTTATATAATATAGCTATTTTTATTTAAATAAATATAATATTAATATTAATAGCTTAACTTTTTTATAAATTAACTTTATTTTTATTATTAAGAAATAAATTATATTTAAAAATAGCTAATATAATTTTTTAATTTCTATTTAAATATTTTAGATAATATAATAAGAAATTTAAAAGATTTCTTTTTCTAAGAAATTTTAAATAATTATCTAGCTTATATCTTTCTCTTTTATTTTAAAATTTTTAATAGAATTTTATATTATATTTAGTTTTTTTAGCTTTATTTAATATTATTAAATAAATTAAAGTTATATAATAATCTTAAATAGTAAAAATAAATAATAAGTAATATATTTAGTACTAAAAGAAATAATAGCTAAATAATAAGATTATTACCTATTAATCTTTACTTAAAGCTTTTATTTAACTTCTTTAACTTTAACTTTATTATTTATAGTTAATAATCTTAAAATAGTAATTTTATTCTAAGCTATAAAATATAAAAAAATTAATATCTTCTATTATTAAGAAATTAACTTTTCTTTTAATACTTATTTTATTATAACTAATTTTAATATAGTAAATTTTACTTAAGTAGCTTTTTTTAGAAATAACTTATTATATTTATATTATAAATTCCAACTTTAATATAATCTTAAATTCTCTTAAAATTTAAAAAATAAATTAAAAAGATAGAAGCTAAATTTCCTTTTAAGCTTTCTTAAAAATTTTTTATTTAAGTTATTACTATACTATTTATAATATTTAAATAGAAGCTAATAAATTATATTAGCTATTTTTAAATACTATTTACTTTTTAATAATAAAATTAAAATTAATAAATAAGAAAATTAAATTCTTATTTATAATTTTATTTTATATATTTAAATAGAAATAGCTATTAAGTAAGAAAGTAAATAGAGGATACTAAGAATATATAACTACCTAAAGATAGAGTTATAATAACTGTAATAATATTATATTAAAAAGGTTAGATAGGGTTAGGTTTGGGGTCTGGATAAATTAGATAGCTGGGCAAGATAAATAGCTTTTTTAGCTAATATTATTTAATTAAATAAACCTTTAATAGATTCTTAAAGAATAGGTTAAAAAACTATTAATTAAAAAAAAGATAATAAGATACTAGAGGGATAATACTTATATTCTATTTAGAAGGTTCTATCTGAGATTTTTTTAATTTATAACTCTAGTAGGTCTAGCTATTAATTCTATTTAATATAGTATTTTCTATTAAAGAAACCTACTAATTCTAGCTCTAGTAGCTATAAGTATTCAATTAAATAATCTTTATTCTTAAAGATTAAAAAGCCCTAACTTACTATACTTTATAACTTAGCTAAAAATATTAATAATTTTAATTTAAGAAGTTAAGTCTTTTTTTAGAATATTACTAGAGCTTAATATAATTTTTAATTTTAAAAGCTATTATATTATATTAAGTTAGTATAAATACTAGCTATATAGAGTACTAGCTAGAGGGGGAGTTTAAATAACTTAAATTTTAGGGTATTTTAACTTTATTTATTAAGATTAAAATTAAAAAAGTTAAATAGAATTTTAATTAAAAAGAAAAAAGTAGCTTAAAACTTAAAATTTAAACTTTAGTAACTATAATATATATATAATAAAAATACAGTAAATTTAAATATTAAATTCTCTTATTAAGGGATTTTATATTATATTAAAATTTAAATTTATATTTTTAATATATAAAAATATATATAATAAGAATCTTATAATTAATAGTTAATATAATAATAAGTTATTTAAATAAAGTTTATTAAAATAAAATAAATATTAAAAGAAAAGTTAATTTTTTAATAATAAAAGATTTTTTTTTTATATTTTATTATTTAAAATAAAATTACTATTTTAAAGTTATTAATTATAAATAGTAAGATTATTAATTATAAATAATAAAATTAAAGTTAAAGAAGTTAAATAAAAGCTTTAAGTAGAAATTAATAAGTAATAATCTTATTATTTAGCTACTATTTCTTTTAATATTAAATATAGTATTTATTATTTATTTTTATTATTTAAAATTATTATATAGCTTTAATTTATTTAATAATATTAAATAAAATTAAAAAAAAACTAAATAATAAATACTTTATTTATTAAGCTATTAATTATCTTAAAAAATAATTATATACTATTTTAAAAAATATATATAAAATACTCTTTTTTAAATATTTTAATAATAGCTTAATAACTTTTTATATTATAATTAATCTTTTTATAAATTTTATAATATTTTTTCTTTAATTATACTAACTTTCTTTAATTATTACTTTTTAATAATTTAATTTATATTTATATATTAATATTTACTTTTAATAAAAAAACCTAATATTTAAATTTACTATATTTTATTATATATATATTATAGTTACTAAAGCTTAAATTTTAAGTTTTAAATTACTTTTTCTTTTTTATTAAAATTCTATTTAACTTTTTTAACTTTAATTTAATAAATATATTAAAAACTTCTATAATTTAATTTAATATCTTAATATCTTTAATATTAATAATAACTTAAGTTATTTAAATCTCCTCTTTAATTAGTATTTTATATAGCTAATATCTATACTAACTTAATATAATATAATAGCTTTTAAAACTAGAAGTTATATTAAGTTTTAATAATATCTTAAAAAAAACTTAATTTTTTAAATTGGAATTATTAATATTTTCAGCTAAGTTATAAAATATAGCTATTTCTATTTAAATATATAAAATAAAATTATAAATAAGAATTTAATTTTCTTATTTATTAACTTTAATTTTATTATTAAAAAGTAAATAATATTTAAAAATAGCTAATATAATTTATTAGATTTTATTTAAATATTATAAATAGTATAATAATAGCTTAAATAAATTTTCTTTTTTAAAAAAGCTTAAAAGAAAATTTAACTTTTATTTTTTAATTTATCTTTTAAATTTTAAGAAAATTTAAAATTATATTAAAATTAGATTTTATAATATAGATATAATAAGTTATTCTTAAAAAGAGCTACTTAAATAAAATTTATTATATTAAAAATTAATTATAATAAAATAAATATTAAAAATAAAATTAATTTTTTAATAATAAAAGATATTAATTTTTTTAATATTTTATTACTTAAAATAAAATTATAACTTAAAGTTATTAAGTATAAATAGTAAGATTATTAATTATAAATAATAAAATTAAAGTTAAAAAAGTTAAATAAAAGCTTTAAATAGAAATTAATACGTAATAACCTTATTATTTAATTTTTTTTTAGTATTAAATAAAGTACTTATTATTTATTTTTATTATTTAAAATTACTATATAATTTTAATTTATTTAATAATATTAAGTAAAGCTAAAAAAACTAAATGTATTAATATTTATTTAATTAATTATATCTTTTTTTTTATATAGAGTTATTTTTATTTATTTTATAAGTAAGTTTATTTTATTTTATATTACTTATTAAAAGCTTTATTTAACTATTAAAAATTTTAAATTTTAAACTTTAATAATACTATTTTATATATTATTATTTTTATTTTCTTAAAAAATAACTTAAATACTTTTAAAATAAAAGTTAAAAAGCTATTTTAATATCTTTTAATTTATTCTTTAAGATATTTAAATTAAAAGTTAATAATTAACTAAATAAAGCTATATAAGTTATTATATTTTTTTCTTTTTAATTTCTTATTTTATATAATAGGATATTAAATAATTATAATTTATTTATAATTTCTAAGCTATATTAATTTTAAGTTTTTATATTTTTTTATATTTATAATAATTATTCTACTTATAATAATATCTATTATAAAGCTAGTTTTATTAAAATTATAAATATTAATAAAAATAATATTATATTTTATAATATATTTACTATAAATATAAATTAATTATAAATAATAGTTAGATTTTTATATTTAACTCTTTAATAATTATATTTATAAAAAAAATCTTTAAGCTTTAATTATTATTTAATAAAATTAAAAGCTTAGTATTTACTAATAGATAATATATCATAATTAGTAAGCAGTTAATTAGCTATTTCTTTAATATTATATAATTATAGAAAAAACTCTTATAAATTTAAATTAAAAGTAAATTAAAAGATAATTTATTTCTCTAAATTAAATAGCTTTTATAACTTAAAAACCTAATTATATTAAGACTATATATCTTTTTAATAGTAATCTAGCTTTTTATTACAGATTTAATAGGTTAATACTATATATTAAATACTTAATAATAAGTTATTTTAAAAAGCTTAAAAAGTAAGAAGAATATTTATCTTTTTATTAAATTAAAATATATTTAATAGTTAAGAATTAATTAATTATATAGAAAAAAAAGAAATTAAAAGATTTTTAAAATATATATTTATCTGGGATATATACTTATTATATATTATATAATCTATTAGAGTATAAAGTTATTTCTTTCTTAAATATTTCTAAGCTAAGATTTTTTAAATAAATTTATATTATTCTATTTTTAATTTTTTCTAAGCTAATAAGTAAGGAAGTGAGCAGAGGACACTAAGAACACACAACCCGCCCAGAAACAGAGCTGTGATGACCGCGATAGTGTTGTGTCGGAAGGGTCGGAAAGGGTCAGGTTTGGGGTCCGGATAAATCGGATAGCCGGGCAAAGTAGATAGCTTTTTCAGCTGATACCGTTTGATCAAATGGACCTTCAATAGGTCCCCAAAGAATAGGTCAAAAGACTGTCAATTGAAAAAGATGAGATGCTAGAAGGATCATGCTTGCTTTCGCAGAAGGTCCTGTCCGAGACCTTCCCAATTTATGGCCCCAGTAGGTCTGGCTACCGGTCCTACCCGATGCAGCATTTCCTGTTGAAGGAACCCACCAATCCTAGCCCTAGTGGCTGCAAGCATCTGATCAGATGACCTTTATCCCTAAAGACCGGAAAGCCCCGACTCACTAAGATTTTATAATAAGTTAAAGTCTTTTTTTTTAAATTTTTTTTAAGCTAAGATATTTTTATATTAGTAATTATTTTATTAAGCTTTAATTTAATAATTATTCTTAACTTTAATAATTTATATTATTAAATAGTAAAAAAATATAGAACTAGATTTATTTATCTATAATTCTCTTACTCTATAACTGGTGTTATTTTTGTTTTATTCTGATAAAGTTTTGTCCTCTAAACAGCCCGTCATCCCTGACCCCAAAATCTCTATATGAGAAGTCGTTGGGTTCCAAGGTTGCGATTGAAGTACTACTACGGGGCATCGGGGAGCTGGTCAACTATCAACGCAAAGCCAACCAACTCAATATAGGGCCAAGGTTAATCAACTCAACGGAGGAAAAGCTTATTAAGCAGTCAACTCACTCAATTGAAGGCTGAGGTTGGGTGGATTGCGTTGATCGCCACCCTGATTTTCAGGGAGCTCATAAGTAGTAAATCGACAAATAAGCAGCTTGCCTCTTAGTAATATAATTGTGACTGGAGTGTGTTGCGCAATGCATGTACTTGTATCTCTCTCAACCACCAATGTCAAAGCCGCGGGTTATGTCCTCGTGGCTGCCTTTGATGATGTCCCTTCAAAGTCTAACTACAGGCAGGAACAAGCTGCTATTGTAGCCTTTGCCAAACCAGATTTTAACTTCTCCAAAGCTGTGAGAAGGGCCTTTGAATTGAGTAAAGTTGTCTGGATTCGTGAAAGTGGTGCCCTTCACAACCAGATGAACTGTTTCCCCGGCTTTCCATACTGTACTGGCTGGCCATAGCTCAATATTCACCTCGACAATATCACTCGGCCGCAGCCATTGCCGTCTTTCATGGAGATGAACAGGCCTTTCAGGCACACTGGCAGATTCGTCAAGCTCACGATGGGAGGCTCGTAGCCATCCATAGGTGGCAGCCGCCTCCAATTGCTGCGTCGAGTGGTAAAATTTAACCTCTTCTCCGTCTGTGTCAATCTTTTGAAGAGCGACAAACAAGTCAACGTCTGGGAAGTGCATTGCCTGGATGAAAAGTTTCACCGCTGCATATCCTGTGATCTCGGTGGTCTGATCAACCACGAAATCAAAGGTTGCGGCTGAGTCAAGCTTGTGTGCATCAAATGATACATAATTCGGATTGCAGCTGTTGACATCCAGTCCCTCATTAGCATGAAGCCTCCCACCCTCTGCTAACGTGTACTCAGTTATTTCTGATTGAGGAGGAAATGTAGACACAAATCTTGGACTGCTTTGGGTGGCGGAAATTCGAACATCGATTTCGACCTTTGGCCAGTCGTTCACTCCGTTCTGATCGCCCTTGAGATATCGGTCCCAAAACTGGTGTTGCTTCTGAACGTTCTCCTCCTTGTAGAATTCACTCCACTCACGACCACTCTATTATCTTGATAAGCAATTGCAACGTCTCATTGTTAATAACTTGTAGCGCAGCGGTGCTTACGTGAATCCAAAGGTATTTGTCTTTCGACGAGAACTTTCTCCAAGCTTCAATAGTGCCGCGTAGATGCAATCCGAGTGACGACCATCCCGTAACGGAAAACACCGGGATGACTATTAGACTCCAGTCCACAACCTTGGAACGCCAATAATCGTCAAAAAGTGGATGCTCAATGCTTGCAACTGCATGGTCTTCACTTTCTGAGAGGCCATTTCCGGTCATGTTCATCCAAAAATGTTGGAAAGGCACGTTGGGGATTCCACCGGGACAATTCACCTCACGATAAAGGTCAGAAATTCCTTCCCAGATGAGAAGCGCCTTTAAGTGTGGTGGTTTCAGAACGGCTGTTTGATACGCTGACATAGCGAAGTAGGACACGCCGCCTCCCCAACCCACCTCACCAGTACACCTATCATTGTTAGCTAAACCATCTCGAGTAGCATTTTAAGATGGAAACTGTCCACGTACCATGGCTGCTGAGCTACCCATTCGACGATATCATATCCGTCTCGACCTTCTTCTGGAGAAAGATAGGTCGCTCTTGCACCCTCTGACCACCAAGTGCCTCTTGGGTCAACGCAAAGCAGAGAGTAATGCCATTCACCACACCATCGCAATGGATCAGGAAGCTCCCAGTTGGTATACTTGCTGAGCTGAGACCAATCTACCCCCATGTTCTGAAATCTTTCTCGAGGTACTGCACCATGCTTGCCAAACGGAGCGAATAAGATAATTGTTGGTGACTTTTCAGTCAACGTAGGATGTGGTTGATACAAGTCGGCGTAGAGAGTGATACCGTCTCGCATCTTGACGGCAATGTCCTTCTGCAGGAGCACATCCCCGCCATCGAGCTGAATAGTTTCGCGTTGTAACGGTGGCGCATGTTTCAATGGTGCTGACACCTGGCTCAATACTCAGCAGAAATTTCAATTACAATACACATGTGTCAATACTTGCCTGTTCAGGATGAACTGACTTTCGGAAGAAGGAGGATAACTCATGCGTGTGGAGCTCCATGACTATATTTGGGTTTTCACCGTCACAACGCAATTAACAATGAATGTGTTCTGGTTCTTGCTCACTCGGATTCTCCAGTTAAGACTTATTTGTTTTTAGGAGTCCAAGAGATGAGTCGCCATAAATACAGCTTGACCCGGATTAGTAATTAGTAACCAAGAACTTGAGCCTTCCAATCGGAAGCCATCAATCATCTACAAATCGGAACACATGCTTCGGGGCTCGGAGATTCCGAGCCGACGGCCTAGAACCGGAAGACTTGCAATTAAACATCCAAAGCCGTAATTGAGGGGGCTCACCTCCGATTGGGCGCAAGTATGAGCTAACACTCATTTTGGCCTAGCCTAAACACTCATGCCGCCTGTATAATTTACCCTTGAGGTTTGAAAACAGCTCTCTGTCTTATCGCGCAGCACGAGACTTCGAAGACATAACTTCCCGCTGTTCATTCCACCAACGTACCGGTCATAAGCTGAACTATCCTGGTATAAGATCGGATGACTGTAGTATATATGCTATGATTGAATTTGGCTGGGTTGCGGCGGCTCAACCCTATAAGCAACGCATTCGAGAATGCAATAAATATTAACAGTAATTTTTTATTTTATCGCGGTGTCTTGCTAGAATACGTCCTGAACACCGCCATCCGGCTCAGAGTGACTTACTCCTCCCGTGTCCCTATGCTCCAGGATTCCAAGTGCACGCGGAGATCCGGGCCTGTTCTACTACCCCATGATTCCCCGCACTTTGCTTCGGATGTGCGAAACCTTATTTTAGGAGATCCTGGGGTAAAGATCTTAGGTTCCGATGAAACCGTCCTCATTGGTTGGAGTATCAACCAGCTCTGATACATAAACTCTCATGTTCTGCTGCATCATCAAAAATACTCGCCTCACACTATCAGGCGAGATTCCGAATTCCATCCCGCAAACAAGCCTTTATCATGTCTGAAATCAAAGCTGAAACCTCCCAAGCAGAGCATGTGGATTCAGTGGACAAAACCACCATGGACGCGACTTTCCGGGCCGACCCCATCGAAGAGTCGTACAGGCTCTCTATACGCACGTACCTGGCACTTTTAGTCATGGGCCTTACTTGGGGCACCTGCACCATGGCAAACATTGGTCCCTCAACCACCTACAGTTTTGCTGTTAATGCACTTGGGGGCTCTTCTATTTCTTCCTGGGTTCCGAATGCTGCTTTGTTTCCTCTTATTGGGCTCCAGCCTGTTTGGGTATGAAAAGCCACGATACCTAAAAAGGATTCTGCTTCATGAATATACTGATTCCTTTGGGCAGGGCACTCTATCCGATCGATTCGGTAAGCGATGGCTTATTGTAGCGGGTGGTGGCCTCGGAGTCGTCGGAAATATTGTTGCGGGAACCGCAAAGTCTGTCGAGGTCATCATTGTTGGTCAAGCTATCACTGGCACGGGCTCCTCACTCTTCGTCAGTATCTATGCCGAGACTCCATGTTCTTCCATAATCAAGCAATCTGACCAAGACCTCAGCTGTTGGTCATTCCCGCTAGCATGGAGATCGTTCTCGCAAAACACCGAAGCTTCGCCCAAGGACTGATGGGGACCATCAACGGAATCCTCGCTATTGTGGTCTTGCTCGTGGGTCAGTTTACTCTAATACATCCACCGCTATCAAAGACATCCACTAATGTAAACGATCACATCAGCTGGCGCCTTTGTCAAAATGTCCCCCTCGGGTTGGCGATGGGTCTACTACCTGAATGCTATCTTCTTCGGCACCTGCGCAATCGGGATCATCACCGTGTATAACCCTCCACCTACCCGGCTTCGTCGAGAATTGAGCACAAAGACGGCCTTCAAGTCTGTTGATCTAGTGGGACTGGCGCTACTTGTGTGCGGAGTTGTTTTGGTTGTGACAGCACTTGTCTGGGGTGGACACACCTATCCTTGGAGCGACGCTAAGGTCATCTCGTTATTAGCCGTTGGCTCTGTATCCTTTTTTGGATTGGGCATCTACGGTTGGTGGTTCTACTCCCAAAATAATTGGCTCGTATGAGACTAACTGCAGCATCTACAGAAACTTACGGGCGCAACGATGGCCTCCTTGACCATAGGTTTCTCGAGTCGCGGAACTTTCTGCTTATTCTTTCAGTGTCATTTGTCGATGGAATGCTGCTCTATGGAGTAAACGCCTTTCTTCCTCAGGAAATTGCCGGTCTCTTTACCCACGACCCTATTATGATCAGCATCTATCTTGTGAGACCATCCCTGAAATGGATTATTATTACGAATAAATGCTGACATAGTTATCGAAGCTCCCGCTGAACGTCTGCCTCATAGGCGGAATACTTGGCTCGGCGTATATCTTGGGGGTCTACAATAATTACCGAAGGATCCTCACCGTCTCCATGGTATTGATTGCTGTGTTCTGTGGTCTTCTCGCCTTGATCACTGCATCTCGACAAGCCATGATGCTTGTCTTTACTGGTCTTATTGGTCTCGGCATCGGTGTCACAACAGTAGTACCAGTAGTTGTACTTACCTACGCCGTTCCTTCTCATCTGCTGTTGGTTACGCAAATTCCAGCGAGCAAGTTCTTATGCTGACTGAAATCACAGAGGAACTGCCGGGACCCTACTTGCCTCAATTAGAGCGCTGGGTGGCATTGTCGGTATCACCATTTTCGCAACTGTCCACGGTAACTACATAGCAGGTAAGACTTGGCTCCTATTCATTGCACAGTTGAGGCTAATCTACGAAAGCCCACCAAGCGCCATCGATTGCAAGCGCGGCCATCGAAGCCGGTCTACCAAGCTCATCTGTCGAGGAATTCGTGACAAATTTCCTCTCATCAGGTGCCACTGATATTTCTAGTATATCTGGCGTAACCCAGATGGTGATTGTCGCAGCAGAACATGCATTGAAGCACGTTACAGCGAAGTCTTTTGAGTTTGTGTGGATCGCAAACGCGGTGATTGGAGCCGTCACAGCTATTAGTAAGTACCAGACTATTCTTGATTCAGCCGACTTCTAATACGACCTACAGTGACTGTTTTTCTGCTGCCTGTAGCTGCTAGTATGACGGCTCATGTCGAAGCACCCTTAGAGGATGGAAAGCATCGAGAAAAGATTTCACCAGAGGAAGGGCTTGGGGACGAATAGTGAACTGGGATGAATGCGACCGTGGGAGTTGATTTATATAGGAACCGGGCCATGGTTCAGTCATGTTGATAGTAGGCTAGGACGTTGTTGCCAGTCTTGTTCCTGGGTCTGTTTAATTTGTCAGTTGACCAATTCACGGTGGGGTACCAGCTAAACAAGCCATTGTTGCTCGTTTTGTACCTGCCTAGTTGTGTTTCTGGCAGCGTAGTTTTCTGTTTTTCTTTTCTTCTTGTCTTGTTTGTCTTACATAAGGTCACCAGTCTCCTCATGGGCAACGAAGTCGGAGCCTTCTAACCCTAAGCATACATAGTTTGATCGTTGGTAGTAGCATATTCAGCTGGTATTGTGCATGCCATAGTGAATAAATATTCTTAGGCTTAGTGCATGCCAAATATTTCTTATTAGAGACTATCCTGTGCAAATTCATTCCCAGTAAAGTCCGTGGTCGTCCAGAATGCCGTGAATGCGCTATCGAGTTCTGAAAGCACGGTGTACACCTCCCACGTCTCCGTTGCCGTCAACCTTTTTTTTCTCCTGTCAGTCACTTGTATAATGTTTCGCTCGCTTCGGGGGTGTGAGGAGCCTACTGTTCACATTGTCGCGTATTACGCATAATTTGGCAAAGAATAGAGAAAGACTCTAGGCAACAATTGCTCAGCTGAGAATTCTCTATCGCCGAGAGGAGAGGCGCCAACGATTCTAGCTCCAGGAGCATCTCTAAAGGCGGACTCTTCGGGGCGCGTATGATCGATATCCTAGTCTTAGTCATAGGGCGTGAGATGACATAAAACCCCTCACAGGAAAAGAGGGGGCCGGAAGATCGGAGAGAACACACATCAATACGATCATCTTTAGGCTCCACTATCGTCTTGATCATTATTGCCCTAATTGACTTACCCGTACCGGATCCAATCCACCCGCCATATTGACACAGACCGCAGCGGCAGGCTCATCTGCGAACGCTTACGGCCACAATCTACTTCTCTTATTCTCGTTCCCCCCTTCTACCCTGTCCGGGACTCATTTCGCTCGCGCGTCCTAGCTGTCGAATTACCAGGTGAGAGCTCCTCTGGGATCTCTACAGACGCTGTCGTGTGTCTAAGGGTCACCACTCCCTCACCCCCAAAAGGGGCGACAGGGGGTTTAGCGGGTGAAAGGGACGAAGAGGAAGAAAACAACCCAAAATAGGTAGCCTAATAGGGGACCGATAAGGAAGATATAAGCTGCCCGGACCGCAAGGAAGGTCGGGTTGGCAAGGCAGGAAGGGCGATCCGGGCAGAAGACGGCGAGGACCCGTCAGGGTCGGTGTAATCAATAGAGTCTGAAAAGGGAGGAATTCAAAATCTCTTATCTATGACTCTTAAAATGTATATCCTAGAGGGAAAAATCCCAAGCCGCTAGCTAGCAGCTTGAGGGCCTCTTACACCCCGCACGGGCCGGGTTCGGGCCGGATTCAGCAGGATTCAGCAGAGACCAAGTTTGACTAGAATCCAACCTAGGCCGCTTCAGGGGCCAGTCTGTCTGTTCTGCAAATTGTGTGGCACCGACCGTGGCGTGCCGGGTGTCTGGTGCTCGATTGTCATATTTGATTAGTGTCCCTCTCGATATACTGAGAAGACCTCCGGGCGCTAAACTCCACGCTCTCGATCGGTGGACATGGGTATGACCAGTCCGACTTGATATGTTGACGCTTGAGCGGTTGTCTGCGATCAAACCTGACTCCCTCCTCTCGAAGAAGAGATTTCAATTCGTCCTCAAACCCTAATTCCGGCTTTCTTGGCACCAAGGATGAACTGCCACCAGAGACAAGGAGAAAGTCCGTCCCTCTTTTGATAGAATCCGATACCAAAGGCTGGTTCAATCTCCCCTCAGGAAGTCCCGCCCCACTCTCGACGTTAATACCAGAACTTAGGCTGACTGACCCTGTGATCTTTGGGACGCCGCCTGGATCTCTTAGCCCACGCCGCTGGAGCATTGCGTCCTTGATCTTAGTAAGGCGAGCGACTCGCTCCGTATCCGAACAACTTGTGGCATGGAAGTTGAATATACGACTAATGCGGGCAACGCGATGTGCATCAAAATCGAATGGAAGCTCATCATCATCGCAATAGAAGAGCTCGACGTCCTCGTAGTAAGGGCAGGTCGCCATGACTCTCCTCAGTCCTACTAAGGTGTGTATGGCTAGCCACCTATGAGGATCGAAAGATCTCCCTTGCACACTACCGTTAATTCGATTTCGAATGATGCTTGTAATCTCGTCCGTGCGAAGAAAATCCTTAGTTGTCCGGTGCAGGTAGTGCACGGTTGACTGCAAATAATGCTGCCGTGCTGAATGAGGCCACAACTCGTATGGCTGTAACAAGTCGCACCTTGCCGCCTCTTCTTCCAACCCCTCGACAATGTTGGCGCCAAAATCCGAACTGCGTAGTTCCAGGAGTCCTGCACACTGGCTCATCAGTCGAAGATGCACCTGATAGCAACGCGCTAGCCTAGTCTCTTCGGATATGTCTTCGAGAGGATTGGACTCAGAGTCTCCAGAGTACCAAATAGTCAGCGCGCTCGGTGGCTCTTGAGCTGCATTGATAATGGCGAATATTTTTGACGACCTTTCCCAGTACTCGATCCCCACTCGATCGAACATGTGCCTGTACAATCGTTCAAGATCTCTGGGAAGCTCGTCAAGTTTCCTCTGGAGGTCCGAGAGCTCGTCGCCATTCCGCAATCCTCTGATCAAAGATTTCACCACGAGTCGTACCCAAAGAAAAACACCCTCTGCTTTTCGTACGATGGTCAAGTAAAAGTCCGGCATTCGATCCATATTGGCCTGGGTCATGGTCTGCATGAGGTGTGACCGGTCGAAGGAATCTACGACGAACAATCGAATATCGTCATAGGTAAAATTCTGCAACTGTAGGGACGGACATTGTCCTTTGCCGAAATGGTTCTCGAAAATCGTCCAAGGCCGGGTAGAAAGACATATCTTCAAGTTGGATCTTTGGCTTGTCCGCTTCAGTAACTCCACCAGGTTTTCCAACTCCTCTTCCGTAGCCTCGTACTCGTCAAGACCATCAAGGAGTAGAAATAACGTCGTTGTCGAGGGAAACTCCTCTAAAGTGGCGTGGTATAATCGAAGGAGGTCATTTCGACTCCACTGTAGACATTCCTCTTGAGAAATTTCATGTATGACCAGAGCAGTTGCTTTTTCATGCGCAAATTGAATCTGCCGTTCTTCACTCTCTTGCTGTCCCAGTCTTTCCAGGTCTTTGGTCCGCTTTTCCCTTTGGTCGATCCGGGCTGACCCAAGCATTCCAAATGCAATAGAGCTAAGGCTACTCCATTGCTTGGAGCACACAATCGGCAGGAGGGCTTTCGCATGCGCCAAGATCCGGTATAAAATCGTTCTCAAAAGGCCATTCAGGGAACGCTGCTCTGGCGATCCGGCAGCCCAGAAGTAGAAGCTGGCTTGTAAAGTGACTCTTTTCACGGCCCCAGCACTGTTCAAATGGCGGCTCAATCTTGCGTCATCTGCGATGAACCTCATGAGAGTCGACTTTCCAGATCCAGCTTTCCCATTAACCCAGAATATCCCATTGGCACTCTCTAACCAATCAACGAATCCAGGTCCAGGCCGATCAAAGATCCAGCCAAAGGTGCTCTTGTGCGCATCGATAGTGCTTTTATGGGCAATCTCTATTCCACGATATCGATCGTTTATTGTGTCGAACTTCAATGAGTTAAGAATGCCTGAGAAGCGGATCAGCAAGAGAGTACAGAAATATAGTCTTTGGATCGTTACAGGTTTCTGTGATCTGTTCAATCTTTCGATTGTATTCGGAATCACGTGAAGTCGTAGAGACGATAGCGCGACAATCTTCCAGCTCTGGGCTCAGTTACTATCGTAGTGGCCTAAGCTTGCCTAAGGTAATGTCACTTACTGGCACTTCCATAGGACGCTTGTACATCTCGGACCAAGTCCCCAATAGTAACTGAAATATCTTCAACTCCCTTGGTCTTGACCATTGCGCGGTGATCCGCGTTGATAGACTCAACGATCTCCTTTGACCATCCGAGCTTGGCAGAATAATCGTCAACGACCTAACGTAAGCTGTCAGAAATATCAAGACGAGTATCCTAGAATTCAGATAACACAACCTTTGAACTGAATCCTTTCAACCCTGTCATCGAACATCCTTCGAGAAATGAGTGAATTTTGATTGGAAACTCGTCCAGAAGTTTCAAGAAGTCTTCTTGGATAACATCGAGAATTTCCGCATCGACTTTGAGGTTATTAAGAAGCTTCGAGTTGGAGTCCATAAGCGCAACCTTGGCTAGATTTGCAGCTATTTTACCCCATCCTACCATGGTGGATCCTCGATGTGGGGTGCCACAGAAGACTACAGCCTGAATGCGACGGTGGCATTCCGTGTATTTGTAGTGCAGGCTAGTTTGCATCTGCCGCATTGCCTACACGTAGGAGTTGTCAGAGGAAGGTTGTCAAGGATCACCACGCAATCATACCCGTTTGACAACTAGCCCACCAAGGCTGTGAGCGACGAATATTATTGGGTCCTTAGATTCCATCAGCACTCTGTCTTGCGTCATGAAGGGGAGACACTAACCTTATTTTTGAGGCCTCGTTCTACTTTGACCATCAAGTCTCGGCCATGATCGGTGACGCTGTTCTTGTCGTGACCCCTGAAGAAGGCGATCACATCCGCATCGTAGCCGTACGTCCATACTCTCGCCAGAGGCGCTTCGTGAGGAAGCTTTTCACTTGGCCAAAAGGCTCCTCTAGAGCTCGAGGTTTCTTGTGGATCGTTCTCCACGGCAGGCGACGCCTCGGCATTTGTGCCACGGGGGAACCGCCAAAAACTGAACCTTTTCCTTTGTTGGCCAACAGAAGCATTCTCGTCAGAGCACTCCCATGTGTGCCGTGGGTGACCCCTGAGTCCGTGAACAAATATGACACTTGCGAGAATTAGCACCGCAAGTTTGCATTCTGGGACTAGACCTTGAAAATCGCTTGCAGGGAAATAGAACTGACTTCACCGTTGGCTGGCTCGGCTGGGTATCCGTATCCAACACGCCAGGGCCGGGAAAGACACAAGTCAATCCCGCCCTATTGATAACGAGTTGCGACGACCCGAGGAGAGTCATTTTCGACCTAGTTACGAGTTTAACGGCCGAATATAGTGTAGTGAGAACTTTGACCGCGGGATCAGCCCCGCATACGAAGTGCGGGAATTTCGTGTTCAGCTGATTGATGATTGATTGTGTCCTACTCGGATATGGCTGTTCTTTAATCCGCAGTCATATGGTCTCTCTCATATGGCGATATTGGGGCCAAGGATGACGGGGTGTTCAGAGAACAAAAGATTTTCAGAACAAGATAAAAATAATATGACATATAGAGCGCGATAGCTGTAGCTGAATGAACCTAGTCCCATATTTTCCACTACCCGGTGACATGAGTTATTGGAGTTTGGAATAATTATCGGATTGAAGCTTGACGAAAGGCTCGCTGACATAAGTAAGTCTTGGCTCAAAGTCTTGGCTCAGGAAAAATCGAAAGTGGAATAGCGCGGTCCCGCTCGAAAAGTCTTGGCTCAGAAATATTCAAGAAAGGAATACCCCATTGTGGGGCAAGCCGCCTGCCAACCTCGTCCCGAGGTTGGTCCGAAAACCCGGTTTAATGCATGTCAACCACTTTGGGTCCCTTAATGCTGTGAAATTGACCATTTCACGATCATGATCTTTCAGGCTTTGCAACATAGTCATTGTAGAAGGAATGTGACTGTAAACTAGCTTATTGGAAAGCCCCGGAATAGTTGAAAATTGTACATTTCAAAGGAAATAGCAGAAATCGCATTTTTGACCTCAATTGAGCTGCCCGTTCTAAGGGGCCTATTTGTACTGCCTGTTATAACCCTGTTATGACGATGTTGCCCTCGCAACCACAACAGCCTATTCCTCACGGAATTCCCTCATAACATTCTTAACACGCTGATAACCCGATATCCTTGGTGTTGTGACGGGAAGTTGTGGTGATGTGAGGTTATCGTCATCGAAGTCATCGGCTAGATCCAAGGGATCCAAGGGCGGTGAGGAAGTTACCCCCAACGGAGTTTCTGCACCCGGAAGATCATCGCCGCCTAGGTCATTGAGGCCTATGAGTTCGATATCATCATCATCGTCTTCAAACGGCCCGATGCAGATGTGATACGCCTACACAGGGACGCTAGCAGTGCCTCGAGGTCATCAATGGCCGTGTGACCAGTGCGAGAACGAGTGTAGCGCGGTCTTCTCGCCCGTGTGGAGGTATGCGCGACTTCTACGAGAAGAGCTCATACACGTACAGCTGCTGCTGCTCAAGGTGGACCAACTCTCGATACATCTGTCAAACCAGAACAATCTTCCTATCAGCAAGCAGCTTATTTCCCCTGCTATACTTCCCATTTGCTGGCCCCCCGTATGATGGCTCC